GGAGAGGATAACCATTCTGCTCTGCACCAGCGCCGCAGCCCTGGGTACCGGTGGCCAAATGGGGAGCGTGACGGTCGCCTGAACTATTTGTTTGGTTGCGGTTTTGACAGCCAAGTCAGGCGGAAAAGTTGTTCCGCAACTCGAACGGCTTCTTGCCTTGCTTGCACGGTGTGGTCCTTTCACCCAAATCCGAGTAGCGGTCTTCCCTCACTCACAAACACAGATAGGCTACCAGCGAGGGTCCTCTGTCTACCACCAGTAGCTATGCAAAGATGAGGTCAACAGCAACGCAATCTGGCTCTACCTCGTCAGCGTATCTGAGGGAAGATATCAAGTTCCTTCTGGAAATTAAAAAAAAAGAAAGAGGCCGGGGAGGCTCGATGTCTTCTCCACACCATGTGCTCATGCTGTTGTCTCAAAGTCTGCGCAACCAATCCTGCCCGAACGCGAACTTAAGAAGGCATACGAGACCCTCTCCATCTCATCTCATCTCATCCCCCACCCCCAAAGCATTTTGGTCTTCTTCACCTCTTCATCCCACCGCCTGCCAAACGCCTAGCTGGGGATACCTCTCCTGATCTGTGCTACCTACCCTACTGTACTTGTACCGTCTACTAAGCCTGCGACAAACCCCCCAATCTCGGGCCCCTTTTCTCACCTTTGTGCGATCGTGCTCAAGCCACTACGCCAGGGTTTCAAGGACGGTATATAGACGGCTTCCCATCTAAGATCCTGCACCCGGTCAGCTTGCACGGCGTGTTTGTGTCGACACATTCGGAGAAGGCACACCGTAAACGGAAAGAAGACATTCGCTGTCACAGCATCCGCACATTCTGGAAGAGACATAATAAGCAGACGGGAGCAAATAATATCGCCTGGCCCTGAAAGAGTGTATCCGAAGCCGGCCACCGCCCCCGCCCCCCCTACACGACTGGCACTGCCAATAAAGCCTCCAGCACAACCCGAGCCGTCAAGGACCTTCTCGTGATCAAGGAAAAATACTGACAAGGTAAGCCATTATTTTCTCTGAGTCTGGCCCCTCTGGACTTGCCTACACATACACTACGTATCTTTCCGTTCTGCCTTTTGAATGGACGGCCACTGGGGACAACTACGGACGCCTCCCTCCCAGTAGACGTTGCGGACCCGGTATTACGGGACCCGACTGCAGCGGCGACTCCCCTTTCTCCCTGCAAAGAGGAGGTCGTCGGGCAAGCAAAGCAACCTGTGATCATGTAAAGCGAATACTGATCCCGAGTCGACACACACTTTCTTCTTGCCTTGCATGTTAGCGCACTCGGCATCACGAAAGGGATACCCCAACCGCCTAATACCCAACTCCTTCCCCCTCCCCTTCTCTCAGTCGGGGCTACGAGAGCCAGCAGAGATGCACATCGGAACAATCGACATGTTGTGGAGGGCAACGGGGAGAGAAATGGTCGACATGCATGGGCCTCTGGCTACCCCCTTCTGCCAATCCTCTCTCTGCATCGGTCCTCGACTTGGCTTCGATTCCCGATGGCGATCCCCACGCACTGTCCGGCTCCAGCGCTGCAATCCAACCCGGGCTGTGTTCCTTCCCGTACCCTCATTCGCGACTTTCACCCAAGGAGACTCTGAGCAATGGCTGATTTGCCCGTGTGTTCCAAAAGCCTGGCAGACGTTTCGTTGGGCATTTTTGGTCAGAAGTTGCTCGAACGAACGAGCTGACAAAACCATCCGAGTTGGCCAGGTCAAAACAGACCCTACCTGCCTGCCCGTCGATGTGCAAGGGGGTGTAAATTGAGAGCTTGGCATGACAGGGGTTCATCTAAAGGTCAGTCAGCTAATCCCTGAAACGCCCTCGCCGCAAGATGGACGGGAGGGCCATAGATACCCAGGACAGGGTGAGGCCCCTCACGCATACAGTACATACGCCTACCCACCAATCCCGTCCCTCCCCAGCGCCTTGTTTGGGAGCCCACGGCGGGCGTGAGCGTTGTCGCTGGCCCGCCTTACAGCTCAGTGCCTGGGCCGGGACGGCAGACAGAGGCGGGCAGATCTCGACGGACGCACCCAGACCACCGCTAACCATGGGCCCCTTCCCCTCCGAGGGGGGAGCATCACCTGCAGACGCCGCACGGTCTCCTCAACTTCCTTGTTCATCGCGACGCCTCGCTCGCCGGCGGAGCAGAGGAATCTCGTATGAATCAACAACTTCCCAAGGTATCTCTTTGTCTTCTTGTCTTTGCGCCTGCATCTTCCTCGCCTGCATTTGTTTGTTTTTGCTTTGCATGATTCTTTCGACACTTGACGAGTTGCCATCCTTTCGCCTTGCGGCCGCTCGTTTGAAGTCGTTGCGTACTCGGACGGTCCTGCGGGTCGAACCGGGCGGCGAGAACCCCGAAGCTCAACTCGACACCTCAGCTGTGCCGGCCCACGATGATGACATCAATTTAACTGCAATCAATAATAAATACACACATGCGCATGAGTGGTAACGAGCGGAAACGGTGGGGCCACTGCAATCGTGCAGCAGACTGGGCAGACAGAAGGCAACAAGTCCAAAGGTCAGTGACAGCCTCAAAAAAAGCCACAATCACAAGTTTCTGTACAGAATTGCCGTTTTGTTGTCTTTCTTTTTCTTTGTTTTTCGCCGGCCTCAAATCGACAAGGCTGGCGATTTTCACGCATCCATCAGTCCCCCTTCAAGCCATGGAGCAGCACCTCGTCCCACTCCGCACCACCCGGTACCCGGTACCCCCCCCGTTCCCCATCCTCCGTACCGTACCGTACCTGCCCTTGTTTTCCCGATCGCCTGATGAGCGGGTCGAAGAGATACATACATTCATGGCGGCCGACTTGGCTTGACTTTGTTGTCTGTCTCGTAATGATGCGACCAAAAGTACGGGTTTGCCCTAGGTTTTGATGCTTGCTGCTTGCTGCTTGATGCCCGCGCCCAACCCCCAACTCGACTCTCCCCGTCTTTCCCTCGTCGCAGCAGTACCTCAACTACCTTGACCTCGTCGGCCGCTATTGCATTGCGGGCGCTCCTCCTCCCCATGTTATTGATTCGCGCAAGGTACCCTCTCTAGGCACCTAGGTCGGGGCCGTATGGAAAAGGGGTCGCGGTCAAGAGTACCTTACCTACTGTACAGTCCGTACATGATACAGGGCAGGACAGGACAGGACAGGACTGGACTGGACTGGACAGGACAGGACTGGACTGGACTGGACTGGACTGGACTGGACTGGACAGGATCCCAACTCTCGCCGTGTGCATCTGTCTCACGCGAGAGCTTAGCTTCTGCCATCCCGGCTGTTGAGGGGCGGCGCGCACTTCTGGCCCTTCAACCCCATCCATGTGGAAACTTGGCGCACTCGGTTCCGAGTGGGCTGGCCGCGCTCGAAACGGCCAACTGCAAGTCGCACCCAAGCAGCACCCCCCATCGCCCAGCACTGGCCAGGCATGTACCTATGCATACTGAACGGTACCTCATTGTACTGGATGTATTGTATTGTACATGCATCCATACCTACCTTACCTTACTTGCCGCAGCCCTCTGTCGAAGCACTGTATCCTCCCCTCCTGGCGGCAGCTCGTCAGAAACAGTGGAGGCCGGCGAATGCGCAGAGCAAACATTTCGTCTCGTCGTCACGACGCAGTCCCCGGTTTCCCTCCCGGCACCCTACCTACCCAGTACCTACCACCTCCTGCTTGGCTACTCTGACTTGCCTGCCTGCCTGGCCTTACTTACCTTGCCTCTGCTTGTTCCTCCCCCTCCCCACCGCTATTCCAGCCCAGCCCGTTCTTATCCCGCTGCTGCTCTGGTTACTTTGGCTCGTCCGCTCTCCGGCACTGTGGAGGTCGGCGTGCATTCTGCTAACAGGACCTTAATGCGCCACAGGTTTTGATTCACACCCCCGTTATTTTTCCCCTCCTCACTGGTCGACCTCCCATCAGATATGCCCACCGCAGCCTGGTAGACATGTTGAGATCGTGCCGCCGCAAGAATCTCGGCCCTCGTCTTGCTTGAACTCTTTTATTTTTGCCTGCGACCGACAAAGCGCTGCTTTCCGAGCGATATTTGCCTGCCCATTGTTCATTGCACATTGACAGTCCAAGTAAAATGGCAACGGTGCTCTGACAACCACGCTTAGCAGGATTTCGAGCCCTCGCCGCCCTCTTGTTCTGGGCTGGACTACCTCGACATACCAGCTTCTAGTGACATGCGGTACGTACCATACGGTCTATTTTTTCATTGGCTTTCTTAGTGCGCTGCTCTTCTACCTTAACCACAGCTGCTCCGACTCCTCAAATCGCTGTCTTCTATCCGCACTTACACTGTTATTTTCTGCGTTATGCCCTTTTTAAGGACCAGCCCGCACTTCAACTACTTTTCCTCCATCACCCCCCCCCCCCCACCTTTCTCTCTCTCTTTCTCTCTCTAGGCCACCGGGTCATAAGGAAACAAGCGTTCAAAAGCTCCGGGCCACATGTTCAGATCCCTAGTTCCTCGTCCCTCCTAGTAGTAGCCCTGCTCCTGCCGGCCCCTACCGCCTCTCCTCCGGATCTTCTTACTTCTCCTGCCTGCTTCTCCTCCCACTTGCTTCCCCTCCTGCTCCCACCCTCCCATCTGCCTCTCGGGCGAGCCACCATCCTTCCCGGAAACAACCGAGTCTAGTGCAGGCGCAGCCGCTGTCGTCCCGTTCATTCATTCTCCCCTCATCGTGGTGCGGAGAGACATGGGTGCTTGCCTCGGTGCTGGACGTGCTACATGGGTTCGCTAGCCCGTTGCCGCAGGTGCTGTGCTCGCGCTCCCGATTCTGTATCCGTTGGCCCTGTGCTACGCCCACCGTTGGCAGTACGACAAAGCTCGTCGTACTTGCGTGCTGTTGGTGTTTTGCAAGGGGAAACACACCACGAAAGTACAGCGCCGCGGATGTTGGAATCTGATAAAAGCTAGCGCTCTGTGCGTGGCAGCATCTGGCCGGCAGCGCCTGCTAACTACCCGGACCGTAGCTATACCCAAGACTCTGCCAGCTCCTTGTCAACGATAGAGACTCCGGCTCAGCCACCCTCATACTTGAGCCTGATTCCACCGATCCCCCCGCCTGTCACCGCGTACTCGCCCGAAGGCGGACACTTCTACCCTGCTGCTTCCACTGTATTTTCCGGACTCGACGTCAGGCCTCGACTGGGCTCCAAGTACGTAGTGCCCGCCCTTGTGCAACTCTCTTTCTCCCCTCATGGCACATCTGATCTTTCCCAGAGCTCATGGGACTTACATGTGTGGCAGTAGCACTCCTGGCCCGGGAATGGCACATGCATCCCGCTCCACCGCATTACCACATCCAGGGACCCAGCTCAGCACGCGAGATATCTACTCTTCGGCTACGCCCGCCTACAGAAGGCAGCCGGACCAGCACATCCCGCGCTCCCCTTCCTTCCCAGGCATACGACGCCATCCACTGTCACCAACACCTAGTCCTGTAGCCTACGGTTCCCTCAAGATGGACGCGAGTTACGGGGCCAAGAGCCAGCAGAACGTCCCACCCCTCGGTAGCACGACCGTCCTCGGCCAGCTGTCCTTTCCCGATTCTCCGGCAACTCCTGTAAAGCTAGACATCAATGGTATCATCGACAAGGGTTTCTTCCTAGCCGAGAATGAGTGGACGTGTTACAGGCGCAACTACTTTTCATGCACTTGCTCTTATTCGATCTCGCCCTCGTCCAATGGGCCTATGCCCATGCAATTCACACAGCCGGGGACGCAGCAGGTCTGCCAGGTATACGGCTTTGCCATGTGTATCTCAGCCGTCGTGGCCGAGAACGACACACATTCCATCGACTTGGTCCAGCACACGCCAAAACGAGACAAAGGACCAGTCGCGAAGCCAGAGAAGGTGCGGCTAGCACCAAAACCCGCGCAGGCGAGCCACCACCCCCTCGGTATGTACGGAGGCCCAAACGAAGGGATCACATCGCCAAGAGGCTACGAGGGCTACGGGCAGCCCTCGAGCCCTCTACCGACCGAGCACACGTTTGAGCGCATCCAATTCAAGCAGGCGACAGCGAACAACGGGAAGCGCAGAGCCGCGCAACAGTACTACCATCTCATTGTCGAGCTTTGGGGCGACCTAGGGGGTCAAGGGGGCTCAGACCCGTTTGTCAAAATTGCCTACAGAAAGTCGGCTAAGATGATTGTACGCGGCCGGTCTCCAGGTCATTATCAGTCAGAGAGGAGAGGAAGCACAAGCAGTGGACCAGGAGGCTCTGGCGGTGGTAGCATTGGCGGCGGCGGCTACTCTTCGGGCCTAATGGGACCAGGGGAATATTCCTCGAGTTCGTCGATGATGCAGAGCAGCTATGCATCTGGGTACGACCCCAGGCACGGCTACGGGAACACACGACACCACCAAGAACTCACCATGGAGCCAATGATCTCGCCCGAAGAAGCCAAAGCGATCACAGAGACGAAGGGATACCAATACTTCCCCTCTGCCCTGTTCGAGGGGGAGCAAGATCCGAGGCATCACCAGGTTGAAATGTTTGCGCACGGCCGCAGCGAGCACGAAAGCAACACGAACTCGGCCATGGCTGGGGTTTACGACCCGATAAAAGTTAAGCCCGAAATGGAGGGCACCCTGCCAAGCCTGTTCTACCCTAATTCGTTCTACTCCTCGCAGCGCTGCGGGAGGTTCGAGGGCAAGCCGGGCTCTAGCGGATACTACCCGACAACCGCTCAGCCCTCTTCGACCATGAACATGACCTAGCGCGGCGGATCGAGAAGACGACATGACCTTACCGCACTACTACATGCACAATATTCCAAAACGCCCCTCCCGACGGCAATCCGATCCGCGTTCGACGGTAGAGAGCTTGCATACAAACGAACGTATTACGAAATCATGACGAGAGAAAGAGGGAAGGGAGAAAAGATAGCACCCACACATGCAAGCACAGAAACAGACAAAAAAACAGGATGGCAGGCAAGGGCCTCTCGGGGTGTATGCATTTACGGGTTTACAATTGTTTCATTTTGAGAATAGGTTTCTTTTTTCCTTCTTTCGCTTTTCGATTCTCCAACTTCGAATTTTACGAACGTTGTCTAGAAACCCGGTCTGGGCCTTGGGCGTCAGGGAATTGGCGCAAGAGACGGGACATGGGATATGGAACATGGGAATATGGGAATATGGGAATATGGGAATTGGGGCATGGAACACGGGACACAATACTAATGACGCTTTTCGGAACATGCCTGTCACGGCTGACGTACCCAGCGCTCTGAACCAACGACTGTTTGGGATGGACCAGGCAGGGGTCGGGTCGGCGGTGCAGTCGCGAGCAAGCAAGCAAGCAAGCAACAAGAGCATCACGGGTTTTGCAGGCAAATCTTTCTACCTTTTTGTTCTTTTACTTTCTTACTTTTATTTCCATTTCCTTCCTTTTAGGAATTTAAAAAGGATTCAAAGGGACATGGGGCCAGGGACAAAGGGGTCAACGAAATATGGCATTTGCAAGGATACCCAGGTGCATCAATTTTCTCCCATCGCGTTTGTTTTCTTTCTTTTTTGTTTTCTTTTGGGCAGGGAGTTTCTTCCACTCTCTCTTTCCCTATACCTTGCTCTTCTCTCTTCTGCCTTGGCTGAGAGGGAGGATTATGGAACAGGGCAGTGCAGGGGGGGAGGGGGAAGGGGAGGGGATTAAAAATGGACAAGTTGGAACTCGGAAGTCGCAGGTGGGACCTCGAACAAGGTGAAGTTGGTAGTTGGGAGACATTTTTGCCGCGATGCAGACACACACCCCACCCCAGGTCAAAGTGGCGGCTGGGACTTTTTTTTTCCTTCCCAGGAGACTTCAGGTCGTTGGGACTTTGTCCCAGTGTCCTCGTCTCTGGGTAGTGTGTGTGTTGTCTTTCTTTTCTCATCTAGTCAATTTTCCCCTCTTCGTTGCCTTTTCCTTCTTCTCCAAACCATCGTTATGAGCATGTTCATTATCACCCATCACGGTCATGTCTGTATCCAACAATTTTTTTTTCTTGGCAACGTACGTCAATGAGAGAGGCGCAGGAGTTATGAGACTCGCGGCAGCAACCCCAAATCAGGCTTGTACCGATGTGACACAGACGTGTTGGCCGGCGACGGAGGATTCGCTCGAGGTGCGTTGATAGGTCAAGGCGCCTTGGCACTAAAGTCGAGCCGCCTAACCTCCACCTAACCTCGGAGCCAAGGTAGTACAGTCCAGACGAAAGAGAGCAAGAGAAAGAAAAGAAGCGCTTACAGTTTTCACCGGGCCCCGCAGGCTGCGTCTTTCCCCGCTGCACGTTGCACCGTCTCGTCCCATCTTTCTTGTAGTCGAACCTCGGTTTTCTGCCTTATTCTCCTCAGACTCGCCAACACTACGGCTACTACCCAAGGTAGCTAACTAGGTAGGTAAGGTAGACTCGCACATTCGTTTCTCTCAGGTCCGACTCCTCGGACCTTTGCACGGTCGGAAGCCAATGGAAACAAAGCAAAGAAGATAAAGTAACGGAGGGTGGGCTGGTGGGCTGGTGGGCTGGTGGGCGAGTGGGTCAGAACTAGAACCAACTGACGGGAAACATCTGGAGAAGGCGGGGTTCTCCCCTGGAGCGAAAGAGACCGGGATTCGAGCTCTTTACTACGTGTTGCAGAAGTTTGCTGACCAAACTCGGGGCGGAAGGACCCGTGGGGCGACCATACGAGTAGGATGCGGGAATCCCTGAACGTCTGTGGATCTGTCTGCCGCTCCAAGGCGAAGAGGCAGCAATTGCGCCGCAATGGACGATCTTTCGAGGGAGATAGGGGGGCAAGGCCCAGAATCAAGCACCTGCCTTAGGTGCATGTACCTTATGTAGTGCAGCAGCGCAATTTTAGCTGCGCGGAACCCCTCAGGCTACCGCAGGTACACATACCGAGTGGGTACCTGGTACCTTGGTGAGTTAGGTTGGTGTAACGATCAAGCCCAACCTCGCGTGACACAAACACAAACCACGTCTATCTATGCCTCAGCGTACTCTTCACCACCATGGATGCACGCATGCAGATTGGCCTCGACACATCTCTCTCTCTCTATATGCGCAACTCTGACTTGTTGCCCTCCCACACACACACGCGCGAGCACACTTCGCAACACTGACACCCACCCACACGGCACCCGCATTGACTAACACGGCAAGGCTGATCAGGAACTTGCGCTCAACTTGCGGTCGCGGTAACTTGCGGTCACGGCCGCACTTGCGGTCGCGGTCGTGCGGTTGCCCCAAAACTGCCGTTGCAAGCTGCCGTCGTGCAAGAGGATGACCACCTTCCCAAGTTCATGCCCCCTGGGGGGCCGGGCAGATCATGGTGCACGGTGCAGAACTCTAAATGAAATTAAAACCAAGGCAGCCGTCCGTTGAAATACAAGACAAGCATTCTAGGTATTCGTACAGTGAGAAAGTGCCGTACCTTACCCAAGCGTCTTGCTTACTACCACCCGAGGTTCCTTAGTCCAGTAAGAGTGTTCTTCCTACGCTTAAGCCCGGCGATGGCAAGAAGGCTAGCAGCATGACTGATAGCCTAAAACGCAAAGAGCCCACTGGAAGAGAGCATCTTCTATAGCACTGTGGAAAGTTGGCGGGGGGAGAGGCCTTCGTTTGGAGACAGGGGTAGGGACATGCACGCCTTTCGGAGAGGGGGGTAAGCTGCAGCACACAAATTACGTGCGCACACCCACCTATAGACGGCAGCTGCAGCAGCCGACTTTGCAATAACCAATAACCGACCAGTCGATGCAGCGAAACTTGATAGGCCTACATTCTTCTCTTTTTCGGGTTTTATTCCTTTTGGCTCTTGGCTTCAATCCTTTGAGAAATATTAACACTGAACGACGAAAAGAACAGAACATCACTTCCCTTGCCCCCGGCAAAAGTTGCCGGACAGGGCTTCCTGCGCTGCCGTTGGCGTGCATACCGCGCCGTACCTGAGCCAACAGACCCATACTTACCTTAATTAGAAGACAATCTTTGGCGAATCTTTTCACCTCTTCTACATGCGGATAATAATGTTTTTTCCTTTCTCTCCTCTGCCCCGCCACCCCCATCCATATTCCATACACACCGATTGCTTAGCCAAGATCAGCCGGGCCGGACCACCACACAGTAATACAGATCTGACGATGGGTCGAAAACTATCAGCGAAGGGACGAGCCGCGGCCAATATTGATGATGACTTGCATGAGCTGTGCATTCGGACTCGAGCTTCCGACAGAGAATCGAAAGAGCAGACCGCTCACAACGCTCCCGTGCAGCTGAGAACGGCCAAAACATCAAGACACGTCGCGCTTTGGGAGTTTGCATCATCCCTGCTGATCTGCGCGCGTGAGTCTTTAATTCCTTCGCTCCGCTTTAATTCCTTCGTCCCGGGTACGAATCACGCACGAATCACAATTCATTCACCCAAACCCCGGGTGCCAAGCGGCCGCGTTGCCCATCGGTCCAAGCTCTGCACGGGTCTGGCCACGGCCAAGTGTCCCGGCACACAGCCATTCCGCCACGCCGCTGAGGATTGACACTCGTAGCGTGGAGGCAAATACAGCACAGGGAGCCCGGGATGCCAGCACGTTGGCAACAGGTTAAAAAAAGCCATTGAGAGCGCCAAGCAGCGGAGTGTTGGTGAAGATTGCCGGCGCTAACTAGAGTTGGTGGTGAGGATTGACTCCCTGGATTCATGATTCTTGGTCGTCCCGACAACCAAAGCGGGAGGTGGCTATAAGTGGGGCCGATGGGCCGGGTTGGTCCCATCTCGCCCGGTACGCTAGTGTTGAATTTTTGCGTGGCTCGTCCACACGACCAACGACTAACGTTACTACGAGTAGTGACCCGTCCCCGCCCTAGACATGGAGGAGTCCCGAAAGAGTGGAACACGCGCACAGATGGAGGCTTGGGAATCTCCCCGCAGCGCCCTGGCCCGTCCAACAACCGCCAGCAGGAAGCACAACAGCGATCCGCACCGCGTTGAAGCAAGATCGATGCGGTCACACGAGAAATTCAACCCTCGATGAGTCTGCGGCCAACGTCACTCTGCCTCGAGTGAAACCGCGACGAGAAGGCACAGATGGTCGAAACCTTGACACGGGTTCGATCACACAGCCAACGACCGACCACCTTACCCACATCAACCTGGCCTGTAGGTTTGGTTTGTTTCTGTACGACGTGATGGAGATAATCGGATTTTGCGAAACCGGCCCTTTCCATGTTCCCCTTGGGCGGCCGCAGGAATTCCGAGCCGGGCAGTAGGAATGGGGAGCTCGGATCTCACCCCCAAGTGACCCCACGGGGCAATAGCCGGAAATGGACCCATTAATTGCTGGATCCTCAGCCTGCTCAGATAGGCTAGTGTCTGGTGTGCACAGCATGAAGCGACAGGCCAGGCCCAGGTAGGTTGTTGATGTCTAAATAAGGTTTCGGGACTAAAATCGTCTCGAAAACAGAACGTGAGCCCCGTCAAACCATCCGTGCCCTCCCCTCCCTTGGGTGACAGCCCCTGGAGAGAGCCCCCGGGAACTTTTCGGGCTGTCACCCACCCGCCAAGTCTTGCTCCCCGGGCTTGCTTTCGCTCCCGCACTTGGGCCTTGTCTAAGAGACCGGAATTGCGACAGCCTGCGCGATTACGACACCTCAGGGTCTTAGAAGATGATGCTTAGAGCCTCAGAGGCACAAAACTAGCCTAAGGTAATCCGTTACTAATTAGCTTGTTCGTCATTTCGATCCCTTGCTACACTGGACCCGGTATTTTTTTTCCTCTTGATGCTAAGTTCCGAACTCGGTCGGCTTCTTTCGTGCCTCTTGCGTTTTAAGCCTTTGCATCTAGCCTCTTTTGTGCTCCCCCAGAGAGCAAGATAGCTCGTTGGAGACAAAACGAAAAGCAACTATCCCCAACCGTCGGTTGAAGCCAGCCTTACCCCTCAGGGCGATGTTAACAGCTGCGCAAACCTCCCCGCGCCGCAGGAGAGAGGGTCCCATCCTGGCATTGGCACATTTGATGCTCGGCCCACGCCGTCCGAAACTACGTGGCACGACTCGCCAAAAAGGCCAACAGCCTGCAACGGCCACAATCGGCTGCGCTGCCCGGTTGCTTTCGCAGGCTAGTTTGACCGGAGATTTGCGTTATCGACCCGGTTATAGCTAGTAGACTGGATCACCAGGACTAGGGTACGTGTAGCTCTCCATTAGCGAGAGATACATGGATGGTGGCGACCAAAGGGTTGTCAGCGTTGCACCACCACAGCAGCCGGCCTCGATTATTGGCCAATCCACGCACGCACCGGTCGAGACTTGCTGAGATGCAGGTCTTCAAAGTTCAAACCCGCCATTAGGTCGGTCCTTTGCCAACCGATGCGCAGCTGGTTGATTGACCGTGATTGATTGTTTCATCGCCTCCGGTCCATAGCAGCGCCTCCGGTCCATCGCAGTCAGTCCTCCCTGGTCGGTTCCTGGAACATGGAAAGCAAGCACGGCTGGCTGCGCACCTTGGGCTTGCTTGGGGGCCGTGACCACTGAAGCGATGCAGGCCCCAGGGAACACGTTCCTTGCTGCCGCAGAGGCCGCTCAACGGTTTGTCCCTGTCGCATGAGATGCAGAGTCCTTATTTTAGAAGGATGGAAATCGGAACGCTCATTACGTACTCGTTCTAGGTCTTCGTTCTTTCTTTCGTCGTCCTTTTGTTCTCAGAGACTTTTGTGCTTGACCGCAGCCATGCGGATTTTGCAACCTCTTTTTTTCGGAATGCTTCCCTCTCTGTCCCTCGTACTGGACGTACTGGGTACTGTACTACGGTCCTTGTCAAGCGACTGGTTTGCTTTGTCATGATAACGGGCGTCCTCGCTTCCAACCCCGGCACAGCCTAATGGGATGGTCCCCGAGAAACCCAATTCCCAATGGAGCTATGATCGACGCTGTCTGCTTCGGCAGATGGACCGGGGGCCGTTAATCAGCGACCAATACCTGGCACATGATGCAAGTGCTGTGACTCGTCGTTCGTCTGGGCTTCTTCTTTTCCCCTCCACTCTCGTTGGTCGGATTCGGCCTGGACCCCCCAGTTTGGGGAAAGGGAGCAGCGTGGGGAAAGCAAGCAAGGCGGCGTGGGTGTGCGCGTAGCTTCCCAAACGGCCGTTTAAGGTTGGCAGACGAACGGACAGACAGCCCTTGACAGGCCCGAGATCTTCCTTTCTCCTGCCTGACCGCTCATCTGCGGAAGCGGTGTAAGTTACCAGCGTTTTTTCCTCTGGGCTCCCGCTCAGCCCTATTTCGGACGTGTCGGTGCCACGGCTCGGCAAGACCTTTGGCTCGGCCGGGGGCGGAATTTCCTTTCAAAAAAACCTCATGAGACGGGATAATCGGATCCTTCTACGGTTATCTCTTGTCGATCATGAAGTTTAACCAATGGTCCTCCTTTGGCGCCTCCGTCGGTGCCGAGGACAAGAGAAAGGAGCGACTTGGGCGAGACATGATGCAGCTATTCCGATGCTAATCCGTCAACCTTCCAAGGGTCTGCGCATGCGCAAGTCGCGATCATAGGATTTGAAGCCTGCCGTGGTATGCAACAAGGCCTACGCGGGGCATAAGGACGCCACCTTCTGTATCCATCACTAGGCCACCTTCCAGTGAAGGGTAGGAGTGTCTAAGACACCGAATGATGGAAGAAAAGGGGGGGGGAGGAAACCGGCAGGCAAGCCACTCGAGTGAAGTTTATGCAAGTCACGGCCCTCGTTTCTCTCCCTAGCCTCTTTCCTGCATCCCACAACTTGACCTGTTCTTTTTCTTGTTTTCTCCCGCCGGAAGCTGCGTTGCTTCTGTGCTTACTCTTCTCGGCACGCCAACTGCAAAGCAGACAGTTTTTTATTCCCTTTCTCTCCTTATTCCCCCAGGCTCGGTTGATGACATGTAATCCGTATTCCGGACCCGAATGAGGCAAGGGGGCTTGGCACGGATCAGCATTCGGCGCGCGGCGCGGCGGGACTTCGAAAAGGCCCGGATATCGGTTCCGCTCTTTGTCAGGTGAAGACAAGACAGGGTCCCACCCCACCGCCCCGGGAGCTGCCGCCCCCTCTTATCCCCCATGGCACACATTGCCATTTCTCTACGCCCCAAGATAGCACAACATACATCCGCCCCCCGTGCTACACACTCACGGGGTATCTATGTGCCTCAATTACATTACCTATGGGGTACTTGGGCTACATTACACTACATACAAACCCCAGATCCGAACAGTGTGAACAAAAGCGGCCCGGCTCTCTCTTGCTGTGGTCGTCTCCTTTCTCGTAGAAAAGATATTAGAGGGGAGCGAGGGGGCGGAAGGAAAGAATGAGTACAGTATGTGGCTTGACGCCATCTGCCGGCGTTGCCGTTCCTTCCGGGTTCCTTTTTGAAAGAAAAATCATGCATTGACTGAGAGAGCGAGACACATCGCAGACAAATAGGCCGAGAGACATGGCGAGTTTGTGTCATGTCATTCACGGCACGGCGCGCGGGACGTGGGGTGGGGGGATGGCCGGAACCTGAACAAACACTTACTTACAAACTAACTCACACGCTGCACACACGCACAAACACACACACGCACACGCACACACGCACGCACACGCACGCACACGCACGCACACGCACACGCACACACACACTCTCTCTCTCTCAAAAGTGGCCAACTGGATAGATAAGCAGGCAATGCAATAACAAAAGAGGGACCGAAAAGGAAGGCCACGTTGCTGACACAATTAGTTGCTTATGCTGATGCTAATGCCCCCCCCCCCTTCTATTCCCCTTCTTTCTGACAAAGGCTGGAACTAGGCTTTGTGGGGTTGCTGACAAAAAAATCTGCCTGATCTTTTTTTCGGCCTTGTTTGTTTTGCTTCTCGGCCTGATAAGTTCCTGTCTCGCCTTGTCTCGCCCCGGCCGGCATGGCATGGCATAGGCACATACATGGGGTGGCACGACATGGCCCTTGCCTTTCCGTTGCGTCTATGCCTCAAGCCCACAGCCAGCAGCTAGATACTTCGGCCGCGGACAATAGCAAGGAGAGAGTGCAATATGGGGGTGAGGTGTTTGTGTGTGTCGGTGAGCGAGGGAAGGTTTGAAGCGAGGGAGCGGCGGTGATGTGATATGATGCGCATACAAGTCCCTACATACATCCACACATCCATACATGCTCATCCACTTAGGTGCGTCCAGTATGTAGGCATTGTAATTTTGTTATACTAGAGCTTTGTGTCTTGTGCTATGCGATTCATCTATCTTTGTCCCAATTTTTTTTCACGCGTCAGCAAGTGCCTCCTGGCCCCCTCCCCCTCTTCCCCCCCTTTTCTCCTTTAGAGTTTCGGAAGTAAGAGGGGGCGGCGTGGTGAAAAAAATGTTGCCTAGAAGGAAGTTTTGCCGTCACGACAGAGTTTTGCGACCAGCCAACGACGAGGCCCAATTACCTAAGAGTCAATGAAGAAAAAATCCATGTCATCGACTTTTTCTTTTGAAACGGAAGCCAGGTTGCCTATTTACGAGACTAGGTGGAACGTGTGACGGAGAGATCAGAAGGATTTACGGTTCTGAGTGAGTACCTTAGCTTTGCCTCTTTGGTTAGGCAGGTTGTTGTGGTTACCTTGCCTTTGCCTTAGGTAAGTAAGACAGCGGTGGACGGAAACGGACACACACACTCACTTGAGCCAGTCATTGCAACCTTACTAACAACACGCCAGAGTGACAATCGTGACACAACCCGTCAGCGAACCCCCAATCATCAATCGCAATCGCACAAACTGGAAAAATGTAAATAAGCACCTTAGATTACAGACAGCCAGCACGAAACAGCCAATGAGCCAAAGCTTTTAGGATCCTGGAAATGAACACCTCGAAAGTATAAACCAGAAAAGACACGAAGAAAAAAAAGCCGTTGTCGGACCCCGCCGCCGCCGCTCGCTCTGCATCACTCTCTCGGCTCTCGGAACTCGGCACGGCAAACTCTCTGCCACCTACTAACTCCCTATTGCACGCTGACACATGTACACACATATAATTACTGAATTGACGGAAAGTCAAGGCTAGCGTCGGCTTCCTTGGGGGTGAAGGGAGGAAAAGGGGTAAGACGCAGGTAAACAAGTGACAAAGGATAGAGTTCATTATTTAGTCCGCTTGAAGAAGTTAAATCGAGAAAATAGAGATCAATAAGTGCTAACGTATGTTAGAGCAAGCAAATTTATCCGGGAAATTAGTTCTGTTTGCAACGAAACTGCAGTTCCTGTGTTGTGGGTTTGCTCCAAGGCTTCCCCGTTCACACTCTCTTTACTACCTGGTAGATATCCCCTGTCTTAGTTCATAGAAATTTGAACATAATAGAGAAGATATGTCATGTGAGAATAAACTTTAGGAGAGGGCTAAACTCGTGACCTTGGAAATAGAGCTTCCACAGTTTCGCATTCCTGTGGCCTACATGTTGTTAATACAATCTGGTTTCTAGTTTGTGTGGTTACCGCTACCACATGAGAGATATACAGGTCTAACTAACTAGAACTCTGTAACAAAGCCGTTCTCAAGATTATTAATTATATACTACTTTGACGACGCGGCTTCAGATTATTAATTATCTTATAACATGACGGAGCTCAAGAGTTTATTAGTACAATATGGTAACTACAACTCGAATATAACCACTGCGTATCGAATATCGAAAAGTAACAAGCCTCTATAGTCCAAAATGATGTTATGACGAGATGGTTGTGCTTAACAAATAGACTCTGCTCAGCTACCCAGTCATGAACGCTACCAGCCGACCTGTTGGAGAGGGGCAAGGGCATTGGAAACTTGGAAAGTGTAGCCATTTTAAATAGCGTCGAGAAAACACAGTCCGAGAAGCGGCTCGCCTCATAGCTAATAGACGATATAAGTTCGGTTTCATTTCGAGGCTACCTAGTCTCTAATACCGGTGCTGAGCTGCATAAGGGCTGGAATGAGCCTCTGATTACACTTTGCGATGACAATAGAATCGTGTACAATAGAAAAGCCGCGGTTTATCTGAAGTTTACGAAGTCTACGAAGTCACTAGTTAGTTGTCTCCGTGTAGGCTATGTCATAGTCAAAGTCCCGGACACTGTATGTCGCAGGCGGTAGTTGATTTAAACTGGCAACAAATTGGCAAAGTGAGCTGAACAACCGCACGAGCCAGTCTGGGCAATGGAACCGCCTCATTTAAACTGATCCTATTACTGCCAGGCTACAAAAAACAAGACTGAAAGCCTATGCCATCTATGATGAAGCCTATCTCTTGCTCCGGCTGTGTTGATGATTGCTGACTCAGTAACCCGGGATATATCTATACCAAGCAACCCAACTAATAGTCTAGAACCTCCCAAGTCCGTGTGTTAGGGATGGCGGGATACAAGGAGAAGGGAACAACGCCAGCTCGCGCATCAAACGTCGAACTCAATCCCCCGAGGCAGTTACACAGTAGTTGGCCAGACAGCCAAGACAGTGTACATCGCGCTTCAATTTCTGCACTTGACAATGTAACAGCTAGACTACCGCGCCAAGGTTCCCGTTTCTCTCCCCAGCTAGGTAAGATAGGTCTGTCTCTACAGTTCCCGTTCCTTCAATTTTCCTTTATCCCCCGGCCTAACCAGAGAGACTAGATAGCCGGCCAAGACGTCAAGCAGCAAGCAGTTAGTCAGAGAGCGAGAGAGATATTGGCCAATACGAGAATAGATATGCGGATAAAACCGACCTCTCATGTCTCGTATGCCGGCCAATCTACGGATGGCGAGCACCAACTCACAACCAAGAAGCCAGAATTCCGCCCCCACCCTCCCCCGGACCCAGATACACCTACAGTTAAGGCCGCATGCCACGGATGGATCGGATATTGAGGGCGGGATTGTTACACGACCTATCCTTGCCTGGGTTGTTGGTTTGGCTCAGATGACACCAAAAATGTGAAATTCTCAGACCGTAGTTGTGGTAACCAGAGGAGCGATCTCGAATAGGGGAACGATGAACATGGACAAGGATTCACCCAAAGGGGGCTTGTTACAATCCCAACGACTATTTCAATTCCTCGGGGCCGGAAATGCGTGCTGTTTCGTGAAGGAAGCCTCAATATATTTTTCTTCGAGGCTTCTGCTTACGTTATGCGTCGTTATTTAGTAGCCATGTACGAGCTGGAAAGGTTGCGGCCAAGTATTTCAAATATAAAGTGGGGAGTAGGTGGGGAGTGAGAAAAGGGGAAGGTAACGAAAGGGGGAACGAGAAAAGGGGAAGCCGGGAAGTTGGGAGCAAGAAATTGGCAACATAATAAATCACTTCAAAATAAGAAAACTTTAGGGCTCGAAGAAAAGTATCTGAAGAGAAAAACATCAAACAATTAAACAAGCAAACAGGTTCGTTAGCAGGTAAGGGGGAACAGAAGCAGCAATTTGATATTCTACCAAAACTCGACCCGTTTGTTTACCAAAACAAGATAAAAGATACGCAAAACCAACAAGAAAAAAGCCACAATATCTCTTGTCAGGGCTGCAAGGCTGGCCGGTTGGGTTGGCATACGACCGATTAGACAAAACCAAGACTCAAACAACCACAACCCACAACCCACAACCCACAACCTCTGCTCTCCTCAACCCCTTTCTTTCCCGTGACAGAGAGTCCTCTCTCACCGCGCTAGCCATAGCCAGCACAGCTTATAATATTATAGCCACGCGCCCTGAAACAAGAAATCACCACCACTAGTCCGGCAAAACACCCACGGAGCCGTTTTCATCCCATCTTGTCTCATCTCAATCGCACGTCTCAGCTTTTAGCTTGCAAGATAGGCCTGGATAGCGTTTTTCAGCTTGCCAGCGTTTTCGCCAAGCTTTTCGAGGTCCGAGGCCGTCGTAATGCCGAACCTGCGGACAAAGTCCTTTGCGGCCGACTCGATGTCACCGTAGTCGTCCGTGACCTGGTCGTCGTCGGGGCGGCCAAAGTAGGCGTTGGACGAGATGGATGCTGAGCTTTCGAACCCCTGTAGGCGCGATCGCGCCTCGTCGCGCACGCTGACGTCGAAGTTGCCCTTGCCAAAGAACTCGTCTGATGAGATGGCCTTTTGGTTACCAAACTTGTTGCGCGCATACTTTTCGTCATCAGCTGCAGGTGCGTTGTTCTGTTAGCATATATACACAGGTATGCAGAGGGTTATACTAAACCTATTTTCTAATCATGCGGGAAGGGGTGTTCAAGACAAAGAAGAGTAAAAAGGACATACTCTCAGCGGTAGCCTTGATCGGGCCTACAGAGCCAAAGCCGCCAGCGTTCTTCTTAGGGGCGGCGGCAGCCGGCTTGTTGCCGCCGACCTGACCAAAGCCCAGACGGCCGAGGCCCATGCCCAGACGCTCGATCTCCGACGCCGACTTCTCTCGAGCGTGCGACGAAGACCCGTAACCTCCCCGGGGGGGCGGGCTGACCGGGGTGGGAGACAGTATGCTGCTGGACGAGTCGGCCTTAGAAAACTTAGCAGCCGCGACCTCGTCTTCGGCATTAGGGTCGTAGCCAAGCTTCGCGATGCGCTCCGCCTCCTCCTTGGCCTTCTTTTCTGCCTCGTCAAAGTCGATGAAATCGGCAGTAATCTTCTTTGCCCCAAGCTTCTGCGTCTTCTTGGCGCCGAGCACGTTGACTTTGCGCGGGCCGCTAGATGTCGTCTTGGACCTGAGCGCTGCCGAGGTCGTGATGCGGCTCGGGGCGGCAGGCTGGGAATCGCTGTCCGTGTTGGCAAGGGGCGAGAGAGGCGAGGCGGCGCGCGCAATACCACTCCCATTAGCTGTATTAGAGAAAGTCGAAGGGTTGAGGAAAGGGGAAGGGGTGCGCCCCCCAAGAACGGGCGTGGCGGTCCTCGAGAGGGGCGGGGTCGGCTTCTTAATGGCCGGCTTGTCCCACGACGAGAAGAAGTCGTCTTCGTCGGGGTTCGGGGTGGTCTCGGCAGAAAAGTCGCCTCCGTCGTTGATTACGACCGCGTCGGGGAACCTTAAAGGGGTGGGGGGGGGGGGTTGTCAGCGCGTAAGAGACGGTTTAAATGGGCAAGGCGGCACGCACTCTCTGAGATCCCTCACGGCTCTCTTCTTGAGCTCCTCCTTGTACTTTGCAGCAACAGCATTGTCGTACTTAGTCTTGGGGTCCTTGCTGTTCAGGTAGCCCGAGCCGCCGTTTTGTTGGAAGAACCTTGTGGCGGACTCATTGCCGCCAACCTTCATAGTCCGTAACTGGTCCCATTGCCATTCTGTTTGTAGACGAGGCTGGTTAGCCGGCGAAGAAGGCGGCGCGCAAACAGGAGTAGGCACACGTACGGTCAAGGTTAGTAGACCGAACAAAAGAAATATGGACGCCGAGGTTGCGGTGATGCGCCGAGCAGTCCAGGCACAGGTAGATGCCCAGGGGCACCGAGGTCCAGGTGGGATTATTCTGGCCGCAGTCGAAGCAGATCTGGAGCGAGCCACGGCACACGGGCGAGTTGTTAGCAAGCGGCTACCTCGGCGACTAAAAACGACTAGAGGTGGTAGGATCCGAGCCACCTACCTTGTTGGCTGGCTTGGTCTTCAACTTGTCAAAGATCAAGATGGACTCCTGCTTATCCGCGAGACCGCTCATCTTCGCGATTGTGGTTGTGTTTTTGAGGTGCAGGATCTCGCGCCCACTCTCCTCTCGATGTTTGGCTCGCTAGTCTGGCGCAGCGTTCGTGGGCTCGCAGTTCCGCAGATTGTGCTGGTCGTGGGCGCCGGTCAAGACTTTTGTCTGCGACGGTTTGGGGTCGGCTGCGTGCGTCGTGTCGTGTGTGATTCAGACTGCGCCCGCCCTGAATTCGACTCAGGGGAGAATCCACAATTTTGGCCGCCCATTATAGAAGCCATCCATGTGGCATCAAGCCGATGCGCTAAACTGTTTCAGGATTAGCTGTCCGTTGCCCCCCCACGGTGGGGCTGTTCAGGCCGCCTTTTTTTTCTTTCTCTAGCGGCCAGCCTTGGCTTGCCGATAACGATAACCTGCCAGGCCGACAAGGTGCTGTGAGGTGAGGCTCCAAGACCCCAGCTCCCAAGCACTGGAGTATCGACTTACTATGTAGACATGGCTGAGACTATAACGTCGTGTAATTCTCATTATATGGGGGCTTTTAAATAGCGCTCTAGTACGGTCAAGCCGCGAACACTGTTCGAACGCAACTCCAAAGCAGATTATTATGGCCCTGTTGGTATTATTTTGTTGATGAATATAACGTAGCATATATCTAGGAATGTTAGGCATCTTTCTCCCCTTTTCCGTCGTCGTCGTCGTCGGAGCAGATATTCCACTGCACATGCAATATTCTGCCATAAATCCCAATTTTAGAAACACATTTTACCAATAAGAATGTGACTAGGGGCAAGCTGCCCGCCGGGGTCCCGGTTATGATCCCAAGGCTCACAACAGACTCAAAATCGAACCCTGAAACCTATTCTCTTCGACAAGGAGCTAAGATGTATAACTATATGCCCTAGGGAAAAGGTGAGGCTTGAAGTAAGGCAGGTATTTATTTCGAGACTCGAACAGTTGAACCCGCAGTCAGCAGCTGGCAACTTCGTGTTCACGCTGAAGAACAAAGTGGGGCGCGTGCTCTAAGCTCTCATTGGGCGAAGTGCTGACCTGTCGCGGGGGGCTTGGAGATCAATCAGAAAACGGCCCGTCGACAGATCGAACCCGGACACACGGTAGCTGTTCCGTCTCTCTCAACGAAACGCGCTAATCCCCACGACGACGCCGGCTGAAGCCGAGCAAGCCATGGGCAACCGCACCAAGCCTCCATGATGTCGAATCGAATCACGGCCTCGGGGCTTTGCGCCGCCACCACTGCGAAAACAAGCTCCATTCTGCAGCGCCTAGTGCTTCAGCACTCGAAGCGCTCCCTGTTGCTCCCGCCACCACCATCATATCAACGGCGCCATGCTACAACACAGAACAGCGGCCAAGAAGCCGCAGAGAGGAGGGCCGTCACGCCATTCAACGACGACGGCCACGTACCATGGACCAACCTGTCGGCCGCCGAGAAGACGGCGCGTGCCGCCCAGCAGACGTTCAACCTGGGCATGGTCGTCGTGGGACTCGTGCTAACGGTACGTTGGCAAAAAGGCAAAAGAAAAGAAAAGAGAAGAAAAGGACGGCCTTGCTGACACATAGCCGGTGTTGTAGGGCAGCGTTAGCTACTTCCTCTACACCGAGGTCTTCTCGCCCGACAGCAAGGTGGCCTACTTCAACCGCGCAGTCGACCGCATCAAGCAGGACCGGCGGTGCCTGGAGCTACTAGGTGACAGCAAGAAGATCACGGCGTTTGGCGAGGAGACGAACAACAAGTGGCGCAGAGCGAGGCCGATTGCGTAAGCTTTCTCCCCCCTCAACTCCCAGCACCGACAGAACAACAGAGCTAACGCAGGAAATACATACAGCTCGACCAGTAGCAAAGACGCCCGGGGTAACGAGCATCTACGGATCCAATTTCACGTGCAAGGACCCAAGGCCGCCGGAGCCGTGCACATGCACCTGATCAAGCGCGCAGGCGGGTCCGAGTTCGAGTACGAATACTTCTTTCTCGACGTCGAAGGCCAACACAGAATCTATTTGGAGAACGCGTCGGCGGCCGCTAAGGCTAAAGCGGGCGCCGAGGGGCTAAACAAACCATTTAGGCTCTTTGGTGTGAAGTGGAACTGAAAAGAAAATGAAAAATTGTATTATCTGGGATGGCAACCTCTCGCGACTTGAAATCATGAAAGGGTTCGACAGTAAAGGAGATTCAGCGATGTGTTATTGGCCTCCAACGGTGATGGTTATCACTGGGCAATGGTCGATTGTACGATTCTCTGTGGGAATACATGTGTGTGTAGCGTTTAAAGAAGGAAAAAAATGAGGAAGCAAAACAAAAGGGGGTCGCTTTACCCATTGTATTTCACAACAAACTATCACATGTACCCGCGCAATTCTGTGACCGTATCCATCATTTTTCTCTTCCAATATACTGTCCAGTCCATATATGTTTATTAGCGGGTGACTTTCCAAAACATGAAAGGCCTCACTTCCTATTTTACGCCACGCCCTGAAGGTCCTGCTCCGAGGAGGTAGTAGCTACGCGAGTCTCTAGGAAGGCTTTTCTAGGTTGAATTAATATACCAGAATCTCGACCGCGGGTGCTACCATCCCTCTCAAGTACGGTTACGGAGTATCGCGCCAAAAATCATGCAGGTATCGGGCTGTATGAAGGGGAAACAAAACAAAGACTGAAATCCCCACAAAAGGCACCAGTCATTCTTGTTTTGGCAGTTAGCTATCTAGATATCAGGTGTATCTACCTACCCGTCCCACACACCAAAGACAGTAGCAGCAGCAAAAGAAGAAGAAAAAAATTAACGCTCCCTTCCAGATACAAATCAGATTCCCTTGAAAAAGAAAAGAGAAGAAAAATGGGGGGTGGGCGGGTGCATGATGTGAAAGCGGAGTTGTGTGAGGTATTTGCCATGATGTCTGGTTCTCCTGGTATACCTCTCATACTATACAGCATAAAACAACAACAAGTGATGCTACAACAATAATCTTCCCCGACTGTGCGTTATTCTCTCTCTCTCTCTTCCAGTTTGGCACATAATGCCCCGGAGATTCCATCAGCCTTAGCCCGTCAATTGTGTTCCGCTTCCGTTTTTTTCCCCCTCGCCATACAAACCACAAGCGTGGGAAACCTGTGGCACATGTGCCAATGCTGTACTGTGTTATGTAACTGCTGTGTGCGTGTCGGCCGGTCCGTCCACACGAGAACAATATCTTGTAATGATGCTGATAGTTGGTTGATAATTAATGAGATGAGGATAAAGTAGTTGTCTCCCTTTCTCTACACGCCTACAGAATGGCAAAATGGTTGGCAGCAAACAGGAGTTCTCCGTAGACAGAGAACGAAGTCCTGCTCGAGGCGTAAACGTTTGCAGAGAGGCCTCGCTTCTTCTGGCGGAAAGTCGGTGGTGGTAGTGGTTGAGTTATAATAAACAGGACCGACTGAGGTGTGTGTAGAAGATTGAGATATAGAAAAATTGACAAGGGATACAAAATGACAAGAGGTGAAGTGAATAGCTGATGAACCAAGGAGATGAGGAAGAACCGCGTACTCCAGGCTATAAAAACCACAAGAGAGAAAATAGACGGAGGAAATCCGTAGCGGACTGCCGAGTAAGTGAGGACAAGACGGAAATATTGCTGGACCGAGGGTGCGTGGTGAAGTATTGCTCGCGGCCTTTCATCGTCGCTCTCACTCTCTGGCGCCAGATCACTTCTTGCGGCGTGTCATCTTTCTTCGTTTAGTGACCTCCCTCGTCACCCTCGAGCTTCGCGATCCACTTATTCATCTGTGAGAACTTTTCCTCGAAGGTCTTCTGGAGTCGCTCGCAGGCGCCCCACATGGGGTCCTTTTTGCTCCAGTACGTGTAGCAGTTGGAGAAGATCTGGTTCATGTCTGCGAGGAACTCCTGGTCATCATTGTACTCTCGGCGGTCCATCTTGGCCTTCATAGTGCCAAGGTCCATGGGCTTAGTAACCTTCTCTAGATAGTCTGGTACACCATCTGAGGCAGGGTCAACGGGCTCCTTGAAGGGGCCAACAAGACGAGTCCAGAATCCTGGGTTGAGCTGTCAGCTTTCATCGTTTTTACGGAAGGAAAAGGAAGAGGTGGAAAAGTCAGTGTATATATATATATGAGAGGGGCTGTGTACCAGGACCAGAGAGCATTCTCGTCAATAAATCGGCGCAAAAGTTCAGCTTCTGATTGGTCGACGGCTGGATGCCAGCCCCAAAGCCAGTAGAGCGGCGTTTTGTTACGGGCTTCCCGGATGGTAGAGAGACCCTCGGACCCGTCTTCTTGGCCATTGTCGTCTTAGGAACAGCGGGCGCCGAGCCGTTGGGGAGCACATCTGAGTGGCGTTGCTTCTTGATGTGTCGAGCTTGGCCACCATCGGTATCACCGGAATCCAGATAGTGAACATTTCGGCGCGGAGCGGCCTGTGCAGCAATCGCGGCCTCGGTAGCTGCGGCGGCAGCAGCAGAGCCAACATGGAATGCGTTGGTAGGTAATGCAGCGTCTGCGGATGCGGCGTTAACCTGAACAAGAGGAGTGGTATCCAAAGAGCTCATAGCCACAACCAACTCGCTCAGGACTTCTTGGGGGAGTGAGCGGGCAAACTCGGCGCGTGAGTCGGACGAGCGCATGTACTCAGCGGCCCATGACAGGAGGAGCTTGCGAATGGAAGAGCCCTCAGGGGTATCTTTCCAGACCTGAACCAACAGAGGGGTTGCGGGAATGTGCTGCGTGACGCGACGGCAGTCGGTCATGGCATCAAGAGTGGCGTCGCAGAGACCCTCGATAGCCAAGTGGTGGCCCAGCTTCCAGACGCCAATGAGAACATCGTATGAGGGAAGGTTATCGAAACCGGGGGAGACGTGGCCGGTGAACAAGAAGTTCTGGGCGTAGGCGAAGACCTCGACAGGGGTGTCGGGCAGTCTCACGAGGTTCTCGAGCGAGCCGGGGTTTGGGTTATCAACAAAATACTTTTTATAGTATGCCGATTTAGCACAGAGGAAATCCTTCTGGATGCCAAAGGGCGTCTCCTCAGGCCCGACAAGAGCAATGACAAAGATGGGATGCGGCTGGCTAGAGCTTGGGGTCAGTGTCTATTTATCTAAGCTTCCGACGCTATGGTCGTTGCGTTGTTTTGATAAACTGTGTTTCCTCCGGGGGGTGGGGGGAGCAACGACGTACAGCCATGAAAATGGGCGGTTTTCTTCGTTGTGGACGAGACTTGGGTCCCGAACTATCGGCGATTCATCGACAACTTCAGGAGCCAGAAGATCTGGGCCGTTGGTAGGGGCATTGTTGTCGTTGGCGGCGCCATTACCGTTGGTTTCGTCAACAGGTGTGATGATACCATTGGTATCGCCGTTGGCCGTGGGTTTGTCGGCCATTGTGATAGCGATCTGCATTTTGGTAGCGTGTTTAGCCGTGCGCGGGCAGTCAAGTTGAAGTCACCTAGATAGTAAATACGATGTGAGGATGGACTGAGGAGGATGGCGATGACGGTGATGATGATCAGAGCGGTGGTTGTAATGACAGTGATGATGAAGGATGTGTTGAAGGTGATGCAGATGCGGCAAATGGCAGGGAGTTTTGTTCTGTGCTGGATCTGACTGTCTTTCCGCCAACCTTGAATGCCCCTCCTCCATAATCTCACTGGAGATGACGCCCCAGAAGGCGGTATGATAAAATTTTCAGGGTAATTGTGAGATGATCAGGTGATGGCAAACATGAGGTATTAGATGACTTACCTTGAGAAACAGAAATCGACCCTGTGAATCCTGTTAGGGGATGATAAAGTTGAGGCGACGGATGAGATGAGATTTCAATTTTCAGCCCGCCCTGGGAGCAGCGAGCAGCACTGCTGGCAGATGGGTGCTGGAGTCTCGAGGGTGAGCCAAGGCAATGCCTTATGATCCGTGTTATCTCACACGAGACCACCAGTCAATTCGATAGTTAGGATGTGTGATAACATCAAAGCAGCCTGGGTGATCCGGTGCTGCGAGAACGTCAACTGATTAGCCTCTGAGCACGACGTGATCAGACCGAAGCCAAATCTGAAGGATGTTGAAATGTCGTATGAGAATTGGCGAATAAGATTCCGAAGCTGCACTTGCCCTGTCTGAGCCTCCTGGCTTGACTTGGGGCCTGGGCCCGGAGGCTGGAGTCAAAGCCCCACCCAGCCCAGGGGCCATTGTAGACTGCAGACCAAACCGTGTTTGGCGCACGGACACATCCCATCTTCAGCTTTCGCGCCCCCCGCCAGAGGCAATTCCAATTCAGCCCAGGGCAGGCAGTCTGTTAGGAAGGTGGGAGGGGAAGCTGAACGACCCGAAGTTAACACCTGAGCTCAGCCTCGGAGCCGCGACTGATAGGCCTTACAGCGCCCTGGCTGCGGTCTAACCCCCGTGGTCGAAGCCGACTTAGGAATCGTTCCGAGTTTATAGCGCACAAAGCCACGCCAAAAAAGATAAAGTAGCCGAAACTGTCAACGATTGTATTTCATTGTTGATGTTCTGGTATTTTATGAATGCTTGAGTTTATTTCGCGTTCCCTGTTTTCTTGGTGCGTTCGGTGTTCCATGATTGACGCCGAGCATTAATCGAAGTTAGTGGCGCGAGTGCCCTAGATCGTCCCACGAGCAGGCAGCTTTCGCACACTAGACCTCCACCTCCACCCTCGGGTTATCACGTCCACGTTGGTCGATACGGTTTCCTATCTAAATCGAGGACCGACCTGAGCATTTCGGTGTACCGGCGCGCACCTGCCTGTGTGTATATGAAAGTGTACACCGATGACAGAAAAATGAAGAAGGGAAACAGGAACAAGAAAACCAAAAAAAGTCAAGAACGCTCATGGATAGGAGTAACAATGGCTCCAGTCCCACAACGGCCTCTACTACCCAGAGCTGTGATGTACACACATTCACATAATGGGGAAGAGAGAGAAAAAGAGAGAGTCCGAGGCCACGAGCCTTTGAGCGGCCTCGGACTGTCTGTCGGCCAAATGTCATTTCTGTCTCTACCGCCTCGTTTGACGACGGCGCCCCCTCGGTCGTACGCTGTGCTCTGTTGTGAACCAATGCTGTCAAACACCAGATGAGGGGCTGTCCTGGGTCTTCTGTCTCCTGCCTCTTGTCTCTGTCTCTTCCCTCTTCCTCTACCCTCCCCTTCAAGGCACGTCTTGGATTCTTCTCCCTCTCGACTACTTGTGTCATCGACTATGAGTGCGAGTGTCAGTACGAGCGAGAACCAGAACCAGCTCAGCCCAGTCAAGTCAGGCCCAATGCCGTCGAGAACAGCAGTGCCACCGGATCATCCCGAGCCGCCTCTCACGCAGCATCAACGTCTGGTGCTCGAGCAGTTGCCTTTCAAAACCCTCCGGTCTTTTCATGAGTAGGTGATGGTGTCCCTCTTCCCCTTTTACCCCAGGCCGTCTCACAACTTGACCAGCAAGGCAAGCTGACGCTGACATCTGCCCTACAAAGCTGGCTGGACAGCGTGTACGTGCGCGGGTCGTGTAAGCTTTGCCCCTAGTTCTTATTATAAACACGAAAGCCCTCTGTATTTTTCTAAAATGAAAATAGGGGAGGAGTTTCTGACCGACTTCCTCGTCCACAACCCCATGGCCCCGGAGCCAGACAAGGCGCGCGTCGCCTCGCTGGCCATAGCTGCCGTCTCGTCTCGCAACCCGCGGTACACGCTGTACCACCCGAAGAAGAAGAGCTGGGCCGTCGAGGACCACCACATCCGCTTCATCGTCACCGTCATCATGGACAACAGGAGGCTGTGGGACGACGCCATGCTGGCCGAGCAGGGCGAGCCCATTGCCAGAGCCGTCTACGAGGTCCTCAGCTACTACCGCGCCAGCGTGCCCAGGCGCTGTGCCTCTCCTCGCCGCTGCGACTAAGACAGTCTTCATTTTTCCTTGCTTGGTTTTGTTTTCCGTTTGGACTTTGCGCAGGGGCTGGGCCAAGGCAATGTGCATTGCTGCATGCTGCCTGGCTCTAGCCGATTCCAGGTTTGTCGGGGTTATGGGCTTTGATGAGCCGGAAAGCACCATACGTGAGATACCTGGGTTTCTAGGGATCCATGTTCAGCTATATGAGTGAGGTAAAGGGGTAAGGTTGACGCAATGTACGGAGAAAACAAACCTCGAGATTGCCCTTTGATAGGAGGGACACACTGATAGGGCACATCTTTCTAGCGTTAGGGAGAGTCAACATAAAAGAAAAGGGAGAATAAAAACAACAAGAGATTGACGCCATGGTCAATATCTCCTCATTTGGGTTTCGGAGTAAGTGAACAGCACACAGCGCGAAGTCATTCTGACCGTGCGTGTTCTTAGCACCGGGTCTAGTTTCAAGCAAAGCTGAGAGCAAATCTACCTGCCTGCCTCCATAGTCTACGTTGATCAAACATCGTCATTAGGCACAGGCCAGCGAGAATAGGCCATGTCTCTGCAAGGAGTCTCTTCTTCCGCATCACGTCAGCACTTCTCGTGTTCCAAGTGCATTACGAGTTCTTCGGGGCCGAGCTCCTCACTCCACGGTCCCAAGAGTGCATCTCAAGAAGCGGGATTGAGGGTTCTATACTTGCTGCTGGTTATGTCGATCAAGAGCAGAAAAGGCGGAAAGGCCTCACCGGTCGCTGTGTTGGTTCCGGCTTCACAGTGTGCTCTAACGTAAAATCCTCCCGATCTAGCTTACCAGGAGAGGAGGCCATTGATACAGAAACGTCACCAAGAGGGAGGAAGAAGCCAGGGGCAGGGAGGGGGTCGATGGAGTTGTGTGATGTGAGTAAAGGTTCTTATCCCGATGTATCGGTACGAGATTTCCTGTTCTCACCATGAACCAGTGACTTTGTCATTTCCTTTCCTTCCCGTTGCAAGCGAGCTCTCCGACTTTTGTCTGGAACCGGGGCTCGGGGAACGACTTGCTCCCGCCCCCGATGTTGCAGCTGGATCTGTGTGTGTTGCACTCCTCCCCGACGAGGAGGGGGAATAGAGAACGGATGGGGTTGGGCGTGGCAGCGATGGGAGGCGATATGTGAAAAGAACCACACTCGTTAGCTTGGCTTCCGGCTCACATCTACGCAGTTCACGCGCACGTAGAGGGAGAGTCAAAGATAGTATCCCCTATCTTTAGAGATTCTCTTTGTTGGGGGCCATGCCTGGCTGGCTGTCTTCACGTCTAACCCCCATACTGATAAAGATACAGAGCCCATAACATGCGCCGCCGCCATGCCTTCTGCAGCAGCCATGATTGCACCACATATACACGCACATGATCTGTCTCATGGTGCAACAGACTCACTAAGCAGCATGTGATAGGGGCATCGATTGGAGAGAGGTCGAGGTTAAAAACAACAGCAACCACCAACTGCCTCGATCCCAAACTCCAGCGCCCTACGGTGCCCATTCGGCCCTCCTGACCGCCGTGCCACTGACTAACCGACTATATTTACCCGACACAAACTCCCATAGACAGATGCCACAAGAGAAGAGAAGCTGCATTTTGGAGCTGATGGTCCTTCAGAGGCACAAGGAGCCACGAGTAAACTCGGGTCGAGCTGCAAGACCAACTGAATCGAGAGCGCTCAGTGAGCGGCCTTGGTTCCGTGGAACGGAAGACGCTGCATTGGATAGGACCTAACAGACAAGCGGGCGGGCGGGCGGACAGGCGGACGGACGGACGGGGCCAGACTGGTCGAGAGTTAGACCGACTTACCACTATACTATACCTCCTTTCCTTGGTATAGTCTAGACAAGATGATCCAAGCTTGCACACACGTCCTGCTTGGCCGTCTGTATGTTTCAGGACAGTCAGACAACAACCAGCCAAGAGGTGCACAGTGTCTGTTTGCCCAGTCCTCTTTTACCCACGCCGCCGATAAGTCCAGGCAACCAACCCATAATGCCATCTTTGTGCCTTCTCTTCGATGTGGAAAAGGAAAAGCTATACGCCCCACTGGCCCATCGACCAGCCATGCGATCGCGGCCTCCTCCAATACCTTGAGAAATGCAGAGGGATAGACAACTGCGGCTTGCCAAGCAGTGACAAGACGAGGTTGGTGTATGGGCAGTAGCCAAACGCAGATTCTCGCCACTCTTGGCTGCTTCTGCTACTGCTACTGCTGCTACTCATGCTTCTGCTCATGCTTCTGCTCATGCTTCTGCTCATGCTTCTGCTCATGCTTCTGCTCATGCTGTGTATCCATCCATCACCCACTGCCAATCGACGAACGAACCATAACAAGACCAGCCTAAGCTCCTACCTCCTCGGCAAACACAGAACCAAACTCACGCCAGAACAGGTAGAGAGATAATGATAGATATAGTAGTGGAGGGAGGGACGGGAAGCCAAGCATCGGGTTCATGTCGTGACCGCTTCAGAACAAGGCAGGTTCGCTCGCACCCGGCTGCAGGTAGCTAGTATCCGCACACATTATGACATATCATCTACAGCCGAGTAGGTCTAGATGGCTGTCTGCAACACAGAAGGCACATATGCACGCTTGCGCGTAGGGGACCGTCCCCTACCCCCATCCGCGCAATATGAATTCATAGGAGTCCGCATCGTAATGTTCCTTCTTTAATACCTACACAACACCATATCCCACAGCGTTGCTCGGAGACGGCGAGTGATTAATCGCCTCCCGCCATAGGGCACTAGGTCGGGACGGACGGCCAGGGGAACTGGGGGAGGGGACCGCATTTCAATCTTGGCACTATGTACGTACACCATGTACAATAATAGCAGGCACTTTGGAGAACCAACTCGAGGTAGAGCATGATCAGCAGCCAGGCAGGATCACGAAAGGACGAAGAACGAAGAATTCAAAGAACCCTTCTCTTCCACTTCGGCATGGCAGAGACCCCTGCGCCCTCGGCCCGGGTAGGGCGTGGAAAGGGAAGTGGGGAAGGCAAGCCAACGGGACGCAACGCAACGCAACAACGCAACGCTATGGGCTCTCTCGAAACGAACGATCAGACTAACAGATAGGGGAAGCATTCTCTTGTTTCTAGGTGGGCAGAGAGAGCTCAGGCCGCCTCGGCTTCTCTGTGCCCGTCGCTTGCTGAGCTCGCTCGCTCGGGAGAATGCGAAGCGAAAGAGGGGGAGAGGGTGATGCTTCAGATTGAAGCCTGGACCTTCATCCCCCTCTTCCACAAAGCTCCTCGTCTGGAACCAGGAGACAGGCAGCAGGACAGAGCGAGGCCAAGCAGGAAAAGGGGTCCACAGGGCATGTATGTTCAGACATCCATACTTCTTTTCGCATCTCCGCCCAGCCAGCCATGCATATTCTCCTGCATCAGTTCCTCCCCCTCTCAAAAAAAAAAAACCAAAGCGGCGATAAGATTCTCGCTGGGGACTGGACTGGACTTGACTAGGCTGACGACGGGAGAGGGGGGAAGGGAGGGTGAATGGCGACCTGCGGGCTCTGCAGCCAGTCGAGCAGAGAGAAAAACCAGCGAGGTTCCATGGATTGCCCTCTCGAGGGAGCATCGCGGGCGCCGTTACATAGTAGATAGAGAGGGCGGAGTGAAAGCGGGCTGGTCCGTCGGTTTGCTTTTTTTGCTGTGACGCGCAAAGGAAAACCAAGGAACACTCGCAAAACAGACGCCATCCACCACACCAAGATGCAAAAGAGCCGCTCACCGACTTGGGTCGGTGAGCATGCAGGCGTCTCGAAACGGGCGGTTGGGCCGTCCCTCGCCTCGCCTATGCGGACCGAAACGCAGGACAAATAACGACCAAGCCAAACCCCGTCTTTTCTCGGCTCGGGTGTCGGTATTTCTTGGCCTTGCCCTTGCCTGTCTCCTGCCCCTCCCTCTCAGACTTCCCGCCCGTATAGACGCCTGTGAGAGCGTCTGTGTGGATCTAGAAGGACGGGATCGCATGTACGTACGCGTCCGTCGTCCATCCTCGCCGGTCTCCGTGTCCTGACCGGTTTCCTTTTTTTTTCCCGCCATTGGAAGGTCCGGGGGTATTTCCGTTGGAGGGGGTGAAGTAAACAACAAACCCCAAAGAAAACAACGTAAATTGTAGAAATTGGTAGAATCCTTCGCCATCTGTCAAAGCGGCACGCTGTGGGTTGCACAACAGGAGACTTTATTTTCCTCCCGCCCCTGTGCTTCTCTCCATCTGATCTTTCAGTTCAAATCCACAGACGCTGCTCGAATATGCTTTTGCAGCTTAGTGGCGGCGGCATACCGGCAGCAGACAGAAAGAGATCCAGCAAGTGCTCGAGCTGCATGAGCAATTCCGCGCAGCCGCTGCCAGATTGTTATAAGCGGCCTACAATATAGGACTTCATTCCGGGATGGAGTTGCCGCTAATTGAGCTACTACGAGAGTGCAATACAGAAACATGTGTTCGTTGATTGAGCCTCAATATTAACTCATAACTCTCTCGGGAGGGAGGGGGGTGGCGTTGACATGGAGAGGCATGTAGCAGGCGACAATCTAGGCATCTCTACACTTACCCTATGCCAGCGCACGCCTCGTATGAGTCGACGCCCAGCGTACAACGAGAACTGTCCTTCCCTCTTCATCTTTGCCTCCGCGGATTGAAGCTTCTAGACCACATACAAACCATCTTGAGCATGGAGACGAGGCATAGCGGACAATTTAGGCGCGGGGTCGCTCCCAGAAGAGACGCCTACAGACGCATTGTGCCGTTGCTGCAGGTTTCCTCCGGACGGTAGGAAGGGGGCTGAAGCTAACGCGGGACACCGCGCCTCCTGCCATGCCTAGAGCTCACGCAACGTCGTAGCTCATGGAAGTCTTCTGAAAGCAAGAAAAAAGTGCAAAGCACTTCGCTTGTCAGCATTGTGTCAATGGCCAGACACAGACACATGGTCTCACTCAGCAACTCAGATAGGTGTGTGTCGTTGAAGCAACCTCCCTGAATGGTGATGTTTACCTAGCTATTTGAAGATGCCATAATACCGGCCACAGTATAGCATTTGGTTCAACAACGTATCGCGGGCTGACGTCACGATAGAATTAGAACAGCATCCAAAGGGGTGACCAGAGGCAAGACCGAGAACGGTGGAATATAAAAGATAAGAAGAATGTCAGGGGTCTTTAGGGGTAGCAATATACCGGTCAGCGAGTTGCCTCCCGGCTCTCCGGTTACTCAGATTTAACCGCGAGCCTGACCGCTCCACCATATTGAGGTAAGCTGGGCACTCCTTGGTACTACCCGAGAGAAGCCGTTGTTCTTGATAGCCCATGCAGGTTCAGGAGATTTGGAAGTTAATTTAATCACCACCCATGGCGGCGGTGGAGTGACTCGTATCCAGCTCAAACAACAGCCCGGTCTGTCGGATAAGTCTGGTGGGCCATCGGATCGGCCACTGTAAAGTGCCCAAGAATGAATCGGATGTGAGATCAGCCACTCTATCTAGTTGAACCGACTGAGAAAAATAAAGACGAATCAGATATTCACCATAGAAGTCCAGAACATACCCTCTCAGCGGCACCGGGCTAGTGCTCCCCGGAACATCTGTTTCGGAGATTGCTATTACTGAGCGTGCCGCATAGTATATCTTCTTGTCAAAGCGTAACTAACAGCGGCGAGGGAATACCTACGAGGCAAAGTCTGGCCTGGAGGGATCCAAAGATTGTCAACATCGTAGGCCAGCCGAGACTGGCGGTAGCAATGATAATCGAGTCCAGACAAGATAGGGGAGTGGGTCAACCCCCACCGGCATTGGCAATTGTGTTGATTCTGAGCGAATCGCGCTGCAAAACGACTGCCTCACCGTACTTCGCGGCACCTTGCCGTACCTGAACGAAGCGTTGGGGCTGCCCAAACCGACAGGGCCATGCCGAGATCACCATGGCGCTTGGATAACACTTTCGACCAACGCCGCCACAGGGCTTCGGCCTGGGGCGCCAAGTCTGGCTGTCGACGGTATCTAATAGCAGACATGCATTATAGCCTGAACCACCCGCTGTTGGGACTCGTAGGGTAGCGGAGGTGCGTCGCAGAGGCGTCTATTAAGAGTTTGAAGTTCCCGGTGCAAAAGCAATCAATCAATTAATATCAAACCCTCGGCCGGCGTGATAAGGCATGCTGGTCCCCCACACTCGACTTCATTGAGAAACGAATATCCAATTCGTTGGGGAGAGTGGACTGATAGGATGATCACCATGGCACACCCCCCATCGTTTAGGGCTCGGGAGCACCAGATTGCTTCGGAAGAGTGCAGCGAGAAAAGAGGTACGAGCGAGCCGGATGCAGGTCTTGAGACTGGCAAGACGTTGAGAGAAAACGGGCCAGTAAAGTACACGTGCCTGCGTGGCCGCTGCCAGTCCCAGCCGACCAATTGCCAATCTATCCAACACACTGTGCACGGCGGCATCGACACCACCTTCGCTGCACTTGATCGCGAAGAGATGGTGTTGACAGCGGGGAATGGAGACGGCCCGTCAGCCAAGGGAGCAAGCGAGCGCAACGGGACTAGGATGCCGTGGCGTGAAGCAGCGCTCAATCGGAAGCTGTGATCCGGTGGCGGGATTCGCCTGGGTGTCTGGAGCCGAACAAGGAAAGGCAGCCGACGGCACGATGTCCTGTACGTTATGGGCCAGCCAGAGACGGTGACCGCACTGGGTCGGACGCGGATCCCAAAGGCAAAAAAAGGGCTGACCCAAAGTCCCAGACTGACCTGACATGAACGGCTCCCCCGCCTTCTACCGAAGCAAGAAGGTCGTCGGACCTGTTTCAGACAGGGAAGCATCGACAACGTTGGAGCCCGCCTTGAAAATGGACAGGCTGGAGACTGGGGGGGTTTTCCTGCACGCAACGCCGGGGAAGCACGAGACGGAGCCTGGCGAACCACGAACCAAGAGGATGGGACTGACTAGGCACACGAGACTGACGACCGTCAGTTGATTGCCACTAGCACTATACGGAAGAGTGAATGACCCAAGCTACGAGTGAGCCATTTGCGTGGGAGTGCCTTGGATAAGCTCGGGAGAATCTGGTTGAGCCAGGCGTATCCGTAGCCACTGAATCGAATCCATGGAACCGACCGACACAGTAAAGAACCGGGCGCCGGACTGTGGGCCTAGGGCAGCTTTGCTGCGCAAGCCTTTCGATTTGGCCCCTTTTCCGAATCAAGGGCATTGGCATCGGCATCGTCGAGGCCGTTGCTTGCCTGTCATTTGCCCTCGTGTAGGTAGTGGTGGTTTCACCGGCAAAGTCGCTGGTTATTGACAACCTTCCATATTTAGCGACGCGCAGCAACGAGAACCGCCAAACTCGGATTTTTGGGACGGACTGGGCAATCGTGAAGAGCGAGAGGCAAGGCAGGTGATGTGGTGTGGTCTGCGGTGCGGTGCGGTGTAGTGTAGTTCGCGACAATGATCTGAGTTGGGATGGCCGATACGACGTCGTCTCGCTCGGTGCAGCACTAGGGAACGCTTCAGGCAGGCACATCATCGGAGGTGATCGACCGTTGGCTGTCCCAAACTGTGGCTTACGTCGGCTCCAGCTCGCACCTTCTCCAAAACCCGTCTTGTGGCCCGACGCCGACACACCCGATGCATTGCATACAGGTCCTCTAGATTTCCAGCACTGAAGTGAATACGGGGTGAATCGTAGGTACGTACGCGTTCAAACAAAGGCAAGTGGAGAGGCCGGAGTCACGGACCTAATTTGATGCTTGTGCCTCCTCCTTTTCTCCTCGCATTTACGGGGTTCCAGTCACCTCAGGTAAGGTTGTGTGACGGCGTCGACGAAAAGAAGGAACTCATCAAACAGCAGGCAGAAACCGGACTCATTCGACGTTGGAATGCTCCTCCTCAGTCTGGAGTCTGGACGTACTGAGCAAGATTGCGGGGTTGCACCCCTGGCTCGCCTGGGTGCCCTGGCAGTCTGGCCTGGCTCCAAAGCCCCCTGGCTCGGAAAGCTTGGCTGGGATTTGTTTTAAGCTCAGAAACCCCGTGGGGCGTGGGGGTCGTTCGCTTCTTGCGGGGCCCCTCGTCTTATTGCAACGAGAAGGCGTCCAGAAACGACACCTGGCCGACAATCCTTCCTTCTGGATCCGGCAGACGCGCAAGCCAAAACTCTACGTGATCGACCGTGACGCAGCACACCTCCTTCCCGGCTTGTCTGTTGCTCTTACCGTACCTGTGTCTACACGTGTAGTTCTAATACACATAGTTCCTTCAAAATCGAGGATATCCTACTCTTGATTCATTAGCCGAATTCGGGGAATGGTCCAACCTAATGCATATGCAGATTCGCTCGCCTCAAAGAGAACGTCGCGGTTCGCGCTCCCAGAGCTTGCGGCGGACGGTTTGGGCTCGATGCACCTGGATCCCCCACTCCATCGAAACAGGAGGCAATGCGACGCATCCAAACGCGTCGCTCCGTACCATACCTTCGACATGTATGTGCGGGCTCTCGAGCCCCGCTCCTTTGCTTGCGCATTGCCCACATCTCTCGCTCCCAGGTTCTTCGATGCTGTGTTTTGGACTGGACCGTCCATCCGTTTCTGCCCCCACCTGGACATCACCTTTTCGACTCCCAAGGCTGGTTGGCTGTCAAATGGGAGACGAGGCATGAGAGTGCACCATTCCCTGGCCAGGATGCCCAGGGGGCTCTTACGCGGGCCGCCATGGCTCTGCGTCACTCCCTGGAATCCTTTCGTCCCATCTTTCCTGAAAATCCACTCATATCTGGGGGGTGGGGAACCGCCCTATCAGAACCCGGGGTTGACCCCGGAGAGACGCTGTTTCACGGCGACCGCCACCTAAGCGTTCCGGCGCGTCTCTGGCTAGGGTTTGCTGGGTGGGATGATGAAATTGCGTCTCACTCCATGTGAGAGGTCAGATATGACCAAAAAGGGCTGTTGCTCGTATCTGTCGTCCCGGGTCACAGTGACAGGCTGTACCTAGGCATTCGGCAACCAGAGTGTGCGAGCATGCGAGCATGCGAGTGTGCGAGTGTACGTGAGTGCGTGTGTATTGCACCAGGGCACGACGCCCGAGAGCCTCCGCCGAGGACATGCTGCAAAATGCAGGGAGGGGAAAAGTGAAATGGCCGCCCACTGCTGCCAGCGGCCCAGTGCCGCAGCAGCCAAGGCGATCCAGCCCATTAGAGACCAGTCGACCCCACGTTAGAAACATTCGGGCCCTGGATCACCCATGGAACTGTGGAGATCGATGATCTGAGAACTCGCCCATTGCATCACCGCTGCAACAAAGACGCTCTTGTTCATCAACTCAGCCCGTCCGGCCTCCCATTCGCCCAACCGCCCGCCCATCCATTCGCACATCACCGTTTCATTCTCTGGATATTTCTCTTGTCCACCCAACCACAGCCCGAGACGTGCGCTTGATCTCTGCTTCCGACTCCCGAAGTTGCGGTGAGAGGCTGCGACATCTGCGCCCATCTTTCGGAATGAATCGACTGGCGTTGGCACGGGCGTTGGCACCACGGGTGCCTCTTTTGAGTTCACCGATCCCCTCCCGAATCCTGAACCAGTCGCGCCGCCTCAAGATCACACATAGTACAGGTCGCCCACCTGTTGATATGTACTGTACCACCAGCAAAGTCTAGTGCGCGGGCTAAATTCCGGGGTTGTTACTCCCTCCCTTAAGCCCCCCATCTTGCGAAAGATGAAGTGTTTGTCATATCTTTCCCCGCCGCGCTTGTCGTGGGGAGTCAAGCCACGCATCAACAAGAGCTGTCTTGTTAGTTGTGCGTAATAAATGCAGAAGGACACAGTGCGTCCATCCAACTAGCCAAGCACACCTCACACTTTCGGTATGAAAGAAACATTAGAACCGAAGCCGGAGACGAAGGCTGCCAAGCCAAGGTATGAAGTACACTCATCAAGATGCTGTTCACCTTATTAAGGGTGGCTTGCCTGGTTGATATATTGGCGGCCTGCTGTGCTGTGCCTGATAATGGGTGTCATATATCTCGAGTGGTACATTCGAAGTCCGAAATATGTCGTTCTGCTTGCTAACCCCAGCCCGTCTTTACTATTGGTTCCTGGCTCTAACCCCGGGGAAGAGATCAACGTCAACACTAGGCAAAAAGGTACTTTCTGGCCCCCTGGGACACGCCCGACGCCTTTTCTGCCTGTGGTAGATTGGTTGGGGGAAGGGAGAGGGAAGCGGCGCGCGCTAAAGCGCTACGTTATCTGCCCTATCGCTTACCCTCCAAATCCTCCTTCCTTCAGGTTCCTCCCTTCCCCGGCATCGCCCCCAGATTTTTAGTACGCCGTCACCCCACAGATCGCACCGTCGGTCGGATTGGATATCGGGTGATAGTGTGCGGCGGAGGCGGCAGCGGCGGCGGCAGATTTTCCTGGGGTCAGAAAAGACCAGGCCAAACAAGTCCTTAGCTGCCCACATGGAAGGAAAGGAGGGAGCAAGGTTTCCTTTCTGAAGCTCACGAGGTTTTACCACACCCCCCCCCCCCCCCCCCCTGCCCCCCAGGGAAAAAAAAAATGAATACTTTAGCTGACGTGATCTCCACCCCCGTCGCCAAAGGACCTTCTTCTTCTTGGTATGTTTGTAAATTTCTCGCTTTCTTATCCATGCTCCGTACTCCGTACAACCCCAGCTTTTTTATGGTTTTTTTTTTCTTTTCTTTTCGTAACTCTCCCCGCCCCGCGCGGCCAAACCCCTTTTCCATCCCTCCCCACACCCTTGTCGTCTGAAAATGTGGGAGGCTGAGTCGGAACACCGGACCAGACGAAAACGCACGTTGATCGATAACACGCAGCCACACACCCACAAAACGACTCCATCGTGACATTTGTTATCATTGGGGGGAACCCGGGAATTCTCTCGGTGAAGGGGAGGTTAGTCTTAGTCAAAGTGGGAGAATGCACATTGGCATTTCGGCGCCGCCGTTGTTGCATGTTGCATATGTCTTCCCCCATCCCACCCTCCTGCTCCAACAACTTCCAGTTTATTAGCTCAGCACCCACTGCATACTACTTTTGCTGCACACAGCACAACATTGCGCAGCAGCCGCCAGCCTTCCTGGATGCCAGCCTAGGTTCGGATACCTCAATCAGGCTGTCACTTCACTCGAATTACCAAGTCCATTAGAAAAAATAAATGCATTTTTGCAAAAGTGCAGCTGTTCCGTCCGTAGCACGTAAAAGTTCCCTCTCCCCCAAACTACTAGTAACCTACCTACCCTAAGGTAAGGTGGGTATCCCCATGGGGCTGGCTAGTTGTGGTTCCATGTGTTTGTGTCCGTATTTGTGTTTGTGCTGCGATGGCGCGCTGTAGTGTTCCTCCCGAGTACGGGGTGTGGTGCCGTTGTCCATCCAATCCTGCTTATTTACCTAGTTAAGGTTGGTGCGGGTTGTTAGTCACAGAGGTAATCTGTTGGGGCTTGCGCGTCTCATTGCGCAGTGCCGCTGCTGTGTTCTGGTTCCGGGGACTGCCGAGAGAGAGACAACTTGCAACGAGCCTGTCGTCATGTCTATTGAACATACGCAATTATTTCTCCTTGATGCGGCTGAACCTTTATTGTTGATGAGCTTATGGAGGTAGGTTGAGAGAAGGGAGATTTCCGTACTTCGTACGCTGTCCAATGCCCATCCGACGTTGTGGAGCGTGAGCTCTTTTTCATTTTCTTTTCTTTTTTTCCCAGTGCCATTGGAACTCTTTCCATATCTACATACCTATCTCACCACCGGGGAGCTGGGCCGGCGAGGACAAGGGCCCTTGGCAAATACAGAATTAAAATAACAAAAAAGGGCCCGTACGTATGGCACTGCCATGTCAACACCCCTCCCCCTAACCAATATAGCTAGGATACAATGTAAATATTGCGTAACAGCAAGAGAGGGGGGTCAAGGGAGGAGAAGAACAAGAAGGAAATTCAAAATTAACGAGAAATCGATGGCGGTTTGCCGGCCAGCCAAGCGCTACATCATATTCGGTAGCACGGAGAAGACAAACGACCTAGGAAGGGCAAAAAGTAACCGGCTAAGCCAATCTGGGTAGTTATCCTGCCCCCTAACCAACGGGACATTATCCCTCCAGCAGCGTGCGGCACAGAGAAGGAGAAGGGGGAAAAGGGACCGGGGGGGCAATCCTTCTTGTCATCTTATGGTTGTTCTTGGAATCCGTACGTGCCGCATCATATTGTCTGGGGAAGAAGGAAAGAACCCAAAGAGAGAAAAGGAATGGATGAAGGATTTTTCCCGTTGGGACACGACGACAGAGTTTTTCCTGTCTCTTCTTTCATGTATTCCCCCCCCCCCCCCCAGACTATAATACTCCGTGGTGGTGGTCGTCTTGTGTGAGAGAGTGTGTGTGTGCCTCGTGGGGGCCATGCGCAAAAAAAGTGCAATGCAGTTCAGTTCACGCAGAACAAAGTTACAGACCTGATAGGCCCTGTTCATGTTTGTGCCAACCTAGAAGTTGTTGTCACACCTCGAGACCTAGGCAAAATGCGAGAGACACAATGCACCACACAGTCCAACGTTTAGGAACCAAGAAGTTTGTTTGTTGCATGGGAGCCATTTTTTTGATGTCCCCAGCGTGAGGGCCTTTGGAAAGGCAATAGTGTGATACTTTTCCCAATCTCCACCTCCAATAACCATCCCCCCCATAAACCCTCAAAAACACTACCAATATCTTTTTTCTGTAGTCGTATCCTCTCAAGCACAACATAGAAGCTGGCAGAGAACACTTCACTGAAGCTAGGAGACAAAATATAGAAATTAACAAAGAATGGGAGGAAGCCTCCAAATTAGTTGTAAGAAAATGAACAAATGAAAAAATACAGCAAAACAAATTGACGACTGAGGCAAAATAAAATAATCAAAAAGCCGCCGTATCCGTCTTTGCCCAAGCTTCCTTGCAAGACCGTGTGCCCAGATCCACCTGCCAGTATTTCCGCTGGCTGTCCGTCCGTCTACAGGGTTTTCCAATCCCTGATACACACAAAGAGAGGAAGAGAGAAAAATGGATAGTTGCTTGGCGACGTTGTGTAGTGTCTGTTATAGTTAGCGTCTTCGGAATATCGACCTAGACCGCCGTTGCCCACACGTATACCCCCACGCTCCCCCAATCATTCCATTCGCGAGAAGTCAAGGCGACAGAAACAAGGTCGCTCTGTCGTGATCTCGGAAAGCCCAGAAGGTGACCGTGTCGGAGAAGAGAAGTCTATTTCCGCCAAAAGAAACTGAGAGGAAAGTGGTGAGATGTCTATGCGCTTGAAAATATGGTGCCAAAAGTCCGCTCAGCCGTGCCAGATGTTCATCTGCAAGCCAGTCCGTTGTCGTTGGCTGCTATTAAGGAGAAATGATGAGCTGTGTCCCATCCATCCATCCATCCAAGGAACCCGTTCAAAACGCCAAGTATTGTTGTATCCTCTATAGCCCAGGGTTGTCATTCACTCATATCGTTAAGAGGTCCGAACTTGTCGGTTCGTAAAACTAGCCGCGCGCTTTATTGTCACATCCGCTCCACTAAATCGCCTCCAGAGATGCTGTTGGAGGACGAACTCCGACCGCTCCCGTTATATCCATCGCTCGGCGCTAGCAAGTCGTGAACAGCCACTTTGGGCATCTGGGGAACAGGAAGCTTCCGTTGTGTGCCGTCTGGCCGGCTCATAATGTCTGTCAACGACATTCCGGTGCTCCTGGGTGTCACTTGAGGTGGCGCCTGGTTAAGCGAGAACTGCCCCTCTGGCTGCGGCTCAAGGGGGGCCAGTGCAGGCGTGTGCTGCTGCAGAGAGAGACTCCTAAATGGCGGCAGCTCATAGCCAGCGTACGGACGAAGGCGAGGCGAGTGGGCTGGAGTTGCGAGTGGCGTATGGTCTGGTGTAGGCGAGAGCGAGTCATGCGAGAAGGTTGGGGATGAAGGAGCCGTCGAGTTGGGCGAGTTGGGTCTTGATCTCTTGGCGTGTCTGTACGCATGGGCGTAGTGGTCGTCGTGGTCGTCGTGAGAGTGCGATCTGGACATGTGGTACGCCTGGAGTCCGGGCAAGTGGCCGCGCGAGTGGTGCACCGCGTTGGCATAGTACGGGTGAGGCCTCTGGGGGGCGTAGTGGTGGTGGGGGCCGGGCATGTTATCTCTCTCCACCTGGCCGGCAGCTCTCGCCAACAGGGCCATATCCGGGCCGCTCTGGCTCCCGAGGGCGCTACGGCTGTGGCTATAGGGGTTCAAAGAGGACCCGTGAAAGTTGTACGAGCTGTAGTGGGGAGGAGAAACGTTAGGGGAAGACAGGGCGGTAGGAGGCGCCGAGCGGATGGCCTTGGGAGCGGGCGGGGGCGGCATCATATCTGGCTGCAAACCCATTCCGGGGTGCTGCTGATGGCCCTTGTTCCCTCTCCTCGAGTTGGGGTTGCTGTGTATCCTTGAGTGGCGCGTCAGCTCGTCGGACCGCGAGAATTTCTTACTACATCCGGGAAACTGGCAGCCGTGAGGCTTCTCGCCCGTGTGCGTCCGGATGTGCCTGGTCTGGTGTTCAAGGCGGTGGAATGCCTTGTCGCACAGCGGGCACTTGTAGGGGCGGGGGAGCTCGTTGGTCGTTTCAGCGGGCATCCCTCCTGGCAGAGGCCCGTTTGGGCGGATCATGCCAACCGCAGCGGCCATGTCGTCGCCAGTCTTCAGCAGAGTTGGCGAGTCCTGATCGCTCTCCGACACAACCTCGGGGTTCAGCAGGTTGGAAAAATCAACCGCTGACTGTGCGCGTTGCATGTGATCGACCGTCCAGTTGGAGCCTGGCCCCGATTGCTGTTTGTTGACCTTGATATTTCCAATTGAGCTGCACTCGATGCACGCAGCCGCGAGACGCAGAAATTTTTCGAGGCTGACAGCGAGCGCCTGCTTTATCCGCAAACCCGGGGGGCGCTCCAGCAAGGTCGGCCAAAGACTTCTTGTTTTTATTTGGGACGAGATGTAGCGCGGGCCGTTGGGGCACTGAGTCTGTGGATGCTTTTGGTTTGAATATCAGGTGTGGGCGTTGTTGGGGAACCTTAGAACCTTGGGTAGTATGGGGAAGTTGCGGAGGCTCGAAGCGTGGTTTGGGGGGAAGCCGCACTGGTTTTAAATGGCTCGAGGCCCGGCTGACATGGGGTACAAGGTTGACTTCTAGCAGGCATGTGGAGTGGAGCGAAAGGAAGGGGGGCGACGGATGGGGGAGTCGGTAGGCACGTAGGGTAGCGACTCAGCGAGGGAAGGCAGCCAGCGGGATGGAAGGGGGGGGGGGGTGGAAGGGGGGATCTCGGGGAAAAGAAAAAATTGTCAGCGGTACGTGGACCTTCCTAGCCCAAAAGGTACCGTACCTTTGTCGCGGTACGGAGTACCTGCCGCACTGAAGGAAGAGCCCTGCAGCCGCCCCCTCCACTGTGGGGGGGGAGAGGGGGGTCTGTTGCAAATTCCGCCGGTGGGCACTGTGCAACTGCTGGAGACGCGCTGGGCAAGGTGCTGGGCTTGCGCCGAGTCGGTTGAGGGCTTCAGGCCATACTCTATTGCAAATTTACAGTGCAGCACAGGCGGCCAGGCTCAACCATGCGATCCCAGCCAGAGCAGCGAGGAGTTGTCTGCCTTCCACAATTATCAATTCCCTTATTCACCTAACTTTGCCATGAAGGTACTTCGTACCTATTCCGGAGAAGGAGGCCTGGAGCCATACTCTGTGCGGAGACGGGGCAGGCGGGGGGGGGGGCTTTCCGAGAGGGTACGGAAAGAGGAAGGCAGTAAGGAGCCAAGCGTGGGGTGTTTTAGAGGAACTGATCACATCACTTGTCGCCCGAAAAACACAAGACAGCGAGACAGCCCAGGGCTCGGCACAGACAGAGATGAAGTCTGCAGTCGGTCGATCTGGTGGCTCTGATGTGACGCCTTAGTTTTCCAAGTCGGTTTTTTGGTTCTAGTTCGACATCGGCGTCACATCCATACATCCACTTCACACTTGCCATCACCAGCCGTACCCATTTCTTGGGGTGATTCTATGTATGAAAAGGAACCACAGCATGGAAAAATGATACGAGTCGGTCGATCAAGGTCCCCAAAGTACAGGTGAGGTGTCTCTCAGAGGCGTGGGACGAAAGACACTAGACACGGCACAGTTGGACGCGCAACCGCATTCTGCTCAGGTTTGCTTTGCCTGCCTGCCTGCCTGGGCGCGCAAGTGTAAAGCGCAGTGCAGCCGGGAGCCAACTACGAATACCTCCTTAGGTACGAATAGCTAGGTAGGCAAGGCAAGGCAATAGACATCGACACAGACAGAACAAGACGGACTGGGCAGGCAGGCAGGCGCAGCCCGTGTTGGCTTTTCTTGTGAGAGGGTGAGTCTTCTTCCCGCCCCAGGCTGTGCGAGGGTGAGCGCGTTGTGCAGCGGTCATCCTCCATAGGGTGCGGCTATCATTCCCCAGACCTGCCCCATGCAAGTGCAAGCCCCGTGCAAAGCGAGAGCGAAAATGTGGGTGAGGCCGGTTCAAACTTCCAACACGACCAGGGGCGGTGTGGGCGGTGGCTGAGTAGCGGTATGCGGGATGATTGGGCTTTGCCGCCTCTCAGCGTTTTGCTTTTTCTCCAGACTTCCCTTTTGGACGCCGCCGCGATCTCGACGCCAGCTGAGAACCTGGGGACTGGGGAGGCGAACCCGAAAAGATGCCGTGTTCATCGACATCGCTGCATGGCATTCTGCTGATAAGAACAAGGCAAAGACCAGCAAATGCCTTCCACGATAACCCTCCCCACGAATGTGCGCTTTTGGGGGGAGATACATGCCCGCTTGTACCCACCCAAACGGCCCCTATTCGTCTTTTTGCGAGTTACGGATACCGAGTAATACTGCGGAGGAGTTGCCGAGAGCATACACAGCCATCACCATCGTGAATGAACTAGACGGGAATACGTGCGCATCCAATTCTTGGAATGCTGAGGCTCGACGGCAACCAACGTATCATCACCAGCCAGCTAGGCCCGCCAACAGTCGAGACTCCCGACCACATGGTCTCGTCCGGTCGTGTACACCAGCCTCGCCTAACGATAGGTCTAGTCTCTCTGCCATATCATTTTTTATGTTCTTGAGGGGCACATTTTCCATGGAACTTCGTTCTTGGTCCCTTGGCAGACTCATAATTTTTCAACCAAAGGACGGGACATGTGTTCTCCCGGCCTCCTCTGACACGCAGCACGTGGGACGTGTCTTGAGCAATCTCAGGGGTGGCGTCAGCAAAGATAAGAATCAACACGAAAAAGTGTGGAGTGGGCGCGGCCAGAGACGTCCCCACGCTCGGCTCCAGGTCCCGGCTCTGGTGCTCTAAAAGCCCTGTCGTCCGGCCGCGCCCTCGGGCCCCATTAATAACATGTCCAGCGTATGCTGGTTGTTGCTGCTGTCAACGTAGAGCAGTCCTTCGCGAAAACCCTCTCGAAGAAGTCACGACCTTATTTCCGACGGCGCCTTTCCGGGGGCCGAGAGGCCAGGACGGCTCCATCCTTCCCACAGGGCGTATGGCCATGGGCGGATGAGATGGCGGTTAGCATTGTGTGGAGAAGGAAGGTTGGAACGGCGGCGTGAATTATGCTTTGGGTTTTGGCCGACGCTGGGCTGAGCGGGCTGTTGGGAGAGTTGTTGGAGAAACCCCAGCCCCAGCCCTTTCCCCCAGGGTCCTCTCACGTCACCCGAAATCCGGGGTACCTAATCTCCCGCCTTTTGGTGAATCGCAAGATAAGCGCGCCACTCTCTCCCATTCCATCCCATCCCCATCTCAAGCCAAGACCAAGCAAGCTCAATGGCGCCGCCGTCACCCCCGTGAGGTGCGGACTGTGAACTCTGTGCGACGATGTTGCCGAAGATGCGTCAGAGTCGCCAGGGGTTGCATCAGCGTCCTCCGCGTCCGGCGCGGGAGCTCCTGGACCTGGACGCTCTCGGACGGTGACGGGAAACGAGACTTTCATCATCGCTTATCCGCATTACGACAAAGCGGCGTGGGGGTCTTGTTGGTCGTACATCACTCGCGTCACTCTCCGCGAGTCCGTCCGCCAAGCTTTATCGTTCCCCACCATCTGAGGTCCTCTCTCACCAAAAGCTAGGCCACGGGATCTCTTGCGCTCTTCGACTCTCATTCTTGTTCATAATCACCGATCTCGCGCACGCACGCGCTTGCGCCGTTGCTCATAAGAGAGTGAGACTGCCGTTGCCCTTGGAAGAAAAAGAGCTCTCTCGTCTTTCCGGACCACACTAGCGCGAGCCATGGACGCCAAAAGAATGCGCACTAGCCTAAACCGGCAACTCATATTTCGCTCTTTCGGTGTCTGTTTTTAGCGCTGGTGTCCAAGTCTACTTAGTCAACTGGTGCTGTGTCGGCTGAATTCCCGAGGCTTCAACCTAGACTCGCTTTCGTCTCAAAGAAACATGGAACCGGCAAGTGAAATTTTCTAGAATCTCACCAGCTTCTTAGTGCCGTACAGAGGAAATTATTCGTGTAGGATGGCTGGAGCCTGTTGGTGAGCTGGCTGCGCGCCCGCCTCACAACCAACCCTAAATGTCTGGATTCCTCGCTTGGGCGCCAACGCCAAGGCCACGACACAAATGCGCGGAGGCTTCTCGCACAAATACCGAGTGAGAGCGAGACAAGTCAGAGTCGATGCTGATGCTGGCACTGGCGCTGGCGCATCGCATACATGAGCCGTTTGCTACCTCTACCCTGGTGGTGCTGTTGGCGTCGGCACATCCTCGAGTCCAGTCCCGGTAGCAGACCACCTCGTCACCCTCCTCGCAACCCGCCCGCGTAACCGACACTCTGGAACACGTCTCCGGGTTTCTGGGGAAGCGCCTTATGTTGTGCATCCAAGATGGGTGGCTAAGGTACCTACATGCCTGCCTTAGGTACATACACACCTGCCTTAGGTACATACATACCTGCCTTAGGTATAGTACCGGGTAGTACAGGCGCCGTATCTCTGTCAACCACCAACCAGAGGGGTCTTACGAACGGGCTTTATTGAAGCCCCGATCACACTTTTCGCTCCCGCGACGTTGCGTTTGCTTCCTCTTTCTGATTTCGTTTTCCTAGCTGACCGCGTAGGCGCAACCCCTCCTCAGTCCTCAAGGTGCATTGCTTCCTCTTTCTGATTTCGTTTTCTTAGCTGACCGCGTGGGCGCAACCCCTCCTCAGTCCTCAAGGTGCATTGCTTACCTCACCTTGCGCGGCCTCTCGCCAGGTTCTTTCAACACAGATTTCACACATCTCTTATTTCTCATTTGTGCGCGAGACGCCGAGCAGACTCCGAGGAAACACCTTGGAACAAGGCTGCCGCTGTTAGCGAGTCATTGCTGGGCTGCTAGAATTCTTTCGGGTTTATTTCCCATGTGGAGATCCACAGAAAGGCCGATTCTAGCGCGCACGAGGATCTGAGCCGATAGCTACGGGACATCAGGGAAAGCGTCTGATAAGGAGCCGTCACCGGAGTTTACTGTTCTTCTTCTTCCCCGGATTCCTCACAAGTCTTGGGACCGAAGCTTCCCAGAAACGAGTGCTTCAAAAACGAATCTTTGCACGACTTCAGCATCACTTCGGCCTGGAATCGCGGTTTTACCCGACAGGTCCGCCGCCTAGCTCCGCTCCCCAGCGAGCCCCAGCTTGGATTTGGGAAGGTGACAGCTGGAGTTTGCGGGGCTTAACGTTCTAAGGCATTACGAACAAGCACTAGTGAATAGCGTACCGAATCCTGCGGTAACCCAGTGCTTCGGAGCCGCCTTGTCGAGTTGAAGAGCCGAGACTCCCCGAGGGGAAAGGAAGACTAACGTCGGCATCATGGTTGCGGCACATTTCATGTCTGCTTCGACGAAGAGGGCACTGCAGACAAAGCATGAGAGTCGACAGGAAGATGTCCAAGAATGCCGAAATCTTCTCACCTATTCGGTATCTACCTTGGATATCTGCTAGCAAGTCCTTTCTAACTGCTATAATCTATCTGAAATTACCACACTCAAGGAGTCCGTGCCTTATCTGTGGTACCCGACTTGAGCTACCCTAATTACTACCTGGTACCTACCCCTCCGATCACATGGCAGATGATTCCATCCTACGTTACGCTGTAGGGTAATCTCGGCGACTTGGTGATGTCACAGCCTGTTTATTCCCCGGAAATCGAAGACCAAGCTTGAGACTCTCCTTGGTCATGGCAATATTGGTCAAGGCGTTTCATCTTATGTTAGTCCACTCTACACAATACACATGTTGGTATATTTACGTTGCATCATCTTCAAAGCACCGCAGCAAAATTTCAGGCTCAAGGATGGTAAAGCCATCAAGCCCACTACCTTTTTCCCATGATAAATTTTCTCCCGCCCTAAAACCGGGGGGGTTTTTTTTTGCAAAGTTTCTGTGTGGGTTGGCTTTTTCGTTTCTCCAGCTCACCCCGCACCGAGCTTCCATCTTTTAAGAGTTGAAATAAGGGTGTACCTTGCATGACAGCCCCGAGATGTTGCCACTGCGGTGCCAGCCTATTGTGAATTTTTATTCACCTCGGGAAATGGAGAAATGCGAGACAAGCTTCTACTTTTCCACACCGTGCTTGGTTTTTTTCTTCTTTGTCTGTTCGCTTCGCACGAGGCGGTCAGGGAGTGAGGAGGACGCTGAGCTAAGCCGGGACCACGGCCAGAAGCTTCCCCACAAGCCGCTTAAGACGAAAAAAATCTTTTCTGGAAAGCCTGCTTTTTTACCCCCTGAAACCTCCCCTCCCCTTGTCAGGAAAGGGCCGCAAATCCGGGGCTCGGTCGCTCGGATGACCTTCCCGATAAGCGCCACCGCACACTGAAGCAAGCCTTTCATCGCCGTTTCCAGGTTGTCAATCGTGGCTTCTTCACATGCAAGCAAGTGCGCAAAAGGGCTGAACAGCAAGGGAGAATGCCATGTAACAAATGGCCGTATTGGTTTCTTCTCTTCCTGCCCCTTTTCTAAGTATGGCCATGGATTTTATGCGTATCTCTAGTAAATAGAAAACTGAGGCTCCTATCACTATGCCCATCGCCAAGCCAAACAAGCTCAAGACGCACGCTAGGCCCGCCCCATGTTTCTCTCTCAGTGAATAGTATCAGGTATTCAAAATATAATTAAAATAAATTCCAAAAAGGTACAACCAGCAGAACGGTTTTGGATAAACACGTAGAAAAAGGAAACTCGCGGATAATGCCCACGAACAGTTCAGATATCCGATCATGTTCGGACACTGGGCTCGAGTTTGCCGTACTCGTCTGGTACAGTACAGGGTTCGACCAACCAAGAGGCCAACACGTGTCTTTGTGTCTGGCCTTCTGTTGCTTGTTGGTTTCCGCCTTTAAACCATTTGACGGGCTGAGAGATGACTCAAACCGAATGTGCTGTCTGTCTGTCTGTCCGTCACTCGCTCTGCAAAATACGTATGACGCCAAGTCTTGTGCGTTTGCGCACACAGATCATGTTGGTGCTTTACCTACCTACTACGTAGGTACGGAATAGGCGGCTGTGCGTTTGCATTCCACAAGCCAATGTCGTGATGTTTGTCCCCCAATTAGACAAAGGCGCAGCAAGTTGATGGTAATCCCCGGACGTACTCCGAACGGACACGCAGCCTAGGTTGTTGTGCTCTAGAGAGAGAGGAAGCAGGCAGGCTTTGCTGGTACCTACCCCGACCCATTTGAAGGCGTACATTCGTACCTTCCCTCCGGCATGGACACCCCCAACTCCACACCAAGACAAAACACGTCCACTCGAAAAGGACAATGTAAAAGATCATTAAAAACCTAATAAAAAAGGTGAAAAAAATACAACACTAGGGGTTTGCTGGCCGCCACCGACCTAACTACTGATCTGGCCCTCATTAGAGAGGCGGACGGGATCCCGAATTTTCCTATGAGTCCTGGTCGTAGGTGTAAAGTATGCCGAATTTGGAAGCCTTGATGAGTTCCGGAGAATTGGATACTCTCGTAGGTCACTCGTATACGGAGGCGGTACCAAGAACCCAGGATCCGCGGATCTAAGTATACCGAGGTTTATTAGTTCTACAAGCTCTATCTTTGCCACCTGCCCCAAAATAGAATCCTCTTGACTCTTTTCTCAGCTGCCTGAAACCGCTCCTCGTCTGATTCTGTGAGTTACACCGAACCATTGGCCGCTTCAAACAATTCTCATGCTGGATCTTCCTACGCGTACGATCCATACGCTCCGCTCTAGCCTCAGCCCACTGCACCATTTCGTAAAGTTGAGAAAACGAAATAGTAATCTCCCCGGGGATGTCATCGATTCTGAGGCAATTAGGCCAGTACCCAAAATTTTTGAGCCCGATACGAAGGATCCGTTCCCCATCGACCAAACTACCATCCACTGCCCGAAAGATACCTGTTTCCGTCTCAGCTGCTTCAAGTACGAGTACGGCTTCCCCATCTTCCTCAATATATCTTGGTCGCCATACAGTGACCCTGGCTTCTTTTCCCTTCTCCCGGTATTCAAGGTCAATGCCAATAACAACTTGGGTCCGCCCATTTGAACCTAGGATGTACTCATCTGCAAGGAATGGCAAATCTTGCCGTTGTTGTGAATAGGAGACCTCCAAGATAACACATTCTACCCCCCATCTTTATGCGTAAACGGCCCGTCTGGGCAATGGGAACTACCATCACTCTCAATCTTGGGACTTCCTCCTGCGTGTGTGTCCCGAGCGAGATCGGCAGCGACTTGGTCGTTACCTCGCTGTGTATCGATCAACTGCTCTATGACTAGGCTTCCGAATGCTCCGATAACGGCTTCGTGGATAGTACCCGCCATTCGTAGACGAACTTGGCGAGCTAAGGGAAGTAGCCGTACCTAATCAGACGTTAGCTAATGTGGTACTGGATAAATAGGCTACCTACTTTGGCCAGCGGTAATTCCCTTCGGCTTCAAAGCGTGCCTCAAAAGCCTTGAACTCGTCGCGGCTGAGGCTGATGCACTACCACTCCTCTTCGGCCTTGACTCAGCCACAGATGCGATTGCGAATTTCGGCGATTATCTTATCGACGCCCGAGACCAGCAAGCCCACAGACAGTGTAGGGGAGTCGGGAGATGCTGTCTCTGGAGGTGTTGCCGGGTAGAGAGTCAGCTGATCAAGCTGGGTGATTGTTCGCTTGTCGGCCATGTGGGTGGATAGGTTCGATGATGATAGAATGTGTGTGCACCCAGGGCGATTGCAAAGGAGTAAGGCTCGCTTTGCTTGTTGGCGATGGAAGGAATAGGTGTATTATTGCAGGGCGATTAAAAGGAGTAAGGCTCGCTTTGCTTGTTGATGACGGAAGGAACAGGTGTTGCGGGGCGATTGGCCCGTAACCCTAACCCTGGCGCTCACGTTGACGGCTTGAGAGTTGAAAGTCGTTCCTGTGGTCGAATCTCGGAATTCACACATCCCACGTGCCCATTTGCGAATGCGACGGGCCGCGGCCGATCGCCGCTTGTGCACCGACTCGACCAAGTTAGGAAGCCGAATGGTCCACCTGAGCTCGGCAGTTGCTCGTCAACCCATCTGGCCATCCTGACCATCCTGAGCGCCCGCCCGACCCTACGGATTACCTCTTCGGGTGATCAACTTCGCATCCGAGGTGTGATGTGATTGTGATGGACTACGCTGCGATCCACGGCCGAGACGTCTCGAGCTTTGACCTCCCATCGACCCGTAAGTTGCCAATAATTATCACAATAAAAAGAAAAGAAAAAGGAAATCTCGCTTCGCGACCCGTCCCCCTCCCCAATGAACTAGAATAAACTTAGTAAACTCCGTGGATGGATTGCCCGGCTGACATGCCTACTACCCCCAAGACCGCCTGCCCACCGTATCGGCGGCACAGGCATTGCAAGAGTTCCAGGACAAGGAGCGGAATTCCGTTTCCACTGGCCTCGCGACGCTCGATGCCTTGTTGGTCTCGGGCCTTGACGATGGCGGGCCCGGCGGCATCCAGAAGGGCCATGTGACCGAGATCTGGGGCCCGCCCGGGGTTGGGAAAACGGCACTTGGGTGTGTAGATGCCGAGACGGCCTCCTCGCCGTCATTCGCACCGACGTCTGTCTGACCCTTCGCCAGAATTCAGCTCGCCGCCAACTGCCTACGTGATGGCCGGGGAGTTGTGTGGGTAGGTCCGTCCATCCATTCTCCCTCCCCTGTCGGCCATCTGTCGGCCGGGTGCCCTTCAAGCGTAGAACCCTGTGTCTCATTTCTACAGATGGCTTTCATCGCGTCTCGAGCGAGCGCCTGCGCGCCGTTGTCGGGGCTGCCGGCGAGGACGGCGCCGTCGACCGCTTAGACGCCTTCGCCCATTACGCATGCCCCAGTCTTCCGCACTTAATCGCTCTCTTGTGCCGGCCAACAGCATCTTGCGTCCCCCAAACGGTATCTCTCGTCGTTGTGGATTCGCTGTCCGCCCTCGTAAACCACGCATATCCAAAGACACCTGAGCCTCGCGGCGCGGCAGATGCCAAGGGCAAGAAAGGTGCGTAACTATCTGTCGGCAAGGCTCCGCTCAGTGCTCAACATCAGTCTCTCTAGGCCCATCGGTCTCGGCCCGAAGGCTTCAGGTGCTCCAGTATGTGATTGGGGGGTTTCAAAAGCTCGCCGCCACTCGAGATCTGGCCATTGTTGTCCTCTCCCAGTGTGCTACCAAGATGCAGGCAGAGCGCGGCGCTACCATCATTCCCGCGATCAACACAGGTGTTTGGGAACAGGGGTTCTCGACCAGACTCGTCTTGTTCCGTGACTGGATCCAGGACGCATCGGAATCCCGCAGTGTGCATTTTGTGGGGATTCAGAAGCTTAACGGGAAGGCGAGTGCCGCCACCGTTGACGGAGCCTGCGCCTTCAACATTGGGCCAGTAAGTCTTACAACAAACTACTGAAGCGAATAAGATCACTAATCACTGAGATAGAGCGGCTTGGTCTCTGTGGACTGCGATAGCTCAGAACGATCCCAGGTCCTGACAGCTACGCCGGCCCCAAAGCGAAAGCTGGGCGACACCAACTTTGAGATCGCCGATAGCGACGATGAAGAGTATGGGTGGGAGGAAGACGAGGATGCGGTTCCCGTTATGCCTTCACAGTGGCAGGGAAGCGAAGACATCTTGCTCGGCAGGCTTCCCGACAGTGACGAAGAAACACTCCATGTTGACGACGATCTGATTGACACGCGCGACAACGAGAAGCCGGAATCAGATGACAAGGAATCCAACGATGGCAACCCGGTCGAGTCCGAATGAGTGCTCATTTTCAATCATCACGCTGAGTTGCATCCGAAGGCCCCCTTGAAGCATCGGACCCGCCCCTTGAAAAGCCTCCGCCCCGGAGTACGGGGCTACGCCCGGAACCCCCCACGCAACTGTCATGACAAATCCGGCTCGCCTCCTCAATATCTCCACACCACACATGATCGGGCAAACTCGGCCTCATCTGCCGGTCGAGAAAGTGTCGGTCTACGCTACGGGCGTCTACATGGTGCCATTTCAGTCGTTCGACGACAATCAATCGGGGCTCACTAAGCTGCTCGTATAGTCAATCTACAGGCTCACGCCCACCCAAGTCTGGAATACTGCGAGGCAGTTATTGCCCTTCTCCAGCCATTTCCGATATCTGCACACCCTCCACCGAAGGCCGGTGAGCATTGACACTGCGTCGGCCCGCATCCGTTCGGCAAGGCAAAAATCTTGATCTTTTTCAACGGCTGAGAGGGTCCGAGCAGCAGTAGCAGCAGCACTACTACACTAACGCCTCCGGCTATTAGTTGCGCCTTTTTACACAATCGAGAGACAGGAAAGAAGAAGCCGCGGTTCGGTGTGGCAACTGGGGCGGGTGGCATCGCAGAGGCGCCTCGGGACGCAGGCGCGGCCGTTCGCGGATGCAATGGCAATCAATCGAACATATAGACGGTATCAAGGCATGTGGCGATCCTGGGAAATAACAATCCCCCCTTTCAAAACAGCGTGGCCATGACCATAGGGGGAGGGAAATGGGGGGATGAGCTGCAGCCGGTAAGCTTTCAGGCCGATTCAGCCTACGTTGCAGGCCCGCCCGCTCAGTCCGGTGGTCCTCTTTTTGTTTATGATACCGCGGCCTGTTGCCTAGGCCCATGCCCGTGCCTTTTAGTCTCTCTTATTGCAACCTCATAAAAATCCTCCGAAATAGAAGGCGATGTAGCGACGGGACAGAAAGGCAGCAAAATGCCTAGGTATTCCATCAGCCACGGCTTGCTGCGTGCTAGTCTGAGCCTAGACCGCTCGCCTCGCCGGCAGTGGTGGTAGTAGTTACTGGTGTTGTTCCTCTGAATGACATGCAGCCAGCCCATCGCATATTATCCCACAATTTTCTGATTTTGGCGTCTTGTTTCACGCATCCAACCCACTACCCCCCTCTCATCACCACATACTGTACAATACGTGGCACGGTTGTAACCTACCCTTCTTCTCTATATGATGATACGTAAATGCCCTCATCGGCGCACGCCGGCTGCCACCACAAGAATAATCGAAACCTTTCCCCCTCCCCCTCAATCACCCAACGCGCGTTTGCGTGCATAAAAATGATGTGCGCCGGATATGCAGGCGCTCTTCCCCCTCGCGGGAAGATTAGAGGGGAGGGGGGTGGATGGGAAGGTTTCTTTCTTTCTTCCTCCCACCCACCTATCCTACTTAGGTACCACCAACTACTGCTGTACCTGAATTCGAAATCATCTCGCGATCGGTACGGTACGATCCCTCGGACTGTGAATACCTCGTCCCGCATTCTGCAAAAAAAGAATATTATATATTAAATAAAATGAAATAAAATACGACGGCGGCCGTCGTGGCCTTGCGTATACATGTACATAGATACGATGTACGTATCTATGGCAAGAGATGGATGTATAGTATATAGGTCGGTATGGTGGGGTTTATTTATTGGGACATAGTATTTCCCCCGTTGCATGTTTGCGTGTGCGTGTTTGTTTGTTCCCCGCGGGAGGGTGTCATCGTATGTGTGTACAATACCTACATGATGAATGCGCGGGTGGTGGTGTTGTCTGCAGGTATCGTATATTCAGGGCTAGAGTGAGAGGGAGGGAGGGAAAGTCGAACCATCCTGCCGACCCCGCGTCAAAACATCGAATGATGATACCCGAGCGATGGCCTCATGTTTTCTTTTTTTCTTTTTCTCCCTCTTTCTTTTTACCCCTCCTCCCCAGTTTCGCTTTTTCCTTTCCGTTCCGTTCGTTTCCTGTCTTACTTTCTTCCGGAAGCGAAGGTGATGATACCTGCGGAAGCGACATACTTCCGTACACGGCTGTCCGACTTATTGCTACGGACCGCGTGGGGACTGGGTTCTTTTCCTACTCCCCTTCCCTTCCCTCCCGTTGACGGATGGGAGCGGGGCCGGCGAATTATCTTGCCCTTTCTGTCGTCCCAGTTTTGCGGGATGTTCGGACTCGGTGAAAAGTGTGCAGCACGAGTTTGGGTCGCACAACATACTAAAGGACACTCGAAGAGGAGACCTAGGCCGTCAGCAAGCATTGTTATTGTTCCTGTTTCCCAAATTTTCTCCCCATACGGCTTCTCAGCGGGCGCAATACCTAGGTACGAGAGTCTTCCTCCTATCCCACCCTTCGGTATTGTCTGCCCCCCTTCCGGAGTCACTGCTCCGGCCCGGCCGCACGCACACACACAGAGAGACAGAGATATAAGGAGGAGGGGAGAGATAGAGGCCACTAAAGAGGCCCCTATGCATGTGCGGTCGGACGGCTATGTAACGGCCCGCGCGGCGGCCCATATGGACCTTTCGCAGCGCATCCACAGCGTTCCGCTCACCGAGATTACTATTACACCTGTCTGCTACTTTGCTACTATGCTCACACACAAAAGGAACAATGAGGTACGGGCAAAGCCCATAGGGTACTTGTTGACTTGGCTTGGCTTGACTTGACTTACCTAAAGGTACTTAAGTGTTTTTTTTAAGAGCCTAGCCCTCTGTTTTCCGGTGTGGGATTTGTGAATAGGGTGGATGGACGTCGTGTCCTCCGCCATTTGTAGTCTCTGCCCTGTGATCTAGGGCAAGCAGAAAAGCAGACAACTAAGTCTTTCACGGTGGCCAGACGGTCTTATCGCGTTTCCCCGTGGGGTGATGTTGCTGATGCTGTCATCGTCGCTGTTTTTATTTTTGTGTGCAATTCTACCTCTTCTTGCGTGTCTGTCTGTGGGTGTGATCTGCCACCAACACCCACCGGTTCCGGCTGAATGGGAATTATTGCTGGCCTGCTGTGTGAGGGGGACCAGAGTACCAAAGGCACGTATGAAAGTCTCCGTGTATTGCACCTCCGACTGTCACCTGAAATACAGGCAAGAGCCGCCCACAGTGAGTTGCAGCTGCAAGCATCCCTGTCTATTTTGTTTATTTGCCACTATTTATCTTGCTTTCTCTGTGGAATGGGAGACAAATTCTTGCCCCTATGTAGTGCAGCGTTGGTGTACTACCTGCTTTTCACGTATGATAATTGCTTACAGCGGGCTTTATCAAGTCACATTATCAGAATGTCAACTTTGGCGCATGGACAAATGAATTATGTAAGGGATGGTATTACATGCTTGAGGTTGTCAAGAAATATGACCAAGAAGAAAATACTGGATTAATTTTTGCTTCTTTCTATGGGTATGTAATATTTAGGTTTCAAAGCGCCTTGAGTCTCAACCGTTTCCTCAGTTATTCTTGCTTAAAGTGGCAGCAACTGGTATCCTTTTCCAGCCAAATGTCTGGCCTTACCTAAGGGATTCGGTCGAGATAGACGTGTCCTGATATTGTTGATAAAACCGTCCTGTGTATCGTTGCATAATATGTACTTCATATATAGCAATGCCAATAATATAAACAAGATCATAAACATAATCCATAAAGCATTTCTCACCAGTAAGTCAATAACTCTGTAGCCTGGGACCTTGAACAGCAAGACAGAGAAAGGATAAGAGTTAAAGCTCAAGAAAATCAGCTTTCGGATTCCTTTCCCGGCTCGGCCAGTAGACTCCCACGCCCCTGGTAATTACTGGCAACAGTGAGACCATACCATAAAAGGACGCTGCCAATAGTGTCCTGAAACATCTCAGAAGACTCGTGAACTTCCCGACAACATAGTCTCGCATCTAGCACCCAGCACTTACGGGCTAAAACTTTGGGCTTGCCCCCTTTTCTCTTTGCTTCGCGTTGGGAGACATGGCAAAAGACAGGATAGAGTTTCAGGGTTTGGTCTTTGCCCTAGCATAACGAGAATAACAAATAGAAACAACTACGACGAGGCGTTTCTCGCTCCTCGGTGCTATGGAGAGGAAGCCCAAGAAGAAAACTAAAAGAAAAGAGGAAGGAAAGAAACTAAATCTTACGACCTGCACCAGCATCCATAGGAATCTGGGGAAGCTAGCCCGTTAGTTAGGTAGGTACTGGGCATACAAAGTTTCCTATCTCTCTCTAGGTAGATCTAGCGAACGAATGCTCGGCGACTTGCCAAGGCTGGTTAACCACTGCTCTTGGTAGTCATTTGATAAGGCGCTCTCGGTTCTCGGTCCTGAAGAGGCATAGAAAATGCGGACGAATGGTGTGTTTCTGAATAGATTTAACTGTTTCAAGAGAACTGGACCAGGTAATTGTAAGAGGTTCCTCAACCGAGGCTTTTCGGATGTCCATCATAGTTAAGGGTCGTATTTAGAGATACAGCAGACATATCTCCGGGTTAACAACACAATTATATTTAGGATATCCTTTTCTCTAGACCATCGGACTATGGGGTACCTTCATTCACGAGTCGTCCGTATTTGATAGACGTACAACTTATATAATATGATAGTTCGCGGCAAATGCGTATACTTCCTTCTAGCGTGTGCGTGATGGGTATAAGCTATTTTACTTTTGTGTATGATAAATCTAACTGTGGAAGTCCCTCCTTGAGCATAGTCTCCCCGAGCAGACGAGGTATTATATTATATTTATATGTTATGTTAGTTAAGTTGTAATTTTCATGTTAATACACCCAGGAGTGGGAACTTAATGTTATGATCTGAAGCTGCTAGAATTCTAGTGAGGGTGGCCTTGATGGTAAATAGAACTACCTAACCTTAGCTCTTGGGTTCAAGTGGAAAGACTCCCATCTGTAACTAAGAATAGTAGGCAGACCACAACTGTTAGTTCTATACTAGATCAAAACGAGTATTATATGCTAGATCTTTAGAAGAGGGCAAGTGGTTTGCAGAATGCTATGGTGCGTCGTGGCTTCGTGTCTTCGTTCCCCTCTGGCAGCTACCGAAGACTACCCAGTCAAAGATAATGCGGAGTGAAAAGCTAATTAGCTGCCTTGTGCTGTATCTTTGGGGGTGAGTAGAGTGACAGAATCCCGAGAAAGAGTCTAAAGTGGTCTCGTTCCAAGATCAATGGGCAATAGCAAAACAGTGTAACTCAGCCTCCCACTTCACTCGACCGGAAATAATACCGGCCCACCTAAGCACCTAGACGCTGAACTTTCTTGTTGAGCACGGGATGGATAGCCGAGAGAGACCCTTATTGCCACAGTCTTCTTCATTTTTCTTTATTTATTTCTCTCTTGTTCTCTCCTCAATAGTTGGGGTTGCTGTTCTTGTTATTTCTATTCTTCTCTACCAGGGAGGATTCAACGTAAACCCCCACCCCCGGTTGTTAAAGTCTATATATAGTCTCCAAGTTGCGGGCCTCAAAACATGGGACGACAAAATATAAATATCAAGCAAAAAGAAAATGGGACGTTTGAGGTCATGCCCGGGTTCGAACCGGGGTTACTGGAATATTTGAGAGCGGGGCGCCCAGCTTGTGGCGCCCATGTCAAAATCCAGAGTGATTACCACTACACTACACAACCGTTGGGAATATTTGAGGTTGTTGAGTTTTAATCTGGCTATACGTTTTTAATAAGCCGCCCATCCAGCCCCTCAGAGTTTGGTTTTGCTATCTGTCTACATTACCTTAGCCTTGAGAACGACTTCGTTTTAAACTTCTCACCATGCTAGTATTCAGGGGGGAAAATCCCCGTTCTCCATCCAACCCTAGTCCAAATCCATTACCTGTAGGCAATGGTGATGCTAACCTTGATACAGATAAATATACCGGGACTTGCAATGACGTGGTCAAGTTGTGTCAAAGTGGTGTAAAGTCGAAAGGCTCTCACTAAGGTAACAAATGCCCCCTAAAGATAAATCCCCCAGACTCCTTACTAGCTTTTACTAGGTCATTTGTGTGTAACATATGCATTACCTTGAGCGTAAATCTGCTCGGATCCAATACGGACTTTTAGTTTGGACGTTGGCCAGAAGACGCGTTGGAACATGCAAGTTGTCCTGTTAAAGCGGCCCACAGAGAGGAAATGACGCTGCCGCAAAGCGACCGAATAGGGACCGCCAAGCATCAAAGCGTCGTCTGTTCCTCTGGCTGAGGTTGCAGCCCGGCGGATTTACACTAGGATTTGCGGTGATCCTACCAGTAACGGCGGGTTTTGGTGTGTTACGCAGACCCGATTGCTAGTTGGTGCGGTCATCAGAGACGGATCCAAAGAAAAAAACCGTTTGATCCCGGTGGTCTGGCAACGGCATACGGGCGAAAACGCCATTCATCCATGAGGTGGTTTGGATGTTAGACCCAGCAGTGGCTCTCTTGCTCTCTTTAAGTCGCAGGAAGGCAGCCCGTGAAATTGCACTATCTACCCGCAACCTCTGGGCAAGGCCGGCCCGTAGCGGGCCAGGCCCAGGGCAAGGTTAGCGAGCGGGCAGACTTCAAGCCATTGGCGTCATGCGCCTGGAACCTTTGCCGCTCCCTGTCGCGTATTTATGGCCTTTCCCGAAGTCGTCCCAAGGCTAGGCGCCCTGGCCGGTCCCATTGTCGGCAGCCGCTACCTGTAGCCTTGGCTGTTTTGGACTTTAGGGTCTGCGACGGGCGATTTACGGAGAGATGATGTGAGTGTCAAACCCTACACTTGCACTACCCAAGTGTGATATCCTAACGATCCCCAGTCCGCCCAGAGAGAAACAACGTTTGGATTTCTCCAACTCTCGTCGTATCCTATCGTACGAAGTCCTCTCTCTGGGCTCCGGCGCGCGTGGTCAGGTGCCACATCAATGGAAATGGAAAGGAACAGCGCCATCCTGCAGGTCCGCTGCCGACGGGCTGCAGGATGCGTGGGGACCTGCAGGTGTCAGGGACCAGACCCAACGTTATTAGCTCCCCGCCTTTTTCCATAAATTAAATATCACGAGCAAACTGCAGCTATTGGGTAGAGCTTCCCAACCTGTCACCTGGAGGTGAGATTATAGATAAGCCCGGCCCGTCGAAAAGGAGGCGGCGGGCAGCATTCTCTTCCATTGCTCCAAAGATGAAATTAGCTGCCTCCAAGGGAACGGAGCTAGCGACATGACTGTGTGCTCACTAAGTGGTCACTACGGAGGTGCCTTTCAAAAGTTTTGCGCAATGCCAAGCCAGCCACACCCCTTTAGCTGAATGATCAGCGACCACACCACATCTGGTTTGGCCACGTAATCTTACCCCTCAACCCCGCTTCCACAGCTCAACAGTCAACACAACGATCAAGATGTCGCCAAATACAGATATTTCCATGCGTGCGCTTATAGTTACCCTCAAATCTCCTATTGTGGGCCTTTCTTCGGCCGATGTCTTTGCACAAACCGGGGTTTCCGTTAGTACCGTCAATCGAATATATGCCAGGGCTATTGAGCGTGGATTTGATCCAAATATACGGCCCTTAATTATTAAGGATGAATGGGTTGAAGATGCCCCTGCTCTGGCCGTCCACGAAAACACACCCCCGAAAATACCGAGAAGGTTATCGCCAAGGTTCGCAAAGATCGATATGGCCGTGAGAAATCCTGTGCTGATCTGGCCGGTGAGCTCAGTACCGAGGGCCTCGACATCTCAGCTATCACAATCTGGAGGATCCTCAAATTAGCAGGATTCAACAAAACGAAGCCAACGAGGAAGCCTGGATTGACGAAGAAGATGAAGGAGGAACGACTGAAGTGGTGTCTTGATCATAAAGATTGGACTTTAGAAGATTGGAAACGTGTTATTTGGTCTGATGAAACTTCTATTGTATTACTTCATCGCCGAGGAGGATATCGTATTTGGAGGAAAGCTGATGAGCGTTTTCTTAAAAGCTGTATTCGTGAACGGTGGAAAGGATATTCGGAGTTTATGTTTTGGGGTTGCTTTTCGTACGATCAAAAGGGGCCTTGCCATTGTTGGCTTCCGGAAACAAAGGCTGAAAAGGAGCAAGCTGAGAAGGATCTTGAGGAATGGAATAAGGAGTTGGAACCAATAATGCGTGAAGAGTGGGAGTTGGATACCAAAATGGGAAGGCTCTCTTTGGTTACGAAACGAGGCAGAAAACCACAATGGCGATGGAACAAAGCGAACGGCAAACTCGTACGAGAATCCAAGGGAGGCATCGACTGGTATCGCTATCAAACCAAGATCCTTATACCAAAGCTTATCCCTTTCGCCAAAAGCTGTGGGCCGAATACGCTTGTTCAGGAGGATAAGGCTGGCGCACACGCTCATCGCGCTCAACAGCGTATATACGATATTCATCAGGTACTCCGCCTCCTCTGGCCAGGTAACTCACCTGATCTTAATATGATAGAGCCTTGTTGGTTCTGGATGAAGAGAGAAACAACCAAAAAGGGAGCCCCAAAAAGCAGGGCTGAGGCTATTCGAGCATGGGAACATTGCTGGAACGAAAAACTTACTCAGCAGCGTATTCAAGCCTGGATTGAAAGGATTGTTGAGCATATACAACAGGTAATAAAGTGCGAAGGAGGTAACGAGTATCGAGAGGGCCGGAAAAGAATAAGGAGCTAGGGGGCCAAGATGGCCAGGGTCGTATGTAATTAAAGAGGGTGGCTTTCTTGGCACTGCGCAAAACTTTTGAAAGGCACTTCCGTACTGTAAACTGTTAGGCCTCTTCTGGTGTCCCTGTTCCAGAAAAAATTCAAGGGGCGTTACCTATTGTTCCCCGCTAGCTAGACTAACCCCAAAACACCCGTTGAGCCAAGCTGTTCCTGCATCGGCCGTTGGCCACTCGGCACCCGAGGGCTTCTCCTGTGCCTCCGTTTCTGTCGTGCCACACCATGTTCTTTTTTCTTTCTGTCCCCTCGGTTTATCTTGTCAGCTATCTCTAGGTAAATCTGTCGAGAAGGGCATGCATCGGCGTCTCTGTCCTGTCGAACGCGAAGTTCTGGAGCGGGCCGGCCTCGATCTTACGGTTTCAGTATTTCCGGTCCCATCGATGAAACAATAGACAGCAATCGCGTCCTTGCCAAGACCTACCAGCTCTACCCTCGACGGCCTCGACCGCGCGACCGCGACCCAGGAGCTCGGCCAGCCTCTCACCTTCCGGCTGCCAGCGAGACACCCCTGCCTCTTTCCCTCGAAAGTATACCAAGTGCGCGCCCCCCCTTGGAAAAGTCGGGCGAAGTGGGTTTTCGAAGGTCTGAGGATTGGGGACGTCTGGACAGGAACATCCTCGCTCGCGTTCGACACCACGGCTTTTTGGGCAGCGAAAATTCAGGACGAAACCTCGCGCCGCAACTCGGCTCCCCGTCTTGGAGTCTTGGACTACTAATCAATTAATATACATTCCGCTCCTTTTTGGTACTTGGAGTTGGTACCGCACGACTTGCCGCGCACCGACATTTCTGGTTCCCCTTCTATAGGATCCCGAGCCGTGGGCTTCGGGATGGAGCCGGACCAGGACGAACGAGACACGCGGCAGTCCCAGGCAGCAGCGACGCCGGCATCGAGCGATGATGGCGGCCCCGTGCGTGCCAATTCGTCGCCCCCTGCCGCCGAGAGTCAGAAGAGGGCTTTAGATCACGACTCACTTGTGACGGTCCGCCTCTCCGAGCCCCCGTCGCTGTACGTGAATACATCGGTCCCTCCGAACACGCTTCCGTCCCGACGGAGCCTATACGGCCTCGACTACACTCCAAGCGATACCTTGACCGAGCCTGTACCCGAAGAGGACGACGGTGGCGTGCTTGAGCATTTCGAAACGGACTCACCCGCTTCGGACAAGGGCCGGAGCCTCCAGGAGGAACTCGAGCAGATGGACAGCGAGGACGGCGAGGAAAAGGATGGCGAAATACAAGAGCTCCAACAACGTTCCAGCTCCGAATCAGACAGCGTCAAGTGGGATGAGCTCCAGAAGACGGAAGACTCGGAGTCAAGAGAGCAGGACTCTGATCATGTAGGTGCAGCTCATCGCTCCTTTTGTCTCCTTTGTTTGCCCCTTTTAGCTTGGCGCAACTCAACTGACAATCTTTTTTTCTCCATAGTCTACAGCGCTGCTGCTCGCAAAACTTGACCAAGAGAACAACAAAATTGCCAAGAATCCAAAGAGCTTCAAGGTCAAGGTGGTAGAAAATGACGAACCATCGTCAGGAGGCCAGCCAAGGCCTCCCTCGATGGCCCAGCTACGGAAAATGGTCCACGGGCCTACGCCTTCGGCTCTTCGATACTCGGTCCTCCCGCCGCCGCCAATGACGGATCTCGAATTCTACCTTGCACTGGTCAAAGACCCCCAGCAGACAGCAGCTCGACTGCCGACACTGCTTTCCAACAAGATCCGCAGAGGCGTCCCTCCGCCGCTTCGAGGCGTGGTCTGGCAGAGCATGGCGGGAGCCCGGGATGGCGCCCTGGAGGAAATCTACGATAGGCTGTCAGGCGAGTCCAGCCCGTATGAGGGCATCATCGGCAAGGACATTGGACGGAGCTTTCCCGGCGTCGACATGTTCAGAGACCCAGAAGGCGATGGCCAACGGATGCTGGCTCGGGTTCTCAAGTGCTTCAGTCTCTATGACACCAAGATTGGTTACTGCCAGGGGCTTGGATTCCTGGTTGGACCACTCCTGATGCACATGCCCGACAAGCCTGCGTTCTGCGTCCTCGTCAGGTAAGAAAAAGAACCATTCAATCCATTTCAGTGGTAGCGAGGAACGCCCCGATCGCCAAGTATTTGAAGCTAACGTGTGTGGTGGGTGGAACCAGATTGATGGAAAACTACGATCTTCGCCATTGTTTTGTTCCCGACCTGTCAGGACTGCATGTTCGGATTTATCAATTTCGGGAGCTGCTGCGCGAGTTTCTACCCACATTGTCGGCTCACCTTGACGACTTGCAGGTTGATCCCGCCTATGTTTCACAATGGTTCTTGTCTTTTTTCGCCGTAACATGCCCCCTACCGATGCTGTTTCGCATCTACGATGTGATCTTCGCCGAGGGCGCGTCGGAGACAATCATGCGAGTGGCTCTGTCGCTCATGCGCAAAAACCAGGCCCGCATCCTAGCTAGCACCGAGATGGAGGACGTAATGCACCTTCTCCTCTCGCGCGGCCTCTGGGATTGCTATCACTACAGCGCCGATGAATTTGTAGAGGACTTTGTCAATCTCTCGGGCGTTGTCACCAAAGAGCGGATGGCAGCGCTCGAACGGGGGTACAGGGAGGCTAAGATCAATTCGGGCGCCAATTCCAAGAGCACCGATGCAACACAGGTGTCGGACGTTACCACGGCAGCCTCCCGCTTCTTGGGCCGCCTGTGGGCTTCCTCAACAACAACTAAATCCGCCGCGCTCACTCAGACGGCCGCATCGGCGCAATCAGGACTCGCCGCACCGGCCACCACCACCAGCAATACCCTCAGTCCTGGCCTGAGTCTGGCCTCGCGCCCGCTGAGCATGCTCCGGAGGAGCACATCCAAGCAGAGCTTGGCTTCGACGCTCAACTCGATGGAAGTCGCATCTCTGGCGAGCTCGTCGTCCGGCGCCAGCGACCTAAGCGCTGCATCAACTGATGCCACCTCCATCTCCCGAGACAGCTCCGCCGACGATTTATCCCGCGAGCCATCGCCAGCATTCGTGACCGCGACACCCAAACCAGCGCCAACGTCGCTCTCCAACAGCGCCGCAAGCGCCAAGTCCGACAGCAAATACCTGCACAGCCAGATTGAAGATCTCCTCACAGTACTCGGCGAGCTTCAGAGGAATCATTCGCTGTTGGCCAGTCAGCTGCAGAGGGAGAGAGAAGAACGCGAAGAAGATCGGAGGGCGGTGCGGTCGCTTTTAGATGGGCTGCGGATAAAGGCGAGCACCGAGACAGCACCGACGTGGGGCCGGAGCGACAGCGAAAAAACAATAACGAGGGCGAAAGATGCATCGGGTGCGCTATCTGGAGACGAAGTCGCACAGCAACAGCCCCCGCCTACACCCGAGCAGCTATCGGACCTGCTCGAAGTTGTCGAAGGGCGCTTTGGCGAGTCGGCAGCTAGTCGAAGGTCCTCAGTGCCACAAACCAAGCTGCAACTTCGGGATGAGCTAGCTCGGGCGAAGGAACAACTTTCAAACGAAATGGCCAAGACGCAGGACTCGAGTCGCCGCTTATACGAGATGGAGCATGAAGTCTCATCGGCGAAAGAACAGCTGCGGGAAAGCCACGCACACGTTCGGAACCTGCATCAAGAAAAGCAGCGACTGGAAAAGCAGATTCAGGGTCTGAGGACTAGGGCATCCGACACACCAGCGTCCAACGCAGACAACGGCGACTGGTTTTCGAAGGCCACGGGCATGGGAGGCGGCACCAGCTCTGCGGCACCTCCTGCTGGTGGCCTCCGCGAGCTGAAACTTGGCCGTAGTAGGTCGACGCCGTCTCAGACGCCGGCGCTGTTTAACAAACGGGCGTCTTCGGTCATGACGCAGAAAAGCGTTAGCAGGGAGTCTTCGGTGGCGCCCACGCCGGCTCCCGCTTACTCGAGCGCCCCGGTCAGCGAGTACGACTCTCTTTTGCTCGAGCTTGCGCAGGCGAAAACCGGCGAAGCAGTTGCTAAGCAGGAGGCCGAAGAAGCAAAGCAGAGACTCGAGAAGCTTCGCAAAGCCTTTGGGCTGGCACCAGGCGAAACGCCCCCAGCCATGCAGATACAGACGAGCACCGCGGCGGAGATTGCAGGAAACGGGGCGTCGGCTGCAGCGTCGGCTGCTATAAACATGTTCGGCCGATTGACAGGATCGGCGTCTCCGGACCCGGCGGCGGCGGCGGCGAAGACGTTGACCCCGAACCCGACGCCCGCCGGTGGTACCACACCCGGTGGGTTCTGGGGATGGAGAAGGTAACCAATCAGGAATACTACTACTTCATCTATTCATTTTGAATGGTTCACACAACCGGCTCCAAGGCTCCAGCAACGCATTGTCGAAATTGTCGTTGATGGGACTTTTGATGATTGAAAGGAGCGGCCACGCGACCACGTTATGAATGACTGTACTCTACCAGAACATATGATAACACAGGTGACTCATGCTCTACTTGGCGAGCGCGGTCTAATGAGGAAGAATTTTAGGCAGTGGTATATATATATTCATACTTAGGGCAGATAGATAGCAGAGGCTGCATGGCACACATCATTTTATATCGGTGGTGGGGTGGTGGGGGTGGCATGTGCTTCTTTAGAAAGTGCTTCGACAAGAGGCAGGAACGGGGATGATTCATGGAGCGACCTTTACCTTATTTTATAGTTGCCTTCCAAAGCTGTATGTTTTAATTCATAACATACCAAGACCAAATACAGACGTATATTTGATAAATTGTTATCATGGGTAGACGGATGGACGGCGTGTTTTTCACTCGAAAGGAAGTGCCGGTGGTGGGCATGAGATTCCTTGATAGATGGAGAGATGGCTTCAGAAGTCATGCTTCTAACGTCATTCACCGGGTCTCCCTGTCCCTCCACACTGCCTCATTTTAGCGTGCTGGGTGTGGGTGGGTTGACAAGACATTTCTACTTTGTATGGCCCGCGTGCCTAGCGCGCACGAATCACATGCTTTCGGGGAATGGTGACGCTTGTGTTTTTCTGGGGCCTGGAAGGGGCTGTCAGAAATAAATTCATGATGGGTGGGTGAGTGGATTGTTTGTCTCTGCAGCTGCTAGGCAGCATGTCGGGTGCTCGAGAGGCGGGACACTACACTCGCACACCTTAAAACGCGGATTCGAATAAAGAACGACCGTATCCGTGAGAACTTGGAATACATTTCCAGTGTCATGCAGTGGTGTATTCTGCATGTCCAGACGCCAGAATCAGAGAGGGGCACAAAACAGTGGCAGACATAGATGGAGCTTTCTCCAACATGCCTCGTACACGCTTATCCATACGCTCCGGCCTTGATGACAGGCAGCCTAGAACTAACAACACTTTGCCAACAGACCTGACTTCTAGACAACGCCTTGGCCGCCCCCTGAATCCTGCGAGGCGCGTCCCAAGTCGCCATGTCATTGAGGTAAAATGCCGGCATGATTATTATAGGTGAGGCGTACGGATTCCACGCGTGGAGAAAATAATTCGGATAGGGAGGTGGAACATCGGCGAGGTGGTGACCTAGGATAAGGACCTTCGGAGGGAAAATAGCAGGCTCGTTTGATAGGCTGGCGATTTCCACCTGCACTCTTGTTGCTGTGGCATGATGAGATCATTGCGTGTGGCTCGAGCGTGTGGTTTGTGAAATGCTCACTGGGCAAATTTCCCGTCCTTGGAGCCGTGACGTTGTGGAGCCGGGCACTGCTTGCCCGCCGCACGCCTCCTTACTGCCAAACTGCCCACTGCAGCGAGTGCTACGGCCCAGTGTCTCTGACCGCTGGGCAGTTTTTTTTTTTTTTTTTTGCAGTGCAGGACAGTGAGAGAATTAACTCGGCCCCCTACGAAACTGGGCTTAGTTCGAGCCGTTTGTTTCAAACCCTCTCCCTCCTGCCTTTTCCCACCCAAAACAAACTCTGGCTTCCCTCCGTGAACAAAAAAACCATACACCTCTTTCCCACACAAAGAGGAATCATCCGCTCACGGTCCAGCTTTGTCAGGTTCCTCTCTGCCTTCTTCGCAAAAGATTAGCTGCCCCGTCACCTCGCGTCGGCTTCTACCCTGATCTCGCTTTCGCTCGCTCTGTCGTCGTCATCACCGCAGCAGCAGCAGCAGCTCCAGCCAACTCCAAAAACGTCATCCCTCGCCGCAAAACTACCACAACAACCGCACCGCAACAGCTTTCCGCGCTCCGCGTCCCAGACTCTCGCAATGGCCGACCATGGCGCGACTGCCAACGGCAATACCAATGTCGATGCCCTCAAGACAAGTGAGGTTCGTTGCTTCCCGATATCACTCCCGTTATCTCGTTCTCGGCCCTCCGAGGACTCGATGCCCAGCACTCAAAGATAACAAGCTAACTCGCTCATAGTGTTTCACAATTTAATGATCCCGATCTTCTCGCTGCCGCCGTCCGCGGAATTGACTGACGATGCCTTTTGCAGATGCCGCAGCTGCGTACAACACAGTTGCCAATGGTACGAACGATAAGATCATGACTATTCCCACGTGCTCCCCGCAGACTTGAGCTACGATGCTGATTCAATCTATTGCAGGCCCCGTAGCTCAGAACGTCAAGGACCAGACTGCAAAGACCACGACCGAGCTTTCCAACCTGGCCTCTGCCCGACAGACTCCTCCCTACCCGGCAGCCACCGGCCAGCCCCTGACACACTATCACTCTTTCTTCTCGGAGCTGCTGTCGTGGAACAACCCCCGTACGTTCCCGTGGCCCCTATATGGTTTACGAGATGTGGTACTGACAAAACTGTTTACTCCAGGGGCCTCTGCCATTGCCTACGCCTCCATCATCTCTCTTATCTTCTTGGTTAGGTACCTAGATATTTTCCGATGGGGTTTCAAGCTCACGTGGATGGTCCTTGCCATCACTATCGCCGCCGAGGTTTCCGGCAAGACGCTCCTCAACAGTGGCTTCGCGACCCAGCTTCGGCCCCGCAAGTACTACACCGTCCCTCGGGAGACGCTGGATGCCATGATCGGTGACGTCCATGAACTGGTCAACTTTTTCGTTATCGAGTCGCAGCGGATCTTGTTCGCCGAGAACATCTACGCGTCTGCTGCTGTAAGTCGCGACTATTGCTTTAGGCCCAAACTCCCCCGAGCTCCAACTGCATGACTCGAGCTAACGGGACACTAGGCGGCCCTTGGTGCTTTCCTCTCCTACTACCTGGTCAAGATCGTTCCTTACTGGGGCCTTGCCTTGATCTCCACCACGGTCCTCTTCTTCGCCCCGCTCATCTACAAGTCCAACCAGGAGCTCATCGACAGCCAGATCAAGCATGCCAACGAGATTGTTGAGGCCCAGACTTCCCAGCTCCGCACCGTTGCCCAGAAGCACACGGAGCAGGCCACACAGTTGACCAAGCAGTACATGGGTGATTATACTGCCAAGGCCCAGGCACTGATCAAGGGTGCCCGCGGCTCCGAGCCCACCCCCGTCAAGTCGGAGCTCTCCGAGGCCGACTTCCCCGCCGCACCTAAGGCGAAGCTGCCCCAGGATCCTGCCATCTTCTCGACTCCGGAGCCCGTTCTCAAGGCTAAGGCTGAGCAGGAGCCTCTGATTGCTGCTTAAACGGAGCCTTTGCATTAGAAATGGCCTATACCTCTAACACCTATCCCCCCTCCCGATTATACCTTATGGCTGGCCCTCCTTCCTGGACGACTTATGGCATAGACACGATCAATGATTCCTGAATATCACCCCTAGATTGAGGACCCGCCGACTACGAATGGGAACACGAGAATAGTTACGGATTGGGCGGCGATGGAACGAGGACGAGATTGGCAATGAATGGATTACGGTTTTCTTGATAAATTCTTCCTGGTGAGGGCGGAACGTGTGTGTAGATCGGTGGTGAGGACTGTGATGACGGTAGGCCAAGACGTTGCTGGCTATCGGTTGCGGAGTATTGTGTTGCCTTGATTTCCTTTGTCCTCTGGCTTGTTATGGATGTACCCGAGTTTGTCTCGAGGCCAGGAAATGGAGAGCCTCTGGGGCGTTGCGTCCTATTAATTCAACTATTGCGGGAGACACTTTTGGACAACTCGTGAATGTGCTTTAGTAGTGTAAGTATTCGAGGTCCGCCTATGGATGGTATTTTCATATTCGTTTACTAATTAGTTCTATTGGTATTGCTTTTGGACCGGTTGTCTGGTTTCTTCTGTTTGGGTCGTAATCGAAGTATAAAGTGAAATCAAGAAGACAGAAAGATGAAATATTCCTCGTTTTGTCTTTTAATCTTGACGAGTCGGTTAACTGTACGGGCATCCATATGCTCCAATAGTCCCCTTGTTGTTGATATGCTGAGCTCGCCTAGAAGATCGTGCCCACGTTCTTTCGAGAAGAAACACCCAAACGGCCCTCGTGTAGCCGGAAGAGAAACACAGAGAGCCTTGCCATGTTAAATGATGCATCCAAAGTGCCAAGTTCAGTAAGCTGAGCCGGCCAGTGGGAGAGCATCTAGGAGCCGCACGCAATAAGCTACACGAATGAACAAAGCCACAAAGGCACGACATAACGATAGCAAATAGCAAGCCTGACCGACTGCCTCTTCTGCGGTGACTGACTGGGGCAGACAGACACAAACAACGCCGTAACATGCAATGAATAAATGGAACCATTTTTGTCCCGGTGTTATACATTTACAGTAAAGAGGTAAAGCGCCGTCCCCCAGTTGAGTCAAGCAGGTAAAAACATCGCCCGGCACACAAACAGCCCAAAATAAACTGATAACCAGCCAGCCTCCCTATCCGAAAAACCTCGTGACATCATCAAAAGAACTCCACACTACTGACATTAATCTCAGCCTCAAGCCTCTAATCAGTATCATCATCCATGGCGAACTCATCGCTCTCCTCGTCTTCCAGATCATCAATGTAGATGGGCTTGGATTTCGCAGCCGTCGCGCGACCCGGGCGGGCCTTGGGCTTGGCTACTGGGCTGGAAGGGGCATCGGCTATGAGGTCGTCCTCGTCCTCGTCCTCGTCATCGCTGACAACCTTTCTAGCCTTTGCCTTCTTCGCGGCATAGGCCTTGGCAGCGGGCGAGAGAGTCACTGCCTTGGGCTTCGAGGACTCTACTGCCTTGGAGACGGCTGTCTTGGCGGCAGCCGTCTTGTGAGCGGCTTTGGGTGCGGCGATTTTGGTGCCGGCCGGACGGCCGCGGGGCTTCTTGCCCGCCATGGGGACAACAGTAAGCGGGGCTTTTGCCTTTGGCGCTGCCGCCTGAGACGACGACGCCTTGGGCGCCGCTGCTGCCTTCGTTGTCACAGGAGGAAGGTCATCGTCAGACAGAAAGTCGTCAATGTCGCCGCCGGCGACTGATTTCCGGGGCGACGACATGGCCAGGGCTTCGTAGTTGGTGTCGTCCTGGCTGTCAAAGCCAAGATTCGACTTTGACGGCTTCGTCTTCATCTTGGGGAGGCTGGACTCACCCTCGGGCCGGGACATCGCAAACAGACTAAGTCTGCCCTTGCCACCGTTGGAAGCAGGCGCCCCAATGCCCTTAACCAGGGCACCGACATCACCGAGCATCTGGTCATCATCGCTCTCCGACTCGATATCGTCCACATATACCGACTTCGCCTTTGCTGCTGCGGCCCGCTTGGAGGGCTTCGCGACAATGTCATCGTCTTCAGACGCCGACAAAGAGGTCGAGGCTTTAGGCGGTCGAGCAGAAGAAGTCTTTCCCAACTGCATGAAATCATCGTCTGATTCCAAATCCGAGTCAACGACATATGTCTTGGGCTTGGCAACAGCTGCGCGTTTGGTACGACCGCTGACAATGTCTGATATGGGAGCCGGAGGTTCTGACTCGTCTTTGACCACAGCCTTCTTGCCAAGAAGAGCAAAGTCGTCATCGTCAGAGAAATCATCCGCCAGGCCGTCACCGCCCGAGGTGCTTGCCTTGGCACTGGGTTTTGCGGCGGCTTTGGCCTGGAATTTCTCAGTGAAACGTTGCTGTGTCTTTGTCTCAACCTTGATCTTGGGAGCGGCGAGAGCCTTGGCCGCCTTGGTCTTCCCGCCTGGCTGGTAATCGTCGTCCGTCTTTAGACGGCGGCCTCCCTTGCCAGCGCCAATCTTCTTAGACACTCGGCGGCCTATTCTTCGGATGTCGGCCTGGATTTCGGCATCCAGCCTCAGCTGCCGCTCCCACTCCTCAACGAACTCGTCGAGATCTTTGCACCAAAGATCCTTCTCACTGAGGGCATTGAGCTCATCCCACTCGGCCTTCTTTGCCCTGATCTGCTGCTTGAGCTTTTCCAACCGCTCCAGCGTCAACGACCAGATAGCCATCTATTATCTCGTTAGATTGAACGGACAGGACGGCAAGTCTTTGGATACATACGGAAAGCAGGTAGTCGTAGTCTCGTGCGCCAAAGTTGCCGTCATCCTCGTCGGCATCTTCGACATCCTCTTCGGCTGGCTTTGCCCTCTTGTCGACCTCCTTCGGAGGGAACGCTTCAAAACCTCTATCACGAAGCTCTGCCACGAGAACTGACTTCTTCTTCTTGGAAACAACGAGCTTATTCTCAATGATTTCCTCGATGAAACGATACTGGTTCTTGAGCTTTCTGTAGTCTGCGTCGTAGACTTTGAGCCAGTGTGCCTGTGTCCGGTTAGCAAAACACTTATTTCCCGAGAAAGTACAGCATTAACATGCCTTCCGCTTCCCGTACATGGCCAGGCGGTAGTGGTAAAACTCCTCGAGGATCTCCTCGGGACTCTCGTACTTGCGAATTTTGCCCTCTGTGTCAAAGGCAACGAGGTTGGTAGTTCCGATCGACTTGTTCAGCTTGAACTTCTCGAGCAAGCCCTCGTCGAGAGCAGCCTTCATGTGCTTTTCTTCCAGCTCAATCACGAAATGGACCGTGTTGTGGTCGTTGAACTCCCTGTAGTCCTTGATGTAGGAAGGCGTCTTTTCGCCCCGGATGATTTCCTCGAGTCTAGCCTTGAAGTCATCGGTCCACATACGAACAGGCAACTCACTAACGACGACCTCGTTGGGATTCAGCTCATCTTGCTTTGCGATGCCGTTGAATCTGAACCGGTTGGGCCCTTCTCGTTCAGGGGTGCCCTTCCAACCCCGCCACCAGGGAATCATGGAATTAAATGGCTTCTCCTCCGGATCATCAGGATCAAGTCTGCCCATGCGGCGCTTGAGATTGTCCACTAGGTCGATGGGATGATAGTTGGGAATTTGGGTGCTATAGCCTGTACCGATGCCGTCGGCACCGTTGACCAAGACGGTCGGAATGATCGGGGCATACACCTTGGGCTCAATCATGTTGCCGTCATCGAACTGAAACTCCAGGTTCGGCTCGTCGAGCTTGGAAAAGATGCGCCTCGCAAAGGGAGATAGCCGCGTGTGAATGTAACGGGCGCTGGCAGCATCTGATCCACCAGAAAGTCGGGAACCAAAATTTCCGCTGGGCTCAAGGAAATTGACGTTGTTTGAGCCGATGAAGTTCTGTGCTAGACCGATGATGGTCTGTTGCAGCGAGGTTTCGCCGTGATGGTAGGCTGCCTGTTCGGAAATGTAGCCAGCAAGCTCAACCACCTTTTGATCGTTCACCAAGTTGCGCTTGAAGCAAGCGAACATGACCTTGCGTTGACCGGGCTTCAAGCCGTCAACCATGGACGGGATCGACCGCATATTGTCAGCCATGCTGAAGAGGATCAACTCCCGGTTGACGAAATCCGTGTACGAGATGACATCGGCCGAATGGTCAAGGTATGTGCCAGGGACAAAGTTGCCAAGCCATTCCTTGCGTGCGTCGGCCTTCTTTTTGGAGAAGGCCAGATCGAACAGTTGGGACTCTTCCGCTTTCATGGTGCCGAAATGCTTGAGATGTAGGTCTAAGTTGGTGAAGTAGACCTGGGCATCCTCGTTGGAGGAACTGCCCAACCCCTTCAAGTACTTGTATTTCCACTTGCGCACCTCCGACTTGTGCTTCTCCTTCCACGTCTCATACTGAGGCAGGTTGAAGAAGGACGTGAGCTTCTGAGGCTTCTTTGGGTTGGGGCCCTGCCATACTTTGACCACAGGTGTGATGAACTCCTGGAAGAATTCGGGAATGCGCAGCAGACTCGGGAACTGAACCTCGAGGAAGTTGATCAACAGGCCTTTGATATGGCTGCCGTCGAGATCCTGATCGGCCATGATCATCAGATGACCGTACCGGAGGCCCCTGGTATCGGTATACTGCTGTTTGTGCTTGAGCCCCAGAAACTTCTTGATGTTCTCGATTTCCTTGTTCTTCATGATCTGGTCGAGCGACGCATCGCGGACGTTGAGCATCTTTCCACGGAGAGGGAAGACGCCAATGCGGTCGGGATCCAGGATGGCACGTCCAGCAACGGCGAGAGCTCTTGCCGAGTCACCTTCGGTCAGAATCAGAGTGCATTCACAACCACGCTTTGTTCCGGCCAAATTGGCATCCACCAGTTTCTCGTTGCTGATGCGAGAGCGCTTGTTGCCGTCGGTCTTAGCCAACATCTTGTCCGCCTTTCTATCGGCAAACTCCATGATGTGTGCGATGGCTTCCGAATTCCGAATCTTCTTGAGGAACACGTCGGTTAAGACACACTTGCTGCCGAACGCACTGACTTTGGTTGTCATCTGCTCCTTGGTCTGCGAGTTGAAGGATGGGTTCTCGACTAGGCAGTTGATGAAGATGAAGATGTGGTTGCGGAAATGCGAGGCCTTGAGACTATGGCCCTTCTTCTTCTTGGTCAATTCTTTGCCCAGGGCGTCGCAAATCTGGTCGGCGATGTAGTTGACGTGTGTGCCGCCCGAGGTCGTGGCGATGTTGTTCACAAATGAGACTTGCTGGAACGAGCCGTCCGACACGGTAAACCCAACCTGCCAAAGCCGTCCCTTGTCTCTCACCTGGTCGAACTCGACCTTGGCCGTGGCTGGCTTTTCTCCTTCGGCGGGCTCGTCACCACGCTCCTTGGCGATAGACTTGGCATAGAGCTCGCAATAGCTCTTGAAGTTGTACTTGAGCTGGTCGCCATTGAGCCAGACCTTGACGCTCGTGACAGTGCCCGCCATGTCATAGACGCGGCGAAAGAGCAGGCTCTCGAGGTCGTCGTCGATGCCATTCTCCATGCCAAATTTCTTGTAGTCGGGAAGGAAGGATACGCGGACAAAGTCGGCTGACTTGTTGGAGGTTATCTTGGGGGACCCCTTGTTGCTCATATTCTCTGTCCACGTCTGCTTGTAGCGCTTGCCGTTGCCGGCATCCTGTATCTCAATGCCGAACTTCTTACTGAAGATGTTGGTAAGTTTGGCGCCGTAACCGTTACGGCCACCAACAGTTTTCTTCTCGTTGTCGTCAAAGTTGGACCCAGCCAGGAGATGGCCAAAGATGAGCTCAGGCACGTAGCACTTCTCAGTCCCGTGCATTTCCACTGGGATGCCTTTGCCGTTGTTCTCCACTGTGATTTCTCCCGACTCACGGTCGATGGTGACCTTGAGACTGGTCATGGTGCTATCGCGCTGACTTACGTCGGCCGCGTTGACGAGAATCTCGTCAAAGATCTTGTAGAGGCCGGGAACGAAGGAGATGGTCCGGTTCTCCATCTGCTTGTCCGCCTTATTGAAGACCCACATCTTTTGATCGGTACGCTCGATGGAGCCCACGTACGTGTCGGGACGTTTGAGGATGTGCTGGAGCTGGGTGAGCTTCTGGTACGTCTCGGTCACTGTCTTCGTCTTGCCTCCTTTGGACGGCATGTCGTCATCAAGCTGCATGCTGTCGTTTTCAATCTCGGCGAGGGGCTTGCCGCTCGACTTCTTTGCCGGCGCTCTCTTCTGTTTCTTGACGCTCGGAGGTGTGCGCGACAGCACGCTGGCGTCGCCGTCAAGTACCGAGTCGACTTCATCATCGCTCTCTGGCTTTGGGCGTTTTTTGGAAGTCACTTTGCTAGCGAGAGCTGTCTGGACCGTCTTGGATTTTGCTGAGGCGGCCTTTTTCGCGGCGGGCTTCGCGACGGGCTTCGCTTTTGGTTTCTGCGCGGGGTGCTGTTAGCTAAATCTGGCGAAGAAAAAATACAGTGGGTTGCGGTCGCCTGCACTAAGAGCAGCGCTGGGTAGTGGGCCAGCGAGCCCGGGCGGAGGCTCAAACCCTCAACACATACGTACCACTTCTGGTGAGTAGCCTTCGGACTCGTCTTGGATGCTGTCGCTAAAGACTGACTCGTCCATGATGTCGGAATCCATGGCGCGTAGCTGGGAGGGGGGGAATTTGGCGGCGGGATGTTGGTGCGGCCGAGGATGCGAAGCGAAAGTCAATTGATGGATGTCGAGGAGAAAGGAAGGGGCCTGAACATCCAGAGACAAAAAGAAAATGAAGGGGAGAAAAGGGCGTTACGAGCCTGCGAAGGTCGACAACCAAATTGAGCAAGAATCAACAAGCGCACGGCTCCGTCAATTGCAAATAATAACCACACGGCCTTTTTGCCCTCGAGAGCGGGTACAACAAAGTCGGAACGAAAGGAATGGGGGGAGGGGCGTCGTATAGGCGGCGGTTAAGGGAGCCTTGTTGTTTGGATTGGCCCCAGACGTAAACAAAAGCCTGGTTGACTTGCCTAAACGTCGGCCATAACAAATTACGAGCCCCATTTTCCTCTCACACATTGGTGTTGGCGCGACTGGTCTGTGCCTAGGCTGCGACGCGACTTGGAGAGGGTGTGGGGGGCTTGACAGGGTAATGTTTTTCTGCCTTAAGAGTAAGGCGTCAAAACAGCAAACGAATCGCGGCTGCGCTGCGATTCAGTTTGAAAGTTGGTCCGTGATGAGGGCAGGTGTGACGCATGATTACACAACCACCCCCAAAATCGATGATTGGTGGGCGGAGAGCATGAGTGGACGAAGAACATCACTCCATGTCTTTGACGGCGACGGCTGGTGAAGATGGGAAGGAGGTACTCGGTAAACTACCCACTTCATGCCTGCTCCTGCCTCGTGATGATTTCGATGGGCTCGTTCCTGCCTTGTTCCTCCCTCACTCCTGCCTCTGTGGCTTCCAGTCTGCCAGCGTCTTGTGGCCTCCACCTAGGTTTAGGTACCTACTACCTTTAGTAGTTTGTGGACTATGAGTGAGTCAATGATGGCTTGAAATTGATTCAGTGCGAGCACTCCAAGCTCCCTGCCAGATACAGCCTACCTTAGAAACGAAAAGAGCCCCAACGTCAAACCTAGCATCCCTACCTGCCTTCCTACCTAGGTACTTATGTTACCGACAGCTTCGCCTCGTTCTGTTTGAGTCGTGGCGAATGTAAATGGAATGGTTAACAACACGCCAAATCCCCCGCCCTCCCGGTCGTGGTGTACGACGCGGCCGCGACACCTGCTACCTAAGGTACCTTACCTTAGCAAGGCAAGGTACCTCAGGTACGCATACACGTACCCCGAAAGGATACACGGTGTACGCCAAGATGTCCTGTGTTTGACTGCCTTGGTGAGGTGCGCTGGTTACATCTTGTTGAGACCATTACACAAACTGCAGATCCCTCCTGATGTTGCGCCCGTGTGGGAGCAGCCTGCGAGGAAATGGACGGCCAGGTCGGTGGCTTCCGTCAGGTCTAGGAGACCTCAGATGACCTAATGGTGGTCAGTAAAGTAGATACACTACCATCTCTGCCCACTGGACTAGGCGGGGGACGGAATATGCAGTCTCGCCCATGAAGGCGATGCCCGGCGCGATGAGCTTTCTATCCCAGATACGTTCAGCGTACCTAACCTACCTTACCTGCCTACCTAAGGTACCGTCAACTCATCGGACACATTTCAGCTTCACTTCCGGTCTTCTCCAATAACAAGTTTGGGATCCACGGATGCACAAAAGTACCCGTGAGTCGGCATCTCAGATACGGCACCAATTTACAGAGTAAGTCCACGCGAGCTTCGTCGTCGTCTGCTAATCACCTTTCTCTACTTGCGCTCTCGTGGCCTCCTAAGGTAAGTAAGGTACGTGCAATCAACACCCATACACGCCTACTTAGGTAACTAAGGACTAAAGATCCCTCCTTGGCTCCACAGCCGAACCCGTCCTTGGATGCGTCAGGTTGTGGTTCGTTCGCTCGCGGCCATGTTCGATCAGATATCACTTCCCAGGACGGATGCCCATTCGTTGATCATCATGCTGGACAACACGTGCCGGACCAATATGAGATGAGGCCTCGAGGCTCCTGCAGTGTCTTTCTAGGCTCTATGCAGGGGAGAAATTGGCTGCTTTTGTTTTCTTTATTTCGTCGCTTTTCACCTTTTGTTCTTTGGCCCTCGCTTTATTTTCGGCTTCTCTTTCTCTGCCTTTTCTTTTTTGACCAAGTCAATGTGTCCATACCTACATATATACACTCCTAGTGGGCCATGCACCATATCCGCCCCCGTTGCCGACAAAAACTATACCATTGCCAAGTGGGCGCTGGCTAGGGCCATCTGCCCTTTACAGTTGGAGATCCTTGTGCTCCAGCAGGTGCTCGCGGCAGTCGTGCTTTACTTGGGGCCTGTGCATCTGCCTCAATTTCACATGTGGTGGGTTGGTGCGCCTCAATGTATGTATGTACTATGTATGTACATACCCTGGCATGCCATGCCATGCCACGCCTTGCCTGCCATGCCTTGGCCACCTGCGGCCTCGGGTGCGCTCCAGCAGATGAGAAAATCCCCGAGATGCCTGCAGCCGCAACGTACTACGCGAGGCGAGACTGTCAGAAGCATGCCACTCCATGGGAGCCTGGACAGGACGAGGTGGATGGCAGGTGCAGATTGTATCCGGCCCTTGGCTATCTGAAGCGTCACCGGCTACCATTTCTCTCTGGCTTGGCTAGCTCTGCCGTGCTTTGATCCCTTGGCGTCCGATGCCTGTGACAGGGACGAGTACATACATACATGGGCTAGGGTAGGGGGAGCTGAATGTCGGCCGAGACATGGCCGGGAAGACCGAACATCTGGGTCCTGATGGCGGCAGAAGCGGCTGCTTCTTTTGCTACTGCTTTTGTCGAGAGAGGACGAGGTAGCTTCACGCTCACATCAACAACAGGCCACATAACGACAGCCGGCTTTGATGTCACACCAACACGCCTTCCCGCGTCGCCCATCGGCAAGCCGAGCCTGTCGTAGTCTCTGCCTCGTTTGAATCTGGGGTCGTGGCGTTTTCTCGCTGTTCTGTTTGGGAAAATGCACTGGCCATGTTGGGCTTCAAGATTCAAGCTGCGGGCGTCTGTCTGGCTTCAGGCTTCAGGCTTCAGGCACAGTGCTGGGAGCCGGACCGGTCACCTCGTCAGAGGCTTGGGACGACGGCAAGCTGCAGAAATCATTGCGCGGTTGGAACGACGCGCAGGGGGGCATGTCCCGCCTCGAGGGGTGTTGCCTGAACATGCTAGCCGTTGTGGCCGGGGGGGGGAGCAGCGAAGCCTACCTATCCGTGATTCGCTGCTGAGGGTTATTGATTGCCCTCCACACTGGATGCGTCCATAACCTGTCGCCTGCCTATGCGCCACATTTTCTTTCAACTTCATTCGATCTGTTGCCTTGGCACCCGGCCGCTGCTGCCACTACGCCTAGCTGTCTTGGCCTGAGCATGGCTCGCGGACGGCCGAACCGGGCTGGCTTGGCGCTATCACGTCCTCGTCGGCGATGGGCTCACAAAGACGGCCTCTTGAAATGACCAGCTAGTTGCTGAGCTATGCTCTGCCCTGTGTCTCGTCTCATCGGACACTTTTTCCGCCCTGCACGAGGCCAGCTCGCGGGGATGGTGGGGGAACAGGGCTCGGCACTGTGACGGCAGAGCGAGACATAACGTCCATCTCCGTGACGGCAGCCACCGCCGGTGGCGAGGGCCCAGGCACGCTTCTCGAAAGGCCCTAGAACATCTTTCACGTAAACATGCGTGGTTTGGGGGGCGGGGCGGCTACGCGCAGCGCCATCTCTATCATAATTAATCAAAAAGGGGCTTGTCACAGTTTTCGCTCTCGCTGTCAACCAGCCAGAACAGCCCAGCACCGAGTTTTCTGGGTCCTGGCATACTGCCCCCCAGCACTGACCAGCGCTAGATGCACCGGACGCAGTCTGCCCTCCGCTCTTTCTGCTATCTTTTGCTGAGATCAAGATGGCCGTGGAGCGGTGAAGCTGCCACGTGTGTGTCGAGTCGACTGTTGATGTCGGCTAGGATATCATGGCTGGGCCATGTTCGTCCTTTGTCCCACGCCTCTCAGCGCCGTCGCCTAGCCCGGGCCTCAAGCGGCACCTCCTGCAGCCTTCCGCAAGCCGGCTCTCCGTCAGGAGGATCCCAAATAAGCCACTCCCCTGCTCTGCTTGTCCCCTCCACGTTAGGTATTTGCGCTGTCAAACTCATTTGTTGTTTTCTTTCCGCACGGACTATCTGCGTCATCTGGCCACCCACCATGGACCTCTTTCAAGCCTGGCTGGCCCCCGGCTCGGTGAGATCCAATGAAACATGGTACCCTCGGTCTCTCCTTGGTCGTCCACGCCCCTGCTGGTCAACAAAGCCGGCAGTGAGACAGACGCCCTGCTCGCTGGCTCCCCCACAGGGCGAGGGAGGGTGCCCTCCCACCGGGGGGCACATATCCGCAGCGGTCGGCGACGCATTTGTTTGATACATCCGGCCTCGTGGAGCCGAAGCCGGTCCCTGTCAAGAGGACGTGCGACCTTGCACCATATCCAGTGACATAACTCCGCCTTCTCTCACATCTATTGGCGGCACTGGCATACCGCTATTGCTTCGACGGTCGAGTGGGAGTTCAGACGCTGCCGCGGCCTTTCACTGGTCATTTGGTGGCTCCAACTCGACCAAAAAAGCGGTGGAACAGCCAAACGCCCTGCAAGCTCATGTGGTGTCGATTCTGTAGCTACCTGGACAAAGCACCTGCACTAAGAAGGCCGAACCAAGGTCTAGAGACACGGACACTGCCCGCCGCCGGCCCTGTAGGATGCTACATTCCCGACCTCAAGGGAAAAGAGAGGGAGGTAGACGAGCCATCTCGGCCCTTTGGTGCGTGGAATAAAAGCTCCGCGGCCCCAGCCTGCTTGAGAGGGCCACACGAGAGCGCTTTGTTGTTTGCGGGCTGAAAAGGGACTTGTTTTCTCCCCAACTAGTCTGATGACCACCAACGCAAGCGCCGTCTGAGTCCATAACTGCGTCTGTCCGCCCGTCACTGACGGGTCGTTCACCACTGCATTTCCTACTTTTTCCCTTCGATTCTCCGGACCCGCCTCACCCCCTCGCCTGATTATCTATCCCCTCTCATACCCCGTTCCGGCTGCAGGAGCAGCCATGACCGCTGCGAGACATCCACACGCGAACACTGCCGTCATGCTGCCACTGGCTTGCCTTCTTAACCCGGACCCTTCCCCGGGTCCGCAGCCAGAGCCTTGCCAAACGCCTGGGATACCAAGTCATCGACTTCCATCCCATGCGGACCAGCCAGTCGTCCTCCATAGGCGGCTGATCGATGGGCGAAGTATGGCAAAGGAGTCCAAGCTTATTTCAGGCTCCAAACCAAAGGGTGTTGTCAATTTTTATCCATTTGAAGAGGGCTTGGACGAAGCCTCGCTGCGCGAGATCCGCAAGTTCCACGTCGAGCCGTTTGGCGAGGTCAGCAAAACCTGCCGACGAATTCCTTACAACAGCGGCAAGAAAGACTTCTTTCGCAAGACTGGTCGGGAAAGCTTCGAAGGTGGGTGCATGGTGGAAGATGCGGCCTCGTCAAGCACGAAGACCGGTAGGCTGACTCGTCCAAACAGTGTTTCAATATGACTTCAGAGTGCCCGGAACCGACAAGCCTTACACGGTAATGTGGGACTACAATGTCGGGCTCGTTCGCATGACTCCTTTCTTCAAGTGCTGCAAGTACTCAAAGGTGCGTTTCTCTCTTATTCCCCCTAGCGGTGGCCCTGGAGGGGTGTTGGCTGACGAGGCATAGACAACGCCGGCGAAGATGCTCAACGTCAACCCGGGTCTCAGAGACATTACGCATAGCATTACCGGGGGCTCTATTGAAGCTCAAGGTACTTGGCCCTGCATCAAGAAGCCGCTATGATTCGCGTGGCCTCTCTTGGCCCGATGCTGACAGTTTTGCGTAGGCTACTGGATGCCGTTTGCTTGTGCCCAAGCCGTCTGTGCTACATTTTGCTGCTCGATTGCAGGCGCTCTCATTCCAATATTCGGGCCCCTATTTCCATCGCAGTGCATCCCGCTTGAAGCTCCCGAAAAGGCCCGCATGCTCATCAGCCCGGCAATCGTAGCGCAGTCGAAGCGCGACGCAGCCGATAACCTCCGCATCATCACGAAAATTGGCCTTCTTCCCAGTCCAACCCCCTCCACCAGGAGCAGCAGCCCGCAGTCGCACTCCCAGGAGCGCCGGCCCAATAGCAGCCAGGAGATGCGGCTTAACAGAGGGCTGGACGTGGATAGTAGCCCCTACTTTTCCGCAACGGATACAGATATCGACCACCAAGAAGTGCGGAGCCGGTACGTGTTTGGACGTGGCCCTCCTCCTCTGCGTAATGGACCGACAAGCGCCGCGGTAAGCATGCACACCCCGGGCTGGACGGCGGTGAATCAGTCCTCCATGGTCCGTCACCACTATGCTCAGTACGCCGCGGCCGCACCTCCCCGTTTCCCGGTCGGCATACCACTTTCCCGCGACCAAAACGGCCATCATGAGACCGCAGACCCATACCTCTCTGCTATCCCGCGGACTGCTGCTGGGTCCAGTTGCCAGCAGTCTCATCGGCCGCACTTCCGTCAACCGCTGCCGACGATGCGCTCCCGGAGATATTCCACGCACAACAGGAGCGGCAGCGGCAGCAGCATCGGTAGTAGCGATAGATTAAGCCAATACCCGGGCCAGCTCCAGCTGTCCCTCCACGTCCATAGAAGAGGGAAGCGCAGCGTCAGTCAGCTTGGTGACGATGACGACAGTTATTCTCGCAGCTTCCACGATGATGAGTATGATGCCAGCGAGAGCTTGAGCGAGAGCAGTCCTACCGTAACCATGGCAGCCGAGGATGGCAACGACGAAGATCTTGCCGGGCGCGCGCATCACCACCGCCGGATTCTTCTCCCCCATCTTCCTCCTTTTGCCACCATATCTCCGCGCCTTGCCCAGGGTCTAGACCGGCAGACGACTACCAACAGCAATGAGGAAGACGACAGCCGATCCAGTGACCGCGTCGCATCCGAGAAGGACGCAGCCATGGCTCTGATGCGTTTGAGGGCGCTGAACTCGCAGAAGAGACAGGCGGATGACGGAATGGAAGCGGCGCGTCGTCAAAGCCGGGATCAAAGGACGAGCAAGGGAGGCAGTATAAGCCAGGACTCGGCCCCAACCTCGCCATCGCGCCGAGTTGCGACCGCCCCCCATTCTTCTCCTTCTACCGTCGTTGGAAGTGCCGCTGTCGCCGTCACAAGCGACGCTGACGGCGAAGACGACGATACCGACACCCGCTCAAGCTACAGCCTCAGGAGACTCAAGAGACGCAGAACAGTCTCGATGTAAACCCCCTGCCCTTGGCTGCCGATGGCGGCATGATATGACCCGGACTCCCCTCTCACCCGCTAGTTATTCTCGTCCCTGAGATTCTTTTCAGTTCCTTTTCTCATTTTCGGACGATTTCTTCCTCTTTTTTCTTTCCTCTTACATACTGTCCCAGGCCAGAGTTTGCCGCCCCTTGCCTTGCTCAAACTATGAGCGAGTGTGCTGATTCAGGGCTTTTGCCACTTTTCCTTGTTTGTTTCGGTACTCGTTTACTTTCCTTTTTCCTTCTCTTGTTGGCAGCCGATCGCATTTCCGGGAACATGGAGGCAAGAGAAAAAGATTGGGGAAGGGAAGGACGCAGCAGCAGCTGTTACTTTCTGTGGGAGAGACGAAAACAGGCCTGACAGGGCAGGCAGCGCAAGCGCCTTGATGAGAAACGATCAATGAACATATGCATAGGTACGAAAGACATGACGCATGGTCAGTCATGGCATAGGCATAGGCATAGGCATGGGTATGGGCGCAATTACGTATTTCAGAACAGGATGGCGAGGGTGGATCGGTGACGCGTTCAGGCGCTCCCGTCTGTGCTGTGGGGAATGAACAGGTTGCGGGAAGATTTTCTGGAGTTGATTCCTTTTTTTTACCGTCTTCTTCTGTAAAGAAGTGCTATTTCCCACTTGTGCCTACCTGGCTTCCAGGGTAGCGTATTTGAATTGGTGGAAAATTGCGCAGCCTCAGTGCAGTGGTTGACGGAGCGTGCAGGAGGAATGAATGGTATTCGCACTGGATTTGTTGAAAGAAAAGAATTTTTTTATTTAAAAAAAAGGATGTATCTTGCTGCGATGCTTGGTGCTTGATATTGCTGATGATAAAAGCATTGGATCAGCGAGTGCTCCGTGGCTACGGTAGTGGTGTGTATGCCTGTCTATATATGATTGCCAGGAATACGGTTCCTTGAATTGCCTTGCTCTCTTTCCCCTTTCAACATCCACCACACACCCGTTCTCTCGGCTCTCAGCTTATCACCGGCGGCAACGATGTACGTAATGATGCATCTCCAGGAAGATGGACAAATAGGTGGTATCTGTAAGTAAATAAGTATGTACCTAGGTGTCTAGTCTGTCTGTCTGTCTGTCTGCTCTATCCATGTACACATTAGAAACCCCAAACCAAACTCGGATCTGACATAGAGCAAGACAATGCCCGCCCTAAAAGCCTGCCTTGGTTCTACTAGAAAAAATGAGCATCAACAGAAATAAGTAGACGTGTGTGCCGGGATATAGTCACGTCACTTGCCAGCAGTTCACTTCAGCAGACTCCCCACGTCATGAAAGCGAACCGAGTCCATCCACGGCGGCTGTCCCTGCCCGGCACCAGGACCAGCAGCACCGCTGCTCGAGGCACCCACGCGGCCACCCCATCCGGCACCCCATCCCGGCAGCACGCCGGCGTGTGCGACCATGGGCAGCTCGTCGCTGTAGCTGCCTGCTTCGTAACCGTTGCTATTGCTATTACTACTACTCCGGAAGGATTTGGAGGCAGTGGCGGGGGGAGGCGACGACGGCGCGCCGCCGCCGCTGCCCGACGCGAAGAGCGCTGCCGATACGTTGCTGCCGCCGCCGCCGCCGCTCGATGTCGTCGTCGTCCCTTTGCTGTGGCCTTTACCGTCTTCTTTCTTCTTCTTCCGCCTCAGGCCCGCCCAGCCCCTGCCGCCGCTCTTGTTTTGCTGCTGTTCTTCCAACTGCTGCTGGTACTGCATGGCGGCAAGCTCAGGGCTCGTCATGATGCCCATGCGCGGGCTCCGGGCAGCGGAGGAGGAGCCGGGCCACGCCGACGCGTTTTTCCCTCCTGCCCCTCCTGTGGCGCCTGGCCCTGCGCCGGCCGCCATGTGCGGCGACCTGGCTAGGCGGAAGCCCGCTGGCTGGCCGCCGGCGAATGGCCGCTTCCACCACGCGGCTGGGGTGTTGTTGTTGTTGTTGTCGCTGCAGCTGCCGCCGCCGCCGCCGACGGGGCGCTCGCCGGCGAGCTCTTCCAGCGTCACGCCCTTGGTCTCGGGGATCAGCAGCGACGTGGCGGTGCCGCAGAGCATGAAGAAGGCAAAGATGAGCATCAGGCGGTCGAGCCAGGGCGAGCACTTGCGGTCGCTGCCGTCCGAGGATGGCGAATCGGCAGCGGCGGCCGTCGGGGGGCAGTTGGCCAGCAGCGGCGTGGAGATGACCTGCGCAAGGATGGCGCCGATCTTGCCGCTGGCGGCAGAGAGGCCGTGGCCGGTCGAGCGGTAGCGCGTGGGGAAGCACTCGCCCGGTACGATGAAGGTGGTGGTGTTGGGCCCGAGGTTGAAGAAGAACTGCGCGGCGATGTACAGCACCAGCAGCGGCACCTCGGACAGCCGCGCGTTGAGGAATCCCAGCAGGCAGAACAGTACTGTGAGGACCGCGAACCCGCCGATCTGCAAGGGTTTGCGCCCGACCGTGTCGATGGTCACCACGGCCGTCCAGTAGCCCGGCAGGCTGCCCGCGCACGCCAGGATGATCAGCCCCACGGCGTTGTTGTAGAGGGCATGGTATAGGGTCGGGCCGTGCGAGTAGCCGATGGCGCTCAGCACCACCGTGTTGTTGAGCCCGAGCCCGTAAAAGGCGAGGTCCTGCGGGGAGACACAAAAGAGTCAGCGGCTGTTTTAGAGAAAGGGAGACGGAGAGACGCACGAGAAAGAACCACGACAGCGTGGTGCCCAGCAAGACCCTCAGGTTGCGGCCCTGGCTGAAGTAGGTGTAGAGGTCGGGCCACGAGGCCGAGGGGATGGCCAGGGAGGGCCCGGCCTGCTTGACGCGGGCGTGGCGCACGGGATCGACGGAGCCCTCGGAGCGGTTGGCCATGTAGGCCTTGATGTCGGCGTCGGCCTTTTCGACGTCGTGGGCCACGTCGAAGGTGTAGCGCGGCGTCTCGGGGATGGTGATGCGGTAGTACAGCGCCACGCACGCCGGCAGCGCGCCCACGGCCACGATGATGCGCCACGCCCGGTCCGCCGCAACCTGGCACGCGTAGTCGCAGTTGCCCACGCCCGCCGCCGTGATGAATGAGTCCTTGAACGCCGCCGTAACCATCAGCGCCACCACCGCGCACGCAAGCTGGCCCATTCCTTGCATCGAGAACACGGCCGCCATCATGGCCCCGCGCCACCGCGTCGGCGCGAATCTGGAGGCACACACGTGTCAGCAATGTAGGTACCTACACTGTCAGGAGCAGAGACCAACGCACTCGGATGTTATGATTGCTGATAGCGGATAGTCCCCTCCGATGCCGATGCCCTGGACGGCTACGTTAGCTAGAAACGAGAAAGGGGGAAAAGAGAAGGGGGAAGTGAAAAGGGGGGAAGTGAAAAGGGGGGAAGTGAAAAGGGGGGAAGTGAAAAGGGGGGAAGTGAAAAGGGAGGGAAAGGAGAAAAAGGGGGCCAGGCGCACCATCATGACCCTCCAAAACACCAGCAGGCCAGTTGAGCTCATGGACTGGCTCGGGCTCGCCAGCGCGCAGTTGAGTGTCGACAGCACGATGATGCCCAGCTCGATGCCGTACATGCGGCGGCGGCCGCAGACGTCGGCGAGCCAGCCGAACAGCAGCTGGCCGACGACGATGCCAGCGCTGGTGGATGCTTTGAGCGCGGTGCTGACGGGCCCCGGCAGCGAGCCGTAGTTGCCACCGAAGCCGTTGGCCGCGGCGGCCGGCGCGCCCTGCCAGAACACCACCCCCAGGAACGTCGTGATCAGGTTGATGGCGAAGATGTCGTACGAGTCGAGGAAGAAGCCCACGCCCGCCACGGCCACGGCGCGCACGTCTTGCGCGTGTGTCAGTGGGGCCACATTACATGCTAAAGGAGGGGCAAGAACATAGATACACACGTACGGTACAGCCCAAAGGGCACCTTGTCAATGTCCGACAGGGCCAGCCGCCGCCTCAGGTTGGGGTCGGAGATGTGCGAGTAGTCGTTTGCTGCGTGTGCGGACGGACAGACGGACGGGTTAGAAAACAAAACAACGGAAAAACGGACGGTTTCAGCCACGGTCTAGTATCCGCTCACCAAAGTTATGGAAGGCATTGTTGCCTCCGTGCGTCAGGCTGTGGTGCTGGCCGCTACCGCTGGCCGGCAGCGGCGCCATGGGCTCCGGTAGGTAGTCCATTGTGTGAATATCACCGAGGTACGGTGCAGTGCTGATGGTGCCGGCTCGGGGGGGCCTTCATCGTTAGATATGTTGTGGATCCGGCATGCATCAGGACGTCAGGTTACTAGGCCGCGCGCGGCCAAGTCGCCATACCGGGCCGGCGTCCGTGTCGTCCGTCGGTCGGGCAGGCAAGCGGGCCGGATGTGATGGCGAGATTTGGCACTGCGGTCCCAGCTGGTCTGGTTGGTTGTTTTCTTTGTTTGTCGTGCGTGTGTGTGGAAGTGGAGATATGGTCAACAGATGAAAGACAAAGGCGGAAGAGCCTCTAGCGGTTAAGGGGGTGATCGAGCTTGGGCAGTGATTTAACAAGACCAAAGCTGCCGGCGAGCAAACCCAAGATAGCGAGCGAGACGGCACGAGTAAGTGACACGGCACGAGTAAGCGCGAGTGGGCGAGTGGGACACCAGAGACAAGATATCGGACCCTAGAAGGATTTTGGGGAGCGGGTTGTGTAACCAGGGCGAAAGTGACGAGAGCCCAATCGGCAGCCCTCAGCTAAGTAGTCTATCACTTCTCGAGTTATGCGGACGCCGAGCGGAGCGGGAGACACTGATGAAGTCGAGGTGGGATGAAGAGGTGTGTAGGGCCCGTTCTGCTCCGTGCCCGTACCAGGGTGCTGGTATATGTAAGGTGTGTGGGTGGGTGATCTGTGGTATGTTCTGTGGTATGTACCGGGCAACTCAGGCGATCGGGCAAGGCAGCCGGGGATGGGTGACTTGTTCAGATTTGCTCAGAGCGGGAGTAGCCCAGAGCGGGAGTAGCCCAGAGCGGGAGTAGCCCAGAACTCGTCCTGAGAAGCAGAAGAAACAACTTTAGAAGTTATGATGCCAAACGCCCCGTTCTTCAAGGAAGAGGATGGAGAGCAGAAGCTAGACATAGGTCGCTGGAGGAGGAAGCGGAAGGCATGATATGGACAGACAGCAAAGCAACACTGGGGCTTATTTGCATCGAGACATCTCTCTATCCCCATCTAGCCTTCGCCCGTCCTAGACTAAAGCACTGGCTGCATGATGTGATGTCTGTCTGCCTCTCATGCAGCAGCCATGTCGGTTCCGTGCTGGCGGATTTGTCGACCCTGCCCTGCCCGCATCTGCCCCACTGCAATTAACTGAATGCTGCACACTGCAGTCAATATGGTGGCGCCAGCCTTTTCGAGGCTCATCTCCCTCGACAAGTCATCGTGTGTGTTCGCGGGCCCTGGCTCCTTACTTAGTTTGCTTGCTCGAGTTGGTGTCTTGAGTTGGAATCCTAAGTAAAATGAAATAAAAAGTAGCAATGAGGTTGACAGCGTTTGGGGGCGGCGGCGGCGGCGGCGGCAACAAACTTCACTTCTTTCAGTGTCTTCTTTTTTTTTGGAGGAGATACGCACACGTGTAAGAGGGGGGAGCGCAACCGGCACCGGCCAGAATTGCCAAGCCCAGCCTTTCTTTCCGTCGGCCTCTCAGGGGCTGCTGTCGTGCTTCCCACCCCAGACTCGGACTCGATGGCGTGGCCAATGGGGGCGCTTAGTCTCCCACGTGCTCTCTCAACCTCGACTCTCCACTGTCATCTACACACTAAAAGTCGTCGCTCTCTGCTTCACCGAACCCCCGTTTCGGAAGACACACAGTCTCCAGACCTAAGCTTTGGCGATCAATGCATTACATGTTTAAAAAATAAGGGGGCGGTTCTGTTGGTCACCTTTGCTCGACGCAAGACGCAGAGACTCCTGCATTGGTCGAGAGCCAACAAGACTAACAACAGCCCACCTCATATATGCATGTACCGAGCAAAGAATAGAGACTCCATATTGATAGTTGATTTTGATCAGAAAGAGGATTCACTTTGGTCCGTGCAAATCCCCGGCTTCTTGTGGTGCCCCGGCACACGAAGAAGCGAGTAAGGGTGGCCTGCCGTACCACAGCACCCACCTTAGGCCTCAATCCGCGCCATCCGGCACAAACCTAACGTAGGTCGGTCCCTCTTGAACCCGGCAGCGGCAACACATGCCTCACGGCGGCCCGCTAGCCCCCCACACCACATCTCGCTTGCGGCGCCATTGGCCATGCCGGATCTGTATGGGAGCATATCATCTGGGTAGCGGACGGACGCGAGGCTGAGAACAGTGAACATCGTCAATCACCGCGTCCTTCTCCCCACGTGCCGGGCAGACTGTCAACATTGTCGTCAAAAAGCTTCGGTGAGAAGAAAGCAAAAAAAAAAAAAAAAAAAAAAAAAAAAAAAGCAAAGAAACTGCCGCCGGCTCGAGGAGGGTCTTTGCACGTCATACAATGTAAGTCGGCTCACACCCTGGGCCGTCGATATTCGGCATTGACCTACTCCGCTGTTTACATGCACGTGCCTACATGGCGTAGCCGTGTTGGCTGGCTCGAGCAACGTGCTCCCCGGCTCGACACGCGTCGGCAAGTATGGAACTGTCGGACTATATCGACACTCGCCCCTTCCTCGATCCTGAGGACGTCAGCAGCGACCCCGGCATGGAATGAGTAACTGGCCCTCTGCAACACAACACGGCTGTCTATACACCGTCAACGACCTAGGGCTGACTGTGGCCGGAAAGAAAAACCAATCTATTTAGCAACTGTCTAATTACCACGCCGTAATGTCGTCCACCTCTGCTTCTCCAAACGTGCTGCTCTTGGTTAACTGTCCCACCGAGCTCTCCGCCACCGCGCCGTCGATGTCCTTGTCTACAATGTCGGGGAGAACCTCTCTCAGGAACTGCAGCGTGTAGCGGTTGACCTGCTCGAACTGCAGCAAGAAGGCGTCGTGGCCCTCGGGGCTGTCTATGCGCTCTAGCAGCGCGCCCTTGATGTGTTCGGCCAGCTCCTCCTGCTCGGCAAACGTGAACAGCCCGTCGCTCTCGATGCCCAGCACTAACGTCGGCTGCTTGATCATGGCGAGCGCATCCGCAATCGTCGCGGCCCGGCCTCTGCTCACATCGTGCGTGTCGAGCTTTCGCGTCATGGCGATGTAGCAGTTGCTGTCGAACCTCTTGACGAACTTCTCCCCCTGGTATCGTAGATACGACTGCGCCGAGAAAAACGTCGAACCCGCCGGGATCACGTCGCCGCCTGTTAGGCTACCGCCGCTCTGTGGGCCGTGGAACTGCGGATCCAGGGAATCCGGAATGACCTCGGTCGCCGCGCCTGTGGGTTCAGCGGGACTTGCCCCGGTCCCGGTCCCGGTCCCGGCTCCGCTGCCTTGGCGGGACAACGACGTCCGCTTCCACTTGTGCCCGTCGTTGTGGATGTGAAAGTGTGCCTCGGACGGCGTCGTAGCCACAGACCGGTCACGGATCGACTGGCGGCGCGACGGGTCGGGGACATTGCGGCCGAAGCGGGCCTCGAACGAGTTGCGGCTCCTGTACGTCAGGAGAGCAGTCATGCGAGCCGCGCCAAGGCCCGTCACCGGCGGGTCGAAAAAGGGATAGTAGCCGTCGTCGTACTTGGGGTCAGCATAGATGGACTGGCGCTGGGCCTCGCCCCAGCTGATGCCCCAGGCACTGTGGCGGCTGGACGTGGCTATGGGCACGATGCAGCGCACATAGTCCTTGCCAAGGTAGGCCCACTCGAGCACAAACATGCCGCCCAGCGACCCCCCAATCACGGCCGCCACCTGCCGGACGCCCAGGTCGTCCAGGAGCAGCTTGTGCAGTCTGCGATGTGTGTGAGATTGAGACGAGAATGAAGAGAGGGCGATCCATGCTTACCGGACATCATCCCTTATGGTGGTCAGGGGAAACTCGGGACCGTAACGGTCCTTGGCCGGGTCGCCGTCCTTGGCCGTGACGGGGCTGGCGGTGCCATAGGGGCTGCCCAGGCTGTTCATGCAGACGACAAAGAAGCGCGATACGTCAAAAGCCCGGCCGGGCCCGCCCAGCAGAGGCCCCCACCAGTCGGCCACGTCGGCGCTTCCAGTCAGGGCATGGCATATGACCATAGCATTGCTGCCGTCGGCGGCGAGGGTGCCCCGAGTGGTGTAGGCCACGGGGACATTGCGCAGCGTCACGCCCGACTCGAGTGTAAACTCAGGGACGACGGCGATCTGCTGGTCTGGGATGAGCGCCGCGAACGGATTCTCGGGCTGGCTGTGGATTCTTTCTTGGAAGTATTCAGCCACTGCTCTCGTCACCAGGGTGCCAATCCGACAAACCTCACGGTATCAGGGGGCGAGCTGGGACTGGGTCCGAGGTAGACTGACCGTATTTTGGGGGTTGCGGCTCGGGCTGGTCACCACTGCCCGTTGCGTTGTTGGGCGTCGCCGTCATGGTAGTGGCGGCGTCTGTGTTTCTCTATAGTCCGTCCTAAATCTTTCGCAATTGGAAAAATTAATGCCTCGTCCAAAGACAGTGACGATCTATGGTGTACCTGTATATCTGGCGGCCCCGTTTCACGCTACCTTGCAAGATTTCTGAATGATTGATACCGAGACCCGGATGCCAGAACTAGTGCTACCTCAAGCAGATGCGGGTGCAAGAGGTGATAAGCAGGCGACTAGAAGCTTCCAAAACGCCCAAAGTGCTTGAACTGAGATGTAAAGAGCGTGGCAGCAACATTGAACGTATGACTCAGATGTTAGGCAGGTATAGCTGGGATTCAAGCCGCAAGCGTGGATTGCGCAATTCTCTTCTCCCACTAAATACGCGGTACCTCACCGTATAATGTAAGCTGGCACCTTCCCTTCCCGCGGTGTAAGTCAGTCCCGCCCGCCGGCAATCGGCCGTTGAAAGTTTTTGAGTGGCCAGTGCACGCACGTCACTGCCAGGCGTTGGCGTCGCGCCTCACGTGTTTGGCGGGCCGTGCACGTACCACACCGAAGTAGATTCTTGTATTCTGTTGCCGCACACCGCCCTGTTCCTGAACAGCTCCGCCGTCTGCTCATTGGCGAATTTAATCTGTTACCTCAGCGGTACCCACTTCCTTCTCTCTTCTCCAATCGCAACCCCTGCAGCCCAGTCAAGCAAGAGAGGCTGCTGCACTTCATGAGAACAGAACTAAACCATTTACCCAAAAAAAGGTGGGGTGGGACAGGTGAGGTTGACCTGCACACTAGGTAATAATACATTGTTGTAGTGGAGCCTAATCGAAATGAGGCTACATATAAGCACCATATTACAGGGGGTGGCGCGCCTAAGAAACTAGCCTCTATGTTAAACAATGCAGACAGTGTAGACGCCTCCCGTCATATCCCTCTCCTCCACCACTCGTGCCTTCTTAGGCGCGGCATACACGAAAGAGAGGTGAAAATCGATCACCATGATCCCCTTCGTTTCGTCATTCCAGGTGAGGTTGGCATTCCTAATGTCGTCATGCTCGACACCGTAGCGATGCAGCGCCTTGACCGCCGCGTCCACCTCAGCCTCCACGTCCACACCAGCCGGCGGCGGGCGGTGGCAGAGCGTCGTGCCGGCCCAGGAGAGGAGCATCATGTGGGTCGCGGCGGCGGCGCTGCGGAGCGGGTAGTGGTAGACGAGTTCGATGTTACCCAGGTAGACGGGGATCCAGATCCCCTGGAAGTCCAGGCAGTGCGAGTAAATCCACGCCTCGTCCGTAAGGGTATTGGCATCAGCTCTCTGGACGCCCTTGGCGACAAAGGAATATCAGTACGTCGGGTCGGTTAATTCAAACAAGACACCCGTTGCGCCAAACATGCCGTATTTGTCCAGGCACTCGCAGCCGTCGTCGAGATTACGGGAGAGCCGGTCCCGAACACGCAGGCATAGCTCGGATGCTGAGATGGGGCGGTGCGATAGGTAGCCCTGTTTGCTGCTATGTACAGGTGTGTTTGGGCAGTTGGGATCAAGAGGGCCCTTACGACGGAGCCCGAGCAGACAAGCTTGCGTGCAGTATTGCTCAGTATCGGGCCCACCGCGCTGGTGGGAAGATGACTTGCCGCCGCCGCCATTATTGTGGGAAGAAGGCAGCGCTGTGGGTCTTGGTTCCTCTCTCTTTCGCTTCGCCATAGCTGCTGTTGGACGATTGTCGTTGGTATCCTCATCATCATCACATTCGTCCCATTTTCCCTTTATAATGCTGCGACAAGAAGCGGGGGTGTCGTCAGGTAGAGGAGGAGGAAGGGAGGGGGCAGCGTCTCCCGTAATGGCGACACCAGCGCCTGGCTGGTTATCCTTTCTCTCCTTGGGCGACGGCCACCGTGGGAGGGTCTGCTCCGCGTTGAGGATCCACTGAGCAGGGGGGATATCGGCTTTGAGGGCGAGCAGGCCGAGCGTGGCTAGCTGTACAGCGTGTGATTGGCTGAGTGACGGCATATCGGTAGGAGATTTATCGCAAAGGTGGATAAGCAAGACGTCGGGGGTATTAAACGGGATAGTGAGAAAGACCATGCATTCCCCCGACGCAGCGTATCTATACTCTAGACCAGTGACAATCATATAATGGTAGGCTTGGCACAGAACCTTGGCCACCTTGGTACTCTCGGTACTAAGCCGACCGGCTTCCCGTTCGGCTTCGACCTGCTAAGCGTAATCTTCAAAGAGCGTCTTGGGAAGAGGGCCGCTACCGAGGACCTGGTGGTAGCTCGCCCCTGGGAGCTTGTGAGCAGCCTTGTACTCACCCACCAGAGCTGTTGTTTCGATGTTGGTTTTTTGGGTGATGTGGACTGCCCATCGGTCGGGGGCTAGGCTAGTTGGGCGGTCCGGAGATCTCTTCTTATTGGGTGGCGGCAGGCTCTTCCCGTCGCCCTGAACTAGTTTGGGATGAAGGCCATATGCGTTGTTGTGGAACTGAAGCTCGGTGCCTTGGAGGAGCTTATGCGTCGCGGCAAACTTGTTCACTATCACCATAGCAGGTCGTTCGGCGTAGGCGCGGATGAAGGGTACGATGTCCTTCTCGTCTTTTCTCGAATTGGGTGAGAGGTTCTTCTTGGCCATGTCGTCGAACTGCTTTTCGCAGAGGAGAGGAAACTCGTCCCATCGGCGTACGGTTCGGGGGTAAACCTTACTGTGGACATCGGTGACGCTTCCGCTAGACCGTTTAGTTGTATCATCCTCGACGATCAAGGCCGGGACGATGATGGTCTGTAGATTGCGTATGTAGTCCTGAAAGGTTACATCTTGCATCTTTCTTTCTGCTTGGTCCGCTCATCCTTCTGCTTGGTCCGCTCATCCTTCTGCTTGGTCCGCTCATCCTTCTGCTTGGTCCGCTCGTTTTTTTTCTTGGTCCGCTCGTTCTTCTGCAAGTCTCCTCTGTTCTCTTTCTTGATACAGCTGCGCCTGCGCCAGTAGTAGCTGACGCTCTAGCTCAGACATTGCGAAGGCGTGCAGTGGAAGGGGAATTAAAGACGTAGAGCGGGGTGCGTTGACGAAGCAAGAAGTGGGAAGACGCGAGGAACGCAGGAAATGCGGGGAAGCACAAAAACAGACCGTGCCCATGACACGTGACTAGGCGAAGCTTGGCAATTTGTCAGCCACTCACGTCCAAGCTCGGCCAAGCAACAAACCTGTGAAATCCAGCCAAGTGGAGTGTCAAGCGAACCGCAACCACGATCGACGCCCAGCACGCGGTTGCTGAATTTCTTCGCCCCTCTGAGCTGAGCCGAAGAATCCAGTCGACTCCCGACTGCCGATAACCTCCAACAGCCACAAGGTCTTTGGTAGGTGACATTCATTCATTCGATCTTCCGCCGCCGAGCCCAAGTTGCGACTCGAGACTGAACCGACCCTCCCGCCTTTGATTAACCACATCGCCAGTCGCTCTTTCAACTGCTAACAACAAACGGCTCTTCGCAATCTGTGGCGCCAACGACGAACCATTTCCTTGTCTCTTTCCATTACTAAAAGATATTCTCCCCCTCAACTAGCTTGAACTGCTTTGTCGAGCCAGACTTGGCAGCTCTTTTTTCTTTTTTTGCGACCAAATCCGGCCGACAGCTGCGTCCCTCACCCGCGCCTCACCCTACCTCACTCTAGCTGTTACTATCCAAACCGCGTCGTCCCTTCTGTCTCTGAATTTGCGCGCCTGCTACAAATACCCGCGGGCTGCATCCCGCATCGTCGATAAATGACACCACGTCTACCGTGTTGTTATTAAGTGCGAGAGAGAGAGAGAGAGAGCGAGTGCGAAAGAAAGATAGCGAGAGCGCGTTATGCCTCCGAAGCGAAAGAGAAACGATCGCGGCCCCAGCGACTCAGGCCCTTCTAGACCCTCGCCGCACCGACCTGGCGATACAGCCATGGCACAGCATGATCGGGGATACGACGGAGGAGGCCGTGGTGGCCGTGGAGGGAGGAACCAACGGGGCCCAAATCGCCGCGACTCGTCACAATCATATACCGGTGGAGGTACAGGCACAGGCACAGGCACAGGCACAGGCACAGGCACAGGCACAGGCGGAGGCGCCGGCGCTCTGTCCTCGGTTTCTGGTCCCATCTCCCCTAACCTTGCTCGCCCTTCGAGTTCATCCTCGGCCACGGCATCCCAGTCTCTGCCGCCCGTAGCTGTGACGCCCATACCGCAGCAGCAGGCGGTGCCCGAGTCGCCGATCCAGCCCGGCTACGAGTACAGCATTATAACCGACGACCGCATTGGGAAATGGGCCAAAGGTGCGCGACAAGAAGTCATCGACCATGGGGTGCAGTCGCGCGACGACGAGGACCTTATAGAGGTGACCGCCATCTTTCAAGAGCTTCTACACTCTGCAGCCGACGGCCGATTCCCTGCTGTCGATGCTGGCAATGTTGTCAAGGATATCTTGGGCCCCGAGCCCGCCGAGGCTGCCCGCGGGTCTCTCACCTTTGACCCCCACTCCATATTTCTCGACACTGTTGCGATATTCATCGACGTCGAGCTAGACACCTACAAGCCGGTATTGGCCGAGTTCATGGCTGCCACCGAAGTCTCGCCGACGCTCATGCGCCTGGTACTCGATCCAGCGTTCCTTGAGGAGGTCGACCTCGTTCACCGCACATTCGTTCGTATGGGTATACGACACTCGACAAATTTGCTCTACCGCCAAGCAAACTACAACCTCCTGCGCGAGGAGACAGAGGGTTACTCGAAGCTTGTCACCGAGGTTTTCGCGACCAGTAGTGCGGAGCCTCCTACTTCAGAAGTCGTGCGAGCCGCGTTCAATAGGGTTATGGGCCTTATCGGAACATTCGACCTTCACCCTGGTCGTGTTCTTGACGCGACGCTCGACGTCTTTGCTTCTGTCCTTATCAAGCAGTTCCGCTTTTTCATCAAATTTCTCCGCATCAGCTCGTGGTGGCCCAGCAGCCAGATCAGACTGCCAACCGACATGTATGCCGGAGGCCTGCCCATATGGGGTCTTCCAGACCATGACCACTGGCTCGCTAGTGAGGACGAGGAAGCTACCATTGCCATGCAGCGGCTGGCACGCGATGTTGCGTTCTGGCAGAGGGCCCGCGAGAAGAAGATCGGCGCTTTCTTTGAGTTGGGCGGCCGCCGGCTTCCCACGGCAGAGGAGCAGCGCATAGCCGATGCCTCGCCCGAAGAGGGGCCAGGCGCCGACCTGGATCAGGCGTGGATCAAGATCACGAAGACGCTGCCGCCCCCAGGCAATCAAGATGCAGCTCAGATGCTCGGTTTCAAGTTCCGGTTCTACACTTCGGACGCTAGGGATCCCGAGGACATACTTCCAGCCAATCTCTTGTACCTAACGGCGCTTCTAATCAAAGTCGGTTTTGTCTCACTGACGCACCTTTGGAACCACATCTGGCCCCCCGATGACGACATGGAGAAGGTGAGGGACCAGAAGATGAAGGAGCTCGAAGAGCAAGAGAGAATGAACCGACCCGGAGGCGCCGTCAACGCACTCATGTTGGCTGGCACTCTCCCCGACGACATGCCGCCGCCTACGGTATCGCGCCGTGACCCCGCGGCAAATAAGGTGGATACTGAGGCCAAAGCTGCTGAGGCAGCCTCGGAGAAGCCAAAGCTCCCAGACCCGGACGATCAAAAAACCGGCCTGCTCAAGTGCCTCCTTACGATCGGAGCCATTCCGGAATCCCTATTTATTCTTGGTCGGTACAAGTGGATGCTCGAGGCTAACCCTGACGTCCTACCTCTGATTCATCGGATTCTCCACCACTCCGTTGAACAGGTCTTTCAAGAGTGCCAGCCGAAAAAGTCTCATGTCGCCGACTGTCCGGCAAAGAGTCTTCCCGACGCCGACCAGTCTCAGAGCCCCAAGGGTAGTGTCAAGCTCAGCCCGCTCCCAGCCAAGCGACCCCTTAAGTGGCCTTACCCGGACAAGGCAGACTATAACGAGGGTATACAATATCGGTTCTACTGGGACGAGTGGGCCGATAACGTTCCCGTCTGTCAGACCGTCGACGATGTCTTCACGCTCTGCGAGACATTCTTGAATGTTTCTGGCGTCAATATTGGCCAAGACGCCGCCCTGGTTTCTAAACTCACCGCTATCGGCCGCAAGAGCCTTGCCGACGACAAGTCCGCGCCAAACGTTGCGCGCTGGCTAAATCTCCTCAAGCGGCTCTTAGTTCCGTCTCTCAGCCTGACACGCACCAACTCGTCAGTTGTCGAGAGCGTCTGGCAGCTTCTCAGGCAGTTCCCTGTACAAACTCGGTACAACATCTATTCCGAGTGGTTCGAGGGCACCACGTCGCGCCTTGGGCCCATGAAGAAGGCCTTTGGCCGGACACGCCTCGAGACGCTTAGGATAATGAAGCGCCTGTCGCGCACCAACATTCCCGAGATGGCAAAGGCCCTCGCTAAGACTGCATACCCCTCCCCCGGTGTCGTGTGCAAGGTTGCGCTGGGTCAGATTGAGTCGTACAGCAATCTCATCGAGGCGTTTGTCGAGTGTGCCAGCTATTTCACAGACCTTGGGTACGATGTGCTCGTCTGGTCTGTACTGAGCTCCCTTGGAGCCTCGAGAAGCCGCACGCAGGAGACCTCTGTGCTGCTCACTGGCAAGTGGCTTCAGGCGCTCTCGAAATTTTCCGGCAAGGTGTTCCAGCGCTACGCCAACATGGATTCGTCACCTATCCTCCACTATGTCAGTGACCAGCTATACAAGGGCAACTCGACAGATTTAGTCATTCTCAAAGACTTGATTTCGTCCATGTCTGGCATTGTGTCGGATCTGGACTTTACCGACCCCCAGCTTCTCGGCATGACCGGTGGAGACCTCCTGCGGCGCGAGACATTGATCGGCCTAGGCGACAAGCGGTCCGTGTCAACCAAGACAGCGACCCGCCTCACAAAGGCCCTTGTGGACACGAAGCTGGCCGGCCGCCTGCTCGTCAATCTCGCACAGTATCGCCAGAACGTGATATTCAAGGCCATGGACACCAATGCGCACGTCAAGTATATAGGCACCGTGGTCGACGACACTCATACAACTCTCCTCCAATATCTCGACCTTTTGCGAAGCAACCTCGACGGGGACAAGTTTAATAGCATCGTCCCGAGCATCATACCGCTCATGCGTGACTTTGGCCTCGAGGCAGGGCTTGCCTTCTTGCTCGGGCGCGCTAGCATCCGCTCGGACATGAGGAGCTCAAAGACTCCCCCGGAGAGTCAGAGCCAGGCCAAGGCTCTTACAACCGATGTCGACGGCGATGTCGCAATGGTATCGAAAACCGACAATTCAGGGGACAAGGTAGAAGCCGAGAGCAGCTCATCCAAGGTAGTCAAGGGCCGCAAATCGGACCCGGTCTTGGATGCCCTACAGCCCCTGATTGATGAGATGCCCAACGTCATGCCTGAGCGTATATGGCGTTGCCTCAGCCCAGTGGCCTACGTATTTTTCTGGTCTCTGCAGCTTGGTGATCTCTCGTTCCCGCTGGAGAGCTATCGTCTTGAAAGCTCTAGACTTAGAAAGCTCGCCGAAGACGCTATGAAAGACAGGTCTGACATGTCACGAGCGGGCATGAACAAAAAGACACAGAAGCGCAATGACCTTATGGGACGTCAGAAGGATCTCATTGAAGAAAGCAACGAGGAACTCGGGCGCTTCTCTAGGACGAGAATACAGATCTCTAAGCACCTCCAGGCCTGGTTCCCGGCTGGCATGGCCAAGGTTGATACGACCTCAGTCGCGCTGCTTGAGTACTGCATTCTGCCTCGTCTACAGCTTTCGCCACTTGATGCGGATTATTGTCTGAGGTTGCTCAAATTTCTCCACGAGTTCTCGACACCCAACTTCAAACTGATGTCGCTCTATGACCAGCTGTTCAACCACAACCGACTGCGCTCTATCATCTTCACTTGCACGGTGCGTGAGGCCGAGCAGTTTGGTCGCTTCTTGAAGTCTATACTTGGCGACTTGTCGAGGTGGCATGGTGACAAGACCGCCTATGAAAAGGAGGCTCTAGGAGTAAAGGACGTGCCCCAAGGCAAAAAGACATTCCATGGGTTTGCCACGGCTTTTGGCGAAGATGGGAAGCCGACGGCGTTTTTGGAACACGACGCCTTCAAGGATCTTCTTTTCCGTTGGCATAAAGAGCTCAACACCGCTTTGAGAAGCTGCCTGAACTGCTTGGAGTGGATGCATATTCGAAACGCCATTACGGTTCTCAAGGCCGTGCTCGACTTCTTCCCCGCCATCAACTTCATGGCCGACAAGTTCCTCGAGCAACTCAAGACTATTTCCGATCGTGAGGCGCCATCCAAGACGGCTGCCGAGTCTGAGCAAGGCCACCGCGTCGATCTCTCGGTGACAGCTCAGACCACCTACTCCGACCTTGTGAAGAGGAGGTCTAAATGGATACTGGTCCAGGCGTTCCGACCAGGCACAGTAAGCTCACACACCCCGAGTATCCGTAGAATGACGACGCTAACCCTGGCACAGACTAGTGAGTCTAAGGACGAGAAGCCATCCGCCCCGCCGACTCTCCGACCTACGGCTCCCGAGTTTAGACCCCCCAAGCCGGCACGAACTCAGACTACCGCCGAGGTCGAGGATGGGGAGGTCAAGGACCACAAAGCCAAAGCCACCAATGGATCTACCAGCCATGAAACCGGGCACAAGCAGCCTTTGGCGCCTAAGGACGTGAACACAAGCTCGGGAGCAGCTGCCAAACCCTCTACCCCGAAACCCGCTTCTGCCACTCCAGTGTCAGCACCAGGGAGCCGTGCAGACTCTAGCAAATCCTCGTCGCTCCCGCAGAGCTCCCACGGGCTTCCGAGCAGGCCGGAGCTTCCCACCAGACCCGACGTGCCCTTTCCACCATTTAGGGCCCCCGTTGACAGGTACGGCTCGGTCCGTCGGGACGCAAGGGACCCAGCGTCGAGGGACCCGCCCCGGGACCCGGCACGAGACTTTAGCAGAGAGACTCGTGATGGTCGAGATACAAACCCTCGAGATTCAGCGACGCGCGATGTTCGAGAGCCGTGGGAAACTCGCGACACGCGTGAGCCCCTCCCCGCTCGGGAGTCTCTAGCTGCTCGCGAAGTGGCTGCCCGTGAGACCAGAGACCACCGGGTGCCAGACAACTCACGCCTCGAGAGGCCAAGGGACTTTTCGGCATCTGATAGACGCCCAATAGAGCCTGTCATACGAGAACCAGGCCGGCCTTCAGACAGGGATTGGCCGAGTCGCGCTGAGCCTCCGCCACGGTGGAATGATCATTCAACGGCCCCAGACCGTGATAATCGCCAACCCCGAGAGAGACCTCCGCACGGCTCAAGTCGCCGAGACACTTCTAGGCCGCCGAGGGAACCTGCTGTGCCCGTGCCAGCTCCAGCAACTAGTTCGATGCAGCCTGACGTCAAAGGGCCCACGATCAACCCAGAACGTGAGCGTTTACTTGCCGAAGCTATTCGAGCGGATATCATCAACCCTGCTCGAGCCGCTCTTATCAATGACACAAAGCCTCCCGCACGCCAACAGGCCCGAGACCAGGCCCGGGATCAGGCCCGAGATCAAGCGCGCGATCAAGGTCGTGACCAAGGTCGTGAGCGGCCGCCTCGAGTTGATTCTCCGAGACGACCTGATCATTTGGCCCCGAATGCACCTCAGCCGGACACTGCTCGAGATGATCGTCACGGGCGCCCGGCCCGCCATTCGGACTATCAAAGCTCGAGTCGAGATGGTCACGGAGATAGCATCTCGATTCCACGGCCTGACCGAACCGGAGAGCGAGAGGGCGACAGGGCGCCCGGGCCCAGGGATCTGCCTCATGGGGGCCAGCTGGGTCGCGGCGTGGAACAGGATCATGGCAGGCTCAACCAGCAAGATCCCAATTATGGCCGGCTGAATAATATTCCGTCTGTTGTCGACATACCAGCGGGTCCTCCATCGGGTCCACGAGGTCGTGGAAGAAACACTGTTAGGGTTAGCTCGGCCAACGTGCCCCCAATCCGGACGGATAATCGATTCCCAGCCTTAGACCCCATCCGTCCTCCATCACCTGAGCGCCACCCACCCACAGGTCCTTCGTCATCCAGACCACGACGGGGGCAATACGAGAATAATAACAATTCTACCGGCAATAGCGGGAGCACAGACTCGCCGACGACAGCCGCGCCCCCCGCAGGCGGTGTCCACCCTGACAGGATACACCGGATCAGCCATCAACAGCCGCCTGCCCCTCAGTCGCCGATCCATCCGGACCGTATTAACCAAATCGCTGCAGTGCCACAGCCTTCTGGCCCGAGCTCCCATTCACGGCCGCCGGTGAATAATACAATAGATCGCACCTCAATGCCTGGGCCGAACTCGAACTCCCGGCCGGCACCTCCGGCCGCGATCAATACGGACTTTTCAACTCCGACCGGCCCGGCGGCTTCGAACGACCGAATGAGGCCTGGCGGCATTAGGCAATTGCGAGGAATTCAGAATACGCTCGAAAAGGCCTCGGCGGACAGCGCTCGTGGCTCGACCAACCTCCGCATGTCTCGCTCACGTACCAACCTGGCGGGATCAGATGCACAGATATTAGCCGGATCGTCGCCTGTAACAACGCCGGTTCAGGAGCGGCCAGACCCTATTCGCGACACTTCTCGTCGTGAGATGAGCTCAGACCGCGCTCCACGGGGCCCCGAACCGATCCAGGTAGTCAGTGACAGCCGTGACGGTCGTGGGGCGCCCAGTGAAGATTACGGGGCCAGCAGGGGCGACCATGATCGTAGCCGCCGGGACCACCACCGGTCCGACCGCAGCAATAGGCCTTCTCGGCGCAGCAGCCGAGAGCGCAGCCCTGAACGGGAGCGTGAGGTCAAAGACATGCGTGACTACCGAGACAGGAGATCCGGTCCGCCACCACCGGGTGCTCCCGCTGAGAGGGACATGGGTGCGCCACGCCGATCCCTTCGCGACTCGGTTAGCAGTAACAGGGACCCCTTGCCGAGTGGCCGAGACATGGTGCCTCCTCGCGAGTCGCACCACCGTAGTCATCGGAATGAGGGACCACCAGGTGCGAGGAATGATGTGATACCAGTGGGAGGCCGGAGCGATGGACATGGCGGTCGGCCCGAGGGCATGGGAGGCCGCGGCGAGGAGTATGGTGCTGGTGGCCGAGGCGGATCTTCTCGAGGAACCGGAGTCCCGAGGGATTCTAGAACTCGACAAAGCGACGATCGCGGTGACCCGCGCGGAGACGACAGGAGCAGGAAGCGGAGGAGCGAGGGCGGCGCCATCGACTCGGTCAGCCACCAAGACAAGCGGCCGCGGCGTTAGAGATGATTGTGGCTATTACGAATGGTGAAGACCGAGCCTGTGGCACTGAGTCCAGACCAAAGAAGAGGGGAAAAAAAGAAATAAAAAAATAGAAGAAAGGAGGAAGAAACCCGAAGTACACATAGTTATCATCATTGCGACCACGGCAAGGAGTCCATCACAGATTGGAGGACGGACACAATTACATGTCGCGCGGTTGGCTCCCCACCCACTCTACAAATGATAGAGTTACGACCAGATTCTTAGAGACTATGGCCACGACCAGCATCGACGACGGAATCGATTTTGTTTTTAATTTATTATTCTGCCAACGACGCGACTTTGTGACAGAAAGTCTTCCCGAGCGGCCCCGGGAGTTATTTTCCTCCCACCATCACAGACCACCTCATGGGACCAGCAAGCCTTGCCCGTCTTCCTCCCTCTTCGACAAATGGGCCGCAATTCACTGTGCAATATTCCCTCCGCCTCTCCACCTAATATTTGTATACTAGAGCAATCCACCACTGCTCGCCCTCAATTAAATCTGTCTGTCTCGGCGTTGAGAGAATCGGGAGCATAAAACGGAGGGGTTTGGGGCATAAGTAAGGCGAAAAGAACGATTAAGCATATTTTTGGGGCGTTTTCTTCAAAAGGGGCTCATGGTTATTGGTTATGGGCCTTTCGTGTTCCCATTTCCCGGGCACAGGAGCATGAATGCATTGCGCGGCGGTCTTGTGTCTTTTGGGGGATCAAGGGCGGAATTAAAGGTCTGGCTGTAATTATACTTGGGGTGATTGGTCTGGACTGGGCCTGTCTGTGGATAGACAGGAGAACGAGAAATGGGAGAGCCTTGGAGGGCTAGCAGACCATCTGGGTGTAGATATTACGTGTAACGTGTACGCGCGTGTGCATAGAGTCAATCCATCTATCTACTGTATCCGGCATGTGGACCTTGGTTCGTTGTTTGTGTTTTCGTGGTCTCGATGTGAATGATGGCTAGGGAGGAGAGAACTCGGGTCTAAGGGAGGAATAATAAGCCAGCAGAAACTTATATTAAACTGAGCCGTAATGACAAAGTTATTTGGTGGAATTTCGGATGTCAGGAAGGTAATAGCTCGTAATAACTTGAACCAAACTCAATCGTATTCTTTGCCGGGGTAGGCACGAATACATGTACCCTAACCCTGACAGACCACAACGAAGCCCGTCGATCTTAGCAACCTCGAAGCTTGAACATGACTGATTCCGTTCCTCGAATTATTCCACACAGCACGCAAACTCTCAACAATCGCAACGCCTTTCTGGCAGCCAACATGTCGCACATGACCAATACGCTAGCGACGCCAGAACAGCTCTACCAGCGGCGGTCGTACAGCTCGCTGCCGCCGGACCTCCAGGACGCCATCTTGTTCGCGACGCAATGCCTCACCCAGGCCGCCGGCGTCCTGCTCCAGCTCCCCCAGTCCGTGACAGCCCAAGCAAACGTGGTGCTGGCACGGTACTGGCTCGTCGAGCCATTGATGGGCTACGAGTTTAGTGTATGCATTTTTTTTACCTCCCCTTCCTGCAAGCGCTTGGGAGAGACAACCTGCTGAACTAGCGCACCCGACCTCAGGATGTATCCGCTGCTTCCGTCTTCCTCGTCGCGAAGCTAGGCCCGACCCCGCGCTCTCCGCGTGACATAGCAAACGTCTACGCCTACCTGCGCTCCAGCAGTTCGACCCTGTTCCGATCGCCAGCCGCGCCTTCTCCTTCCCCGCCGCCCGCCAACAACCCGAATAGCTACTACCTCTCCGAGACGGCCTACCAGGCGGCGCACAGCCGCATCCTGGCCATCGAGGAGCGGCTGCTCTACGCCCTGGGCTTCGACACGCACGTGTCGCTGCCGTACCCGCTGGCCATCACGTATCTCAAGACAATGGACTTTCTGGGGCTGCGCGTGGAGACGGTGGCGCGTCGCGTGGTCGAGTACCTCAACACGGCGCTGCTGTCGCCGCAGATGCTATACCTTACGTGCCAGCCAAACGAGCTGGCTGTGGCAGCCATCTACAATGCGGCGCGCGACATCGGCGCCAAGATGCCCGAGTGCGAGTGGTGGGAGGTTTTTGACGTCGACCGTGAGGTGCTGGGCTTTCTGGTCGTCGGCATGCGCAGCGTCGAGGGCTGGGCCGCCAAGATGCGCGACGACATCCCCGCCATGGCCAAGCGCATGATCACGAGGAAGGACATTGAGGACGACATGGCTTGCCGCGGCCAGCCGCTGGGGAGAAATGGCTACGGCGCTGACGCCTCGGTGCCCGACCTCGAGGCCGACATGGCCCGCCAGATGGACGACCAGATCGCCGAGCTCGAGAAAAGCTCGCATGGATTCGCTTGAGATGTCTGATGTCTACTGCCAAGGATTTCTGTTTGTTTAGTATTGTTTTTGCCGAGTGGCTTGTGAATATGTAGGGTGCCGGATATTTTAGTACCCAAACAATAATACTTGGTCAAACGCCGCCTCTCCCCTTTCATCCGATCAGTAAACGGAGAGCCAAACAATCCCTCGTCCCTTCTTTAGCTAGCCGACAAACGGAGAACAACAGTGAGTTGAAAGTGACGGAAGGCGGCAGAAAACCCCGTTTCCAAATTTTGTACACCTTATCCAAGAACGCGTTCCGAAAAGAAGAGCGCGAGCACGACCCGAGGCATTTTTTTCAGTAGGTCAAAGCTGCCTCACTTCAACTTCACGTCGTTTCGGGGAGTCTGGCCCTCTCTGCCACATTTAAAAGGCGGGCTACTTTTCGCGTCTGTAACTTCACACCCGTCTTTCCTCTTTCCTCGCATCTACCGACTTTCTCGACGCTCTCTTCTGACCTCCCGAGCAGCAACCAAACTTTTCCTTGATTGTGAACACTTCTCTACACACTCGCTTCTTCCTGTCCCTGCACATGCCCTCGTCCGTATTCATCGCGTTGTCCATAAACTGACCGTCTCTAGGAAAAGATGGGTGGTCCGGACAACATGGATGGCCTGGGAAACCACGTCTACCTCGAGAAGCAAGACAAGCTACGAGACATCGGCGTCGATATCCACACTTCGCAGGTATGTACTCCCTCATGACTGCAGCAGCATGACAGATGTTGTAGCTAACGATGCACTTCCCGTCGCGCACAGATTGTCGTTGTCGGTGGCCAGTCTTCGGGCAAGAGCTCTCTTCTGGAGAGCCTGACTGCTTCTCGTTTCCTCGGGGTCAGGGTCTCTGCACCCGTTATGCAACCCAAATCACCCTCCGCCGAAATCCGGTGAAAAGTATTGTCATTTCTATCACTCCTCGAACCATTGCCGACACAGTCTCGAAAGAGAAAGCCCGCGCTTTTCGCAGCGAGCTAGAAGGCTTCGACGGCAACCAGCTCGCCGCCGTAATCGAGAAGGTAAGAACCCAAAGTTACACATGTGTTGCCACTCTATTTTACAGGTCATCACAGCTAATATATTCAGGCCAACGCTGCCATGGGAATCCGATCTAGTCCGTCGAAAGATGACATGAGCCTACGCATGTTCAGCGATGACATTTTGAAGATCGAAATCTCTAGTCCCGAGGTATGTGAACATTGTGTATTTCCCATCATAGACTAGCGATACTAACCGATGGCCGTGACATATAGCATCCGCATTTGACCGTCATCGACGTCCCTGGGCTATTCTCCGTTGCCGACGAAGGTGCGTTATCCTACGGCGGACATATCCCAGGACAAACAATGCTAACCTGCGACACCAAAAGGTCTTACTACAGAACTTGACAAGCTCATAGTCGAAAACATGGTGCAGAGATATATGGAAAACGAGCGAATTATGTGAGTCAACAGAACCTCTAAAGCTTGTCACACCCGCAACCATCAGATGCTAATGCATACTAAGTGTCCTTGCCATCTTATCTTGTCTCTCGGATCGAGCAACTGAGTGCGTTCTTCACTTCGCCAAGATAGCAGACCCTGACGGCGACGGACGGTGGGCGTGCTCACGAAAGCCGACCTCGTCCAGGAGAAAGCTGTCGTCCAGCCACTTCGCGAACTCGTCTGCGGAAACACGCTGAAGCTTGGTTACTTTATCGTCTGTAACCGCGGAGCCGACGAAGATGCCCTAGATATTTTGCAGTGCAAGATGAAGGAGGCCGAGCTCTTCACCAAACCTGAATGGGCCCCCATCGTGGAGCTCGGTCGTACCGGCGTGCTAGCTTTGCGGGCTGCGTTGCAGGACCTGCTTACTGAGCTCGCTAAGCAGGAACTTCCTAAGCAGAAAGTCGAAGTGTCAAAGCGGCTATTTAACTCCCGGGACACTCTCAAGGCTATGGGGCCACCAAGGGCCGACCCAGCCAGTCAGCGCCAGTTTCTTAGCAGTCTTGCCTCCAAATTCGAAGGAATTGTTCGTGATGCTCTAGAAGGCCGATACGAATCGGACCTCATTTTCGAAGATAATCCGGACATGAAGCTCATCACAAAGGTCTGCAGCCTAAATGAGGGCTTCTCGAGTCTGATGTTGAGAAGTGGACATACTTGGACATTTGGAAAAACCAGTAAGCAGCCAAGCAGCCCTCCCTCTAGCTCTACCGACCAAGTCGGGGAGCAAATCGCCAAATACGAGGCCATTGCAAAAGAGTCGGAACTCAGGGTTTCGGATTTTCCAGGCCCGCAAGCCCACGATCTTGTGCCGCCTCTAATCGTCCCTGTCGCTCAGCCCAAATCGACTCTCGCGGAATTCATCGACGAGATTTATTCCCAAAGTCGGGGTCCCGAGTTGGGATCGGTAAGATCCTCCACCCAATCTTCTTTCATGCTCCTTGGACTAACAAATTGTCCTAGTTTGGTGGGGCTCTGCTTCCTCTCGCGTTTCGGAAACAAGCGGCAAATTGGTCGTATTTGGTCCAACGCCACGTCCAGACTGTTGTCGCGGACGTCTTCTTGTTTATAATTGAGCTGTTGCAGCATGTGTTTGTGGAAAAGAAGTTGCGGGACACGATATGGGAAATTGCCCTTTCCGACAAGATTGTCGACTCTTGCCGCCGAGCCTTCGAACATGCCGACTTCCTCGTCAAGCTCGAACTGGAAGGCCGCCCCAGCACCTACGACCACCACTTCAACGACAATGTCCAGAAGGCTCGGATGGAACGCCTTACAGAGAACCTGAAAACCAAGATTTACTTTAACGCCTCGGAGCCAGCCAATTCAACGATTCCCTGGCAAGTTCTGCAAGATGCTGTCAACAACAAGTCCAATTCAGACCAGATTAAGGAGGAGATCCACGACATCATGGAGGCCTACTACAAGGTGGCTCACAAACGCTTTGTCGATATTTTCTGCCAGCAGGTGGTGCACTACTACCTGCTTGACAGCCTCGACAGCCCACTCAAGGTGCTTACGCCGGCGCTCATCATGACTATGACTGATAGCACGCTGGACCGGATTGCTGGAGAGACTCAGGCAGCGCGACGGGAGCGTCAGCGACTCCAAACGGAGATTGAGGGCCTAGAGGCCGCTCTTCAGGTGCTGCGTAGTTGAGTTGATGCGAGACGGAGCTGGATGCACAAGTGTGTGTCTGTACAAGTGCATTGGGCCGAGCCACCCTCAACTGGGCCTAAACTCTTGTTCACCTAACCTGAGAGGAATGAGAGTTTTCACAAATCATCGCTAGGCAGATAGCTAAGGCAGGCAGTCGGGCCACAACTGGATGGCCCGGATACTGTCACATGAATCTGTCTACACATTTGGGCTACCGAAACTATCTCGTGACAGAGCTTTTTGTACAATCTAATCTCCGAATAGCGGGAGGCTTTCCAGCATACGAAGGACCTAATGACCATACGGCTCGCCCTCGAGGTTTTTCTCGGAATACCGGCCGACTCACGAACCTTAACATGGCTATACCAGTATAAGATCAAAGTTTTCGCCTTGGGCACCATTTCCTATCCAAATTCCACGCGTTACGGATAACAATCTCTTTCGCTATCGACCGCGACGACAAACCAGACAAGCTATATTCAATCTAGGAGACCACTTAGGACTTATTCTCTTAGCCGTCGTTTCTTGTCTAGAAGCATCATCATGGCCGAATCGCTGCTTGATTCGGTGTCATCCCCAGACCCTTCGGTTCCGGCAATCGCATTAACTACTATGGACGAGCTCTTCGCTACGATCGACCTGACCATCGGTGATATTCTCATTGTCCGAGGCGTCTCGGTCGAGAAGCTTGCCGAGATTGACGAGGAATGAACAAAGCGACGGCGGAAATTCCGGTTCCGACGCTTCCTAGCTACATCTCAGATCCTCGTCATCACGATCCCAACAACCCTTCGCGTAGCACTCCATCTCGACATCTACCATAAAATCCTTCTTCGTCTTTAGTCCATGGCGCTGAATAGAAATTGGGTGCCGATGGGTAGCAAGATAGTTCGGGGGCAAGGTGATCGCCATGGAGGAGATGGCGCAGAAGCAGACTCGTCTGGTGGCCCGATGCCCGGTCGAGAGCTCGAGGTGGACTGGCCAACACTGTTGGTGGAAGCTGGCGATTCGGAGACGTTGGCAGAGTTGAGAAACAATATGAAGTGGTGGTTCAGCGCGTCCGACAACCAAGTCAAGATTGTCCTCCTCGCCAAGTTCGACCGCGTCCAGGACCACATCATCCTCGAGAAATGGATCGAAGCCCCCGCCCCATCCCAGCCAGGAGCTTCAACACTTATACCAGATTGCGCTCAAGTGATCACTATCACTAGGGATCCTGGTATCACCAATACCGACCCCCTTCAATTTGATCATACGTCGTATATTGTTTCTAGTAGTGGGGCTTTACGACTAGAATTTGACCATCTCTTCTTACGACAACCGGCCGCCAAGGGAGAAGGAGATATCATTATTAGTATTCAAGATCTTCAAGCGTATACAGTGAATTTCTGGAGGTAGGTTTAATGACGTTCCAGTCTCTGAATAGGTATCCATTAGCGGGAGACTTTCCAACATCTGAAGGGCCTCAAGACGATACGGCTCGCCCTTGAGGCTTTTCTCAAAGTTAAGCGGTAGCTCTTGGAGCCCCTATTTTGGAATCCCCGAAGCCTATCCCTCTCTTAGGAATGCCTGGTGAAAGCTCCCTAGGTAGGAGCGCCCAAGTATCACGACAACAAAACATTTAGGGGTTGGATTGTACTTAATACCATTCTAGATGTCTAGACAAATAGGTTAGGCAGTTGAAACAGGATAAGATGGCTGATATACGTACTGCATTGTACTACTTCGTACATATAAAGTGGTAGTCAGAGGATAGATCTGCAAATACGTAGGGATGTACAAGAGAAAGCACACCTGATATTCACATGTGTGTATGTATAAACATTTATATTCAAGTCCAAGCGCGGTTCCAAATCCGATGTAAAATATCCAAGTATTCCGTGTCCTTTTTTCCTGGACCCGTGAATTCCCGCCCGCGAAGCAAGTTATTTGTTTTTCCCATCAGGACGGCCTAAGTTTCTTCTCTATGAAACCACGTCCTCTCGTCCTGTAAGAAGAGTTCGAAAAAAAAAAGGAGAAAATGCCAATGTCTTCTCCAAGGATGAAGAGAAAAATATAGAACAAAACAAAAGACAATTATACTACCACCCAATCTTCCCATAGTAGTAGTACCCCGTCCCATGAGATTTGTAGCCAGTCGTGACCAAACCGACCGAACGACCGACCGACCAACCGACCAAGTCCGCCCCCCGGATGTGTCAGCCCCCAGAGCCAATTTTGGGTTTTGCCGCCCCCCACCCCCGGAATGAAGCCAACCGTAAACGCCACCGAACCAGCTCAAAACAGAAAAAGAAAACCAGAGCCACCAAACCCAATGGACGTGTATATATATACGAAGAGAGAATTGAAGGTAATACAAGAGGGATGAGAGGAGCAAAGTAAAGGAGAAAAGGATTTTTGTCGTTTTTTGTGTGTTTCTTTTCTTTGGATCAAGACAAGAAGTGGAAGAGGAGAAATTAAAGCGCCAAGCCGGTCCCATCGCCCGTCCATCTGTACAGTGCCAGGAGCTCTCTGCGGCGCTGGTGTTGCTCGCCAAGATCTTCGGGCACGCGGCCGCGGACCTGGGCGAGGGCACTGCGCATGACCCTGCTGAAGTTGCGCTGGCAACGGGTCAGCATTTCTAGTCTCATTTGTGGTCTTCTTGTTGGGCGTCCGCCTACCTGGTACTCAGTGTTTAGAGTGACCACGCATGCCTCGTGTGCGCGAATGATGGTCTCGCAGGCTTTGACTACGCTCGGCGATGCCTCGAGCTGCAGCTTGTCGGCAATGAGAAGCAGTAGGAATGAGCCCTGCAGGAGGTAGATGCCGAAAAAGAATGGCATAAACTCCAAGCCGGGGTCAAACTCGAGAATGTTGCTGATGGCCTCGGCAGCCGACACGGCGTGCCCCGTGGCTGTGATGAACCCTTGGCTGCTAATCCACAAGTCGTTGTCGTCGAGAAGGTTGATGGGATCCCATTTTCCTGTGAGAAGAATGTGCAAAACATGCATGACGTGCGTTCCGTAGGCCATGACTATGCGGGTCTGGATGTCGCTCTCAGTCATGCGGCTCGTGTTGGTGTGGGCGCTGTGAACGCTGTGCACCGATGGCGTGCCAATGTCGTGAGGCAGATCGTTGGCCGTGGGCACGCCGGCAGCTTCGGCCGCCTTCTCGTCAGCCGCCTGCGCTTGGGCACTGAGGCTGAGATGGCGCTGCTCGAATTTTTTCAAGCTCTGCTCATAAGCCTCCAGGTGGCGCGTGATCTCAGTCGTCTGGTCGTCCCACTCGCGCGAGGAGCGGAAACCGACCCCGAAGCGGGGATGGTTCCTCGCGTGATGCAAATCCACAATCTCGCCAAGGATAGTCATCAGGGGCAGAAAATAACCAAAGATGCTGTGCCCGGTGCACTCAAACGAAGGCCCGCGGACCCGGAGAGTCTGAGGAGAGGCGGGGTCCGAAGCAAGGACGTTCGGGTCTGTGTAGGCGTGGAAGTTGCCGTTCTGATAGTCGGTGTCATCCATGGGCTGCAGGAGCCCATCGCACTCAACGTCAAGGAGGAAGAGTGGCCGATTGTAGCACAGCGCGAGGTGGCGGTCGACGACGTATACGAGCCACCAGATGCGCCGCCTCTCTTCCCGCTCCTCCTCAGTGATGACGCCCGGGACGGTGCTCATGTCCTCCTCGACCTCCCCATCGGCATCCATCTCATTCGAGCCGCCATGGTGATGGTTCATGGAAGGCGCATTTTGAGGCAGCTCCCGACCAAGCTTAAGCTCGCGAGCCAACGACCACGCCGCATTCCACCACCGCAAACTCGCCCCCTTGTACTCACTGGCCGAGACCACTGTTGCCAAGTGGATGTAGGTGACGACATCGTCGAGGGTTCCGGCGGCGCCGAAAGCTCCCGACTCGCCCGTCAGGGCATCCATGCTGATGGATCCAGGCAGAGCGACGCCGAGGCCACCGAGGGCGACGCCATCGACAATCGGGCTAGAGACCGGCGAGGCCTCTTCGGAGGGCGTGTGGATGAGCGGCTTGAGGAGGCTGACAGTGAGCTCGAGGAGCTTCTGGCAGATCTTACCGCGGGCAGACGGGACGCTCGTGAGGAAGGGAGCGTCGCTGGTTTGTGCAGCAACCCACAGCATGCTTGCTAGGAGAGCTGGTTGGCACTGGCGAGGCTTAGTAGGGTGCAGGAACGACCGTTTTCGGAACACGAACCCCAAAACGTAAGGCGACATGGGGTGCATCTGGGCAGATGACGAGCTGGCGAAGTAGAGGTCGATCAGGTCGCAAGCCAGCGAGACCGGAATCATATTGCCCAGATGCGGCACCAGAGGCTCTAGGACCGGGTACCGAAGCTGCGGCGACTGGCCGTAGCTGTTGTTCTGTGGCACATGCGTCGCGTACTGAGGCGGCGGCGACGACATGTTCATCCAGCCCGGCGACGTCTCTCCGGCCATGGGGTAGGCGCTAAGAGGGCTGGTTCCGAGACGGAACGAGTTGGACGTGTTCGCCGCGTAGTTGGTGGGGCTCTGTGTCTGCAAGCCGTATGGCAGGTCTGGGTAGTTGGACATGCCGCCCTGGTTGGAGCCGTAGGGCGTGTGGGCAGCACCGTTCATCATGTGCGCGCTCATGCCCTGACGCTCGTAGGCAGGGTGGACGTTGCCGTAGCCGTTGAGGTCGAGAGCCCCGGGGCTGTCCATGTGATCTCGGCCCATGGCCCCCGGGTGGCTCGTCATGTGCTGGTGGGCGCTCATGTCGTCCAGGCTGTCTATGCTCCCCGTCCTCTGACTCCTCATCGAGTCGTCTCCCATATCATTCATGGCCTTCTCGTTGGCGCTCGCCTGGAGCTCACTCGACAGTGACGACATGGGCTTGGTCGTGCTGACGCTGTCGCTCCGGCTCTCGGCCGAATGGCCGTTGTCGCCCCCATGGCTGGGGGATTTCTGGCCCGTCTGCGCCGCCGCGGCAGCAGCCTGAGCAGCTGCTTGCTGGGCCAGGTCTTTTCTGGATGCCTTGCCGCGCTTCTTCCGTTCCCGGATATACTCGCAGCCCAGTCCAAACTCTAGCTTGCTGTCAGATGGGACACGGGGAGAGGGCAAGGGGGGGCGAAGGGGGAGAGGTAGACGGCGAGGCCGGGGAGACTTACCGATGCAATGGGCACACGGATGCTGGCCATCGCACTTAGTCCGGAGTTGGTTGCACTGGTCACACGCCCTGCTGATCCTCCTGCGGATGGGACCGGCTGCCCCCGCGGACCTCGAGGGCCCGTAGGGATGTTGCCGATGCTTTTGCTGGTGTCCGGGCCTGGCAAGGTGGGGGTTGTGGACGCCTACGTGTTGTTGAAGCTGCTGGAGCGCATAGTGAGACCCGTGAGATAACGAGTCGAGGCCCCCGTTGTGGAGATGGTTGGCCGTCATGTGCCCGTTGGACATGAGCGTGGTCGAGGGCATTGTGTGGTAGGGGGAAAAGCGGTGGAGCGGATTGGACAACATCTTGACTGAGTGTGGTTGTGCTTGCTTGGAATATGTGAGTATTGGAGTGGCCGGTGGTGGGAATTAGATAATAGGGGGTCGGCCGTCAAGACCATGAATAAGAATTGGAGACGGACTGCTTCAAGCGAGTGAGGGCAGTTGGCTGAAGCGGAGCTACGTCTACGATGGAGGAGAGAGACGATAAGGAAAGCTGTCGACGGCGAGGACGGGAGATGGGAGCTATCTATATCTAAGCTCTTGGCGGCGGACGACGTTTTGGCGAGCTGCCGGACGGAAGCCAGACTGGAAGTCAGATAGCCAGACGGACCGAAGAGAGCTTCCCTGTGGGGAAAGGTCAGCCAGTGACAGGCATGAGCATTAATGGTATGTTGGACAGCATGACGGAGACCAAAACAGTGGGAGGGGATCAACGCGGATGCGAAGAGAGGACGGCACGGTCATCTGCACGATAGACACAGCACCAGCACCGCATGGCGGGGTTGGGGTGTAGGAGACGTGAGTGGACGGCGGGCCACCCGACAGGGGTGCTGGTATGGGAAACGAGCCCTGTCGAGAACGTGGAGGCAGGGAAGATGGGATCGTCAACCTACGGGGTACGGCTCTGAGGAAGGAGAACGGCTTGGGGCTATCGCAGCCTGGGCTGGGCCGCTGCTGGTGCTGGTGCTAGTGCTGGTGCTGTTGCTGTTGCTGTTGCTGCTCACTCTCCCGAGCCCCTAGAACCGAGCTGCAAACCCCTTCGCCTCGGGCTGCTGCCGTCTCGTTCGTTTCCGTCTCTGCGTCTGCGTCTGCGTCTGCGTCTCCGTCTCAGTCCCCGTCACGTCACGACGGCGGGGAGCTTCTCAAAGTCCTGAATTCTCTTTCTCACTCCCTCAGTTTCTCAGTCTTCCCCTGGCTGTAAGTCGTTGGTAGTCAGGTTCCCCCGTTCTCGTCCGTCTCAGCCCCGATTTATGTGCCGTATAGTGCTCGAGAGGGGCCGGAGCGAGCAGAACGCGCCCAAAGGGCCAAAGGATACCCGATTTGAGCAGGGGCGCAAGTCGGTAATTTTCTGCGCGGTGCCTGCTTCCCCAGTGCACTTTGCGCGAGTCTCTTTGGAGGTCTTGGCGTGCATACAGAGCAGGAGGTTGTGAGAGAGCTTTGTTAATCAAGACAACGTCGATTGGCGATTGGAGCGCCCCTTGTGGTGCAGCACAATATCAAGTATCAAGTTTATATTGCCCTCGCAATATACGCGGCGGGACGGGAGGCATATAGGAGTGGGCGCGCCGTGCGAGAGTGTGGGCGAGCGAACTTGGAGGGGAGGGCCGGTAGCGCTTTCTGCGCATGTGAACAGCAGCAAAGGCGGGTTTTCTGGGGCACACGTCTGGAGCACCACCTCGTCAGGGTCTACTTTGATGATATATGGCCCTCTTTTTTGCCCGCAAGCAAGCTTAGGCGGCCACGAGACTAGGGTTGGTCGTCCAGCAGGGGTCTTGGGTGCAGCGTCTGGTGGAGAAGAAGACGACTGGCGCTATCACGGTGGGTGGGTGGTGCCCAGCGCAGCGATGGAGAGCCGGTGAACGGCAGCTCTTCCGATCTTGGTCAAAGACGAACAACTAAGCCAGGAAGAACGAACTGAACGGGCCAGCACCACACAACGCGCACACAACAGCGCAGGGCTGGGTTCCATGAGTACCCATGACCGCCGCAGCAGGTAGGCAGGTAGGAAGGTAGCTAGCAGTAGCGTGGCCGGCACTGGCGCGCCCGCCGGGCAGAGAGCCCTCGAAAGCGTTGCAAGATGCCCATCACCGACACCCTCTTGGCAAGACGATGGCACAGAAGGCGGCGGAGAAGCATGTTGCTGGACCGAGGCGGGCTGGCCAGTGCCATCCCTGGCCATAGCAGCCTTGGCAGCGCACTTGTTCGGCCAGAGTGTCGCCGAGGGACATCATCCCTCACGCCTCATGGGTGCTTGGCTGGGGAAGTTGGGGTCGGGTACGGAGAGCCGGGGGCAAAAGCGCGCCTCTTGTGTGGTGGTGCTTGTTCCCCTCCACTGTGAGCCTGTGAGGTGCCCAGTGCAGTGTCCACTGTAGGCTCCTCCTCCTCATTCTAGACAGTCATCAGTTCGGCCGGCTCCAGCTGCATGTCTGGCCGGCCTGCACGCAGGCAACCCCCTTGTCGCTTTCGCCGCCTGCGGTTCGCTGGCCGGCCGCCCCTCAATCGTGCCCCTCCCCCATCCCATCCTAGGCGGGCGGAATCGACAGACTCAGATATGAATTCGACCATCCAAGATCGCTCCGCTTCAAGCCGCCTGCCAGGAATGTTCTCTGCGCCGTGGTATATGTGCCTGTTGCTATGCCTTTGGCGGGGAACGGGGAACGGGGAAAGGGGAACGGAACTCTCATCAATTCCATGTTTGCCGAGCGAACCACTCGAACCAGCGTCTGGGTTAACCAGCTCCTAGTTAATTCTAGGTACGGATATGTAGCGTAGTTGATGAACTGTGACGCCGTGTTTGTTGGAGACGAGGGGTTTCGAAGGCGACAAAGCCGATAGATGGGGGTGGGGTGTCTCTCTCGGCCGCCTCGACACAACCCTATTCTATCGGCTTGGGCGTCTTTTGCGCCATGTCTGAAAGACGATCGCCGTGACGCTCTCGCCTCGGTGTGGTTCGAAACCCCAGATCATTCCGGATGTCGACATCTGGGGGTGGCGACACAACAGTCATCGGATGACATATGGATCCTCGCGGCCTTCTAGAACTAGATGCGTTTAGTGCATTCTTCGTCTGCCGCTGCTGAGGTGAGGCAGCGTCCAGCTGATCTGTTTTTCCGTCGAGGCACTGGAGGACGGCAGATGGCGCGCGTCGACAGTTCCGTGGGAAACCGTTGTCGGCACCTGCCAAGCCTGCCCGTCTCGTCAAACGATGCCTCGCCCGATCCCACCGCTGGAAACCTCTATGGGTTACCTGACAGGGACTAACAGATTAGACTTCCATAACTGCCAAGTTAGGGTAGGCGCAACCACAACCAAGACACCGTTCACCGTGACGCCTTCCAAGCCTAGCTTACAGTCGGGTCTTGCAAGGAATTGGCAATGGAAGGAGGCTGGCAACAGCTTTCCTGCCTTCACTCACGAAACAGACTTTGCTAGTTTTCGACAAAACAACAGCCTGCTATTCCGTACTCCGTATCCGCACCTTGTAGAAATTGTTCACCCATCGAAATTATGAGCTCCCGTCTGGACTTACCGATGCCCTGGCATGACCAAGTTCATCCTCCAACTTGAATAAATCATCGGACTCATCTTATTCCCTCCCCTAGCTAGGCACCACGCCTCTTGATTACCGCCCGCCCGCTGCCATGCCGTCGATGCAAAATGCATACCTACTTTCGCCTCAAACAGCTCAGGCCATCTGGTGAACGGTGCTGCTGCACGCGAAGACTACCTTACCTTACATAGTGAAGGCATGTATGTGCCAATTAAGTGGCGACCGCAAACCGCTGCGCGAGCACAGGTGTTAATATCTGCTGCATTGATGGTGGGCATTCGCATTTGCGGTGCCACATGACAATTTCCCGCCAGCGCTGAACCGAGTATCGCTCGTCGAGGATCGATGTTATCTATTGTCCAACGAACCGTCGTCGAGGACGCTCGAGATGATGTCGGCCCATTTCGAGAACAGCAAGAGAAAGGTCAAGTAACTGGCTTTGTCATGTGTCGAAATTGTGCCGCTGTCTGGCCTCTCGTGTCGATAATCGGGATTCGCTTGACGTCGCTTGACGCTGGCCCGAGACGGCATGCAATATCGGAACGCCATAAGTCAGTCAATTATCGGCCGAGATAACGGCGAGCATGCAGCCCAGCGACTTGGACGAAAGTTTTGGTCGAGCACGTCCACGAATTGAAACAAAAAACAAACGCCCAGGCCAATCACACAGAGTCCCCAATCTAAACACGTGCATTCGAGCTTCCCACCTGGGACCAGACCCAAATGCAAGGCAAACCAATTGTCGAAAGACTACGGAGTAGCCCTCCGGCACGGGGCCATTCACCTAGACAAGGAGTACGGAGTATGTACGCACCTAAACTACCTTACCTTACTGACCTTACTATCAAGCCACTGCAAGGATTCCCATTTTTGATATTGACATCAAGATAACCATTGTGCCTCGTGTCCAAGACTGAATCTCTCAAGTCACTGACGAGCAAGGAAGGTGTTTGGTCTCTCTCTGGCTTGGCCGCTTCTTGGCTTTCGCTCCTGACATCTAACAAGCTCTTCCCCTGTCTTTGGGAACCAAGACAAGCCACTCGGAGCTGGATCTCTGGCTTGGACTAAGACAAAATATGCCGCATTACCTTCCGCTTGTACCAGTATTTCTCGTCACTTGGTGGCTTCAAACCCCTCAAACACACCTCACTGCTCTCCCGGGACCGAGACTTGCAGGCCGTCCAGGCCAGGATGTGCGCAGAGGAGCTGCCTTTGACCGTGCTCGGTACCTAGATCGATGACGGTCAGCAAGCTCAACGGTCTTGGTTGGGGACATCCGCCATCCTCTTTGAGATTCTCATGCATGGCGCTCGAGGCCTCGTCCCGATGGTGGCTGGTGTGGTTGACTAGTACACGGACGGAGCGCACGGAAGGGGGGCCTCCTTCAAAGGGTCGCTCGCCGCCATGCCAAGACATATCTTGTCCTGTGCGACAACACAACTCTAAGTCTACACTTGAACGAGCGCAGACCGTGCATACATTCGGAAATGCAAGCCCCTTGGAATGTCATTTCGGGAGAGCCCATGCTCTGGCCTATTGCACTCCATTTTCACCAAGTTGACTTTTGCTCGGCCATCTCCGCGATAATTCATGACGACGTCTCCATCAAAGCTCGAGACTATTACGTACAGGACTCAAGGCGTGCAAAGACACTCGCCGGCTTGCCTGTCAGAAAGGCTCCGCCAAAGTCCCCCGTTCTGCGCCACCAGATTGGCCTATTCTGAATGTGGTGGACGGGTTGTCATGATCCCTGCCGCCGTAGCGCGATCCCACAACGGCCGACGGACCGAAACTCCACATACACGCAAGATCGCACACACCCCGTTGATACCCATGGGCGCCTCTAATTCGTGGCTCGGCCACACCTGCCCCGCATCGACAGTTTGACTCCGAAAACACTCACAGACCAATGGGCTTCCTCGCCCGGCGCCCAAATGGTGGACATGTGCCCAAAACCTCGCTCCTCTCAGAGCCTGGAGCTCTCGTCGTCATTCTACCCTGCATTGGACTCACAACTCTCACCACTCCTTCAAGCTCGAACCTACTAGCTAGGTGATGGATGACATTACTACGCTACACGGCCGCTGTGTGCCTCACCACACCTGACGAAAGACGACGAGGTTAATATTCGGGATCAGACTTGAAGCGCCCTCTCTCTCGAATATTACACCCCTTGACTCCGTACTCCGTAAAGATTACTGCTCCCGAGAGAGGCTGAAGGCCATGTTCCGTCTCCGGCAGTTCCCTTCCCCCGTGAACGCCACTTGACAGGGGGGCCCCTCACCACGATACTTGGTTGGCTGGTTGGCTGGCCTGTTCAATATTCTACAGAAGCTTTCGAACCTTTTTCAGTGTGTTGCCATGCCGAAATGTTTCATTCCGAAAGCCACAGTCCAAAGGGGCAATTCGGTTTTTTTTCCCGCAGTGTGAAACCAGGTGGCAGCGCAGAGGCTTTCAGCCTAGCCTCGAACGCGACGGAAGGGGCCTTGGCCAGTTCCAGGAACTGGGGTTTGCAATCACATAGCACAGCAGAATATGGCAAGCAGTGACCTCTGCCGTCTCGTTTCTCTGCAGTTGCTGCTTCAGACGGCCCCCCGTGTGGGAGGCTTTGCAGCTCGCGGGGCCAAGTGTATGTATGCCCTGCGGTGGTGGCATCGGCAGCTACCGATCAAAAGTCTCCGCTGTACCCCGCCGCCCAGCTCCCGCCATGTGAATACAACATCGACACGACCGCCTACCAGACTGCAAAGCGGCCAAGTTGATAGACATGCCGGTGCTCTCTGCCACATGGGTGCAATTTGGCATTTTAGATTGCCTCGCTGCTGCTACACCACTTTGGGCCAGAGCTGCCTGAGGTTGGCTAGGGGCGGACAGCACATCTTATATGTCGGCCCCGGTGCAATATATTCTCTCCTGGCGCGCCCCGTTGCAGTCTACGGGATAGGGACCGCCTTTCCACACATATTAGTGCCGGTCGAGGCCCCCCCCCCAAAAAAAAGAGGGCGACACTCTCACGTCGGCGGGGCCGGACCTCATCAAGCGAACGATCGACCTTCCTTTCGCGGTGAATGACAGCACTCCCCGCAAACAGATGTGCCCCATGCCAAGACCCCGGCATTATTTCGACAGCAATAATGGAGCTCGCTAGTCAGTCGTAACTTATTAGACGCCCAAAGATGAATAAGATTTAGCTCTAGTTTTGGCTTCACCTTCATGGCGGGTAGCCCGCGCCAGTTCGAGATGGGGCGCCGGTACCGCATATGCCCCCAAGAGATAGCGTGTGCACATGTCGATGGAAAGCCAACCTACATCGCGCTTGGAAGGGCCGTGAGCTGCCTGGGCACCGTCTACACTGGCGGGATTATAGAGGCGTGGGACGAGTGGCGATCGTATAACGGAGCCCCAGGTCCACAACGGTCCCTGAAATGCAGGTGTCAAGCAGGTACGGCGAGGTGGGAAACCTGGTCAGAAGATGACTGTGTAGTGCAACCTCATATGGCCGGTGCCCCCCATCACCATCGTCATCTATCTCCAACGCTAAGGGGTCTGGTGGCAGAGGACGGTAGCGCCTCACATGACCGGATGGCTGACCACCAATGACGGTGCTGGCTTGTCGGCTTCGACTCCGTGGCGATCAGGTCGGAAGAATGGAGAGATATGCATATTAAACCACGTGCCAGAGGGCATGAGGAGTGGCTGGGGTGGGTTCGAGACCCTCGGCTCTTGGTGTTGCCTCCAATGGCGCGGAAGGAGCCTGACAGAACCGAGAGCGTCCCGTGTGGTGTGGGCTGGAAGCCTGGGCCAAAGCGAACTGCCAGATCAAGCCCACGACACGGGCCAGACGCACTGTCGACCTCGTCGACAAACACCCCCAGGCATGGGGCAACGAATATCACCGGAAGTGATAGGCGGTGGTATATTGTTTTTAATCAAAACAACAATTTGCAACGTGGCCCACGGTGACATCGATAGGATACAGACGACAAGCGCCGATGTGGAAAGGCTAGGCGACCCAGACTTCATGCCTCAAGCCAACAGCTAAACAAGCAATAACTACTACTTGAGGGGTGCATTGCTCGGAGAAGAGATTTGGGGCGAGAAGATGCACTAGTTAGGCCGGTAGATGGCAGCGTCTCGACCGGTGGCCCCATCCGCAGCCACGAGAAAGCTGGTTACACGTACGGAATACCGAGCTGGGCCTATGAGGTAGGTGTTTCGTGCCATGGACAATATAGACGTGGTTCGGATGGTGTTCGAAAGTGCTAATGAGGACTCTGGACTGTTTCTTGAGCCCGGGCCAAAAGCAGGGGGAGGGGCCGGAGGCGGGTCGAAGTCCGCTGTGCCTGGAGAGGTCAAGCGCCAAACCTCTCGTTGTTGTTTTTCACGTCTTCGACTTGACCATGCCCTGGGAGTCGGTAATACTTTACTCCGGCGGCCTGCCCCTGTCGGTGGCGTGAGCGTCTGAAGGGGTCCCTGGGCCCGGACTGTTGATGGGCGCGCCACACTCAAATGTGGCAGCTTGCTCCGCCTCAAGTCCCGTTCTGGCGACGGCACTTGTCGGATCTCCCAAAGCTTAAAAAGCCCAGGAGGGTGAGGGTTTTTGCGGGGAAGGAGGGTTGGGTTGTATTCCGAGCGCGCCAGTCGCTGGTTCTCTTCAGGCCAAAACGTGGGGACGCACACTCTTGGGTTGGGGCAAGAGAGCTAGAATCCAACCTCGCCATCGCTCTGGTTCGGTTCCCCGTATTTCCCCTGGAGGCCTGCTCTTCGATCGCCGCCCACGCCCAGAAAATACGTGGCCGAAAGCAGGCGCGAAGCCAGGGCGCCTCCAACGTCGAGCCTTTTTCTCGACGGCCGGCGAGCTCCAACGAGAAGAAAACATGGCCTGGCTCGCCGGTCTAGAACGAGCGCCTCTAGAACTACAAGGATCAGCCAATTTCTCCGAGTCCGAGCCGATTCACTAGAGCTGGGGCCGTGGAATCGGTGGGTAGGGAGGCCTGGGCGCAGGTGGTGGTGGGTGGTGGGTGCGCGCACGTCAACGGCCTTACACTCTACCGCCGGTATTCGTACTCGGCTCATCTCTCTCTGTGTGTCGAGTCTAGACCAGCACCAGCACCAGCACCAGCACCAGCGACGATGCAGCGGGACCCCATCGCCGCGCATGCCTTTGCATGCTGCCAGGCCCTCGCGCAAGGCATACACAGTACGGTAAGAAAGGGCAAGTTCCGTCCTCCGAGTGGTAGCTCTCTGCTGGCGTGCACGGCGCCACAAGAGCAACGGCGGTGCTGTGTTCGCCGTGTCATGTTCGTCGAGCATGAAGCCAGCCTTTCCCATTCCATCAGCCGCTGGAGGGCTGAGGTAGAGGAGGTGCAGTCGACGGCATCGCGACTGACACAGTCCGCGTTTTGTGTCGGACGCCCCTGCAGCTGCCTCTTGGGCTACCCTGCCCTGGCCGTCAAACAACCGCAAAGCCATGACCATCAGTTAGGTCTGGGGCGGGAAGCAGGGGCATCCCCGCAATGATTCTTTACTCCCCACGTGTGCTCCGTATAACGTCACCGGCCGATCAAACGACGTTCATCTCTTCTGGGGTCGGCCCTTATCCTGGCTCTTTCGTCTGAACTTTCCATTCCTCGCCAGACCACTCAGAAGGGCGCATGACAAGAACATCTGCCAAAATACACACGTAGTTTCAAAGACTCGGCCTCCCCAGCCCCTCGCCCTTCCAGGGATTGCAAGCCCTTGGCTGCATGACGGGGATTTGGAAGCCAGTGCTGGTCGCCCATCTCACTGTTCATCTTGGCATTCTTCTAGAAGCCTGCTCTTTTCATCCCCCATGCTGTCCTTAGCCCCCCATCCCCCTCGGTCCCGATCCGAATGCCCTGGACTCCATGAGCACTACCCTCGCCCATCCGTGGGGTTGACACCGTTGACCTTTTTTTTCTTCTCCACGCAAACGCTGCAGCGCATCCTGCCCGCTATGACTCTCTCAACCACTTGTCCGGATTTTGGGTTCGTGTGGAGAAATGCAGAACAAAACTGTGCACTAAAGGCTGACAGAGGTTTTACACAGACTCTCTCCATCCGTCGGTTTCCCAAGTAGCTGCTTCCGTGCCGTTCCCCTCAGCTCGGAGTTTCCCGCCGCACACTGTCGAGACGCCGTGCGGCCCCGATTCCCCCATTGCTTCGTTTTCTCTGCCCCCTTCTGTTTCCCAGACGACTCAGTGACCCTGCCCGAGACTGCCGGCCGAGCTGGCCAGTTTCCTCTTGAGCCTCACCAGCCCTGTGGGCGTTGTGCCGGTTTGGGATAGGCGGCTGTTAAATTAGGTGAGGCTCTCACCTCGTGGGAAGGGGAGCTAGACACGGCATCTCCAGACCTGATGCGTGTTTTGGATATCCGTGTGCCGATCCAATGGCGGCCACGACTGCTACCCTCTCCCGTGATCTTGGGTCTTCCGTCCACTCACAGGGGAGCCTCGTCCACGGTGACAGCCGACCGAGGGTCTTCCTCAATGCTCGCCACCGTGGGCAGCCCGTCTGTCTGTGTGCGCGTGCATGCGTGTGGCCTTCGAGAAGCATCTGGCACGCCTTCCATTGCATTGTGGGCTGTTGGAATGGTTCCATCCCATCTCACCTGAAGAGACGATCAAGCCTCTCTGCCTCTCGGCCTCGACTACGGCGTGCAGGTATGATGATCTCTGCAGCTCAGCATTGCTTCCGCCCTCCCTCTTGGTCCTCTGCCCTCCTTCCCCCTTCCCTCTTCCAGCGCGCAGTGTGACGGCGGGACATTGGGACGGATGCCACCACGCTCCGAGGAGGCAAGAGACGTGCAGAGGAACCGGGTCCATCCTTGCTTCATCACGGAACTGGCTGCCATCCAGATACCGAGACGACAAGTCTAATGCAAGATCCAGTGCAGCACTCTGTGCAGGAACAGGGACAGGGCCGGTTGCAAGATGGGAGATCTGTAGAACAGACGAGATCCAAGGGGTCTCGCCGCCGTCCGCTGGTGATGCAACCCACCTCGAGCATCTTCGAGAAGCCTTCCTCGTCGGGCTTGCCCCGTCTCCAGCCTGTCTCTCAGTTCTTTTCACATCAGCTGACTTGTAACTTCACCTTGGGTGTCGACGTTTTGCTTGGTTTCCGCTTTGGGGCACGTTTGTTTCCCGTTTAGCCTCTAGCCTTCTTCAGACACAGGCTGCGAGTCGAGTTGGCGGTGGCCTCGTCGCTGTCTGGAGAGCAGCCAAGCTGGGCGGGCGGGCAGTATAAGCCCTCCATCTTGAGTCTCGAGGCGGGCGCAGCACTCGGCTGTGCTGGCTGTTTGACCTTTCCAAACCTCCCAGCCTTGTAGGCTGAAGTGGCGTCGACTGGAGCCCCAATCTCATATCAGCCTCGCGGGCAGTCCCCGCGGCTTGAGGATTTGGCTAAACCGCGTTGTAAGACACAGCCGCGTCTGGTCTTGATTGCAAATGTCGTCAGCTGAGAAGGCTCGCTGGAACAAGCACGACATGAGCCGCAAGTGTATGTAACCCGAGGGCCGCTTGGGAGAAGACGGGAGGTAGAAAGCTAGATAGATATAAAGAATATGACGCGCCTTTCTCCCATCTCTTGCTCCCTCTGCCCTCCGCACCTGCTTCCGTCACGCCTTGGCATCATCGCCACCGACGCATGTCTTGGGTGAACGACCCTCTTGACCAGCCGAGTCGAGCTTGTGACAGGAACGCCGCCGACATGGACACTTGGCGATGAGGGCCGACCATGTCGATACAGTGAGGGGGCCCTACGCCTCGGTCGCGAAAGGGAACGAGGCCGACGAACGGCTGCTACGCGGCTCGATGACACGACGTCTAGCAATATGGACAACAGTGCTCAACCGAGCTCAGGGGAAGGGGCAAGGACATAAAAAAGCCGGGTCTTGGTCATGAGAGGAGGAAATGGCTATGCCAGCTCATTCACTCAGCAACGGTCACAGCAACATCACCGGATTCATATCTCCCGACGACGAAGATTTGCTGGCGGTGTCTCTCTGCACCACGCAAAGTCGCAGTTCGTGTCTGGCAAGACAACAGACAACGGCCGGTGATCGAGCAGTGGCAACAGCAACGGTGGTTTACATTTTATCTGGAGTTTGTTGCTAAGGGTTAACGTGTTGACAACAGACAACGGCCGATGGTTGAGCAGCGAAACAGCAACGGTGGTTTATATTTTTGTCTAGAGATTATTCCTTCCAGATGAACATGTTGGCAACGACACGTTGGGCAGTTATCAGAGTGCCTAGGGCGGTGAGTACATATTGGCCAACAGGATGGCTAACTGGCTGGCTGGCTCGGCGGTTTAGGGGGCGAGATAGAGAGAGCAGATGGTGACGAGGGAATAACGGCTCCGACGGCATGGTTCTACGGTGCCAGGTACCGGACGCAGCGAAAAAGAAACAAGGTGGGGAAGAAAAAGTGTCCGGATTCTAGCATTCCATCCTCTCTTCTGCTGACTGAATAAGAATCCGGAATGGTGTTGGAACAGGTAAGATACTGATGTAAGTAGGAAGGTCGGCGACTAGTTGAGCTTTCCTTCAACACCGTACAGGAACCACCCCCTTTTTCTTTTTGCCTCGCCCCTTTTTTAGTTGGGGTTGTAGTTACTGAAAAACTGAAAAGGGGAGTTTGGGGGGGTTTTAATCCTTGCGCCTGACAGGCTGTTGCTCTCCCAACCCGTCGAGGTCAGAAGGTAAGGTTATATAGGCAGTCTTCTCGCAATTAATGAATGAGCTTGTCAATGTCTTAACTGTATTTGCTGCGCTGTGTGGATGAGTCTCCTTGATGGTATTTTAAAGAGTTAAGTTAGTGGGGAGAAACACGAACACACACACACACGCGCGGAGAGAGAGAAAGCATATAACAGCCAGGTAAAAAGACCGGCAGGTACTTGTGTATTTAGCAACTGGTAATTTCGCGCACTGATAGTCACAAGTAGGCTGAGGATTAGATAATAGACACTTAAGAATTAATCTCCGCATGGAAAAGTCTCTTCTTAAGACAAAATAGGGGTTAACAACCTAACGTATCTCAATAATAGAAGTTCAACGATAAAAGAGTGAAACGAGAATCTAGTAACTAGTTGACTCAGCCAAGTTCCCCCCTTTCATGTAGAAGAAAATTGTCTCAACTACCAAAGAGAGAAAAAAAAATAAAACTAATAAAAATAAAGAGCACATAACCCACCCGTCCCCGTTGAGTCAACGATCCACCCAGGACTCGAGCCTGAAACCTCCTGATTCGTAGTCAGACGCTCTACCGATTGAGCTAGCGAACCCCGAACGAGGGAATGATGTTTCTCTCTGATTGTTTTTCAATGGAGACTCTGTTTTGTGCGTTGCTCTATATTGCCAGCCGGGGCATAGCTAGGGGCGGTGCTTTGGTTAAGAAGGTAGGTTATACTGTGGAGGTCATGGCAGGGAATAAATACCCAGGGTGTCCCACGCCGACATGGTTCATGGGGAACGCCTGTTTGTTGTTTCCACTGTCCACCGTTCAGTGGTCAGGGGTCAGGGGTCAAGGACAGGATGGGGCTAGCTGGGAGTGGGTAGCATATGGAGAACCTGTGCCATGTGCTGTGGAGTTTCCTACTTTGCATGGCTTTCTCTTGTTTCTCCACCGCGTCCCCCCATGGTCTCCTCTCTCGGTCCGATGCGGCGCGGTCTGTGGCTCGCAGAGGCATGCTACGATATGCTCGGGCCCGAGATGCGGGGTAGGTATGTATCCAGTCTTGAGTGGAATGGGATGTTTTCTGCGTTTATAGCAGGTGCTAGAGTTTCTTGGGGCCCTAAGAGAAACCTGAGTGGAAATCAACATTAGGTGTGTAACTCGAAGACTCTCGAAAGAAGTTTGGCTGTGTTTGGAGAAATCAGCAGACCACTACCTACTGTACACTCCAATCCATGAATGTTTATTGGCGTAGTACTTGGAAAGGAAAAGAAGATAACAAACAAACCGGCTAGTAAAGGGCTTTAATAGGTATTTCTAGAGAATAGATGGGCCTCTAGGATTATCGCATGGGGATTCAGATAGCTATTCCTTCCCTTAGCGAAAAACGTTCAGTGAGTCGTAAGATACTGACGTCCTTTACGGAGTAGATCTTGGAATATCCCCCGCTAATAAACATTCAGGCATTGGATTGTGCCTCAGAATGGTAAGTAGTTGTCACAAAACGGAACTCTTACTCCCGAGTGCTCAACCGGGAACACGTCTTCAGCATATCCATCTGCAGTGTTAGAAAAACTAGAAAGTTTTTGACATTTAATGTAGGCATCAAGACCGATTTTCAGCGCTGATTGTGTCTATCATGACCATTGGTTGCCAATAAAGGCAATGAAAATAACCTCATGCGTTTGCCATATGATGGCTGCGCTAAAGTAGGGAACAAAAAGAAGAAGCCAAAATCTATACTCCAAACCGGTGTACCCTAGCCCCGCTCCGAAGTCTATCCCTCTAACCCCCAAAATAAATTTGCTTCTCTAATGGATGTCTATCGTCTCGTCCCGGTCACGTTCGCTCTGGTCTACTCCAAGCGCAAGCTCGCGCGGAACTCAGCAATGGGGACGCTCTTTTTCGTGAGTGCCGCCTTGACCTCGCCCGAAGTACCGGGGTGGGGGGCCCGCTCTAGCGTCCATACCTCCTTTACGCCGAGGCTCTCGAGATAGTCGAGGCCGCGGGCGTAGTTGGTGGCAACCTGGGCAATGCCGTGGCTGTCGTCGGAGAAGGTAAACTTGCCTCCGGCTCTCAGCCACTCCTAAAAAAAGGGAACGAAAAGTCAGACAACGAAAAGTCAGACAACGAAAAGTCAGACAACGAAAAGGGGCGAGGTGGAGAGATAGTCGCGAGTCAAAAGCTCACCTCTGCGATGGGCCTAGCTGGGTAGGGCTCGTCGAGCCCCTTGCGCAGGGCGCTGGTATTGCACTCGAGCCAGCCACCGTAGCTAGCAACGAACTCGAGGTTGCGCACAACCTTGTCCCAGACGCGGCCGCCAGCCCAGGCCTGGAGGGGGCGGGCGGGCTCATCGCTCAGCAGGCGGATGAGGTCAAAGTGGGCGACGACACGGGGCTTGAGGGTGCGCAGCATTTCGAGCTGCTCGTCGTAGTACTTCTCGTAGAGCAGCTCCTCGGAGCCGCCGGCGGCGTCCCGGGCGCGGGCATAGTGGACCTTGTCGAAGTCGATGGGCACGCCGGCCGTGTGGTGGACCGAGCCTAGGAAGTAATCGATGCAGGCGGGCTCGGTATGGGCCTTGACGATGTCGCCGTAGGCCGGGCGGATCCACTCGCCCTCGATGCCGATGAGGATGTGGATCTGGTCGGCGTATTTTTTCTGCAGCCGCTGCGCTTCGACCAGGTACGAGCTGTGGCGCGGCGCGAGCTCGGCGAGGGAGGCGTGCGGATCAGACTCAAGCTGGGGCGCGTGTTAGCCTCAGAGAAAGGTAGAAAGATATGCCAGGCGATACTGACTTCCTCGGGGTACAGGTCCGACAGCTCAGTCCGGGGCATGTGCTCAGTCAGGCCCATGGTCTTGTAGCCAATGCGAATAGCGTGCTGGACGATGTCCTCGAGCTGGTCCTTGGCATGGCCGGGGCAGAACTGCCCCGAGTGCGAATGCATTGTGAAAGCCATGGCTTGGGTTTGGTAGGTGATAGCGTTGTGTGTCTAGCAGTGATAGCTAGGTATAGGTAAGGTATCTACCCAAGGTAGATTAGATATGTAGACTCGAGGTGGGGCGGGTCCAGGGCAACTTGAAGTCGACGAAAAGAGTCAGTCAAATAAACCATGATGCCCCAAATTCGAGTGCAGGGATACGAACTTATGTAGAAAAGAATGCTAGAGGTCCAATCACTGCCTGGAGTTTGATATCGCCCAAGAAGAGGCAAAAAGGTAATCATGGTTTTCTGAAACAACTAGGTTGGGTTGGTGGTTGTGAGGCCATTTTGGCGGGCTTGCTGCCCACGTTTTTGGCAATTCCCTAGCATTCAAGCTTTTGCACTTTTTTGCGCTTTAGCGACGGGAACAAATCAACGCAGAGTAGACAGCCACGTTACCGTCCAGTCGTTGCTCCTGACCGCTTTTAACGCGCACGTGTGAAGAGTCACAGTTAGAGTTCAGGCTGGGCCTGGCACTGGATCCCGCCCGACAACATCCGCGAGGAAGGCAGGAACAGCCCTCCCTCCTGCTACGGTTCTGCAGCAACGTTGACCGCAAACTTTCCTTACCTTGGGTAAGACTGGACGAAAAGAGAAACAGCCGGGCTACAGGCCAAATGCTCAAACGAAGTAACAGTGCCTCTGCCGTACCTCAGCTAGTCCCAACCACACGCCACTTCTGCAATCGAGGAAGTTGATCTTAAAGTCGGGCTTACCAAAATTCTTCGCCGCTGTGGCAGAGTCCCTATCGCAATGCGACATGCGCCTCTGCCGCAAAATGCGACTTGGCACATCCGATCCAACGCAAACCCCGCTCCAGCCCAGAGCCGGTTCATCTCCAACGGGCATTATTCCCATGGTCACTCGTTGGCAGTTCAATGTCCTGACAGTCACAGAAGGGGGTCCCTACCCCAAACTCCCCCCTAAATATACGCCCACACCGTTCAGCTGCCAGCCTGTATCACGCAAAACACCATCAACATGGCCCACTCGTTCCACGTCAAGTCGTCGCAGCTGCATCTCAAATGGTCCAAGGCGCTAACCCCAGTCCTGACAGTTCCCTCGGGGGCCGAGCTGTCGTTTGACCTGCGCGACGGTGGGAACAACCAGATACGGCCCGACAATGCTGCCACGGCCTTGGCCGACTTCGACTTTGCTCTAACGGATCCGGCCATGGGCCCCGTCTTTGTCGAGGACGCCGCGCCCGGTGATGTGCTCAAGGTCGAATTCCTTGAGCTGACCCCCTCCGACTATGGTTGGACCGCCATCTTCCCGGGGTTTGGCCTGCTAGCCGACGAGTTCCCCGAACCGCAGCTCAAGGTATGGGATCTGACCGATGCCGGTCTCACCCCCTCTTCTTCACCAGGTGGCATGCGCCGCGCCGTGTTCCGACCGGGCATCGAGGTGCCCGTCGAGCCGTTCCTGGGCGTTGTCGGCGTGGCACCCGCCACAGACGAGGAGCTCCCGACCATTCCGCCGTACGCCGCGTCGGGCGGTAACATGGACTGCCGCTACCTGAGCCGCGTTGGGAGCACCTTGTACCTACCCGTCAACGTTGCGGGCGCCCTGTTTAGCTGCGGCGATGGTCACGCCGCGCAGGGCGACGGTGAGGTCTGCGGCACTGCCATCGAAACGCCCATGCTCGCGCGCCTGCGCCTGACGGTCGAGAAGAAGGCCGTCAGAGACGCAAAGGGCTGGGCCTTAAATTGCCCGCACTACGTCACCCCGCCCCTGACGAGGGAGCAGCTCGAAGCTAAGCTCGCTCCCGCCGACAAGGGCGAGTACGCGGCGCTAGGGATCCACGAGGATATCCGCGAGGCTAGTCGCATGGCGCTCAGAGGGCTGCTGGACTGGCTTGTTGCCGAAAAGGACTTGTCGCGGCCAGAAGCATACATGCTGGCCTCGGTGAGCTCGAGCCTCAAGATGGCCGAGGTGGTCGACATGCCCAACTATGCCATCGCGTGCTCGATTCCATTGAACGTATTTACGGAGTGAAGTGCTGTTCTGTTATATGCTGTTATGACCTGCCTGTGTATATGAGCTCGTGGTAGAAATTGATAATTCAGCGAGCGACTCGTTGTTCATATGCTATTGCCAGACATTATTGACGCCTGCTGGCGGCGGATGCACAAGACAGAAATATCCCACTGCCCCGACGCTGTATTTTTTAAAGAAAATTAAAATAAAAGGAGAGCGGCTCAGGGCAGGAGGAAAGAGCATCAGTGCCCGGACGCTTGCTCCGTGCTCGCCAAAGCTGGGTCGTGCGATATTACCCTAGGCAAATACCTAGCATACCGTGAACAGGTAGGATAACAGCAAAATAAAGGGCTTGTTTGTTCCATATTGACGTACGAGGGGAGGGGAAGATCGCGCAGCGTGCCTGCTTGGACATACTGCGGACCTGGACAGACATAAAGCAAATAAACTAAAATGAAGTAAATGAAATAAAAAAGGGGAAGGAGATGGAAACCAAGAAGTAAGTGCGCCTTCCCTAATAAAAAGTAAAAACAATACCCCTACGCTAAACCCGAAAAGACCATCTCCCAAAACAAACACCATTTACGGAACCCCTTCAATTGACACATAATTATTGCTCCCTAATAATGAAGCGATAAAAACTATATTATTAGATCTCGGAGAGCAAGAGCGACTAGCGTAGGGCAAGAGCCATTAGCCAAGAGCAAGAGCAACCGCCGTAGGGAAAGAGATACCAACTAAGGGCAAGACCGACCAGCGAACAAAACTCGTACTTAAAGACCTCGAAGAGAACTTCGAAAGAAATGCCCCGAAAGCCACCGTAAGAGCTTTAAGCGGTAGAAAAGTGACCTCGACTAAAAAAAAGCCTAAATAGGTAATTCTAATACTATCGTACATTAGCCTGAAAGAACAAAAATATATCGACGAAGATGGGACTCGAACCCACAACCTCAGTCTTGATCCTTCTTGTAGGAGGACCACACGCTACCATTGCGCCACTCCGCCATTCACTGTTTAGCTACCTTAGCTTCGTGATTCGATGGGTTCCGAGGCTGCTAAAATAAACTATGGACTAAAAATGACATCATTTTAGTTATATTAGGGTTAGGGTTATAATAGAACCTTCTTCGATAGATCGTAAACCAACTTAACGTGTAGAATTAAAATAAAGAGAAGTCTACTTAGAGTATAGTTAACGATAGCAACAACCTTGGACCTAGGAAGGCGAGATGGTGGAACTCAAGGACTTGATGAGACACGTACTGGCACAGATGGTCACCTCTTGGAGAAAGGCAACACCAGGCATGAAATAACTGGTTCGATACTTCAATGACGACGACTAGACCTAGATTGACCACTGGGCCAATTTGAATCGCGCTGCATTTGTTTGGGAGGTTTTAGGCTTAGAGGATAGAAATCCTCCACCACAAAACATGCCGGAGGATAATATCAGCTCGGGTACCGATACAGATGGGGAGTCAGTGGACTAAGAGGGACATAGGGGACAATTAACCCCTGAAGAGCTTCCATTTTCTTGCTTGTCTTTATTGCTTTTACATGCAGCTTGCCGAGGGCGACCTCTTATCACATAGAAGAGGCGAATTTATGATCTAAGCGCCTCAGATGGCCCTTATAACCTCAGAAAATATTTCTGCCCCCCCTTTTCCCAGTTTTTAGGCCCTCCAGCTATCATCAATACAATCATTTTCCATTTTACTCTACTTTTCTTATTATAGTCATTGTTACTGCACTCACCTCCTCTATTTTCTAGCGTTTTTTTTTAAATTACCTTACCTTGGTTACAGAGCACCTAGCTATCTATGTAGTATCTACGGAGTACCTCCCAACAGACCTCTGTTTTCGCGAAGTAGTGCGACTATCTGGCCTCTGTCCACTGATAGACTGTATCTCTCTCCGTACTAATGTTGCGCAGCACCACCTTCGAAATATATTCCCTATTCCCTTTCTTTCTGACCGTAGCTTAGTTCACTGCTTGCACCCCAGCCTCTCCCATTGATGCACTCTGACAGCCAACTTGAAGATGAACCACTACAAAAGTGAGGTACGATGGACTTGTGTGTAACTACCAAATACATCTCGTTGAGCCTCGGAATTACCACGATACCAAGTGTCCTTGTTACCAATCTGGTGTTAAGCGTTCAAGCTGCATGCCGTCGCTAAGTCGGTCCTTCCCACTTTCTACGCTGACCACAACTCTTCAGTCCTTGCACCCAGTCCCTGCTCTTAACTTCACTTTTCGAGGCAGTCCAGCTACGGATGAAAACGGCCAACAGAATTGCCAGCACTATTGGCGCGAGAGTCCCGGCGGACTTAGAGAAGACTCGCTTTGAGTATGTGCGAAAATGACTTCGATCGTCCAGTCTAAAGATGTTCTAGCAGAGGCGGTTGTGGTATTCGGGTCTGTTCGCCACGGCGTACTACGTAGACGCCAAAATTAAACCCCATCAAGTCTCTCTATTTTCCAATCCTTGTTTAGTCTTAAGGTCAAGCAACTACAAGGCACCCCCGTGGTCGTCGACATGTATTTTTAGGTGGTTAAGGAATGTAGCAGACGATGAATATCGAGAGGTTAGCTGCCGGCCTTTGTAAATTTGCTTCCCTTGTGGGGCGGACTGCGCTCTTCGAAAATTCCTGTGCCTTTTTATTTAATGATAAGGCCTTTTTGTGTCTTATAATGGCATTTATTTATCCTAGAATCACGTTGCCACTCTGAGATGTTGGCCTTCCATTTTTTTCTCCCTGGCCATTACCTCTTCCCCCTCTGACTGGCCCGACGGGCCGTTTTTACGCTAACGCGAGCGTGCTACCATTTACGAGAATAAAAAAAGGGAGATGGAGCCAGAGTTAGCACTTAAGGGGCAGCGATTTATACTGGCACCTTCCGGGACGCAGCTCAGTTGCGCCCACTCTTCTCTAAAGGGGCCTATTTCTTACCAGTTATTCGGACCATGGATTCGGGTTTTCGTTCTTATCTATACACATTGTAATTTGTCGGTAGGAGCTTTTCGACGCGTCTGGTTCAATATTATCGTGCCTGTAGCCTCTTGGGGCGCCTTGGCCGGCGACATCCTTCTCACCTCGACTTCCTCCTGGGCCTCTACTTCCTCCTGGAATTCTTGATGGGGCTGTACACGCCCATGCGGTTGGGATCGAAACCCATGCACACGGCTATCGCGTAGCCGCCGTCATGGCTGATGCTGACGAGTGCTTCCTGGTCGGGGACGCCTTCGCGGTGGCCCATGACGGTGACCACGGGCGGTCCGCCTCGTGTTGAGGGGGGTGTTATGCCGTGCTGCTGCCGCCCGGCTTCCTCGAGCGTCTCCTTGACGAGCGTGGGCTCGGCGTCGAGCTCGTCAGCGGTCTTTGCGGATTTCCCGAGCTGCCTATTGTGTTTTTCCAGCTCCAGCTTTAGCGCTTGCTGCAGCGGCGAAAATGGGTCTACCGTCTCCGCTGTTGTCGTCTCTGGGCCATTTCGTTCGCCTTTCCTGCCAGACAACACTTCGATGTCGTGGAAGTACAGCCAGCGCCAGGGGTGTGCTTTAAGGACAGCCTCTTTCGCTGCCCATCTAGAATTTTTTAGCGTTTACATGTCAGCATTAGCCAGTCATGGGCGCGCAGCAAAGCAAGGCGCATGATAAAAAGCAAACGCACCTTCCGGCAACGTATTCGAGCGTCCTGTTCGTTATCTCTATCTCGGGCCACATTTTCATCTCGGAGGAATCTTCGGATTTGGATCTGTACCATTTGTCGGTTTCAAAAATCAGGTCAATGTTGAATGGCCGGGCCATGAGCTCCTTGGGCGTTAGGATGCGACGGAGGAAACGGGCTGCATTGGGGCTCTTGAGAATCGGGTGGAGCCTCTGTGTCTTGATAATGTCTACCCCGACCTGGAATGGGAACGGAAATGGTAATTTTGGCAGCGGAGGCCCCATTGTCGAGCTTCAACTCTGCGAGACCTTGCGGCGGTGGAAAGAAGGTAACGCCCGCTCAATTCAATCGATAGTTGTTGCGGATTTCTCGAGACTCCAAACGCGTCACGCGGGTACTGTACAAGGAATTGCGGGCCCCAGTAAGGCTAAGCTGTAATAGGCTTGGGTTACCCCAGACGATGGCCGGTAACTTATCGATAAGGGATTGGCAAAACACCAAGAACGGACTGGAACGAACCTACGTCACTGAACAATTTAACGATAAATCCCTTGCTGTAAAAATAACGCTGGAAGCCAAGTGGAAACCGTACCAACGCCATGAAGTTAATATCTTAGACCCCGACAGCTATCACAAGGTCGATTCCATTCTTTTGCTTTGCTGCCGCTAAAATTCCCTCAGACCCCGAGACGATGAAGAAGTCCGTCAGTTCCCCCAACTAAAGGGAAATCGCTAGCGTGCATGGTAGAATAAGCTACCTAGTCAGACGTGTAAAAGCACGCGAGCCTTGGATGACTCTAGAGAGGCGTTTACGGGTCCGCGAGCAGAGGAGCGCGCTCCGTATCGGCCGCCGACCGGTCCTTGCGGGTGGTCAAGGCCGGCACAGCCACGATAAAAGACAGGACAAACAGGACAGCCATAATGGTGAAAGCAAAGATCCACTGGAACGCGATAATCTTGCTAAAGAACTGAGCGACGCCGAGAGATGCCGCCAACACGCTGAGGTTGAAGCCCATGGTGTAGTCCTACAGAAAATGTTAACGACAAGAACACGGTCAACAGGAGAGCTCGAACACACCTTGTAAATCACAATAAAGAACATGCCGAATACCAGGATCGACCAAATGAAGATGTTGGCAAAGACGCGAGCAACTAGGCTCCCTTGGTAAGGAATCATGATAGCACCGTTCCAGTAGATAGCCACAAACGTCCATGCCAGCGGCCCCGAGACGGCGGGCAGGTGGATGAAGCGGGGGTATGTGTTATGGCGGAAGTAGAGTGCTGTCAAGTTGAAGAAGTTGATGACGAGAATCACCTCGGCCCAGACGAAGTGGCTCCGCACAAAGAGCATCACGAAGGCGAAGTGGAGGAGGTTGTTGAAGATGAAGTGGCTCCCGACCGAGCAGGCGGCGTTGACCGTCTCGACCTTTGTCGAGAATAGGTGCGTAATGTAGACCAGCTGCAGGATGAAGAGGACGAGCCTGTCGAAGCAACGACGTTAGCGAACCCCAGCACCACGACGGGGCGACACTTGCTTGCGTACACCCGGAAGAGGGCCGTTACCTACCAGTAGATGTCCGTGATGACCGAGTTGAGGGTAAACCCCGAGAAGTAAAAGTAGTTTTGCTCCCAGATCTTGCGGCGGACGTAGTGGCCGTCGTGAGGCGCGTCGTACGTGTAGTAGATGGTGGTGATGAGCGACAGCAGCCAAGTCACCAAGGTTAGGACCTTGTACGTGATGACCGAGTTGGCACTATGTGAGTCCCGCTTCGCGAACGGGTTGACTGTTCCGAGCCTGTCAGCATCGTGGCGCGCGGAATATTAAACAGTTGGCATTTCCTTCCAGTTGGGGGGACATACTGTGGTTTAGACGATTCATTGTGGCGGCGACAGGAATATCGTATCCTGATCAAAATCCAATGCTTGGACGTGGTCAAATGTCTGCCAGGCCTCGATGGAGTGGTGGAAAAGGAAAGACGTCGAGGGGAAGATTCGCGAGACCGGTACGGTGTTTTGTAGAAGCGGGGAGGTGAGGGACGGCAGTCAGTACGCAATGATCAGAACAGCCAAGGGATGGAACAAGGGGAAGGCGCCGCGGGCACGAGAGTAACACTCCGCCAGGCTGGTCTTGGTTTTGCGGGGAAGCAGGCAAGCAGGCAAGCACACGCACAACATGCGTAGAGTACTTCCAAGGACGGCGATGCGGCCAAGTGAAAGGAGGGCAAGGTTCAAAGTGACGGGAGGGGTGGGTTACCCAATCGTCTCAAGCAATCGCCCTACGACATGTTCCTCGTCGCACCAGATGGAGATTGGATGAGCGCTTACAACGGAGACTTTAGTCCAATGTCTCCGAGTAGTTAAGGTAGGCCGGAGTCTTGATGTAGAATACATAATGTTGAGGTCTTGTGTTTTGCTGAGGCCTAGGGGGTAGTCCAGAACTCCGAGAACCTCCGCGCGCCTCGACATTTCCAGCCCCTTTCTCCTGCCATTGCCCTTTCCACGAGATCAATCAGAGCTGTTGCTGCTGTTGCTACTCGTCGCTTGTCGTCCGTATTAACGAGGTTTCCGCAAACAAAAGAGGTTCGGCCCGTCTCTCGCGACTTCTTGGTGACATGAAACTTAACATGCGGTCTCCAATTTGATGCATGACGGGACTGCAAAGCCAAGCGGGCCCGCAGTGGGATCGGAGGTCTCCCGGCGCTGTTGATTGGGCTGTAGAATGTCTATTACGTCACAGGCTGGCCCTGTGAACGCGTCCGCAGCATGCGGTCGTGCGATGTATTGGCCGATGATTCCATTCAGTCCAAACTCCCACGTTCAAAACACCAGTGGCGGGCATGGCTGCGTAATAAGAAGCTGCGATTTTTAAATTTTGAGGAGGCTGTTGTCTGACAGTTTCTAGAAAATTATCAAGCATGTTTGATGGTCTTGGGTTTCTTGAATACAGGCTCTTACCGTGGTTGGGGAAACCGGCTTTCGTTACGGAAGAACATTGCCCTATTGCTGGGAGCGTATCCGTACCCTACAACAGCAGGGATTATAATTGAACAGAGGCCTGGAATCCGCCCGGGTACTGACGACTTTATTTTGAAAGCAAACCAGCCGATCTTGAAAAGACAAGTGGCCGGCTGCATGCAAGAACACGGATTAGTGGAGCAGTTCCCCCAAGACCAGAGGTTTTGGTCAGGATACGAGCCGGTTGGCGAACTCGAATGCGAGATTCTGTTTTGGGGATCCTGGCTTTGTTACGGCAGCAGCGGTAACGCGCAGAGTGCACTGGGCAGTTAAATGAGAAAAGAAACAAAAAAAACAAATTTTAACTGTCAGGAGAAAGGAAAACCTCGCAATGCCATCGGTCTCTTTTCAGGTCCGACAACTTGCCCCCCTCGTGTTCAAATTTCAGTTTCCGCAACTGCTTCAAAGGCGCTCTTGCCGTGTCCAGGCTTCGGACCAACAAAAGCGGTATCTGGAAGTTGCCAGTTGGGGGCCCCTTCTTGTTCCACGGTCTACGGATAGTTACTCCACTTGTGCGAGTGAGAGAGAAAGGACGAGAAACATCGCAGATCCCTTTTCTCACCTGACCACCCTTCAAGCCATCCGTGGTCGATTCCGGCTGCGCATGTTGGATCATGACGTCTGGCTCGAGAAAAACCGTCGGAGCTCTTGCTGGGGCCTGAGCCGAGATTCAGCTGAGGCTTTCTTCCTAGCAGAGCGCTTTACGACGGCCTAACACGGCCTTTCGCGGTTGAAATTCTACCACTGAAGCATCCTAAAGGTCCGCTTCATGTTTGGACTGGGCAACCTGGAAGCCTGCATCGGCCGCCTGCCACACTGAGAAATCTGAGAGCATGGTATTTGAGGCTCTAAAATTCCATATTTTATTACAGTGGATTTCCGAAATAAACAAAGGTCCCCCCTGAGCCCCTCCCCATTCAATCAGCCTTCTCCTGAGGTCGCCTTGTTTAGAGGTCTAGGTAATCTAGGTAAGCTAGCTGATGAGAATTCCCCCCTCCCCCCCTTTAGGCATGCTGCAACGTTGCTGACGCCGCTTCAGTGATTACTAGCCCCAAGGCGCAGCGGGCTCATGGTTGCGATAGCGCTATTGCTCCATCCGCTGTGATTCGATTCTAGGTCGCCTGCTCTCTGGTGAACATTCTGGAAACCACTGCACCGTCATGAATATTTATTTGCATACCTTGGGGTTGGGTTATGTATGGTTGACGCCACCGCTCCAGTTTGTCCTTCATTTTCAGGCTGTCGTGTTTCATTGAGAAATTGCCGGCTCGGAGGTCCTGGTGCTTCGTTTGCTGTTGGTCTCTGCTTCCTTGCCCGTTCAAGACACCGAGCCTGATTGTTGTCCTGGCAGGCGCCCGCATCTCTGACCGAGGCCGTGTCCTTGGGGTGGAGCTCCGCTGCGAGGCCGTTCGTCTCGACATCGAGCCGCTGTTGTTTCGTTTTCCCCCCGGAGACGCGCTATCTGCTTCGCTGCGGCAGTACTCCAGCCGCCTGTTAGTGTCGATCCCGAGGCACATGTGCATGTAGTCTTCAGGCTGCATTGGCTGTTGCTGCTTGTCGGCCATGCAATAATGCGCCGCTATGGCCTCTCGGTCAAGGTCGGTGAGGGTGGGGAGTTGTATTTTGTCGAACTGAGTTCCAATTCCACGAAGTAGGTCCTCGCGCGCCATGGCAGCCAAGGTATGTATGTACAATACATTGCATCGCTTCAAGTGCTGGAGAACGCAACGGTGTTGCGGCAGACCTGGGTAACATCTTATAGCCCAAGCAACACCTCCAACCGAGCGCCATCACTTGTTCCCTTTGAGTTCTTTATCTGAGGCCCGAAACGCGCCTCGCGCATTTCCATTTTCTGCTCTTGGGGGCATCACGGTCTAGACCAATTCCGACCGGCGAGCCGTCGACCTTGTGGACTGGTCGCGATGAGCTGGCAGAGCCCCAGCAAAGCCCTCTCCCAAATTCCAAGTACGGAGCAGCCAGTAGCCACATCCGGGGGGGTCACACTCACCAAGTGGTGGTGGCCAAGGAAGGCTGAGGTGCACACCAGCCCGCGTTAGCCAACGAAGACACAGGCGCACGCAGGCCGCGAAGGCGCCTATTGGCCCCCCATTTGTATTATGGAAGCATCAGACAGGCGTCGAATTTCCAAATCCCTAGACGGGCTTGGGACCCGCCGCCTTTTGTGAGGCACTCTCGCGGGCAAATCCCCTGACAGCGCGCGCCCCATCAAGGCCTAAATTTCATCTTAGGTTATGTATATGAGAACTCGGCTCGCGCAAATAATTATGAGGCTCTACTTCTACTGCCTGTTAGCTGGCCACGCAGCTTATATACCTGGCTCGTGAGAGCGTCTGGGGGACAACCGGCCGTCGCCACCACCACCATGGGAGACTCGCCAGAATTCAAGTTCGTCGTCGACATGCCCAAAAACGCCGCGAGGATCGATGAAAAGGAATGGGAACGCCTCAAAGACACCATTCTCGGCAGGTACACGGGGGGGATGAAGCTCGAGGACGTCATGGAGTTCATGAAAGAAGAACACAACTTCACAGCAACGTGAGCACCGTCCCACCCGCTAAGCTCCAGCCGACTGACAAACATCTTGTGTATCGCAGAAAGCGGCAGTACGTCCACCGCATAGGGATGATATGGGGAGTGAGGAAGTACAGGGCGGGTGCCGCCAAAAAGGGCACCAAAAAGCCCGGCCATAGATCCACCTCTCCGGAAGGGGAGACGAAACCGTCCGCTGCTGCTGTCGCTCCCGCTGTCGCTCCCGCTCCCGTTCCCGCTACCTCTCCTCCTGCAGGCAGCCGACGAACAGCAGGTCTGGGCCTCGCCGACTCCCAGACAGCTCGTACGACAACAGCGTATGTCCGCGATGTCAAGCCCGGCCAACTAGCTACCGCACAGACCTACAGTCCTGCTATGGGTGGCGAAGAGAAGAAGCGTCTGTATCACCAGGTCGCCAACTTTTTGGCCGCCTTGGGAGACGGCAAGTCTTGCTACCAAATTTGCGCTTTACTCTACCAGGCCCGAACACTGCAGGACCACGTCCCGGACGAAACACACCTTGACCATGTTGTCGCCTGCAACCAGACCCAACAGACCGACAAACATTCCGAAGAGGTGCTCGCCATGCTGCAAGACAACGTCGACCACCTGCTAGACCCGGATGGTAGCGATATGACTTGGCAGACCTGCTTCTTTGACCTGCTGCAGGCGCACGCGTACGATCGGGGTCACGACGAGAAAGCCGCTATTGGACAGATCATCAGGTTCGTCAACACGTATCTTGAGCCGGACCTGGTTCTCAAGATAATACCCGGCCGCGGCTACCCCGTCGACATCCAAGCCTACCAATATCTCAGTTACTCTCTGATACGGTACAACGACAACATCCATGCGACAAAAGGCCACGACTTCGTAGATACGGCTACGATTCTAGACCAGTTTATCGGCCAACAGCCAGCATTCGCCACCAAGAACCCTCTGCTCTTGAGCTGCCTTGGCGACTGTCGTGCTTGGTGCATCAGTGTGCTCGAATGTGGTCCTGCAATCCCAGGCAAGATCCGGCATGCCCGTGCTGGCCAGGTTGGCGCCACGTACCAGATTTTGTGCACCCTTTGGTACATCTGGATGAGCGAACTCTTCCCCCGCTCCTTATCCCATGCCCGTGGAGGGAGCAGCCGTCGGGCGTACCCTCTGGCGAACTGGGCCGACGACGTCAAGCCACAGCTGGGCATCTCGCCGAGTGAACTGCTTACAACTGTCGTCTGTATGATCATGGCGGCCGCTCCATTCCCGCACGACGATCACGCTGCTCCCGACTTCATTGAACAAGCTCTGGCGGGTGCGCGCGACCTTGATGCAGTTAGCCCCGAGGACTTGATCCGACGCTTCCTCGATCAGGTTCGCGAAACCAGCGACCGGCGCTTAACCACCCAGGTTGTCGATGAGCGTGACAAGGTCGGGGTTGCCGAAATTATCCAAGCAAGGAAGATAGCTGCCCCGTTCCGCAACTTCATCGCCTCTGCCTTCGGCGACATCGAGCTGCCAGCGCTTGACAAGGACGCCATTGTCATCCCGGTCGCGCTGACCACCGCCAGAGAGGTCGATCGAGAGGACGGGAGAGAGCATGAGATGCTATCGGACCCCTTGTCGCCAATACGGCCAGCGCTGCAAACTAGCGACAGCCAGTATCCGGCGGTCCCGCCCATGTACTCGGCCCGCTTGCAGCCAACAGCCGTTGACCACCACCACATGCTGAAGTTGCAGATCAACGAAAGAGGTGGGCGTCGTAGAGCACAGAGTGACGGCGGCGGCGCCGCTGCCGAGCCACCGGATTTTGACTAGGGTGGGCGGCGCGGCACCCGATCAAGCTTCGTCTTCTTCTTTTCCTTGTATCATTTCTGGCTTGTGGCCTTACTCCGTGAGCCTAGCCTCTGCCGCGTGGCGGCAGGATTTGCCTTTGCCTGCTTTTACCAGCGAAGCATGCATGTTTTGGTGTAGACAATATTAATACTATACCCTTTGTTTTCTCGTCGTTTTCTTTTCTACAAGGCAGTTGGGATGCTAGCGTAGCTTCTCTTGGGCAGCGATATTCTCGCCTTGGTATAGACAAAACGACCTCTCTTCGCTGCGGTAGCCCTGTCTCTATTTCTATTCTCTAGTCATCGCAGCTAGCGTCATGAAATATATTCACGTCACAAATGCTTGTAATATCACGGTGCCATAACAAGACTTGCTGATATTCAGTGACCATGAGAGCAAAATAGTAAAATGATGAGATTGCAGTGCCTACGGTTTAATGTAGAGTTTATATGTCCTACGATGAATTGGTGCATGACCTAGGCGGGCATCTGCATTTCTAGTGCTCTCTACGTGAGCTCGCAAGCTGAAGTGATTGTCTCCCCCGCCCTGAAATTAACATATTGTGTATGCGCACCCTTGTTGGCGAGCTATGTACAACGAACACACAGAGCTAGCTACCTATGAGACCAAAACATTGCCTTTTTTTGTTATAAAAGGTGCTGGAGAAGATAACCCGGCAAACATGGCATATCTATTCCTCTATCTATCGAGCCCACAAAAGAAAGACAAACATGTGGACTAGATGTGGATGCGGATATGGATACTCTTTACATATACCTCTACAGTGAGCTACCCATTCATCCAAAGCAGCCAGCTAGCAGCAACAATCAGATATAGCCCCCAGGGTACATGGTCTAGTGGTGTGATTTTCGCTTCGCATTGTGTGGTTTGGCGTCTGAGCAAGTCTCTCTCGTTGTCTCTAGCCGCAATTCGCCTGTGAAAGGTCCCCGGTTCAATCCCGGGTGTATCCAATCTGCTTATTTTTTGCTATTCTTTCTTTCTCTTTTTTCTTTCTCTATTTTTTATTCTTCCTGCTATATTGAGTGCAGTTTTGCCATTCATTTATTCGCATATTAGATCTCCTTGAACAGCATCTTGTCTCTTGCGGCCTAATTATGCAAAGCTTTTAGTTGACTTTGGTGCTTGATCTCCTCGCCCAGGCCTAAACTCTCAAGAGTCGTGCATGCACACTTGCCGCCCTTCTTCACAACCTGGCCATTATAGTCCGGACGTATAGCATACCTACGTATTACAGCAGTGTGCAAATATTTTAACAATGCAATGCAAGATAATGAACACATTTCTCAACTCAGCCAGTAGTTAAGGTAGTTAGTTTAGTTTGCGACTCTCCCCAACTCAAACACCACCTTTCATATCGTCTCAACTATCACCACAGCAACATCCAGTCCGAACAATAAAAGTAAGGTCGGTAAACAATATGAATTGAACAGGGTATCGATATCTCAGAGTTAATAGTAATAGTAGTAAAAGGAGCAAGTCCCGAGGACGCCTCGTCCACGCCACCGCATTGCACCGCCCAAACAAACACACACAAAAGTCTAGTAGTGGCAGCTTCAACACCGGCAACCCCCCAACCGTGCAGACGGGCCCGTGGGTAGCCGTCGTGAAAATAGCTTCAATGCCTCAGAACGACACAGGAGAAAATAAAAAGACAAGAAGTGAAAAAAAAGTATAAGGGTTAAACACCCAGACTTGGTTCGAGTCTTTGCACATCCCCATCCTATACACATACACACCATAACCGCCATGACCGACAGCAATCATACACTATCTCAACAAGCCGTCCACAGATCACAGCTCAGTCATCAGGGCCTCGCCCTCGTCCAACAGATCGGTGACCTTCTTCAGATTACCAATCAGGCTCTGGCCGAGGCCGACTAGCAGCAGCTTCTCGGCGTTGGCTGGTAGGCCGAGGTACGTGGGCGGCTCGCGCTCGGGGAGTTTCTGGATCCACACCATGAATTCCTGGAGCGAGGTGCCCGAGGGCACGACCAGGTCGCCCTCGCCGGCGCTGTCGTCGTGGCCGTCGACCAGCTTGTGGCCAATGTCGAAGGCGGCGGGCGTTAGGAACGTGTGCACGAGCTGCGCTAGCATCTTGAAGTCGCCTTCGTCGTCAATCTTGCCGCCGTACGTCTCCGTCACCAGGTACCGGATCATGTCCCAGGGGATGTTGCTGGGCGCAATGTTTGTGCGGTTCTGCGCCACCACGTCGACCCACGTGTCGATGACAAACGCCGAGCATTCGTACTAGACGTACAAAGTGAGTCATCAACCATAAAGCAAACAGACGGACGGCAACTTACATCAGAATCGTTGAACTCCCAGAAGCCCTTCCAGCCAAGGGTGGGGGCATACCGCAACCGCTCCTGGATGACGGCGTGTAGGAATGAGAGGAGGAGGTACAGGCGGGTGCGCTCGACGGGGCTCTTGGCCGAGCGCGTCGACAGCGCCGAGATCGAGTCCTTCATGTTGGCGCGCACGCCGGCCGGCTGCTCGTACATGAGCACGCGCGATGCGCGGAGCAGGTTGACGGGGATTTTGGGGCTCGACTCCATCGACAGGAAGAGGCGGAAGTCCGGGTTGGGATTTAGCGAGTCCATGCGCTTCTCGAGGCTCTGGAGCCACGTTGGCGCGAGATGTACGTTCTTGATCAGCACCCACGACCCCGTCTGCGCCGCGTTGGCCACGGCCTTGTCGGCGCTGGCTAGGCCCTCGTTGGAGCCCATGGCAATGTTGGTGCACCGGACGCGCATGCGCTCGACGAGGCTGTCGACCTTGTACGAGGCGTCAAAGCCGGGGCTCGAGACCAGGGCGATGGGCCGCGTGGCCGAGACTTGGTCGACCGTCTGCTTCAAGTCTTCGACAATGTCGAAGAGGTCGGACCCAAAGACCAGCGTGACGAATCGCTCGGCAGCCGGCACGAATCGGTCCAGGCGGAAGAGCTTCACTAGGAGCAGGGACATCAGCGCCTTGTCGTTCGCCTCGGTGCTGTTGTCCCAGAGCTGGGGCACGAAATTCTCGGCGAGCTCCTCGGTGAAAAACCTGTCCCACTCGGACGCTGACACGCCGTCGAGCTTGTCCTTGAAGACGGCAAGTCGTCTCGCGCGGGCAAAGGCGCCGCCCTTGGCCCCGCCGTCCGAAGACACGTCCTTGCCCTCGACGCGGTCATCTAGGATCACGTCTAGCAGGCCCTTGTCCATCTTGTACGGGGACGCCTGGGCGAGGAGCATGGCTAGGGTGGTGCGGTCCTTCTGCAGCAGCCCCAGCGCAGTCCTCTTGCACGTCGTTACGAACAAGTCCTTGACGATGATGTCACGGCGAACATTGTGGTTCATCTCGTTGGCCAGGTTTGGATTGCCATGCAAGACCGAGTGGAAGATGTCAAGGAAGTACTGCAGCGAGAACTGGTAGAAGTGGTTGACGTAGTGCAGCTGTTCGAGCACGGCAAAGACGGCGCTGCAGGAGCGGGCAATGATGTTGTACTGCAGAGTGATCTCCTCGACTTCGGCCATGACACCCTCCGTGTTGCTCATCTTGGCCGAGATCTCGGCCGCTTCCGTCTTGAGCGTCTCGAGCGTCTCGATGACATTGTCGTCGTCGAGGATGTTGCCGCGCGACTCGTTGAGGGCCTGCAGGAGACGCTTCTCGAGCTGCCGCAGATGGACCTTGAACTCTCCCTGCAGCTTGATGAGGTTGGAGCGCCTCTCGTCCACGTCGGGACGCTCCGACTTGAGCACCTCGGCCAGAGACTGAGTCTGCAGACTGCTCTGGGTCACGGTGAAGTTGACAAACGTGGTGCGGCTGCAAATGTCGGGGGCAAATGTCGCCGAGGGATCCCGCGTCGACAGGTAGATCTTGAACGAGGGCGAAAAGTCAATCTGCTGCTTCCCGAGCTGGATCAGCACGCGGCCGCCCGTCTTTTGGTACTCCTTGTTGAGCACATGGTTGAGGATGGGATCGAGGTGCTCGGCGTCTTGGATGAGGATGGGATTGCCGAAGCGCAGCGAGCTCTCGAGCTGCTTGGTGAAGGAGTCGTCCAGGAAGCTCGTGACGGTGAGGCGGCGGTCCTTGCACTCTTTCTGTAGGAACTCGGTCACGCGGCCCGAGGGGTCGATGATGAGTGGGTAGCGGTTGAAGCGCTTCAGGATGATGGCATTCTCGGTGCATAGATCATCGACCGGGAGCGTGTTCTCCTGCCAGCCGAGCCGCTCGTCTGCCGTGGAGAGATACTCCGTGACAGGGTTGTGCGGCTTAAAGTTGATGCCCGAGAGGTGCAGCTGGTGCAGCCAGTCTTCCATCATCGATTTGCGGAAAGTCTGATCGTACAGGCCGCTATAAGCCAGGAACGCCGCCGCGACCAAGACGTCACCCACGAGCGTGCTGATCTGCGTTTCAAACGACTTGCTGCCCTCCTCCCAGCGCGTCCTCTCAGACGACAGGCTGTCGAGCAGCTTGACGCTGCGGTCGACCTTGAACTGGACGCGCGACATCTCCGACTTGATGGCCTGCGTCTCGCTAATGAGCGAGGCGTACTCCGTCTTGTAGGTGGCGATGCTGGTCTCGAGGTTGTCAATCGTCATCTCGACCGCCTTCGCCTCGGCCTTTGTCTGCAGCGCCTGCTCCTCCAGCAGATTCACCTCTTCTCTCAGGGGCCCAACGCGATCCAGTATCTCAGCGTAAGTGACCTGCGCCTCGACCCACTGGACGAGGGGACCGCAGGCCTTGCTGGCGCGGTTGACCTTCTCAAAGGTGAACTCGGGGTTGGCCAGAAACTCGTTGCGCATCTTGAGGCGCAGCGCCTTTGTCATCTGCTTCTCGTTGTTGAAGTTGATGATGCTGGCGATGAAGTCGTCGCGACGCACGACGGCCTGGATCTGCTTCCAGTCGTTGACCTTGTGGCCGATCAGCGTGCAGACCGAGTCTAGAGCCAGCCGCACGCCCGACGGGGGCGTGGGCATGGACCGCACCTCTGTGAGATGCTGGCGCTTGATGTTGCTGACCGAGGCCTTCGCCTCTTCGACGGCCGGCTCGGCCTTGGCAAGGTCTTGGAGCACAATCTTCTTGCGCGACGCCACCTCGGCCTCCTGCTTCTCCAGAGCCACTTGAATCTCGAGCGACGTGTTCTTCCGCTGCTCGGCCTCTCGCTGGTCCGCAATCATGCGCTGCAGCTTCTCGTTTGCCTCGGCGTCCTTCTGCTCGAGCTGCGCCTTCTTCTCGGCGAGGCTGACGCGGAGATCCCGGACCTTGTCCACCGTGTCTCGCAGCTTCTCGAGACCGACGTTGAGATGGCGCTGCTGCTCTTCGAGATCCTCGCGCTTCTCGTTATATAACTTGACATACTGCGCCACAAAGTCGAGGAAGTGGCGCGGCGTGAGGAACGTGACCCGGCCCTGCTGCTTGAGGAGCTTCTCGTTGAAGCGTTGCAGAGAGTAGTGAATGTACACCATCGAGTTGACGACCGCCTCTCTGTGCGACGGCGGCAGGTTAAGCCCGCGGTAGGCGACCGGAATCGAGTCTGGAGCGATGAAGTTGGGCCGCTCCAGATCGACCGAGTGAGTGAGCTCGTGCGCGACCTGGAAGAGGGCCTGGTCGGACCAGTCACCAAACCAGTTCAGGACGCAGCGGTTGAAGAGCGCGGGCGATGTTGCAGCCTTGGACGACAGGCCGTCCTCAGGCGGGTTCATGGTGAAGACGACGTGGAGATTCTTGACAATCTGTCCCGTGAACCACTTGTAGAGCTCTTCCTGGGAGTCCAAGAGTAGGCCCTGGCGCTGTGCACCCTCCTTGCAAGCCGTCATGAGCGCTGCCAGGTCGTCGCCCTCAAAGAGGCCGGGGACTTCGGCGTTGGCAAGCAGCGTGTTCATGCGCTCGAGGAAGCCGGAATCCAGGACATTGGACTCGTCCATGATGAAGCATATCTTCTCGCCCTTGCAGCCGCAGCGCCGGAGCACTTCTCGGAGGTCCTCGTCAAAGTCTTCGGCCGAGTACTTGCCGTGCACCTTGATCTGGAACACCTTGAGGCCGTTCATCCAGGCCACGAAGCGCGACAGCGTAGTTTTCCCGCTACCGCTGACGCCGATGAGGATCAGATGGCCCTGCGGCTGCCTGAAGACACGATCGATACGAAGCACGTGCTCCAGCACGTCGTTGAACAGAATGAGCGGCACGTCGACCTCTTCCTCACAGAACGTCTTTAGCCTAGCCTTGACAAAGTCACGCAGCTGCTCGCGGTCGACGGGCACATAATGCTTGGAGAGCCAGTTCGAGAACAGAATCGGGCCGCCGAGAGCCTTTTGCTCGTCAATCGTGGGGAAGAAGTCCATGGCAATGCGCCGCACGGCGTCGTCGGTCCACTTGCGCTCGTCTTCAGCAACCAGGCGATCCTGGAACAGGCGGAGTGCCTCGTGGGCCCAGATGCGGATGAGTCCTTCGACGGACAGCGTCTCAAGAGGCCGGATGGCCTCGTACACGCCGCGCACCCATCTCGTGAGCTCACGGGGACTGTAGACGTAGTGGGGCTGGATCTTAGGCGTGAACCGCTGCTGCGACTCGAGATAGAGCCGCACCATAGACTGCGTAAGGGGCTCGGCATAGCCACGCAGCGAAGGGATGATCTTGAGCACGGCCGAGTTGAAGGTGCCGTAGATCTGCATGAGAGACTGCTCGCCGGGGTAGTCAACCATGATGAGTGGCGCGTGCCTGAGGAACCGAGGGCCCATTGGCGTGCGGCCGGCATCGGTGGGCGGGTTGCAGGCTCCGACGAACTGGATCCGGTCGAGTGTGACCCAAGACTTGTCCGACGTCCGCCAGAACCCGTTGTGCTCGACAAGTTGGCGCAGGAAAGAGATGGCTCGCTGGGTGCCATACTTGTCGGGGGCCGGCAGATTGATCTCGTCGCAAAAGATGACCAGCCAGCGTCCGATCTGTGTGGGCGACAGCATGACTCCGTTGAGCGTCTTCTTGTACTCGCAGTACTGCTCGAACGTCTTGATGAGCAGGTCTGGAGTGGTGGCGCTGGAAAAGTTGAGACCGACGACCTCCATGTTTGGAAGCTTGCGCAGGGCGCTGAACAGCGTCATGGTCTTGCCGGAACCGGGAGGGCCGCAAAGGAGCAGCGGCTTGTGCTCGGCCAGCCACGAGTACAAAACATCCTCGTGGCGGACCGTGTCCAGCGTCGGGATGACCACGTCCGTCTGCGTGACTGAGTGCGTGTTGACCTCGATAGTCGGCACCTGGTTCTGCCAGGGCGTCCATTCGGCCTTGGGCAGCGACACGTCAAAGTCGATGAGCGAGCTTGCGCCGTCCAGCGGCGGCGAACCAAAGCTGGCCAGGCCAGCAACCTTGTCGCCAAACGCCTTGCGGTCCATCAGCGGACAGTCGCCGGTCAGGGCCCACACTAGCGCGAGGAGGAGCTTCTTGGCAATGTACGCCTCGGCCTGCTCCGGCTCGAGCGGGAAGTCAGGATGCTGCGAGTTGTACTCGATGATATCGCGAACGGCCTTGTTCAGGAGCGAGAACATGGTGCTGAGAACGCGAGCCACTGTAAACTCCATGATGTGGTTGAATTCTTCGGCCTGATTCAGCGCCGCGAGGATGAAGTCGTCAGTGGTGAGGTAGGCGTGCAGGAGATCGGCCGCCTGGCTCTGCACAGCCAACGCCTTTGCAGAACTCTGGCCCGTGGCGACAGCATCCTCGTCCAGGTCCTCAAACGCGATGGTGCGCAGAGTCTCGAGGTAGTTGGCCACCATCATGCTGGGCGTGACCGTGTCCTCGCTGAACCACACCATACCACATCGACTAACAGTGGCCAGGGTCGCATACTTTAGGTTCTCAACCTCAAACATGATGCGCACATTGGGGGGCAGGTTGAGACGCTCGCCATTGGGCAGCGTCAGCAGCTTGTTGTCGTCGAGCACGCTGTTCAGATTCTCAACCCATTCGGGATCGACATCGCCGTCGAACACGATCCAGTGGCGCTTGGTGTCCTCGCCCCGGAGGTTATCGACAATCTTGCGGAGGATACTAGTGAACAGGCCGTCGGTCCATTCTCTGGTGGTCGAGTCGAGGTTGCCGTAGAGCGCCTCCTTGGACATGACCTTGCTGTCGATGACGTGCGACACGCCCTCGACATTCTCCACCTGCTGAAGAGCGTCCAGGAGAAGCCTCCAGGCAGCCGACTTTCCTGAGCCCGAGTTGCCCACCATCATGACACCGTGGTGGATCTTCTGGATCTGGTACAGCTGGAGGACCTTGGTCATCCACATATCATTGACCACGAGCTGCCTCTCGGCCGCCAGCCGGCGGATGGCGGCCTCGAGCTGCACTAGGTTGGCCGGTACATACTTGACGTCGGGGAAGCAGAGCCCCTCAATGTCTATCATGATCTCGACATCCGATTTGATCAACTTGGGAGCAATCGTCTCCCGGATGCTCTGCACAATGATTTCAGGCTCAACGACATCTTCGGCGCCAAGCTGGCCGTCGCTGCTAGTCAGGCGGGCGCGCTTCAGACCACCGGAGCTCACGAGGACGCTCTTCAATGCACGAAGGCCAAAGTCATAATGGGCTTGCTTTGACAGCTTGGCGGCGCATTCGTCAAAGAATGGCACCGTGTGCTTGGAGAGCTGCTTCGCCTGGTTGAAGCCCTGCGAGTAGAGCATGACCTCGGCGATAAGCTCCTTGTCCGGCTTGGACATTGCCACACTGCGGAACAGCTTCTTCAGGTTGTCCGGCAGGTTGGAGCGACCAGCATAGCCCGGGTTCATGGTGATGAAGATTCCCGTGTTGGCGTTGACGCGGAGCTGGCGGCCGACGAGCTCGATCTGAGACTTGTCATCCTCTGCGCCTTGCTTCAGACCAAGCTGGATATTCTGAATTTGCTGAGAAACGGCAGACAGAATCCGCTCCTCGAGACGATTGAACTCGTCGAAACAGCCCCAGGCACCGACCTGGCAGATACCGAGGAAGATGCGACCCATGGCCTGGAAGTCGAACGTGTCGTCGCAGCAAAAGACGAGGGTGAAGCGGCCGAGTTGGATACCGAGAGCCTTCACAGACTCTGTCTTGCCCGTGCCTGCAGGGCCGTAGGGAGAGCCGCCCAGGCGCTGGCAAAGAGCCTGCGTCAGGGTCAGGAAGCAGCGGTCCGTCAGGGGCGTCCGGACCAGCCTGTCGGGCACGCCGAGGTACTCGAAGCCGTAGTTGAGCTTGGCATTTGCCATCTTGATATGGAGCCGCTGCAAGAAGTCGCCCTCGGGAACGTAGACATAGCGCATCTGGAGTAGCCACATGTAGTGTGTGTTGGAGGTGGCCCCGAGCTTGATCAGCTTCTCGATGACGTCCCGCTGGTGCACGCATTCTGTGATGAGCTGCTCGCACTTCTTGCGCAGCAGCACCTCGAGATCGCCGAGGACGGTGCCGGCAAGGAGGCGGAGCACCTGCACCTCGCGATCAAACAGAGACTGCAGCTTCTTCCCGCCATCGGTCAGCGCCAGGCCCACCTCGGTAGTCCAGACAGCCTGGGTGGCCAGCACCACAATTTGGCTAGGATAGGTAGCCATAAACTTGTCTAGGGCGGCCGGGTCGATGCTCTCGCTCGCAAAGATGGGCGTGAACTCCTCAATTGCCTCGGCCAATAGTTCAGCCAGTGTTGCCTTCATGCCGCTCTCAAGGAGCGCGAGCCAGTCGTTGATCTTTGGCGTCTTGACCAGGTTGATCTCCTTCTTCAGCCGCACCACCTCCCCTTCCTTGGACGTGAATCCAGAGACGATGGCTTCTTCGTCCATGACGAGCCCCGTGAGACCTGCGAACATCTTCTTGAAGTGCTTGGCAATGCGCATCGTATCGTTGCTGTTGCCGATCATCTCGAGCAAGTCTTCGTCACCAACAAAGTAGAAGCGCGGGAACGAGACACGCTCCTTTTCGAGGTACTCTCCGAGCGCCTTTTGGATCTTGTTCAGCAGCTCGGCCAGCCGCTCCAGCGACTTTTGGACGTTAGGAATGTTCAGGACATCCAGTACGTTAGGCTGCTTGTAGACCTTCTTCATGACGGCTGAGAACTCGCTGTTGATGTTCTGGAACCGTGAGGACTCGATTGGAAGCAGATGCTTGATGTCGGCATTGCCCGTAAACACGCCCTCGAGATAAACCCACTGGCGCTGGACGTCGATCCAGACGTCAAAGAGGACATGGACCCGGTTCAGCTTGTCCTCCCACGACGCAGCCTCTTCCTCGAACTCCTTGAAGTAGGGCGAGTGTCTCATGGCCTGGAGCGAGTTCAGGTTTTCGCTGCATTTTGCGAACAGGTCGTCCCAGCCGCGAATGAGGCGACACTTGTTCTGGTAGTTGACCAGCTCGAGTCCGTAGCCAGTCCAAGTCTCGCGGACCTGCTTTAGGAACTCTTCGAGCGCCATCTCGCCCTGGGCTTGCATGATGATGTCCTTTACAATTACCTCGGACGCGACGAGGTTGAGATCCCAGACATCTCCCAAAGTCATCGAAACGGGAGAGTAGCGCTTGCCCGGCTTGATGGTCTTGTAGATCTTGGTCCAGTGTCGGTCGCGGACGGCTTCCGACTTGAGCTCGCCCAGCATGGGGTTGACCTTCATGTGCTGGCGGAGAATGGTTTGGATGTGCTCGAAAGCGGCATACTGGCGCATCCTGCTTGGCATCTCCTTGGTCATCTTGATGAGGTTGTCGATGGACGTCCTGATCTTTCTCGGCTGCACGCTGTTCCACAGCGTCTCACGCAGCTCGTTCAAATTCTTCCAAATGGTCGATAGAGACGCCCAAACTGACTTGAAATCTTGGACTTCTTCGAGGATAACACCAAGCGAGGTGTCGGGCGTTGCCGCCAGGTCCAGGGCCTCTTTTGCTTTGGCAACCATGGACGACTCTTCTTGCAGCTTGGTAATTCGAGACTCGAAGGAGCTGAGCGTGGCAGAGGCAATGTCTGGAGCGATGGTGCCCGAGACGGGCTTCTCCTCGTTCCACTGGATCTCAATCTCGGCGATCTTGCCCAAGACCACCTTGTCCTCGGCGCTGATCTTGGCCCGCAGAGCATCTGTCTGATCTTGGACTAGTTTGGCTTTGCGTGCGAGCAGTTCGCTGAGCATATCCCATGAACCGTCAACCTGCTCGGCGTGGAGCCAGTCGCTCGGGAACTGGTAACGCTGCCTCACGAGGGTCGATTCTCCTTGTCTGAACGTCTCTACCTCGGGCGCCCATACCTTTACCTGGCGCTTACATGTCTGCACAATTGTGATGAACTGCACGGCCTGTGCTGTAGAATGGGCCTCGATCGTATGGCCCTCGAGATCCTTCCGCGCCTTTTCAATCTCGGCGTGGACTTCTCGCATGCGTGTGCCCAGGCGACTAGCAAACTTGATGAGAATATCGTGCTGCCATTGGTCATATTTGGCATTCACCTTGGTCTGCACTTGGTCGTAGTCGATGGTGATGTGACCAAAGGAGCGGCTGACCTCGGTAGTGTCAAAGGTCTGGCGTGTCTTCCTGATCTCCTGAAGGAGCTGGAGCCATCTGGAGAGTTGGTCGCCAAGGACATCGTACACGTGCTCCGACTGCAGATCCCAGAGCGACTGGAACTGGAGCCACTTGTCTACGTAAGAACCGAGTTCGCGGATCTTGTTCTCAACCGACGTCTGCACGCGCAGGAGCGTGTCGGTGCACTCGCCGGGGAGATCGTTGAACCGCGGCTCGTCGTACACGGCCGTGATGAGGCTCATCTGGTAGCGCGTAGCTTTGATCTTTTTGAGGTTGCAGATAACGCCAATCCAGTCTTGGAGCTGAGAGAACCAGCTGGCGCGCGCATAGTCCAGAGGGGGGTCGAGGTAGATGACTTGGTTCCGCATCGTAACTTCGTGTACGAGCTTCTTGATCACAGGCACATATGTCTTGACGGCCTCTGAAGGCTCCAGTGTCCGTCTGCGGTCACTCAAGCGCTCCAAGTGCTCGTCCTCAAACGCCTCGATCCAGGCCTGAATGGCCTGCTGCAGGCGAGACAGCAGAACAGACTTGATCTGCCGGTTCATGCGCTCAACCCAGAAGCCGAGATTGACGTACTGTTCGAGGTTGAGCTGGTCGACAGCAATCTGGATAGCCTCGAGGCGCGACTCAAAAGCCGAGACTTCATAGGGGCACCGCTCCAGCTCTGTCAGAGCCTTTTGCACCGTGGCGTGAATATTGGACAGGGTGATTGTCTTGGTCTGCAGCAGAGATACCGCCGCGCCAAACTCGCGGATAAACATGACATGCTTGCTCTCGCCGTTTTTACCTGTGTAGCCAAGACCCCCGTTGGTAGTGTAGTCTTTGAAGTGCACCTCGTACGAGTTGACGAATGACTCCCATCGCAAGGGCACGCCCTTGGCAATCAGGGCGTAAACCTCGTTGCGGTGGCCGCTTAGGAGCACGGCGACCTTGGACATGTCGGAGATCTGCCGATTCGTCTGCGCAAACGTCCGCACGCTTTCCATCAGACTAACAGCATAAGGATACACCCGCTTGGCCTCCTTAGCTACGTTGTTGACAGAGTGCGGCACAGCAAAATTGAGCCACAGCAGGTTCCGTGTCTCTTTGAAGAGCGCAATCACTTGGGCATCGAAGTTGACACCGAGCTCCAGTACGTTTCCAGCTGACCGGATCTTGTTGATGCTGAAGAGGAGGCCGGAAATGGATATCTGCCGTCGCTGCACATCCTGAAGCCAGGCCTCAAAGATTGGGCGCGTGTCTAGCTTCTTGCGGAACAAATCGCTCTCGCTCTGAAGCCTCTGGCCCTCAGCATGGATTGCCCAGTCGGCACCAAGCACGTCCTCGACCTTCTTCATGTACCCGTCTAGCTGGCGCTCGATTTGCCGCGCCCAGATAATGGCACCGGATATGGGAGGCAGGTCGTGCAGCTGCGCCATGGCGTGTGCCTCCGAATGTCCATACTGCTGCTTGAACCGCTCATGCAGCGCTGTTATCGCTTGTTTGACGTTGTCAATCAGCTGTGTTTGGTACTCGGCGATGGCGCCACGAATCTTGGGGCGCACAAAGAGCGCGTTGAATTTGGAGAAGACACGGAACATCTCGTTCGCGTTCTTGGCCGTCGCTAACCGGTCTCGCAGCCGGGCAATGATGGAGTTTTCGACTCGCGACGTCCGCTCATTGTAGATATTCTCGGCCCGCGCCCATTTCTGCGTGCCTTCAGGGGTCACGTCGAGCAGGTCGACGTCTTTCAGGGCCTCCCAAGCCTGCCGAACCTCTTCAACGGCATCAACGTCGCCGATTTCCTCCACAATAGCACTGCCATTCGTGATAGTCCCATCGATGATCCCGTTCGCTGCTGCTCGGGGTCCTAGGACGTTGACGATGGTCCGCTGCAACTGCTCGTGGTTGTCCCGGAAATTGCTCACATACTTCAAGCGGGCCTGCAACTCGGCATGCCTAGGGTTAATCTTGATGGGAATGAACTTCTCGTTGCGGCGACGAGTCACTTCACGGGCCACGTTGGTGAACTCCTTGATGTTCTCGTCCCATGTCTTGAAGATATTGTCGGCCTGTTTCATCACATTACTGAACTCCTGGTAGTCTAGCTTGACTAGTTCCATCCCGGGCAACAAGCGGTGCAAGACCTCGTCCAGATCTCCGGAAATGGCCTCGACCAAAGGGAGGGCGCGGCGAATCGGGTACGGGCATATCCTCAGCTTCTTGTTCAAATGGGCAAAAACCTGTCCTATGGAGTCTTGCACCTTGAGTAGCGTAGTGGCCGAGAGCAGCTCGTCAAGCGGGAAGTCCCTCATCAGCTGGTTATATTTTTGCACCTTCTCCATGGCCTCCTTCAATCCAGTATCAGCACTAAAGCTGACAGTGGCCTGGAAGCGCTTCGCGTTCTTGAGAATATCCAGCGTGAGCATGACGCCATCGCTTCTCAACTGATTCTCAATGCCTTCCAAGGCCGACTCCATCGACAGCCAAAAATTGATTTCTTGGTTGGCTGTGCCCGTCGTCGGGTCTCTGGTCATCTTGGTAATGACCTGTATCGACTTGATCCAGTTGTTGACAGTGGCTTGTAAGTTGTTGAGAAACGTGCTGTCCTGTAGTACAGTGGCTGGGATCAAGTCCAGCGACGGCTTTGACTTGCTGGAAACCGCCATGTCGAGAGCCGTCTGCACAAGAGGGTGAAAGGGCAGGGATACCTCGGGGATCTCGACATTTTGTTGTAGGTGTGATAAGCTGAGCTCTAGTTCTGTCCACCGCTTCTTGGTTACGGGTATGCCCGTCTTTGCATCCACATCCGGCCGCCCTCTCCCCCCGCCGAGCATCTGCTGACTCTTGGTGCTGGCGTCAAAATATGGCGCGAGGCCATTGTGGAGGTAGAGCTGGAGGATCTCGTAGGGGGAGCTCGTGGGGCCCTCGCCCCCGCTCGCGGCCAAATACGCCGGACCGGGCAGGTTAAGCATCTGGATCTGCGATGTAATGGGTATGTTCGGATCGAGGGGTTGCGGCCGTTTTAGAAGGACGAGAAAAGCCACAGTCGTCGCGGACGAGGAGAGGTCGGTCGAGATGTTGAATATGTGCAAGGGTTCATCTGGCACCATCGTGTTAGCATGGCTCCCAGCCGGGACAAGTCGCGCCTCGAGATTGCGGGCGGTCCTACGCTCGTCCGAGTTTCCATTCTTGAGAGAATTTGTGGGCGCCAGATCTTTCTGTATATACAGAGCGACCTGGACATCCAAAGCGAAGCGTGAGCATCGCTGGACCGTGTCCGAGTAGCGCGCCTTAGACAGTAAGCTGCCGGGTGCCTCGAGTTCGTCTCGCGTAGCGCCGAGGGCGGCTTCGAGGAGGACAGCAAGATGCTCGACAACGCGCGCTGGGTCTATAGTAGCAAACGGCGTGCTGGCAATGCCGTTAGTGTTGCCGTTTGTGCCCGAGCCTGGGCCCGGGCTTGAGCTCGAGCTCTGGAGGGGTGCCACCGCTTCCATGGCGAGGATTCCGGGTCGAAATTCGTGTCTCTCTCACGGTTCGGCCGGTGTCATTTCTTCTTTTCGAGGGGCCTCGGAATAACTAAGGTAGGCAAATTAGGAGGATGGAACTCGAAGTGGCGCCGCCCAGTCGCTAAAAGCAATTTGTTGCGTGGTTCCGTGGCACGAGGGGAAATAAAAGCCACGGGCTGAGAAAATAGAACAGAAAAAAGAACGCCGTTATGGGGGTATCTTTGGTATTATTCGTAGAAGTCCTCTCAGCAGGACGGTGTTGTGGAAGGGCGAAAAAAAAGCGACAGGCAAAGCAGGGCGTCGTCGACGTTGAATGGGTCCGAAAGCTTGGGTGTTCGTAATTACCAAGTTGACGCGACGCTTGCCAGATCCCTGTCGCGAAAGAGGCATGTGTCAGGGGTTTGTGGCGCCCGCTGTGATTGGTGCTCCACAACACTCTGCAGAGGGGCCAAGGAAAGCAGCCACCCAGTCCCGGCGCCCGACCGACCTGCCCTGGACCTACTAGGCTAGGTCTGTGCTCTCTATCTCTTCTGTGAACTCTGCCGACCGTTTCACAGACGGCTTCTTTTTAGGCACCAGAACAACCCCCCAGATGCAGCTTGAGATCGCAGGGCGATTAAAAGAAGCAGTTAAGAGTTTGGAGCAATACAGCCAGAACCTACGACGCAGATTGCCATGCGATAGACAGAACGTTTAGGCATAGAACATTTGTCGTCATGTCTTCTACCTTGGTATAAGGTAGACCACCTAACCCCTTAACATCAACAATTTTACACTCTAATGAGCCCACCGGGAACGAAGAAGGCATCAAAATAAATAAAATCACAGGCATCATTAACCTCACTCGCTCACTCTTCACGTGTTATTTACATGCATAACCGGTACATGTTCACACACACAACCTTAACCACACAGTACAGCACCTGTCCTCGGCCTACTGTGTCGAGCGTGCCGTCCGGTGCAGCTGCAGCGCAGGCCGACAAAAGCAAGGAAAAAAGAGAGATGCAACCATGGTGCAGAAAAAAAAAGGGTGCTGCTTCTTTTCTTATCCCGTCACTTCTCACATTTTTCTCAAAAGAGAAGACTGTACCAGGGCTTTCCTGCAGCTTTCCGCTCTGGTGGCTGATCATCCCCCCCCCCCTTCTTCCCCTCTAATATGCACAACCCAGAGGGGTTTGATCAGGATTCCCCCAACCATGGATCGCCCCTTGTATTTGAAAGGGGTGAACTTAGCAAGACAGGGTCTATCCATATCCGAGTCTCAAAATCTAAACATAACATCACTTTACTTCAGTTTGCATTGTCAAAGAAACTTGACTTGTCTACCACCTCAGATGCTGTGCCACTACCAAACATATTTGCCTAGATACTTCAAAACGCAGGAATACAGGCGGGTCCAAACGACCCAGTCTAGAAGTAGGGGCATATTGACATATCCGCGGCAAGCAAAAGTGCAGCAATGGAAGCTGAAAGGTACAGTAGAGGCTATAATCCCCTCAACTTCTCATAATACGCCATTGTCAGATTAAAGACCAAACAAAAAAAAATGCAGCCATACATAGTCACCGTTTTTGACTGTTTCATCCCAGCGTCACCGCTTCTTTAAAACAAAATAAAAGCCCCACTGATTGTCATAACCCAGAAACCTGACGCCCATGCTCTTCGTCGTTTCAAGTTCCATTTCCCATTTCGCCATCCCGCCCATATACCCTACCATAACCCTATACCGAATCCATGCCAGTGCGGAATTCTTAGATGTGCGTGCCCCCAGAAAAACAAAGGAACCGGGCCCGACTATGGATTCTTTTTCTTTTTGCTTTTGTTTTAGGAGCTGGCAGCCGGGGTCCCGCTGCTGGGGTCGTTGGTGTCAGAAAGCCTGAACATGACACGCTGGTTGCAAATGTCGATAAACTGTTCAAACTTTTCGATAATTTTATCCTTTTCGCGTAACTTGGCCTTGAGCTCGTCAACCTCTTTCTTAGTCTTCTCCTTGACTTCGTCGAGTTCTTCCCGCGCCTTGGCGATTTCCCGGCGGAGATCGGCCCGGATCCGGTCCTCGGCAGATGGGTGCGGCTTGCTGTAGATGGCCGGCCGGTTCTCGGCCAAGCCGGTGGCAACCTTTGTCGGGTTGCGGTTAATGGCAGCACGGGCGTTATATATGTCCCTAGGAAGTAGCGGCACGTGGGGGTTGTCCTGTTGGAGGATTTCCAATGTCTGGCTTACGCCGACGCCTTGACTGGTCAGCTCGGGCTGCACAGCAGGGACGGAAACAGACATACCGTTTTCTTTGAGCGACTTAACCGCAGCCACCATCTTGCTGTCCAGTTTCCGGGCGGCAGGGTGCAAAAGCGGGCTCTCGCTGGGTCCGTGGTTGTGCTCCAGGTGTCCAGGGTCTGGACGGTACCGAACCGTCCACTGGGTCCTCTGCTCGATGGCAAAGAAGCCGAACTGACAATCGCACTTACGGGATGTCGTTTTTCGCTTACGCATCTCGGGGCTAACACGCCTTGGGGGCTTGCCGGCACGGTCACATACAAAGAGAACCTTCTTGAGCCCCGGAACCGTCTTTTTGGACCGGCCGATGACGATGGCGTAGCCAACCGAGGTGCAGTAGCCGAGCACGTGCTTATGGACAGCCTCGAGTGTAGGGAAGCTTCCACCCTCGGGGGGGGCTGACATGGGGGGTCCCATAGGCTGACGAGGGACGAAAGGTGCGCCATCGAGCAGCTTGGGCTCTAACGACGAGTCTCCTTCGCCCGACTCGTCCTGGCTAGCCATATCGATATCATCGTCGGGGTGGTTATCATGTACAGGCTCGACGGGCTCGGGCTGGGGAGGCGTGGGTTGCTGCTGCACCTGTTGAACCTGCTGAACCTTCTGGACCTGCTGCGCTTGCTGGATCTGGGGGAGCTGCGGGGGGGCTGGCGGAAGCTTTGCTTTGGGAGGCGGATGGGGGGTCGGCTGCTGGGAGATGATGGAGTTCTCGCTCTGGCGGACCGACTGGCTCAAGGGCTGCTGGCCCAAGGGCTGCTGCTGGCTCAAGGACTGCTGCTGGCTCAGTGGTTGCTGCTGGCTCAGTGGTTGCTGCTGGCTGAGCGACTGCTGGCTGAGCGACTGCTGGCTGAGCGACTGCTGGCTGAGCGACTGCTGAGCGAGCGATTGCTGGGCGAGCGATTGCTGGGCTAGTGACTGTGCCATGGGCGGCTGGCTCATGGGCTGGAGTTGCTGGGGTTGTTGGCTCAGCTGTTGAGGGTTCATGGGCTGGAGCTGTTGTGGTTGTTGGCTCAGCTGTTGGGGGTTCATGGGCTGAAGCTGCTGGAGCTGCTGGCTCATGGGCTGCTGGCTGAGTGATTGCTGGCCAAGGGCTTGCGTCATGGGCGGCTGGCTCATGGGCTGGAGTTGCTGGGATTGTTGGCTCAGCTGTTGAGGGTTCATGGGCTGCGGCATGGGCTGGTTGAGTGACTGCTGGAGGTAACTGAGGGGAGGGTTGGATTGCTGCTGTTGCTGCTGCTTCTGTTGTTGCTGCTGCTGTTGCTGTTGCTGTTGTTGCTGTTGTTGCTGCTGCATCTGGCGTGACGCTGGAGCTCGCTGACGCGGGCCGGGCAGGGTCGGCGGGACCTGAGACGGGGGCGGTCGGACGGCATTTTGGACGCTGGCGACACTGTTGACCTGAGGCGGAGTGGGTGTCGAGAAGAGATGGGGATACTGGCTCTGCGATGGTTGCTGGGAAGCGTAGGGCTGGGTTTGATACGGAGACGCGTGCGTGAGTGATGGCGGTGGTTTGTTGGACGGGTTGTGTGGAGGAAAGCCGGCGCGCCGCAGGGGGCCGACGTTGCCAAAGGAGAGGCCAGGGTGGGCATTCGCGGCCGACATGGCGAACCGAGCAGGGAAACAAGAAGCCCGGCAAGAAGAAACAAAAACCGCGATGCAGACGGGCCTAGTTCGCGGCGAACAAGAAAAAGCTACTTTACGATAGCGCTGGGTCTCGACCCTCTGGGCTTCACCAAATCGTCGACTGGGCGGGCGTGTACCGAGCGGGTGGGAGGTGTGGGATGGAGATGGAGAGGGGACCGGGCCTGGGGGATGGAGAGACCAACACACACTATTGTAGGGGGGGAGGGTGTGAAATCTTCAGCAGGAGGACTCTCGGCCGTCAAATTGACATGGGTCGGGGGAGAGGGGGGGCGCCACAGTCTGCTGCATTGCGGGTGGCTTCAAGCCTGAAGTTTGGGCGAGCCAGCACAGTGCGCTGACGCTTGGCTCTGCGGGCCAATCACACCGGTCGCTAAGTCCGCACCGCCTGCCTGATTCCGCCTGCTGACCCAATCAGTGGCTCGCGAACCGACAAGGGAATGGAGGTCCGAAAAGATTACGCCGCCCCCGCCGTCTTCACGACCTTTGGACGGATGCCTTGACGAGAGCCAACAGAGCCGTTTCCATCTCCGTTCTGAAAACGGCTGTTGAATTCTGGCGGCTTTTTACGCCAATAGCAGCCTTGAGCAAGTATTCCAACCTCTCCATTCCTGTGAAAGAGCTGTGGAAATACATGTCTACCTAGACAGGTTTGGCTAGGTACCTGCCTTACCTATCCGCCGAGTTTAATCTCGTCGGGTGTCGGTTTAATCGAGGCACTTACTTACAGTGCATCGGAGGTAATTTTCTACAAGAGGCGATCTAAACATCTCGGCAAGTGATATGCAGTTAACTTATCTAGGTGGGAATTAACGACTGGCCCTGAGAGGTATACTCCAGACACTCTCGCCAAAGTCCTCCTTCCTCTACCATTCTGGCCCATGGATGGTTACTACGCGACGGCCCCCAGCCTGGTTACATGGTCGGTTTAAAGTCGTTACCTAGGAATAATCGACTTAGCTTTCTTCCCGACCTCCATTGCTAAGTTGTCTACGGCAGCTTCACTAAACTGCTCTGCGAATTGCTCGAAACTCCCTCCTTCGAGTTTGTTTTACCTTCTCGGCATCTTGCTTTATAAGGTATCTGTTCGTGAAGAACTCATGTGTGACACCGTGCCAGGCATGTGCTCTCAAGACATACTGGTAAGGTTCCTGTGAAACCTATTTTGTCAAAACTTTCTCCTACATGTCTACCTACCTAAATCTCCTAGAGCGGCTTCGGTACTTATTTAATACAAGTGACAAGAACCCGCTCTCAATCTACCGCGTCAACATCATCCGAACTATATAAACGGCACCCAGTCGCAAAGGGAACCTACAATGGACTCTTTAACCGCCCTCTCCTCCCTCATGACAGCCAACCCGTCTGCCCTGAGCGCAGGTGCAACCATCATTCCCGCGGGAGTTGTGCCGCTTCCCTGCCATCGTCTTCCTTTGCGCCAGCCTCCAACTCTTCTACGGCATGGTCGGCAGGTTGATTCCTTCGGACTGGGGATACTGGTGGGCGCTTGGAGCGCCGGTGACCCGGGGTGCCCTCGCCTGGGCCATTGGCAGAGCCACCTGCGAGAGGGCCGTTCAAGATATTGCGAAGATGACCCAGAAGCGGGGAACACGCCAGGTATCTTGTTGGTTCTGGCTTTCGAGGGAGGACGATGAGGACCAAACCTTTGGGCCTCGTTGGAGCCGTGTTCTTTCCAGCTGGTGGATAATTTGATGGCGCTGATGCCTAGTTTGCAGTTTCTGGCCTTTATGTGCATGGTTGACGGGTTGCCCGAGAAGAAAATAAAAACCTAAGCAAGATGCAGTCCTATTTCATACCAGCTTTACAACGGGCTGTAAAATATTAATATCTATTACATGTAAAAAGATTTGCCCATTTATTTCTTTCACCGGGTCATACAAGACTGCATTATCGAGTTCACGTCTTCAGAATCCAGCCCCTGAATGTTTATTGGCGCGGTACATCAAAAGGATAAGTGATGTTGCAAACAAATGGAGTAGGGAAGGTCTTTATCGGGTATTTCTAAGATAAAGGCAGGCCTCCAGGATTCTATACGAGGGCCTCTAAGATCCCCCGCCACACGTAAGATAAAAGCCTCCAGGGCGAACCGTGTGAGAGTTAGGTCCTTTCCATACGTTTAAAAATATCCCGTGCTGATACTGGTTCGGAGGCTGGACTGTGATCAAAAACTAACCCCAAAAACGAACCCAAGGTGACTGACGATATCCTACCCATTTCGTCGAGGCCTATATTCTCAATCTAATGCCTAGTCTAAGCCGGCATTAGTGGACCGGTCGACGAAGATGGCGATGAGCGCAGAGCCAAATTACCCCGGGCCAACTTGACAAGCCCAGCACTTCTCCCGGTACTCAGAGTTGCCAGCTGGGCACCCCAAATCCGATCTCATTCGGGTCTACTTTACGGGCCGTGGATAACGCTCTGAAATTCTCTTGTTACTAGGAGTTGCCAGCTGGACACCCCAAATCCGGTCTCATTCGGCCCTGCTTTGTCGGCCGTGCACAACTCGGCTATGATTGATTTCTGATCCCAGCATAAGCAAGTCTTTCCGTTTCTGTTTGTATCCTTTGCTTCTAAATAATCACTGACACTACTATATTCAGATTGACGCCAGCCTAGCAAAGAATCCTTTAGATCTTCACGAAGTCGTTGCTTACCCCTTGCGCTAACATGAAAATATTTGCGGGTACGAGTTGTTCGTTGCCTGGGTTCATCGTTGCAGTATGTGTCGGTCCTGGTAAATGTAAGTTGCTTTAATGTCTCTTGCATTTTCTAGAGTAAGGTCACTCACTTACTGACCCCGCGTTTAGATCGATCCAAGCCCTGGCATATACGGGGAAATTACTTGCCTTCATCATATAGCCAAGCCATCACACTACGTACCATCTTCTAGCGGACGAATTTTCCAACTACACGTGCACGGGGCCATCCTCACCTTTATAATCAAGCCCGGGCGCATGGAACTACTCTATTGGAGGCCCGTACCGCGAGTCTAACAAGTTCAACCCGGGCTCGGAGGGCGATTGCCAGTTAGACCTAGTCTCTAGCGAGGATAAAGACCTTGGCAGATGGAAACTAGCGCCGCGCTACACCGTGCGGACGTACGTGGAGGAGAGGAGGGCAAAAAAAAAAGCAGGGCACGACGCCGGGCAGGCTGACAGATGAGCAGACACAAGCCCTTGGAGCGCCTTGGAGCTCATGCAAGAGGACCCTAGGGGACAAGGGAATCGGCCGTCCTGGACATGGTGGTTAGCCTCTGCTGCTCCGACAAACTCCGGAACTGAGCGAATGGGACAGCATCCTGGCGTCGTGGATGGTGATCGACTGGAGTAATGAATGTTACTGCCTCGAGGTTGACGCTAGGGGCCGTCGATGGCTTTGTTGTTGGCCAGAAGGTGGGATGGATATTTGAGTCTTTTTGGATAACTAACACCTCCGTCATTCCAGGGTGGACATAGAAGAGAAAGATCATGGCATGTAACTGAGAACATCAGAAGACATGGCACAGAATAAATTGGAAAGCCAATCGGATGATAGTCAACTGGGAATTTAATTCAACACATGGAAATTGCTGATGGAAAGTTTTCTCTCCTGTCAATAAAAAAAACCGCCGTTTTCCAGCCTAGCAAGAAACGGCGGGCATGCATTCCGTTTCCTGATTCTGCCATCTGCCAGCCTAGAATCTATGGCAGTGCCAGACCATGCCGTGCCGCGCCGTGCCCTACTGTGTACCCTACCGTTGCACTCGGAGCTCACTTCACTCACTTCAAGTCAGTCTTCGGGAAGCATTAGCAGCAGCAGCAGTAGCAGTGACAAACCGCCTTAATGAGCCCCTTCCATTCCATTTTCAGCCATTTCCCGAACAGTATTCGGTTACTGTATGTAAGGTAAGGCTAGTAGAGTTTGGGAAGAAAACCCCACTGTCAGCCCTCCCGTCCTCCGTCATAGGGAGGGGCGAGCGAGTGAGCTGCACCCAATCACCACGCAACCCGACCGCTTTAGGGGGGTACGTGTAAACCTCTCAGTTTCCTTGTTACACGTACCCCCGAACGTCATGGATTGATTGACTTCTGCCCATTCATGACTCCCCGAACCCAGCCAAAAGCCAACCCTTCCCACCTTGGCCAAACAGTTGCATCCACCCATCCATTTACGGGTGCAGAGACGGATCATCCAAGGTCTAAAACGCTGACCGACAGTCTGAAATCTGATGGTATAGCTAGGTGTGTATCGCGTGCCTGTCAGTGTGTGTGTATGTGATGATAATTTTAACCATAAAAAATACGGTCGGGTTGGCTTGTTGGGCCCATTTTGAAACAAACTTGTCATTCCAAGGCTCTAGCCGCGCCGCCTGCGCCCGCGCCCGCCACGCCGCCGACTAGACTGCCTTGGTGCCCGTACAGTGTCGTGCACACTGCCCGCACCTTGGGCTGCCCCGTCTGTCGGCAAGCTACCTTACCTTGGAGAGGCAAGACCAACCGACGGAGGCTACCGCGTGTCAACAAATGGGCCGCGAGCCGAGATCTGGTGGGTTTCCGGCGGCCCGATCAGAGGGAACCTGGGGCATACACGTGTAGTCGTGTCGTGTCAACCATAATAGCGAAGCCACAAAGAGTCAAAGCCAAGCTGGCAGAGTAGACGACAAGAAAAATGATAAGTGTGCAGATGGTATTTTTCACTTTTTCTGTTTCGTCATCATCATGTGCCCTCTGTCAACCTTCCTTCGCCTCCTTTCGCCTGTCATCCCATTCTCTTTCCACCTCCAAGAACGATGGCTACTCAACCCAGCTGTCTGTTTACCTATCTATGTGTCCATCCATCATAACCGCCAACTAAGCAAACGACCAAAGCCGCCATCAAATACCTGCCGGCACAACCAACACACAAAAAGGCAGGATAGGTCGGTACCTAGGTCTGTGGGCAGCGTGGATCGCATGCAGGCAAGTGCCCTATCGACCAACCAACCCGCCCGACACACCCCTCGATCCCATTGCCAGCTTACTCCTGCCATCAGGAAGGAGTAAAAAGACAAATCGCAACGAGTAGCAGCCAGTATCATGCAGCTAGCTTGCAGCAGCAGCAGACAAACATGTCCGCCGTAGAGGAGCCAAAAAAGGGGAACCAGGAACAGAAATGGGGAATTAGAATCGAAGATGAGACAAAGTTCAACAATGGTAAAAGGACAGGCCATGGCATGAAAAAGAAAAGGCCCAGAAGAGGGTAAATGTGACAAGATGGAAAATTTGGCCAGATAAAACCCAGCTATAAAAGGGAAGATAAAGTGAAGCAAAAAATATGTCTCTCGTCTCTTCCGCACACATTCTGTCTCTCTGTCTTCCTTCTCTTTCACATCTCGCTCGGTCTCTCTTTTGCTAAACGCACACGAGGCAAGCAGGGGAATAAACAGACGAAAACGAACCTAAACAAGAAACGGGAAATTATTTTGGAGTAAGAAAATAGTGAAAAGAAAACCGGCGGAAATTCGCTGGCACAATTGCATAAACTTGTGACTAGTCTTCAGAGCATCATAAACCATCTAGACCTTCTTCTCTAAACCCGCACCAAGCCAAGAAATAAGCCATCGTGGCGTGCAGCGCTCGAGATAGATTGATAAACAACGCTACACATCCAATCCGACCTACTTCCCCTTGGCGGCAGCAGGGTCAGCGCCCCAGAACACATTACCGCTCTCGGCGAGTGAGGACTCCTCGGCCCCGAGGGCAAACTGGCCGACGCTGCCGGGCGCATTGGCCCACGGCAGGCACTCATTCTGGGTGAGATACTCGGCGACCTCGGTGATCTGACCGTAGCGGGGTAGGTTGGGGATTCCCGAGGCCGGGGGAGTTGGAGCCGCTCCTGGCGTTGCCGCTGTTGGCGCCGCTAGGGCGTGCGCGAGCTGAGGGCTGGGCATGGCGTACGACGACGAGTGCGATGGTGAATGCTGGTGCTGGGACTGGCTAGGTGGTGGCGGTTGCGCGAAGCGCCAATTCGTCGACGATTCGCTGACTGCCGAAGGCAGGCCGTCGGTACGGCCATCTCCTCCCATGGCAGAGTCTTGCTGCTGCGGGGGATACTGCTGACTGTGCGGATGGGCGCCGTTGATGGGCGTAAATCCTAGCGACATGGAAACCGGGGTCTTGGTGTCGGTAGGATAGCCGCTATCAGGGCCGACCGATGATCCGGGTTCAATGGTGCTGTCGCGCGAGAAGCTGTGCCTGTCCTCGTCGGTGGTCAGGATCTCGCCATTGTTGACAATCTTGCTGTTTTCTTCCCTCCACTCCTCGAGCCCGCCACCTCCTAGGCCGACACTAACAACCCTTTCGTTGGCCGTGTTGGATAAGGCCTTGCCTGTGAACTTCTCGTAGTCTTGCTTGACCTTGTCATAAAAGCTCACCATCTCCCGGAAGTAGTTGGAGTATGTCTCGGCCATCCTGAGCCAGACCGACATTTGATTGAGCGTCTTGTACGTCACGCTGGTAGGGCCGTGCTTGATTACGTCCATCTCGCAATTGGCGCCGACATCTTCATCCGAGGGCAGCATGTGGCGCTTGGTGTCCATGTGCGGGAACCAGATGGTGTAGATGCCGACGAAGGCCGCCGTCCAGACTGCGAACACGACGAGCGCCGAGATTGGCAGCTTGTCCCTGGTGATGTCGATGAGGTCGACAATATCCCTGGCTGCGACGAAGACCTCTTCGGCACTGTCTTCCCAGAAGCCTGGCGGCTCGTCGCCGTGAGGAAACGTGGGCTCGTCGAGCGGCCCGATAGGCTTGTCGCAGCGGAGGGGGATAAAAGGGATGTACTCGCGATGGAGCATGATCCTACACACGGCGCTGAGCATATGGAGAGACACATAAGTACTGCTGGCGTGGTGGTTTTCATGCTTGTAGTAATTGCTCGGCGACCACTGGAACAGCGGGGGCAGCTCTTCGTAATACGCGTCCAGGTTCTTCCTCAGCTGGAAAAAAGTCGACTCTTTGTTCCACGGCGCATGGTGCTCGGTAAAACGGCCACCAGCAAAGCTCCACTTTGAGATTTCGCCCCAAATGTTGATCAGCCGCACGAACTGCGAAAGGACGTTGTCATTGGGGAGTGCCCGTTCGAAATCCTCGGGGGCGGAATTCAAGAACCCCGTGTAGACGTCGTGCGAAAGGTCAAAGTCGACCTCGGAGCAAGGCAGCCGGATTTTTAGGTCGTCGGCGTTTATCGTCGATACACGTCCCTTGCCGCAACCAAGAAGCCGGTCCATGATCATGCAGCTAAACATGGAGCGTCTCCTAATCTCCCGGGCAATAATCATCTGAGGCTCCAATGCCTTCTTCTTGGGTGGGGGACCAATGGGCCGTCTGTGGAACGGCTTGGCCACCTCTTTGTCACCATCGCCGAGACTCATCGCTTGAGCTAAGCGGATGGCGAAGCCGACGTACATCCACGCGCCCAAGCCGCCTGTGTTGGGGCGCGCTTGAGTCCACTCGTAGAGGCCGAGCATCAGGAACGCCTGAACGCGCTCGACCGACGCCTCCGACATGCATATGCGCAAGGGGCCGAGGGCCTTGGTGAGCACCTCGGCATAATATTCGGACGCGGCGTGGCCGTCCTGGCCGGGCTTGACGGGCTGCAGCTTGTGCGGGCCGCCCAACTGGGCAGGGGCCGCGGTGCGCGGCGTGGTGACGTACGACACGAGTGTCGAGTGAAAACGAGCAGTTAGAGTCAGGATACCCAACAGCACCAGGTTGATCGCGGGCGACGTGTCGCTCTGCTTGGCGCGGAACTTGCTGCCCATCTTCTCCTTGAGAGTGGCCAGGTGCAAAAAGGGCAGTTCCGTGGCAAAGTGAAGCCTGTAGATATCGAAAATTTGGGACCACAGCGTCTCGGAGAGATAGGGAGCCGAGAGCACCTCCTCGGCAAATACAGCGGCGGGGACGGCGCCGTCAAGCTTGGTAATGTCGTCGATACGTCTTAGACGCTTACGCTCCGAGCCAGGCTCCGTCTTAATCCCAGCCGGGGGCTCAGGACGCTTGGGAGTTATAGTGGCGGGTTCGGGATAGGTACACTCCTTGCCATTACGTATGCACGTCTCACAGGGCGCGTCGCTGCCCGTATTGTTGCACTTAATCTTGGACTTGCGGCAGCGAATGCAAGCAATACTAGACCGTAACGGGGCACGCTTGAGGACGCCCTTCTTGGCGTCGGCAGCCCCGGGGCTGCCGGGGCTGCCTTCAGTCATGGCCGAGGCCGGGGCCGGGGCAGGCCTGCTGTCATCGTCGGGGGACAGGGCAGGGCCACGGCCGGCAGGAACCGCAGCGGCAGGGCGCGGCGGGCTGTGCGGCAGGGGCTGTCGGATGCTATGCAGCCGCTCGATGGGTACCCGGTCGCTGGGCCGCCGCTCGCTGGGCGTGTAGGGCGAGTCCGGGGGCTCAGCAGCAGGCGCGTCACCGGCAGAGGCGGGCGCGGCTGCGGCAAAGGCGTCCTGGAATTTGCGCTTCGCGGTCGAGTGCGAGGTAGCCGACGATGTCGAGGGCGTCTCATCAGCGTCCGACGGGTCGGCAGGGGAGAGAATGGACTGGATGCGTAGTTGGGAAGCTATCGTGGCGATGGTTGGGGTCTCGCGGTGCCGAGACCCTGTCGATGTAGTGCAGATCGTCGGAGCTTGGCGTGCCGCAGCACAGCGCAACACAGGGCCAAGCGAGACAGGGCCTTTTCGCTCAGGGAAGCGACGTCGATCCGAGACTAGGCGGGCCTCTTGTTCTCACGCCTGTTCTCGCGCACTCGGCTCTCTCTTTGTCCCGTGTCCACTAGCTCACAGCCAGCGAAGGGCTGGTGCGTGTAAATACGAGCACGTCTGCAACGGAGGGCAGGTGCAACGAAGGCCACGGCTCCGCACAAGGCAAAGACACGGACAGCGGACCAGGCCTAGATAGACCGAGTGGGGGCTGGTTGGCAGACGAGCAGGCTATTGCGAATGCAGTGATGTGCTGCTGCGTATGCTATACTCGCAGAGGTAGGCGGGCAGGCAGGTGTTTGCACAACGTGGGATGTGTGACAGCATCTACAGTGAGATGCAGGCAGCCGATACTCCTCTATCTTGCGCGCCGGGAGGGAGCGGGAGCCCAACGGAGTAGGCGGTCACGAAGGCTAGACAGGCGAGGTGACAGAGGACGGTTTACCGAGACGGGACGGAGGGCGGCGAGGGCGGCAGCGGTGGCGGCGGCGGCGGCGAATTTATTCTCGCTATGCGGCTACACAAGTGTATTTCCAGATGGACCCGACCCCGTCGACTGAGGCGTAGCGTGCGTGGGCGTGTGAGTGCGTGGGGATGGGATGGAAGCTCGTCTTGTATTGTCTGAAAGAGCTGGGGGGATCCGGCGGGGGCAGGTCGTGATGCCTCGTGCAATTGCCCTTGCGGAGGCAGGTTGGGTAGATGGGTCAGAGAGTAGGCTGGTGGTACAAAACAGTACCAAGTCGAGATGGCAGTTGAGGCTGGAGGTCGAGCACGGGAGCGGGAGCGGGAGCGGGAGCTGGAGCTGAAGCTGGAGCTGGAACCCCGTCGTCGGCTGTTGGTGCAGTGCTGATCGCTCTGCACAGACTGTCCCAAATAACTCGAGCTAGTGAACTAGTGGACCGTGGACCACCGTCGAAGCTGCTGCGAGGGACCAGGGTCGGCTGCAGAGCACAGGACGGACAGGGGGGAGGGGGAAGGGGTGGGCAAAGGACAAGACCAGGGCACCTCAAGCTGCTCGGCCCGCTCGACACAAAAAGTCAGCGGGAAAAGTAAAAAAAAAAAAAAAAAAAAAGCTCCTTAAAAACCGACAGGACTAACTGCAAGAAAGAATAGCAACACAGAAACGTATGCTATCCCGCGAAAGTAATTGCCGGCAGGAGGACAGCAGAAGGATATCCCCAGTGGGTACGTAAGGCAAGACGGCAAATCGAGCTTAAGTTGCCTTGCGCAGCAGCTGTTACGCAGTGCCGAGACTCGGGAGGCTCAGACGAGGACCGAGGGGAGAATAGAAGGTGGATTTGTCGAAAAGGGCGACAAAGGACGAAGACGGCGACGGCGGCGGGGCCATGGAAAGCCAAGGTAGGACGGATAACCTCCTTGGGTCGGTCGGGCCAGTCGCTGCTGCTGGTCCTGGATGTGATGGGCGCACTAATAATTACTAGTATTGGTCCAATGGCGTCTTGGCGCCGTTTTCAGAGGTCCGGCAGACGAGCCCGCTACGGAGACGGGAACCTTAGTTCCTTCCATTGGAGTTGAACCTCTCAGGACAGGGCAGGTTCTCTTCTGGCAGCCCAGCCACAATCGGAACCACATTCGTGCCTCGAGGTACCTTACCTACCGTACATACCTTCCCAAACCTCACCACTACGGGATCCATTCCAACTTCACAACCGAACTTAGAGGACCTTGTCCAGTCGGTCCCAAGCCTTACCTTAGGTTCATAGGTGGTGGAAACATTGAGGCCTCAAAAATGCGCCGCAGTTTGCCGGCAACTGCAACCGCAACCGCGACTGCGACTGCGACTGCGACTGCGACTGCGAGTGAGATCTAGCCCCAACAGCTCCAATAGCTCCAACAGGAGCCAACAAGCCCGATCTCCAGCTAGCATGAATCCCAGCGGTAACCGGCAAGCAGGGCAAATTTCAATGTCTCTCATGTCGGAATTTCCCTCCGAGTTTCTCTCGGATTGGCGAACGAGGCCTCAGCAACGGGCCGCTAGAACCGGGCACCGCGGGCACCTGGGCCAAGGGCCTCACCCCACGCTGGGGCGTGGGAAGGATTTGTGAACCTGGATGCCATGGAGAGCGAGGGCGAGCACGGCAGCTCGCTCTCGGGCCACCCCCGCTCCCGCCCAGAAACGCCCTCGGGGATCAACTGACCAACCACGGACGGGGGTAGATAGCCGGAACAAGAGCGGTATCCCCTTCCCGGCGGCTGGTAGGCTGGCTGGCACTCTCTGGATTTTTTTGTCTCTTGTCAAAAGGCTGCGAGAGGGTGGGTGGTGTCTTGTTGGTGAGCGAATTTGCGCTCGACCATGTCTTGCATGCACACCTACTCCGTATCCGTGATTCCGTATTTCATATCCAAGTCGCACCGGGTTTCGCAATCCGAATCCGTACAGTACCCTCCATTCGAGAGGCTGCACCGAACATCACAACCTAGAACTGACCCAAAGGTACAAGGCACTTTCCATTGGGAACTGTACGCTGGTTGCGCGGGAAAAAAGTCAAACCAACAAATACGGACATCCCCCGTGTCTCTGTACCCCCGTCACACGTCACCTTCCAATGGAGGTTGTCGCGCTCCAACAACAGCACCCAGCACGGCGGACGCGCTTACGGAGAAGGATGAGCCGTGAGGTTGTCGCCTTCCAGAACTTCGAAGGTCAGCTCTTCGGGCCCAGTAGCCGCGGAAGGATTCAATACTAGGCTTCCTGGCGGTAGCACAAAGGAAAACCACCGTCTCGTCCTCAAGGCGGCCACTCCAGGCGGCCACACTAAGTCTTGCAGCAGCAGTAGGCCCATCCGAGGATCGCACATAGTATTGAGGTGAACGGGAGGACTCCGTAGGAAGGTCAGGTACGGTACATTATGTACCTCAGGCAGGGATTGGGGACTCTGCGAATCGATGTAACGCTAACGGCCCGGGGGTTGTCGGGCAGGTCATGAAGCTGCTGCCCGTGTAACTGAACCCGCCCTAACCGAGTTAGGGCGTCGGTCGGCCACCGCCTGCCTGCCTTCCTATGTACCCGAGAGCATCTACGGTAATGAGCTGACCCAATTTCTCTTTCCAGATTCCATGGGCGAGGCTGGTCATTATCATCTCGATCGCCTTTTCTGCTTGGTTACGGATACCTGGCTAATTTCAGTTGTTCTTTAGGATCCCCGTCCTGCCGAGCCCTTCGCGCATACTAAATCAGGACGGGTTATGACTTGCACATCTACTAGTTTAGGGTATTGTTGATACAGTGCAATCCCTGGGGCCGGCAGATTTGTCAGAAAAGCTGGCGTACCACTAAACTGCGGGTACGGGTCTCCGCAACGATCAGCAACGTCACCCCCTGAGTCGTGCCGCAACAGAACGGAAGCCGAATCGGGAAGTGCTGCAGCCACTCGGCTGCAGTGATCAGTGATCCATATTTGAGGTGCCCGACCAGAAACCTCGGATAGGAAGGATGATGGTTTGATGATGCATCCCGGCTCGCGCTGCCTTGTTTCCATTTACTAGCCTTTGATGTCGGCGAACGACACACCCGGTAACAAACAGCAGCACGAGAGTTATTTGGGTTTGATTCACGTATGTGTATTCGTACGGAACATCTTGTTTTTGTACGAATACTCATCGTTGTCGGCTGAAAGTTCAGCGAGGTTTAGGGACAATCTCGGAATGATGACAACCTTTCATCCGTTGCCCGGCGGCGTGACTCCGTGAATCCCTCGATCAATAGGATGGAGGCTGGAGAAGTTGCGCCTATTTCTCCTCCTCGGCGCCTTTCCTTTCTTTTTTTTCTATACGCCGTTGCTAGATTGTATTTGTTCTCGGCTTCTCGCCGGTTTCTTTCCTACCCGTCTCATCCGCAAGTCTCAACCCACACACATCCTACACTCTTAATAAGCCGCGCTGGCTAGCTGCCCGAATCCGAAGGCGATGCCCACCCCACGAGAATGGCCGAAATTTTGACACGAACCGACTCTCTCTAGTCCGGACACGGCATCAAGCAAAGTCTGTAGGCTATCTCGCACATGTGTAACTGGAGAAGGGGTGGGGAGGGTTGGTCATGTTCATCATGACGCCAAAGCCCGTCATTCTATCTCACCGGACGGACAACCGCACCACTCATCAACGGCATCCCCGCCACGTCTGCTCACGGATCTGCAAATGCGCAATCAGCCGCTGCAGGACATACGGGACGCGACATGATTGCTTGCGAGTTACGGATCCTCGGTACGGGATACGGGGGAGCTATCCGGGTATTGAAGGTGCTACCAAAGGTATCCGTACCTCCGGTTGTATACGCAATTGTAAGGAATATTATATGTACAGTACCTTAGGTATGTATGTACGTACAAATGTTCCGTACAGTTGTGGTCCCTTCACGGAATAATTGTAGCTTTTTCCACGGTTGAGCAGGCTGCAAAAGTGGGTGCACAATGCACACGGACAAGGCCTACCTGTCTGGTGGGAGACTCGTGAAGCTTGACACAGACCAAACAAGTGACATTCCCCCCAGGAAACGAACCCATGCACATTTGTATCGTGGTCCCGGCACTGACAGACCTGGGAGTTAACGCCAAAAAAGACCACCGGGAGGCTGGATGACGCGAGCAACCTAGAGAACCTGGAAGGAGCCAGAATTGGGGTGACAGAGCCGGCCCGTCGGCAGCGCCCACGTATGTAAGGCCTGGCGGCACTGTGACCAACACCAGAAGTCCAAAACATGCAATTCAATAACTGCGAATACCTCAAATAAGAGATAGAATGGAAGTCGGGCCCTCAATCCATCCCATGCCAGTATCATATAGGTTTGGTGAAGTCCACAACCTTGAATTTGGTGAACTCCCCGAAGTTTATGAATTGCACCCGGCCTTCTCAGGGCGTACCGGGATACCTACCCGATCTCAGAGGTTCCTTCCTACCTTACCTAAGGCACTCAGTAGACCGACCCAAGGTTTGTCGCGCGTTTCGGGCCACCCACGCAGTTCAATCCTCAATTCCGGGTTCCTACTGACCACCTCAGCCTAGATTTCCAGGAACCCATGCTGCATGATGAAATACCTTTTAGGGTGGATGAATGGAAGGCTGTCCAAAACCTAAGGTCTGGACAACATGCGGACCAGGTTAAGGTTGCCCACCCTGTTTGCACTCGCGGGCGCACCCAATGACGTCGCTTCAGGCCAGAGGCCGCCACACAGGTCTGCGCTTTAAGCGCCTACTAAGGCCGCGGGGTGTTTTCCAGATGCTATTTTGATCAACTCCAACACTTAGGAACAAGAACGACCCCGCGCTTCGCCCGCCGCCCCCTCCCATCCCTCATTGTACACATCTGTTGGGATTGCAAGCCTCCTGCCCAATCTCCAACCAGCTAAACCTAGCATTCGAAATCTAGAGCCCCATACCGCGCCCAGCTGTGTCTATAATAAGAAAGATCCATTCTCCATCTCAAACGTCCCCGCAATAGGCTGGGCGCATTTGCGGCAGAGACTAAGATTGTGCGGCACAACTCCTAGTTCTCCCAGGTTACCTACATTGCCTTCTCGGCGGCCCACCTCGACCTCGCCACTTTCTCCTTCTATTTCTCTCTATTTCCCTCTTTCTCTTTGTCCACCCCTCTGCTATCTAGTTGCAACATAACCGTCCGTCCATCTGTACGGCAGAAACACAATTCAACTCTGCGACAATGTCTTCAGGATTCAATGTAAGTTGCGCGCTGTACGACAAGGCAAAAATCTCGTGGTTGAACTAGCACTAATAGACGGCGCGCCACCACGCATACAGGATCCCAAGCTGTTGTACGCCATCAACGGCGTCTCGGCATACCACATTGCCAACGGCAAGGAGGAACCCCTCACCCCCGGTGGCCCACAGACGCTCTCGCTGTTGATGGTCCCCACGAGCTCCATCTTTGCCGATCCGTCTATCAGCCCCGAGGCCGGCGGCGTTGAAGAGGACTTCTATCTTCACCTCCACCTGCCTCCAGAGCTCGACCTCCCGCTCCCTGCCACGACGCAGATCTACCACCAGCCGCCCAGAAGCTACCTCATCCCGCGCTGGGACCTTGGCCCAGACAGCGGCGCCTTCACGAGAATAGAGTTTCCTAGCATCGAGAGCCGCAAGTCGATCCAGGAGGATGTAGATACGTTCGAGACCATCTTGGCGCAATGTACCGCCTTCCTAGAGCGGTCTCCGCCGCCCAGGACCGGACAGAGCTCCAAATCGGCAGGGCATTCCAAGAGTGGGAGTCGCTCGCCGACCTTGGCGACTAAAGCAGCCGCCGCGGCCGGGGAGGAGCTACCCGCATACAACCCCGCCGACTTCAAACCAGGCGAGGCGTATGCGCGAGGGAGCCAGAGTGCCAAGGGTGCACCCGGCCAGATTGTGCTCGTCGATGAAGAGGATGGAAGTGTCATCGGAGAGCTAGCAGATGGCTACCAGCTTATCGAGCACGAGAAGTTGAAGCCCGGGTCGAAAGGTAAGAAGAACCCCTCCCCCACAGCCATTGTCCTCGGGTCATTGCCCCTGAGAATTGAATCATATCCTAACAGCGAATTTTTCAGATCCTGTTGAGATCACGTTTCCAGCCGATGGCGGGCAAAAAATCGATATCGCGCCTGTGTCGGCGGATATGGTCGAGGCGGAGTTACACCCGGCCTATAAGAAGTCGTTCCTAGTATCCAACGCATCGGCAGCATCGCGCTTGATAATAACAGGGTCGGATATGGTATCCAAACTCCTCCAGGGCCAAGCCGACAACTTCACAAAGAAGACGACGCCCAACTCCAAGCCCGTCACGTTCAAGCCCAGTACCAAGGACCACATCCGGCGCATCAGCACATTCACGGGTGGAGCAGCCCAGCTGTCGGCCAAGACGGTGGGCCAGATCGGCAGGGTGGCGCAGAATGTCGGGGCCTCGCTCGGGGGCCACGCCAAGAAGGCAGGCTCTTCCAAGGGCTTCGGCCCCGACGGCAAGCCGCTCGAGACGTACAAGCCCGGCCTGCTCAACAAGAGCATGATGGCATTTTCAACCGTCATGGACGGGGTGGAGCAGGCTGGCCGGCACTTGCTGTCGTCGACGTCGGAGGCGGCCACGACGGTGGTGGAGCACAAGTGGGGCCCCGAAGCCGGCGACGTGTCGCGGAGTGTTGGCGGCGGGGTCAAAAACGTGGGCCTCGTCTACATCGACGTTACGGGCGTGTCGCGGCGGGCCATCTTGAAGAGCGTCGCCAAGGGCATGGTGGTGGGCCGCACCGTCAGCGGGCAGGATGTGATTGTCGGCGGAGGCGACGGCGGCGTCGTCAACGTGGATGACCCTGACGGTCTTGAGAAGAAGACCACCATCGAGAACCAGTCGGTCGGCTCCATGAGCGTCGCCGACGGCAAGCAACCGGCAAGCGCCTTGTCGCCTAGCTTGAACCGCTAGCCTTGGGTGTTTTCTTGTGTGAGTGTGTGCGTGTTTAGGTGTGTGGCAAGCGATCAAGGCATTTTTTTAGATGGAAAATCGCAAGCAGGGTGTAAAATGCTGTGGTTTTGTTTACTTTTCCCCCTTTTTCCCGTAGTTGATATTTCGCGTCTGCTTATTAACCAACCCCCAAGCCCCCCTTAAGTGGGATCATGGTATTCATTGTAATTTTATAATGATCTTTTGGTTTCATATTTTTCCCTTTCATGTCCGATAGATTGATTAGATCGGCCTTGGCCGCTGTGGCTATGGAACGAAAAACGATGAAAGTATATGAGCGAGTCTTGTCTCGGGCTTTCCCTTTGCGGTATATCGTATTATGTGGACAATCCTGACGGGAATAAGTCAGATGGAAGTCTCGGGAGTTTAAATGCTTCAAGGCGGCGGCGATGTCGTCATGTGACTACGGATTGCTGCACAGCGTGAGAAAGCCTAAATCTTTGACGCGTCGTGGGGAAAGCGGGGGGGGCACAGGGCGCGTCACAGAGGGGCACACACGCACACATGCACTCACCCCTTGAAACCATCCCGCTAATACTTCCTGGTTGGCTGTCGCGACGGCAACTACGACCGGCAACAACTTCAGCCACGACTTCCATCTTACCTAGAAGCAACTCGATTTGGTGAATTTACTTTAAGCTGCTGCGCCAACAAATTTTGGGCAGCAAGCTCGCTCGCCCGAGCTGTGAATAATATCATGAAATGACGATGACTGGGGCGGTTTAGCCAGCCATCGTTGCCGCTAGTTGCTTGCATCAACAGCTACTTGAAATAATCTTTTTTTCTGCTTCGTTTCTCTCTCGTCTCCGATTTCCCCGACTTGCACTCAAGTGTATGCGCAGCCGAATCTACGAATAATCATAGCTATAAGCTGCCGCCGCGCCTGCTTGCCATTCCATTGCGTCCATGTGCTGCCGCTTCGAGCTTCTTGGAACCCTGATATTGCTTCTCCAAGACTTGAGCAGCCGTCGACAACCACCACCACGGGAACAGCCCGTGCATGAGGTCAAGACAAGGTGAGCGCAGGTCTGTAAAGTACCGCAAGCATTATTGATTGATCGATTGGTTGACTTTGTTTATCTGCGGCCAGCTCGCCCCGGCCGACATGCTCCACGAAATCCTCCTTTCCCTCTCCGGACACCCGTCCCCCCTGCTCCGAGCGCCTGGCGCCTCTGCCGGCCATGGCGGCGCGCTCGGCGACAGCAACAGCAACAGCAGCGTCGTCTCGCCTCCTGAGCGCGCCCTCCTCGCCTCGCTCGCACACCTCGGCGACCTGCACGTCAAGCTCATCAGCTTCGCCGCCCAGATAGCTACGGAGCACCCCTCCATCATCTGCCGCGCCGTGGCCGCCGCCGTCGACTCGATCCACCTCGCCGCCTTCCAGCGCAAGGTGCTGCAGGTCGAGAACATCATCCTCCGCAAGGATGCCGCCCTGGTCGGCGCCCACAACATTGTGCCCCTGACGGCTGTCGTGGCCGAGTTCGGCGGCTGGACGAGGCGCATGGAGTGGCTGTGGGACCTGGTCCAGTTCATGCTGCGCTCCGGACCCGGACCCTCGCCGTCAAAGGCCAAAGCCGGCGCGGGCCCCTCTTCTTCTTCGTCATCCTCCTCTTGCACCGGCGCAAGGGTTATGGACCGTCTACGCGCTGAGCTGCAGACGGGCTACATGGATGTCGAAGAGACGGCTACGAGCTTGGTCGCCGTCGCCGAGTCGGCCTGGCTCAAGCAGGTGTCGGCGTGGATCTTGTACGGGAAACTGCCCGCCTTTGGCGTAGGAGACTTCTTCGTGCAGCGGTCCAAAGATAGTGCAGAGGTACGGCCGTCGCGTATGGAGGGGGTGAAGCATTTTCCCCCACCCCCAACCCCCCAACTCGTTATGTTGTTAACTATTTGTTAGGAGTACGTCTCTGTGTCGAGTCTATTACCGGCGTTCGTCACGCCCTCTACGGCGACGTCCATGCTGTTCATAGGGAGGTCACTGAACCAGATTCGCGAGAGGAGCATGGGTGACTCTCGCTTCCGCGGGACCGACCACCTGTCAACGCAGCTCAAGCAGCTCGCCGCCCTGAGCCACCCCCTCGATTCGGCCAGCTTCTCCAGGGCCATAATCGATATCCAGCACTTCCTCTCAAGGACAACACTGCAGCGGCTCCTGCCCATCACCAAAGTCGTCGAGGCGCTGCAACTCCTCCGCGACTTCTTTCTTCTGCGGCGGGGCGAGTTTGCAATGGCCCTCATCCAGCAGGCCGAAGAGAAGATCCGGAACCGGTGGAGGCGTGCGGAAAACCTGGCCTACGAAAAGCGGGATGTCCTCGGGACCGTCGTGGTGAAGGAGGGCGAGGTGGCTGCCGTTCTCGCGAAGACCTGGGCCGCCATGGGGTCCATGCAAGGCAACCACGCCGATGAAGACGAGGGCATCGAGCTGGCGAGAGATCTGCTGCGCCTGACGCTGGCCAAATCAGGGTCAACCTCGGCGGCCATGAAACCTGGCGCTGCCGAAGGGAGCCTTACCTCGATCGCGTCCTCTACCCCCTTCCGCAACCTCTTGTTCTCGGTCCCTGTCGTTTTAACCCTGCAGATCCCCTCTCCGCTCGATCTGTTTCTCAGCCAGTCTGACCTCCTAACATATACTGCCATTAACTCGTATCTACTGTCCCTACGCCGGGCTCACCTTCGGTTGACAGACTTGTGGAAAATCTCGTCGCTCCGCCGGCACCACCCTGCTTCTCCTAGCCCGCCTTACGCTAGCACGCGCGGCGGTCGAGAGAAGATGCGCCTATTGCGGCATCGACACGACGTGCGGGCGAATATCCTGCGTAATGCCTGGGCGACGGCCAGCGCGGCCATCTTCTTCCTAGGAGAGACCGAGGGTTACCTGCAGACCGAGATCGTCGCAGTGCTCACGGACGGCTTCCACCGCTGGCTCACGACAGGCGAGGACGAGCAGCGGCAAGATGATTTCTTACCGGCTCCAAAAACAAAACCACAGCCAGCCCCGCCGCACCGTCAGGAAGATAACGAGGATATCTGGCTCGCTACCGCTGACCCTCCGGCAGCGTCGTTATCATCGACTCAGCTCGCCACTGCTACTAAGCCTCACTACCCTCACGATCCGCAGACGCTCGCCACCGCCCACCGCCTCTACCTGCGCACGCTTGTCACGCGCCTCCTGCTCGCCCACCCCTCCTTCACGCAGCCCCTGTACGACGTGCTGGTGCACATCGACCACCTCGTCGCCCTCGTGCACCGCCTGCACGCCGTCTGGAACTCGGCCGACCTCGAGGCTGACGTCGGCGTCGTCGACGCCTTTGTCGATCTCGCCCGCGAAGAGCGCGAAGTCACGGCCGACCTGCGTGGCGTAGAGGCGCGCGTCCGCCGCGGCATCGAGGGGCTCGTCGCCGAGCTGCGCCGCATCGAGGCCGCGGGCGGCAGCGAAGGCCGGGACGGAGTTCTAGGGCTGCTCCTGGGGAAGAGTCGGAGCGGTGCCGTCGCCGGCCTCGGTGTAGAGGCGGAAGAGGACGAGGAAGATGATGATGGCGACTTGTGGGGCACTGCCAGTGGCGGCGGCGGCCAGTATATCCCTCGCCGCGTCGGCGGTGTCGACAGGCTGCTCATGAAGCTGGACTTTGGCACCTGGTTTGCGGCGGGCGCGGTAGACCGTGCTGGCGACCGCGGCAATAGCGACGATGATGGGTTGTGAGGTTATTATGCTATTGCTATCTGGATCTGGGACGTCTTGGTGAGTGTGTGGTGGGCTTATGGACTAGCTTGTGGAACAGCTTGTATTATTCTAGTCTGAAAAAGCCGGGGTGTCTGCTTGTTGTAGTGGCTGACTAGGATCGGGTGGTCTCGTTTCCGGCGACGGTCAATGAGACGGTGCAGCGTGGCACTGCAGTTACGTCATCTATAACGCTATTAACTTGTAAATAAATACAAGTACCTTACCTTGCTGCATTGCTATTATTCAGGGCTCTACTGCCTCTGACGCTGAGGTTAATCTAGGTGAGTACAGATCATGAAGTGGGAACCTCCACCGTGCTTCGCTTTTCCTTCAGTTCTTTCTCGTCTGGAGTGGGTGTTATACTATCGTTAGAAAACCGCATGAGTGAAGTTTACAAGGGTGATAAGGAATAAGTGAATAAACGAGTCGATGCTAGGTATAGTTTCCATGCTGTGTAAGTTCGTTCCTAGATAGATTTGAGAAACCAACCAACTAACAAAAGACGCAAACAGACAAGTACCTGGGTAGGTTTTGAACGCAGGACGAAGAACATAGCGATACACATGGGAGAGTAGTGGATTTTTGTTTTGTCCACCGAAGTCGAGAACAGCAAAATCACGGGAATTGCAACTGTGACACTAGATGGATTGAAGCTAGTTAGATCATATTCGCTTCACTTTCGAGTAAACAAAACAACGGTGTTTCAATGCTTTCCCCCCCTTCGGCATGCCTGCGTCTTACCACGTATCCTACACGGTTAAATCACCCAAAGAATAGCGCGACACAAGACGACACAATGCATGCTGTTATAACTCTTTAGACAGATCAGTAGGCATCTCACCGTAGATGTAATAATTCTATCTCATCTATATGTGACGGGTGAAGAGATGCGGAATTAAGTCAAGAGAGAACTGGCTCGAAGATTGAAAATAAAAGAAAAGGTTAAATAAAAGAGCTAGACCACCAAAGCATCCACCACATAACGCAACGCAACGCAATGCTCCCAACCCATTATCCCTAGCCAGCCAGCCCCCCGTCCCCCCAAAAATAAAAGCAGAATCATTTCACTTCATGGCCCTGCTTCAACGAAGAACAGTATATACAAGACATGCGCCCCGAATTTTTTAATAGATGAGGGATATATGCACGGCAGGCAGGTAAACAAAAACCCTAGATTTCGCCTCGGCTTCTTACGTCTCCCTCTCGCGGGGTCACCTCCCCGGCGCTGGCGGCGGCGGTGGTCCACGCTGCCCCCACAGCGCGTTGCCGATCTTGAGCTGTGTGGAGTTCCTCGGATTCGACTGTGGCTGCGGCTGCTGGGCATTGTACATGCGGCTGTAGTCGGCGTCATCGTAGGCGCCGAGCCTGTTCCCGCTGTTGCTGCGTGAGTGTCTGCTGCTGCTGTTGCTGCGCGAGTGCTGCCGGGACGAGCTTTGCGGGCGCGGCTGCAGCTGGGCCTCCTCGTCGACAGTCGACAGCGAGTTGCGCCGACCGCCGGCCTCGTAAAAGGGGACGGGCGCCGTGGGCGGCCGCGCGTTGTAGTAGAGCTGCTGTGGCGGGGGCAGCGGCGCATCGGGGACGGGCCAGTTGCTCGGAGGGGAGCCGTGGCCGTCGAAGGGGGTGGGATCGTGGTGGTAATAGGGCTGGGCGTTTTGGATCAGGCCGGCGCGCTCGTCGCGGGACTGGTTGCCGTTGCCGCCGAAGCGGGTGGCAAGGAACTGCTGGGCGATGGGGAGATGTGCCGTGCTGCTGGCGGCGCTCTGCGACATGCCTATGCCGCCGCCGTAGCTCGTGTTGGCCGCGTAAAAGGGGCTGCCGCCTTTGCCCTCGCTCCCGCCGCCGTGCGTGGCTGGCGGAGACAGGTCGTCCATGTTGACTGCTGTTGTGCTGTCTTTGCGCGCCGCTTGGTAACTAACATCAATGTGGCGGTGCTTGACACCCACGAACAGCCAGCGCATGCCACGGCCGAAGCCCTTGACCACATCCCAGATGAAGACGGCCTCCCAAAGGGCGCGCAGGCCCAGAAAGCCGCCCTGCTTCACGCCACCCCCGCGTGCGCTGTAGACTCGCCAGGGGAAGGCCCAGAGGTGGAGGACGGCGAAGGCGGCCATCTCGACACAGAGGAGCAGTGACGGAATGCCGACTTTGATGTCCGGATAGGCGAGCACGTCGCCGGGGTGCACCAGATTAAGCGTGCTGGTGCCGAGACTGATGGCGGTGGACTGCCAGAAGGAGAGGAAAATGACGAGCTTGATGGACAACACCTTGAGGAAGGGCTGGTTGGGCTTCAGTTGTTCCGTGTTGCGCAACTGCACATAAAACTGGATAACGCAGTACATGGCGACGGTCACAGCCAAGGCATTGATTGTGGTGATCTGGGACAAAGAGTGGTAAGCACGAGGGGGGCCACAGCCGAGAGGACAAGCAGGAAGGTAGTCACTCACCCAGATTTTGCCAAACACGGGGCTGTTGGAGCTCTCGCAATAGCGGTGGAAATACTGCGAGCCGACGGCCGATATGGTCATGGCGACGCGGATGAAGCAGTAGTGGTATATTCCAATCCAGATGATGTTGAACCAAGTGAGGCCGCTCCTCGGCGTGCGCCAGGGGCCCCTCTCGCCGCCACAGCATTTAGCGAACCAGTTGAGGGGCCATACCCACGGCACTATGGGCTGCATGTCGCGGAAATAGTCTTTTTGCTCGTGGAGGTCGGGCTTGATGTAGTGGCATAGCAATGAGAAGAAGGACGAGATGGCAAAGGCCTCGTACGCGTCGCTAAGGACTTGGAAGTATATGGCGTGCCAGTAGTAGCGAAGGGAGAGGTATGACGACGTGGCGTAGACGGGGATCATGAACAGGATGCGGATGATGCTAGGATCGGGGTCAGTACTGAACAGAGATGTAACCCAAGCGCCTGCATGAGCGGCACGAGTAAGGCACGTACTGTTTTTGCTCGTGGGGCATGGTGTAGTGCATGGCATGCATCATGATCAGATAGAGGCTCATGATGATGGCGAGGCCAGCTGTCACGGCGGCAATGATGAGGGCCAGTTCGTGGAAGTTCAGGTCGCCTACGATGATCTTCTCGGATCCGGGGAGGACTAGAGAGGAGGCGGTGCGCCATGTCAGTTAGCTGTCTGTCTAGAACTGCAGAAGTCAGGGAGGTAGCGGAACATACTCCTAAGATCCTCCAGGGTCGAGTTGCATGTGAAATTCATGGCCGGCGCCGGCGCGCGCAAACGCGAGGTAAAAGCACACGAGGACAACCGAGTTCGTGATCAGCAAATTCCTTCCTGCGCGCCGAACAGCCGTTGCACCGTGAGGCGTGGTCTTGGCGGGAGGGTGCCTTGAGGAGCGCTGAAAGGGCGCAATGGGGTCTTTTTGTCAAGGGCGGTCAGGGCTCCCGTTATCCCTCGCCGCCACCGTTTCACCGGCTTGTGCGCTCGTGAGCCTATTCAGACGGCGGGTGGCTTCCCATGGGGCCCAGGAGACGAGCGGGCGTCGTGGCGGCCTGCAGTGCGTGGGCGACTGTCCGGGTTTCTCGCAGCAGCAACTCAACTCGGCACTTGCACACCTCAGGATTCTGAAACGGGAATGTCGAGCACCGCCGTAGACAAGGAGCGATGTTGTGCTGGCCAGAGCGGGCGAGTCGAGGGAATATGGCGGCCAGCGAAACCGTGCCGTGCGGACGAGGTCGCGATCGAGGCCGGAAGGGTCAGGAACAGGACAGGAGGCGTGTTGTTGGACGTGGATGCGACCGCCGGAAAATGCAGCACAGCGTGCGTTGGATACTGACGGGAGTATTTCGATTTCAATTTCGACGTTGGGTCGCCCAAAAGACTCCCCCGAAGAGTCCGAAAACCTAACCTGCCCTGTGCTCAGACTGGCAACGCAACGCGACCTCCTAGCAAACGGGAACATTCGGGAACGGGGCAGGTACTGAACCCACCCCAACCCCCAGCTCGGTTTGAGATTGCCAGCAGAGCGAGTTCGAGTTTGATGGGCAGTGCTAAGCCTCCCAAAGCGGGGACCGGCATCCTGCTGCGTCGGCGGGACCCCGTTTGGGTGCGCACGACGGCGCACCCCACAGCTTCGGCACTGATGTAATCCATCGTGGATGGTCCCTGAACAGGATTCAATTGGGGCCTGGAGCAGCCACCCTGCAGTGGCTTCCAAGGCTCACTGCAGAGCCACGGCGCTTCATCCCGGGCTACCCCTGTCGCCAAGCAAAGCCAAGCCACGGAGGCTGAGTTCGCGATCGATGGGCAGGCACATTTATGTACAGTGATTGATGCAGCAAGACACGGTACGTATTAACTGTGCCTGTTCAATCAACGACTGCGACCAGCGAGGCTCACACTTGGTTGGCTAGCCTTGGGCGCTTCAAAGTCAATCAGGACCACTAGACAGCGTTTCACGAAACAAACGAAGAAATACAAAGACCCGGCCGACGGACTCCTATTGAACGGCCAAACCGCCTTCCCTATGACTGACCAAACGGCCTCATCCACGGCGAACCAGGTGCGCCAGCCGGGCCAATCCGTGTCTGACTACGGACTGCGTACGCGTGTATACGCAATGTTTCCCGATCAAACCTAGAGACTCCTTGGGTATCACCGGATTTCGGCACCCCGTTCCGGCTACAGACAGCGATAAGAATATGGAACCTCGGGGATTTCGATATCAAGGTCTCACAATCAAGTCTCAAAAAGATGGACCATTCCAAGCCATTCACAAAAAGATACCCCATACTTTTTTGTCGCCCTAGATAATGGCATCAGAACTCAAACCCACGCCGTTGTCAGCTCTGCATATGGCCCAGGAACGCCCGCCTTGGACCACAAAGCTTGGCATTTCAGGGGCACCAACCTTGGCAAAAAACATGTGATGCAACCCGGCCGTTTCCGCCACAACGAAGATCTCTCTCTATATAAGCCCCGTGTCATGCCTGCTACTTATCCCTTGCGCATCAGCACGTTGCACGGCGGTGGGGTTATAAGTTCCATAGCCCCCGCCTGCGTGCAAGTTCTAATCTCCGCAAGAGAAGAGGGGAAAAAAGAGCCACACACACGCAGTACATGGTGGCGCAGTACGCTGTCCAAAGTAAAGTTGTCTTCCCCCCCAACATGAAACTCGAAACCCGAGGTTGGTTCAAAAGAAAAGGCTGCAAATAGAAGTGGAAGAAGAAGAAAAGAAGAAAGAGGGGACGAAATAGAAACAAAAGTCCGCTCCAAACCAAACCAACAGCACGTCCCATATTTATTGTTTACTATTCCACCGCGGGCAGGCAGGCGGCCGGCCGCACAAGCGAGCCAACACCACCTACCGCCGCGCGCCGGCAATTGTCGGTCGGTCGGTCGGTCGGTCCATGGCGACTGACGGCGGCACATGGATACATGTGGCCCGCATGCAGTTGTATATTTCACGCGCAGTCCGGAGAGTGGGGGACAAGTTGGAAATCACAAACCCCGATATAGGTAGGTAAGGTAGATAAATCTGCTTTCCTGCTGGTAGATCAATTCAATGTAGCGAGGTACATACATGTGCGCAGAAACCACGGAAAGTCACAAACGAAACATATCAAGGAAAAGTAGCCGCAGTCACAAGCCCAAGCTATCGGGTTGATCAAGTTACACAACCACCTAGGTAGGGCCGTAAATAGGGGGCTTGGGTTCACATTCACCAACACCATCAACTTCTTTCTTTCGCAGCCCACTCTCACAGTCAGTTTTCATTCACCATCATTACCTATTTAGATTGGCAATGACGTCAAAAATGTACGAGCAACGAGAAAAGTAGGAACAGCAGCATCACGAGAGATATATGTTCTCTTTTGTTTGTTTGTCCTCTTTCCATATACAGTCTACCCTGCTGCCTGCATACTAGCCTCCCTCCCATCTTGCTTGCCTGCTAGAAGAGCCTCCTTCGGCATCATATTCAGCTTCGGCTCCCGTATCGCCTCGCCGTCTGTCAGGCTTGACCCATCCTCCCATCGCCCAAGAGGCGTCCTGGCCAACCCTACCAACTGAACAACCCGACAAGCTGTTCGGGGGTCCAACTCTTCCAACCAAACCCGGTGAAAGTCCCTCCGAACATCACCATTGGCGGCCGCTATCCCAAATATTGCCGTCTCTCGTGTCTCTCCGTCTTTTGCGTCTATGGAAACAATGACCGCTGCACCCTATTCCTTCATATCCGGTACCAGTCATTCTAGCAAGGGAAAAATGGAACAGGCCATAAATCTAGACAGCACGCAGTCCGCTGAGAGGAAAAGAAAATAGGAATTTGAGCAGCAAGCGAAAGGGCAAGAAATGGTTGTTGGGTAAAGCTTCCAAGGAAGGTTGCCTTGAGACGCCCAACCAACACAAAGTGCTGGTTTCTTTCTCTCTCTGCATGCAAAAATCCCACCATTAAAACAAAATAACGAAGTGCTTTCTCTTGCGCTTTGGCTTCCCTCAAGCCGTAACAAAAAAAAACCTCTTCCGCTTAACTGCCTGTCCCAACCCGTCGGGAACGAGGCCCGCGTTCACATATGTGCGTCCTCCAGCCTGGTCCTTGAGAAGCAAAAATAAAACGCCGTGGTATCTCGTAAATGCAAATGCAGTATGAAAATCTCCGTGAGAGACTATGCAGAGTGGTTGAAAGGAGGGAAAACGAAAAGGAGAGTCGTGTACGTCATGGTTGGGATCGGTCCTGCTGACAGCTATATATCAATAGTTGCCGTCATCAATCGTCTTCTGGATTGGCATTAGTGACCCTCAACGTCCTCGAGGGCTGGTGTACTCTGCGGGAGTAATCCTGGTTGTCCTGCAGAGAATTTACGCTCTCGTGGCTCTTGTTCATGGCGTTCGGGTAGATGTTGGGATCAAGGCGCGGGTCGACGGGCACCAGGTAGCTTCTCCTATCACCGGGCCGCACGATGTTGTTGGTCGGGGGTACCCATGACTCTCCAGGTCGCGGAACTCCTCCCGCACCTAGAAACCGGGTTTCAGAAATTTCGCCATACTTTGGTGTTGCCATCATACCTGAGGAGCTACCCAGACCGCTCGGCGATGCGATGCCGCCCGCTCCGGCTTCCAGCCTCCTCCGCCTCATCAAAAGCCACCACACGAGAATGCCGGCGATTGCAAGGATGGCAAGAATGCCCAAGACGACGCCGACAATACCGCCCGTTGATAACCCGCCACCCGAAGTTACTGCCAAAGAGGTGTTTTGCTCGCTCGTTCCCGTGGGCGACGGTTGTGTCTGGGTGACGGTCCTAACGACTCCGCCGACGGTTACTGTCTGTACCACCGGGGCCGGTGTATTATTCGCTCCATTGAGCTGCGACTAATGGTCAGCACGTTTCATCGCTGGGGCACGCCGGCTCGCGCCCGGGGCTCTAGAATGCAAGGCATACAGGAGTAGTAGAGACAGTAGAAGAAGAAGTGGGAGGATCGCTGGATGATGAGGAGCTTGAAGGCGGCACGGCCACTGTACTTGGAACCATGCGCTGCACCGTCTCAGTCTCAGTGATCTTCACAGCCGGGGGAGTCTTCACGGCCGGGGGAGTCTTCACGGCCGGGATATTTTTCACGGTCTGGGTCGCCAATGCTGTTAAAAACCGTTGAATCCAGCTCTTCTCATTCAAGGGGTGAGAAAAAGAGAGCCGGTCCAAGAATCCAAACAGCAGAGGATTACCGAGTGACAGAAATGAAATCGAGGCAAGGGACATTGTGACTTACAGAAGATGAAGAGGACGATGTGCTGCTGCTAGACGAGCTTTGAGGAGGCGCTGTCCCTGTGGGAGAAGCATTGCCCAAGACGATGTACCCAAACAAACCACTTCCTCCGCAGAGATCGGACGGGAACCCCGGACACGGGGACTGGCACTGGTCGGTATCTTTCTGGTTTGCGCTGCTTGGTACAAGATTTGAGCACCAGCAGTCCTGGTTTTGCAAGATGCCTAGTGCAAAAGTGCCATATCTTGTATCGGTGCAGTTATCTCGGCAGCGGCCTTCGGATTGGTATATGCTATGGACTGAACGGGGAATAAGTATATGTCAGCGCGCGGCCCTCTCAGACCCAACCAGGGTGATGCAGTCAGCATCAGGATGTTTCTTACATGGATACCCGTCTGCTGATAATGTTTTATCGACTGTATCGGGGCCAGTGTTGGCCGTCGAGCAGTACTCGATGGGGATTGAAGGTCCAACCCCAGCCGCGGCGGTTACGGCGCTATTGAGGAGAATAGCGAGACTAAGCGACGCCCAGAGACGGGCGGCCCGTTGTTGTAACATGGTGGGCGGTGGAATATGCTGCTGGCGACAGTGGTAAGCGGGCTGCGTGGCCTGAACAGCCTCTCGCCTGGCGGAGCTCTATGTACCTGAACGGGGAGAATAGTCGGGGCCAATTGATAACCAGCAGGCGACGAAGTCTTCGCCGCAGCCAGAGACGTCGGGAGCGAATTGGCCGGGCGGGAATTAAAGGGCCATTCCAAAAGAGCAGGCGAACCACATATGCATATGAGACTGTGACTGTGATGATGGGGAGACGAGAGAGTTTCGGCTTCGTTCGGGCGTGCAGCAGAGGCTGGCGCAGGTCGTTGTGGGGAAGCGAAGGCACGAGCCGCGATAACCACGGGCGAGGCCCAGTCCGCCTGCGTCTGTTGAGTGCGCCCGATGCAGAAGGTTTGAAACCTGAGACCCTTAAAGTCTGAAGCGACGACCGCGAATGGAATTGGCCCTCGTCACGTCACGACAAAGGAAGTAGCGACGACGACGGGGTTGTTCGCGGTTGTCGTGGGGGAGGAACAGTCGGGCGCGGCGGCGAGGTGGGAGACACGGATAGAGCAGGGCGAAAAGAAATGGAGAGTGTTTGCATGCGGAAGACACGGCCCAAGAGGAGAAGGCCGAGCAGCGCAAGCCAACAGTGGGAGGTGGGTCAGTGCAAAAAGGCGGCGCAAGTTTGATGACAAGGGCAAGGGGGATGGACAGATCCGAGAGATGTGGAAGCCGCCCAGAAGACGTCTGTTGTCGGGTCAGTGTTGGGAGCTTCCAGATTGCCTGCGTCAGATCTCGCTGACACTGCACGAATGTAATCACACCTCCAGTAAGGAAAGCTACTATGTAGCAGGGTGGATCCGTAGAGGCTGGGAAGGTGGGAGGGGACGCCCTGAGGGGTTCAGCACAGCACAGGGGCTGTCACAAGCAGACGCCAGTGAGGCGAGTCACTGTTAGAGCCCTGTCCAGACCAACGCCACGGCGTTGGGGGGGGCACAGTTGGCAGGGGCGAACCACCTGCAACAGCGACTCGATATTCCATCTCGCCGGAGACTTCCATTAGGGTTTCCAACCACCTCGGATGGAAAGTAGAGGTGAAAGACGGCATTCACATTCTGGCCAATTGCCAGTTTTCTGTTTTCCGTTTGCATACAGGCCGACTTGACATTGGCATCTACGGCATGCACCGGCAGCGTCAAAGAGCCGGGAGTTTGGACGCTTCCAGGTTTCTGGGGCAAAGTCGACATTTTAGACGCTGAAACGAGTTGGCAGCGTCTAGCAGGCGGCGAGGCAAGTTTCCAGCACCCAGCAACGCCTGACACGGCTCCTGTCTCTTACACAGTAAAGAGACGAATCCATCTTTTGTCCCCTTACATGGAGGGCTCGGCAGCTAGCTGGGCTGTATGAATAACGCCGCATCGTTACTCGATACGGGTCGACGATATACAAAGTACATACAAATGGAAGTGCTCACTTTTGATCACTAGTGATCTCCAAAGCTAGCAGGGGGGGCGTCTTATTTCCACCGCCATGTTTCTTGTCTCTTTGCCAATGCGTTGTCAATCCGCAGAACGCCCAGCGCCAGCTGCCCGCTCAGGCGCCCCCTTTTCGCAAGCAGCAAGCGGCATGTTCCAGGCAATCAAGATTCAGGCGATCTACCCGCTTGACCACTGGCTGCTTTTCCCCGGACACATTCGATACAAAAGCCTGGCTGGCAGGCCTGGCATAGGGGCTTTTGGTGCCACGAAGAGCGTCGCTGCCGAAAACAGCGAGAAACCTAACGGAATCCACCCTTTTGCGGGTTTGCAATCGGAGCATGGGCAGGCCCCATAATCTCCACTGTCTCGCTCTCATTTGCGGATTAGCGTCCCGATTTTACTTTCAGCATCCCGGACCGCCTGGCCCTCACTCCACCGGACCTTGAAGGGAATTGCGCTCCGTTATCAACTCCCCCGGCCTTCTTGTCTCGTTGAGGTTGGCGTGTCCCCGCCGTTTCTGGCAGACTTTCTTAGTAGACGTCAGCCAAGCCGCCAAACTCTTCCTTGACAGATAAATCCCACCTGAGATGGCAACTGTTTCTAAAGAAATCACGCAGGCGGCAGGGTGCAGAAAGCGAAACCGCCCGCCCATGCCGGCCACACCCCGCCGCGCACGCCTACAAACAACTTGCCTGTGTCGTCCCGAATCCCGAGCCTAATTTTCTTTTTCCGTCTTCGTTTTCGTTTTAGGGATATTTCTCTTTATTATGCTCTATTTTAGTCCTCGATACCAGCATCCGTAGACCTAGTTTCTCCGCACGTTCGGGTGAGATACCTACCACTACTCGTTCATCTACAGCCGGTTCTACGATAGGACTCGAGAGGGGCAAGCGGTGTTGCACCTATGTACTCGGTACACCAAGCCCATCGACGATGGAGCAGCAATTGATGATGGATGCGCCCCCGCGTGCGTGGCCCGTTGATCTAATCAAAAAGCCACGGACGGGTCTGGCCTGGCCTCTTAAGAGCCTGTGTCTCGCTCGGTCTCGCCAAACCTCGAGCTGCACTGCTGCTGCAAGTCTCTATTCCGGACTAATGCAGAGGCAAGGAGCCGGCGCCAGTTTCTCCTCCTTCTCCAGCTTTTACTTGTTTGGGTTTGTTGCAAGGTAAGGGGGTCAATTGCCGACCGGCTCAGCGGCTGCTTCTTTTGAGGGCGGTTTCCTGGCATGGCCTATTTTATTAATTTGGCCTACCGAAGATTTCGGCGATTGCCTTGCTTATTTGACAAGCACTTACAGGCGGGATGCCAATACGAACAGCATCGCGATGTCTCCGAGACAACAACTATTCTTTATCGTCTTCTCTATACCTTCTAACTGCGGACTGGGTAATGCGGTTGATAACCGTCATGCATGAGCAGTGGCGTGAGCGGGCCATGCAACGCATCAAAGGGGGCAAGCAGCCGAACTACGAGCCTTTGAAGTGTCTGCAGACCAGACCGACGAGCCTCATGTGATAGGGCTTTACCGTCCGTATCGCTGCGCAGGACGGAAGAGGTGTGAATAGCTCCACCACCACGACGGCCGGTCCGGTCAGGTCGACAAGCGGACACGAAGCACACTCGAGTGATACGAAGACAAGCTGGGCCTGAAACGGCACAGATATCCCCGACTATTGCACCCGGCACCCGCCCCTCCATCTCGTGTGCATACGTACTCCGTACTCTTCTGGGAGTTATTGTGCGACTGGACCTGATGGCCCTGTCGGTGACTTCGTTCGTGATCCGTCTGTACGGAATGCCTCGAGGCCAATTGCAAGGCATTTGCGAATACTCTGCCGTGCCTCCAGCCAGAGTCTCTTGGAATCCCGAAAAGGGCATTGGAGGTGGCCGGCAAGACCTCCAATCAAAGTCCCGCGACAGAACGGAGTGCTCCGTATTTGCTTGTGAACAGTCTATCGGGACGGATACCGCCCACGATAGTGAGTGCCCCGCCATCAGGACCGATTCCAGAAGATCAGGACAAGGCAACCCTTTATGTGCGACTCCAACTTTGTGCTCTCCTGCCTAGGTAGCGCGGGGACAGGGCAGTACAAGAGCGGGAGCTGTATGAAAAGGAATTGATCTCGTCTCCGAGTCCTTAGTACTGCATCTCTGGCCAAGGTTTCCATAGTTTCGTTTCCCGCACGGCCCCTCATCCCATTGCCCATCGTTCGAACCAAGTTTACGGAGTAACGCATACAAGGAGTTCGATGGACAGGGGCCCCGCCAAATGCGAGGGCCCCAATGTATGGATTTTTGCCTATGCTTGGCCTGCGATCTGCCTTGGCCTGTGGTTCCAGAGTCGGGGACGGATTCATCATCCATGCTATCTAAATAATAGGGTGGGATTCTCCCGGCGCTGTAGGTTTTCTTTTGGGGGGAAAGCAGACTGGCATTAATGCGTCCTGATAAGGCCACGACCGTTTTATTATATGGCGGCTGTTTGACGAAGAGGAGAGCCAAGGCCAGAGAAAGCTTGATCCTAATCCCAATCCCCAAGAGATAAAGACGCCTTGACCTTTTTGCTCGGTGCCTTTCCTCCGGATAACGATTGACGAACGACGCCAGGCCAAGGCGGGCACGCTATTAAATCAATCGCTCTCGATGTCGGCAGCGCGCAAGCGCCAATAGCTTCGTTCCTTGGTCGCCAGTTAGGCAAATCAGAGCAGTCGCAGCCTGAGGACGAATTTAAGATGTCTGACATTTCGCAGAGCCCCACCCAGCCCTTTCTCTACAGGCGGTGTGTGTCTGTTGCTTCTAGTCGAGTGGCTAGAGAGCACCACCCGTATCCGAACATTTTACGTCCCGAACTGTAGTGCAGGTGGGAGGTCTCCGTAGATAGAACAACAACATCAACGCGCGCGTGTGAAAAGTGATACTGACTGCCCAGGTTACCCTATCCACTCCTCATGTCGTGTTCGAGTTGCACAGTAAAGGGCGCCAGCAGCTTCCTGTTTTGGGTGCCGGAGCAAGGAGAAAAGAAAACAAGACGGGGAGGAACCTTTGGGGCCTCTGCTCGTCCGTTCGGTGTGTTTCACCCAAGCAGGCAATGTTTACTCTCTCTCTCTCGCAGCACTGCTTGATGCACGGCAACCAAAAGTGGTCTGTCGCCAAGCTGTGGTCTCTTTTTTCGTGGGCTGGTTTGGGCTGACACCTTTTTCCTTTTTATTCCGTCTTTCACAGCACTTGCGGGAGGCTGACAGTGACTTGACCGACGGACTGACTAACCGAGGATGGTGGTGACATGGAACTACAGAAACCGTCATCCTCTTTTTTGCACTGATCTCTTCGAACCCTAGGCATTTGCCACATTAAAGGCATTCAGGGTCTGGCGGCCCGGTTCCTCATGTCTCGCTGAGGCCAGAACAGAACACAAGGTCTTAAAAATGACAGCTGCTCAGCTCGTCGTCCGGGCACAAGAGACAGGGAGCACCTGGATATATACACGACCGAATTACTATACGGTGAATATATACTACGTACAATCTCGCACTTCTGAGCTCCGACAAGACAAGCCGTCAGCTACTTTATGTTCATCGCAAAGTTAGCCCCAGGGCACACACACACTCTGTCACTTGCTGTGTGCAACACGCATTCTGTGCCAACAAAGACACCTGGACCACTGTACGACGCATAGCCGTCCATCTACGCGCACACACGCGCGAGAGACGGTGTCTATGCCCGGTGATGATGGGCTGCCGAGGATAGCGCGTTGTGGATTTTGCGGCTTTACGGCAGCAGGCTGTGCGGGGACCCTACTCCATGCTATGCGGTGTACATGCACACGGAGTGTGTTTACAAATACCTAGGCCGCAGCCAGTAATAAGTCCGTGAAGCATGTCTGGATCCAGATGACAAGCGTATGGCCAGACAAATACAACCCCGTGACTCCGTGACTCGGTAAAATCGCGGGTTTGGCTTTGTGGAAAGAGAGGCATCGACTGGCCTAGCGCCGCCGATCCCGTTTCAGTTTCGCTGCCGGGATCGGGCGCGGCGCGGGGAGAGAGATGGCGATCGGCGCGGCGTGAGCGGGGAACCTACTTCATTCAGTATCCGTAAGCGATCTCGGTCCGTGGTGTGTACGGAGTAACGGAACAGTGCCCGTGCCCGTCCTCGCTGGCCCGTCCGTCCACAGACGTCATCGGTAATCTCGGCAGAAGAGAAAAAAAGGGGAAAAGGATCGACATATGACGTTGTGCCATCGGGAAATAAAAAAGTTGAGAATTGGATTGACTTGCGGCGTGCGGCGGACAGACGTGCTCGTGAGGCACGCGTGCTCGAGTCCCCGGGCCTCGCCGCACGCTATCGCGGAGGGAGTCCCGAGCGCAACCCTCCCCCCTTTCTCCGTTTCCCCTCACGCCCTGTGCATCTTTTCATGTGTATGTGGCGTTGCGGCGAGCGTCAGTGCGTATGTGTTGACTGCGTAATATGTGGTGCACGTGCTGGATTTGTCTTGACGGATGTCAAGCTTTGGCATTCCCGAGGATGGCGTTTAAGGACTGCGCTTGCATATTGTGGACGATATGTGAGCAGTTTTTGCAGAAGGTTTTTGTTTGGGTTGGTGTTGGGCGGCAGAACTTTGGACATTTTCTACAAAACACAAGGGCGCATGTTGTTATTGTTGACAAGCATGTTTGGCCGAAAGAAAAAGCGTTAAATAAGTGATAGGTAAATATGGACATCAGAAACCAAGCACATGGCCTAAACGAAGAAAGAGGAAATATATACACCGGGAAACAACCAAAGCCAGAACCCAAAAACCAAAACACCCCTTTTCCCCAAAATAAAAACAAGACCGAAAAATGTCGCCCCGTCTCCCCTTCCCTCGCTGTGTGCCCCTCCCAGGGGGTATCATGGATGACACGGGACTGATCACGCCCTCGTCGGGCTCGGGCAGGGGCTGCTGTCGGTGCTGCGGGACTCGATGCTCTCGACCATCTCGAGCACGCGGGTGCGCGCGGAGGGCCTCTGCAGCTTAACGGCCTCGGCCGTGTTGAGCGTGGCCGCTGTAGCCGTCGTGGTGATGGACGCCGTGCGCAGCGACCCCGAGTCCGGCGACAGCGCCATGCCGCCGCCTGCTGCTTTTGCTTCTGCTTCTGCGGCGGCGGCGGTGGTGCCCTGTGGCTCGTCTCGCTCCTTGCCCTTGCCTGCCTCCGCGCCAGTCTCTGTGTCCTGCGGGTCGACTTGCCGTGGCCAGACCTGCAGCGGCGGCGGCGTCAGACCCCCTTCGTCTCCGCCGCCATCATCATCATATCTCTGCCGGTAGTAGTCCTCCTCCTCATCGTCATCGTCATCGTAGTCGTCGTCGCCAGGACTCACGACGACGGCCTCCATCTCCTCATCGACACCCGCGTCACCGTCGTCGGCGTTGACCACGCGCAGCCGCTCCTTGGGCACCGTGAACATGACCTGCACCAGCCGCTGCTCGACGGCTCGCTCAATGTCCCACTCGTCGTCGCCGACCCGCTCGCCGGCTGGCCCCGGAGACAGAGACGCAGACACACCGCCAGCAGACGGAGACGACGCGTCCCACGCCTCGCGCCCCTGCTTGCGCCGCAGCAGCACCCCGCCGCCACCGCCCAGCCCCAGCAGCCGGTGGTGTGCCTCGTAGTCGGATGACCCTCCGCCACCGCCACCGCCCAGCAGCGTCGGGCTGCCGCCGCGGCTCGACGCTGGCGGCGACCCGCTGCCCGCGCTGCTGTTGGTGGCAGTGCCGCCGCTGAACACGCGCCGCAGGCTGCCGAACCACGACCGCCGCGGCTTGGACTTGCTCGGGCTGCCGGGCGCCTGCGGCTCCTGCTGCTGGTTCGCGTCTTCGAGATATTCGTAGTCGTAGTCCTCGTCGGGCGACGGGCTGATGCTTGCTACTGCCGCTGCCGCCGCTTTGTGTTGTTGCTGTTGTGGCTGCGTGGTAGACGGTAGGAGTAGGAGTCCCGGGCCCTCGGCCTGCAGCGTGGCAAAGTTGGACTTGGCCGTGCTGAACGTGTGCGCCGAGCTGCCGCTGCTGCTGCCCAGCCGGCCATCGCCCCCTGCTGCTGCTCCTGTGCTGGGGTATTGCTGCTGCGGTGCAAAGCTGAACGCGCTGCGCTCCGACAGGTTACTCTCGGTGCGCGCCGCCGCGTCGTCGTCTGCCCCTGCGAGCGCCTTCGCTGAGCGCGAGGACCGCGCTGACGTCGATGGCCGGCGGCTCGGCGACGTCCGCCCGCCGCCACCACCACCGTTACCTGGGGGCGACCCCTGCCCCTGGCCGCGCGCGGGCGGCGTCGTGGTCGTGGACCCGTGCCGGCTGATCTTAGCGGTAAGCACGGCGTCCGCGGCGTCGACGTCCGACACCCAGCCCTGCACCTCGGGATCCTGGCCCTGGCGCGGTTTTGCCGAGTGATGGAGGTGGCGCGCCTCGGGGCTGGGCGTGCGGCTGCCATCGCTGGCGGGCAGGGCAAAGAAGCCGCCGCCGAGGCCGGGCGCGCCCGATTCCGTTGGTGTCAGGAACGGGTCGTCATTGTTGTTGCTGTTGTTGTTATTGCTGCCACTCCCCTCGCCGTGCAGCAGCAGCGGATCGCGGCCGGCGCCGGCGCCCAGGTCGCCCTCGTCGTCCAAGCCGTCCTCGTTGGCCTCTTCATAGATGGGCTCAAAGTTGCGGTTAGACGAACGCAGGGGCGTGAAGTCGTAGCCGACGGCCGCCGACCGCGGCTCGGGAGGCGGCGGCTGGTGCAGCCCGCGCGCCGCAGCGCGCGACCGCACCGACGGCCCATTGCCGCCGCCATTACCAACACTCGCTGGCAGATACAGCGACGGGCTGGACTTGGTGCCGCCGCGCAGCGTCTCGTAGCCCAGCGACCGGCGCCCCGTGCCGGCATCATACGGGTCTAGGCCGCCGGTATACCAGTCACGCGCCGAGGCGGCGTTCCACGGGCCCAGCATACCGCCGCGCTCGAGCATCTCGCCGTCACCGTCGTCGTCATCGTCGTCGCCAAACTCTCCGCTAGGGCGGTGCTGCCGCGGCAGCGACCCGTTGACGCCCTGCGACAGCCCGCGCAGGGCTGCGTCGCGCTGCGCCCGCCGCCGCGTCTGCCGCCGCCGCATGCACACGCCGCCAGCGACCAGCGCCAGCAGCACCGCGAGCCCTACGCCGAGGCCCACGCCCAGCCCGATCTGCAGCCGCTTGGACGGTCCAGAGGAAGAGTCTGCTGGTGCGCCGTCGCCTCCTGACGAGGAACCGCCACCATCGCCACCACCACCGCCATGACTACTACCACCGCCGCTGCCGCCGCCGCTTTTCGTGCCAACGGAGGACGGGTTCGTGTAGTTGTCGAGCCAGGTCAGCGAGGTGATGTTCAGAAACATGCGCACGCCACCACCACCACCGCTCTCCGCTGCCTGGCGCCTCCTGCTCCCACCAGACCCAGACTCCGACTCCGACCCAGCCTGCGGCGCAATATCAAACCCGCCATAGACCACCATGACGTTTCCCGGCAGCAGCGCGGCGCCGTGGCCGTAGATTCCCGGGCCTTTGGGCTGGGCCTCTTGCGGCGGGACGTGCCACTGCCAGTCGTCAAAGCTGGCGCCGATGTCCACGACGGCGAGCTGCGGGGCGGCGGGCTGCGAGACGTCGCCGACCCAGCCCCCCAAGACGACTAGCGCGGTGCCGTCGGCGCTGAGCACGGCCGTGTGGCCGGAGCGGCTGTCGATGGACGCAACAGCATCTTGTTGGCGGCTGGCCAGGAGGAGGTCGGGCTTGTTGGAAGAAGAGGGAGGGGCTTTGATAGACACAAACGTCCACGACTCCTCGGGCAGGCTCCACAGTGCGGCCGTGCTCATGTTGATGAACGCCTGCTGCGTGTGGCCGCCCAGCAGCACGTGGCTGGTCTGCTGCGTGACGATGCCGGAGCGGTTTGAGAGTGATGGTGCGAGCGCGGTCCACGAGAAGCCGGCCTCGGCGATGGGCGGCCCTGCGCTGGGCGCGTAGTCGACAGTGAAGGGGGCTGGCTGTGAAGCCAACGACGACGACGACGACGACGACGACGACGACGACGACGACGACGACGACGGAGACGGAGGTGACACGCGCAGCATGCGGTTGGAGTAGACAGCCGACGACTGCCACGATGCCGCGGTGGTGGAGGTGGTGTTGGCGGACGGACACATGCCGCCGTAGACGTACAGCACGGGCTCCGACATGACGGGGGCCAGCTGGGCCGAGAAGCTGAGGCTGCCGCCGAGGAAGTAGGGCCCGCCCTGGCCGTAGTCCCAATCGCTGCTGGGCGCGAGGGCGTGCTGGGTCCAGGGGCCGGCGGGCGGCGCGAAGGTCCACAGCGAGGCATTGGTGGCGTCAGCGCAGTCGCCCGCGAGTACGGCGAGGGTGCCGTTGTCGAGCAGCGACGGCGTGAAGGCTGTGTGGCGGCCGGCAGGGAGGAAGGGCAGGCCCGACGACAGCGTTTTGGGGGCGCCCGCCGAGCCGGCACCCAGCGTGTTCGAGACGTTAAGCGCCAGCAGGTCGACCGCCGTGCCGTTGGGGTTGAAGACGTAGGCCACGTCGCCGGCCGATTCGGAGAAGAGTACCGACGTCGGCACGTACGGCAGCGCCACGGCCGGAGCCGCCGCTCGTGTCAGTCCTGCGAGCGCCAGGGCCGCCGCCGCCACCACCCATGCAGCGGGCCGGCGGATACTTGCTGCTGGCCGTGGTGCTGCTGACGCTGTGGACCGTGACGGCGACAGGGGCCGCCCCGGCCCAGCGGAGAGGGCGGGCCCAATCGGCTCCAGCATTTGGGACTGGGGGAAAACAGAAAGCAAAAACAAAAAGGAAACAACCAGGGGCAGCCGGCTGCTGCGTTTCGTTTGCTGTCGTGGCGTGGTGGGGAAAACAAGGCCGCGGTTTGTGGTCGGTGTCGTCAGAGCGGATGCATCATGTTGATTGCTTGCTTTGCTGGCTGCTCTTGTCGGTGCGACTGATGGGCCAAACAGCCACTGACTGGACTGTCTGTCTGTTTCCGATCTCACTCCACTGGTTCGTCCCAGGGCAAGCAGGGCAAACGGCAAAGCAAACAAGGAATACGAGATAATAATGTTAGGGGGGGTAAATATCAAGCAAACGAACCCCACACCGACACGAAGCTGGCTGCTGCTGCTGCTGCTGCTGTTGTTGAGAAGAATCGGCGATGGATAGCGGGGGGGAAGCTGTTAACGACCATAGAGCATCGACATATAGGTAAGGGCTGCACGTCAACGGTGAGCTGGCATCAAGCCAAGTGCAAGTGCAAATGCAAGCAAATGAGTGCAAGATGCAGAGGCGAGCGAAAACGCAGCAGCACGGTTGCGCAATCAAATCGAATCGGTCAATCTGGGGGAAAAGAGAGGAGAGGGGCGGCGAATGTCAACAAACGTCAACCCATGGCCTGGCCTCTCTCCTCTCGCGTTTGGAGCACGCGCCCACCGCTAAACTGGGTGCCACCGTGCAAGTCCAGTCCTGCAGAAGCAACGCCGCTCTGGATTGGCCAAATCGGTCGCGATAGGCTGCGCGCATGCACGAATATGGCGTGGTTTTGGCCGGATCCGTTCAAGTCTGGGCGGCTGCGCACGGCTGTTAGTGCTGTGCGCTGGCGATTGTTGCTGGGGCAACACGCCATCAGGCCCCAATGGCTTGCTTGTCGTGAGTGCCACCGAGTCACCGAACGGATCGCCACCACCAACCCCAATCCATTCCCAAGCGGCCTGTCATTCATCATACGGTTAGTCACTCATCAGATCTTGTCACTCCTCAGCTCGCTTCGGGCTGCCGCCACCGATCTGAATCAGGGTGCACACGGCAAATGTTGAAAGTACAGACCGAGCAAGCAAGTCACGCCGAACAGGCAGACACAAGAACCATCAGTTTGATGAGTGTGCCTGATTAGACAAATCAGCAACAGTGTCTTATTTGTCTCGTACATACCGCAACAGGTGCTACCACCCGAGAAGAGTGAGAGGGCGCCGGTGCGGGTGTACAAAGCATACGTAGTATGAACAGCACCGTCGACCGCCGGCCCCCATGTGCGACGGCCGGATGGCCATCCGATGACAGGTGTCACTGTCTCTCTGTCGCTCGCTGTCTCGGCCCCGTGCTGCCCTCCTACACCGGCGCTGGGGAAGCACAAGGAACGTCGAACGTCAGAGCACCGCTCCAAAATCATGAATGAAATGAAACAAGAAGAAAAAAAATGAAATTAGAGCCCCCGTCTCGCACAGACAGGGCACTCGGCCCGCGGACACCTTTTCACACGGCGACCTCGGGCGCGTCGGGGCGAGCCTCGCGCAGGCGGGCGCGCAGCGTGGCGGCCTCCTCGACGAGCTGCTCGACCTGGCGGTGGAGGCGGTCGCGGTCGGTGGCAGCAATGTCGTGGGCGGTCTGGGCGTCGCGGAGGGCGTCTTCGGCGCGCTGGGCGCGCTGGCGCAGGGCGTGGGCGTCGTTGGCGAGCTGGGCGGCGTCGCGGCCCGTGGCGAGCATGAGCGAGTCGCGCGTAAGCGCCAGCTGGCGGTTCTGTTCCGTCAGGGTCTCGATCTGCGCGCGCGCCCGGTGCGCGCGGCTACGCAGGGACGCGTTCTCGGCCTCGGCCTTTTGCGCCTCGGCGATGCGGCTGTCGTACCGCTTCTCGAGCTCCGTCGCTCGCGCCGGGAACCGCGGCTGCGCCGACGAGACTATTGTTGGCTGGTCCTCAGTCTCGCGCGTGTGCGCCGTGCCCGGGTGGTGGCCCCACGCCGGCAGCACGAACAGCGTGTTGCGGCCCTGGCCCGCCAGCCGGTAGTAGCGCGTCATGATGTTGACGGGCACGAGGCCGCGGGCGTAGTCGCGGCCCTTGCCGTCGCGGCCCAGAGACCACGCGTGGTCGCCCGACGCGCCGTTGCGCCGCCACACCTCCTCCTTGGCCTGCACTAGCGCCTCCTGCCGGTCGAGGATGCTGTGCACGTGGTCGAAGACGTCGTCGCCGGCGTTGACCAGCACCCACCGGTCCTGCGGGTACGCGATCTCGCGGCCCGACCGCCCGTCCGGCCCCAGCGCCCCGAGGTACTGGTGCGGGATGGCCGCCTCGCCCGCCAGCGCGTCGAGCGCGTTGCCGTACGCCCGCTCCAGGTCGTGCATGCGGCCCACCAGCAGCTGCGCCCAGTGCAGGTACGAGCCGAGGATGCTGCTGCGCGCCTTCTTGAGCTCTTTGCTGTCGTGCTCGGTGGAGTTGTTCGCCGGCAGCAGGCTCAGCAGCCCGCCCGTGCTGCTGAGCTCGTGGTCCAGCCGCTCCAGGCACGCGTTGGCGTGCATGATCAGGCTATGGAGGTTGGCGTAGGGCTTCTGCGCCTCGCCGGGGCGGCGCGCCGTCGTCTCGGCGAGCGCGCAGTGGTAGCTGGTGCCGTAGGCCTCGTGGCGGCTGCGCACTTCGTTGACGAGGCCGTTGAGCGGCTTGTTGTGGTTCGGGTCGTCGTTGTGGTACGGCACCGTCAGGTCGACGAGGAAGTCGAAGGCGTCGTTGCGCTCGTACTTGATGGCCATGAGGTCTTCGACGGGCGCCAGCTCGGGGTTCTGATTACGCCGTGGCCTCTCCGTGGGGTCACCCGTCATGATCTCGGCCGACCGCAGCGTCGGGTTGAGCGCGTGGATGAGCACGCACAGCGACTGGGCGTGCTGCTTGAGCGCGAGCAGCGTCGGTGGCACCCCGTGCGTCGAGAGATAGCCGCAGTTCACGTGGCGCAGCAGGCCCTCCCTGACCTCCGAGTCGTGCACCCGCGACCACTGCGACGAGTAGGGCAGCGAGAAATCCGTGCCCTTGACGTAGCCCCTCTGCACGGCGTCCTCGTCGTCTTCGTGCTCTGCCAGATGAGGCGGCACTCTTCTCCCCGTCATCCCCGAGACCGCAGCGGAAGCCATGTTTGCAATGACGTGAAAGCAATGCGCGTGCTAATGGTGTTGTCTCTATCACAACGAGGCTGTTTTAGGAGGGAAACGCAAGGAGGCGAGGGTCAAAAGGAAGTTCTGGTGGTAAGCCATGATTAAACTTCCGTACTATGTTCTAGTTTTCACAGATTCGGCCGTTAAGTGAGGTGGAATGCTTCATTGTTCACCAGCATACCAGCATTCCAGCACAAGGGGCTACCCGCCCGAGCATCTTGACAAAGAACAAGACGCTTCTCGTAAGTCCTCTGTCGACGGAACCAGCGGCCGAGGCCGAGTAGCCGCCATAGGTTCTGGTATTCTCGCTACGCCTGTACTTGTATTCGTATTCCCTTGTGTCTTCCTTGTGTGTCCCCGATGGGTCACGGATACAAGTTGCAGATTTCCCGAAACGGAACATAAGATGACGACTTGAAGGCGAGCGAAACAAAGACGCGGTCCTGTGTCCGTACAGCTTTGTTCCGGCCGGCCACCGAAGCTCGTCGGTTGGATGCCTCAGACTGGTGATGCCATCGGTAATTTCCCAAGCAAACACAGGGCCGCTTTCTTGTCTCGGTCTCAAGGGCTCTCGAACATTTGCGTTTGTGGTTTAATCTGAAGCTCTGAATCTCGCTGAAGAACGAAGAAGCTCTGTTGTATTCCGCAATCACCATACCTAACCCCAAGGTACTTTGTAATGTGCGACTAAGGTCGAGTCTCAATGCACCCATACTCGTAGCGAGTCTCGTCTCTCTTGATGCATCACCAATTAATTGTCGGGCGCGCCGAAAGAGCGGCACACTCGCTGCAGTTTGGTCGCTGGGCAGCAACAACAAACATGCTCGCAAAAAACACTCTGCGATCCGTATTCCGTACTGACTGCACATTGTCACGAGGGTTTTCAGAGGCATTAGCGTAATGCACTGGACCCCACAGGTTGACGAATTGGAATCCTTAGGCCTCCGCCTGGCACGGACGCGCCCAAAGCCCTGGGCAGCTGAATGAATGGGTGCGGGCTTGAGGGGTCGCCCCAGTCCCAGAGACGGGAGTGCGGTCTGGAACGTCATCCATGGATCGTAATCAAATCACCGACGCGCTGCGCCGCAAAAATCAAGGCCCCACGCCAATCGAGCCAATTGCCACGGGCCACGGCCCTTTGCTGGCTGGCCGATTGGGGTTTCTCCGCGTCCAAGTTTGAATCGCTTCGGGCGGTTCCCGCTTGGGTTGCAAGGCACGGCGCGGCATACAGAGGGTGCAAGGGAGCGCTTCATCTGCCGGTCAGTTGTCCTTCATTGGTAGGCTCTAGGTCGATGGCAGGTTTGAGAGGCTGACAAGTTTGGCAGCAAGCGAGTTCGTCCAACCATTATTGCATTATCTTGAGAGGGAGGAGGAGAGTGGAAAATTCGAGAAAAAGGTAGGAAAGAAACATGCCACCGACTTCAGGACGCAAAGCCCACGCCAGTTCAGGTCGTCGGACTAGATGTCCCGGGCCAGCGATGTGCTGCGTACTTCGTACCTAGATAGTTTCCCGTTTAGTTAGTGCTGCGATGGATTAGAGTGGCGCAAGAATGTTGTTTGGTGTTACGTTAATTGACTTTTGGGCCTGCGGAACGGATATGCGTGCCATGGTGGCTTGATCCGACCAAGGCAGCTGAAAGTGGCGACCACATGTCGGCTGTGGGTGGACGACGGGAGCTGGTAGCACGGCCTCGGGACCCCGACAACACCAGCTGCTTCCCTGGTCAGAGCATCTTGATCTCAGATGGATGCGCCGAGTTCTCGGGAAGATATCGTAGGGCAGGAGCGTTGTCTCCAGAGTCCAGACCCGGGGCTGCAGACCCTAAGGTACCTTATCTCGGAAGGAGTGCGGACAATGTGGATGCGCAGGCGGCAGAACACAGCTGTGAGTGAGTCTGTGACAGCGCACAGCGCACACAGCTGCTGAACCTGAGCTCTCGTTGTCTCGCTGTCTAGTCCGTACATTGCCTAGGCGAATTATTGACGACGGGGTTCCAGGTTGGAGGTTGTTGTGTGCGATTACTCAAGACGGCCTAGCGCCAAGCGGTGAGGAAGTTGGCTTCTGAGACATTGTCTCCAGTCCTTCGATGGCTTGCATCGCTAGACAAATCGCTCCTCTCCGTCCCCTCGCCTTATCATGCAGTGCAGACAGCAAGCAGTGCTGCCGTCGCCGTGAACATGAACGCACTTCAACCCGAGCTCGCGGTAGATACATGCCTTATCATGATTGTCTTTTGCCGGACGACGCTGAAAGCCAGCCCACGATGCCTGTCGAAGAAGATGCACAACATGGATTGGAAACAGGAAGCGGCACACGAGAAGAGGCTCAATGAGATCGACGCACCCCCAGTCGTGCTAGGCAGGTTTAGTGTCCGGCCCCGTACCTTTAAGCGTGCACACTGCAACTGCAACCCCATGCAGGGAAAGCCAGGATTTTTCGCTCTTCTCTCCTTTCAGGGGGGTACCTCATCAACGCCGAGAGCTCGATATTGCGGGGCCGCTGAAATTTGCAGGTGGCCCACTGGTGGGCAGCTGCTGGTGAGAGCCGAAGAACTTTGGATGGGAGGGCCAGGGTCTTGGACTTGGCTTTGGGAGGGGCACTCCGCAGCGCGCTTGGCTCGACGTCCAGATTGGAAACGAGTTGCGTCATTGCCAGCCAGGCGTGGGGTGTGAGTGGGCAGAAACACGGTGCAATGCACAAAGCTTCGCTCCCACGCTAAAGGCTAGCGTCGCCTAAGATTTTGATGGTCGTCAAACCGCCCAAGCTGCCCTGGCGCGGTACATTGTACAGCAAAGGACAAAATGCAGGCGCCAGGAGCTTTAGTGAGATGTGGTGCGGGAGGTGTCGTAGCTCCATGATAAAAAGCGTCTCTGGCCCTCACGCACGCCCACCTACCCACCTTGAACTGGCTCTTAAGAGCTCCTCCCTCATATCGCCGAGGCCTATCTCGATCCACGCGTTTGAGCTAAATAGGAGGTTACGGTTTAGCTCGCGGCCCAAGCTCTACGGAAGAGGCCCACCGCCAGACCACCATCGCGCTTTCCTACCGGCACTAGCTCCACGTGTAGAGCGTTCGTGGTGGGTAAACCCTGCCGTGTTTCTCCCTTTCCAGGTTCTTGCTTCTGCTGGCGCTGGCCTTGTTTTGTACAAGTCCACTACAATTAGTGCAATTACATGACCAACCCCGGGCCCAGCACTTATCCATTCCCGGGCTCCTCTGGATTCTTCCGTGTCATCTTGACTTGAACCAACCTTCTCACGACGCTCTTCCGTCTTAGCAGCACAGGAAGCAGGAGCAGGAGTAGGAACGCCCATCGACGGCCTCATAGCTCGCTGTGAGCGCTAATCTTCGGATAATCGAGCCTCCCCGGCTATTCGAAGCAGCGAAGCTGCAAGTCCGCAAACATGAGCAACAACAATGGCACCACGACGGATCCCCCAACGTCGAATTCGCTGTCGGGTGAGTAACGTCCTTGCCTTGCCCTGCCCCAGACACTGACCACTCCCAACCTCCAGGCCTCGTCTCGACATTGGCGCCCGTTGCTGCCATCTCGGCCGTCTATCTAGCCATCTTCTTGGTCCTGCGAAGGAGCCAGAGGCGCTACTATGCCCCCAGAACTTATCTCGGGAGTCTGAAAGAGAAGTAAGCAGCTCTCCTCCATCTCTCCCCCGGGATGCCCTTGGTTGCTTGTGCTTATCCCTGATTCACCATGTAGTGAACGCTCGCCGGCCTTGCCCAATGGCCTCTTCAACTGGTTTGGCACGTTTTGGAAGATTCCCGACCTGTACGCCCTACAGCACCAGTCGCTTGATGCATATCTCTTTCTCCGTTACCTGCGCATGACGGTCATCATCTGCTTCGTGGGCTGCTGCATCACCTGGCCTGTACTTTTCCCCGTTAATGCCACGGGCGGCGGCGGCCAGCAACAGCTCGATATTCTCACCTACGGCAACATTGGCAAGGACAACCATGCTCGCTACTATGCCCATGTCTTTATCTGCTGGCTCTACTTCGGCTTCATCATGTACCTGATCATGCGCGAGTGCATCTACTACATCAATCTGCGCCAAGCCTTCCTCCTGAGCCCCCTCTATGCCGACCGCATCTCGTCCCGCACTGTCCTGTTCACGTCGGTCCCGGCCCCGTACCTAGATGAGGCCAAACTGCGAAAAGTCTTCGGCCAGACGGTTAAGAACGTCTGGATCACGAGCGACACAAAGGAAGTCGATGATCTTGTCAAGGAGCGCGATAAGACGGCATTCCGCCTCGAGAAGTCCGAGGTCAAGTTGATCAAGCTCGCCAACAAGACACGCCAGAAGGCTCTCAAAAAGGGTGCTAGTCCCGACAGCGCCGACAAGGCCATTGCACCCGGTGACGCCGAGTCTGGCAGCATCGCTGCGCGCTGGGTTCCCGACAAGAAGCGTCCGGCGCACCGCCTTGGCCTTCTGGGTCTGGTGGGCAAGAAGGTCGACTCGATCAACTGGTGCCGCACTGAGCTCGAGCGTCTGATCCCCAAGGTCGAGGCTGCTCAGGCCAAATACCAATCCGGAGGTTACAAGAAGATTCCGGGCGTCTTCGTCGAGTTTAGATCGCAGGCCGACGCCGAGGGCGCCGCCCAGATTCTTGCCCACCACCAAGGGCTCCACATGACGCCCAAGTACATCGGCATCCGCCCCGACGAGGTCATCTGGAAGTCGCTCGCCATCCCGTGGTGGCAAAAGGTCATTCGTCGCTATGCAGTCTACGGCTTCGTTTCGGCCATGATCATCTTCTGGGCCATCCCAGTCGCGGTTGTCGGCATCATCAGCAATGTCCCCTATCTCGAGACCATTTCCTTCCTTACCTGGCTCACCAAGATCCCAACTGTAAGTGGCCTCTGCTGTGTTTGTGGCAATTGCCAGTAGAATGGAACTAACGTAGCGTTGAAAATAGGTCATCATGGGCGTTGTCACCGGCCTCCTGCCTTCGGTGGCTCTTTCGATATTGATGTCCTTCGTGCCTATCATTATGCGCCGTACGTTCAAGCCTCTTACATGTGCAGTTTAATGCTGTTTACTAATGAAGCACAGTGTGTGCTCGGCTATCCGGAGAACCCTCGCTCTCGCGAGTTGAGCTTTTCACGCAAAACACATACTTCGCCTTCCAGGTCATCCAGGTCTTCTTGGTCACCACCGTGTCGTCGTCTGCTTCTGCAGTTGCGAAGCAGATTGCCGACAATCCGGCCAGCGCCACCACTATCCTGGCCAGCAACCTTCCCAAGTCGTCCAACTTCTACATCTCGTACTTTATCGTCCAGGGCCTCACCATTGCGACCGGTGTTCTCACCCAGGTTGTTGGTTTCGTCGTCTTCAACCTCCTCTACAAGTATCTTTCCGGAACCCCTCGTGCGCTCTACAGCAAGTGGTCGAACCTCAGCGCCATCTCTTGGGGCAGCACCCTCCCGGTGTATACCAACATTGCTGTTATTGGTGAGTATCCACAAACTCTCAGTTCATACCTTGCACCTTTTAACTGACAACTCTTAGCCATCACCTATGCAGGCATCGCTCCCCTCATGCTCGGCTGGGCTACGATCGGCATGAGCCTCTTCTACCTTGCGTGGCGGTATAACGTCTTCTTTGTCACCGACACCAAGGTCGACACACGTGGCCTCATCTACCCCCGTGCCATTAAGCAGCTCTTCACAGGCATTTATCTGGGCGAGATAGTCATGATTGGGTTGTTTGGCGCATCCGTGGCGCCAGGCCCCCTGATACTCATGGTAGTTTTCTTAGTCTTCACCGTCCTGTTCCACATCAGCCTCAATAGTGCTTTGGATCCTTTGCTCTACAACTTGCCGCTATCGCTGCTGGCAGAAGAGGAGACCAGACTCCTCGACCCCGAGGTTGGCGGCGTGGGCCCGGGTCCGAGCTCCAATCACGACGCAGAGAAGGTCATCTCTGGGCATGGTGCGGCCCAGAACAATGAGATCGCCCTTGCTGCATCCAACCCTGCTACGTCAAAGGCGGCTGCCAAGAAGCCAAACTTCTTCCTGAAGTTCCTGAAGCCCTGGATCTACTCCAACTACGAGACGCTTCGTGAACTTGTGCCCCGAGGCTTCTCTATCGATGCGTACACTGAGGCGGTTCACAAAAATGCCTACTATCCGCCGGCAGCCACATCGCCCACTCCGCTGCTCTGGATCCCCGAGGACGCCGCCGGCGTCTCCAAGCAGGAGATTGCCCACACGAGCAAAGTGATTCCCATCACGGATGAGGGCTGCGAGCTGGACGAAAAGGGCCATCTCGTCTGGGACAGAGAGGCTACTAGACCCCCTGTCTGGGAGGAGAAGGTGCTCTACTGAAAGGCCTCTGCTTAGTGACTGCTTTGGCAAACCACGGACCTGTTGTCTAGTCCCGGTCTAAGCATCCTTTGACGAACATCAGCATTTTCAATACTCTGGTTCTCGGTCGAGATTATAATGGTCGAGGCTCGACGTGGAGCCTGACGGGAGAGTGAACGGAACTAACTAGAGGGAGCAAGGGAACGATGCGGCTTTTTGCGGCTTTGTTGGGAGAAGGAATTTGGCATGACAATTTTGCGCTGCACTGATACCCGTCGACTTCTAGGTTGATATCACTCTTCCTTTTCTTTAATAAAACGGGGGATCTTTTTTCTCCTATCGGTAGTTAGTTGGAAGTCGGTTAGTTGCCTAGAGTGGCTTAATTCTAATTCTGTAAATAGTTCTTGGCAAGCGCTTTGCACTGATACACGCTTTGTACTGCCGATACCTGATGAACAAAAGCCGATTCGTTGTTCATCTACTACTTGAAGCGGGTACCCCGTGGTATCTACTGTATTAGAGTTGTAAGTTGTAATAGCAACACTCTTGCATTGCAGAATACAATGATGTTTTGCGGCTCATGACTACCTAGCTAGGTAGGTAATCGCCATTCCTCCGCCTTCTCTTAATACCTTGACGAATAAGCTATCGAACAGCTAACCATATAACGAATGCGAATCCTCTCCCTCATATACACACACAAGAAGGCATCAATCGTGGCACCAGGCCCCTTGAACCGCGTCGACCGAAACGCGGCCACCACGCCAACAGGCTGATCGCAGGACCTTGTCCAACTGCACGCCTGATCCACACACTCGGACTGTTGGTGTATCATTCTGCGGACCGCACGTCGGTCTCGCACGCGTCCATAGCGGAGGCGAGCAGCGGGGGTAGGTCGACAGGCTGCCGAGAGAGGTCGTCGGATATGAGGAGAGAGGCCGGTGGAGGGGAGGCAGGATCAATTTTCGACTCGAGGGCGAGAAACGCGGCCTCATAGCCGGAGAGGCTTCCTGCGTCGAGGTAGGCTTGGGCTTTGGCAGATGCCACCGCGCCGGGAGCCACTGCCGTACACGTCTTCACCTTGCCGAGGTCGCCTTGGCAGACTTTGAGCATGAGGTGGCCAGCGTCGCTGTACTTTTTTAACAAGGCGGTAGGCTACCGTCTTTACGGCCGCGTTGGCCGAGACGATGTCACCCTCTAGCTCCTTGAGCGACGCCCTGAGCTGCGCGATCTCGGCCGCCTGGATCTCTTTCCGCCAGCCAAACAGCACGATCTCGGCCGTCGCGGGCTAGAACGACTTGACGCGCGCCTTGGTCGTCAGCTTGAAGCCGGCCTCGGGACACACGACGGGGTTCCAGGAGACGCCCTCGCTCTGTTGGCGCTCCCAGCTGCGGATCGGCGTGTCGGTGGTGACGGAGACGTTGAACGTTGGCCGCACGGCGAAGTAGCTCTTGGCCTGGCTGAAGGCCGTCTGGCCTTGGATGCGGTCTTGCGGGATCCTCTCGAGGTATTTGAGATCCAGATATGCGGGATGCGATGATTTCTCCCTCTGCGCCGTCTCGAGTCCGGCTTTTTTAGCCTGCGTCCCCCTGAGGTTGTTGGCCTGTTTTGCGGCATGTTTCTCGAGCTCTCGACTGCCCGGCTCCAGCATGGCGCGGTGGCTCTCGAGCGTTTCAATAAGCTCACGACACGCAAGAGCGGGCGTCAGCCTGGGGAGTTGACACTTGTTCAGTACTAAGATCTCTATCAAGAGGCTATTATGGGATGGCTGGCCTACGAGTTGCTTTGATCGCTGCCGCAAATGGGCTCTGACTGTGACCCCATTTTCCCTTCCTCTCCGCATGGAAACTTTGGTGCTCGATTGCTGTGGATCGACGGCAACAGACAGATATCAGGCGATTCTAATCCCACAGCGAGGACAAAAGAAGAGAAATCTCAACGGCAGCGTCGGCGTAATTCTAAGCCGACTCGCGACACCAGTCAAAGTCAATTCCATTTGGCGCGGAGGGCATCACATTCTCGGGAAGCACCGAGGCACCGAGGCACCGGCAAGCCTAGGCCCAGGAGAATCGAGTTTGTGTGGCAATGGCTTGCGGACGAGGCTCTAGGACTTGATTTGCACCAGTACTTCTGTTCCAAGTTGTCAGTCAGCACAGTTGTTCTGTTATGCGTGGCGTGGCGGCTGGAAATCCGAGCCAAGCATTGGCTTGTGTCGTCTGTCATTCGCTCGGCCACATGGGTCCAGATTTCTTACCTGTCCGGTCCGTCCACTAAAGCTTCATTCAGCCTCAGCTTCCTATCTACCGCCGCCGTCTCCGAAAAGGTGAAGGTAATGGCTGCCTAAGCACCTAGACTGCCCTGGCAAGGCGAGTGCAAGTCGACAACATTTCTCTTGCGAGGCTCAACGTTGTTGCGAGCAGTTCCCCCCCTTCTTGGTAACTGGATTTCTGTGCCTACTACCTACCTACCTACCTACCTATTCAAGTTCCTCGCGAGGTTGCCGTCATGCCGTACAGTGTTTTGAATCCCGATTCACCTGTCGTGGTCCTGGTCATTGGTTCGTCGCAGAATGGCAAGACGACCTTCATCAACCGCATCGTGCCTATGTCAAGCAAAAAGGTTGATTTCGGCAAGGAGGGCGGTGGGTGCACCAGCTGCACCACCAAAGCTGGCTTCTACGACGTCGAAATACCGATTTCAGAGTACGCCATATTTGACCGGGAAACGCGGGCCGAGATCGATGTACCCGACATCGCCGTCGATGGACGAGCAGAGGGTCCTGGACGGGAACTGGTGGCGCAAGCAGAGCAGCTCCCGCTTCGACATCTGGCTTCGCGACCCTGACGGGCCGTACCTGAGGCTGCGCCTGATCGACACGCCGGGGCTCGACGACAGTGCCAACAAGGACTTTGAGAACATGCAAGAGGTGCTGACGGAGCTCAACGCGCTGGCCAAGTCGAATGTCGAGTGGCAGCGCAGCATCAAAGCCAGTGTGCTCATCTACAACCCCAACACTCAAAGCCAAAGTCGACGAGATGGATACCGCTGACCTGGTTGAGATGTGGAGCCGCTACGGGTATGGCCGCGCGCACTTGTTCAAGAGCAGCCGCGTGACGTGGGACATCAACACTAACCACATCATCATAAAGGCGGTCAGGGACCCCGCGAGCCCACGCCATTCGACGTGGAGTTCGTACGACGATCTTAATTGGGTCGGTCACAAGAGCTACTACAACAGCTTGGCGAGTGACTCGTAGAACAACTCGACTTTAGGCACGTAAAGCTTTACGGATGGAAGAAAGACGTCGAGTCCTACGAAATCGAGCGGCTGACGGCCGAGAAGAGCGAGGCATGCGGCGCGGCGAGTACTTGAGCACGGAGCGCGACCTCAAAGCGACCGTGGAGTCCGTCAGCGACTGCAGACTCCAGAAGGCAATTAGCCAGAAGGGCTTCGACGCGGCGCGCTCGCGGAAGGCCTAGCTGAACCCGAAATCGATCCCGCTGGACACCATCAAGAACAAGGGCGCCTACTTTGCTACATGCAGCCTGATCAGCTATGCCCTCGCTAGCCTGGCCGAGTAAAATGTCAGTTTTGCCACGTCCCAATTCCCAACTGCCTACTTGGACGGCTCCGCCTCGCGGGCCAAGGCTCGCTACGATTCCAAGGCCAAGTCTGCTCGGTCCATGTTCACGACGTGCACGGCTATGGTCTCGAGCCTCGGTGGCGGCATCAAAGCTGTTGACAAGGCGCTCAAGGACCTCGCCGAGTGGGAGAAGCGTATCGACAAGTCCATGAACCACGTGCATACGTATATTGCTTGGGAGCTGTGTGAGTAGACGCCACCCGAGGCTAGATAGCGTGCGTCATCGTTGTCCCTTGTGGAGGAGAAGGCAATACAGCACCTTCTAGCCCTGCTCCGCGCCGAGTTCCGCCCGCTACTTGACAATTGCCGCGAGCTCGCCGAGGATACCATAGCTAAGCATAATGAGCTACTCGTGGCGAGCCGGGCCCTAGTTCAGATGGCAGTCAAGAAAATGCTGGGGTTGAAGAGCAAGTATGCCGAGGCTAGGGCTAAGTGGATGGATAAGATGGATTTGCAGGCATCACAGGCCGCGGCGAGTGCCATGAAGGACTCACTGGCTGTGGGTAAGAATTTCACTATTGGTGCATTTGGGGTACTGAAGGATGCGATTGATGAGTTTGGTGCGGACAATGATAAGGTCTGGGATAATTTGTTTTTCCATGCGAGAGATACGTATCTAGAAGATCCGGGGAAGTTTAACAAGGTGTTGTCGGATATGGTGGTTTGACGTGGATCCATGCAATGTATCTGTATCTCGTGTAACGTCCCCCTTTGCCCTGTCTTTACATCCACAACACGGTGACTTGCCTTGACGCCTCACCATCTATATTTGCTATCTAGTCTATAATATACAGATATTCACTGGCTTCGTAGCTGCTATTGGCAATAATATTCGTCGATGAAAACAGCTCTCCGAGATAGCGACGTTAAAATAGTAGAGGAAAAGTGTTATTCGTCGCCCCAGTGCTGGTGGCTGTTTTCTTGCTTGATTATATCCGCTGCCTAGAACCGGAGAAGAGAAGGAGTATTGTCAGATCTATGGGAGATCTGGAAAATGTCGGGGAATAGTGGGCAACCTACCTTCTCAGCGATAGCGTACACGGCCGCCTGCACGTGCGCCGCTGGGAGCAGCGGAATGATGCCGGCGTCGACGACGCGGAGATTTGCTGTCCCATAAACCCGCAGCTCCGGGCTTACCACGCCGCCCAGGTCAAATGGCAGCATGCTCGTTGTGCCAGCCGGGTGAAACTCGGTCGTCAGCCCACGGCGAATCGCGCCAAGCAGGATGGACTCTGCTTCGGTGTTGCCAAATTGTCCCGAGGTTGCATTCCAGGGCGGCGGCGGCTGAGCAGCAAGTGGCCGCATAGGGCACGTATTGAGGATGCGCCCATTGAACAACAAGCCGGCCAACAGTACCTCGCAGTCCTCTGGCTGCGCACAGTAGCGTGGATTGAGCAGCACGTTTCTGGCGACGGAGCCTCCCGACAGTAAGTCTGCGGAAATGGCACGCACAGTGCCGCGACTGAACGGATGATGGATCCCGACCGTAAGCGTGCCGACGCTGTCAGCCATGATCTCGAGAGCGCCAACGTCAGTGCGCCCAAGAAACCGCAGGATCAACTGCCGCTGACGCTCGTAGCCCTGGACGACGGTGGGGTGCTGGCCTGGCCCAGAGGGTAGATATTTCTTGGGTGGCGTAGCGGACACACTGTCCAGGATCGACGACCAGTTCGCGGTAAGCGACTCGAGTGACGGGAAGGCGACCGTAGAAACGAGAGGGGCAGTCCAGGGGCCTATGTATTGTTAGAGCACCAATTCGCGTCAGAATTGGGGATGCTAGTATCGTAGGACTGCACTCACCAGTACGGTTGTTGAAATACTCATTCCTCGCCTCCTCAAGGGTGGCACCAGTGAGGTTTGCAGACGAGAACAGACCCGGCGTCGTGTCTGAAATTGAGTATGTCAGTTACGGCAAGCATTAGAGGGCATGTATTTGGGCTGCCATCGGGTTCAGGTGTGAGGGAAGACCGACAGTTGTAGAAAGCTGTAAGCATAGCATGGTCCTGGAAATTCTGTCCAACACCTGGCAGGTCTATATGCACCGACACGTTTAGGCCGTCCAGAACGGCGGTTGGGCCGATGCCAGAAATCTGAAGAAGCACAGGAGATAGGATAGCTCCTGCAGCGAGAACCACCTCCCTGTCGCAGGTGACTTTTCGTCTAGGGGACGAAGACGAAGATGTAAACTGAAAAGGCCGAACCATCAGTTTAACTTGTAACCGACAAATAGGGCTAAGGCTAAAATCTCACCTCTACTCCTTGAATCCTCCGAATATGCCCGAAAGGCGGGACGGCAATGCCGCCAGACCCCTCGCCGCTCTCTATGAGGATACGTGTGACGGTCTGTCCAGATGCTAGATGCATGTTCGGGCGGTTCAGCACGCTGTCCAGGTACGCTGTCCGGCTGCTAGATCTGGACTGATTCCAAGCCGACATGCTCGAAGGGGAGAGGAAGGCGCCGGCGGAGACACCTGCGTTCGGGTCATCGAGGAGCGGAACACCAAGCTCGGAAAGCCCCTCTAGAAAAGAGTCTGGTAGGGTATTAGAGCACTGAAGGGCTGAATTCTTGGAAAGGATTGGCTTACTGGACGTGTTATAGATGAAGTTCGGATAAGCCACTTGCAGGGGACCACTGGTACCATGGACCGACATGTCAGGGTGGATATGGAGAGCGCTGGCAACATCCGAGTCAACATTCGCTGTGAAGTTCTCGCTCTGAGTCGAGGTCAGTATGAGCAGAAGGCTAACATGTCCGGGCTAATCATAGACCGCTGATGCACCGACCTTGATGAAGTATGGGAGCATGTCTCGCCACGCCCACCCAGGGTTTCCGAGCGCCTCCCAAGCATCGTAGTCGGCCTTTGCGCCGCGGGTCATGACCAGACCATTAATGATGCTCCCGCCACCTACACCATGTCCCTGGGCGTACCGGCGAGCGGCATTGTCCAGAAATTCCTGAGGGGCTGTGGTGAAGTTCCAGTCCTGGGTGGCGTCCCAGCCGTGACCAACTAAGCCCGGCACTGTGACAGTATCGGGGTAGCAATCACTGCCGTGGTCGCAATATGTTAGCCGGAACTTGTCTCAGGGGGTATAGGTCCATAGGGCAGTTGACTTGCAGTTGTCCAGACTCGAGAACGAGGACCGTCACTGTGGCTGAAGTCAGCAGAATTCTGCCAACGGCAGTCGAGGGACAAACCATTTGGATCTTTGCTCAGCCTGTTGGCGACAACCAGCCCCGCGACACCACCGCCAACGATAATGTAGTCGTAAGATGGTAAAAGGAGGTCTGTGACATTTTGAGGTGACAGATGGAGACCGTCAATTCCTGGTATGAAGGCGCAGAGGAGTAAAGTGGTGGCCAAGGCGGCTAGGTCCATGATCAATGGCCTGCGCCGGACGGGCAGACCCAGCGAAAGAAGCCTCGACGCCTTGGCAGATTGATCAATGCTTCAAAAACTATGCTGATAAGATGTTGAGATAGTGATAATGCGGAATTGCTACTACAAGCTGGTTGTACTACCGCGATGCTGAAAGGAGGCGTTAGGTATCCTGAAGGTTACATAAGATACCCGCGAGAGAATGCGAGGAGACTTGGGGCTAGAGTGAATAATATTTTCCTGGCCGTGGGAGGAGGGTGGCAAGTTGACCAGGCAGCCAGCTGCGAGGACTGGGATGTGACTATGTTGGCTGTTGAGAAATGATGGGATCGAGTAAGGCTTTAGAGACGACGGGAGAAAAGCAGAACAATAATAGCATAAGAATGCCTTTAATAATTACTCGACGTGCGCTCAATGGGTTCGGCGCCATCCATCTCGAGTTTTCTCGACCATCCCCATCACCTACCTCTCGCCGTGGCCGCCCCCTGGTCGATATGACCCTCAGCCGAGCAGGATATGGATATTGAGACTTGAGGGAGAAGGATATGATATCTGATGTGAGAGGAGCAGACACTTGGCCGAACAGACACTCTAAACGCTCTGTCTGGCAGCAACTTCCATCCTAGGGTGAGATCCATTTGGACCTTGACGTGGCTTCCTAAAAGCGTGGGCGTTCCTTCCCAATTGGCAACCACGCATCTCGCGCGCATTGCTGCCTGAGCCCTCGGTTCTCGGCCGCGGGCAGGCAGGCACTTATCCGCTTTAAATGCACATCGTGCTTTCCCTCCAATTCCTCCTTCTTGAACTGTCATGACATCCGAGTCCCAAATCTGCCCGCATAAACCTAAATGCCAAGGTCCGTCGATTTGTCGAAGTCGTGCGAGCAAACGAAATGCGGCTCCCCATCCAAACACGGCCGCTGCTAATTATGCAAGCCGGAAATGGCAAACGGTGAAACCCTTTTGGGAGACGCGAAATGGGTATAAACATTTGAGGCTAAAATCGACAGCCCAGCATGCACTGGCGACTGCTGCAGCGCGTCAACCATTCACAGCTGTCTCCAAGCATTCAAGGCTCTGCGATCTTCTCACTGCCCGATCTTACTCCTTAGCTCGGCCCATCAACCAGAGCTTTCTTCGACTCGCCCGTGTCCGTATCTGTTTCCTGGGATGCGTGGCCCTGGGTCCCGAGTCGTATAAACGGAAGGAACAGGAAGCTTGCAGCGCTCAGCCCGACCGAGACTTGGAACGCCTTCTTGTACGGCACCATCGGGTCTGCCATGGCCTCTGCCGTTCCAGTAGCAGACACGAAAACGGCTGTCGACGCGCCCAGGGCCACAGCCGCACCCAGCCTGAAGAGCGTGTTGAAGATGCCGCCCGCCAGCGCCTGCTTGTGCGACGGCAGCGATTGCATAACATACATCTAGGAGAACGTCAGCAACTTTGGTATCACTAAAGCGAGGGGCTGACTGACGTTGGCCACATTGAACTGGAAGTCAGCCCCGATGACGCTAATGATCAGTGCTGGGAAGATAAAGCGCCAGTAGGAGCTGTCCGGCCGCATCACGGACAACAGCACGTTCGCCGTGATGTACGCCAAGGATCCGAATGCCATGAGCAGCGTGTTGTTGACGCGGTGCAATATCGATCCAGCGATGATGTTGTATATCAGCCCGGCGATCGCCTGCGGGAGCAGATGGACAGCCACATCGAGGGGAGACAGGTGTTGTAGCTCTTGCATGAAAAACGACAACCAGAACTGCGCTGATATGAACGACATGTAGCCAGGCAGACAGGCTAGAATGATCTGCGCCCCGAAACGGTTAGCCACCAACTCTGCTTGACGGTCTCCGGCCTGGGAGCTGAGGAGCCTCATACCAAGGTAAAATTGCGATCTTTCCAGATATGTGGGGGCATCAACGGGTTCGAATAGATGCGCTCCCAAAAGACAAAAATAACCAACAAGAGAACCGCGATGACGAGCATGGCGATAATGTGTGCCGCTCCCCACCCATCAGTTGGCGCGAGACTGACAAACGATAGTTAGTTATCTTCCAAAGAGCTCCCATCATCAACACTCATGCGATCAATGACAACAGGACTCACGTTATCCCAGCAGTCAGCAACCCTGTTCCAAAAACCGTCAAGACGGTGCCGACCGAGTCAAAAGTCTTGATAAAGATCTTAATTCTGTCCTTGAAGGGTTGCTCAGGCGGAAAAGCCTCGACTCTCGGTATTGTCCAAATGGCTAGCACTGTGAAGAGGGCCCAGAGGATGGCGATCAAGATGAAGGCGGCCCTCCAGTTGAACAGGCGAGTGGCGATGCCGCTGAAGATGCTACCAAACACGAAGCCGAGCGGGTTGCCGGCGCTGAAGGCCGAGAAGGCCAAGTTCTTGCGCTTCGATGGCTGAGTGTATGCTGCACCCATGATTCCAATGGCTGGCGGAACCACCATGGCGGAACACAGGCCCACGACGCCACACACGACGTCCATCCAGAAGGGGTCCTGGGCGAAGGCCACCAGCAGCGAGAAGGCGGTAAAGGACACCATGCCCGCGAGGAAGACGGGCCGGCGGCCGAGCAGGTCCGCCAACTGGCCCAACCCGAGCTGGAAGGCGCCTGCTGTCAACGCTGACGAAGCGGTGATCCAGGTGATCTCCCCCTGCGTCATGCCCAGGTCCCGTCCGATGCTCGCCGTGATGATGGAACTGGCGCCCTGGAAGAATGAGCCTGTCGCTAAGGCGTTGGTCGCCTGGAACACAAACCCGATTTCCTGCACCGTGTTTTTGAAGCATGCCGGACGTTCGCCGAATGGCATCTTGGTCGCCGCCGCCGGCACTGATGTTGCGGCGCCGTCCGACACGGCGCTGTGGAGAATAGAGCCCATGCCGCTAGCCGGCGCTTCCGCTTGCCCAGGGGACAGCTTCACAGATGATTTGTGAGTTTCTATATCATCGACTGCCATGGTTTCTGGTTGGACTGCCGATGCTGCTTGGCCTCAATGGTCTCTCATATTTTTGAGCTATATATGTGCTGGAGACTGAGACGGAGAGAAAAGGCCTGAAAGAGAAGCGAGACACTCAATGAGACCATGTCCTAGCTCTTATGGCGCGCCTTTGGCGCTACATGCCCATCTGATCGCACCAGCCGGAATCAGGTAAGCGGGCTCAGGAATAGAGACAAGACTGGTTAGGCCGTTTACGTATACTGCGTATAGCGGCCTTGTGAGCCAGAACAGGGGTCGGCCCGAACTCGGACGCCGTTCCGGCCGTGGCTCCTGATCCTGACGGCGGGTGTGGTTGGTCAGCCGTGGGCGACAAAGTCCGAGACGGTTTGAAATCAGTCTTATTAGAAAGCTATTCCGTAATAAGCGGAAGACGTCACGGTGCTACTAACTAAGCGGGATCAGGACACTACGTTGACGAAATTCAGTCTTGGCAAACCAAACCAAAAGGATTTATTTACCTGGCCCCGGTTCTTTAAAGTTCCAGCTCCATTGCACCCAGCGGACCCAAGTAGAAAGTAAGCCGGAAACCAAAGTGCCAGCCTTGTTGAGCATTGACCACGAGGACAGCTTGAAGCCTCAGGCGACTAGGCTGAATTGCAGGCACTTCCCTGTGCGGACATATAAGGAGGCCGGCCACAATGGCTCCCCCAAGTTCCTCCCCATGGGGCGCGGCGGAGGCGCCCAATAGCATGAATGGCACCCGCGCCCAGCTGCTGCACGCCGCCTTTGTGCTGTCACGAATATGGCCTCAGGATGGGGGTCCAGCGCGGACAGCGCGGCTGGCCGCGGGTATCTGGGGAGAAGGAAGGCATAACAAGTCTGCCGGGCGCACGCGACTGCTCTCTTGGCTGAGGAGCTCAAGAAGGGGCTCTCTCTCCTTCTGTCTCTCGTGCATCTATCTCTTCTTGTTTCTGTCTGCCGAGTAACAAGGCTGTATATTTCTGAACATCTATCCATCTACATCCATCTCACCGCCTCGAGATAACGTGCGAGACCTGCCGTCAAACCAAGCCCGGAGGCTCCCACTGGACAATCCGCCCAACGCTTGCCCGTCTTGACAAAAGTACGAACCGACTGACCGCCTCGACAAGGCTCCCACCGCACACTCACTCACTAACGAGCTAACTAACACCTTTCCATTTCTCAGTCAGCCAGCCAGATAGACAGGCAAAATGCCCTCCTCCTCAGCCGTCGTCGAGAGCACCGACCTCTCGTCCGCGACAGAGCCTGCGCCCGAGCTCGTAGCCGCCTCCAGCGAGCAGCAGCAGCACATCCGCTCCGATAGCGTCGGGTCCGCCGTCACGTACGACGACGAGGCGCTCGATGCCTGCCCGGCGATGATCCGTCGCGACATGGAGTTTTTCCAGGCGCGGCTGCGACGGGCGTCGTCGTCGTCTTCGTCTTCGTCGTTGTAGGGCTAGCAAAAGTAGCTAGCTGGGCGGGAGGGTCATTGTTGGATGTTGAAGTGTGTGAGCATGGAATCAGTATGACGGATGAGCTGGAGAGGAAGGGAGGGAGGCCTGGGACATGAATAATAACTGACTGACTAGCCGACTGCATTGATGGATGAGTTGGATGGAGGCGGATATACCCCCCGAGATTGTGTTATGGTGCCACGTTCGTTGGCTTTTATTTCGCTGTCCTTCCTCATGTGCATGATTTATTTCCTACGGTGTTGGAAAGTAGGCCTTTCATTTTTCCCTCATCTCATCGTTTGCTAAGGAGGGTCTGTCACGATACGACAAAGCGGGTCAATATTTCTTTCCTATCTCTGCCTTGTTTTCCTTGGTCCCCCTTCCGTTTTTTCCATGTTCCATCTTTCTGCCCTCACGTCTTTCCCATGCCTTCCCATTTACCAATCCACACACATGGAGACACGCACACGATGCGACGAGTAATGGATATGTTAATGCCTTGTGCGAAAGTATTAGTTGAGGTAGTTTGCCGTAACGTGGCAGCATAGTGTTACGAGTTAATGAGTTAATGAGAAGAAAAATACTTTGCAGATATTATGGTAGTGATAAAAGACAACCTCGTGAGTGGAAACGCCCTCTCGAGCTGCACATATTAGCTGCTTGGTTGTATGGAACGAGTAAAGGCCCAAGGTACAGCCCCGACATGACAGCATCCAGAGCCGCCGAAGAGAACATAAACGTCTGGCTTCGATTCAGTTAGTACATATTTCAGTTTGTTATTTTGTTTCGATTCAAGAGGAAAGACAATCGTTGAAGATCAAAGGATGGAAGTAATTGCGTCGTCCAAACCCTCGCAACTCCATTCAGCAGCGAACGACTCTGCACGAAAAAAAAAAGGAGAATCATTTCGACCCTCAAGTACACAAATGAACAGTAAATAATAAACAATATGTATCTGACCTATCTTCTAAATCATATGCCAGCCATAGTGACATACACCGGCTCTTAGAAGAGCGCAATACAAAAATGCACAATATCAACCCAACTAAATAACTACAACGTATAATTCTAGACGTAGATGCAGAGCGCCTTTTTAAATGCAGAAAATGCACCCCTTCCGACAATATCCTCTCTCCCTTGCTCGTTTTTTACTTCGTAAACTCATAGCAAGTGGCGTTTTGGCGCATAAAATGCTCCAACAAATACCTCCCCCTTATCCAGCAGGTCAGTGGACTATATCAAGCCATCCACTCAGATATTCTATCCAAATTCTAGTCATCCAAAAGAAGAAGCGGCCACCCTTGTTTATCCAAATTTGTTCTTACAGCGAACCATCACCCACATGGAGAGGTGATGTATGCAAACCCTCACTCACCACACATCCGGCCCGAAATGCCCCCCCTCGGGCACCGTCAAGTACGAGCACGCCTGCCAGTCGCAGCCCTGCTTGTAGACCTCGGTGCCCCACCACGAGAAGCCCTTCATCCAGCCAGGATAAAGGAAGCCAAAGAAGACAACCACGATGCCAAAGGCCAGGCCTGAGTCGAGGGCGGCGCTCAGCGTCATGGTGTACTTTGCCCACCAGGCCTGGGCGCGGTTCTTGATGAGGTAATTGAACATGTAGCAGACGACAGCCCAGACGGAAAAGTTGAGGCCCGTGGCGGGGGGGATCCAACCGAGGGACCCGAAGAGCACGGGCAGGTTGATCTTGCGGACGATGCTGTCGCGGCGGTGGCGCGCGTAGAGCCAGAGCGGGATGGGCAGAACGGCGCCAATAACAAACGCCCAGACGAGGCAGCGGTAGGTGGCGTTGGGCCCGAAGAACTCGCTTGGCCCGACGACACCCCACAGAATCGAGCCGTTGAAGTGCACACGCGCGATGGGGCACGTGAAGCCGTTGATGGCCTGCGGTGTGCAGATGCCCGGCACGTTCTTGAAAATCCAATTAAGAACAGCGATCTGCGTCAGCGACGACACCACCGTCGCCACCATCTGCACCGCGAACAGAATCCGCGGCGGAATCTTCATGTAGTGGCCGAGCTTCAGGTCGGCCGCGAACTTGATGCCCTGCGCCGACGAGATGTAGCCGTACGTTACGAACACCATGTTGGCCACGGGCCGCCCGGGGAACATGACGCCCGCCACTAGCTGGCAGATGAGGTAGATACTGCTGTGCTGATTCGTGACCGCCATGATGATGCCAATGGGGATGAAGAGGACGCTGCATATCCCCAAGGCAAGAAGGAGCCCGTACCACGGGAGGTGGATTGGATAACTAGAAACATGTCAGCCAGCCACTTTCACAATAGCTGTACTGCACGACTTACTATTCAACGACAAAAATCCCAATGGCAGTCATGGACACAAACGTGGCCAAATACCACAGCATGGGTGCATCCTTGTATCTCCTCATTAGGCGGTTGTGGACGTCTTCCCGGCTCATAAGATTATCCATGCTCAGCGAAGACCGCGCCGGGTTAAGCCGTGGGACTTGACTGGGAGGACCGGACTGCTCGTTGGTTACTCCCGACACTGGCCGATAGGCGGCTTTAGGCTCTTCGCCTGTCTCGTCGAGCGACCGTCTCCACTGGGTCCAAATATCTTTCCCGTGCCAGCAGATCGTGTGGGTTAGGAGTGCGGCTAGGCCGGCAAACTGGACGCCGTAGCTCAGCACGTAGGTTATTGGGAGGAAGACTCGGCTGTATTTGGAGTAGGCCTCGCGGTCAAACACGAAGTCCTTGGTCAGAACCTTGCTGACATCATATACGTTTCCTGCGTTGTCGAAGACGGCTGCCGACAGAATTGGCATGTACGACGAGTAGAGCCAGTTGGAGTAGTAGGCGATGGGGGCAATGACCCACATGACGACCACAAGACCGCCGACCACGTTCATGGCCGCCCAGAAAGGCGTGAGGAGCGGAGAGCCAATGTAGGCGATCTGGGCCCAGTCAAATGTCACGGGGAACAAGCCCAGCCCCGAGACAACGCCGAACAGATTGGCCACGACGACATTGTCGGGGGCGAACCATGTGACAACGTTGAAGTAGCTTAGAGCCGGCATCAGCAGGCCGGGGAGGAAGTAGAAGAGAAAGGCCGACAGCCAGACAGCGTAGAAGAACTTCCACCGACTGATGGTCCAGCCGTTGGCCGCCTTGTTCTCCTCCTTGTGGAGCGTCGTGAACATGGCGGCCGACATGAGCGTGCCCGGCCATATCATGCCGCTTGGCCGGACCAGAAAGCGGCGAGTGAGCCCGGCAAAGGTGTAGCCGAGGATCTGCGTCGAGAGGGTGAGCAGGAGCTGGTATACTATTCCGGCGTCCTGCTTGTAGAACTGCGTCTGCTCGACGATGACGTCGGTCGCAAAGGCAAACCCAAACGACACGTTGCTGCTGACATAGACGCAGCTGTGCTCCTTCTCGTTCCACCGGCCCTGGGCGAGCCACAGACGCACTCGGTCGATCCAGCCCCTCTGCTCCAAGGGCACAATGGGTGGGCGCTCTGTGCTCGCGCTGATCATGGACGCGTTTTCGCTGCGCCATCCGTCGACGTATTCATTCTCAGGGTCGTCGCCACGCTTAAGAAAATAGTCCCACATGAGACCGAGAGGGTGCACAAGCAATAGCGCAATAACGGGAGTGATGGCGACACTGGGGTATCTCAAGGAAAAAAACAAATTGGTAGATGATCCAAGTACTGAAAACAATATAGACAGAATCCACATCCGGGGCGTGTTGATGGAGAGGCTCGTGTTATCAGTCGGCGCAACCGAGGCCCTGACTTGAGCATAGGGGGAGTTGTCTGGAGGGTCCTCGACGTCCTCGGCATCCGAGTAGTCGGCCAGCGAGCCGTCTTGGCTGCCATCCTCGTCAACAAGCTTGGGGCTACTGACGAGGTCATTCAGTAGGGACGTTTCTGTCGTCCCAAAGCGGCCTTCGAGCCCTCCTATTGTGGTGGAGCCGCCCATTTCCTCAGACTGCTGGTGCGCCAGACGTCTGGACGGCGGCCGTCCCGAGGCCACGCTGCGCCGCCGTCTCAAGTTCGAGTGCCGGCGAACATGCTCCTCCGAGAACTCGCGCGTCTCCCCGTTGTCGTTGTAATTGTCGTTGTCATTGCCATCAGCGCTGCCATCGGAGAAGGTGGGCGCCGGGGAGATGGCGCCATACGAGGGACTGGTGAAGCCCGCGGCTGATCGGAGGGAAGGGAGATCTTTGGTCATGAGGTCGGATGCTGGCTCGCTGCGAGTATCAGTATCAGTGGAGCTCTCGTCAGCCGTCGCCTCTGTGGACTCGAGCCCGGGGCCATGAGGGTTCGGCGGCTGCGTATTTGTGTGGTTAGCGCTCTCGGGATGGGCGGCGTCGTCGCCGCGAAAGCGCAGGGTGGGTGATGTTGGCGCAAGGGAGTTCGTCGTGGTGGAGGCGGGCGCTAGAGATCGGAGGGGGAAGTCCTCGATGTTTGAAGGAGAAGGCGCAAGCGGCGTGTCCAACGAGGAGCTTCTGCTGTGGCTGGGAGGGGGTGTCATATGCCGGCCTGCCTATCTGGGAAGGATCAGGACGCAGATGACTCGCCCGGCCAGCGTTTTGTTTTAGTGACGGCAGGTGCCCCGCAGCCACTGATCTTAGCTCGACGATGTCGGGTTCCGATTCCCGACTTATCACACTCAGAAGGCGGGTAAGGTAGGTAAAGGAGCCCGGTGGAGCTGTATCGTGTTGCTGTTGCGTTTCGAGTTAGGAAACTCTTCAAGATAACCTAAGCAGTGAGGCTGAACTGAGTGCAGTGCATATGGGTTAGGGGACGGTTGTTGTCATCTCAGCCGTTGTCGTTGCGCAGCAGACCATTGATGATGCAACCGAGGTATGATGGAAGAGGGAACGAATCGAGAGGAGATGGAAGGGCGGCTGGCAGTGGCCCAGGCCCTAGATCGTGGGCACCGGGCATCGTGCATTCTAGCCGCCTGTGGGCTGATGCACTGGACTGGCCCTAGTACTGGGGGTGGGGTGGGGGGCTGACAGGGCTCAGTGGGAGGGCGCTAAACCGATCGCAGGGATGGGGCGACTAAGATTCGGCAAGTGCTAAAGATCCATACCCGGGGCGGGACGGGAGCTGGGATGGAATGAAATCTGGGATCGATGGTGGGATTTCACCAGAGCTGAAGGAGAAGAAGACATCATAATGATTGATTTGATTAGATTGATTAGATAGAGCGCTGAAAGAAGGGTCTTGTCTGACTGCCATGTTCCGTGCAACTTGCCAAGTCGCTGATGCAATCTGCCCTGCCTTACTTACTGGGGCCTTACGTTGGGACTCTGGCTATCGATTGGGGATCCGCGTTTTCATTACACCCGACGTGCGGGAGCAGCATTCTTAGGTAACATGAGGACGGGAATCTCGATGACTGTAAGAACGACCGGGCTTTCCACAAGGTTGTGAAGCTAAGTGAAATCTAGGCGGGAAGGGCTTGTGCTGCCCCATGTTGAGCGCTGGCCGTCCCGGAATCCAAACAAAACTCGCTCCTCTGCTCTTAAATAAGCCGTGACCAGGACCCTGTTCTCCTATGCATTGATGCACTGGATTAGGGAGACATTGTCACCCTTTAGAAGGATTTGCTAGAATCGCGTTAGCACTCCGGGTTCTCTTCAGCTGTCTTATACGTAGGCCGTCCGTACCCCCAGTTCCCGTCTTGTCTCGACCTCGTTTGTCTTGGATTTGAGCTTGACCTCAACCGCATTATCGATCTAGAAAATAAAAGTTAGATGGGGGCGGGGGTGACCAGGTTGGAATTGCGCTGTTGCTTGCCACCAGGTTCATGAACTCGTCAAATCCCTAGATAGTCTTGTTAGCGACAATAGGCCGGCAGCGCAGGGCAGCTCTCTGGTTTCCTTACGCGAATAGTGCCAACGATGCGGACTTCGAGCTGCTCGTACAGCCAGATCTGGACCGTCGAGTGCTGTTGCAGCAGACGGAAGAGGAAATTGATCGGGGGGAGCAGAACCCGGCGACCGCCACCGCCTCCTCGGCCAGTCATTATGTGCCGCTGGTAGTGGAAAGCCGGCGACTATGTGGGTGAAGTAGGAAGGCGGGCTGAATGCTGAATCGTTGGTGTCGCGTCGAGACGTGACGTGAATTTGCGCCTCGGAAAGAATGCGGGCTGCTCCATAGTGTAGAAGGCTGCAAGAGCGGTGCTGGCCCGTGCACCCCCTTCTGTCGCTGGGTTCTCAGTGAGCTAAAAGTGGGGTACGGATACAGCAACGGCGCACTGTACGTGCAGCACTGCTGAAGCTACAAGCCACAGTTTGTCAGCCACGAGCGGCGCTGTCTCTCTTGCGAGCCCCTCAGTGTGCGCGCATTGGTGGGGCGGTGCAAGGATGTTAGGCTGCCTGGACTTTTGCTTGCCAGACTTCTTTGCTTGACGCAGTGCGGTCGGTGACTGAGCTGCCACAGAAACCTTACGGTATTGACTTTGGGACGGAAACGCTGCTCGTTCTTTCCCTCCCGCGCCACATCTTCGCGCCGCCAACAGCCTGCCTGCGCTAGAAGCCAACCTACAGTGCCTGCCAGTGCCTCACTCTAACTTCCTGTGCGCTCGCTCCACTCTTCCTCGGCCGCCTTTTACTGTCACCCCTCTGCCCGAGCGACACCACCCAACCGTCGACAGAACTTGAGAGGAGGGGTTCGCCAATTTTGCAGCTGGCAGCGGCGGCCGCACAACACCACCCGCGCCTAAGTTCGCCAGATTCACCCGCGGCTCACTCCTGCGTCACTCCTAGGCGATTGCTCAAAACCCGCGATCATGGCGTCCAATGGGGTGCTCGGCGACTTCGCTGTCCCAAATATCCTGGCGGCCATGCTGACCATGCGTAGTGGGGACAACGCGAAGAAAAGGATCGCGATGGACTTTCTGGGCAAATTCCAGAAATCTGTGAGTGCCCCCCAACATGTTCCACCGCTTCACTCTCTCATACAATAGACTGACCAGCTGTGCAGAAAGATGCGTGGACCACGACGATTACCATCTTGCAGACGTCGACCGAGGGAGAGGCGCAGCTCTTTGCGGCGACGACGTTGAAGGGCAAGGTGCGTAGCCGATCATACCCATACCATTCCAACCACATCCCATCTCGAGACGAGGCACACACTGACTGACAACCGGAGGGCAGATCACATATGATCTTGCCACGCAGATAACCGAGAGCGACCTCCCCGCCCTGCGCAACCAGATCCTCGTCCTGCTCAAGAAGTACGCAGGAGGTCCCAAGGCGGTTCGGGTCCAGCTCTGCGTGTGCCTCGCCATCCTGGCCATTCAAATGCAGACGTGGAAGGACGTGCTGCCCACCGTTGTCTCGGCCCTCGGTAACGACGTGGCTAGCCATGCCTGCATCCTGGACTTCCTGCGAGTGCTTCCCGAAGAGGTCACGGAAGGCCGCAAGATTACCTTGTCTGTACGTGGATCGATATGTCGCGACTCGCCCTTACTTGCACCTGGATCATATTACGTTTCTGGTTAAGTCGGCCTTGGAGCAGTGTCTAATTCGGAAATGACAGGAAGAGGACCTCGCGCAGAGAACAACGGAGCTGCTGGCAGAAAACGCGCAGCAGGTTGTCCAGCTACTTATCGATTACGCCGTATCTTCTCGTAAGTAACATGTGCATATCATGAAACGTGAATACCCCCATAGCTAACCCATGACTTCCCAGCCTCCGCCGCCGTAAACCCACAGCTATTCGAGTGCATCACTTCCTGGCTGCGCGAGGTGCCCGTAGCCGTCGTCGTCAACTCACCGCTTCTGAACGCCGTTATCAACGGGTTGTCAAACGATAAGTCACTACAGACGGCTGCTGAATGTCTCGGCGTCATTTGTCGGGAGACTAAGGATGTCGACGACAATATCGCCACCATCCAGACCCTCCTCCCTCGAATACTGGAATTGAGACCGCGCATCCAGGCCCTGGCTGATGAAGAGGATATAGACGGCTTGAAGGCCATCACGAGGGTGTTCGCTGATGCTGGCGATTCGTGGGTTTTGATTATCGCCCGCGAGCCGCAGCACTTCCGTCCCCTTGTTGACGCGCTTCTCGAGTGCTGCGCTAGGGATAAGGACAGAGATGTCATCCACTACACGTTTCCGTTTTGGTACGAGCTGAAGCAGTATCTCACGCTCGAGCATTATATCGAGGCGAGATTGCAGCTGAATGACGTCTTCTCGAAACTGGTCGACATTCTGCTCAAGCACCTAGAGTATCCCTCCTCAGACGACCCCAACGAACTCGACCTGTTCGACGGAGACAGGGAGCAGGAGGAAAAATTCCGCGAGTTCCGCCATCTCATGGGGGATACTCTCAAGGACGCATGCCAGGTTATGGGCGTCTCCGAGTGCCTCACCAAGGTCCACAACGCGATCAAGCTGTGGAGGGAAACGTACGGCAGCCAAGCAACGCAAACAGCGGTACCGCACTGGCAGGTGCTCGAGGCCCCTCTCTTTGCCATGCGCGCTATGGGACGCATGGTAGACAAGAACGACAGCACAATCCTACCGCAGATTATGCCCTTGTTGGTTCAGATCCCAGTGAACAACGAGAAGCTCCGGTTTGCGGCCATAATGGTTTTCGGTCGCTACACGGAATGGACATCAGCGCACCCCGACTTCCTCCAGCCGCAGTTCCAGTATATCGTGGCGTCCTTCCAAACCGACTCGCAGGAAATTCTTCGTGCTGCCGCCCAGGGCTTCAAATACTTTTGTGTTGACTGCAAGGATCTTCTAGGGTCCCAGGTCATTCAGCTTCAGACCTTTTATGACCAGATACTCGACAAGCTTCCGGATCCTAGCAAGGAAGAGATGACAGAGGGAGTCGCAAGCGTCATTGGCGTTCAGAAGACCGAAGATATGTTCAAGCTGCTCAAGCTTTACTGCGACCCTCTGGTGCAGCGTCTAATGGACAGGGCCAATACCGCTACCGACGATGCCGCAAAGGTGGCCCTCGCTGGTATGCCATTGCCTCTATTTTCTAGTTAATTCATCAAGGCTAATATCTGGTACAGATCAAATCAACCTCCTGACGCACTTCATCCAGCAAGTGGTGCCGTATTTGCCTGCCGGCGCGGAGAACCCTGCCGTCAAATACTGGGAGGAAGTTTTCCCGGTGCTCTCGACCATCCTGGAGAACTTTATCGGTTTCATCCCAATTTGCGAAAGAGTCTGCCGGGTCTGGCGCTTCATGGTCATCTCATACAGAACCGCCATGACCCCCCTACTTGCACCCCTTGCCAACAAACTGGCGATAGGCTTCGCTGCATCGAAGCAGGGTTGCTTCCTCTGGGTCACTAGCGCCATTCTTCGCGAATTCTCGGAAGACCGTGAACACGTGAACGATAGCATAGCCGAGCACATCTACATGTTCTTTGAGGCACAGGCAACAAATGTACTCCGAGTCATGAGCGACTTGCCCCCGATCGATCTCCCGGACGTCATCGAGGACTTTTACCGGCTCCTCATTGACGCCCTCCTCTATTACCCCCACAAACTGATACCATCTCCTCTCTTTACTCCCATCTTCCAGGCTGCCATATCCGCCCTGTCACTGGAGAAGCAAGAGCCTGTATCGGCTGCTCTCCACTATCTCCGTGATCTTCTGACCTACGGTGGCCAGAACCCCGCTGGCTCTGCCGACCAGATTGGCGCCACCCACGACCAGCTGCGACAAATTGTTCGGGCGCTCTTGCTCTCGCAGGGCGAGTCACTGGTCAAACAAACAATGGCCGGCATGATGATTACCTTCCCCCGCGACTGCTTCCCCGATGGAAGTGGAGTGCTGCTGGGTATGTTTGAAATACTTCCCGCCGAGACCACTGAGTGGCTGGGCCGAACCATGCAAATGCTCCCAGCAGGCACTGTCACCCCTGCCGAGGCCAACCGCCTGCTTGCCAAGATCAGGGAAAAGGTCCAGTCCTCGGACTTTTCGAACCTGAGACAGGTGCGCGTGCTTCTCCAGGACTTTACCAACACGTACCGGCGACGCTACATAGCTCCCAGAGACGGGCTTGGCCAGCTTGAGGCAGCCCGCTTTCACTTTTCGGGTTAGAGAGCCCTTAGATGTCCCAATTGCGGGTTTGCTTCTTGACAGCAGATAACTCGAAAAATGGGTTGCTGGGCAGTTCTGGATGGCTTGGGCTGGAAATGGCCACTAGGCGGCAAGACTACCCCTGCCCAATTATAAACTTCTATTTGTGCATGTGGAGGCAGATGTTGGGATGGGGTGGACGTTGCCATTAGTGGGATGGGGTGGACGTTGCCATTAGGGATGGATGGCTGATGGGCTGGGATGGATGGAGGAACGCATCTAGACATGAAACGAGATGAAGCCCCGGCGTGGAGCACATTGCTGGAAAAGGGCCAATTAGTGTAGATAAGGCGGGCGGTATGCCACAAAGCTGGTTTAGATTTTCTAGCGAGGTGGCGAAGGAGAACTGGCCCTTCGAGTGTTGGAACGGGAGGCAGGTACATTTGGCAGCGAGTCGGAAAGGGACGTCCAAAATAATTACCTACTATAAAGACTTAGATCGAGATATCTCATATCTACCCGTCGAGGTGGCACTGCTGAGGTGGTTGTCGCTTCTCGCGCTCTCGGATGAATGGTCACACCAACGCTTCCCGCCGCAAAACTGGGGCGGAATTCTCTTGCTGCACGCCAGATAAGCGTGAATATCGAGCACTTGCTATTCGTAGGTAGCGCAGGGTCCTTTTGTTCCGGCCCGTTTGCGATCTGGTAGTCAAAATCACCGTGACCAAGTACTTTGTCTAGCCATGCCAGAAGTGTTACCTATCTACTCACGAAGTCTGTGTCAGGTTCGATCAAGGCGAAGAAAAATAAATAAAAAACAATTTGACATAACGTGACAGCCGTGGCCGTGATTCTAAAATGAGCAACAACGCCAGCCCCCAAAAAAATTCTTAAACGAAAAAGAGGTAGTACGTAGCTCTGGTAGCTAGCTAATTACATTCCCAAACGCATTTATCCAATGATAAAGACAAAGAAGAAACCCAACAAAAATATAAAGAGATGAACATGAAGAAACCCAGCCAAGGCGTCTAGACGCACGTTACATGCAGCAATACATTACATACACCCACCCGCCAATAGAGCTACTATCTCTCGGTTATGCCAGCGCCTTGGCCTTTGTCCTTGCTGGTGCTACTGGGGCATCCCAGATAAGCAGAATGACCGAGTCGACGTCGGACCTCTCCTCGTCGCTGTGGCGGATATCGCTGGCGAGGCGGTCGTCAATCTCTGAGCCGGAGTTATCGTCGCCCTTGCGGTTGACGTATGCCTGCCAGACGTCCCCGTTGTCGCGCGTGCGCGAGTCGAGCAGCCGCCACGTCTTCTTGGTGCGGCCGGGCGACGTTAGCGTCTTGGCGTCGCGAGGCGGCGTCGCCAGGTCCAACGCCGCCGCCTCTTCAATCACTAGCCGGTCGTCCAGCCGCGGCGCGTCTGCGGCGGCCTTCTTCCTGGATTCCTCGGCAGCCGCGGCGGCCGCGGGGTCTGCCGCCGCTGACGGGTACACGGGCACGGCTTCGACGCCCTCCGGGTAGTGCGTTAGGGTGTAGCCGTTGACGAGCACCCAGCCGTCGGCGAACAGGAAGCGCTGCAGGAAGCAGGCCTCGCCGCAGGCCGACGTGACGCGGTGGCCCTTGCCGGCCTCGAAGCGGTGCCAGTTGCGATAGTGGTGGAGTGTCAGGGGGCGCATGCCGCTGCCGTAGCCGCCGACGTCGGCCGTCGGCGGCGGTGGCGCTACGGGGTTGTACAGGCTGGGCAGCACGTGCATGCTGGCGCCGATGTGCTTGGCGATGCAGTCGTGCAGCAGCACGTCAAAGACCTGGCTGCTGCCGGCGCCGCCGGTGCTCGCCGGCTCCTGCAGACACTCGGCACCGACCTTGTCCAGCAGGGGCGCCGTGGTGAAGACGGCGCCGCCGCCGTACGTTAGTGCTGTCCCGTTGTACACTACCCAGTCTGATTGCTCGCTCGGCAAGCCAATGTAGTACTCCTTATCGGGGCTGAAGGGCGCCAGCTTCTCGAGCAGTCGCGCCATGCTGGGGAAGAAGACGTCCTCCTCGATGATACCGAAGTACTTTCGCGCCTTCGCGTCGGCCACATCCTTGGCGTCCTCGTTTTCGTCGGCTTTGGCATCGCTGCCGCGAACCTGCTGGCGCTGCAGGTCGCGCAGACCGCGGAAGCGGCCGCGCAGCAGCCGCGTGACGACTTGCTGGTAGGCCGTCTCATCTGGGCGGTCGGCGGCCGAGGCGACGGCGGCGTCGATTCCGAGGCGCTGCAGCTCGTCGCGGATGGTCGACACTTGTTTGGCGGACGGGGCCATCTGCAGCACCACCACCAGGCCGGCGCCGTTGGACTTGCCGCGCCCGTCCGTCAGCCAGCGGGCCCAGTCGTGCATCAGCGCCTGGTCTCCGTACATGAGGCGGTCGTAGTTCGAGGCTACGCCAAACAGCAGCGCCGACACGTCTACCGCTTCTGCTCCTTGGCCTCCTGGAGTCGACAGCGTCAGCACGGCTTTGTCGACGCCACGTCGCGGCGTGTCGGGGCTCTTGGTGCGCACCCGCTCGAAGTCGACGTTGGGGTTGAAGAGTGGCACGCCGGCTTCGGTTAGGGAAGGGGGGGGTAGCGTCTTTACGTTTGAAGACGATGACGACGGTGGCACCATCGATTTTGCCTGCACGCGCCGGGCGAACAAGGGCACCTCGCTAGTCAGATCGTACGTCCGGGCTAGTGAGAGCAGATAGGCGAGCTCCTCCCGGCCGTGCTCGGGGCGCGCTCCAGCTTTGGTTCCGGAGGTGGCGGTACCGCTGCCGGTAGCATCACCGTCAGCAGCACCGCCGGTTCCGCCTCTGTGCTTTGCGATGTTGCTCTTGTCGAACCAGTACTCGTCGCGCCACTCACCCGTTGTCTTGCCCTCAGTGTATTCATAGATGGGGTCGTCGTGGGGCGGAAGCGACGAGGGGTGGGACGCGAAGAGGCTGCGCAAAGCCGTGAAGACGAAGACGACGACGGCGACAAGGCCGAGGATGCGCAGGGGCCGGGACCGGCGGCCGCCATACGAGAGTGCCGGCAACGACGACAGCAGCGGCGTTACGCCCGCCACGGCCCGCGACACGGCGAGCGGCAGCGGCCGGCGGTGAACCTTCATTCCTTCCCTGGCGGTGTCTCGACAAGAAAAGCAGAAAAAGTCAAGGAATTGTTACAAGACTGGAAAGGAGTACAGGGTGAAGATATGCAAGCTCGGCAGAAAAGCAACGCAGCTAATGCACCTAAGGCAGACAGGGAATTATGGCACAGGCGCCGGCGATCAAGGGAGGGTCAAGGGGGTGTGGTGGTGATGGTGATGGGATATATAGATTAAAGTTGGCCACGAAAAAATAGCCGATACCCGGCGGGTGGTGGTGGTGATATTCCGCAAGGTATGTATCCGTACGACCGTCGCTAACAGAGGGGGAAGAACGAGCAAAAAAGGGAAACGAGCGACTCGACGCCGAAGAGGGCGATGCAACGCTGTTTGAGGTGGCTAGAGAGCTGTTATGCTTGTAAAAGAACTTGATGGGCTAAATAGTAGCACACGCACGCACACTCATAAGTAAAAGGAGTGTTTGCCGGGATCTCGCCTCGGCCAAGCAATGCAAGCAAGAGAGAAGAAATAGGACCAATCAGAATAAGGCCAGTAGTTCCAGAAGTTCGGACCGTCGCTGAACGATTGCGAAAAATGGGGTTAAAGATACGTGGATGTTGGACTTGAGAAAAATACACTAGACTTGAAGGCGAACTACAGTGAAGCAGCGAAAGACTGCGACGTCGTAAGCGGGCCATCACATGATTTGGCAATTTAAAGGTGCAGGTGCAACCAAGCAACAGGCTTGGCAGAGACGGAACACTGTCCGTAAGCCTGGAATTAAAGGCGGACAAATTCACCGCCGCTCAGAAAAATATGTACAAAAAAGGGAGAACAGGAGCAGATGGAGCAGATTTTCAAAAATTTCAAAAATTTCAAAAATTTACTTTATTGTTTGGTAGTAAACTGCGGTAGTGTCAACTGATAGCCTCCTGGTCCAACTCTCTGGACATTTGCGACAGCAACGCGTTGACGCGTCGGATAAGGCAACCAGGCTGAAGCGAAGGATTTCAGCCCCGCATGGACTTCGAAAAGGAAAAATGGCTTGCCCTCATTATTAGTAGTACGTCTCCAAATAATACGTCCGCCGGCTTGAAACATTAACAACCGACTTCCGTTGCAATACTATTCCACAGTTTGCACATAAAAGGCTCCCTGCGCCCTGTCCTCTCCAGCAAAGATAGCCCTAAAACACGCCCTTCTGTCGCAAACTCCTATGACCGCAAATCTGCCCCGACTGGCCGCCAAAAACAAAAATCGCCATGCATCAATACATGCCCACAGCCTAGTACTAACATGCTTCAAAGATGCGCTATGGTAGCTCTGGCCCAGTCCCTAAAAGAGCTAGCCACTTGCCGTTATAATTCCAGATAGGGAGAATAGGTCTTTAAAATTGCGCCCCGTGCGTGTCACGAATGTACCGATATAGTATGCACCGACGGGTCCGGGCATATATACACTTGCTTTTCTCGGACAGACGAGCTTGGGATCGTGTATGACTCAGGCATGTTGGCCACGACTGTGGCCTTGGCGGCCTGGTACTTGGCGAAGCACTCACTGAGAACGTCGTCGACCGTCTGGTTCGCTTCGACGATACCCGTGTCCAGCAATTCCTGTCCAAGTGGGCGTGCTGTTAGCCGGCTGTACGAACCAAAGAGGGGAAAAATGACACGCACCTTGAGAAAGTCCTCAACCTTGCTGAACTCGACCTTGTCTAGACGGTAGCGGTCGGGGAGGCCGCTGTTGTGCATCAGGGCCAGCAGGCCGGCGTCGACCGTGTTCACTGCAGCCAGGACGGTGATGGGCGTGCCATTACGCAGGTCCAGGGAGCCCATAGCCGTTAGGATGGCGCCGATGACAATCTGGAGAATCATCAAGAACCACCGCACCACGCTAAGGCAGTGGTGCGAGATGAAGTACTTTGAGCGCTGCGTTATCACGTCGCGGTAGAGCCCCTCGGGCATACCCTTGGGCGGCCAGTACCAGCAGCCGGGGTGCACCACGTTGTGCGTCTCGCCCTCCTTGATCGCCCCGAGGCCGTGGGCGACGCGGGCCCACTCGGCCGGTGACAGAAAGCGGTGGGGAGTCTGAGAGCTGACGTACGACCTGGGCCGCTGTCTGCCCGGTGTTTGCGATGGCGGTGGCGGCGGCCTGGACCCGACGGGAGTGGTGTTGGCGGGACGGGTGGGCACCGGGATGCTCGAAGGCCTTTCAGACTTGTAGAAACTGTCCAGCGACTCCGAGTTGTCGGCTTTGAAAGGTGGTAAGCTTAGGTGGCCGGGGTCTCGATTTACATTTGCCATTCTAACGAATGAATGGATCGAGAGGAAGAGCGTCAGGGCGAGCTAATGCAGGGCGCTAGTTGAGGTGCTGGAGGGCCAGAGACAGGTAATACACGCCCTCGAGTACAAACTGGATGGGATTCGTCCTAGGTAGTGCTGTGCAACAAAGGTGAAGGAGGAAAAGAGGAGCAGCCTCGGAGCCTGAAACCTCGTTTCTGCCTCGTCACCGCTAGAACCTCGCCGCTGAGGAAAGAGCATTCTCCAGGTCAGGGAAATCCTTGAGGAGTACTTTCTCGTTTGAGCTGGAGACGCTGGCTGGCTGGGCGCGCCTTCCATCTTCGTAACTTGACTGTTGGCGCAAGAGGTCGCTTACCCTGCGGGACCGAGGCTGGCGTGGAAGTCCGCCAGCTCCCATGTCAGATGGAAAATTGATGACTCTCTACTGCTAGGTACTGGTTAAATCATGTTGTCCGCCAATTCGTTCGGTATCGCGTTTAGGTAAGGGAACAGGATGCAGATAAGGTAAGGTGAGGTAGTTCGTGTAAAATGGGTATGGGTAGTAGCCCTGCCCCACCCCAGTGGTGAACATGGGTACTGTACGGGACAGTGACACTTGACAAGCTTTAGCTCACCGCCCAAATACCTGCAGCCAGAGGAGTGGCAGAATTCCAAAAGTTTTGGGAGCTTTGCGCATTCATCGACAACAGCTGCGGGTCGGCGAACAGTTAAGATACGGCCTACTGCCGCATGCCTAGATGCGTGCATTAACTTTTTTTACCACTTCCGCGCGCTCCGTTCGCAGATCCATTTCGTTAACCAGGACGAGAATACCGACCACCCTACCGAGCCTTGGATTCGTGTCGACCTACACCGCCACCATGTCGACCCAGACAGCGGGTGCCGACAGCACCGCAGTCGCCAGCATCGCGTCGCGGCCCGCCCACCAGCAGCTCGTCGTCCACGAAGGCATCCGCTACACCACGATCAAGGAGGGCCTCGCCTACATTCTGGTGCCCGAAAACTCACGGGCAGACAAGAAAAAAGCCGCGGACAAGAAACCCCCCGCAGATGGTCAGGCCGCGCAACAGGTCTTCTACAACCCCATCCAGCAGTTCAACCGCGACTTGACCGTCCTCACCATCAAGGCCTTTGGCCGCGAGCGAGTCGAGCTCAAGGAGGCTGCCAACCGAGCCAGGTTTGAGAAATTTTCCGACAAGAAGCGGAAGCGGAAGGCAGGCAAAAATGAAGAGCAATCGGAAGAGGGCGATCGACCAGCAAAATCTCCAAAGCGTTCGGCCGATGCGACAGCCGGTTCGGCTGGCGTTGAGCAAGGCGAGGGAATACCGCGAGCAGAGCCCGACCGCCCCGACATCGCTGCGCCAGTACCAGAGGCCAGTGCAGCAGGAGGGGCAAGAGAGGCAGCAGTCACAGGTGACTCGGCTATGGAAGACATAGGGACTGCAGAAGCTGCGGCTACGAATGGTTCCGGAGAGGCTCCCCTGGCCCCCTCAGCTCCCTGCGACGTCACAGAGGCTAAGAAAGAGGAAAAGAAGGCCGTCCCTTTCACTATCCTCGACGCCCTCTCGGCTAGCGGTCTTCGCGCTCTACGTTATGCACACGAAATACCCTTTGTCACATCCGTCACGTCGAATGATCTCCTCCAGTCGGCTGTCAAGTCCATCAAACTCAATGTGCAGCACAACAAGCTCGAGGACAAGATCGTTGTGTCGCACGACGACGCCCTGGCACACATGTACACCCTGATTGCAAAAGAGTGTCGTCGAGACAAGTCTGCCAGGAGCGAGAAATACGACGTGGTCGACCTCGACCCGTACGGAAGTGCGGCCCCTTTCCTCGACGCTGCTGTCCAGGCGGTCCGCGACGACGGCGGCCTGCTATGCGTCACGTGCACTGACTCGGGCGTCTGGGCCTCTAACGGATACCCGGAGAAGTGCTTCGCCCTGTACGGGGGCACGTCGTCGAATTCTTTCTACTCGCACGAGCTCGGTCTGCGGGTCGTCCTCCACGCGATCGAGGCGTCTGCTGCCAAATATGGCCTGGCCATAGAGCCATTGCTGTCGCTCTCGATTGACTTCTATCTTCGACTCTTCGTCCGCATCAAGAAGTCGCCCGCCGCCGTCAAGTTCCAGGCGGCCAAGAACATGCTTGTCCATCTGTGCGACCATGGCTGCGGCGCCTTTACGACGCAGCCTCTGCTGGTGAACAAGGAGGCCCCAAACAAGAACGGCAGCGGAACCTTTTACAAACACACCTACGCGAAAACAACCGGCAGCCAGTCTTGCGACCATTGCGGATCCACTACGCACGTCGCCGGACCCGTGTATGGAGGCTACATCCAGTCACCGCCGTTCATCAAGCGCGTCCTGGCCGAGCTGCGAGCATCGTCCACCGACGTCTACGGCACGACGGAGAGGATGCGGGGCATGCTGCAGACGGCTCTCGAAGAGGTGTTGCCGGCGATCAGTGAGACGCAGGAAGCCGACGGCGAGAGCAAGCCAGCACCTTCCCAAGAGGCGGAGATGGCAGCCATAGACCCGTACCCGTTTTACTTCCATCCTTCCAGGGTAGCGGGCATCTTACATTGCGCCTCTCCGCCCGAGAGGAAGCTGAAAGGCGCGCTGCGGAGTTTGGGCTACCGCGTCACTCGTAGCCATTGCAAGCCGGGTAGCATCAAGACGGATGCTCCCTGGTCGGCCATCTGGCACGTCATGAGAGAGTGGGTGCGTCAAGAGGCGCCCGTCACAGAGGCAAACATCAAGCCGGGCTGCGCGGGCTACCGACTGTTGGGTCTCGATAAGCCGGGGAGGACTGAGGCGGGCGACCAAGGACCAAAGGTGGTGTTTGACGAGAGTCTCGGCCGCGATACCGCCACGACCAAGCTGGTCAGGTACCAACAAAACCCGCGAGAACACTGGGGTCCCTTGGGTAAGGCCAAGGGAAAGTGATGGCCGCCTCGGGAGTCGAAGTACCATAATGCACTGCTTTATCTGTGGTGTACGCCGATTTGAGCATGCAGGCTTGGAAAATAAAGCCTTCTCGTAGGCAAATGCTTATCCATTACCTATATTCTATGCCCCTAAGACTTAGGGGTTTTTTTAAGGCGTTAACTTAGGTAGAGGCTTTCTTGTGGTATTGGGAAGAGATAGCGAGAAGAAAATAGACGTCGAAGATAAGGAGCTAGTATCTTTATTATTCTATTCTTGGTATCTGTTGTATAATAAAGCTGGATTTTAGTTACATCTAGTTGCGAGAGCTAGAGAACCCCCTTCTTGAAAATCCTAGACTCTTCTTATATATTATTTAACTACCTTACTTAGGGAAAGACTTCCACAATTAAATTGGGAAGCACTCTCGATATAATTTATAAATAAGTTTACTTGGGCGTTAAGGAATTTTATAATAGTATCTGTTTGCCTGGCGCGACGATGGCGATGCGCCACTCGATGGGCGCGCCACTTTGATGCACGAACCAATATGGGGAAACGCACGGGCCACAGAAACCAGACTCACTCTGGTTGCTGTGGCCTGTGCGTCAGACCCAACAGAAATCCTATGCAATGCGGGGTGCTGTTTCTTCAGATATCCCTTCTAGATATCTTGAATCTTCGATATTACCCACGGTTCCTACCATATAGCCCTTTTGATCTAAATTTCCACTGTCATCTCTTTAAACTCATCAGCGCGTGGTACGACGCGCTAAGACGCGACAACAATGAATGGAGACGACATCATAAAGTCGCTTTATCCCTTAGATGGCAAATACGAGGACGAAGACGACAAGGCACAGCTCGAAGGGTTACCGCCAGAAGTCCGAAAGCTAAAGCTTGCACAGCGTCTGGACAGAGTGCAGAAGCTAAGAAGTCATCTTGTCGTGACGCCAAGCGTATGCCCAATCCAGGGGAGAAACCCGGGCCCTGTAGAGAGCCTAGGCCCTTCTCCTGCTGCCGAACTCACAGAGCTAAGGGAGATAGTCAATGAGATGGCCTCTCAGATTGAGTTGCTCATGCCTCGCAGGAGACTACAAGCCATTTGTAGCACAAACGAATCGTCGGAAGAGCCCTCTGAATCCCAGCTAGTTGCCACACTTGAGGGATTCAATATTGCGTTACGCAAAATCCAAGACCACATGTCAAAGCTGGAGCATCAAATATTTAACCCTCATAAAACGTCGGACATTGCTTCGCCGCCCGCAGTCGACATTGACGAAGGCGAACTATTAGAATCCTCCGGATCATCAGCGAAAGACGGGGCCTTGGTGATCACCGCTCCAGATTCGCCGCTCACGGATTTGGCTGATATTGAACTCGATCTCGAACTGGACGGCGACCTGCCAACAGTTCCAGTATTCTCTTGCTGTTATGACGATCTTCGTTCTCTCAACAAGAATAAGTTTAATCAGATTTGTCAGGATTTCAAAGCCCGGAAGCATGGCTTAGCGAAGCTGCAATTCGACGATCTACCGCCTTGTCTTAGCGACCTCGGCCCCATTAGCCAGCCTAATCCGCAGAATTATTCGCTATTTCACTCGTATAAAAGGACGGGAGACTTCATCACGGTAACGAGCCAGAACCCGAGACAACAAATCACTTTTCCTAAGCTTCCTTACCTAGAGGATAAGAGAACTTGGTCATCAAAAGAGTTGCTAGATGTTGTTCAAACCATATTAGAGCACACGCCTTCGGGAACAATATGCTATATTGTCGGGACACCTTTGTTCAGCGACATCGAGATGCATCCTGGTGACAAGCTAAAACGACGAGGTGGCGGCAAAATCCCAGGCGTTCACTCTCCATATATCTACTGGAATATATCCGGAGGGCCTACAATCACGGTTATGCATAAAGAAGATGGAGACGCCTGTTCATTTAACGTCGTTCGTTCAGGAGCCGGCAAGGTGGTAATCGTGATTGCCCCTAATGACAGCAAACGGTTCGAGCAGCGAATGCGTGACCACTTCGATAATACGACACCATGCTCCCAATTCATCCGCCATCTATCGTGCGCGCCCTTCTTGACGAAGCTCCAAGAGTGGAATATATTATACCACCTTTCGCACATCGGCCCAAACCAGGGCTTCCTCACATTACCAGGCACCTACCACATGGTGGTAAACCTAGGAAACAACTTTGCGACTGCAATTAACTTCGAGGACAACACATCTCAAGACCTTCCTCTGCGTTATACGTTTTGTACAGCCAAATGCCCCGGCACAAATCATATCACCGAGGCCACGTGGAAGCTCTCGAAAAGGCCCGTTTCCAGAGATAAAAACGCAAAACCAAAGAGGAAGAAGCCAAAAGAGTGCCCAGTCGATGCCGAACCGGAACAGATGGAACCAGACCAAACATTCCTCAGAATCCCTTTGCTTAACCCAAAGCATCAACCACCTCGTTATATCATCAACATAATCCAGGGCATTTTTAGCAAGGCAAGCATCGAACAATTCCAATCAGTCATCAATTTTAGACGGGCTCCAGATAATAGCTTTCGGTTTGATGATGAAATCGATGCTACTATACGCCTAGCCAAACGCATCAAACTAACGGAAGAGAACACATTATTCGGGAAATTTGCCCGTCGCTTTTTCCAATCCCGGCTGGCGAGGGATCTGGATAGCACAAAACGCGGGTTCGAGAGGGTTGATTCGGCAACGAGGCAGAAATTCCAGAACGCTTTGGAGTTTTCCACTAGCAAAATGGACTTCTACCTTAGCCATGGCAGAAAGTGGAATCGCATTTGCGGGCCCTACGACGGACTTCTGTGTTATCTCTTCCTCACGCCGCATAATCCTTTTAATATCTTGCCTGAGGACTACCACAATATTGCCGAGCACGATATCAAAGTTCTCCACGGACTCTTAGGTATCCCTCTCACTCGAGACTTGTGCGCGGCTGGGATAGCATTTCAGGGTTCTCTAGAAGGTGTGAAAGATATTGAGTTCAAGTGGGAAACCAAAGACATTTCTCTAACTCAAATGTCTGAGGAAGACATGGTCTTCTACTTACAGCCCTACCAACCGATTGTCAAAAACGTATATAATCCTGCCAAATACCCAGATTGGCCTCGACCGAGGATGTGGCCGGAGAACTGGAGCTGGCCTACGAATCCGCTAGACGCTATAGGATGCGATATCTGCAAAAAGACAACCTGCAATTGCTTAAACCAAAATCACCACCAGTATAAACCTCGTATAAAGCGCTACCCGGGAAAGGGCTTGGGCCTCCAAGCTGTTGCTGGCTCTCATGGGCAAATAGCTTATACTCAAGGTGCTACTATTGGGTATCTTTTTGGGGAGATGGTACCTGCCGGCACATATGAGAATACCTGGGCTTTTAATTTTGTAAGATCCGATGTTGACGACGAACAGCCTATTTGTCAGCTCTATTGCGGGCCTGAAAGCAACTCTTTCCGGCTCCTAAATCATGACTGCAGCCCTTTGGCTCGATTCGTTGAGAGAAAAATATCGGGCCAGTTCGTCATGTCGGTGGAAGCAGCGAAAGATATATATGATGGCATGGAAATTACAGCTAGTTATGGGAAGGGTTTCTTTAGAGAAAATTGTCTTTGTGAGACTTGCAGGAGCAGGCGGGTCCTAACGTCCTAACTCACGAACTACTAGAATAGTTTTATTTACTAGAGTGTTCAATAGCCGTACTTTGTTTCCTATTTATACTAGTACAAAGGAGTCACTATTAATTTCGTCTGCTACAACAAGGGCTGCGTAAGGAGGGACTTCCATAGTAGATTTATTACAAAGGTGAAATGGCTTATACCTATTACCACGTACATATTGAACGTCAATATAGGTATTTGCCGCGGTAGAGTAAAAAACCAAAATAATTAAATAACCGTACTGCTCTGAGGAAAGGAGTTATATAGTTATAAATAGCAACGATATGAGTAGAGGGTTAATATTTATTCTCCGCTATTCTCTTTGCTATGTCTTCGGCCTTTTCTGTTAATTGGGTATAAAGGCAAATAAATTCGACTGAACAGCTTTGCTGGATTCTCTCTCCTAGGAATAATAATACAGTATTACTTATCCGTTTGAAGTTTTTACTAAGTAAATTAGCCAAATTCTTAATATAAATAAGAACAGACTTACATTATTATCTCTGCTTCGTCTGAGTAGATGACTAGCAAGAGAGGAGTTGGTTTAGAGATCGATACCCACCGCTTACCGATTCGCCTCTGCTCCAACATCTTAGCACGTGTTACTTGACCTTCTAAAGCCTTCTCACAAATATCAATTGCAATACTATCATCCCCAGTTCCATGTTTTCGTAATATTTCCTTCGCTCTCTCTCGTCGGATAATATCTTTAAGCGAGTCAAATAGAAGGATAAGCTGAGAAAAGGCAAGCCGTTGGAGAATACCCTGTTTATCGACGATAATACTTTATAAAGTTCGAAATACAATGAAAACTCGGGGGTCTTGGCTCGAGATATTTGAGGGTAGGGTCGTCTGAGAAAGTAGTAATATCCAACTTTCCCAAATAATTTCGCAACGATTTGTAAATGCATTTATCGTTCCGTATTGAATAACTTTCTCGATAAGGATTAGTATTGTATCATTCGTATCTTCGGTATTTTCAACGTCTATTAAATCCATTTTAGAGACATGATAAGAATAGTAGCTGCTGGATTAAGCGTGCAATGGGCTAACTTATATGGGGAAACGGGTAGGCATAGCTCCAAACCACATAGCCAGACCACACAGCCAAACCACAACCAAACAACCAGCCAAGCGGCCAAACCACAGCCAAACCACACAGCCAAACCACACAGCCAAACCACACAACCAAACCATACAGCCAGACCACACAGCCAAACCACATATCTAAATCTCGCGGCCAAACCACAGCCAAAACCCAAGCTAAAACGCGTAATCAAGACACAGCCAAACCACACAGCCAAACCACACATCTAAATCCCGTAGCCAAAACCACGGCCAAAACCAAACGTAAAACGCGTAATCAAGACACAGCCAAACCACACAGCCAAACCACACAACCAAACCACACAGCCAGACCACACAGCCAAACCACACATCTAAATCTCGTAGCCAAAACCACGGCCAAAACCAAAGCTAAAACGCGTAATCAAGACAGCCAAACGCAAAAGCCAACGCAACGGCCGAAATCTAAAACCACCAGGCCATGATTAGCCACACAGCGAAACCACAGCATGACAGCCAACAGTAAGACACAGTCAAATAACCAAGCCGCGGGGCCTTTTGCAGAAGCACTAAAAAGTCAATGATCAAATCACCGGCGGGTGATTTTCGGAATAGCCAACGGCCCAACGTCCACCCGAAACCGTACCCAAGCTAATTCTAGACCAGCTTGCGCCTTTTAGTTAGGCGCTCTTCTTCGGCATTTTGCTCTCTGATCTGTATGGTTTCAGCTGTCTGGCTGATCTCGTCATGTCTTCTCTTTTTCGGCAGGATTGTTTGGTCGCTCAATTCAATAAATGTAGAGAGGAAATCTTCCAAAGGCCGTTCTGCGTATCTCGAGCGGTACCACCTAGTTAATAGATATGTAACTTGACTCTCGTTTATATTCGACATCTTTCTTATCGCCTCTCGCCGTGGTGTTTCCTTGTTACGTGGGCGTTTAAATAGTAGATAGTACGGTACCCCTTTTTACACCCCTTCTAATTACAGCGGTATAGACGTACTAGCTATAGATAAGTCAGCCCTTATTATTCAGAAGCAAATAGCAATACGAACTAAGGTCTCATTATAAGATTGTATATTATATAACTTCTCAAGCTAGACGTTGCTTACGTGGCGATCCATTGCTGCCGTATCATTGAACCACTCGTTCAGGAGGGTAAGCACTCCCTGTGAGTCGCACCACTCAGCCAGGTCTTCAGCGTGGTTCTGGGCCTTAGTGCACAGGAGGTGGGGCCGTTAAGGCGCAACGCCTTAGTGAACTCCACCGCCTGTTGCCGGCGGCGGTTATGGGGTGACTAGTACTCCGTAGGTGTGCGTTGAGTCCTCAGGGATTCGACCGAAGACGCGCCGTGAATGTTTGGGCTCCGGGTTGGCCAAAAGGGGGACCGACGTGGCAGCTTGGGCACTAGTGCCACAGACCCGCCGAAGGAGACGCCAACGCACGGCCGCGGTGCCACAGACCGGGCTTTCAACGCCGCACGGCCGGCCACGGTGCTACAGACCTGCGAAAGGAGAACGCCGCAGGCGGAAAGTGCACGATTATCGGCTTGAAAATCGCCCGATTACTGGGACATCGAAATGAAAACGCACTAAAATTAGGATATCGGCGCTCACCTAGTTTCGACTGTTGGAATAACATACTGGAATGACGCGCTGATCCAAGGAATGCGGCTCCGCATTCCTGGCCACAGCAACGTCTGTGGAGGAGCGGGCCTGACAGATGCATATATATTGGCCTACGCCCACCTGTTCAGATAGATAAAAAGACAAGACAGACACAAACGAATCCATCACTTGAACCACCACCTTACGGCGCGCAGCGCGCCATGCTGTTTCCAGTACCGGTACCCTGGTGATTCCTACACCGACCCTCTAGCTAAAAAGGTCGAATGAAGCTTTGAAGGGCATCAGCCAGCCGCTTCCCCTAGAACTCCAGAACTAAAAAATGGATACTCTTCGTAAAGACCAACGACGTCGATTATTTCGAATAAGAAAACGAAGATTAATACTAATAAAGAAAGCCAATGAGTTCCATAAACTATCGAACACAGAAGTCTATCTTTTGATTCATATAAACAGTCGTTTTTACGTTTACTCCACAAATCAAGGATTTAACTGGCCTCCATCTAAGGACGAAATTATAATTGTTCTATTATATTCCTTATCTATCAATGCTTACCTTCTTTAGGCGAATGCTTATCCATTGCCTGTATTCTGTGCCCCCGAGACTCATAGATTAGTTGCTCAGGCGTTAACTTAGTTATGAGCTGAGAAGGCAATACGAGAATAACAAAGACATCGATAATAACCATTATGGGAGGATGAAGAAGAAGCTGTTGTATATTAATAGAATGAAATTAAAACCTACCAAATATAATAAGAATTATAAAACTGTGCCTGGATGCTGTCTACGTCAGTTTCTAGTGCACGGGCCACGAAAAAGTGGCACTTCTTCGTGGCCCGTGTATGCGAACCCAAGGGGTCAAACGCATTGGCAATTTTCTCACCCACGCAGTATTGTCAGGGTTCGGAAAAGTAAATAAAAAGGAGACTAGCTCGTAATATATTTGAAAACTAGGTTTTTCGTGAGTAGAAATTACACGTGGACCGCCCTTTATTGAGAAATTCCTCTAGAAAACAAACTATTAAGACATGCCTTTGAAGAGCCCCGTTTCATATGTTTCGCCTATGCTGGTGTCTTTTAAGCGTGAAGAAGCTCGAGAATTCCATATTACAAGTCTCGTAGCGCGGGGTTTTTTTAAAGAGGCTAACTTATGCATTCTTTTATGACGTACAAAATCGAAATATCTGTGGAAGTTTCCACCACATACATCACACCGATAAGAAATCCTGATTTGGTGGGCTTTGCCGTGCCTTCTAATGTCGCATTTTCTGGAGAAGGCCCTCTCTTAAATATTGCACTGGTATGGTTTCGATATGGGGAAAGGCATATCCGAGATCCTTTGGACGGAGAACGGCTCTGTCACTGACGAGAATGGCCCCATAGATGGCGGCTCTGGGTGAGATTCTGCGGAGTGCGGTTTCGCTATAGAGACAGAGGAAGGCTCAGCTATGAAGAAGAACGGTGGTTCTGTCGCTTGTAAAGACGACTTGGATGGCTCTGAGCACTGTGCGGAGGGCGCCTTTGCTCTGGAGACTGGGGAAGGCTCTGCTATAAAGGCAGAAGACAGCTCTATGAAGGCCGACTCCGGAATGACAAAGAACGGTTCTACGAATGGCAGGATGGCCGTGAGAGGACTATAGTAATGCAACTGAGATGTGGGTAGTTCGTAGTCCTGGAACTCGGTCGAAAACGTAACCGCTGTATAGTAATTAAAATCGGAGTTCCAATAAGGATCCATATCAATTCTATAATTCGAACCCAGAAATGGCGCGTCGATTTCGTCGTTGTCGTCGCAGTAACGAGGGTTAGGATAGACGAGAGAAACAAACGCCCTATCAAAGTAGGCTGAAGAGGAAGAGAGAGTATACTTGGACCCTCGTAGATGGTAGCGTTCTTGTATTGTAGAAGGCGATTAGAATATTAGTTGGTCTGAGATGCGTTGTTAACCAGCTCCCAGGCTGGGTTCTCAAAGCCTATCCACACCCCATGCCCCTCATGAAATAAGAAAAGAGCGCTTCAAAGTCGCTGCGACCGCCGCCCCCACCGTCACCGCCGCCTGCTTTTGCCAAGCCGTCGTCGACTTTGGAGAGCCTCCAGGCATGGTTCTCGCGGCACAAGTTCATCACGGCTGTCGTGGTTCTGGCCACCGGCACTGTGGTCTACCGCTCATACCGGAGCAGCGTGCTGCGTCGCAAGACGCGCCGTGCCAGGCGGTCCCGGGACGGCGGACGCGTCGAGGTGGTGTTGGTGGCCGGATCCCCCGCCCTGCCCCTGACACGATCTCTGTCGTGGGACCTTGAGAGGAAAGACTTCATCGTCTTTGTCGTGTCCAACGGCCCCGAGGACAACGTTCTGATCCAGGGCCTGGCGCGGCAGGATATCAAATCCCTGTCCATGGATATTACTGATGTATGTTGTTTCACCCCATATCCTCTCACGGCACTTCATGTGGCAACGGCTGACCCTTCCGAACAGCCTCCCAGTGCTGGCGGAACCATTGAGCGCTTTGCGAGCTATCTCCAGTCACACCATGCTGCGATCCCCCAGGGCAAGCGGCACCATCTCTCGCTAAAAGGCGTGATACTTATCCCCTCGCTCAACTACCAAACCTCTCCCATCGCCACCATACCTCCCTCAAGTTTCGCAGACTTGTTCAACACCCACCTCCTGCAACCCATCCTCACAATCCAGGCCTTCCTCCCCCTTTTGACCGCCCGCCTGGGCCCATCGCATAGCGAGAAACTAAGCCCCAAAGTGCTCGTCCTCACCCCCTCCATCATCTCATCCATCAATCCTCCGTTTCACGCCCCGGAGGCCACCATATGCTCGGCCCTGTCAGCCTTTACCGAGGTGCTAGCAGCCGAGCTCCGGCCGCTCGCCATTCCTGTGACCCACCTCCAGCTCGGCACCTTTGACTTCTCTAGCTTTGCGCCGGCGCGGAGCAGCGGCAACACCGGCCAGCGGTTCTAGACGACGATATGGCCCGACACGGTGCGGCACACGTACGGCCGGAACTTTGTCAACCAGTCGGGCTCAGCCATCAGCACAGGGCGCATCGGCGGGCTGCGGGGCAGTTCCCTGCGGGACCTACACAACGCCGTGTTCGACGTGCTCGAAGGCTCCGACACGAGCGCCACGATGCGCGTCGGCCTCGGGTCCAGCGTCTACGGCTTCGTCGGCCGCTTCGTGCCGCGCGGCCTCGTCGCCTGGATGATGGCCATCCGCAAAGCGGACGAGCTCGCCGCCTGGCAGTCGAGCGGCCCCAGCAGCCTGCACAACAGCCCGCGCAGCCCGCGGTCCATCATGGGCAGCAGCGGCGAGAGCGAGACGGGCGGCGACGAGAACCAAGAGTCGTTTGTTGCCGTGCCGGAGCATCACGTCGGCGAGTCGCATGTGTGCAAGGAGGGCTGAGAGCGGCAAGTCTGGTGCTACCGCCTGCAGGCCCAAGAAAAGCTCCACTTCCTCGACGCAGTTGTTGATAGGTGCCGCGCGAAGACGCCGTGTTGGATATGTTCGAGTTTTGAAACCATCACTACTCCGTGTACTAGTTTTAGCTTGTTGACGATTTGCATGAAATATGTAGTGCATGATTGGTAATTAATTTACCTATATATATGTACATGAATAAATGAGCATACAATAATAATGCTTTTTGCCCCCTTGATTCCGTTCCGTTTTGTGGCCATTTCCGCCTTTTCCGTGGGGGAAAGATAAAAACACAGAAGTCCGTCCCTGAAGGAGACCGCTCGCCAAGCAAAACCAAAATTCTGCAAAAAAGAGGCAGTATCTCTTTGCTCGTCTTTATCCTCTCCATTTGATATTGATATCTGATTTCTCACCCACAACTCAGTGAGCTCCTCCTCTCCCCCTGAACCGCTCCCCCTTGCCTCTCCATCGCCCACCCCGGTTGCCGAACCGGTCCTTGTGGCCCCCGCGCTCGTGCCCGTTACCGCCGCTGCCGCCGTCCCTGTCCCGGCCGGCATTCGCAGCCCCGCTGTTGTCCCGCCCGCCGTTGTGCATACTATCACCGCGGTCCTGCATGCTCTGCTGTTGCTGCTGGTTGTTATTGTGATATTGATACTGCCCTTGCTCGTCCCCGCCGCCCATCTCTGCCGACGCATCCCCGGCAGCGTTCGCAGAATTCACGGCCGCGGCAGCAGCGGACGCGGCTTCCTCGGCCGCGGCGGCAGCAGCCTTGGCGGCGTCGTCGCGCGCGTGCGGCCGCTCCATGTCCTTGTCGGCGGTCCAGCGGGCGTGCGCGCCCTCCTTGCACGCGCGGCCGAACGGGCAGAAGCCGGCGAGGTAGTACGCGCACAGCTGCGCGTGGCGCACGTGCTTCTTGTCGCAGCGCGGGCCCAGCGGGCAGAAGCCGCGGTCGTAGTGCGGGCAGGGGGGCAGCTTGGACTGCGGGTCGATGTGCAAGTACAAACACTCGTCGCCGTTGCTGCAGAAGCCGTTGCGCACGAAAAAGTTGCACTCGGGCATCTTGCGCAGGTTGTACTCGTGCAGGAACTCGCAGCCTTCGCTCTTCTTGCACAGGCCCCGCAGCTAGTGCTTGCAGACGAGCGAGCTGGAGCCGCCCGAGGGCTGGTAGCTGTTGGTGTTGTTGCTCGCGCTCGAGGGCGGGATCGACGGCGCGACGTGTCGGTCAGGGCATTTGCCCTTGAGCGGGCACGACCCGCTCGCGTAGGCTTTGCAGATGGACCGGTCAGAGGCCAGGCTGTGCTAGTACGTCTTTTGCAGGAAGGGCGTGAAGGAGAAGCTGTATCGCTGCGCCGGCAGCAGTGGCGTCGCTGTTGGTGCTTTCGTCGCCGCCGCATCCGTGGCTGTTTGGGTCGCCATTATTTTTAGATTGATCTTTTTCTGCTCGCCCCCTTGCTTGGGTGCCTTTCCCCTGCTTATTCTCCCCTGTCGTGAGGGTTTCTGGATGTATGTATGTGTTCTTGCCTGGCCGGTGGATGGAGACGAGGCTACGGGGGATTCTTTTTCTTTTTGGCCCACTCAAGATGTGAAACAATGTTGTCAACAAATGTGGCTTTCACCTTCTAAATTGCCATCGGTGGAAATTCTGCCCGGCAGGATGACATGAGCTCCAAGAATAGGTAGGTATCCAGGGCTCCCGCAAACCATACCTACTATGTAAGGTATAAAAGTATCCGACACGGACTCGTTGGGCGCGTATAACTGTGGGTGGGTTTGTGGCGTTACACGAAACGTACGTCGTACGAGCCGACCATACGCATAGTATCTGCAGGGAAAGTGTGGCTCCCAGGACACAGTCAGCAACAACCACACACCCGCAGACGCACTACGAAGTCTTCGATGCATTCCTCAGCACACCCACAAGATGCTGTGCCGCCCCTTCATGTTGTCCCTCACCAGTCACAGATGAGAGATTTCCGTGGACCGGCGCTTTTGGTTGCCTCGGGTTGAGGTGCGCGTATTAAAGGTAATTATTATTATTAAGCGGATTGATGAAACTGGGGTGGGTATGGGGTCCGGGGAAAGTCAGAAGTCCACCTGCCCTGATACCGCAGACGGTGACGACTGACGAGCCAGCGCATCAGGATATAATGTGCACTGCAGTGGCCATATCATCTGAGTCTTGCTGGCCAAGGCGGGCGATCGTGCGTGGGTGCAAATCAGACGACGGCTACATACGTGATGTATGCAATGATTATCTTCTCCTAGTAGAGCGCCGGTAACTTGAATTAACCTACCGTCTTAGTGCTGGAGCTGCTGGTGAGCTTGATTCGGATCCGCCCACCCGGGAGGTGTAGTTCTGGACCAGGAATCATGTCAAGTGTCCTCGCCATCCGGAGGTAAGACCGGTCGGGACAATGCACTAGACTTAATTCATTATCATTCCGCGGATTCATGTCTTCTTCGTCTATCTCACGCCGCGATGGCCACCACTGAGCAACCAAGAATCCACCGTTTCAACCCAGGGCAAGGGCGGCCCAGCTTCTTCCGGCAGCAAATCATGAGCATGTGAGGTTATTTCTCCTTCATCCACCCTACACCGCGATGGCCGCCAGCAACCAAGAGTCCACAGTTTCAACTCAGGGCGGGTGCGGCCCAGCTCGTTCTGGCAGCAAACCATGCGATACCTGCTTCCCACGGATACGGCGCATGGCAGCCCGTGATGCTATTTTCGTTAGACTTTAGCCGTGTTGGCCGAAACTCTCGAAACTCTGTTGGTTTGGCACTGCTCTGCCTTGGGAACTTGGCCGTCTCGACACTCGCTCCACACATCCAGACATTCATTCAACGCATTTCAACACACTCGCTCGACGCATAAATACCATGGGCGATCGCGTCCATCTCCAGAAATCATTCACATCATCTCCTCACCAGCGAGCCCAGCAATACAAGCAACCTCACCATCATCCAGAAATCTGACCAATACCTCAGCACTTACCTACCTTACTTTAGGCCCTTAGCCCACCATGTCCAGCAACACGGATAACCCAAAGCAGGGTCTTATCACCCTCGTCGAGGCCCAGAAGACCAAGGCCCCGGCTGGAAAAAAGGCTCTGTGGACCAAGCTTGTGGATCACATCAAAGATCCCAAATATGACCTCCCTCCGGGACAAACGATGTGGACCTTCGGCCAGGACGTTGTGGTTGGCACTTCGACTGAGTTCATAAATGCTTACCGACTTCACAACAAGGGCAAACAGCCAAAGGATTTTGAACATCCCGCTGTCTTCGTAAGTTCTCCTTGGCCTTCGATTGAACTTGTAGACTCTAATGCCCATTCTCTGCAGAGCCATTCCACCCAGGTTCCCCAGAGCGCTGGCAACGGCCCTATAGTCCACCCGACCCGGAAGTTGTCTAATGGTGACAAGTCTGTCCCGGCGGCCGGAGAGACCGGCCAGCTTGCTCAGTGGTCCTCGTATAACCCTCAAGGAGCTCACCACTACGTAAGCTCGCTCTTATAGTGTGGTCAGTAGCACATCTTGAATCTTCTCTAACTAAAGCGGCGATAGATCGACGTCTGGATGCGAATTGACCCTACTTTGGGTGGTGATCCGAACATTGTGTTTCACTATCAACGTAAGCTGCCGCTTCAAGTCTCTGTCTCTTTCCGATATTGATTCAGCTACTAATTAATTTGGTTTATTCTTTCCGTGCAGCCTTAAACGACACCGGATCCAACGTCCAGACCGTCTACCAAGCCGATTTCAATACTCTGGACGCACCACTTCTGGCCGCAAACGGCGTTGGGCACTTGACGTTCCCCGGCGCTATCACGACGGCCAACGGCCAACTAGCCGTGACTAACACCACCCTCCAGCTCTCCGTCGTCGCCCACACAGGAATAGCTGCAAACCCCTGGAAGGTCTTGATGGACTGGCAGGACCAGCTCTGCGTCATCATGGCCGCTGGCCCCTGCCTGTCCGGCGACATAATGCGAAACCACCTCTTCTTCTGCACCAGCCCCAACGGCGCCCGTGCACTCTACATTGCCGATAACAAGACCACCCTCCTGAAGAACATGCCCGCCCAATAAGTCTCGCCCCGTCGGCGGAAACTCTGGAGGGCTAATTATGAACAATTGAGGGCTAATTATAAAGAATTGAGGCCTTTCGGATCGTGGAAAGTCCCGCGCTAGCAAGGATGGACCTGTATTTGATTTTGTTCCTGGCTCTGGTAGCTTGGGCGCTCTCTGAGAGAGTGATATAGAGAGAGGATGCGTATGTACGCGTGAGAGAGATGTAGATAGGCGGACATTGATTGTCCTGCAATGCCACTGGTCTTGGCAACAATCGAGGGAAGCGGAGATGAGGGAGCTTAGGCCGGTCCTAATTACCTGAGAGCAATGAAACACAGAAATAGTACAATCCAATCCCTGAATGTTTGTTCATAGGCCTTTAGGTTCCTAAAATGCTCGTTCTGATTTATTTTACCTCCCTCGGAGAGAAATCTTTAGGGATAGCCGTAGTATATTAAGGCCTTTTATTGGTATTACGAGAGAAGTAATAAGCTTCTGTGTTTCTAAAATACTCGTTCTAATTAATTTTACCTCCCTTGGAGAGAAATCGTTAGGGATAGCCGTAATATACTAAGGCCTTTCGAATCTTGGAGAGTCCCCCGCCAACAAACATTCAGGGATTGGAGTGTATTTACCTCGATTACTATTTCGTTGTTGCCAAGTGTTATTCATCTACTAAGGTTACGCAAAATGCTAATATAAGCTTATTAATAAAATAGAAACATCTCCGAAATATATTCTGTTTTGGCGTAGGACGTTGTCATATAAGAAGTTAAACTTTAGTAATTCTTAGTAATTCCTGATGAAAGTGGGGCGGGCACGGGTATCTGTATAAGAAGTCCATGTTAAAGTAAGCATAGATCCCATCTTGGACTGTGCTGATTGAGTCGTACCGGAAACGTACCTGTCAGAAGTATTGCACTTCTAATGGTAAAGATAATTAGGTTGAAGATCTTGTTTAATTCTGTCCTCTCTCTGGCTGATCCAGGGAGCCCATAATATAGTACAGTGGGTGGCGATAATAGGTGGCGGTAGTTGGTAAGCATGCTGACAAAATCCAGTCTAGTTCGTTCTACCCCTTTCCATCTGACAGTACCACCGCCATAAAGATTAAAGTTCGCCCAGGGTACCCACCTTACCTAAATGAAAGCGTACTAAATGTCTGGCTGCATCGGATCGCTCTTTAGTAAGACCATTCCTAAGGCTTTATCGCTCTTTCGCGCCGTCTCATCAATCCACCCTTCAGCCCTCGCGCAACCTTATTAAGCACTACATCAACCAACGCGCTAATCAAGCGTTCAGATGCTAGCAACCCTCGGGTCCAAGAGCCATCGTATTGGTTCCCAATACATACATGGATAGAATAGTTACCTTGTAGCTAAAATTATTCTTTCAGTCGATAAGCTATGTGTTATTGAGAACTAAGGCTAACATTGATCAAGACAAACACAAGCAAGCCACATAAGGTCGGCCAGTAAAGCCCGATTGCGATTGGGGTTGCCCCATAATGTCAGCCGTGCCACAGGCAGGCACCAACATCTGACATCTGTAGTCAGCTGGGTGGTCAATACAATCCTTATTCCCCCACGAAAGTTTGCTCTTTTCGCAGCTACACTCGTTCCAACCCGACAATTCCAGGAATTCTTGAGCCTTCTCCCTCTGCACGAAAAGCCCGAATTTTTGGTACTAATCTAACAATGAGCAGCAGCGGCCGAGGCAACGAGGACGGAGGCGGGGCCAGCAGCAGCGACCGGGCCCCGGCGCAAAGTAGCGTGGTGACTATGGTTAGCCCCTCCTCCAACGGGTTGTTCACGCCTCTGGAAATCATGGACAACGGCCCAAACGCGCACTTGCACACGTACCGCCTCGAGCAGGGGCCCGACGGGCTCATGAGGACGACCAGGACCGGCCCGCCGCCCAACTTTGAGGAGCAGAAGCGGGCCCAGCGCATCGCGGAGCTGCGCCGCGATCTCGATGCCAACACCCTCCCGGACCAGCGCGTCAACTTCGAGGCCCTGATCCGCTACTACGAGGGCGGTGGCCGGCAGCCCGCCGGCACGGAGGAGCTCTGGGTCCTTGACGGCGAGTTCGTGTGGGGTCGCCTGCGGAGGCCCGAGGACTTTCCTCTGGGTGTCTATTTCAACCCCAACGTTAAGAAGTTCTGCGAGGTTGGTTGACTAATTGATCTGATCTCGGATGCGCTTGACTACCGACTATGGTGCTGACGTTGTTTTGTAGAATACCTGGATGCGCCAGTGATTGCGACTGACTAGTGACCCCGGGGAGGGTTTATCTCCAAGTAGGTCATCAGCCAATCACAGCTGTCGGAGGTGTGCCTCAGTTCAAAGCGGGGAGAGAGGTTGCCCCGCGATTCTTAGTCGTGGGGCACTTGCCAGTCTAGGAACGACGACCGAACGTCAAGTCTTGGTCTTCGCGTGGTCAGCTGTCGGGAGCGCCAGTTCTTGGACAGGCGCGATTACCTACTCCAATTTCTCATATTCTCTCATAGGCACCAACGGGAAAAAACGTCGTGGCTGCTGAATTTCTCCGATCGTAGTTTAGTCGTTTTCGGCTTCTCGGCGGCTGGTGTCCATCGTGGAATAGAATGAATCCTATTAGAATGCCTTGGTACACGCGCAGACTATAACGGGAACTCCGGCATCCTCGTGACGCTCTTCATATATAGGCTGGACTCAAAGCAGAAAAGCGGATCCCGAGGAAATAGTAATTGGATAGATTGCGGGGACGGCGAACACTCCATTCTGACTCTGAACACGTATTCCCCCTAAGAAAAGACATATAGTACCATTTAACTGCCGAGGTTGCATTGGAAGCGCGCGTCTTCTGCAAGGCGGTTGATTGTTCAGTTACGCTTTCTTTATTAAGAACGCGCGGACAAACTATTACACCTTTTCAACGTAATAGAAAATGGCCATCAGCGGTACGCCGAGCGGCGTATGGCACATCTTGACCGCATCAAGTATTTGAGATCGTTGGGGTGCTCGTCTAGTCGTAAGAAGAGAAGTATTCCTGCGCGGCACTCTAACTGCCTTGCATATCTAGAAACGAGGGATGGAGGTGCGAGGTTGTCGATCTCTGAAGGATTCAGGTGGGTAGGCAAGCGTTAGCTACCCAAGATACTGGCTTGCTCCTTCCCACTCGCAACACTTGCGTGAAATTTCCCCCTTCGCCGCGCGTAAGCCGCACACTCAGTCCAAGCCTGCTCCCAGTCTCCACTGTGTCTCTCAATTCCATGCCCCCCGTCTATCACGGCCGGTTCAAGCACCGCGGCTCCTGGCGATACATTGGCTGCTCCTCTTGCCCAGGTCGATATCGCTTCGCCTATGCCGCCGAACAGTCTGCTCACTACTCCTTAATTGCGAAAGCAGGACCCAATATCGTTGGTCCAGCCAGACGACTTTATGGCGCAAGCTTCCCATCCCATGGGAAGCTTCTATAGGCCTAGCGAATAACCAATTGGCAGAAGAGGTCTAGGCCATGTACTATCTCGGCCGACCTTTGGAACCGTAGCTAAGCCCCTAGGTGAGGTGGGATCTAGAATCGAGTCGGTGACACGATAGAGCCCCACTTGTGTAACATTGCCGCCATGCTAGCCCGGATGTGGAAATATGGTATTCATAGCTTCCTCGAGCTTTTGAGACACTAACTGCCAACCAGTCTAGAACATATGCTGAATTTCATTTACTTGGCGTATTCCATGATGGCTCTGCTGTACGAAACGGTCCCAGCCTTTGAAGATACGTGGATTGAATGCCTGGGAGATTTGGGAAGGTACCGCATGGCCATCAAGGATGAGGATATCCGAGACCGCGAAGTTTGGACCTCGGTGAGTAGGTACTGGTACTCCAAGGCCTCGGATAAAGCCCCGACAACGGGACGGCTCTACCACCATCTCGCCATTCTCGCTCGCCCGAATGCGCTGCAGCAGCTGTACTACTACACCAAATCCCTATGTGTGGCCGTGCCCTTTTTGTCGGCACGCGAAAGCATTTTGGCGACGACAGGATGCCTAGCTGCCAATGCACCGCCGCTGCCTGGTGGTTCCCGGTGGCGCCCACCTGCTTCAGGAGCGGCTAGGCGCGGTGCGCTGGAGGTTTGGTCGTCCAAATTTTGCACCGCATAAGATACAGCCCTGGGCGCAGTAGACCTCGGTGTACTCCGTAGTGCGTGAAAGGACGACGTTCTCTAAGTCATTAACGGTGTGACGCTCACCCGGACTCTGGCGACGGCCACTGCCAGAATCCACCCCGAACTGCGTCGATCCGCTCGACCACTATCAAATACACCTCCCCACGGCCCTAACGAGTCAGCTGGAATTTCGAGGCCATCTGAGGTTGGCCTTTCGAGCCCGCCTCGGCTGGGCTTTATCTGATGGTCGAAGCGAGATTCTGTGAACTACACAACTGAGCCAACCAGTCCTGTGCGCCGACCTTCCTCCCGAAGCCTTCCTGTCCTGACTGAGCCGACCAGTCCTGTGCGCCGAAGGCTGGCGCGCTTTCCCCAACACAAATACCTAGGTGCTTAGTCTGTGAACAGAGACTACCTACCTGGCACTCTTTGTCCCGTGCTGGACTGACAGTGTGAGGGCTCTTCCTCATTGGCTCTAAGTAGCGGTATCTGTGCTGGGTCACTACTGGGACCACAGTACGTATACCAATCTTCAACATGTCGCCGGACTTACGCTTCTATTTTCAATACAGTCCCTCAACCGTAAAGCCTATTTGAATCTCTTTATACTTGGCTGTCATATCACCCTTTGGGTTTTTGAATTGTGCTAACCTTTTTGTAATTTTCCTGCTGGAAAATCGATGGTGGGAAAGGTGGAGAAGGCGGAGAAGGTGGGAAAGGTGGGAAAGATGGAGAAGGTGGGAAAGGTGGGAAAGGTGGGAAAGGTGGAGGTCGTTTGGCGTTTCCCGCCGTCATCCATAGCCACCAGACTCAAAATCTAAATTTCCGGATTCAGCCTCCCTATCCTCCGGAATATTGTTGTTTTCCCAAGGACGCCTCCATAACCAGGAGAGCAATTGGAGTGCATGGGGATGGGACTGCTCAGGTGCACGACCTGTGAGGGTTCATTCATGCGTGATGGAGGGCGTCGCAAGGATTGAGGTGTGATCGTGTTTGGCTGGGTACGACACCTACCGCCGAACCGCCTGACCCCGACATGGGCCCCCTTGTCCTCCTCCGTGTATTTTCGCTTTTATCGCCAGGCGCTTCTTTCCTCTTTGGTCTGTCTCCACTCTTTACGACGCGCCTATTCATGATGCCTTCATGCGACCCAACCATCCCTGGAGAAGCCTCACTTGTCGAAGCGGTGACCGTTAAGCAGATATGATATACCTACCGCGGTTTACACCTTATAGTAGCTGTAGCAAATCCTCCACCCTGAGCACATTTACATCCCCCTCATACTCTTCGAAAGGCCGCTTCCCAAATTCCTCTTCGCCAAACACGCCCCGCTGGAACGCCTTGCCGACCTCGCACAAGCTCTTTGCGTACTCGACCTCTAGGAGCCTAGAGTGGAACGTATCGATATCGGCGTTTCTCATACGCTTAACATCCCTCCTCGGCACTCCCTCGTTATCCTTACGTACAGGGGGGACAAAACGCAAAATCCCCTCGCACTCGTATGGATAGACGTCGCCACAGAACCGATCCCACTTCTTGTACCCATTAAGCTCGTTCTACACAGATCCACGCTTCGACTCGTCCAGCCCTCGAGCCTCCAACAGCTGGTCGATGGTATTCGTGGTAATCCTCGAGATGTGACGACCGAGTTTGCGGTAGAGTCGGACACTAGTAAGTACCTCGAGGAGGGAGAATAGCTCCGACTGGTCCCGGCAGGTCACCATCAGTTCGTCAAGCGACTTAATCTTCTGCTGCTGCTCGTGGTGCTCGTCGATGCTACGGAGCTGCTCGCACACCTAGCCAACCTGAATCGCCTCTTCTTGTTCTTCTTGGCTTTCTAACAAGCCTACACCTTCCTCTATGGCATCTATCACAACCACCTCTGCAGCATTTCAGTTAGCGACAACGATCCACTCTACCACAAGGTGACAACGGCTATCTGAAAATGTAACCAATTCGAAATCGCTCTTCGCCCGCACTACGTACGAGAACTTGGACGAGGTCCTAAATAACCCGACATAGTGGGTTAATAGCCTGGTCCTATGGATTTGGTGCTACTTCTATGCCAGGAAGCTTCCACGAGGACCTCCCAGCTGACGCCAAATGCGCACAATGTACGGGGGATGGAGCTCACGGTTCTCAATATACCGAGCGGAGTTATAAAGCCGGGTCATACCTTGCCCCCGCATATCGGTCGTTTGAACAACTTCGCACGGGAACTTACAACACCAGGAAAAAACATCACCAGATTCCCTAGCTTAAGGACGTTGAAGATTTCACTAGAAATTCGTCTTACTTGATTAGCTCAATCTGCCATCTCCAGCCTACTGGTCGCCAGCTTCAGCCGCCGCCCAACTAGTGCAGCCAAGACCGACCGAGCCGACAACCAGAAGCTCAACACCAGAGCCACCTTCAAAAAGCTCACCATCAAAGCATCATACCTGGCATACAAGTCAACGATCAGCGACAAGGAAAGAGCAGAGGTGTTCTGTCAGGGGGAGGAGCGGATGGGAGGACAGTTCTTTCAGGTTTAGCGTTGATCGAATATATAACTATACCTGCCTCACTGTTGACTGTGCTACAAAGTGTGCTAACAATGAAAACTAATTAACGTACACTCAGGCCCGTAGTCTGACGCCGTGGACGCTCTCGACATGATTCTTGAAATGGTCTAAGTGCTTGAACTCCAGCGCCTCCCCCTTGCACTTCGGGTGGTTGCACAGCATCCGCTTCACGTCGCCTAGCTGTTGCGCGTGCTTCCTATCGAAATGGTCGTACATCACCGCTGGTCGACAGTACTTGAACGTCCGTTCCCCATGGGACAGGGTCTCATCTCTGATGCAGCGTGGACATTGCTTCCTGTCCATCAGGAGCGGAGAGGGGTCCGGCCCAGGAGACTCCTCCACCGTGACGTCGGCCTGCGCCTGCGCCCTCCGTCGGATGCGGCCCGGCCTCGCCGTCTCCCGTTTGTCGCACAGGATGACCATCAGCTCGTCCGCCCGGATCCGGAGTTCGAGGAGCTCTGCGGGGCCCAAGTTGTCCGGCTGGTTGCAGAGGATCTCGGCGAGCTGAGCGCGCTCGGTGATCTGCAGGTCGACGGCCGGCTTGACGTACTCCCTCTCTTGCCCATCGGCATCCATGTCCCATGTCGGGCGGTTATAAAAGTAATGTTTCCGGTAATCTCGCCGGATAGCTGTCTTCCGCTGCTGCTCCTTGGTCGCGATCAACTTGGTCAGTTCTCGAATCTTGCCCTCGTTTTCCGAGCCCTTGATCCGGTGCCGGCCGCCTTTGAGCTGTGCCCTCTCCGCCTTCAGCGCTTCGATCTGCGGATCGGGCGGCATTAGCTACCAGACATCATTGGGAACCATGTCTTTGCTCGCGCGAGGGTCGCGCGAAAGGCCGATATGCGTAAGCATTGCGAGTAGACTGTCCTCGGTCGGCTCCTCCAAGAACGCGTTCTGAAGGTGGAACCGAACATTCTCGTTGATGTATGCGCTGTTGAACGTAGCCCACTTCGGGTCGTGGCGCATCATCTGATCGCGGACAGCATCGGAGGCGTTGCCTATACGCTGTTAGAATAGGGCTAACCTGGATATGAAGAGAACGTATCGTCTGCTGCGTTAGCCGCTCCCCTACGCCAGGCCTTTGGTTCGGTTGAATTCTCTTCTCCAGCGTCGAGCGACTGCCGCTCCATGTCGTAACGTAACTTGTGGTAGGGAAGCGGTTGATACTTCCGCTCCTCGGATTCTTCCTCTATAATGGACTCGTCGTACTGGCGGAAGACAGGTCGCTTGAGCCATTCCTCCTTCCATCGCAAAGGGGTCATGCCACTGACAAGGCGCTTTAGCGACTATAAGGGTGGGTGAGAGGGTAGGAGACGTGCCTTCTTAACTTCTTTACTGTCGTTTGTGTCCATATGGCGGCGTGTGACACTGGCGAACAACTGCTTGTACTGGCGGAAATACTGCCACGATGTGCCCCACGACTTGATCCGGTATGTTTGACAAAGGTAGTCGAGGAAATCCATCGCCCTCGCTCGGGCTCAAACTTGGGTTGCATCCTTGATCGCGTCTCACCAGGGCCCCAACTTGGCGAATTCACAGTATCTATAGGTTCGTTAGCAAAAATGCCGATATAATATACAAGGCAGACGACCTATTTACCTCTTACATTTTCGTAGGATGTTAGCAACGTTGAGCTTAGTTGCGTCGGCGTAGGCGGGCTGAAGGAAATGCACGTTCTCGAGCTGCTTGCGGAGAGCTGCGCGTTGGTCGGCCGTAAGGGGATTTGCTTGTCTCGCAATCCGCTCATCGGCTTCTCGCTGTTTCGCAGTGAACTGCTGAACCAACTCCGCATTGCGGTCTGCGAGCGGCTGCGGCAGGCAACGAGCTGGCATGGCGATGGCGTTGAGTATTTGGTAGTTGTATAGGAACTTGAGCAACGTCTGCTCCTCCTTTTTGTCAAGGCCCACGATTCCGTGCGTGACTGTGTCTTGTTAGTTATGCCGGAGAGAAGGGAGGAGGGAGAAGGGGAGGGGGGAGAGGGTGAGCGTACACTAGGGTTGACGTAAACGGCCTTCTCTCCCGTGGCCGGGTGGGTGCGGATAATTCCACCGCGCGAGCGAGTAGTTAGCCTGCTCGTACGCCGAGTGGCGTGCCTTGAGGCCGTATAGCGCGTCCACGAACAGCGTGTTGCCGCCCGTCTTCAGCTTGTCGGAGATATACAGGAAGGTGGTTACCGGGGGTTGCTGCTCGTACGGCACGTCCGAGTACCACGCCACTAAGGAGGTCCAGTTCGCGAACAAGGTGTACACGCTGTTGTCGCCCGCGCCGCGGTGGTCCAGGTTAGCATACAGAAAGAATATCGCTAAGGGAGAGTCGAAACATACTAGCTGAAATACCCGCGGAAATTAAGCGCCTCCAGCTCGTCCTTGCCGGCCGCACTGAGGCTGCTGACCTCGGTGCCGGTGGTCGGCGTTGGGTCGGTGGCCGTCACGACGCCCTTGGGCAATAAGCTCGGGAACGAAGTGTCGGCGTCGAGGCCGTGCTCGACGTGCTCGAACGGCTTGAGCGGTAGGTGCCTTTGCGTACGGTGCCTGATTTTGAGTATCGAGGGCTATCGACTGTAACGATGACAGTCGACAAGCCGGGAATGATGGGAGGCGTGAGGGAAGCCATTTTATGTCTGGTTGCGCCGCTGCGTCGCTGTGATGGGGAGCCGAAAATGGATTCGAGGTTGAAGAAAACGGTTTCCTGGATTGCGAGTGCGACTGCTTTCTCAAGAGCCAACTGCTGCCCAACTGCCCAGCCCACGGCACCGGCAACGGCACCGACAACGGTAGTGCAGCCCGTGGTCAGCACCGGAAGTACGCAGTCTGGGGTAAAGAGAACACCCAACACAACTGCTCAACCCACGGCAACGGCACCGGCACCGGCAACGGTAGTGCATCCTGGAATGTTTACTTTTACAGACAAGGCCGGGGTCAGCACCGGAAGTACGCAATCTGGGGTAAAGATAATACTCAACACAGCTACCCAGCAGCCTATAGCTAGTACCGGAACTAGGCAATCTGGGGAAAAGAGAACACTCAACACAACTGCCCAGCCCAAGGCAGCGGCAACGACAACGATAGCGCAACCTGGAACGCTGACTTTTGCAGCAGACAAGTCTGGGGTCGGCACCGGAACAACGGAGAATAAGCCTCAAGGTCTAAAGAGAAAAATAGCGGAAGGAGAGGAAGAATGCCAGCTAGATGGGAACAGAGAGACGAAAAAGATTACTGGTACTAATCGTGGGCGGGCTAGGCGGGAACGGAGCTCGAGATGGTGGTATTAGCGCTCTTTACAGCGGGTGGTTAGCAGGCGTAAATTACGGAGTGGGTGAGGCCGTTACCTTACGGGGCTGCGTGTGGCGCTGGAAGTGGCGCTGGTTGAAGCTTGGGCTCGGTCGGGGAAGGGCGTGTGCATGTGCGAGCACCTGGAAACTAGATGCCAGCATATCAGGGCAGTCAACTGGGGATGGTCAAGGCGGGTGGCCTCTTTGCCCCTGTTAGTATTTACTTCGCCGATACTAAGGTCTTCTGAGATTGCTCAGCGTACTCGAACCTTGCTTTCTCTACTACCTCCTTCGCTCTATGTACTTCATCGGCCTCTTCTCCTACTATATTCGCCCTCCGTTCTGCCTGTTCAACACGCAAGGCCGCCCGCCCCTTTTCCCACTCGGCCGTCAGGACTCGCTGTTCAGCCTTTGTTGCCCGCTAGAGCGCTGCCAGTGCCCGCTGCTCTAGTTCCGCCACATGCCGCTCTGTCTCTTCCACACGCTTCGTTACCCCCTCTATCTCTCGCCCTGCTTGTTCTGTAGTTCGCTCGATCGCTGTAATATTTGCTTGCTCGAAGCCCCCCGCGACGGAACCAGCAGTGGACGATTGACCATCTACGCATCCGAGAGACGGCGGGCTCTCGATTGCAGGAGGTCTTAGGTCGCAAATACTAAGGTCGGGCCGTGCGAGAGGTCCGCGGCAATCCTAGCAGACCAGCCATTCGGGAGGCAAGGCCATCGTCGCCAATGGACATACGACACCAACAGATCGATTGCCAGGGGTCATCGGCACTTCGGTGTTGATTACGTCGATAACAGAACCCCGAGCGGGAAGTCCGGCGCGCCCGAAGCGCCGGCAGGGCAGTCTGCTCAACGGAGCTCTGCCCTCGAAGCCTGGTATGCTTACGGCACCGGCAAGGCAGACTCAAGAGAGCTTTGTCTTTCCAAGTCCGGCACACTCATATGTCGCCGGCAGAGCAGGCTTACGGGAGCTCTGCCCTCAAAGCCCGGTGCTCACGGCACCGGGACGGCAGGCTCACAAGAACTCTGTCCTCCCTCGAAGTCCGGCAAGTTTGTGGCACTGGCAAGGCAGGCTCACGAGAGCTCTGTCTCCAAAGTCCGGCACTCACGGCACCGGTACGGCAGGGCAGAGTCCCTCACAGGTAATGCCCGCCGATGCGTGGTAGGCAGGAAGCCCTGCGGCACGCCGCAGGCAGTCAATACCGGGAGCACACGGCACTGTCCCGCTCTCGGCGCCGTAGTGAACGGCACTCAGGTAGTCCTGCCACGCAAAATCGTCGCATGGTAGGCAGGAAGCCCTGCAGACAGCTCCGTGGGCAATGGAGAGCGTTTGCATGAAGCTGAGGACTGGGACGGGTGTACGAAAACTCAGGGAAAAAGAAAGAGCCGAAGACCCTCCTCGCAACTGCCTTGTAATTGACAGGTTGGCTAATTGGCCCGGGCAACTGGCTTGCAGTCGAGGTTGACTGCAGGACCCGGGCAACCTACCTATATATAGGTTGACTGACTTACACAAGCTCGTCGTGAATGCCGTATTCTATGATCTTACCGTTTCTGCCCAACAGGAGAAGGAGAAGGAGAAGAAGGAGAAGGAGAAGGAGGAGAAGGAGAAGGAGGAGAAGGAGGAGGAGAAGGAAAAGGAATAGGTGAACAACACATTGCTTTTGTCTCATCACACTCAATAAGTATGAAGAACGTAGAGGAGGCGGCAGACGGGTTTCCGAATAACACACACCCAAACCATCCCCCCTGGCAACCCCGCTTCCTCGCATACTTCATCCATTTCGATTACCGCCAGCTCTCCAATAAACTCGAAAGAAAAGACGTGATTACTAAAAGACTGGCTAGGAAAAGAAGGTAAGGAGTACCGCCCCCTAATTAGAGGGAGAGCGGGCTGCCCACCTTATCTGAGGTGAGTAAGAGAAGGAAACAAAAGAATTACATTAGATACATTGGGTAAGGGTGTAAACAAACCCCTTGTTGCCAAGCCCCTGAACCCCTATTTAGTAATTAATAGGATCTAAATGAACTACCTTCCCCTCCTAGCTTGGAAGGGCAGGATCGATCGGGATCACAGTCCTACTTTGGCTGCTATCACTTGACCCCCCACCACCACTCTTAAAGTGTGTATTATATCGCCCAGCCAAAGCCGCCCGAGCCCGTTTTTTCTCTCGAAAGTCCTCTGCAAATCGCCGATGAATCGTATTCCACGATAGTCCCCGAGTCCTCAAAAGGGTGAGAAGGGTGTCCTCTTCACGAGTCCAGGGGCTATGTTTCTTTGAACGTCGACTTTTGACCGGCAAATCGGATGATGTTGGTCTGGTGGAAATTGGCATCTTGGGTAGCGAGTTGGATTGTCGGCTTCTAGCTACGCAATTCGTGCAAGGCGGCCAAGAGAACTGTAGCTGGATAGTTGCTATGCCATCCACAATCACGCGTTTGAGGACTGCATCCTTAAGTGGCCACTCATTGAAATCCCCGGCGGAGCTTTGAGAGACAGGTCTATCATCGACGGTATCGAAACCCAGGCTCGGGCTTCCTAATAAGGGAATTAGCTACGAGAACGCCCGGTTAAGAATTCGAAGAACTGACCCAAATCGCTGATATTACCAATGCCCGCTTGCAAAGGAATATCGTATGCATTGTCAGGGATGGCCTGCCCGGCCGCCGATAGGGCGGGCGATGGACGCGGCGGTGTTTGGGAAGGCGATATAGAGCGCTGCAGGACACATGGTTGGGTCAAAACGACCTCATAGCCCGAGCAGGCCCCCTGTCTGCATATCCGGGGGGAGGGCAAGGAGGGCGATAGGCTGAGACCACTGCGTTAGGGGGGGGGGGGGCTCGGTGAGCTCTTACTTCTCCAACATTGAGGGTGTTAGAGAGGGGCGAGTTTGTGCAGGAGGCAGTGGACGAGGAGATGGTCGGCTAAAGTGGCCTCGGCCTTTTCTGAAGACTGCTGAAGGGTCATCTGTCGTTAGTTCAAGAAACATGATTCGTGGAGCCGATGGAATCCTCAACTGGACGTTCCAATCTCTCGGAGGGAGGCCTCCTCCTGTTTGTGATGACGCTATCGATATATGCGGCATTTTTGGCGACTGGTTAGCGGGACTGCGCCCAGGGTTCCGCCAGGCAAACGTAGCGGCGGCCTCGGGAGAGGATGTTGGTGCGAGCTCGGAGGCACAAGGCTCAACACGGCAAGCCTCGCCGCTCAGCGAAGGCTGGCGAAGGCCAGAGTCGAGCGAGCATCGAAATGAAATGGCAGGTGTCGCGAAATTCCGGTAAACGACAAGTAGCGCGCCGGGGTGCGCTGGACAGAGGGGTTGGACAGAGGAGTGGGTGGGTTCTGGGTGGTGAGGACGGACGACAACGACGGCGCGACCGATGTGCGAGGGGCGTATGAGCAAGAACAAGGACGGATGGAGACGTAGCCGAAATGCAGCCTGGCCTGCGCGATGTAGGCGAGTCTGCGGCTTGGGTGTTGTTCCGCGAGTTGTAGGGGGTGAAGTGCGTATCCCGCAGCGTTTGCGCGGTGGCTAAGCAACATCATCATCCTAGCCGTACTCTGCGACGCTATCTTCAGGCTCGATATCGTATCGCCACGGATCACGGCCCTTAACCCGAGGCCGCATGATCCGTGATATCGCTAGAGGTTACCCAGATCGGCTCAGCCGAAGCGGGGGTTAGCCCGTCGTCTCCTGGAACGCCCTCCGCATCCGTCTACATGCGCTTCCTCCTTTTCGTCCCATGTCTGGAGCCGCCCATGGCAAGGCAGAATCTCCCGACTCGCTCCGAACCGTCTGAAACGCGCTGTCGTTCCCCGCCAATCAGCTCCTCCTTTTCAGACCCGATCTGCCTCGCCGTCGGGATATCGAAGCGGCCGCGTCAGCAAGGCCACGTCATCGTTTTGGCGGCCGCATCGGCGCCGCTGGCATTCGGTCCGATTGTGGCCAAAAGGGTTCACCGAGACGCATTGCAAAACGCTTTGGATCCGCCAAGTGAGAGGGCCTCCCGGTATCTCCGCATGTGATGAAATCGATTTCTGCGGGAGTTGTGACTGGTCAGGATACGCAGGTCTTTACAAATTGCGTAGGGGCACCAGGGGGGGCAGGGGGCCTACCAGGCAGGCAGCGAAAGGAGGCACTCTGGAAGGCAGGGGTGGAGGGGAATGGACGTGGTGAGATGTCGCTGACGGAGAGAAACCAAGGTTGGGTGGTTCCAAAGGGGAGAGGAAGCTCGAGGTCGAAGACTAGAGTCGAGCCAAAAGTTGCAATAGACGAAATACACCGTAAAGGCTAAGAATGTCTCGATTAGCGACGCGACGGCGGGCGGCTAGGGGACGCCAAAGAAGGCAAGGACGAGGCATCCGGCCTGGCGAAATAGGGATCAGGGCGCGGGCGACATTGGGCTAGCGGGCTGCAGACGAGAGGGGGCAGGGGAACAGCGAAGTAGATGAGGAGGCGGGGGGGCCGAGCGAAGGGGATAAGAGAGGGAGAAAGTCGAGAAGGGATGTCGAAGAGGGCTCTATTTATGCGGCGGGTGCGGCTGAACCGTGCGAGGACGCGAGTCTGACGGAGCGCTATACCCGATTCGGAAGGCCGCCGTTTCCGGATGCAGCGACAGCATGTTGAACATTACAAACATATAGGTCCTGGGCCTGTCCATAGTTGTCTGGGTGCCGGTGGCTCCACCAATGCCAGGCGGCAGAGAGGCGTAGCTGCCTGATTCCGCCATTTAGCGTCTTTGCCGTTTGCTCCTTTGTAGAGGCGGACGACAGGCAAGTGGGCTGCACCGGAAACAGGTGCAACTCTACTTGCCAGCTCGGACAATTAGAAATCCTTGTAGATTTGCGCGTAAGGCGGTCTTTATATACGCCGTTTCTGGCTTTGTGCTCTCTCACCTGTGTCTTTTGCTTGCTCTTGTACAGTGGTTTACGTTGATTTTACATTCACTGCTGTCTCACCCCAGCATCTGCCTGCCCCTCCAATGGCTGCCCAGGTGCCGAGAACTGCCGCCGACATCCAGCCGCCGCTCGGCACGGCCCCGTATGACCATGCCCACCACGTCAAGTACCAGGATGGCGAACTCGTCTGGGCCGCGCAGGGCGGCGACATTGAACAGCCCCAGGGCCGCGTCAAGCGCGACGACATTGTCGCCGTCCTGAAAGCGCCCGAGGGCACGCCCGGTTACTTGGTTTACAGCCTGGCCGAGGCACCCGAGGGCGAGCAGCCCTTCAAGCTCTCTGTCTTGCTGGCGCCGCAGCTGCCGGAGGAGCCGCTAGCCGAATTCCTCCTGGCCGACATGCCGGCCCACTTCGCCGTGCAGGCCAGCCACCTGCTGCACGTCATCGTGTCGACGCGCTCGGGCACCGGCCAGGCCACCGCCTTCTTTGACCATGTCCTGCGCCCGCTGCTGGCCGCCCTCGGACTCGAGGCCCACACCGAGCCCGATCTCCCCGCCATGCCCGGCTCGTACCGCGTCACGGCGACTCAGAGCCCGCACACCGTCCGAGACTTTGCGCGCAGCCTTGGGGTCGTCGGAACAAGCGGCGCGACGTCGCTGTCCGGCAACGGCAGCAATGTCCCTTCAGCGCCCACCATTCTTCTCCTGAGCGGCGACGGCGGCGTCATCGACCTGCTCAACGGCGTCGGCGGCAGCAGCAGCAGCGCCGCGCCGCCCACGGTGGCGCTGCTGCCTCTCGGGACGGGCAACGCGCTGTTCCACTCTCTGCACAAGCCACTGTACTCGGCGGCGGAGGCTACCGGCGCCTCCGGCCAGTCGCCCCTGGTCCTCGGCCTGCGCACGCTGCTCCGCGGCGCCTCGGCACCCCTCCCCACCTTCCGCGCCTCCTTCTCCCCGGGATCGCGCCTCGTCGCCGCGCCCGAGGGCATCAAAGCGGCCGTTGTTGCCGAGGACGGCGACGGCGACGCACATGCCAGCGGCGACGAGCATGACCATCCGCCCATCGACCACCTCGTCGGCGCCATCGTGGCCAGCTACGGCTTCCACGCCAGCCTCGTGTGGGTCAGCGACACGCCGGCGTACCGCGCCCACGGCGCCAAGCGCTTCGGCATGGCGGCGGCCGAGCTGCTGAAGGAGGCACACGCGTACGCGGCGACGGTGGCGGTGCGCCGGCCTGGCAGCACGGAGGAGGAATTGCTGCTCGCGCCAGACAGCCCCAAAAAACCCCGCGCCGAGTTCACCTACGTGCTCGCAACCCTCGTCTCGAGCCTGGAGCGCGCCTTCACCATCTCGCCCGCCAGCCGCCCGCTCGACGGCCAGCTGCGCCTCGTGCACTTTGGCGCCGCCGACGGCGAGCGCACCATGGACGTCATGCGCGCGGCGTACCGCGGCGGCGAGCACGTTGGGATGTGCTGGACGACGCAGACACAGAGTGATGGCGGGAAAGATGTCGAGGACGGCGTCGGCTACGACGCCGTCGACGAGGTCCGCGTCACCGTCCACGAGCCCGACCCCCGCTGGCGCAAGGTGTGCATCGACGGGACTATTGTCGAGCTCGAGGACGGCGGCTGGATGGCTGTCGCCCGCAGCGCTGAGCAGCGCCTGCGCGTCCTGGTCGACCCGTCGGTGCTGTGACACGGCGTGTCTCTCTCTGGTTGGATGGCGGGCTGGCGAGGGTCTTTGTTGTTCAGGTAGAGCGGGTGTTGTTGGGATGCGTGGTCTTGTGTTGCTGGGTGGGTGGGTGGGTGGCTGACTGGCTGGGGCGTTTAGACGAACTTTTTTGGGGGTGCGTTTATGGCGATACCGTGTCGTGGCAAATATCAGCATGATTTATTTCCTTTTATCTCGGGCTGTGGAGATTCATTGATGTTTAGACTCTGCTGTTAAGCTAGATGTGTATGGAGGGGGTAACCATCGGCCAGATCCCTGCCCTTCTCAGCAATCAGACCTAGACCTGGATGGGTTGTACCAAGGACAACAGGGAGGAAGTAGGCAAGTGACACCCATACGAGAATTGGCAACTTAGTTGACCATGCCTATTTTGGCCCAGCCCACTTTTGGCCCATGCGCAAGCCACCATGCACTTACACCACATGTGATCGATCCTTTTTCTTCAACACACCGCAACTTCCTCAAAACAACACCAAATTCCTTCAATTCTACTACATTCGAGAGCCCTTTCAATAATCTTTCCAGCAATGCCTCAATATAACGAACTGGAAATGCTGCAGGCTATGCAAAAAGTCCGAGAAGGCATTCCGTTGCGGCGCGCGGCCGAAGAATGTGGCGTTCCAAGGACTACCCTTCGCAACCGTATGGCCGGCCACAAATCCCGCCATATTGCATTCGAACAATGCAGGTTCTTCCGCATACAACGGAAGCCCGGCTCGCCGAATGGATCATCCTTCAGGGCGCTCTCGGCCTACCTCCAACGCATGCAACGGTCAGGGAATTTGCCCGCCGGCTGGCCGTGGACGGAGGCAAGCCGGAATACGTAGGACCGAAGTGGTTGCGCGGCTTCATGGCCCGGAACCCGTCAATTCGGACCCAGCGGGCACAAAGCATGGGTGCGGCCCGGCTCAACGGCGCCACGGTCCCGGTAATCACGGCTTGGTTCAACTACCTGGCCCTCCCGGCTATCAAGCTGATCAAGCCGGAGAACCGTTGGAATAAAGACGAGACTGGCCTTCTTGAAGGCCAGGGTGACAACGGCATGGTTCTTGGATCTGAGGAAAGGGCCAACAACAAGAAGCTGAAGAAAAAGCAGTCAGGATCACGGAATTGGTCCACGTTCGTGGAATGCATCTCTGCAACGGGCAGGTCAATACCTCCTTTGGTGATCATGAAGGGGAAACCCTTACAACAACAACACTACCCAAATAAAATGGGTCCCTTCAAAGGTTGGAAGTTCCACACGCAAGAAAAAGGCTGGATTGACGATGAGAGTGCGTTAAAATGGCTTCAGGAAGTCTTCCTTCCTAACACCCGTACGGCCAACAACGAACGCCGGCTCCTCATTGTTGACGGCCACGGTAGTCATACAACTGATGATTATATGTGGACCTGCTTCCAAAATAACATTCAGCTTCTTTACTTACCGGCACACTCATCACACGTCCTTCAGCCGCTTGATTTGACGGTTTTCTCGGTCCTGAAGCGGGCATACCGGAAGAGGTTTAACTCTCTACCCCGGTGCTCCGATTCAACGGTCTCCGGCCAGCGCACTATGTTGACCTGTTACCGGGCTGCCCGGGAAGAAGCATTCAAGGAAGAAAACTGCAAGGCAGGGTGGTATGCTACCGGCTTGTGGCCGGTAAACAAGCTCAAGCCACTCACGAGCCCTCAAGTGCTAGAAAATAGCAACAAAGCCGGTAAAAGTACGGCTTTAGCTGCTCTCGAGGAAGAGAGGGATACGGCTCATCAACAACAACAGTTGCTTGACGATTACGGCACTTGGAAGACTCCTAATAAGGTTACGGACCCTACGGTTGCTTTGGCCAAAGTAAACATCAGCTCCCCGGCCCGCAGGGCACGTCACCAGCTATTCAGGAAGGTCAGGAATGCATTCACCCTCAGGGACTTTGAGATGGCTAAGCTCAGACACGAAAATGAGGCTCTGAAAGCTGAGCTTGAGAACAAAAAGGGAACCAAGAGGAAGAAGGTGGAATTGAGCCCAAATTCCAAGTTTGCCTCAATAAAAGACATTCGGCGCGCGCAGAGAGCAGTGGGGCGCGATATTGACAGCTCTGACGAATCAGAAAGCTCGGAAGAAGAAGAGGAAGTCAAAAGTTGTATAGTAATTGGTTGATTTGGCGATATTTTACATGCTTCAATGTAGGGTGTCATTCATGTCAGTGGGCGGCTCAGCACGGGCCAAAAGTGGGCTGGGCCAAAATAGGCATGGTCAACTTAATTAGTTCATGCCCTAGCTGAGTTTGTTGGGCCCGGCGACGGAGAACCAGGTGCCATGTCGACATTAAATTATAAAAGAAGTGAATGAAAGGGGCTGTGGAGTGAAGACTAAAGCCACACAGGCATCAAAGGGTGTGTGGATTCAATGTTAGAATCGGAGAAGAGTGAGAAAAGAGTAAGCCCAGACTCTAAAAACAAAACATGAAACCTAATCAGGAACCAAAGACACTTGCGATACAAATCTCACTCACTTACCAAGGCCAGACAGATACGAACAAAAAGAACAAGCGAAGATTGATATACAATAATAGTAGGCAAAAAAAGAAAAATATAACATACAGCACTGTGGATTCGCTGGTGGTCACCCACCCAGCTACTAGTCCAGCGGTTAGTGACCTTCTCTTATGAACACAAAAGCGCCCATTTTCGGCTCCTTACTACCCTCATTTTTGGCAACCTGAAGCCCACCGAAAAAAATGCGGCGTCTTACGGCACATCCGTTTCTTGGCCTTCAAACGGGCCAACGACCAAGACCAACCAGAAATATGGCCAGGGAACGGGAAAAATTGGGTTATGCTGTCCCTCCCCCTCTTCCCTCGTCACGCCCTCATTTCCCCTTAGTCCCTCACATCCGTCACCATCCCTTGACCTGCATCATTATCTCTGTCTTCGCTGAGCCTTACGATGGTAAAACGAAACAGGCGTCCAGGTTAGAGGCCTGCGAGTAGCTAAATAGCGCGGCAAACCCCTCGTTTCCCGAAAGACCTCGATTCCCAGAGATAGGAAAATAAGAAGAACGAAGAGTTAATCCAATAGTAACCGTTAAGTAATAGAAGCTCTATTGCCGAGAAAATAAAACTAATTCGATTTACTTCCCAGGTTAAATAGACCGAGTATCACCGCACGGTCAACTGAATGAGGCAAGGCTATATATAGTTGTTGTATTCGTAGAATCTAAAGCTAAGGAATTCAATAGGAGGCTTTCGAGTTGCAAGTCCGTTATCAACGGCCCTGGTCTCCAATAACATCATCAAGAACAAGACAGTAAGTGCCACGCCGCCATCCACCCCCTTTGTCACTCGCCTTCCTGTACCTGGACTATTCCCGTGTAGACACGTCCTGGATATATTTTTGTGGCTAAATGGCTTAGATGATGCATCTTTTCAGGATTCGTTGGCGTTGAGCTCCGTCCGCAGCAGACCTGGCCGCGCTGCTCGCCGCTCGCCGCTCGCCGCCTGCGACCGCACCCGGGCCACCACCACCAGTAGAGAATACACCACTTCTGCGGTCGGTTCCTCGAACCACACTCCACTTCTTCAACAAATAGCTCGTTAGAATATTGATCTCCTGTCGAGTGCAAGCTTAAGTGCCTTTAATATACCTTGCCTTGTTCCTTGTCAAAACTTCCTGGGTTGTCAGAATCCTATTGCAAAGGCGCTACAATAGGAAAATTTCAAACATTGGGTGGGGGGACCCAATAATACCAAGTCCCCCCTATCAGGGTAGGTGTAATTGTGCTTCAATTTCCCAGCGAAGTTTACACTTGACCCATAAACTAAGCCTAATTAGGTTGCTTGGAAGATGACGTAACACGGCCAGCGACAATAAAACTCATAATGCGCTATGCCGTGATAATTAGATATGAAATTCATATCCTCTTTAGTACTTACCAGGTCGAAACAAAAACCGGTTTTGCCTAAGGCGCTCTCGATACGTGCTATCGTAATGTACCCTCTCATTACGTCGCCTAGGCCGAACTCGGATAGCGTCTGACCAGGGGTTGTAGAGGGGATAATACTTCCGGTCCAACGGGACTCGGCGGCCGGGCTATCGGGGAACTCGCGTAGTCTCCAGGTCAGGACGGGCTGGCGTTGTCGTAGAATTCGCCGCGTCCGGGAACAAATTCCTTCCATAGTAGCTCTTGTCCAGCGGCGGGCGTTAGTAGATTACGCGTCGTCCAAAATAGACCCTGCTGTATAAATACCGCTAGGTCGACGGCGTTAAGCTCGAACATGACGAGAGCATTCCATAGGGAGCTCTCAACCTCGTAGCGATCCGAGAGCCGTGCGACTATATTAATATTGATGTGATACTTGATGCCGCTATCGCCTGGCGTGAGATGTAGCATTGCCATGGTGTTTGCCGATTTGCCCGAGAGTAGAGATGCGATAGTATATAATATTGATGATGAAAAGTGCCGTAAAGGCAGTATGGTTGTAGAGTTTAGGACTCTGTATTTGGAAGAATGTTGGTACAAGTACAGTGTCATGGATTCCCTCTGTACTGGCCGCGCTGCACTGGAGTGGGGCGCCCAGGAAGAATAATGGGGCTGAGGGGAGGCCCGAAAAGAAGTGGGTCTTGGTTCGGGCCCAGGCCTGAACGCTGTGAGCTTCCTGTTCGGGCCCGCTCTGATTGGCCCACCTTAGATATATACGACGACCGTAGCCACGGTCTTAGTTCTTGCTTGGTTCTTCAGGCAAGCAATACACATTCACTGCACTCATACACTTTGGGTGGCATTCCGATTTGACTATATTACCCGTGCGATAGGAGCTTGCCCTTTGTTCTATCTTCATACTTACCAACCCCAGCATTCTGCGGAGCCTGTGCTCCCTTACAGACAGGTGACCCTAACAGTCGAGTGGTTTGTAATACTAGGGCTTTATTTTCCCTTTATTTTTTCTTTATTCCCTTTTTGACGTGCAATATTCGACGCCATTTCAACCTACAATGAAGATACAACTTCGGAGTCTTTCCTTCCTCGGCACAAGCCAACAGGCCTTGAGCCTTAAATAACGGCGTTGCCGCGGGCGTCAAGGTTCGACGCCAAACACTATCACGCGAGTATGACTACGTTGCAAATAAGTTTTCTAGCGATGAGTGTTCCGGTGAGCAACCTTATTACTGGAGATATAAAACTATGGAGGCGAACTCCTCGAGGCCATCTCTGCCAACAATTTTGCTGTTGCGATTTCTGTCGATAGACAACATGCCTACAAGTGCCCCAGCAGTCGATAACGACCGTGGCGTCGAGCTCTCCAACCTCGGCGAGCGCGGCAACAATGTTGCCGTGGCCAGCGTGATGCGCGACGTAGTCCGTGCGGTCGTCCGCGAGGAAATGCTTGTAGCCATTTTCACGTTCGTATCTGCGCCGACGTAAGCCTCTTTACAAGTTCACGCACCAATGTCTGCCCCTAAAACTCCGCCGCCTTCGTACGATACGGCTACGCGAACTCCAGTTCTCAGGGCCGACTTGGCCCCCAGATCCGAGGACCCGCGACCTTTAGCCAGCGGAACCCCCCAGCGGCCGGCTTTGCGACAACTAGCAGCTGAGCGAAGGTGGCTTCGGCACAAATGCGTGCACTGCACTCTGTGCTGGATTCCCCAGGTGTTGGTCATCATAATTTTGATTGCTCCGATTGTGCCAGGTCACGATTACCTGTACATGGCGGCGGTTGCCTTTTTAATGGTACTCTCCACCTATGCTCTATATATTCCAACTCTAGTAAGTCTTCCCGACTAAACAGATTTCAGTATACGTAAGTTTAGCTAGATATCCTAACAAAAGCGCACCATAATATTAGATTATTGCCTACTGTATCTTTGCAATAGGCGACTATATATGTCCGCCCACCAACGTGGCGACCGCGTCCAATGTAGAGGCTCATCTTGAATCACAACCCATACCAACGACGAACCTAGTAATAACATAGAAAGAGAGGGCGGAAAGTATTGTTACGATGCAAACCGAGAGAAATATATTCTGCGCTTGGAAAATTCTTTCGAAGTACCTTATTTTCTATCTTATTCTTTAGGCCTGGTTTATGAAGGGAGAGGCGCCGTTATACCCGCCGTACTAGGTCGCGATGAGGTTCGACGCTAAACTTGCACAACCCGCCGCCCTCTCACGCCTGACCGAGTACTTAGAAAATCGTACGGAGGAGAGGAACGCGGTTACCGGCGACTTTGACTTTTGCCTAGCGGACATGGGCGTGGAGCACTTAGTTGTGTGATAATAATTCTGGTTTAGCGTATAGGTTAGTTGTGGGTGTTAGAAGCACGGCACCCTGGATTGAATAGGTTCAAAGAGATTGATCTGCTTGTGTCTGATTCTTTCCTGTCGCTCACTTTTGAGCCACATTGTCAAGCCACATACCTGCATATCCCTCCAAACAATGCATATCCCTTCAGTCGTGACTTTCAGCCCTGATCCCTTTTTCCGGGCTCCCGGACTTCCGAATGCCCTCTTTTTCTCTCCCTTGCTACGGCTGAGTCTCTTAAGTAGTACGACTGAACAGACTGTTGAACCAGGTTTCCTTTGTCCTTTTCTTGGAAGCATAAAAGGCCTTCTTTTCTGTATTACTAGATGGAGGACAGACAATTCAAGACCCTTCAAGCCACTGTCAACTTGATCACGGGCCAGACAGCATAAAGCCGTATCAGAGACGGGTCTTGGGCCCAAATGAAACTTTTATCATTTAACAATGTACCAGTGACTGTGACCTAGCCCTAAGTCCGTGATCCCGACTGAGTTCTACTGCTGAGTGTAGTCCGTCTATTCTGGGTTGAGCAAGGAGGATGTTTTGGCCATATCAGACAGGAGTGTAGGTAACGCTAATTTTAGGGTTGGCGCTTACATATGCAGCTGAATGTGGGCGTTTTCATGGGGCCCGCTGTCAAAAGGAGAGGTTGGTCCAGGCAGCTCAGTGGGTATGGTTGAGAACGTCAAGGAAGAGTGTGGTCTAGAAAGGAAGGATCTAGAAATGGCTAGAAATATGGATTGGTAATTATCGCCACAGGACTCGCCACCTGTGAGAACCACAAAGACTGAGTTCTCTAACTTCGCCAGAGAGAGGATATGTGGCCCGTGATCAAAGTTGACAGTGGCTTGAAGGGTCTTGAATTGTCTGTCCTCCATCTAGCAATACAAGAAAGAAGGCCTTTTATGCTTCCAAGAAAAGGACAAAGGAATCCTGGTTCAACAGTCTGTTGGAAGACTTAGTTTTGGCCGGATCGCTGCCAGAAATGCAGAAAATACAGCACTCACTACTGGCGGTCGTGACTTCCCATATTATGAGGTACTGTCTTGCAGCCAGAGCTCAGGAGCTATTCCTGAATGGTGCATTATGGAGCCGCAGCTTGCCCATGCATATCGATAATATGCAGTCACGATCAGCTGCCTTCCAATCACAGTATCGCTCTGAGCTTGATGAGCTGATGAAGCAAGCAGAAGCGAAGCAGCTTTCTTTCCCAATCAGCTTTTACGCCCTGGGCACGTTAGTCGGGTCAATCGCCCTTCGGGCTTGCCAAGAACCTCAGAGATTCTTATGCCTATCTACAAGAAAGAGGAAGAGCAAGTGGAAGATACTGGAAGCTATATCCTTTCTCTAATACCTGGAACGCAGGCCATTATGACGGACGCCTTATAAGCTATAATATCCTTATCATTCCTACCTTATTCGGTGTGCTCTTACCTCGAGTAACCGGACAAACGCAAAAGCATTATAAAAGCCTGTGAGGCCATAAATCTTATCTCGCAGGGCAGTTGTAAAGGCAGCTGTGAGGAGAGCTAAACCCTAGGGCGTCATTACCGTAGATGCCGTTAGGTCACGGTTGGTAAGTACGTCTCGAGCATAATTGGGTTGGCATTGTGCCGCGTCCAAGCCCCCATTTGATGAAGCTGGTGGGCCTGGGGAAGTACTATCGATGGATAACGCCCGTGCATCAAGTTCCCCGCCCCAAACCTAGACAAACTCCCAACCAACTTCCTCAAACCAACTTCTTCAAACAAACTTCTTCAACCCAACTTCTTCAAACCACTTCTTCAAACCAACTTCATCAAACCACGAAAAAGAACATCGAACCAACACGACTTTTCTTTGACCATCAAAATGTCTGACACGCATGACGCATCTGTATCCGACGTAATCAAGCGAAGGCCTGTTGCGCTCGAGGCCTGTTTTTGGCTAGTAGCCATCATAGGGAGCCTGCGGGTCACGAGTGCAATTGCGGACGTCAAACCAGATGACCCAGATGATAGAACTGATACAGTAAATGAGCTAATTACCATTTCTCTAGGTATCACGATCTAGGGAGTCGTGATAAACTATTGTCAAATGATCATCAGGCCAGAGCTGCTACCGCCGGGCGATGTCGAAGTCCGGGCGCCTATCCGACGAGTCCCAGCGCTCCAGCGCTGGGCCCGCAAATTCGTCGACTGGTGTGCCATTTGGCTGCCGGTTGTTGCAGGTTTGCTCCTGATCGTCTCAGCCCTGGTCTATATGTTTGGTCTCGCTTTGCGTAGCCATCATTCTCTGGCCTGGGCAGTTACTGCGATTGTCGTCATCGGCGTACTGGTCACTGCCACCCTTCTTTCGATGCTTCTAGCCGATTGGAGTGCCTTGCTACTCTACAAGGCTGGGACCAACGAGTCGGAACTGGTAGGGCAACATGGGCTTCCGGCTGTGGAGCCAGCCGATCAGTCTGAGGCGCCAGCCAATCCTCCGTCTCAGGCTCCGGCCATTCCTCAGTCTGCGGTGCCGGCCAATGACCAGCAACTGGTGGGAGGTGATGACCACCCCCCGCAGGATGGCATGGAGCTGCAAGACTACCCTCAGACCCTCTCGCAGCCTCAAAACGAGCAAGTCGTGCAAGCCCAGCAAGTCCCACAAGATGAGCTAGGCGAGTTTAGCTACTTGTCTCTCATTCTTTGACGTCAGTCGTAAGGCGGGCAGTTCTTTGTAGCTGACCTAGCCGTTGTCCGTTCCATTGTGAACCACCCAAAACGGGTGCGAGACTATTTATCCGTCCCGAAATGGGCCACCCCAAACGGGTGCGAGAAAATCTCTGTTTTCCCAAAATGGGCCACTCAAAAAGGGTGCGACAGACTCATTCTTTCGAGGTTTTTCCCTCAATGAAGTTTTCCTTGGAAGATAGATAGCAGTAATTAATCTGTATTCGTCCACTCTGTCCTATGTCTCCTTCCTCCATGTGACTTGTTTCCGTGAATCCCGTACGAGCATTACTTAGATGTGTCAAAGGGTCAGTGTTGGCCTGTTCTGTAAGCGTGCTCTGTGGAGGTGCGAGTCAGCCACCGCCGTAACCGAACCACCTAACCTATGTTATACGTACGCTTTGTATCCAATTGTAAAGTACTAGATAGGCACGTTAAAGCGCACAGCAATGATTTAATTCTTGAGACATTTTCACGCAGCGACAACATCCGCTCGGTTGTAATACTTCAGCAACCCCAGGACGTGATACCTATCACTACTTACATGCATCTAATTGAGTGTGTGTGAATTGGCTCCAAGTTGATTGACTTGCTTCTCCCTCTCTCTCCGGCCTTTTGAAAGCGGCCTGTCTAATATAGATAGCAACGAGCTGTGTAGCAATTTTTGGATCACCAGCTGAACTGCCGAGCCACCCTGAATGAGGCCGCTTCTGGTTCAGCGCTTAGCGTTGTTATAGAGGTCCAAAACTAGATAACTGTAACTATCAGCCTGCGCATCTGGTGTTGGCGAAAGCGTTACGCACTGTTCGAGGCGCTAGCTGGCCTCCGTTATTTGCATGACGCAGGACCCAGTGCATATGACCAATCAAATGCTATGATCAGAGCGAAATGGTAACGCCGGTGAAACGCCCTGGATCGAGCGGAATACGGGCACATTGGGCTTTGACCTTGGGCTTTGACCTGGGTGATTTTCCTGAATGGGTCAGTATAAATGCTGGTATTGACCTTGAAATTGAAGTTATCTGTATTCTAACAACTGCTCTACAATCCCCTGATCCTGAAGAATAGCTGGGGAGTTGTAGAGGCGCACCTACAGCGCCGAAGACGACTCGGAAGTCGACGCTGTGGTTGCTATGCTCCTTGCTATTATCGCGACTGTGATCAAGTTTAGACCCTCCCCCCCCGTCCCCCCTACAGCCTTTACGAAAGCTGAGGCACCCTCAAAACCCCGTATCTCCTCGGTCAAACCGACTTTGGGTTACAGGGAAGCATTCGCATGCGCGTGCATACATTCATCGCACTACAAAGATGGCTAGAAGAGGATACTGGCCTAGCCGACACGAGACATATTGCTGTCAACGAGAAGTTGTTAATCTTCTTGGAGGTGGTTGGTCAGGGATGTACGCTGCAATTTGTAAGCAGAGGGTTTTGGCCACAGCCTGGAAACGATAGTAAGGTCAGTTTCCCTGCCTAACAGAATTCACAGAACGGAACAAGCTTACAGCAAAAAGAGTATTCCATCAGGTCCTTTCTTCAGTACTCGCATTGGCCGGGTATTACGCTCCCAGAGACCAGGACCAGCTAGAGGGTTCTTAGAAAGTCCAAGTGGTATCCATTCTTCAAGCAGTGCCTTAGAGCACTCGACAGAAAGCACAGAGAAGTTATAGTGCCCCTCAAGTCAACACAGCATCGTAAGGAATAGAAAGAGCCGAATTACTCAGAATGTTCTAGTGGCTGTAAGCCTAGAAGGTCACTTCCAGTATCTACTTCCCGGCTTAGAGGGCTTTGCAGCCGACTCGAGGGTATTCCGGGATGCCCTCGAAAAGAGTCTCAATATGCCTAAAGGCTGTTTCTACCTAGGCTACGCGGCTGGAAGTGTCACGGTGCACACGTGACAGGGATTGACTCTATCGGTCGCATTGTATTTAGAGTATGGTCTATGCGCACGCCCACCACGTGCCCTGCACCAACACCTATTTCCTCGCGCCCTGCGCGGTCCCTGCAATAGCTTCTTCTTTTCCTTCCTTAGCTTCGAATCCACATTCGTTACTGCCTTCAACCATTGACATCCCTACTGCGTAAGGCGGGCCGTCACACGGATAATGGCACAAACAGAGATATCCCGAGGAAGATATAATGCCAATCTACAATCTATAAGCCCTCATTCTCGTATCTGTCCAGTTATTTAAGTTCCTAGTTTGAATACGATGCCGTAATGACTACTGCTCGTCATATTAGAGGTTAGAAAAACCCGACGGTAATAGTATGGAATCATGGATGGACTCTGTCTAGAAGTAAAAATGCGGCGTCTCACCCTAGACTAGTAATATAATACTGCCACAATCGCGACTACTTCCACTTACTCCACGTGGACCAAGCAGCTACCAGCGTTAGGAAACTAACTTGGGTCGGACCTCGGTTTGTGTTAAAGGCAATTCCTTCCCGACAAAGAGAAGACTCCACCTTGCCCCCCACCTCGTCCCGCATCGCCTGCAAAAAGGTCGGCATCCACAATTTTTTCTCCCAACAACATACTCCTCAATTGACTAGTTGCCTCCTCTAATCACAACTATACAACCTATCTCAAATCGATTCATAATCACGACGGTACATCAACCATAATGCCGAACCTCAGGTCATATAAGTACGTCGTTCCGTCGACGATGTCCTAGGCTAACCCCTCTTTTGACAGTCAGATGGCAGAGCTAAGCAAGCTTACCAGGGGCGGTGCGTACAAGGGAATGTCTACCCCGTACCCTGACGACGAGCGCGGGACTTTTATTACTCAAACGTTCCCCTGCGTCTTTGACAATACCATCATCGTTGCAGCAACCCACCCGACAGTCTCCACCGGCTCCCAGTTTGACGATGGGTGGTTCCTCTCCGACTTTTACGCTTTCAACTACCTCCTGAAAGGTTCAGTTGCCGACTAAGTATGGCTTACCGCTGCCGAGCCTAGCAAACTGTTGAAGAAGCATGGCCCCTATTACCACGGTACCGCTTCTGAGTGTCCCAAGGTCGTCCTCAGCCCTGAGCTTCTCGAATCTGAGATCACTCCTGTGACGGTCGTTCCGCCCGCCCAGATGATTGATAGATTTCTCGACGAGGTCTCCAAAGCCGCTGCTCGCGCCAAGGGCGAGCACCCTATCCTTTTAATGGTGTTCTGTCACGGTCAAAAGATCACACACTCCTCCTCGATAATGGTAACTCCGGGAAGGGGTTTAGTATTCTGCGGCTCAAGGGCGCATTGGGAAATGCCTGAGCCACCTTAATCGTGACAGTATGCTACTCGGGTGGATGGGTGGTTGCGCCCGACGTCAACAGCGCAGCATTAGCAGCCGCTACCTCTAATGACGTGGCCTTATCGTTCCCAGTCTCAGCAAGCCTAGGACGAGTTTGCGGATCCCTCTTCGCTAGAGCGATCATCGACACCCTCTCCAGAGCCTCTTCGCCGTTGCTCACGCAGGAGGCGAGGAAGGAGCTAGACGACAGCGAGGGCTCGGAAAGCATCCAGCCCGAGGAGCCAACCAAAATACAGACAGAAACGTACAACGAGTTCTGCCGCTCCGTTACAACCGTACATAAAGCGCGGGGTGTCCCTGATACCCTGACTGAGGGGTTTTGCTTCAGCGCCCAAGACGACCAGTGGACTTTTTCGTGGACTAGGAGAACCGCAATCCCTTTGGCCCGCTTCAAGGAGCGTTGGGATAACCTACCTACGTACCCCCGCCAAGTGTTCCCGGATGCTAGCTCTACGGAGCCTGTCTCTCTGTCCGGTAGGGTTCAATTTAAAGACCAGGAGCATGCACGAGTCTACACCATGGTACAGCAGTTTCGCCAACTCTGCCCGGGCGATTGGAATGGGGGCTATGAGAACCGTGTGGCGGCCGCGGTTCAATTCTTCCTTAGGGGCGACCCACGGGCCCCGTCCGTATCCTACTTCACCGCCCTCATTAAATTCCGCCAGAAGGCCTGTAGAGTTGCCGACACGTTCGTTCAAGTCAACAACCTCGCCCGCCCAAACGGAGAGAGCTGCATACGGTGCTATCTACGCGAATTTCGGTATATTACGCGAGGTGACAACCGGGAATGGCTCGATCGACATGGGCTGGTATGGACGATGATGAGGGACGGCGGAGCATTCATCGTCCCAGCAGCACACCAGGGACCACCTCGCTTCGCTCGCCCTTTTACCTATATATCATATGCCATCGCCGAAACATACCACACACCAGAGACAGAGGAGGAAGCGCGCCGTACGGCACAAGCATACTGCGATTATATTAAGAGCCAGAGGCAACACTTCCTCGACGAGGCCGTCCGCTCTTCGGACATTCGACGCAAGGGTCGTGACTGGCTACGGTCGATTGGTAGAAAGATCCGTTCCTTCTCCCCCGTCAAGGGCTCTCGGTCATCGACCGAATATGGCGAGATATAGAGTCGGCCGCTTGGGATTGTGGAGGCTCCCTCTCTACCAATCCCCGGTTAGTAGGGACCGGTGGATGACAAGTTACTGTAAGTCAGGTAGAGGGGAAGAGGGACTTATCGATAACCGCCGGCATATATACCCTAGAAGAAACCTTATAGTAAGTTAGGTGGGGGAGTAAGCGAACGCCACTGATCCAGAACATTCTAGATAAGCGAGGAACACAACCAACCCTCTTATATAAAAAGCCCATAACTCAACCAATTCTTTTCCAATTCTCTTCATCTTCAATTCGTTTTATTCTTCTCTTGACAATGGTTTCATATACAGAAGAAGATCTCCGCAAGGCTTGCGAGGAAGCCGTCAGAACACATCGATTACGCAAAGTCGCGCGAAAATGGAACGTTCCACCCTCCACCCTTTATGGCCGTCTACATGGCTCCCTACCTCGAAATGTTGCTCATCAAGATGAGCAAAGGCTTACACAGACCCAAGAGGATCGTTTAGTCGAATGGATTCTTCTTCAACAAGATTTAGGATTGCCCCCTACACATGCACAGATCAGGGAGCTTGCACGCCGTATTCTAGCTGAAAGGGGGGACTCCTTACCACTTGGAAAGGGGTGGTGCCGTGCCTTTCTTAACCGCAATCGAATTTTGAAGACTCAGAGGGCCAAGAGAGTCGATTCGGTCCGCGTCAACTGCGCTACAGAGTCAACAATTCGACCTTGGTTCAACCGTTTCCAAACACCAGCTATCAAGGCGATTAAGCCAGAGAATCGCTGGAACAAGGACGAATCTGGTATTATGGAAGGCAGAGGAACCAACGGCCTTGTCATTGGAAGCCGTGCCTTTAAGGCGCTTCAAAAAAAAACAGCCTGGAACCCGCACTTGGACCACTTTTGTCGAATGCATCTCAGCAGCTGGCCGTTGCCTTCCTCCTTTGGTCATTTTTAAGGGGAAAAGCGTTCAACAACAATGGTTTCCTTTGGATATGAAGCCATTTCAGGATTGGTTCTTTACAGCAACTGAGAAAGGATGGACTACCGATGAGACAAGCCTCAAATGGTTAAAAAATGTGTTCATTCCTCTCACCAAGCCAGCAAACTCCTCTGAGAAACGACTCCTTATTATTGATGGCCATGGCAGCCACACAACTGCCGATTATATGTGAGAGGCATTCACAAACAATATTCACATTATTTATCTGCCTCCCCATATTTCCCATGTCCTCCAACCCCTAGATTTGGCCATATTTGGCCCCCTAAAACGACTTTATCGCAGACGGCTTGAGGACCTTCTTGCTAACGCCTTTGACGACTCTTCTGTAGCCGGAAAACGTGCGTTTCTGGAATGCTACCAGATTTCACGCACAGAGGCAATTACTAAGAGTAATGCTAAGTCAGGATGGAAGGCATCAGGCCTTTGGCCCTTGAATGTCAACAAACCGCTAAGAAGCCCACTCCTCCTCAAGAATTCTAATACTTCACGCCCCTTAAGAACTACTATAGTTACCCCAGAGGTTCGCACACTCCGTATGCCAATCCTGGAGGATTATGGAGACGATCGGGTGCAGTGGAGGACTCCTAGAAAGGCACGTGATTACGTTGAGCAGGTAAAGAAGTTCGCACGCATCATCAAAGCAATGCCAGCGGATAAGCTCTTCCTCAGAAAGATTGGTAAGGCTTTGGATGAACAGGCCTTTGAACTGGCTATTAGGAAGCGAAAGATTGAAGGTCTAGAACACACTCTCGAATCAATAAGAGCCAGAAAGAAGAAGAAGGTTGAAGAAGATCCAAATACCACCTTTGCGAATATTCAGACTATTCGTGAGGCCCAGAGAGCTGTAAGGCGTGCAGCAGAGGTTTTAGAAGATGCGGAAGAAGCGGATGATTCAGAGGATATCAAAGATTGTATTGAAGTTTTGTAAATAAAAAGATCACCCTTTCTTTTGTTGGAGGGTTAGTTGGGACTCCTGCTTATACAGAATGTTCTAAATCAGTAGTGTTCGCTTACCCCCCCACCTAACTTAACTAATTAAAATTACTTTTGTTGAGCTACCTAGTCTTTGCCAGAGCTGTGGGGTAGTTCTGTGCAGGGTTGCTGCAGTGGGCTCGGTACTGCAGCGTGCGTGGCGGAAGCGAATATCGTGAGTATTCCCGTACAATAGCAGAGCTTGGTAAGGTGCTAAGGGAAACAAGAAGCCGTGTTACAGTGGACTCTGCACTGGAACGAAGGTCTGTGAGTGAACTCTGCACTGGAACGAAGGTCCGAGTGAACTCTGCACTACAAAAGTATGGCTATGCTTGCTGGTGAGCTTGGGTGCTTACTTAAGAGAGAGAGAGAAAGGAAATCTAGTTACAGGAAAGGACGGGCCTTATTATAGACCCAGTAATAAATTCTAGAGGATTCTACAAGTCTCACTCATCGTCAACAGACTCTGTATTTTACAGTCTTCTGCGGAGCCTGAATTGCGCATGCCTGGACCCCTTATAGATTCAAGAACATGCCGTGGGGCTTGTTTAACAATTTGGGTATAGCTTCCCCTACAGCAACCTGGCCACAACACTGCCTTGTGAACAGGGCCCTTAGGGACTGCCAGTGACCTGTGGCAGCCTTAGACAGTTTCCTGGGACTGAAAACCAACGCACGAACCCTGAGAGCCGGATATAATGGGGTTGTTCAGCTCTCTCGCCTCGTACAGCGGTGAGCCCGTCGACGGAAATGCCAAGTGGACGACATTTGCTATCTGCACACTTTCAGCATAGGTTGCCATCTACTTGATCAGGGGCTATCTCGAATACCGGGCGCGCCTTCATTCCGACCCACACCCTTGTCCCGTCCCCATCCGCAGCCCCGAGTCTAATCAGCGCGCATGCACCCCCAAGGCAGCGTGAGATGCTCTTCGGCAGGGAGCACGGATGCCAGCGGCCGCCCGAGATCCCGAATCGGTGACCGCTGGGCATCGACCGGCTCAAACAGTTGTGGGACGCCGACGCGTGGGGCAGCGTGCTCGAGATCGTGAGCGGCTTCGTCGACGACCACCCGACCAACATAATGTCGCAGTTCTTCCTGTTCGGCCCGCAGCCGTTCCACAGCCTGGTGCCGCGCAACGTCGAGGCCATCCTATCGTCCAGCTTCGCCGACTACGGCTTCGGCGTGCGCGCCGACGTCTTCCGGCCCTCTGCGGCGCCGGCATCTTCACCCAGGAGGGCGACGAGTGGAAGGCGTTGCGCACCATGCTGCGCCGCCACCTCGTGCGCGTGCACCTACATCCACCAGCTTGTCGACGCGTGCGTGGCCGAGGCGCGGACCTGGACGCTGGCCGAGGCGCGGACCCGGAAGCTGGCCGCGTCCGTGTCCCCGGGCAAGGATGGCAAGGGCGGCGACGACGGCGACGACGGCGACAACGTCTCTGGCAGCCTGATTTTTGGTGGGAAACGGATGACTGCATTGCTTGCTTGGAGGAAGACTCGCTATCTGGGCTACCGCGGAATATGTATTGGAAAGTGATGGTCTGGATAAGTGGAACCCATAGATCCACCAGTTGGCCTGACAACATGTGCCAAGCCATGCTGATCGAACAGATAATCGCCATGAACCCAGCCGACAATGACAAGGCCGTCCGCAGCCAGGTGCTCAACGTGCCGTTAGGCGGCCGCGACACGACGGCGGCCTGACTGTCGTGGACGTTGTGAGTGTTTCTTTTTTTTTCTTTTTCTGTTTCTTCATATTAACGTCTATATGGGAAAGAATAAGAGATTAAGTAAAAAGAAGATGTCAGGCAACGCTAATCTCACCTCAATAACGGCAGCCGATTGCCCGTACGCACGCCGTACGCACTCGCGAAATTACGCGCCGAGATCCGACGCACTATCGGCGATACGCCGCGCCGCTACGGTCGCGCTGGCCGTGCTCATCAAGCTGATCCTGGCCGAGATCTTATTCCTTCTGGGTACTACTATGGACGTTCAAGAGTGCGCTTCTTCCGCGCCCTACGCAGCCGCGACCTCCACCCCTCTCCTCCCCACCCACCCTGCAGCGGGAAGTAAGGCCGGGCATGAAAGCCCTGGGCTGCTGCCGTAGCTTCGTCTCTAGCATGGTAGAATCGCGGAACCGCGGCCTTCCCTTGTATCATGCATGGGTTTGCCACGGCCGAATGCAATTCTAGCCCGAGTTTCGGGCTTCGGGTCTCGACCATGGCTAATGTGGGATTCGACAGTCGGCCCCAGCACAAGCACAAGGCGGCCAGCCCTCTGCGCCCCGGACGGTTCCCACAGCAAGACTCCGATGCTTACAGCGACGGTCGAGGTGTCTCTCGTCTTCGGGGTTCAAACATGCTCCCGCTCGCATTTGCGCGTAATAGAGAACTTGAAAGGGCACGAAGGACGAGGAACCGAAAATTGAGGCCGTGATTTAACAAGGAAGACGAGTACGATGAAAGAAATGTGTGGTTTATAGATTAGACAACTATGAATACCTCCTCCTACTACTCCTGTCCTCCGACGCGCTCCTCTTCCTTTGGTTTGTGGAATAACGACGCAACTCGAGACCGCTTGAACTTGCCCGGCGCCTCCTTGAGCCTGCGGTAGCTTCCCTTAAGGCTTAGCTTGGAGAGCTTGCGCATGAGTTTAAGCGTCCCCCCCTCGCCATGGTCTGTGCCCTTGTCCTTGTCCGTACTGATACTCATCTTCTGCTTTCCCTTCTCTCTTCCCTCTAGCATCCCCTTCTGCTCCTCGTGGCCATCGTCATGCTTGCTCTGCTGTATTAACAGACGTTCCTCCTTCTCCTTCTCCTTGAGACTACCAATCCCGCTACCCGTCTTGGTAGGTTGGCTGACCTGAACACTATCTGTACCTAACGCTGGGAGCATGGTGTCGGAGTATGACTTCTAGTCATCCTCGCCCTCCTCTCCTTCGCTCTCGGCTATCTCGGCTAGCAATTCCTTATACTCCCGAACTTTCTGTAGAGCTTCATGGTACGCCATCTCGAGAAGGGATTTTCTCCAAATGGCTTCTGTCCTCTCGCTTAAGATGCCGAGCTCGAGAGCCTCTCGGAGCATATCATCCCAGTCGGTAGGCTGTAATGGGAGAATTTTTCGTTTCTCATGGCCCTTAATGTCCAGCTTTTTAATATCTTCCAAAGGCTAGAACATCCGAAGTACCTTCCAAAACTCGAGAGGCTCGTCCATAGATATTGTAGCTAGTATGTCGATAATGTGCGCCGCGTCGACTGCCTCAATACCGGTTAAGGAGCAGCAGTTCTGGTACCAAGGTGGTACCGTCTGCTGGGCTTTTTTGTCGTCTTTGCTGCGGCCTTCCGCTTTGCCTTTGCCTTTGGTCGATGTCTGCTCCTCTTCCTCTTCCTCTCCCTCAACCATCCTAGCCAAGGTCTCGGGAGTATTGCTAGACCAGATAAGTCAGGTGGGGGACTTTTGGAACACCCCTGCCTATGGAACAGCCCCTGAATCGGACCCCGCACAACACCACAAACTTCAATTGCCAACAACTTTGTCAATTAATTAGCTACAATGATGAAGTCTTCAGTATCGGATTCTCCTGATTCTTCTCTTTCAGAATAACCAAGGTCCTCTCTGCCAGCCTCTCTCTGTGAGGCACGAACCTCCTCAATTCCAGCGAACTGCGTATTAGGGTCGACTTGGACCTTCCTTCTCTTTCGGCCTCTTGTGCGTTCTAGGCTTTTTTCTGCAGCCTCCAATTGATGCGCCGTATTGGCTAGTTGGAAAACCACGTAATCGAAGGCTTTTGCGGCCTTGCGTATGAAAAGTCGGTCGTTGGCAGTCCGTTTCTAGCCGGCTAGAAAAACCTACCCCTAAATACGGAAATCCTTCGGCTTTTTAGGGGTAAACCATATAGGCCGGCCCTCCGAATTCTTATTTAGAATGGGGTTATGGACCTCTTGAAGGTCTATAGAAACCGTAGAGGTCAATTGACCAACGTCGCCGTTAGAATTCTTAATAACAAGGCCGTTGCTTAGGGGCTTCCTGAGGCTGACCGGCCAGAGGCCTGTAGCTTTCCAGCCGGCTTTGATATTAGATTCAGTCATTCCATAGACCCTGGCTTGCCGGTAGAATTCTAGGAAGGCCCTCTTTTCAGCAATAGTGCCTTCGTCGAAGCCGGAAACAACCTCGTTATGCTTGGCTCTGTACCGGGCTTTTAGAGGGCCGAAAACCGATAAATCCAGGGGCTGGAGAACGTGGGAGGTGTGGGCTGGTAGAAATAACAATTGTACGTTATTAGAAAAGGCTAGCCACATGAATTCTTCGGTGGTATGACTACCGTGGCCATCTAAAATAAGGAGGCGCTTCTCCGAGGGGGTAGCTGGCCGAGTCTCTGGAAGAAAGATATTGCGGAGCCATGCGACGGCAGTATCATCGTCAGACCAGCCGTTTTCAGTGGGTTTCCACTTCCAGCCCTTAAATGGCTGTAAATCGCGTGGATACCATTGTTGTTGAAGGCTTCCACCTTTGAAAATGACGACTGGGTTCAAATACCAGCCGTCAGCGGAAATACATTCGATAATCGAGGTCCAAATTCGGTCTCCTTTCTTCTTTTTCTGGAATTTCTTTCTTTCCTTAGATCCAACAACCAGGCCGTTATCTCCAATGCCAGAAGCAATGCCAGTTTCATCCATATTATACCTATGCTTGGCTGGAATAGCCTCCACGCCTGGAGGCTTCAAATAGTCAAACCAAGGCCGGATAACGGCCTCACAGGCTCGATCAGCACGGTTTGCATGGATTCTCCGAGGCCTAATTGTAGAAATAGATGGATTTCTAGCCAAAAACCGGCTAGTCCAGCGTTTTCCGAGGGTCTCGTTATCTTGAGCATTCTTCTAGCTAGTTTCCGAATTTGGGCGTGGGTTGGAGGGTGACCGAGCGACCCTTGGAATAGAATCCATTCGGTTAAGCGTTCTTCCATAGCCGGAGAAAGCTTTTGATTAAGAATTTGGGCCTTGGAGGCTGGCTCGGAACCACGAACCCGATTAAATAGAGTAGTAGGGGGGATGCCGTGATTTTTTCAGCAGAGCTACGGAGTAAGCCGGTTTCTGCATACTCTGCCAGCGCATTCTGCAAATCCAACTGAGTATATCGCTTCATCTTTCATTTCTCAATTGAATGGAGAAAAGAAGATAAGTATTGAAGCAGAATTGGTCGAGTTGCAAGCGATTGAAATAGGTGAGTTGGGTGGCGAGCGGCAAGTCCTTGATGACAAACCTTGTTCCAAATCCAGGGGTGTTCCATAAGCAGACCACCTGACTTAGAAGAAGAGGAGGCAGTTTTCCATAAATTTCAGTAGAAGAAAGCAGTGGGCCCTGAGCGGTGGGCGCGCGCATGGACTACACTCTAAATACAATGCAGCTAATAGAATCTATCTTGTCACCTGGGAGAAAAAAAAGTCGTTTACTTCGATAACTAAGTGTCACGACAATAGGGATTAGTGAGCAAAAGAAGGACCTAGAAGCTGCTACTTGATTCTTCGCTACCAGATTTTGCCACTATTCATAATATCGCATGGGCCATATCAATAGGCCTGTGAGAGTGACTTGATTGGGTGTATCCGAATCATAGTAGGTCTGCGACTGTGGGATAGACAAAGTCGCTGACCATCCATATTCCCAAAAAGCCTGCTAATCACAACAACAGAAGCGCCAAGTCGACCTCACGCTCCGCCGTCAACCCATCAGCTTCCGCACTCGCTTCTCTATGCTCGCCTCAAACTCCTGCACGCCGCCCGGCAGCAGCACCAGCTTACCCGCATGGATTTTATACACGAGCCTACGGCGCGCAGCATCTGCTCCTGCGCCTTCACCATCATCACTCCCATCACTCTCACTCCCACCCCCCTCCTCCTCATCGACGTCCCCCTCGACGACCCCCCGGACAAACCACCTGTCATGGGACACGAGCACGACGGCACCAGGCCAAGCTCTCAGCGCACCGCGCAGGGCCGCGACGGTCTCGTAGTCGAGGTGGGTAGTGACCTCGTCGAGGACGAGCAGGTGCGGGCGGCGCCACAGCAGGCGGGCTAGCTCGCAGCGCACTAGCTGGCCGCCCGACAGCTTGCGCAGCGGCACGTCGGACGCCACGCGGCCGGCGAGCCCCAGCGACGCCAGCAGCCCGCGCACGTCGCCCTCGTCGAGCGCTGCTGCTTCATCCCCAGACGATGACGACGAGGTCTCGCGGAGGAGCAGCGACAGGGCCGTGAGCGACGGCTCGGCGCGGCCGAGGTTTTGGAGAAGCGACACGGCGTGCTGCGAGTAGTAGCCGAGGCGCAGGCGCGGGTGGCGCGTCAGGCCCTGGCGCGTGCTGGTACTGCCTGAATCGCCAACCAGCAGGCGCACAAGCGTCGACTTGCCGGCGCCGTTGAGGCCGAGGATGGCGATGCGGTCGCCGAGCGCGGCCGACAGCGTGACGGCGTGCAGCGCGTCGGCCTTTTGCCCAGGGTAGCGGAAGCTGACGCCCTCCAGGCTGAGCAGAGGCCCGGGGAAGCGCAGCTCGGTCGGCGGCGGCAGGGCGACGGCGGTGGCGCGGCGGGAGTCGTCGGCCGGCACGTCGAGGGCGTCACGCTTGCTGAGGTGGAAGCCGGCCAAGTCGCGGTTGAGCTTGAAGCGGGTGCCTTTCGCCGAAGTCTGCACGCCCCAGCGCTCGTCGAGCTTCTTCTGGCGCGACTTGGCCTGACGCACTTTCGCCGTATCGTCGGCGCGGCGGCCGGCGGCCATGTTCTGCCGGATGGTCTCCTGCATGTGCGCCTTCTGCTTGTCCTGCGCGGCGGATACCTTGGCCAGGTGCGTGCGCCGCTCGGCCTGCGTCGCCTCGTACAGCGCCAGGTCGCCGTGGAAGTAGCTGAGGGCCTTGTCTTTGAGGATGAGCAGGTCGGTGCACAGCGAGATGAAGTCGCGGTCGTGCGACACGAGGATCAGCGTGGGTGCGGTGCCGCCGTCGGGGTCGTGGTCGTCGCCGTCGCTTGACAGCGAGGTTAGGTGGCGCTGCAGCCACAGGATGCCCAGCAGGTCGAGGAAGTTGGTGGGCTCGTCGAGGATGAGGATGTCCGTGCCCTGCAGCAGGGCGGCGGCCAGCGCGCTTCGCATGGCCCAACCGCCCGACAGGCTCGCCGCGGGCCGCGCCATGTAGGCGTCGCTGAAGCCGAGGCCGGCCAGCATCTTCTTGGCCCGCGCCTCGAGGTCCGACATGCGCGCCGGCTCAACCTGCAGCTGCAAGTCGGCGAGCTCGTCGGCCGCCTCTTGCGTCTCGGTCTGCAGCGTGTCTGCCGAGATGTCTGCATCGGCCTGCTCGTTTCTGGCGGTCATGTTAGACTGATTGGCTCGTTGTGTGGTGATGGCGGTGTGGTACAGCAAGGGCACTTCCCTGAAGAGGGAGCCAGGAGGGGCAAACGGGGCAAAGATAAAGTAAAGGGGAGCTAAAAGGGGTCTCACAGAGCAGCCGACTGAGCAACAGCCTTTTCATGCTCGACGAGGGCCTTGCGCGCCTGCAAGCCGCGTGCGCCGCTCCTCAGACGGGCGTCCTTGTCGAGAACAAACAGGTGTTTCAGCATGCGGGTGTGGCGGAGCTGGCGCAGGGCGCGCAGGGCGCCGTACGGCTCGTCGCTGTCGATGCCGACGAACAAGACTGTAAGCAACAGTATTAGTAACAGCGTTATTAAAGATGCCCCCTCCCACTGCCCCTATTCGCGGTCTCGGATACATGATAGATAGATAGACAGGACATAACGAACTAGCAATCTCCTGCTCGAGCTCGCTCTTGGCCGTGGCCTTGTCGATGACGCTCTCGAGCACCGAGGGCGCGGCCACAGCAGCAGCGGCTGTTTCGGTTCCGGCGTCGTCGTCCGAGTTGGCGGCGTCATCGGCGTTGGTCTGCTGCAGGATGGTGACGCGCGTCTTCTCGTGGATGCCCGGGATGAGCTTCTCTGCGATGGCTCTTAGAAGGGCTGCAAGGAAGTGGGGTTGGGTCAACAAGCAAGACTAGAACCGAGAGGATGGTAGAAACTAACTCGACTTGCCTGAGCCGTTGCGGCCGACGAGGGCGTAACGGCTGCCGGGCCTGAGGCGCAGCTTGGCGTTGCTGAGGATCTCGGTGCCCTCGGCGCCTTTGCTGGCCTTGGCTTTGGCCTTGGCTGACTTTGTGCTTGTGGTTGTGCTGGTGCTGGCGCCCTCGCTCGGCGGGGCTGGTGCCGCCGACGTCACGGTGATGTTGAGGCCCTCAATGTCGAGCTGCGACCGTGTAAGTCGGGCAGCTTACCCGGACAAGACAACACAAGAAAACGCACCTCGCGATAGTTGGGCGACTCAATGTGGAAGCGCGTCTGCTTGCACGACACGAGGATGGTCGACACCGACTCGGCCGACATGGACGTCATTGTGCTGCTTCTGCTTCTTCAATTGCAAGACGTACTGCACAAGCCGATGCGATGCGATTCGATGCGATGCGATGCGATGCGATGCTTGTCCGACTTGCAAGTCGCTGGTTGTTCCGGGAAGGGCAAACAAGGAAGAAAGACTTGGTAAAAAGAAAGACAGTGATGCTCTAGCTCCCCAATTGAGACCAAACTGCTGAAGAAAAAGAGGGAATTAATTAGTTAACAGACTGGCTGCTGAATGGTAGCTGGTGTTGCCATTTTATCCCATCTTTGCCTCTCCACCAGGTTGGCCCTTCTGGTAACCGTTACGCGGGTTGCGAATTGGGATGCATGGCAGCATCAATCCCGCCGCCGCTTCCCGAATTGGGGGTCGGTGCACTTGAGCCTTGGGGTAATCCAAGTCTGTCTGAGGCGTGAGTCACGCCGGCCCGCCGCCCGACACCTACAGAGCAAAGCAACCCGCATCGAAGGCGCATCGAAGGCACAGAACCGTCTTTTGGTCTTGCTCACCCGGCAAAGCCCAGGGCACTGCCGCCGCGCGAGTCTGGTCCAAGCGAACTAATGGGAGCATACCGACCAGCTGTGCCTCGAAACTTAAAAGTCAAACCCGGGTACAGCACGCGCCGTTCCATCCGCTCGAGTCAATTGGTAATTAATTGTGGATGCCACTTTTGTAGTGCCATTCGACAAGGTACCGAGAACGGAACACCTGGACCTAGAATTATATGAAGCGCCTCGCTCCCAAGCTGCCCTATCCCCTTCCTTTCCGATTCTGGTTTCCCAACGAGGCGCTAACGGGTAGAAAAGTATGATTATATACGGTGATGTGCAAAGAAACCCGTATTCTGTAAAAGGCGTATTTTGTACGAGACGGCGGACAACTATCCGCCCGCCTATCCCATGTCTATCCCCCGTGACGCCCACCAAACACCCAAAAAGGAGTGGCGACCAAGCCAGGACAGCCGCTAGTAGCCCTGCGCGTAGTACGGCCGCCCGGGCCCCGCGCCAGGGCCGGGGCTCCTCCGCGGATACTCGTCTTGGTGGTGCGCCAGTGGCGGCGGTGTCGTGGTCTGGTAGTAGTCTTCTTGGCCGTAGTGCTGCTGCGCCGGTGGCGGGGCCGGCGACGTCGGGCTGCTCTTCTCGGCGTGGACGTGGCCCATCTCGGCCGCAAACGTCGTCGTCGCCACCCACGCGGCCGACGTGCGCGGGCTCGTCTGCTCCATCATCTTGTCGATCTGCTCCAGTGTGAGACCCTTCATCTCGGGCACCAAAAAGTAGGCAAACGCCAGCGACAGCATGCACAGCGAGCCCCAGATGAAGAAGACGCGCGGGCCCAGGTCCGCCGACCCCGGCGAGTTGCCCACCATGTACGGCGTGATGACGGCGATGATGCAGTTCCAGAACCAGTTAGACGCCGTCGAGAGACCCACCCCGCGCGACCGGATCGGCAGCGGGAACGCCTCACCCACAATGACCCACGCCACCGGGCCCCACGTGGTCGCGAAGAAGAAGATGTTGATGCAGATGAAGGCAATCATGGACTTGACCGCGCCCGCGTTGTTCGCCTCGACCCGCCCCGCCGTCACCCCCACAATCGCCACAATAAACTGGGCGCCTATCATACCAATTGCGCCTCCGATCAGCAGCAGCCGCCGCCCAAATTTCTCAATCGTCCAGAACGACAGCGGCGTCGACACCACGTTGACGAGCGTCGTCACCAGCGAGATGAAGAAGGGGTTCGAGATGGTGCCCAGCTGCTGGAAGAAGGTTGTCCCGAAGTAGAAGATGAAGTTGATACCTATTGTTATGTATTGTTAGCCCATGAGCCGGCGACAGAGATGGGAAACTAACCTGTAAACTGCTGCATCATCTGCAGGCCCGTCCCGAGAATGGTGCGCCGGAGGTTGCCGTTGCCCTTGGACAGGCCGCCCTGGAAGCAGGCCATCCACGACCCGATGTAGCTCGTCTGCGGAATCACTTGCATCTCGTACTCGTGGTTGGCAACAATCTCGGCAAGTTCGTCCTTGATGAACTCGGACTCGACGGGCTGCCCGCGCACCCGCGCGAGGTCTTCGGCGGCACACTCGAGCATGCCCTTCTGGACGTGGTAACGAGGAGATTCGGCTGCGGGCAAGACGGTCAGTTAGGGACTGTAAAAGCCGCTCCAGCCTCGTGCCGTCCACTTACGCAGCAGATACAGGCCAATGCCCAAGATGACGGCCCACAGAAACTGCACGCCGATGGGAATGCGGTAAGAGCCCGTGTCGTTGCGGTTCGCGGTGGCGTAGACGACGCAGTTGGCAAACAGGATGCCGAGTGTGATGCAGAACTGGTAGCCCGACACCAAAGCACCACGAAACCTCCTGGGCGCCACCTCGGACATGTACAGGATGATGATGGCCGAGATGAAGCCCACACCACCGCCGGCTACGAGTCGGCCGATGACAAAGAGGACCTCCTGGTTGGTGGACGCGATCTCGAGGATGCACCCCAAGCAGAATATGACGCATCCCGTGATAATGGTGGGCCGCCGACCATAGAAGTCGGCAATGTCACCGGCAATGAGAGCGCCAAAGAAGGTACCGCAAGAGAGAATAGATGTCATGAGCGACTTGGTCGCCGAGGGCAGGGCAAAGGCCGCCGCCGAAACCCCGATTGGCGTACCCGTGTCGTAGTCATACTGCAGGCCGGTGTAGAGGCTGATGAAGTAGGGCATGCCCAACGTGCCAGACATCCAGCCCGTGTCGTAACCAAAGACTGGGCGTCGAGGAACTACCCGTCAGCAAACATTCGCGAGCAGAGCAAGCACGGCAAGACGAGCAGGAGCGACAGCTAGATATTCGACTTACATATTCCACCAAAGGCCGCAAAGCCGCAGAGCAGGTAGGCCTTGAAGGTGACAGGGGCCTCGATCCTCGACAGATCGGCCGTACCCGAGATGGGGTAGATGGCGACGCCGACCATCTTGTCCGGCTGGTATGCGAAGCTATCGGGATTCCAGGCTCAAGGTTGGAGCTGACCAAGAATGCACCAGGGACAGGTGCGAGCAGGCGAACCGAGATATATCGCGGGCCACTTAAGGAGCAGGAAGCGGGAGGCAGGAAGCGGGAGGCGGGATGCGGAGCGGGATGCGGAGCGACTTATTCAGCAACAGCCGGATGCGACCGACCTAAAAGGGGTGAAAGAGCGTCTTCTTCGTAATCTAGGAGACCAGTATTGGCATGGTCATTCAGCAGTTGCCGGATGAGAAGCCGTTTGGGAGCGGCATGCAGCAAAGAAAACAGTGCAATGGCCCAACCAGGACAATGGACGAAAGGCAGAGGTCGGAGCTGGGGCCGCCCGCCCATATAACCATCTTATTCCTCAAAGGAGCCCGTGTGGCAGCTGTGGCTGTCTGGCCCCTGGTGCGGTGCTCTGGGCGTGGGAGAAAAGCACTAATTTTCATTAGGGGAGCGAAGTGTTTCCCTGGCCCGTAGCTTGTCAGCTCGCCCACTAGCCCACTCCTTCATCCCGACTTGCAGCCACCAGCAGGCCCCAGCCCTTTCGGCAATGTTGTGCAAAGTTCGTGTGCCCGCGGTCGGCGCGGGTTCTTGGGCTGCTGATTTCCACTGCAGCGAGGGCTGCGGGTAGACGACCACAGCACGGCCAGGGCTGGATTGAGCGAGGGTGATTGGGTGCACGAGAAGGTGGTGCGACCCGGTTTGTGCAATAATGCCAAGAAAAGACTAGACTCTTCTTTGAGGGCAACCACCAAGCCTGGGCGGGGGTTCAGGACATGTTGGTTCTTGTTATGACCACCATAGCGGCATGGCAAGATCAAAGCGGATCTAGGCAGAGACAAAGGAACAGCGTGCTGGGAGTCGAGCGAGACGGCAGCGTCCTTGTCCACCACATGTATTCGTATGGAAAAGTGTACTGAGGTACCTACGAGTCTAGGCTCGTAACTCGTTCCGAATCACCGCGTGGTCGGTCGACCAGACAAGACAAGACGAGCGAGTTCCGCAAGCCAGCCAGACGTGGAGCGACGATTCTCAGTTTGTACCATCTATGCGACTTGGCGAGCTAGAAGGTTAGGACAGGCAAGCCAGCGAATGCAGCGCCGGGGCACTGGTCAGCGGGCATGATGTGCGCCTCTCTGTGGCTTTTTAACGTCGTTGGGATTGGACAAGCCGGCAGGACTATCACAGAGCGCTTCCAATTTTTGCAGTCTTAGGCAGACGCAATCCGAAAGAAGACATGCCCAGCCCCCATCCGGCGTGTGCCCAGTCAGCACTTATCGGCGAATAGTCTGCCACCCTTATTCAGATACTACATCTTTCTCAATGGTGGTCTTGAGCGTGCGTTTGCGACGGAGGAGGTTCTGGATCTCGAGGGGCGGTGGACGTCGGAGATGACATTAGCACTCGCTTAAGCAGCCTCTCTGCAATTTTGAGCGAAACCTGTATCCTGGACGCACAGACACAGCGACTCAGGGGGCTGAAGAGAAGAACAGGTGGTCTCCGCATTGAATGGCACCCCATCAATCACAATCGCAACACCGGGCTACAGAGAAGAGCCAAGGAATCCTCGGGTCCCTACAGTGCGTCGATGGTGCGTCTGCGGTCTGGAACTCCCGTCTGGATTCCCGGAACTCGTTCTCCGCAAGGCAGCGTGGGGTAAATGTCTCGCCCGCTCCTGTGCCGCCAGCGCATTTGCTGATTGATGGATGGGCCCCAGCCAAGACTTGCACTGGCGAGGCGAGTGTGGTGCGGTGTGCAAGTCGATGGAGCCCCAATTGAACAAACGAACTTGAAATGGACGATGTGTGGGATCGCCTTAAGGTTTTCTTGGCGCCGGCAACAGGGTGCCATTTTCCCCAGGGGAAGTGTGTGGATCAGTGGATGACAAGACACTGCCGTCGTCGCTTCCAGTTCAGGTAGCATTCCAACCCGCGAACTCAATCCGGCCCGCCAGTTTGCATCTCTGGCCCACTGTTTCTGTCTGAACCACGTGTGAGAACTGAGAACTACGTAAATGAAAGAGGTGAGTGAGACGCATGTGCAGTAATCCAAGGCATCCACGAAAAATTTCAATTTTTCGCACAATTTGGCCGACAGATGCAGGATTACGAGAGTCGCGCACCTCAATGGCCGAAAATGGAGAGAGCGGGAGACCCAGGCCACCACTACCCAAATCCAAATGGAGGTCAGCAAGGTGTCGATTACCTCAAATTCCCCAACCGAGCCCAGACAAAATGCGTTCCAAATCGCCCGCCCGTTGGTGCCTTTTACGTGTATAGGAGAGGCAAACATGCAGCCCGATCCTTCCGCCGCAGCTGCGCACGACAACGATGCACGGCTTGATACGCTGTATCCGCTGATTGCTGTCGGAGCCAGGCGTCTAGTTGCGGCGCAGCCCCCATCCAAACCCGTCCACACAATGCACGTTGATGGGGCGCCACGGCCCGGGGCTGAACAGCACAGCACAGCACAGCACAGCACAGCACAGCCCTCGTCCTCGTCGGGGGCGGCCAATAAGCCCCGAGTGGCAGCTCCATCTCCTCCCGAGCCGCAACTGAGCACTGGGCAGCCGTGGCAGGCGCTGCTTCTTGTGGTTGCACGCATGAACTTGTGCTGGTCTGCAGGTTTGCACAGAGAATTAACACAAATAGACCCCACGCTTCCACTAACATGACATCTCTGCTTCTCCAGAGTCTCTTCTTTCCCGTGCCTTTGTCTGCCAAACAATTGCGGCATGAGCACGCCATTCATTCGTTATTATTCGACGGAAAGAGCTGTCAATCGCCGGCTCATCATCCACTGAGAAAATTTTACCACAACCACCTCCATGGAGCAAGGACAGATTCTCACTTCATAAGCACTCAAGTGCCACAGACTTTACAGTCTTGAGTCAAGGTATGGTAGCTACAGTGAAAGCAGGCGAGTAATGCTCGTGCTTTAGTAGCGGAAATCAACCAAATCTCACTCAGCTGAAACAAGAGCACAGAAGCTTATTACAATCTAGTCGTCGTGGTTTAGTTATTCCCTTGCTTGCCATTTTTCCCTTCCAAAGTAATGGCGCACAGTCTAAAAGTTCAAAGACGTCGATAAGATTTCTAAACCCCTAGTTCGGTAGAGGAGAGTCATGGCGGAGGTGACTTTACGCTAAACTCGACACAATATGATCTCCTCGTCTCTGTTTCTTTCTTTTTTTTCAGTGGCAAGTAAGCCATGCTGTAAATAAGCAGCCGCGTGTGTCCTCGTCGCTGAGCACTCTGACATCCAAAGATGCTGCATCTATTCAAATCTGCTGCTTTAGAACCAGAGCGAATCCTCCCTTAACTTGCAAGTTTCGGATCTGAAAAGCCGACTCCGATCAGTGCCCAGCTCGCCTCGCAACCCGGGATACTCAGTCTCGTCGTGGTCATGAAAGCCCCCATCGCATAAACCTGTATCACTTCACATGCAACCCACACACCCCTCTCCCGCTTCAACAGGGTTGTCCGGAGTAGCAGGCGACGCGACGTAGGTCCAATCTAACTGTGCCTTCTTTTTTTTCCCTCTGTAATATTTGAGTCTCCAATTCGGCTGTGACACCGAGATTTCGTTGTGTGGAACTCGTCTTACGCATTCTCATGCATGATGATGATGATAATGGTGCCTCCAGAGGGAACTCACGTCCGACACACACCCGCCCTCACAGGCAGGCAGTCACACAAACAACCATATGCAAATACATATGCATAAAATTAGATATCCGCCCCACCTAATTACTCTACCCACCCATCCACACCAGCTGAGTACGAGGGTGGGAGTTTTTGTCTTGATTTGGAAAAGAATAAGAATAAGAAACGAGACGCCCGCTGCTCGTTAGCAGGTTCATCTTTGTGGCTTGTTTTGATTCTTAGTGGCGACGCATTGGCCAGACCAGTAATTACGCAACGAAATCGATTGCTTGTCTGTCTGCCTTGTTCTTGCTCTTCGGAGTGACGGACGACTGATTATATACAGACAGGCCAGAGATGGCGGAACTGAGAACCAGGCCCGATCGCGATGTATGTACAACAGGAGAGAAATTATGCATCCTGCACAGGAAAGAAGAGACAGTGAACTTGTACCACACGGTTTCCTTGTTATCCATCCCCACAGCCAATTATCCAGCACGGTGGTTTCTAGTCAATCCCTCAATAACAACCGTATCGCCATGAAACTTTCTCGACAAGCTACAAAGCGTGGTTTCCCCCTCATATTAGTCTGAAATGGTTGAACAAAAATTGCCGTGATAATCCTCGCTTTCCAAGGATGGGTTCTTCCCCATGCTCTGTTCATTGCGAAAACAGAACATTGACTCTCCGAGTGCCTTGGACTTGGTAATCAGGCACCGCAGCCCGATTTTGTTTGCGGGTTCGGCTGGGTTCTCGGCTCGACGGGCGGGTTCGGCCGGGACTCTATGTCCTGCACGATGTCGCTGAAGTAGTCTGCGAGGTCCCTTCCGTCCCACTCGGACTGGAGCGCCGCGACCTGGGCCTTTTACGTGCCCTCTAGGTAGGTATTCTAGGCCCTCTCGGCGAGCCAGTTGTTGAAGGGGATCGTAGCCTCGTCGTCGCGCATGGCCTAAACCTACTCCCACAGCATGTTTGTCGCGAACTAAAACCGGTTAATCAGGTCATAGGGGCGCGCCCGGGTGTTCTGCTTGCTGGTGACCAGGTGGTTGCCTAGAATCAGGTATGTACCTAAGTACCTCACGGTATCTTAACTTTAAGGTGTGGGTACCTTATTTCACCCAAGTCTGGCAGAAGAAGGCTTGTTTATTTAGAAACAATACAACGCGTCTCAATGTTTCCGTCACACGCGTCGAGGCATGAACATTTTCCTAGGCGTGAGCCAGAAGGAGCTCGTCATGCCTGTTACGGCAGCGATGCCCGCCACCTCTCCCTCGGCCAGCTCGGACCGCTGCTCGTCCTCTGCCTTGTTCTCGATCTCAGAGATCTTCCAGCTCCGCAGAAACCACAGCGAGACGGAGCCGGCAAAGAACATCACGCCCACATAGATCTGCGCCGGGAGGAACTGGTTGACGCCCGAACCCTGCACCAGCTGCAGCGCGATGGCCTCGGCAAACGTGGTCGGCAGCACGAGCGCAAAGCAGATGACACCAAAAACGCTGCCGGCCTCGGCGATGCCCACCACCTCGGCCAGGATCGGGTTCACCGTGCTCCAAAAGGTCCCCGACACGACGCCCACCATGGCCGCAAATACCAGCAGGCCGGCATAGTTCCTCGCCAGGATCCAGAGCGTGAGACAGAGAACCGCGGCGGTCATCGTCGTGGCCAGCGCCATGTTGATGCGCCCGATTCGGTCGCTGTACCAGCCGATCAACGGCCGCCCGAGCCCCAGCCCCGTGCTCAGCAGTGCCTGGACGACGGCGCCCTGGCTCGGGCTCAGCCCGACCGAGGTGGCGTAGCTGGGTAGGCCGTACCAGAGCGTCACGTAGCCAAACTCGGCGAGGAACCCCCAGCAAAGAATCAAGATGACTTGCGTGCGCGCAAAATCGCGCGGGTTGAACGAGTGCCGACTCCTGCGCGTCGAGGCCGAGGGCGGGCGCTCACGAACCAAGAGAGCGCATATCACGTTGGCCGCGAGGCTGGTGAACCCAAGAATCCGCCAGGTCCAGGCTGGTCCCGAGATGGCAATGAGGCGTCCGGTGGTCAGACTGTATGCGAGGCCGCCGAGCCCGGCGCCCGATGTGGCAAACCCGACGGCCAGGCTGCGGTGGGACGAGAACCACGGCGGGAGCAGGGCCATTGCCTAGGTAGTTGAGAATAGAAGAAAGTTAGATATTCTTATTTTCTTTTGAAAAGGGTCCGAGTTGGGCTCACCGGGATATACATCAGCCCTATGCCGGTGCCGCAGCAGAGGCCGAAGCTGAGGAAGAGCTGCCAGACCTCCGTGGCAGCCGAGGCGGAGAACAGGCCGGCAAAGACGAGCACGGCGCCGAGCAGCATTGTAAGGCGGGTGCCGAAGCGCTTCTGGCTGGCGGCGACGGCGGGGGAGCTGAGCAGGGCCTGCGAGATTGACAGGCCGCCGATCATGGCGTACTCGAACTTGGTGGCGTTGGGGAAGGTGTCGAGGGTGAGGTAGCGGTCGAGGAAAATTCCCCACGACGTGTTGACCCCCCAGGTGTTGGCGTTGATCATGAAGACGCAGAAGGTGCACATCCACCCGTACCCGCCGTCGGGGGGCACATCCTCTACCGTCGCCACGTTGCCGACCGCCGCCTCGAGAGATATCGACGTCTGGGATGGGTCTGATAAGCCCACAACACACTGTTGGCCGGGCTCACTGTGGCTTTGGGACCGAATCCGAGGCTCCATCTCATAGCATGAAAAGCCCGGCGTTGGCTTCTCAGTGGACATGGCCTCGGCTGTGATTGAGGCGACAGGGGTCTAATTATCGAACTGCTGTCAACAAAGCGAACTCGATATGGATTCGCCCAAGAGATGGGTTGACTTCCCACCCAGCTATATGTATCCCCCGCGACCTGGCAAACAGTCAATCGGAACGCATCCGATGCTACCTCTCAACGAACGGCTCGGTCATGGGTCGAAGGCGGGGAAAGGGGGTCCACATGGACGGCAACAAGCCGAGAACGGACGCACGCGCCACTTATCGATGCCACGTCGACTGCTTGCTTCCGAAGGGCTTGCGCCCTTTGATCTGGCATGTAGTCACAACTACATGGTAGTTTCTGAGATGGGGCGTCAGGCAGTCCAATCACTGCAAGTGCTGACACACCTGAGGGCCGTTGGCCGGAGGGTCGTGTGGTTTCTGCAAGCGTTGGACGAGTCGGACGTTTGTTCCCGGTTCCGGCCCTCCATCTGCATTTGCAAATTCAAATGCAATGCAAATGCAAACCCGGGGCGGGTAGGCCTCCAGTCTCGACAATCCGGGTTCATTTAGGAGGTCGCCATCTAAGTCTCGGCCGCTACCTGGCGCTGCTCTCGTTTCTTTGCTCTGGACAGGTCTGAGAGTGAGATGCAGGGTGTGGTGGGATAACTTGAAGGTAAAAAGTATTGGTGGGTCTTGCTAATTATCAGAACAAAATTGCCAAAAGTGAGATCGTTCTTGCCCTAATTTCCTCATGTTTTGACAACTTCGACAAAGGAAAGAACTTCTCCTAAAAAGGAATTATCAAACTGCTCCTTCCCAAAGAACCCGATACCCCCAACTGCGAACCCAAACTGTTCCGCCCCCAATCCAATTATTAAGGTACTTACACAAAGGGTCGGAAGCGACAGCGTTCACGCTCGCGCTTCTCCCTGTACGCTTTCCGGGCGAATTCATTCTCGCAGCCTGAGTTCCCACACCGGCAGCACGTTCTTTGGGGTTATGTATGCCGTGTATATTGCACACTAAATAAATCAGGTTATACATGGTGCAAACATGTTTCCGACCATTCTTCCCAAAACTTCAGAAATTCAGATTGCCTTTGCCCTTTCCATCGCGTGGCCGAGTTAGATATGAGAGAGGGTGTGAAGCCACGAAAATTTCCCCCGGATTGTCACCTCGCAGCATTCCTCCATCCGCAGCGGCAGAACCAGCACAGCTCACACTCCAGCCGTTTGCCGACCCGTTGCCGATCATCCTCTCCGGGGGTTCCGTGAATTAATCTTCACGCGGCGTATGTCCGCAGCAAGGCGTGCTTATATGCTGGGAACATCTCGAAACTCATGGTATTGGCAGTAAGATCTGTTCTTCTGTGTCTCCCCAGAACAACCCGGCTGATGGTAACTATCTAGTACATGCTTTAGTTAGCCCCAAGTCTGCGCCGGGTGATGTAGGCAGGCCAGGAACGCAGTGTGGCACAACGTACGCATATCGCAATAGCTGTATTGCACCCTGGTTGCTGAGTCCGTGTACACTTTATCTCCACAGCCAACGATTCCGCAACAGTCTGTGAGGCCATGTTGGTGTCTCTGCTGCTTGGCTAGGGGAAATGGGCTGAAGGAGGCTTGAGCTGTGCGTAGAACTAGCTTGTTCTAGAATTATAGGTCCGAGTTGGATCAAGGGAAGGTGTTGGGATTGTGCCTAGCCTGATGGGTCTGGGTGTTGTCTAGACTAAATACCTCAGGGGCACTATCCGTCATGTGCCTACATGTAGGACCGACCCGACCCCCTCTTGATTTTCGTATGCAAGACAGGCCCCCTATGCGACGTGGAAGCTCTGTGGTGCCTAATCAAGCTTCCTGGTCGTTTTTATTGGCGAGAAATTGTGGTGGGACGAGTCCCTAAGTGCATCTTTCTACGTCACGGGAAGCGGGGCTGTTTCTGCGATTACAGCACAGGGTCGTCGAGATGAGGATGGAACGTGGTGAGTAATTCCCTACGCGTCTCTTATTGGGTCTCTTGGGTGTTTTATTGAGTCTGTCTCGACCAATGGTCGGCGTGATTATGGGGCGGAGCCGAGCAGGTTGTTACCAAGTCTTTATCTGACACTAATTACAACTTATTGATAGCTGTCCAAGATTGTTCTGAACCATTGTACCACTTTCAGGTAGTTGATTAAAAATACTGTCACAGCCTGCCGCAATACCAACAGATTGAACAGATGTTTGCCTGTTGCCTGGAACCCGGCCAACAGCAGCTGTATTGTCGAAACTCCCGCCACACATCACCACACAAGCAAAGTATTGGCCATGTTCAATTATAAGGGAGCTGCTTTATCCACCATCCCACCTGATCAGGTTCGAGACCACTATTTATTTTTGATCTTGTCTTAGAAACTTGTAGTTGCTTGTTACCAATCCGACTTTATACTGGTATAATAAAGCGAACATTGACGAGGGGATAGGTGGCACAGGGAGATGGGGGGCCGTTTATACGAGGGGGATATAACTCCAAACCATTGTAATCTGGTAACTGGGAGACGTTCTTTTTTTCTTCATCCTCGCTTGTTAAACGAAATCTTCATTGCCATCGCAAAAATCCAAGTCCTCTAGTCTTTACGCACGAGCCTGTGTATTTCTTTAATATAATTATTGCATATACGGCATAGCTACTTTCTGTCTGTGGGGCTCACCCGCGGCTCGCATTATGCCCGTTTTGGCGGGGGGGGAGGGGGGTTTTTTTTTTTTTTTTGGAAGGCGGAGCTCCCACCGATTCATTATGCATCTACTTCTAGGACTTGCCATTCATTCGCAACCCATCTTACCAACATGCAATATTCTTGTCATCAAACAGACTTTTCACTGGTATCACACCGCGTGAAAATAACAAAGCGATTAATCCTTTACCAAATCAACGTCTCGCTCGTGATCATAATCCCAACCCCAGCCACGCAATCAAGAGTATCTGCCCGACAACCCAACAAAATCCTCCAGTGGAAATCATCGACGCCGCATCCGAACTCGGCACCGCGAGAAGCGCTGCCGTCGGCAGAGCAGACAGATTTGACGAAGTCGACGTCGACACCAGCGCGCTCGCCAATACTACGGAGAGCAGTTCCGTCGCCGCCGACGTTGCATCAGTACCAGTTGTGTGCTCGAGCTCAGAAGTCGCGCCCATTGCCGGTTTTGATGTCACAGGGGTCTGTGTTTTGCTCGTGCTGGTGCTTGTCGTCTGGCTGCTGCTGGTGCTGATACTCGTCTTTTTCGTGCTCGTGCTTGTCTTTGTCGCCTGGCTGCTGCTCGAAGAGCTACTGGGCCTGGGCTGGGTGAGGTCCATCGGCTGGCCAGTCACGGGGTCGCGGTACCAGTTCGCCGGCGGGTCGCCCAGGCACTCACCGACGGTGACGAGGTCGTAGCGCAGGGCACGGGCCGTGTCGACCATGAACTGGGCAAAGCGGTGCACGGTGAACTCGTGGACGTCGTGGGCGAGGGCTAGCCAGGCTGAGGAGGCCGGGCTGTGCTGGGCCAGGATGGTCTGGTACGTTGTCTTGGCCGCGGCGCCTCCGTCCTGCCAGTCACGCGTGTCGATGTCGTAGTTGACGACGTGATAGCCCCACTCCAGCAGTTCCGCCAGGCACGCGCCGCCGCACCGCGTGTACGGCGGCCGGAAGTATGTCGGGACGGCGCCCAGGATGTCGGCCAGAGCGATCTCGTTGCTGATTATCTCGGCCCGCCGCTGCTCGCGCGTCGCGGCGTTGAGGTCTTGGTGGCTCCACGTGTGGCTGCCGACCTGGTGCCCGTCGGCGGCCATGTGCTGGATCATGGGCGCGTAGCCCGAGCTGGCGTCGTTGATGTGACCCTTGCCCATGTTGTTGCCGACGACAAAGAAAGTGGCGCGCACGTTGTTCCTCTTCAGCAGGTCGAGCAGCTCCATCGTGTACGCGTACGGCCCGTCGTCGAAGCTGAGCGCGACTTTGCCGGTCACGGAGCAGTGGCTAATGCCGACTCCGTACGGCACATTGCCGAACAATGGCCGAGGGGTTTTGGACGTGTCGCTCCCCCGTGGCGTCTGGTTCCCGTCGCACGCCGGCCCATATGATAGCTGACAACCCGAGCCGCTGCAGAAGGAGGCACCGGTGCCACAGAAGCCCTGATGATTTAATTAGAAAACTTGGTCCCAGGTGGCCGGCGAGGGAACTTCGGGGGGTTGCGGTGGCCTTACCGTTTCCGAGCAACAGAGTCCAGAACTACAGCTCGTATTTCCAGCCGCTGCACCACAGACGGCGCCAGACGGAGCCCTCTGGTGCAGCGCTTCCAAATCGCTATTTAGGGCAGCCGCAGAGTCGCCGGCTGCGGACCGAGTCCATGCTATCCCGGCATGGGCCACGACAGACACGACATGGCCCGACACTGAGAGCCTCATGATCCGAGACTGAGAAAACACGACAAAAAAATAACAGCCAATGTCAGGGAGTCTGCCGACTCCATCTTAAAAGGATTCGAGATTCCAGGAGATATCCACAACTTATCATAGCAGACGATGGTCAAGTAGAATCCCGTCCCGAGTGAGCTGAGGATTATAAGATTGGTGTGGAGAAACGTGGGCGCCAAGGGTGAGAAAACGACACCGAGGGGCTTGGTCGCGTCACCCAAAACTGCGGGAATGAGCACTAGCGGCGAGGCTATTGGAACGTGCCACTCTTGTTTGGGACAAGGCCCGGAAATGTGTGGTTTGAAATGCTGCACCCGCGCCCACGTGCTGTGGTCCGAGTGAGTCTGCGAGCGAAAGGGCTGGAACGTGCTTTGATTTCCACGAGACAAAAGGCTAGGATTGAGGCGGGCATTTCTGGCAGCGAGGCTTGCAGGGGGCTCGTATGACGGGGCACTCCGCTTGTTCATACCAGCTAGCCCATTATAGGGCAGTTCATGTCTGTTTATATCGGGTTCGGGTTGGCCCATCTAGTTCTACTATATGTGAGAAGGTTTTGGTCGTACAATATACAAAGCTTAGGTATATAGCCAGATATCGGAAGAAAAAGAAAATCTCGTCTCTGTACTGCCACCAATTTCCCCTCACACAGAGGCAAGAAAATTTTTGTTGAGCCAAAGTCTTGCCACAATTAATAAAAGGCAGCCAGTGATCAGTGAAGCACCCGTAAACATGGAGGCGGCGAGGTAGCTATATCGACTAATGAGGGCGCCTGCGATAGGCGAGCCGATAAGTGATCTACGAATAGACGTTATTTCGTCAGCTTTGTCTTTCAAAGAACAAAGAATAAAAGAATTAACTTACGCAGTTGCTAAACAACCCATCAGCAGCCCCAAGGCCGTGCCCTGCATGTGGTGGTCTGCAATCTTGAACACGCAGGCACCCTGTAACGCGAGGATTGCCTGCACATGCGTGAAAAGGCCAAAGAGTCAACCAGCCATTCACAGAGAAGAGACAGAGAGGCACAAACATCCGACTTACCCCCGAACTGAACCCATACGCCAGCGAAACAACAATCAGACCTGCCAAGCTCTTCGCAGCCGTCCAGGAGAAGGCGGTGATGGCGGATGCAAACAAAGCCGCGATACAGATGTTGTAGTGGCCGTGGCTATCGGCGAGGTAGCCTGGGAGTAGGCGGCCGAAGAGCGACGCAGCGTTGATGGCCGGGATGAGGTAGAAGGCGACCTGTGACGACATGCCCAAGCTGGTGGCGTACGACGAAATGAAGAAGAGGGGGATGAACAGGCCTATGTTGCCGATGCCCAGGCCGAGGGCCAAGAAGATGAAGACCGGTCTTTTTAGGAGGGTGACGATTTCGGAGCGCTTTACTTTTTTCTTTTCGGTGGTGGCGGGCAGTGAGCTGTTTTCGGCGGCATCTTCTTGGCTGCTGCTGCTGCTTGCCGTATCGTTGCTGTCGCTGGGTGGTGTCGCTGATGCTGTGGTTCTGGACGGGGGCTGAGATTTGGGCGGTAACGGGCCTGGAAGAGACGCTGGTGGTTCTCGAATAGTAACGCAGGCAATGGCCAACAGTGGCAGCATGATGAAGCCGACGATCCGCATGATCCAGCCGAAGCTGAGACTGCTGTGGTCAAAAAGGCGCGCTAGCATAATGGGCCAAATTATGCCGCCGATGGAGGATCCGCCGACAACAACGCCTAGTGCCAGGCCCCTGTGGCTGGGGAGAGAACGTGACACGACGGCCATGGGCGGCCAGGTGAGGAGAGACGTGCTGGCGCCGAGGAGCACGGCCTGCGCGAGAAAGAACTGGTAGTACTGAGTGCAGAGGGAAGTTGTGAAGATGGCGACGAGCAGACCGAGACTGCCAATCACAAGTGGCGACTGGAAGGAGTCAGGTAAGTAAGAGGTTTAATTAGGTAGGCTGCGAGCTGGGTTGTTGGTTACCCTTGGCCCGATTCGGTCGACCAGGACTCCAGAGGCGGGAGCCAGGCCGGAGAGGAAAAAGAGGGACACGGATCCGATCCACGAAATGTCCGACTCAGACTTGTCTTGCAGCAGGCCCGAGTGGTAGTGTTCCTGGAAGACGCCAAAGGCATTCAAGAAGCCGACGGTACAGAAGAGGGCCAGGGACGCTCCCAGGACGGTGAGGGCTGCGCGACGCGATCTGACGGTAGAAGAGACGGTTTGCGTTAGAGATACATGCTCGTCTGGAAGTAATTGAGTACTGTGTGCCAAACACAAGGTATTGACAGAGATGGAGACGGGGGACTTGCACTACCCTCGGCGTTGGCATTTTCGCCTCGGGATCCATGCTCATGAATTAAAGAACACGGCAATTAATTTTGCGGTAGTCAAGAGACAAGCAACTCTTGTGATAGTTGCCACAGTAAACAAAACAAACGGCACATTTAGCAGGCGTAGTGCTGTATAAATACATAAATAAATAAATGGTGACATATCTATGCTGCGTAGATGCGTATTCTCGTACTCGGTTGGGTTTGATAGGTAGCAGCGGATTATCCGCGGGGCTGGCCGGGAATGTTGGTTATGGCTTGGATGCTTGCTAATCCAATGACGCTAGCTTACTATACATCCGCGGATTCTCCGACAGCCGCCCACTCAACCAAGGTGATAAAGAAACGACCGCGGAGGTCCGCCTGTCTCTCCCCTCAACACCCGCGGATCATGCTAACGAAAGCAAACTAAGCCGTAATGAAACGAAAACTCACGCCTGTCAGCAATGGCCCGGGAGAAGCGGCGGCCAGGCCAAGCAGACAGCCTCAGGTGTCGTGTGACCTGTGCCGCCGCCAAAAGCGCAAGTGCGACCGACAAAGTCCATGTTCAAGCTGCGTGACTCGGGGGTTGCCTTGCGACGGTGCGCCAGACCTGCGTCTAGTTCAAGTCGCCCTTGCCGCCTCTGGGGACGGGAGCCGCATTCAGTTAAACCCATCCGAAATTCTCGCAAGGCTCTCCAGGATTGAGCAGGCGCTCTTTCCCTCTCATCATGCGCCCTCTGTACTACTTCAAGTGCCTTCCCCAGCTGTCACCGATGGAGTTGCAGACGGGGAATCAACGAAGAATAACCTGGACTGCCTATCCACACCATCCGCCGAAGCGGGCTACCCAGAGGCCCCTGATGTGCTGGTAAGCGCCTTTTGGGACCTTTCTGAACTCTGACCTCTCGCAAGTTGCCCAATCACACACGCTAACCAACGACATGGCAATCAGCTGCCCCAAGACTGCGGCCAGCTCCAGTTCCAGTTTCAAGTTGCTAAGCCCGTGAGTGCAGCCTATCCAAGCCTCGCCTCCCAGTGTCCATGGGGCCCCGAGACAGCAGCGGCAGCGTCAACAGGCGCCCGTTGCGTAGTGCTGCTAGCAAAGGAGGAATTCTTTGCACTGTTCGACAACTTCGTCGGCAGCTCCAACTTCTTGCCTCGCGCTTTCCACCTGCCTTCGGCGAGGGTGGCCATCAACAACTTTTTCTCGTCGTCTTCTGGCAATCACATCATTCGTCAGGATGGCAACCAGACGAGCGTGGCCAGTGTCGCCGCCTTCATCCTTAGCATTTGTGCCGCGAGCGCCTTCTTCTGGGAGCCATCTGCCGCCGCTACATGCACGCTGTTCTCTTCCAAGGAGGATGCGTCGAGACAGGCTCGCGCGTGGCTGAGTACGGCCTGGGAACTTCTCGACCAGCTGCGGCAGATTCCTGGTTCTGCGTCCCTTGTACAAGTCCAGGCCAGCGTAATCTTATCAGACCTTATCTACAACATGGAGGGATGCTCATCTCGCTTTCGCTGCCTGCACTACAGCGCCCTCGCCCTCGCTCGCGAAATATCCCTCCATCTCATTGACGCGCCCGGCCCAGTCAAAGTCAACGGCTCAGAACAAGATGGCCATCTCACAGAAGTGAAGCGCAGGGTTTGGTGGCACATCGCCTCGACGGACTGGTTGCAGAGTATCATGGGCGGGCAGCTCGACAGGACATACAGCGTCCAGCCCCAGCACATGAGGGTCAATCGCCCCTCTAACGTGAACGAGCGCGATCCATCGTGCATCTTGCCCGCCACCATGGTCACAGACATGACGTATCCAATTCTGCGCACCCGCCTCGCCGAGGCCTGCCGCCAAGTGACCGACGCCCTACCCCTCGGTGCCGGCGACATCGATGACCTCCCTTATGACCGCGTCCTCACCATCGCCCAGTTATTCGACGGGGTCTTCACGTCCATGCCCCCGTGCTTTGCGCTTGGTGCTCCCATCCCGCCCGAAGCACCCCATCGAGTCAACATCGAGCGCCGCGTCATCCAACTCGCCTTCCATAGCCGCCGCGCTCGCATTTTTCGCCCGTTCCTTCTTTCGAATAAACATAAGCCTCACCGCGGGCACGCCCAGCAAGCAGATGCCGAGGATACAGACCCGCGCTTCGCTATATTCCGAACCATGTGTCTTAGCTCTGCCCGCGCCGTGCTCGCCATCGGGTCCAGCCTGATCCGCGAAAGCTTGGGCGATAATGGGAAGCGCCGCGGACTGCTAGTCTGCAGTGGGTGCATCATCTCCCATCTGTTTGCTACCTGCGTGCTCCTCATTGCCCATCCGGCGCTAGCACCCCACGGCGGCGATGCGGGCAATGCCGGCGATAGCGAGGTGTCGGAAGAAGCTGAGACAATTCGCACCGAGCTGGCGGACGCACGGCGGCTGCTGGAGAAGGTAGCTGAGATCTCGTCGGCAGCAGGAAATCTGGTCCGGAAGCTCATTGGCGTGCTGGGAAGACATCGTGCCCTTGCAGAGGAAGCCGCTGGTATCTCCACACACGGACCAGGGCCGACTACAAAAAGGGTATACGCCTCGGGGACGTCGACGACGAACCGCGATCTTGTAAACCAGGGGTCGGACTATCTTGCAACCGCTGCTTCTGGCAATACCCTTGCTCTTCCTACTCCACCAGCAACGTCGTTCGAGAAGTCTCAGCAAGCAAGTTGGAATGGGCAACAACGGGTTAGAACTCATAGCAACTTTGGACTACCGGAGTTTTCTGGATCATGGGATTCCACTGGCGACTTCGGCAGCGAGTCTCACTCCCAACCTCCGCCGCTTGGTTTACTAGAAGATATCGAATGGGCCGATCTCATGATGAACACCTCATCGTTGGCTGTCGGTGTTGACGGATGGAACCAGCTGTTTGCGGACCTCGATGCAGCTTTTCCTCAGGCTGCCCCACTCTAAATAGGTCTATTAGGTACTGGTTGCCTAGCGCTCTCGGTTGTTTTTGATGTATTAATGAATACGCAACTCTCTAGAAGCTATAACGGTTCATTAGTTATATTCTACTCTATCCCTGATAATGATTGGAAAAAGGAGTGAACGACAGAGCGCGACGAACTCATCCACGGATACCTGCATACCCTGCCGAGATTTGCGGCCGGAACTCCACATGCATTGTTGATTGACCGACTCGTCTACCTATCAGTTGCAACACCGAATGTCTAAGACCGAAAATGCCTTGAGACAATCTCAACACGCACCCCGCATTTATTCATTTTTGTTGAGTAACCACGGCTACATTCAATCCCTACCCCCTTTCTCAGCCCCTGCATTGCTGTTCTGCTCGAGTTGTGGGCGAGCTTCGTCTTCTCGCGAGCCTTTCCCACCTTCCACGCCGCCTAGTTATTACCCAAGCACAAAATCCATACCTAATCGCCATGTAACGTCTCCGGAATAGGCCACTTGGGATTTGAATGGGGATTTCAATTAACTGGGATCAGGAATGACTTCAAATTGCTGCGGTATGCCTCCATATTTGCGTCGCGGGCCAGAAAAGCCCGGATAATTAACAGCAGCACTTGACCATAATATCTGTCGTCAACGTGTTCCAGGAGCCTTTAAAAACAATTGGCAGCGTCATGGATAATCCCGGTAATGATTTCTCTCTAATATACTCCTTACTGGCGCAGAATTGCACAAGAGTTGTCGTCACCTTTGCGGTTAATTACCGGCTGCCTGGTTCGTAATTCGTGTCACTATTGAGTGCTGACTTGACTCTACAAAATATATTCATACAACATCCAGGATTCAACGTGCCAATGCCCTCTCCCGTTCCCGGGGGCCGTTTAATATGCACGGTTCTCGAACCAGAGTCTCCATTCACCGTCTTTAGTACTGTTCCACGAGGGCACGCACGTACGCGACGTAATTACATGGTGGCTATCCGACGTGGTTCTTCCATTTGTGGATCTTGCATCGACTGGTCTTGTATCGACCGGGCGTCCTCAACTGACTCGGTGTACCTAGAGCTTCGTGGTGGCTTGCGAGGGTAAAACACGTCTGAACAAATTTTTGAGTTGAGTCAGTGACTTTTGTTTGAAGAAATACTCCCAGGTTGGCCAGGGAGGGCTGGAAATAATTACCGTAGCAAGCAGATGTGCATTTCATCAAGGTGTCGAGGACAAAGATGAGCGGTATGATCTGCCCAAAACTCCACTCATTTTCCGACGTGTCATCGAAATAGCTCTCGTTGGCAAGGCGCAGGGACACGGTCGACCAGAGGTGGATGGGGTACTGAACGAAGGCCAGTAGTAGAAACTGACCGAACATCATCACTTCCCACGGCTCCGCGTCGGGCTCGTCTTTGAAGCCCCAGTCAAAATCCATGCACCCGGCAATGACGGTGGCCATGAGCATGAGCTGCATATATGAGCACGTCACACCGAGATAAATCAAATCCACGTAGGGGTGGGAAGCCGAAGGGTGGGACACTAGGTTTGTGTTGTAGCAGCGGCCATCAACGTCCCACTCCCAGCTTTTCAGCATGGTCCCAAACAGGATGGAGAAGCCCAGATGCAAGATGCCGTACACGGTTGCCATGATGAGGCGCATAGTGGTTCCGGCTGATGGCAAAGTCCATCGCCCGGCGTCTTCGTCGAACCCAACGCCTTTTGTGTGGATGATGGAGGCACAAACCGAGACCCTGACGGCAGCGTTAGTATTTGAGAGCTTCAGGAACCTGTACGGACAAAAGGACTGGTTTAATTACGCGGTGAAACTGCTAATGTCGTAAATGACGCGATAGTGATACAGGCTGAGGGTGTCGCGGGTCACAAAGGCCGCGATCAATAATGAGACGCCTTAGGAGAAAAGAAGGTTAGTGGAGGGCAACCAACCACGCAGGCGTCACCATTGCTAGAAAAAAAACTCGCCAGCGAGGATCTGAGAATCACTGATGCCATCGATAAGTTGTCGTAGAGCCTCAATCTCAGACGGGCGCGACGCCGGCAAGATGGGATACCGGCTGCATCTTCTTGTCAGCTGCCATTCATCTCTTCTCTCGCGCATCAACAAAAGTTTAGGTCGCTGCTTACGATATCGTCCTGTCCCGAATAAATAGCCATGTCGACAGAAGCACCGATAGTCCGGCCTGGACAGCCATGCCGACGAACACCTGGAGCGTGAAGCCGTGGCGTCAGATTGTGATGCGCGCTACGACTTGAATTGAGGGAAATGAAGCGTAGGTAATTACCCCAAGGCCGGCAATGTCGGGATCGGGTTCTCCCACAGTAGTGCACTCCATAGTTGAAGTCTGCTTTGTGAGATGGAGATAGGTAAGGATGTTCTTTTACGTGTGGCCTGTCTCTGAAAGTCTTGGGACGTGTGTTTTCAAGCCTTGATGTATGTCTCCACGAGCTGGCAGGTGTCGGTTAGGCATCAGCGGTCAGCACTGGGCAATCAAGTTTTGGGTCCTAGACGCGCGCGTCGGCTGTCCGTGTTATTTCATGTGTTCCTGAAAGGCTGAAACCCACAACCCCGCCCTTTTCCATGCATGGATGCCGCATTTCCGTGTGTTAGATAATACGCGGATGCGGGGACGCCAACGTTGGCTTCCTTCAGGAGCGAGCAGGACACCTATGGGCCATTGGACACTCCTCAGGAGTCAGCTTGGACGCTGCTGGCAACAATTTCGCTTCTGGGTAGGAAGCGAGATCCGCACCCCACCCTGAAATTACAGCCTATCACACCATCTCGCCCTACGTTTGTACATACGGATACAGCGGGTACTCTATCCTTCACTACAGCTCAAAGTGAGTTGGCTTCGTTTCGTGTGGCCCCGTGTCCCTCTCGCTTGTGGTCGGGATGACTTTCCATTGGCCGTTCTCACGCCCAGGAAGACTCAGCCACCCGACCCGGACTCACCCAGTGCACCTCCAAAATTGAAAAGGCTTGGCTTTCTAAACAAAATCGAGTCTAATAATAACTCCGCATCGCACAGAAATGGATTCTCTAGTTTCATCAAAGCGCGGGTTGACCTACTTGCGGCGCCACCAGCGCGAAGACCTCCGCCTGCAGTCACGGCAGATTCAGATTTGAGTCGGTCAGAAAGGGCCATGGCTGCGAAGACATGCGGAGGCGGGAATGGCCCAACTCAGATTCTGGCAGCGGCATCATGCAGGGTCTACTTAGGCGCGACTGCCGCCAATGCCGTGCACCCGTCGCATAATTACTCAACCGACCGAAACCGAAGCTCCCTTGGTGGTCGACTCAAGTCTCAACCCTGCTTGGCCCCCATTCAGTATATGTTGATGGTCACAATGTCTACACACACTCTTTCACCAGCTCCTGGGCGTTCTTATCCTCGAAGCATTTTTTTTTCCTGTAATAGTAATTTTGCTTACGCTATTCACGTTCCCAGTGCCCTCCTCCTTCTTCGTCCCCTTGAGGGTCCACTTCTATATCCCTGGTTCTGTCTCTACAAATTCCGGTAGGCCGCCTCTCACGTTAGAGCGATAAAACGTCTTCTTCCCGGCCCAACGGGCAAAAGCGTAGTCGGGCCTGCCGTTCTCTGATTACCTTCTCTCTAACCTTAACCTTCCTTCTTCGGGGGAAGGTGGATTGAACATGTGCTAAGAGTTAAAACAAATAGTGCGGCCTCCCCCGGAGTCCCCCCTTCCTCCCTCACAGTGAACACCACCTAAGAAAGAACGCAAAGACTTGAATAGGTGTTTTTAGAGAAAAGTTAGGCCTCTAGAATTCCAAAATAGGGATTACGATAGCTCTTGCCTCCTTTCACAAAAAGTCTTTAGGGCGGTCACGGTATGAATAGAAAATGTGTGGCTGCAAAGAGAAAAGTCTGGTTCTTCTGAATCTGCGGCTTGCAATTTGAATGGGAAAGAACTTGAACAACAACTTCATTGCGGAAGACACAAGATTTACCCCATGAGTGATTTAGCATCACACGAGGCTCCAGGGCCCGGACAGCACCTTCCCTTTCCTCAAGTGTGCCTATCCTTATCGAAAGAGTTTATCAGCTAACTGGCCCAAGCGTTCTGGACTTATCTGCAACAGTTCACTTGAGTTAGCGTCCTGCAGGCAGAGTCGCGCGTCGACAAAGAAGATCAGCCCATGACAGCGATTTATTAGCTTAGCCAGACTTCCCATCACAACGATAATTGTGGCTGCATGCTCATTCAGTTGAGTGAACACTTCCAACACCAGGACCCTTGTTAAAGTTTAATCATTGAAAGATGCGCAGCTTTTAGTCAATATCTGTGTAGAGTCAAGGTCGTTGTCCCGGCTCGTCCACTGACAAATTTTAGCAGGTTGAGGGACGCTGCTGGAGCATGCAATTATGGAAAAGAAGGATGACCAAAGAATCCCATCGCAGCACAGCCTTACCGACACACGCCAAAAGTCGATCCGCGGCAGATTCGGAGAATTCAATGCCACACGCTCACAAAGAGCCAGCTTCAGTTTCTAATGTTGAGTTGACCACAGACGAAAAATAGAGCACTACTAGACTCAGCCATCCTATCAAGCCAGAGCGCCGGGAAGAGAAAACGGGCAATGAAGAATTCAACACACGCGCCGATCAAAGAAATTGATTAATTTGCATTCAGAGCCTTATTCTATTATAATTACCCGCAGGAACAACTCCAATCTACATTTTACACCCCCCTTGCCCTATCGAATTCAATCAAGTCATCATCTCGGCCGGGCGGTGACTCATTATCTCAGCCGGCATGTAGTGGATCGGCATCTCGGTCGGCCCTCCGTGGACCGGCCCGTAGATCGGCCCCACCGGACCCTTATCGGCGTCGGCAGCAGCGGACAGCTCAGCAGTATCGGACGCCCGGCCGCTCCGCCACCGCCGGAAAAGCAGCGCTCCCGCGATAAGGATGAGCAGCAAGCCTAAGATCCCGAACCCGATCGCAAGACCCAGGACGGTCTTGTGGTTGTTGCTGTCGTCGTTACTGGTGTTGCTGTCGCTGCCGCTGGCGTTGTTGCTGTCGCTGGGAAGAGCAGTGGTGGAAGCGGTGTTGGTGGTCTGGGTGCCGCTGGAAGAGGCAGTCGAGGAGCTCGCGCTCGATGTTGTCGACGTGGTCGATGCTAGCGGGCGGACGGCGTCGGTGAACCTGGGGAGGGAGAAGACAACGTTGGTATTGTTGCAGCAGCTAGAATCGGGGCCGCAGCAGTAGGTCGTCTTGCTGCCCGAGGCCATGCACGACGCGAGGTACGGGTAGTACGGGGTTTGCGTGTCGCCTTTTTGTCGTGCATTGGTCACAAGCAGATCAGCGGCAGTTCACAATCAAATGGATCATGATCTAGACTCGACACTCCCAGGCAACCACCTACGAGCCCATTGTACGCAATTGGACACACACGGGCTGCCCCAGTCCTGATCGGTGCAGCCCTGCGTGGTGAAGCCATTGTCGCTGCCCGTGTCGAGGCACAGTCCGTTGGACAGGCAAAGGTCGCCCGAGGCACAGCAGGGACTAATGCGGATGCCGGGTATGCAGGGCAGCAGGCCAGGCTCCGGAAGCGAATTTGCGTTGAAGCATGTCATGGCGGGCCCGGGCGCCGGCGACGAGGAGGAGGAGGGCCGGGTATCTGGCGTTGGTGCGAAATACTTCGAAGCTCATGGGCACTGGAGCCTTACACAGCCCAGCAGGGCGCGGGGGACGGATCATTTTATCTGCACCAACGAAAAATACAAAGGGGCGCACACGGTGGCTAGGTGCAGCCAGCTGAGCCGCACGACGGGTGTTTCTGCCAATAGATAAGCTAAGATTTCCTATCGCCGCCTGCATCCTGCGTCTCTTACCACGACTGTCCAATGGTGATGAATCTAGCGATTGGCGACTGGATAACCAACCTGAATCCTACCGGAACAAGCGGCCTACTGTTAAAAATTTTGAGATATTGTGCCGGAACAACAAATAGGATACCTCGATAATTAAGGTGGTTGAAATTCGTTACCACGGCACACCCACCTGTACAACACGCACAGAAGAGGCCAAGAACTTCAGGAAGAGTGCAAGTTGAAACGAAAAGCCTCACCCTGACAGCAAACCCGTGCTCTTCACTTCAGCCTTAGAGCCCTGCCAATGACGCTACTACCTGGCCTGGGTACCCTCAGCAACAACCTTCAGCCCTTCCAATCTCAGCTTACTCTAGTGACTGAAAATGTGTGTTTCATGTTTAGGGTGTGACGAACTCGGGGAACCAAGCTGCAATTAACTGAACCCCAACCCTCGTACTCGGCCCGCTTATCAACCCGCCTTGAGATAGTAGATATAAAGCTACTTCTGGCCCGTGATCAAAGTTGACAGTGGCTTGAAGGGTCTTGAATTGTCTGTCTAAATCCAATCTAATAATACAGGAAAGAAGGCCTTTTATGCTTCCAAGAAAAGGACAAAGGAAACCTGGTTCAACAGTCTGTTCAGTCGTACTACGTAAGGGACTCGGCCGTAGCAAGGGAGAAAAAGAGGGCATTCGGAAGTCCGGGAGCCCGAAAAAAGGGATCAGGGCTGAAAGTAACGAATGAATGGATATGCAGGGATATGCAGGGATATGCAGGTATGTGACTTGACAATGTGGCTCGAAAGTGGCCTAAAAGTGGGCGACACTACTAACAATCATACATCTACCTAGCAATATTACCAACTTACTAACTACTTAGGGACGGAGACACCATAGGTAATTATACAATTATATCTAATTAGAGTATAAAGATCTCACGTCTAAAGAACTAGAGCTACCAAAAACCGCCGCCCGGCTCGAACTGAGTCGTGCTCGGAGTATGACGACTATGTAGAGCTGGGTAATAGTGCTCCGGGTGCAGCCAGGATTGATCATGGTACCGTTCAAGTTGATGTTGGTATGGTCGTCGATCTAGCGGGAAGGAAGAGGCTTGATGATATTTCACGACATCAGGGTCATGCAATGCAGCCGCCGCCGGCGCCACTGGCGCTGAGGGTGCCGTCATGACCCTGTTATTATTAATGGCGCTGCTCCTCCTACTACTGCCGCCGCCGCCGCTGCTGCTGCTGATGTTGATGTCGGCATCCGGGCACTCGGTATCCTGCGGTCCGGTAGTTTGGATTTTTCTCGCCCGCCAGATTAGCCAGCACACCACCCCAACGGCGAGCAACCTGAAGAGAAGCCCGAAAGTAACCGCGATACCAACGCCCGCCGAGCTGTTGTTGTAACCGCTGATGTTAGGATCTGTGCTGCTGCTGTTGGTGGCTGTTCTGCTGTTGTTTGGGCCTGTGTTGTTGTTTGGGCTTGTACTGTTGTCGATGGTCGATCTCACTACCCCACCGAGGGGGGAGGGGTGCTGGCGGCATCGAAGAGCTCGAGTGTGAAGACGTATGATTGTTTGCTGCAGTAGCTCGAGTTCAAGCCGCAGCGGTGGGTTTTTTATTCAAGGCGGCGCCGCAAGATGCGAAGTAAGGGTAGCTACTGACGTCTAAGCTACCTTTTCAATGCGAATTAGAAAGTGTCATGCCATAGGGCTGGCCGTTGTCTAGTAGTGTCACTAATGGTAACGAGATGGCCGCCCTGATTGTGTGTTAACAAATTTGACGACGGCTGAACTGTTGGTAGTAACGAAGGAGATGAGCTGTCAAGAAGCAAAAATAAATCGGAAAGCTAGTGCACGACTCTTGGAATCAAGAAAACCCGGGGGTCTAGCTTGACTTGGTTGACCAAATCTCAGGCACGGAGTAATGGATACCTAGGGCTGAACTTTTTGCTTGTGTTAGCGCTGAAAAGTACCAACCCGAGTCGGGTATACTCCGGCCCGACAGGTCCCGAGATGTTGAGAGCTGTGCGCCAACCCTAACCCTACAAACAGGACTTTTTAACAAGAGAATCTTGATCGCGTGCAACTGGATCAGACATGTTTCAAGACTCTGGCAAGTACCCAACCCATAGTTCAGCAAGTCGTGACACATGGATGTCATTCACGTCTTTGCACTCTTAACCATTCATCACCATTCTCGTACAACTTGAGTTGCGTTATTTTAATTCTTTTGTTGAGAGCCTCGAGAGAGCGCACTGTGCTGGACACCAGGGCGCAAAACCAGAGGTGACGCCAAGATTCCTGCACCTTCCGGGACAAGAGAAAACGGACCAACCAGGAGGCAGTAAAATGCCAGAGATGCTGGCTGGTCCCTGGAAAGTACTGGTACCGGGGAGCCCACCGAGCAACATCGTAGTCGCACGGTAAGCTGCCATGTAAACGGCAAGGCGCTGTTGGCTGTGTGGTGCTGCCTCCCGGCCCTTCACATGGTGAAGAAGCGGTGTCGAGATTTTCGACGAGACACACAGATAACACAGGGCATTTTCGCTGGCATTTTTCATCCCGTCGCTTCAGTGTTTGTCGGTGCTGAGCCAAAACCGTCCCATAAAGTACCTCTCTTGACCCTCTGCGAAAATGACCCCCCAGCACCAGCCCAGCCATTCCCGCCGCCCGGCACAAGCCCACGTTTCGGAGCCGGTTTTTTCCCTCTTAGAGACTCGGACCCTGAAATCCATATTCTTCTCGTCAAACAGTCCGCACTTAAAAGGCAACAAGCAAGCCAAAAAGGAACCGGCTTGGCCACACCCGACCACTTGACCCGACTCCTTTCCTTTTGGATATTTTCTCAACCAAAGCCATTGCACAACTCAATGAGCCATGGTCGCAACAGCAAGCAAGAACAAGTTGGCGGTGATGGAGTCCACGGCGGCCAGCAAGCCTACGACTGCAACGGCGGCGGGCAAGGCTCTGCGAGCACCGCCAATGCCACCATATGAAGAAGCGTCACGCAAAAATGGCGGCGCGATGCTGCCGGCCCCCGTTAGCCAACACGACGACCGCGTTCAGCCTTGGCAGAGCCTTATGGACGAGATCGAGAGGGAGAGCAACCTCAGCCCGCCGGGCAGCGACTACTTTCCGTGCCAGCAAGGATTCCACGCACACTCGCTGGCGGGATGAGTGAGGGAAGAAAAACGTTGAACGACTGCCCGAGGTGCGCGGCATTTAACTCGAGACGCGCACTGTGTGTGGCCCAGGGGGGTGGATGAGGGGGAGGGGCAGCGTTGGAGAGGATTGGAGGGGTTGTGCGGCTGCTGCTGCTGCTTGCTGCTGCCCTCCCTGGGAAGGCGCAATGGATGGGATATCTTTCAGTTTATTGGGCGGATTGCCAATTCTTTTAACAACTGCCCTGCATCAACTTTTTGTCCATCCAAACTTCCGCTCTTGATGATAACTGGTACTTACCCTGCCCAGGGAGTTCATGCCCTAGCTCTCTTTCTTCTACGCGTCTTTCTGAGCGAGCTTTTTGAAGGGATTTTATCGGATCGTTCTGGGGCCAATTGCGAAACGTTTGCCATGTCCGTGACCTCCCAGGGCCCTGACGCCCTGACAACCCTGAGAGGCTGAGACACCTACCTACCTAAAGGGCAAACGCACTCGACAACCCGAAATCGGAATTTGGCAGATGAACTCGCTCGCGCGTCATCCGAGGTAGCCCGTCCAACCGACGACACACCGTCATGGCAGAAGAACAAGGACAAGAACAAGAACAAGAAACCGTGGACGCCTCGTTTGAGTTCCTGCAATGGCAACCCTCGTACGAGAAGCACAAGCCGTACGAAGTGTTCCTCCCGCTGGCCAGCTTCAGCAACTCTAACAACGAGATCCCGCGGAGCAATCTCGCGTTTGAGCCGCGCAGCGTGCGCGTGCGCAACGCCCGCGGCCGGCGCGACGTGTTCGGCCTTGACACGCACGGCTTCGAGTTTGCGCGCCACGCGAGCGCCGTCGGGGACCAGCTCAAGGACCGCAGCGCCGTGACGGCGCACTACGTGCCCGAAATGGAAGCATTTCTGCAGCGGCATCTAGGCGGCGGCACTGATGTCAGGACGTTTTGCTTCGACTTGCGGGTACGTCATGTCATTGCCATTGGATCAAGCTTGTATCCGCATGCCCATTCGTGTCTAATTTCTTTTCGAGCCCCCAGCTCAGGCAAAGCATCGACGCGGCCGAGTTCTCGAAGCGCACCGTCAACCTCGAGGACGGCTTCGACGCGCTGCTGCCCGCCACGCACCCGCACATTGGTTTGTTTGTTCACTCTCTACCTACCCAACTACCATGTCACGAGAATACACACCTAAACGGAGTTCAATGGCTAAAATATACTTTGCGCCAAAAGACCAGAGCATGCAGGGCGCAATATCACGCGTCCAGCGACACATGGGCGACGAAGCAGACAGACTCTTGAAGGGCAGGGTCAGAATTGTGAAGTACGCCCCCAACCTTTTTCCAGTTTGCCGTAAAATAATATCTACCTGGCCACGTGCTCTTCTGACACGCGTTCCGAGCAGCATTTGGCGGCCACTGGCCCTGGTCCGGTCATGGCCCCTGGCTCTCTGCGATGCCCGCACCGTCGACGCGAACGACCTAGTGACATGCGACATTGTGCGCCGGCGATACGTGGGTGAGACGTATTTTGGGAAATATAACGCGGCTCAAGAATGGCACTACCTGTCAGACATGGACGTCGATGATCTCGTCCTGGTCAAGGTCTATGATTCGGACCCAGACGTTCCCGCAAAGTGTAAGACATCACCGAAGACAGTCTTGATACGTTTGCTTCGCGGATAGTGCTCACACAGAGTTGCATACAGGCTGTTTACACGCCTCCTTCGAGCTTCACGCTGGTGCCGAATCCCAGCCTCCGGTAAGAGAAAGCATCGAGCTCAGGATCTTGGTGTTTACGGAATCGTGACCGACATAATCCGACTGCCCCACTGACCAAACTATAACAACCATACATACTTTGCCAATCTTTAAATGACAACCTTGGCTCATTACAGCCCTGTGGGCACTGTCACCTCGCTCCCCTCCATGTGCCAGACAAAAGTCACCGTCTTTTCCGCCCTCCCCCGCCCCCACAAGACCTTGAGCAACATGTTGCCCGTATATCTCCCCTCGTCGGTCGGCATGAGGTCATCAAATGTCATGATCGGTTCATTAATGTCATTAACCCACCTAGGTGCATGTGTCGAGTATCTGTCCAGTGCTTCCATGGCTTTCCTCTCATGCTCCTCTGCATCTTGCAAGTTGACCGCCTGGCGCTTGTACAGACGGGCGAGGTGGAGTCGAGCACGGCCCAAAGCTTCATCGGTCCAGCTTGAGGCCGTCGCCAAGTCGATGCATCGCTCCGAATATTCTCTGGAGAGAGACACGTTGTAAGCGCTGTTCGGTACGATCATGTGGCACAGCAAAAGAGAGGGAAACACAGTCAATACTCAATACGTACATTGCAGCTGGCAGCTCGCCAATCATGGCGTACATCTCGCCGACGGCATAAGTGCTGAGAATGGTACCCTTGCTGTGTTTCCCCTGCTGCTCAAGCTTGGCTTTGAGCGTCTCGAGGTGCATGCCGAGGGCGCGCTGGAAATCGCCCGACTGCAGCACGCAACATGCGAGCATGAAGTAGTTGTCCCTAAGCCGTGTTAGTGTTACCTTGGGTGGCACTGCAAAGCGGGCAAACACAGTCAAGACTTACCAATACTGTCCCTCTTTCCCAAACGCAGCCTCAGCGAGTTCGACCGAGTGTTGGAGAAACTTGAGCGCCTCGTCTAGCCTCTCTTTGCACATGTGGACAATGCCCATGTTGTAGTAGTACTTGGAGTACTCGAACGGGATCTTGTCCTCGGTATCCCACTTCTTGTAGTGCCGGAGACAATCCTCAAAGATGACAGAAGCTTCGTCAAACTTGTACTCGTTGAGGAGCAGGATAGCAAAATCGCAAGCGGCATTCTGGAGAAGCACGTCCTGGTCTCTGGTGTAGGCGGGAGCGGCAGCATCATAAACGTGCTTTCGGATATCGAGCGCCCGCTGTAGCTTGTCTAGACATTCGGCACGCCTCTCGCAGCCCATGCCGTTGAGAAGGAGCCCGGACATGCAAAGAATATCAGCACGCCGGGGCGACTTAGGATCTTCCTCGACGTCTTCAGAGTCCAGGACGTTCTCCGCGGCGTCGAGAAAGGCTAAGCCGTCGTGGACATTGGCCTGGCTGTCCCAGATAAAGAATCCAGCGTCATAGAAGAGGTCGGCCATCTCCTCTGTCTGCTCAAAGCCGTGGAAATCGCGCTGGGCATGTTTGAAGGCTCGTAAGAGACCGAAGACGTGGGGCATGTACTCTTTGCACCTCTTCCAGTTCTGTGGCGCAGGAGCTTGGATGGCGGGCGATTTCGGGAATCTCTTGCGCACCAGGCGCGTGGCTTTGGTCATGGCGGAGTCAAACTTGAGCTGCGCACCAATGTCGATGACAATCTTGGTCTGTAGCAGCCGATGGATACGATAAGACTCGGCACCTCCTTCGTTCGTCTTGACATCGATGAGCTTGCGGCCGCTAAGCTGGCGGATCATGCGCTTATACAGGGCAGCCTCGGTAGAGTTGAGGAACTCTAGGAACTCCTCCGTGTGGTCACCGACGAGAAGATCCTTTTGGATATTTTCGGGATCGAGAAAGGCCAGAATCTCAAGCAGGTTCCGCGCCGGCACCGATAGCTCGCTAATGCCGATGTCCCACAAGAGATCGATGGACGAATCCAGGCCGCCCTCAATTACTACAGACTTCTTTCGCTGCGTCTGCTTCGCTCTGAACGCCGTCTTCTCCTCCCAGATCTCGTGGAAGTCCTCCAGAGTGGCCCGTGAAACTTTGCAGTAGCCAGCGATCATGATGAGTGCTAGAGGCAACCTCTCCACAAGCTCTCCGATCTGGACGGCAAGATCATAATCGGCATGTTTCGGGGCATCATCAAGAAAGACCTTTGGGTTGATGGAGCAGATCAGGAACTGGCCAGCTTCCTCTGGTGTCAGGGGGTCTAGCTCAATGCGGTGCAGAACGCGCTTCAGAGTCTGCGTGTCTGTCCGGACCAGAGACTGCTTCCTTGTCGTGATGAGGACCGAACCCCTCGTTTTGGGCAGGTTCCGGGGGATGTACTTAGATACATGGTCCCAGGCCTCGACATTGTCGAATATGAGGAGCCATCTCCTCTCCCAGCCTCCGAGCTTTGCCCTGACATTCATGAAGAAACTGACGGGATCCTGCCCCTCGACGGCCAACCCAAAGATGTCAGTACCGATCATGTTGTATCTGTCGGCAAGACCGTTTGGATTCTCGGCCTCGATCCAAATGATGCCCGAAAAGGTTTGCTCATAACGGCGGGCGTACTCGATGGCTGTGGCCGTCTTTCCAATACCACCGCGTCCACTCACGACGCATATGCTTCCCGACTGGGAAATAAACTCGTGGAGGTGTTGGAGGTCGTTGTCTCGGCCCATAAACTCGTGGTTCCTCTCAGGGACGTTGAGCCAGACGGGCTCGACCGTGTCTTCTGCGTCTTCATCGCCGGGCATCGGCTGGTCCGCCTCCAGATCCTCACCGCCAGCTGGCTCCTCCTTCAGATACGTTACCACCTTGTCTTCCCATTCTGGGTCCGTTCTTCGTCTATCAACTCGCCTTTCCCCCCCACTATTGTCGCCGAGATCTCCGGAACTCTCGTCCGCGTTTTCCAGAATGTCATTGCTCTCGGCTAGCAGGACGCTGCGCTGGATGACCGTCACAGGCGCCTGGTTGGGGACGCTTGGTGCGGCGTATCTTTCATTCTGGTCATCAACATAGGTTTCGACAAAGTCATTGCGATCAATAAGTTCGTCTTCGGATGTCGGGCTAGCTTCGTCCTCGCCTATGGCCAGCAGGGCAAACTGCTCAAGGTGGTGGGCAATGTGGTCCCTCCATTCGGCAGGGGCATCGTCTTTGTATGGGACCCCACATAGAGGACATTGACGCTGGGCTGATGTCTGAGGCTGCAGCGACAGCCTCTGCCACGCCTGAGCGAGAGCTCTGAGATCGGGACCGTCTGTTCTAATGTCTGGGTGCTCTGACTTCAGATGCTGCTGGAAGAGGGCCCACGTCTCGAACTCGGTCCTGCATTCAGCTTTGGCACAGTACCAGGCCTGTCTGGTCCGATGGTAATCCAGTTCGTGTTGAAACCAATCTTGCTTGATGCCGAAAAGTTTGTGGGCCCGGCTGCACTCTTCAAAAGTACAAGTGTAGGGCTGCAGGTCCATGTAAAAGTGAGCGATCCAGTCCTCCTGGGTCATGGTGTCCTTGTCGAGCTCTAGTGGAACCTCGATGCGGCAGTACTGGCATTGGAACGGGATGCTGTCCTTTACTTTGGTGTCGACAGGCAGGCCGGGGGGTTCAAGCTGGAGCTCAACGGCTTGAACACCGCCAGTAGATGCGGCCGACGTCAATGACTCCTTTTCGTGGATTATGTCATTAGACCAAAAGGTCTCCTTTCCAATAGTCGACGGCGCCGTTCTGGAGGCACCGGCTTCCGATCCCGACGGCGCGGACGTCCTGCGATAGCCCCGGATGCGGCTCAAGGCAAGGCCATGGCGAGGTTTCTGGTCAGATTGCCCCTGATGGGGTACTTGGCTGGCGACTGCAGCTTCTGAAGATTCTGCTTCATCCTCGAGACTCGCCTTGGATGCTTCCTTCAGGCTCTGGATATTCTGCCGTCGTCGCCTGTTAGCGGCCAGAAGCCGGTCGACCAGGGACGGGGCAGCCGCTGGGAATGCTTTCTGAGCGTACTGCCGGTCGAAGGCCTCAGTCTGGTGGGCGTCTGGGATTGGGGTGAGATCATCATCGTCAAAGGGGTCGAGGAGTGTGGGCTGGAGATCGAACAAATCGTTTATTATCTCCTCGGCTTCTGCGAGGAACTTTTCGGGGTTCAAGTCTGAGTCTTGGCTTCCCAGACCAAGGATGTCCCTTAATTCCTGCGCCTCGCGTCGTTCAGAGGCCGGTATCGAACTTGGCGGGGGTGGCTGTTGGACGTTGTCACCAGAGGGTCGCTCGCCGAAGCCTTCAAAAGTCGTGGGCAGGGACTCGGTTGCTGTCGACCACCCGTTAGACCACAAACACGAAGCGAAGGAAAGTACTTGACTTATTGGAGGGGAATAATTAATGGGCGTAATCACCATTCACAACCAGCTCCCACAATTCCTTCAACAGCGTCAAGGCGCTACTCCGCGGCTTCGAGGCTCTCCGTAGAGAATGGTCGAGAAGGCGAGAGACGGCACCTGTGTCGTGGCCCCATGCTATCAGTCTCGCGAGACACCGGTCCACGAGAGTGCGCAAAGCTTTCTTCTTGGCCTCGGCTTCTTGTTGCTCGAGCGAGACCTCTTCGACTGTGGATTCTTGCCGTGTTAGTTCTTGTTTGGGTCTAGTCCTGGTTGCTGTGGGCCCGTCTGGCGATTTGTCGCTGCCAGTCTGAGTCCGAGTCTCTGCCTGTAGCTCCTTCCTCTGCTCTGGCTCATGCTCGGGCCCTTGCTCCTCCGGCTCAGGCTCAGGCTCAGGCGCGACTTCCTCTTTCGACGCCCACAGCTCCGCATTCAGCGCCGTGTGGAGCTGTCTGATGGCCTGCGTGCAGTCCTCAAACTGAGCGGCCAGGGGTGCCTTGGCCCGCACGTCTTCTCTGGCAAGGAAAGTTTTGGATTTGCCGAGCCTGTCCCTGGATGTCTTCTCCATGGCTGCCGCCCTGAGGTGGGCGATTGGCGCGGTCTGCACCCGACGGTATAAGTTTACCAACCCGACTTTGGTAAGGTAAGGATGAGCTACGTGATAAAAGGGCGTAACTTTGACCTCGTAGGTGAGTCCCACTGGTCACATCATCAAAAGTTGCAGATTGTCGGAACAAGGCAGACTCGGCCCGTCACCGTTCATAGGTATGGAAGGTATTCCTGGCCAAGATGCCCTGCCTTGGCCTCGACTTGACCCCGCACGGGGGGGCCGGGGCGGATTGGGAACGAGGCGAAGCATCGTGTGTGTAATGACTGGCTGCTAATTAATTGCGTGCATGCACACATTGAACACAGCCATCCCTCTCCGTTGTCGCCCACCCCCCACGACCCCACTTTCCACCTCCCACCACCCCTTCGTGTGCACCACTGCACCTGCTGTCTTGCAACCTGCAATCTTGCAACATGCAGCCTTCCAAAGACAGAAGGCGGTCGTATGCACCAACACGGCAAGCCAGCAATGCTACTGGACGCCGACCCAACCTCGAAGCGACGAGAGCCTGGCCATGTACTGGTACAACAGACTACCTGGACGTTCTCCTAAAAGCTGGAAGTGCATTTTGCAGAGAGCCTCGTCTTCATGTCGAACCAGGCCGCATCACACCCCCCAGGGCCCCGCATTTGACCAAAAGTCGCTCCCACGGCTCTTCCCGTCCCACTTGTAACACTCACTTCTTGCTTCTTCGACTGCTTTTTGCTACTTGCATTGCACAGACTTGGGCCAGACCCTTGGCGACCAACCAGTCCAGTCCGCCAGACTACTCTGTAACACGCGCACATCCCCCGATTACCTATTAGTCGTATCGTGTCGGTGATAATGTCGGGCTTGGAGATCCTCGGTGTTATCCTGGGCCTGTACCCAGTCATCGCGGAACTGGCCAAGAAGTATAGGCAAATGAAGGGCACCGACTCAAGAGAGCTCGACAGAACCGTCGACGTCACATCGGCCATCTACGACGCCACTGTCAGGGGCCTTCTAGCCTCTGCCGTCTCACCACAAGAAATGCATCGCCTTGCCCCGACTCACGGCCCCATTGACCAAAATCTCTGGGAGGACTCCAACCTACAGCAAAAGCTCCTCACCCGTCTCGGTCAAGAGAAATTCGATCTCACCATCGACTACCTGACCCAGATGAAGAAGCTGCTAGACCACGTAAAGCTCGAGCTCACGACCTTGTGTCGTAGCAATGTAAGAATCTCGATCGTGTCAATCAACCAATACCTACTTGCGGGAAAGCAACGACCCGATTGAGGGACGGTAGCTAACTCCCTGTGACAATAGGAGGGATTTGATCGCTTTAAGGCGGCTCTAAAAAGGACAGTTGCTGGTGCAGGAAGGCCGAGCATAAGGGAGACAGTGAAGCAAGTCAGGCACCTCAACAATGACCTCCGCGAACTCCTTGACGACAGGCCCTTCAGCACCCCCCATCAGCAATTCCGGGACCAGAGTGCCGCCAGCGAGGCCCTGCAGACAGAAGCCAGTACCCTCAAGGCCCGCGAGTTTTTCGACGCTATCAAAGAGAGGTACACTTGTGCATGTCCAAACCCACATGTCATCGGCCTTGGCTGCTATTGCGCACCCTGCGTCCAGCCCTCGTCTGGCGGCGGGCTTGCCGTCCACACAACAGACGACTGGGCTTTTTGTTTGGCCTTCCCACCGGGCCTTCCCGAGAGGTCGGAAGACGACGTCTCGGCGACAATACTTCTAGAGACCATTCCCGAGAACGGCATCGACGCATCTTCCATCCGGAATCTCTGCGCCCTAGTCAAGCAAGCGACAGCAGAATCCGACGTCCGCCAAGTTCTGCTCGAAACGGCCAGCGACAGCCAGATGTACCGAATGAAGGTGACCAAGCTCGACCCGAGCGGCTCCAATCAGAAGCAGCAACCGACGATCAGGTACTTTGCCGAGCTGAGGGAACCCAGCAACGGCTTTTCGACTAGGGATAGACTCGGGCTGGCGCTTCGCCTCAGCTTGGCCATCGGGCAGCTCTGCTCGACGCCTTGGATCAGCGAGTCATGGAGCTGGAACGACGTTTGTGTCACCCAAGCCGCCGGCACCGCTGTCGAGCACAGAAACAGCAACAGGGCGAGCACGGCAGCGGGAGCGGGAGCGGCAGCGGCAGCGGTCAAATTCCCTGTCATGTTCATCCTCCAAGACATGTACTCTTCCAGCTACGACACAGACAACGAGTCGACGGCCGCAACCCTCGCGGCGGTTCCCGCCATGTCTGAGGTCCTCGACGACGAGCCCGTGCTGACCAAGCTGGGCCTGGCCCTGATCGAGCTGGCCATGGGCAGGTCGATCGAGGAGATGAAGAGGGAGTACGGTCCCGACGGCTCGGTCGAGGAACACCTCGCCAACATCTACACGGCCAAGACGCTGCTCCAAAACGGCAAGATCCGCAGCGAGGCGACGCGCGAGTACGAGAACGTGGTCAAGGTGTGCATCGGGCGCCGGTTTTTCGACAAAGATGGTAATGTCAGGGGGCTGTTGTCCGAGGACAAGCTGTTCTTTTCCTGCTTCAGGGACGCCATACTTGAGCCGCTCCTGGAGGTGTGGAAGAGGTACGAATTGTAAAAAAGGGCCGGAATTTGTAGCTGTATTCTTTGTACATAGCCCACATGTGACCAATTACTCGGGGAGTTGGACAATGGAACTTGGTAACCCCTTATGTGAGTCACAGAACTGAATCTCGACCTTTTTGACTTGGCAAGGTTTGATTTCCAGTCGGTGCCTGAAGCACGGACGTGACTCGGGGGCCATAAACTGAAGATGAATCTTCTACGCACCGTCTTGCTTTACGTCCATACCCAAAGCTTGGGCGGGTAGCTGTTGAGATTGCTCAGGATCCTCGGTTAAGCCTTGTTATGGTTTGAGTTGTCATGATAAAGGCATGATGAAGCATTTATGTCAGAGGTAGAATGGTCGCGAGATTCAAAGCTAATTACGACATGGTACCCGACCCATGGAAGATGGAAGTGGTCCAGTCCAAGGGTTGCTCTGTGAAAAGTCTAAAGCGCTCACGCCGCCGCCTGTAAATTCTTGGTCATTTCCCAATGGGCTACTTTCCTCAAAAGCTTTCCTTTCACACCGATTCCACATTCTCATCAAACTAGTTTATCACCTCTCTGCGCCCAAGCCCAACACCACAAGCTCGGCATCACCGTGTCCTCTCGCCCATGCTTTGCTCGGCACCTCATCGATCATGGATCAGAGCACCGCAGAAAATCTGCTGAAGGTGTGCGAGGCTGCAGCAGACCTGGATGCTTCTGGCCCCATACGAAAGAACTTGAAGTCCATGCTAGTCAGCCTTGAGCCGTGGAATGACATCCTGGACACCATCATGCCCGTCTTGAAGGCAAGGGTACAAGGCTTGGAATCCCCAAAAGTCGACATGAAGGCCCTGAAAGTCGAAGCGGAGAGCATTACAATCGAGCTGAAAGAACTTCAAGTGGGGGTGGAATCGAAGCAGGAGCAACAAGTGGGGGTGGAATCGAAGCAGGAGCAACAAGTGGGGGTGGAATCGAAGCAGGAGCAACAAGAAGAGGGAGAAGAACAGCGAGAAGCAAATAATAGTATATAGATTACGAGAGTCTAACACTGAATGAACGAGTAATATTTAATAAACTCTATAACTATATTAATAGCTAAGGAACGTTCCCTAGGATCGTCCTCAGCTCTACCTATATAGAGTATGAATAACTAATCAGAGTCCCCTAATCGTAATCTATAGATGTCTAAGTGATCTGCTCACAGATCACCCGGAACGCTACAGATCGAGTGGTTTGTAATAGTGGCTCCTTTCTATTATGCTAACACGGTGGCGGTCTTTGTCGGCCTTTAGCGCGCCTGATAATCTCATGAAGCCACCTCCCGGTGGCCTCGACCATGGTATGTTTCCGAAGACGCGCATGTGGTACTGGAAGACAAGGCCATCCCATTTTGACTCGTCAAACACGGCCGAGCGCGTCCATCGGTGGTTCGAACTTCCCCATAAGTCCCGGGTCAACCCCCATCTCCCCTTGAATTGCGCCAAGAGGCACTCAGCCAATCAGAGAATTTTCTTGAAAGAAAGTACGCTTTCCTTATCCAGTTTTTCTCAGTTAGGTATTGAACGAAGCCCATGCCCAGTCATCTCTTCATGTCGCCGCCTTTCTTTTCTGCCTACGCGTTCTTGGTCAGCTGTCACCAGCCCTATCTTCTCCCGCCCTATTCACTAGATCCTAAAAGGAAGCCTCTTTGGAATAAAATTCCTTAGTTTAAGGCTATTATGTGATACAGCCCTCGAACCCGAGCGTCTTAACGCATTGTCACACTCGCTGAGGCATAAACATCTTCCTAGGCGTCAGCCAAAAACGTCAATGTCACGCCTATCACGGCCGCAACGCCCACAGTGGCTCAGCCCACAGTCGCTCCGCCGACCGCGTAGGGTCGCTGCTCGTCGGTCTTCTTCTCAATCTCGGAGATGTTCTAGCTGCGTAGGAACCACAGCGAGACGGAGCCGACGAAGAACGTGACGCCCACTTACATCTGCGCGGGCAGGAACTGGTTCACGCCCGATCCGAGATAGTCCGTCCGCGATTATGATGACGAGTTGCTCAGCATCTGCCCGCGAGCAACGTTCTTGCCAGTTCGTTGAGTCCAACGTACCAGGTGCCGGAAGCTTGCGATGGACCACCGTCAGCAAACTACCGTATATCAAACAAATAGGGAACAGAACCTTGGGCAATCTACCTGCCAAGTAGGATATCTTAGTTTCGGATGACGCAAGACATATGGAATAACTCTAGGGAATAAACAAACAGTAAGGGTTCGGGGGTGCATCCTTCTCGAGCGATATAATCTCGTCAGGAGTCGAGGTTATTTAAGAATGAATGCGAGTATTGCAGCTCCCTAGCTATACTGATTGGCCCAGCCATAGTATGCAAGTAGCACCTGCTTAATATCCTCCGACCAAAAAATTCAACCTGCCTTACTAAAGGAGCCCACTCCAACGCCTTCTCAGTCTATCATAAGAATTGTGCCTTTAGTAGCCTGCTACTGTTTGGAACCTTCTACCCTTCCTTTCCTATGCTGCTAGCGGCTCCAAGCTGCCCTCGAAAGACTTTGTCATCCAGACCCCGGATAGCTCGGCTAGGGTTGGCGACGCACCGGCTTGGGAAAGCCCCAGAGTTCGACGGCAGCCTGAATCAGGGCCGTGTTGAATTCATCGACGCCGGTACTTTCCCACTGATTCATGCCGTGGGGCCCGCCATATTGGCGGATAAACTCCACTAAGTACTCAAGGCACTGCTCCAGACTCTCCGCGGTGCCCGCCATCTTCGGATCCAGGCCCGTTTTGCCCTTGACAGTTATGTACTTCGGAAACTGGATAACCAATTTCCTCCCGTCCCTCAAGTCACTGATACTGGCTCCTAACTCGATGGCGTGGTCCCTCGGGCACCACACAATGATGCCATGGAATTCGGGCTTGTTCTGCGCGTTGACGGACCGGAACAAAGTGGGTACTGACTTATACGCGGACTCTTCGACCTCCTTCAGGCAGATGACCATAGCCTTTGTGGGCGAGATGGGGGATGACGACTTTTTCTGTAGTAGAAGGAAAATTTGGGTTAGTAAACTCAGGACACGCTGGCTATGAGGCTATGATGTAGTCACTCACGATTTGACCGTGCTCTTTTCCCTCCCTCTCAAACTTGGACTCGTCGCTCTTGAACTTCCAGCTTGCATTTGTCTCTGGAAACCTCCCCCACGCTCCTTCGGCCAGTACGAACGCCCCATTACGGATGGAGGAGCTGGAATCGATAACGACACCAGTTTTTCTGCATCTCGCAACTCGATGCCGGGTGAGGTCGTAGATTTCAAAGTTGAATATCGGGGCGCCCGTTGCGTCCTTGTGGCTTTTCAGCTCGGTAATTGCCTTCACCGCAAACGACGTACAGCGACCCGCGTCGACGTTCCAGGTAGCCGCTAGTTGCTGAAAGTTGAAGTGACTAATATGACTATCCGTAATGGTCTTGATAGAATTCTTGGGGTCAAGTAAGAAGTCACCAATCGACTTTCCAGTCGCTTGGATGATGTATTGTAGCATCAACATTCCAGTGTAGGGACCGCCATCGAAGATTTTTTTCCACTCATGTTGAGCGAGATCAAGAGGGGTAGGTGGCGCCGTGTTAGACATGGTGGAGGTCGGCAATCAGAGCAGATAATAGTAACGAAGAAAAATAATCAAAGCCGAGTAAGCGCGAGCGCCTTGTAACGAACCAGAGGTAGCTGGGTGATGATGCTAGAAGCTGGACTAGGACAGTATCTAAACCATTCAGGAATGACCTTTATATAGGTAGGTAGATGGCTCCCACCAGGTAGGGATAAGATGTGTTGAAAGGGGCCGTTGTCGTGCTCGTTGGACGTCGTCGTGGCTGTGGTTGCTGGAGCTTGTGTTGGCGGGGGCCGAAGGGCCGGGGATCCAGGCTCGCATCCATGAGACATCGCCAGGGCGGCACGGCCGTTGGGCCGTGGCTGCTGAGACCGGTAACGGTTTGTTCTAAAGGGTTGTCGGCCTGTTTGAGGGAGAGGAGACGTCGTTGCTGTGGTAGCTTGAGCTGGTGTTGGCGGCGAATGAAACAATGGAAATCCATTTTGTAAGCCCCCATCTCCGACCAGGGCGGCGCGGCCGTAGGGCCATGGCTGCTGAGCCCGGTAACGGTTTGTTCCAAAGGGTTGTCGGCCTGTTTGAGGGAGAGGAGGCGTCGTTGCTGTGGTAGCTTGAGCTGGTGTTCGCGGCAAATGAAACAATGAAAATCCACCTTCCAAGCCCCCATCTCCGACTAGGACGGCGCGGCCGTAGGGCCTTGGCTGCTGAGCCCAGTGGCGGTTTGCTCCAAAGGGTTGCTGCCCTGTTTGAGGGAGAGGAGGCATCGTTACTGTGGTAGCCTAAGCTAGTATTAACGGCAAGTAAAACACTGGAAATTCCCTTGCCAGTTGGGATTCAATACCCCGGGGGAGGTGGAGTTGGTGTTATCCGACCGGGACGGGACGGTTTAGGCCTTGGCTGGTTAGCACGGGGCGGCGGCGGGGTGCTCCCAAGCGGCGCAAAGAAAACTCGAAACTAGGGGGCCCAGCCGGATTTTGGCGGCCCAGCCGGACTTTGGGGGCCGATCCGGAATTCCAGGGGCAATGCAACGCCTTGTGGGTGGTAGAAACCTTTGTTGGTCGTAAAAATCTACCGCCACAGTTTCAGGGTGCGCCTTCTTGATCCTCTTGCCGCTTGGGCTGCAGATGGTGTTTCCACTGCTTCTCGCCGACTAAGAGCACTGCTTGGCGTTTCATTCCGGCAATGATTTGATTATAAAAGCCTTCGGCTCTCCTTGTCATCTGGTTTTTACCACCAGACCAAGTAACGTTCAGAGGAACCCACCCAGCACTCGATCGCTCGTAACTTTGTTTCCTGCTGATAATCGAAAATATTCCTTTCCGCCTAGATCTCTTCGACAAGGGGCCTAATCTACTCAGTGCAATAAAATGTCAGGCGTTCAGGTGGACGTGTCAGCCATGCTCAAGAAATTAAGGACAAATACAACAACAACTTCTTCGACAGTCAACGGTAAGTACATTGCAAACCCCGCCCCAAAACAAAGCAGCCTTACGCGGGTCGTCCCCCGCCGGTCGAAGCCACTTCTTCCCTCACCGTCTACAGAAACTCAAGGTCCGCGTCTAGACCGTGAATACTAATTATACCGACGCAGGCATACTCGGTAAACCCCAAACGACCTCCGGCGACGTGGTCAAGGCCTACTTGATGGAAATGGAGACCGCGGAAGACCAAACCGCCTCCACTCAGGGCAGCACCTCAACTTCAGGTTAGGGTGCACGGGCTTCCGGTATAGGGCAGGATTAGGGCTGGGAAGGACCCTTTCCTGTTCTCGACGCAGGGCCGGTCTCGCGTCGAGGATGGTCCACGGTTTGCTGGCTGCTAGAGGTGTAAGCTGTCAAATACTTCGGCCTTCTTGTCTCGCGGGCTGGGCCCGGAGGGCTGCAAGGGGAAATCTTGGCTGGACCGAGAGGCAGACTTACTTGGGGGGGTCAACAATAGATTGTACAAAATCGAGCCAGCGCCGTTGTGACTCGATGCCACTGCAGGTTTCCCGCATTATTAGCCCGAGTGATCTTTGCGTAAGCTTCGTGAACAGGGGCCGGGAGATAGTACCTCAGCGTCTCCTCTATTGCAGCGCGCTCTTCTTCGGTGGTGTTGGGGTCGCGAAGTTCTTCTCGCCAACCTTCCCCCTCCACGTCTAACAGTGCTCGCATGGCAACATTTGCCGGAACACCGCTGTGCACCACCGGATGGGCTTCCATTTGTCAGCCTGAAGGGCATCTTGAGATTCTCTCGCCCGCCGACATACGTGGAGAGTTTCTGTGCCTCTCGGCTACTATTTCAAGCAGAGCTCGAACATCGACTGCGTTTCCGGGCGGTCGGGGCCCGTTGGCATTATCGCTCTGGTTGCCGCCGGCGCGGTCCTTGCTGCTCTCTGCCATTCTCGAGTTGGTGCAAGAAACGTGGTGAGGTGGGGTGTGCGTTATTGGACGTGGCAAAGCGTGAATTTTAGCCTTCACAGTTAAGTTGGTAATGGATGGCGGAGGAAGAACTAGAAAGGGGAAGCCGACAGTGCCAAAGGCTCGCGGGCTTGGCACAGCCAACGGAGGAGGTACGAGCCGGAGGACGTATGAGCGGAAAGAGCCGAAGGAGCCGAATGAGGCGAAGGAGGCACAAGCCGAAAGAGGCATGGGATTATTAGCGTTACATTCAGGTCTCTAAATATAATTAGGCAGGCGCCGACACCCTACAGTTGTGGTGCATAATAATGTTATTTCAGTACTTCGCTAAATACACGCCCGGAGTGTAGTTTCCAATAAAATCTCCACCAGCCGCAATCACCGCTTCCACTCTCTGCTTCATAGATCTGGCACAGTTCCGTAGCATCTCGGTCGGTACAGCAGCCCAAGCTTCCTTTATAGCTTCGATCAATGCCTTACCAGTAGCACGGGGCCTATTATCTTCAATCCACCGCTTCATCCACGGCCAGACATTCTCAACAGGATTAAGGTCGGGGCTCCGAGGTGGAAAATCGACCACAACGCCGGTAGGAAAATGCTCCTGGATCCAAGCCTTGGAAGACTTCGATGTATGCGCTGGGGCATTATCTTGTTGAATTGTCGAGCTAGGAATCTTCTTATAGAAGTCAAGAAGTAATGGAAGCACATATTCTTAGTATTTTGCCTGTGACGGCCCGCCTTACGCAGTAGGGATGTCAATGGTTGAAGGCAGTAACGAATGTGGATTTAAAGCTAAAGAAGAGAAAGGAATCTATCGCCAGGTCCGCGCAGGGCGCGGAGAAATAGGTAGTGGTGCTCAGTGCGCACAGGCCACACCCTAAGCACAATGCAGCCAATAGAATCAATTCTGTCACATGAGCCCTGTGGCGACCGTGACATTGCCGAGTTAATATGCCCCTTAGCCTTGGATAGGTTTTTAGACTTATCCTTGAGCTCTTTATCCCACACAATAAAAGGGCCTTTCTGAGATCCGGCGAAACATCCCCAGAACATCCACCCTTTACGGCGAACTTTAGGTTGTGGGATTTCTGTTGGTTTCTCGCCAGGTAGTAGAATCAGAGACTTCTTACGACCAGAGCTTCCGTTGACCCAGGTTTCGTCGCTCCAGATCCATGACTCCCAATCATCCTCGGAGAGGTGCCGACGTTGTAGACACCAAGTTAGCCGATTAGATTTATGGGTAGGTTGCAGGATAATTATCGATGGTTGTTGTGTAATTACACAGCCAAGAGCCCCCAGGGCATACCGAATGGCCTGGTTCGAATAGCCAGCTAAGCCTAGGATATGGTCTGCTAGCCGGCTAGGTGGTTTTCCCCGGCGAGAGGGTGTGCCTTCCTCTAAGAAAGTCTGGATAAGCTGTTTCTGTGGTGTAGCTAGTATACCACGGCGACCCCTCTTATGGTAGGTTGGTGTATTCCGGCCGGCCAAGATACCATATTGGACCTGCCGTACACTAAGGTCAAGAGCCTCTGCAATACGTATATATGACCAGCGTGCATGGAAGTAAAGAGTCTTGCACGCAATCCTCTCCTCAATGGTAGTACTTTTCGTAGGAGTCTTTGGTGTGGCCGGTACAGTAGGTAGTACAGCTTGGTCGATTGCTGGTGGTGGGGTGGGCGGCTGGTTCTCTATAGTTCGTGTAGGGTGTGGATAAGTAAAAGGCGTGTGGATAATGGAGCACTTTCCAACGAGGTAGTTGTAGTAGTAATTTATACTGGAGGGTACCTCTTCTAGAAGGCTCCACAATCTGCCAGGCACCCTTGACAAATCCACTTATTAGTACTAAGCTAACATTAAAAGGCAACAAAACTGTAGACTTTCGGGTTGCACAATCGGGTAAGCTGGAGGCAATCGGAGCGGGGTTTGGTTGACTTGCCCCTTTGCGGACAGTGCTTCCCACGAATCGCCTGCAGCTGACAACGCTAGGCTTAGGTTGTGCATCAGCGTATCGTAGATCCACACACCAAAGCCTGCCACGTGACCCACTGCACTAACAAGCCCCCTAACAATTCTACACTTTTCCATCACACCACGCACCAAACCGCCAGTTCTACCATTTCCACCACTTCTACCACTTCCACCATTTCCATGGCTCTTGGTGATACGCACATTACTACGCCTATCAAGGCACAAGTTCTTGGCGCCATTCGCTTTCTGGAAGGCCATAAGATTCCACACTATAAGAATGATGTTTTCAGCTCTTTTGGTGTAACCCGCCGGTCAGGCTGGCAGATCCTGCACAACGCGCGCGAACGGCGGCACCCAGAGGTGGAATCCAGGGGTCGGAAGCCGGTCCTTACGCCAGCCAATTTGCTAGCAATGGAAAGCATTATCTGGCAATACGGTTTCCAAGCCCGGGCACTAAGCTGGCAAGGCCTTGCCAAACCCGCCGGCATCTTGACGCCAGTTTCTACACGCACGATCGAGAGGGCAATGGGTACACTAGACTACCGGAAGTGTATTGCTTGCGAGAAGGGTTTTGTCTCGCCAGCGCATGCCAAGCGAAGGATAGAAGCAGCCAAGCTTTCACTTTCCTATCGCCCTTTGCCTGAGAACTGGCGCGATATAAGATGGTCAGATGAATCTCACTTTGATATATGCCCTGAAGGTAAGGTCCAGATTATACGGAAGCCTGGAGAGCGTTACTGCCCTGACTGTATCCATCATGCTGAAGAACCTTCTAAAGGTATTGAACGATACTATGTTTGGGCTGCTTTTGGCTGGAACTTCAAGTCACCACTTCACTTCTATAGTGTTCCTACCAACACCAACGGAAAGATGTCCTTAGCTGTATATCGCGATATCTTGGAAGAAGTGGTAGGTCCTTGGCTGGCACGTGGGGATTCTTTTGTTCTGGAAGAAGATGGGGATTCTGGCCATGGTGGAGGAAAGAAGCCTAATATTGTAAGGCAGTGGAAGGAAGAACACCAGCTTAAGCACTATTTTAATACGCCTGGCTCACCAGACCTTTCGCCCATAGAAAACTGTTCGCGTGCAGTAAAACAATTCGTACGTGCACACTATACTATAGGAGCTGAATTGAAGGCACTGATTTTGGAAGGCTGGGAGCGTGCAAGTCAGGAGAGCATCAATAAGATGGTGGATTCTATGGTAGTGCGGATGGAAGATGTGTTAGCCGGCTAGGGTTAGATGACTGGGTGGTCGAAGGCCCTGTGGTGACTTGCTTGTAGGTAGGAATTTCTATGGCAGTGGAAGTACTGTGCGGGGTCTGGTGTGCTGGTTTTTTTGGCAACCGCTTGGGGACCTGCGCGGGCCCTCTAGACCATGCCGAATGTAGTATGGTCTTTCTGACAGCTGTACCGTGGTTCGAGCTTCTTGACCCAGATCACTGTGCTGCCGCTTCTGGCCGCCACTCTGGCAACGTGTCATTAGTCAGCATAACAAAATATCGAAGGTGGGACTCGCCGTAGGATTCAGATTGCTGCTGTAATTACTGCTGATTTGCTATGAACTGGTCGCACAGAGCTGTGGGCCAAAAGGCGAGACATCAGCATGAGGAATTTCTACACATAGCTATTCGCTAGCCCTTGTTCCCGAGCAGGAAGGAAATTTGTTTATTGTGCATCTCCGGATCGCCGACCCACGGTGCAAAACCTTCTCCTGAATGGGCGACCATCGGAACTGTCTAGAGCTTTGAGCTGCTTGTCGAGCTCGTCCAGTCGCTGCGCAATCTGAACAAACATACCCTCTGAAGGATGGGTTAGCAAAGTGTTGTTGACAGAGGGAAGGGTTCTTACCCTCCGCGTGCCACAATATGTGGCAATGCAGAGCCCACACACCGGGATTGTCGCCAGGGATGCGAATCACAACGTGGGTATACCCTGGAATAGTTACCGTATCTCTCATCGGATTCTCCAGATTCCAATTTGTTTCTCCTTCCCCGAATATCCCTCTTCCCCAGCCGACGATTTGGAACTGCTGGCCGCTGAAAGTAACAGTTAGGATCTCGCCCAGGAAGCTGAAGTGGAGAGACTCACTGCAAATGACTGCAAATGGAAGGGATGCATTAGCATCCGAATTAATGGCGACCTGAACGCCTTTGTCCGTGTCCTGGGAGACCATGACAAATTGGTCTAGCCCAAAAGTCCAGCTCGTGTCAATTTTGCTCGTTCGCTAAAGCGCAGCGTCGTCATGAAGGGTCTCGTAGAGTGTCCGATATTTAGTCATTACAAGGCAATTAAACTTGGGCAGGACACGAACCTTCAACCTAGTAAATCTACAGGAAAACCGTGCCCTCACGGGCCGGATGAAGAACTCATACCGGCAATCAAGGAGCTAAATCAGCCACCGATCCTAAAAATACTACAGGGAAGGCCTCCTAGCCCTCGACCGACCGGGCACTAGACGGTCATTTCCAGCTCAAGCTTTCTAGCCAGGCTATACATCGCCAGTCTTCCCGAGTCCATCAACCAGCTCAGGATCCTCCCCTTTAGCCGTGCAGCTAAAGGACTAGTATTCTGTAGAACAAAATAAAAGTCCCGCCGTATTCGGGCCTCCGCTCTCCTCTACGTTCAAGCCAAAGGTGGGGCAAAGCACCACATCACCAGGTGTTCGGCAGTCTCTCGTCCTTCTCCACACTCACAGTAGGGAATTGTAACCCTTAGTACTCATCGTTCAAATAGGAAGCTTCGGAGGCCTATAGCCCCAGTTCGAATCTAGACTAGCCACAAGCTTTTATGTTACGATCCTGGCTCTTCTGTGCAGGATGCGTCACGGGCTCTCGTGTGGTTGGCCGGCAGGGAGTGGGGTTGGACCCACCTTCTGGGCCAGGAGCAGCCAATCAGGAGGCGCTCAGTACCTCAGTTGCTCTTCCCTTGACTGAGCACCCTGAGCAGGGCGCTCAGTAGGTAATTAAGTGCTCAGTCGTGCTGAGCGCGGGGGAGGACGCTGAGCGTTCAAAGAAAGGATTCTGATTGGTCCGTGCTACTTAGATAAATACGATGACCGTATCCACGGTCTTAGATAGTTCTTGCTTGGGTCTTCAAGCAAGCAATACACATTCACTGCACTCATATACTTTGAGTGGCATTCCGATTTGACTGTATTACCCGTGCGATAGGAGCTTGCCCTTTGTTCTATCTTCATAATTACCAACCCCAGCATCCTGTGGAGCCCGTGCTCCCTTACAGACAGACGACCCTAACAGTCGAGTGGTTTGTAATATATTGTACTCGCGGTTTGTTCCACCGCGGTAGGCCTCTGTAGCCCTAACGCTCGCGATCGGCCATCGTATCTCCTCGAATTGAACCTCTTGGTACAGTTTTTTGCAGGCCGCATAGACGATAATCCCTGGGGTTTTCTTACCCCCTTGCCGTCGTACAGAGCGGGTTATTACAAACCACTCGACTGTTAGGGTCGTCTGTCTGTAAGGGAGCACGGGCTCCACAGGATGCTGGGGTTGGTAATTATGAAGATAGAACAAAGGGCAAGCTCCTATCGCACGGGTAATACAGTCAAATTGGAATGCCACTCAAAGTATATGAGTGCAGTGAATGTGTATTGCTTGCTTGAAGACCCAAGCAAGAACTATCTAAGACCGTGGATACGGTCATCGTATTTATTTAATTATGGCGGGCCAGTAAGAGCGCAGCTCTTACTTGCCCGACAAGAAGGAGCTGCCTGGCGCCGGGCACTGCTAGCGTGCCGGGCCATTTGCCTGGTGCTAAGACCCTTTGGTGCCAAGACCCTTCTTGGCACCGGGCCACCCCTGATTGGCCGTCCTTCCGTTTGCCTGGTGCCAAGAGCCCTCTTGGTACCGGGCACCGTCTGATTGGTCTTCGACAAGCGGGGCCCCCAGTCTTGCCTGAGGCGCCTGCCTTCTGCAGCCGGTCCAGTACGAACCAGGTTCGTCACACTTACAGACAGACGACCCTAACAGTCGAGTGGTTTGTAATACCTGGGACACCTCTGATTAGTCCACACCAAACAGGGAGTGCCCCACCTTCACGCATTTACGCAGGGATTCGTAACACTTCTCTATATGTGTGCTTGTCACGGCGGGTGCCGTGGTGGTGTCAATGACGTAGTGCTGGAGTGTGGTCTGTGCGTACCTATCACGTGGTCCGCACCATACCTAGAACCCCGCGCCTTGCCCGCTCCCCGCAACACCTTCCTTTTCCTTCCTTAGCTTTAGATTCCACAATACAGGTTACGGTTATACTGCGTGTTATGCCAGTCGAATCCTCTCCTTCGTGACAGTGCTGAGCGGCCCTCTAGGGCCTATAAGTGTAGGGAGCTTAGGGGGCTGGATAGGGGTGTGGCTCCTGCAACGTGCCTACTTTTCTAGGCTCTAAAGGAGCTCTGACTTCGAGGCTGCGCCCTAGACCGTCGTCCTCCAGGCCTTAGCCTTAGCGTACTTTATAATCTTGGTACTTGCTTAGCTTCTTAGTCACCCCTTCTAAGCGCCTGTATCCCGGCGTACCGTATCGTCAGCTAGACGAAATGTGATTTAGTTACGTGTGCTGGACTTACCTCCAGACTAGGGTTCGCCTAAAGTACGAGTCCATACGACATGCGGACTTCTTAACGACGTAGCGCGAGCACGGCGCTAGGAACGTATCCCTCGTATCGTATCGGAGCTTGCCGCCACAAAGCGCGTCAATTAGCTCGAATGCGCGGTTGATTGCGCCAGTCTGGCGACGACAGACGATGCATCTTTGTCTTGTTTTTTTGGGGGGGCGGGGGAGGGAATCGGGGACCAACCTTGACCTGGCGGCAGGCGGTGCACGACGTGGCCCGGCCCTAGCTTTGCGCCGAGAGGGCGATGCGGCTCGCTATACCGTCTGGTTTTTGGTATTACGAAGAAACGAAAAAAATAAAATAAAAGGAAAGCGATGTGAGTCCGGGAGTGGATTGTGGATTGTGGATTGTGGAGTGGAGCGGTCTCGGGCCGAGTCCACGGTGACGAGGCCGGGGGCGAGCGGCGGGTTAGGAGAAGCAATGTGGCGGCCAGTCTCCGCTCGATGGGTAGATTATGTGGCGATCGACGCGACCGTTCCAAGCCGTTTTCCTTTCGGGAATTGTCTGGTGCGCCCGCCGTGACCGGCCAGGCAGGACAGACACGCTTCGCTCTTTTTTTCCCTTTCGCTGCGAGCGGTCAGTTTCGGCTGGGTAGCTGAATCCGCATGTAGTTGTTGCTTTGCGTAAGCGGCGCTAGACCGCATCGGTCGCATCTGATACGTGTTGGCGTTCACGTCCGGCTTTGTAACTGGCGAGACGGCCGGATGCCCAGAATGCCTAGAGGTTCTAGACCCCCTGTGGCGTTTCTCGATGCGCGAAATAGCCGACTCGCGCCTGGCACAATTGATGTGGCGAAGTGATCACATTGGCAATAAATTTATGGATATTGCATCTAGAAAGTGAGTGCTATTGATCACTTTGATACAAAGGGAATATGGACAGCCTTGGGAGCTAAACAAACTAACGAGTGCATCACTGATATGTCAAAAAAATATACCAGACAGTGTCGGTAAATGAGAGTGCATTTTGGTTGCCGCCCGAGGCTGGCACCGTCAATTCAGCCCCAGTCTCGCCAGCAAGACTTTCACGTTATTGCATATTCAGCCACGGGTGCGCGAGAATGCCTTCGGCCGTGATACGTTTCCTTGTATCGTACTCGAAGATCTTCTTGAGCAGGTCATAGAACAACTCGGCCTCCTGGGCCGAGATGTGCGGGAAGCCTTCCTCGGCTGTCACGTTGAACCAGTTCTTCACGCTCCTGGGTGACTTTAGAATGAGATTGGACGGTGTCTCGAGAGGTGCGGAAGGAGTTCCCGGGCGTGTCGCACCGCCGGCTAGAGACGACGAGTTGGACCGGGACGGCGCCGGGGTGCTGGCCCGTGACGGCGTCAGATCCCAGATGCCAAAGACCTTGGCTCTAAGGTCGTAGTTCCTGTCTATGGGATCACAACCGTATTTCTGCACCTTCCCGTGAACTGGGTGTTCGTCGTCGGGGAAAATGACATCATTCCACGCGGCAGGCGGGTTGCCAATGGTGAAGTCAAATATATCGCTAAGGTGGTTTTCCCACGACTGCATTCTCTCGGAGTCGGAGAATAGGGATATGGCCGACCGCATGCGAAAAAGTGTGCATCCCAGAGCCCATACGTCGGATCCCGGGCCCGGCTTTCTGTCGATCAAGGCTTCTGGGGCGACGTATTGCTGCGGGGTTGCGATGCCAGAGCTCGGCGTGGCGGGCGATATGGCGCCGAAGACCTGGTCAAAGTCCATGACTCGGAGATTCCAGGACAGGTAACGGTCTCCGAGCCGTGCCAGTTCCACAGACTTGACGACGTACTTCGGCGCGTGCTCGCCAGGGCCAGTCTTTTCCTTTTCTGAAAGTGGAAGAACCTTTTCTTTTTCTGGGGGGCCGACGAGCTTGAAAAAGTCATGTTTGGACAGTTTGTGGAACTCAGGCGAAATGTCGAGCCCTATATTGGAAGGCGTGAAGTCTGCCGGGATCAAAAGTTAAAGCCAGTCCAGCTCAGCGGCCAGGGTTGCTTCCTAGACCGAGACTTGGGTCACTTACCTCCATGGCAAATATTCTTCCTGTGCATGGAAGCCAACAGACCAGCGGCATCGCGTGCCAGCTTCCTGCAGGCAGCCGGACGTAATCGCCACGGGGGCTGGCTCAGATCGTGCATGCTGGGCCCAATGACGGGGAGCACCTGGCACAGGTGGATGCCGTTCTTGCTCGTTACGTAGAAGCGACGCAACTCGACAATAAAGTGGCGGGCGGGAGATGGGTGTGACGAGTCGGGGTGAGGGTTCAGTAGTTTGTCGATCTTGCCATCAAGCTGGCCGTATGATTCCGTCCACGAAGAACAAACTATCTTGAGAGCAACATAGTGGCCATCTTGTAAGTCTTGGGCAAGCCAAACAGTTGAGAAGCCACCCCGGCCAAGCTTGTGGATGACCTCGTAGCGGTCGTTGTCGAATTTGTCCCCAAGATGGACGGGATGGAGCCCTCCTGAAATGTACTGTTCCACGTTTTCAACATCATCCGCGATATCTAACACGCCGTATTTTTCGGTGGCCATGTTGCTGGTGAAGTCGATTAGGTAAAGTATGTGGAGGCTGTGAGCTAATTCAGGTTCCGCGAGCGGATGGGCGAGGTTGGAGGTTGAAATTCCAATTGACAATTGTGAGGTGAGGGAGGTAGGGGCTTCGGCATCTTATGCTCGGGCCGCGCCCGGGCCAGGCCAGTGAGGGGACCGTCACTGACCTGACGTGTGCAACCAAATGGCAAAGCGCAAGGCCAAAAGCAGGTCGCAGGCACGTGACTTTGGTCTTGAGTTCCTGTTCAACTGTGTCGTGTCTCTTGCGACGCGCCTCGATCCTTTGGGATTTCAGCATTCCTGTCACTTCTGCCTCAGAACTTGATGAGAACAAGACTATCGTTACTGTTAATTACAGAAAGGATTTATTGGAATCATTAATTACATCTAAAATGGATTACTCCGGTCTTCCCGACCCTCCTTCGGAAGCTCAGGAGTAGCAGAGCTGGTCTGCGCAACCGGGCTGAAACAGTGATGGGGGCCAAATGAGGAATCCAAAATGCAATAGCGCCCCCCTGAACAGCCAACGAATCCACTCGCGCCTCCATCACGCGCCGCGCATTGCAAAAGAACGAGGTGAGAATCAGCTAACAACACCTTTATCGTAGCTAAATTTAGGACATGCCCAATGCGGCGCTCGCATTTGGGTGGTGTGTACGGAGCTCCGCTCGTTCCTTCATTGCGTTCTTCTTGGTTCATAGTACGAAGGCTGGGGCAAAGGAAAAGGTCACCCTCCACAGTAGCCCAGTTTTGAACTCCCACAGTACGTACAGCTTGCCAGGTGCCGGCCAGGGCCTTAAAATTTGTCTTCTCGTACTGTGAAGCATTGGTTTGTTAACCAGGCAGCTGGCGAATGAAGCTCAAGCAATTATGGAATGTGGCGTCTTGAATCTAGCACTGGAGAGGGTGACCCTTTCTTTTTGCCCCAGCCTTGGTACACAAGGCCAATGATGCCCCAACAGCCTTATGGGTAGCACTAGCCTTACAGCCGCACTTGCCGTATATCGCCGCATCGCTGCGGCAGATATTTCTCGGTCGACCGGCACCGAACGCAACAATCCATTACTACGCCGTGCATCCCTCTCGTCTGCCGGCCGGCGTTGCCTCAGTTGGCCGTGTATTTTGTGACTTACGAATCACGAACCCCATAGCCTGTTTTCCACCCTCGGTCACTCCAATGTCCAACCGAGTCTTGCAGAAACGCAATGACGCGGCCCCTTTGGTATGTCCCCTGCGCCACCTGCGGCTATTTTAGGAACTGAATCGTCGGGTCCGGCCGGCACGCGTTGGGTGTTAAGTTGAAAGAGAAACAGGACTTGCCTCAACGTGCCTCGCCGGCTGCCGTAGTTGCCATGACTGTGCCAGTTTCGTGTCTGCCAGCTCTCTCTATGGTATCCTCTTTTCTGACCAAGTCTACACGGAATTGCCCAATGTGCGAAGCTCAGGCGTTCTGTCTCAGACCCGAGAGACAGAAACACAAGTGACCTGAGCATGGCGTGTTCATGGCCGCGGTTGGTGCCATCACCATGGCTGTGCCAAACTTGGTGGATTCCCCGGTTGGCCCTGTTGACCTAGTGTGTGCCGAATCCAACACCATCCAAGAGTGTCAGAGGGTCACCGGTCATTCATGGCGTAGTGATCCGCTGGTAAATAGGTCGTGGTTCACAGGTCTTGTCCAGAAATGAACTCTTTGTCGACACACATCCACCCAGCTTTCTTCATCAGTTCATTGCATCATCAGATCATCCCAGTCGCTAGCCGACCAAGCCAACTTTTATAATCCGTCGATCCGTCGATATTCTCAGTCTTTCTCCATTTCCGCTTCCAATTCTGTTGCTGTATCCCTTTTTCATTGTTGATTACCAAAATGGCACCAAAGGATCCTCTAACTCTCACATTAAGCGATATCAGGCTGACATGGAAGGGAAGCAAGCCTGCCAGACCTGATGCTGGCGGCAACATGGTTGCCGACATGGAGAGAATTGCTAAAGCCGAGGCACTGAGGGTTGGCTATGATGAGGTCGAAATTAGGTGCGTCAAGATAGTGTGGCCTGCGACTTCTCAAGGCAAGGAAAATTAGGGATACTAATATCTCGAGACTTTCAGGGGCCCTCCACACGCCGGCACCTCCAGAACCAATCCCGTGACTAAACAGAAGGAATGGATTGATGATATCTGGCATTTGACTGTCGGGTTCAAGTCAACGTATTTTGGAGCCCTTGACCCGGGTTACAAACGAAGCGCCCACCTCAATCTAAGCCTACATCACAAGACTACCAATATCACAATTGATATTGACCATGTCAAAACCCTCAAAGACCTTTCCGCCTTGGACGGAGCTCTCGAGCTCAAAAGTTATCCCAACTATCAACATACAGCAGTATCAGATAACCCGCTTCCCAAAGATGCTCGGAGGGCTGGATACGATAACACCAAGCCCTTTGGTGAGCAGAAGAAATGAGTCCAACCGGGTCTACGAAGAACTCGCCGCCGGGTTCCAGTCACGGCAACTAAACTGTTAAACAACCTTGCCTGTTATAGTTATTCGTCCATCTCGGGTGGAATCGCCATGCCGTGTAACAAGTTCCACGGAGCAATTGATTACAGGCCTGGAATGTGGTGAGCATACCGTCTGGGGCAATGCGGTCGGGAACTGTGTTCTTTCTGCGGACATAGAAGTGGACTTTGGTGTTTGCTTTCAGCGCTGGCGCTGCTGGTTGGCTGGGACTGTCATGGCTCTGGGGGCCTTGATGTATTCTTGGATAGATTTAGTGTATTGTGCATCTGGTTATGCTTTAAGACATGGAAGACATTCTTCAAGTTATGGGCCTGCCTAGGTAACACTCACTGTGGAGACGACCGGGGAAGTAGTTCCTGAAAGATAAGAGCTAAAATATGTCGATATTAATCAGTAAGAGCTGAGACAAGACAGTCTTTCAGCAATTCCTTCTTTATAACTTTACAACGAGACTTTTATAATCTTTGAAAAAAGGACTTCTATTGTTAGCTTTTATCGCAAACGTGCTGGCCGATTAAGTTTGATACTAGGATGCGGCTTGAGTCTTCCTAGTGTAGGTGTTATCGGGTATTAAATGCATTGTTGTGCCGACCCTTGACGACTCCAGGCCGCAAAGGGTGTGGAGTAGAGCGAGCGGTCGGCATGTGATTCGCTAGCTGTGGCCGAATCTGAGAACCTTTCATGTGGGACTTGAGCGTGTTTCCGCCGGGTGTTGACTTTTTTCATTTTTCGCGATCAAGTTCAACCCCCGTACCGCAAACAAGCATTTGCCGCGGTACAGCAAACTTGAAATAATCGAACAGAACGGTCTCTCCTTAGCTACTTCTGCCCAGCTGACACAGCGACCTAAGTCATGACGGCAAACAAGCCAGCCGACCCAGGCAGAAGGGAAGAGATCGTCCTCCGGCAAGGACTTTCCCGGAAGGCAGGCTATTTAAATCACCGGGAATATTAGAAGGAGCGCAGCGCTGACACTGGGTTAATACAGGACCTACACGACGAAAACCTCCGGAAGTTTCTTTGGGACCAGGTCCACCCGAAGCCGAAACTTCAGTTCCGCCAGAACCGCTACGAAAACTGTGTGCCGTGGGAAACAACCACTGAGACTTTCTTGCAGCAAACCGAGCCCCATGAACATAGCTACCCCGACTGGGTTGGCGGCACCTACATTGCCATCGTTTCCGTATTGCAGCAGTGGCAGCACCAACAGACAAGCCAGCAGTCTCGCGATAATGAGATATTGATCCTACTCACTCTCTACCTCGACTTCACTAAAGGCGTACAACAGATGGTGCGATGGACAATTGACACGAGCCACTCCAGGACAAAAAAAATACCATCCCCCACCCCCCACCCGATCACCCCTTTTACACCAAAACACTATATCTTTGAACAACGACTATGCAGTTAATTTTGAAGCTATCCGTATACCAAATATATCAAAATGTAGCTAATTACATGCTTAATTATAATAGCTAGCCGGAATTTGCGTTACACGGCCAGATCGGGTCAGTCTTACCGGCAAAACCTCTTCATCTTCTTCATCTTCGTCATCCTCTTCATCTTCAATCTCTTCGGGTTGCGGCTCTGCTTCAGCCTCAATTTGGGGCTCTGCGGGAAGCTCACCGCCTTGTAAAATAGTACCCAAATCCATAAATCGCTTATTTGGATTGGGAATTTTGCGTCGTTTTTTCGGCTTCAGCCTTTCCAGCTCAGCCTCAAGCACCTCTATGCGAGTCTGCTTGATAATAAGCTCCATTTGAAGCTTTTCAACGGCCCGAGCCGCTTTCTCAAATTTCCATCTTGTACCTGGACTGCTTCCTTTGCCCAAATCCTTGACCTGACGCCCTGTAGTCGGGGTGTTAGGGGTCCCGGTAAGTACCGGGGGATCGGGGGTCTTTTCTTTGTCTTGCTGTATTTCTGGGTGCCTCAGGGCTTTCTGCCTACTAGTAGGCCAGTTACCAGTCGTTCGGAATGATGATTTGATGGTCTTTTCCGTGAATGCTTCCTCCCTAGCAACTTTATAGCAGCGAATAAAGTTGATCTTGTCCACTGGTGCTGAGTCAGTTAGACTCGCCAATTTAGCCAGCTCACGTCTATAGTAAGCCTTGGCCGCATTGAACGGTCCGTTGTCAAGCGGCTGTATGCCGTGAGAGCTGTGGGCCGGAAGAAAGCATAGATATACGTTGTTCAGGAAGCACATCGTCATAAACTCATCCTATATATATACTATGAGATAACTGGGCCAAAGAGGGTACGGGACTTGTCTCTTACAGTTGTGTGGCTACCGTGGCCATCGAGAATAATAAGCCGGGCTTCAAAGGGGTATTCCAGTAGGGCGTCAGTTTGTGGAAGAAATATGTCCTCAAGCCACCTGATCGCTATTTGGTTGTCAGACCACCCCTTTTCAGTGGTAACGAAGCGCCAGGGCGCAATTTTCTCCATCTCCTGCTCAAACCAAGAGGTCTGAAGGTCTTTTCCTTTAAAAACAATGCCCGGATTAAGTAGAGTACCCGTAGCACCGATGCATTCAATCATAGTGGACCAGCCGCGGCCTTGGTCGCTTTTTAGGAAGGTTTTCTTCGTCTCTGAGGTCCCTAGGACCAATGAATCAAGCCCTATATAGCATTAACATAGGAAGAGACAATAGGCGTTGTTTTCTTACCAAAGCCCGCCATAATACCGGCCTTATCGACATTGAAGGTAAGCCGAGGACTGATCCAGCCGTATTCTTTCTCCCTGATGTCAAAATACCAGTTGACAGCCTTAGGAGTAAAGCCGTTGAAGCGAGATGCTTCCATTCTTTTGCCTACTTTGCTTTGAATAGCGGGATTACGGGCTTTAAAGCCAGTAATCTAGTTCTTTCCAATAGGCTCTACATCGCCTACTGATTTGCAGAGCCTTTCAGCCATGCTAGAAACCTGTGAATAGGAAGGCGCATAGCCGAGGCTCTCTTGCTTGATGATCCACTCCACGAGCCGCTTTTCTTGAGGCTCTGTAAGCCTAGGGGGTGTTTGAACGCTCTCTTCTTTGGCCGGGATGCCGTTGAGCCGGTTGTTCAGTGTTGTGTACGGTACGCCGTGCTTTTGAGCAGCCTGACGAATAGAAAGCTTGTTATCCGTTACATCTAGGTAGACATTCGCCATGTCGTCTTCGGTGTAGGTAGGCATTGTGGCAGTACAATATAATACACACTCATAGGTAGGGACAAGAGAACACAAGGAAGTTAAATTACGGTTCATTTGCGAGGCGCCAAAGAGATTTGTAGGGCCCATGGGCTGACAAATCCATATTAAGCTTAAAATATATGCATGCAGCTAACCAAATCCGTCATTGGCTTGTGAATAGCTTCATAATTGACTACGTAGTCGTTGTTCAAAGATATAGTGTTTTGGTGTAAAAGGGGTGATCGGGTGGGGGGTGGGGGATGGTAATTCTCATTTTGAATATAAACGGTGCTCTACATGGTTTCATGACGGTAGCCGATTGCAACCGTAAGAAAAAAACGGAAGTCATGGACTGGTGTCCCAAAACTGGGATCAGTTTGGGCATAGCAATTATAGCCGGGACATCCCTGTGACTCAGCTCAGCTCAGGGTGATGCTCAGCGCGCCTCAGCTCCTGCTCAGGTTTCAAGCCTAATACGGATTTGGCCAAAAATGTTGTCGGGGGTGACTATAGAGGTAGGTAGTTAGCCGGGTATTATTATAAGCTCTAATTAAGGCATGCTACAAATTCCCTCAACTACCTATACATTTTCTTGCCAGATGGCACATTTCGTCACAGCTCTAATCAGGACGCCATATTACTTTTTCAGGCATAATTGCATATGTTTTCTCTCATGGGTCTTGTAGCTCTGTCAGTACCTTCACTCAAGTTAGGTAAATTGGAAAGCTCGTTACAAAAGGCAAAGAAAGATACGGGATTACAAAATGAATAGGTGGGTAATTTTATTTGACACAACCGACGAGGTAAATCACCCCTAATTTTGTAAGAGTCTACCATTTTCGTACAGCACCCCTGAAAGTAACTACAGTGCCCTTGCCCTCTCTCACCGCACCTTGAACACGTAAAAAGCGCCGCCCGTGCCGCCCTTATACCCGGTGCCGAGAAACAGGTAGCTGTCCTGGATAGCGACGCCGCCCTGCTAGGCGCCGGGAATGGGGTACTCGAAGACGACGCAGCTGGTGGCCTTGTCGAGGGCGACTAGGGCGCTGGGGCCAGGCGGCGAGAAGCCGGCGGTGCCCGTGACGCCAACAACGATGACGTCGCCGACGACGGTGGGCATGCTGACCGAGTAGTTGGCGCCGGGCGCGGGCGTCTGCCACAGCAACGAGCCGTTTCGGGCCGACGCGGCGCCCCACAGGCTGTTGTTAGTCGACTGCGTGCCGGCGGACAGAGGGTGAAGTTCTGCGGCGAGCCGAGCGCGCCGCACGCCAGCGACCACGCGTCGAGTTTATTGAGCCGGCGCACCCAGTTGGCACAGCCCGTGTACATGTCGAGCGCGAACACGGACTCCTGCTGATATACGACGGCAGGCAGCTGGGGTCGTCGGACTGAGAGCACGGCACGTAGACGAGCGGGATCGAGTAAATATTGCCCGTGGCGAAGATGACCTGCTTGCGCCGGGCGTCGACGGGCGGCTGGCTGCCCCAGATGCCGGCGCCCGACCACCGGCCGCCCGTGCCGTTGGCCGCGGCCAAGTTTGTGGGGATGGTCGTCACGTTCCACACGGCCGTAAGCTGCCCCCCGCGGCCCCCAACAAGCCGTCTCACACGGTACATAGTAAGGTAGACAATGCGGCAGGCACGGCGGCAGGCACGGCGGCAGGCATGGCGGTAAACAGCTCTTTGATTAGGTTTCTTGGGCTGCTTAGAACGGAACCAAATAGCAACCCATCTCGTCCGTCTGGCTCGTGTAACAGCAATACCAATTTTTCGATACTGCGAGGTTGCATCGACCGCATTGGGCCAGAACCGGCGGTCAGGATAGTCGACATGCTGTTGCCTTATCAATAACCAACGTGATGTTACTGTCGCGCAATCAGCAAAGCTCACTTTCCGTGCAACAGCGACTACAACCTTACTCTCTCCTGGACCCCATTTGCCAAGTTAGCAGTTTTGTCTGTTTTTGCCGAATGCCTGGCACACTCACCTATTTCTCTGCAACCCACCTATCCTGATATCGTATGCCTGTCACTTTCACCTTCATGTACACCGTTATATTGAGCTAACAAGGTGCTGGAAGCTTTTTCCATAATTACTGGTCAGCTTCCTAATCACAATCACGCACCTTCAAGGAGAGAGCGGCTACAAGGTTCGTGGGCCGCTATGGCTAATAAGGTAATTACCACCCCACGCTTCCAATGATACATGCGACTGCATCAATGACCGACACACGCACCTGGATGGAAATTTGGTGGCGCCAGCCTTTCTGGAACCTCGTCATGGTTGCAACAGCCATGGCAAGCTTCTTGGTTAGTGTTGTATTGTGAGCTCATACGCCTTTGCTGGGGTCTTGCGAGTTGGCCAATTAGTGTGGTTGGTAACGGTTCCGCAAGATAACCAGCTCTAGCTGCCGCTAGGAAGCATTCTCTCTCAATTGCATCACGGCTGGCCAGTTGACTAAGCGAGGCGCAAGACGGGCGACGTAGAGGCGGGCAACTTTGATCGCATCACCGCCGAGTTCACGCCCGAGTTTAGGGGATTAGTGAATCTGATAACGACATTGAGGGGGATACTGTTCCCCACAAGAGAAGGGAAGCTGTGGACTGGGACGGATATGACGGTCGCGGGGACAAACTCATTGTAATGCTGGTACAGTTGAGATCTTCGCCCCATCGCCTGTTCCGAGGTTATTGTCTGCATCTCAAACAGCAAGATGGAAGCCACGCTTCTGTGCTGCTCCCTCTTGTTCCTGCCTCATTCATCAACGGCGGGAAGAACTTACCGTGCATGGGGGGATGGGCCCCGACATCGAGCCATCTACAGCTGCACTTTCCCAAACAGGTAGACATGGAATCATAGCTCGCAACTGCCTCGCTTAGGTGCACGCTAATGCTAACTAACGCCGATTGCATTTCCACTGCTCGCCCCTCCAAAAAACAAAAGAATCTGGGAGTCGAGTTTCTAGTCAAGCTCCCATTCACCAACATTCCACCTTTATCGGCCCACCTAATTAGAACCGCCTCAAAAATGCCGCTGCAGACTCTCTACAATGAACCTACTCAGCCTCAAATTCCACAACAAAGCATCTCCAAGCAGTCTTTTACCCAAGGGTCAAGAGAAAAGACGGCGCCTCAGGCTCCAACGGCACCGACAGCTGCCACAGCAACCACAGCTTACGCAACTTACACGTCTCCCACAACCCAAGCAGCTCCCACAGCCCAAGCAGCTGCCACAGCCCCCGCGGCACCCACGGAACCCACAGCTCACACAGATTACGCGTCTCCCACATCTTACCCAGCCCCCGCTGCCCCCACGGTTCCCACCGCATCTGCAGCTCCTGTAGCTCTCGCAGTCGAGCCGCCAGTCCGCCCTCGATCCCCACCCTCCCCCAACCGCGCGAGCATCTCGACAGCCATCCGCAGGGGCAAAATCACCTTCAATCTTGTCAACTTCCCGCAGCCGGACCTTGACGTGCTAGGCCTGGTGATCAACAACAACTGGCCAACAGGCGTAGAAAATACACCGACGAGCGGCACCCCGCCAGAGGACAGCCGCAGCCGCTCGGTCAGCGTCAGGGCCAGGGGCGGAAATGGCGTGCTATATCGCCCGTCGCTCTTCGACACCATGACGCGCGACTTTATCCGTCTGCAGTTTCAAATCGTGCGTGCGTTGTACGACCGCGGCTGGATCTTCCAACACATACTAGCGCGGCCGACGCACTCGCCCATCGTGGCGGCTGAGTTGGATTTTCAGCGTGTCGGTGAGTTTTTCTTCCTTCCTTTTTGTAATTCCTCTTGTTTTAGACACTGCGGACTGCCTGGATAACAAGACGTGATCAATAACTAATAACTACACAGACGGGCAAAACTGGATCTTTGCCCGCTTCGAGGAGCACCCCGTCCTATGCGAGTGGTTCAGCCTATCGATGCACTGCCCGCGCGAGCTGGTAATCGTCGGCGACTTCCCACAGGATCTGCGTGCTGCCGTCCTGGCCCGCGTCGGCCCCCACCGGTTCCAACACGGCGTCCGCGGCTTCTACCCCGGCTCCGGGATGGTGGTGCATGAAGAGAAGGAAGACGAGGCCGTGCTGAAGATGTTGGGCGTTCTGGATCAGTTTGGCTACACGGTGTACACGAGCTTCTCCACCTGGCCCGTCTCCATCATTGTCAACCGGCCCATAGTGCGTGGTGGCAATGGTGCACCCAGTAGCTCGGGGTCTAGTCCTTCGAGATCCAACAGCTCGGAAAATAATGAAGCACGTCAGGATGCGAATAGCGGTCAAAGGGGGCAGGAAGCGTGATGCTGCCACTGGAAGGCTTCAAATTGGGTAGGCCGAACAAACCTATGTCTGAAAGCAGTTTACTCTGTCAGTCTTTCAATATCATAAATCCCTGCTACTTGTAATTTTTCCCCTGTCCTCAACTGTGTGACCGTGTTAAGAATACTGTTGGAACAACGCGCTAGTCAGCCAGAGGTGGCGGTGGTGGCGCAGGAGCCCTGGATTTGCATATAAGTGGCCGCAGGCCACTTCCACCTTCTGTCTTCTACTAAACACACAGACAACAATGACCATCACTTGAACCACCAGCTTTCGGCGTGCAGCACGCCCTGTTGTTTCCAGTACCGGTACCTAGTGATTCCAACAAATACCGAGTGAAATGAACAGACGTAATAAGCTTCATAACATAGCACGAGGACCCACATCTTAACAAGAAGAGCCACCATTGGCTACAATAATAACCTCTTTCGTCTGATTCCTGTTTCTCCACAGATTTCAGACCACTGTACAGGACAGGGACTGACATGACTTTCCTTGATGGTTACTTTGCTCGCTCTCCGCAAATTGAAATTCAAATACCACTCAACCAACAAAGACCGACTATATTTAAGCGCGATCGCCTACTTAAGATTTGGCATGTTAAGAATATTGGCGATTACCTACATAACTTGTGGATTATTCATACTGGCAAGGGCACCCACCCACCTACCATCTTATCTGACCGTCCCCCGGATGAATTGTTACTTTGTTCAGTGTCTTTCATTCGAGCTGATTTCTCGTCAGGCAGTTTGAACAACATCTTTTCACATTCCTATATAATTAGACACCCGAATTTCAAAACAATCATGGACACGGAGGCAGCCAGCATCCCCCTTGGGACAGTTTGCGTTGCGCCTGAGCATCCTGAACTCTCACACCAGAACGACATGTTCGACATACTCGACGGCATCGTAGAACACGTCCCCCTCACTCTCATGGCCGCCATCGCTTCCTCCATCTCCCCCGGCCCCACCCCTCTCTCCGAATCCGGAGCCCCCGACAGCCCGCGCCCTCATCGACACAAGCGAGCAAAACGGCTCCAGCAGCCCCGCAGCGTCTCTCCGGCGGCGCACATAGTCGAGCGGCGTGCAGCCGGCGGCGTCGCGAGCGGAGGCGTCGATAATGCCGCCGGGGTCGACATGCTGCGCCAGCACCTCGAGGGTTCTGAGATCTGACGCCCGTGCCGCGAGATGCCATAGTGTCTTGCCGTCGGGCATGCGGCGGGCGCCGGCTCCGGGGTCCGCGGCGACGAGCAGCGGAATCGTCTCGCCCGCATTGAGCACCACGGCATCGAGCAGCGCGTTATACCCCCACTCGTCAGTTCCATCCAGGTCCAGCTCTGAGCCTGGCCGCCCCTCAGCTCTTGTTCCCCTCCTAGCCAGCAGCGTCTCGAGGTTGGAGCGCCTGCGCGCTGGGTCGATGCCGTGGCTGGCGTGCATGACTACGTTCTCGCCGTAGGCGTTGCGCGCGGACATATCGGCTCCCGCATCGAGCAGCAGGTTAATGGCGGGCGGGTCGGCGCCCTTGCAGGCGTTGTGTAGCGGTGAAGCACCGAAGCGGTCACGGGCTTCGAGCCACGCACCAAAGGCCAGCAGAGACGCCATGCTGGCCGTGTCACCGCGCCCGGCGGCAATGTGCAATGGCGTCTTTCCGTAGTAGTCAGGCACGTTAGGATCCGCGCCGTGTGAGAGCAGTGTGCGTACGACGTCGGCTGGCCTGGCCATGTGTAGGGCCCACGCGAGGGCAGTGCGGCGGCATGAGTCAACGGCGTTGATGTCGTTTTCGTCCTCGTCATAGGGTGAGATGGGCCTCAGGCTGCGAGCGGCGAGAACGTCGGCAACTGACACTGGCGAGAGACCGAGGACGGCTTTGTGTAGGGGATTGAAATTAGGCATTTCGAGCTGGATGATGGGGTCATAGTAGCGTGGTTGGCTGACGGTGGAGAGCTGTACGTAGTCATAGACGATGGCGCTGGGGAGCATGAGCGAATCGATGCAGGAGCAGGTGGTAAAGTACTCAACGACGTCGCGGGGGTCCCAGGCTGTGGAAGGGAGTTGCTGAGCGCCTTGGTCGAGAAGGAGCTGGGCGGCTTCGGTTTGGCCGTACGCGATGGCAAGGTCGATCGTCGTTAGGCCATACGGCGCCACAATGTCCATGGCCGATCCGCGGTTCTGAGACAGGAGGCTCTGTATTTTCTCGAGCTTGCCGTCGCGGATGGCCATCATGAATTCGGAGTCCGGCCGCGTGATCCGGGGGAAGGAGAGGGCCGTGTGGATGCGCGGCGCATATCCCAAGAGAAGCGCCAGACCGCCGCCACCTAAGAGCCAGCGCGGGCCGTAGTATGTGACGGACCAGCTCGTCGTGTCTTTTTGGCACACATCGATATGGCAAGCTAGAGCTCTGTCGCCGCCGGAGCGGGTGCATGTTATGATCACGGCCCCGAGGGCGCCCCGGGCAATGTGAAAGCGCCTGGTCGTCCGGACTTGGCAGTGGCATCTTAAACTTGACCGGAAGGGGCCGGGCTTAGCTGCGTTATCACTCTGGGCATGCACCTGTTGGCAGACAATCCCGGTTTCAATCGAGATCGGAGGTGCCGGGATGCATTCCACTGTCAACTCTCTAGGTAGAGTGAGAATCAAGGTCAGGGATGCAATCTCGTCCCGGAGCTTTTGTCTCAACGCTTCGACATCGCGCTTCTTGAGGAGCCACTTGAGTCGAGCTCGGGCTCCGAGATTCGCAGCTTTAGTAGTGTCATCGTCGACACGACATGCAAACAAAGCACCCTCAACCTTGTCCAGCGTGTCACGACAGTCGCCGAGGCTGTCTAGAATTGCTCGCTCGCGTATGGCTGATGGTGGGAAAGCGGTTATGGCCTCGGATACAATATCAAGAAGGGACCGAAGGCGGACAATCTCAGCCGACAGGGCGTGAATCTCGCTTGGTGCGCCGCGATAGCGACGGATACTGGAGCTGGCCTGGATTAGTCTGTCGGCCAGCTGTGCCAGAGCAATGGTGCTACTTATTATGGTGAGAGGATCCATTGTGTTGACCTGGGGTCGAGACTGTGTAGAGTGCTATCGTGAGCCGTGAGGTGGAGCGATAAGCAAAAGACGCTCATAATTAGGTACCAGTCTCCCTCCCGGAGACTTTGGTTTTGCCTTGGTTGCCTGCAAGCTGGGGGGAGCCTAGCGCAGCGCCTGCCGCCGCAGCCTCACATAAAATGCCGTTCCGATTCAGATAAGAGTGTGAGACAGTGACGTGGTTAGCACCGCCTCCACAACGCTCAATCCGATGAGGATGCGGGGGAGGGGCCCAGAAAGAACACTGTGCAGCCAGTGAGTGAGCACTGAGCACCTCCCTCTGGAAGAGTCGGCCTCGTACTTCAACAACGTGAGCCCTTATACGTTGAGTCGCTAGGTGCTACCTGACACTCGTCTCAAGACTGAAAAGCCCAAAAGCTCTAGTGCTATACCGCATTAATCTGACTATCCTGACAACGTTTATCATCCTAATACCCGTCTCAAGAGCGCCGACAATGCCCGGTCGGAACGCTTCAATACCTCGCGTTAGGTGGCTTCCGTGCCAGGTCATGCGTATTGAGGCGTGCCAAGGTAGCCTGCCTGAAGAGCGTGGGCCCGGCATTTTGTGTCCTCCAGCAATTGGTTCCGGATTTGGACTTTGGGGTTTTCACTTGAGAGCGTCTTCTGGCACCGTCAAATCCGTTCCTTGCACCGTAGGTACATAGGCCGCCAAGCTTTACAGCTCACCGCCCATGAAAATACCACATTTTACAGCCAAAATTACCACATTCGCTGGCTGCCCCGCTCCAAGCGCTGGCAACGCAGTTGCATCGCAATTGCACGTCGCCGCCGTCGCCAATGTCAACACACTTCCGAATGTGGTAATTCCAGCTCAGGACCGTAGATTCGCTCAAATCGTTCAAATCTGCAGTAAAAAGCGAAGCTGACTTCGTTGTATTCGCTTACATAACAGGGCCAAAAATGCAATAAAAAACTGCAGGCCTGTATATACTACTCACAACCGATGCAGCTGACTGCATTACTGATCCATACTTTCCAATGCCCGGGCAGTCGGGCGAGGGACCCTTCCACTGCGTGTGGGCTTTTCAACACGCCCTGCAGTAACTGCAGAGGCTGCAGGGCGTGTTGAAGCCCGCGATGCCGTGTTGCCCCGACCACCCCGGGTTCCTGTGCAGAGGAGGATGATTCTCATGAATAGTATGCTCAGGGCGAAGCTCAAAGGTCCATTTACGGCCGTTGGCAACAAGGGCTTTGGCTATGCCCTGCCAAGGGCAGTCTCTGCGATCGGTGGTGGACTTGTTCGTTGTGCCCCGGGCCGCCCGGACTTCGCCCCGGTCGCAACAGAATTCCACTCTTGTTGGACCAAAGTCTTTGACGTGGTTGTTACATCGTGCCTTTGAAGTCCTGAATAACGCAGAAGCGGCCCATTCATTCAAATTATCGATTAGATCGTTGAGAGTGTCGTACTTCGTAGTGAAAAGCTTGTACCCGGGAGGCGGGTTTGACAGTGGTTGCGGCGCAGCTTCATCGACGGCATCGACGGCATCCTCCGGATCGCTTAGATCGTTAAAATCGCGATCAAAATCGCTCAGGTCTTCGAGGGCGGGCATTTCTATCGCTAGTTAGCACTACGCGACGAAGTAAACAATGAAGAAATGAAGCTATACCGATGCATCGATTGAATATGCTGCCGACGATGTTTTTTGGTGGTTGCGTAAGGTCGGTTATAGTGGAAAAGTAAGGGCCGGCTTACGTTGTGGTAAAAAGTGGTAAATTACTGCCCGGCAGAATCCTGGATGTATTGGTGGGCGGGAGGTGTGGGCAGGGTTAGGGTTATGTATGGTGGATTACGGTGCAAGGAACGAAATTGACGGTGCCAGAAGACGCTCTCTTTAACTTAATAGTGCGCACCTATCAGCAAGACAGCCCTGCCTCAAATACTTGCAATCCAAGAACTGAGTCACCTAGGTTCCAGAATCCGGTCGTTTCTATGCCCTCAAACCCAGGCGAGGCTCCATGTCCCCACTCGCCTTAGCAAAGCCAGATTTCACTCACGGCTCGATACACAAGGATATGCTTATCCTTTGGCATCCCCTGGACACCCACGACATTGGAATCCTCGCCACAAATGGTGGCCAGTGGCTCACCGCGCTTGAGCTCGGGATTAAAGCATGGGCAAGCTACTTCCCACTCTTCCATCACATCCTCAGAGGCGTGACCCTGGCTAGTGCGTCGCAGGACCATAGGCAGTTCAGATCCCAGGAGGATCCAGACGTGGTCCCCAACGGCGACCGAGTCCTTGATCGTCGTGACGAACTGGCCGGCTGTGGTGAAGGCCATGCCGTCGAGCCGGCTCGCGTCCGCTATGCGGTGGGCCACGTGCTTTAGCACGGGGTCCATGACATCGCCGGGGTCAAACCTGCCGCGACAAAAGTCCGGCCCGAGCGCGGCAAACTCGGAGCAGCCATCGGCAATGTCGTGTAGGGCCTTGAGCACTTCGGCCTCGCTTTTTAGAAACTTGGGTAGAAGCTCACTCGCTCGGGCGGCAATAAGGCCCTGGATAACGAGACGAAACAAATCATCCTTTGTGGTGGAGTCTGTCTCTATTGTTTCAAGTGCCTTTTGACAAAAGTCATCGAGGTTCTTCACTGTCGTGCCGAGATGGTCGACCCTCCAGCTGCTTGACTCGTGGTAGACTTGGGCAATCGCAGCGACGCGCAGTCCATGGACCTTGAGGACTCCGGGTGGAGGCGGTAGTTTTTGATTGCGGAGGATCGGAATGCGGCAGTCTGCACGAGTTCCTGGGTGGGAGGTTATATAGCGGCCGGTCATAGTGTCCCAGTTGGGAACCCAGGACGGCCTGTCAGGGTCTGTGGCCGTGGAAGGCGAGGAGTCGGATGCGGGAGGCCGTGAGGCATGCTGGAGGAAATCCAGGTTTCCCGATGTCTTGATGTGCGCGAGGGTCGTGTCCATATACACGGCGCCGACGCTTTTTTTATAGTCGATGGTCAACCCGTTGCGGAGGAGGTCGTCACCGTCGTTAGATAGCGACAACATACCATAGACTCGGTCGCGGGGATTGGTGACTTCCAAGATCAAGCCTGTGACCAGGTTTTGAATCAGGGGGACGCGAGGCCGAGTGCGGAGAAAGCCCAGCATCTTTACTTGGGAGAAGACGTCAAAGTCAAGGTGCAGCTTTGCCCAGCCGCTCTTGTACTGAAGATCACGGTTGGCAATGTCCATGAGCAATGCTAGGAAGCTGTCGACGCAGCGTCCATCAATCTCCAGGTTTGGAACAACAAAGACGTGGGTCCGGGCGAAGAAAAGCTCCTGCTGGACCCACAGACGGTTCCAATATGGATCGGTGAAGAAGCCCTTGAGAGGCAGCCAGAATTCGGGGTCGTTGCCGAGGTCGCCGACAGTGGTATTCTCGTAAGGAAAGTTCACGAGCCCCTGGACGGCCGGACTAGATAGATCGACATCACTATCCATCCACACGCGCACCTTGTCCGCATTCTTGTAGATGTGGCCCATGAGGGCAACCTGCTGCTGCCGTTCGGGGATGTCATTCTGGTTGATGCATATGGCATCGATCCAGATCAGGCGCTCCTGGTCCGGCAGTCGCAGGGCACTGAGGCATTTGGCCAAGTGCTTTGTGACGAAGAAGGCCGAACCGTTGATGTGTATGACGGACGTGAACCGCGGCTCGCCCCAGACATAGGACAGCGCGTCGTATACAGGTGCGCTGCCGTCCAGGAGGGGGTGGGTGGTCAAGGAGGCCTTGACGGGCGAGTCTGGCGGTCCCGGGCCCAGATGAAGGAGCCGAAACTCGCTGTTTTCAGACGCGAGAGGGGAGTATACCGCCGCGTTCACGCTCAGGATCTTCGTGTTGTCGGCAAACCGCCCAAACACGCGCCACGCGGTATTGGCGACGCGAACCATGGCGATAGTTGGAGTCGTTGAGTCTAATTAAAAGGATCGGAATTTGAAGAGGTCCAACATTTCAATTTTAATTGGAACTCTAGGCACCAGGCCAGCTTTCCGGCCAAAACCTGCACTTTTGCGGCGTGCGGGGAAGGCGGTCTTGAATCCTTCCTGCCATTTCAGGAGTTGAGGCCAGGCCCAGCAGCCCAATCCGCGGATCGCCAGATGTGGACCCACCCAGCTAGACTCAGCTGTGGATAATATTTGAAAAGAGAAGGGAAATACAAACCACACAGACTAAGGAATATCTAGTCAAGGTTACCAATTCAAGGTTTATTTGAATGAAATTGAATGCAACACGACGTCCCTTTCAGTAAATTTTAGCAGTTGGTATTCAATTATTCAGTAAAATAAGAGCGCGACATGCGCTCTCGAACAGCCCCGGGGGTGCGGCTATTAACTGAGAGCCCCCTGAGCAGTCAAGCCACAGTCACGCAATTGAGACATGAGGCGCGTGGCTGTGGTGAGGCTTTCTGCGTAAAAGACGCAGAGACGGCTTTTTTGACGCGGAGAGGGTTGAGACTTGAGATCGAGTTACATTGAGTGGTTCAGTCAAAGGCCTAGTTAACTGAGTCAAGGCTCGTGAATGTGATGGTTTATTGAGACTTCTCCTTTATTCGGACTTCCCGTCTTGATGACTGATCTGGTTCTTGAATCTCGATGGCTGGGGTTCGTCCAGAGTACATTAACCGGGGGGGTCGACAATGGGACAGTTTAGATGCAAAAGTGAGGGCAGCCCATCGACAGTGGGCTCACTTGGAGGTATTTGTGGGGGCAATTCGATGGATCATTAATAGTTATTGTAATCAAGTCATGCGATATCGTTCCGTCATCGACATTGCATCTCGACGCCAATCCCGGCTCGGCAGGATGATGGCGTTGACGCTGACTGAACAAGACGTCCGAACCAAACCACTGTCTGGATATTATGCGCGCATACACTCATTCACGACTTCGCAAGTCATTGACCTGCCTTCGTACTCGTACATGCACTTGCATCTGGGCCCCCTTCGGGTTCCATCTCCACTGCCGGCGACTCCTGGTGGTCTTGGTGTGTGACCGTGTCCCCCGCCCTGGCCAAGGCCTCCCGACAAACTCGCAGCTGTTCCTCTGCCTCTTCGGCCCGTCTTGTGGCATCCTCGTTTTCCTTCTTCAGTCTCCTGATGTAGCCAACCGCCAACTCGACCACGTCCACCTTGCTGGCTGAGGCCCCACCACCTCCAGCATCCATGAAGGTGGACTTTGACACTTCGCCGGGCAGCAGCGGCCGTGGGTGTGACGTGGTGCTGCTCGGGTCTTGCGGCATGAGCTTCTGGATCTCACGTATCGCCACTGTTAGCCGGTTCCGCCGGCTCTTCTCAGACAGCTTGTGGGCGATACGTTTGCAGAGGAGCTTCGTCGAGGGATCGTCAGAAAAAAATGCGGTGTCGGCTGTTGCTGAGGCGGCGACGGCTTGGCTACTTTCCGAAGACTGAGGAGACAAGGGCGATTGCTGGGAAACTTGGGCTTGGACTTGGTAATGATTTAGTCCTGAAGTTTGGGAACGCCTATTTGTGTGTGCGGTAGCGGCGGCGGCGTGCTGGGTATTTCCCGCAGTCGACAGCCTAGACGGTTTCGCCACTTTCGGCATGCTCTGCCTCCTGAGCTTTTGGGCCGGCGGCCATGATGATTGTCGGTACCAGATGCTTTCGAGGCTATCGTTGAGGCTCGGTATCGAGTCGGAGTCGTCCTCGATCTTGATGACCTCTGAATGTGTAGCCGCCCAAGACAGATCCCCGGCCTGATCAGCTGCCGCCTGGAGCATGTCCCAGTCGACCTGGTCGGGCAGTATCGGGGTGTCGAGAAAGACGGCGCAGTTGGTTACCGGATGTAGAGAGGTTGTCCCTGCATTGTGCTATACGGCATTAGGCTCCAGCAACCGGGCTAGACGTCTTTCTGGATCACTCACGAGGGAATGCTGATGGAGCACTGGCTGCCCTTGCTCCAGCCAGCTCTGCGACCAGAAGCTGGAAATTCCATGTCCAGAGTCCAGCATATCAAAGCTCGGCGCGACGGGTTGCGCGTGGCCGGTAACGTCGTTAGGGAGGTGAATCGTGCTGTCGGGCTCGGGGGAGCCTGTCGGGCTGTCCAAGTATCTCTCGGGGAACGCGAGATCTCCTCTAGCAGCGCTGCTACTGCTACTTGTGAATCGGTTAGCAGCAGCCACAGGATGCATCGTTGAGATTGCCAACACAGCCCTGCGGCTGCGAGAGGTCCGACCTCTGCTGTCTGGCAAACAGGTTTTTAAAAATCGAGAAGTATGGACAGAGTCACGGAGAGAGACTACGGCGTCAATCAGACATGCGAGAGGCGACGTCTTGCACTCTTTGACAGCTCGGCGAACTTGGGCTTCATCACGCGGCCGACGGTCACCTCGAAGCAGAAGCACACCATTCTCGGAGTTTGGCAGATCATCATCAGCGCAAAAACAAAAGGGACAAGAGTCTAGGCTCTCCAGGCCCCCGCTTCCGGTCCGGCTCAGGCCCAAGGGCTTTCCGGGTTGCGGGTGTGCGGCGCCTACCTACAGCAAGATAGTCTCTCCCTCTCGTTTCGATTCATGCCCAGGAGGAGCCTTACTGAATTCCGAAAGCACGAGAGCGAGAAAAAGAAAGCAACAGCCGTGCCCCAACAAGCCAAGGTGGGGGTGCAAAGCTCCTCACGTAACTACAACGTAAAAAGAGGTGAAGTCGGCGGCTGTGATAGGGTGGTCCGTCAAAGGTCGCCGACTCTCTCGGGGGTCTAAAACGATTGTTGGACTCAGATCGCGTCAAAAGGCGTGATTGCACCATTGCTCAAAGCACCCTAGTCGGAGCCGCTAGTGGTTTGCCTCAGTCGTTGTAATTGTGAGCTCGGCAAATAGGCGACAGATGTGGTCACGCCTGCATTTTAAGAAGAAATTATGCACCAAGTGGCTTGGGACATGCATTGTCACCTACATGAAAAAGTCCGCAGTGATATTGACGAAGGATCCAACCCTGCAAATTCACGGAAGTCATGATGCCGGAGAAAGACAATTCCAGAGCGCTGGGAAGTACCCCACAATCTCCTAGGTTCACATGTAGCTGAGGTCCCCGACTCCCTACGAAGCTCAGCAGGCCAGCAGTCCGGGGACGCAGGCGAGATTTCCAGCCCGTTCAGCTGTACCAGCAGCACGGAGCTGACAGTTATGAACGGCGGGCGCATGGGCTCGCTTATCTGCAGGTGGAGATTTCTCTTGTATTTGGGCTGAGCCGCTTGGACGATGATGTGGTGGATGAAAAAAGGCGCTCCAAGGGGGAAAGGTTACCTAAGTTAATTATCAACAGGCCGGCCCCAAGATCTCATTTGCTTCTTGACCATCGCAATAATGTAGAGGCCTGTGGCTCGATTTGTCTCGTTCGTTTCAAGGCATGTCACGTCAAGATCGAAGTCCAAAGGCATCTCTTTCTGTGCCGCCGCACGGCCATCATTGACACTGACATCAGACGGCATGTCATCCTGAGAGCCGGCAACAATCAAACGATCGGCACCCAGCCGTCGAGATCGACGTGCTAAGAGTCTGGGCCTTTGTCAGAGCCCTGCACATTCCTTGGGGGGAGAAACCGTGGTCTTTGCAACATCGCGGGGTTGAGATGGTGAATGGTGACGGGTGAGGCTGAACGTGATCAAAGACACGCCAGTTTGTGATTTTCTAGCGAAAAGTCATTAGCGAGCGTCAGCGCCTCGAACGAGGATCCGTTGCCGAAACGGGGTTCACCGCTTCGACATAGCTTCCGTTAGATTTTCGATCATCCTTAGTGGGCCAGAGAGATTCCGCGGCAGTGAGAGGGTGGGGAGACTGGAAGCTCGAAGGAGCTGCTGGGGGGCCACATGCTGAGTGAGAATTGGGGGGTAGTTGATGGCGCGAGACGTCCCTGGATATTGCGTGATCGAGCGAGCGGGCGGGGCGAGCCTTTTATACGCGCCGAGTGGGCCAGAGCGACATGGGATCCGTTGCGGCCCCACTCACATTTGGGGAAACGTCCATTTGGGGAAATGGGGAGACGGGCAACGGCTTCGAGTCTTGGACAGCATCAAAAACCGTGAAAGCAATCCATTGACTTGTCTGTTCCAAAGATCTGCGGAGGGAGAGCAGGTACGAAGTGCCTTACTAAAAATTAATGGGCAATGAAAGACGTCTGGCAAAAAGCTTGTTGAAAATTACTGGGCTGCACTGGGTGCGTATGGCGCCTGCCTCGGCCGTTAACAAGTCGCTCACACTCCCAAAGGTCAAAAAGGGAAGAGCGACTTGTCGGACTCAGCCAGCAGTGGAACTTGGCATGGCAGGCAGGTGACACACTCACTGGATTGCTCTTTCTGTAAGCTCTCTTCTGCCCAGGATTTGCCCAGAAACCGCCCAGAGAATGCCCAGCAACTGCTTGGAGCAGCCAAGAGAGAAGCGACGCGCACGAGAGTGGTGGCGTTGTGCCCGTTTCCCAGTCGTCCAATTGACCGACCTCTTCAACTGACTTAAGCCGCCTCTGTCGACAAACAAGCTTCCGCGAGGCCTTGGTCCGCCGTGGCAGCAGGGCATGTCGGGACGCCCAGAGATCGATCGCATCGCGGCTGATGAGTCGTTGACGTCTGCCCAGACATCGAACGTTCTTTTGTCCCTTTCGAGATCGAAGTCGATGTCGACAGAAGTTAGAGCTCAATGCATGTTTCGAAGCCTTCCAAAGGGACGGAAAAGGTCCCGGTGCTTTGCTGTCTACCCTTGATTGGTACCTCACGACGCGGCGCTAAACCTCATCTGGCGCATGCACAGCGACGCCAACGAATCAAGGACGACTGGAGTTGGAACCCAGATTGGACGGGTATCAGGGATCGCAAAGGGCCATCCATGTCCATGGCCGGCCGGCTGCCTTTGTGGCAGGCAGGATGATGCGAAAGCTCGTCAACGCAACCACTTATCTCTGACGAATTGCGTCCAGATCCCTGCCTACTTTGAGGGCTGTCAGCAAAATGACAATCTTGGAACTTTGGAAGTTGCTGCACGAAACGGAACGCAAACTCGCAGACTCTTGACGGTCGAAGCTCTCCATGGACTAGCCCGTTCGTTTACCCCTCCTCGAGGTTCCTCCCGCTAGCTCCAAGACCATCCACAACGCCATTGTTGTAGCTGCGTAGAATGCAGCCCGCTAACAAGATCAACCCGCGGCAGTAGTCTTCTACTGTATGTTTGGATACCTGTGTACCCATACGCAAACGAACGGGCACAATAAAACCCGCCTTTCGCCGCTGCCGTCACATTTGCCCCCCGGATAGGGCTTCTGGCCCGCACAAGGGAGGTAACATTGCATGCCCGACATCAGCAGGGGCATGGGAAGTGGACATGGCATGGATATCGGCATGGGCGAAGAAGGTGCGGGCTCTTACATGCAGTGGAGCAGTGCAGTGCTGGAACCTGGCGCGCAACCCGCAACCTGCATCCCGCACTTCGAACCCGATCCCCAGCTCGCCAGCCAGCTTGAACAAGCCGAATCTCAGCCCCTCGCCGCACCCGTACACAGCTTGGTGGGTTCTCTCTGCATTCTTGTGTGTCATCGCACCCGACCAGATGGCTGGGAGGATCAGCAGCAGAGCAGTAATCCCGCGAAGCTGGGCACGCGAGGGAAAGGAAGAGGTAGCACCCCCAACCTAGCTTGAGCTTGTTATCGGTCTGGGGTCTGGGAAAGCCCCCTCCCTGGTTTGCCACCACCTCCAGTTGGCCGCCAGCTCCATGCCTGGGTGGCTTGACTAGCTGCACTTTCTCGCTGCAGCAGACAAAGATGAGGCCGGTCCTGACGAGCACGCCTTCGCTGCCAGTGCACCGTCTTGGAAATAGCTCTCGCTACCCAGCTGGCCCCCGTTGGCAGGGTCCGTTGCTGCAGTGGACCGTGGACATACATGTATATATAAAGCCTGCGTGCGGAGAATGTCCTACCTCTGCCGACCCACGTTCCTCCTAAGCTCCGCCCTCAAACACGTCCCCAGCAAACATGGCTCCAAGTCCGCTGGCTGACCGCGTCAAGCGATTCTTCGGAATCGACCCCGAGCTGCGCCTCGACGACTCGTCGTACTACGAAGATGGGTCCTACGTCGAGCATGAACCCTCCGTGAGGGCCTGGCTGTTCTGGCTCCTCCCCACAGGCCCTCGTGTCAAGGCCTACCTCTATGAGCTCTTTCCCTTCGTCGGCTGGATTTTCCACTACAACTTTACATGGCTCCTAGGTGATTTTATCGCCGGTGAGTTTCCAAGTCGCATGTGCATGTTTGTGTTATTGCTGACGGTCCCTCCGCGCAGGTGTCACGGTCGGCTTCGTTGTCGTGCCCCAGGGTATGGCATACGCCCAACTGGCCCAGCTGCCTCCCGAGTATGGCCTTTACACGTCCTTTGTCGGCTTCTTGTTGTACTGGGCGTTTGCAACGTCCAAGGACATCACCATTGGTGTAAGTTTTTCTAGTCGCCAACGCGCCCAGGGTCAAGCTGACACGGCCCCTCAGACCGTTGCCGTCATGTCTCAAATCGTGGGAGGCATTGTCATCTCCACCAAGGCAGCCTACCCCGATCTACAGGGCCCGGACATCGCGCGAAGTCTAGCTCTGGTCTCTGGTCTTATCTTGTTCGCCCTGGGTATTTTCAGATTGGGCTACATCGTCGAATTGATCTCCCTGACCGCCATTGCCTCCTTCATGACTGGGTCCGCCCTCAACATTGCCGCAGGCCAGGTGCCCAACCTGCTGGGTATTACCTCTACATATGTCAACACGCGTGACCCGACGTACCTGGTTATCATCAACACGCTCAAGAGTCTGCCAAGGTCCAAGCTGGATGCTGCCATGGGCCTGACGGCCTTGTTTGCACTCTACTTCATCCGCTGGTTCTGTAGCTTCATGGGCAAGAGGCAGCCAAGCTGGGCCAGAACTTGGTTCTTCATCTCGACGCTCCGCATGGCATTCGTCGTCATTCTCTACATCCTCGTTGCCTGGGGAGTCAACAGGGGTATTTCGAACTCTGCCAATGCCAAGTTCAGGATCTTGGGAACTGTCCCAAGCGGTAAGCGACTCTGCGCGCGCCCGCACCGCTTGCCCAAGGTTCGGTAATTAACTGACAAACTTTACAGGCTTCCAACATACTGGCGCTCCTCGTTTTGATACCTACATGCTGAACGCTCTCGCACCAAACATTCCCACCACCATCATCGTCCTTCTCATTGAGCACATTGCCATTTCAAAGTCGTTCGGTCGGGTCAATAATTACATCATCAACCCGTCTCAGGAGCTCGTGGCCATCGGCTTCTCTAACATCTTTGGGCCCTTCCTCGGGGGATACCCGGCCACGGGATCGTTCTCGCGTACAGCCATCAAGGCCAAGGCTGGAGTGCGGACGCCGTTAGCTGGCATCTTTACCGCCGTTGTCGTCCTCCTTGCCCTGTATGCGCTGACTTCCGTCTTCTTCTACATCCCCCAGGCTGCCTTAGCTGCCATCATCATCCACGCTGTCGGCGATCTCATCACACCTCCAAAGGAGGTCTACAAGTTCTGGCTGGCCTCCCCCATCGAGGTTGTCATCTTCTTTGCTGGTGTACTCGTCTCCGTCTTCACGACGATCGATAATGGTATCTATACTACGGTATCCGTATCTATGGCCTTATACCTCTTCCGAGCGGCCAAGAGCCCGGGAAGGTTCCTTGGAAAGGTGAATGTCTCCTCGACCCCCCGAGACACGGTTCGTGGGGCCACGAGCGTCACTCGAGATGAGGTTGATGGCGCGAAGTCACATCCTGGCTTCGTCCCCCTCGACAGGACCGACCTATCAAATCCCGAGGTTGAGATCAAGTCTCCATATCCCGGTGTCTTCATCTACCGCTTCGGCGAGGGCCTTAGCTATCTCAACTGTGCGCGTCATCTTGACAACTTGACGGTTAGCATCTACAAGCAAACCCGCAAGACCGAGTTTAGCAAGTACACCAAGCTAGGCGTAAGTGGCTGACCTTGTCTGGCGGCGTGCATTCCGTTGTTGTTCTTTGTTCGTCCATGCTAATTCTGTGTGACAGGACCGTCCATGGAATGATCCCGGCCCGCGTCGCGGCGCTGACCCTAACCACGACGAGATTTCCAGCCGCCCAACACTCCGCGCCGTCATTCTCGACTTCACCGGTGTCAACCATCTCGATGTCACATCTATACAGGCACTCGTCGATATTCGCAACCAATTCAATCGGTACGCCAAACCCGACAAGGTCGAATGGCACTTTGCCTCGGTCAGCAACAAGTGGTCTAAACGGGCCCTTGTGGGATCTGGATTCGGCTTGGACACGGAATATTCCGAGAAGTCGGGCAAATCGGGCTCTGGTCCTCTGATCGCCGTCGCAGATGCTGGCCCTGGCGACAGCGTCGTCAATGTGACACCCAAGCCCAAAGACATTGAGGCGGGCGAGATTACCGCTGTGGTTTCTGAGAAGTCGGCTGGCGGCCGGTTGGTTCCCCTGTATGGCATCAACAGGCCCTTCTTCCACATTGATGTCGAGACGGCCCTGAAGAGTACCCTCCATAATCTGGAGGGCAAGTTCTCCGATTCCAACTAGGTTTTTGTCTCAGTTCGGCGTAGCAAAGTCCATGTTGCTCTTTAATATACCTCTGTCTTTGTCCTTCTCTCTGTGGCGTTTACGACTCTGATTTTCTGGTGCAATAAGGATACCACTCAGCGTTAGTTAAATAAAATACTCCGGTTCGGTCTACAAGGACATGTTTTGTGAACCAAGCCATGTCTGACTTGCTGTAGCGACACGATGTGACATGGGGGCAGCGTAGCTCAGTGGTTCCGGTTAAAGTCAGTGGTTGAGTTGATGCTCTGGTTTCTCTATAACAAAAGTGAGACGTGAGAGATGGGGGACGACGACGAGCGCAAAGTGTGAGCAGCCAGCCTCGTTTCGGCTTAGACCTGTTAGCTGCAGACCGGCCAGACCGACCTTCCGTAAACGGCATCCAAGCTGTCGATCAAGCCAATCACAGCTCGGCCCCAAGCTCAGACGGAGTCAGCCGAAATATCCTAGCAGGCAGACCGGACCCGTGGGTGGTGTGGTGTGGAAGTGGAATGTGGAATGTGGGGGTCGGACATACGCAGAAATGGGCCGACCGCGTCTTTACCCCCTACCTACCTACCTCAGTGCCCAGCTTCAAAGTCTGCATGCTGATTCGAACACCTCCTGTGAGTCCGTAATCAATCAGCGGGCAAGTATGGTCCTGCTACCTACCAACTTACTTATTAACTTGTTCCACGTTTAGCTTTAATTACTTTGCGCGAGAGGGCTTCGGACTTGTTCCACAGCTCCGTCGAGACAGGGCGTGCTCTCTCTCAGTCTCGCGCACAGCTTTCATGACGGTACATTAATCGCTGATGTGTTTAGTCCCGTTGCTTTTGTGCCTTGACGTTGATCTAGGGTGCAATAACTCATAGCAGCATTAAGCTAATTGCTTGACGTTATTCATTTTTTTTCTGGTTTTTGTCGCATGTCTTCCATGGCGGCAACACCGTAACCTAGGGCATTTGTTATGCCGCATTACTCCAGCACAAGTTTCCACGCATAAAGCTGATCCGCCCACCAATGTGACATATGTGACAATATGAGCCGAAATCTCTGAGATTTGCCCCTCGAAGGTCCAAACACATCCTCTGATAATTAACTGAGACTTAATTGAACCCCAAGTTCCACCATATGCTACGTAGTCTCCGTCTTTTCATAGAGACAAACTTATTTTTCCATATACTCAAACACCACCTGTGCACTCAATTTCGTTCAGCTAGAACTATTCCGTCAATAGAAAAACAAACATATAAACATTAAGTGGCGGTCTCGATAATATGACTGTCACGCGCATTCAGGGCAGTGGAAAATAGGGCATTTGATGCAGGAAGGTAAGGCTTGAATTGTCTGAAAAGGTCTGACTTTTTGTTTCCTTTGGGAGGGCCAAAAGTCTCTCTTTTATAGTTATGAATAGTGGCAAAATCTGGTGGCGAAGAATCAAGTGGCAGCTTCTAGGTCCTTCTTTCGCTCACTAATCCCTATTGTCGTGACAATGACCCATACACAACCCTAAGAGGCGGGGACTCTACGCCCAATAGTATAATCTACCAGCCTCAGTTCCCCTGTCGACCAAGATTTATATTTGTCCATGACTGCAATGTTCATTATGCGGTCTTTCGGCTCGCCCGGTTCTTGTTTACCAACAAGGGTAGGAGAGAAAAGAGGCGCCCAGGTGCCATTGGCAGGTTGGTTTAGGGGTATACGATAGTCATGGGCTACGAGCTCTTTGCCAAACGCCTTCTAGAGTCTAAAGTTGTGTTTAAGTTGGGAGATAGCAAGGTCAGAACGGATGCAGGTCTTGCTAAGCGTGCCAAGGCCCAGAGGTCCACAATCGACTGGCATCATACCCGCAAAGTCTTGATGCACAGTTACGGACAGGCCCACGGGTTCACTCCTCCAAAGCAGGGATATTTTGGAGCCGAAGAGGGCAGCTCTAGAGGCGAACTCGAAGAAGATCAGATGAGCGATTCTGAGGAGCTTCATGTTGTGGATAAGGACAAGAGCACCTCCGACAAAGACGTACCTGAGCTCAGTCGATCACTGGATGAGGTTGAGGCCTTCCTGAAGGCATATGGCCGGAGTACCGGTACCGCTGGCGCAGACTCGGCCACCGCCGGTCCGTCGACCCCTCAAAAGAACTCGCCAAAAGTCCCGAAGTCTCGGTCAATAAGGCTATTACCGCTATCATGGGAGATATGCACCGCGGAATCAACACCCACGAAGGTGTTTTCGACCCGGCCAGCGCGGATGCTGATGATGTTGAAACCGGTAGTGGGTCAGACCAGGACCGACGCCATGTGCTCTCATTCGAGAAGAAGGGCAGGCAAATGCTACGCCTCTACTTCGAAAGCTTGGAACTCCGCACTGGCGGCGAAATCCTGCAGTGGTACGCCCAGAACCGAGACCAGATACCAAGGAAGTGCTACCGTGTGTACAGTGTCGGCTCAGGGTGGTTTCCAGTCGATCTCCTGAAGGCGGGCAAGTGGCCTGAGATGGGCCGTGTCACCTTTGACGAGGCCCATACGATCCGAAACCTCGACTCGATCTTTTACATCGGGGCACGCCTCGTACCGGCCCACGAAATGCTTCTAGCCACAGTTAACCCCCAGTTCAACGGTACCCACGATATCCTTGCTTACGCCAGCCTCTTTGCTGCCCGGTCCGGTTTGGACCGATACTTCGACGCCGCCCCAGGGGTTGAGTGTTCTGCAGTGATAAAGGGTGTGAAGTCATCGGAAGAGGTCGTTGGAAAAGCCTACGTTACTCTGCAGCAGATGGAAGATACATCGTTTATCGACCAGCTACACCAGTGGGCCAATAAGAATCTTGCGCGCCGTCAGTGGTAGTGTCTGCTGCGCGGTTACCGCGCGACAATCCGTTGGAAAAAGAAGACGACCACGGCAGCCACTTTCCTCTCGTCTTTCATTTCACTACGGCGAATGAAGACACGACTACGCGCCGGCGACCGGGACATCTACCCCCGTGCTTCGCTCCCTGAATTCCGTGTCCGGACTGTCAAATTCTCGTTTCAGCCCAAAAACGAAAACCTTCGGACCATGCAACATCTCGCCAGCGCTGCTGTAAAGTTCATGTACACAATACTGGACTCTACAGACCAGAACGACAAATCCAAGTCAGCGCAGACCAAAGAGCAGCGAACCAGCCGGCGCAAGCTACTACGGGATATCAAAGAGGCGTTGAACCTCCGGGAAGGGAGAGAGGGCTCTATTGCAATGGCTTTGCATCGGATCCTAACCTTGATCTCCTTCGACATGCGGAATTATCGCCTACTATTTGACAAAACCGTCTTTGACTGTGATCCTCTGGTAAAGTTATCCGACGACGAGGTCAAAAAGCTGCACTGAATTCCTGGGACGAACCAGCCTCGCCCTGCGTCACCAGAAACCCTTGGGAGTGCGAAAACCGCCCCCGTGGCCAAGACTCGTCTTGGCTCCGAGGACATTAGAAAGCTAGCCCGCCTCGACAAATTCGGAGGTGTTTTCTGGCAATATGTTTTATGCGCTCCTCCGGGGTACACCCCGGTTGACGACCCCGTCCACATGGGTTTCGCAAGCGTGCATTTTATCACCAATCCTATTGGAGGGCATTCACCGCATCGTCAAGAACAACACCAATGGCAACGGCCGCGTCCTGGTGCTAATTGACTCTCCCTTTGCGCAGTCGTAAGTCTATCTTTCCCCTCGCTAACCGCTTGGCCCATATAGAACAAGTTGTTTGGTCCACGTGGAGCAAGCCGCCCCATGATTACTATGACATTGTGCTAACTTGTGTTTCTCCAGAATGGCAGTTGGTCTTCTGCGATTTCTGGGTCTGAATGTGCTCCCGTTTACATCCGAACTCTCGGATGACCAGCGGGCAAGTATGGTGGCCGACTTTACAAACGACGAGTTGGTCATTCATGCCATGTTCTTGGGACTTTCCAACAACATCACGGGCATGAACCTACAGAAGTGTTGCAAGACCGGCGTCGCTATGATGTTCACATTCACTCTCTCATTGCTACTGCAGGCTATGAAGCGTATCCATCGCGTGGGGACTAAGCAGCCGGTAGACTGAACAATTTTGAAGTTGTCTGGCTCTTATCACGAGTTGCAAGAGAGGAACTTTCACCTGAAGCAGGCTCAATTCAATGCACAAAGCCAATTATCTCTCAAGTTACGGGGGGAAGCGCGCGACATTGTGTGTTTTGAGCTTGCTCAAGAGATTTAGGGAACGCTCGACTCGAAATACACCTGTGTCAAACACGCAGGGGAACTCACGACGATAATGGACTTTAGGGCCGCCTGGGTTCCACGATATACCAAGGCATACTCCATGGTCGCGTCTCTCGTGTTCCAGGTGATGCGTGAAGGGATGAAGGACGAAGGTTACGATAACTTGGACCTTTCTCTCCACGCGCTTTCCACTGCCTTCCGGCCTCTGGTTATGCTTTGGGAGTCTTCGGCGACAACATATGCAGAGGTCAACAAGGTAATCAACCCTTCCAATATTACTTAGGCCCGTGTCTGGGAGGATATTCAACGCCTGGAGGAAATGGCCATGGCTGAGTGCGTGGACCTACACCAGATTTGCGACCTCGTGTTCCAGAAAACGCTGTCTGAAAACCACCCGACGGCGATGCCTCAGGCCTGGAAAATGGCCGTGAGCTTCGAGACCCCCTACCAACCTGATGAGGGAGACGAAGATGAGAAGAAGCATGATGAATCTGGCGCTCGGTCTAGCGGGGACGAAAATCATGGTACGCACGGATCGGGTACGCAGGAAGGATTGTATTGCGTCCTCATGGTGCCCTCCTTGGTCCACATGGACCAAGGAGCCCGTCCCCGGGGCCGTTTTATTATCGTTATTAACGCGTAGTACAGAAGAGCCACAGCAGGAGCCACGACAGGATAAGAACAAGCGCAAGAAAAAGCAGAAGACAAGGGTGCCAGAGCGCGCCGCCCCGGACTCCGATCACCTACCCTTCTACAAGTTACTCGAAGTGCTACCGACGGCTAGCTTTGCTGATATCGCCAAAGCATACAAGAGACTCTCATTGATCTGCCACCCGGACAAGCCCATCGGGTCCACTAAGGCCTTTCAGCAATTGGGGCAAGCTTATAGCGTTCTGATTGATAATGACCTACGGGCTCTGTATAACATGGTGTCACCTAAGATTTGAGCCACATCCGAGCCTGAGCCACATCCAAGCCATAACCAAGTTAAACCTTAAAAGGCCCTCTATGACGCTCACTTCCTAGCATCACGAGATTTCCTTTGTTTATTTTTTGAGTATAAACAGGGGCTTTCTTTTCTTGTATCTCGAGACCTTTTTTAGACAGACAATTCAAGACCCTTCAACCCCCTGTCAAATTTGATCACGGGCCAGACATAAGTTATACTCCTAAAAGCTACAGTCCTCCATCGTCAGAAAGAACACAACCCAGTACGTCAGAGAACAATCAGCAGCAAACCCATGGCCAGGCGGATGCGCAGAACGGACGTCCTGCGGCGAGCGCAGGAGAAGAAGCCTCCACGGGCAAGCGGAAGCGCCAAGAGACCGCGGAGTCAGGACAGGAGTCTGAAGAGGACCCTATGACAGGTGGTGACAGTGGCGATGACGATGACTCGCCAAGCCCGAAGAGACGTCAAACCTGAGGAGGTAGGGGCGGTAGGGGTTCGAGGGGTGGTAGGGGTTTGAGGGGTGGGTAATCGTTGAGTGGTGGCGTCGCTCCACCAGAGAGGGCAATTGACCGGTCTTGAAACTTTGCGTTGGTTTTGAACATTTCCCGAGACAGCAGGAACCGATGCAGTTAGCTACCTACCTGAACCGGATAATATTTTTGCCGAACGGTCTGGTATCATAAAAATAACATCCTGCATCCATTAATCCTCTTTCTTCTGTTCCAACTTCCTATCCTCGACTACCAATTTCCACTTGTCTAGTTCTCTCCACCACCAGGCTTTGCTCCATATGGACCAAGAGGCTCAGTGGTCCAAAATTACGGCCGATTAGGTCACATGCTCAGGCACGTGATTTCAAGGCCCACCCCTCAGCTCTCTCCTTTCTCTTCCAGCACATGCCCGGCTCAATATTTTCTTCAACTTTATTGCAAACCTACCCACCCCGCCAGCGCGCAGTCGCATCTGCTGGACAATGGACGAAACCTTTTTCTCTAGAAGACATACGGTCGCTGCTTCCTATACAGCACCGTTTTTGACCCAGTCCATTGCAGACCATATCCAGTACAAGGTCGACCGGGGCAGCGGCTTCGCGATCGCGGACGTCATCAAGTGGAATATTCCGATGGATGTTTCAGCAAACCCGAACCTGAGCTTGCCGCCGAGATGCATTGATGATTTCCTTTTCTCAATGCAGCAAATTCTTTCAAGCGACGCGTCTGAGCTCATTCGCTCCCAAGCTCAGGCCTTTGATAAGTCGGTCGGCATCCACGGTTTGGCCGACAAGTTTATTGGGTTGCGCCCAGCAAGGGAGGCAATGCTCGACGTCATTGATGGCATTGCCTATTGGGATGAAGAGGCCGCTGCCCAGGTAGTCCCATTCCACCCAGAGCAAACAGACCCAAATACCCGAGCCAGCGAGCAGCAACACGCTGACCAACCTAGGAATGAAGAGAGACATCCTTCTGCTGAAGGATCATCAACAATAGTGCTCGGATCCACCACATGACAGCCATCCGCCAATACCGAGCCATGCCCGATTACCCAAGTACAACTTGAGGGGTCGACAATTCTCGAAGCTTGGAATAGGAACCCAACAACCAGGGCAATAGAACAGCTTGCCAACATGTACGAAAGAAACGCCGATCCGACACACTTTTCGTCCCGAGCCCTTCCCGTCTACCACGGCACGGATGCATCTGTTGGGTTTGCTTTTCAGGGAACTGACGAGATCAGACACGGGATGCTCTACGGATCCGTTGCGGCAAACCAAGTCGCCCCGCGTCATATATCCCTCCCAATCCTTTGGACGGGGTTTAGCCCTCTACGATGCTTCCTCTGGGCTGTGTTCAAGAGTGATGTTTTGCAGCCGGTTCCGGGTCCAACAGTGCAAAGCAAGCTCAAGAAACCATGGAAGTGCGGCGACCACGAGCATGTTGGGGTATTGCTATTCAAATTCCAACCAGCATTACCATCAGCACCAGGCGAGGCAAGCTACATCATACCCCGGGGACGAGAGCAGGAATGGACAGATATAGCTCGGGCTCAAACTGGAGGCGGAAGTCCAGAGTCTTAGTGGAGGCAGTTTACGCCGATCCATCGCAACGTTCAACCAACCTGGCCCGAAACAATTCATTATTGGGAGTATGGTCCACAGATGTCAATGCTATTACCATATATCAAACAATTCTGGAGAACGGTTTGGTTTGGCACCGGGATCACGACATTACGAGCCTCAGACTAAGCGACATACTCGATCTCGTTTACACAGACGAGACCAGAAGCGCCACCGACCGGCAAGGATACCAAGGCCAAAAAGCACCGGACTTCGACTTAGAGGGCTATGGGACGGAGCTTACGCAAGGCTGCTTCGTTGGCAAACTTCAAGGGGCATAAATAGATAGCGAGGACAGGAGGACGAGGACAGGACTGTAAATAGTCTCCAGGCTTTGCTAGCGATCCACCCGAGGCAATTAGCAGCCGTAGTTAGAGAATTGGTCAACTTGGACGAAGTAGCTAGCTCCTCACTACCTGACCGAGTTGGTCCACATGGAGCAACCAGCCCCTGTGTTCTATTCCACTTCCTCCCTCTGGTAATATTTAGTTACTAGTACAGGGTATACTGATATAAGATCTAGATGGCAATGCGGCAGAGGCTGCCGGCTCCAATCCACAGTCCGACCCCAAGCTGGAAGGCGATCCCTCCGACTTTGAGTTCGCACTAGGTGACGGGCTAGATTCAGAATCGGAACCAGCCAATCTTCCCAGGCCTACGAAGACGCTCCGGACACCGGCTATGAACGAAGCCGAGCTGAATGACAGTCTCGCGAAAATGGGGTTTGATTCATCCTTCATGGACAACCACAGCGACATCCACTGGGTTGATAGCCTTCTGTCGATGTTTTCGACCCCGGGACACTTAGCAAGGGAAATCCACGACTTTCACCTTCAACTGAAGCGGCAGTTGAGGACCGAGCATACGACGATGCCCTTGTCGATATCAGTCGTTTCAAAACACTTACGGACGATACGTGGGATACCCACGACCCGGCGATTGATATACTTTAGAACCAGCTTGTCGCGCAGGTACAAGACATCATAGGCCAGTCATTTCCCATCAAACACATCGTCAAGCCGTCGGGACCGATGAAGGCCATTTGCCATATCCTGTGGCATTATCCTACTTTCTGCACCGATAAAGATTACGGGCACGTCATGGACCAGTCAAACCCATCTCTTATAGTACAACTGACCAAAATTAGCGCCCCGTAGGCAGTGAGGACCACTGATTTTATCCCTATGCGGCATGAGATAGTCCACTCCAAGAAAAGTGTGGCCTAAGAGGACACGTTTGGGCAGTATCGGCCGAAAATCCGCCAGCTATTTCTAGACTTCAACTACCGTCTTTTACTCCAAGCTCCAGTTTCTCTTATTATTAGCAAACACACCGGCGAAGTTTTCTCCGAACTATTTACCAAGGACTCATTATATATTGTCGAAATAGTCAGCCGCAGGGGTCTCACTTCGAAAAAATTGCGACATGAATTTCTTATTTTACGCGACTTGGCAACTCATCACATCAAAAATTTAGTTTTCTTTTCATTTCACGGATCTCACGCCCTTTTCAGCAGCTCATCTATATCCTCTTCCATCGCTGCAGATGTGGTGTGGAACAGCGTTTGCACCCTCTCGGGCCTCGACATCCAGAATGCGTCCTGGTTCACGTGGCGGAGGGCTTTCGGTGGGCAAGCTGGGACTGACCCATATCAAGCGGCCCAAGCTGCCGCGGGATACCCAAACCTCAAGAAGGGGCGCGCAGTTCAAGCCGCCCTGGGTGATCCTCACAGCAAGAAGGGGCGCGAGGTTCACGCTGCCCGCGGTTACCCAGCTAGAATTACGAGAGTGATAATAAGCTAGTTCGATCCAAAGTTGGTGCGATAGGCGATGAGAGTATCTTTCTCAAGATCGCGGGGAGAATTTCACATCGTACTACCAGCCATTGATTCAGTCGGTCAATAGACTGCGGATGAAGGTATTCCCAAATGGTAAGAGGTGGAAGCAGCCAAATCCCAATCATGCTTACGCTTGTTCATGGGCAGGCTCACACGGGGTCCCGCGGCACGCCCGGGTCTCGAACCTCTTCCGAGACCCGATCAAAGAGCCCTTTGCCGAGCCCGCGGGCGCCCGAGCCACCATACGACTTGAGGACGCGCTTGAGCTGCTCGACGTCGCTCGGCGGGGCGGGCAGTCCCAGAGCCGCGGGGTAGCCACGGTCGACGAGCTCCTGCTTGTAGATCTCGCTGCGGACGGCCTGGCGCGCGCCCTTGACGGAGGACTCGCCGGCCGTCTTAAGCTTCTCGAGCCCCAGCGGGGCATGCAGCACCTTGGCCGCGCCCACGGCGCCGGTCTCGGCCCCGAAGATGGCGCCGCCGTGGCGCACCATCTTGGCTTGAATAACAGGTTAGTAAGATTTTTCACTGAGAAGGATGGGCACTTGGTGAGTCAAGCAAAGTCTCGGGGTACTTTAGTGTGTGTCAAGGAGGGGTTGTGTGGTGAGTTGGTGCAATGAGAGAATCAAGACCTGGGTGTTGGGTGCTGGGCGGTATGCCGAGGATACCGGGGGTTGCTGGGGATGTTGAGGGAATAGAGAACAGGTTAGTCGGGGGCCTGAGTGACTTGCCCAAAGCTTGCCTTTGTTGAAGAAAGAAAAGAAGAAAAGAGAAGGCCAGGAAATGAACATGGAGGTGAGGAGATGGGCCGACTTTATGCAGAAAGCATGAACTGAAGTTGCAAACCTCTCAAGACCCTCCACGTCTCTGGACAAGATGCCCACGGCCACACTCAACGGCTGCGGCAACTGAATTACAGATGATCAATCACGCGACACAGTAAACACCCGTTTATAGTGCTCTGGCTGGAGCCGTCTAATTACAGTTTCTCGTGTCGACTCACTTCCAACGACACTGCTGCGATGATTAATATATCGGGTTGACAATGAGATACACCCCGAACTCTTGTGATTGGCTAGTCGTGGTACGTACCAAGGGACTTTTGTCGTTAGCCAGTCGCAGCGTTGTCAGCCGAAGCCTTACGCATGCCAGTGTGGCTTAGATCAGGCCTACGCCCGGCGCCTACATCGCTGCGAGCCGGTAAACGCCGCGGTGGTCTTTGGCGCCAGGCACCCAGCAGGCTGAGAAGCGCGCTACTGACCTCGCGGTGATATGTATTTAGCCCACCCGCCCTCTTCACTTTGCTTAGCAGCTGGACTGGTGCCGATACCAGTGGAAGGTCACGTTGACTCTTGAGATATTCGTCTAGTTCCACTGTGGCCCACGTCACGGCAGAATAATAGCGCTCTTGGAACACCATGGATTCGCACCAGCTCGAAGATGCAGTCGATACCGACTCTCCAGAAAATCCCGTGGCCGAACCGTCACCTCTTGAGCCTTCCGCCTTCACCAGACAGCCCACTGCCACAGACCCTTTGCTCGGACCCAGGCCCGCCACACTCGACACCTGTCATAACGAGATATATCGCCTCTATATCTCTGAGAATAAAACCTTAGCTGAAGTCAGAGAGACTCTGAAGCGAGATTTCGATCTCGACGTGAAGTGAGTTTTGCTTGGCAAAGCACGCATTAAAATCAAAGCATCGTTGTCTGACCGAAGGTGGCATGCAATCAAACCAAAAGACCGAAGCCCCTGAAGACGAAGCTTGGCAAGTGGGGATATAGTAAGGATTTGAAAAGAGGCGACGCGCTGCAGATCATTCAGACCAAGGCCCGCCGCGAAGCCCAAGGCAAACAGTCGGCCGTCGTGCTGCGCGGACGGGCTGTCGACCTAGACAAGGTCGCGCGACACGCGAAACGCGAAACGGGCAGGCCTGTTACACCCCCACCAGCAGCAGACAGCTCTCCCAGATGAGTCCCGGGCCTTGGTTGCCACAAGAGATGTCGTGTGTATCACGCTGCCGCCGTCGCTTCCTGGATCTCTCCCCGTGATCCAGCAGTGGCGAGTCCCGGAGAAGATTCTTGTCGACGTCGACACCCTGATCAGGGGCATGTTTGAGGCTAAGTCGTGGCGTCCAAACGGACACGACCTGTTGATCCGTAGCTCGTGGTCGCAGACGTCCGAGTCGATAACGCTGGAGCAGTTCCGCGCCAACCTCAACAACGGCAGCGACGCGGCGCGGCGCAGCGACTTTGGCGTGGCGTTCAACTACTGCAAGGCGGCGTTCATACAGGTCGAGAACGACGTCATACCGAACTTCGTGCAGAGAATCGACGACCTGAACAACGAGGGCTAGGGCGGCGTGGCTGCGCGGCTCAAAACCCACATCGCCGAGTGCTGCAGGACGTTCGCAGCGCCAACCAAGACCAACTCGTCGAGGCCGTCTATTCTTCGCGGCCTGTCCCGCATAGACGCGCTCTTCGGGCCGTGGGACCGGCGGATGCTAGATGTCGCCAGTCTCCGTGTCGAGATCTTGATTCTCAGAGGGCGTCTGGGCGAGGCCGAGACCGAGGCGAGGGCGTTTGTGGACCGGGCCGATGCCGTGCAGAACGACGAGTGGCAGCGCTTCTACAGTCTCATTCGTGCCCGCTTCTTCCTTAGCAGCGCCCAGTACGCGCTGAGGAAGCGAGGCGAGGCTATTGAGAGCCTGTCGGACGCCCAGCTGTATGAAGCGGAACTGTCCAAGCTCAACGATTTTGGCATTTTTAACGGGGAGAAGGTGAGGATCAAGATTTATCTGGAGGCACTGAAAGATGAAAACTGGGCTCGGACGGAAGCACTGAGTGAGTGTTAAAGTGATATTTTCAAGTTGACATTTCCCCTCAATATAATTACCAGTTGGCTGCCGTGGTGTGCGTTCTAAAAATTTCACCATTTCGACTTGGCTTGTTGAGTATGTTCGAGTGTGCGAGGTGAATTTACCCCAGGTTAGACGTGGAGGGGCGAGGCTGCAAGTCGGACTTGTGAATGTGAATTGTGCGAATTGTACGTGTATTGTGCAAAAGACTGTCTTGAGACAGCGAATGTTCTTGAGACAGCGAATGTTGGAGCCTCGCCGTTGTCAACATGAAGGGTAAATGTGACTGCAAAAGGCTGGGACATGTATGCGAGATACATCCATGACCAAGGTCGCGAGAGGCCAATGCGAGGACAAAACTAATGTGAAATGGAAGTCGGTGGCTGAGATAAACACGGACGCGATATGTAAATGCGACCGGCACTGTCGTGAGATCATGTGAGAAGACTTTGTCGGGAATATCGGATTTATTTGCAATTAAAGAACATCTTTTGTGGGTATTGAACATGTGACGAGGTCTCGCACGATGGGACAGCAGAACCGAGAAAGAATCCTCATGACGGGCCACATTAATAACCCAAAACCACCAGAAACACCAAGCAAACCTTTCCAAAAAAAAACAAGGCGCACCAAAATTATTATGTATATCCAGAAAATGGAACCATTTCAAGAAGGGGTCGGGGGAGAGCAGAGCGAGCAAAATGAATCGTCAATCAAGTTGCCTGCCGCTGCGTCGACTGTCACATTTCATGCCGTCGCTTATTGCGAAGGATACGGCTGCTGCTGAGGAGCTCCGTAGGGCTGCTGCTGGGGGGCAGCATAGGCGGCAGGCTGCTGCTGGTACGGGGGCTGCTGGTAGCCCTCGGCCTTGACGGCACCGAGCTCAGCCTGGCCAGGGCCAGCTACAGCAGCAACGTGGTTGTCGTCGCGGATGGCGGCGAGGGTGAAGAAGACGAAGTGGACAATAACGAGGACCCTGAACGCGACGGTGGGGTTAGCTAATTGGCCTTCATTTTAACGTGCTCCCCATGGATGGACAAGTTGTTCAGGTGATCTCCACACCCTCCCACGTCTCAGCTATAATTGGGGTGCAGAGAGTGCGGGGTTTCAGGACGCGAGTTCCCGGCCGCGCTCATTGGGCGGACCAAGCCTTGGACTGCGGTTCCTTTGGTTCCAATGCACCCCCGCCCAGAAATGATCTTCGCAGAGCTTACCAAACTAGGGCGCCGAGGCCAGCGCACGCTCCAAGGGCGGAGCCCTCGTCCTTGTACTCCTTGGGGAGAACGCCGCCGAGAGTGTTGTAACCGAGCCAGAGGCCTGCAAGGCTGGCGGACCAGGCCCAGGCCGAGAGCCAAAAGATGATGGAGAGGATGTAGAGGACGAAAGCGGCAATGCGATAGAAGTATTGGGGCGCCCAGATCTCGAGAGCGAGCGCGCCACCGTAGACGATCCAAGTCTTGATAACCTGCGAGCCAGATTGGGATCAGTTAAACAGTACAAACGAGACGATTGGCAGCTCGAGCCTCGCCCTCCCACACGGGCCCACACACACACTCATCCGTGGGGCCGGCCACGCGAGGAAAACGAAGTGAATCTAGGGGGTCAAGATCGACAACATACCACAAAGATGACGAGACCGCCAGCGCCGGTGCCATAGACAAGAACGCCGTTATAGCCTCCGAAAATAGAGATTGACCAAGCTGCCAGGCCGAGGATGACGACCGAGAGGACGAGGATGGCGCCCTTGATGTAGAGGAGCCAGACGGGCTGGCCGGCCGGCACACCGACCGAGACTAATCCGTGGATACCCATTCTGGAAATCTGCTATGCAATATTGTCGTCGTAGTTGTGTGCGTTGACGAGGGCGGGACAGCTTGCTGGTGACAACAAAAGACGAAGAAGAAAAAAAGGTATAGACGAAGACACAATGACAAGAGCAGGTAAGGGCTTCAAAACGATGGGGGGTGGGCAGAGGCGCTCGTCCTTTTAGTATTCGTCTCTTTCTCCTCATTTCACCGTCGACGCCCGATCTGCGCGCCCACGACTCCTGATTGCTCAGAGCCTCACCACAAGGCTTGGCCTTTTCCTCTCCCTCCGTTTACCATTTTCGCATGCCGCTTCTCCCTGCGAGAAACAGCGCTTGCGGTCTGGGCGCCCAACTATTGGAAAGCTGCCATTCGCCGGGCCCCGGGGGTGTCCAACCCTTGCGCGTGGCCGGGCCCCGCAACCTCTGCCAAAGCTGAGAGGGCCAAGAACACCACATGCCCCCTTGCCCCCGAGGGCTGAAAACATGTCACCAGTGCGGGAATCGATAAATTCAAAGCGCCCCGCTTCCGCTGGCAGGCACTGCCTGGATCAGACAGTCAAACCCCGCCCTTATTGGCCAGCCCGTCTAAGCCACGACCCTAGCTGCATGACAGTCGGCAGACAAGCTAACGGGAAGCGACTTGGGGCATGCTTGGCGAAGCTCTCCGTTTGTGCTCGATTTCTCTCTGACGCGACTTATATCATGATATTAATTTGGTGGTCACTGCTGTGGCTTTTTGGCTCACACACATCAGAAACACGGCAAAAACGGAGCAGCCTTGGGTCTTCACGGAGCATCCGTATCGCGGGACTTGCACAAGGAGCGCGGGAGGATTTAGGTGATTTTCTCCGTTAGAACGGGCGAGTTTCGTCAAACGCTTCTTCCCCAGCTAGTGCAGTCGTTATCTTGGGCGCAGTAGTGCAAAGGTGCGTATCTCCCTTCGCTTCAGTTTTGGCAGATGACGCATCAGCAAAGCGCCTTAGATGAGGCTCTGGTGGATACGACGCCACTGCATTCAGGTTTTCTTTGCGAGTCTCTGGCCCGTCCGCATTTTTCGAGATTTGCCAGTACGACGCTCTCGCGAGCAGCTCAGCGGTGAGCCCGCACACTCGTGTACACTAACAACTGAGCTCCAACATGGAGACCATCGTAGAGAATATACTTACTACGTAGTAACGGAGCCTGTAACCGCCCTGGGCTCTAGTGTGGGATTGCACTGAAACCGATCGAGGTCTCGACCTTCGTGCTCGGCATTGAAAATAGGAGACTACATCCAAAGAAAAAGGGTCTCGAACAAGCGCAGCCCCGCGCCACCATGCGGCTGGAAGCTTGCTTGTCGGGCCTCGTTCGATCTGGCCCCACCCTCCTGCGCCCGCGTCGAGCCTGTCTTCCCCCCAATCCCATGCGACGATATGCACGTCTTTCGGTCCAGCCAAGGCTCTCTCGAGGCCCCAAGACATTGACAGCCGCGCATTTCATCGTTCACTGCCCCAACGTGCAAGATGATTGAGCCCTATCAGTCCGCATTGAGTCTGTTGAAGCAAGTGGCGTGCGATCTCGAAACAACTCTGGCGAAGCAAGATATCGGAGCAGCTTTCTTATCAAGATTACTGAGCGCCACGAACGCCCACCCAGATCCGCCCGCGGCCGAGAACCAATTGCTCAAATGTGCGAAAGCACGGAAGCAGCCGCCCTCAAGCCAACGGAAAAGGGGGTGGGCATCCGGCGCGAGGGGCAATATTAAAAAAAGAATTTCAGCTAAGCTCTACGGAATGCCGACGACGGCGCGGTCCTGGGACAAGTCGCGTGAAATCAGGTGCAAGAACAAAAGGAATCCCTGGAGCGTCGCGTTTAATTGAGCAAAACGGCATCTTCCGTCTTCCGTCGAGACTCGAGACTCTCGAGCCGAGAGACACCCGTCCCGTCACTTGAGGCCGGAAGAGCAGGCTCCCCGCAGTTCAATCCAGCACAGTGGAGGTGGCTTAGACTGCTCCGGCCGCAACTTGAAGCTAAGCTAGCTGGCCGTTAAGTCAAATTGCTTAACCGATGCTAGCCACATTTGCTTCACTGCCATCGACTAGGTATAATAGCATGGCTGGAGCTATTCTTTTTTTGCGCCCTTTGTTTGTTCTGCCGAGGTTATAGCACGGGATATCGTCTGTACTATCATTATCGACAGCGCAGCACGTTTATAATTAGCAAAGAGCAACGATGGTTATATGCCAGCGAGTGCCGCGGTCACATCTCCACTGATGAGCGTCGCATCTGTATTAAGGTTATTCCGTCGGGTCCTTCACCGCAATTGTTCCATCCTCGGGGTGGAAATTGGATGGGCGGAGGATCGAAGGTGCCAAGCAGCAGCAGTACAGCGCCGCGGCGGCAGCGACAACTCGATGCCCACTGGTGGGCTTGTGCCCCGCAGCTACTGAGCGGGAGGGAGAGGGATTGACTCCATCGCTGCTCGGCGCCTGTCCATACATTCCATTCCTGCCTCGGCGGCGATATGACATGCCTCAAGACATGCTGCATCTAACATCGCACAGCAGCGACTCGTAAATAATATTAAGGACGGTATGGAGGTAGCACGGAGGGGGTTAATTTGTATTCGGTGAAAAGAGAGGCGAGATGAGAGTGTCGTTCGGTTATGCCGTCGCGGTTTCCTCCGGCGTTGTAATTATTCAGTAGCACGCAACACCAATCGATATCCACTACCCAGCCAGACGTGGCTAGTTCCACGCCATCCGTTCGGTTCATAACTACTGTATACATGGAGATTCAGATGTGTCGAGAGAGTTCGTTGGTGTGACTCTTGTAGATTGCGTATTATTTCGACAGTTAGATTTATCACAAAAGTGAAATGGCTCATACCCATCACCACGCACACATTAAGGTTTGACACGAGCATTTGCCTCGGTACAGCAAAAAGTCAAAACAATTGAACGGCACCGGCAGAGTCATATCGGCCGGCTCACGAGCCTTACCACCGCCATGCAAGATCAAAGTTTTCGCCCAGGGCACATAAAGCGCACCAGATGTTTTCTCCTGCATGCCCCGTTCGCTGGTTCTTAACCAACCAGCCTCTGCCATCTGTTATGGCACACACTTTGGTCGAGACCTTCAGATGGCCTGGTTCACAATGCCATGGCGGGGTTCAAAGGTTCGCACGACAACCTATCTAGAAGGTGAAAATGCCCTTTTGGGATCAACGGTTTGCCTGCTTGATCCGTACATGTGCACGTTGTGGCCCCCTAATTAGGACAAGTCGCAAAGAGCCATCCACCCACCGTCCCGGGCCTCCTCCTGACCACCGTCTTAGGCCGGTGCAGATGCGGCCACCTTCTTGCGCCGCTTCCAGTCGCCTAAGATGCTGACGGGGCATTGGCCAAAGTCTGACCCTGGGCTATTTCATCCGCAGGCATTCACTCCTAAATCCATCCCATCGTCTGTCTGTCTGTGAGACGGATCGCGAGCTGCATGGAGATCGGTCGCCTTGGCTGCACTGCAACAACTCTACCGGTTTCGGCGGCGAAGCGAAGCCGCCATGTCGTAGCGCGCCGCCACGGTCTGCCGATCGCCAAAGGCCGGGAATAGGACCCGGCAGCCGGAGGTCAAGTGCCGTCCGCGTACTGATGGTCGTCGAATTAAATGCCAGCACATGTCCCAGAAATGGAAACCAGCGGCGCATGGCAGAGGTTCAAGTTCTTTTCCACAAAATAATAAAGCCAGACAAGCAGCAACAAGAAATCAAGGCCCCCAGGGCAAAAATAAAAATAAAAAAATTCGATCGCGATGGGACTCGAACCCACAACCTCAGTCTGGACCCTTTTTTAGGAGGACCACACGCTACCCTGTTGGGTGAGGGTTTGTTAGCAAACTTACGATTTTGAGTTTGTGGAGATATCTCGCCGAAACAGCTGGAGAATACTGACATTACGCCACGCGACCGCTTGAGTGTCTTGTTTTTGGAGCCTCTGGTCCGCAAACTTAGTCTTGAACACACCCTGGCTTTCTCATCAGGATTTGGCACTTCGTCCTCAATACAACACCACTGCAATCCATGCAATCGCCAGCGCAAGCAGCACAAATACTTTGCATTCCAGAATTATGATACGCTTGGGTAATTATTTACAAAGGCTCGGTTAATTTACTGGGCAATTATTTTGTACTGTCCACTACTTGCATCACCACGCCAAACACGGGGCTCTCAAAAATGGGTTGCGCGATGCAACCCCAAGACAAGAACGGAACAATACAAGACAAAACAACCCGAAATAAATCGAAATAAAAAGGAAAGGAGCGTCAACTACCAACAGGCTTGTCACGAAGGCAACATGCCAAGATCAATTCATTCATCCATTCACTGTCTACAGACTATCTCAATTACACTCGCTCTCGTCACCCCAAAAAAGTATCCTGCGCAGCAACTGACTGACTCTATTCACAATGTGCTCACAAACTCCCACCACCAAGGAAAGTGAAAAATATAATAAAACGCAAATGCTAGCTATATATGTAATTACCCATCTTGCCTATTTAGAAACACAGCCCGCCAAAAGAATCGCCGCTTCAAAACCCGCGCAGAAACTCGGCCAACGAGATCGGTTTCCTGACTGCGTTGTTCAGACCCTCGTGGTACGTGACCCAGACCTTGCTGCCGCCTCCGGCGCCGCCGTCGGCGGCCGTCTGCTCCCTGCGGGCCCTGGCATTGGCGTCGGTCTCGCCGAGGGGCCCGGGGCGCAGATGCGCGGGGATCTGCTCTTTCTGGGCGATGACGCGGCCGAAGAAATCCCTCTTGATGTTCGACAACGGCCCGGTGGCGGCGGAGCCGGCAGCCGCTGCGGCGGCGGCGGCGTCCTTCTGCAGCTGCTTCAGAGTGCCCGTCCTCGGCCCCTTGCCGTCCTCCTTGTCGTTGAACACGTATTCCTCGTGGGCACCGCCGGCCGCGGCGCCCGACTGGAACCGCGCCTGGCGCGAGGCGTTTTCGCGCAGCACGAGCGTCTTGTGTAGCTCCTGGTCGAGCACCTGGCGCACGGCGTAGCGGGTGGGCGCCTGCGAGCCGAGCACGTAGGCTCCAGCCGTCTCGAAGATGGCCAGGGTGTCAAGATCTCTGTGGGTGAAAGTCAGCATCAAAAGGATATGGGGCAGCTGACTATGTCTATCCTGGTAGAGGGCCCGCTACTTACGGTTCCATCCGATACACCCACTGCGTATGGTTTATTGGGCCGGCTGTGGCCATGTCCACCTCGATCTTGCCCTTCTGAAGCGTGATGCCGATTTCGGCGAGGGTCTGGGCGGCGCGCCGGACCATGGCCTTCTCGCTCTCCCGCCGGACACTGGCGATGGAGCTGAACTTGTCGCTGCCGCCCACAACGACTGGCTTGACATCGGGCGAGATGAGACGCACAAGATACGGCAAAAAGTCGGTCGCAAGGTCCTCGGGGCTGCGGAAATTCCGCGACAGGGTCGGCGGGAGCTGCGCCAAAATCCCCTGGAGCGCCGCGCGGTTGGACTTCTCTGCCTCGTAGACTGCAAACGACGCGCGAGGGCCCGAAAAGGGTAGAGGGCGAGCGGCGCCGCCGTCGTCGTCGGCAGTGTCTCCCCACTTCTTTTCGTAGCCCGACTGGGGCTGATGTCGGCGCGAGGAGGCGAAGAGATGGTGGCAAGCGAGGATGGGCTGGCTGACGTAAGGAGCAAGCTCCCACTCTTGGCTGGAAAATATGCGAGATGCGCAGCTGTCGTGAAAGTACATCCACTCGTAGGCCGCGTCGGGTTTGGAGAGAAAGGAGTCATCGTAGAACTCGCGATTGGGGTACTCGGAGAAAATGTCAGTCATGATGCGGTCGACATCGCCACTCGTATCAATCATCTCGGTCAGGCGGCCCATGGCGTATTTCTTCTGATGCTCCGAGAAGCCGAGCTGGGCTTGCGGCTGCTCGTGACGGGTGTTCTTGGGCTGCACCACGGCCGGCGCTGCCTGTTTGGGGAAGCCAGCGCCTTCTAGAAAGACGCGACTGACAATATCCTTGACGTTACCGCGGCCGAGACCCCTGGCGCCGCCACCACCTTGAGCGAGATCCTGTATGACGTTCTTGTCGACCCAGAGGCGAGTGAGGTGTGGGGTAACATCCTTGGACGCGGCCTTCAGTCGCCCGGCCACCCATTCTCCGACGACCATGACGCCTCGGAGATCTCCTTCGGCGTTGCCCTCGGCGCCCCGCTTGGCGTCGATCCCGCTGGACATTCCCCAAGTAGCCTCGCACAGCTTGCGCGCGGCATCTTTCTCGCAGGGAATGCCCTCCTTCTCGAAGACGGCCTTGAGTCGGGTGACGACTGCCTCGACTGACGGCTTCCCGACATGGATGATTTCTGCGTGGCCAGACTGTCGCAGTGGACGCAGCGACGGGTGGTAAACGTCGTTGCAGATAAGGATCAGAGGCCTCATCTGTCTGAAGTCGTCGCCTTTCTTCTTCTTCCGTCCCATGCCTGCAGGCCCGGCAGCACCCGAGTTGTTCTTTTGGTCGAGCAAAACAAGATCGATCAGCGCCTTAACAAACCCGCCTTCTCCTACCGCTCCAGAGCCGGCAACAGCACCGTCGACTTCGTCGACAACGACACAGACAGGACGGGCGACCTTTGCTTGCTTCCCGGGCTCCACTTTCCTGTTCTCGACCGTCTTCACCGTCTCAGTCCCGAGACTTGTCCTGATGCGCCCTTTAACGACGTCCTTGCTACGGTCGTCGCTTGCATTGATCTCCATGACTTCGTAGCCGGCCTGTTTCGCACAGACGTGGGCGAGCGTCGTCTTGCCCAGGCCTGGTGGGCCGGTGAGCATGAGGATCTTCCGGTGCGGCTTCTCCTCCTCGGGCTGCTGCTGCTGCTGGGCATTCCGGCGCGCAGCTGCCGACCTGTTCTTGGTGGCGTGGGGGAACACGATGGGGTCCCAGCGCTTCAGCCAGCGGAGAACTTGGCGGTTGGTCAGGTCGTCTCCGACAAGGTCCATAAACGTTCGTGCTCGGTATTTCTCGGTCCACATCATGGACCGCTTGGACTTTTTGCCATTTGTAGGGCGCTCTTCGACGGATCGGATGGGCTTGTCGGGGTTGGCTGGTAGTGTGACGGGTGTGGTAGCTGTCTCCTTGCGCGCGTCGGCAATCTGCTTATTCGCCGTGTCCATCAATTCGTGGATGTCGATACCAAAATAGCTCTTTTTTGCGCGTCCCTCCTTGGTCCTAGATCTTGCCGCCACCATGGACACGTACGACTCGACAGGGGCGGCCTTTCGCTCCCGGATTGGAATCGATTTACCCGAGCACAAGGAGAGCCAGCATGTAGTGGTATCAGTGTGGCCGTCGTCTAGCCGTAGGGCCAGGGAGGGTGCGGCTTGGGAGTTGAATAGCCGCTCATAGCGCTCGGTTTCTTCGTCTAGGTCCTCGTCCAACTGGCTATCTGGGGGTGTTGAGATCACTTCTTGTGCAGCCGGGAGAGTGTCGGCGGGATCCTCCTGGGGGTCTTTCTGGGTGTCTGTTGTTTCGACAGTTTGAGCCCGAGATTCGCATGTGTTGTAGTCCAACATCCTCCTCTTCGGAGATGGTAGCCTAATAGCGTCATTCCCGTCATCATCATCATCATCATCGTCGTCGTCGTCGTCGTCGTCGTCCACGAAGCCGCCAAAGACACGTAACTTTCGTGGTTTGGGGGCTTTGAGGGAATCGGCGGGCCTCGGACGCTTGATTTGGGCTGGCGGCGAGCTCGACGGGAAGGCGGCAGGGGACGACGGTGCCAGCATTTCGACGTAAATTGGGCGTCTTCGGTGTGTGTTTAGTTAGTACGGGTGCATGGCGCAAGAAAGGGATGCGAGTTGGCGGTTTGAAGGGTGGATGCTGAGGTTTAGACTCCAAGTCTGGCGGCTACATGGGAGTCGAGACGCGTTTTCCAGAGTGGGTTGCTTATGAAGCGCGTCTCAATTAACACCACAGGCGTTCTAGCCCGTGCACTACCCATTTGTTGTGGGGGCAGAACTGCCCCGCCATTCACGGGTTAGGGTTGCTGATTTCAACTGTCCATCTGTTGACTTACTTGTACTTGACTTTGAACGCCGCGTGGTTCTTTCTCTTTTTGATCATTTATTGAATCTCTAAACTTTCCCTTTTGAATACAAGACACTCGATCGAGTTTGCCCTAATTGTCAACCTACACCTCAACGCGTAGTCTTTCATCAAGAAATGCCTCTCTCTGGGGGTATTTTTCTTTTTTCTTATACAAGTGGCAAATCAATCATCTACAAGCCCTCTCTTTCCGGTCAGCTCCATATCCAAGAGCCCGAATTACCCTAACTCGATGTGAGTCAAACCAACTAATTAGGTACTTCAGCAAGCACGCAAGATGCCAACCCGTCGCTTGTCTTTCTCAACAAATAATTAACAATTGACTTGAGTGTTCATCCAACCCTCCCCTAACGGATTGATCTCATCACAGCCGTGCTCGATGTTACGCAAATCAAAACAAAACATTCAAAAACAAAACGTCGCATAGCCACTGGCGGCCGCCGCAAACAGCGAAATGACCTAGCGCACGTAGTTCAGGCGTCCCCAAGCAGCGACGAGCTCGCTGATGCTTGCGCTGTCGGCCTATTTCCTGCTGGACGTGCCATGCTGCGTCGCCTTCCAGCGGTATGTGTGGCAGTCTCCCGGCGCCAGCGCGCACTGGGTCTGCGACACAGTGCCGTCGGCGTAGTTGATGTTGAGCTGCCGCGGCCCCTGGAAGTGGATGCCCGTGCCGTTGCTCGTCAGCCGGTTGCACACGCGCACCTCGGCGTCGTCGCCCCAGTTGGCTTCGATCGCTGGCCCGGGATACTGCTTGTTGACCGTCATCATGGCCTTGCTGGCGCTGTCGGGCGCCAGTACCGTGTGCTGCACGTCGAAGCTGTACTGCCGCGCCTGTCAGTGTGCGTGTCTTGTGGCCTAGGGAGGGGGAGGACAGCGCTGACTCGGCGGGTGACGCCCGTGTTGGGCCATGTGTAGGTGACATCGCTGCCGATGTTGAAGCTGCCCCAGCAGCCTCTCGACATGGCCGAGTTCTCGCGGGCCCCTTGCCCTCTCTTCTGTCCACCGGTGTCGCGTCCACTAGTTTATGTTCTCTAATTATAGCAGCAGCAACAAAGTAAATATGTCAATATCTGGAAATCATTCACACGTTTCATTTTCATAGTCATTCTCCCTACTCCTAGTCTGATAGTTAGACGAGACCGCATGACACACCCGCTCCATCTGCCATCTTAACATTTCGAGTTCAAGCCTGGAAACGCCCTTTCCCCCCTCCCCTCTTCCCCCCGGCGCCAACAACACATGAAGCAAAAAAACAGACAGACAGACAGACAGCTCACTTGCGCTCGTGCACCAGGCGGCCCTTGACCCACACGCGCTTCGTGTTGCGGTCGTCGCCATTGTATACCCACTTGGCGACGCGTTCGGGCCACGTCTCCCAGCCAAAGACGTCGACGTTGTTGTCCTCGTCTCGGTCGCCTTCGACCTCGCCGTCGGCGTTGACGTCGCCGAGGCCCACGAGCTGGGCGTCCCAGTGCATGCCGACGGCAAAAGCGCCAACGACATCGGCGAGCCCGACGACGTCGGCGCCGCCGCGCGTGGCCAGGAACAGGACCTCCTCGACGCTCAGCTTGGCCTTCTCGTCGCCGCCCATGGCGACGTGGCGGCTGACGAGGGCGGCGAGGCGGGCGGCCTCGAGCACGCTGGGGCTGTAGCCGCCGCTCATGTCGGTGCCGAGGCCGCACGAGATGTGCTTGTCGAGCAGCCAGCGCACGCGGGCGGCGCCACTAGTGATGGCGCTGTTGCTACAGGGGCAGTGCGAGACCTTTGCGCGGCGGGCCGCGATTAGGTCGGCCTCGGCCTCGGACAGGTGCACGCCGTGGGCCAGGATGGTGCGGTCCGTCAGCAGGCCGAAGGCGTCGTACACGGCCGCGTAGCTGTCGTCGAGCGCGCCGGTGCTGGCGGGCGGGAACAGCTCGCGCACTAGGGCGATCTCGTTGGTGTTCTCGCTGATGTGCGTCTGGATGGGCAGGTGCGGCATCTCGGCGGCCAGCGCGCCGAGCCCACGCATCAGCGGCGCCGAGCACGACGGCGCGAACCGCGGCGTGAGTACGGGCCGCACAAGGGCCAGCTCTGGGTCGATGGCCGAGATGTGGGCGATGCTGGCGCGTGTGGCGGCGAGTGCGGCCTCGGGGCTCTCGTCGCGGTAGTAGGCCGGCGACAGCTGGTCCATGCACACGCGGCCGACGAGCGCGCGCTGGCCGGCCGCTACGCACAGGTCGGCCAGCAGGTTCGTCGACGCTACGTCGACGGTGGCGTAGTAGGCCGCACACGTGGTGCCGTGCGACAGCGTCTTGCGGATCACGCGGCTGTACACCTGGCGCGCCTTGGACGGGTCCGCCAGCGACGCCTCGAGCGGGAACGTGTACGTGTTGAGCCAGTCTAGCAGCGTCGACTTGCCAAAGATGCCCACGTTGGGATACTGCGACGCGTGAAGGTGCGTGTCTGTTTTTGTTAGCTTCGTCCCGCCCTGTCCTACATGTTCATGTTGGGATCCACTCTTGTGAAGCCATCACCACTCGCCCCTCACCCCCACCCTGACATGCATCACAAAAGAACAAAACAAAAAACACACACCTATGAACCCAGGAAAGAAGAACTGGCCCGGCTTCGCCACATGCACCTCGACCGCGTCGGCAGCCCAGCCGAGGCGGGGCAGGACCGTCAGCCTGGCCTTTTGCTCGTCGCACGGCTGCTCGACAGCAACAATAGTGCCAGCGGCGTCGACGGCGACGGCAGCGTCGTGGAGGTAGCGCAGCTCGTCGAGCTTGGCGCTGTCGACAAAGGAGCCGAGGAAGAGCTGGTTCTTGCCGGCGGCAGTCACGGCCACGGTCACGGCCACGGCGGTGGGGGCCGAAGTTGCCATTGCGGGGGCGGGGATCTTGTTGGGCTCTGTTGTTGCGGCGGCGTTTGTTGCTGGCTCGACATGCAGCTGAATTGACTGACTTACTGGCCGCCTGACGGAGATGGGCTGCTGATGCACTGCACTGCACTTCACGGGAATTGGATCTCCGTCTTCTGCTCAGTCGTGGCCAAGGTACCTCTTGTTGCGAAGTTGCGAGGAAAAGGCAAGAACAAGCAAGATAAGGGGGCAAGGTATTCGGCGAACAGCCCCCTCAGGTACAATACGTACAGATGGATACACAGTAGAAGAGAAGGCCAATGCGCTTCGTTACTAGTACAAATGTCACCGAATAGTGATTGGTAACGTAATAATCCGTAATAGGAGAGAACTGTTTCACAGAACCCACTCGCCGAGGCTGGACTCGGTACCTTATTTATCCAGCCAGCTGGCCTGGCGTCGCTGCGGGCGTCTGGCGCCGAGAAGAGGGCGGATCGATCCTCCCTCGGCCAGCGCCGGCCCCCGGCCCAGACCCACGTCTTGTCCGTTAATTGGCTGCCCGTCCGGATCGATAAGAGATACGGCGATAAGGCGACGCCGCCGTCACGGCCGCCTCCTCTCTCCGACGCGCCCCCTTTCTTGTCTCAGACGCCAGGTATGAGAGAGAGACACACACACACACACACACAAACACGTTGACCTTGCATCTTCTCACACTTCTCAATTCGCTCCAGTCTCCGTAGCATGATCTAAATCTTGCCCTATATATCCCTAGTCTAGTCTTCTAACGCGAGCACCAGAGTCAACCGGGAGCCAACAGTCGCTCTCGCTATTCTCTAAAATCATCCTGTACAATACATGTCATATGCACGCCGCCCTAAAAGCGAGACAACAAATTACTAAAACACTGCTATACCACACTAGTTAAAAATAATAAAAATAAGACAATCATCACTTCAGAGTTGCGCCGTCGCAATGGCAGCAGCGTGCGTGTCCGTGTACGAGATCGACACGCTCACACCCTTGACGCCAGCCTTCTTTGCTGCCCCCAAGGCGCTTCCATGCAGCTGTGTTCAGTTAGCACAAGTCGTCCAAAACCCCGCATCATTCATTCGCACACTTGACGTACCTTGACAATCGGCTGCCCGTTCTTGTCCGACAGAATCTCAATGTCCTTCACCGCAGCGCCAGCACCCTTGCTCGCCACGCCCAACGACTTAAACACGGCCTCCTTTGCCGTCCAACGACCGGCAAACGCCTTTTGCGGCGACCGCCCTGTCCCCGACGCCAGGCAGTACTTCATCTCGCCCTCTGTAAAGTTGCGCTCCAGGAACGTATCGTTGTCGGAATTGACCGACGAAATTTCCTCCACGTCAAAGCCCACCCTGGTCGTCATCGTCTCCAGCCTGCGCGCTTCCCGCCCCATTACAGTCGCAAGCGTCTCATTGTTCTGCGCGCCAGTAGAAGTCTTCTCCGACAGCTTCATGAAGTCGGTCGGAAACTTGAGCTCCCCGCTCTTCTTGTCCTCGGTCACGCGCGCATCCGGGTTTAGTAGGACCGAGCTGAGCTGCTCGTCCGTGTACGGCGAGTGATCCTTGGCAACGAACAGCGTGTTGTTGATCATGCCGTTGTGTGTGTAGCGGTACGCCTTCTTCTGCCGCGCCTCCACTTTGACCCGGTACTTGTTGAACGTCTGCTCGTCCAGCGTCGCGTACAGGTAGTTGGGGTGCACGCCGATGGCCTGCGCGCCCTTCTGTCCGAAACCAAACGACGTGACCGAGAAGGCCTTGATGCCATCCGTCTGCAGCGTCCGGCTCGGGTAGACAATATATTCGTACTGCTCCATGACCTCGTCGATATTGTCGGCATTGCGGTTGCCAGGCACAAGGCCAGTGTTGAGCACTTGCAGGCAGCCGTTCATCATCCACGCACCGGCAGCGCCCTTGGGGTGGCCTGTGAGGTACTTCTGGAAGATACCCAAAATGGTATTGCCCTTCTTACGGCCCAGATGCTCGAGCTGTTGGCAAATCACAGACGACTCGTTCTTGTCGTTGGCCTTTGTCGACGTTCCGTGGAACGACGCAACCCCGAGATCGTCAATCGTGAGACCCCACGTGGCCAGCGCACCGCGCAGAGGAGCAATGCTCGCGTCACCCTTCCAAAAGTTGTTGCCAAAGCTGCGGAGCACCTCCTTGACTTGCCGCTCTGCCTCCTTCTCGACGTGCCTGGCACGGTCCGCGATGTACTCGGCCACCTCCGTCTGCGAGCGGCCCTCGGCCTTGAGCGCCTCGACCTCGGCCGCAAGGTACTGGAGCTCAGCTTCCTTGTCGTCCTCGATCTGCTTCGTACGACGCTCAATCTGTCGCCTTCTATAGTTGATGTCGAGCAAAGGCGAAGGGAACTTGCCGGGGTGCTCGCGTGCCGTGGTGAGCACACCTTGGCCGGGCGCTGGAACAGACCGCCCAATCTTGTCCGAAGCAGTCGTCGTCAGGGCAAGAATACCATAGATGGGGACGCCCATGTCGAGAGCAAGCTTGGCAGTCATAATGACCTGCACACCACACCCCTGGGACTCCATAAATCCGTTTCGGGTGGTGGTGGTCGGTCTAGACATCTCCTTGGGAGTGCGCCCGTGGGCGAACTCGTCGACGGCGTTACTGGTGGCCTTCATGTTGGCGAACTCATACGAGCCCTCCTCGCCAAAGTCGTCGAAGCCGCCGACGAAGCAGATGCGAGCCTTGCCATCCATGATGGTCTCGTAGCCAATATCGACAGACTCCACAGCGGTAGCGCAGGCACCAACTGGCGTCTTGATTGGGCCAGACGATGAGATGAGCAACATGTTCACCCAAGCCGACATGGTGTTGATGAAGGACTCTTGGAGAATGTCGTTCTGGAGAGGCTTGTCGAGGAATCTATCGCGGTGCATTCCCCGGAGAGCAGCTGCGCCGCCCATGCCGGAGCCCACGCAGTTGCCCACCTCGGAGACATGGACATACTTGTAGAACTCGTAGGGATCTGTGATACCGGCCGAGAGAAGAGCCTCGACTGTCGAGACGAGAACAAACAGGGCTACCGGGTCGACCTGGGAAATAATATCGTCGGGGACACCATAATTCTTGGCATTCCAGCCAGTGGGAACCTGGCCCGCAACAAGGCGGTCAAATCTCAGCGCCTTGGGGATCCACATGGATGCGCCCTTCTTCATGCGCACAGTGTACTGGCCAGTCTCGGGGATCTCGAAGATTTCCACCTTGTCGCCGTGTTCGCGCTTGAACTCCTCTGCCGTGTCCTTGGATGACTCAAAGGGGTCGAGATCTTCCTGAATAACAACCTCGTGAAGCAGCTGCTTCTTGTTGGGGTCGTATCCTCCAAACAGCTCGGGTTCGATAAGGCGGATACCGGAATGCTCCAGAATAAACTTCTCGTACTTTGGCTTGATGTCCTTGTCATCAACAGGCTCGCCCGTCTTAACGTCGACCCATCCAGAGTACGGTTGGCCCTTGATTGGCCCGTTGTGATTCTTGATGAGACCCATGATCCAGGCCATCTCGATGCAGCCCTCGAGCGAGAACTCGCCGTGAGCCTCCATCTCCCAGCGCGTCCGCGAGTTGCCCCAGGGGCCGACCTCGGCAAAGCCTGTCACTACAACAATCTTCTCGAGATCGACCATCCCTTTGAGCTTGTCGTTCAGCGGGGCGATGTCTGCCTTCCAGTCTGGAAGGCTGGGGAACTCGAACTTGATGTTCGCACGCGGCTCGATGACCTTCTTCTTATAGAGCATTTCCGAGTCCTCGCCGTTGATGATCTTGTTCTCCGCCGAAGTCTCCTTGGTGACGGCTCTGCGAATCTCGCTAGTCTCCATGAGGGTCTTGCGCTGGTTGGTCATGGTCTCATTGAGGTTGGTGATGAATTGGAGACCACCGTTCAAGTCCGCAAACACGGGCTCATTCTGGCAAAGATCCACAATAGTCGGAGACATGAGGCCGAGCAGATTGAAGGCCATCTCCTGCTGGGAGAAGGTGCGGACCCCAAAGTTCTCGACTGCCTCGGCGACGATGTTGTTCCCAGACATGAGCCCAGTACCACGTGTCCAGCCAATGATGGCACCGCAGATTGTAAGGTAGTTGGCCCAGTCCTCGGCATACCACCGGTTGAAGAGCGTCTCCAGTCCGAGCTTGGACTCCGAGTACAGACCGTCGCTACCAAAGGTACCGTGGTTGGGTGAAAGGGGGAGGATGACCTGAGCAGGGCGGGTCTCGAAGCCGTGGGCGGCCTTTTGGGCCTTCACGTTGCCCAAAAGACGGATGAGGTTGGTCAACATGATGCGATGCGCCAACTCAGACTTGGAGTCGATGCCGTCAATCTGGCGGCCTTGCTCCGAAATGGCAGCGAAAGGAACAATATAATCAAGATCCCAGCCCAGGCCGGCTTTGGAATCGTAAATGTAGTCGACCAAGGCGTTGACATCTTGCACGCTGCCCTGGTTGAAGGGAACAACCACGAGCTGGGAGCCACGTGAGCCGAACCGGGCATACATGGACTGATAGTACTCAGTGACCTCACGTGAGAAACGGCTGGTGGTAACAATGACCTTGGCACCGCCACTTATGAGACCCTGGAGGACATCGGCACCGATGGATCCGGCGCCGGCACCCGTCATCAGCACATATTTGCCAGCGAAGGTAACACCATCCTTGGCTGCTTGTTCAAGGCAGTCCAGATAAAGACTGGTCAGTCTCTTGCTGTAGTCCCAGCCATGCTGAGTCTTTTTGCGGAGATGCAGGAACGGAATCGTCTCCGTCTTTCCCTTGGGCTTGGAGGCTTTCTTGGGAACGGCATTGGGCTTGCCGTTGTCCTTAGGGATGATCTGGCTCTCGTTCATGGCCAACGACCGGATGATGTCGCCGTAGAGCGTCTTGATCTCAAGCTGAGACGTCTTGGGAAGCTTGTGCTGCTGCTTGATAAGCTTGTAGATCTTGGACAGGTCGTTCTGAACCTTGGTACGGTTGCCGTATTCCGAGATCTTGCCACCTTCAGCCATCTGCTGGACATAGTGCTCCAGCTTACGGCAGCTCGCGCGGGGCAGCTCCTCGTACTTCATGTTGCCGCGGGCATCAATAGTGGTACGGGGACCGGTAGGGATGGCGACATCCTTGAAAACGGGATCGGCCGCAAGCACGTCCTTGCAGTTCTCGATCAGCTGCACACCCAGCTCCTTGGCGAGCTTGTATGTCTCTCCGCGCTCAGTCGGGCAGTTATCGATATGGTACTGCATAAACTCGAGTAAGGTAGGGTTGGACCGGTTCATGATCCGGATACACTGGCTCACGATCTCGCGATCGACAGCTTGGAGACGGCCAAAAATGATATCAAAGTACATGCTCAAGGCATCCTGACGGACCCAGTTCCAAGACGAGTCGTAAACACGGGCCTTGAGAGAGCTGAAGACGGGCTCAATCCCAGAGGCGTAGAAATCGCCGTGCTCAGTCGTCCATAGGTCTAACTGCGTCTGAAGTACTTTGGTGGACTCCTGCGACGCTTGGAAAGCCTTGTCGCCGGCGCGAATGTCCAGCTTGAGATATCTCGCGATAATCTCCAGTTGCTGCTTGAAAAGCGCCCTCTGGTCGCTCGTGAGGGCCTCAATGGCAGCAGGGTCCATCATCATACCGCCGCCAGCTCCACCGGCAGGGCCAGCAGCGGCCGCGGTCGATAAGCTAATGCCAGCGTTTGCAGCATACTTTTGCGAGACGTCGTCAAGATAAGCCTTGGCTTCCGCTTCGGAGCCTAGGCGCCCTGCTGGCTCCATAGTGATGGCTAGCAAGAGGGCGCCATCTTGGCGGCCCGAGGCCAATCCCCACCGGGACTCGAGGTATTTCCGCGCTGTTGTGATGTTGAACCCGCCGGGCATCTTGGATGAAATAAGACGGGCGATAAGGCCTTGGGTGGTTTTGCCTAGGTTCCCGTCGAAAGTCGCCTGCATTGAGGCACCCAGTTCATCGAGTGGTGTGTCTTCGGGCTTCTCAGGTGTGGACCCGAACTCTTTGCCCAAGTCTCCCAGGATTTCGTTCTGCAGAGTTGATTTACCTTTGCGCGAACTTTGTCAGCAAATTGTATAGAGCACGATCTGGGGTACAAACAACTTACCTCCAACAAGGTCCTTGATTGCTTTGCTCAATGGAATATCACCAAGTGGCTTCTTCAGCTTCTGTGCAACGAGGGTCCTCACAATATCGACAGCCAAAAGAGGAGCGTCTGGAACCTGGGCAGCAGGCCCGGCACTTGGTGCAGGAGCCGCGGCAGCAACTGGAGCAGCAGCGATACCAGCAGCAGCAAGAGCACTGGCCTCGGCGGCAACCGGCTCAGCCTCATCTTCTACCGGATCGACATCGTAGTAGATCTCCTTCGCGTCCTTGTTATAGCAGAGGATTTGCCTCTGGACCGACTTGGCAGCGTCGTATGCTTCGTATTTTGCAGCCAATGTCCTCTTGGCCATGACGCCGAGTGTGTCTGCGGGGCCAATCTCGACGATCCGCTCAGCCGTCTTCTCGGCGAGAAAGACATCTTGCGTCTCGATCCACCGCACGGGCGAGGCGAATTGATAGGCAAGAAGCTCGACGAGGAGCGTATGGGCGAGCTCTTGCTCGATTTCGGGACGCATCTTAGCGGTCTCCAAAACCGGACGGCGCGGCTCAAGAGTGAAGCCCTGTGAGCAGGCAGTTGAGGGGGTTCAAGAGAGCGTTCTCGGGTATCTTCTAGTTCTGGCAGACTGTCATGTGGGTTGCCAATGCGCGCCAATATTGCGTGGAATGGCCGCAAGTGTAATAGAGGCGAATTAGAGTTGGCTGGTCGGGTATCTAAAGGAAGAGACAGCCGAATGGTCCAATTTGATTAAAGGCGGACAGACACGGATGGCTAGGGCGAAGCAACACCAACACCAACGAGAACCGAGGGAGCCGTAAAGCTTCTGCGTTTCGTTTAGCGGCGGAGGGGGACTAAGGTAAGGACCAAGACGAGATGCATAGGTAAACTGATAGAGAGGCGCACTGGAATGGAAGCAGGACGGGATAGTGATTAATCGCGAGTCTGGAGTCTCACCTGGGGGGCAACGGCAAAAAATCGACAGCTCCGCGCCCTCCCGCCGCAACTGTTGAATGAAATTTGACCTTGGGGTCCCTGTCGTGACAAGCGCGTCCCATGCCGGGGCTGCAGGTTACGTGCGGGCCTCTCAACCAAACCTCAGGGCTAACCCAGCTAGGACTAGCGTGATGTCCACTACTACCCCACAAGACCCATTGAAGATCGAGTTGGTGGGCCCCATCCTATCCGCGACAAGTCCAGATACCTCAGCAGACACAGTTTCACGGCCTCCAAACACCCGTCTGCCCGACCATGCCATGCACAGGGTAACCTTCAGAGGTTCAGACGCAGCTCTTTGAAAGCGCCTCTGCACGCCGCCTTCAGGTGAGGGGCTTCCTGCAAGACACGAGACGGCGGGATTCTACTTGCATGGCGTCATCCTAGTACCAACAGTATTTGTCTGGGCCGCACTCCGATCATGTTGCCGCTAGTTCTAGGCCGGAACACGTAATCTTGTGTAGCATCAATGGATCTCGCTTGCCAGTCTCGTCGTCAATACTTTTTGCACGTCAAATGCACCGGAGGAAAGGAGAAGGATTATGGCATTGCCTTGGGGGCTGGCATGGGCCTGCCTCTTTTCGCTGGATGTGGAAGCAGTTTGCCTCCTCGCCTCTGGTTAGGCATCATTGCCTTGGGGGATCCCTTTCTTCACCAAGCCGTATATGTCCGTTAAAATATGACATATATACGCCGCCTCCGTTGTTGTTGTTGAATACAGAGCGGCTCCTTTCTACTCCGTAGCTTAGCTCAAGAGCGAGTCAATGGCAGTGGGTTCCGGCCGCAGATCATGGAGCAGATTATAACTCCGCACTGAGTGCGAATACTTCGTACAGTTACTGCAAATACAATAGCGGGAAGCTGGGCACTCGTATGCCCCTGGAATGAAGGGTGAATATTCCTTCTTGGGTTTGCTCGTGCCTTGAGTGCTCGTGCCTTGAACGAGATGCCCGCTGTAGATTTCTGTGGCCAAGATTCCAATGGGTTCCACAATCCACATGGAAACATGGAAGCTGTGCTGACGCTTGTCGGGCCGTGGTATAAAGTTGCGGCTTTGCGAGACTCCAGCGATGTCTGCTTGTCCGATGGCGCGCGCCGCGGGCCTGATTACTTATCAATGACACTGTCTTTGCGGCGAAAATTAGACGAGACGACGGGACTGCTCTGTACACAGTAGTAGCGGTACATGCTGCAAGGACCCAAGGACGGAGTCTGTCAGTGTTAGAACGGTGGGGGTTGCCGCAGTGGATTCACCTGGCCGGGTTGGTCGGAAGGACGGAACAGATAGCAAGGTACGGTGCATTAGGCGGGCGCAGCAGAGTGAATGAAAGTCACTACGTACCGGGCAGTTTCTGTTGACAGGGGGGGTATCATGCCTTCCCCAACAAGATCTAATTTTTTTTTTTGGCGAGCGAGCAATCAGAGGACATCCATCTGGCGATGCGTTAGGGGAGCCTGTTAATTTTACGTTGGGCCATAACACGCCTCCCATTCCCCGGGACCAACACTAGTTACGCCAGGGCTTCAAGGCGCAGACAGCTTGCCCGCACTCCCTACCTTGGTAACAGAGAAGACGGAGAATCCAAACTCTGTTATCTTATCCCATTTCTCTCCCAGTCCGTTTTCCAACTACACCTGCTTGTGCCGCCCCCGAGAACACGCGCGCGCCCCAGTTCTCGTCGACTTCTGCCTCGCCTTGCTCATTCCTTCATCCCAACACCTCCAACCAAGCCGGCGTGCCAGACTGAGTATCTGTTTGCACCAATTGGCTGCGCCCATCCAGACCCGAGGGATACACGCTCTTTACTGAGTTATTCGAGTTGTTGCGCTTGCGCCCAGTAAGAGCTCCCACTCCCGCTCCAGCTTCAGCTTCCTTGATGGTGCTGCAATATCGTTTATGTTAGATTTTTTCTGTGAATAGACACTGACAAGGTAGCGAGCAGCATCCGCCATCTCTCTTTTCAGATACCCATTTCTACTATGTACGGCGCCGGCACCGGCCCCCAGACGGGCGTCGTTACGCCCAGGTCCTCTGCTTCCCTTCGACCACTTACGCTTTCGCATGGCTCACTCGAGACATCCTTCTTGATACCAACCAGCCTCCATTTCCATGCCTCGCGGTTGAAGGAGCGCTTCATTGCGAGCTTGCCAGCTCCCACCGACGAGCTAGCACAAGATGACGAGCCCTCGTCTATCGCCGAGCTTGTGGCGAGATATATGGGCTACATCGCCAACGAGGTATCCGAGGGCGAGGATGACGGCCAGGGCTCCTACGAGGAGGTGCTCAAGATCATTCTTAACGAGTTTGAGAGGGCGTTCCTCAGAGGCAATGATGTGCATGCTCTGGTAGCAACGCTGCCCGGCATTGACGCGAAGAAGCTCGAGGTGGCCCGGAGCTACTTTGCTGCCCGGTCCGCCTCCAACCGGGCCATGAAGACGCATCAGTCGGCTCTCTTCCGGGCCGCCGATGACGGCACTGCCAAGCTCTACAACATATTTGGCGGGCAGGGCAACATTGAGGAATACTTTGAGGAGTTGCGGGAGCTGTACAACACGTATCCGTCTTTTATTGGCGAGCTTATCGGGTCCTCGGCGGAGCTGCTCCAGACCCTCGCCAGCCATCCAAGCGCCGAGAAGCTCTACTCAAAAGGTCTAGACATCATGTCCTGGCTTCAGGGCCCAGATGCTACCCCAGATGTCGACTACCTAATCTCGGCGCCGGTCAGTTTCCCTTTAATTGGTCTTGTGCAGCTGGCGCACTACCAGGTCACCTGCAAGGTCCTCGGTCTGCACCCTGGCATCTTGCGCGATAGGATCAGCGGGACAACAGGCCATTCCCAAGGCATTGTGCTTGCTGCCGCAACGGCAGCTTCAGATTCGTGGGAGTCGTTCGAGGAGATCGCCAAGTCGGCGCTAACCATCCTCTTTTGGATTGGAGCCCGCAGCCAGCAGACCTTCCCCAGAACGTCGATGACACCGACGATGCTCCGGGATTCGGTTGACAACGGAGAGGGCACACCCACGCCCATGCTCAGTATTCGGGATCTGCCCCAGGCCGAAGTGCAGAAGCACATTGACCAGACAAATCAGTATCTCCCAGAAGACCAGCACATTTCTATCTCCCTTATCAACAGCCCGCGGAACCTGGTTGTCACTGGTCCTCCAAGTTCCTTGTACGGTCTCAATGCCCAGCTGAGAAAAGTGAAGGCCGCCACTGGCATCGACCAGACCCGAATCCCGTTCACGGAGAGGAAGGTCCGGTTTGTCAACCGCTTCTTGCCCATCACGGCGCCCTTTCACAGCAAATACCTGGAGAAGGCAACGGCTCTGATCGACGAGGATCTCAAAGATATTGCTATCGATGCGCAGAGTCTCGGCATTCCCGTCTTTGACACCAACACTGGCAAGGATCTCCGTAAGCAGGTCACTGGAAACATCATCCCTACCCTGGTCCGCCTCATCACGAGCGAGCCGGTGCATTGGGAGAAGGCTACTATCTTCCTCGGGGCAACGCACGTCTTGGACTTTGGTCCGGGTGGCATCTCTGGACTTGGAGTGCTGACCAGCCGGAACAAGGATGGCACTGGAGTCCGCGTCATCCTCGCCGGCACCGTCAACGGTACCGTTGCCGAGGTTGGCTACAAGTCGGAGCTGTTCGACCGTGACGAGGAGCACGCTGTGAAATACGCTGTTGACTGGGTCAAAGAATATGGTCCGAGACTCGTGAAGACATCAAGCGGTCACACCTATGTCGACACCAAGATGAGCAGACTTCTTGGGCTGCCGCCACTTCTCGTTGCCGGCATGACGCCTTCGACTGTGCCCTGGGACTTTGTAGCTGCGACAATGAACGCCGGATATGAGATTGAACTTGCTGGTGGCGGCTACTACAGTGCAAAGACCATGACGGAGGCCATCTCAAAGATTGAGAAGGCAATCCCTGCTGGCCGTGGCATCAGCGTCAACCTGATCTATGTCAACCCCCGTGCCATGGCCTGGCAGATTCCTCTTCTTGGGAGGCTCCGATCCGACGGCGTACCCATCGAAGGCCTCACCATTGGTGCAGGTGTACCCTCGATTGAGGTCGCTCAGGAATACATCGAGACTCTCGGCTTGAAACACATCTCTTTCAAGCCCGGCTCTAGCGATGCAATCCAGGCTGTCATTAACATTGCCAAGGCTAACCCGTCGTTCCCTGTCATTCTTCAGTGGACCGGCGGCAGAGGAGGTGGTCACCATTCGTACGAGGATTTCCACTCCCCCATCTTGGCCCTATACGGCCGCATTCGCCGGCACGAGAACATCATTCTCGTGGCTGGTAGTGGCTTCGGCGGTGCGGATGACACATACCCCTACTTGACGGGTGCGTGGTCGACCAAGTACGGCTACCCCCCCATGCCCTATGATGGCTGCATGTTCGGCAGCCGCATGATGGTTGCCAAGGAGGCTCATACCAGCAAGGCCGCCAAGCAGGCAATTGTCGACGCCCCTGGCCTCGATGACAGCCAGTGGGAGAAAACCTACAAGGGGGCCGCAGGCGGTGTGGTCACTGTCAGGTCAGAGATGGGGGAGCCAATCCATAAGCTGGCGACTCGCGGCGTCTTGTTCTGGGCCGAGATGGACCAGAAGATCTTCAGCCTGCCCAAGGAGAAGCGGGTTCCAGAGCTGAAGAAGAATAGGGTCCATATCATCAAAAAGCTCAACGAAGACTTCCAGAAAGTCTGGTTTGGCCAGAACAAGGACGGCAAGGCTGTTGATCTCGAGGACATGACTTACGGTGAAGTCGTTCGACGGATGGTGGCCCTCCTCTATGTCAATGATGAGTCTCGTTGGATTGATCCCTCTTTTGCCAAGCTCACGGGTGATTTCATCCACCGCGTCGAAGAACGATTCGCTTCCACCCCAGGCCAGCCGTCTAGTCTGCAGAGCTACGCCGACCTCGACGAGCCTTTCTCCGCTGTTGAGCGCATTCTTGCCCATTACCCGGACGTCGAGACACAGCTCATCAACGCCCAAGATGTGCAACACTTCTTACTTCTCTGCCAACGCCGTGGACAGAAGCCTGTCACGTTCGTCCCTGCGCTGGATGAAAACTTTGAGTTCTTCTTCAAGAAGGATTCTCTATGGCAGTCGGAGGATCTCGGCGCCGTCATTGGCAAAGATGTCGGCCGAACCTGCATTCTCCAGGGACCCATGGCCGCCAAGCACGCAACCAAGGTTGACGAGCCCATCAAGGACATCCTCGACGGTATCCACAATGGTCATATTGCGGCCCTGACCAAGGATCTCTATAATGGTCAGGCCTCGAGTATCCCCACCGTTGAATACTTTGGCGGCAAGCTCATTGAGACGGAGATCCCGCTCGATGTCGAGGGTCTTACCATCTCCATGGATGTGAACAAGAACACGTATCGTCTCTCGTCCTCCCCCTCGGCCCAGCTCCCGTCGCTGGATTCGTGGATTTCGCTCCTGGCCGGCCCCAAGCGCAACTGGCGTTATGCGCTGCTGCAGTCCGATGTCATTGTTCAGGGCCAGAAATATCAGACGAACCCAATGAAGAACATTTTCGCGCCGACTCGTGGCTTGTTTGTCGAGATTCAGCATCCAAACGACCCTGCCAAGACAGTCATCACTGTCAAGGAGCAGCCCCGCCCCAATCGCTATGTTACTGTGATTGAGGCCAAGCTGGTCAAGAAGAACGAGATTGCCGTCAAAATGATCAAGGAAACTACAGCTCTTGGCAAGCCCGTGGCGCTTCCGCTGCGTTTCACGTACCGTCCCGATACGGGGTACGCGCCCATTCACGAGATCATGGAGGGCCGCAACGATCACATCAAGGAGTTTTACTGGAAGGCTTGGTTCGGCGACGAGCCACTCAACCTCGATGCGGCCGTGACTGGCATGTTTGATGGCGGCAAGGCCACCATTACAGGGGAAGCGATCAATGAATTCGTCCACGCTGTCGGCAACACAGGTGAAGCCTTCGTTGACAGGCCGGAGAAGATCATGCATGCCCCCATGGACTTTGCTATCGTTGTCGGCTGGAAGGCCATCACGAAGCCCATATTCCCGCGGACGATTGACGGCGATCTCCTGAAGCTCGTCCACTTGTCAAACCAGTTCCGCATGATGCCCGGCGCTGAGCCCCTAAAGAGGGGCGACGAGGTTTCGACGACTGCTCAGGTCAACGCCGTAATCAACCAAGAATCTGGAAAGATGGTTGAGGTGTGCGGAACCATCACCCGCGACGGCGAAGCTGTCATGGAGGTCACGTCGCAATTCCTGTACCGCGGGGCCTACACCGACTTTGAGAACACCTTCCAGCGCAAGACCGAGACGCCCATGCAGGTCCATCTTGCCAGCACCAAGGATGTTGCCGTTCTCCGCTCCAAGCAGTGGTTCGTCCTCGACGACCTTCCGAACCCCGAGATTGAGCTGCTCGGACAAACCTTGACCTTCCGCCTGCAGAGTCTTGTCCGTTTCAAGAACAAGACCGTCTTTAGTCACGTTGAGACAAGGGGTCAAGTACTCCTCGAGCTCCCTACCAAGGAGATTATCCAAGTCGCCACGGTGGATTACGAGGCCGGCGAGTCGCATGGCAACCCGGTTACCGACTACCTCCAGCGTCACGGCTCTTCCATTGAGCAGCCCATCAACTTTGAGAACCCCATCCCTCTCAGCGGTAGGACTCCCCTTCTGCTCCGCGCACCTGCCTCCAACGAGACATATGCCCGCGTTTCCGGTGACTACAACCCGATCCACGTATCTCGCGTCTTCTCGAGCTACGCCAACCTGCCAGGAACCATCACACACGGCATGTACTCGAGCGCCGCCGTGCGCAGCCTAGTCGAGACGTGGGCCGCCGAGAACAAGATTGGCCGCGTTCGGAGCTTCCACGCCTCTCTCACCGGCATGGTGCTTCCCAACGACGATATTCACGTCAAGCTCCAGCACGTTGGTATGGTTGCTGGCCGCAAAATCATCAAGGTTGAAGCTAGCAACAAGGAGACGGAGGAGAAGGTGCTTCTCGGCGAGGCCGAGATTGAGCAGCCAGTCACAGCTTATGTCTTCACTGGTCAAGGTTCTCAGGAGCAGGGTATGGGCATGGATCTCTATGCCAGCAGCGCCGTGGCCAAGGACGTGTGGGACCGGGCCGACAAGTATCTGATGGATACGTATGGTAAGCGTCACTCTTCGGGTCTTTGCATCGTGCTCTTTGCTAACCAGTTTCAGGCTTTGCGATTACCAATATTGTGAAGAACAACCCGAAGGAACTCACGATTCACTTTGGTGGTCCTCGCGGCAAAGCCATCCGGCAGAACTACATGGCCATGACTTTCGAGACGGTGGCCGCTGACGGATCGATCAAGTCTGAGCGCATCTTCAAGGACATCGACGAGAGGACGGCGTCGTACACGTACCGCTCCCCCACCGGTCTTCTTTCGGCCACCCAGTTCACTCAGCCCGCCCTTACCCTGATGGAGAAGGCCAGCTTCGAGGACATCCGGGCCAAGGGTCTGGTGCCGCGGGACAGCACATTTGCTGGTCATTCACTTGGCGAATACTCGGCGTTGGCTGCGCTAGCTGATGTCATGCCTATTGAGTCGCTGGTATCAGTCGTCTTCTACCGCGGCCTTACCATGCAAGTTGCCGTGGAGCGTGACGCATCTGGTCGGTCAAACTACAGCATGTGCGCTGTCAACCCCAGCCGCATCAGCAAGACGTTTAACGAGGAGGCGTTGCGGTTCGTGGTCAGCAATATTGCCGAGACCACGGGCTGGCTGCTCGAGATTGTCAACTACAATATTACCAACATGCAATACGTCTGCGCCGGTGATCTGCGGGCTCTCGACACTCTGACGGGAGTTACCAACTACCTCAAGGCCATGAAGATCGACATTGAGCAGATGAGGAAGGAATACCAACCTGAGATGGTCAAGGAGAAGCTCGTAGATATCATCAGGGGTTCTGCTAAGGACACAGAGTCCAAGCCCAAGCCTCTGGATCTGCAGCGCGGATTCGCGACGATCCCGCTCAAGGGTATCGACGTGCCTTTCCACTCAACCTTCCTACGGTCTGGCGTCAAGCCCTTCAGGAGTTTCCTGCTCAAGAAGATCAACAAGACGACGATTGACCCAGCCAAGCTCGTCGGCAAATACATTCCCAACGTGACGGCGAGGCCGTTTGCGCTTACCAAGGAGTACTTTGAGGATGTGTACCGCCTGACAAACTCGCCCAAAATTGGCCACGTGCTCGCCAACTGGGATAAATACCAAGAGGATGGCGCCGGTGGAGTCCCCGCTGCCGTTTCCAATGGAGTTAATGTTCACCAAGAGAACGGTGCTAATGGAGTGGAGGCAGAGGCTTGAAGGGATCGCCTTGCTTGAGGGTGTGGTCGGCTTGTTGTAGAACTGTCATCCGTAGGTGGGCGTTGGCCATGTTATGAGTAATCTGTTTTTGTGTTTATATTAGGCTTCTGGAGCGTCCCATGTCCTTAGAGAATAGAGCCACTTCTGGTCTTATAATATCGTGGCACTTGAAAATTTTCCGCCTGCCCTGGATTACGAGACGAGTTAAGATGCTCACAACAGTTAGTCAAGATGTATAACAAAGGAGGAGCAAATCTAGATGAAGGAGAGACTTAACTCTGCTTAATCGAGATTCTAATCTGCTTCAAACCTGGATGTAACGGGGAGTGAACGCGAACCAAAGGGGGAAACAACCACTGCTTAACGAGACCTAAAGCCGCCATCAATATGGACGAAGAAAAATAATATATGCTAACGAGGATTACTACTATGAGGTAACCCTGTTGTTTCTAGACACAACCGAAGACTCAACCACAAAGACATCAGGGGCTAGTTTTCATTTTTCGCCATCTACGGAGTAATTTGTGATTAAAGGGTGACGGAGCAATGCCTCTCTCCTAGCTTCTCATCTCTCATCCAAGTGAACCAATCTCTCTACCAGTCCTCCCCGAAGTTTTATCACAAACATCCGTCTTACATCTTGCGCCGTGCACTCACCCCTTAACTTGTTGCTATCCAATAATCCATATAGTCAGATGGCATATTCTGTACTTATTTACCACCCAAAGCCAGCTGACCAGGCACAGGTCTGGCTTACAGACTACAAACAAGCTTTCTGGTATAGCACGGCATCGAAATGACATAGCCCGCCAGAGCCGTCGATCCGATCCCAGCGATGTCGGCGGGTGGGCGTGCGTAGGGATTTGATCCCAAGCCTGCATCACTCATGCCTTGCAAGGTCTGCCCGTCCACCAATCTCTCTCTCTCTCTCTCTCTTTCTCTCTTTTGTGTGTATGCGGACAGCATACCTGTTTTCACGGACTATATACTCCGCCGCTAGCACACACACCTGCCGTGCCCGCCCGCCTTAGCTTGACAGAGTTATCTAGTTACGATACGATACGACGGGATATGTATGTATGTAGTATGACAGGAACGCAGGGAAGGGCGAACACAGCCTAGCCTAGGGCCGTTTAACATAGCACAACACGCTACAGAATCGGCGGGGCCGAAGTCACCCGGATGCACGCCGTTTCGTAGGTAACCCAGGTAGTCAAAGAGAAAACACAAAAAAGATAACAAACACACAAACCTAGCAGTGCTTCATACACGACAGAGAGCCGCAAATCCAGGAGTTAGGAACAGAAAAAAGACATAACATACCAAACGTCGTAGTAAAAGTACGCGATACATGCTCACCTCACCTCACCTCCTCGGGTTATTTATTACCTCAAATCGGGACTTGATAACAAGATCGGGGCGATATCAAGTCAAGCCACCAAGGTACGAACATAGACACACACACAGACACTCACGAGCATTCTTGTGCTCACACAAGTGTTGGTACCTTGCGTAGGTAGTACAGCACAACCAAAGTCTCAACAACTTACAACAAACTCGGCTACGGCTCCGGGAACTACTAAGGCAATGAAGCACAATGCTAATATACAGTGAAAGTCAAAACACTAGCAGACGAGAAGAAATTCCAAGTGGAAATTAGTTTCTTTGTTTAGTCTTTCTGAAAGACGTAGCGTATGTGCAACTACATGATCATATACAGCCGACAACCACCGTGACGCGGAACAATGCCCATAACCTAGTGGAGAGAGATCATAAGACATTTCAACAAACACCCCATCCATCCATTCATTCACATTCACCCATCGATCCTGAACCAATATTTGCCCGTTCCCACAATGTTCAAGTTAATATACCCTGGTCCCAATGCCCCACCGATTTGCGTTTGACAAGAAAGAGATAAGGAATAAATCGAGGAAGTATAAAAGAAAAACCCCGTCGTGACACCACCTGCAATGCAATATGCCCTTTAATCCCTTCCGATCCCCGATCCAGGTTTACGCCATGCTGGCCTTTGCTTTTTACCAAATGAGACTGTAGTTGCAACGCCGACCGTCGACATGGACGGGTTGACGAAGACGACAACAAGAAAAGAAGAGTGAGAGACAGAGACAGAGAGAGAGAGAGAGAGATAAAACTAATGATGCTTTTTGGTAGACAAACAAATGAAACGAGAAAGCCGGTGGCGTGCGCTTGTATTTCGCGACATTTGCGACAGCGAGATAGTGAAGAGACAGAAATATGAGAGAGATATCAACCGAGACAGACGGGAAAGACCAGTGAGCAAGCACTCGAGGTCGAATCAGGAACCACCCTCATCAAACTAATCTGAAGCAAGAATCAAGGCGGCGCATACCCCACAAAGACCTCGAAATACCCAATGGGGTAGAACAGATACGTCCTTGTCGGGCAGCATCGCAGGCGTGGTTCCCGACTGAGCAACCAGTGTTTCAATGTCCAACCCAGAATGTACTGGGCTCCGTCCCATCTGATGACCCGAGTAGATTATTCGGGTGCGGGGTGTTCAATCGTGGTAAAATTCGGAAGAGTCTGTAGTCGGGGTTCGGTGGCCTAGCAGGCAGCTACGGGATTCGCGAACCGGAGCGGACTTGGCGGGGCCGAATAGTCATTCGAGTGCCGCCGTCCAAACACGTGCTGCATGAAGGATCGTGGGCCAACATGCCCGAGGTTGACCGTCTTCGAAGTCAGGGGCACCGGAATTCGGTGCACCTTCTTCTTGGTCTGCCACCTCTCCTTGATGCAGTCGTCAACGAGGGCCATGAGGCCTGTCGCCATAATTACACTGAAAACAAAACGATTGTCAGTTTTCCCCGCGTTGAAGAAACAAACCAGGAAATCATATCCACTTACTCGGCAACGTCCGTAACGGCGCCTACGATCGCTTCATCTGCGATCCACATGAAATGGGGCGGGACCCATCCGCCAGCGTTCTCATCTGCAAGGACCTGGCTTGGGGATCTCGTCTCGGGGACAATGTGCGCGACTGGTGCGCCCGCATTTCCGTCTCGCACAAGGTGAAACGATACCAAGCCCAGCTGCTTGTCAAACGAGCGCTTCCAGCTGTATCGGTGGCCCCACCACGCAAACTCGTAGCGCTTGTTGTTCTTGCTGCCGCGGCGATGTACGTCCACGCGAGCGTAGTTGCTGAATTCGAGTTTGATCGTGTTGGTCGGCAGCGGCCGTTGGACCTTGGGCTTGGCCCCGCGGCTATCCAGCGATACACTCGACAGGTTACTCCTGTCGCCAAACACCTCATCGTCGCCGTCGCTAGTTGAGTACCCGGTGCCGGGTCGATTAATGGCCGGGCTAAAGCTGGACTTTGCTCGGCGCAATGCCGGCCGCGCACTACTGAGCGTCTTGATCGCCGTCGACATGGACCGCTTCAGCGTCGGCCGTTCATCGTCCAGTGGCTTTGCCGCGGCGGGCTCAATGTACTTGCGCTTGGAGTTGCAGACTTCGCGACCCGAGTCGCGGCAATACCGCCGCAGAGAGAACTCGCGCTTGGCCAGGTCGTACATGCGCAAGTGGAAGAGCTGGATCGCCGTCCTTCTCCGGCCCGTCACCACCGTGTCGATCCGCAGGTTCATGTTGCCATCGGGCGTGAACTCGTCGTGCCGAATCGTCAGGCGGTTAAGCGAGGGGAAGAGTTTGGCAAAGTCCTGTGGAGTCGATGCCCGCACGTTAGGCTCGACCATTTCGCGACGGTAGACTGGAAGAGGCGGGATGCTGTTGTACTCGTAATCCATCGGGGTCTCATCCACATCCATAGCGTCCACGCCCTCTGAGGAGGCTGTCGTCGAGGCATACGAGTCGACCGAGGAGCGCGGGTAGAGTGAGGTCTCGGGGCTGGCGTCTTCACGGGGAGCATTGGCTTGGTGGACCGCCGGGGCCTCGGAGTAGCCATGGCTGCCATTGGACGAGCGTGATGTCTTGAGATCGGAGGGGCGAGGGGAGGTATAGAGCGAGGTGGGGGCAGTGGATTGGGACCCGTACGAGTCATTACTCCTCCGGCTGCGGGAGTCACGGCTGGAGGAGGTCTGACTCGAGCTTTCGTGCTGTCTTATAGGTGATAGTGGAGGCATGGTGGATTTGTAGAGGGGGGGACGAGGTTGCTCGGGAGCAAGCGTGGGAGGGGGAGTGTTGGTCTGAGCTGTTGTGCGGGGAGGAGGGGCCGGCTCGACGAGGGATGGGGGCCGGCGATGCTCTTATATCAAGCAGGCGGCAGACCCAAGACGGGAGGCAGGGAGGTGATCAAGCTTGACGAGGATAGTGGTGGTGGTGGTGGTGGTGGGTTGGGCGGCAGTCGAGCTAGGCGCCGTTACGAGATTGGCGACTGGGAAGCACTCCGGGAGCTGCTGGTGGGTGCTGGGGCTGCAGTGCAGGAGACGGCCGCGTCGACGAGGGCAGCAGCGATCAGGTTGGGGTCGGGCATTAAACGCGGGGAGTTCGCTGGCGTCTGTCTGGTGCCGTCCGTCGACCGTGACCAGGGAGGTTGAGGTGGTGGAGTGTATAGTAGTCTAGCGTAATGTGTATGTGTGTAGTGTACACTAGAGCCGAGCGTCGGGTGTGGACGGGGACGGGGACATGCGTTGTGCGTGTCTGCCCGTGTGTAAGTGCCAGTGCTCGCGTGTAAGTGCGTGCGTGGGAGAACAGGTGGGATGGATGCAGCGGCAGGGCGATGGCAAGGGCGGACAAGCAAGCAAGAACAGCCGTCAAAGGTTCAACGAGCGCCTAGAGCGTTAGAGTGTTCTGCGGCGGAGGCGAGTTGTTGTCAGGAAGTGCTGTCTATGGTTGGCGAGGAGGAGACAGGTCATATGGAGGGAGCAAGGGAAAGCAGAGGGCAGGGCAGGGCAGCAGCAACGACGGGATATGCAGGCCAGGTGGAGCGTTGATGGCCGGCCGAGAGGCGATGGGCCAAGAGGACCAGAGACAAGCACAAATGAGAGAGCCCAGGTAACCTAGGTAGGTATGAATGGAATCGAATAAAACCGTCTGCCAAAACGACGGCTTCTCGCTTCGTGCACGTTGGATGAAACGTCGAGCGTGGAAACACGGAACGCGGGACTTGACGAGAAGAAAACGGGCAGTCCCAAGACCAGTAGTAGTAAAGTCTAACACAATCTATCCAACCTCACTTACAACCATAAATACTACTACTTTAACATTGCGTCGAGGTGGGTGGGAAGGCGCGGTACCGGGAGCTCAGGAAGTCAAACCTGAAGAGGTAACATGAGGTGGACGGGTACGTACTCTGGACGCGCATTACCGTCATTTGTCTGGTGCAGGGCAAGTACAGACACATGCCTGCATGCATTTGCCCTCCCGCCGCCACGGTCATGTTCGGAGAAGCCCACACTTTGACAGGTTTGCGAGAGCCATCGAAAAGCTTCTTCGCCCGCGGCCGTGGGCTGGCCGACCGACTGCTGCGGCCGTGGTGGTTGGTGCGTGGGTGAAGTACTGGACTGGTGGGAGGTGAGTGGGGCCTTGCTTCCAAGTCTGCCGAGGTGGGGCAACCGAGGGGGCTGCGACAGCCATTCAAAGTCGACGCCCACGCTCCAAGACGCACAGCGTCCCACCAGTGCAGCGGTGGGTGACTGGACCCTTTTCGATCGCAGGTGGTTCCCGAGACAGCAACCGCAAACCACTGGCTGCAAAAATCGGCCACTCCAGACGGCATTCCGATCTGACTGGCCTGTCCGACACCCCCCGACTCCCACAGCCTCGACCAAAGTCGCTCATCAGCGTGGGGCTGGTCATGCATCCGTTCAGACTCTGCAGAGAAATGCAGTGAAGAACAGTGAAGAAGAGTGCTGACGCCGTTGTCATTGTAGTCACGGCCCGCCTGGAGGTCTCACATGCCTCTGCCCTCGCCCAGAACGAGTGGGGGCCCCGTTAAAGATACCTCTGCTGGCCAGCGAGGACATCGGGGAAGTGGGTGTAGGGAGACCCGTGGCGGATGTGCCCACTCCTTAGGTACTCCTTAACTAGGCTTTCCAGCATCCCACGCTCAACCACCACCTGTGGCCTGTTTGAAAACGCTAGAAACAGCCACTTGCCACAACTGACAGACTGAACCATCGAGAGAGGGAAGGCGCCATCCCACTGGCATGCCACCACGACCTCTTCGCAGCCTTTTCGGGAATCGGTGAACCTAAACTCTGCAAGAAGAAATTTTCTTCTGGCTTGCAGTTGCCTCTTCTGGCTTTTCCAAGACGCCAAAGTCTCATTGCAGAAGGTCGAGACATTTTCTGCACAGTCCTCGTCTCTCCACCAAACACGGGCTACCGCAATGGAAAACAGCAACTCCGGCACAGTGTGGATGTATGATGCACATACATACATTACAAGTTCGAAAACGGACCAAGTCTCTCGTGTCTCCATCATGGCATGCCGAGCCGACGAGATGAGCCCTTTTAAAGCCCAGGTCGAAAGGCATGGAAGTTCGGAATAGAAGCGTGGAAGCCTAGTCTACCTACCTAAAGACATGCATTGTTCGTGTTGACGTTGTTGCGGCTGGCGGGCTCAGAAGTGGTCCGAGGTTGCGAATGTGCGCAATGCGAACCGTAAGATCCGTCAATCCTGCCGCGGCTGAAGAGAATGACACACAGCACAGCGGGCAGTTCCGTTCTGATCGTCTCACAGCGTATCGACGTAATTGTTTGGTGGGCTGACGGTGATTAACCCTCACTTGGCCATGCCATGTTCCAACTCGGCTGCCGTGAGAAATCCACCCCGATGTCATGGCCGTCGACATGGCCGTCAAGGAATTTGGTCATGGCCCCCCAGTGTCAAGCCGACTGCCGGCCCAGCCATGTCCGCAATGATGATGACTCGTTTCAGTCGGCGCCAACTCGACGTCCTTTTCCGTGCCTATTCTTAACTCACTCACCTAAGATAAACACTGCAAACAGTCACAGGTCACCCACTGCATAGGTAACCAGAGCAGTGACCTACATTGAGTTTTCAACGGCTTGCCGATAAACTATCGACAGGACACCCACCACGATTGAACTGACTGACGTTGCGCCAGCGTTCTCCATACTCCCGGCTCATATTGCAGACATGGAGAGAGTTCACTGCGTAATCCCCGTCCGCCGGGGCTAGCCTGGGCAGGCGGGCCGTTCACGCTGGCTGCTGCCCCCATGACCGAGCAGACAGCAGACCCAAAGGAAGTCGAGGTATTCCCAGCCCATGGTGGTGCTGGCGCTATCGCTGGCGCTGCCTAGGTTGGTGTTGGCCCACAGTCCCAATGAAACGAGATGCAGGACGTTAGCAACCAGAGCAAACCTGACAGGCGTACGTGGCACTCCTTTTAGCGACACGAGGTGCCTAAAGCGCTGTCTTAGTCCATGTCCAGGTGCCCAACTGCACCCGCAACCTGTCGAGCTTGTTGAGCCCGGACGTTTTAGCCACCAGCACTTGCGAACTGAGGCTGCCCACGCCGAGCGAAGCCATTGGTCGCGAGCAAATCGTGGGGTAGACAGGCGCTGCGTCCATTCATCGTGGGAACAAGTTGCGAATGGGGAAAAAAGAAACCTTCGCCAATCCTACACGACGGCATTGGGAGGTGCGGCATGAAGCCACAGCAGCCACCACCCCCATCCAGCACTTGAAGACTTGCAGCTTGAGTGGGTCAGGTTGCCCAAGGGCTGGCCGCCTATTGCACGGCCGCCACTCCTCCTCATCTTTGTTGAATGGGAGGCTTTCCTGTCAAGAATATGCTTCGCCAAATATTGGTGGGAGAGACGGAAGCGATCAAAAGCGTCAACTCAACTGCCGTGTGCTTGTGGGCGCCCCGGATCATCAATTTTCCCAGAGTCGTGAGCGAAGCTTCCCGGTAATCTGTCCTGGCGCCCAACCTCAACCTGGCGAGCCAAGTCATCCTCGTCAAATCCCAATTGAACAGCGCACGAAGCTCGGCCCTGGAAGTGGAAGGCCGTTTTGATCCGGGCTTGAGCCAGGCGCTATCCAGGGAGCAGATTGAGTCTTTGCTGTGTTGCTTGTCGAGCCTATGCAGGCCCATCTGTATTGGACGGACCGTGGCAGCCCTGAGTTGTGTCAAGCCGCCATTCGCTGGTGGCTTCGGCCCAACTCCACCCCAAGGCTCTCCGGCACGTGTGCTTGCATTTCTTGAAGACCCTCTCCCATTTGCCAGGGCTGTCTGGATTTCTCCCTTCGATGGTTGGATGACGCCTCTGCTCGTCGAGGTGAAGTTGACATGATTTGGAGGAATGCCTTGAGGCCCGATATCGCTGGCTGGCGAAAATGCGAACCACATGCCTAGGGGCTTTCTTGCTGTCTCCAAATCCGGGGTGCACAGAAGGCAACCAGATCCAATCTCGTCCCAGGCGCGGCCAAATGTCTCAGACGACAACCCTCCTTGTTCAGCAGGCGAATCCACGTTCCATTTACCCAAAAACCAGGCGACAGAATACGTCAAGCCTGGATCCCCTGGGGCAATTTGATATGCTATCATAAGCTGGGAGAGCTACTTTGCGAGTTCTGCGCTTCTTGGGCCGCCCTTTGCGCTAGCAATTCACAACGAAGGTTGTGTACCTACATACCTTTGTCTTGAGATGGGGATCAGCATGATATTCTGATCTTTAGATGCACCCACGGCTCGTCTGCCTGCCCAGCATTGTCCGATCTGCCGTGCCGTGGATAGGTCGTATGCACTTGAATTTTGCAGCGTTTACGGCCCTCGACCCGTCATGCTCCGCAGCTGTCGCACCAATATTCGGGTGATTCCAGCAGTCACGGCGTTGATGGATCCCATCACCCCCTTTCCGCAAGGCATGCATTATGACGGAATACCCACGGAGCTATTCACGTCTTCCATTCTACTCGAGAATGGGCTGGCGCTGTCAGCGTAACCTGGGATTCTGAAACCTTCAAACCTGGTTTTCGTGAGATTGAACCGTACAGGGCGCAGCCAAGCCGTCGTCTCGGGCTCTCGGTTACGTCCTCTGTCTGTCCAGGTCCAAGACACAGGCCATATGCAGTAGACTGGAGCCGGGGCTGTCACGGTGGGTGAGTGCAGATTCACTTACACGGGCGAGAGACCGTTTGGCCTTTGGTGACGCAACCGGTGCAACCATTCCGCTGGCCAATAGTAGCGCCCCGGATATTCCTCTTTGGGTAATCCACCTGCTCCCACCCTCCGATATGCGACTTTTGACTAGTTTGGCAACTGAATGCCATCCAGAGCAACCTCGGGGGAAAGCGTCGGCTGTTTAAAGAGGGTTTGCGACTCTTGGGGTGCCCGCGGAAATCGCCGCATATCTTTCGTCCCTTTGCCGACCACCTCTCCCGTCCGCATACCTACTCATGCTCGGAAGCTGGCATTCGCGCGGGCGGCTACGGAATGAGATTCGACGGCGATAGGCTCTCCATCTCGACAACTCGGTCTGAAAGTGGTTTCCTTATCTATCGTCCTGCAAGTCCACCACCCCTTCGTTCTCCCTCTTTATCCGTGGTCGAGCTTACATTGGTTCTTTCATCCACACATGACTGCGGGACTGCATGGGATCCCTCACACCTTCTTGACCTTGCCAACCGTCTTGACCTTGCCAGACCTTGATGATATCTTTCCAGGTGAAATATATAGCACCAAGCGCGCTAGGGACGGGTGCCATTGGACATGAGGTTCTCGTCGCCAATGCACTCTAGCGGGGGCTTCATGACCGCGCTTATGGGTGTTTTCGGGCACCAGGATGACTTCCTGTGATACCATGTGGTCCCCACGCCGCAAGCTGCAGTCAATGCCACCAGCTGGCGACATCTCATTTGCCGGATGTGTTACTACCCAGTCCCGGCCAGGGCTCTCCAACGGCGTCAATTCAGTTGACGAGGCGAGTGTAGCCTATGCATGACATTAAGACCACCTGGCTGTCTCCTGTCGGATGCTGTCGGGCCCTGTCTTGCCTAGCCTAGCTTCAAGAATTCGGACGCCGAGGTTGTTTTCGTCTCTGAGAGGCACTTCCGTTAGATATACCATGTGTCAACCGAGAATTCGATATGCTGCATGGCGCTGCTTCTTACGCCATGCCATTGGTTTGTTAACAGACAAATAGCCATGCCGAGAAGTAAAAACTCTTTTCTGCTACGCTACTTGTGCCCCATTTCCGGCCAGTGAGGCGTGAGGGGGCTGACATGGCCGTCAACTATTCGGCGAGGGACGTAGCTGCCCCGAATCGCAGACTGTTGATCAATTCCGAGGTGGGCTTCTTCCTGGCTGATCTGCAAAAGAACCATTAGTCTGGGCCTGGAACCCGAAAGTCGCATTCCTGAATCTGGTGAAGTGGAAAGGCCAGCCGGTTGGCTGGATTAACAGTGGACTGACTATGGAGGCGACAGAGCGGAGTCCAGAACATCATGGCACCGGATGATCCATGGCCGCCCAACGTCACTGGCCGGGAGAAACGGGGGGATACAGCTCGGGATGTTGCTCAAGGTGCTCGTGGGGTTTTATTGATGGTTGGTCAAGGCCGCCAGCGAGATGGCCCATACCCGGACGGATTGCCGGCTTGACGGACGTCGGCTCGGCAAGGGGATCGCCGGTTGTTTCCAAGGTCACGAGGGTTTTCCTGGACGCGTTGCACAGCATTTGTTGGTCCAAGAAGCCAGTCAGCCTCCGGTGAATAACGACAATATCATCATCATCATGCACACTCCATCCCCGTCAGCAATGGCCCTTCCTCTCCCTCCGCACGGCGCTGTTAGTCTCGGGTACCAAACTTCTGACTAAACCGCAGCACCCCTTCCCCCCATACTATTATGCACCCCGTACCTGCGGTAAGCATCACGGGTGCGGAAAGGGTCCCCGTTTTCCCGCGCCCCCATTGTCAGCGCACAGACGGCGCAGGATAGCTTGTGCCTACAGCGTATTATTATTATTATTTGAGACGCGCAAGAGGGATGACAAAACGAGGGAATTTAAGAACAGGGGTTCTCGCCCGCTCATCCTGGCGATCGACGGACCGTCCAACGGCAGACGGCAGATCGCCGCATTTCTTTTTTTTTGGGGGGTCCTTTTGAGGGGTTTATTTTCTTCTTTAGAAATTTCTGTACATGTACCTCCGGCCGTCCACCCAATCGCCACCGCCCGGAGCCAGCCGGGCGCGGGAGGCAGTCGGGCAAATGGCCGATGCCGCAGGTTTACCGCAACAGCTGCGATTTTTTGCGCGTGGGCAAGCGGCACTTTGCCGGCTTCAATTGTGGTTACACATGCAGACACACATATGCACACATGGTGGATGATTGAAGTGCCCGAACGCAGTCATGTTGCCTTCCCATATTGCCGTCCAGCGCCCCAATGTATTGACGGGAGCCTTAGCCGACCGATTACGCGTGCGTGGGCGTATGTGTGAGCGAATGTGTGTGTGTTACACACGCGGTCAGACTTGGCTTGCCTGTCTTGCAAATGTGTAGACACCGAATATCTGATCAACCGAGTAAGCTAGTGTTAGTCGCGGTGCTAGGCAAGCCGATGCATGAGCTAAGGTGGGTATGTATTAGTTATTGATTGCAGAATTTATGTCCATTGCCATTGACCGATTCAATACATACCGAAAACGGTTTCTCAAGTGCAAATTAGTGCGATGATGACTGGCATCTTATTTTTTTCCCTTTCAGTCCAGCCCGCGGCCGTGGCTGTGCTGGTCTCACCAGCAGCGAGGCTATGTGCGGCTTAGTATAGTCTAATATATTACGGTCGCACCGTCGTGCCCAAATGAGACGTAAAGTCCGGGAATTAGTCTCATTCTTTTGGGCGTTCCCAATTGAGAAAGCATGAAGTTGTCAACAATTCTCAGCTCGTGCCTCGTCGAGACTCTCTCAAGAGACCGACTTTAGTGGGTGCTGCATCTCCGCTGGGAGCGGTTCGACGACTCGTCGGTCTACAGCTAGCTGTCAATCGCTAAAAGTTATTACATGAAACATTATATTTCGTCTGCTCAAGGAAGGGCTTCTATATCTAGATCTATCACAAATGTGAAATGCCTTATACCCGCCACCGTCACTAAGCACACACTAGAATGAACAGATAAAAGCATATCGCATAACATTTTATTGCGGACTGGGAAGTTGCTTGCCTTCTCGCTCCATCCCAGGCCAGCGGTGAAATTGACAGACTTGTTTCTGCGACGGAATACGGATAGGGACCTCCTTGATACTTGTTCTTCTCTTTTGGCACTGGGCGGATGTTGTATGGCTGAATATAGTCATCAGATGACTGTCACATTATTTCATCTTTGGGCAATACGAAGACTGAAAACACCACGAGTCTAGGGCTGTGGGTTTCGAGGAAGACTTGACCGTTCCTAATTTGAACGAGAAAGACGTTGAAGGTGAAGGCACAACTATCATAAATACAACAGTAGTTCAACTGCGAAAAAAAAAAAAAAAAAAAAAGTCCTCTGTTGGCTTGCAGTTTGGTAATAAATAAAATAGAATATCTAACAAGGCAAGAAAGAGACTGGGAAAGTCCCCAAGGTAGCCAACCAAGATGAAACAGAAATAGACATGTATTAAACAAAAGTAAACAAACAGAAAGAGGGGCGAAACTATTTAATGCCATCTTCGCAATTCACCACAGCATAGCCCTCACTTCACACAATCAGATTAAGCAACAATGGGATGGAAGAAAGATAGAATTAACAAATGAAAAATGGGAAGAAAAGGAGGCTTGTAAGTTGACACCGCCAGCACTAAACTGACTACGCAGGCACCTCTCCTCTCCTGCTCAGTTCCCTATCCACACTTCTCACGCACTCACTCACTATCACCTGACACTAAACTACCACTACCACCCACAACCACACCTAACAAATAACCCCACATGAGGACCACAACAGTCAAAGTTGAATCTTGAGAGCTGAAAGCTAAAAGAAGAAAGACAAACAAGCAAATGATGATTTCGCAAAGAAAAATGATGTGCCAACGAAACATGTTTCACCGCCCAGCTCTCACCACGACCCTCACCAACACGGCCAAGGCAGCCGGACCGCTCGCCTCCCTATATTCTCCGTCATCCCCTCCAACAGAAAACCTCCTCAGTTCGACGCCCAGCAGTGCAGACTCGGCCTTCTAGTTCTTGCCCTCCCAGCCGATCCAGCTCTTGGGCATGACGCGCCAGATCTTGACCTCGCCGCTGCGCAGGTCATCAAGCTTGAACGACTCCAGCTTAACCTTTTTGCTCTCGCGACCCTGCTCCCAGGCGCGCACCTTCTTCTTGGTGCCGTCCCACTCGCCCACGACGGCGACGTGGTCCGGCTTGCCCACCTCCATGCTGTACTTTGCGTGCATAGCCCCGTGCTTGCCCTGGAACTTTGCGTTGCGGATGCTCATGATGTCGCCCGGCCGGATCTCGTCGTTCTGCGTCGTGCTGGCATTGGCCAGGTTGCTGTAAACGAGCGCCCCGTACGCCCGCGAGCCCACGGGTAGCAGCGCGTCGTTGAACGGCCGCAGCAGCTCGTAAACGAGCGCTTGCGGCGTGCCGTCGCCCACTACCGTGTCCTTCTTGCCAACCACAGCTTCGCCGATCGCTCGACCGAAGCGTTCGTAGCTCTGCTCGAGTTGGTCTTGGCGCAGGGCACGCGGCGGCGGCTCGTGACGCTGCTCAAGCTGCACATCCGAGGCGTCTTGCGGGTCGAACCGGGCCGTGATGATAGTCTGCGAGTAGTCTTGGAATAGCACATATATGTCTCGCGTGACCGTGGTCTTGCCTCCGCGGCGGGGGTTGGCAGCGCTCGACTCTTCGGATTCGAAGAAGATGTCCTTGCGGCCCTGCAGCTGTGGAGGCAAATTGTTGGGCTGCAGCCACCAGCCGGATTGGCCCGCCAGATCAATCTCGTTGGCCACAAAGCCCGACTCGATCGACGGCCGCGAAGCATCTACGGACCGGCGACCCACACTCGGGCGCTGGACGTCCAGAGACTGCCGCGGAGGGGCTCGGCCCGGTGGCGGACCAGGAGGGGGAGCCCTCGAGTTAGGAGACGACGCAAAGGACGGTACTTCGGCAGGGAACATCTGCTCTGGGCTCCGCATGTGGGGAGGGGGCTGTGGCAGCGTGTAAGAGGGCACGGCAGGTGTATTCTGCGTTGGCGATACGTAGCTGTAGGGATCATATTCGTCCTCTTCGGCAAACTGGGGCGTCTCTTTTGGCGGCGGAGGTGGTGGCGGAGCGACGCGAGGCATGTCCGTAGACTTGCGGCTATTCGGAGCAGGCTGGCTCGGAATTGGCGGTGGGCCTGCTCTGGGTGCCATTGCTGAAGGGATAGGGGGCACCTCTACGTTGGGGGACCGTGGTGCTGCGTCCTCAAAGCTCGACTCTCTTTGATGAGCTTTGAGCGCGTCCTTGTGAGGCACCGACGAGGCAATATCCGTATCGTAGTCTCCTTCGTACTCCGTGATCTCTTCCTCGTCGCCATCCTCGTCGTTTGCGCGGGCCCCTGTCCGATGATCGGCCGTGGAAGTCCGGCTGAGGGGCGGCGCCGGCCCCGGCGGTGGGGGAGGCGGTCTGGTCTGAACGGGCGGCGGAGCCGGGGAAAACCCCGGAATCGGGGGAGGCTGTCTACTATTTCGTCTGTTCGGCGGTGGCGGGGCCGGAGCCGAAGGAGATGTCGGTGAAGCCTCTTCGATGTACGACCGGCGCTTCGCCTGTGCTGGCCGGGGCGAGATCGGGGGTAACGGCGGGAGCACAGGCGAGGTGAGAGTAGGAGGCGGCGGGGGTGGAGCCCGGGTGGCCTGTGCTATTTCGCCTCTCGGAGTATCTGACTCGTCATGTGGTCGTTCAGAGAGCTCGTCGTCCGACACTGAACCTTCGCTGGGCGACTTGATCGCTGCCGCAGGTGGAAGTGGCGGCGGCGGGCGCGCTTCACGACATTAATAACTTTATCCCACATGGAATTGTGGCGGGTATAATACTCACATTCCGCGGGAACAGGCGGCGGGGCTGGTCTCCCGGCGAGAGGAAGTGGAGGAGCCGGCGCGAGCTCTCTCGACGGAACTTTGACCGTGTCAGCTATGCTTGATAGACGAGATTCAGCAGACCTACATGAAGGCGCTGTCTCTTGGTGAGGCGTCGCTACGCGAGTTTCTTGCTCGTCTTCTTCCTCTTCGCCATCTGACTCAATATGTTTGGGTTCTTGCGACGGCCGTGACATGCCGGGGAGTGCCATCATCATAGCCGGCACGGGAGGCGCTCGGGTTGTTGGCGAAACGGGTTCTTCAGGCTCGTCGGCCCGCTTGTCTGCCGTTTTCTTCCTCTTCGGCGCAGACATGGGCGCACCAAACATAGAAATGCCGGGCATGCCGGGCAGGCCCATGCCGCCAGACATTTTAGCCATTCTGGCCCGCAGCTCCTCCTTGCGCCGCACCTCAGGGTCGACGTCGTCCTCTTCATCCTCTTCGTCTACGTCTTCCTCCTCGGCAAGATCCTCGTCATCTTGCTTAGCCGCCGAGGCGACATGCTTGGGTCGCTCGTCGCTGTCTTCCCTTTCAGTCAGCTCCTCTTGGTCCTCGGTTGTGTCACCGGCTCCGGACATGTCGGCCTCGTTGCCATCGCGTGGCTCAATGCCCTTGGACGACTTGCGGCGCGGTGGGTGCGGCAGGCGAGGCGGGTGTGCCGACGACTCATCCAAAGACCTCTTGCCGGCCACTTCCTCTGTATCTCGTCGTTCCAGAGGCGGCTGGTGCGGGGCAGCAGGCTCGCCCTCTTCCGTAACATCCTGGCTATCCATGCGCTTCTTAGGAGGCCGCTTTGGCTTGTCCTTTTTGGCGACAGCATCAGCGTGGCGCGTAGCCGTCTCGAGCTGTTGCTTCTGCAGCAGGGCTAGCCGTTCCTTCAGACTCAGGGGCTTTGGCTGGTCATCCTCGCCCTCTCCTTCGGCCGACGCACCAGGGACGAGCCCAGCTCTGCCGGCATTCTCGAGGGTTTCGGCCTCTTGCTCCTTCACTTCAGGGTCCTCATCGCGACGGTAGACCCTAGCCGTGGGGGCCTGCTGCGGGGGCGGCACGTAAGCATTTCTGCTAGGTGGAGGCGGGACGAAGGGCTTCTTGACGAAGGCGGAGCTGTTTGAGCCAAAGCTGCCGGGCTTGAAGGGAGCGACAGGGGGTGCTGCAGGCTTGTTGAAAGCGGCGATGCGATCCCTGAACGAGCCTACCATCGGCTTCTCGGCCACGGGAGGCGGAGGCCCTGCGCTCGGCTTGGATGCGGAAGCGACGGGTGGCTTTGGAGGGGCTGCCGAGCGGAGCGAGGGCGAGTCGGCAGGCTGAGGAGCTGGTGGCACCGGAGCAGCAGCTGGAGCTTGCGGGGGAGCTGGAGCTGGGGCAGGGGCGGGGGCGGGGGCGAATTTGGGCGCCGGAGCTTCCGGAACTGCTGCGGGTGTAGGCGGGGCAGAGGAAGCTGTCTGGGTAGGCGGCGGAGCTATCACGGGCGCAGGCACAGGCTTGGCTTGAGGCTCCGGCTTGTCCTCTTGTACGGGCGGGGGGAGCGCGGGCGACGGCGGTGGCAGAGCGGCGGCGGCCGATGCAGCTCCAGCTTCGGCAGTTGCAGCAGTATCCTGGTTGTTCCTGGTGCGAGTTCTCACAGGCCGCGGCGGAGCAGTAGGCTCGTACTTCTCGACAAAGTTGCGAGGGAAGATGCCCTCGTGCTTGGTGCCGGCGTCGTCGACATATTCGCCAGCATACCACTCGGCGTCCTCCTCTTCCGTGACAGTTATAATCTGCCCGGCCGGAAAGGCGAGGTCGTCCTCGTGCGGCGAGGTATACTCGTAGAGCGCCTTGACCTTGAACATGATGGCGATGACGCGGCAAGAACCGAGCGAGCCAAGGTCGGAGAGTGGTGATTACAGAGACAGCTTAGAGCGGGGCAGGATGTGCCGGGCCAGGCAAGGCAAGGCAAGGCAAGGCGGCCCAAGGCAGCCTCGGTTCTTGCAGGCGGCACGGAATGCTCAACGGATGGTGCGTGCGTGGTTGACGTCGATGGCCGTGGTTGAGCCTGTCGAGCCTTAAGCCAGGTAAGGTAGAGCTTCGTTGCGAGCGAGGGAAGCGGTGTGGGTTTTCGCACTCGTCGAGGTCCGAGTTCAGGCCCAAGTTGGGGAAAATGGACGACGAGGGGGTGGGTATTCGAGGGTTGTGTCCCAAGTTCTCAAACAGTTTAGGTGGTTGGAGATCGGCCCGCGGTCAAGCGAGATGTTCGATGGGGCCGCCGTACCGTATGTACCGTTCAGGGCCGTCGCTTTCAGCGCACCGTCCGTCTCTGGTATTTTTGGGCCAGTGGCGGCCTGTTGCACCCGTTAATGTTGTAGCGTACGTAGTCGATGCAGAAGGTACGCAGTAGGGAATTAGGTGGTGATGCTAATAGAATTGCTGTGCGTAGTGCGATGGAATTAGTGCACGGCTCTAGGTGCCAAGTCAGAACGTCGCGTCTCCCATCACCTCAGTCGGCGGGCATTCTACCTTTTCGAGGTACAAACATCAGGCCGGGTGTCGTGTCGTGTCGTGTCCCCTTGTGACGATTGACGACGTCAGCGCATAAACGAGTCGTCGGCCCTGCCACCACGTCCGTCAACCTAACTGCGCCTAGGCAGGCAATGCTGAAACCCGGCGAGCCTAGAAACAAATTCACCCGGCGGCGGCGTCAACGTCAAGGCACATGCAAGGAAGTTGATGGTGTGCACCAGTTCCAAACGACATACCTTAGGTACAGTGCCTTCCGTTGACTACTTCGAAATAAGGTAGCTGGGTGGCTTGGCTTCCATGGGCAACGGAAGGCTTCCCGTCGCTGTGCCGCCCGTCTTTTCCTGTGTCCTGCGAGAAGTTGGACTGAACGAGTACTTAGTACTGTACTGTACAGCACTGTTCTGTGCCTTACCTAAGGTCGGTAGGGCCTTTGGAAGACTAGTACTCTGTAGAGGTCAGATAATTACGTCCACGGCTGTGTATCGTAGGTCACTCATCGATGTTTACGCCTCCTCTTCATCCCCAAAATCTCCCCGCAGGCGGTGTGGTGTGGGGCCAGCATGTATGCACTGCACTGTGTGGGAAAGAACGGCCTGCCGTGCACCAATGAGCTACAGCGCCTCCCGCTGTAGGGCTCGAGGACCGTAGTTTCTCAGGTCTTTCGTGTCTTGCATCCGCAAACAGCTATTCTGCTCGTCAGAAACGCACGCCAGCAAACTTCGGCGGGCAGTGCTACCTACCTGCTCTCGTCCCGAAGACCCTTTTCCTATTCAAAATCGAACATACAACATGTCGGGCTCTGCGTCCCAGAACGCAATTTGCCAACGGCAACAGACGCCCAAGCCACCCAAGGGCATCCCCAAACCCCGCGCTCAAAGCTCTGCCCCGCCGCATCTGGGCAGCACCGACGACGACGAGAACAACACCGACAACAACAACGCCGCGCGAGTGTCGCGCGAGCATCTGGCCGTGATCCACGAGCAGGCGCGGTGGCTGCAGCAGCTGCGCGACGAGGAGATTCGGCCGGCGGTGCTGGTGGAGACATTCGAGCGGCTGAGCCAGTTCCCGGTCGACGCATCAGCGTCGGCGACACGACCATCAGCATCAGACGCTGGCGAGTTCGTGGCGGCGGTCGAGGGCTTCCTGCCGAGCGAGTACGCGGACCTGATCGAGGAGCGCAACTGCCTGGGCAAGTGCGGGTATGCGTTGTGTCCGCGGCCGAAGCGCGCTTACATCGGGGAGTTCAAGATCATGGCGTCGGGCATCGCGCGCGTTGACGACCTGAACAAGTGGTGCTCGGACGATTGCGCAGCGCGCGCGCTATCCATCAAGGTGCAGCTCGACAACCCGACGTACCTGAGGAAGAACGGCCAGACCATCGCCAAGATCGAGCTACGGGAGGAGAAGAATGGAGAGAAGGAGCCGACATCGCTAGCCAGTGCCAACGACCAAGAGCTGGCTCAAGCCGAGGCCAGCAGCGGGAGACAGGCCGCGAGAGCCGCTGCTGCCCTTTCCGTCGAGCGAGGTGACGCCGGACGACCGCCCAGACCAGGCACCATGTTCAACCTCACGATCCGGGAAAAGATCACAGTTAGCCCTGCTCAGCCTCCGGATCATGAGCAACTAGTGGCTGAAGACCGAGATACGCATCTTAGGATTGAGGGCCACAGGATCAAGTTTGGCACTAACAAGGTTGACGAGGAAAGTGACGATGACGACATCCCGGCAACAATCCGTCTTTGACAGGTGTCTAGGGGCTTTAAAAAAAACCGGAGGATAGGCGTTTGAAGGTTGCATATTCATTTTCACACAGGAACTGGGGAACTTAGAATGATACCCATCGTAGAAGCGTGCGCAAAGCACAACAAGTCCCATGGCCAAAGAAGCCAGCCAAGTCACGCGTTACGTTGATGGCAGCTGTGGGCCACACCGCCAGAGGCAACCCGCCAAACATGTCACTCACGATGAGACCTAAAGTAGAACCGGACAGACGGGTCTCTCCTGGGCTGCCGTTTTTCAGGCGAGCTGCAGGGAAGAGGAAAATTGGCAATCAAGCGTCATCCCCCGGGATATTCCGGAAGAATCAGCGACACCTTGTGTGGGCAACAGATCTTTTGTGTGATCTATCGTGCACTCACTACCTTCCAGATAGACGCCGTGCATCCGTGCATCCGTGCAAGCCATGTAGAAAAGACCCCTTGCCCAAAGCAATGATATCCCACAAGGTCCCCTTGCCCAGTATGATTTTTGTTACTTTCCGTGTCTCGTCCACCCATCAAGAATTCGACTCTTATTCGCGACGAGGAGGGCGGTTGCCGAATTGCCGGTTACCACGCTCGATAGCCTGTGTCTGGGTAACGGGGACAACGTTGACGGGGATGGAGTCGAACTGTTCGTCATCGGACTTGTTAGCAACCCCAGCTTCCGGTACCCCGGGGGCCACAGCCCCGAGCAGGCTCTTGCTAGCCGGAGCGGCATTTTGGGAGTTAAACTTACGCCGAGGTGCTTGAGCAGGTCCTTGGTCTCGGTGTCGACATCGAGCTGGCCGCTCTCCGAGTGCTGGGTGAAGTCGAGGGCAGAGACCTCGGGCACGTACTGATCCTTGCGCTCACGCTCCTCCTCCTGGAGCTTAAAGGAGATACCGCGGACGGGGCCGCGCTGAATGCGCTTCATCAGATGCGTAGCATAGCCGGCAATCTGGTTATGGGAAGAGCTGTCAGCAACAGGCTAGGGAAATACTTCCGGACAAAAATAGACGGACCTTGTTACGCAGACGCTTGGAGGCGATGATGGCCACCTCGTCGCAGATCCGCTTGTTGGTCTCGAAGTCGAGGGTGAGCTTGGGGTAGTACCGCTCAATGATGACCTTGGCGGACTTCTTGACTGTCTTTGTGCGGACGCGGCCCATTTTGACGGCTGGCTGTACTCGACGCTGGTGAGGAGGTGAGAGCTTGGAGTGTCGTTGATTGATGCAAAAGTGCCAGCTGCGGAAGGGCCTTTTTTTTGGTGTAGATTCAATTGTGGGGGTTGAGTCTAAGATTAGGGCAACTGCAAGGGTAAAGTGTGGCGCCATTTCTGTGGGGCGGTATGTGGTTGGCGGTGCTGCGAAACTGTGGCGTCGCTGTATTAATTGCACGTGATAGGTACATAGTGTAGGTACCTTGCCTGTTCATTCCTTTCCAGAGGTACAAATATACCAAGGTACCTTGTTTCAGATACGGTATACACGACACCATCACCACCCCTCTTAGGGTTTCCATATTGATATACATTCCACATTTTATGGCTGGCATTTTGGGTTCCGTCTTCTTTGTTTTGCGAGGGTTTACGGAATAATTGCATGCTATTTACAGGAGATGTTACAAAAGGAACCCGCATTACCATATGTCCTGGGAGAATGAAGGACAATGAGCTATAATATACATCCCTTTACATCATCTACCGTTTCAAGTGCCACCGCGACAAACCCCCCATCAACGTGCTGGGGCCGGCGTCCCGTATTGCTCCGGGCTCGACATTGTCGGCATGGGTGCCACCCTCTGTCGGAAACGGTTCCTGATATCCTGCGCTGCAGTTACACGCTTTACCGGCTCGCGTTTCTTCGGCTTTCCAAATACATGGAGCTCTCCAAGCAACTCTTTTGCCACAACCAGAGACTCGAGGTCAACATCCACGACATCCATGACAACACGTCCGGTTGCGTCGACGGTCGCCCTCACGGGTTCGATCCAAAGCTTGGCACCACCGGCAAGGGTCGGGTCCAGCCTATCCAGTGCCTCGGCCTTCTTTTTGGCGTTGTTGGAAAGGGTGTCGCCAATGGGTGGCTGGGCAATGAATCCAGCGACACCGAGCTTTGCGTCTAGACCCAGCCCTGTCCGGCGTGGTCTGATGACCCGTGACTCCACGGGGGTGTGGAATTTCTGCGGACCGTAGATGGGATGGTTGTTCATGTAGTATGCGGTACGAAGGTACGAGAGACCAGCCGACGGGTGAGTGACAGGCGGGCCCATCTCTGCATAGGGGCTGTTGGAGTCGCGCAGGTGGACCTTGGAGGTGTCCTCTCCCGCAGCCGCGAGTTCCATGATAGAAGGGGCCTTGAGCGGGGCAAGGTCTAGGAACGTGCCAACCATGTGGTAGAGCTCCTGCTTGTCATGCCGAAGTCTCCGCAGGTACTCGGTCAGCTGGTCATCTGTGATAGTGGAAGCAGTTACTGGCCCAGGCATCTCCTCTCCGTCTTCGAAAGCCTTGTTGCGCAGGGGTTCCGACATGTCGAGAGCGAGCTGCTCCTTGAGGAATTTCTGGAACTCTGCCCGTCTAGGCCTCACGCTCTTGACCACCCACTTTTGGAATTCGCCTGGCGACATACCGGCCAGCCAAGGCCCAGTGAACTTCCAGCGCGTATCAACCTCGGCGACCCTTCTCGCCGGGACCGTGGCCGTAAAGTCGTCAGCGTCGTTGAAGATGGGCTTCCGAATGAATTTCCCGTCGAGCTCCCTGGTCGATCGGCTAAGAGGCATTGTGATGGCCATATTCAATTCCTGGAACTTGCGCAGCATGAGGCCGTGATCGGTACCCTGGTCGTAGTCGGTGATCTGCTCCGGAGTGTCGACGTGCTTGACGCGCATCATGGCGTACGTGGTCCTGGTTGTTGGCTTGAGCGGAAGAGGACGCTTGAGTCCCCATTCTCCCCGCTGGCGTGACGAGTTCAGCGTCGTGATAACCTGGTGGGTTGGGAAGGCGCGCGTGGCCGTTTCGTTGTAGTATTTGTCCCCTAGCGCGGAGGTTGAAGGCGGATCGGGAATCGGCGCCGGCAGGCTGAACATGCGCGAGCTGCGGAGGAGAGCGCCCCCCGGGGACACGCTCCTAGCCGCCGCAGACATTGTGATGGTACGCTACGGCCGAGTCCGAGTCCGAGTCCTGGGCTGCAGAGTGCAGGTCGAATTGCGAGTCCGGAGAGGGTCGGTCGGCGATTGAGAAAGAGTCCTCCGAAAATAAATTCGGGGAACCTTGGCCGGGCTTGGGCGTTGCACAGCTTGCAAGCCTTCTTTCATTGGCCACTTTTCGTAATGCCAAGCCACCCTCCTTAACCCCAACCCTGGAGCCATTTGTTTACCAGTACTGAACCTCTAAAGAGCTTCACCCCCTTTCCCTTTTACTTTTGCCATTACCCATTGCAACACACAGAGTAGGTGTATAGGCCCACAGAGAATGACGCAAATGGAATGATGCAGACGAGCTCAGGTTTCTAACAGGTCAATGCCTACACCTCGCAATGCGTCGACTACCCACGAGGGGAAGCCATGTCCATCTGGGTATAATCTACTAAAGAACTCTCTCACAAACGCCGGATACCTGTCGGCAATGATGGCATCCCTGGCCTCCCTCATCAGATTTAACTGGTACCATACGTTATGTATGGTCAGCAGGTGTGCTGCGACCGTCTCCTTGGCAGCATTGTGATGCACAAACGCCCTCGTGATGCCCATAGCACCTTCCTGCTCGACGCGTCTACAGCAGGGACACCCGCAGTCGTCCTCGAGCGGACCGAAGTCGGTCGCATACATCTCGCGCTTCAGGTTGAGCACGCCATTCTTGGTAATGGCGTTGCCGAATCGCGCCGTGCGCGTGGGCCAGACGCAGTCAAACATGTCGGCGCCCAGGGCCACGCTCACGACCAGGTCCTCGGGGTAGCCAATGCCCATGACGTACCGGGGCTTGAGGTCGGGCAACTGCTCGGTGCAGGCGGCTACTACGCGGCAGAAGTCATCCTTGGCCTCTCCACCGCTCAGCCCCCCGATGGCAATGCCGGGCGTGTCACGGGCCACCATCTCGCGGCAGCACTCGCGGCGCATGTCCAGGTCCAGGCCTCCCTGGATGATGCAGAAAAGGTTCTGGCGGTCGGGGTGCTTGTGAGCAGCAATGCAGCGGTCGAGCCACCGCACGCTGCGCTCCATTGCCTCGCGCATGCGCACTATGTCGGGGGAGGTGGTTACCAGGACATCGTCGAGCTGCATGATGATGTCGGAGCCGATCGAGTTTTGGAGGCTGATGGAGTGCTCGGGAGTCAGCAGCATGGGCGTGCCGTCATGCGGCGACAGGAAGCGCACGCCTTCCTCCGTGATGGTGGCGAGCTTGAGCAACGAGACCATCTGGAAGCTTGTCTGGGTCAGCGAATGGAAGACCGACAATGCTGTCTCAGGGGTAACGAGGCGCATACCCGCCACTGTCTGTCAGGATGTTGTGGTCCCAGCCCTGCAGCTTGTGGGCACCCCCCACGGCGTCCATGACCTCCTGTCCGGGCTTGAGGCCGAGGTGGTATGTGTTGTTGAGGCAGAGGCGACATCCCGTGTTCTCGAGTTGTTGCGGCGTGATTCCCTTCAGAGACGCCTGCGTGGCCACGGGCATGAAGACGGGGAGGTTGACAGGGCCGTGGGGCAGCGTCAGGATCGAGGCGCGAGCCCTCGTCGTCTAGCAAATCGCTTGTCAGCTACATGTCTTCCCCAGATAAAGTACCTTGGTTGCCATTGCCAGACGGCGGGAAGCAGTGGTGACCCACAGAGCATTTGGCCACCAGCTCAAAGGTGAGCGCAGCAGATGATGCTGACATGGTTGAGGCCATCCTTCTTGCCGCCCGCATTCTCCGCCTAGCGGACAAGTTCTTGTTGGCAGGCACACGTTCAGGGCCCTCTTTGCTGCCAAGGATCTCGGTCTTAGGTTGTCTTGAACTATCGGTTGAGTTGACATTCGCCTGCATGTGCAGGAGAAAAAGGGCTGCCCGCTTCAATCTGTCAGCCCAGGCGATTGGACAGGATTGAATGGCAGGCACTTTGGTGGGGTTGAGGATCCCTGCAACAATCCCCGCTGAGAGCTGAGACCTCGTGGGATCCGCTGCTAGATAAATCCACTACTGTTTCACATTTCCACCAGCCCGCACCAGGGTCTAACCCTAACCCTACCTCCTAATCCCTATGTGTAAATCACGAAGTACACTAGTACTGTACCTTGGACGGCCCAGAACATCCATGATCACCATGCCACCAGTCTCAATCACACCACCCTGTGGTGGCCAGTTTGTATGGAAGTCTCTACCCAGGCACCACCACGGCGCTGCTTGGTTTTCGTCAAGCGTCAAAGGCCCGCCCGCCCGCCCCACACCACACACACACCTCTCAATACCACTGGCCAGTGAAGGATCGAATAACGGCGGGGGACCAGCTCTTGATGATGCCACTGGCTGGGTATCACAGGGCTGCAGCGTCAATAATAAGTTGTGTATTTCTATTCTGGTCCCGCTCGGGCACAGTCAGCCCACGTTTCCATTTTGCCCAAACATGGGGAAGGCTACACCGGCCCAACCTACTTCTAGCAGCCTCGAGTGCGACAGCAACTTGAACACCTCCCGGGCCCAAGGTAGGTAGGTAGGTAGGTAGGTGGTACCTTACCTGCCCGGGTCGGGTAAGGTACCAAGCAGGCTGGCTTGGCTTTCATGGGGTCATAACGCCGCTGCCAATAGGGCAACCATGGATGTAGGTAATATACCACCCTACGTCAGGCAGACGAAGGAATGAATGCCCTCGACAATGTACTGGCCTAAAGCTTCCGGCCCCTGCCTCCGAGTTCCACAATATGAACGGTAGCTACATATGGCTCTCCCAGTTCAGTCTAGGCTTCAGTGCCTTTTTCATCTCGCCCCACGGGAGGACTCCTCCTTCTCCTCCTCTTTTTCTTCAGTCACCCAGCCTCGCCGTCCTGCTAGTAGCACATGTCAGTGCCCGTCATGGCACTGCAACGTGTATTCTTCCTGTCTTGACATCAAAACCTGCCTGCCCTGGCTGGACCGCTCCTTGATCCCTTCCAGATCCAGTATCGTGCCCAGCATGCCATCATCCCACCCCATCAGTCTCCCTGTTGCCAGCATGCCGTCCGAGGCCCAAATATTCCATCTATTCCCGTCCCTACCAGCCGAGCTCCGGCTCCAGATCTGGAGACAGAGCTGCCACGCGCGGGCCGTCGAGGTTCGCTACTCGCAAGAACACGACCGGTGCCTGACCACGGCGCGGCCGCCGGTCATCCTGCGCGTCTGCCACGAGTCGCGGCACGAGGGCCTGCGGCTCTACGTCAAGGCCTTTGGCACCCGGGCCCACGCGGCCAACATCTACTTCCTCCCGGCGCTGGACATCCTCTACCTCCCGCGGTGCGGAGTCATGGGCTACGACGACACGGCTCGGGACTTTGGCCGCTACGTGCCCGGCGGCACGGTCGAGCACGTGCGCCGCCTCGCCATCGACCACGTGAAGCCCGAGATCCGCCGGCCCTGGGAGACGTACAACAAGTTCTGCTTACTGCGGACGTTTCCGAGCCTGCGCGAGGCGTTCCTCGTTCTATCTAGCCCTGGCGATGACGAGAACGGCGGCGACGACGACAACAACAACAACAACAACAACAACAACAGCAACAGCAACAGCCAGATCGAGATCGAGTTTGTGGATCCGCGGGGAGACCCGCAGGAGATTGTGCGGCTGATGGATACGGTCAAAGACTCGTTCAACTTTGAGCTGGGGCCGTTCGGGTTCGGGTCGTACCAGAGCTGCAGCACCAGGGCCAGTAGCAGCACCAGCAGCAGTACCGAGATCGGCGGTGCCGGCCACGGCCACCCCTGGATGGTTGCGCTCGAGCTGGTCCCCAAGGCCAAGGCTGTGCGAGGACAGCTGTCCTGGCATGACACGCCGCGCTCTCTAGTTAGTGTTTAAACTCGTGTGCTTGCTTGCTGGCTGACTTGACGGGTGACTCTTGTTGGAAGGACACACATGCGTGTGCGTGTTCGTTGTTTATTTACCATCCCCCCTTTTTGAACAGCGAGCTGCGACAGTGTTAGTCACCACGGAGACGTGTATCTAATTGCTGGCTCTTCTTTAAAAGCGACGGCGGGAGGATTGTACACTAGTTATGGGCCCGATAACGTATGTGTGACGCCTTGCATTTTAATCCAAGATTAAACGGGCCTCTGTAGCATTTATGAAATACAGATGGTTTCGATGAAGGAAGTGTCCAGTGCTATTTGTGTCAGCCTCCAATTCGCACCGCACACATAGTTGTAAATGGCCAGCAAATGGGAACGTCTCATTCCCGCGCTCGGTGCCAAGACCCTGCTCAGCGCCGAGCACTCAACGGTTTTGCTTGACACAGGCAGCCCTAGCGTAGAATTCATCCTATACTTGGAGATCAGGGGATAAATGGGAGCACATCGCCGTCATTCGGTAGGCAACATAGCCAGGAGGAAGTTCCTCGTTAGGTGGCGCCTGATGCGCCTTCCCCCGCTCCAGAACCGCCTCGCAGTTTTTGCATTTGTGCTGTGTGGAAGTCCAGAAAGGCCTCACGATCCTTCGAACCTAGTGGCCGTGTCCATACCTGCCCTAGCACACCCATGTCCACATTGCACATGAGCACCTGCCGGACAGTATCTAAGCAATGCGCTGGTAGTGCCAAGCCTTAGTTGCTGTGATGATAAAAACCACACCCCGGGGAGCATCAACTTACTTACGTGGAACCTGATAATGTCATCTTCATCGTTGGGCGTGTTGTCGCGAATGGCCCTGTAATAATCGTAGTTGAAATAAAGTGCTTTGCGAACAATATTCTACATAGCATAGCACTATGTATTAGCATAACAGTTGTGATCATGTCACTGAAGCGAGGGGTTTACGTACCAGACAATGTAAGTGGTGCAATCCCTCCACGTTCACAAAGAACCCTCTACCGTACTTTTTTACTCGCTACACGTGACGCTTTGTGAGATCACTTACGATTCGTTCCGCTTCCGGAATAATAGAAACCCTGTCTATTTATTCTCCTATGTTAGTGAGCTGACTAAGGCCTACCTAACAATTTATGACGTACACTCAATTCCCAGTCCCTTCCACGCTGCGTCTACTCCAGGCGAGACGGTAGACTGTTTCTCGCATAAAAGACCCATTGAAGACAGTGGCCAGTGCGCCGTATCAGCTTCGTTCAAAAGCGGTGCTTGATACGTCTGCTGTCTGGAACTGTCGGGTCTAATAGCACACGCCCAATGTGACTGAACTTACAATACTGAGACACAAAAAGCGCATTGCTGGCATGTCTTGGTTTCGATTTTCCGCTGGGTGATTCGAGAAATAAGAGCAAGAGATAAGACTACGCCTAGGATTACCCCTAGTGCAAACAATGTTAGCTGTGCCCTTGTCGCTAATAGCAGGCTCAGGGGACCACGTTGGCTTTCAGGGAGGAGGGGCCTTGAAGAGATGCCGAGTCGAGCTCTCCGTTCTCTCTCGAATGGAGAGAGCCCTCTTCAGCCTCACTGTCGTCCTTGAATTCGGTGGGGGACATGGTCGAGTGATGAGTAGGCATCATGGGAATGCGGTTGAACACGACGTTTCCGAGCGGACGGCCACGAGGCGTTCCTCGCGTTCGTTCGGCCTCTGACCGCCTCTTCCCCTCCCTTTCACCATCCAAAACATCGAGAGAAAGTCAAACTCAAATCTATCGACCAACAAACGCTTATCATAGCTACCGATTCTCACAGCCAGGGTAAGTACTAGGCCCGCCTCGACTACATCCGAAAGTTGCTCGGAGATCTTTTCAATGTCTCTAGCCAGGTACGAAGTACTCCTCAGGCTTGCCCCCAAGTTGGGTTGGCTCGCCCCACCATTTCTCCAAATTCCATCTACACGCCAGCCCAGCCAAGCCATGATTCTAATTCTCGGGCGATGCTAGGACTTCGAGCGGACCGAAATCACTCCGATCCAGTACGACCCGAACCACCCATTCAAGTGCAACAACTTTGTCTACCGTCTCGCGCTCCCCTCAGGCGTTGTCGGTTCCTCGTGCAAATTCAGACAGCCGGGCTGCGTCCCTATCCCGATCGGTGCAAAGGAGTTCATCCCCCGTCTGAGCAACTCCGAGGCCCATGGAATGCACCAAGAGACCCGGGTGCAGAATGAAGTTAGCATGCTCACCCTAGCCTCGGCCGCCCTGCGTCATATTGAGCCCCACGTTGTACACCGCGTCTTCGGCTGAGGTGCGGCTGATGGTGAGCGCGCGGGCTGGATCTTGCAGGAGCTGATGCCTGGCGTTCCGGCTGCCGAGCCGTTCGACGGAGCCATGTCCCTGGATGAAAAGAAGGGAATCCTGGCGTAGATGGCGGCACTGGTTCAAGGGCTACAGGATTACCCGCTTCCCGAGAGCATCAAGGGCTGGGGAGGAGTCACGTTTGATGACAGCGGTGCCATTGTCAGCGCTCCAATGGTCAGTGTCGGTGCGGGACCTTGGTCTTCTCTGGAAGAGTCCTACCGGGATCGCCTGAAAGCGGCGCTCGCCAAGACCGACACGAACCCAACCTTCAGGGTTGGCGAGCAAAGGGCATCAGAGGGCGAATCGACGCGTTGAGCGTGAGCTCCCGGCACAATCCGACTTTTCGTCGAAACAAGATCGAGCCATCGTACACGCCGACTTTAGCAACTTCTCCCCCATACTCACTTGACGTAAAAATGTTTTCTTGATCTAATTAACCTGAGGAATGATAGTTAATTAGCCCCTGATAATCTTCTCTACGACCCCGCGACGGGCCGTATCACGGCGCTCCTCGACTATGACTTCTCTAGTATTCAGCACCCGGCATACGAGTTCTTCCGCTCCTTTGCTACCAATGGTGGCCAGCTTTGTGGCTGGTTAGACGATAATACCCTACAGGGACAAGAGGCTGAATTACTGCGCAATGCTAAACTCAGTGGCCAGTTTCCCTCGCCTCTTCCGACTCGGACAGATTCCCACGATGGCGGGTTGGCGGTTGATTGGGAGCTTGCGCAAGTGTGGGAGGAAGCGCTGCAGAAGCTAGACGTCAAGCGCCCGAGCACAATTCCCGGCATTGACAAGCTTGCCGATGCGGACGAGGTCTTGGGCTCCCTTCTGCCCTGGAGACTGGCCAATGAGGATTTATTGAGGATGAACCAGGATGAGGACACGAGAGCGGCGCTGAAACGCATTGCTGAGGGACACCTTATAAGCTTGCTAGATCATCTAGGATCTTGAAGGAGAGTTTGGAAGCGGCATTCCTCATTTTATGGGGATATTTATAATTTCTTCTAGTAGCTCTGGAGAATGAAATAAGAACGGTTCTTGAAAGATTTAATTAGGAGAGCTGGAGTAGGGGCGCCGTCTATATCTCTACGGACTCTTACCACTGGAGCTACATGCTGATAACCTACCTGCTGCTAGCGTACGGTACCTAGTCCCTCCGCCGCCTCACCAACGCCGACAACGGCACTGCATTACGGGAGTACTTCTCGATAACTGTATTAAGACGGCACCAACGGTAGCGGTCCAAGTCTGCAACCTCCTGGCTGCGAAATAACAGGAGCTGAACTCCACCCTTGGCTAGGCGCGCGGTGCGGAGTCATTTCTAACCAGATATTCCACGGTATGGAACTCTGCACACGGTCCAAGTCAGGAGCCAAACTTGGGGGGAAGTAAACAAGTCAGGGAGCAACAGAATGTCAACTTAGGTGGATTCCCCACCCCAAGTTGTTCCATCTATATTCCTTCCAAGGTAGTGAGCGAAAAAGAGAAAGAGAGAAAGAGAGCCATTCATCAACTCTCCAGCCCGTTTCAAGTTCCCCTGCCTTCTAGACGAGGAAGAAAAAAGACAAGACAAACGCCGCCGCGTTAGCGAGCCACACGATCAGGCTCGCAGGCGCCGCGCCCGGCGGAGCGAGACCCGAGGTGATAGTGGTGGTGAACGCCGTGACCCTGAAGGCTGACGAAGAAGACGTTGACGAGGAGTTCGCCGGCGGCGTCGAGGAGGCCGAGCTGCTTCCGGAGATAAGGGTGTTCCAGTCGCCGACGTCGGTGCTGGTGGCTGTGGGAAGGGTGCCGCTGCTGAAGCCCGAAGTCGGCAAGAGATTGGACGTCTGCGGCGGGTAGCGCTCGCAGAACGACTCGAGGACGAGTATGACTAGACGTGTGTTAGCGATAGGAAGCTGCTAGTTCAGCAATCGCTGAAGGGAAAGGGTGGCGCCTCGTACAGCTGTAGTCACCCGGGCCGCCTTGGCTTGAAGCCCACGGGGCGCACGAGGAGGCCAAGGTCTCCAGCGCTGTGGTGTAGGTGCCATGTGTGTAGCTTTTTGGCGGATCCACGGTCAGTTCTCGGCTTTGCTTACCGCGACAGCACAGGTGGGTACAAGAAGGCACAAAAAGGGGACGAGGAAAACATACCAGAAACACGAGGCTAGCTGTTCCGAGTCGGCCGTCTGAGGGTTCGGGATGGCGCTGCCGCAAGAGAACACGATGTCGAGGATGGCCAAACACGCGGAAGGCGTTCCTCGTGCTCTCGATGACTGCGTGATGACGATGGGGGGAGCGGTGGGGAGTGTCGGCGCAGAGCAAATCCCTCTGCCTACGTCTGAGCAGATGGAGTATAAAACAGCAGCAGCTATTTGGATGTAAGTTTCCAGTGTTTGTTTGTCCTGCGGCGCCGTAATACAGGTTAGATCGACATCACGGCAACGAACGTACTTGTATATGCCTCAGACTCGCCAGGCGCCGAGTAGAAAATAGACGAAGCGCACCGGCGGTACTGGTTGCTAAGGAAAGTGCTCGAATAGCAGCAGAAGCAGTTGGCAGCACTGGCCTGGTCGGCAGTCGCCGCGAGAAAGCCCTCGGAGCTGCACTTGTCGACAACCCCAAAGGCCGTGCTACAGGCCTGTCGGCCTAGTTCATCGTCACCGAGGGACGCTGTCGCTATCGACGTTGATAGTGCCGTGGCCGTTTCTGCCGGTGCCGGTGCCGGTGCCGGTGCTGCTGCTGCCGCCCTTACTATCGTTTCGATGACTTTGACATCGACAAAGCCTTCAAACAAGGCGGCGGCGCAGTGCGCCCCGACCAGCACAGAGAGAATGAGACGTTGTCTTCGTCCCATCTTTCGATAATTCTTTCACCCTGTCGCATCAAAAGCCGCGTGGTTGGATGGGGCCAGGCCAGGTTCAGGTTACGCTGTTGTCGGTGGGCTTCCGTGAGTGACTTTTTATTTATTCATACGGATATTCATAGAGAATATCTGGCTATGGACTGCCAGGCAAGGCTGCAACCCCGGCCTCTCTGTTGGTCTGCCTGGCGATACGCCAAGCGAGAGCTTTTGGTTCGACAGGAGACGCGCAGCCACTTGCGTGCTACCCACCATTTCCAGAATGGTGATTAGTCCCATTGGCTTGGCGGGATGGATGGGCGAGGCATACTCTGGCTGGACTCGGTATTCAGTACTCCATGAGGATTTGTCCATGTCCAGTTCATGGGCCCATGGCTGAATCCCTTCAGATTGATTTCCACAATTCGAATGAACCAAATCATCTCCAGCAAGTCCCTCTTCTGTTGGTTACCAATGTTCGTATGATATGGAAGGACTCACGGTTGGCCGCTGCCACTCAACAGCAGAAAAGGCTGAGCTTCCCCCAAAACAGTATCAAAAATAAGTGGGGAAGCTTGAGCTGAGCTGAAGGAAACCCCGCATTCTGCAATAGTTGAAAGCTTGGCAACCCAGCCCAATAAGTGTGGAGAAAGTTGCACGGCCTCGTAGACTCAATCGTCTTTAAAGTTGAGCACCCGGAGGTACGCATTGCTGTAATGATTACACCCAGCAACATTCTTTGAAAGATTTTAGAGACTCACAGCGGTGTAGCAGAAAAGCGGAAGGGGTATTCTTTATTTTCTCTTATTTTTGAGATGTGTATCGACCTTTTTCTGCAGGTCTCAGCCTTTTTTTTGTTGCTGTTGCCAGGCTCAAGGCGGGGTTTGGCTGGGGGGCGTTGTCACGTGATTAGCCGCCCAGTTGGGCGTGCAGCGCAGTGCAGGGTATGACGTTCCGACGCGTGACGCGACATTTGCTTGTTGCGCCAGTGCCAAGCCAAGCAAGCCCAGGACGGGACAAGAGGCGCCAAAAAAAGTTGCAGATGGCGCCCCCCAATCTGGACATCCAGTGTATGGGGACTTCATGCCAGCGACATTCCGCTGCGAGCCGCGCGACGCCGTTAGCCGGACACCTTTGCTAAGGTGCAGATTACAATAGCACGCACCGGATTCAATCCCGACCTAGCTTCCATCCGCTCTTACACATGTTGTCGTCGTAACCGAAAGTATACCTACCTTACCTTGCAACCCAGGAAGGCACCTGCCCTCGTCCTGAAGGAGGCCCACTGCTGCGTTCCGGCTTGCCTTTGCTTTTCATCGCATGCGGCGCGTCCGTCTCTCTTCGAAACGAAGCTGTCGTCTCTCTTTCTGCCTAGCATAGTCTCTGGGTCTGAGACCACGTTCCAGATTCCATTGCCACCATGGCGCCCCCCTTCTCCCTATCGCCCTCCCCGCCCGACAGAGTTTCGGCTTCAATTGCTCAGCAGCAGCACACCAAGCCGCCGGGCACAGCCGACAATGGACTCTCGCAGTCTCTGAAACAGCTGTCCATCTCAACCTCATCCCCAGCGCGGCCGCCCCGGACACCTAGGTCAACAGCTCGCAGCCCTCTTAAGGCAGCTGTGAATCGATCCCCCAGCTCGTCGCGACCCGGAAGTGCCATGCGTAGCCCCCTAAACTCATCCTCCGCCTTCAACGGGACACCCTCCCGCTCCTCGTCACGTCCCGCATCACGCTCGGCCACACCTACGTTACTAAGGAAGGCATCAATGAACTCTCTCCATTCTGTCAACGGCGTTGCGCCCCCTCGTCGCTCCAGCTCTGCCAACCTCTTGTCGCCTACCCCAGCCAGGTCGCCCCTTCGAAGCATGTCTCCCGAGGCCCCCCTAGAGAAGCCCCTCCCCACGGCCGAGTCCGTCGCGAGCGCCCACTTCCAGGCCGAGCTCCAAGCCCACCACGGCGATGACCCGAAGCTCGCCGAGACCGTCGTAATTCTTCACGACGCCTGCTACGGCCACCGATTCTCGCGCCCCCGCACATCGCGTGGCGCCCTGAGCACCATAGTCGAGCGGCCCGAGAGGATCAAGGCGTGTGCACTGGGCGTGTCGGCAGCTTATGTGCGTCTCGGCGAACGCCACCAGGACGGCGCGTTCCCCATCGGCCCCGGCTTCAGTCCCGCCTCTCTGCCCTCGGTGCCCTTCCAGATTCACAAGACGACGCGGCGGCTGTCTCTGTCGTCGCAAACCGTCACCAACGTCCACGGGGTCAAGTGGATGGAAGAGCTGAAGAACATGTGCGACTCGGCCGAGGCGAAGCTGGCTGCAAGTGGGAAAGAGCTCCAGCGCCCCGACATGGACCGGGGCCCCAACGCCGAGGCCCCCCACAAGTTCCACGAGGGCGACCTCTACCTGTGTTCCGAGTCGTTGAATGCCCTCGAGGGTGCGCTCGGAGGCGTCTGCGATGCCGTCGACGCCGTCTTCAGGCCCCAGGGGCCGAGGCGAGCATTTGTCGCGATTCGGCCACCCGGCCACCACTGCTCTGCGTCGTACCCGTCGGGCTTCTGCTGGATCAACAATGTCCATGTCGGCATCATGCACGGCATCCTGAGCCACGGGCTGACCCACGCCGCCATTATCGACTTCGACCTGCACCACGGCGACGGCTCGCAGTCGATTGCCTGGCAGCACAACGCGCGGAGCGTCGGCCTGGCCAAGAACGCCGCCTGGTGGAAGAAGACATCGATTGGGTATTTTAGTCTGCATGACATTAATTCGTATCCGTGCGAGATGGGCGACGAGGACAAGGTTAGGAACGCGAGTATCTGCATCGACAATGCGCACGGCCAGAGCATCTGGAATGCCCACCTGCAGCCCTGGAAGACAGAGGCTGAGTTTTGGGCACTGTACGAGTCCAAGTATGCCGTCTTGCTCGACAAGACGCGTGACTACCTCAAGGGCCAGACCGAGCGCCTCCGCGCTGCTGGTCTGAACTCGAAGGCCGCCATCTTCTTCTCGGCAGGCTTTGATGCGAGCGAGTGGGAGAGCGCGGGGATGCAGCGACATAACGTAAATGTGCCCACCGAGTTCTATGCGCGCCTGACTCGTGACGTAGTCCGGATCGCGGCCGAGGAGGGCACGAGCGTCGAGGGCCGCATTGTCAGCGTCCTCGAGGGTGGCTACAGCGACCGCGCCCTCTGCTCGGGCGTCTTGAGCCACCTCTCAGGCCTAGCGGGAGACGGGCCATCGTCCAAGGAACAGGACTTCAACGGCCTCGGGTACGAGATGGGCCAGAGGATCGGCTCGGTGCGCGGCCGCGGGCGCAAAGACTCGACTGCGAGCGAGCGTGGCTCCCGCCGGTACGAACCTTCGTGGTGGTCTGCCGCCGAGCTCGCCCAACTCGAGAGCACCGTGTCTCCCCAACTGGAGGAGCTGCCAAAGAAGCCCCGGACCGGCACGCCGCCCACCTACTCATCGCCGACACAATCTTCGAGTGCCAAAGCCGTGTCATCTAGGGTCCGCCGCGCGTCTGGTCTATCGCCCGGAGGTGGCCTGTTGCCCGTATCTCGACCTCCGTCGCCCCCTCCTCCAGAGGTTCCCTGGACTGTTGCGGCGCACGAGTTGAGCAAGCTCCTTATTCCGAGTAGGCGCCAGACGGACAGCTGCACGCACGAAGACTTGAATGCCGAGGCCACCCGAGCCCGGCGTGACCGCCAGTCTCTCCTGGCCCAGTCGCAGGGTGCACCCCCTGGCAGCACTGCTCACGCTTCCCAGGCCGAGCGAGCCCCCACAAGGATGAGTCTAAGAGAGCGCAAAACGAAGCCACCGCTACCAGTAGACGAAGAGGACGCCGAGGAAGACGGCAAGGGCAGACGGAAGACAGTAGCGGGGCCATCGGTTCTGTCCATCGAGAAAGCAGTGTCACGTGGAACAACCCCTGTTGCCCCTAGACAGCAGCCACGACAGTCTGGCCGGCGGCTTAGTGCGGCGTCGACCATCGTGTCTGAGAGCGTGGAGTCTGTGTTGCCAGGTCCCGGGCATGCAGCCATCCGTAACATTTCGAGGCCAGACACTGCGCGAAGCGTCAGGCCCGAGTCGTCAATAAGTGTCAGGACCACTCTCCCTGTGAAGAAAACGCGCGCCCCGGCAAAGAAAGAAACCGCTCCCCGTGCCCCAAGAGTCCCGAAGAAACTCCCTGGTGCGGTCAATACGGGAGCCACAATTGTAGCCAAAGCAATTCCTAGCACCACCACACCTACGAACGGCGCTTCCAGTCCTCTCTCGACCAACCAGGCTGGCGACCCAATGGACCAGTTGGCAAATGATATGAAGAAGGTCAAGATCACCTTGGTCACAAAGGCTCAGCGAGAGGCCAGAGAGCGTGAGCGGATTGCAAAAGAGAAATCCATGCAAGCCGGCACAGTGACAGTTCCGACCCCTTTCGAGGAAAACACGTCTCTCTCTAAGGCCGAGTATCAACCTGCTTTCCCCTCGTCGCCGTCGGAGACTGTAATAAACACCCCAACGTCGACCCCGCCTGCAGCTTATGTTTATGAGAACCAGGCGCCGTCGTCTCTGTCCCCGGGGCACTCTTACTTTGCCGAACAGAAGCCTACTGAGTTGGACGTTGGTCCTCTGACTCCAGGTCCGACCCAGACGCATACGCTTCCGCCGGCGTTTGCCCCCCAGCGCATTCCGCTCCCAGCTAGCTCTCCGATTCCGGCGAGCCCTGCTCGGACTCCCATCTGGAATCCTACCCGGAGCCCCACCCGGGACGCTCCACCGCCTAGCAATGACGTCTTTATCGCCTATCAGCCCGAAGGCCCAACCCCTCCTTCGGCAGCCTTCCCGCCATCCCAGCAGCCCCTCCAGTGGTTGCCGCCCAACATCTCCTCCACCCCGAACACCGCCATGCGCCGTGCCGACCTCCCTGTCTTTACCGCCACCTCGGCCATCCCGTTTGCTGTTTCACGTACTGCGACGCCCGCCGAGGCTGCTGCCCCGCCGCCCGTGTCACGGCCTCATGATTCCGTCTGGGAGGTTCCCGAGGCACCGTAAAAGTAAATATGCTTACTTAAGTATTGCGTGTACATTGTTTCCGCGTAGCCGGAAACTCTTTTTTTTCTCTTTTTGTCGTGGAGTTAGGAGAGGAGTGGATCGAGTACCTAGATAGTCTGAGGCAAAGTGATTAGGATGGCGAGTTTATTTTTTTCTCTCCCTTTGTGGATAATTCTGTTTGGGTTATGGGTGGAAAGCGGTCTTGTTTTTGTTTTACTTTTGCTTTATTTAGGATTCGGCTCCGCTGCCCTTGGGCGTCTGTTTGGGTACCGTACAGTCGGGTTTACGGTTCCACGGTCCCACGCGGTGTTGGATACCGATACCACGGTCCAGTACAGCACTGTACAGTTCATTGTATAACCCCCTTTTTTCCCTATTTCTTGGGAGTGATTTGTTTTTCGTGTGTTACTAATAAAGAGGCCTGCTTCTGGATTGGGTTGTTGTTATTATTCTTGTTACCAGCTCCTTGCTTCATGTCTTTTGTTTGCGCGGATACTAAATACACCAGGTTAGATCCGGGGGAGTGGGTAAGGGTTCATTTTTGATCGTTTACCTATCGTGCGACTTTGTAGACAGAGGTGTACTTATTGTTATATGGTGTCAATACCCGTTATCTTGTTATCTTTTACCTGTTCCTTGTTCTCTTTCAATGCGTACCCGAGGATTATCGTCGGCGGGAACAAGCTGTAGGCACGGCCAGTAAGGTTCGGCCAGGAAGGCCCGCGGGCCACTTTTGTCAAAGGAAAGAGAGTGTGTAGGTTGAATGTTTGGGGACAAGTGTTGTTGGTTTGGATGTATTGATAGGTAAGGCGTCGATGAAGGTTTCGGACTCAGCAATACTATTTTCTTCAGATAACTAATTGCCCTGGGATCTCAGCGATGTCGAAGGTCACCACCCTCTGTGAGGTCGGCTGGGAGGGTGAGGGGCCGTGAACCGGGGGAATGATGCCGAGGTTGTCATCCGATGAGGTTGAGGGAGGGTTGGAGCTGGAACTGGAGTTGGCCGGTATCACCATCAAGGTTGGCCCGCAGTTGCTCGGCACTGGGTTTTGCAGGCAATTAGTCCTTGAGTCCCGATCCCGCTTGGCGGTGGCTCTGTAGTTCTAGTAGTTCTACTAGATTAGGGGTCGGCTGCCAGCGGGTTCATCGATTAGTATATTCAGAGGTTGAAACGTTGCTTTTTCGACCTACTTCGACGTAGAGGGGAAAGAAAGAACCGAGGAAGGCGGGGAAATGGGAATGGAGACGTTCAGGGCACCTTCCTTCAAAGCTAAGGTGCCTTACCTCAGTGAATGCTATTGGTCGCAGATCCCCAAGAGTGTCTTTGGGGCAGGAGCGAGCTGATCTAGCGAGAGCCTAGCGAGAGCCTTCCATGATTTGCCTGAGCCTTCCCACTAACCATTTCGTTCCTCTGATTTCGTAAACGCCCACTCGCCATGTCCCGGGCCCGGCAGCCCGTCCGCAAGTCGACATCAATGGCAACATCTCTAGGTTGATTGATGGCCAAAAAGCTCGGACACTGACGAGGGGATGAGCGACCTAGGTAGAGAGGGAGTCCATTCTATGTCGCACATGAATATTTGGTTTAATAACCTAAGGTAAGGTATCTTGACTTTCCCCAGATAGATATTGGGCCAGTGAGAAGGTAGGTAATTAAGTCCCTTAGGAACCTTTATGCTGAAACCCGTCGTAGATTCTCAAGTTAGCTACCTAGCCATTAACTTAGCAGCCGCCATGCTACCCAGGCTCCGAGATCTCTTCGGCTCGGCGACCTTGGAGTCCCTGATCACGACGAGACCTCCCTCCTTTCCGATGCCTTATCTGAGGGAAAAGCCAAAAGCACCTTCCCGGAACCAGGAAAGATGTATTTCCCAGCACCCATTATAGACGAGCTCCTCTCTAGGAGGCTGTCCTGAGACAATTCCTCGAGGCCGGACGGGAAAGGGGCTCCAGAGACTTGGCCAGATGGATCGTACGCAAGGCCCCTAAACTCCTCGTCATCATCATCCATCATGAGCCACCCCGTCTATAGAATATATCGAGTGCTGATGCGCTCACAGAACACCAGTGGAGGGTCTTGGTTCCTGTCTTGTCCACGAAGAGGATTAGATACAATTTTGGGGTGCAGGCAATACTGCCATTCACCGTGCTTCTCTACGGCTACAAGGGCGTCAAGCAATTCCGTAGCGATGTCAACAACGGCTAGACTCGGCGAGAGCGGACCATGCCTTGTTATGAGGTCGTCAGGGATGACAACGAGTCTCAAACAACAACAGCGTACAAAGCAAAGCTTCAGCCCGTCGTGGAAGACTGGATGGACTATATTGGCAAGGCATCCATTCGCCAACCCAACATGGCTCTCGGCGCTCTCATTCAACTCATCAGACAGGGTCTTCTCGAGTTGAACTTCCCCCTCAACGGGCCGAGACTAGGCTAGGTGACGACGGATGGAACGAACCACCCGTTCAACAAGCCAACCCCCTAACGCATTCCATCTTGGCGTCTCCCACCCCTGGGCTTCTTTTCAGAACCTTTACCAACAAACTCGACGTGAAGAGTCCCGTAGAACTCTCCAAGCATATTAGATACATTTGTAGTCGGTTGGTGAAAGAACTAGACAAAGTCAGAGAAGCCAGACCGGCGATTTGGCCTAATAGATATCTACGGACACCACGCGAGGTTGGTGTAGCAACTTGAAAAATCTTGAGGCTACCGCTTATTATTAAGAAAATCAGCGACCAGCAGATGACTGAACCCGTTACATTGTGTATGGGATGGGTATAAGCGATATTACTACTGTGATAAATTTAAGATGGAAATCCCTCGGCGGAGATGACGAAGAATGAAGTGGTGTCTCGCTAGGTTTCCAGTAGAGATACGATAAAAAGTATATACTAACACAGCCAGCTACAGGGCGCCCCGTCGATCCCTCGCCAAGACAATACCAGACAAGACACCATACTTTTGGCTTACGCGTTCACGCATACATGTATCTATATACTCGGCAAGCAAGTACCTGCCTACCTACATACTCAGGCAGGCAGGCAGGCAGCCGGCCGTGTATCATGCCGGCCCCAGCTTTCCCCTTTCCAACGACGAGCTCAGGCCATCGCCGCTGTGCAGCTCGCGGCGGCCTGCCTTCCTCTCCACACAACAATTCCCCAATGAGCAAATCCACGCCGCGCAAGCCGCGGCACCGGAACTAGCACAGCAACAGCGGCCCCCACCAGATTCTGGCGTCCGACTACGAATCCGATGCGGCACACCACATGGAGGCGCGCGAGCAGCCCCGCACCCTCCACGTCCCGACGCGCTCCAACACGGGCCTCAACATGAGCGTGTTGGGACGCTACCTGCCCGGCATACGCGGGATCCTGTATATCGCGGCCAACGCGGTGGTGTACGTCTTCTCGGAAGCGACACAGGGCTGGGACAAGCACGGCGTCGAGAGAACAATGTTTGTGTGTGAGCAGAACCCGTTCGTGGCGTCCAACGGGCAGGGGCTACCGCTGGTGTCCATGTTCGTGCTCAATCGGCGCGGCATGGACAACGTGGTTGTCGATTCTCATGCGTGTCAGCGACTGCGAGGCGGTCGGCGAGCTGCTCATTTTTCGGCTCGAGAACAACGACAGCTCTGGCAGCTCCGGCAGCTCTGACGGCGGCGGCGGGTCCGCTGAGAAGTGCGTCATTGGCATCTGGATCCGCGCCGATGAGGACGACACCCGCGAGGCCAACAACACCATCATCCGCGGCGCCTGGCAGCAGGCCCGCCTGGCCCTCGACTCGTTCCTCGAGGCCACCACCGCCGAGCACTTGGCAAACGAGCGCTTGGGAGATAGAAATCACGGCGCAGCCGTCTCAGAGTCTAGCGCAGATACGCCTGGTAGCAGTAATTTGGTGGTGGGGACGCGGCTGAGCATATCAGACGGGTGATAGGCCCGGGCGGAAGGGGCTTGCGCTTGCACATAGTAGGAGAGTTAGAGACTGTGGCAGCGCTGCGGCAAAGAAGTCGGTAGTTTTTGCTTTTCAACCGCAAATATGCAGCTATTAGCCCAAAGTGCCTTGTAAGTATCTACCGACGTTTGGAGGACCCTAGGGAATAGTGGGCAGCTTTCATCTATCCTACAGGCTCCAAAAGGATTGCCAAAGGCCCAGCGGCACAGTGGTTATGTGCACTGTGCCTTGTCCTAATGACTTTCTCCGGGACGAACGACCCCCACTCACCGCACCCCCCCCACCTTGCGCTACCCCTCTTTCCCCGTACGATACCTACCTAACTTGATACGGAGTATCTATAGATCCACCCAGATTTCAATTCGGACCCCGGCCACCCATCCTGAACTCTTTAACGCGTACCCGTGCCCCGTGATATTCGCACCAGCCATCCGCATATAATCAACAAATTGTCAGCGTGCCGGAGACTAGAAAATGGAGGAGGAAGGCTTCGCGATGGCGTCTCTCTACGCCGCAAAGCAGCAGCTCCGCTCTGCCACGAAGCTCAAGCTCGCTGCCGTCTCGCGCGAGTCTGCCTTGTCCCAGAGTACGGCGCCGATTTGCGCTTCCGCGCTGCTAGTACTTGCAGACAGACTAAATCGTGGCCACAGGCTCCGTCGTTTCCAACGCTCTCAAGACCTTTAAGCCGTATGTAGACGCTAAGCGGGTTAGTGTGTTTCTTTCCATGCCCGGCGGCGAGATACAGACGGACGCCATCGTCAGGCATGCTCTCGCCTCGGGCAAGGAAGTTTTTGTTCCGTACCTCCACAAAAACCTGCTGGCATCGCCCGACCTGCCGCCGCGGGTCATGGACATGGTCCGCCTCAGCGACCTCGGCGACTACGAGTCTCTGAAGCCGGACCGCTGGGGCATCCCGAGCATCGACCCAGCCACCGTCCACCAGAGGCAAAGGATTTGCGGCGGACCCGACGCCCAGCACTCGGGCAGAGCGCTCCTTGACCTCATCCTCATGCCCGGCGTCGCCTTCGACATAGACCCCGACAACGGCACCGTCAGGCGGCTCGGCCACGGCAAGGGCTTCTACGATTACTTTCTCAACCGGCACAGCTCCAAGTCGCTCTCGCTGGGGATGCAGGAATCGCCTATATTGCTCTACGGCTTGGCCATGTCTGAGCAGTTCCTATCCTCTCCATCTGAGGGTTCAGTACCTGTGGGCCCCCTCGATCAACCTCTAGATGGTCTGATTCTCGGCAGCGGCGAGATCAAAGGTCGCCCTGAAAATAGAACACAATGATCCGACGCCATTTGATTGCCCGTGCGCCGGTGTTCCCGCCTCCTTGGTATCCATTTTTCGTAGTGAGTCCTTTTGCCAAGTGCTTCTACCGCTTCTACCGCCTCACAGCACGGCTCTGAATCCCGATTCTGTTCCGGAGTGGTGGAGCGGGGGGACGGGAAGATGGCAGATGAGACTCGCTTTGGTACGCATGTAATAAGTGCCGCACTATGCACGCCTCCAAAAAGACAACTCCAAAAAAAAAAAGGAAAGGAATCGATGCATATTCGCCCGTGCCGTCCGTCCATCCGTCTATTTCCATGAATGGTTGTTGGGAAGTGGGGGTCACGGCACCGGAGCGGGATACGGCAGGACAGGACATGATAGGATAGGACAAGACATTTGAATACCCAGACACTAACTAATTTGTACTACCTCAGCCATATACAATACGCTTTTTTTACATACAAAGTAGCCGGCGGCTTGGCGACAGACACACGCGGGACCGTACGTGTAAAACATGGTCAAAGCGTGCGTTAGCTAGCCACTCTCAGCAACGGCTCGTGCTCGTGCTTGTGCTCGTGCTTGTGCTTGTGCTTGTGCTTGTGCTTGTGCTCGTGCTCGTGCTCGTGCTCGTGCTCGTGCCCTTCGCTAGGCCCGGCCGCAGTCTACCCTTCGTCCCTTCATAGTCGGCCGTCCGTCCAACAAAACGTAGAATACAGAATGTGATACATCATATATGAAAGCCCGTTGACCTTCGGTGAGGGGCGACAGCAGTAGACTCATAACTCATATCCGAGTTGGCCCGGCAGGCTAGTACTAGTTGGACAGCGTCTGTTCCGGTTCGCCTGCAGTCCGCGCGCGTGTACTCGCAAGTACTTGCTCAAGGTGACACTCTCCGTATCAGGTGAACAGATTCTCGAAAATCATAACTAGGCACAGGAACACGGCTATTCGGACCATTGTGATGACAAAGGAGGGCCCCCGACTTCGACTTCGACTAGCCTATAGCCTTGCCTCTTCCAGAGCTCTCTCCCGAGGGCCAGTCACAAGCTCGAAGCCGCCAGGATCCAGCTGCAGCGAGTGGCGACCGCTCGTCATGCTTCGGAGCTGGCTGTCGTACTTCATCATCTCCTTGAGCGGTGCCTTGCCGATGATGTCCAACATGCGGACACCGGCCTTCTTGGGCCCGCGGAGCGACTGCACCGAGTCGTAGGGGCCTGGGGGCACGTAGACCTTGGAGAGGTCGATTCCGCTCTCGCTAGACAAGTCGTAGTCGGGTCGGCGGACCTCGAGCACTTGGCCGCCCCGCCCCGAGACCAGGTCGTGCTGAATTGAGTTGCTTGCTTCCTCGGGGCAGTTGATGTGCACGTTGGAGAAGGGCTCTGAGATGCCGACCTGGCCCTTCGCAAACGCCTCCTTGAGAGCGTCTCGTACTGCGTGTATGGCCGCGTTAGTGATGTGTCCGCCCGTCGACGCGGCTCCGAAAAAGTCTGTCTCAGGATTGAACTCGATGTGGACGTGGCACCTGCCCACGGGAGCATTCCGCCGAGGTCCTCTGGCCAATCCGGCAATTGCGCCGTTGAGCAGCTGCTGGCGCACAGTTTCCGGGTCGAAGGCAAAGCCTTTCATGGCCGTGTTCGCTGGAAGAGGAATGACAATGTGGAAAATGTTGGTATCGCGTACGATGCACGACTCGAGGAGCGATTCGTGCTGGTGGCGCGCCTCGACTGGCTCGAGTGTGACGGTGCAGGCAGCCTTGCCAGGTTTGTCACGAAGAGGCCGGTCATAGAGGGCCCGATGGGGGCCGACTGGTGCGAGGAGGGATTCGGAGTATTCCACCTCAATGTCGCCCCACATTGCCGATTCCTTTTCTATCTTGTAATGGGTCCGGAGCCGGTGCTGCGCAATCTCAAGATGAAGGAGGCCCATGCCAGAGAGGACGAGCTGCTCCGACTTCTCGCCCTTGGTCCAGCGAATGCTTGGATCTTCGCGCGAGAGCTTTTTCAGTGCGTCCTGGATTTTCTCGCTCGCTGTTTTTGTGTAGGGCTCAATGGCAATGAAGGCCACGGCCGGCGGGGTTTCTAGGGCCTTGATGCGGATATTTCTCAACGACTCGGGTGCATTGCTGTGGTGGCCCGGGAACGTGATGAGAGTGTCTCCTGTTCGAGCCGACTTCAGGCCCGTCATAGCGCCAATCTGGCCAGTAGACAAGTGCTGCAGCTCGTTGTAGTCGTTTGCCGACACATTTAAGAGGCTCATTGGCTTTTCAAAGCCGTGGATGTGGCTATTCCACATCTGATTGCTGCGACTAAGGGCGCCGTGGTAGACGCGGGCAAAACTCATCATGCCGCGGCGCGGATCATCCACGACTTTAAAGACATGAGCTATGGCCACGATGGGCGATTGGTGGTGGCTGTGTTTCTTTTTCTTGATCTCCCGCTCAAGAATCTGAGAGAAGGGGAATGCCTTGGTGCCATCTATGATCTGCAGCTCCGGACGGTCCACTGGGCTTGGGAGATAGTCGACAACTGCATCGAGCAGCGGCTGGACGCCAATGTTGCGCAGACTGGCGCCAGCAAACACAGGGCTGAATTTGGCCTCGCCATCCATGATCAAGCGGCGGATGGCCCTCTTGATGGAGCCGGCAGGCACATCTTTCTCATGCTCCATGAACTCGTCCATGAGCGCGTCGTCGTGCTCAGATAGTGTCTCAATGAGGCGGATACGAGCAATTTCAATCTCGGAAGCGAGTGCAGAATTTTCGCGGGCAATGGTTTCCTTGCTGGTGACGCTCATGTGACCGGTACTCGAAAATCTGAGGCCTAGCTCGTGGACGACGTCAATGACGCCAATAAACTCATCCTTGTTCCACCAGGGGATTTGGCACAACAGCGGCCAGGTGGCGAGTCTCGAGGCTATCTCATGCACCGATCTCTTAAAGGATGCACCATCGCGGTCAAGCTTGTTGATGAAGATGAGCCTCGGGATCTTGGACAGTTGTGCTGACTGCCAGACGCGCTCCGTATGGGCCTCAACGCCCTTGACGGAATCAAGGATGCACACGGCGCCGTCGAGGATGGGAAGACAACGGTCAACTTCGTAGCGGAAGTCTTGATGTCCCGGCGTGTCAATGAGGTTAATGGTCTTGGGCTCCAAGCCGGGCGGGCACATGTGCGAGGGCGGCCAGTTGAAAGTGATTGCTGCCGACTGGATGGTGATGCCACGCTCTCTCTCGAGGGGGAGAAAATCAGTGACAGTATCACCATGATCGACATCTTAGACGGAACGGTCAGCGGTCAGCGGGCGGCAGGCCAAGGATCCCAGACTGGGTCGGAAAGCAACATACTCCCGAGATGTCGTGTGCGTCCGCTTTGGAACAGCATGCGCTCTGTGGTCGTCGTTTTTCCCTGCAGGCTGTTAGAGATCAAGAAGGGAATGTAAGGCAACCGGCTTTGGGTGCTGCGAACTGGCAGTCTGTGGCAGCGGCAGCAGCAGCAGCTTTAAGCGACGAACGCACCGCATCAACGTGGGCAATGATGCCAATGTTGCGGATGCCCTCCGTCTTGGGCTCGTGGTTGTGGCCGGTCGCATCGCCATGGACGAGTCTGCTGGCGATGAGGTTGATGCCCTGTCTGGACCTCAGCCCAAACTGCGTATTTGCATTTGCCGGCCATTTAAGGTTCAGCGCGGGCGAGACCAGCAGCCTCTTGCCGTGGCGGCTCCCGCGAACTAAGACGGCCGCGAGCATGGCCAACCAGATTTCTGTGATCGATTCTGGTCTTCTGTGCTCTTTCCTAATTCCTTCGGTGACGCAACTGTGAAACGGAAACCTTTGGTCTGAATTTGGTGGACGAGGGACGGGATGGGGGCCAATATCCGTAGGTAAGGTAGCCTCGAAATGCTGGCCAATCACAGAAGGATTTAAGGCGAGGCGAGGCGAGGCGAGGTGAGGTGAGGGGAATCCAATTAATTGGCACCGCACATCGGATTTACACCCTGCAGTTTCCAAGCTGTGCGATGACACCAGCAGGCATGCCCTTTCAGTGGAGCTAAGTGAAGGAGGATTAATTAGGGATTCAGGCTTCAAGACGAAAGGCACAGCAGGGATCGGAGCACTTTTGTGTTGCCCGGATGTGGAAAGAAAGGACGAGGTCAAGGTGAGGGTGAGGTGGGTGAGAACAGAATGAGGGTGAACCCGGTTTCTGTAGTGGAGTTGAAGGTTCACACCTTAACGGTTTTGAGGTGGCCCGTGCGGCAGCTACCTTCCAGGGCACAGTGCCTGCCGCCTACATTCAGGTGCTCTCCACTGGGCTGGTGTGGGGCGAGGCGGCGACCCTGGCAGCCTGGCAGCCTGGCACCTGGGCTGTTGAGCGGCTTGAGCCATCCAGGAGGTGACGGACAGCGGCTGGATGCGGAGCCCGCCCTCCTCACCACCCCGACCGCCCGACGGCCTGAACCTCCCCAGGTGTGCAAGCCGCGCAACGCCCGCCCCGTCAGCGTCTTTGCTTGCCAAAGACTTTAAGCCTCAATCAGCCAAACGCCGGTCGAGAATTCATATCGATTTTACTGAATACAGGCACTACGTAGCAGCAAAGGATCGCGCAGTAGCAAATTCCCGCTCTCTTGCGCATTTGTTGCAATTCTCGGCCCCCTCGGCCCCCCTTCGAGTCTCGAGACGACCCCGACCCCCTTGCCAATCACAGGCCTTTTTTTATCAATCAACATCGACAGACGGCCATGGACTACAGCACATCCATACACGATGCAGAGCACGCTGCCGAGGCGTCGCCATGGGGATCACCCAGCGCATCTCCCCAGCATAATCGCACAAACTTCGCCGCCAGTATCGCCGCCGCCGACCCCCCCGCCTCCCCGTTTCGCTACCCGTCCCAGACCTCGGGCGGCCACCTCCACTCCGAGCACGACGACGGCGGGTTTGGTGTAGGTGACAGCGAGAGCCGCCGCCCAGACACGGCTAGCACCATCTCCGGCGCCGACCCCTTTACCGCGTCCACAATGTCCGACGATTCTGCCCTGCCTGCCCACCAGAGTTCCCGACCTCAGGTCTTTTCAACAAGGCAGCAGGCGCCGCTACCTCAAGGACCGCCGGAACAGGTCGGGAAGCCCGCTGGGGACTACGAGCCCCAATCACGAGACCAGCGGCAGAACCATCAACCGCAGCAGCAGCAGCAACAACAACAACAACAACAGCAGCAGGTCCGGAGACCGACGCAACCGCAGTACAAGCTGCAGGCTAAGATTACTGGGCTTGAACGTACCGGGCGCAAGGATCCAATCCTGAGATTCGATGTTCACGTACGTCCTCGAATGTTCAGGCCTGTGATTAAAATCCGATTTGTACTTTTTATTGGCTAACTACAATGTAGACAAACCTGCCAAGCTTCCGGACGACCCAATATCGCGATGTCCGCCGTCTACACTCAGAATTTATCAAGTTGGCCGAGCACCTCATCTCGGCAAACCCCGAGGCCCTGGTCCCCGCCGTACCGCCGGCGCTGACGTCGGCCGGCGCAGGTACCGACGAGGACGAGGCCAGGGTCAAAGCCTTGCTGCAACGCTGGTTCAACTATGTCTGCGGCAACGAAGTTCTTATGAGGGACGATGAAATGGTGCTGTTCGTCGAAAGCGACTTTGGCTACAGTCCCATGGTAAAAAAAAAGCAGCCTGCCACCGGCGTGCGCCGGAAGATCCTCAAGCAGTTTGCCCCGCCTCCCGATGACACACCCGAGCTCGCCCAAGCGCGCCCCATCGTCAAGCTTTTCTACCTGGGTGCCATGGATGCCGGGCACAAGGTAGACAAGCTCGTCAAATCGCGGAGAGGTAAATCTTTCTCTTTTCCCGAGTGATGCAAGTTACTAGAGAGCTAACCTTGTGACCCCAATGACAGGGCTGGGCCTCGCCGAGTCCGAATTTGGCGTCAAGCTCGGGAGCATGAATGTGCAAGAGCTGCACCAGGGCCTCGCCAATGCCTACCGCAAGCTCGGCAAGGTGGTTCAAACGGTTGGTGACTGCCATGCCGCCCAGGCCACGGCCGAGGCGACGACTATTGGGGATCCGTTCCAGTACCACTCGCAGGACGCCTTCATTGTCAAGGAAACCCTGACAAACCGGCAAATTCTTATCCGCGAGTTCCTTCAGGCCCAGGAGAATACGCGGAGCAAGCTCAATGCCGCCGACCGCCTCAAGGCCAGCTCCAACGTGCGCCGCGAGAAGGTGGACGAGGCGATTGCGAGCCTGGACGAGGCGCGCCACAACGAGAGCGCCCTCTTCCAAAAGACGACGCGCGTCACGCAGAACCTCGTTTACGAGCGCCGTAAGTGGTTCGCCCGCACTGCCGCCGACCTCCGCCTGACCATCCGCGAGTACGTGCTGCGCGAGATCGATGCCGAGCGCCGCACCCTGGCCCTGCTCGAGAGCGTCCGCCCCGACATCCGCTCCATCGACGCCAGCGGCGGCCTGAGCCGTCTCGGCCGCGAGAGCCACCCGCCCACGCGCCGCACCAGCCTCGCCGCGTCGCAGGGCCCCAAGGGAGACGCCTGGAGCGGCGTCCCCCGCCGCACCGACACGGTCAACCGCAGTATATCGGGCAGCCTCGCCGGCCTGGCGGACGACGAGGGAGCTGAGGCAGAGGAGGGCGACCAGAGCGGGCGCGCGAGGGCCACCAGTGGTGCACGCGCTGGGGGTCTGCCCGGCCTTGCCGAGGAAGATGACGAGGACCGCATCGACGCCAGGAACGCGGCCAGTCGGTTGGCCACCAGCACCTTCTAGAATTATAACATGGCATGGCAATACGAATCAAAGGGCTCGATCCCACCTTTCTAATCCGGCAGGTGAGAAAAGAAGCCCACCCAAAAAATAACGAATAAAAACAAGCAAGATAGGGGCGGAGACGTTTTCTGTCTGGGCCTTTTGTAATTGATAGCGTGCGAACGGGGAGATGAGTTGTACAAGGGGGAAGAAAAGCCACGCCAGGCCAAAACAGCGTATGCACAAAGGTGGTGTTCCGTGGGCCTTGTTTATTCGGAATGGTCATAGCCTCTGCTACTCCTCTCTTCCTTTGACTGCTCCTCCCCTCTCTCATAGCACAGCCTCACCCTTGCTCTGCTGGTTGGCTGGCTGGCTGCTACTCTGTATAGCCCTCAGACCCAGAATATTGAATCCGGTGCAAGGAAGCTTTACCTTGCTTTATGACTCCTACCATACACCCATCCATCCCAACCCATGCCCGTCAAAATAATAGTAAAAAAGTAGAGAGGTTTCGCCCGAGGCTAAAAATGCGGGATGTTTCTTGTTTTTCACGCTCCCATTCCGTTTGTGTACCCACACCTTTTCCTCCTAACCTTAGCCTCTGCCGCTTGCCGTTTTTCAACGGGTAATGCTTGGCCAAGGTCGCGCGCTCGAGCAGATCGTGCTGGAGACTTCCGTCCCTCCCACATGAGCACCCAAGCGCCCAGGCCTAGACCTGGACGCACCCGGCGCATGGCCATCCCTCGGATGGGGGGCAAACAGGCCTCCCCCCAACTTCCCGGCTTGACATCCGGGGGCGCGGTCCCCAGCTTGTGGGGCAGGGGGATCAAAGGAGCTACGAGTGATGTAGCGGTGACTTTAATATACATAGGGTAGACGTAAGTACCTTACCTACTTACCTAGCTATACATAAAGTATCTACGCTGGCTTTTCTCCGAATGATGCCGAACTTCGGAACGCCGATGCCGGTGTGGCAACCCCTTTTCACCAAGTATAGGTATCTGGGCGGTCTTGCTTTCTTCTCCATCAAACTGCACGCTGTGTTGTAGCACACCTGTTCGTTCTCGAACGCAACTCACAATACAAGCCTTGGTTTGGGTGCTCTGGCTTATCAAATATCTGGAAGCTGCTGCAACTCTGCACGCTCACCGCTCCGATGTTGTTCGGTTGATGGTTCTCAGGCAGACGACGGAGGTGAGGTAGATGATTTGTCGTTTGCTGTAGGAGGTCCTACGAGACCAGTCACTAAGCATGTGCCGGACGCCACCAAGTTCTGGGGAGGATTACCCCCGCCCTCGGGACCCCTTTGGCGGTTCGGAAAGTAGAAGCCGGTAGTATGGCGTGCAGCTCACCATGATGTTATGGCCGGGGTTTCTGACTGCCTGGCTGCGGCGATGACTTGTTTGCCGGCTTCTGCTGCTGCTGATCTAGAGACTGCGGTGGGGAATAAACATCAAAAACGAAGGATAACCCTGAAACGAATGAGTAAGGCATGCCTGCAGGAAGGACTGTCTCCGCCGCAGCCTTACGTCAGTGTCTCCGGGGAGTCCCTTGCGCCATCCGATGCAGAGCTGCGAGAAGCAAGGGTTGTGACGTTACCCGTGACGAATCTTGTATGGTCTCCAAGCGGCGTAGATGGACATCTGCCTTGCAGAGTTCTTGCCGGAATGCCATCCCCGGAGAACCGCCCCTCGTGAGAACAGGATGTATACGGCTGTAAACCAAAAGTAGGAGGAGATCGTATATTTACCTTTATTCATAGTTGCAGGCCGGAGGCTAGCGCTTCACCGGTTTCTAACTCGGAATTGAATGCCTAGAAACCAGCCAAGTGCCGGGAGAAGAGACGAAGTGCACGGCCGAGTATAACCCGATACCCGAAGACGCCTCATATCATTGCCGCCATCAGATAGTCTGGCGAGTCTCAACAGTGATGATTAGCCACGCCCAGTTTTGGCGCCAATAGCCAGGGATAGATCGACAGTAGCTAATGCAAAGTCGACAATACCTCCCGGCACGCGTGCGTGTTTTGGGACAAACCCAGGAGAGAAGGGGAAAAAAAAGCAAGCCTGTTTGCAAGAGCCGGTAAAGGGGAGCTAGCTGGAAAACACCAGCCGGCCGGCGTCCCGATAACACGGTTTCTTGAGCGTCGGCGATAATAGAGGATGCCGTCTGCGCCATGGCAGAGTCCGGATTTCCTCATCGAGACACCCTCTAGCCAGGATTGGAGAATGTGCGACGTGGCACACCGCTGGGCAATGCTGCTTTGTGGATAACAGAAGGACGGCATGAAGCTGTGCCATCCGCTTGCACAGGCCGAGCGCGCATGTTGCGAGGTTGTTTTTCTTCGTTTTCCTTTCGACGGCCACCTCGGCCGGCGAGTTTCACTGAGCTCGTTCGTTGTCTGGTCCGAGAACCCTAGTGGCTCCACATGACCCATCCCTCTCGTCGTTTTGCGGTGAATCGCGGGGCCGGGCTTCGGAATCATCAGCCAGTCTGTTTCTTCCATTCTCCCTTTCGAAAGTGAGCCGCCAGCCGACTGGCCCGACCCCAAATTTCCCCAAACACGGCTTGCACCCCTGAAAAGAAGTGGCGATTGGTCCATGTATGGTTGGGGGGGCCGTCGCTCGTGTCCCGTCCAAAAATATGTGGAAAGGCAGGAAGCAAGTCCCGAGCGTAGCTCCGGGCGGTTCTGTTGAAAAAGTAAACCATTGACCGCTGATAAGGCAGGACGTTATCAGCGCTCGGCTCGGCGTGGTCAGGGTGAGTCGATCAAAGACGCCATCGATCGCCGGCAGATTCCCCTACTGCCGCAACTGCTTTCAAAGTCTTGATAAGCCGTCTCGACAAATCTCTGGCTTCTTCGTCTCCTGGATCGGCTGGATGGCAGCGGATCCCAAACGGGCTGGCCTCTTGGGCTGGCCGCAGGGCTCTGGGAGCCCCCTTTGAAAGGCTTCCACACCTCCCACACATTCCATGGGCCCTGAGTGGGTGGGAGAAGACAGCAGGGACTGGAGGAAAGAGCGTAGAACAAACCGACGCAGCGCGGCACTGGCCCTCTCTCTCTCTGGTTTCCAACGGGTATGACGCGGGCGGGCGTGGCAATTGCGGCTGCCCAAGCGATATCTATCCAGGCCCGTCCCAGCGTGGCTGGCCGTCTGTCCGAATTGGATCAGCAGCTCTTGTGCCCGTTTCATGTGGCAGATGGAGGTAGAAGGGAACCAGTGTGGGCGGCGACGGCAGGCCCCTGCCCCTGTCTTGCCATGTGCACATGTTTCGCCATAGGGCCGGCAAAATGGGAGGTGCATATGGGATTCATTTGACCCCCAGCTTGACAGGGAGCTAGGCCGTGGTTCCTGAGAGCCATAGTGGGCGCTGGGATCCGGTCCGTGCTCGGTAACGATTCGTCATTCGCGATTGTTGAGTCGGGCTGGCTGGAGTGATCCTCGCAGGGCATGTGTCCGAATTAGGACAGAGCCTGCAAGAACCATCTCGGCCAGACCGCTACCGGGCCGTTTGAGGAGCTCAACCTTGGACTGATGTAGGATTGGGGTCACCTACTGCTATATGTGGGGTGGGAGTTGGAGACCCTTCCACAGGATGGAGATCAGTCGCATCCAATGTATGTATGTACTGTAATGTACATAGGGGGCGGGGCAGCGAGGGATAGTCTCTTCTTCCCCCCCCCCCTCTCACCACGGCTGGCGAGCTGTCGTGTCCGAGTTGAGCCATGTCATCCATGAATGGTATGACTCCAGATTGTATGTCTCCATGATGGCGCCAGCGATGGCCGTCTTAAGGCGGAGGGAGCCAAAAATTTGGCAATACTCGACCTCGAAAGGTAGGCAGGTTGGGGTAGCACTCGGCAGGTCCACTGTGCGGAGACACATCCGCAGACATTGCGACAGGCAGGAAGGAGATAGCTTAGATGGGGGATCGATGTTAAGGTAGTGCAACTTCAGCTGCAAGCTGCTGGTGCTGCTCTGGTGCTCCTGCTGGTGCTGCTCTGGTGCTCCTGCTGGTGCTCCTGCTGGTGCCCCTGCTGGCTGGCCCTACTCGTCGTTCCGGGTGTATCAGTAGTGGCTTCCTGGAGAAGGAATGGCATGGCCCGGTGTGCGTGAGTTGAGTGCGAGGCGGGCGAATAGTCCAGCCAGCGGCTCTCTCGCTCGCTCCCTCGCTCGCTCTGCGCAATCGGCGGTCGAGTTGGCAGCCTGGGCTGTTTGTTGGTGTCTTCTGGCCGTAAGTGCATATCCGTACATACATACATCACCACATACCTAAGGCACCTACCTACCTTAGCTAGGTAGGTGGTTACCCGAGATGGTGCGTTGTGGTACTTGCAACATCCGCTGCCATTGCAGTCGCTCTCCTTTTCGCCGGCGAGTTCTGGTTTTTCTGTGGAAGATGGATGCAGTGAGGTGTTTTTTGTTGGAAATGAAGTCGAGATAGAGTTGAGGTTTACAGCTGCCGAAAAGAGGCGCAATGGTGGCTTCAACCGCTAACGGCAGGCAAAAGTGAGACATAAAATGGAAGTGAGCCGAGCAACGTGGGGATGGCGTAGGTACTTCTTTTGCCGAGTTTCTCTTCAGGTTGTGTGTACTTCGTACGTGTGTTTTCTTTTCTTCTTCCAAGCGGGTCTGCCTCTTGGAAACTTCCGAATCCAATGCCTAAGGTACCTTAGATACGGTATGTACCTTCCCTTACCTAACTTCAGACTCGAGTTCAAATCCGTCTTGGGAAGGCACGCTCTGTCGTAGTCAAGGCATCCGATTTCACTGTTTGGTTGCTCCTTCTTCGACTGAGCTGCCCTGTGTCCGGATCATTTAGTTTTTTCTAGATTCCAGGCCGCTCTTTTTTCTTCTGCCGCTGTCTTGGGTTCCAACTCCCGTCTTCCATCTACGTACTACATAGCAGTAAGCACCTACTGTACAATACAGTACATGGGGGGTACCGACAGGCCTCGTCATCGACGCAATTCGCAGCCCAGATGCGCGAACATCTCAGGCCCACTCACACTGGCCTCTGGAACCCCTGCACCTCTCTGGTCCAGTATCTTGACAACCCGCCCCTCCCCTCCACCGACGCCTCACTCGCGGCGATGTCGATACGAATGCTCCGTGATCGTGATGGGAGTGGTGAGCCAGTTCCGCACTCAGCATAGGAATTGCACACCCTCTTCTTACGCACCGTCGAAACGCGAAACGAGGAATGCCCTGGGGTATGGAGAGAAAGAGAGAGGGAAAAGGAGCAAGGGCTTCGAGCGGAGAGGCGACGAGAGAGAGAGATAGAAGAAAAAACGGGACGACGCCACTGCATATATGATATAACATCATATCCCCGGGAGCTTTCACTAGCAGCCGGGAGTTGCGCAGCCTCGCTAAGGGCTGGAACATCGGGACTAGGCTGGTAGGTTGGTTCCGTCTGATATTGCCTGGACCACTACCAAACTGCCTACCTTATTAGCATTGGATGGATGTGTATTCTTTGCCTCCGTCTCACTACTCGCGACACGATGCTTCTCTGCCCCAAAGCTCCTTTGGTCCTTCTCCAATCTCCAACCTTTCCATACCTCCATACTAGTCCCCCCATTCCCATTCCCATGCCCATGCTCATGCCCATGCTCATGCCCCGCCATCCATCGCCCGGGTGGGCGGCTGCCGGTCTCTGGGGTTACATGTTCGCCATCACTTACATGATGTCGCAGAGTGTAGCTCGACTTAGCTGTGTACCTTCCTACGAGGTACCGTACCTGTCTCTACCGCCTGCTCGCGCCAAGGCGGTTTGGTTGCCTCGACGGCCTGAACGGTGGACGGCGAGTTGATGGCTGTATGCACGAAACATTGGGCGGCATACGTCGTCGTCCCAGTGCTAGCATCTCTCTCGAACCCCACCCTCCCGCGCCGCCCGAACTGGATTATACCGTCCTAGCGGTCAAGTACACAAGTATCTGCATGGCTGCTGCATGGAAGCAAACCTCGATACCGCCTGCATCGCGGCCCCGGCACCCGCAGCTCGTCTCGCTCGGAAAGCACACAATTCGTGCGGCCAGAGTTTGAACTTGCTCGCCAGCGCCAGCGCTCCACCCGGACGGCTCAGACTGCCCCAGACAGGAAAGACCCTCGCCCCCAGAGCTCCCGCTTTTGCTCCTGAAATGGGCTTCGCTGGCGCCCATCACCACTCACACACCCCCGTCTCTGGTACAGTGCTGCCCCAGTACGGTACCTAGGGTAGGCTATGTATATATCTACCTACTAGGTCTAAAGTGCAACCATGCCGCCTTGCACCCCAAGGTAAGGCCGGGACAGCTACGCGCATGGAGTCCCTAGCTTGACCAAGGACAGGGGCCGCGGTACGTATCCCGCCGGTCCCGTAAGTCGGGCTTAGTTGTGGGTTGCCAATGGCTGCCCCTTGACCTTGGAGACTTAACAAAATATTGCCGTACCTAGACGGTCTGCAGAAGACGGGCTTCGTGCTTCTAGGTCTCGAGTGATGTGCTGCTCCGGGCGCAACATGTGGCGCTGGTGGAGTCTTATGAGCACCTGCAGCTCGACTTCGGCTCCGGCTGAAGCTCTGGATCTGGTTCTGGCTCTGGTTCTGGCTCTGACTCTGACTCTGACTCTGCTCTGGCTCTGGCCTTGGATCCCCTGGCTTTGGCTCCTCTAACTATGGCTCTAGGTCTGGCTCTCGCCCTGGCTCTGGGGTTGACAGCTCCCCTACCCTGCCATGCCGTCCAACGTCAATGGACATGGATACTGGGTTATCCTGCCGAAGGAGCGTCCTGGTTGTCTGGTCGCTAACCTGCTTGCATGTAGTTCTCCCGAGATTATGGGGCTTCTCTGAGCCTCTTCCTCCCCCAGCGAGATAACTAGTCGATATCTAACTGGTGAAGCTTGGACGGCGTAATGCTTTGGCTCCAAGCCAGAACCGCCTTCACGTCCGCCCCTGTGCCTTGCCGTTCCCTCGAGCCTCCGTTCCCTCCTAGCTTCTCGAACCCTGGACCACGTCCATCTCGGATTGGCACACAGCAGCACGTCAGTGATTCATGTCATGGCGGTCAAACCGTCAATATCATATTTAAGTGTGGGGGTCCTTCCCGGCACCTGTCCTTGAGCTCGTGGCTTTTGCCAGTTTTGCTACATCTCCCCCGATTCTCGCTCGGCCTTTCCCCTTGGCCCAGTCCGCCAGGCTCTTTGAATCTCTTTACTACTCAGAGTCTTCCGAGAACCTTCTCGCTCGTCAGTGTCCAGACTGCCTACTCTGCCTGTTGGAGGCCTTTGGTTATTGCCCGCCGCCTATTGTGCACCACTCCGCCCTCAACCACGCCCCGGGCCCGTCCCCCCTCCTCCTCCTCCCCCCCCTCTATTGGTGTCGAGGTAGAGCCACACCAGAACCTGCCTTGACGAGCAGGCAAGACGTTAGACTACGTCCTCAGCTGTGCTCCCGGGCACCGTGACCCCACGGGGACGCCCCTCTCTGGCCAGCCCCTGAGCCAATCCCGCTGTCCCGCTGCCTTGTCTCGCCCTGCCCTCAAGCCAACCCCATACTATCCCACTTGTGCATCCCACTCCATCCCACGCCCTCGTCGTCATCCCCTCAAGATGGCGCCCTCCGCGACTGGTGAGACGGCGCCAATGCATCTACCCGTCACCTCGAAAGCTTCAACCATTAATGCATCTGTCCTGCATGGCCCACAGGATTTGCGATTGGTAAACTCCCTCTCTCTCCTCTCACCCCCCCCTGTTCTGCCCCCCAAGATCTTAGATCTTACGGTTACACGAAAAAAGGGGTCGGGTCTCGTTATTTTTGGACCCGCCTCGCTCGCTAGGAGATTTTATCCACCCCCTCGGTACCCGTCGTTAGGTTTGCTGACAACATCCTTCAACCTCAGGAGCGCCGAACTATCGAGGAACCCAGCATCGGCGAGCTGCAGATTGCGGTCAAGACCACGGGAATCTGCGGGTCTGACGTTTCCTATTACAAGAAATTTGCCAATGGCGACCTCTGCGCCTGCATGCCCCTGTCGCTCGGCCATGAGTCCTCTGGCACCGTTGTCGCCGTTGGGCCTCAGGTCTTGGGCTTCAGCATCGGTGACCGCGTGGCCCTCGAGGTTGGCGTACCCTGTGGCCAGTGTGGTATCTGCCGTAAAGGCAGATACAACCTTTGTAAGCGCATGAGGTTTAGGAGTAGCGCCAAATCGGTCCCCCATTTCCAGGGCACGCTCCAAGAGCGCATCAATCACCCAGCCATTTGGTGCCATAAGTTAGTCCCCGCCGACACCCCGAAGACAACACTTCATGCAAGTACTAACATCTCCCTACTTAGACTCCCTGAAAACATCTCGTTCGACGCAGCTGCTCTGCTCGAGCCGCTTTCGGTTGCCATCCATGCTGTTAATCGGGCTACTCCAGCCCCTGGATCTACAGCCTTGGTCATTGGAGCGGGCACCGTTGGCCTCCTCACGGCTGCCATGGCCCGGCAGTCCGGCTGTGCGGCCGTGACCATCGCAGATGTTGACCAGGGCCGGGTCGACTACGCCATCTCCCGAGGGTTTGCGACTCACGGCTACGTCGTGCCGCGGCCGCTCCACACATCGTCAAGCAGCTCGTCGATTTACAACAGCAGCAACTCGGGCACGTCAACTCCGTTCGACGTCGGCATCATGACGCCAGCGAGCACTCTCTCATTTCAGAGCCACCTCGACTCGGCCAAGCTGCTCGCTGCCGACATGCTGTCGCTGACACACGCCGGTCCCACCAGCCTCCTTGCCGACGATGAGGACAATGGTGTTGACGTCACCTTTGAGTGTACTGGCAAGGAGATCTGCATGCATACATCTCTCTATGCCACCCGTCCCGGCGGCAAGGTCATTATGGTTGGAATGGGCACACCAATACAGACCCTGCCCATGTCGGTAGCTCACCTCCGCGAGATTGACATACTTGGTATCTTCCGCTACGCCAACACGTATGCCACCGGTATTCGGCTCCTCTGTGCCCAGCGGCGCGGTGGCCCCGGGTCCATTCTTCCCAGCCTGGATGATATGATCACACATCGGTTCAAAGGCCTACACGCCGCCAAGGGCGCGTTCGAACTGGCTAGCCGCACAGTAGACGACAACGGCAACCTAGTTCTCAAGGTTGTTATCGAGACCTAATCTCCCATTTTTTATTTTTATTTTTTCCTACCCGTCAAGGTTTCATTGCAGCTGTGGTACGTATGCGTGTTTTCTTGGTGATGGAGCAAGGGCGATATAGACTGGACGGGTTGGGGCGGGTACAAAGAAGTTTGGGATGAACACGACTTATGGCGAGGGTTGGTTGAAAGAGTCGGTGGGAAGGAGTTAATGAAACGGCAATTTTCTCTCAGTCATGTTCATATTTTTCCCATGGTGCTCTTCTCTTTTCTACCTATGACTCAACGCCCCTATGTATCATTTTTCTCTTTTTTCATTCCATTTTCTTTTGGTAGAGTGCGAGACATTTCTATTTTTTTGTGGTTCTTTTCTTCCTCTTCAGGATGATTTTGCGGGATACTACGACTAGTATTTCTTCAGCTACTCCTTTTTCTCGCGCAACGTCTTTATATTTTCTCTTTCTTTTTCAACGGCCGATACGAAGACAGACAGGGCAACAACAGACAGAAAGGCGCAGAGGAGACTTGGATGGCGGCGGACCAAGAGAAGAAGAGATAGGCGACGGCGGCGGGGAACGGACACATAGACAGACCGTACCGTGGAGATACCTATTTACTTGTGAACTAAGATTTTTTTTTTGATTTTCTTTTTGGCCTTTATGTACCGCGATCCCACCCCCCATCCATCCACTTTGATACGTGTGTGGTTGGTTCGTTCGTCAGCAACTACCTATTCATTAGCTTGGAAGTATCAAGGCCTCAACTCAACTCTACGCCTGATCATTATGCGACTCACCACTGCTTAATGTCCTACTACCCTGCTTGGTGTACACATCAAATTGACACGAGTGAGCACTGATCAAGTGCGTATGGAAGTCGCTCCTCGATGGAGTTAACGAACAGAAAAAAGTGATCTCAAAGAAAAAAGAAATTAAGTGATACCCTTAGATCTAGAATGGCTCGAGAGGTAGAGAACAGTATTAGAGTGTCATCGAGTCAAGTTGGGAGGATTTCACATATATGTAGTGACATCTTTATCTTCAAAGGAAGAGGCAGACCTTATTCACCGTTCTAAATGCCCAGCGACTCTCGCCAAAGAGGGTTTTTGGCCGAATCTACAGAATCGTTTACTTGTTAGACTAACTCCTAGCCAAGCACCATATCCCTGATAGCTATCTCTATGCTGCTGCTTGATGCAAACACGGCTTCCCGACTTGGCTACGACGCAGTGCAAACTTCTCCAAATAGAAGAGCTCCTGCAGGCGCCGACAGCACTGCGGCAGTGTGAAGGTGGCTAGGTAGTATTTATCCTCTGAAAGAATGCCTTGACGCGCCATGCAGATGCAACGTTTATTCCCTCATCACCTCCATGTAAATAGAGAGAGGCTATAGTTCTCTGGTATAGGTAGATACTAGGTTCTCCCTCTATCCTCCCAGCTCATTAAAAACCTACAACATATCTACTGCGCCACGGGAATAGTCCATACCCATACTCTGTTCCATTTGGCTTTGCCGCGACCGTTGGACTTTGGCGGATTCGACGATGGCAAATCTCTTTCCAGTCTCACGGATCTCGGCAGCGCTAGATAGGATATCGGATATGAGCGCGATTAGCTTGACGTCGTTTGTCTCCTTCAGGACCTCCTTTTCCATGTCTTTTAGTCGCTGTCCAGACGATGCCAACCCTAGATTTGTGACAAGGGCGTTTATTTGCCGCAGTATGTTGTTTGAAGGGGCGGTATACTTCCCAGCCGAGGACTGCGCCACCTGGGCGGCGTCTCCGGTGTTCAGTCTACCCGAGACGAAGTCGGGCGGGAGCTTTTCCAAGTAGGCCACCACGAGGTCGACCCGAGACTTCATCATCTTGACGGCGTTGAACTTGGCCTGCAGCGCCGACATGTACTCGGCTTCGTCTTTTGTGAGGTTCGCGTCGGGGTTTGCCGCCGTCGACTTCGTGTTCTCGCGTGTCACAGCACGCCGCTTCCCCTTTCCGTCATCAACGGCCACCTTCCTCTCAAACTGTTCGAGGATGCGCTTCTCCCGGTCGCTGACTGTGGCGTTGGCGCCGCCGTCGCGGATGAACTGCATAGAGATCATCTCGGCCTCGCCGATCTCGGTGCTGTACGGGAGTTCGCGGAACCTAAGGACCTGCTTGGCGGGGTGAACCTCGGGATCCTTCATTTCCTTGTCTCCGTCATCGCGATCGCTCTTAGGAGGCTGGCCGTCGGCTTCAAAGTTGCTCTCGTAGATTGTAAGGGGCAGCGAATCCCCAGCGGCTGGGCGCCCAATCTCGAAAACATGAATGCCGAGCAAAATGGCAGACTCGTTTTGGCTAATGATTTGTTGGTGGATTGGCAGATGTAATGGTGTTGGGCCGATTTTGTCTACAAGCGAATACCACCCGACGAGATCAAGACCCCGGTCCTTGTGCACGAGTTTCACTAGATAATGGGTACAATCAGTATTAGTAAACCGCGGTGATGGTGGGCGGGCGAAGGGGGGCGCCAACTCTGCTCGAGACGATCCTGGAACCACTGGAAATCGAGCTCGTAGAACCCATCCTGATTCTTGGCCGTCTTGCAGCTGAAGCTGTGCTCGATAGTGATCTCGCGGCCATTTTGCTGGCCGAGCAAGGCGCCGACAATGGCGCCCCTGTAGCCCCGCTGAGAGCTGCGCGTGATGTAGTCGGAGATCTCTAGAATGGGCAGGGGGTGTAAAGCGACCTGGAGGCCTGAGTCTGACGATGGCTGGGCCGAGATGAGTTCGTTGACTACTTTGTCGTCGACTACTTTGTAAGGCATCTTGGTATTCTGATCGGCAGCTAGCTGCCCGGGCGCGTCTCGATCTCGGGACAAGCTCCTCCCTCAGGCAAGGCAAGCCCTTGTCGTGTGCTTGGGGAATCTGGAGGTTTCTCTGATTGAAAAGGAAAGAATATACGGCGGTAATTCCCAGACTGTGCTCTAACTCTTGAATCAGAATCTATGCCGTAGCTTTCGTTGCCGGGTCGGGAGGGGTTGAAGTTGCTTGGTGGGTGAAGAGGAAGCAGTGTTCGGGCTTCAGCGGACGGCCATTGAGCAGTGGCAGCAGATGCAGGGCTGCAGTGGGAAGCTCAGCCTTGCCCCGCACTATCCGTACATACCAAGACCAAGCAAGCTACATACCGCGCCTGCCAAGTTAGCGCGGGATACGGGACGGGCTTCAGGGTTCCTTCCAATTTAGGGTTTGGCCCACCTCATTTTGTGGCTTGTGCGCCCAGTGGGGTTAGGTTTTGGATCTTATCAGGCCAGGGAGGAAGAAGGATCCTTGGGATGGTGGGATGGATGGATGGACTTGACGAAAGGGAGATGACTAAGGTAATTGAATTTATAGTAATTGGTAGGCAACGTCTACTTCACTCCCTCACTGGCGCACTCCATTTCCTGTCAATCACAGCCAGCTGGACAAGTCTGCCTCGGGCGTCGTTTGCTCCGTCTTCCTCGCCGTCACCTCGATCTCAATCTTCATAATCTCTTCCATCAGCCCGGCCTGGATCATGGTAGCCGCGGGGCGTATGTCGCGCAGCCACTTCTGCAGCACCGGCCAGGTGCTGGCGAAGTCGGCGCGGTCTGGCAGGATGTACCGGACCCTCACAATGTCCTTCAAAGAGGCTCCGGCCTCGGACAGGGCCAGCGCAATGTTCTTCATGGACTGCTCGGCCTGCTCGACCACGTCGTCGGATATGCTGCCAGTCTTGTAGTCGTATCTTCTTGCCATAACCACGACAGCCGTCATTAGCCCTGTCTGGTTTCCATTCCATCGTAGAACATAAAACGTACCCGGTGCACCCTGACACAAACACAAACTCGCCGCTCACCACGGCCCTCGAGTAACCGATCTTGGACTCGAAAGGCGATCCGGAGCTGATGAGTTTCCGTGATGCCATGTCTTCGGTTTGTATGCCGTCTTGCGTAGGCGGTGGCCTATGTCAAGTATATACGTTTTGATGATTTATTTATATGCTGAAAACAGAAAGATATGGCCTCTCTTGCTCATCTGTTCACTAGGCCGCAGTGCATGGGGGCCGTATAATGCCAATGAATGAAGGAGTCATTCTTCTGACTAGGTACCTACCTGAGGCTAGCTTAAATTTGTCTTATGTAGCCCTAACCCTGGCCATGCATCAGTTCTGCCCCTTTTGTTGGCGATCGCTTTTCTCCCCCCTAAACACAGGCCAGGCAGGCACGCAAGATAAGCGAGCAGAAATAACCTAGTAGTGTCTCCTGTCTCATGAAGTGCCATTGTTCTCCCTGACCAACGTACTGCTTCGAAGACGGTATCCAACAGGGTAACGGGCGCCTGTTGACCAAGTAGAATGTCTGCACTTGATAGCTCTGTTTGGCGCCATGAAAAGAAGGTAAACAAATGGCCGTACCTTTTCTGCCAGGTCTGCAAAAGGACCTAGGACTAAGGGAAAAATCACGACGCTAACAAGGCTGTCGACCTTCGGTATCAAATGATCGAATGAGAAGCTGGCTAGCGTTTGATCGGGTGCATAAACTCGAAGCTGGCGCAAACCAGGGTCGAGCGAGGTCGAGGAGAACATGGAGAGCGCCTTGGATCCGACTCAGATCGGCCCCAGGAATATTCAAGTGTTGGGTGATGGCTCCCAAGGAGACTACGATGGCTCCAGCGACGGTTAGGCTGAAGAGGGTTCGGGGTTCTCGGTGAGGCCCGTTGCCTTACGAGAAATTAAGCTCAAAGAACTCGTAGTCCCCCGTAGCATCGTGTTGAGAAAATAACAATCTTTATTATTATAAAAAAGTAATTCCTCATCACTATGGCCCGAACTCCAACCGGACCAAGCAAGCGCGCGTTTTACCCATAGCAGCCTTAGCCTCAGAGCTTCGGCGACGAAGACGACGACGCCGCGTCACCGTCCTCGGTTCCCTCCCCGCCCTCGTCGTCGCCAATCAGAACAACCAGCTTCCCGAACTGGCGGCCGGCCTTCATGTCTTCGAACAAGCCGTCGAGAGCAGCCAGATCACGCAGGCCTTGCACGACGCGCGAGACGACGGGGCGGATGCCGTGAGCGCCGACAAAGTCGACCATGGCGCGGAACTCGGCCTTGCTGCCCATGGTGCAGCCGCGCAGCTCGACGTTCTTGAGCACGGCCTGCATGAGCCAGTCCATCTTAGGGCCGGCCGTCATGCCGTAGCACGTAACAACGCCGCCGGGCTTGAGCAGGCGCACGGTGCGCGCCACGACGTCGCCGCCCGCGCCGTCGATGACGGCGTCGAGGTAGGGCCGGTCGGCCGGCAACAGCTTGGCCAGCTGGCGGTCCCAGTCGGCGGCGCGGTACGAGACGCCTGCACGGGCGCCGAGGTCGGCGACGGCGCGGGCGATCTTGGCGTCGTCGCTCGACGTCACGAACACGCTGCAGCCCGTGGCCACGGCGAACTGCAGCGCCTGCAGGGCGACGCCACCGCCGATGCCCGTGATGAGGATGTTGGTGCCGGGGCGGGCGGCGGCGCTCTTGGTGGCGAAGGCGCGCCAGGCGGTGAGCCCGACGAGGGGCAGGGCGGCGGCCTCGGCGGGCGTCAGGTGGGCCGGAGCGCGCACGACCTCGTCCTCGGGCACGACGACGTAGTCCTGGGCGGTGCCGGCGTCGTCGAGCACGCTAGACCCGAGGATGGTGTAGGCCGAGAGGACCTCGGGGCCGGCCGCGTCGGCCTCCCAGCCACGCATGGGCGTGAGCAGCACCGCCTTGTTGACGAGGTCCGACGAGCAGCCGGGCCCGGCGGCCTCGACGATGCCGTAGCCGTCGGCCATGAGCGGGTGCTCGAACGAGATGCCCGGGTACAGATGCTGGCGGATGAAGAGGTCGCGGTGGTTGAGCGACGCCGCCTTCAGCCTGACCAGCAGCTGCTTGGCGCCCGGGCTGGGCTTGGGCACCTCATTGAGCTGGAGCCTGTTTTCCTCAGAAAAGGGGGTGAAGGCGGACCACGTCAGCGTACACAACCTTTCTCCCGAGTGATTGCAATGTAGGGGTGTTGCCAAGGCAGCTTACGGGTAGTACACCTGTCCAGGCTTCCCTTCTATCTTCTTGATGGTGAGAGCAAGGGGCATCTTGGCGAGTCTGGCGGCGTTCCGAAATCAATGGTCAATGGCCAAATTACTCGTATACGCCGGCGAGTCCCTATTTGTACGCGCATGACGTACCGTTTGGAAGGCATCAAGGGGCTTTGTACCTATATACATACTATCCATATCCATTGCTACGGAATGCTCAAGTCCGGGCTATTCCCGCCGCCTCCTGCACTTCAATTGGAGGCGAACCGCCCTGGGCCTCGGCCATTGATGGCTGATGCCAATACCGGCCCCACTGGCGTACTACTTGCCAAGACTTGCCCATTAATAAGCCAACCTCCCGTGTCCTCAGAGGGGGGTGAACTTTGTCCCAGCGAGCCGATGGCACCAGTACCACAAACCCCTTTCTTCATTCACCCTAGCCACATATATTCTCAGCAGCAGGGTCAGCGTGCCACTCATCATGACAGATGCTTTCCGTTGGGGTGTCATGGGATCCGGGAATCCGTAGTTAGAAATAGAAGCTGGCCGGGTCTTCGGCGCCCGAGATTGCGTCCGCTTCACTCGTGCGCCGCCTTTCTCTTCTTAGCCTTCACCGCCCCCTCTTCGGGCGGCACAAACTCGCTCTCTCGCTCCCGCTTCTTTTCATCCTTCTTCTCTTTCGCCTTCTCGGCCCGATCTCTCTCGGCCGCGCGTTGCTTGGCTTGCCTCCCGAGGAAGTACTCTCCGCTCTCGATCTGCATGTCGACCTTGCTCTTCTCGGGCGCTGGCGGGAATGGCGTGTATGTCTTCTTGCTCTTGTCCGCCACCTTGAAAGGCTGCCGCCGCTTGGAGAGCGTCCTCTTCTTGAAATTTGGTAGGTACCGGCTCCAGTCTTCGTTGGCGAGTGCTATCGACGTTTGTCAGTCTCCCGGCCATTCGGCATCCAAGTAAAATCCGCAATTCTCACCTGGGTCTTTCGCCAACTCTCGTTTAATCCTATTTAGCTGTTAGCCGCCTAGTTTGTTGTGTTTTGCGCCCTCGCCTGCTACTCACATCAATTCCTTGATCAGGTAGATTGGATGTGTGTTCTGCATCGTATCTTCAACCACTCGTCTGACCTCCTTCAGCCCCTTCCACGGTCCCATAACCGAGACAGTGTTTCCGTGTACTAGGATGTACGTCTGGGTGAGGAGTTCAAGCGCTTTCAGAGCTTTTCAAGAGTGTCAGCCATTCAACTGTCCCGCTTCAGCCCGGTGAGAGGGATCATACTTGTGCCGTCCTGTCCCAATATCCGTTGTCGGCGCTTGACGAAGCGCTCCTTATTCCGGACCATGCTCCGAATCTTGATGATGTCACACGCCATTCCGTCCTCGAGAATCTTTATGGCTTGCGGCGCGGGAACTGATCGCGCCAGGAGCTTAATCAAGTCTCGTGCATTCAGAATGGCTGCAGGGTCGTACGTCTAGCCGAAATCTGTTAGCAAATAATGCCATGAAACGGGCTGGCGGTGGATTGCTATCAAGTGAGTAGGTACCTTTCTTGTCGTCTTTACCGTCATGGAACCCTCCACAAGATCCAGCACCGCAGTGATGCCGTGTTTGTCAAGAGATTTGGTAACCAGGGGCCACGAGTCTCGGAGGTAGCGCTCGCGGTATTTCGGAAACAGGGTCATGAACGACGACTCCTCCAGAAACGGCCCCGACGATTCCTCCTTGGCCATCGGCTCGATCTTCCATTTGTCGATGTCGTCCGTATCCCACGGTTTCTCTTTTTTGTGTGTGGAAGGCATTTTGCCAAGTCGCCGCGCAGGCGTTTATAGATATCTGATTCGACAGATTTTTTTTTTAATTCGGCTGTTGAGTGTTGCTGGCGTTTGTGCTCGTACTCGTGCAATGCTGCTTGCTGATGTTTGAAGCGAAGCAAGAACCGCCGCTCGATTTGTAGCGCGTTGATGGAAATTTTTGGAGTACGGTTCCTTGAAGTGGGGGCCGGTATGAAAACTTGACAGCTGGCAGGCGGGGCTTTCTTGGGGCTACCGTCCGGCAGTTTGAATTGGCCGCTTCGTGAGACCTCGGACTGCAATTTGGTCGCCCAGCAAATAGAAAATTGCAGCAGCCAAAGTAGCCAGACAATCGAGAGCAGATGCGAGCCCATCTTAAATTCCGCCGAAATATTGCTACATTTTTGGGGGTATTTTGCGGCGTACGAGGTACGTGGTAATCGGTACACAGTACGAACACGCATCCATCCGCCTACCCGTAATGCATCTCGTTATCGGACCCCCTGGGCTTTCCCGGGTAAGGTATTCTGTATCTCGAGATCTTGCAATCGACAAGTTGCCAAGCCATGTAACAGCCAACGCCGGTTTCTCGACTGCCTCATCACATACCGCAAGGCCCATAGGCTTAGACACTTTAAAGATCATATAATCCATAACCATTAGAGAGTCGTCGTTTGGAATAATGCGCGAAATCCCAAATATCAAGGCCTGTTGGGAACAAATTTTCAAGGACGGCGGGAACGAAGTACTTTGTATATACATGCTTTGCCGTTGCTTTAAGGCTGGAGAGGACAGGGGCGTTTCGGTTTTCTGGCCTGCGGCTGGCCAACCAGGGAGCTGATCGCCCTCAGTAATCACCTGCAGACGGCCGACCCCGTTCTTAAAAACTAGCTGCCGCACAGTACTGTGCACAGTGGGGGCAATACTGGAGAAACTCTTGTTCAACCACCAGCCAGCCAGGAAAGGGGGATTTGTTCTTCGGACGATTGTTCTTCTCCCTGGATGCTTACTTTTCTCTCGCCCTCCCTGCCCCCTCGCAATAACTTCACCCTTGATATTATTGCAATGTCTCGGCGATTACGTTAAGAAGAAGTCCTGTCTCTGGTTTCGTTTTCTTCGTCTTCGCGCTTTCGCGTCGCTCGTTTAGCATCCTTTTCGTTAAACAGCCATCGCAGCCATCTCGCCCGCTCGCGGCATCGGCCGAACCCCAAGTACCCTAACGATCGGCCGGCCTCAAATGCGCGCGCGCGACGCACGCCTTCGGAACAGCAACGACTCTCGAATCTCTCCTCTTGCTAGAGACGCACTCGACTCCTGGCGATTGCGATAATTTCCCAGGCCAGGCCTGCCAGTCAACACGGATCGCGGGTGTCTCGAATTAAAGGCGCGTGCCTAGTTACTACAGTTGTCGTTAAGCTGGCGTCCGATCAGTCTCCGTACCTCCCCCCGACATACCCGGCAGCCTTGACGCCCCCTCCGGACCTCGAGCTGCCGGCTGTTCCGAACATGGAGGACAACGAGCAGATCTTGTCGCTGCCGGCGGCAGAGGAGTCGGAATCCCTTTCCAGACCTAGCTCGACGTCAACGGAAGCCTCTGCGCCTCAGACAGTCTCCCAAGCAGACCCTCAACCAAGCCCCCAATCAGATCTTCAGATGGTCTCTCAGATGGCTTCTCAGTCGGCGCCTCCGACGGTCCCCCAGGCTGTCCCTCAACCCCTCTCTGCTATAGCACCCGTAGCCGCGAGCAACCCAGCCACGAACTCTCCACAGCAAAGGTCAGTACTCGAAGGAGAAGAGCCATTCATTGATTTTGGGGGCAGGGACAAGGGCATAGTTGGCTTAATGACCAGAATGTCTCGGACACGTGGAAAATAATGCCCTTTCCCCCGGCGCCTCAAGGCCCTCTGTCACATTGGCTGGTCACCCAAACCTGCGTCTTTCCGGGACTACTGGTCGATATGGACGGGCTGCAGAGAGTCCACGCGCGTGCACTGATTTTAATGTGTGCATTATAACTAACTCGACGCATTCTTAGACCCGTTGCCATTGCACCAGCCATGTATCCCCAAGGGACGTCGCCCGCAAGCACACACCCAGGCCCAGGTGGCAATCTGGTATGTTCTACGCAAAACAGCATGATATTCTCAAAGCCCCCGCCAGTTCTAGTAGTTTCTGGTTTCTGTTTAAGATTTCCTGTCCGTTCTTCATTTTCATTTCATTCCCATTTTCATTTTCGCCGTCAATTCCACTCCTGCCCCGAGCTGCGGCGGGTGCGGCTTTCGCAGAGAAAAGCTTCGCTCTCGGTCCCATCCCAGACTTCCCCATTGGCCGGCCCTTGATTGGCCAGTCCTTGATTGGCTTCTTTGTCTTGCAGAAGACAAAAATCTTCAGGCCCGTTTACCTAAGCCCCCTCCACGCCCCCGTCGCAATCGCAATCGCCCACTCTCTTTTGGGGTCCGATAAAAATTTCGTTATCTTTGGCTCTTATCAGGGCTCCTCCACAGCGATATCATTTATCTGATCCCCTTCCCGCCATTATCATCTATCTTGGCCTTATCGTCGCCATCTAATCTCTTGCCCTTTGACCTTGTTGCCTGCGATTGCGATCGCAGCGCGCCAAACATGGCGACCATGGCTAACCACGATCGCGAAACTCCACAGCCGACATGCCAGAACTGCGCAACCTCGACAACGCCACTGTGGCGACGCGACGAAATGGGCGCCGTCCTCTGCAACGCATGCGGCCTCTTCCTCAAGCTGCACGGCCGAGCGCGTCCCATATCCCTCAAGACAGACGTTATAAAGAGTCGCAACCGTGTCAAGACATTGCGCCCGGATCTGTCAAAGCAGAAAAAGGTAGGCTTTATTGTTTTTACTGCCTTGCATTGCCTCATCGGCTCGCCCAGATCCTAACTATCCGCGCGCAATAGCAGAACCACAACCTCTCGGGAACCGACATGAATGGCGGTGACCCAAACAATCCGAACAATGGAGCCGTCCAACGCCAGTCGCAGAAATCCGTCAATGGCCATGGCGACGACATAAACTCGCCAATCTCGCGCACAGGCACTCCCAACATGTACAACCCGCACATGGCTCCCCTCTACCACAGCATTGACGACCAATTCCAGACACAGCAGATGCCCAGCTTCAACGTCTCAGCTGTGTCTCCCGGCCGGGCTCCATCGCCCATGAATGGCGAGCGCCTAGATCTTCCCCAAACACACGAGCAGCTCCTCTCTGCCAATGCGAGCCTGAAAACCCGGGTCAGCGAACTCGAGGTCATCCAAGAACTATATCGCGGCCGCCTGCATCAGCTGGAGCAGGAGGAGAACCTGCGGCAGTCGCAAGAACCAGGCAAGACTGAAGCACAACTACGATTGCAGCTCGACGCGACCAACGAGGCGCATTCTCAACTGCAAAAGGAACTCGACGAGAGCCACCGGAGGGAGAATATGCTAAAACGACGCCTCGACGAACTCGAAGTCGAACTAAAAGAAGCCAGAGAGTCTTCCGAAAATCAGGACAATCTCAACCATAAAAGGCAGCGCCTCGACGATGTGGTTCCGAGGTCTGAAGAGGCTTCGACTCCACAGTCCGTGTCATGAAAAACACGGGTTTCTCCACATATGTCCTATATCTAGCGAGCTGCTTCCTGGCTGGTGCTTGCGCTGCGGCGTTATGGCTGCTTGCGCGCATCATGCATCGTTTTGTACATTTCGAGGGGCTCTCTGGATTCCAGCCGCCTACTTTTCGTTTGATGCTTTTAAACGAGGCCAAAGAGCTGGCTGGCTGGGATGAAACGACGTGCTGCACGAGTTCCTTTTACCTCTTTTTTCTACACTTCTTGATGACAAGAGCAAGCTCGTTTCGGGGCTTTGGGAGGAATTTTCTATCTGTTTGCTATTTCAGCCTCTATTATTACCGTCGTCACGATAGACTTTCCTGTGTTTGTGCACGGAACGGAAAGATCAAGAATCAAAAACGCGGGGCGCGACTCTGCGGAGATACCGGGAAGAAAAATGGAACTTGGGTTTGTAGAAACGGTCTGGGAGGGAGAGCGATGCAGGCTACGTAATGCCCCTTTTTCTTCTTTTTGTTTTTGGTCTCTTTTTCTCTCTAGCCTTTTTATCCCCCCTTTTCTTTTCCTTTCATCAGGCCAGAGAGGGAAAGACGGGACGGGGACCTTGGGACGGGTGGAGTTGCTGGAGTATATACGGTCAGCACACACATGCGCGCACACAACACACGCGCGCGCGGCGATGCTTGACGGTACAGGCACAGGGATGGGAAAAACTCTAAAAGTTTTCTATTGCTTACGAGCGAATGAATGATATACCAAGTGCGCATCTAATATCCAAATTTAGCCGTTTTCTTTCGGCAGAACAGGAATTCGATTGTTTCTGTTCTTCCCTCTTTTTTTCCGAACTTGAACGAGGGGGCTTTGTCTCCCGTGGTAATGCTACTCTTCGTGATGAAAGTTTGAAAGTGTTGAATGGCTTCGGTTGGCTTGTATTGGTAAAGTCCGCCCCTTTTCCCCCCAACATCGCCTAGGAGACAAGAAAAAGGGGGTTCGCGTTGTTTGGTCTATTGTGTTTAGTCTATCCGTAGTTTCTACGCTTTTCTTTTCTTTTCTTTCTTTTATGAGAAATCATCAACTCGGACATAACCAGAAACCATTTTGCCCTCTTACTCAATTCTTTAGATGTTGCTCTAGAACGCGGCTTCTCTCGTTTGCATCTCTCTCTCTCGCCTCGTCTTCGCTCGGCTCAGTACTGCTACTGCTACTGCTCCCAGATCCCGAGTCTGCTTCCTCAGCCTCGCCGCCTACTTTTTCTGTCTCGCCCTCTACTGTTCCTAGCCCCGTCGTAGCTGCGGGGTTGTCGACGCCCTTGTGGTGCGGCGGCTGTGGTAGCTATCGAGGCGAGTGTTATGTGTGACTATTCGTTCGTTCATGACAGTGATAGATTGATTGACTAGCGGACTGGCTCACTCACCTTGCGCGCCTGGCGGCGCGTGTACCGGTTCAGGCTCTCGCACAGCCGGTCCAGCACCCACTCGGCCTCGGTGATATCGGCCAGCATGGGGCTGTCCTCGCCGATCCAGTCCCACTCGACGAGCCCTTCGTCGTCTTCGTCGTCATTTTTGTTGTTGTTGTTTTCATTTGCACCCTCAGCGCCGGCACTCTCACCGTGGCGGTTGTTCTTGTTAATTCTGCTGCTGCTGAACCGCACCAAATGCGTAAAGTGCACCCAGTCCTCGTAGCTGTACCGCTTCGGCGGCACCAGGCGCAGGTCGTGCGCCACTGACTTGATGGCCATGGCCAGCTGTCGCGCCAGGTCGTGCGACGGGTCCTCGGGCTCTGCGATAAGTTCGTCGGCGATCCCCTCAAGCGACATTGCGGGATACGGTGCTCCGTCGCCACCGTCTTCTTGGCTGTTCTCTTGCTGCTGCCGGCCCGCGGAGCCAATGCCGGGCTCCTCGGCCGAGGCAGTCTTTCGGGGGCCTTTATCGTCGCCGTCGCCGTCCAGCTTAAACATGACTGTGCGGAAGGGAGGAGCGGTAAGAGCAGCGGTAGGAGCGGCAGCAACAGCTACAACTTGGTCAAACTCTTGTGGACTTGCCGCACACCAGCGGTTGCTATGGCTGGGGCGGCGCCGGTGGCTGCCGAGCACCTCCTCGTCAGGGTCCTGGACCTGAAACCCGCGGGCGATGCGCTTGCGCTGCTGCCGGCGCTCCGAGAGGCGGGCCAGGAGTCCGTACAGCTTGGGGTGCCTGTCGAGGAAGTGCTTGAGCACGCCCTGCTTGGGCAGAACCGTCCAGTCTGCCACGGTGAAGGTGCCGCGGTTCACGGCCGACACCACGGTCCGCGACATCTCCTGGATCAGCACCGTCACGATTGGCACGGCGACTAGCGACCACACGATGAAAAATGGCTTGCCGATGTTGGACTTGGGCGCGTAGTCGCCGTAGCTGCAGACGGGGCGAGGTCAGTACGGGAGACAATCTAATCATAAGACGGGAAAATAGGGGCCCACCAACCCTATGGTCAAGAGAGCCACAAAGCAGAGGTACAGACAGTCAAAATACCGCAGCTGGGATATTCTCGCCTCGGTCAGCATAAACACCAGTGCACCCAGGCACCACAGGATGCCAAAGGCTAGGAACGCCATGCCGAGCGCCCAGTATCTGGCCCCAAAATCCCACAGTCAGCTTTCGTCCGCCTTTGATATCCCACTAGGAAGTGTAGAAAGGGAGGGAGAGCGCACTGCTTCCAACGCCGCGTCTCGTCTTGGATCTGGCGCATCGCATCGAACCGGTCCTTCTCCTTCTGCAGCAGCAGCAGCTTCTGGCGGCGCCGCTTGCGTTTCTCCTTGGCCGCCTCTCGCGCCCGCGTCCGAGAGTCGAGGCTGAGTCTCTTCTTGGGGGGGCCAATCTTTGCGGCGGCAGCAGCATCATTTTCAAGGCCGCCGCCGCCGCCGCTGCCCATTTCCATCTCCTCCTTCTTCTTCCTTTCGTAGAAGGTGACGGTGTGGCCAACAATCTCGAGGCGGCCGTACTGGGCGAACGACGAGCGGCGGCGGCCAGACTCGGATATCCGGGTGGTGGTGGTGGCAGCGTCGTCGGCGGGTGGCGCCGGGGTCGAGCGCGGCGGCAGGCCCAGGCGCTCGCGGAGCTCCTTCTCGCTGGTGACAGCGCGGCCGACGGTCGACTCGCGCGCGTGGCGCTGGTGCTGCTTGATGATCTTGTCGGCGCTGATATTGGTCACGAACCGGCTGATGCTGGCAATCACCAGACCCAGGAATATGATGCCGGTGAGCTGGAAGACAAACAAGAACCCACGCCCCGGGTCGGTTGCTGGCGCAAAGTCACCAAACCCGATCGTGAGGACTGACTGGAGATTTGCATGTCAGCGGTTGGACTTTGCGGGCATACGTTTGTGGTTTTCACAGAAGGATAGGAGCTCTCAGGGGGTAAAAAACCCTGCGAGGGATTCCGATGACTCACTACGTCGGCATAATACAGCGCGTCAGTGTAGGTGAACCCCTCGAGGGCGCAGAAGACACCAGAGCCGCCTGCGAGCCAGAAGAAGAACATCATGGTCTGCAGGATCAGGGTCCGCTGGTCGTCGTCGAGGTGAAACTGCTGCGGATAATGCCCGCGGAAATACCCAACGATGTTGATGGTCAGGATACCGCTCCCAACCAGGTAGAGCGCCGACGCCAGCACCGAGTGCCAGAAACCTTGCGAGTATGCGCTGCCCGGGGGCACGGGAGGGACATAGGCGTTCATGGCAATTTCGATTGCGATGAGCTTGTTGGGAGAGAAGGAAAACAAAACACATTAGCCGCTCCGTCAGGGGGTTCAGGGGTAAGGAAACAGCATTTACAATGACGGCTGACAGAACCCAGAGCAGAATGGACAAAGGCAGGGCGATGATGTACCGCACTCGACCCGTAAAGTTCAGCAGCAGGAAGATGTTGCCCGTGAACCCGCAGACGAGAGAGATGGCATTCCAGATGATTTCCCTGGTAGAGACAGTCTCAGCTATTGCCGTGAAGGTGCAGACTTGGAAAGAGCCTGGGACTTGCCAGTGCGGATCCGCAATGCCAACTGCCGCGTCGTCTGATCCTCGGCCGTTCTTCGAGGGTAGCCCATCGTCTGGCAGCATCACCCGCCATGGCGTCACCAGGGCAGCAATGGACAGAACATTGGACAGAGGACCGATGGTGGCTGCAATGAGCGGTATGGCTGTGGAGGCAAACCACCATTGTCTGAGAGAGGTTGTCAAGACGAGGTGAGCCAAGCTGATTTCACAGATGCACCGCCCTCTCAAGACCTCGCGAGAATGACTCTTACTGGGGTAGTCTATCGTTGCGGCCACGAAGCTTGATCAAGCCGCCAGCAATGGTTCGCATGTTGGTACTCGATATCCACGGGGTCTGTTGTAGAGAAGAGGGCGCGCCTTCAAAGTCAAGGGGCTGTTGCGAATCGGTAAGTCAACAGAGCTAAGAGGAGAATAAGGCTATCACGGGGCGCCTTTGCAACTCAGTCTCAAAGTAATGGTTGATCCATATAAGACCTAAACCAGAGTTTAATAGTTAGGAACCAGTTCCCTTGCCAAGATCGAGCAAGTAACAGCAGAATCGTGTAAATGGAACAGGAAAGGAGAGTGCCGTGCCAAGCGATGGCCAGGTAGTCTGGACGCTTTCCGCCATAACGGAAAGACGCAGCGAAACCAGCTCGGCTTTGACCGTACCTATAGAACAGACGAAACAAGACCGAGCGAGCCCGGTCGTACTGGCTACATGTACTGGCGACATGGTGCTCTTCGGTTTGCTCGACAAGGCAGCGTCTTTTCTCTCCAGCGATCCATCATTACCCCAGCAGTCTCTCCTGGCGTTCCGTCGGGAACAGCATTGGCCTGTCCGTCCCAATTCAGACGTATCACCAGCATCGGCTCTCGAATTTCGAGACCATGATACACACTGCCAGTAATGTCCTCCAATTCACAACACGGAAACCCACATGGCGTGGGAAAAGTGTGTGTGGCATGTTGAAGGCCGGGAGAGAGAGATCCCAGAGTCCAACAGCTTGCTTATGGAAACAAAACGTCGAGATCCGTCGGGTGCACCGCGAGAGCCGGGTGCTTGCAGAACAATCCCAGGGGCACTGCATCAGTTCGCAGTCACCAGCATCTATCAACTCGACTTGACTGCGCCGATCATTGTCTCAAGCGTGCGGCGCGATCGATCCTTTGGTGGTGCTGTATCCCTCCCTGGCTACGACATCTTGGGAGGGGACTTATCTGAACAACCGACGCCAAGTCCGTCCTTTAAAAGGGCTAAGGGCTCAGCCTAGTTCGGCTCGGCCCATTTTCCGACATGGAAATAGAGGTCGGAGCTGTCTGGTGTCTGTGTTGAGGGAGGTATATCTTTGTCCCCGTGATTAGCAGAGCGCTGGCCGTGCCGAGATGGGCTCGGAAACAACTGCCGTTCTGTGAATGTGCTCGTCTCTTGGAATCTCACCACATTACGGAGACGTAGCGAACCAAGGGGGACGAAATTCTAAAGCACAGCCTCAGTGATATTTGAACAGTGTCATCTGTGAGCAATCCCCCCGGTCTCAAAGCTCCTAACACCCGCATGTCAACACGACTCTCGTGATTCTTCATTCCTCACTAGGTTTGGGCCTGAGGCGCTACAGACGCGTTTGTCTTGGGTCGTGATTTTCCCCCAACGCGCCTCCTCGCTCCCGGCCCGACATGATGATAAAGTTCCCCCGCCAAGAGAGGAGACCGACTCTAGTGCAATTCCTGGCCATAATCTTACGAGTTAGTTGTCTATCAAGATGCACACGTCCACAGCCATGTCAGAAAAGAGTAGATACAACCCCCTTATCTCCTCGCCGCTCAATCCAGAGCCCGCGACGCCTGAGTGTCCGTCGCGTTCGAAGAAACCCCGAACGTCGCGCAAACTAGCGAACCCAGCCAGCCCGACACAGCAACTGCTGCGCCAAAAGGCAGCCGTGGCATGGCGGTCCGAGACCTCGCAGCATGTTCTCCAGGACCAGCCCCTGCCGCCAAGCATCCAAAGTGCTCACCACGGAAAAGAAAACGGCACAAGGGCTGCAAGCAAGTTCGAGACCGATAGCGACAGTACGTTGCTGGAAGGCAAATCAATGGCGACGGGGAAAACGAGACACCTGCTGAACCACGGAGACTTCCACGTGGGCATCGAGATGGCCACAGAATCGCACAGGCTGGCCACAGACGCAGCATTTCCGGCCCGCCAGCACAGTAACGGCGCAACCACGCGACGCATCCTCATCGCCATCGTGCTCCTCTGCGTCCTTGGCATCGTCCACGGTCTGCTTGCCATCCGCCACGCCTTTGCTGAGAGGCCTCCGCCGATTCCATAAAGAAGAAAACTCGAGGGATACACAGCAGAACCTTCTTGGGTTGTGTGTCTGTGCTGCCCGGCAGCGTTTGACGATGCGGTGTAAAGCCTGTCACTCACTCACTCACTCACCGGGGAGGAGAGCATCCAAAAACCGAAACCCATTTTCTCCGTGCTTTTGCTTCCCAGAGTTGAGTCGATACCATCGCCCCTCTAATCTTGAATAACACAATTATAATACACCATTCGCGCGTCGGCACATTTATTGCGACTTTTTACCCTCCTCTTTTGGCGCCGTGTCGGATTCCGAGGCCCCTTTTGCGGATGCCGGCCCGGAATCTGCCTGAGCGAGCGCTGCGTTCTGCTTCTTGATGGCCGTCTCTACCTGCCAGATAGCCCTCTCAAGCTCGACCTCGAGCTGGGGGAGATCCAGAGCCTGGGTCATCTTCTTACCGTTGGCTTGCGACAAAAGCATTGTTTCTCCTTCTGGGTGTTGGTGTCTTTCTTCTGAGGATGGATCAAAACTTTCGACTCGGCTGACGATAGCGTCAGTCGTGGGCTGTGGGGTAGAGGGTAGAGGAAGCTTCTGGGCGGCATACACCTCGTCGACGACGGGGGAAGGGGTGAGGGACAAAAGACTCTGCTGGACGAGGAACTGCACGTGTTTGCCGCCAGCCAGGGCCCTCCAATGTGACCAGGCGCGATAGACCAAGTAGAAGAAGGGGAGGTTGGGTATCCTGTGGAACACCACGTCAGATAGCTGTTCAGGAGAAAAGCCGAATGTAAAGTAGGGATACGTACACTGGAATCAGCGCAATGGGTGCGGTGATGGGCATGCCAACGAGGCACCAGATCAACCTCCGTTTGTGGAGCGATTGTCTCTCGGTAGCCAGCGTCTCGAGGATGCCGGGCACCTTGTCCATGGCCAGCAGGCTCTTTGGGTACACGACCTCAATCTTTTCCGAGCCATTTCGCTCCACGACCCTCCGGCGCTGCGACAGGGGCGGCACAGACTTCAGGCCCCATTCCTCGTATGGGATGCGGCGGAAGGCATAATTGCCGTAGTTGACAACCGACTTTTGCCAGCCCCTTTCCTTCTTCTCCCACCCGGCCCAGGTGCGGGAGGCCTTTGACTGGATCCAATCGCCCCAGGTCGGCCTCTCTGTTGTCGGCGCGTTGAGCTTCTGGCAGTATAGCAGGGTGCGCCTAGTCGAGATTGGGAGCAGATAGAGGCGCATGGTAGCGAGAATACCTAGATAAGGTCGGGTGCCTAGGTAGGTGCCTAGGTAGGTAGTTGAAGTTGGGCTGCTTGCTCCTAAGAGTCGGTAGGTTGCTGCTCTCTTTGCGCCTCGCGCTCGGGACCGCGCCGAGAAAGAGCAATAAAAAATACGAGCACGCTAATCCTGTCTGCGAATGCCCATCTTGCGTCCTGTTGGCTTGGTGAGAAAGCCTTCACTTCGGGTGTTGATGTTGTTGAGCAAAGAGCGAGCGTGGGGTTGAACTTCTTTAAGTTAGGGAGAGATTGGAGAGATTTTGTGATGATGCCGCGATTAAGCTCCCTGCTCTGGGCCTGAACGATGCAGCAGTGACGCAACTTGGCCCTGGCTGGTGGGGCCTTAATCATGCCGCTCTTGGGAAAAGCCGGTGGAGTGCCCTGGCTACCTTGGGTTGTTTGGGCAGAACGGCCCACCCCCGGTTCCAGCCACCCCTGTCGCTTTCATCCAGGCTCTTGGGAGCAAGTATCTGGTGGAGCAAGTATCTGGTGGAGCAAGTATCTGGTGGAGCAAGTATCTGGTAAAAGAGTCAACATAGGGTTGTGTTAACATTAACAAATGAGCTCTCCTATGCCTCAGATTTGATTGGATATTCCGTTGCCGAACAGCCCCCAAGTGCGACTCGGTATTGACTATGGGAGGAATGCTGCCTTACAGGTAAGGTACCTGGTTGAAAGGTCCATGCCTTCTATTGTACGGGGTAACCCAAGCGTTCAACCCCCCATTCCTCTCAGCCCGAACCATAGACAAAGTCTCGAGTCTTGGAAACTCATTGTATAATTGGTCACTGCAAAGCGCGGACGCCTAATAGTAAGAGGCATGCACAAGTGAGGATTGTCGTCATACCGCACCCGGCAGCTCCGTGCCTTGATCCGACGTTTCCAACGCGGGGCAAAGCGAGGGCAAGGATTACCAAGTGGACATGCCAGATCGACAAATTACCGTACATGCGGACATTTTACCTGGGAAACCTTATGGTTTAACTGACTGGGAACTACCAGCGGAAGGAAGCGGCTGGACTGGACGCCGACAGGGATACCTGCTTCAAACTTCAACGCCACAAAACAATGGGGACCAGGCCGACTGGGTAGGCCAGCCGCCAAGTTCCAACCAACAAGAGAAAGTTTCACGTTTAAATATCAGAGGGAAGGTAGGTATCCCTAGGTAGGGCACAACATCACCACAACGCCTTGCCTCGGGCGTGCTAATTCGATTTCCCGCCTATTTCAGTCCTTCGTTAGTTCCAGCATCGCGCCAAAATTGCCGTCGCGCCGTTCCAATTCCACTCGCTCGCTATCTCACTACCTTCTGTTTTGTCCAATACTCGAAAACCTGTCCCTGGCTGGATGCGCCGCCCTTGATGCCGCGCGGTATCCGTACCGCCAGCCGAACCCCCGCCATCATCTCGCTCCGGCGAGTTAGTCAACTCCGAACACACCATGAGACGCACAGATCCGTCGCCGTCGCATTCGAATCACTCCAATCACTCCGACTTACGTGCATCAATAAGATCACGCGGGAGCGCCGGGACTGCGAGTGTCCCTCGGCAGCGCATCCCACGATCCCTCCCTCGTACGCATTGACAGCCCCGTGATCCCCATCCGGGACTCTTTTTGTGGCGCCATGCATGCTAACGTGGCGGAACCAAAGCTTGGATCGACTCTTACGAAGTGGGATATGGGACACCAACCGAGGAACAGATCCGCGCATTGAACCCTCCTCCTCCTCGTGCGCTCCCGCCACAACACAACCACGCTCCGAGCGCGCCGCAGCGGCGCGTGTCAAAGGATGGCTTCGTTGACATGGGCCAAGGAGGCGGCGGAAACGATAGGGATAAGGGGGCGAGGGCCAAGTTGCTTCGGCTTCTGAGACGAAGAAACGCCGCCGAGCGCGGGAGGAAATGGGACCATCTGCGCTCTGCAGAGCCCGTCATCGTGCACCGCTTCAGCCGGGCGACGCCAAACTCTCCGTGGAGGAGTTTTGTGCAGTCTTCTCGGTACGGCCACTTGCCCAACGAGGAGTCCCAGATCATCGACCCCGAGACGCTGGATAAGCTGCAGCCGTACTTCAACAACCCTGTCGACCTCCCGCCGCTCGAAGAGACGCCTCGATCTAGGGCCGCGCGGACCAGGGCGCTCTACAAGCGAGTGTGGCAAGTTGTTCTCAGGCATCCTTTGGTCCCCCTGGCCTTCCGTCTCATGGTACTCCTCACGTCCATAGTGGCACTTGCCTTATCGGTGCGCATCTTCCAGAGAGAGGGCGACGAAGGCAACACCAATACGTCTGAGAGGACGCAGTCGATCGTGGCAATTGTCGTCGATACAGTGGCGATACCGTATATCGGCTACATGACGTGGGACGAGTACACGGGGAAACCTCTAGGGTTGCGGCTCGCTACGGAGAAGATCTCGCTCGTTTTGATGGACCTCTTTTTCATCATCTTCAAATCTGCAAGCACAACATTGGCATTTGAGGCCTTGGTCTACCACAACGCAAGAGATCAAGAGTCTAAAAAATTCAGCCAGGCGCTCGCAGCGTTCCAGACAATGGGTTTGATCTCGTGGAGTCTGACATTCACGGTGAATGTCTTTCGGCTTGTTCAGAAACTTGGCGGGGGCGACCCTGCTGAGGACGACGGTGCTAGGTAGACTCTGCCTGGATATGTTGCAAGCGTGTTTGTTTAGTTTAATTCCCTTTTTTTTAATAGTCCTTTCACGCCGGGCATTGAAACATTTACCCGCGCCTTACAGTATTTCGAATGTATTGCAAAGTGAAATTGCGGGATACGTCTTTGGCGAGTTCAAGTTGCTTTCAAGGCTGTCTTTGCTGCGTTCCTGCGCTCTGAAAGCCAAGATGAAACTTAAGGCGCCTTTATGATTATTATACCGTAGCGTTGTTGTAAGTTAACTGGAAGAATGGAGAACAAGAGAGAGATGACGTTCACGCCTGTAGCAACCGCCGTCACGGTATCTGTCCAAAACGGGACACGGTGCCGAGTAAACTGGGTGACAGCCTCGTCATTTGCAGGCTCACAACTTAAAACACGGGAGCGGAGGCTGAAGGGGCATAGGCAGCTTACCTAACACCTGCGTCCTGCGTTGGCGTATTATGCATACAATCTATACCATACATACCGTAATTTCCTAGGTCTTTGTCCATACAGCCCGATATGTACGGGTACCTCAGGTAATTTCAGGTAACCGCCAGCGGGGTTGACCGCCAGCAGGCAGAATCGAGCCCGGCCCTTTAACTTGGCTGGCGCTCCTGCCTGGACCACATTAAGTCAACAGGCTGACGGTGCCGTGCCTACTTCGTTTTCCTCCTGGAATAATTAGGCCATCTTCCCGAGCTCATTTCCAGTCTTTGTGCATCCCGAGGCTACTGACAGAAACCAACGGCACACAGTATTCTGGGTAGTGCCGTGGAACCAGACGCCCAGAACTTTTGGCACTTCCATTTGAGTCCCAGGCCCAGTCCTGTCCAGCGCAACTCCCCACCACTTACATCTTCCCCACATTTCCAGATGGTTGGAGAGCCTGGAGCTGCCTGAGCGCCCGCCTTTCCCTAGTCACCTCGAAACCAACACCGGGCTGATCACGCTCTGCTCTGCTCGCCATTTCCAACTTTCTTTGCACTTGACTTTTCGCATTCCCAACAACGAACATACCCGCACAAGTCGGCCTCGCAGCGACTTTTACTCCCTGCGTGCTGTCGCCCACCCGCCCGAATCTGCGACGACGGGACTTCCACCCGCCCACCCCCATCCGCGCACTCACGACACGGTCGTTTGTTGCCGCCAAACCCTCACTCCCGGCCCCGACCCACCATACAGCCAAGATCCGCGACTGCATCGCTCCAGCCCAAAATGGCGCCCGGGGCGACGATGATGCAGCCGATGCCTCTGCAGCCCGTGCGTGATGATATCGACAACACGTATGTTCCCCCTGGCCGGCGCTGTTTGCCCTTGGTTAGGATCCCCCCAAGCTGACGTGTGGACAGGTGGGAGTACTTGCAAACTGGCATCACCAAGATCATGATGAATCTCCAAGACGGCGTTGATATGCGAACTGTGAGTGGCCGAACCCCCGTCTCGTTAGCTCTGCTACTTGGTTTTGAGGAAACACTGACACGCCGTCACCGCAGTACATGGGAATATACACGTTAGTCGGACTGCGCTTAACCACATGGTCACATTTGCTTGCGTGCTGCTGACCATCATGCAGGGCTGTCCACAACTTCTGCACGTCCCAGAAAGCTATCGGATTTAGTGCGTCATCAAACATTAGTTCTGGTGGCCATAGGGGCGGTAAGTCATAATTCGATTCGTCGATTCAAGCGGCCCTGTCAGCCACGTTCGTTGCTGATGTTATGAACAGCTCATCTACTCGGCGAGGATCTCTACAAGAAGTTGACGGAATATCTGACCGAACACCTCAGGGGATTGGTTGCTGAGTCGAAGGCACATACCGACGAAGCACTACTAGCATTCTATATTAGAGAATGGCACCGCTACACCGACGCTGCCAAGTACATCCACCATCTATTTCGATACCTCAACCGTCATTGGGTTAAGAGGGAAATGGACGAGGGCAAGAAATCTATCTACGATGTCTACACTCTGCACCTTGTTCGGTGGCGCGATGTTCTCTTTGCGCAGGTTTCGATCAAGGTCATGGAGGCGGTTCTGAAGCTGGTGGAGAAACAACGCAACGGCGAGACGATCGAGTACAATCAGATAAAGCAGGTCGTCGAGTCCTTCGTGTCCTTGGGTCTAGACGAGGGCGATTCGTCAAAGACGACCCTGGACGTGTATAGGTTCCACTTCGAGAAACCGTTTCTCGAGGCTACGAAGGGTTTCTACAAGAACGAAAGCAAGCAGTTCGTTGCCGAGAACAGCGTCGTCGAATATATGAAGAAGGCCGAGGCTCGATTGGATGAAGAAGCGGAACGCGTCAAGATCTATCTCCACCCTGATATCGCCGTCTCCTTGAAGAAGGCTTGCGATCAAGTACTGATCGCCGATCATTCTAACATCCTCCGCGACGAATTCCAGGTCCTTCTCGACAATGATAGAGAAGAAGATATGGCGCGCATGTATAGCTTGCTGTTGCGTATCCCCGACGGCTTGGACCCCTTGAGGTCAAAGTTTGAAGCACACGTGCGGAATGCTGGTCTGGCTGCCGTTGCCAAGGTGGCATCGGACGCTGACAAGCTTGAGCCAAAAGTCTATGTGGATGCTCTCCTCGAGATCCACACACAGTACCAAGGACTTGTCAAGCGTGCTTTCAAGGAAGAGCCCGAGTTCACACGCTCACTCGATAACGCCTGCAGAGAGTTCGTAAACCGGAACGAGGTGTGCAAATCCGGGTCAAATAAGTCTCCGGAGCTGTTGGCCAAGTACACCGACATTCTTCTCCGCAAGAGCAGCACTGGTGTTGAGGATCGCGAACTGGAAAACACACTAACCCAGATCATGACTGTGTTCAAGTACATTGAAGACAAGGACGTGTTCCAGAAGTTTTACTCGCGCATGCTAGCCCGTCGCTTGGTGCATAGCAACTCCTCATCAGACGATGCCGAGACCAGCATGATAAGCAAGCTCAAAGAGGCCTGTGGCTTTGAGTACACCAACAAACTGCAGCGCATGTTCCAGGACATGCAAATCTCCAAGGATCTGAACACTGGCTTTAAGGAGCACGTCCAGAGCCTGGGCGTTAAAGGCCTTGATTCGTCGTATTCTATCCTAGGAACAGGTTTCTGGCCTCTGACACCACCGGGGACTACCTTTAACCCGCCAGAAGACATCATGGCCGACTACGAACGGTTTTCTCGTTACTATCGCAACAAGCACGAGGGCCGCAAACTGACCTGGCTGTGGCAACTGTGCAAGGGTGAGGTCAAGGCCAACTACATCAAGAATGCCAAGATGCCGTATACGTTCCAGGTATCGATCTACCAGATGGCGATTCTTCTTCTTTTCAACGACAAGGACAAGATCACATACGACGAGATTGCATCGACCACGCAACTCAACACTGACTCGCTTGATCCATCTTTAAGCATCTTGGTCAAGGCAAAGGTCTTGACAGTGAGCCCTGACGGCGAGAAGGTGGGGCCAGGGGCAACTTTCACGCTGAACTACGACTTCAAGAACAAGAAGTTCCGCGTGAATCTCAACGTCGGCATGAAATCGGAAACCAAGCAGGAAGAGGCGGAGACGAACAAGACGATTGAAGAGGACCGTAAGCTTCTCCTCCAGGTAAGTCATTTGATACCCTGCAACATTGTTCTTTTCTCGCCCATGTGCTACTGTATGTTGACCTCTTACCTTCCAGTCGGCTATTGTGAGGATCATGAAGGCCCGCAAGCGCATGAAGCACCAACAGCTCGTCAGCGAGACCATTAACCAAATACGGGGGAGATTTGTCCCCAAGGTGGGCGACATCAAGAAGTGCATTGAAATTCTTCTAGACAAGGAATACCTGGAGCGTCTCGACGATGACGATCTCGGGTACCTGGCATAGGATGAGTTGAGACTTGTGCTCACACCCAAACTATTGTCACGAAACTGTACGAATACAACGAACCAGGCACACAATACATTCGGCCCTTGACGGCCTCCATTTGGCTCTCCTGCCATTCTCTGCAACTGGCATTTGGTTACCCTTCCATATGGGTATGGAACTATAGTTCCGGGCTAGTAGGGGGAAAAGTCAGCGTGGTTTAGATCGTTAGGCATCATTTCCCTTTTAACCTCGACGAAGGCAATTGGGTTGGACCTGGCCGAACCTCCCTCGCGGCATGGCTATTATGTAATCACGGAAGGGAGGGCGTTGTCTAGCGGTCGGCAGAAATACGGAAAGATATGGTTTACGCTGTTTGTTTGCGCTGTAAATGAGTTTGCAAAACCCCATCTATTGCTAAGTAGGTAAGTGGCATTACACCGGAGGCAGGCGCATTGAATCCACGCTCGGAACGAGTGTTCACAAGGCGCAAACAACTTGAAGCCAGTGCTTGTATTGTGCCATGTTTCTGTCCACTGCTCTTACAGCGAGTTGAACAAATTTTTATCATTGACCACTTCTCTCAGGGCAACGGTTCCGAGATGGTCACGTTTTAGTCTCTGATTTGTGTCTGGGCGCCCCTCCTGCTCTCCTGAAACAAAAGAAATGCCCGAATAAACAATGGCAATTTTATTTCTTTGGGGAACTTCAAGTCGCGAAAAAGAGACAAAAAAAGGACAGCGAATGAGACATGGACTTGGTAGTGCAAATTACGGAAGGCCCTTTTTTAGTTGGCGCGGTTCTAGCCCGCCAGCATGTCTTGGAATTCTTTGCCTCTTTTTCCTCCCTTCCAATCCTGTTAGTGCGTCTTGTCTTGTCTTGAATCACCTCGTGGCGGCGGCCACATACGCTCGGACTTTTACTCACTCACTGTCCTACTAGTATTTCACTAACCAAAGGAAGGGGGCGAATTGCTTACTTTTACGTACCTTACTTGGGTTTGTGACATTGTCGGGGCTGCCATCACTAACACCAACGACGCCCGCCGCCCGAGGCTGCCGCCTGCAGGCTTTCTCACTTACTCGCTAACTCCCCTGGAGTCGTTGGGATAGCCTTCCGGGCTCCGGAACTACTGCCGGTACGTCACACCGGAAGGCTTCTCATCCAGCCCTTGCTTTTTTTTTTCTGGGGGCGGGGGATTCAGTTTGTTCACTTTTCCCCCTTACCAATGTTTTCTCTCTCTTTTTCGCGCCCGCGCGTTACACAAGACTCAAGAGATGTGGATCTTGGGACTGAGTAGGGTAGGTAAGGTAGGAAGAACGAGTGAGAGGCCGAGGTTTATTGTGCGCGTGGTTGCACGCGCGCTCTCCTGCCCATCGTCATCATCTTCCCTAGGAGTTATGAGGTGATGAAAATTCCGTGAATTGGTTTGCCCTACCGCCTAGGGAAAGAAACCGGAAAGAGCGCGCGCAAAGACTGTGCTGCGCCCCGAAAGAGAAAGAGAGAGATGGTATCCATGAAAACTTCCCAGGTCCCCCTTTTTGTTCTCGTTGGTGCTGGCTGTTCGCGCCCACTGTCACCGTCAGCCATGCCTTGCCATGCATGTGCTGTCCGGCAAAACGGCAGTTCGGAAAACTCGGTGCCGTTTTAGGAAGCTCGACATGCAAATACCCTTCCCCCTTCACCACCCCCCCCCCCCCCCCTTTTTTTTTTTAAACAAAATTCCTCGCAAATGCCTGCGCGGGCTGCCGCAGACTAAATAGAGCGCGCCTCGCAGGGCAAGAGTGAAAAAAGAGCTGATCTGTCAAAAAGAGAAGGGAAAGCCCTGATAACCGAGGGCAATTGCCAAGGGCCGTGCCGAGCACACAGATAAGGCAGTTATCATGAGGCTCTGGGAGATGCCTATCTCGTCCTAGCTAGGAACTTGACTCACTTACATACACGTACATGCATACTCCGTGCAAAAGCGCAAGTCAAGCAATTTAGGTGCCTAGGTAGGTATGGAGACCTTCCAGATTGGTGTTGCAAGTCTGGTCTCACCAGTCTTTGTGCTTATGGCAGTTCCTTGTCTAAGGGTAGCGTGTTCGAGACCTTTTTCTGGGTACGTGCGTGCATTGAAAAAGGGCTTCCAGATCGTCTCCGGGTGCGGCTTCTTTTTAGTCGGCGAACAACGAAACAAGGGACAACGAGGTCGAGGCTTCTGAAATGCCCTGATTGGGCGCCTGAAGTAGCGAGGCCCTTGCTCTGTGGCAGAGAGGATCAAGGGGAAGGGGACCCCCTGTCATCGGCCTCCAGGAAAGGAAATGCACCACCACCACATCAGATTTGTTGCTCTTAGGGGCTCAGGCTTATGGAGGAGACCTTCAACCACAGAAAGTTCTTATCCCGGCCGCTCGCCGCCTGCGCCCTGTGGTTTTCCGGGGACTGTGGACCGGACGACCACGTGGGATGTTTGCTTTGTTTTTGGGGTTTGGCATTGTCCCCGATCTTCCTATCTCCATAGAGATTTGCGGAGCCTCGGAGAACACTGAGACGCCATGCGAACATGCAACTGCCCCCGGATCCGAGTTGTGGTTCATCATCGTCGTAACTGCACTGGTAATGTCGTAGTTGGCTGGCTTCCTGTCTTTGGCCGACTAGTCTTTGGACAAAAGCAAAGAAAATTAAAGCCCAAGCAGCCCATGACTTCTGGCACGTGGATGTTCCCAAGCTAGACAGGCAGGGGGTTGCTGAGCGAGTGGATGCAGCGAATCCGAAGCTCTGGCACCCCCCAGGGCTGGGCGATGTCGAGCAGCGGGCATCACCAATCTGGCAGGCCTGAGATGAGGTGTCATTCTCTTCCCTCGAAATGTTTTATAAAATTTCCGACTTTCGGCTGGACTGGCCGTAGCAGGCCACCGAGTAACGTGCGTAAAATCCGTACGTATTCCGTACGCGTCCGCCCAGTATCCGTGCCGTCGATGAACCCGACCCTGGGCTGGCAAGTTCCGGATTCCGTAATAAGAATCCTCTGTTCCTGGGTTGCTAGCCTAGCGGGGAAAAAAGGCGGCCAACTACTTCTCAAGCCTAGGTTTCTTTGCCTGCCGGGCTGGCCAGACTAGCAGTTACGTTGTGAACTTGTGAGCACAGACTGACGCATGTCTGTGCGAAACAAGACAAAAGCAACTCCGCCTGAAAAGCTAGCGTACTTCGTACTTTGGTGCGGTAGTGTTCGGGTACGAGGCCATCGTCGGCTTGGCAAATTTCCGGGGAAAGCCAGGCCAGCCAGACCACGCAACGCGCGCTGAGAACGACGGGCGGGCGGACTCAGCACTACGCCTTCGCCGGCGGCGGCAGCGGCAGCAGCAATATCGGTAGCTATGGGTGAGCCTGACGGGTGACTGGGCAGCTGATCGACGCTGCCTCTCGGCTGTTTTGCTGGCGTCGAGATGGCAGGGCAGAACTTGAATCCGGAACCATCTCGTCTGTCCTCTAACTACCTTACCTTCCGTAGGAAAAGGTAGGCGTGCATACTCCGGTCCTACCATTGGTAGCAGGACATTCATCGATTGTTCGTACGAATGTCTGTACATTACGACAGGGAGGCTTGAGGTTGCGCGTGTAATAAGGCCGGTCGCTTTTAGGAATCGTAGGTCTGGGCCCTTTTGGCGGGCAGTTGAGACCAGTTCGAAATGATAGGTCCGATTCGGGGAGTGATATACCTTCAGCGGCATCCACTAGATTTTACCTTGATGTATTCCGTACGGGCTATAGGTCCCTTACGCAAGTCCATAGCCGAGCTCAGGCCACATACAGGACGGGCTACCTAAGGTGCAGTACCTGAAGAAGGTGCTTTTGAATAGCTCGTGAGGTAAAGCTTTAAAGGCCTTTCTTTCATTGTCGATCAGCCTGAAAAGGCGACAAATGGATATGCCCGGGCCTGGATGGACGCTTCGACGGAGGGGGAGCCTGTTGGGGGAGGCTATCCGGGCAAAGACTGGGCTGGCAACCTAACGTCGGTAGGTAGGGTAAGGCACGGTACCATACCAGAGGTACGAAGTAGCGCCTTTTGTGGGAAAGTGCGAGTGGTCAATGCGCAACGCCCAGTCTGGGGACGACGGAAGGGGGAAATCATTGCCAATGGGGGAGATGCCCGTGAAGGGGCATCCATTCGATCAGTTACAGGACAGTAGACTCCAGTCTCTAATACTTGTTTCGGTGCGGGTCTGTCGCGCCTCAAGGTACTGCCCTGCCCTGCCCTGCCCTACATGCAGTTTGGCCCTACAACTCCCGGGCCCCCTGCCCGCTCTTTCTTGCAATGGCTGGAGGTGGTCCATGGTCCCCTCTCTCGCGGCTTACCCCGGCGGCACTGCGGGCACTGAGGTGCGAGTGCGGGCAGCTCAGAAGGACCCATGCCGCAGTGCCGTGTGTGTACATACATGTATGTGTGCTGTGTGAAGTGACGGACGGCCGAGGGTGAGAACCAAAAATTCTCTCCACACTCGGCCCAACCTGTCTGTCTCCATCCATCCTTTTCCTCCCTCCCCAAGTCCCCCAGACCCATTGCCGTGCGTGCACATCGCCTACCGACCGGGCAAAACAAAACCAAACCAAACCAACTTCCCGCTCGTGCCAATAGAGACAGCGAAAGGGCTTCCATTCATCGCTCGCCGCCTCCATAAGCTATCGCCGCCAATAGCATCGCCCGCTTGCCTGCCCTACCTCACCACCTACAGCCACCCAGGCGTCGTCGGTGGAAATCGCTTAACAGTAGTGTCCGCTGTAGAGCTCAGGTAGCGTGCGGATTAAGCTGTGTGCGTGGCATTTGCCGTACCCACTACCCACCACGATACCTCCCTACCTTACCTGATTAGCTGCCGCCTACGCTATTCTGATAAACCGCCAAACCCTCAACTGCCCGCCAGTTTGACAACCTCCCTCGACGACTAGTGTCAATCGACCCTCGAACAGACGTCCCCGAGTACTGCTTTGCAAATCACCGGCCCTACCGAATTTCCCACAACTCGGTCTGCATGCCCGCAATTTCGCCCGACGTCAGTGACACCTAGGTACTCGCGGCCCTGGTTGTCTTCGCAATTGCCTACCTACCTTTACGTAGTGGCTCTAAAAGACCTTCGCCGAGACCTTTCATCCTGGCCTCGACCCGGTCACGGTGCCCGACAAGGCGACAGTCGTCTGACCCATTTGCCGACCCAGCCAGCATCTCGACGAGGCCGCCCAATCCGCTCCTCCTGTCTCTCTACCTTGATCTGGTCTAGTTGGTCTGATCTGATCCGATCTCATCTGGAACTTGTCAAACAGCTCGCACACGCATCCACGCGGCATTCGCACGCCTCCCACTCCTCGCAGACATCGCATCCATGGGTTTCTAGGGAAAATCCAGGCACAAGCGAGCACCAGATTTGCCAGATAGCTTCACGGCGCCCACCCCTAGCGCCCCCCCGCTCAAACGACCTTCGTTTGCGTCCGTTCTCCCACTTGATCCGCGAGCATTCATGGTCACCATGGGGACATGTATGAGCACCAACGGTGTGGAAACTGAACAGAGAAAAAGGAGCCAGAAGATCGACAAAGATCTAGAGGAAGATTCCAAGCGGTTACGGCGAGAATGCAAGATCCTACTGCTCGGTAAGTCAACGGATGGGCATGCGCTTGTGCGGGGCCCAACCAGGCCGCCATGGAGCTGCAGAAGAGCTGACTGTTATCGTTTCCCTAGGCTCTGGCGAGAGCGGAAAGTCGACCATTGTGAAGCAGATGAAGATCATTCACCTGAAAGGCTACTCGAATGACGAACTCTACAACTATCGGCCGACCGTTTTCAAGAATCTGATTGAGTGCGCCAAGGCCGTCATAAACGCTATGCGCCAGTTCGATATCGAGCCGGCTATCGACGAACATCAGAGCTACTGCGACTTCCTGCTCGATTACACTGTCGAGTCGGGACCGCAAGCCCAAATAGACCCCAAGGTCGGTGTGGCCGTCCAGGCGATATGGAATGACCCCGCCAAGGAGCAGCTCATGGATAGGCAGACCGAATTCTACCTCATGGACTCTGCAGAATAGTTCGTCGCCACACGCAATCCAGCCTTGTCGAACAGTCCGAGAGAGCTAACACGCGCTACAGCTTCTTCCAAGAGGCCGTAAGGATTGTAGCTCCCGACTATCTCCCCAATGAGATGGACGTTCTACGAGCCAGAACAAAGACGACTGGCATCTACGAGACGAGATTCAAGATGGGCCAATTAAGCATCCAGTGGGTCTAAGCTTCTTGATGGGTTTCCCTTAGCGTCTGTAGGATGCTGACCTTCCCCAGCATGTTTGACGTGGGCGGGCAAAGAAGTGAACGGAAGAAGTGGATTCACTGCTTTGAAAACGTCACATCCATCATCTTCTGTGTTGCGTTGAGCGAGTACGACCAGGTGTTGCTCGAAGAGAGTAGTCAGGTAAAGCGCAGACGCTTCCCAGTCCCGCAGGAACTCCACTTACTAATCTTAACTCACAGAACCGCATGATGGAGAGTTTACTGCTGTTTGACTCGGTAGTCAACTCTCGATGGTTCATGCGAACCAGTATAATCCTCTTCCTAAATAAGGTGGATATCTTCAAGCAGAAACTGGGGCGATCGCCGCTCGGGAACTATTTCCCTGACTACTCTGGTGGGAACGACGTCAACAAGGCCGCCAAGTATCTACTCTGGAGGTTTAATCAGGTCAACAGGGCGCATCTCAATTTGTATCCTCAGTAAGCACGGCGGGTTCCTTGGTTCTAACCCCATCCCGGTCATTCGTGCTAACCATGTACAGCTTGACGCAAGCTACCGACACCTCCAACATCCGTCTTGTGTTTGCCGCGGTAAAGGAGACGATCCTGAACAACGCTCTCAAGGACTCTGGTATTCTTTAAGCCCCCTTTTGTAACACTCCACATCACTCACCATCTCTCTCGCCCGGTGCGGCCCCTCTTTCATACTGTCTAGAACGAGGACTCGGGGTTGGTGGCTCTTTGCATGACACGGCGTTGGAGGCACGACATTTTTCAGTAAGGCGTTTCACACGGCCTAGTCTCCGGTTTTTTAAGGGGAAAGACAATATCCCATGCACTTATGATGTTTAATTTTGGGCCATGCTTTACGAGGCGGAGGGGGGTTAAGATAGTACGGGCGGCCCTTGTCTTGGCGGACTCGGGTCCAGCTGGTTTGGATTTCAACCAGCCATATTTGGGAGGGGAATGGTAGGCTACTGTCCCTATGCAAGGGCAATGCCTACAGACGGGCGACGGTGTTGAAAAGAGCTCCTTCGCTCAGCATGATTCGGCCTTTTGCTACGGCACGCAATGGTTCCGCAAGGCACACTTTTTTTTGTCATGGCCCGGGTTGGGTTGAGATATCGGACGGAGGCGGCAGCTTTGTTGATAGGAATCGAGGATACGGGGTTTATTGCCGATCGGATCTCAATAGCTATACGTCTCCCCACTCTCGGGTAGTGCAGACTTTCAAGAAGAAGACACGACGTCTTTTAAACTTGGGGCTCGGGTTTTTCTTGTTTTATATATATAGCACGCTATGAGAGAAAAGTGACGCCTCGATCCGAGACGTGAAGTGAAATATAAGAGGTTACCGACTGACCATGTCAAGGGTAGCTAAGTGGTGAAGCTTGATATTATTATTCAAGTTGGTTCTGTACTTGTCCTGTTTTGGTGTTGTCCATTACCGTGGTATTAGGGATCTACTCCTCTCACCTTGTGTTCCTTGGTTCGGACGAGAGGTATCCACCTCATCTCACCTTGCCTTAACCTTGAGGTAGACGGGATGACGAACTATATCAGGCTAGGTAGTCAGTCAGTCAGTCAGTCAGCCGGCAACGCTGCCGCATGGGCGGTGCGGCTACGGCAGGCACACGGCACCGAATTTTGTGCACACACACACACACACACACACACACACACACACGCACACACAGAGAGAGAGAGGGAGGTATGGGCCACACGCGTGCGCGGCGCGGCGCGTGTATTATAGGATGGGTATGTAGCTTGTCGGCGGGCTGTGAGACGTTGGCGACTCGTGGGCTGACGCGAAACACCGGCGCCACCATGGGGGAAAAGGCAACTCGGCGGCACGGAAGGTACATGACGTAGGGAGGGGACCCCCCTAATTTTTTAATTTTTTTTAATTTTTATTTTTTATTTTTATATGTTCACTCCCGTCGACCGGACAGGCCAGCTCGGGATTTGACATCATCGGTTGTTATATCATTCAGAGAGTACGAAGTCGAGATGGGCCCGAAGTGTCTGTACCTTACCGAAGATAAACTTAGCTCCGTCTTTGTTGAGATCGACAGCCGGCTGGCCTGGGCAAGAGGGCCCTAGCCTAGCCCCCTAAAGCGGGAGGTCTGACAAGGCATTGTGGGCTGTTCTTTTGCCGTGTGCTCTTTTGTGTCGTTCCGCGTATGGCCGGAGTGGGGCCGTCATTCGGGACCGGCCTCCGGAGGTGGCAGACGGCTCGGGGTTACATGGCTCGAGTGAGCCCGGAGTAAGGTAAAAGTTGTTAGCATGATATGGCGATGGTAGTGGTATTCGAATTGATCAGTTACCTATTCTGGGTCTTGGTCTGGGAGACAAAGGAATGAATCCAAAATCCGATATAGGTCCCATGCGGCCTCTTTATTCTCTCCCGTTGGCGGGAACAAGGCAATGCCTTGAGGAGGCTGGGAGATGTGACTTATACCGCTGGTGCAACAGGCCGGGTCGGTATTGTATGTATGTGTGTGCTAGTATTTGTGGGCTGAATTAGTTCATGTGATAAGTTGATGGAGGTGGCAGGATGTGATCTCACCGCACCCGCCCGCCGCCGTCGAGGGCTGAGTGAGCCAACAAAACAATATCCGCGCTTCCATCCATCCCAATTTAAGGCACCTTCCAGAGGCTGTGAAGCTGCCCGGCTGCGACATAACCCGAGCATGATACCACCGCATCCGAGGTCCCGACCCTAATGAATATGACTGCCGTGGGTGCTACAACCCCAACTGAACTATCGCAGAGGCGCCCCCCGCCCCCTCTCGGTTTTCTCGTCGCGGAGCTTTCCTACCGTCCTCCGAGGTCACTCACGATGGCCTACCTCTCACTCGCAACGACAGCTAGGGTAGTTGCGGGCTAGTCACACGATCTTAATAGTTAATCAAGCACTTGACCGGCACGTAGAAGACGAATGGTCACGGTCGTACTAGTATATGTATATTTATTAACTCCAACGTGTGCTAATCTACTATCTTACTCAAGGCCACCGTTCGCGAGAGAACCAGGACGACGTAAAAATATTGGCGGGGCTCAGCCGTTACATACCACCCACGCCGGGTGCGACTTGCGGCATATATCCCCCGTGTCTCCCCGTAGCGGGCCGGGAGGGTAGAATGGTACAGTCTTCGCGTAGAAGGAGATCGTGCTGGTCGATATCTGGAGGAGGCGGACCATATTTACCCCATCCCATTCCACCCGCCTCTTGCTCTGACGAAGCCAGTTCCTCTTCCTCGGCAAGAAACTCGGCAAGAAGCCTGGCTTCTTGTTCGGCCTTATCGTAGGCCGCGTCCTGAAACGATCTGGCCCACCGCCCCGCCGCGTCCCCGGTCAGGACTTCGGCTTCCACGGCCGCTTCGAGGAGGACCTCCCAATCGCCGGCTAAGGGTTCCTCGTGGCGGGCAGGGCCTGGCCCGTCCTCGGGCGGCTCGCCACTAAAGATGTCCTTGAGCGCGCCGGCGGCCATCGGGCCCGCAATGATCTTCTGGACGGCGTAGCGAATCTGCAGAAATTGGATACTGGGTAGTGGGCACCTGACTGGATCGGCCGTAGATAGCTCGTAGACGTCGCCATGCTCGAGGCGCGGGAACATAAGCTTATCGTCGCTCCCACGCCGGAAGTCCACGATGGTGCCGGACCCGCAATGGTCCCAGGCACCTTTGATAAGGCCACCAAACTTGTCTAGATCCTTGAACCACACCACCTATAAGTAGATTCTATACTCGGGGTCTATCGGGTGCTCGACGGGACGGAGCGCGAATCTGTGCCGGTCCCAGAAGACATGGACACCCGGGTTGAGGGGGAGGATGTTCCGTACCTCCTGGCCTTTGATATCGAGCTTATCGACATTCTTAAGAGGGCCAAAACATACCCAGCGTCTCCCAGAAGTGGAGGGCATTCATCCCCGAGGCCCTCACGTCTACAATGTGTGCCCCGTCGACCGGTGTGCCGCCAGAGAGAACACAGCTTCCGCCGTACCACTTTGGCACTTTGGCCTGGGCGATCTTGTCTGCGTTAGAACGGCCGGCCCTGTCTCTGGTGTCTCCGGTGGGAAGATCCTCGACCGTCGGCGTAGTATGCCAAGACGTGTCCGACCTCTTACGTTTCGAGTTCTTCGCCTGGTTCATCCAGGTATCGAGTATAAACTGGATCTTGGGTATATATATCGAATATACGAACTTGAGATAGGTCATAAAGGCTGATGAGTCGCCCTTCTTCTCAAGGCTACGCTTCATATTCTCTATATCAAATGTGAAAAGCTCCGATGCCGGGTCGTCAAATATAGCCAATACGCAATAGGTTAGCTTTGCCCGCTTCGCCTTATCCAGCTTGGCAGTGTCGGTGGGGGCGTACTCGGATAGGATATCGGAAAGCTCATCTCGGGCGTACCGGGACAATTGCTGCCTGAGTTCTTCGTCTGTCTCGGGAAGCTGGGACGCTTGCGACGACTACGATTCCAAGCTATCTACCAGTGACCCCGAGCCCTGCGAATCCGGCAGGTCTGGTGTCGGAGCCGGGGTAGAAGCTGCAGTATTCGAGGGCTCGGTACTGCTGGGCGACGATGGTAGTACTGGCTCCCACTCGAGGGATTTGGTGCCGACGTACTCGACCCTGATGGGCCGGGGCGAACTCGCAGCCATTCTTTCGGAAGCGCTGACACGGGCGGCTAGAGAGGAGGAGAAGAAGAAAAGCGCCGTTAGCAATGTCCAGCGTAGAACCGCACGCGGCTAGACGATACCTCTTGTGCATCAATTGAACTAACCGTACACTAAGGTACTAAGGGGGCAGTGACGGCTAGCCAAGCTCACTGGGGGATTGTAATGGGTTAGGCTCGCTCAGGCTGGGCTGGGAGGCGCGCCATGGATGTCTGCTAGCCGATCATCGGTCCGACAGCAGAGCAAAATATCAGATCATGGATTGATATTGCATTGTGGCCCAATACCTTATCTTCCCTTTCATATGAGTGTCAACCGGCGATAGGATACGTGCTTGGATCTGGCGAATAAGGTTGCGCGGTGCGCCTGCAGAAGCCTCTGAACGATGATGCAACTGATGCAACATTGCCTAGGGCAGCTGCAATGGGTGGGGTGGTGGGGGGAGGGAGCTCTGACGCTTGCGCTGCGCGCCACGGCTTTCTAACGGCATGCTGAGCTGTTGTTCTTTCCCCGACGGGAGTTTTCAAGTTTCAGGAGTCACCGTTCTCCGAAACGAACGTCTCTCGAGCTCTTTCAACCGTCTTTACGGAGCACCTGGCTGGCATCCATGTGCCGCAAGCTAGCAGCTCCTCAGACACCGCAACATGGGTTACCTTACGCTACTCGACAACGCCGCTTCCTAGGTCCCATGCTGTAACGGCGTTGGCAAGCCAAATCGTTGATCAGACTAGACAAGGGCATGCACGGGATGTTGGGTCTCGTCTTGGGATGCTGATCCCGCCGCCCCGCACTGGTGACCGCCCAGCCACAGACACCTTTTCCAAGGTCCATGGCCTTCCGTGGAGGTTTGGTTTGAAGCGACGCAAACCGCCCGGCAGCGAACTGGCTTTTGACCATTGGGAGCCATTGGGAGCCATTGGGAGTACCAATGATGGCATTCCCCCTCATCTCTCAACGGGTGATGCAACGGGGCTGCAGTATCCAAGTCAAACGAGACGTGTATGTGAGAAAGAAAGTCGTTCCGGCTGCATATGCATCTGCAGCTCGAGGCCAATCACGAGGTCCAGCAGCAGACTTGCAGCAGGCCGGGATTTAAGAACGAGGAGCTCTCACGACGTCGATGTGCAGGCAAGAGGACAGTGGTGCATACCTTACATAGCCCACGGCGTGGGATCCAAACTGACCGGGCACCACGGTACATACATACCAGTTCATGTTGCTAAGCCTGGCCGCCTCCGTCTGACCAGCCGCGGGAGCTGTGCCTTCCATTACGTATAAGATTCCATTCCTAACACCCCTGGGGTCCCGGCTCCCAGTTCATAGCTGGCCTGGCCTCTTGCCGTCTAAAGAAATAAGAACTAGCACTCGTCCCTCTGTCCTGGACTTGCTTCCAGGTTTCCTACTCGAGTTCTCGCAGTTCTTCATACACGAATAGCTTTGGGGAATTCACTTCGTACATACAACCCAGGAAGCTTTCTCTTTCCTCCACCGCTCCCGAATCCCAGTCTGAACGTCAGGTTCCTCGATCCCTCGACTCCTCCCGCACGCCGCCTGCTTGCTCGACTACCCGTCGCCCTAGTCCAAGAGGCGCCGCAAGCCCAAATCAGCAGGCACGATCCCAGTGAAGCTAGCTCTGGACAAGACGAGGACCCGAGAGCTACCCCACTCCACGCACTCCCCCCCGCTGAGCTGATCGACGTAAGTCCGCTGGCCTGGATCTTACTACTAGTAGCACCGCCAACCGGGCAAGCTGTCTTACCTCTTTTTACCTCCTTTTCCTCCTCCTCTCTTGTCGCACTTGGTTTATTGCTTTCCTCCAGCTTACACTCGGGGCAGAATAACCGGAACCAGACCATACCTACAATCCTCCTAGTATTTGAACCATTGCCCAACATGGCAACCGACCGAATTCCCACCAGAGAGCGACGGCCGTCGGTCGGGGCACCCATCGTCGACATCCAGGGCGGTGTGAGCCCCGCAGGCATCTCTCGACCAAAGCACAAGCGCACATTCACAGGTTTCGGGGCTGGGGAAATCAAGAGCGTTGAAGGTAATTCGAACGCACCATTATAATTATGCACGCGCATTGGCATTGGCTTTGGGAGCTTACTGTTCGTTCTTCTTCTGGCGGGGATGGACGAAGCTCCCAAGGTCATCGTCATCCAAGCTCCGCCCCCTCAATCTCCCAACACCACAACGCCCCCACATGCCCCTCATTCCCCGGCGGAGCTGACAGCTCCTCCAGCGTCCATCCCTGAACCTCAGCGAGAGGCCTGGTTAAAACATCAAGTCAGTGGCTTCAAAGACAAGGATGCCTTTGAGACCGATGTCGTGCGCCATGTCGAGACTACTTTGGCTCGAAGCATGTTCAATTGCGACGAGTCGGCTGCGTATGCTGCCTGCAGTCTCGCATTCCGTGACCGCCTGGTCTTGGAGTGGAACCGCACCCAGCAACGCCAGACCTTCTCCGACAGCAAGCGTGTCTATTACTTGAGCTTGGAGTTCTTGATGGGGAGAGCTCTCGACAATGCCATGTTGAACATTGGCCAGAAAGACGTGGCAAAAGGTTGGTACCGTCCTCCAAACACCCATCAAGGCTTGCCTTTTCTTGCCCCGTTTTGCTGACTGTGTCGCTTTTTGCAGCTGGTCTGGCCGACCTTGGCTTCCGAATCGAGGATGTTATTGAGCAGGAACATGATGCTGCTCTGGGCAACGGTGGTCTGGGACGCCTCGCAGCCTGCTTCCTCGACAGTCTGGCAAGCTTGAATTACCCGGCTTGGGGTTACGGTTTGCGATATCGCTATGGTATTTTCAAGCAGGAGATCATCGATGGATACCAGGTCGAGGTGCCAGACTACTGGCTCGACTTCAATCCCTGGGAGTTTCCCAGGCATGATGTGACCGTTGATGTAAGTTGCCCACCTTGAACTACTAGACACGGTATTGGTCACTGACTATGTATTAGATTCAATTTTACGGTAACGTCCACAAGTCGACCGACGGCTCGGGCAAGACCGTCGCACATTGGGAGGGTGGTGAGACCGTTAAAGCTGTGGCTTACGATGTGCCTGTTCCCGGCTATGCGACGCCAACGACCAACAACTTGAGACTGTGGTCCAGCAAGGCTGCCAGTGGCGAGTTCGATTTCCAGAAGTTCAACAGCGGTGAATACGAAAGCTCGGTTGCCGATCAGCAGCGAGCCGAGACCATCAGCGCAGTTCTGTATCCCAACGACAACCTCGAGCGAGGAAAGGAGCTGCGTCTCAAGCAGCAGTATTTCTGGGTTGCTGCTTCTCTTTACGACATTGTCCGTCGCTTCAAGAAGTCGAAGCGCGCATGGAAGGAGTTCCCCGACCAAGTTGCCATCCAGTTGAACGATACCCATCCGACGCTGGCTGTGGTTGAGCTCCAACGAATTCTTGTCGACCTAGAGGGTCTCGAGTGGGACGAGGCTTGGAATATCGTTGTTAACACCTTCGGTTACACCAACCATACCGTGCTCCCCGAGGCTCTCGAGAAGTGGTCCGTTGGCTTGTTCCAGCACCTCCTCCCAAGGCATCTACAGATCATCTACGATATCAACCTCTTCTTCCTGCAGTCGGTTGAGCGGGCATTCCCCAACGACCGAGACCTCCTGGGCAGAGTTTCTATCATCGAGGAGTCACAGCCGAAGATGGTTCGCATGGCGTTCCTCGCTATTGTCGGCTCCCACAAGGTCAATGGTGTTGCTGAGCTCCACTCCGATCTTATCAAAACCACCATCTTCAAGGACTTTGTCAATATCTTTGGGCCCGACAAGTTCACTAATGTGACAAACGGCATCACTCCCCGCAGATGGCTCCATCAAGCCAACCCTCGTCTTTCCGAGCTGATCAAGACAAAGACTGGTGGTGAGGACTTTTTGACAGACTTGACGCTTCTCAACAAAATTGAGCTGTCTGTCAACGACAAGGACTTCCGTAAGGAATGGGCCGAGATCAAGTTGGCAAACAAGGTTCGCCTTGCCAAGCACATCAAAGCCAGCACCGGAGTGTCTGTCAACCCTTCCGCACTCTTCGATGTCCAAGTCAAGCGAATCCACGAGTACAAGCGCCAGCAGCTGAACATATTCGGGGTTATCCACCGGTATCTTACTCTCAAGGCCCTGACACCAGATGAAAGGAAGAAGCAGCTGCCGCGAGTCTCTATCTTTGGCGGCAAGGCTGCTCCCGGGTATTGGATGGCCAAGCAAATCATCCATTTGATCAACAGCGTTGGTTTCGTTGTCAACAACGACAAGGACATTGGTGACTTGCTCAAGGTAGTCTTCCTTGAGGACTACAACGTGAGCAAGGCCGAAATTATCACTCCGGCCTCGGATATCAGCGAGCACATCTCGACTGCTGGCACTGAGTAAGTATCATACTTGCCGGTTGTGAAAATCCCAGAAAGAATGCTTACTGACAATCACTAGGGCCTCGGGAACCAGCAATATGAAGTTCGTATTGAACGGCGGCCTGATCATCGGAACCTGCGACGGCGCAAATGTGGGTTTATCTATTCGTAAAACAAGTGATATCAGTGGACTAATCGGACTGTAGATTGAAATCACTCGCGAGGTTGGAGAGAACAATATCTTCCTCTTTGGAAACTTGGCAGAAGATGTCGAGGACCTTCGTCATTCGCATACCTATGGCGCTCACACGGTTGACCCCGACTTGGCCAAGGTGTTTGAGGCCATTGAATCTGGCACGTTTGGTGACCAGCAAGACTTTGCCGGCATGATTACGGCAGTCCGTGACCATGGCGACTATTACCTGGTGTCGGATGATTTCCACAGCTACATTGAGACTCACGCGATAATCGACGAGGCATACCGCGACCAGGAGGGCTGGATTACCAAGTGCATTACGAGCGTTGCTCGTATGGGCTTCTTCAGCTCGGATCGCTGCATCAACGAGTACGCCGAGGGCATTTGGAACATCGAGCCTCTGCCCGTTGATAAGTCAGACAGCGGCCTTGGCAAGGGCGAGCTGTAGTGCAAGACATCCGCACAGAAATCCAATGAGGAGCAGCAGAGAAAGCAACTAGGAACTAAAGTGCTATCAACACGTTGCTGTAGATACTAATTTCTCGTTCATCTAAGGGAAGAGAGGAATCAGAAATCGGAGGAAGTTGAGGGGCATAAGACGATAATGGTTCTGCCTATGAATACCTACTGTACCCAAGGTAGGTAGGCGGTACCGACCTAATTGAGGCGTATTATGCCTATGAGCTTGAGAAATTCACATTGCTATGAATGCAAGTACACGTTGAATGATACCTTGCCTTTCTGCATATAATGGTACCCGATTAGTGGCTGAGACTCCCGAGGAAACAAGTTGTCGTCTATCAAAAATCGTGGGGGCAACAGAATTATTAGGGGATACCACAGAGAGCTGAAGACGCATCCCTTTATTTTCGTAGTTTCTCGCTATGTTACCGGGCGTGGAGCGAAGCCGTTCAGCTGCCTAAGCCTGAAGAACGACCTGATACCGCAGAACGAATAATGAAACAAAATTAATCCACGGACGGCCTGTGCCAAAAACGGAAAGAAATGACGAGCACTTGGTCGGGAGAGCCCTTGGTGCAGGCTTAGCACAAGGATAGGTGTGAGAAGGCCACTGTAGTGGGGACTCCGACACATGCCCATTCCTTCGTTGCCCCACGAAGGCTCGCGTCTTTTGAGGGGGTGGATTCAAAACGACGTCATCTTGCATCTCTGGCCTGGCCTGAGGACCTACCTACCCCGCTACTCATGTAGGGTACCACGGTATCGAAACCTGCCGTTATCTGTGCGAAGTTCAGCAACAAGTCATCGCCAACCCAGCTTGGTTTTTTTTTTCGGGGCTGAAGAGAGAGATGGAGAGAGAGGTATGTGTGAGTGGTTGATTTTGTTTTGTTGAAAATGGTATGAATGTTGTTGAAATGGAGACGGAGAATTGTTGCTACTTTTGAACTGGCCTAATTCTTTTACCCGCCCATCAAAGAGGCCGATCTGTCAAGTTCCTGATGATCACTGAAAGGGTCCAGCCGTCTTTACGTGAAAACACAGACAGAAGAAAATCCCCTGAACGGGTCGGGTTAGTTCCCCTGGTGTGGACCTGTCGAGGGACTTGCTAGCCGGGAGATGGACATCCAGAGCCGCTCACTGGGAGTAAAGACGTCTATGTAGAACAGGGTGGTGTAGGTGTAGCGCGTACGGCTATTCAAAAGGGGAAGCAGATTTGCAAAGACCGGACGAAGCCGACCATCTGAAGCATGACAGGGCTGCCAAGCGTACGGTCCGACGAGTAAGTTCTTCCGAGCCTAGCCTCATAGCCCCATTCAATTTAAGGTATGTGCTTCGTCCGGAGAAAGTTCTCCTGAGTATGTGGATTTGAACCGACGTTGAACGAGGCTATATACGTGGGTAAAGTATTACACGTGTAGTGAACCACGAGGAAAGAGGCCCCATGACCGATCCAATCCCTCGATCTCTGTTAGCGCGGGACTTACACGGTATGTTTTTAAGATGTGAAAGGCCTTGTTACGTACAATTCGCTCGGAAAGCCTTTCTTAGGAAATGGCATGAGGGGTTAGGTCGTAGAGGACTCTCTAATAAAGAATCATATAGGCGCATCCCCTGCATAGAATAACTAGTAAAGCTTTTCTTAGCTAGTTCATTTGTTGACCATTATTCTTTCCATGTCCCGCACAAACAACCATTCGGGGAATGGAGTGGGAGTTCACTAGCAGGCTTCCAGTCACCGCCAAAGTGCTCGATCCCACTTCGATCCCGCGCTAAATCGCGATGGCGCCAGGGTCCGCGGGATTGGCCTACGACTAACAAGGGTGACAAGGGCCTGTGCTGACCCCACCTTCCACCTACGTCATCGGCGGTTTGGGTGAGGAGGGGTCGAACATCCAACTCACCTGCTGGCCAAACCGACGAGACTCACGCAGCCCCGCTCTGGCCAGCGCTTCTTCTTGCGGGCTATTCTCTTCCAAACCCACCCATCCACGACCCGCAGGTAGCGGCCGCAAATGGTTATTGCAGATTGCGACGGGTGACGAGCGGTTTGGGAGACAGGCAGGCAGTCAGTCGCGTCTGCAAGGGAATGCGGAATGAATGCGCCGCTGGCTCGCACTCGAAGGCAGAAAAAGCGAGGTGGCCAAGCAGGCGATAATAAGAGCACTGTCCAAGAATTCCGCCCAATGTTTTAGCGTAGAATCCTTACCTCAGGTACCTACGGTATCTATGGATCTATCTGCCCCAGAGACACGACTAAATGGCTCGCACACTAAAACCAAAGCTCTTCTGAGTTATACGCATCTGTGCAGAAGGAATCCCATAGTTAGGTAGACACCACGGGATGGCTTGCATGAGGTTGGAACCAGGAGGTCAGACGCACTTGTTAGCAAGCGCCGCAAAAGCTGCAGGCTAGAGCGTTGGGGATCTCCCACACTCCTCTTGTGGAATGGAGAGGGACGGGAAAATGCGTCAAAGCATGGAATTTGAGAGATTCTGATATCCTGTTCTCTCTGCTCCCGCGTCGTATTGTGGCCCCCTCTCCCGCCCAAACTGAGGCGCCCTGCAAGAATAGGCAAGCACCACCAAGCCCGGCTTACTACCCTCACTCCGCCCAGCCAACCATAGCTCCTCCGCCCGTAACAACATTTCTATTATCTACACCCGCCAGGAAGCTTCTTCATTCTCTTTTTAATTTTATTTCTTCTTTCTCTCTCGACTCTTTTCCAACAATCAACCGCCTAGCGTGTCTGGCTCTCTCTGTCACCCCTCTAAGGAGATACCCTACTAAAAACTTAACTCGCTATAACACCTAGGTAGGTCGCCCTGTGTAACCCGTCAAAAATCCGAGAGGGGAGGGGGCTGGCAATGACCCTACCCTGTTTCCGTAACCTTTCGACAAGTGTCGCCAGCAGTTCAGTCCATCGACGCCTCGCACAGCTTGCGCACGAGACTTACCTTGATATTTTCACAATCCAGCTGGTGCCGCGATATTCCGAGCGAGAAACCAGCCGAGAAAAAGAGATATTGGGCTGTGGTGTATCGGTCACTTCCCAGAGCAGCAGCGATCGGCCAACCCAGCTACCCAACTTTGGCAGCCCTGTTCCCTACCAAATCGTGGCGCTAAAGGACCATACGATAATCGCCAACTTTCAAGTTCTCAAGGGAGCCAGCACTATTCTCCCCATCTCACCAGGGAGCTTCCGTCCGGGAGCTTGCTTTTAGAAGCAACACCACGGGTAGGTGGGCGGAACCCACTCTTGACAATCCGATTGCTGCGATTCCACTACAGGGCAAATCCCGGCCGGAGCCAAGCTAAACTTCATTGTCTGCCTTCAGGTTCCTCGCTGTCGGTTGCGCCTGGACCGCTGCACCCCCAGCCCTTGGTCTCCTCAACCCCACCAAGGAACTAGAAGAGATATTCGATTCCTCTCGTCCCCTCATCACCGCCATCTGTCGACTCGCTTCATCCCCAGCCGCTCAATTGTCATTCCGACATCCCTTGTACCGCAAAGTCGACGTGTCCAAATTACAGCGCTCTTGTTTTCAAGGACTGACATTCGACAATCAGTCCATTTCGTAGAAACCACCCAATCCACCAATCATGGCTGAATTCGTTCGCGCCCAGATCTTTGGCACCACTTTCGAGATCACCTCGAGGTAGGAGCATATAGCAACGGAGAGATAAAACGTCGGGGTCTGACTTTGCGTAATAGGTACTCGGATCTCCAGCCAGTTGGCATGGGCGCATTTGGTTTGGTTTGGTATGGCTTCATCCGTATTCCCGTGGAATCCATCAGGACATTGCGCTGACGAGCGACTGCGCGCCTCGACTAGCTCCGCAAGGGACCAGCTCACCAACAACAATGTCGCCATCAAGAAAATCATGAAGCCATTCAGCACTCCTGTCCTCGCTAAGAGAACCTACCGAGAGCTGAAGTTGCTGAAGCATCTGAAGCACGAAAATGTTGGCCATCACAATACCCCCCAGTCATGGCAACCAGTCAGGCTAACGTGCCTTTGCGCAGGTCATCTCACTCAGCGACATCTTCATTTCTCCCCTTGAGGACATGTATGTTTTAATCCCACTAGACCGCTTTTACCGCGGTGGCTAATCTGACTGCTACAGTTACTTTGTCACCGAACTTCTCGGAACCGATCTTCACAGACTTCTGACGTCGAGACCCCTCGAGAAACAATTCATTCAATACTTCCTCTACCAGATCATGGTACGTCACTCGGTGTGGTTGCAATGGCCCGCGGGGCACGGCATGGCTGACAGCTGTTTTAGAGAGGCCTGAAATACGTCCACTCTGCGGGCGTAGTCCACCGAGACTTGAAGCCGAGTAACATTCTAGTAAACGAAAACTGCGATTTGAAGATCTGCGACTTCGGTCTGGCGCGCATCCAAGACCCTCAAATGACGGGATATGTCTCAACCCGCTACTACCGTGCTCCCGAGATTATGCTCACCTGGCAAAAGTACGATGTGGAGGTCGACATTTGGAGTGCAGGCTGCATTTTCGCCGAGATGCTCGAAGGCAAGCCCCTGTTCCCTGGAAAGGATCACGTCAACCAGTTCTCCATCATCACAGAACTGTTGGGAACACCGCCGGACGATGTGATCAACACCATCGCCAGTGAGAATGTGCGTATTAGCCCTCGCTTAGTACCGGAAAATGAGGAAACTAACATTTTTTTAAAGACGTTGAGATTCGTCAAGTCGCTCCCTAAGCGTGAACGGCAACCCCTCAAGAACAAGTTCAAGAATGCCGATGAATCGGGTACGTAAAGCGAAGATTCATGGTTATAAGAATGAGAGCGCTGACTCCTGCTAGCAATCGATCTTCTCGAACGCATGCTTGTCTTCGATCCTAAGAAGCGGATAACGGCCACCGAAGCGCTAGCGCACGAGTACCTAGCGCCGTACCATGATCCCACCGACGAGCCATCCGCAGAGGAGAAGTTTGACTGGAGTTTCAACGATGCCGATTTGCCAGTGGATACGTGGAAGATTATGATGTGAGTTGGCTCTATGGGATATCGGCCTTTTGGGCAATCGGAAGTATTTGTTTCTAACTCTGTTGCAAGGTACTCGGAGATCCTCGACTATCACAATCTCGACGCCCAAGTCTCGCAAATGGAGGAGCAGTACAATGGACAATGAAAACCAGGGAGAGCAAGATGACACCCCTCTCCTATCACAATATCAGGGGAGGAGGTGTGTCTCATGATACCACGAAACCTTGCGGCATGTTTCCAATATATCTCGTCGTGCTTATCGGTGTTTGGAGAGGGTTTTCTTCGTCCACTGTGGACGTCAAAATGGTTGTTTCAGGAACATAGGCATGAACAAGAGTGGCAACGCAATTCTTCGGAACTAGAATGGGGCGTGTGTGTTGTGATGGTCCACCACGTATCCCTATGGCCGTGGACGAAATGAGGGTGTTCCCTTTTCCATGGCGTTGGATGAGACGCGAGACTTTTGAGCGTATTTTGTGTGTTTTCCGCTACATTGATATTTGTCACCCCCGGACTGGCGGGCGGTTATGCGATGGATGGCATTGTCTTGTGTCTGAGGGGCCGGCGGGAGAAGACGGCTTGGGACAGTGAAACAAGCACGAAATGACCAAGTTGTGGTTTGCCCGCACCAGCAGGTTGGCTAGTTGAGGGACAAATGAGAACAAATTCAAAGCCAGAGACATTGACATGTGGCATAAATATGACTGCGGAATCAGTTTTTCTGTGGAGGCTTCTCGACTAATGATGAGTCAATGGCTGTGTTCTATCCCACTCTTCATCGTCGTTGGAGGCTGGTGCGCCTCTCGGTGTATTATTTTTGGCATATGTTCGTTTTCAAGAAGCCGGCCAGTCGCATACACAGAGTTCTAAGAAAATGAACTCCGGGTCAGGAGGTGTCATCTATGCAAATATTGATTGTTACTGTACGACATCTGAGGTACCATGGTTACATATATATATTCCTTGGCTAGCCAGTCTATTTTCTTTTTTTTGCCTCTTCTCCCTGGCTAGGGAATGTACGCAATCTCTTATATGTATCCGGTAACTTTGCAAAGGGAAGCTGCAGCCCTGGCGCCGGCGGTTTCTTTTTATGCTGAAAATGACCTGCTGCTTTCTGCTTGGTACAGTGCATACATACATCATTCTATACTACATACATATAGGCTCATGCAATGCACGACACGTTGGCAGAATCTCGTCCAGCAATCGCCCGTCATTCTCGGCGCAGGAATCAAGAAGAGATTTTCTTTTCTGCCGCCTTTGCATCCATCTCGAAATACGAAGCATGCTTATTACCTTTACGTTGGTCCAACATTTGTATTTATTGGCACAAGTGGTGATCCATATACTCACTTCTCTGTTGATACATATCAACCTGATTTTAACCGATATTTTAGGACGAAAAGCGATGAAATCTGAAAGGGTCCCAAAAAGGCCGAGACTCGGGCGGCGGCGGCACGTGACTGAATTTGCACCGACGAATTGGAAATGCGGCGCGCGCCTCCCCCCCATTCAAAAAAGAAAAGACTCGGGAGTCGGGGTTGCTTGCAGACAAGGGATGGTGGGGCGGCGGCGGGGGTGTTAAGAAAAGAAGGTGGGGTGGGGTAGCCTGATGAGGTGGGCGGGCGCCATAGTGGGTGGTGGACGGTGGATGGATCGTCTGGCCATCGAAGCGGGCTTCTTGTTTCTGCTTTGCTCAAATCGAAACGCATTGGCACGAAAGAAAGAAGGGATGAGGCTACAAAGAACGAAAAGAAAAAGAGACGGCTAGAACGGTTTGGTTGAGTATCTAATTCATTTTCGGAACCTGCCTCTTTTGGTTTGACATGCTTCGGTTTCCATGTTCGTTCCGTTTTTTCCCCCCGTGACTGGTGTGACAAACAGGTATCTAGATACACGTGTGTGAAGGATTCTTATTTAATTATTTTTAGAGTTGAAAAGAAAACAACAATATACGTTATTAGACAAGTAACCACGAAACAAACCGTCACCGGGCGCCAGCTCCGTTTTATTATTATTTCGAGTCCGGGCCCTACCTGGGAGTCTTCTCAGTTCCATTCCTGTTTGACGGGCGGCCGCCGGTGGTAGGGCAAGTAGACCAAGGATCCGCTCGATCCAGGTCCGTGGGGAGCTGGAGGGCTTCAAGACGTGGCCAACCTTGAGTTCCGTCCCCCATTTGGGACCTGCCTTGCCGCCGTTCAATTGTAATTGTAACTAGAATTGGAATTGATTCACCGACCTACCTACTCCGTACTGCCGTGCGACGCGGGACAAAGCAGAGCTCCCACTTGCACTTGCACCTAGCAAGTAGCAAGCACCGCAATATCGCCCACGTCACTCTACCTACCGACACTAAGCTAGATCTCGCTAGCACACCGTCACCTCGTTCTGCTGCACTGCATCATCCCTACATACCTTAGCTACCTACCTACATTGCCCTCTGCGCGCCTACTTAATGTCCAGTGCCCGCCCGTCTACCGCCGAGATCCGATCCCGCTGACCGCCTTTGTCGAGGTCTGGTTCATCTCGAGGACTGTTTAACCTAGAGGGTTGACCCGAGAATCTCCCTGTCCAACGAAGCCCAGAGGGAATTGTGCTGCGTGCAGTGCCTCGGCCCTCGTCCCCAAGCAATAGCAGCGTGTGGACTCGTCGCGGCCGTGATTGTGCTTCTCTCTTTGGCCAATTGCGCCTCCCGACAGCCGCCCTACACAACTGTGCCGCCAGGGTTTATTTTCTTCTTCTTCGCCCTGCCCCCCCCCAGCTCAGGGACCGCCCGTCTACCCCCCTCCGGCCGGCGCGAGGCGAATATAAATTCCGAGAAATTTCGGGACGTTGAGAAGAGTCGAGTTCGGGGAAAACGAGACAGGGAAGGGGGTCGAGAGAAAGAAAGAGAGAAAGAGAAACAAAAGAAACGGGCAGGCAGGCAGGCAGCCTTGATTGTCTTTTTTTTGGGAACAACCCCACCACCCCTCGACTCGACCTTGGGATCCCCCCCTTTTCACTGCACAACAGCAAAGCAAAAAGTATTGGCCACCGCGGCTTCGACGCAACGCAATCCCCCCGTGCTAGACAGAGAGTAATAATATCCATGGCAGCATCCGTATAATAGACAGGCTCGGAAAAAAGAAAGAAAAAGAAGCTTCATGGTTACGAGGGCAAGCTCCGCCGACGCCTCTGCCCCTCCTCCCAAGCAAGGCATAGCTTTCGTCCCGCCCCACGCCCCGCGTCTTTGCGCCCCGTTACTCTTTTGATATCCCGAAGCCATGTCTGATCCTGACACCCTAACGAACGGCGCGACGCCGCCGCCGCCGCCGAGCGAGAGGAACACCGCCGCTGTCGAGAACGGCGCCAAATCCGGCGGCTTCATCCCACTAGTCTCGGTCGTCGACTTCCACCATGCTCGCGGGCCCGAGGTGGAGAAGTGGTTTGGCGTAGACGAGGGCTCTGACCCGGCCGCCGAGTACGACTGGGCCTTGTTGCCGTTCATGGCGCTGAGTGATGGTGCCCATGCGTAAGTACTCTCTTTTGCGAAATCCCGAATGGTCTAGGGTTGCGGCGGATGCTATAAAGGAGAGCAGGAAGGCGGGAGGATGGCGAGTCCGAGGGAGAAAACCATATCTTGGAGCGTGCTCGTTGACACTGTGCTGTGCTGACCGCGGCTGTCTGGTTCCAGGGCGACAGAAGACTTCTCTTACTTCACCCTCCTGCGTCCTGCGACGAGCGATGCGCCCGCGACATCGCTCTTCGGGATATCGTGCACGAGACAGATGGACGCTTCGCAGCTGCTCGTGAGGCCCGCCGAGGTAACCCGGTCGACTGTCCAAAAGGCCGTGGTCATCATTGCCGACAGCCCGCAGTACTTTGGCGTGCTTAGGGAGCGCCTAAGTGTTGTGACCAGGGCCTGGTTTGCCCAGCGCGAGTTCACCGACACGGAGATCCTGCGGCGCTTCCAAGAGAGTCTGGCAGACGAGAAAGAGCGCGGCTTGCTGAACGACGACGAAGACAGAGACCGGTACCTGGGCATGAGCCTCAGGGAGCTCGTGCGCGAGTTCAAATGGCAGACGCTCGTCCTGCTCAAATCCTGCTTGTTACAACCCAAGGTGAGTTTTATTCTCTGTCTTGTCTGCGTGCTGCTCTAGCAGGTACGTCTCGCCTCTTTCTTGGGTTGATGCTGACTTGGGGGCCAAATATGTAGATGCTTTTCTTTGGCTCGCGGTGCGAGCGCCTGTGCATGATGCAGTTTTCTCTAATATCTTTAATACCCGGTCTCCTTCGGAACCTCCAAGACTCTGCCGGCCCAGAACTAAGCAATTACGAAAAGAAACTCGCCAAGCCGACAAGCTTGAGAACCAGCGATCGGAATTCCCTGCTGTCTTACATGGGCTTGCCACTGCAGATATTCGGAAAGGTAGGTACATATTAGTCTTCGTAGCCCATGACTCTGTGGCTAACTTTCTGGCCTGTAGGGAAGTTTGTTTGGTCCATATACACCGCTTCAGCAATTAGATGTACTGGCAGACTTTGGCACCAAGTCGTATATCGTAGGCAGCACGAACTCGCTTCTGCTGCAGCAAAAGGACCGGTACAGCGATATCCTAATTAACCTCGACGAAGACTCCATCAACATCACATCGACATCACTCAAGGCTGCCCTGCAGCTGTCTGTCTCGGACCGTCGTTGGATAGACTTTATCACGCAAAACGTCAACGAGACCTGGGATGAGGCAAACCCTGGCCGGACAAAGACCATGGGCTACGTCGGCAGCGAAGAGTTTATCCGCCTTCAGTTTGAGGAGTATCTCCTCTCGCTCATCTCGTCGGTGAAGTACCATAACTTCATGCTCAAGCACGCCAATAATCCCAAGATGCTGCTGCCACACATTGAAGGTGACCCGTCTCTCGATTTCTCTCCAGAGTTTGTCGAGGCGTGGTCGCGGACTGAGAACTACCGCATCTGGGACAGCCACACAGACTCTCACCTCTTCGATATTGTAGACCCAAAACACCCTTGCGCCGGCGGTCTAACCATTGACGATGTCCAGCGCCGTATCGCCCAGCAGGTCCAAGACCTGCACCTCGACGAGCGCTTCGCCCAGGGCCGCGAAGTTCTTGGGCGCAATCTGGCTGCAGGCCGCGAAAAGGCCAGCACAATGTTTAACAAGCTCTATGCCGACATGGAAGCGCTCCGCGAGGCACAGAGGAAGCGCGCCGAAGAGGCTAGGCTGCAAGCCGACTCAGGTGGGCAGGCCGACAAGAACGGAGGAGTAGCCGCTGCCGTCGACCTTGCCAAAGCCCAACAGACGATGCAGGCCGTCGGGGTAAAAGCCGGCGCATTTGTGAATAGCTGGGCCGCCTGGGCCGGGGAGAAGCGCAAGGCGGCCGGCTGGGGCCGGTCTTCGGGCAACAGTGACAACCACGTTGCATCCGGGGCCGGGGCCGCAGCCGCCGCCGGAAGTGGGGGAGGCGGAAGCGGGGGGAGCTGGGCGTCTGGATGGGTCAAGGGAAGCAAGAACCGTGCATCACAGGCATCCCAGGCGAGCGGATCTGACGCGCTCTTGGAAAAGGACGTGGCGGCGGGTAGCAATCGTCTCCCGCACATATCAACATCCTCCACCGTAACGAGGCGATCGGACGACACGGGTAGGTCCGAAGAGCGGGCGCTGAACCGAGGCTCCATCAGCGGCGAATCCATCCTCGACGACGTATCCGAGAGCGGCTTGTCATCGTACCCTGCGTCGCCGCAAACAAGGCGACCGCCCTCGGGAGGCGCCAGCGCTCCTGCCATTGACAGCATATTATCTGCGAGAGGGGACAAGAGGGGGTCGCAAAACGGAACAGCACCTCCGGTCACCGTATTTTCCTCCCCACCAGGAGCGAAGAGCAGCAGTAACAGCGATAATGCCGTAGCATCGAGCCGGGCCCCACACGAGAGGGGCGCGAAAGGCGCGGAGGCGGAGGCGGAGGCGGACGAGACGGAGATGGAGCCGTTACCACCGACTCCATCACCTGCAGCAGCGGCTGCGGCCGAGGCGGCCGAGGTGCAGACCATGTGAAAGAGCACTTGAGGCCAAAGGGAAGAGAGAGAGAGAGAGGCTATCCATATGTACAAGTACAGGTAAAAGTAAAGTACGGGGTATGCTCGTCTGCGCCGTGTAATCAGGCTGTCGCAAGCAATGCAGGCTAGGTCAAGCATGGCCACAATACATGAGTATAAAGTAGCTACCTACCTTACCTTTGGCAGTAGTAAGACAGAGGGGAAGGCGGAGGCGCACCACCAAAGACTAAACTCAAACTCGAGGCTCGGTGTACGTATGATGCGCCCTAAGTACAGAGGGAGGTTTAACTTTGAGTACAAGTCGCGTCCGGAAAACGTATGGGGTCTTATCTCGGTTCTCTCTGGAACTGAGGTACTTCTGCACAATAAAAGAAATAAACAGCAGGGTACAGTTGACAACATGTATATATAGGAAAGGTAGTGTGCAGAATCAAGCAAGTACGGTTCAGTCAATCTCTGTAAACCAACACGCCAGCTTTATCTGCACCACCTTCCTACCGCATGCTTCATATAAAGGAAAGGGGCAACATAGAAGCTAGCTTGGGCCAGGTAAACAATCAACAACCGACAAAAAACCTGCACCACCTTCCTACCGCATGCTTCATATAAAGGAAAGGGGCAACATAGAAGCTAGCTTGGGCCAGGTAAACAATCAACAACCGACAAAAAACCAACTGCACATCAGCATACCAAATCGCAACAATAAGGCCGCTGTCCAAAATTAAACCATGCTATGACTAATCTTGGCAGATATACCTATACAGATATTCTGCTGAAGCAGCAGGTACACCATACTAGCCAAGCTCGCTGCCATCATCTCCCCCCATTGCCTCAACCGCTGCGGGAGCCTCTTCACCACAAGCACGATATGAATCCCGAACATGCGCCTTCGCGCGTCTTAGCCATAGGCGACGGCAGACACAGTCGATAGGCTTCAAAAGTCTTCGCTTAAGGGCCGTCTCTGCCACGAGATATGCCTCTCTGCCAATGCTTGCGACCTGGCTCTTCGTCAGTGTCCTGTCCCTTGCATCATATCGGGCTACCTTGGCGGCCACTATACATGTCACGTCCTCGTCAATCAATAATTTCCTCTTTTTCCCTCTTGAGATATTGTCCCGGTCCTGAGCCGAGACAACATTATGGTCGCCGGAGTCGGATTCGGCGATTTTCCCGTCTTCAAGGGCTGTATAAGCTTTAGGGGTCATCTTGTCTTCAGGGGCCCTCTCGGTGTTGAGGGCAGTCTCAGTGTTGGGGGTAGTCTCGGTGTCAGGGGTTGTCTCTCCAAGGGCTGCCTTTTCTACTTGGGCTGTCTCGTCTTTGATGCCTGTCTCGTAGCCCTCGGCTAAGCCTGTCTCGTAGCCCTCGGAAAAGCCTGGTTGGAAGCCCTCGGGCGGATGAGCGGGTAGACGTTTTGAAAACCATGCGCCAGGCTTGATGGGGTCAGGCTTGATGGGGCCATCCCTGATGGGGAATTCCTCGTCCGATGTGTCGCCATTTTCTAGGCAGTCTTCTAAACATATACTTGACACCGAATCACTTAGTTCGTCTTCGTCTTTCACTGAACTTACATCACCCTCACAAGATGCGTCTGGGTCCATGGTGCACAGCTTTCCTTCCTCGTCAGTATAGTAGAGAGGAAATTTTCGGGGGAAATAGATCCGATGTTTATCCACGTCCTCCTCCGAGACAATCTTAGGCGCTTGAATCAGGGTTGACCGGTCGTACTTCTCTTCGGCCAAGAAGTCGAGCGGGTACACGTTTCCAAATGAGATACAAGGCTCGTCATAGTCGTGAATGAATTCGGGGAACCGAATTGCCATCATTGTGGTCTTTCCAAACTCGGGGCTGGATTGGTCGAGGAAGCGCCGCCGAGCTTCGCGCTGGATGGCGTCTAGAATGACAGGAACCGTCCCAAGGCCAACGCAGTGGTTCTTCCACCTCGTAAGCATAGAACGGGTATTATGCTTATCGGCTGCGGGCCTGGGATTCGTGTTGAACCATCCTCTGTCAGGGTTGTCAGGGGATACGGTGCCATAACGCAGGAAGGCAAATTGATGGGCGCCTGAGAAATACATCTTGGGCGCGGATTTCATGAATTCCAATGCCTCCCTTTTGTTTTCCAGGCCCAGCCATGTAGCCATATCAGCGTGGTCTTCTTCTTCCTGGTTACTAACAGGTATGACATAAGCCACATTACTGGTCCCAGTGGCACTATCGCAGCTCGAGGGGGAGCAGAAACTCTCTGTGACGTAGGTGGTATGGTTCTGGACGAGGATTTTGAACCTGAGTTTTTTCAGCTGTTTGTCGGAACCAGATTTCGGAAATCGCCGTCTCAAACCGCCAAACAAGAAGCTGGATACCCTTCTGTGGTCCCAGACGCAAGCGCCTGTTTGGATCAGGCTGGGGCACAGGTCAAAGGCGCGAGCTGCGAAAGCAGCCATAGCTTTTTGGCCAGCCACGGGTTCGGCGCCGAATCTGACCACCTCCTTCAGGAATATCTTGCCCTGAATCACCTCGGCGAGAACGAAGAGCGGACGGGGCGCTTTGAAGTCTATAAGGTGGCAGTCCATGGCGACGTTGAAGAGCTGAACCATGGTGTCCGAGTCCGTCACAAAATCCGCCTCGGCTATTTCGTCTGCTACAAACTTCTGGGATATCAGGCGGTGAAACGAGTCCGGTTCCATTCCCTCCAGCAACTGCTGCTCGCTCCTTTCGGGCTCAGCCATGTCGAATTCGTTGCCTTGGTGGCCAAAAAACTTGCTGGGCTGGATGTGAGGCGGGTGTGCTAAAAAGAAACGAGATGCTAAAGTCAGCCGTCATATACTCGACACGGCCTAGGCGAGAGCCGAAGACTGTTGAATGGTAATTAATATTCATGGGTGGAACCGACGCACAGTAGCCAGTTGTACCGTCGCCAAACGTCGTGAACTCGTCGACTTCTTCAATGTGCCCCCGCTTCGGCGGGCTATGGCGCCTCTTCACAAAGGCACTCAATGGGTAGTAGCGCATCCCGGAGTACTTCCAGGGGGGCGGTTCAGCGGGCGCCATGTTCCATCAACCCCGGGGCTGCTTGCTTGGGAGAAACGGAGGTTGCCGACAATCTCAAAACTGCTCAAGGGACGGAGGTGGCCCCAGGATGTGCCCGAGGGTGAGCTGAGAATAAGCAGATGGGATATCCCAAAACAAGATATGCGTAGGTATGTTGGTCAGAGAATTGAAGTCGGGAGAGGCGCAGATGAAGTGCTCCAAACCCAGGGTAACCGAAGGTACCTAAGGTAGCCCGGTGAAGGAACTCGGGTGGAGAGAGCGGGAGCCGAACCTTGAACCCAAAGTTAGGATGACCGGTGTCTAAACGGGAAAGAACGAGAACTCGAAAGGTCACCAAGGTACTCAAAACCTTTCAAGTCAGTAATGACAACAGCTGTACCACCTTAGTACTTACTAGTACCTTCCATTTCGAGTTCTATTACACAGCTTGCACCTGCAGGGCCAGGATACCTAAGGTAACCGGCCGGATCTTCACCGTCTTGATGTGGAAGGAGCTTGTGGCTCTTATTCTTTGTATAGTTGCCAACCACCTCACCTAGGAAGCGGCGACCCGTGATCCGCCAAGACCCCGGAGCAACTTTGTAGTATGAGTTCTTGTAGCACAAGCCATAGACGAGTGTCTAATCCAAACAGCACCTCTGCTGTCCCTCATCCAAGCCCATACCCCCAAGACCTACCCAATATTTTCAGGTCCGCCTTCTTCCAAGAAAAGCACGCCCAGCTGCGCATCTCCAGCCACAACCTTGATGTTATCCTGAGGGACAAAGAAGACTCTATCAACTCCCTACCTAGGAGCCTCAGCACCCTCAACAGCCGGTCGCCGGATGCCCTCGTAGTGGCCCACGCCGCCGCGCAGCGAAGCCCCGTCGTTGAACACCCATATCCTCAACACGGTGGGGTCCGGATCGGCCGTCTCGACGTCGGGGGTGTTCATCATGACGGGCACGCCGTCGTCGGTCACGTAACCGAGCTGGCACCTCGTGCCGGCTGGCAGGTTGGCCCGTCCCCACTCCTCGAACACGGCCGACAGCTGGTCCGCCGTCAGGTCGTTGACGTTGGACAGGCCGACCACCTCGTTGTACTCGGTCACGGGCCCCGAGAAGAAGATATCGCGCAGCTCCTCGACCGTCGGCAGCGGTAGACTACTACCGCTGCGCGGCGCCGCCTGGTGCTCCATGCTGATAATGGCGGCGTGCAGCGCGCACTCGAGGTCGTCCCCAGGCGTAGCGAGCCGCACAAACCGCCCGCCAGGGAAGGCGTCCCAGAAGCGCTGACGCGCGTGCACGTAGGCCCGGCTGCGTGGGAGCTGCGCGCGCGCCGCGTCGAGGAGGATGTCGGCGGCCTGCTCGATCGCCTCTGGCTTCTTCTCGTAGGCGGCGTCGTCGGCGGCGGGAGAACCTTGGCTCCACTGAGCTTCATCCATGGTGTCTTGTTTCACAGGTGTTCAACCCCGGTGTGGCTTATGGGAAGCGGCAGGGCTGGCTATCAAGTCTATGTGCTTGCGTTGATGTTTTGGATGCGGCGTTTTGGGTGGGTTTGGACTCTATTGTGATGTAATTGAATATAATCGCGAAATTGCTGCTTGCTGTGTTTGGACGGGGAAAGGGTGCGAACGGGGGAGGCGCTGGCTCTTGAATAAGCTATTATTCTCCCAACAGCGCAAACCCGCAATGGCCTGTTCCATGTTTTAGGTGCGACCGCAATGGTGACCTTGGGGCCGGTGCTGACGAGGCCCGTCGAACCGACGCATCCACTCCGCTGGTGTTTTTCGGCTTCTTTTCACCGACTTGAGTTGTATTGATATTGAGTTGAATTGAGTTGATTGGAGAACGGTTAGGTGATGTGTTGAGTGCCAAGGAACGTAATTGTGGTATTACGTGTTATGTATTGTTTCACTTTGCTCCAATGGGATAAACAGAACGTCAATATAGTATTGCACATCATCCTGTTGTATTTTGCTTAACAGTACTCCGTAATACGGATAATCATCCCTAAAACGTTATGGAAATAGGAACCGTTACGGAGCGACAGCCATCTGCAGCCACCACCTTCGGTACCTACGAGTAGGCATCCGTGAACTGATCCGTGAACTGTAATGACTACTTCGACTGCCAATGAGAGAGAAAGTGAGGTGAGAGATACGCGAAGAAAATTACCGATACTCTGTGAAAGGAAGGGCAAGGGAAAGGGAAGTTGCGCTTTGAACGAGTTTCCTGAGAACGTGGAAGTGAACTATTTGGAATCCACCGGACCATCTCTCTTTTTGTCCTGGCAACCTAGGTACAGGTAATCATTTCTCATCAAGCACCACCAACTGTCTTCTCGAATGCATGGAAGGTTCAGACAAGAACATTAGGCAGGCTGTCCTCTTCGAGAGGAAAAGGTAAGAATAGTACAAGGCTTAGGGTTTCTAGAACTAACTAGTATATGGCAATGTCGAGAATTGGGGCCTTCTCATCAAAGTCAATGATCTTCTTCCCGTTCTCGAACGTTCACTCGACCTCTGTGACCACTGCGGCTGAGATACAGCCTACGGTTTGCGCAATACTGCCGAGGTCAGCCACATCCGATCGCGGCAGCGTGAGGTTCACGTAAGACGAAGGCGCCGGATCTATCAAGAGTGTCCGAGCCTGAGTCCTCCTCATTGAAGTAGCCGTAGTAACGAGACATTGTGTCGCTGAGTGAACCAGAGGGGAAGAAAAGAGGCATGTGGTGAAGCTTTACCTCCAAACTTCAACAAAACACCAGCGTGGTTCTGGGCTCAGGCGAACTTTCATGCTTCTCAGCCGGCGCAGCCCAGAGCCTCGCTTGAGACTCCGAACGCTCCTTATCTACCCTCAGTATTCTTGACTAACCGCTTGTCGTGCAAACTGAAGGCGAATGGCCAAGTAACATGCACAACGTGATCAGGTGCATCGAGAGCCTCGCGAGGCTGCAACGGCATTGTGAGGGATAACCCCGACTAAACTGCCTGGCGCTACCCATGGAACCTTTGTCGGGGCAAATCTCTGCAAAAATTGGTTGCGGTCACGGCGCTTTTAGTCCCATCTTTGTTCGATACGAAATGACAACTTGATGAACAAATAGCTGGGGCAAACGGGCCTATCGCGTCTAGTTGCTGGTACCGTGTTTCTCCTATGCGGTATACATGCCGCGATATCCAGCTACTTTCGGAAAGTCGCTCACAATATAGGTAGAGAAGCCCGGCGTATGTGGCGCTAGGCAACTGACATTGGACAAGGTTGAGATAACAGGTAGACAGACTTTGGTGTCCAGTCAAGTCTTTCCCCACGCCAATATCCCCCCCCCTCCACAAAAAAAAAATACATCTGCCTCGTTCGAATCTCGCAATCCCAAAACGCGATTCGCAAACCTACGAGGCCATACGACCCAATGCCCAGTTCCGAGTGTGGGGTGCTCTACGGATAATGGGGGGTCACCGTCGAGCGTCGAGCGAGCGGCACACACGGCTATGACCCAGCTGGGGCCGTCTCGTGGCGATACGAACTAAAATATGCCATTACGAATGCAGCGAGACCTTGGACTCTTCCACCTGAAGCCCGGTCAAGGCTATGGCTCGTTCATTTATGGTTTTGCACATGTTGGGTGTTGACGCCAGTGAGGTCGGTTGCTGGGCGACGGTTCAGGGGTTGAAGCAGCCGGGTTTACCTTGAATTAAAGATCGGCATATACATGCAAGCAGCGCACGCTGACACAGGCAAGCTACAAACAACCCAGCGGTGTACCTCGTACTTTGAAGAGAACACGCCAGATTTTCGGGAAGGGGATCGAGCGAGAGAGCGGGGACGGTTTTGACTATGTACCCCGAGTTCCAGGCTGTCTTATCATGTACAGTACCTTCGGTAGGTATCCCACAGGAAAGACCGCGGGGCTGGCCAGAGCCGCCAAGCCAAGGTTCGACAACACACTCGTCGGGCTCTCTCTAGCCTTGGCCTGCCTTTAACATCGGGGCACAGCAAATAGGAACCGTCCCGCGTCTTCCTTTATTGTCTGCAAATGGGCCAGCGAATACCTGTGCAGGGGTGAATGTGGCCAGTGTTTTTTTTTGTTTTGTTTTTAAACTGCAGCCAGGACTTGGGTGCATGCCTTTTACCGGAAAATCCGCCTTCCTATTGATTGATTGTTAGGGCAAGGCTTTCCCGGCTTCCGGGATGTGTCGCACATGTCCACTCCGTACTGCTAGACGAGGTCCAGCTACTATCAGCAAACTTCACTCGCATAGAGAGTGAGAGCGAGACGGATCCTCGCTTCCTCGCCAGAAACCCAATGTATGAGACTCGTAGCAGCAGTCTGAAAAGAAAGACGTCTGCCTAAGTAGGCGAGAACCTTGTCTCAAGACAACTAACTGTGTGGAACAGCGGGTGTTGGCAAAGCCAAGATGGGGACCAAATAACTGCCTTGCCGCTTATTCAGAGGCTGCGGCTACGGCACGAGACAGTCGTCGTTGTCGGTCCCGTGTCGGGCCTCGTCATCTGTCTGATATACTAGGTATCTTGAGTCGAACCTCGCGCGGATTTATAACGACAAGCCACACACACGACCTCGCCACCGGGGTGCGCAACCAAGAAGGTGTTGGCATCAGAAATATACGGTAGAGCAACTCTACACGAGACAGATGATTATCGGTTTCCAGGGCTGCATGCTGCTGCACAAACCATTTTCGTCTGTTTTGGAAAAAGTTTGGGGGCCGGCCGCAAATTCCATCTATCCTGCCCATCCATCCCAACCAACCTCGCCGGGCTGATGATCCGCTCCCTCTCCGCCTACGTATCTATTTATCTATCTGTCCCAAACATTGACACATGCGCCGCTCTTGGCTGACACACGGCCTCTACCGCCGCCGCCGCCGCCGCAAAAGATAGAAAACGAATAAGGAACACAAGAAGTACAATAACTGGAACTGAGGCCTTCCTTCCTTCCTTCGCCCGTTCTTCTGGGAGCCGGGCGAAGCGTCGCACATGACTGACTCCATCACCAACACCAATGCCAACCACCTGGCCGTCTGTATGCTTGCAACGAAGAGCCAGTTGGCTACACAAAAAGAGGTACACGAGGGTGCATTACATGTGTCTGCAGCATGCATGCTGGGAGAGAGGGAGAGAGGGAGAGAGGGAGAGAGGGAGAGAGGGAGAGAGGGAGAGAGGGAGAGAGACAGATAAATAAACGACCGAAAGGAAGAGGAAAATTCACAAACCGTGCAACCACACAACAAACCAACGGCCCTCCCGGCTGTGTGTGAGGGAGAGTGTGTGGTCCCGTGTTGCACCGTTGTGACGTGATTGATTGATCGACTGATTTCCCCTTTTGAGGCTGAGACTGCAGTGCGACTGGCAGAGTTTGTGGTTCTTCTTTTTTGGGACTGTGGTACAGGTACGGTTCAGTTCAGTCCACATGTGTTTGCTGCTCTTGGCCGCACACACGAATATCCAAATCAAAGCCCTCCTCACCTCGCTGCAGAGGCCGTGCATAGCTTGTTTGTTTATGACAGAGCGTACCTTAGGGGGCGTTCAAGAGCTCCGGATCTGTCAATAGTAGGAATGAGGCTGCTCAGCGGAAAGGGAACCTCTTCGTCACATATCAAAGCCACCCCCTTTCTTTTTGCCAAGCCTAGGTACAGAAGTTTAAACCCAAGTCGATCCCAGACGGCAACCACCCAACGGACGGACACGCAGCGAGCGCATTTCATCTGGTCTAGCTTAATTCATGGGACACTTCGTAGTACTCACTTCATCCCTTTCAATCCCTGTTAACTTCCACCCGCCAGGCTCTAAATTCTAGGAGTAAAAAGAGACTAACGAACCGGGTAAAGAAGCATCGCACACACTTTTCATTTTCCAACAAAGGGACCTCTCTTTCCGCCTCGGCTCACATAGAGAGATTCACAAAATGACTTGGAAACGAAATAGAGTGAAGACCATTGCTATGCCCATCAACTCTCCATCACTACCTCGCTAGCTCTACCACCGTACCAAGCGATCCGACTACCTTACTTTAGCTGTGCCGTGAGGACATGAGATGAGTTTGACATGATTCAGAGACAAACGAGACTACCTTGACAAAAAAACTTGATGACTGATTGGGGGAAAAAGGGAATTACAATTCTGACAGCGAACCAATGAATATAGAGAAAAAAAGTGTCAACCCCAAACGAGACAAAAGAACCGCAATGAGTGGGTATGTGTATCGAGACAGAAAAAAAAAAGCGCGTGTCGCGGTGGACAGGATGCGAGACCGACTCAACGCCTTGCCCCCTGGTCTTCTTCTGCCGATAGGGCAGAAGAATAAAAGCTTCCCCGGAATGGCACGGTACCGTGGCCATACCAGGTAAGCAGCAGCGGCAGAAGGAAAGACGACCTCGGCAGCGTCATCGTTGCGTGCTCGGTCCCCTGCTGCTGCCCTGCCAGGTGCCAACCACCGTAGCCAGGTCCATCCAAAGTGTCCAAGTAAAATCGGCTTCAACTCCAAAGAAGATGGATATATGTCTCTTCGCCTCGCTCGCGTCGACTTATATGCGCAACTTCCCCACGTTCATCGTCAATATTCGTCACGCCCCACAACCCGCACGCTCTTCGTTGTTTGCCTTTTTGCTTGTCTCTCCTTCCGTGCTACTTTAGTTGTCGGTTGTAGTGCGATCATCCGCACCGTCGGGCGGCCTCCTTTTCGGGAGCTAGCCGGCTCTCGCCACCTTCAAAGTTTCGTTCACATCAGGACGCACTTGCTGCAGCAGCCGGCTCGCTCGTCTTCGTTATCGTCGAGCTCCAGCTTGCCGGAGGGCCCATCCCGGTTAGAGAGACCGCTTCCTGTGTTCGAGTATCCCTGTACTTGGCGGTTGTAAGATCTGATCGCCCGCACCGTATTGTAGAAGGCATCCTCCACGTAGAGCGCGTCCTTGGCTGACGTCTCTAGGAACTTGCACCCGAACGACTTGGCGAGGGCCAATCCCTCTGAACAAGGCAATTCATGTAAGCAACAAGCTAATCACACGACGCGAGCCTTCCTGCTCAGGACCGGAGTAGGCCTACCGTTATAAGACACCTCCCGCTCTTCGTTCAAGTCGCACTTGTTCCCTACAACCACCATAGGGAACGAGTCCTTGTCCTTCACGCGGAGAATTTGTTGCTGGAAAGTAGTAATCTCCTCGAAGCTCTCCCGCGACGTGATGGAGTAAACGAGCAGAAAGCCCTCGCCTGTCCGCATGTACTGCTCTCGCATCGCCGAGTACTCTTCCTGCCCTGCCGTGTCGAGCACGTCAAGGAGTGCTACCTCGTCATCGATGATGCATTGCTTTCGGTACGAGTCTGTGAGAGAATCCCTACGATTAGCTAATGGTTGCGCGGCTCGTCATGGCCAAGGCTACAAAGAGGTATTGAATTTGTAAAGGCGTTATATACCCTCAATTGTCGGATCGTACTCGTCGATGAAGTGGGATTGGATCAATCGGATCGTAAGGCACGATTTACCGACTCCACCGCCGCCGACCACGACCAGCTTGTACTCTCTCGTAAACTGTAAGAGATCAGATTAGCAAGCAAGAACCACGCGACAGATAAAACACCATCATTGGGAGGGAGAGGCGCTCCGTCTGTGTCGCCTTCTGGACAATGACAATCGAGAGCTGCACAAACCTTGTTGGAGGACATGGTTGTGAAATTAGGAGCGACAACAAAGGCAGTCAAGCTCGAACTGCAATCTTCAGATGAGAAGACCTCAAGCTAGCGAGTGTTATAAAGTCGCTTGCTAAAGAGGTGAGGGAAAGGTGAACCAGGAGAGGTAGGTAAGGAGCGAGTGGCCGCAGAAGTGACCTGGTGCGCGGGTCGACGACGGTCGTCAGGGGGGTCCAAACAAGAAAACGGACGGCGCGGGCTGAACGACGGGAGACGACGGTCGCAAGTCGCTTTGCTTAGGGATCGGCAATCGATTTTCTCTGGCTCGGGACAGAAAGCACGTAGAAAACTAACTTAGTAGCAATAGCAAGCAAGGTAAGGTAGCTGGGTCGCCGGGGCTGTGCGGGTTGAATGAGCAGTAGTGCCGACTAGGAGAAGGTGCGCCGACGAGGGAAAAAAAGACGGCGTATCAGACGACCTGAGGGCCCGACAATCAATCGGCTGCCTGGGGAGAGAGGGGCGTTGACAGAGAAAAGCCGCGAACAGGGCAGATTGAGCTGGTGTGGGTTCTTTTGCGGCGGGTGGTTTTTACTTTAGAGACACAGGCCGTGCCAGAAGGTAAGGTAGAGTAGTCTGGAGGTGCAGAGGAAACACCGCAGACGTGCATGCAGTGGTGGAAGGCACAGAGCAAAGGGGGTCCGTGTTCCTCCCTAGAGAGGGGGGGGGGGGGAACCACGGTGGCCACCACCCCTTTTCTGATTGGCAAATGGCAGTGCGAAAGAGTTAACGTTAGTGCGGTACGAAGATACCAACCCCCTGTCTCTTTCTTGGATACCCCCCCACCCCATTCAGGCCGCCTCGTCCAGTCTAGAACGCTTGTTAAGGGAAGGCGCCCGCCCGAAATGGGTGTCGTAGTTCACTGGAGGTAATACCGTGCTAGATCACACTGTGACGCCTTGAAGTCATGGAACCTATGGATGGAATCCTCTTTCGGCCTTGAGATGGCAACTCCATCATGTTTTCCACCAACACTTCACAGTATTTCTAATGGCGATCTCGGCCTGATTTTTTTTTTTTGCTGTCGGCTACCGACTTTGCCTCCTTACGGCGTCAATCCTTTCCGCGCAAGCCCTGGGAAACATGTCGTAATCCCGTCGCTGGCCGCCAGGAGTCCGGTAAACTAGCGTGCGGCGTCTCCTCAGACTACTGCTCAAGTTCAAAGTTACGTACCTTGCCTTGCCTACTCGGTAGATACCTAGGTATGTACATACTCAGACATATTGATCCCGAGCGCATGTCTTTGATTGCCTTGGCCAGTACGGAGTAGTACTGGCTCCAAACGGGTCCAGGGACTCAGGTCCAGAATCTCTAGACAAAGGAAGAGAACAGAACTAGTGACGCGTTACACTATGTGGGCATCCGCTTCCTCGCTTGGTCGAGCCTAGACGGCCGTCAGGGTGTGTGCATTCCGGGACCAAGCTGCAAGACCCAGTGCACCCACTCGTTGCGCGCGCCGATGGGCGCCCGGATACGGTAGGATGCCGTAGTGGTCGAGTCCCGAGCCTAGCTGTAGTAGCACCCCACAGGTAGGGTACGCGATGTGTGGGTGTGGTGTTTTGCAGATTACTTCATCAAGCCATCGAGTCCTTGGTCGTCTTGCTTATGGAATACTTGGAATATTGATCAGCAAGCAGAGGAGGAAGTGCCTAGGCAACTGAGCTGAGTGGTTGACAACCAACCTGGCAGGATGGATAGGGCTGAGAAGAGCATGTCCTTATGCGGAATCCACAATAGGTAAGATGCAAAGCCCCCTCCACCCTCTCCAGTCAGCAACGATCCTCCTGTCGTGGAGAATACTACGTAGGCAATTATCTCCAATCGTAGGCTTGCCCATACTGCATATATTGGAAAAGACGTGTCGAACCAAAGAATGTTTTTGCCCGGGGGAAGACCACGTCTCGTCCACGGGTTTTATATTCGGCACGGCTGAATACATGCCTTGGTATCCGTGCTTTGTCCTTGGTGTGTCAATGGACAACGGAGGACTGTGAGGGCCTGAGGCGGAAACATGGCGCACTGTGTGATGATGTCTTTCTGCGCCGCAGGGAACCGTGAGAAGTCCCGCAGGCTCCGGGCTGGCAGTAACTGGACAGTATCCGCACAGTCTCGTCAAACCGCCTAGTGAAATGCGGAGCAGCCGGAGACAGCGTGAACACGAGACTACAGGGAAGTTCGCTATTTGAACCGATTACACTAGGCACACATCAGGTTCGTCACCCTCTTATTCTCCGATTTTGTCGTGTTTTGCTTATGTGTAGTGTTCATGGAATGACCAGTCTCTTCCCAGCTCCGCGGGTCTTGAATCTGGCGCACAGACAACCTGAGAAGCGGCGGCGGCGCTACGCACGCACTGAGACTGAGATGGACGGGTTAGGTTATTCGTGTTTCGGGCAAACCGGCTGCTGGCCTTTTTGCCAAAATACAAAAAAGTAGACAAGCACGCACAGTACGGAATATTCAATAGCCCGTCATCAGCCGGACCTTAGCTCTCTTGCTCGCCGATCGAAGGATGAACCGCATCAAGCGCCGGCCACGAGAGCGTTTACGATGGTCGTGTCGACATGTCGTCTCGGACCGTTGCTTCTCTCGGCGCCTAACCCCCAAGCTCCATCATAAGCCCCGTCCGTGATTCGCCGCCATCTTAGATTCGATCGTGCAACACGATGCAACACAAGGCACCGCACCGCACTAGCTGCGAATTGGAGAGAGTCGCGCGGTCATCACCGGCCGCCTGAACAGGCAGGAAAGGCACGGGGGAAGAAAATGGAAAGGCAGTGTAGATCAACGCATCGACCCTAACCACCCAAAAGCCGCCGCCCCCTTTCGTTCCTTGTTCGTCGCATCTTTGGCCGGAGGATCTGCCCACCATAGGTACATACCCCTTTCACATCACACCGACTTGGTAGCACGTGTCTTTTCAGTCGTTTTCACCACCAAAGCCCGCACAAGCCCCTCATCCTCTCCCGTGTGTTGCTGTGCCGCCGCTGTACTTCTGCCGAGTAGTCGGCCTGCAGCTCATCAACCATATTATAGTGGTATACGTGCTCTTCCGCTCAAACAGCAGGTCGAGTCCCCGGCTTTGCAGATGGGAATGCCAGAGCGGGTGCCGACAGTATTAGCATTTGCAATTATTGCAGCCCGTGCCAGGAAGGACAGCCGAAGCCCTCCCCGACGTGCTCGAGACCAAGATTTTGTACAATGCGTACGTTATCGGATGGAAAAGGAAAGGACGTCCAGTTAAGGATTCAGGCCGTTTCGTTTTTGAACCCCCCCGTCACCCCGGGGTGGAGGGTCCCCGCCAGAAGACCCTGGACGGGAAACGTGGAGTCGGGCGTCAAGGTGCTGTACAGAGTTAAGCGGGTCTGAGAATACCTTCCATACAAAACACGTGTGTGCACGCCTCAGGCTACGGCAGCAAAGCTGTTAATCTCTTATTAGTACCTTATGCTACATGCCTTGGCCTTCTAATACGTTGCGGTCGCTGAGCTTGAGAGAAATTGCAGTTGATTGACATAAAAGGTGTTGTCGTTGTCGCGCTCTTTCGCAGTTATGTCGGTGCTTTCATCTGATTGACATGCCTTGAAGATAAGGACCGGTGGGGTGTAGTTGCCGTTTTCCCGCCCGCTGCATGGGTTGATCAAGCTAAGACAACCAGGGACAACTCTCAAATTGAATCTTCGTGATGGGTGCAACCTTCAACTCTCACTCTCAGTGGTATGCTAGACAGTCGGACACGGACGTTACAGAGAATTCCAGAATCTCTCCGGGAGCGGATGCGCTCAATTGCGACGGTAGGATTGTAATTAGAGCAATTGCATAGCAATAGTGAATCCCCAGGATAAAGACTGATAACACGCAACCTTGCCAGCTGTCAGCGAGGTCACAGACCCGGCCCCTACCTCGTAGGATTGAGTGACTGAGAGTTACGTGTAAAGTGAGTCTGTGAGTGTCTTGAATGAAGCGATGACGACAGCTTCACAAGGTATTACCACGGGTGCGCAACTTCCGGAATACACTCACACGAAACTTGTTTCCTAGTCATCAAATAAATCCCACGGCTATTTCTCTACCTAGTGCATGTTCGCTGCCAAGCGTCGTGTTTCAAGGAACACCAGGGCCCCAGCTCGCTCTTGCTCTCGCCATTTCCGGGTTCCCTTCCCCTTCTCACATCGCCCTGGTCTGTCTGTGCGTGGGTGCGCCTAATTTACATACAGAACACAGTATGGAAAAGACACTGCAGTCCAAAATAAAAACCCCCAAAAATGAAATGCTGTATTGCGACGACCAACCGTGGATGAGATAGTCTCTTTGGGGTCTCTTTCTTTTAGATGTGTTGTCTACACTGTCCCGAAAGCAATGTACCCGTACTGTATCTACATGTACATTCCATATTCCGTATTCCATGGATGTTGGCTGCTGCAAGGCGCTCTCCCACGTTCGTTAGGGGGGGACGGTTGCATCGCGCTATCATGACGCTAAGGCAATCACCCAACTTCTAGAACAGCTCTGGAATGCCCGTCGAAGGCGAACCGCATCTTCCCCCCCATGCCATCCATGTGGGTTGCCACCACCGCCTACACGTGAAAGAAGACAGCATCCATGTCCTTTTTTTTTGTCTTCTTTCTTTCCATGCGCAAGCCAATTCCCTCATGCCGGGGGCATGGGAACCTAATAGTAGACGGCGGACTTGACCGACAGACACCTAGACCGACTGAGTTAGCTCTCAAAAGCAAGCCGATGTACACTACAAAACTTCCTGCGCAGCAATCAAAAGAATTATCGCTCGTGTTCTTCTAGGTATTTTTTGAACCATATCTGCCAATTGGTGAGAGGGGGGCGGTGGGCATGGAAAAGGAGAGCGAGTCAGCTGTGCAGCAGCAGCAGCAGCAGCAGTCTCTTACACTTCCGCCAACCAGAAATCAATAGTTCCTGGATTTCTTGATCCTATTTCTATCAACGTTGAAGTTTGGGGAGCGGGGTGAGTGAGTACCTTACGTATTTGCAGTACATTGTTGGCCAGCTTCGGATTCGTCTCGTCGCTTTCCATGTCAGGGACTTCGGACCGCGTCCCCATCACCAACCAACTGCTTTGCATGCTGCAGTCAGAGATATTTCCATCTTACACGCACAGAAACGGCCAGGCAGCACGCGCAGCTCGGGCCGTCTGTCTGGAGCAGGGAAAAGCACCGAGTTTCCCGAACCCTGTCCTGCAAGCTCTCCTCAATTTAGCCAACCTTGTTACATCGTACAAAAATACAGAAACTCGGTCACTATTGGGTACAAGATTCATTCCCCTGGTACATCATCATTCTCACCCTCTGCAGTTACAAGACGGCCTTTAACATAGTGAACCACCTCGGGCGTGATGGATTCAAGGAATTGCTTATCCCTAAGGAAAAGGCCACAGCCAGTCAGCCAGTGCCAGGTAACATATAGAGTAGGAAGGAACGAGAAACTAACTTTCCAACCAGGGTCACCGTATTTCTCTTGTTCCCCCACCTCGGGTAGCTGCCCACCTTGACCCCCTTGGGGCCGACCCTCGCGGCAAGCTCGGTCAAGTATTCGGCGACGGCGCTCTCGGACAAAGGCGTCGAGATGGTGACACGGACCGTGCTGTTTCCTTCTGGATTGTCAAGCCGGGGGAGAAGAAATGGCTTGAGGCCTTCTAGTAGCTTTTCGACTGCGATGGGTCGCGTTAGCCCCCTTCGTTTTCCTCTGGTAGTCTTTGAGGGCCATACATAGCCGAGGAACGCCAGGGAGAATGTGGACATTGCCATTCACCACTGACACCGGGACCCATAGCTCCTTGCACGGGAAGAGGGCCTGCTCCGCCAAGTCCCGGCCGGTGTCGGTTGGCAGCTCAACCATTCTCAGCTTGGCCCGCAAGGCTGGAGACTCTTCGTCGAAGTTGAAAGGGGGCTGGCCACGAGCTGTCGTCGACAACTTCTTCATGAGCGCAAACGCCTCCTGGTGGAGGACCAGAGGTAGCCCAAACGCCTTGGCGATGGATTGATACGTGATGTCGTCATGACTGCCCGCCGTGAGCGAGGACTTCTTTTAGTTTTGCACATTCTTGCTGCCTTGGAGGAACTTTGCTCACGTTGGCCCGATCCCGCCGCTTTGAGGCAAGTTGCAAGTCAGTAAGTAGATGCATCTATGAGAGTGTTTCTGCTCGTGGGAGGCCCATGGATTACCTCGTAACCACAAAGTCATAACGGTCGCTCATGCGGCGAACGGCCTCTATGATTTCGCTTTCATCGTCCTCGATGACGTCGATTCTCTTCAGATTCTGTCCCGCCCACGCCCGGCCATGCTCAGTAAGAAAATCCGGGGGCTCATGGTGCGCGCAGATTAGGGGGTCATGGTGCCACTTACAATACCTAGAGAGAAGCACCACGTTGCCATGAAATTCGAGTTGGTCTGTTTGAGCCTGTCGTCAGTTTGGCACTCGGGGCAGATTGCTCCCCACTGTCCAATCCCAGGCCGGGACTGTTTCTCACGTCTTTTGTCTACTTGCAGGCATAGCCAGTCAGTCGGTCAGCGTGGCCGTCATGCAAACGGGATGTGGTGTTTGTCTCGTTTGAACCTGCCTTCCCGCCGAGGACTTCATCCCCGATGATCAAACATGCTGCCGTATGAATCTTCCTTGAGCCGCGCTCGTCTGCCGTGACTGCCGAGGCCATGGGCGATGTTAGAGCTGTGAGATTCTTGCGCTGCAGTGTGGTCGCTGACAAGTGGGCTAAGTTCGACCGAGGTCGTGAGAGATGACGCGATACCTGTGAGAGACGCGAGAACATTGAAGACTGCCTCGTTCAATTCCGGTCTGGATACCTGGGTTTGTTAGAACGAGGCCTTCTCTGATCCCGTACCAGCCAGTCGTCGGCTAAAATAATTAAGACGGCTGAGATCAAGTAATTCGGCGTTGCAGGAATTCTATACCAATAAGGTGTTCCAGATTGCGCTCCAGGGGAGGAGGGGTGGGAGGTAAGACGAAAGCCCCCCTTGACGTACACAGATCCTAGCTCCGAGACAGGGCTGCCGAAGCGGGGCACACAAAGCTAGGCGGAATGCGGGGCAACTTAGGCGGCTTAACGACAACCTTGAACCTCGACAACTTCAACTCGTCTGCTTGCATCTTGTCTCTGCAACAACTGAAGCTTCAAAGCTGGCCATCAATTCAAATACTTCTAGCTCTCTCTTCCCGGAATTCTTGATAAATTCTCTTCCACGAGAAAAGAGGCCTTTCAGACACAATGGTGCGCCCTCCCCTCCTTTCCCCGCTGGCCTCGACATTGCAGCCCGAGCAATCCCTCCCTACCTTCCCCCGTTTTCGAGCCGGGCCGGCCCGTCTCCACCTCTATACTAACGCTTAGATGGTTCCCTCTCATCCCCAAAGGCGTCCGAAGCAAGGCTGTACACGATCACGGACGATACCAAAGAGAAGCTGCGCAAGTTCCGGCTGGGGACTTCACGAATCAACGAGCCGCAAGCCGTCATTTGTATGTACGTTTTTTCTCGACCTGCCTCGGGCCTTCCCACCAGGTCCTCTGTGCCTGCTATGCTATGCCATCTCCATGCCATCTTGCTGACACAATATCTACGTTGACAACTGCAGATTTGATCGATAAGCAAACGAAGGAGATCCGCCAGGACGAAGATGAGGTCCTGTACAAGACGCTCGAAGACATCGCCGATGACCTGCCCGAAAACTCACCACGATTCGTCCTCCTCAGCTATCCGATGATCACGGTAAGCCAAAACCGCCAACATACTCCGGTCGAACATCCTCGGGGTGTATTGAGGGAGAGCAGCACTATTGCACAGCGTTCGGCGCTGACAGAAATGGCGGGGCGCAGTCAGATGGGCGGCAGAAGGTGCCGTACGTCATGTTCTTCTATATGCCCCAAAACTGCAACGCTGCACAGCGCATGTTGTACGCGGGTGCCAAGGAGCTGATGCGCAACACGAGCGAGGTAACCAAGATCGTCGACCTGGAATCGGCCGAGGATCTGGAAGAGGTCCCCACGTTACTAGCCGACTGACGGGGCCGACTTACTTCGCGAGTGCGATAAAGTCAGAGTGGCCGAGAGACGTGAGCGAGACGGTGCAAATCAGGGCAGAGTTAGATCTCGGGCGCAGCTGAAAGACAGATCAGATACCAAATACGTGCTATGATGCTTCTATTTCGCTTTTAAGATGTCTTATTATTATATACAAAAACTTTGGGTGCTGGTGATTTGGGGGATATTCTGGCGTTATTATCATGATTCGTCGGCGGGCATAATCTCATTTGGGTCGAGCCCTATTTGGTCAGCAAGGGTTCTGACAACACTCTTGAGAGCCTTGCAGGCTGGGCTGTCTGGGAACGAGTCGAAGAAGCTTTCGCCGTAGTCGCACGACATGCCTATCCTCGGGTCTAGCGGCACGGAGCCGAGGAACGGAATGCCCATTTCCTGTGCCAATGCCCTTCCTCCCCCTGTGGTGGCGCGGAATATTTCGCTGGCGTGTGTGCACTTGGGACAAACAAATAGGGACATGTTCTCGATGAGCCCGAGGACCCTGATGTCGGCCTTGCGGCAAAAGTCTATCTCTTTCCTCACGTCTAGCAGCGACACCTCTTGCGGCGTCGTGACAATGACGGCGCCTTCGATCCCGCTCTCCTTTAGGAATGTGTTAACGCTCAGGTGCTCGTCGCTCGTGCCTGGCGGTGTGTCGACGAGGAGGAAGTCTAGGTCACCCCACTCAACGTCTTTGAGAAACTGCTTGATCAAGCCGTTCTTCTTGGGCCCACGCCAGATGATGGCATCGTCGCGGTTGGGGAGCATAAATTGAATTGACATGACGGCCAGGTTGTCCATTGCCCAGGCGGGCGACCAGCCGGCGCTGCTAATGTGTATGGTCTCGGATTCGACGCCGAGCATCTTGGGTATGCTGGGTCCGCATATATCCGTGTCCATGACACCAACGGTGATGTCTGGGTTGGTAGCGAATGCGCGCGCAAGCTGGCAGGTCACCGTGCTCTTGCCTACGCCGCCTTTGCCGCTGAGAACAAGGATTTTATGCTTGACACTAGCGAGCCGTGCCGTGATGAGGGGGACATCCGGGTCGGGCCCCTTGGGCGCAGAGGCACATATCTTCTGGTTGGGGCAGCCGGCGCACGAGTCGGCGACACCAGCTTGTTCCGAGTCGGGGCCGGGGCAATGCTCGGGTTCGGGCGCGACGAGCTGCGGCTTCTGCTTGAGCGGGTTCGCTAGCACATCCTCGACGGTCTCAGGTGCTTCGAGTGATGGGGCCATGACTGCGACGTTGCGATAAGTTCCAACGCGGGTCTTGCAACTCGATTGCGAAAAGGGTGTGTGGTTACTTTTCCTAGGTGTGGCGAGATTAGAAATCGACTTCTCACCTCCCTTAGCTTTGTTAATTTCTGATGGAGGGGTTTATCTTATCGCAGGGGGGTGGGCATTGGTGCGCGGGGTTCGCGCGTTTGCGCTTAGAATGGTTCCACACTTAACTCCACAGATCGCCAAGACTACTCTCATTGGACCATGCCAAAAGTGAACCCGGTTAAGGTGGTGTGGTCACTGGTGCGGTATCTCCGAACTTGGACACTTGAAGAGAATACTAGAACCGTGAACGTGGAAGGAAACGAACAGGAAAACAGAAAACGGCAAACGGCGGGGGAAGGCTGCCAAGGTGCATTACCCGATAACACTGCCAAACTTGAAATCATCTCCCGAATTATCTCTGCTTGCCGATATCGTCTGCAATGGTTCTCCTGCAAGGAGGTAAATGGAACTTTGAACGGTAGTTTCCAGGCCGGCGGACGATATCACGGCAAGTCGCGGCGTTAGCTCGGTGTAGAAGCTTGCCCCTCCACCATTTATGGACACCACTTGCATGCCCATATCTCTTGGAGAGAGGAAGTGTTACAATGAGAAGTGGCAGAAGTAGGTCGAGAGGGCTGTCCTTAGCTTCTCTTTGTCCTTAGCACCCCCTTTCAACTGTTCTTAAGCAGACTTTGAGCTCCCATGATCAAGGTATTCCCAAAGCGGCACTCCGGTCACCGACCGACCTGGAGATATCTGCTTCTTGACCCTCGGTCAGAAGGTGGCGATCGTCCTGACTCATGGCATGCTGTCCGATAAGAAGAACAAATCAGGGGGGAGGGGGGTGGCGAGATGTGGGAGGGTATAGCAGACCACGTTCGCATCGGTGCGCGCCAATGAGATGATGCACCTAGCGGCTTCCCAAGATCGGACGGAAACTCTGTCTCTCTCATACATGATCGTCGAGTGCGGTCGTAGGGTAGGGAGACATAGGCATCCCGTCCCAACCCCCCTTGGAAGCTAGCTTGCCCGGCCTCAACGAGTCGCGACAGACACCACGGCCTTTGCGCTCGAGCCGTGATTGGCTCGTCGCAGACGGGCAGGCCAACCATGTTATCAGGATGATTCGTCGTCGTGGTTGCGACGGCGGACTCGGAGGGTGTCCTCATCATCGGGCGTCTACGCTGCGGATGGCGCATTCGGCCGCGGGGGACGTTGGGTAGGCATGGGTCGTATGCAGGAATAGACGCAACGGCTCGTCGAAGCGATGGCAGCAGCAGCTCTTAGTGGCCAATGGCCAGAGAGAAACATGCACGTCCAATCCATTTTCCCTTCGCGATGCAGGCTGGGGAAGAAAACGGGGCGGCCTGTCAGGAGGTGCGACGGCCATGCACCAGACAAAACTGGCCAACGCGACGTGTAGAAGTGTGGCGCCCTCGACAGAGAGCAAAGGAGGAACCTTGAGGCGGACAGGGGGGGTCAACTGGTCAACTGGATGCCAGCTGCAGCAAGTCGACAAGGGCCGACGACGGGGGGACGGGAGGTTGTTGAGCTTGAGCCGATCCCCGCCCGCCAGACTCGACATCTCCTCAACCGGCGCCGTTCACTCCTGCCCGAGAGTGTTTGTAGACCCTGCATAAAGCCGTCTGGGGCTCTCACCTGACAACGTGTGGGAGCCGGAATTTAGCGCGGCCAGCTAGAACATTTGTCCTCTCAGAAGCCCTGCACGGGGGGGGGCAGCCGTTGCCATTGGAACCACGATGCCGCCCTCCACCCCCGGATGAGGCCAGAACGTCGAGCATCGAGAAACCAAAGGGGACACCCCCCCTCTTGTTCCTTCTGTTTTTGGCTCTCCACAATCGACGACGGTCCGTAGTCAACACCTAGTCCCACATACCTCGAGGTCGGCTGGGCTGCCCGCACTGCACCACTGCACTGCGCTGCACCTCTGCATTTCCGCATCGCTTGCTCCCACCTCCATACCCAACTGTCGTCGAATCGAGGGCGCGAGCCCAACGGTTTCTCGAGCAGATAATAACCCGAGTCGCAGCTCGTTTGGTCAACCTAAGTTTCGCCGTCACCATCCCGCAACCAACAACGGTTGAGTTCTTGCCACACCCACACCCATATGCCACCACAACATCCACACAGCCAAACGCAGACGCAGACGCAGACGCGGTCCTCGCAGCTCGTGCTCACACGTAAACAAGTAAACAACGGCCTCCTGACGTGCCAACGACGGCAGCCCGCCACCCGCCACTGTCCAAGTCGCCCGCGCCGGGTTCTGCGTTCCAGGAATTTATGCGACTTAGTATGATGCCGACCGCAAAGAAGAAGCTGGGCGGGATGGGGGGTTTGTTCATGCGCCAGTCCGATGGCAGTGTGAGTGGTCCTGGAAACAGCAGCAGCAGCAGCAATCCCAGGGCAGGCGTGGTGGGCCTACCTGCAAGTCCCGCGCCAGTGGTAGGCCACGCACAGGCACTGGCCCAGGCACAGGCACAGGCACAGGCCCATCTCCAGCAGCTGCAACCCCCACCAGAAATTGTCACCGCCCGGCAACAAGCTCAAGACGCGCCAACAGTAACCACGCGCTCCATACCCGTGCCCAAGGGCAGCCGTTTTGCCGCCACCAGTACGCCTGCCGCTTCTTCGAGCCTCCCTGCGCAACATTTTCACCCGATGCAGCGGACCAGGACGTCGGCCTCGGACAACGCTGGCGCCGGCAGTGGTGGTGCTGCTGGTACTGCGCGTGGCCAAAACGCGTGGGAAGACTCGACCGTTGCCTCAATGTTTGGCGACAACGAGAGCAGGGCTGCATCCGACAGCAGATATCGTGGTCACCAGCCCGCCCACGGCCGCCACTACAGTGACGCTCCCTACCAGCGCCCGCACCAATCCCACGCCCCTCCGAGTCCTCCCAAGACTCAACAACAGCAGCAGCAGCAGCAGCACAATCAAAATCAACGTAGTCGGCACGATGAGAACTTGCCGTTTGTCATTGGCGAGAACGGATTGCTCAAGGTCATAACGCCACCCAATGGTCCGATCAGCCACACTACTGTGCCCCTGGTGACCGGCATCTCGAGCGGCATCCCCCACAACCACCAGGCCGTCCGTTTAGACGACGTATATCAAGACGAGCGCCAGCTGTACGATTCCCCCCCTAGCAAACTTAACCTCAGACGTACCAAGCTTCCACACAGGGATGCCCGTGACCTGAAGAGAGACTCCTTCTCGGACAGATCAGAGGGCCAGGGCCTGGGAATGTCCCCGGACAGAAATTCCGAAGCTGGGAGCCATATAGACAAGCTCCGACTAGAAGAGCGAGTGCGCCGTGACCGCGAACGTGAGCGTGAGCGTGAGGAGGAGCGAGAGAGAGACCGGCAACTCGAGAGGGAGCGCGACCGCGAACTCCTCCACAAGCGTTCTACTGTCTTCGAGAACCTTTCTGCCGTCGAGTTAGACGAGCCTGCATTCAACAATACACAGGCCGCCGTGATTCAGACCAGCAGTGAAATCAGCCCCGAGGATATCAAAGACGCCGCCTTGCAGCGTACGCCACGCGCGGTTCGCCAGCAACCTGTCCCCCAGCAGCAGCAGCAGCATCAGCAGCAGCATCAGCAGCAGCTGCAACTGCAGCAGCTGCAAGCAAATCTTTTCAACGTCGAGACATCGTTGCGACGCACAGAGAGCCGTCGGCTCAAGGAACCCGCCGCTAAAGAGACGTCAGTCAGGAAGCGGCGCCACAGCTTAGACTATAACGACGCAGAGCTACACGCCATGAGCTACTCAGACTTGAGGGGCCAGGAATTTGACTTTGACCCGCAGGCGGCTGCTCTGCAGCAGCAGGCGGCACTGCCGGCGGGCGGGCCCATAGAGGAGCGGTTGGAGCACTACAAGCGCAAGGGCAGCCTCGACCAGCACGAGTTCTTCACCCGCATCACGGTTGACGAGTGGGACGAGGCCGGCGACTGGTTTCTCGAGCAGTTCACATCGGTCGTTCAAAATATGAAGAAGGCCCGCCGCAACAAGCGCAAGCTGATCCAGTCGTTTGAGGGCGAAGTTGCGGCCCGCGAGGAAGCCGTCCGCGTTAAGATTGAGGGCATAGGGCGCACTCTAGAAGATCTGAAGCAGGAGGGCCAGACCATGATGCAGGGAAAGGACATGGATTTGGAGTTTTGAGGCGGTTGCCCAGAACTTTTTTTTTCCCCTTTGTTTCTCTTCTCCGTGACCCTTCCTCTCTGCTTCCGTCTTATTGCTGTTCCCAGTCAGTTGTAAAACCGCGCGGGGAGTTGACCTCTTTCGCCTTGCTCACGTGCGTTTTGTTGTGTTGGTGCTTGATCTAGAGAGGGTGGGTGCATTTTTTCCTCGTGTGAATGGCATTAACGTTGTGTGTAGGTGTGAGACTATCCGAGATGATTTTCTCATTTCCTTTCGCCTCTTTTATTTTCTCGCTCAGTAATTCGTTCTGCTTCATATTGGGCGTTTTCTTTTCTCTCTTCTTCTCTTCCTCTCTTTTTATCTTCGCTCCGTCCCTATTGCCGTCACGGACATATATATATGATGACAGCTGGGCGGATGGAATGACGGCGGCCGGCACTCTCTTCCAAGAACTTACTCACGACTTGATGACGAAACACACAAAACCGACGAAAAAACAAACAAAATTACCCTTCCAAGGGGGTTGGTTCATTACAAAGGGGATACAAGGGGTGTATACATGACAACGACACTGATGAATCACGAACCTATTATTTATGACGACCATGCGAGGCGGCACGGAAACGGGTAACTCACGGCTTGCATTTATATGGAATACAGATACGTTTTCTTTCTTTCTTTTTCTTTTCTTTTCTTTTTCTTCTTCTCTCATCGTCTCCTCTCTGGTGGCATTGGCAGAGGCGGCCGTATCTTGGCGGAGCAGGTTCAACAGTCCTGCAAATCCATAGATAGCTTGTGGGTAGCTAGCTAGCTAAGGTGGTGAGGTAGGCATGCAGTTTTGCAAATGCAAGTAAATATTCCGCTCTCCCCACTCCTGTTATCACCATGACTGGACAGATCATAACGGCGTTATTGTCTATATGATGATGGACTTTTTCACGCTCCTGTCACGGCCCACGACTAGGCGCAGCTGGCAACCCGGCCGGTCGGGGTAGAAGATACCGCGGCGCACGCCGTCGGAGAAGAGCTCGTACGCCGGGTAGTAAGCGTCGACGAACTTGACAACCTGCTCGTCAGGCATGCCGATACCGCGCTCACGGCGGAGCTGTGCCTCTTGCTCGAGCCGCCAGTCGTAGACGTACTGTGTGTCCTCAGCATCGACATGGATGAAGACGTCGAACAGGTCCGTGATGGCGTCGTAGTCGCGCAGGGCCGAGTTGACGAGCAGCAGGTGCTCGAGCGTGTGCGAGTGCAGCGTGCGGGTGTCGCCGCTCTTCCACTTGGCCTCGACGGCGGCGTCGTCGAGCGCGCGGAACCCAACGCACCACCCCTCGAAGATGATGACCTGCACGGGCGGCTGCGCGCTGTCCTCGGTGTTGACAACCGTCCACTCGGTCTCGGGCAGCCGGTCGCCCAGGCCCGAGAAGGCGGCCTTATCGTACCGGGGCACCTTAGCGGGCTCGCCGCGGCACAGGGCGGAAAAGAACGACTTTGCTAATACCATGTCGTGCGTGCCTGCATAGAAAGGGGGTGGGGTGGCGAGTTAAGCGGCACCCCCTACTTGTCAGTGTGGGTTCCCTTAACGAGTCAACCTTTTTTGGGTATTTCGGTAACGTGTTTCATGGCTGGCCAATTATTCTTTTCTCTCCTCTCTTCTTTTCTCTCTCTCTTTCTCTCTCTCTCTCCTTCTCTCTCTCTCTACATAGGGGAGGGGGAAGAGAAAGAAAGTAAGATAAAAACACGACCTACCGGGCTCGCCCCTGTACTGCACTAGCGCATTGTCTGGATGCGTGGCGGCCAGAGCCAGCTGGTCGGCATGGCTCAGGTAGAAGTCATCGATACTGACGACCAGCGTCGACAGACCCTCGCGGTCCTGGAGGGTCTCGGCCAGCGCGCGAACCAAGGTTGTCTTGCCGACGCCCTGCACACCGTTTAGCCCGATGATGAAGGGTCGGCGTGGCTGGTAGTGGTGGTGCCGCTTGTACGTCTCGAGCCGCGACAGGATGAAGGGGATGCAGATGGGTGACTTGTCGTCGACAACGCGCGACAGCAGCGGCTCGTCTGGTGTGGCGGCCATGCCCAACTAAGGTAGGTACTGTACCTGGGGCTGTAGGTTCTCCGTCCTTTTTCGCTTCCCGGCTCCGTGGCACTTGTATCGGTGCAGTACCAAAGTAAGTACTGAATACTCTTTCGGTTTTCCCCCTTTTCCCCGCGGAATGCTTGCGGGAATCCTAGTCGCCAGCTGAGTTTAGGTTTCGCAGGTGGACTCGCGTGGCAAGCAGCCTCTGGGCAAATCAAAACGGGCGTTTGCTTGTGTCGTTCGTGCAGTCGTGTCCGAGTCGCAGTTGGGCACGCAAGCATATGAGGTGGGTGGGGGCTCGTGGTTCCAGCCAGTCGAGCCGACCGTCCGCCGCCTGCGGCAGCCTCGTGGGAGCCTTGTTTTTGTTTCGTGGGGGAATGAATGGAGGATCCTCCGATGACGACAGAGCCGACCTGAGGGGTCTCCTCTATCTGCGCTAGGCCGCAAGGGCAGCAATTGCAATTGGCGTTGGGGAATGTGGGGGAGCTCTCCGCTTTCCACTATTCATTTCACGTTTGACGTACGGAACTAGCAAATAGGCGAATTTCTCTCGCCCCAGGCGGCCGACGGGACGAGGGAGCTGCCGGGAGCTCAGCAGCAGCCTAGACTGTTGGACAGACAGCAATCTCTGTCGCCTCAATTACCGTTGGTTGGGGGAGCTGGGAATATTTTTCACGCCTTGACGCTGCCCCTTTTCGCCTGTCAAAGGTTGTGTTACGGTTCCCCCGTCAAGGAATAAGGTAAGATATAATACGGGATACCTCAGGCCGCACCTAACCTTACATGAAAAGAACAGAGCTCGGGGCGCACAGCCAAAAGACTTCCGGAAACTCTCCCGACACCCATTCCAGACTTCAAGTTATTCCATTCCCAGCTTCCTTCCCCCTTGTGCTTTCAGTGTTACTCAAGGTGCGGATACGTGCGTGTACGAATATCTCCGATCAGGCCAGTCTCGGTGTTTCGTGAGAGAGCGGTTTCCGGCGACTCATGTGACCGCCGACATTGGTCAAGCACATGTTCTACTTAAGCTCGGCCGCCAAATACGTACCCCGGATATTTAACCTGATCCATGGTCTCACCGATGGGGCCCAGTTCGTGTACATACAAGTATACATACATACATACGGTATGCACGTATTTACGCTAGGCCAAACAGCAAGTCCGGAGGACGGGCGATACGACAGTGTCCAAAGTAAACAAACACGCAAAAATAGAAAATGGGACTAAAGGAATTAAAGAAAATCTTAAAGGCGCCCTCCGTACCTTAAATTCAGTCTCATGGCAGATGTAGCAACATAAACTGTCGGTACGGCTTTACAGTGCAGAAGCCACCAACAACGCTGACCTTACCTTAATACCCCGGTTTCGTCATCTAGCTGGGAAAAGCACACCCGCCCTCGACCCCAGATTTAGTTTGCATGTGACGGACAGTGGCTAGGCTAGGCCCCTTAGTGCCCCGCCTCGGCAGAAGAGCTTGTGGGGCAAGAAGTGACGGGGCGATTGGCCGGGCGTGGTGCCTCGGCTTAAGAGCCCGGCAACAGTGGGCGCAGCAAGGCCCTGATGACCTCCCGAGACTCAGGTATTTAGAACAAGTGGAAGCGCTTTTCCGGCTCAATCGCCATTAACAGTTGCCGTGCATTCCAACCCGGAACCCCCCTCAATCAACCGGCCATATTTTGAGGTATCTGCGTGCAGCGTGCAAATCTGTGAACTGCTACCTATTTAGCCCATCGCCGCCTGTAACCCGCGCGGAAGCCATTATTTCGCGCAACACCAGCACAGCTGCCCCAGCACCAACAAACTCAAATTTGGCACATCGTGATGGCAGACCAATTGAGATACGACGGCCAGGTCGTCGTCGTCACAGGCGCGGGCGGTGGCCTCGGCAAGGCCTATGCCACCTTTTTTGCCTCGCGCGGAGCCAGTGTCGTCGTCAACGACCTCGGCGGATCGTTCAAGGGCGAGGGCGCCTCTAGCAAGGTCAGTAAATAATAGTGCAGGCAGAAAAAAAAAATGGAAAAATGGGAAAGAAACGTGCTAACTAACAGCCCTGGATTAATAGGCTGCCGATGTTGTCGTTGACGAGATCAAGACCGCAGGCGGCAAGGCAGTTGCTAACTACAACAGCGTCGAGGATGGCGACAAGATCATCGAGACGGCCATCAAGAGCTTTGGCCGCATTGACATCCTCATCAACAACGCCGGCATCCTGCGCGATGTCAGCTTCAAGAACATGAAGGACGCAGACTGGGACCTCATCTTTAAGGTCCACGTCCAGGGTAGCTACAAGTGCGCCCGCGCCGCCTGGCCGCACTTCCGCAAGCAAAAGTACGGCCGTGTCATCAACACGGCTTCGGCCGCCGGCCTCTTCGGCAACTTCGGCCAAGCCAACTACTCGGCTGCAAAGCTCGCTATGGTTGGCTTCACCGAGACCCTGGCCAAGGAGGGCGCCAAGTACAACATCATCTCCAACGTCATCGCCCCCATCGCTGCCAGCCGCATGACCGAGACCGTCATGCCCCCTGACCTCCTCGCCCTCATGAGGCCCGAGTGGGTTGTGCCTCTTGTGGCTGTATTGGTCCACAAGAACAACACGAGCGAGAGCGGCTCCATCTTCGAGGTCGGCGGCGGCCACATCGCCAAGTTGCGCTGGGAGCGGTCCAGCGGCCAGCTCCTCAAGTGCGACGACAGCTACACCCCGGGCGCCATCATCAAGAAGTGGGACCAAGTCATCGACTTCTCCAACCCCCAGTACCCCAGCGGGCCCAACGATTTCCTGTCGCTCCTCGAGGACTCGATGAAGATGGGCCCCAACGACAAGGGCGAGAAGCTCGACTTCACCGGCCGCGTTGCCCTCGTCACCGGAGGCGGTGCTGGCATTGGCCGCGCATATTGCTTGGCCTTTGCCAGGCATGGCGCCGACGTGGTTGTCAATGACCTCGTGAACCCCGACGACGTGGTCAATGAGATCAAGAAGATGGGCCGCAAGGCCGTCGGTGCCAAGTTCTCGGCCGAGGACGGCGACGCGGTCGTCAAGGCTGCCATTGACGCCTTTGGCCGTGTCGATATCGTCGTGAACAACGCCGGAATCCTCAGGGACAAGGCTTTCAACAACATGGACGACAGCCTCTGGGACCCCGTCATGAATGTCCACGCTCGCGGAACCTACAAGGTCACCAAGGCTGCGTGGCCATACTTCCTGAAGCAGAAGTACGGCCGTGTTATCAACACTACCTCGACCAGCGGCATCTACGGCAACTTTGGTCAAGCCAACTACTCTGCGGCGGTAAGCTGAAGTGGCCACTCAATCTCGAAATTGGACGAATTGTAATTACTGACATGCCACCTCCTAGAAATGCGCCATTCTGGGCTTTAGCCGAGCTCTTGCCCTCGAGGGTTTCAAGTACAACATTTTCGTTAACACCATTGCCCCCAACGCCGGCACAGCCATGACCAAGACAATCCTGCCCGAGGAGCTCGTCCAGGCCTTCAAGCCTGAGTACATTGCGCCCTTGATCCTGGCTCTCTCCAGCGACAAGGTTCCCAAGAACCCCACCGGCGCCTTGTACGAGGTTGGCAGCGGCTGGGTTGGTCAGACAAGATGGCAGCGGACGGGTGGTCACGGCTTCCCCGTCGACGTGCCGCTCACGCCCGAGGCGGTCGTCAAGCACTGGAAGGACATTGTTACCTTTGACAGCCGCGCCGACCACCCCGAGAAGACCCAAGACAGCCTGCAGAAGATCATGGCCAACATGGAGAACCGGAGTGATGGAAAGGTATGATCCCCCCTTGTCCTGTGTACTAAAACCAACGATCTCGTCTCCTATACATGTATCATAGCCATATAGACTTAGAATGTCGTGATATATTAACGCTTTGGCCGTTTGATGCAGAGTGAATCATCTAGCAATCAATATCTCGAGGCCATCCAAAAGGCTCTCAAAGCGGAAGCCGTAGGCACTGAGTTCAAGTACACCGAACGCGACGTTATGCTCTACAACCTCGGCATTGGGGCGAAGCGCAATGACTTGAGATACGTTTTGTAAGTTTAACATATTATTCACGAGCTTCCGTGTCCACTGGCTAACTTTTTTTTAAAGCGAGGGCAGCGATGACTTTCAAGTCCTCCCGACCTTTGGAGTGATCCCCCCCTTCGACGCCGAGCTTCCCTACAGCCTAGAGGAGCTCGTACCAAACTTCAATCCCATGATGCTGTTGCACGGGGAGCAATATCTTGAGGTGAAAAAGTACCCAATCCCCACGTCCGGTCGCCTTATCTCCAAGGGTAAGCTGCTTGAGGTGGTGGACAAGGGCAACGCGGCCGTGGTCAAGAGCGGCATCACCACTACCAACGCCGAGACGGGCGAGGAGATCTTCTACAACGAGATGACAGTGTTCCTCCGCGGCTGTGGCGGCTTTGGCGGCCAGAAGAAGCCTGCCGACCGCGGCGCCAGCACCGCTGCCAACAAGCCACCAAACCGGATGCCTGACGTTGTGGTCGAGGAGAAGACCACCGAGGAGCAGGCGGCCCTGTACCGTCTGAGCGGCGACTACAAGTGAGCAACCCCCTTTCTCCTCTTTCAGATGTGGCAGTGGAGAAATACGAAGACCCTCGCTGACACATGAACCAAAATCCAGCCCCCTCCACGTCGACCCTAACTTCGCCAAGATGGGCGGTTTCAAGCAGCCCATTCTGCACGGGTTGTGCTTCTTCGGCATTGCCGGCAAGGTCGTTTATGAAAAGTACGTGACAAATCAATCTTCTCGCTGCCTCATCTTTCCCCGCCTCGACCCGTTGGTCAGCTTTTACCACGCGTTCATCCACTGTCCACACCCGCCTTATCCAGGCTCTTAGACGAGACTAGAAGCCAGTGTGACAATACGCAATAGTAGCAAAAGCTAGAGAAGTAGAGCATCGCAATCAAGAGCAAGACTAACACTCTGATAAATAGATTCGGCCCGGTCAAGAACATCAAGGTGCGCTTCGCTGGCACCGTCAACCCCGGCCAGACTCTCGTCACCGAGATGTGGAAGGAGGAAAACAAGGTAATCTTCCAGACCAAGGTCAAGGAGACGGGCAAGCTGGCAATTGGTGGCGCTGCGGCTGAGCTGGCCCAGGGCAGCAGTGGCAAGCTGTAAAAATCTTTTCTTTTTTCACTGTCTCCTGTCCCTCGTATTTTGAATATATATCTAGAAGCGGAAAGCGTTGACCTCTTTGGAATGATGGGAATCTTTTCTTTTTTTATCTGCATTGTAACTGAACTGTATATAGCATACACCTGGTTTTACTACACAAGACAAAAGTAACCTAGCTTTGCACGTCCCGTTCTTCACGGAGAGAATGCAACACTAAGAGGCTAGTTGTTGCGAACTCCATGATAGAGCTGCACACTCACAGCATGTGCGTGTTACAGGCAGGTACTTTCTAGGTTTCTGAAAGCAGCTGCCAACTTTTGATTCATTATACGCTTCAGGCTCCCTCGTGCCCGCTAAAGTATTTTCATCACTACCTAACCTGCCCGGCAACATTACTAAGGTAGTAGGCTTTGTAGGGGGTCGTATCTTATATTTTCAGCGAACGTCATGACGGCAGACCTCCCAAGCCGGTTCGACATCGATAGAATAAAACAAAATGTGAAAGCGTCTCGACGTCGGAGCCGGCTAATCTTTCAAAACGCCAGACGTCCCTCCGACCCCGTTCAACGCACGGGGTATAGCCGTGCAAAGAACGCCTAAAAATGGAACATCCCAAATGGCCTACCATGCTGCTGATTCCCGTTATCATCCCATTACAAACATCCTTAGGAATACAGCGAAAAACACCCATCCCATATCCAAAATCATACACCACAGGCGCTGGCACAAAGCTCTAGGCCCTGAATCGCCCGCCCGATTTTTGTTCATTTTCATGCCGGCATCATACTCATGCAACTAGAACCGAGTTCGACTCAGAATTATGCGAGACAATGCTCACACCGTTTACTCTACCCATGTCGGACTTCTCGCTCTCGAGGCCAACAAAATCTTTCTCGATTTGGGGTGTCCGCGGCTCCCGCTCTGAATCTTCCGCAGACGAAGCAAGCTCCCGTGCTGAAGGTGTTCGCGGCTCCTGGGACGAGTTGTCTGTGCTCCGGCGTTGTTCCACGGTTATATCTTCTGCCGCAGGCAATGAAGAGTTGTTTCTGTGACCGTGGACCTCAGGCTCTACCGTCTCAAACAATTCTTTGGCAGATTCCGGTTCAATAACAGATGGGGGTGTTGCAAATACCTCGGCGGATGAGTTATCTGCGGCTCCATCGCTAGGATGTTGCGTGTAGTCTGTTTCTGTCGGAAGATCGGTCGAAAGGAACGAGCCTCGGAGCGGGCTTTTCAAGGCAGCCACGTCGCCGCCAAAATCGCTCTTGCTTGCTCTTGACGTCCGCGCAGGACTCCTCGGTGGGAGGGGAGGGGGTATCCTCTTGGGAATGGTAACTATGGCACCCTTGGCCTGGATAACCTGGGTGATCTGGGGCGACCGAATAGCAACGCGGGTGGGCTGTGCCGTGGTGGCTACCTCACAGATGATGGGCTCTTCTTCGTCTTCTTCTTCTTCCTCTTCATCATCAGCGTCTTCGTCCCGCTCATCCGCAGCCGGCGCGTTGGAATCGACTTCTGACTTGTCCGTGTTGACGCCTTGGTCAACGACCTCGGGCTTAGCCCTCGGAGCCGAAACCACGGCGGTCATCGTTGGCTCTTCAAACGATCGACGACGGAACTGTTCAATCGCGCTTGTGTCTATTTTAGTATAGTCAACCTCTTCAGGCTCCACAACAGTCGGCAGCTTCTCTGGTGTGTTGTCCCGTCCGTCGTCACTATTGGCACGGCTGACACTCGTCTCGGGACTGCTCCCAACGTCTGTCTGGGTCCCGGCGTCCGTCATTGCGGTGGCCACGGTTTTGGCTGACATGCAGCTGCCTCGGTTGCTTCGTGAAAGGTACGTGTCAATGCTCTGGCGGCTGAACCTAGCAAATACGGGACTCGTTGGGCTCGGATTAAACTCAAATTGCGAGCTTGTCGGCCGCTGGTGCGTTCCTGCTTCTCTGATTTCTATACCCGCCATCTCAAGGCCGATGACGCCAAACGGGTCCGGATCCTCGGGTTCGGGAATGCCAAACGGCGACTTTGGGATTGAAGATGGTGACGTTTTGGGGCTCTCAATCACAGCATCGCCAGGTGCCGGCTGCCGTGCAAGCATGGCCATCAAGGCGGTGTCGTAATCGGAGCGGCCCTCGGCAGCCTTGATGACCTCAAATAGTGGACGCATTTCAGGAATGCTCTTCTGGATGTTGCCAGCGAGAATATCCAGCACACCGACATTGCCACAGTAGAACCTCTCATTCTCGTTGCCGCGCTCGGTGACTAAGGAACCCCCTAGTTCCACAGCTTGATGCTTGCCCCTAGCCTTCACATATGTTAAGACGGTATCGTCGAGCCCGTTCCATCGGGCATCTTGATCCAGCGACCCGACTGGGGCGAGGGGCCCCACTGTGAGGCTGACGTTGATGCCCAGCGTTAGTCTTGGGCGTGTGAACAACTCCAGGGTCTGGACACTGTTGATGACGAGGACGCAGTCGTAAATATCGACTCCAATCACAAAGCCCAATGCAGCAGTGTGGAGTATTATTCCCGAAGGCGGCGACCACGTCCCGTCAGCCTTGCGGGCCGTGATCAGACCGGCTCCGCCAGATCCGGACATCCAGAGACCCGATCGCATACACGAGAAGACGGCCAGGCCGACTGCATTTTGTATTATCCGTGGCGGAATCTTTTGTGTAACGTAGGCCGCGCTCGAGCGGGAGTCTACCGCGCCTGTTGAAGTCGACTGTTGGGCAAGGAATCCATCACCTGGTACCAATGTTAGCCAGCCGTCGACCAGGAAGTCGGGCGCACAGTGCATCGCGCCTGAAGCTGGGACCACATACAGCAGAACGACTTGAGAATTCTAGCTGCCTTGTCGCATTCACGGTCGAGCGCCGTCGGCCAGTACGTCTCACGGCCGAACCGCGCGGGTGCAGCGGCAGCCGTGTTGATGCGATTGACAGGGGCAATCTTTTCGGCCCATCCAAAAACCTTGTCGAGGGCTGCAGGTACCTTGGCCGACGACGTGCTGTTCGATCGGGAGCGGCGGTCCCACGAAGGGAGCAGAGCCGAGACGCGCTGCATGGCGGTCTGGTCGGCGTCGACGTCGTCGTCGGCGCTGCCTCGCCAGGATCTGGGAGGAGGGGGGATCGCGGTGGTGTGTTGGCAGGGAGCAAAGGCGGAGGCGGGCGGCGGTGGCGGGCGTTTTCAAACAATCAAATGAGAATCAAGATACGGCGATCCGCGGCCAGGGCCTGGCTAGGCTCAGGCTCGGCCAGCAGCCTCAGTGGGGACAAAAGAACCTGCCAAGCGACGTGGGGCGCCAAACATCCGAGCGCAGTGGGGAGAGGGTGCGTACTGCGTGCAGGGGGCTCGCTAGGCGCTTTGGCCGCGGTGGATCCCCGCAGCTTCCGCGTCGCAGTGGGTGGTGTGCTCAGGGTCGCCTTGTGCAGGAATCTCCTTTCGGTGCCTGAGCAAAGTTGATTGAGAATGATTGGCATTTAATATGCGTCGCGGCTGGGACGACAGCGCCAGCAAGGATGTTTCGAGACGAGCACCAGTTGCCAGTCACCGGTTCGAACCTGGTCCTCGGCCTGGTGTCGATCAGGAGCCCGCGAGAGTTATTATTCCGTACCTAGTGGGTTCCTGTCCGGGCGCCCAGAAGCAGGGCACCGGCGAGGGGCGGGAGGATGGCCAGTCGCGAGTGGCGACCGAGTGCAGCAAAGCGCTCGATGCGTTTATTTAGGTAATAATCCGTGTTCCGTGGGCGGGACTAGAGAGAGGCGCAAGAAGAAAAGAAAGCCAGCAGACGCCGTAGCTGAACGCCGCAATCAATCCCGGACAATAAGGGGGCCAAAACAAAGCAGCTACCTAAACATAGCAGGAGCTTTCAGGTGGAAGCTAGCAGTCCGTGAAGCCCTGCAAAGTTCTTTCCTCCCAGAGGCGACAAACGCCGAGATGGCCGGGAGTGAGGGTGATAGAGTGGTGTCCAGTTCTATTCCGTATTCCCGTCTGAATGGTGCAGACAGAACATATCGGAGCAAAGGCCAGCCATGTGACCTGTGACAATAGCATCGGACAGTTTGGATGACCAAGGGTTCTTGCCAGTGGTCCAAACGTATCTAGGTAGCCATGCAGTAGAGGCCTCAGTCGTCGTGCCTTAAAATAACTACCCGAGGCAAAATAGAAGAGTGCCGCACTCCGAATGTGCGAATTGACGCGTAGTGTACGGCGCAATTTTAAGCTTTCTTTTGGTCTTGAGCTTCTTTCTTACCTTCTTTCAGAAGGCACAAAGGACGACGGCAGGGCTTCAACTTGAAGCGGTCCTCGACGCCCCGCTGCCCTGTCCTGTACTTCGTACCCCCGACGGATTATTCTCAAGGTAGTAACATCCAATACAGCGGCCCATCTGTCCAAGCCTCTGGAAGCCTGACATGCATCGCCGTTGAAGTTGCGTCCCGTGCCCGCCCTATATGGTAACATTGATATGGGTTCAGAGCTGGGCCTGTTGCCTCCAAGGACCAACCATCACAGAGTGACCTCGGAAGGGCCTCCCTCCCAAGAATTCACGGACAAGGGCTCGGGTGTCGGCAAAGCGCAAATCGGCCCCGCTGATTTCTCGCCTTTCGGTTCATGCACCGGCCACCATTTGAGCTGGGCGATCCTGGTAACAAGTCCACAGCAGCGTTGCGGGGCTTTCGTCTGACAGGGCTTGGCCTGGACGACTGGACGGCAGAGCCACCGCTCCAAAAAAAACTCGATCTCCCGAGGTCCAAGATCATGTCGTCATGTCGAACTTTGGCACGGGGGAAACCTGAACATGGCTGTGGTTCGAACACTGGACCGTAAACTCACCGGGCTCCCAAATATACGCATGGAGCGTCGCACCCCCCAAGGCCAGGACCATCAGGGCCTGGTTTCGCTGGTGGCCAAATTCAATTGCATTACGCTAACCATGTTGATTCCAACGTCGCAGTCTAGTCAAGCGCCTAGTCAAAAGGGTGTCGAGAGATCTCGCCTTGGATAGGTGGTGGCTGTAGCTTGGTGGCACGGTTGGGAACCACCACCCGACCTTATCTTCCGCTTTCGGTTGCCCAGTCCGGATCTGTCAGATTCGCTCACCTCAACACCCCGCTTACCCCTCCCCTCCTAGGTCAGGTTGTGTGTGAATGAATGGCTTTGTGATGCCTCTTGCAGCTTGCCGACGACATGACCTTGGATGGCCTGATTTCCCGCCACAGAGTTTAGTCCCCAAGGTCGCCGTTGGCGGCAGCTTACCTACCTACATACATCCGCTGTGTTTCTGTGGTGAAAGCTGTCATGATGTCTTGAGCTGCAGCGTTCGGAGAATACAGCTGTAAGACAATATATCAGACCGAGACATTCTACACAGGAAAGCACCACCAAGGGGAACAAGACGTTCCTGCCCGGTTGGAAATGCACGACAAACAAAATCTTCACCACCTGCAGCCTAGCTCACCACCATCACGCAAATTCGCAATAGCTAATGTCCTAGCTAAGGTGATCTGTAGTCTTGACTCGACGACTATTTGCTGCAGGTTGCAACTCTCTTCTCACCAATTGCGTACTGCACACCAGGTACGAATACTGGGCGCTACTAGGTAATTCGAGATTCTCTCGGCTTTAACTTCAAGTTCCTAGATACTTCTCTCCGCGCTATTGCCAGCATCAGTCAGCCAAGTCGTCTCAGCCAGGGCATCTCCAAAACTGCTTGTCTCGTTCGCCCGCTCCAAAATCGCTAGCCTCCTTTTTCGCGGTACACTGACTCGGGGCGGAAGTCTGTGAGCACATTGGGTTGCCGCTGGTGATCCCGATTTTGTCTCAGCCTTCAGTTAGACACCTTCTCCTACATGCCCACCGCTCAAATGGGTCACCCCAAATTGCTTTTGTCGGCGCAAAAAGGGCCACGCTGAGACACTTCCATCTACGCATTTGCCGAAAGTTTTGCACTTCTCTGTACGCATCCTGTGATTTTCAGGGTCTTTGTGATCGCCCACCTATCAACGTTGAGACATCGGTGAAAAGGTCTACTTGTAATTGCAAGTCTCGAACCGCACAAGTTGAACACCAACGAGGTCCCAAAAAGGGGGAAACAAATGAATAGGGGACTCTTACCCCCTTGCAATACAAGTGGTTTAGTATCACTGCAACTATGTCGGCACTATATATCAAATCAGCTTGGATTGGGCTATGACTTGTGGCCTGGCTAAATCGTTCGATGGGAGCAAAAATATTTGGACTCTTTTCTTAGGCATTTTGTAGCTGATTTCGGAGGCCCATATAAGTCTAAGTTGGATGCGATGATGTGTAGGTAGCAAGTAAGGCACTTCGTACAAACTAGGCACCTACAACCCAATCCCTGAATGTTTGTTGCCTTATCTGGGGGCTTTTCAAGATTTGAAAGGCCTCAAACCCTTACCGCCCGCCCCAAAAGCTTTTTGCCGAGGCAAAAGCTGTCGGCATCCCGATCTTAAAACCCCAGAGGCCTATCTCTTTTCCAAAAATACCCATGAAAGGCTTGTCCTGGCCGTTTTTATATACTGCAAAGATTCCTATGGCATCTCAAAAATCGGCATCTCGCCTTGAAATGGAGATGGCTGAGTTCGCATCCCAGCAACAGTAAACGTCAGCACAGTTCAGATCCGAGCAACAAAAGACGTTCACTTAGTTTTACGTTCGAGTTCTTTTCGCTGGAAGCTTATCTTCTAATATTTTATAATTTTCTTTCTAACGAGAATTGTGTCATAGGAGTCTCCATCGTTGGTAGTACCCTTATCGCGCTACAGACTGAAGCCACTCTTCTTAACAATGACATCAAAATGCATAATATAATTTACGCCGATATACACAAAACAACACAGAACATGGCCCAGAAGGAGAGAGATATAGTCACTAGCAAATAGTAAGAATATGGGTGTGAAGAAAGGAAGCTCTGAGGCCTCTGCTTCGGGCAATTTCATACCAGTAATGGCTTCATGGATTAGAACACATGGCGGCCTACAGCAGCCGGATCAGCCGACTACAATAGCGCTTCTCGCTTTAATGTGACTATCTTGTTTTTTTTTGTGCAAACAACAAAATCTCTTCACCGACAAGCTAGTAACAGCCTACTCCTTAGCAAGCCAGCAAAGAAATATGGAAAATAGATTAACCAAGAATATTCACGCGGCGCAAGGGACGGGAGTTTTGGGTCCATGGCTACCTAGCCACAAGGTCCAAGGCCTCACCCGACATAGACGTACACTAATCTTTCTGTTGGCAAAGCATGTCAGATCACGGCATTTGGTACAGTTGCGGTGTCGCCGCCTGGCCCCCCATGCCTACAGCCTCACAGGGAGACACGAGCGAAGTGCTGTATGCACCAGCCGCTTCGTTTTCACGGTGAACCAACTAAACCGGCTCCTGCGCCTCACAAGGACCGCCGTCCAAAGTCACACACACACACACACACACACACACACACGAACCTAATGGCGCCGGGCTTCTTTATATATATAAATACACCTTAATTAGAGTGCGTGTGCGTGTGCGTGTGCCGTGCTGATCGGATGGCAGCAGCAGCTATGTTCTGCTCGGCCCGGGGCCATGCCCCCAACACACCCCTCCCAAAAAAAAAAAAAAAAGACTCGGCCGCTGTCATACATACACACACGAGGCAGCCCAGCGGCCCAGGAGACACACCTTAAGTTGTTCCCGACGGCGCCGGAGAGGATGGAGGATGAAGGAGGGGGTGGGGGGCCACGCGGGCGGGCGGGAAACGTCCTTGGCTGCGAAAAGCCGCATTGGTTGGTAAGCGGGTAGACGTCAAGACACGGCCAGAAAGGTGACAATGCGATATGTTGGACTATGTGTCATTTGTAAGTACTTAACGAACCACGCGGACAAAGCGGATGTTGGTTGTAAGTCCGTGTGTCTGTTTAGCAACTGGGCTGAGATACAACAACCGTCGGGGCGTTTCATATATGTAGATACCGCGTGCATGTATATCAGATGAAGCGCCTCGCCAGCCTTTTCCGAGGTTTAGTTGTCTTCCATCTCTAAACCCCGGGAATGTGCGTACATGTCCATATCTGTATATGTTTGTTTCCGCGGACTTTCTCGGACTAGACGTGTTGCCTACGCGGCCCTCTGCATGTCCGCCCAGGTAGGTAATATATATCCGCACCGACTACGACAAGAATGCCACGGCCGCCCACTACCAGCAGCTGAGAGGGCTTTTGCGGTGTGCGAACTCGGGAGGAAATAAATCCTTTGGGTATCTGGGGGGGGGGAAGGGGCAAGAAAGGTGGTCAAACTGCAGAGATGAGAGGATACTTCGAAAGGGGCACCGAGCAATAGAGGGGAAAATGAGGAAAGAAAAAGACATTAATTCATATTTGTCTACCGACAATTGCTTGCAGTCTGTCTAATGTGTCCCTGTTTATCAAAGCCACTCCGGATCTATATTTTGGGCCCCAACAGAAAACGACGGTGCCGAGCTGTGGCTATTTACAAATGCCACCTCCATGCGCGTGGGCACTTGGCAGGGGCTCTCGCGGAAATGTGGGATTGGCGCCGGGCGGGAAGATTTTAAGAATCTAGAAAGAAATGAATAGGCAAAAAGAAAAAGAAAGGGAAAAAAACAAAAGCAAAAAAAACTCCCCAAGTTACCTAGTAGCCCTCGTTCGACCATGATGTGGTCTGTGTGATGATAGAGTCGGGAGGTGAGTGCAGGTCGCCGCCATAGATGGATAGTTGAGATATATCGACGTTGAGACTGCGTCGGTGGCCCTCAAAAATTCAGCCGCAACAAAGCATTCATACGGCCAGTTCACTCGTCTGGCTCGGTTGCATCGAGCCGTGGATATTTGCCGCCCTGCAGGAGGAAGCGTTCCAGAGCAAGGCAGTCTATAGTCTTGCGCAGAGGGCGGCGCCGTTGCGAAACGATGTCGACCCAATTGTCGTCGGTGACGGGGTGGAACTTTAACAGCTCGCGCGAGCTGGTCCCGATCTCGCCCGCCTCCATGTCGCCCTCCATGTGGAAGCGTTGCAGCTTGGGCAACTTTCCCCGTAGCGACGTCAGCAAAGACCGGAAGGAGCCCTCGTGGAGATGGACTCCACCGATGCTCAGCTCATATGGCTTGGCAAGGCCTCTCCCGCCGAGACGAAGACGCTCGAGAGTGGCGCTGTGCCTGACCAAGAAGGCTCGTAGATCGTCCTCGGAGCATCTGATGCCTTCCAGCCTCAGATCTGTGAGCTTCTCATAGGTGAATTCCCCAAAGAGCTCGCGGAACGAAATCATGAACTTCTCGGCGGGGGCGTGGTAGGTGTGGAACCCCAGCGACAGGTGGGTGAGGTTGTGAGAGAACTGGAGAACATGGCCCAGGCCGTTGACGGCGCGGAACCGAGCAGTCGGGAGGAGGTTGGTTGGGGGGTCCAACACCAGGTCCAGACTCGAGAGGCTCGCGAAGGAGCGTGCGCAGTCGAACCAGTGGCGGCGGTCATCGGCCAGGCGGAAGATCTCGAGCGGTAGCTGGTCGATGGAAAGCGACGAGAGGCGGGCATGTCGGATGGCTGACACGATGGCGTTCATATTCTTGCAGGCCTGGCCTCTGTCCCTCTTCCGGCAGTTGCGGACCAGGAAGACATCCTTGAGCATCTCGATGTCGTAGGGGCACTGCGTGTATGTGATCTCGAGCCCCCTCAGGCCGGACAGGCGCTTGATCGACTCCTCGACAACAGTGGCGCGGGCGTGGAAGGGGGGGAGGCTACGGCTTTGCTTTTCGAGCTCGTAGTACTTGATCCAGGCATCCTGGAGGGCGATGCTCCTCTCCTCGGGCTCCTGGAGCCAGTGCTGGAAGAAGGAGGCATGGCGGGCGTTGTACTCGTCGACCTTTGAGAAGTTGAAGGTGATGGTCTTGATGCTAGCGCGGAGACGGTCGTGGCCGGCGATGTTGTGCAGGCGCTTGATGTCGTCCTTCCACTCGACTGCGGTGAAGCGAGGCCCGAGCAGGTAGTCGTAGCCTACGTCGGCGAGCCTAGCCGATGCGAGGCGGAGGGCCCGGGTGGAGGCAGCATCGCAGCATTCGAAGATGAGGCGGAGAAGCTCAACGGGAAGGAAATCCATAACGTCCATCAACGAGGGGCCGGCCCCTTGAGAGCGAGAGACAGGACAGACAGCAGGGTGAGGAGGGAGAGGGCCACGGTCGAGTATAGATACTTATGGCCGAAAAGGCGGACATGGCATGGTTGTTCGTCCGTCCCGCCAGGCTAGGCTAGGCTAGCAGAGAGCTACCTTACCTACCTTACCTGCCTTGTGTACATGTACAGTGCCTACTGTATGTACTTGATATGCACGATGGTAATGGGAGGTCGGTAAGGTACGAAGCAAGGTAGGTAAGATATGTAGGAAAGGTATGTAGGCGTGTATTGTATATATTCGTACTGTTATCCAACATAAAAAAAATGGACAGGCACCTGGGGCCAGTGCAAGCAAATGGAGGCCCGATCAACTTGTGACTGGCGAGACGTGTGTGCCATGGGGACATGGGAGCTGGGATCTGTTGGCTCCTCTCAGCTCTTAGGCTACATGGCTAGGCTGCCTACCTGCCCGGGATGCAATACACACCCCCTACTGAGTATGTATGTACAAAGAATGCACAGTACGTTCATACATACATGCCGAATCGAATGTAGGTAAGGTATGGATGTAGGTACTGCGCTGTACAGTACAGTAGTGGAGGAGGTTGGAGCGGGGCCCAGCTGCGTGTCGCCCTGCTGCAAATCGAAACCGACAAGAGGCTTTTGACACCGGATGTTTGGTACGAGAAGTCGGTGAGCCTAAGATCCATTCATGCCTGCCTCATATCGATCTCGAAATGTGATACGGCAACAAGGAGTCACCAAGCCCTACTGCCCCTTCCCCTTCCGAGGGACAGCCGGGCAGGGGGGCCGCCACGCTAGCGGCACGCAGGCCTGCAACACTCCGCCGCTCGAACACCAACTGCAAGCCACGACAAGCAAGGTACGCGTCGGGAATAGGTACGTACTATACTGCACTGCGCAAAGGAAGAGGTCACTCCACGCGAGTCTGGAGTCTGGGACATATCGAAAATGAAAACGATCCATATCCCTGAAGTGTGGATTCCCAGCGGCCACGAAGATGAGCATTACAGGGACGGCAGAAGAGCGGTACAGCTAGCAAGCTCAAAGAAGGCCTAGCGTGATGTTCCACAGTAGGCGGTGAGGCCCTGGGCGGTCCGTGTCTTGCAAGCTGCGGGGGACCTAGAAGAGGAGGAGCGATCGATCCAGACCCTAGCTCATGGAAGTTGTCCCTCCCCCGCCGTCTTTTAGTGCCCGATGGCGCTTCCAGCACGTGAAGTGCCTTCCATGTGTGTTGGAAACGGGGAACCAGCATCAGAAGCGGAAGGTGCGGACAATCCGTAGGTAATAACTATCTGTAAGGTACCTTCTACTTCTCAAAGTCCAAGCTGCAGCTGCAGCTACAGCTACAGAATACCTTATTTTAATCGTCACACGTTCAAAATCGAGCTCTTTCGAGTGTGTTTTTACAGTGGTAAGGCTCCTACCTAGGTCGTTAGGTAGTTACCCCTCCTCGAGACCGTTGATACCGTGTTTGGACGCCGTATGTGCGACCTAGCGATGTTAGAGGGGCAATAAGAGCCCAGGTGGGGAAAGGCGGTAAACATCTGGCTGCAAACTTTGGAGATGCTGACGAGAGAAAGACACGCTATATGTTGTAACTCCCATGTTGTCTCTGCAACCAGCCAAACAGGCTAAACCAGAATACCTGATGAGGTGCTGATGAACGGGAGTTGCGGATCAGCGTCGAAGCAAGACGGACTTTGTCTTCCGTTGCGAGGCTCTTGGTCCGTCACTCTCAACCTTGATAGGAGACTGCCCAACAACTTTTCTCCCCGACACCCGAGGACCGTTAAGTACTGTGCTGTACTGTATGTATGTATGTACCTTACATAACCAGACAGGACCAGACCAGGGCCCCTCTCACCGCGACTTGCGGCCAGACTCACCGTCAAAGCGCCGACAGTGTAAAAATAAAGATAGAAAGTTTGGTCAAGCAACAGGCCCAGGCAGATGGACAAGAGAGCTTTGCGGGACCGGACGTCGCACAAGTGACAGCCTTCGTGTCCCGCATACGCACCCTGGCCAGCACGGCCAACCAGCGCCGAACGCGATCCGATGTCTTTCTCTTTTGAGTCTTTTCATTCCCGCGATTCGTCGGCCGCCCCATTTGTCACACGAGCCGTCGTCACCGCTGTTAGGAAAGAGGCCAGAGCGACTAGGTGGCTACCATCCCGTCGGGAGAAGTGTGACTGAAAAAGAAACCCCCATGCGTGCTTCTCGAAGCCTGCCACGCATTTCCAAGTTCCAAGAGCGGCCGCCAACGCCAGCAGGATTCCCGTCACACGGTTGGCCTCGTCTTGTTCACTTTCATCACACCATCCCAAGTTGAACGGTATTCAAGAAAGCTCTCAGAGAGGTTTTTAGCACTGTAGGCAAAATCCTTCATACTTAGTATGTAGCTTACAGAACCTGAGACATTCAGTAGGTACAGTACATACAGTACTATACTTTCATCAGGTTGTCATTTACGAGTTCGACAGATTATCTTCATATTTTCACGCTTATACTTTGCAAATACTCTCGCTTCTAAGGAGATTACTACCTAGGTACACATCTAGTGTAGCCATCTAACGCTGCAATACCTATGTCTAGTGTAAAGGTCCGTGAACTCTGTACAGCTGCGTGCTTGTCTGTGGAACGTAGCTAAAACTCTCTCGAGGCGAATGCCGGAACTTCGGAAGAGAAAGGCTGCGTTCCCCAAGATCTCAATATGAGCGTGCAGCTGCCTGCTTCTGATCGCTCCCAATCGCCGCCAATAAGGCTCTCTCTCGTGAAAACTGAGTTCTTGACTGGCATTCGGATTACCATCGATGTCGAAATGTCCCGAGGCTGCCTACTCGCCTGCAGCCGACGACCCGATCTGGTTGTAGTGTACGAAGTAGCCTATTCCGTAAGCGGACCACGATTCCCAATCAGGATATTTCCCTGTGTTACCGGTTTATTACTTCCTGCCGTTTTCTTGAAGAATTCGCGCCCACCACCTCACCCAGGTACGTACTGCGTTTTCTTTTTCATCTTAGAGAGAAGAAAGCCAGAAACGATAGAGACATCGAAGCCGTTGCAGTGGCACACTGAAGTAAACGGGCCTCCTGCCTAGGCGTCATCTTGGCCCTTGCACTAACAGAGCGAGGTGGAGAGTTTCGTTTGGTAGTGGGGCTTAGAGGCCCCGCTTCCGCGTGTTGGCGCGGGGAGGAGACCAGCCAGTGACAGACGTCTAGACACTGGAACCCAAACTGGGCTGGCTTCCAGAGCAAGCACCATTTGGCAGGCGACTTCGCAACGTCAATCTCGTCGGCATCCATACTCCTGGCGATGGATACCCAGGGAGCCTACTGAGAAACCGAGACGCGCGCGACGAAATGCTAGCTAGTAGCAGCCATGAACCCCAGCCAACAGAGGCCCTAGGACTACTAGTAGGATACTGCAAAGTCAAGCACCACCATCTCGGCTTGGTGGCTCTGGCCTCTGGGCAAGCTGCAGCAGAAAATGCCCCTTTATGGCCTACTAGGCTCGTCCAAGGCCAAGGGCAACGTCGCCTCTAACTCCCAACCTTCTCAGACGCCGCCAACGACTTCGGATGTCGTCTCGCCGGCGTTTATTTTCGACGAGTCCCAACTCAAGCCGCTTGGCGAAGAGGCCCCCGATCTGCGCGAGCTGAACGCGTGCCTCGAAGCTCTCGCCGTCGTGTTTCCCGATGTTCAGATCGAGGTGTTCCGTGAAATGCTCTGCAAGTTCGACGGCGAATCTAGGCTTGCCTTGGTGGCCGACAATCTGCTGAAGAACCGGGCTTCGTTTGTCAACGGGCGCTGGAGGGTTCCGGATAAAAATGGCGCACCGGGTGCAGCGTCTCGACCGAGCACGCGACCTGACATGGACCTGCTGCCGCGGACCGAGGTGTTCAGAAGTCCCGAGTACATAAAGGCGGCGAGGGCGCTGGCCTGCCACGAATTCAAGGGGCTGTCGCGGTCGGCCATAAACGGCGTTCTTGCTGAGTCGAACCATTCGTATCTCGAGGCTCACGAGACGCTGGTCGCCGTATCATCCAAGTCGTGGAGCTTCTCCATATCCTCTCTGTTCCGCCGCCGGAAGCCAGAGTCACTCACCAAGGCCGAAGCCCACCCGCTTGTCTTGTGGAAATCGACAGGCCACGGCCCCCTACTACCGTGCATCAAGTCAACGGGAAATGCCGAGCTAGACCGAGAGCTCTTCGCCGAGCTTATCCTGCCGCTGAAAGAACGGTCCCGCGCGGACCAAGAAGCAAAGGATCATTGCCTGGCGCTTGAGTTGAACAGCGAGGAAGCACACCAGGCGCAAGCCATTTACGAGTGCGCCTGCTGCTTCGCCGATGGGCCGTTTGAGAGCTTCACTTCGTGCACCGCCAAAGGTCACATGGTATGCTTCAACTGTGTGCAGCACTCCATCTCAGAAGCCATATTCGGTCAAGGCTGGCAGAGGAGCATCAACAAGGAGACGGGCACTCTGCGGTGTCCGGCTGTGGACACTGATGAGTGCCAGGGGTGCATCTCGCAGTACGACACGCGCCGGGCTATGATGGAAGTGAAAGGAGGCATCGATGTCCTCCACAAGCTGGACCAGCGCCTTGCGGACCACAACCTCGTGTCGAGCAACATCCCCCTTGTCCGTTGTCCGTTCTGCTCATATGCCGAGGTCGATGATGTCTCCCTGCCAGAAAGCGAAGCACATGTGCGTTTTCGGACAGACAGCATCTCTAACCTCGTCTTCACCGCCCTCTGTATATGCGCGGCTTTCTGTCTTCTTCCCCTTCTTCTCCCGTTGGCCCTTGGCGCCATCCTCACACACAGCCCCAAATGGTCATTCAAAGATCACGTCGCAGCCCACTTCCACGAGGCTATGAGGCGTCACCGCCGCAACCACCGGGGTCTCAGATTCGTGTGCAAAAACCAAGAATGCAGGCGAGCGTCGTGCCTCAGCTGCGAGAAGGGGTGGGTGGACGTGCACGTCTGCCACGAGTCTTCATTGGTGTCGTTGCGCACGCAAGTAGAGCAGGCCCAGAGCATGGCCATCAAGCGCGTGTGTCCACGGTGCCACACGTCGATAGTCAAGGCGGAAGGCTGCAACAGACTTACGTGTACGTGCGGCTACTACATGTGTTACGTGTGTCGTAAGGACATTTCGGACACTACCGGCCATGACCCCGGACCAGATGTGGGATATAGGCACTTTTGCCAGCATCTACGTTCGGTAAAAGACTCGCCATGCTCCGAGTGCGACAAGTGCTACCTATGGGAGACGGAGGACACTGAAGAGGTGTTGCGGAAGGCCGAAGAGGAAGCCGTTCGCAAGTGGCGAGAGACGGAGAAGCGAGACCTCTCAGTTGCCGACAGGGCATATCTCGAAACGGGCGTGGCAGCCAACTCGAGGGCGTTGGGGGTGAGTAAAGCCCTGTCGGAAGCCAGGTGGCCGACCACTGCCGAAATCGCAGACTTTATTGTGGAAAAGATGTTTGTATGATACGGATCAGCACGAGCACGGAGAGACTCGAAGGCTGGCTGGCATGGAAATCATTCACTAGGTGGGTGGCTTGCCTGGTGCATCACTTTTGGCGTTGCGGAGGGATTCCTCATACCCAAGACCGAAAAAAAGTGCAGGATCTGGGGCTGGCGGGCATTAAAACGGTGCATGGTGCTTTCATGGGTTTCTGATCTACCTACCTTGGCGTAGAAAAGAGAATACGGATACTTGTTTGGAGATATTTTCTGCCTATTAGACGCCGTGTTTTGCGATGGTTACCTCACCTATTAGAGTTATTGAGAGGGGGTTCCGCCTCCCATCTGTCCCTCCACCACTTCTCCCTTATTTCGTTCTTTAATCAACGGCTGGGCTGGGTTGTTGTCTATCAAAACCAGGGGAGAGGTGGGGAGGTGGAGAGGTGGAGGTGTGGAGGTGGAGGTGTGGAGGTGTGGAGGTGCAGGTGGGGGCTAGGGGTTGACTTAGGTAAGCAAGAAGCAGGCCCCGAAATTTTGTGTCCCCAGCGGCCAAAACGCGTAACAAATGACAGCCCGCCCAGCGCAGCTTGGAGAAACTGCGACACCTAGTAGCAGCAGCAGCAGCAGCAGTCCACCTTGCATTGGAGCTGGAGGTTATTCGCACCAAAACCGATTGCGACGCAGCGCATCGCAGCACCACCACCGGGAAACCCAGCGGCGCCCGCCCCCCCCTCCAGAGACAGCCCACCATGTCGGGCCAGACAAGCAAATGGCGCGAGGAGCAGATCCTCGTCATCTGCCCGGGCAGTCAGACGACAATGGCCCAGCTCGGCTGCGGCGAGCTCACTCCTCCCGTCCATCGCTTCCCAACGCGCATGTTCAAAGACGACGAATCGGACGACTGGCGCCCCTACCGCACATACAAGCGGAAGAAGGCTGTGTCGACACCCAGCGTGTCCAATGGCGCTTCCAATGCCACTACGACTGCGACTGCCGGTGCCACTGCCAACGGTGCGGCGGCCAAGGACGAGGATGAGTGGGAGTATGTTGAGGATACAGACTCGGTCGAGGGCGCCGTGTATCCGATCCGAGGTGAGTCTGCCATGCGCGCTTTGTCCAATTGCCACATACTTCATTTTCAATACCAATCTCTCCCATTTGCGCGCGTCTTGGTTCGCGTTGCCATGTGCGCTAGACGGCGCTGACCGTTAAAACCATGCTCCTTTTGTCCAAACAGCCGGCCGCATCGCAAACATGGATGCCTTCCTAGCATTTCTAGACCACGTGCACGGCATCCTCACCACCACATATCACAACACGCCAATCATGTTGATGGCTTCCCCCCAGTGGACGCGGCCCGACTGCGAGGCCATTGCGCGCTACATCTTTGAGAAGACGCGGACCCCGGCCCTCTGCCTCATCAACAGCGGCATTGCAACACAGTACGGCCTCAAGTGGCCCAACATGACGGTCGTCGATGTTGGATTTGAAAAGGTCGACGTGACGTGCATCTACGAAAGCCAGGTGGTCTCGCACTTGGACGTCGGTAGCTACCCGGGACCCGAGCGCGACGTTAGCGGCGGCGAGGTCTTCACGCGCAAGCTGGCGTCGCTGCTCAAGGCCAAGGGGTTTGACTACGAAATGGCCGAGCAGCTGAAGAAGAATCCCATCTGCGAAGTCTTGCCATACGCGCCTGACACCCCGGAGTTGATGGAGCTGCCTGCTGATACGGGCGATGGGTCCAAAATCGTTGCGCCCATTGCCGACATTGACGACGGCTTGAACATTGATGGTAAGGATGTTGAGGATGAGGGCGTGCTTGACGTCGCCAACATTGTTGTAAGCGGTCAAACCAGGGAATTCCTAGCCAAGAAGGAGAAAGAGAAGGCCGAAAGGGCCAAAGCCGGCCGCAAAGCAAAGGAGAGGGAAGGCAATGAGGCGGCTGCAGCAAGGACTGCAAGGCTTCCAAACTCCAAACGGCCCTGGAATGTGTTCCATTATGAGGAGCTGGTCACAGAGGAGGTTCCCGTCGCGGCACCCGTACCGGCACCGGCACCAGCGCCTGCGCCCGCCTCGATCCCTGCTATAGCGCCTACTCCGGCGGGAATAGAAAATAGTACCACGGACGTCACCATGGGAGACGCATCCGGGGCGACAACAGGGACAGCCCCAGAAGCAGCAACAGCAACAACAGCCCCCATCGAAGGCTCCGCGATCGATGTCGCAAAACCAGAGCCAAGTGCAGATCAACAGCAGGCCAGCGTCGGCAGCGAGGCAGTAAAGCCCGAGGAGGCAAAAGCAGAAGCACCGCCAGCTCCGGCCGCTCCTGAAACCGCTCAGCTCACAGAGAAGCAGACCAAGCGCGTGCGGCGGGACATTGAGATTGGCATCGAGCGGTTTCTCTTTGCGGAACGTGCCGAGATTGACCGCATAGTCACTGCCATCTACCGTGCCGTACAAGGGATCGAGAACATGTACATGCGGCCGTACTGCTGGGAGAACATTGTCTTTGTTGGCAACGGCACACGCATCCGCGGCCTCAAGGACAACATCATGCAGACATTGCAGGCGCGGCACCTGGTGTCGCCCAGCTCGGCCACCATGTTTACCTCGGAGCTGCCGTCCAACTTGGGCACGCCGTCGGGCACCGGATCCCAGACCCCTACCGGCTCCTTCACGGGCGCCCCACATCAGCTGCCCACTACCAGCAGCGTCAACCCGCTGCTCCAAGCGGCAACCACGGCGAGCCTCGGCATCCCGGGCGGCCCTGCCGCTGTCGCCGCCGCGGCCGCGGCCGCTGCTAATGCTAATGCGCCCGGCTCCAACGCTGGCGACGCTAGTTCGGCCCCCAGCCACCACTTCCACAGCCAAACGCCCACCACCATCAAGCTTGCGCAGCTGCCCACCTACCTTAGCGAGTGGACTAAGAACGGCTTCGAGGAGGCCATGTTCCTTGGCGCCCAGGTCGCCGCCCGTCTTGCCTTTTGCATCCACAACTTGGACGTCCAGGGCCTCGAAAGCCAGCGGCTGATGAGCTTGACCCGGATAGACTATAAGTGGGTTTTTCTTTCTTGATTTGACCCACATATATCACTTGCATCGTTGTGGCTTAGCTAACTTTTCTTCGCAGTGAGCACGGGCCCAAAGCGATTCGGTCGCATTCGATGCTGGGGTGACGGCATTATGGAGACGGCTGGTGTTTATCGCGAGTGCTAGGGAGTGCGAAGGTAGGCTCCAAAGAGTTGTTGGCTTGGGCAGTTAGGGAGGTAGGTAGGGTATCTAGGTTGGCTGGCCGAGGGGTGTTTTCTGTCACCCCTCTCCCTCTTTATGATTAAGTTGGAAATATCAAATATTAACACGAAGTGCCAAAAAAAAAAAAAGAGCCTTGCAGGTCGTCCTGCAGAGGTTATAGACCTAGAATGTTTCTTCGTGGTGACGTGTGGTTGTTACACCATCCCCGCGTGGAAACGAACAGCGAGAATTTGCTATTTGATCTGAGGCACCCTTTCACTAGAAGTACGAGGCTCTGCTTGTAGTTGGTGTGTATCGTGGCAGCATTTCGTCGCGTGAATTCCATGACTCCCAGTGCGTTCCGCGCGCCGGAGATGCCCCGGTGCCAAAACATGAGCTTGACCTCTTGATGTTTACTGGGCTTGGCTCGCTGACAGCCTCGTCAAGATCGTACCACCAGAGAATGAGGATGCCAGTTTTGTACACGATTCTATCCAAACTCTCGGCCTGACCGGATGTAAGGGCATATAATGCGATGGAATCTCGACTCCAGGGGCGTTCAAAGTCGACAGCATCATGAACAATGAACTTGACAGAAATTCCGTGCAGAGGCACGGCTTCCATGAGAAAAGAAGAAAAGTATACTTTAAACACTATTAGTCTGTAGCAACATGCTAATGAAGATGCTGCCCTTTTTGTGAGCGATCCCTCTCTCGCCTCCTGTTGATATCTGTTAAAATGACCGTTCTCGCGGCCGTAGTATACACAAGGGTCAGCTGAGCCTTTGACTGGGCAGCCATCAAATGCAAGCCAACATAACATTCTTCTGCTCTTCACGATGGATCTCAAGTCTTCAGGCTAAATACGCTCCCGCTACAGACTCACAAAGCTGACCGCCTCGGTACGTCGCAGGAGTTGCAGCAGAGTCATGGCGTGCATGGCGGCGTTGACGAAGGTAAGGTACTGAAATGTCATTAACAGGTTGGAATTCCATAAGGCTCTCGGACAAACCCACAAGCCGGTATAGAATCACGGGGTCAGTCTCCCATACATACCACTAGGAGTAGTAGGCATCCATGCCCAATGCGTACCTTGATTGTATACCCCGCCTTCCTCGACTTCAGACGTGCCTGCCTCGCAGCGCCCGCTCAGAGGATGTCTTAAATAATTCCATCCTCAGAACGTTAACAGAGACCCATCGACAATTATTATAACGTGTATTATATTTGGCTACCTACCTACCTATTCAACCACGGCAAAGATGGCTGCCGTTCCCAAACATATGATTCTACCACCCAGAGAGCCAGACGCCACCGACTCGGAAATGGCCACCTATCTTCTCGAGTCTCATATCGAAAGCGCCCTGGCCGGTCTCGTGGATGAATTAGACAACAAAGAGCTAGAAGCCTTTGCCGATTTAACGGAGGAGAGTGAACATGATGCCATAATCCATATTTACGCCACGTACCGCCTATACATGAGAAGCAACTCGCCGGAAAGGCTTAAACAAGCCGCCAGATCGTTAAAACTCTTGGTCGAAGCAACGGCAAAAGATGATGCGGCTCACGCTCTGCAACTTCGCATTCTTGTTCAGACGTTAGCGGACCTGGCGCAGCATGAATTCACGTCACGTACCGGGGGAGATGCTGCTGCGGGTGTCTTTTTCGAAGGGCCTACGTTGAGGGAAGATCTCGACTCCGCCGTCAGCCTGGCAACAACAGCTCTGGACTCGACGCAGTCGGACCATCCCGGTCGATTCATGATACTGAACAACATCGGAGCCTGGCTCGGGCTGCGGTTTAATGAATGCACCCACTTGAAAGATAATCTTGATCTAGCTATCGAATATTCCTGGGGCGCAAAAGGTGGCGCAGAAATAGTAGCACGAGATGCTACACCTGTAGTCGCAGACCACTCCGATAGAGATGCTGTTTTCATACAGTTTGCAGGCTTGCTTGCTATTTAAATTGACTTGAACAACCAGGACTTGACACACCATCCTGAGCGGGAGGAAGAATTGGCAACCGATCTTGATACCTCTATCGGATCTATACCGAACATATTAGCCAACATACCTCGAGACCACCCCGAGCGAACCGGACTGTTGACCAATCTTGGAGCCCACTTTAGTAGGCGATTTGAACGGTTTAGCCGTGACAACGACGATCTCGACCAAGCCATCAAGTTCACACACGAAGGATTGCAGAACCACCATTTTCTAGATCCCGACAGTCCCACCGTGTCAAACCTTCAACAACTACGCAAGTGGCAAAAAGATTTGTCGAGTTCAGTGGACAATGGCCTTGATGCTGTCCAGACTGGCTCAGCTTCCGCTCACGTGTCTCCTGATCAACCCGATCGAGATGACTTGTCAACAAAGTTTGGGAACCTACGTTCCACACGTGCTGGAACAAACAGGCGACTAGACTTTGAAGGCTCACCGCCAATCGATACGATCCAATCCGAAATCGAGGCCGCTGGTTCTGGTAAGGACGGGGCTGTGTTTGTGAGCAAATGCAGAGTGGTTTGGAGCATGATGAAGTTTTGTGAAGAAGAGCTGGACCCGGGGGCGACACTCCAGAGCATTGTCACCTTAACGGGGACACACATCAACGCTGAAATGAATTCGTGTGGAGAGTTTACGAAAAAGGTATGGATGTCGTCGGCTCTCATCGAATTCCTCAATCAATACATCCAAAACCCGTTGAAATTCAAAGGTAAGCCTACTTCAGTGAAGCCTCATTTATTCCTCGCAGGCGGCTATTAAGCCGTAGATTATTATGGACCAAGACTAACGAATCGAAGGTTCCGTTAAGCTCTATGGAGGTACTACTCTTTCAATCGATGATGATGAGAAAGAGACCAGACATCCAGGATATGTGCGCTTCTCGGTCTCTGGCCCTCTCGCTGAAGTAGCTCGACTCATTCAGCAGCTTGCCTGGATCACGGCCGCATTCGAACCTCCCAAGAAGAACATTCTGACAGTATCGACCGCCGTTCTGGACATTGTGCCTGGGATGATTAACATTCGACCAAGACAGCTTGACTCCCAAGCCTTGCTGCGAGGCTCATCTAACTCAAAGGCAAATGCAACCTGCTGGCACTAGCTCCTCCCTGGCGCTGTTTTAGCGTATAGTTTTTCAATATCCGAACGGGAAGAAGGCATAGGGTTGGAGATACTTTTTGATTTCATGGCCAGCCTCGCAGATATTCGCACCAAGATAGATGTTGCCGAGGGTGTAACACTACTTGGGGGGCCCGAAATCCTTCTGTACCCAACTCAAATACTGGAGTGCGGTGTACAATGGCACTGCACCGAGATCGACGGTAACCGTTCCGGGGAGGACGGTCAGGTCCCCACCGGAGCCCTTCCAAACCAGTCCCTCCAGGACCTCTCGAATCGAAGGGCATTTCTGGGGTTTTGGACCAAGTCTCAGGTACTCTTGGGAACGCAGGATCTTGTCGAAACTCTGCGGGCTAGAAAAGACCTGGAGTTGAGATTTGAGAAAGCACCTGGAGGGATCGAGCTTACACGAGAAGGGACATTCAGTGCGGGCTTCTCTCTCAATGCACAGGCGAGCATCGGTATCAAGGCGGTTTTCTCGAAAACATTGCAAGTATCACTAGATCAAGGCAGGACATACCTTGATCTTGTTGACAAGGCAGCAGTCCAATCAACGATTGTCTACGACGAGCAGACCAGGTCCGGATGGGTCATCTCGGAGATGAGCCTCGCATTACACATTGCCCTATCTTATCTCTCTAATCCTCGAGTTTAAGAAAGACGACGTAGTGGCCCTGAACTACTCGAGGGAGATTGGCCACAACTGCCGTTTGCTGAGCCCTGTGCTGATGGTGGCTTAGAAGCACGCAGGATCGGTATCGAATCGACCAACTGCCAGATCAAACTATGGTCAGAAAATGGGAAAACGAAAACGTTTTGCAAAGTCATAGAGGATGTTCTACGGGATTTTCGGGCAATAAAAACTGCAACGATGGTGCAGAATAGACAAAGTGGCTGGCGCCCCGGGTTCATGCGCCCAGGAATTAGGGGCTGGGAGTATTCTGAGTTTGTGTCCCGGGAGAGTGACATGTTCCAAAAGGAAGTGCCTTTCAAGGGTCATGAAGCGCCGGGTGGGAGCTGGAGAGAGTGGACGGCATGTTGGCCTTCTTCGGCCGTGGACTCGGCGAGCTCATCAAGCCTATGCAATCCTCGAGGCATCCCTCCAGACTTTCTGCCATCCCTCCTAGATCGCGGCTATTGGTTGCAAGTCGAACCTGCCTCGAGAACAACCTGAAGGGGGCTGCCGAAAAGGGAAAGAGACTTGTCGGTTCACTGGAATGGACGTCGGCAACGGCAAAACGGTACTGCAACGATGCCTGCGACAAGACGTCTTGCTTGAGCATACAAATCTTGGGGGGGACGAGTAGCTCTTCTGGCACTTCTCCAAAACGCCAGGTGTTGGATGCCGAGGCCGTTATTTTTGGAGAGCCTGAGTACTATCATAAAGCCTTGATAGAACAGCAAGCACGAAGAGCTAACTCGTGGAATGGTTGAGGGTTATATTTATCCCTGGTTACTGAGGGCGAGATTCGGGACAGCAGACAGGTCTGTGTCGGCCTGCAGGGCGCAGCAAAAGGCAAGTCTATTTAGAGCTTCTGATAGAGAGTATAGTCAAAATCGTGTGTTGTTCTTTGCTCCTATGGGGGATAGCTACCTGCGTGATGGAGCATGCTAGGGTACATGATCTCTATCTTGACAGAAGTAGGCATTTCGTAGCGTCCTTTCTCACCTAGCTAGTTTACGAAAAGGAAACGGCGACTAGGTAGCAATGTGAAAGTGTCCCAGAATTGTATCCAGGAACGCATCCTACGGAGATGCTGGTTGCTTACACAAGACCCTTTAATACAGCCCTATTTTATTGATAGCTTCAACAAACATAGCAGAAAAAACGAGCCGCGAACTATCTTAATACAGAATTGTATCAGTTCGTGGGGTGTGGATACGATTCCGTGATAATATACCTAAATTATCTGGTGCTTTGACGTAGCTTCGGTGCCGGGTAGTCTCAAGTAGGAACGTGCCAAGAAACTGAACTACAACAAGATATTCATCTGCTTGTAAAATCATCTACACTCTATCGAGACCCAACAATAGGATATTTGCTCCCCACATGGGGCAGGATTCTATTATTACAACTAGCAAAACACAAGGATCATCTATGTCACACACGACACATGAAATTCCCACGCCTAAACTCAGTCATTAGAGACGCCGACATCGACATCCATCTCGCTGCTCTCTTCCGCAATGGGCAAGATGCCGTCCGTGCCCTCGCCTTCAATCACCTTGCCGCCATCATAGGTCACGCGCCGCCAGCCACACTCCTCGGCCGGGTCCTTGGTCCACTCCATTGTCGGGAAGTAATGCTCATTCTTCTTCATGGTCACCACCCACGGCACGCTATCAAACGTCATAGCCCGGAGTCGGAAATCTGGTTTGAGAGGACCTCGGTCAGCAAAGTAGGAAACAAAGGTTGGACAAGGGGGAGGGGGGGGGGGGGGGGGAACAGCGTACAGGTATTGTCAGGAATCTTGATCACGGCGGCAAGGAACGACTCGAGATCTGGCGTGGGCTTTCCGTTCACGTGGGTGATGAAGTTGGTAGGGGCAAGGCCGTACTGATATGAGGGCGAGCCGCGGGTTCTTGCCGAGACGTAGACCTCGCTAAACAGCTTGCTGATCTGCTGCCGGACGGCGTGGTGTGGCCGGTGGATGATGGCGCCGCAGAACGAGATGGCACGGTCAGTCTCAACGTCGTCAGCAGCAACAGTGGGGATCTTGTGGTTCAACTCGTTGCAGTCGCGGACGATGACGGCGTCAAGCACATCGTTCGAGTACATGACATCTAGATCTGAGATCTTGGTGACGATCTTGCCGTTCAGGGTGAGCAAAATGTCCCCTTCCAGGAGGGCGCCACCTTCTTGCTCTTCTCGCTCAAAGGTGCGCTTAGTTACCATAAAGAGCTGGTGATGGGCCGTGTTCGCCAACGACACCTTGCGAATCCACTCTTCCGACACGCCCATAACCCGAGCCTGCGACATCTGGATGGCGCGAAACTCAACCGACAGCATTCTCAGCTTCGGCACGATGCCCTGCTGTATCTGTGACACTACGGGCAACAGCGTCGGGGTGGTAAGGCCAAGGTGGTACTCTTCGTCGCGGTGCGTTGTATTAGAACGCTCGCCGAGGTACGTCAGCCAAAGGGCCTGGACAGTGCCATCTTGAGAAACGAGCACGCCGCTGCCGCACTGCCCGCTCAGGCTTGTATCGACGGTGATGGCATCGACATTGACGGCGCGATACCGGGGCGCCCCAGAGTTGGCGGGGATGGTCACGGCAAAGATCTCGGTGACGGTGGTCGCGGCATGTACGATGCGGCCGATTCTATTGTAGCCGATGAAGTACGTCGAGGCACCTTGGGTAATCTCCTCAGAGCTGAGCTTGGCGCTGAGCACTGGAGCATCGACAAGTTTCGGATCGTACTGGATTATGGCATAGTTTTGCAGGGGATGAAGAAACACTACCTTGCCCTCGACAACGATGGAATCCGCGATGGTGATGGAGATGTCGCAGAAGTCATAGGGCACAATAGCTCTCGATATTACCACGAGGCCCTTGTCGGCGTCGATGACAAGTCCCATCCCCCACTTGCGGTTCTTGGGGAAGCCGTCAAGCTTCATCGGCATGGTGCAGCTGACGTGGACGAAACTCCGTACAAGATCGGCAACAGCCGGGTGAGATGTGTGCTCGAGCTGGATGAACGAGGCGGTCCTGGGAACGGGGGGGACCGCAGGCAGGGCATCTGAGAGATTCGAGAAATCCCAGAGACCCGTCTCATCGTTTCGCACAGCCAACTTCATCTTCTTGGACCAGTGCCTGTCGACATAGATAATAGTCGTGTTTAGGGTGTGCAGATCGCGCAGATGCTTGTACGTTACCACCACCCGAGCCTTGTCGGGTATGTCCTTGACCACATCGATGAATGTGTTAAGATCGGGCGTCTTCTTGTGGTCGATCGACTGGACCAACCAGCCGTTTTCTGTGTTGTCGAACCGCCAAGACCCGCCGGCTTCACAGACATAGACACCCTTGCAAGCCACGCCATAGAGGCGGGCCTGCTGATAGGAAAGGTCGTGGAAGCTGCCGCCCGAGACCGAGACGAAGCGGTCAGGCGTGATCTTGTGCAGGTCGCCAATGTCAATCTCGACCTCGACCTCCTCGCCACCCCGGAGCAGCAGAAGCTTAACAGTGCTGCCGACGTTGGAGTCCAGGATGTCGTCGAGACGGATAAACTCGGTAAGCATCTCGCCGTTCACCTTGACCAAGACATCGCCCTCCTCGACCTTCTTATACGACGGGCCGTCGGGAAGCACGATCTCGGCAACCAGCATATTGGTTTCTTTGGGGAAGGCTTTTCTCATCTGGGCCTCCCATTCCGGGCCTAGGCCTAATCTCCGGCACTCGTCAAACGGCTTGAGCAGGAACTGGCACTGGATGTCACCTCGTGTGATGGGCTTCCCCTCCTGCAGACATTTGAGAGCGCGTAGCGGTCTGTCCAAGGGAAGGAAATAGTCGGTCGAGGCGCCGTCTGCTCTGCCGCCGGCCTGGAGCGCGACGGCATACCCGTCGATATTCACCACGGGACTGCCCGAGCTACCTCCGCTAGCGGCTGCGCTAGCCTGATAGTAGCACGTATTGAAGTCGCTGTATCCTTCGCCGTACTCGGGGGCATTGCGATCCAGCCTACTTATGACGCCGGACAGAATGCTGAGCTTTTCTCCGGCATCGTTACCAACGACTCTGATCTCGACACCAACCTTTGCCAGGTCAGGCCGCAGCACCAGCGCATCCACTGGCATATACTTGATGGCCTTGGGGTCAAACTTGAGGATGCCAAAGTCGTGGACGGGGTCGCGGTAGACGGGGTAGGCGTCGACCTCTTCATGGTTATCGAAGATGCAATATCCCCAGAAGGGGCCAGAGCCAACAACGTGCCGGTTAGTCAAGATGTACCTGCAAAACGTCAACACGGGTTGGTTATTGAGAAGAGGACCTGAGCTTACCCTCTTTCGGCATCGACGACAAAGCCTGTGGCCTCGCTGGTCAGGGCCGGGTCGGTGTCGAAGGAGCACGTCTGGCAAAAGCGGATCGAGACGACGTTGCGCACGACAGACTCTATGGTGGCCTGCCACTCGGCTGTGTCGGGGCCGGTGGGGAGGAGGGCGCTCGGCAGCCTCGAGTCTTCAAAGTCGTCTTCGAAGCCGTCCTGGCGAGCGGGCGAGCTATCGCCGCTCGACGCCACGTCTCCTCCGTTGGTACGGTGATGCTTGGGATGCCGCGAGTCAAGGGCATGTGGCGGCTCCTTCCGCTTGGAGCGAAGAGTAGCTGAGCTGGGGCCGTTCATGGCTGCGGCTAGACCGTCGCTATCGCTGGATCTCAAATTGGAATAGGGGGTCGAGAGGGGGATCGAATTCGCGCTCGAGTTGGGAGTCGAAGTCGAAGTAGTGGTCGAAGTTGCAGTCGAATCCGGAGCTAATACAGAGGATGTAGTTGGCCGTGTGGTCGGGGAGGACGAGAAGGCGGATGCGGATGAGGAAAAGGCTGCGAGGTGATGTGAGGGCCGTTGGGCGGTGGTGCGGGTGAGGCGGGTTGGCCGTGAAAATGTCGGCCCTGCCAATGACAGTTTGGCGAAAGCGGCGCAAAAGGATGTGGTGAGAAAGCTCGGGCTAGGAAGCGTCGTGCGCAGTCTCCGACAGGTCTGGAGGAGCGCTGGCCGCATCAAAAGTGGACAGGAGGCTGCGAACTGCTAGGTTCGGCCAGTCAGTCGGTCAGTCGCTTTGAGACGGAAACAGATGGATGGTGGGCTTGGTTCCGAACTTCTCAGTCCAGAGTTCAGAGTCACCTAGCCTCAGCTTTCAGGGTCGAATGCAGGCTCCTTCCCAAGGTAGGTCTGGATCTTGGAACTGTTGGAAGCCAGCAAAAGAGTGGGAATTCTTGGTGTCTGGGGTTCGAGGCAAGGAAGGGGAGCCGATTGGCGGGGTGCAATTAGCGGCCGGGACCGCATAAGAGCATTTAGGCCCCGATTGACACATTTGTATGTATATACAAATACATGTGCATATCCGGACTTCCGAAGTTCTTTCACGAGGAATTCAAGGCCGAGTATGAAATTATTTCCCTGATTAACTCGACAACCTTTGGACGCCCGCTCAAAGATGCAAAACCACATCCCGACCACATAGTGATAGGGTTATCAGCCGAGACGAGGCAGAAAATCATCAAAGACGACCTCCATTTCGATGGGCTATATACCCATGTAGCTCAAGTGTATCGTAAAGATAAAGCATTGAGGGGAAATATTATTTATGTAGGCGATCCAAAAGATAGAAGACGACAATGCAAAGAAGACGACAAAGCAGGCGAATGCAGCAGGTGCCTCGGAGCCGTCGTCATCGAAGCCCGCTACCTCAACCACATGAGTGCCGAGTAACCGTCGCGAGGTGGGTATTTTTACAGGCGAGCGAACCACACTACTGACTAGCTAGCAAGTTCCTTGGGTAGCGAGAGTAATAGCAGGCCTATGAAATTAATCCGCTCACAAAAGAGATAGGAAAGAGGAAATATAAGTCTCGACCTCTTCATCTTGAGTGCAGATTCTGTAACTTCGCACGCATGCGCATGGCTAGCTACCTACCCACCCACCCACCCACCCACCCGCCATCTTTGCGCGGAAATCTCGATTGACATTGTGTTACTCCTTACCATTCAGTTGACAAAGTGACTTGATTACCCCCTTTCCTCAAGAAACGAGCTCTCTGGGGGAAAGCTCTTGATAACTTGAAGGTTAGAGTATGTACTCCGTAGAGATACTGAGACGACCCATAACCGGGGTGACAACATAAATACAACAGAAGGAGAAAGTAAAACGCCGATGATGATGCTCCCATCCTTGTATGTACATGACCCGCCACACAAACAAACATAGATGCCCCCCTGTGATGATCATGGACAGCCATATCCATGATAGTAACCAGGTCGCAATAGCGACCCGGTTCCCTCTATGGACTCGGCGTGGTGTTCGTCGAAAAACGACAACACCGCGACCCTATCCACAATCCAACCACAGCCAATCCAAGTTTGACATGTGCTCCAGACCAAAAAAAAGAAAAAACCCAAAAACCATTGTGCCCGTATATCTCCACTCCTTCTCAAGGGTATCATGTCCATGCCCAGGTATGTCGGATGCAAAAATGAAAATGATTCTCTGGGTCCGATTCTGTCGCCGGTTATGAAATATCAATGCGAGGAAACAAGCGATGCAACGGAAACAGCGAAATCAGTCGGGCAGTCTCGGATTTACTGCTGCTTCATCTGCTCTCGGATTTTCTGAAACTCACGGACATGCAGCTCGTGGGCGTCGCAAGCCGCCATCCACTTTTGCCGCACATGCTTGTCCTGCTCCAGCCAATGTATATACTCCTCCATCTTGGCGTCATTCTTCGAGACAATCCAGTTGTAACCCTCGGCATTGAGTTGCTCGAACATCTGTTGGCGTCTGAAAAAGTGATCGACGATGTTCTTGTTGAAGACAGGCCAGTCCCTTAGATACTTCTCAAAGTCGCGTGCATAGCTTGCCCACATGGCCGATTTGGGCTTGGGAGTTGCGATAGCGAAGCTTGGGGGCGGCCGAGGCGCCACCGGGGGGTGGGGAAAGGACACGGGCTTGGGCTTCGCCTTCTCCAGGGGTATCTTTGCCGACGGCTTGCTTTCAAAAGGGAGATTCGAGGTCATATCGCTCAACGAGTTGAGCCCCGATGGCTTAGACATGAATGGCTCGACGTTTCTGAACTCTGCGAAAATCGGCCGCCTGAACTCCTCGCTGTCCTCCGATCCAGCTGCGTTGGGGTTCACCTTGTGCATGATGTTAAGCCCGCCCCCCAGATTAGCATCGGCTCGCACACCATTAACATCGCCGGCACGCCACTCGGGCTTGGAAGGCTCGACGTTGATTGTCCGGGCACTCGTCGGTTGCGAAGCTGCGGGCTCTGGAGGGGGTGTATCGATGTCCATGGCGTTGGGACTTCGGGCCCCGCTTATGTCGGCAGCCGACATGGCCGGTGCAGTTGGCCGCGCTTGGTAATTGCCACTCGTCTCGTCATCGTCCACCACCGTCGCGGTCCCAAATGCGCCCCCCGCCCGGATAGGCCGTTGTTTCTTGGCGGGCCGAACAGGTCGCGTGGGCGAGGCCGCTTTGCCCCCTGTTGCCCCCGTTGGATGGGCAAATAAGTGAGGGCCAAGCTTCTCCTCCCATTGACTGGGGTCAAAACCCCCAGGCTTCTTTCCAGCCTCTTGCTGAGAAGCGTTGTTAACTGATTCAGCCGATGACGCCATTCCGTTTTTGAGTGGCGACTGACGCCCGCGAGTGGTTGTCCTAGAGCGCTGCTTCGCACGGAGGAATGCATCGTCTCCCGATGAATCTGAACCTGCGTTAAACTTGTATCTCCCACCTCCTGTCTCATCTGGAACGAATTGGGTATTGATGTTATCAGTACTATTTCGCATGAATCGAGCCTGCTGGGCGGACAGATTCGGGCCGAACGTCTCGTCGTCGTCGTCGTCGGGAACCGAGAATCTGACACGATGAGTGGCGTTAGTTCTGCGCGTGCCAACACGAAGGCAACTCCTCTTGGGCTTCACTCCACAACCATACCCAGGTGCAGACTGCTGCTTGGAGGGCCGTGTTCCCCTAACGCTTAGGAGACCCTCCAACTGGTCCTGAAGGGACTTCTCGAAACTGTTGAGTTCTCGAGTCGACGGCGAACTGTTTCCACTGGGGGCGGCTTTGCCGTCGAGCTTTGCCTTCCCGTTAGGCATCTCTTGCCACTTGCCCCCATTGCTATCTACACCCACACGCCCGCTTGGGTGAGGTGTCTTCTGCGCACTAGACGACAGGGAAGAGGTCCGAGAGGGATTGAAAATAAATTTTCCGGTTTTAAAAAGGGTGGCATACACATTAGGGCCCATTTTCGCGTTTGATGAAGCACCTCCGTCTACTGTCGCTAGAGTCAGTTAGCCAAGTCTCTAGCAAATGAAAGTGATGAGCGCGATGTGACTTGCCATTGGCACTGCTGTTGATGGCGGAGCTTGAGCTGCCTGGGTTTGCAAACGTGGCGGTCGGAGGTGCCGAGTTTGCTTCTAGGGAGCGAGGGCCGTACTTGTCGCCGGCTTGAGACGGGAAGCCAAATCGATGACTGGCGGCGGCCGTGCCAAAGGCGCTCTTTTCGGCCGACGGCTTCTTGAAGCTGTCCGACTCTCCCACACTTACGCTTCGCTGCCGCTGAGGGGGCGGAGGCGGCGTTTCCCCATCTGTATTGTGGCCACTGTGACAGCCGTCCCTCACGCTCTTGGCTCGACTCATACTGACACCTTCAAAAGGGTTCGTTTTCTCCCTGAGGTGAGACGTATATGGCGTACTGTGGCGAGGTTCGTTAAACTGTTCCATCAGGGGATCAACAACATAATGTGCCTCCCGGTCTTTCTTTAGGTTCGCCGAGACCTCTTCAAAGACGCTCGAGTGGAGGCCGGTGCTGTAGTGGCTGTTTCTGACCGGCGGCTCATCTCCAAGAGGTGACGCTGGGACGAACCCCTTTTTTCTCGTGCCCGTGCCAAACTTTGCTTCTTCCCGCCTGGCCTGGGCGGCAGACCGGGGAGGAGGCGGCGGCGGATCCATGTTCTTGGCATTCGGCCGGGGGCTATTAGGAGGAGCTGCGGCGGCAGCGCTGGCCTGGCTTGCTCGGTTCGTGGGTCCAGTCCTCATGCGGTCCCATGCTCGTAGATTCTCAGTCGCATTCTCCGTCTTCTTGGCAGTCGGTGGTTGGCCCCAGGTCGAGTAGCGAGACGAGGAGCTCGTACTTGGAGTAGGGCGCGTTGGCGGCCGTCGCTTGGGTGGCGAGCCAAACTGTTCAGCCATATTCTTGGAGACATTTTGATAGGGGTTGCCGGCGCTTCTGGGAACAGAAGAGGTTGGGTATCTGCCAGTTCTATGCCTGCGGTATTCGTCGAACTTTGCCTTTGCAGCAGGATCAGAAAGAATTTCGTGGGCCGATTGGATGGCCTGAAATTTATCTGTGAATTCATCTTCATGGCCCAGATTTCGGTCGGGGTGGTATTTCAATGCTTTTGGGACACGGTTAGCGGGGGGAATCGGGTATTGGAACATAGGCTACATGAAAAAACATACCAAGCTTCTTGAACTGCCTCTTCACCTCATTGACATCTGCCGTGGGGGGCAACTCGAGATCGGCGTAATAATCTCGACTGTAGTCGAGCTTCGACATGGTGGGCTCGATAGTCAAGGGTTCCGAGAGGAGACGGGGGGAACGAAAGTGGGTGTTGCGCGCAAGCCGAGCGCCGGCATCCCTCGCTCTACGGCGAGACGACCTTCGTGATTGCTGCCCAAGGAGTGGTGTGGCTAGAAATGGCTGCTAGTATTGAAGAGTGTGCTGTGGTGTCGCAGCGCAAGATGCGACGGGCGGTGGGAACGGAAGCCCCGAGAGCCACGAGCAAACGACGATATGTAGAACCGAGGACGGGACCGCAAGTGTGTATCGTTGCAGGACTAGGTAAGCGAGAAGTAATCGAAGCGATCGCCCACAGTCGCGCCGGTCTGCGCTGTGGTTCGGCGGTCTGGAGAGGAAGCTTTTGTTAGCATGTGGGATGCTGCAGGCAGGGACCGTGTCTCGGTTGTAGTGCGGGGCACATACCGGTAGCAGCTAAGAAGCGACGACACGGTGAGACGATTATGAGAAGTGCAGAGTGCAGTGCTCGCTTGTCAAGTCAAGGAAAATTCGCGAACTGATTGTAGGTATTGTGGAGACGGGATTTTATTATTTAGCCGCAGCGTAGGGCGGCGCGGGCGCGTGTTTAGAGAACAGTCGCGCAGAGCCTGTGACCAGGCATGGGCAAGGATGAAAGGCAGGGACAACTCCCGTCTGGATGTGGGCAGGGTCAGGGTCGCAGGGTCAAGCTTACGGAGTACGGAGGCAGCTCGAAGGGTTCCGGACGCTGTGCTACGAGGAGAATGTTAAAAAAAAATTAGGAAAAAAATGGCAGGATTCACCCTTAACGAACTCAACGCCGCCAGTCAGGCAGGATCTGGGGCGGTCTGAGTCGATTAGTGCTTCACCGTCTCCCGTTCTCTCCTGCGCTCGCTGTCGAGGATTTAGAGGGACAAAACAAAATTGTGGGGCCTTGGGCGCTGCCAAGGGCAAGTCAGTTGCCCGATATGACGTATCCGGGTACCGTTACACGTTCAGATCCCGAACTGCACGGCTTCTCCAGGGTCGCAGATATTAAGCGACCAGGCAGCCGGAGGACAATAGAAACCGGTAAAGAAGTGAAGAGTAAAGAGTGTAAGGTAACCGACTTGTTATGGTCCGCAAGAGGTAATATTGATTTGCGGCGGGAATGTATTGTCGACGGGAGGTGCTATAATCTGGGAACCTCAAGGTTTATGGCACGTACCTTACCTCAAGATATTGTAACAGGTAGTGGAGGAGCACAACGGGATATGGAGCGCGGGGGGCTTCTGGTGTGAAGTATACGACGTACCCGGTGTCGGATTATGGATAAGGAAAGCAATCAAGCAAGCAGGCTAAAGCACAGTCCGCCACTAGTTGGCGATCTGCCTCTGAGATTAGGTTGTCACCAGGCGGGCGGTACAGCAGTGTATGTACCATCAGCCTCGACCCGGCTGTCGGTGGGCTCGTGGGGGAACACTAAGACGCACTGCACAGCCTTAAAAACGGTCGGGCGCCTTGATCTTGTGCCCTGCTGTGACGCACTTGAGCTGAGATGAGCTCGGATGGCAAACAATGGATGGAAAGCTCCCAGCCCAGCGCGGGGTAAAATACCTTGTCCCCATTACCTAGGGTTTCCGTACCTTAATTACCTTATGCCGTACCTTTACGAAGTGCTCCGTACACCAGGTGTATTGCGTATTACAAGCCGAAGAGCCCTCGGTCGGCGGCCACATCGAGGCTCGGCCCCTTTTCAACCTTGAAGCCGCGAGACACCGTCGAGAGCCCGTTTCTCCCTGCCCACCTCCCGGCGGCCCGCACCTGCTACCCGATGTTGACTTCTTTCAGCTATTCCTCGCCACTCATAAAGTGGCTCTGAACAGCTCCGGTGACGAGGATAGGGGCCTCCAAAAAAAGATACCAGCATTTAAAATGACAACGTAGGGCAGACAGCTGCAGCGTACCTGCTCAAGGCGCCGTGCTTTGGGGGATTGGTTGCACATGTGTTGCTGTGAATCTTTTAATAGGTCTTTACGGAGCAGTCATGATGCAAAGCCGCTTCTCGTACCTGGGCTGCTGTGCCTTGGGCTGGGACTACATGGAGGCCGTCCCTCTGCACCCCAAATAACGTCAGAGTGCATATAACGATGGTACAAGATGCAACGGCAGCTGGCTGGTGACCTCTTGTCAGATTCCCTTCTGCCCCATCCGCATTCCCCCAGCGGGCCTGCCTTAGTTTTCAGTGGCCTCCTGCAAGCCCAAGTCTGGTTGTAGCCTGGAGCATGTGCAACTTTGCAGCGGTGCCGTGTTCACCGAAGACCCGGCTTGCTGTCGGTTTACGGATTAGAAGAGACAACAATCTCACTTGCTTGGCAGTGGAAAAAATCAATTACTTTATGCCATGCAGCCATGCAGGTAAATACTCCAATCTGGCCAGCCGTCTCGGACGCTATAATCTCTGCCTGCGACATCTATGTTCATACCTAAGAGATATGGACTGCTACCTGAAGCAGAAAACCCTTCCTCTGTTCATGGGCGACTAGCCAGCCAATCTCAATTTGTCTCGCAGTCCTTGACCGAGAGACCCTTGACGCCTTCCCAGTGATAAGAAAGATCGAACAACAAAGATATACCTCCCAAACGCCCAAAAGTACCTGTTACACAGCCCACATAACGTGATTTCCGGGCTCCCAACTGCGACCCAAGCCAGGCGCAGCAGCCCCCTATTGAATCTCGCGGCCAAGCTCGTACGACCAGCCTCCCTGGCGGCGTATCTTATCCCGCGCCTGCAAGTCCTTCCTAATGTCTTCCTCGGTAAGCCGGTCCGAGCCGCTCCAGTTCGCGCTGCTGGTGCGCGCACGGAACTTGTGCCATCGGTCTTTGCTCTTAGTGAACACCTCCTCCATGTTCAGAGGAGCTGGTGGCCCAAATATCTGCATCGGATCCACCCGCTCTTGCTCTGCAAGCGCCCGCCTGAGCGCCGGGGAGTCAGCCCAGGCTGCCACGGCGAACTGTCCATCGTCCTCGTCGTCCTCATCGTCAGTTTGTATCTCGGGCAGCTCGATCCCGTCCGGGTTCGGGAAGCGTGGCGATGACCGGGCTGCAGACTTTGCACCCGCCTTGGCATTTGCCGGTCGGGCTGGCGTCTTGTGTGCCTGCCCAGCTGCGTTTGAGTTCGGTGCGAAAACAATATCCGCCTTGGACACCTGCGCCATGTCAAGCGGGTGCATCGCCTTGGTCCGGTTGTGCTGCTCCGTGACCGTCGCCTTGAAAAGGTCTCTAGCGACGCTCTGGGGCGGAGCAGGCGTATAACCATTGCTGAGCATCGACTTGCTTGGCAATTCCTGCGTCTTTGGGTTAGCAGGGCCCGACATCGAGAGCACACTTTGGTCTATTACCTTCTTAAAGGCCCCAGGTGGCCTGACAGGTGGCCCTTTGATGTTTCGCTGGCTGTCCGCCGTGTCGATGTCCTCGTCGAACTCCTCGCTCATGCGCATGCGCTTCGACTCCTTTGATTGGTATGAAACCAAGTTCCGCTGTGGCTGTGGCTGGGGCCGAGAGTTATCCTCGCTCGGGTCTTGTGGCAATGGGCGCTTCGAGGCTGCCTTCCCGGTGTTGGATAAGACAGTGTTAACAAGACGATTATCCTGGTGCATTGTCGAGCCCAGCCTCGAGACAGGTCGTGATGGTCCCTTATCGGCCATGTTGTATTCAGGGGGACCATTTGGCTGCGTTCTAGACGCCGGGGGAGGCGCCTTCGTCTGCTTGGCCTTCTCGATCGCAGCTCGCTTGGTGGCCTGCTTTCGATCCTCGGCCTTCTGTCGCTCCGCCTCTACTCTCCGCTGCTCTTCCTGCCTTCGTTCTTCTTCTTGGGCAGTGCGCTTGCGCTCCATTTCTAGCTTTGCCTCACGCTTCCGCTGTGCCTCGCGGTCCTCTTGTTCCTTGCGTTTGGCTGCCATATCCAAGGCCTTGGGCCGCCCAGCAGACGACACAGAGCTGTTCAGGTTTTGGAAAGAAGATTTGGCGCGGAGGGAGCCAGTTGCGCTCGCCTTGCTGGTAAGCTGTCTAGGGGGGGCTTGCGGCTTTTGCTGTCCTAGGGTCTCCTGCAACGTCGCGGCAAGGACGCTATTCGGGGGGTGGAAGTGCGACTGTTGGGAGCTGTTGGTGTTGACTCGGATGACAGTTGGTGCCTGCCTCGACTTGCCAATGTTCTCCTTTGAGGGCTTCGTCGGCCTCTTCAATATTTGGCCCCGCGTCGCGGAAGCCACGGCAGAGCGAGGGATCGACGGGGGTGGCATGGTGTTCGGAACATCGACCATCTCAACATCGCCATCATCCGATAGGAAGTCGGCGGTGGCAGTATCCCCGTCTGCTTGGCCCTTTGGCTTGCGAGGGCTTGTCCTTGTAGCCTTGGGTGGGCTATGAGGCGCGCTCTTAGGTGCAGGCCCCGGAGTTTTAAAGGCTTGGGCTGGAGGCTGGGGTGCCTTCTCCGGCTCCTTTTGCTCAACAACCTGCTTCTCCATCGAGATGACGCGCTCTTTCTCTTTGCTGAAGACCCGAGCTTTCTCTCGCTCTTTCTCGCGCGCCTTCTCAAGCTTCTCCATCTGCTCGGCATGTCGCTTTGCCTCCTTGATCTCCTTTTCTTTTTCCTTTGCCTCTTTCTCCCGCTCCTTTGCCTCCTTCTTTTCCCTCTCGGATGAGGCCCTGGTTCGCCTGGTGCTGTTGGTTCGCGCTGGGCTTACTGGCCGGGAGGTCGATGCTCCGTGCTGAGAGAGGTCAGGGTAGAGAACATTTTCTGCCGTCATGAAAGATTCCACTGATGGGCCATTGAAATAGCCTAACCGGGAAGTCGAAGGAGACAATAACGAAGTCTTACCCTCCGCGCTAATAGCCGCACTACTAGCTAGTAATACCTTAGAGCGCCCGAGAATCGATGACAACTTGTTCTTGACTTGTTTCAGCGGACTATCCCGGAAACCTCGCGAAGGTGATTTGGAGGGTGTAGCAGCACTGCCATCCTCAGACACAGTAGCGAGACTGGGGTTCGATACAGAGATTCCCTTCTTTGGGCTAACAGCCTCGCCGGTCGTGGTGAAAGGATCCATATTTGGTAGATAAGGCACAGAGACAGATTTGTGGTGCGTGGCGGCGCCAGCTGTCCGCTCAGGGATGACGGGGGCTTTGCCCGGTGAACCAGGCCTGCTCTTGGGGATCGTGAATTCGGAGCCGCTCACCGTAGTCTTCCCAACCACATCCTCCATGATGTCCGTGGAGTGGCTCTTGGGGAGCTCGGGCCAATGGCTGGCCGCGACTGCAGGTGCCTTGCTGGGAGGTTCAATCCAGTCATCGTCGTCATCCTCTGGGAAAGCACCTGACGCAACTGTTGATTGCGTAGGTTTTGGAGACGAAGCCCTCTTGCCTTCCAATGTCTGCGTCTGCAGTGGCTGTGACGATGACGCAACTGTCGTTGGGGCTTGCTGTGTAGGTGGTAGGTGCGCCATGGATTTTGAGGGCCTCGGACCAATTGACTGGTTCTTTCCTAGCATGCTTATTTGGTCCTGCAACCGCTGTGTATATGTCTTGTTATGTGTAGCAACCTTTGGGTCAATCTTGTCCGGTTGAATCGTTGTTTCCTCGTCGGCATCCATTTCGTCATGGTCATCTTGGATGGTGTCCTGGCCAATGGTGTTGCCCAGGCTTTTCCCTCCAGTCGGCCTATTGAAGTAGCTGGGTCGCGACAGGTCTAGGTGGCTGGTCCTGGAAATGCGATTCCCCCCGAGGCTCTTGTTCGATGTCAGAGGCTCACGAGCTGGTAATGATGCAAAGTTCAAGCTGCTCTTGCGCACAATCGGCCTGATGGGACTAGAACCATCCGATGGCGACCTGGCCTCATCATCTTCGTCGTTCAAGTCGTCAACAGGCTTGGGGAATCCAGTTTGCGCCGGTTTTAGCGGGGATGACTTATGGGGTGAGGACTTTGTAGGAGATGTCATCTTCTGCGGCGAGGGCGACTGCGGAGACATGATAGGAGAATGAGCCCGGGTAGCAACAAGACTCGATGCCTCGCCAAGGATTGGTGAGGGGGCGGTTGCAACTTTGGCTGTGACATATGCAGTAACCTGGCGAGTTGTCTGGTCTTCCTTTGCTGACTGGAATGTTTCCTCTGGCGAGGCAGTTGCTGGGCTTGGTCGCTCAGCTTGGACTCTGGGAGCCGAAAATATGGCCAAGTCTGTTGTTTCTACGCCCCGAACAGGGCTTTGATGCGGAGTCAAATGCACATCCTCTGGCTCAATCGGGTCAAAATCCACGGTATCATGAGACTGGCTGCCATGATAGCCAGAATCTGCGAGTGCTGTCGAGACAGGTGCCGGGGGAAGCGCGGCGGCAACGGTTGTTTTCGCCGGGCTAGTTGGTCGGGAAACCGAAGGTTTGGGCCTATCTTCAGCCACCTTGATCTTAGGAGTCCGTGCCTGGTTGGTATGGGCGAGCGCGAAAAGATTTGGCGCTCCTTTTGGCGTCGTAGAGAATACGTCAGACAAGGGCTGCACGGCGTGTTAGCAATTGGGACGTTTATGTTATCTCGGTAAAGACATGGCTGGGCACACTTACCACTCGCAATTCTTCGGGATTTGCCTTTCTCGCTGTTCGCGGTGTCCTGCCGCGTAGCTTCCCTGGAGTCTTGAATAGCTCAGTAACGTGCCTGGAGAGCACAATTGTCAGCAGTGCACTTGAAAAGGTCTTCAGACAAGGACGACGAGACGTACACTTGGTTTTCGGAGAAGATTTCGGTCATGTGCTCGTTCAGCCAGTCCATTTCATTGCGGGCAGCAAAGGAGAACTCCCCGATCTCGGACTCGGCAATCCCCAGTGCAGCACTCCTCTCTTCTGCCGCCCAGGCCGCGGACCCGACCTGGAGGCGCGGGCCTCCTCGCATCGCCATTTTTGGCGTTTGTTTACTCGGGCGACACGAACAATCAATGCTGGAAAACAGCCGGCCAGAAACGAAATAAAGAGAAGGAAAGTCGATTGAATCGTGCGCGCTATATCGTGTTGGTCGAGTTTGCCATGGAGTCGAAAGTCGAAGGTCGCGGACGGTCGAGGTCGGATTGAGCTTCTGGCACAAAGTGGGCAGGGCGGGCAGCTTGTTTGGGGGGAAGTTGTGGGTGGTGTCAACCGAGCGAGGATTAATACGGCTAGTTATTGTTTTGATTCCCTCCCGAAACGGAAAGGCTCGCCTGGAGAACGTTGAGTGGAGCCCTTCGCGGTTCCCAGACGCCTGTCCACGTGCGGGGAATTGAGCTACTGTGCGAAACAGGAGCCTTGTATCCGTACAATTACAGTACATACAGGCAACATGTGCGCAGTTGAAGATGATGCACTTCAACACGACATCCCACGTTGTGAGATATCAATAGTCTAAAATAGTCCAAAATCCCAAAAGCCGCAAGAATTAGCCTCGCCTTGACCATCTATCTCTTTAAATGGTATACTTTGCCTTTTAAAGCGTAGATCTATGGATTCTTTCTGCAAATTTGAGAACTAAGGTAAGAGTGGGTTTACTTTGCCTTTTAAAGCGTAGATCTATGGATTCTTTCTGCAAATTTGAGAACTAAGGTAAGAGTGGGCCGCACAGTGCGTAACACAGTTTTTACCCCTCAGCACTCAAATGAATTCTGTCTGCAGCACGCGCGCCTCGAATCGAATGGGTCTGGCGCGTCTTGCGCTACTATCCGTATCTTCGCTTCTCTCAGAGAGTCGGGCAAGAAAAGTGGCTGACCGAAGCGACACCTCCAGGGGTTTCCGACAATTGTGCTGAATTCACTAGCGACCGCCTGCAACGATACGAAACTTGGGCATCCAACTCGCCCCATATGCCGGCTCTTTGCACGCATAATAGACAGAACCGCCGTCTTTGTCCACCTCGAGCAGAATGGAAACCTTCAACGGTGAAGCCTACGATGTCCCAGACTCGACTGACTGGCTGAACACGCCGCTTTCTGGCCTCATGGCTGTCGAACAGGCCTTCCGCTGCTACGTTTGTAAAGACTTTTTTACCTCGCCGATGCTGACATCTTGCAACCACACCTTCTGCTCCATATGCATCCGACGATGCCTCTCGGTCGACGGCAAGTGTCCGCTGTGCCGGGCGCTCGACCAGGAGTCCAAGCTGCGTGGGAACTGGGCATTGCGAGAGGCTGTCGACGCTTTTGTCGCTTCTCGAGACACTATACTGCGGTTTGCCAGAACCCCGGCTGTCACCGCAGTGCCGAGATCCCCAAAGAGAAAGGCTGCCGAGGTGGGATATACACAAGACGAGAACAGTCAAGATGTCAAGAGACATAGGACTTCCTCGAGGCTGAGGTCAAGCAAGGCAAGGGGTGCTGAGGCAACGGCAGAGATGATGCGCGATGAGGTTGACGTGCCCGACAGCAGTGACACAGCCGACTTCGAACCAGGTACGTCCCGGCACATGGCCGAGCGGGTAGCAGAGAAACCCATGAAACTGACCCAACCTGCCTTATCAGGAGATGGCCTTGTAGCATGTCCAATCTGCTGGATTCGGATGAAACCCATGCAAGTGGATAAACACCTCGATACAGCATGTCCGGGGCCGCCACAGTCGCAGCTGCAGCCGCAGCACCAGCACCAGCCGGCCTCGGCTTCCAGCAACCGGGGCAACCACGGCTTCCGCCCAGCAGGCTGGCCCTCGCCGCCACCCGCGAGGCTTCCCGAAAGACTGCCAGCCCTCGCCTACTCGATGCTCAAAGACGGTGCGCTTCGCAAGAAGATGAGCGATCTTGGGCTGTCCACGGCTGGTCCGCGCCAGATTCTCGAGAGGAGACACCAGGAGTGGATCACCATTTGGAATGCAAACTGCGACTCGGCGAGGCCTAAGAAGCGCTCCGAGCTTTTGCATGACCTGGACGTGTGGGAGAAGACCATGGGCACCCGCGCTCCAACAACGTCCCGAGCCGCAGCTGTAGGCGCACAGATAAAGGACAAGGACTTCGACGCCGCCGCCTGGGCCATCAAGCACGATACGTCATTCAAGGATCTTATTGCTAACGCGCGCAAGACGAAGAACGAGGCCGAGCAAAAGACTCGGCAGGCGGCCGAGCCCGACGAGGGAAAAAGCTCCCGGGAACCCAGTCAGTCTCGGGCCGAGGGCGAAACGGAGGTAGCTTTCCAGCAGCGGCATAATGATCCGTCAAGGACAGCGTCCATCTTGAACCTCATCGAACCGCCGTCAAGCAAGTCAGAGACGCCGAGCCTAGCACCAGAAGCGTGGGAGCATGGCTACAGCAGCGGACCCGCTGAAATACCCGTACCCGATACGAGGCAAGAGCAACAACCCCCAATGCTCCCTGCTCACCAAAGCCTGCCGTATCTGCCACATCTTGATGCCGTTCAAGACTATAGGCCGCCTGGCGGAGGCTGAAACCGCCTCCTTAACGAGACCACGAGTTTACTATGACTTAAAATATAGAGCTGGAGTTTTCTGTTTTGGCGAGCGAAATTAGAGTAGCTGTTTGATGCATGCGTTGCTCACGTTGCTCGGTATTCGTGCTGGCTCAGATCTCCAACTAAGCTGAGAATCCAAAGACAGGGCACTGTGTCTGCAAGAAGCAGCTCACGCCCGGCATAGCCGACTAAGGAGGCGCTGGCATATTCTTATGAGTGCGTCTCCTACTGTTAAAACGTCTCCATATACTGTAATCCACCGCATATAACCTTAACTCTGGCCAGCCGCTTAGCCTACGGTACATCCAAGATTCTGCCTAGCCCATACCTTCCCACTGCAACCAACCCTCAAATGCTAAAAAACATCGTCAGCGTCGTTGATAGGGTCGTTGACGACTCCGTCAACGACCGTCAACGACCTGGAATATAGTCTGTTGCCTGCGAAGCCCTTACTAGAAGGTCCTTGCGGTTGCAGTACTGGAAGCAACAGACTGGCAGGACTGCCTGCAGCAGGGTTGTCGATTAGGGTAGTCAGGGCAGTCGAAGACTCCCAAGAAAATACGCAATTACCATATTTGAAAGTATGTTGACGTTAGCGACTACGTTGCCAGCGCTTAAAGCGGTGCAGCCAGCAAACGCGGTAATTTTCGCTATAAAATATGGTATTTTCCCAGGTAGTGAGTTGTAAAGCCTTGATGAAAGTGGGCACGAAAATATTTGTATTGGAGACATTACACATCGTTGTTGGCATGGACGGTACCAGAACCCATCCCGTCAAACTATAGGAGCCGGCCAAAGAGATTAGCAAAAACAGAGCTAGCTTAGAAAGAGAGCGCGTCTGAAGAATATATGTCATGTCATATCATGTCATGTGGCAGCCTGCGGTTCCGGGCGCTCGTCTAGGGACATCCTACTCATCAATCTCTCGGCCGCCTGCGCCTCGGCCTCGGCGGGCGCGCGTCTCTCTTCCTGCTCTTGCTGTGCAGACAGCTTCTCGACGGCGTCGAGCCGCTTGCGTATCTCCTCGGCCTCTCTGGTCTGCTCGGCTTCCCTGCGGGCCTGCTCTGTCTCTTGCTTTTGCCGCTCCGCCTGGGCCAGCTTGCGCGTCTCCTCGCCTTCGAGGGCGGCCAGCTCGTCGTCGATCTCGCCCTCGTCGACCACCATGGTGCCGGCGGACTCGGCTAGGATGGAATTGACCTCGTCGGCGGCGGCCGTCTGCTCGCGGAGGCGATCGACGACGTCCTCGACGCCCTCGACGCCGCCTACCTGCGCGTGCAGGCTGCGCAGGGCCTCGCTGCTCGACTCCATCACCTTGACCAGCTGCACGTTGTCGACCGCCTGCTCGATCTTGGCCGCCACCTCCTCCAGCTGGTTTACTGTGGCGAAGCGCCGCTCGAGTGTCGACTCGGCCAGCTTCTTGGATTTGAGCGCCGCCAGCGCCGCCACGCGGTTCTTCTTGACCACCGCGTCCTTGGCGGCCGCCGTGAGCTCTTCGACGCGCTTGCCGAGCAGCGCCGTCTGGTGTGTCAAGTACTCGAGCAGCTCTTTCAGCTGAGCGATGGACACGTCTTCGTCTGTGATCGCGGTCAACGCTGCCTCGCCAGGTGCCTTGATCTTGACCGTCTTGCCGTCGTACAGCACGGCGCCCTTATCCCGCGACAGAAACGTCAGCAGGACATCGGCATCCGCCTCGGACAAATGCTGGCTTCTCCCGGCGGCATCCTCGGCGAGCTGGCCATTGAACGTCTTGTAGAAGTGCGCCCTAGAGAAGGTGCGCTCGAAACGCGACTGCAGCCCTTCGCTCTGCTCGCCGAACCGCTGGGCCGTTTCCTCCACGTTGGCGACGACAACGAACTGCCCGGCCGGCAGCGTCTCACCCCCTTCCCCCTTCCCCATTAGCGACGGTAGAGACAAGTCGGCCACGCCGATCTGCCTCATGGTCCAGGCGGCCAGGCCCCATACGGACCACGAGCTGCCAGCGCCGCCGTTGCCGCGTCTGGCGTAGATGCTCTCGCGGGTGGTGAGGAAGTCGCGCAGCGGCACCAGGTCCTGGGCGGCGAGGGCCTCGCGCACCACGGCGCCGAGGGCCAGCGGGCGGCCGTACTGCTTCGACTCGAGGGCGCGCAGCAGGGCCTCGTCGCACTCGAGCACGAGCAGGTTCGCGGCGGCGGCGCGCGGCGACGGAGCGAGCCCCGCGCGCACGAGCCGGGCGAGCGCACGCCGCCAAGCTGACACGTTGGCCTGGTATCCGTCCGGGTTCAGTGTCCGCTGCGGTTGGAAGTCCGAGTAGAGCGCCGGCAGCCGGGCCCTGGAGCACTTGGCTGTTAGCACCTGGGGGTTTGAGGTGGAGCGGGAGCAATTTAAAGGGTATCGATGCTTACTTTCTAAAAGCTGGCTCGTTCTCGACCAGATACTCCAGTAGCTTGCTCATGGTTGGTTGCAACGGCAGAATCCAGGACAGGTTGCCGTGTCGTCGTGTCGCCGTGTCGCCGTGCCGCCGTGTCGCGAGGGACGGTGGAACCAAAGGACCTTTGAAAGGCGCTGGCAACCACGCGACACTAAGGTTCCGCCAAGCCTGACCCGGGGCCCGCTCTACCTGCTGTCGTGCAGCGCAGACAGGGTAAGTCTGGGACTAAAAGTCGTCAAAGCTCTAAAGAAGCGTAGATTCTATGTCTATCGAATAGAAGTGACTACTAGTTGGGATTTGAGCCGAATGGAGATGAATTTCGGTGAGCACGAATGTTCCCGGCTTTGTTACGTTGGTTTACGAGAAAGGCACCCAACAGATGCACAGGGCGTACGAATACCAATACGAAATGCAAAGTTGGAGGAGGATCCAAATGGAAGAAAAAAGAAGTACGCATAGAAAGGGAAAGCTTATACAGGGTTCCAGTCGACACGCGACTGCAGGCAACAGCCGTGACAATAACAAAACCTCGAGGACGAGTTGCCTATGCCAGTTGATGGCCTAGGTGAGTAGCGGAGGTCCTGCATTGCACTGTTTGCTTGGCCAGCGAATCCCCGGGGAGATCATGACGTGGGGTCGTAGCGTGCAGGTTGGACCGCTGCCACCCACGTTTAAAAGGATAGGCTGTTCTTATCGGGCTTATCAGCGCGCCGGCAGGCAACACCCGCAGTCGGCAGGCAACACCCGCAGTCGGCATGGAACATTTCCGCGGGCAAAACAAACAGAAATAGGGGTGCTCCAGGGAAGCTTCCATACTTGTCCAAGAGAGAAGTAAAAGGGTTGATTATTCTAATCTCCAAAACACCCCAAGGCACCAGCATCATGTCATTAAATCGTCATATCGAATCTTAGTAGTACCGTGTCCCCTTGATGACCACGCTGTGCAAATAAAATTCGGCGGCCATGGAACGGAGGCCACCCAAGTAAAGTACAAGTCAGACGCTAATGCAGGCGGCTGCCTCGACGAGTGCATATGGGTGCAGATTGCGCAACTCAGTATATGTTCCCCCGTACGCTGTACTCGTGCCTGCATGTCGGGTGTTGGGTAATGTTCAGGCGAATCCGTCTTTGGACGAAAAGGCGTCACCCCTTTCATCATCCACAGACGGTAAGCGCGCGGGCACCAGAGGAGTTAACGGTGCCGTCTCCAGCGCCGCGGTGCCATTGCCACCACCGCCGCCGCCGCTGCCACCGCCACCGCTCATATTGACAACGCTAGTCCGCCTCGACCTCCTGTTGTCAAGCGTCTCGCTCTCTTCGTCCATGAGTAAATCCGGCTCCCTTGCCCGCTGCCTATCGCCCGTGCCATCACCGCCATGGGCCCTGGTTATGTCAATTCTCAGTCCCTCCTTAAGCTTCTCGTGCAGGTGCGCAAGGAAATCGCTCGCAGCGGCGAAGTTCTGGACGCCGCACTCGCTGGGGAGCAGCGAATACATCTTGCGCGCCTCGTTAAGGCAGCGTTGTGCCTGGATGAACTTGGACTGCTCGATCCAGGCCTCGGCACCCATGACGCTCCAGAGCGCCGATTTGCGCCGCCGGCTGCCCCACGCCTGAGAGCCCGCGCCCTGCTTAGAGGCGTAGCATATCGCCAGGCGCTCTTTGAGCAACGCATCACCGACGGGGCCCATCAGACGTGATTCTAACAGTCGAATGCCCCACCTAACCGCCTCGTCAGTGCCCGAGCCACCCCTCAGCCGCAACAGCTCCAACGCCAACAAGATACACCGCACTGCCCCATACAGCGAGTTGCAGCGTGTGTGATACGAGTAAAAGGCCTGCTCCAACATCTGGTTGATCGTTTCGATTCGTGTCTTGGACGACATGTTCTGCGGCATGATTAGGAGCGCCAGTGCGGCCATCTCGTTGGCCGCGGCATGGTACTTCCAGGCCTTGTCATTTTGAAAGTCGGTGCGCAAAAGATCGTACGTCGACATGGCCAGCTTCCAGTCACGCAGCATGAAGGCAAAGTCGGCGAGCCTACGCATGACGGCCTCGGGGGCCTCGGGTCTGTAGAAGCCCAGCGCGTCGTAGTTGTTATTGGACGAGCCCGAGCCGGCCCCAGCACCCGAGGAACTCCGGTTCGAGCTGCCAAACGCAAACCGCTTTGACAGGCTCATGAATCTCCCGCTGATGCCGCGCCGGCGCGACGCCACCTGGTCGTTCCACACCGAGATGTTGCGTTCCATGTTTGGCACCACTGACTGCGTGACCATTTCCCGTACGAATGTGCGTATTGCTGTGGCATCCGACTCGAATATGTGACGCGTCGGGTCTTCAAAGTCCTCTTGGTCATCGCTGCGCTCAATGTCAGAGAGCTCTTCAGCGGCTGTCATCCAGTCGCTGCGCGGGAGCGGTATGCTGTCGTCGTCAGTTTCTGCGCTCTGTGAACTGCGGATCCTTAGCAGGTGGCAATGTAAACCAAAATGTTGTTTCATCTGGTTAAACAGAGCCATCGATTTGGAAATGTCGCTTTGCTCCTCGTCATGCACCAAGACGTAGTAACGCAGGTAGGCGCTGTCCACCCAGACGGGCAGCCTCCGGTCGCCCTGGCTTGTTTCCGTGTAAAGCTTCCGCAAGGCCTCGATAGGCGAGGGATTCCGCGAGCTGATAGCCATGACGCAGGCAACGGGGTGCGCAAACGACTCGTGGCAAGCCAGCGGGATCCCAGAGAGCAGGCGCCGCAGGTACAGCGCATGATACGGCGATGTAGCATCGACATCTAGCTCCTGCCTTGTCGGCGTGGTCGGCGTTGTGATACCCATGCATGCGTCTTCTGCGTAGGTCAAGTGGCGGTCAACCACCGTCTCGACCCGTGCGATCAAGCTCGCCGCCCGCAGCCCGCCGGTTGGTAGGGCTGGCTGTGGTTTTTGGCTGCCGCCCGGCCCCGGGCCGTTTGCTGTCGTTGGCCTCGTCGGAGGAGGGCTCTTCATCGCCCCCGCAGCCGGGCCAGGGTCTTCCACCTCATCGCCAAAGCGGGTGAAGCGCACGGCAAAGTCTTCCCAGGAGCGGGCGCCCCCGTTGCTATCCCTAATAGTGACCTTGCCCTGGATGCGCTCTCCAAAGGGGCGGAGAAGCTCCCACAGCCCCTTGGTGAAACCTTTATCGCCGACCAGCTGGTCCACATCCTCGGACCCGTGTATGGCTATGTGGGGGACAAAGCTCTTGAGAATCAGATTCAGGGGGTCCGCGGGATTGTCTGCTGCGTCCGTGTCGAGTAGCGACTGCTTGAACCCAGCACCCCCAAAGATAGACCCCGAGAGGGTGCGCGAGGGCGAGCGCGTGCCGGCGGACGGCGCGGGGGAGGCAGACCGCGACCCAGGCGGGGTGAGAGTCGATCGGAACAGCGACGCAGTCGAGGGGTTGGACCGGCGGTCGCGGAAGGGCAGCGAGACGTCGGACTGTGTGAGGGAGTGGGTGTCGCTACCGACGCCGGCGAGCGGGGAGGGGCGCTGCTTGGGGAGCCTCACGGCGGAGGCGGCCATGGGCAGCGGCTGGACGGGCTCCGTAAGGGGGGCATCTGCAAATGGCTGCATGAAGATGAAGAAAGCGGCCGGGCCTGAATCCGGGTCCGGCAGCCGCAGTCGGAGAAGGCGGAATCGCAAGCTTCGCAATCGGTGGAGGTCTCGGTTTCACGATTTGCATTCGCCTTCTCGACGGGACGTCGTCCGTGCGCCTCGGAATTGGTGCCGTCTTTGATTGTCGTGGCACGGCTATGGATGGGAATTGCAGCATGTGCTCTGGCTTAATGCGGGCCTTGATATTCGAGTAGGTGGTTGAGTTAATGCGAGCTTTCCACTGTCAGCAACCTGAACCTCTGCAACAATTGGACTGCGCTGGGCCCCGACGCTAGTGGATTGTTGGCAGTCCTATACCCCTCTAGGGTGTCTTTAACCGATCTCCCAACGAGCCGATGACCCTGGAACAAAGCGCCCCTGCCCTGCACGAGTATCACCTACGAATAACAGTACAATACCAGGGCATTATGATTTCACTCCCTCTCAGCCCTTGGTCTTGTTTCTCGACCCAACTCCAGTTTTAAAGTATTTTAATTCCTATGGGAAACCGTCCATGTCTACCTACTGTACAGACTTTATGAATTTACAATAATTCTAGTATGAATAGGCCAGCAATGTCCTGGTGCAGTTGAGTCGTCGGTTGATCCAATATCCGTATTCTCAAGTCTAACTATCTTACCTTAACTAAGGTAGGTGCACAGGTTCTCGTTCTCTTCTTTCTCGAGTTTCGGTTTGTCACAATATTTACCCACATCTGCCATATTCTCTCAACCCTCTCCTCGCCCCTGTCCCTCTGGCTCCTATGTTACTCCTCGGAGTTAGTTTTTCCCTCGTTCTGAATGTGGAGGGGATCGCCATCTTATTCATATCATCCTCATTCGGTCTCCTCAAGAGATCAGCATCGCCTTCACTGGCACATCGACCCCAAGGCATCCGTTTTTCCAGAGCTTACCTCTTGGTTACTCTGCGAACAATAACGATTCGGCAGTAACATCAACTCGGCAATCGGATGCCGTTGTAGCACAACGGAACAGGCGGCCAAAACCACTCTTCCGGTCCTAGCCCGGACCTAACCAGGACGGAAGAAGAAGACGACTAAGAGGGTGTAGACTCAACTCGCTGTTGATCCCCAGGGCAGACATTGTTTTTCTTTTTTTCTATCTGGCGGGCCACTCGGATTAAGTGCCGAGTAGCCCTGACAGACATTCCGGGTAGCAGTTGGTTGTCCGGGCGAGAAGGAGAGGCATGCACCTTGGGGCCAAGCAGCCAAGGCAAGGACGCGCAAGCAGCGCGAGAGTTCAAGTCAAACTCGCACGTTGCCCAGTTGTTTCTATACACTCTTTTGTGCCCGTCTCGCGGCTCGCCCGCATCTGTGGTCGCACAAGAGACGGATGGCATCATTACATGGCCAGATGAGGCGTGTGGGGAAAGGGACTCGGAAATCCCATGGTCCTGGGCAGCGAGGCAGCTGATTTGCCGGCTCCGTCGATGCCACTTTTCTAGAAGTCTCTCGCGAAAGGCTTCAGCTAAAAAAAAACATTAGCCAGTCCGGCTGAATGTCGACGCCCAGCTTGGGGTAAGATGGCATTATAGGAGAGGTAACGTTAAGATGAGAAATCTCAACACACTTGGGAAGAGGACAGAGAAATTTCACTGCGGACAATATTTTCCTTCTGCCGGCCATGCGTCCAAGTTCTTGAGACCCAGGTCGACATGCAGCTTGGGATTTGCTCGAGTCTCTTCCTCCACTCAGGTCGCTTTGCATGGATGGGATGGCTACCTAACCGGAGGTAGGTATCATTTTGCGTGGACACTCGGAACCCGTCCACGGGAGTTTGGAAATGTACGTGTACATTTTGTTCGTATTAAGTTACTACCTGCACACCGAATGTTAGTAGGTGAGGTAAGGTCACCATCTCGCAATACCTTATTGCATGTTCCTGCAGCACTCCAAAGGGCCCAGACTCGACTGGCAATGGAAGGAGCGGGCAGGTCACTCTAAGCCCCAGACCCGGATCTGCATGCCAAGACGTCGCTTGCCGCAGAGTGAAGGGTGACTGCCGAGAGTCTTGGGGAACCTCATCTCCTCCTTCCTTCTAGATTAAATGTCCCTGGCACCTTATTCCAGAGGTACTTGTAACTTACTCCTTCCATTTTTTTCTTCCATTCGGAAAATTTGCTCTTCTCAGCCTACGTGGTACACAATACCACATCCCATTCAAGTTGTCTGTGGGCATCTTGGCTCCGAATTTTCTCAAGGCTAAATCACTTCTCTGGAAAGACCATTCAGAATCGCTCACTTTGAATTGTTGCATCACGTCGTCATATCTTGCCGTCTCTACAAGCCGGATCGCCAAGTTAGAGGCCGCAGCATGACGCATCCGCAGCGGAATTCTCCCCTCTGACTTTCACCCCAGACAGAAAGCGAAACGAAGAGGGAGAAAAAGAGGGCACAGAATCTGTCGACGCTGGTCTAGAAGAAACAAAGATTTTGAATTCACTGGCAACTTGATGGTGTCCTTTGGCAGACATCGTGCAGTAAACAACTGCCAAAATATCGACTTTTTTTTTTTTGCGTGGCCACCAAGGTTTCCAATTGCTTTTTTTTATGTCGTCTCTTTTTTTCATTACCCTCTCCGATCACTAGATCAGCTGGGATGATGCAGCAAGCGGATAGCGAGTTTGCGGGGAACATGGGTCTGGGTGTGTCTGGGTGTTCCCAAGGCTGCTGGCGGCTCGTTGCATCTGGATTTATCCCTTCTTCCACGCCGCTACTCTTAATTACCCTCCGCCAAACCTCGGCCGCGCATGGCGTAAGCCCTATACTCGAGTCCACTTCAATATTGCGCGCACTCGGCGGCCAGCAGCAAGGACAGCAGCCCACCGTTGGCGGAGATGGCTTCGACGCCGGCTCGCTTATGCCCCATACCTAAGGTAGTGTGGATGGCAAAGACTTGCTCGCCATCCAATGTGCTGCGGCTCCCAAGGCCGTTGGATACTTGGCCCAATATACCAGGGCCTGGCGGTTTATCTACGCGTCTCCTGGAACCGGTCCTGCCCGTCCCATACCCCCCGTTCCGGTCATGGACGGTTGGCGAAATATATCTATATACCTTCGCACGCACTTGTTTCGTGCCATGGAAAATGTTCCATCCCCAAGCCCATAACGGTCGCCGCCCGCTATGCTGTTTGATCGCCGACTCGTAGCAGGGCTGGCTGGTCTCTGGACCGCCTCCCTGGCGAGCGCCGCTACTTGCACGTCCAACCTTGTCATCGACAACTTCATAAAGTGGACTGAGGGCGTAAACAATCTGGACTGGCAGAATGGAGGTCGGTCGGTCCTCGTGGCATCCCTCCCTGTGCCGACCGTATTGCTAACACCACTTCTGGGTCAGACGATGGGAGCATGACCTCGATCGCCGCAGCCGCCGGCGAGGTCGTCTTCGTCCCCAAGGCACTAGGCTCGTACTTTTATGAATCCTTCCCGTGTCAGCAGGCTCAAACCAGTGGCTACGGCGGACTTCAATTCACCGTCCAGGGGCCGTCCAACGGTTCCTTCTCCCTCGAGCTGCAGACTGTCGCGGACTGCAACGTCACGACCGGCCACAATAGCTCGTATAACATAGTCGGCAACCTGACGGGCCAGCTCCAGACAGTCACTCTTCCTCTGCTTGGCTTCGACAACAACCCGAACTATGACGCCATAGTTGGTCTAGTGTGGACCGTGTTCTCGTCGTATGGAACCCAATGGACCATAGGAAACATCACGCTGGTCTGTGGGGCTCTTCCCGGTGGCACGCCGCCTACGGCGACGGGTATGTCTCCATCTTCTTGGACCATTATCATTCCCCTACAAATCATGTGTGCCGAACTGACCTTTTGTGCACGTAGTGTTGCCAACAAGATCGACAATAGCGCCGACACCAACAACTGTACCCACCGTGGCGCCGACGACAGCTTGCTCGAATCTTCTGATTGACGACTGGGAGTCGCAGTCACGCTTGACCTTCCTGGGATACAATGCCATGGGACAGGCCTCGAGCGATGACGGAACCATGGCTTCCATCGTCGTCAGCGGCCACAGGGTTATGCTGACCCCTTCCAGCACCGACTCGTACTTCTACAGCCAGTTTGGCTGCCTGGATACCCAAAACAAGTACGGCGGCATCTCCTTCAAGATCAGAGCTGCACGAGGAACCACATTTGCCGTCACAATGGGCTGGTTCCAGACATGCGGGTCGAATAACCTCAAGACGGCCACCCTGACTTCGACGCAGTTGAAATGGTCCTTCGACGGCACCGAGAGGCTCTACTGGTTCCCCTTTTCCGTCTTTACTGGGCTTGACGCGTCCAAGCTCAACATGATCTACTTTTCCACCTTCAACGCTGCCGTCATACTCGGGCCCATGTCATTCTACTGTGGCACTACTGCCACGGAATACATTGCCCCACCCGGAGGTGCCATATCAGCCCCCCTTGCGCTGGCGACGTCCGTTGTTCCTGTCTCCAATGCGAAGAGCTTTGTGATTGATTCGTTTACGAACCAGGAGACGAATGCTCTCGGCCAATGGCATGGCGGCGAGGACGGCATGGCGGCTGTCTTTGGCAACAATAAGCTCACAATTCTCACCAACGATTCCGACGCAAACTGGAACACGCAGTTGGCGGATGGATGTGCCGATATGCGCGCCTATTCTGGAGCATACCTGCACATTGCCTACTCTGGCAGCAACAAGTTCAGTGTTGCCCTGCAGCAACATAATGAAAAGTGTGACGATAGCATTCAGCCTGCACCAGAGACGTGGGATTCGCTGGAGGCGGCCAGGTACGCCTCGGCAAAGGATATCTACATGCCCATCAAGCATTTCAACGTCAACCTTACGCGAAGCATCGGTTTCAATCTGCGAGGGTTTTACACAAGGGACCCAACTGTTATCACCAAAATCGAAATCGTAGACTCGGTTCCCACGGGGTGGACCATGCCCCAAAAGCTCGGCTCGGGCAACCTCATCTTTGCCTGCACGCGGCCCAACTCGTTTGCGTTTGCCATTGACGACGGCGACCCGCAGCTGGCAAAGAGAGTCATGGAGATTGTCAAGCAAGCCGACATCCCGGTAACTTTCTTTACCGTCGGCCTGCCGCTCCTAGACCCCACGACGGGTCTCGGGGACATTTACAAGGAGATGGCGTCGCATGGACATCAGATTGCGCTGCACTCATACACGCATCCCAAGATGGAGGGCCTGCCAGACGTTGCAAGCATCGATTGGGAAATCAACAATGACCTTGGGGCAGTCAAGCAGGTCTTTGGCGACAAGGGACATACCAACTACTTCCGGCCGCCTTTTGGCACCGAAGGCGCGCGCATGCGGCAGCAAATAGCGCACCACTTCAAGGATCCCAACGCAAAGATTGTCATGTGGAGCATCGACGTCGAAGACTGGCTGTGGGCCTTGACGCCAACTCCCGAGAACCAGCTGGCCGCGTTCAAGCGTGACCTGGCCGCGGGCGGAAACCTCGTTGTAATGCATTACCTCTACAATACGACGGTTGAGTACCTGCCCGAGTTCATCAGACTCGCAAAGGCAACGGGTAAAAGGCTGATGCGGGTCGACCAATGTATGGAGGACCCGAACGCGCCCCCTCTGACTTGAACGAATGAGCGATGGATGATGGGTTTGCGAAAGTCGGAAAAATGACGAGCGAATGGCGAATGATTCACGGGCATTTCTTCAGAATCACGGAGCAAAAGTATATCGCATGCATCAAATTCCTGTAAGACGTTCCTTTGGATAGGTAATGAAGAACAAGAAAAGTACCGCGACGTATTTGGTGACACAGAAGGATTCAATGTCATGTCAAGCACGCTGAAACTGCTGCTGAGAAACAAATAACATAACCCATTAATCAAATACTAGTGCCATGACATGGCCGTCTTCCTACGTGCGGCCTCTCCAGGAGTAGCGGATGTCAGCTATCTGTCGGCTCGATAATCCCGAAGGTTATATGTATATAACCATGCCCGAATCCTTTCTCGTAATGGCCTAGTAGGGAGATCGGGCATGCATTCAATCCCCGCCACCATGCAGCAGCGTGCTCCTTGGGTTGGTAATGTAACTTCACCATGAGATCCCGTCTTATGACATTCCAGCGGCTGCGCACGCACATTACTGCCCAGCAGCCTCTCAGTCAGCAACCCGCCGGCTGGTCTGATTGCGTGCTGCACGGGGCCAATAGCATCAAAGACAATTACGATCACTGTCAACTCGATGACATGTGCCCCCTGTAGGCTGATTTTATAGGATTATCTATCAAGTTCCCATACACTTGCGTGACGAGAGGGGAACTAGATGGGATTTGTTGACAGCGATATAAGAGCCTCCCTTCTGACCCAGGCCAGGTAGCAGTTGTTGGTCTTGTTCTTTGTTCTCGTGAGAGTGTTTACACAATTAGGAATATTAGCCATAGTCTTCTGAGTTCTGGGTTGGTAATCTCTCTATCCAAGACAATCATATACTCTCTGCCTAGTGAGGATATTTGTCCCTCGAGAAAGGAAAGCTGTGATATTTAGTCAAGCTCCTGGACTAGGAACATCCATCATGCCTCTTCCCGCCGACGAGAAGGTCGTTGAGACCAGCAAGGCCATCGTCGAGACGCTGCACGGCATCTTTGGCCCTCATCCAGGCTTTCGTCCTGGTAAGCAACATCATCACCCCTTTACGAACACCGTTTATGGTTTGCGTTGTCTGACTTCTTCTTCTCCCCCCAGCCCACGCCAAGGGTATCCTGCTCGACGGGACGTTCACGCCGACGGCCGAGGCGGCGGCGCTGTCCAAGGCGGCGCACTTCAACGCGCCGTCGACGCCCGTCATCGCGCGCCTGTCGAGCTCGACGGGGATCCCGCAGCTGCCCGACACGGACGCCAACGGCAACCCGCGCGGGTTCGCGGTGCGCTTCCGCCTAGCCGAGACGCCGCGCCGCGTCCACACCGACATCGTCGCCCACTCGGCCGACGGCTTCCCCGGCCGCACCGGCGAGGACGCCCTCGCCTTCTTCTCCGCCATCCGCGACGGCTCCGTCGGCGACTACGTCGCATCGCACCCGGCCGCGCTGGCTTTCGTGCAGCTCCCCAAGCCCTTTCCCGCCAGCTTCTCCACCGAGCGCTTCTTTGGCGTCAACGCGTTCAAGCTCATCGCCGAGGATGGGACCGTGACGTTTGTGGTATGTCTACCATTATTGAGTGATGTGTTTGCCAGCCATCTCCCTGTTTGCCCCTGTTCAATCACCCCTGTAGAAGAAAGGAGAAATCAAGAAAAAAAAGTGGGGGTAAGAAAGACATGAAAAGCACAAACTAACGCACAAACTAACGCACAAACACGCACCCCCTACAGCGCTACCGCATCGTCCCGACCAATGGCCTCGCAGAGCTCGGCGACGCGGAGGCGGCGACCAAGCCGGCCAACTACCTGTACGACGAGATCCCGGCGCTGCTGGCGGCGGGGCCCATCACGTACACGCTGACGGCGCAGGTGGCGGACGTGGCGGCGGGCGACGTGACGGACGACGCGACGGTGCGGTGGCCCGACACGCGGCGCGTGGTCGAGCTCGGCACCATCAGCCTGACGGGCGAGGCAGCCGAGAACGCGGCGCAGCAAAAGACCATCATCTTCGACCCGATCCCGCGCGTCGACGGCGTCGAGCCGTCTGACGACCCGCTGCTGGAGGCGCGTGCTGGCGTCTACTTGATCAGCGGCCGCGAGCGGAGGGCCGCCTGAGCGAGGATGACGACGGCAGTGGCGCGGCGAGCCAGGTTTTTGCCTCTGTAGTTTTGGGCCTGAGAGGGGGCATTTCATTTTCGTTAACAAGGGTCGACTCACTTGGCACGTGGGGACGTAAACATATCAAGCACTCACTCCAGAGGAGTTGATACATGACCCCAGCCGCTGTCATACAAGATGCACCATCAGACAGACAATGTAAATCTCCTTTCACTGCCCAACCCAGACGTAGGGACATACAATAAGAACTCCAGACGCCGGCCAGCCTGGATTGTTTCTTTAAGCGCAAAAAAATGACCAAAACAGAAGCCCTAACCTCAGATAGGTTACCTTGGTAGGTGGTAGGTACCTTAGATCCAAGTTGACAGATGCCATGCCCGCCATTTTACAAATGACATACGCAACCCGCACATCATCGCCAAGTCACCGCAATGCGCCTCCAATCTATAACATACCCTGCCATAATCCAAGAACATAAACTCAAATCTCTTCGATGGCACAATTAGGGTGCAGGACGTAGACCGTCTTGTGTGCGGCAGAGCTGCTACCCTCGCCGGCATCGCCGTCGTCTTCCGTGGTCTGGCCACGGATGGCCATAAGAATGTTGTCCTGAAAGTTGTAAGCGGATGATCCCAGACTAAAGGAAGGCAAAGATTTTTGACGCAGGAAAAAAAACATACCTTGACCATCTTCTTCAGCACCTTCTTGGCCAGCGCCAGCTCGGTGTTGTAGTCCTCCTCGCCCTCGAGCTCTTCCTCCTTCTGCTCCAGATACCACTCGACAAGCGCGTCGCCCTCAAGGCCGTCGCCGGCCCCGCCGGCCTCGTCCTCGGCGATGCGCGTCACAAACATATTGACGATGGAAATGTACTTTTCGTACGAGACGGATTGCTTCTCGCGGGGCGGGGCGGCCGACGTCTGGCGCGAGGCGGTGCCTGCCTCTTCGCCGTCCTCTGCCATGGGCAGGTCACCATCAACATCAGTTGGCGCCGTCGCAGCCGTAGCCGCGGCCTGCCGGAGTATAGCGCCGTCTTCGAGCGGCAACACGTCGTCTTCGTCTTCCACCTCGACGTCGTCGTGTTCGACCGAAATGATACTCTGTCGGAGGAGGTTGTACGCCTCGTTGACAAAGTCGGGGGTGATGTCCTCGACGCAGTTTGCCTTTGCGATTGCCTCGGACAAGCGGATCATGCTTTCCAGCTGCCGGACCGTAATGCGGTAGCTATTCTTGCCGATGCCGCCCTGTGCGTCGTCGGCGCGGAGGTCCTTGTACCGCTGCACAAGGACTTCCTTGGCCTCGTCTGTGAGTTCCGGACGGAAGGTCCGCGCGAATCGGATGTACCGCTGCAGTTGCTCGGTCGAGAACTCGGGCGTGACAGCGGCGTCCCGCATCTGGTGGATGCCGACAATGTGCTCGGCCAGATGGCGATCTACCTGCTCGTTGCACTCGTCAAGAATGACGAAGAACAGATCGAAACGCGACATGATGGGCGCACTCATGTTGATATTGGCGCGCAGCGTCGTCTTGCGGTTGTATCGGCCACCAACTGGGTTGGCAGCAGCCAGGATGGATGTCCTGGCGTTGAGCGTGGCCTGGATGCCCGCCTTGGCGATCGAGATGGTCTGCTGTTCCATGGCTTCGTGAATGGCGACCTGGTCGGCAATATCCATCTTGTCGAACTCGTCAATGGCGCAAACGCCGTTGTCTGCAAGCATGAGGGCACCAGCCTCGATGGTGAACTCGCCTGTCTCTTCGTCCTTGACCACGGCCGCTGTGAGACCCGCGGCAGACGAGGCCTTGCCCGACGTGTAGACGGCGCGCGGCGCAAAGTTGCAAACGTACTTGAGAAACTGCGACTTGGATGTCGAGGGGTCGCCGACGATGCAAATGTTGATGTCGCCACGAAGCTGCATCCCCTCGGCCGTGGCCTTGCTCACACCTGACAGCAGCTGCAACAGGATTCCCTTCTTGACAATATCGTGTCCATAGACCATGGGCGCAAGAGACTGTACCAACCGTGCGTAGATGTGATCGCTGTGCACCATGGCCCGAAGGTCTTGGATCTCTGTCTGTGTGTACGAAGCCAGGACAGCCTCCTGCGCTTCTTTGATGCTCTCGGCCGTCTCAATGGCAGCACTTCCGGTGAGAGCGCCCACCATATCGATCAAGTGCGCCTCGCCGGATGCGCCAATGGACGACATATCGGGCGTCACCATACAGGCAAGAAAGGCAAGGCGATAGGTGAGATCACGAACACCCAAGGATTTCAGACCCGTCACTCCGCTGCTCCCTGTATCAGCACCGCGGTCATCGCGAACCGATACGTTGCGGATACCAGGCAGGCCAAGCTGGCTGACATCGGGCACCACAATCAGCGCGCCGGTGAAGATGCACTTCTCGCCAGCCTTCGCCCGGTCCACAATCTCACCGCGCAGAATCACATCCATGGTGCGAGGCATGCTTCCCGTGGGAATCTCGCTGCTGTTTTCCTGCACACGCAGCTTCTGCCAGTCGACAAAGGTGCTCTGGCGAATGTCGAGCCGCCACGCCAGGCGGTTCTGACAGGTTGGGTTGGGACACTGGGTGGGCTCGGTGTAGCGGAATGTCTGCTCCACGTCGGGGACAACGCTGCGGCAGGCCTCACAGGTGAAGGTGGCCAGCGCCAGCTCGGGGCGGACCTCGGACGTCCGCGTGACGGTGCCGCTGATGGACAGGAGCTGGCCGATATTCCTGGCGCGCATGGAGCGCACACGCGACACGAGAGGGAGGTTGTAGAAGGCTATGGAAAAGAGCTTGTCCGTCTGTTGGTTGGCCGTCTTGCTGCCTTGCTCCGACTGGCTTGCCGAGCCCGCATTGCTAGAGCCAGCCGTGGTGTGCTGGCTCGAGGCTGTTGGCTGGCGATGCTCGCGGAAGTATTGCGGCTCGTACTTGGCAATCATGCTATGCAGAGCGGCGGTGAGAAATGGAAGGAAGCGGTAGTACGAGTTCAGGATGGCGCCCGCCAGATTTCCGTTGTTCCATGTCTCGAGGTGCTTGTAGTCAACGTAGAAAGTCGACAGCTGGTATGTACGCATGCCGTGGATCTGGGCGACATAGTACTTGTCTGTCGTGACAGCGCTCGAGGTGGGCTGTCCCGAGGCTGTGGGCGTCTCGATATACCTAGATGTAGGCAAGCTACCGTCAGCTCCGGTGTCGCGACTGCTTTCTGGCCAAGAGGAACAAGAACGTACCCCTCGATAAAGTTCTCGAAGTGGTCTTGGATAATTAATCCGATCCTGTCTTCGACCCTCGGGATGTTGTGGGCGTCTGTCGGGCGGATGCGGCCGGGGACTTGATCGTCGGCAAAGCCTTCGCCCTCGTCGTCGCTGGGGGCGCCGAGGCTCTCGGAAGGAGGGGCTCTTGGGCGGCCGGCCGAGGACGCGGGAGCGGATGCGCGCTGCCGGGGCGTCCTCGCCCCGTCCGACATCAGGTACCCAGCGTCGCTGGAGACGGCCATTGGTGTCGCCATGATGCAAAAAGTAAATACGTCGTCGTTTTATCGCAGCCTGTCAAGTATTGTACAGGGCAACGATGTGGTGGCGCGGGTTGGAGATAGGGGAAAGCCTTGAATGGCAAAATGTGGGCGTTTAGGAGGGAGGATCCTGGGCCTGGGCTGGACGGGCTGTTCGCTGCGGATTAAAACGCGAGAAAACGCGCGACGGAAAGTGCGACGCGCCCCTCAAGAAACGGGACGCGAAAAGTGGGTCAAAGTTTAATTACTTCAGTAAATGCATGAATACCCGCGTTCCGCTTACATAGTGCCTAGATAGTACTGTATGCGAGGCCCTGACTCGTCCACGTCAGCCTTCACACCACACCATGTAATAATACACGGTATGTATGAAACAGTGGTATCTACCTCATAACATCATAACCCTAGTAATAGACCGCCCTCCCCTTTTCAAGCCAACGCTTTGCACGTGCGGTGCAGTAAAACACAACATATAGCCAGGCAACTCGCAGAACTAACTCGCAGAACTCGGGTAACTACTACCAGCCCCACGTCCTGCTGGATGCTGTGAACACGGGAGGCTTCCACTGGATGCGTTCTGGGTCGATCAACCGCTTCTGTTTCAGTTTCGCCTTCTCCCTCTGCTGGATCAGCTTCTCGGGCACGACGATCTTGTGCTCTCCTTTGTGATAGACCTGCATCTTAAGCACCTGTAACGTGTGCTCGACATCCTGCGTTGTCATGGCGAGTTGGGCCGCGATTCCCTCGATTGTGCACTTTTCGTCTCGCTCGCTGAACCCCAACAGCAGCTCGATGATGTTTTCCGACCAGTATTGGCGGTAGCTCAGGAGACCAAGATCCGACAGTGGTTTTTCGGGCGAGCCCAGCTTGCCTTCAATTTTGGAGAGCTCGTACGAGAACTGGATCAAGAGCCGGCCGTACCCCTTTCGCTGGTACTGAGGCAGCGTCAAGATACAAGCGACATTATACCCATCGGTGCTCTCCTTCTCCTTCGAGAAGTAGCCGATGAGGTGGCACCCCCTTTCGTCTCTCGTAGTCATGACGTAAAATAGAAACGGGTCGACGTCGTAGTATAGCGTCTTGTGGTCGAGAAACATTTTTGACAGGAGACACAAGTTTCGGCACCAAGTCCGCTGCCGCCGGCCGTCAATCTCAAAGAAGGACACGAAGTCGTCTCGGTAGATCTCGTTTCCGGGAGGATGCTGCAGCGTACACTTTTGGCGGTGCCGCGAGAAGGACTTGAGGTCGCCGTAGTAGCTCAGACAGAATTCGCATATGAACATGCAGTCCTCCTGGCTGAAGACCTCGGGGTACGGAGAGAAGTACCAGGGGAAGAGGACAAATCGGCCAAACTCGGTTTTCGAAATGTTCCGAATACGCGAGATCTCGGCTGGATTCTGCGTCATAGAGCCCGAAGTCCGGAGCTTCTCAATTTCTTCCTCCCGGCTGAACGACGCCTCATGCTCCTTCTTGGCGAGGCCTGCTGGGGTTTCGTCCTCGTCCAGCTCCATCTCGTCGGGCCCAACACCGGGGGTCCCCCCAACCTCCAGGCTGGCGTTAGCCTTGTCCTCGGCATCGTCCGTCTGTGCCGGCGTCTTCAACTGCGGCTGCGATTCGACAAAGTCGGTCCAGGGGTGTGGTGTCTGCCCCTCAGAGACGACCGACTGCTCCCTTTTACCGACCTTCTTCTGCGCCTTCTTAGAGGGCTGCTTCTTGGGTATAACGGGAGCCTTCTTTGCTTTCCCTTCCTTCTGCTTGTCCTTCTCGGGGCTGGGCCACTCGACTTCCTGGTCAAAGTCTATCCTAATGACAGACACCCATTCGTCCAGCCGCTTGTTGAAGTTATCAAAGTTGCAGTAGAACTGCCGCCCGCTCTTGGTCTCCCTGACGCTGAGAATCTCTGCGCGCCGGGGTTGCCCATCCTTTATCACAAAAGCAATACATCCGACTCTATTGAGCATTAGCAACTTGGTCTTAATAACCCTAACCCTGCAAGGGCGACAGAGGGATCTATCTCACTTTAGGGTGTCGGGGGTGGCTCTGCCCTTTTGTCTTGGTCCATCGGAGCCGACGGCGGCTTCGCCGTTAGGGCCAGGAGGGCTCATGATAAAATGACGGTTGCGCGGGTGCTGAGCTTGATGGAAATTGTTAAATGACGCGATATCAAAAAGTCGTAAACTGAGGTGCGACGAGATACCTACAGGGCAGTTTTAGAGGATGTTGCCCGACCGGGGGACGGCCTAGGCTTTGGAGGGGTAAAAGGCTTGAAAAGGCCTGCACTGCCACTGATGCACGTGGGATCTGTCCAGGGCTGCACGTGCCTACACTAACAGCTGAAAGAGGCTGAAAGTGGAATGGAAGCTAACAGGACGGGGACCTGCAGGCAGGCTTTGCAGTGGAATTTTCTGTTTGCCATCACCTCAATTTCCACTGACCAATTCAGGGTCCAACTTATAAGGGGTTTTAAAAATTTCCAGCTTTTTCGCCAACAAGGCAAGACTCCCGTTCCAAAACCTAGTACCTATCTAGGTACCTTGGTATATTGCACCACTTCCAGTGTTGTCGTCCATGATCAATCAGGCAGGGTTGTGGACTATGAATACATAAGAACAAAAAGAGAGCAACTACGGTGTATAGCAGCTTCAAGTCAGCAGCCCGCAGTACGCAGTCAGATATCAGCCAGCATCCTCTGTCGGTTTTTTATCGTTTGCAGCACTGCCACCACAGACTTTGATAGCCCAAAGATCTTGTTTCTGCCGTGATGGCCCCGGAGCTCTCATCAAACTGGAAGAAACTTCAGGCCAAGATCAAGGCGGAGTCCGCGCCAACCACGGCAGCCACACCTGCCTCGAAGCGAAAGGCGAGCGACAGCCAGAGCGGCCCCGGTCCTCGGGATCTTCACCCGTCAAAGAGACAGAAGCAGCCGCTCAAGCCAGGCCGCTCAGAAAGACCCGCGCCCCGGAAACCCAGCAGCAGCTTTAAGCAGGCGCACCCAGCGACGTCCATGGGCAACACGCAGAGCTCCAAGATCGATGCCGTGACCAAAGCGGGCGTGTCGCCGTCTCTTGCGCTATGGGCAGCGAACAACGACATCTCAGCCGAGGACATGGCCGAGGCGTACGGGCTAGGCCTGCGCGGCAATGCGATGCTGGAGAAGACGGCGCCGGCGCGCCCTAACGAGGGGCTGGCCCCGGGCGTCGAGGTGGGCAAGTACATTGCGGTCGACTGCGAGATGGTAGGCATTGGCGAGGGGGGTCACGACGACGCGCTGGCGCGAGTGAGTCTGGTCGACTTCCACGGGCGGCAGGTGTACGACTCGTTTGTGCGGCCGCAGGAGCCCGTCGTAGACTGGCGGACACACGTGAGCGGGGTGAGCCCCAAGAACATGGCCACGGCGCGGAGCTTCAAGGAGGTGCAGGCACAGGTCGCCGAGCTCCTCCACGACAGGATCCTGGTGGGACACGACGTGAAGCACGACCTCAAGGTGCTCCTGCTAGACCACCCGCCCAAGCACACACGAGACACGGCCAAGTTCTCGGCCTTCAGGAAGTACGGACATGGGCCGAAGCCGGCGCTCAAGGTCCTGGCGCAGGAGCTGTTGGGGGTGGAGATCCAGAGCGGACAGCACTCGAGCATTGAAGACGCACGAGTCACCATGCTTCTCTTCAGAAAGCACAAGCAGGCCTTTGATGTCGAGCACGCCAGTCGCTATCCCGACACAGCCGTGCAGAAATTCAGAAACGGCAAGTCTCAGCCTAAGAAATTCAAGGACAAAAAATGACCTTTTATATACCACCCATCCTGAGCGACGTGTCACATAACACAACAAAGGCGCACCAGGCCTCTTGGTCCGGGTATAGTGATCTCGTACATATATTCCCCAGGCAGGCAAGCGGAGACGCGTCCAGTCGACTCTGCGGTGCCTGGACAACACACCACCAAGAACGCTGCAAACTCCTCTGTGAAAGCAGCCTACAGCAATACGCCAGCCAGTGTCTGTCCAAGAATATCGAGCTTTCAGAGTGGGATGCCCTCCATCAGCTCTAGTGCGCCTTCCCTACCAACCGTGATAATAACATCCCCCAATGTTTTGGTTACGAATCCGGCCTCGCAATATGTGAAGTAGTACTAGACACTGCCGTCAGCAATCCGTAGGCAGAGCCGTCCTGTTGTGCTGTGTTGTGCTGGGTCTTACCTTCCACTTCCTCCGGAACACCTCGATCTCCTCGTCCGTCAAATCGGGATGCTCTGCCTTGAGGGCCGGCCGAATCCTAGCCTCAAAGTTGCGCAGGAAGTCTTCCCTCCAGAGGCGAAGGGCCTTGACATAGTGGCCTCCGATGTTCTCGACCTTTTCCACGATGAGCGTGCCCTTCGACTCGGCCGTGATGTGATTGATGAGCTGGGTCGTGGACGGGAGATAGCCTCCCGGAAATATGTAGTGGTTGATGAAACTTGGGTCATTGTCAGTGTTTTTTTCTTCTTCTCTTTTGGTCTGCGTCGACGCGTCACTACTTACTCTTCGCCTTTGGAATAACTGTCGTGTCTCCCCTCGGGCATGGTAATGCACTGGAACATGGCAACCCCCCCGTCTTTCTTCAGCAGCCGATCGATGCACGCGAAATACGTGCCGAGGAACTCTTGGCCGACAGCCTCCAGCATCTCGATGGACACGATCTTATCGTACGGGATTTCTGGCACTGGCAGGGCGCGGTAGTCCTTTAGGAGGACCTCGATCCTGTCCGAAAACCCCGCGGCGGCAATGCGCCCTTCAGCCAATACTTTTTGCTCTCGCGACAACGTCAGGCTCGTCACGCGGCACCCAGTCCTACGGACGGCCTCGATTGCAAATGAACCCCAGCCGGTTCCTATTTCCAAGACGTGGTCTGTTGACTTGAGCTTGGCTCCGTCGATGAAGCGGTGCAGCTTGGTCATCTGGGCCTCCTCTAGGGACTCCTCTCGGCCGTCTACCAATGGTGCCGTGCTCCATATTGGACATGAATATGTCATGTCTGGTGACAAGAATGCCGCGAACATGTCGTTGCTTATGTCATAGTGCGCTGATATGTTCAGCAGTGCGTTGGAGAGCGTGTTGGTTGAGCGCGCCACTCCTGTGATTGCACTGGCGATTGCAGACGACCATGTCGTCGCATTGGATAGCTGGTCCCGGTTCAGAATGAAGAGCTGGAAGAAGGCGGTCAGGTCGGCGCACTCGACCTCGCCGAGCATGTATGCCTCTGCGAATCCCATGTCTGCAAAAAGGAAGAGGCGCATCCAGAAGGCCTCGCTCTTGACGACCAGCTCGACTCGGGGATACGCTGCGAGCTTGCGGACATCGCTGTCTCCATTAGTCAGAGCGCCAAAGCTGGCGTCTGCTGTCCGACCAGATCGCTTAGCAGGCCTTGGATCGGCCGGCCGTGGCTCAGAGAGCCCTATCTTCTTACCGAAGACGAGACGCTGGTCAACCGGGTCGTCGACGAGTATGAGCGTGCCGACTTCAATGGAGGACAAAAGTGACTGTATCGTCGGCTTGGCAATAGCAAGGCCCGGGCCCCAGGTGAGGCTGCCGAGCCTACTGCGGATATAACCAACGCTGATATATATGGGACGAGTCACGACCTCTGGCAGGGCCGGCCGTGATCTGTATGACGCCATTTTGTTGATGGAATGTTCAAGACGAGCAGCCACCCGATGTCCGACAGGTGTACTACAGGGTACAGGGGCGATGTTGTCAAAACGACAAAGGCTACAATCGGCACTGCCTTCAAGAAATCCTAGCCTTTGTTGGGATATCTGGCGCAGGACAGAAGGGGGAGAACCGTGTTCACTTTTCCGAAGCGAGTTGGGTCTCGGTGGCCCCCGGATGATTGTTTGTTCTGTTGGTTGCTTGGTTTATTTGGTGAGGAGGTGAGTGGGCTTCTGCCTGCTGTCAACTGCCCAGTGGCAATGGCGGTGAGGGAATGATGAGATGAGGATCAAGACTGGGATGGAACTTGGCCGCACACACCCATCAGTTCCAAGAGCCCGAAGTTCTAAGAGCCTGAAGTTTCAAGAGCGTGGGTTCCAAGAGCGTGAAGTTCTAAGAGCGCGGAGGAGAGTGAAGGACAGCGAATCGTACTCCCGACATGGCTGTCAGGTGTGTGGTTTGCTGGCGAGAGTGGGAGAGCTCTGCGACCACGTTGGGGAGGCTGCGGCGCAAGAAGGACAGGAGCCGTTATCGCGTCTCAAGTCGAGGATCCGATCGTATCCTGGCTATCCTGGCGCACAGACATGGAAGACTCCCTTGCTCCGGAGGTCGGCCTGCTCCTGCGCGTGGATTTGACGATACGCCACCGTGGGGCCCCTATCTGTGAGGGGTGTATATAAGTAGAGGTCGGGACTGGGATGCGGATGCGGATGCAGGTGCAGATGCAGGTAGGGTAGGTAGACAGTCTAGAGTTGTGTCAATGCCAATCGGATCTAATGTGGAGACGTCGACTAGAATTCTGCGAGTAGTCCAGGTAGAGAGACCTATGGATGCCAGATGGGGGCCGGGAATCCTGACGGGCTGGCCGAGGGTAGTACCGTACGTAAAGGGAGCGGGCGTGAGTCAAAGTCTGGATGGAATCATTGAAATGGCTACTAGCAGCCCCATATGATGCAATTGCTTGCCCAATTGATATCACAAGGCCACCTGGTACGTATCTACGTGTAAGAATCTGCCCCTCCATGATATTTCGGGCATGAGAGTTCGACTTTCCCGCCATGTGCTCGAGGTGGTCATAGGGTCCCAAGGGCGGGGATTAACACGGCGAATAGCTCCTGCCCCTACGTACTGTCAATTAGGGGTCCTAGCTCAGGCCGGCTTGCGGGGGAAACCACCTTACCCCATGGGGGGTAAAAGGGTGGAAAGGGGGGACGAAACGGGAAGGGGCGGGGCTCCCAGAAAGCTAAGATGGCCAGAAACGCAATGTTTTTCCCGCATCGCCATGCGCGCGGGCGGGTTCAGAGAACCCCTGCCCTGCTCGCCATGGAAGTTGGCAGTAGCGGCAGTCGCAATCGCATGCCGGCCCGAAATGGGCCTGGTGCGGTGGAAAATCAAACATGAAGCCCAGCGGAAGTGGGGGTCCCGTGGACGGTGGTGGTCTTCTTTGCAGGTGCGTGGTGCTGCTACCGTCTCTCGACGAGCCAGCCCCACAAGAAAGAAACCGCGTCCGGAACCCCCGAACTGCACCTCCTCGATGTTGCGGCTCTATTGTCTAGCCGAGAAACTACCTGACATTAGTAACTTGGGCTGTACGGGACATGACGGGAGCAGCCCCAAGACCGCACGCAGCATTATTCGTGGGCCAAGCTTCTAATTTGCCAATGGCTCGCAAGTCTAATGGTTCGTTTTGTTCGACCCATATCCGACATTGCCTCTTCCTCCACGTCAGGTTTACATGCCTCGGTCTGTCTTGTCGACTTGGATTTCATATTGACCCGAGCTAAGAAAGATACTAAGGCGGCTCGGGTCACAGCACGGAAAGAAATTGGCGCTAATAAGTCGTTTCGAGAGTGCACAACCCTGCTAGTTGGGTTGTATCGTTTCCACAAGCAAAATTCCCGCCCGATTCGCAGGAAATTTTCACAGATTGCTATCGGGTTTTTTTCTTGCGATGACTTGGTGTACACCACGAACTCTACGGTAATGGATCTCAACTGCTAAGGGCCCTGTTGTGTGCGCTTTGGCCAAATTTCCGGCAGTGGATTCCTTTTATCTAGACATTTATTATCTGCAAGAATTAGAACTAGATGTAGTCGTCGGGTGAGAGTGAGACCCGTACCATTCGGTTGGGAGTATATACAGTACGTTTTCATAGTCCGAATAGATTTTCTCTTAAAATTATATAACGTATTCTAGCTATCAATGTCTACTGATTTGAAGAATGAGCTTTGAGACAGAACTAGTATGCTCGTAGGAAACATGAGGAAACGGTGAATCCGAAAGAAAGAAGCTTCACGGCTGCTTTCGCACCAAAGATATCATGGGGGCATCGTCATGGGAATGATTGCCAAGAAGCCTTTCTAAGCCTATGGACAGTGAGGTGATTTGAAATTTCAAAATAGTCCCCCAAATCCCAAGTTAGCCCCGTTCAATCTAGGTACCTTAAAGATTTGAAGATGGTGGTTTCCGCGCTCTTTGGAAGTATTCAAACGCCTTACGTAGTTCGAGTGTCCCGTAGCGTAGAAGATCAATCCTGGCTGGCAACCCAGAAAATATAGGAGAGAAAAGAGCGACAGAGAAAGACAGAAGGGGAGAGTTTAGGCAATGTCTAGGGTTAAAATTTGGATCGAGCCAAAACCAGGACAAGCAAGGAGTAGCTACCTACCTGATCTACCGTACCTGAAGCATGTACTTGTGATGCGTATAGGGGTTGTGCACTATGTAGATATAGAAAATAAAGATATTTAGGTGTAACGTTTGGTTTCTTACGCCAAAAATATTACTAAGGACTCAATAGTCGTCCAAGTTCATGATTAGAACCGTGATTACAAGGGTACCTTACTCATACGCGGAAATCCCATAAGCCTAAATTAACATCATTAATTATCGCCCTAACATCCAGGTAACGAAGTGACATGAGCAGAGCTTGAATGGTAAGAACGATTAGGGAGCAACTTTGAAGTATTATCACATCGATTTAGGGTATTTCCGCAAATCAAGTCCAAGGTCACTAACGAAGCCGAGTCCGGGATATTGCTGTCTGCGTCTCGACTACGACATGTTAATGTATGATATATATAATCTTGCACTGCCAGTATTGTCTATGATGAGCTTCCAAACCCTCAGCCTCGCCCTCTGCTGGGTGCGTGGCATGGCAAACGAACTTCTGGGAAGGCTCTCAACAGCTCGTGTTTTCCATGCGATCTGGGTGAATTCCGGCTTGGAGTTTAACGTCCTTTGCATCCTCCAGCGGGGCAACGGATTAATTACTAGAACCCCGTGCCTACGAGCGAGCAATAATTGCTTGGGTCAAAGTGTGATTGGTTTTTGCTTCGATACGTTTCTTAATTGACTTGAATCACTTCGTGCCTGATGTCAAACGTGCACAAAGTGTGGCGGCGTGGCTGTTCGATGACGAAGGCCCTCCAGGGCCTCTGTTGCTCCACACGTAAAGTGGCGCGGCACCAAAGTCTTGGACGCGCCGCCCCGCCGCGTTTAACACATCTCCAATCATTGCTTAAACAACGAATTGCAACGGCAATCAATTTATAAGGAATAAGTGCACCAAGGAAACTAAGAGAATACCGGCATATTTTCATTCTTCTTTTTCACAAGGGAGAACAAGACAGAGAGACAGACATGGCATCACAAAAGCAGCAGCCCATGGTCCGCCTCGAGCGCGACGCGACGGCGACGGGTTCGACACAAAAGGCAACGCCTCATCTGCTCCCATGCCGCGTGCACCACACGGGCTCCGTCGAGCCGGTGCAGTCCTTCTGGGAGCCTACGCAGGGCGAGGACGGCACTAGCACGGCGTATTTCCGCGGCCGCAAGCTCGTGGGCAAGAAGGTGGTGCTGCCCGAGGGATACCGCGGCCTGGTCGCTGTCGCGCGCGACGGGGTGCAAAAGGAGGCCACGGAGTCCGACGTCGATGATATGGAGCGCGATGACGGCCTCACCGCTACCCCAGGCAAGACCAAAACTTCGAGCCTGCTCGTCCAGGCCGAGTTCGACGACATGGTCGTCTGGAGCCACGAAGCGAACGTCGACGGCGCCGCAGACCCATATGTCAAAGGTGTTGAGGAGTGGCTGACGCTCGTAGATCAGGTGTGTGTTGAATGCTCTACGTGGCCCTCAATTCCAACATTTCTGCCTGATTTGCCTCTCCAGGAGACTAATGCGCTCCAATCGCCAGATACACTCGTTCCCTGCACTTACCAGTGACAAATGAATACATAACGACTCAATAATGTATTTACTACAAGTGTCCGTGCTTGAGACATGTGGCTTCTGAACCCGAGTCGAAAGTCTGCCAGTGGTTGGGAGCAAGAGACTGACTGCCTCACCCACGCCGCGTTGTGAGCCGCGTTGTTGTCGTGGTAACGCGGTTGGGGCCCTCACGGGAGGCGTCCATTAGCAGGAGGCAGGCAGGCAACGGTGGAAGTCGATCACTTGATCAATTGAGTGGCGGAATACTACTGCCAAAAACTAAGGTGTGGATTGCTGAAGCCATGATTTCGAGAAGAAAACCTTGATGCTCTTGGATGGATATTCAGGAGTTGTAGCAAGCATACGGGTACCTCGATTGCCAGAGTTGACGCAGTCAAAACCCACGCCAAGGCGTAAATACATTTTTATCTTGCCGCCCATATTTGTTCAAAAAATATTTCGTGTTCCTGCCCATGTTCCCCTATTTAAATCCCCCTGCTGTCCCAACGGGCTTCCACTTGCCAGCCAGCTCCGACGCCGGCAGCTCAGTCCCGTCCCGCAACCGCCTCAACACCATCCCCAGCCGCCTTATGCCCTCGACTATGTCGTCCTCCTCTTCCCATGAGTAGCAGATGCGGAGGTTCCGCGGGAAGCGCACCTGGCCGACCTCGTCGCCACTCACCTCGAAGCTACTCCCCGGCGCGACGACCAAGTTCTCCTCGGCCTGCGCGCGCATGACCACCTCGTCGGCGCGCGGCCCGTCCTCGGGCAGCGTGAGCCACAAAAAGTACCCGCCAAACATGGCGCCATCGTCGCTGCCACTACTACTACGCTCCAGCACCTCGACGCCCGCCCAGCCGAGCTCCGCCTTCACTGCGGCGGCGGCCCGCGCGTGCCGCTGTTGCAAGGCAGGCCGCACGGCGTGGTCGAGGTGGGCGTCAAGGTCGCCGCTGGCGAGTAGCTGGTGGACCACGGCGGCGGCGATCTGGCTGGGCGCGCCTCCCGAACGCGTCGACCCCGTCTGCGACACGCCCAGCGCGAAGTCGGCCGTGCTGTGCGTCCACCCCGTGCGCACCCCCGGCCCGATCAGCTTGCTGAAGGAGCCGTTGCTGATGGCGTGCCCGAAGTGCTTGTGAGCCGGGTCGTGGCGCGTCGGCCCGCCTAGCGCGAGGTCGATGTCCGACAGCCGAGGGAGCAGCGGCAGCGGCAGCGGGAGCGCGTGGGGGACAGAGGAGGGACTGGGGCTGGCGGCCAGGACGGGCCACTGCAGGAAGTCATATACGTCGTCGCATATGACGAGCGCGTCGTGCTCCCTTGCCAGCCGCACTAGACCTTCGCGTCGCCGCAGCGACATGGTCTTGCCTGACGGGTTGGCGCTGGTTGGCACGGCATAGATGACGTGGCGGTAGAACTTGCGGTGCGGGCCTGGGTCCTTGTAGGGCTGAGAAGGGAGAAGTTAGCTGGTTTTCCTGCCGCTTGATGTCCAGAATGAAAGGGAAAGACGAAAAATATAAGGGAAAAAAACATAATGTGCCCGATAGAAAGCATAGACGGTCCGACAAAATATATTGAAGACAAAACGTGCCTTCTCTTCTGACCCTCTCTCAGCCTCGCACCGCCTGATCCCACGCCCCAGCCACTCCAGGTCGATGCCCTCGTCGTCCTCAGGCACGGCGCGCAGCCGGCCGCGGAACCCGGCATCCTCAAAGATGGGACATGCCAGGAAATAGCACGGCGCCACGGCCCAGACAGCGCGCGTGTACGCCGGGTCTGTGAACGACTGCAGAATGCAGGCGATGCTCTGCGATGCGCCGCCAGTGATGCAGATTTGGTCCGCGCCGGCGCCGACACCGACGACAGTGCTGCCGCCTGGTAGTGGGTTCTGCGACTGCGGGCGGTAGCTCGACTTGTAAGCGCAGCCCAGCCAAGCCGCCAGCTCCTCGCGTAGCGGCTGGTAGCCCGGGTCCGGCCCGTATTGGAGCCCGGGTACGTAGACAGCGGGGTCGGCTAGGGCCTTGTTGGCTGCTGCGCGCAGCAGCTCTGCAGGCAGCAGGTGCGGCGACGGCCAGCCACGGATCAGATTTATTAGCTTCTTGTCATTACGCTCGTCGTTGTTCTCCATTTTCCGGGTTTTGTCTCTGCCGAGGGCAGCGTCGCTTGATGTAGTGGCAGTGGCGCCTCCGTGGCAGCAATGTGCTTTTTTGATCCTATTCCATATGACGTCGTTGCGGGCCGGATTGGGTGTTGGCAGGCTGCAGATTGAACATGTCGAGTAGAAACACGTATCCGGTCGAGGCGGACATGATGCCGGTCTCGGACGGGTGCTGAGGGCCCCTCCGCAAAATACGCTCCCGAATGCCCGACAGCCTAGCATTCTTAGCTCGGTCCCCGTCCCGACTGGCTGCTCTCATTTCGGTGAACGAACAGTTGCGGCTGAGACAGCATGGAAAGCGGGGGACACTCGACGGACTCCATCAAATAGAGCTGCCTCGACCAAGCTCACCTTCACAAGCTACAGTTCCAGGCAAGCCAAGGCAAAATTTAACAGACATCTCACAAATACTGCAAATGGAGTAATTGTGGTTTAACTTTCTGTCTGCAAGGACTGCGAAGCTACCAAAATGCTATTGTGCGCGCGTAGCTACACCGTCTTGTTAGATTTGTCTTGTCAATGTACGCACTCTCATATCTCGCGCTCCTAAGGACAAGACCATTATCTTACTAATCTCTATGATAGAAGACAAAACCGGCTGCTTCTCCCTTAGGAGGACATCACGCCGACACAAATGGTACACCCGCTCATGTAGTGTGGCTTGCCGACGCTGTTATCGACTGGGTCCATTGTGACGTGAAATTAAAACGTTAAACAGCAGCAACAGTGTTGGTGTTCCGGTCTCTTCTGTGTCATCCTTTCCATTCATTTCCGTGCACACCATGCCGATCTTACTTCCCTTGGTTTGGGGTACTGGTTGGTCGGCCACCCAAAGCCCCGGCAAACAATGAATGGCTCAGCTCAAAGTCCCAGTACTTCCAATATGAGGGCGCGGCCTCGTGTAGACTAGGCAAACTCCTGGCCCGTCAACAACGTCAACCGAAAAAGCGGCCACGGCCGAAAACGCGAAAATACCGCTACAGAAAAGTAATAAAATAATACCGAAACAAGTAGTACACAGTTACCACCTCTCGGGGAAGTCTCGGGGAAGTAACTTCGAAGTATAGATCTGAACGACCAAAGTCGGGTCGTGCCGATTCAGAGTCGTGTATAGACACCGATAGGATAGCTGCCAGTGACAGCAACATACGTCGGCCAAAAAAAAAAACAGGCGTCAATTGGAAATAGACCTCTAATTTTGAGAGGGAGGGGAGGCTGACACCACCCCATTCAAGAATCTGGCACCCCTAGCTATCTATCGGCTTCATGTCTCGCCCTCCTAGGTTTGGATAGGTGCTGCCGAATTCCGAGACCAATTGTCACGTCCTCGGAAACTGCCTCCTCGGCTGCTTCTGCTCGCCGGCGGGTTGGATCCCGACACGCCAGTCGCCTGGTCGGCCAGGTAAGATGAAGAACCATCTCGGCCCTTGCCCTGACGGTAGTGCGAGACGGATGGAGTCCGACCACCACGCTGCACACCCCCTCGGCGAGGATTGCTTCGAGTACGGCCAGATAAAATTGGAATCGTCTTGAGCTCGTGGCCAGGGAGTGAGACATGCCACACATGACCGCCGGTTGCGTTGGTATCGAGGGGGAATCTGATAGCCTCCGCCGTCGACACCTGTGCAAACAACCTCTTGGGAAGCGGCTTAGGTGGGGGGCTTGGCTGCCAAGCCATTTCCGGAATCTCATTAGGGAGCCGGACGGGAGGCAAAGATCCCATCTCCTGCTCCTCAAAGCATTCCTCCGCCATATCCTTGGTCGTCACAGACCCATCCTTCGCGGCTATCGAAGTAGCATTGGACCGAGATGACGAGGAGCGCCCCGAATGATCGTGGGCGTTCTGGTTTCTATAATCACCGCTCGTCGGCTTGGAATGGGTGTGGGTCTTTCGCCCGCCAAGAAGACTGTCAATCTTGGCCTGCCACATATTCTCCGGCTTGTGTACCGAAGACCGCTGGCTGTTAACGGCTGAGCCAGGTACGGTGGGAATCGCGTCGCTCTCCTTATATGCTCCTGTCGTGGCCCACGAAAAGCTCGGTCCCTGTGACTTGGGTGCTGTGGAGACGCTGCTGGCCTCAGGGGAAGCATGCGCCCGTACCTCGGGCTTAGCGGCAGGTGGCAGCCGAACCACAACCGGCGGCGGGGGTAAGGAGACATGTGGATGGCTCACATCGCCGTCGAAAGCTGGGTGGCCTGCCATGTCTGGAGGAGGCGGGGACGGTGACTTGGGGCGTGCCGCCTCAGTGTTTGACTCCTGCCGGATGTCACGGGCCGGGGGGAAGAATCTTGAGCCCCTCGTCTGCGAGGAAGCCGTCGGCGGCTTGGTTCCTAGGATAGGAGCCGGCGCCGCGCTCTGGGGGCGCCCACTGTGCTCTGAAGGGGCTGCGCTCGACACAGACGCAGCCTTTGCCTCTGATGAGCTAGCCCATGGGTTTTCCTGGCCAAGTTGGACGGTTTGCTTGGTGGGTGCCTCAGCTCGGGCGCCGCTATCATCAAGCTTGGTGGGTCGCCAAGTGTCCTTGATGGCCGGTTGGATGTCTGTCAGTGCCCGGCCTTCCTTCTGCAGCCGACGGTCACGGTCATCGTACTGAGCATTCAGCATATCGCGGAATGCATCGTCACCAAGACGCACAGCGCTGACCCAGGCACTCTGCTTGAGTTCTCGCTCGTTCATCTCGGCTGCTTGTGTTTGCTTGGGAGGCGCAATGGGTGGTTGTCTTGCCGTGGAGGCAGGAACAGCCGCTGGCTGGGAAACAAGGGCGCTGCGTGCGCTGGTTGGGGGCGCAATTGGGCCAGGTCCCGACTTGGCAGGGAGTTGTGCAAGCGGCGAGGTTCCGAGATCTGTGATGAATGTCCCGTTTCCAAGACTCCGGTTGTTATTGGGAGAGCCCCAAACGTTTTTCGCAGTAGCGGGTTGTGTGGCACCCCAAGTCGCCGCAGGATATCGATCGGGCTGTTTGGCCGTATTCGGCCAAGGGTGGGCGTGGGTATTGCCCTGAGCGCGAGTCTCGGTGGACTCTGATACCGACTTTGGCTGTGTGGCCGCTTCATCCGGAACCGAAAATGTCTTCTTCGGCGAATCCGGTGTCGCTGACACTGCGGCGGGCTTCTCGGCTGCCTTTGCCTCAGTAATTGAAGCTACTTCCTGAATCGGCAGGGCCTCGCGTGGCTGAATTTGTGTGGGCGTCGTAGCTTGATCCTTTGCCGAAGCTTTCTTGGCCTTGTTGGACTCGGGCGGTGGGCCTAAAGCTGCTAGCTTCAAAGCGATGCGCTCTTTTCGCTCTGCCTCTTCACGTGCTTCCTGCTCTAAACGACGCTTCATGGCAAGCTCGCGTCGTTCTCGCATTAGTCGTTTCTGGATCTCATAGTCTTCCTCTGTGACTAGAGGAACAGGGGCAGGTTGTTGCACCGGCGGGGGCACGGGTCGCGCTTCAGGCCCTGCAGCGCCGTGCTGAATAGGAATCGCGTGAGAAACTACAGGCGAAACTTTCGCGGGCCAGTTCTGTCCTTGGCGAGGACCTCCCTGAATGCCAGAGGGGGAGAAATTCCTGGGCGAAGCCGGACTATCGGTCCCTCCCGTCGCTGATCCACGCCTGGCATTGATAAACTCAGGAGGCGGCATGGGCATGTCGTGACCCTTAAGCCGATGAATATATGATCCACTACCTCCGCTGACATTGGATGAGCCGCGCCGTCGTCCGTAAGGACCTAGCTGCTCACTGTTTCGGGTAGTTTGGAATGCGGCAGAGGGCTCAGCTGGTCCTTGCTGGTCATGCTGACCAGAGCGTTGCAAGAGTGCGGGCTGTCTGTTATGCTGGCCTTCTGGTCGTGAGCCACGACGGTCGGGGACGGGTTCATAACGGCCCGACTGGGAGTTGTAAAGCTCTCTATTTGCGCCCGCTCCGCCATCTCGCCACGGCGCTCGGCTGAAGTCATCGGCCGCGATCTCCTTGGGAGGAGGAGGGGTATTCGTTTTAGTCAAGGGAACATCCTTGGATGGAAACTTCGCCCCTGACTGGCCTGGAATTTCCATGATAACCGGGGAAACTTTATCGACCTTGGGAATTGGCGCCCACGGCGACTTAACAGGGGTAGGGGGTGCAGGTGGTTTCGCTACCAGCGTCGGCTTCTCTTGCACACCCTTGAGAACAAGTCCTTTGCCAGACCCCAGAACGCCAGGCTTGATAGTAAGCATGGTCGATGCAACACCCGGCGCTGGAGATTTGGGCTTCTCAACGACTCCATTCTCCTTTGCAGCGGTATTTGCATGGTTGAATACAGGCGACGGTGCAGCCACAGGGATATGAGGGGCCGTCTCTGGTACTGGCGCCGGCTCCTCGGTGTGGGGGATGGAAATCTTAGTTCCGTCCTTCCAGGTAATCGTCTCAGGAGCCCAATCCTCGTCGTCGTCATCAATATCGGCCCAGTTTGCCTGGCCTTTGGCACCATCCGGAGCCAGACGGGTAGCCATATGGATGCCGTATTTTTTCAACTCCTCATCCGTATACTTCTTTGGTTCGGGTGGGGGTACAGCTATTGACCGGGTAAGTAAGGATTGCTCAAAACTGCGTGAAATATATGCATCAAGTCAATGGCTCTACTAAAACGTACGTCGGTTCTTGTTCCAAACCACACTCGGATCAGGTGCCGACCCTGCTTTCCGGCCATTCGCAGTTGACGAGGACTTGGTGACCAGGCCGCTGCCTGTCTTTGCGATTAACCGGGGGCGTGGTATCACCAATCCACCACTCGGAGCACCGGGCGCGGAGCCGGCGGCTGCCGCTAGCTTGTCGCCGGGCTTGGACGCAACAGTTGCGGTGCCCTTGGTAGTGAGAAAGGTTTTATTGACACTGATGGACTTGAATGAAGCGGGCTTCTTCACAGTAGATGAAGTTCGACCATGACCCTTGTCCTTTGTCGCATCGCCGCGGGATGCCTCGTTGTCGGATCCTCCACTAATGCTAACTTCTGACGAGTGCACTAGATCGTCGACAATGTCTGAAATATGCTTGTTCGCAATTTCGTCCGTCCCAGCGCTGGCCGGGCCGTCGCCGTTTACGTGCGATCGGTCGAGGCCGACATTGTGCGAGTTGGTATCAATCTGGATAGCCTGAACAGAGGCGCAATAAAACCCACGGTCAGCACGGGCGGACAAGAGACGAGACGAGGAGGAGGGCAGGTGAGGGGAATCAAGGCGATGTGGCATAATACTTACAGGCTCGTGGTCAGAAGTTACAATAGCTTCATCGGATCGCTCCTTGGGTGACTCAGTTGCCATCATACGATTGTCGGAATGGCTGGTACTCGGGGTAACAGTGAATGACGAGTCGCACTTCCACCAGGTCGCAAAGGTATCGGGAAATCCAAGTAGTATCGTGCAGTTTTCTGTCTGGGTCTGGACAGCTCTGCGGAAAGTCAGTGAGTGGTATTGCAACAGGTCAGGGTGCGTAAAAAACGACGATGGCGGATTTTAGACGACCAGGCGAACGAGCAGCGGGCCGCGTCCAAAGCGAAAGGCGGGTGCAAGGTAAAAAGGTGCAACGACGTAACAAGAAGGGGCGAGAATACGTACCCTCACTCTCGCGTGGGAGAATGTTGAATCGCGATTTGCGATGCCTCCTAATCGTGATTTAGTTATTAATGGAGGAAGGAGATGAAGGCGGAAATCGGGGGAAGTTGCACGAGGGCGAATGTGCTGTGAGAGAAGACGATGCGGCTGGTCGTCTTTTCGCGCGGTCTGACGACTCGGCCAGGTTGGTGGGGACCTGAGCGAGCTGGGAGCCACTCGTTTTAGGACTAGCGCCACAGGCTAGGGGTCCCCGTCCAACCCCAGAAGGTCTGGGCCCCCCTCCCTCGCCAAAGGGGTTCCGGCAGGCGACAGCGCTGAAATGGAAACCATTAAACCGCAGTGTGTCGTCATGCAGCTCTTGCAATACGCTAGGAAATCGTGACTCGACTTCCCCCAATGATTGACTTTTTGTCACTCGACTTCTCAACGCATGGACCAGGTCTAGGCGGTGGTGAGGCAAAGCCTGTAATGAAGGAAATGAACTGTGCGATATAGGCTAGTACAATCGCGAAACGCAATATATCTGGAGAGAACAGATGCAAAAATTTGCAATCGCACGAGGACCAAAACTCGGTAAGGAAGGTAAGAGGGTCCGAGATGCGCGGGGCATGAATCATCCAGTGACTGGGCACCTAAGGTAGGTCGCTCCCAGTCCGCCCTACAAGAAACAATGGATCTGTTCCATGCCCGCTAAAGACCTGAATCCTTTTCATCTGAGCTTGCCGCGCACACATCCATCTCCGGCTGGGGAATGAGCGTCTCCCAAGGTCGGCCGGGTTGTTTCAAGTTTCGAAGAGAGAGAAGTGCTCAGGTTCGGGCCCCCTATGCCCCATGTCCTTTTGAATATGATGCATCGATGTCACCACCCGACGGCGAAGGTAAACTCGAGCGAGTAAAGTAATGATGCGATACACGAGTGTTCAACAAACCGGGACATAAACAAAGGGGACTCAATTCAGTACCTGCCAGCAATTCTATTGGACAACGTTGTATGTACACGCCTAGGTCATCTGCAAGGCTGAATGCTTCTCTGTCACGCTACAGCTCTCCATCTAATGGGCATTGTTCTTGACGTGGCCTTGGGAACTCTGTTAGCAACCGCACGGCTTGAAAGAGCAAGAATGAAGTCCTGGCGCGGATACTTACGGAGATGGTAATAGTAGTTTTGAGCATAACCCACGATCAGAAGTCCGATGATGGCATGGATAACAGCTGAATGCGAAACAGCAAGTCAGCACACCTCTTTGGTGTTCTCTCCCAGATACCATAAACTGGGAGAAGGCTCTGGGATAGAAATGAACGGTTTGTTCAACATACGCATAACAGTCGGGTTCTTGCCAAAGTGCTTGGCCTGGTATTTCCCGAGAAGGCCCGTGGGCTTGACATCAGGAGCCGGGCCTCTGGGCAGCTTCTCGTAGAAGTTGACGACGCGCTGCATGCGGACAGCATCGGGGGCAGCACCGATGGCCTAGAAACCGTCGAGTCAGCCCGGTAAAAGCGCCTTACTGCATAGCCATAACCAAGATCGGTTTATCGCTCTTCTTTGCGGCAATACTTCAGCGTCTTCGGTCTCTCAAGTCCCTTCACGCCCAGATCAAGCCCCCAACCGAGCAGCCTCAACTTTCGTTCCCGACCATTTCCAATCTCCGCCCATTGTGTCCGGCATACCCTGTCACTACCGCAACACGTACCTGGGGAGAGGCCACCTGCGATTTATCTGTCAGTAACGACTCAAGGAGTGTCGTCCGGGGCGACCGATGGATCAATTGGCCTACCTTGGGTGGGATGAGCGTAGAAAGCGCCCGGCGGGTGACAAAGCTCATTGTTGCAGGTGGTCGCGCGTGCGAGCGGCAATTCGGGAGATTCGGTACGGTAGGAGAGAAGGATTGGGAGCGGAGAAGCAATTGCTCGGTCGTCGCGATGATGCTGCCGTTGGAGGTTTTGAGCTGTTAAGCAGACCTGCACACGGGAAAACGCTGGGCCACGCCGGATCCACTCAGCCTGCACCCAGCACAGGCACCTGGTGAGCGTTGTTTTTCGGCCAATCGTTAATGCGCCGGCTTGAGCCGCTCGTAGCCAATCATATACAATACAGTGGGGCCAACTTCAGTCGAGAGCCGTCACAGCCTCCGGCATTGAGACATTCAATCCTGGACTTTGGAAGCTCGCCGTCGATATCTCACATCTGATAGCCCCAACCGATAGCCCCAACCGAAAGCACCAATTCTGGGCTGTCCTTCCCGGCTATGGCATCGCTACGAACAACCACATGCTCGGCGGCACTACTGGTGCGCAGTGCGTCGTCGCAGGTCCGAGCCGCCGTTGTCCCCGCCACCCGACGCTTCGAGAGCTCTACGGTGCCAGCCACGAAGAAGGAAGACTCGCCCTTGGCCACGCCGGGCCGTAATGCCCCCGAATACAGTATACCGATTGATAGGGCCACTTCGTATGAGACTTTCGCGCATTCTCCGTGGGTGGTGCGGCCTAATTGATTGATCTTCTACCGCAGCACATTCACGCCCGTTCCCAAGCACGTACAAGATGGCAGCGAAGAGGGCATACTCACTGCCACTATCTTGTCCGGCGCCCCCATAGAGCTCCAAGCGCGGACAGTCCGGTATGTTTCCCCTAGTTTCACGCCTAGCAAGCCTTGCTCCGCCGACTGACCCTATTCATCTGGCAAAGAATCTACAAGCCTTCCAAGCCTGCAACACAATCGGGCACGCGCATTGGGAGCAGGTGGCGGTTGGACTGGGACGTTCTGGGCAAGGGCCATCGGTGGGAAAACCCCCTCATGGGCTGGCAGTCGTCAGGCGACCAGATGCAAGGGACGCACATCCACTTCAAGACCAAGGAGGACGCCATTGCCTTTGCCGAGAAGCAAGGGTACGAGTACTTTGTCCAGGAGCCGAATGAGCGCCATTTCACCCCCAAGGCTTATGCGAACAACTTCTTGTATTCGGGCACCAAGCTTAAGCATATTCGGACCAAGTAGGGCTCGGGTAATGCAGGGGTGGCCGATGGTATGCGACACCCTAAAGGCATGTAGTAGAAGGGGCGAAGTGTAAATAAGAACGGATTTGCCAGTCTGTCTGTGTCTATAGAATCAAGATCCAGATTTCATTCTTCCTCATAGTTATGGTGCTGGTACAGGCAAAGAAATGGGGTGGAGCTGTGGAGGCGACACCATTGATCGTGAAGAAAGCCACGAGAAAACGCCATGTACAGAACGGTGACAAACCAAAGATACAACACTCTTATGGAACATGATTGCTTAATGGATATTAAATTTTGCAGCTGATAAGACCGCTAAAAACAGGTTGCAGAAATACATAGCTGCATAGCCGGTCCCACCTTTAAAACGCCCCAGATCTCTCGCCCGCTGATGCTATTACCCCAAACGCCTCTAAATATAACCCCCAAACCTGACCAACCCGCTCCCAACTTTCATGTATACATTTCTTGACCCCTGTTCAAGTCGTAATCATTGGCTCGTGGCTGTTTTCGTGGACTCCTTCGAGGTAGTCGCTGTCGTCACCATTGAGACCTAGCTCAATTCTGTCGGGCAAATCGCCCTTCTTCCTCGCTCTAACGGATGTCTCGGCCCATGCCCGCATCCTGACGAGGTTCCGTATAGCAGCCTCGCGCCGTTGGGTTTGCCGCACCAGGACCGCCTCGTTGACCTTGATCGCCGTATTCCTGCGGAGGTCCGAGTGGAGAAGCGCGGCAAGCTCGGGCTGCAAGTTGTCATGCGGGAAAAAGAGCAGCGCCATCGTCTTCTCCAAGTCCTTTAGAAAATCGGTGTTCATGACCGCACGTGGAGCAAGCTTCTTAGTTGCAAAGTCCAGGGCGGGGTTGGTATCGCCACCGTTGCACTGGCGAATAAGCTCGACGAGCTGCAACCGGAGAAGAGAAAAGTGCAGCTGCGGGTCCTTGTCTAGAATCTGTTGCTGTGTTAGAGCGCTATATGGCAAATGACTGCATGTACAAAGGAGTGACAATGATAGCTCGATGCTCATTCAAAAGTGGTGTTTCTCATCAAAGGCCCGAAGGACTATGAGTGGTGCATGATAAACTCGTGTTTTAATCATAGCAAGGTGCTGGAAAGAAAGGTTGCAGAGAAAAGGGTCCATGCCTCTGGATCCAGTTCGTTTAGGGCCGTGATGGCCGTTTCAATATCGCCAGTGTGGATGGCGTGCTGAATCTGCTGCCGAGAGTTGATGGTCGGGTCCTCCTGCTGTGGCTTCAGGTTTGCCTCTTTGGAAAACTTGGCCGCAGCTTTCGGGTACCCTTCCATCGTCAAGTAGTCAAGGATCAAAGCATTGATGTCACTATGTGCCTCGAGTCAGTATAGCTCCAATATACACAAAGTTGTGGCGCAGTAGCCAGCACGGACTCGACAGGAGAGGCGGGTCAGGTTTAATCAAAGATGTAGTTCTCCACATAAAATTTTCGGAGAGATTCCCATTGATGTACAAATCATCAGGTCGCCAAGTTGGGGGTGTTGCTGTAGCGGGAGGGGAGTCGATAGCTTCTTACCTTTTGGGCGACTTGACGTCAGCCACACGCCCATAGAAGGCATGCTCCAGCGGAGTGGCTGTCGACGTGGAAGAAGTCTAGTACCAGCAACGACAGTCAGCATCCGCATCTAGGCACTCGGCCGTGGGCGCGCAGCGATGCATAGACATACCATCAGGGCGGCTGTCTCGCGGAAATGCGCAAAGATGGTTTCCCGGAAGGCGGGATCGATGCCAAGGCCTCCCAAGTCGACGGCGACGAAGTTGGACATGTGCCTGGTGTTGGGGGGAGTGGCGCTGTCACATTGGTGTGCCTATTGCAACCACGCGAAGAGGAAGTGCCGGTTTGCACCTTCCGCGGAGGGTTGGTGGTTGGACAGAAATGGCAGGAGAGATCGGTGGGAAGAACGATGGGCGAAGAAGAATTTAAGGTAACGAACGAGGCCGTCGAAACCTGAAGAAAAGGGAACTTGTGGGGCACGCCGAACGGAGCCCCAAAAGTCTTCAAAAGGCTGGTGGCCTCGGTCAGAAGTGGGGTGGACAAAGGGCGCTGTGGCTCCTGCAAGCAAGCATCAAGCGGCTAACCAATCAGGAGGCAAATATTTGCCTTGGCGCCCCGTGTTGGAGCTTGTCGAGGCTGGCCCATCAGTTGTTCGTTTGGGCTCTCCTTAAGAAGTGCGGGAATACTAAATGCTCAAGTCGAGGAGCTGCCCCAGCACTACCTAACTAGTATCGACGCGCAAGAGACTCTATCCATCTGTTGACACCTTCCCGTGCCTCACTTTGCTGAAGCTTCAGCTCTTTTCGACGGGCCAGCCTGCCATTACGGCGTCAGCTTTAACTATCGTCTGAAAGGTTGTTTAGACACACCATGAGGTAACCTACTCGGCACAAACTTACACATCTACACCGACTGGTTGAAACAGGGCGAACCTTCAACCAGGGGAATTACCTTGGGACTTGCCTAATTGCCTTACCTTGCCTTATTTGAAGTCCTGTACGAAGTAGTGCCCTCATCGCTCAGGAGAAACACGGTGTTCTCGTCCGTCGTCATCCACCACCCGGTCACCCATCACCCGTCACCTTCGGAATATCACATATCTTACCTATTCCCACATCCAATCATCATGCACGGCGCCGCTAACTCGGTGCCGCCCCACGCCGGCACCGAGGCGACTTTCACCGAGTCTATCGTCCTTGAATCGTCCGTCGATAGTGCAGATAGCACAATCACCAAGAGGGCGCACTATGCTCCCCCGTGGGCCGATGTCAGTATCATTGGCATCGCCGGTAGTTCGGGTTCGGGAAAGTCGACGCTCTCCCAAGCCATTGTCAGCAAGCTGAATTTGCCGTGGGTTGTTATCTTGTCCATTGTAAGTCAGAGATGCTGTCTTGGCCATTGCCGATCTCTGCGTGCCTCCAAGCTCATATGTGCCTGGCTAGGATTCGTTCTACAAGAGCCTAGACGCAGAATCGTCCAGGAAAGCGTTTCGTAATGAGTACGACTTTGATGCTCCCGATGTAAGCAAAGGACATGGACCCGGAGAAGTCGCACGAGACTCATCGAAATCTAGGCCATTGACTTTGATGTCCTTGTTGAGCGTCTGAGGGATCTCAAAGCTGGGTAGGTCGACATACCTGGCTGAGTTATCCGTACGACTCACATCTAATGATTGTTCACGAGTACTGTAGAAAGCGTGCTGAGATCCCAGTCTATTCGTTCGAGAAGCACGCCCGAATTGACCGTACTACCACCATCTATTCGCCACATGTCCTCATTCTAGAGGGCATCTTCGCCCTGTATGATCAAAGAGTGCTTGAGCTAATGGACATGAAGGTAACCCGCACCTCTGATGGAGAATCCGCGAATACTGGTTGTCCCGAGGACTAACCTAGCTGCGTTCAAGATATTCTGCGAAGCTGATGCAGATACTTGCCTCTCAAGAAGAAGTAAGTCTGGTCCTGGTCCTTTATATCGACCCCATCTTAACTCGATTCAGTATTGCGAGATGTCAGAGACCGTGGTCGCGATGTCGAGGGAATCATCAAGCAGTGGTTTTCTTTTGTCAAGCCGAATTTCGAGAAGGTAAGTGTTGCCAACCTCTTGGAGGCCGCGCCCGGATTTTAAGTCGTTATTCTACAGTTTGTCGACCCTCAGCGGAAAGTTGCCGACATCATCGTTCCACGAGGCGTTGAGAATCGCGTTGCGATAAGTCAGTAGGTCGGTGTATTTTTCTTGTATGATCGTTCTCTGACTCAAGACAGCTATGATGGTGCAGTTCATTGAGCAAAAGCTGCTCGAGAAATCCAAACACCATAGAGCAGCCCTCACCCGCCTTCAAAAAGAGGCCTTGACTGAGCCGTTCTCTAATAAGGTGCTCCTCATGGGACAGACGCCCCAGCTCCGTGGTATGCATTCAATAATACATGATATCGATACTTCCAGCGAAGACTTTATTTTCTATTTCGATCGGTTCACGGCCCTTCTGGTCGAACAGTAAGTTCCTATTTGCTCTTCTACTGTCTTCATGTAACATCAGGCACATCGAACTGTTTGCGCCCGGCGTCTAATCTGCCATAGAGCGCTCAACAATGTCACTTTTGCATCCTCAACAATCGTCACGCCTCAGGGCTACAAGTATGCCGGGTTAAAATCTCGCGGGGAGGTTTCGGCAATCATCCTCTTGCGTGGTGGCGCGGCCCTTGAGGCTGGTCTCCGCCGAGTTATCAACGACTGCAAGACGGGTCGGATCCTGATCCAGAGTAACGTGCGGACTGGTGAACCAGAGCTGCATTATCTGGCGCTTCCCCAGGACATCAATCAGCATGAGTCTGTACTCCTCCTTGATGCCCAGATGAGCGGCGGCGGCTCCGCCCTGATGGCCGTGCAAGTTCTCGTGGACCACGGCGTCGATCCAGGCCGCATCGTACTCGCCACGTACAGCGCCGGGCGGATGGGGCTGCACCGACTGACAAAGGTGTTCCCCGACATCACGGTCGTGGTTGGGAACCTAGTCCAAGATGTTGAGGACAGATGGGTGGAGAAGAGATATTTCCGCTGCTGAAGAACCCGCAGGAGTGAGTGAGGAAGCGGGCCAGAAGAGAAGCTATCCCATCTACTTGCCTGATTTCCTACTAACCATAGCGTCTGCTATTTACACCTGCCGGCATGGAGCTTCGCATCTTTCTCATCGGTTATGTAGGACGAACATTTACCTAACACAAATTCTGTAGAATATTTATACTAGAGTTTGCAGCTGTCAAGGTATATCTCAAACTACCTGCCTTCTCAATCCTAAATCTGACTCCCGTCCGCATCCGGCCATTATCCGGCCAACATCATCAACGGTGGCTCTCTAGCGCCGCGAAGTGTAGCTCGGTCGTGTAAAGCAGATTCCGAAGATTAGAGACACACAATAAGGGAGCTAATGTAGGAAATGACTCGAGCAAAAATGCAGCTTACGCTAATTGGGCTCTTTGCTGCAGGTAGTCTTGTCCATGGGTCATTTCTCCTTCCATGGGCTAGGTACCTACCTACCTTAGCCATTGGAATGTGTCGGCGTACCAATTACACGTAAATTTTCCCTATGTTTACTTATGTTGAGTATTACACACATCACATACCATACATACGAAGTAGACAATATCCTGTCATATGGGGCCCTTTCGGTCGCTTAAAGGCTTTTGAAGGACTTTCAAGAAACTCTGGGTTGAAATTTGAGGTCTTAGCAATAATGCGCGTCGCAAATGCATGATAATTCCCGTCGGAAGGTCCATCATAACCCCGTCGGCGTGGCCCATCAAAACCGCCTGATGTCCAAGTGTTAGGTATGTATGAAATGTGGTGTATTTACAGGGAAGGTGCTTCCCCCTGATGACGTTGTTGGCCTGGTCAGGGCCACTGGGCCATAAACCCACCATAAACCGTCAGCGTCAACGTTCCAGGTTGTTGGACCCCCAAACACCCCCACTACTGGGTACGAAGTCGCATTTTTCACACTAAGCTCTCCGGGCGAGCCATTTACTTGGGTGTTGCGCCTGCCAGCTCCTCCCCCCCCTAAATATCAGTTGGCCCACCTTAGCTGAGGTGGTGGGCTACTACTCAACTTCAGATACCCCTTCCCAAAGGAGCGATGAAAACCTACCTCCTAGTTAATCAGTTAACTAAAGGTAGACAGCACCGGCAATTGCCCATCTTCTTTCGTTTATTTCATTCCCCCTCTCCCATACACGTCGTCGACCCTCTCGCCTGCCGGGGTACGACAAAGCACTTGGCGGGCCAAGGTTCCTTCGCTCGCCGTCGCTTGCGAGAGTCCACCGCATCGAGCGGGACTCGCTGACTGACGTCACAGTGCCACAGGCTCAACGTCTACGATAACGCCTACGACCATGCTCGCCTGTCGTATTGCGCGGCAGGCCGAGCGGGGAGGCATGCGGGTGCATGGGGTTTCACAGAGGAGGAATTGGGGCGCGACACAGGCTCGGCCATTGTTTACGAGGATACCCAGAATACCCAGACTGTTGCCAATTGCGCTAGGGCCAGCACAACGCGCTGGGGACTTGTCTCCTTCCCTGCCAAAGGTTGCGAGTCGCCGATTGTCTGGCAAGCCTCTGCCACAAGGCAGGTCGGCAATCCTCAATTTCACTTATCGCACCGCTGCGTGGTTTGGAAGCTCCGTCCTGTTCGTCGGTGTTGGCGTGGTCGCCTTCTTCATCTACGATGCATCGACCTACAGGTCCCACGTTAGCCAGACCGACATTGCCGTGTCAAAAATGGCCCTGAACCCCCGTCGCGGCGGCCCCAAGAATCTCCCCATCCTAGAGGCTTGCATCGATGACGACGACAGCGAGGACATGCAGAGGCAGAAGGACAAGCCCCGGCTGGTGATCCTTGGCGGCGGCTGGGGAAGCGTCGCCCTCATCAAGGAGCTCAACCCCGAAAACTACCACGTCACATTGGTGTCGCCAACGAACTACTTCCTATTCACTCCGATGTTGCCGTCTGCAACTGTGGGAACACTGGGGCTGAAGTCGTTGGTGGAGCCCATTCGACGCATTATACATCGTGTGAAGGGCCACTTTATTCGCGCTCGTGCAGAGGAAGTCGACTTCTCCGCCCGTCTGGTCGAGGTTTCTCAGATAGGCTACGAAGGCAAAGAGGAGAGGTTCTATATCCCCTACGACAAGCTGGTGATTGGGGTGGGTTCCGTCACCAATCCCCACGGCGTCAAGGGGTTAGAAAACTGCCACTTCCTCAAGGATATCAATGACGCTCGAGATATTCGCAACAAGGTGATACAGAACCTGGAGCTTGCCTGTCTCCCGACGACAAGCGATGAGCAACGGAAACAGCTTCTGTCGTTTGTTATCAGCGGAGGTGGACCTACCGGCGTCGAGTTCGCTGCCGAGCTCTTCGATCTGCTCAATGAAGACCTGACTCTTTATTTCCCCAAGCTCGTGCGGAACGAGATCTCGGTACACCTAATCCAAAGCCGCGATCATATCCTCAATACGTACGACGAGACGCTGTCCAAGTATGCCGAGGAGCGGTTTACGCGGGACCAAGTGCAGGTCTTGACAAACTCGCGCGTCAACGAAGTTCGGCCGGACTCGATCATCTTCAGCCAGAAAGACGAGAATGGGCAGATCGTGACCAAGGAGCTTCCGATGGGTTTCTGTCTTTGGTCGACTGGAGTATCGCAGCCTGAGTTCTGTCAGCGCATTGCTAAACAGCTCGGCGATGCGCAGACGAACAAGCATGCACTGGAAACCGACTCGCACCTTCGCTTGAACGGCACGCCGCTTGGTGATGTATACGCCATCGGCGACTGCTCGACCGTGCAGAACAACGTTGCGGACCACATTGTGTCTTTCTTGCGCGCCCTTGCGTGGAAGCACGGCAAAGACCCCGAAAACCTTGAGCTTCGTTTCTCTGACTGGCGCGATGTGGCTGACCAGGTCAGGAAACGCTTCCCCCAGGCCGTTGGCCATCTCAGGCGGCTTGACAAGCTCTTCCACGAGTACGACAAAGACCAATCTGGCACCTTGGACTTTGGCGAGCTCCGAGAGCTTTTGAAGCAGATCGACAACAAGTTAACCAGCTTGCCTGCTACGGCCCAGAGGGCTCACCAACAGGGCCAGTACCTGGCGCACAAGTTTAACAAACTTGCGCACGCGGCACCGGGGCTCCAGGCCAATGAGATTATGGATGGTGATCTCGACGCTGCTGTATATAAGGCATTTGAGTACAAGCATCTCGGTAGCTTAGCCTACATTGGGAACTCGGCCGTCTTCGATCTTGGCCAGGGATGGAACATGTCAGGCGGTCTGTGGGCTGTTTACGCCTGGAGGAGCATCTATTTCGCCCAGAGCGTCAGCCTCCGGACCCGTATCATGCTCGCAATGGACTGGGCGAAGCGAAGTCTTTTTGGACGAGGTAAGTCGAATCATGCTTCGCGCCGTGGTACTAGAGAACTTTAATCAGCTGACATTCAACAGATTTAATGATCTATTAGAACATGGAGCATGTTTACGAGCGACGGAGTCGGGGATGCTCTCGTAGAAATTTCAACTGTTCTTCATATTGACGGGAGCGAATTTTTCTGGCTGCGATAGAGCTTGCAGCTTGGCGGACTTGATATCCGTACTATTGGCACTGTGTTCTTGGATGGTGTTGCGGCGAAAGGACGGAAATGTGGTGGTTAGTTCGTGGCATCTCATTTGAGAGCTTACCGAGCCAGGTGTGTCGTCTATGACATCAACGATGGGCAAAGCTAGGAGGTAGAGATAATCTTAAGCACTTACCATTCAGTTTACCCTCGGTTACTGTTTGCGCTGTTGCAAGCAGCGACTGTGCTATCCTCTTTGTTAAGTGAGGAGCCTGACACCTCTTCTTAGGCAACTATCTCGGGTTGTATATTGAAACGGCCCTTTCGTCCCAATGTCTTATTTGCAATTTGATAAACACAACTTGGTCTGTATCTTCTTTACCCAAGCTCCTAGTGAATGGATATGGCTGGCAAAAGGGGGTTTGGGAGATAGAAAGGCGAAATTGTTTTCTTTGCACGTAACAAAATACTTTTTTTTTTCCCTTTTTCGTTCTCATATTACTTTTTTTTAATCAAAATATCGCTCTCATTGCTCTAGAACACAAGGGAAATAGATTTCGTGTAACGTGGTGTCCATGAAGTGGTTTATTTACACGGGTATTTTGCTTTTATACCAGAGAGAATAGCGATTGATTGCCTGTAAGCTGGTAGACGTCGCTTAGGGAGCTATCAGGGCAGCCCGCCAAAAGAAATGCCGTCATTAATAAGACAGATATGCTCAGCAAAACAAACTGACCATTCTGCTTATCCTAATACAAAATCCTTATAGGTCCATTTCTCCGTGATCTTCGTCTTGGCCTGTTTCTTGAACGGATTGTGCCTACGGGCCTCCATCTTGCCCCGGACCAGCATGCTGCGATACCTGTCCTTGAGAAGGTTGCCTTCAGGCTTCAGCAGCCTCAACGAGTCCTGAAGCTCATCGGGTAGAACAAGTTCCAGATCTTTCTCCGGAAGTCTGAGTTTCCCGAGCTGCCTGTGCCGCAGCTCGACGTCGTTGCCGTCTTCGCTGTCGTCGCTCATCTCGATCTTCTCTACCTCCATGGCCTGGTGCTCCAGCGCAACCTCTTCGGCCAGTTGCTTGATGCGCTCGACTTGTGCGTTTTTCTTCTTCAAGGCTGCTTCGAGCTTCACCCTTCGCTCCTCCTCCTTGCGGCGCTTGATCTTGTTCCGCTGCACTTGTGTCTTGCGTTGCGGCCTCTTGGCCTTGGAGCTGAGCTCCTCTCCCCCACTCTCAAACCCGTCCCACTCCGAGTCTTCTTCCCACTCGGAGAGATTTGCCCGCGCTTCCGCGGCCTCCGCTTCGGCTGCAGAACGCGCCGCAGCCTCCATCTTGGCCTGCTCGGCGTCAATCGCTGCCAAGCGCTTGCGCTCCGCGTCTACGGCCTTGGTACCCTCCTCTAGCAAGAGGTCCTGGTAGTCGGCAAAAACGGGGTTGTAGCTGTGAGCACCTTTTGGCTTAGGGACTGCCGGCATAGACTTGCCGTTCGCCGCTAACGTAAGAGGCTGCTCGTGCATGGTCTTGGGAGCTTTGGCCTTTTCGACCTTTGACAAGAAGCTGAACTTCTCCACCGCCACCGGGTCATCCGCTGGGGTATCCCACATGTCGTAGTCTGCATCAATGATGGCCACAGTTGACTCGTGCTGCCCATCGGCCACCTTCTTCAGCCTCCTGAGTTCCTTCTGGTCGACATAATTCGTCCTTTGGCGCTTGGCGGCGATTATGCCGTCGGTAGTTTTGTTCTCTGGCCGCTTGCGCATAGAAACAGCCGGGACAGCCGACCGCTGTGCTATAATCTCGTCCGCTCTGAGTCCCTTCGAGACAATCTTCGGGAACCTCTTCGGGAGTGCAGAGTCTCCAACAACATCGAGCATAAAAAGATCCTCCGATTCCTTCTCGGCAATGACTCCACTACAAGAATATGTCAACAAGAATATGTCAGTCAATTGGTTCGGAGGTGGGCGTTGTTACGCTAGCAATAAGGAGAGAGGGACTCACCCTGTGACGATGATCTGCTCGTTGACTTGGTCAAGTCCCTTCTCGATATCCGAAACGTCGACATTCTTGCGCCATGCCTTCTTTCCCTTTCTCGACGGCTGCTTGTATTGTTGGGGGCCGTTCGGGTTACCCGCGAGGGGCTTCAGAATAGGCATTATGGCGAATAATTAAAAGGTGTGATATGCGAAGAGTTAGTTCTTCGTCGTGCCGTTTCTCCAGCGTCTTCTTAGTGCAGCTTCGGTGGGGGGATTCGATGAAATTTCAGCGGAGGCAGCGATAAGATAAGGAGCTTTTGGCCCACATATCTAGACGATTAGCCCCCGATTGGCGATTCGCTCTCATGAGGGCCGTGCACGACTTGTGGTCGTTCCCAAGTGTCCTCCAGCAGTTTATAGGGCGTGCTTCGGCCGCTGTCCACTGAGAGCCATGACGGCCGCCAAGACGCTCGACATTGCACTGATCAGTGCGACAAGGCGCGAAAAACAGCCCGCCATTTCCCCTTTTGCAGAAACCGAAACCGAAGTCAAGCAGATTTGGAACGGCAAAGCCGACGGCCTTTTTTCTATCACAAAGAAAATGCAAAATTAACTATCTGTACTCTACTTTTTGAGCGCTTGGCTCTTTCTCTCGAAACCGCTCTTACCGATCAGCTCTTGACACGCCGGCTCTCCGGCATTCACGCGTGCAGCCCCCAAGCTCTCCACTCTCCACCTCCACGCCATCGCCGACGACTCTCTTGCGCGATCACCGACAGCCCCCGATTAGCGAACTACTCCATCGCAGTCGACTACCATGGCGCAAACAGGAGCTGGCGGGTCGTATAACAACCCGTTGAAGAAGTTCAAGTAATACCACCCACGCCGATATCTGCGGCACCTCGGAAGGAATGTATAGGCACTCTCATGCTAATAAAAGAACAGACTGGTTTTCCTGGGCGAACAAAGTGGTATGCGACTTCCTGGCCACGGCGCGAGCCGCCAATCCTTGAATTCCCTGGATACTAACGAGTGCACACCAATCCAGTCGGCAAGACGTCGCTCATCACACGCTTCATGTATGACTCGTTCGACAACATGTACCAGGCCACCATTGGCATCGATTTCCTCTCAAAGGCAAGCGTGCTTCGCCAAAAGCTATCTTTTTGAGCCGTGAACTGACCGGCCCTCCTAGACCATGTATCTGGAAGACCGGACGGTGCGGTTACAGCTTTGGGACACAGCCGGCCAGGAAAGATTCAGGAGCTTGATCCCTTCCTACATCCGAGATTCGAGCGTTGCAGTAGTCGTCTACGATATATCAAGTGAGCGAGCTCCCAAATTCGAGGATTCGCATATACTAATCAAGTGCGGTGACCCCTATCTCTAGATGTAAAGAGTTTCGAGAACACGCGGAAATGGATCGACGATGTGCGAGCAGAGCGAGGTAACGATGTAATCATCGTCTTGGTCGGCAACAAGACAGATTTGAATGACAAGCGCGAGGTGACAACACAACAGGGCGAAGAGGAAGCCAAGAAGAACGATCTCATGTTCGTCGAGACCAGCGCCAAACTCGGACACAACGTCAAGACACTGTTCAAGAGGATAGCGCAAGCCCTGCCCGGAATGGAGGGGGCCGACGATGCGGAGCAGGCGCCCGACCAGATGATCGATGTCAAGACCAACCTCAACCCACCGCAACAGGAGGGCTGCGCGTGCTAGATGCAGGCGAGACGACGGATGTCAATGAGGCGACTTTGAGGCAAGAGGCAGCGCGCTGCGAGGAGGAGGCTGTGGCGAGGAGTCTCGGGCATGGGCATATTGAGGCTGAAATTGTGCGTCTAAGTTCTCTGTAAAGAAAGAGGAATCCAGCATAGCGTGAGGTGGTTCTCTCGCATTAGCTCTATATTAATCGGAACAATAATAATATGTACTGTATACCCCAAAGCACTCGACCAACCCGCCTACAGGTATCTGTACTTTGTTACTATCAAATGTGCATAGACATCGGTGGGCAACCTGGTAAATTTTCTGTCATGGTGCTCCCGTCATCTTTCACAGTAGGGGAAAATTGAGGTAGTAACGCGCAAAAAGTACCAACTGCGTTTACTCGGTTTCCTCTCCAACACCGCTGTCACAAGAGAGGACCATGTGCTCGCCATCCTTACCTACACTCGGTGGTTATATTCGTACCCTCTCAAATTTTAACCACGACTGGCGCTTCGCAGTCTGAATATTTATTGTGCGTATTCGAGAACACGGTGCTGCACGATCCGGGAAAGGCGCCAAACTCCGCTGTCGAGTACCACTTTGCCAACCTCGCAACGGTCAACGTCAGGCCGAGCCGCTGACTCCACTCGTGGCCTTGATCTGGAAGGAGTGAAGCGCCTGAGAACTTGGAGATCCCGCCAAAGAATGCAGATGCAGATGCAAGCACGATTGCACGCAGAGAAACAAACAACCCATGTGCAAAACCACGACGGGCAGCAAGCAAGCAACCTCATGCTAGATCTGGAAAATAGAGAGAGAAGTCGCCCCGCGGTTGCAGCAATTCCACGAGGAGTGTCTGTGTCGCTGTCTGGGCTGCCATTTCTGGCTAGTGTGGCCCCGCCATTTTCATGAGCACGTACCCCTCCAGTGGCTTCCTCCACGCATCTCACAGATCCCAACTTCAAACTTCAACGCTTCGCCATGGCGGCAATCATATCGAGGTGGACGACATCTCCGTCGCCGTCAGCTTCATCGGCAGTTTCGTCGGCGTCGACAATACTTACTTCAGTTAAGTCGACGAAAGATAGCGATCCGCCGACCGTGCGATTTACCAGTACGCAAGATCTCTTCGATTTCATTAATTCCACTACTGGGGATTTCCTTGCCATCACAAGTATGACATTACCCTCTTATTTCTATATAACATACTAATTATTTAAACGTCTCTCCTGATCAATTCACCGAAATCGAGCGTGAGCGAGAGAAGCAACGCCGGAAGTTCCGTTTTCGCCGCTACAATGCCAATTCCCGGATCTTGATCATCACAATCCCAACCCGTCTACATGAGGCCCTTCACCTGGGACTTTATTCCTCGTATCTCCGAAGTACTACGGAGAAAAGTTAGGTGGGTATTGGGTCAGCTACATTTCGAGCAGAACAAGGTCATCCTAAAGGAGATGGCGGAGAAGGCGATTCGACAGGCGGTCCACGGCCGGAACGTGTAGGAGCAGGTAATTGGCCAACACTAGTCATTGAGGCTGGACACTCCGAAACATTACCCGAGCTTCACAAGGATATGCGGTGGTGGTTTCAGACATCAAACCACGAGGTCAAGATTGTCATTCTGGCGAAATTTGACGACGAGCAACACCACATTTTGCTAGAGAAATGGGAAGAAGAAATCTCGATTCCACAAGGAGCGATCATGCGGAGTCGGGCTGCTCCTATATCGCAGCAGAATGGTGTTCTCAACCCAGTGAAACGGCAGTCAATCACCATCATCCGCGATGAGACAACAAATCCAGTATCGTACAATGTTACTAGGGGGGCATTAGTACTAGGATTTCGACTTCTTTTTCTTCGCGATCCGGCCCGCAAGAGGGAGATTTTGTACTTAGCATTGAGAGCCTGCAGCAGTATGCAGAGAATGTCTGGGCTAAGCTACCGAGATCAGACTAGCCAATCAGAAATTAATATTAATGACCTAGCATATGAAGAGACTTGTAAACTTGGTGTCGAAGCCGCCGAAAATGGCGACACGCGCCAGCCAAATTCGGCGGCCAGAACACCGTATTCTCTATTTCTAGAGTATGTATTGTACTATGTGCATGCGTGAATACCTGACGGACTTGCTATAATTAAGGCAACCGATTGACATCTATAGGTTGTCCAAAAAGGCCAGGATAGAACGCATTGGGTGGCCACAATCGTCATTTAGTTTCATGAGAAAGACGTCAATTGGATGTGGCCTATCTGCCCAAATAATCATGTAGCAATGGTAATTGTAGATTATGTACAAGGCCAGCAAAGATGTCGTATTGTTTGGGGTGCTCCTTCTCTATATAACGCCGATTTCGCCAGTATCGTAAGCCATGATACTTTGCAAGATGCTCTCACAGGATAAGAGGCCCAACCCAACAGTCTTTGCAATTCCATACGGACACGCCGTCCTCCACGACCGGAAACCGCTCGACAGAAAGACCAGATATACACCGGCAATGCCCCGCCACAGGTGAAGAAACAATCCTGCGCTTACTGTATATTGTCCCCTTGACTAGGCCCGCACACTGGCTCTGAGGTATCGGAAGCCCGGATTTGGGCTTTTGTAATAGGACCAGCAAAAAAGGGGCCAGGGCAAGGACAATGTCTCCTCGGATCAGAAGGTGCGAGATATTCCTCAATCGGTGTCCATCTCGTCGTCGTTGTCATCGACGTCATTGTCGTCCTCGCCGTGGACGCTCCCGTCTGTCCGATCGGCGATCTCCTCAATACCGCCGTCGGTCCGTACCCTGAGTCTGCGCACCTCGGCGCCAAATGGTCTGCTCTTCTTGCTCGCACGAACCGCTGCCAGACCTTCGCGCTCTAGCTCCTCGACTTCAAGACCTTGCTCGGCAGCGAGCTCGGCCAGGCGCCGCTTCTCGCTGCCGCGCAGGCGGGGCAGCAGGTGCTCGTTGTCGGCAACGAGCTTCCGGGCGGAAGCTACCTCGCGGGCGCGCTTGCCGGCCATGCGCTTCTTGTAGAGGATGCGCTCGCGCCGTGTGCGCACTTCGCTGATGCGCTCCATTGCCTTGAGCGTCTTGGCCACCAACTCGCGGTTGTACCGCACCGGCACGTTGCGCCGGGCGGCGAACTGTAGCGTGCTGTCCACCACCATCTCCTTGCCCGCGTTCCGGCGGTGTGCCTTGGTCCACTTGAGCTTCCGCGGATTTCTCTTCATCTTGAAGTTCTTGTGGCATTTGGAGCGGCAGAACCGGAATGATTTTCCTGGCGGTAGATAGTCCAAGGGTTAGCAAAACTGTTTTATGATCCTACTCGGTTTTGGGATTGGATGGACAAACCGTCATTTCGCATGAATGTGATTCCCTTGCTGGGCCACGCAGGCCTCCCACAGAAGAAGCAAGATTCGATACGCATCTTTGAAGTCGATTGTTGTAGCCCGGTGGTGTTGGTGGGCTTGCTGTCGAGAATCTAATGATAGCGATATCACGATTCCCTACACCAAGAAAAAAAAATTGTCCGCCCAGTTGAAAAAAATAGTGGGGTACCGATAGAGGGGCGTTATCTTAGCGCAGTCAGTTACAGCATATCAGGGTTCGGGTCGTGGTGGAGACCGCAGCTTATTGTCTCCCCCTTTCTCCCAAAAAGAAGCCTCAAATCGGTATGTGATTGAGATTCAACAAATACATGGAAATTTGGGACTCGTTAATTTTCTTAATCAACACTACGCACTATAATAAAGAAGCTGAGTCTCAAGTAAGGAGAAACAAAGTTTGCTGTGTTAGGCTGAGCCTAGTAAACTCTTTTGGTAGGATTGCGTCCCAAATACCTCTAAAGAACCGCACACACCACCATCAATGCGGGTGCCCTGGCTTGGTCCTCCAGGCATGTGATCATCGTTCAGGATTTCATAGATTTCATTATTCCATACTTGAGATGGATGTCCCACAACATCTGTTGGAGCTTGAACGCATCCTTCAGGCTCACACACACAGAAATGGAGCGTGGCCTTTCTGAATGGGGCTCATAAATGGAGAATAGAGAGAATAATTATGCAATCGTGTTGGCTACACCACCTGCGCAAGCCTCTTGCGAGCTGTTGTTCCCAGGCCTCCCTCTAAATGTGAGCAAGGTTACTATAGGAGGTATCCATGTCGTAGTATGCAATGGCACCCTGGGCGCTGAACCCAACTCGGAAACGTGCCTTGATCTTGAGCTTCTCTAGGGGATATGAGGCTCTTTCTTCGAACCACCGTAAGCTTCCGACTTCCAGCCCAATCGAGCGCTAAACGTCGAATTGTCTGTTCAATTGCGTCTCGAGTTGCGAGCTGGGGAGGCTGAACGGGGCGCTTGCGTCGGCGGTCTCCACTGGGCCAAGACCGCTGTGGATAACGCGGGGGGCGGAATCCGGGGAAGGTGGAGTGGCGAGGTCCTCGAGCCCACTATATCCCTGTCCCGTCGTTCCTGGGGTTCAGCCCATTCCAAATCCGTTCATCAAGCAACAGCGTGCGACTTTGCGAAGTCAGGGAACTTCAACAACATGTCCTTAAATTCTGCAGGTATTGGAATCGCTTCGTGAACAGTTGACTCAAATTCCAGAGTGGTCTGCGTTGCCTTCGCGTTTGGGTCCTTGGCTTCTCCAAGTTTGACTGTGCCGTGGTACCGCCCAGCCGAGTTAATCTGGGGTCCCCAAATGGCTGTCGGATGACAACTGAGTCGATGAGCCCAGACTGACGTCCATCAATGCAGCGTGATTGGTGCTTGCCTCTTACTGTGACAACTTACCCCGCTTTCCACCAGGCACACCTGGCTCAGCTTGTCGTCTCTGGCCGCTCGAGAGATTGTGGCTTTGGGGCTTGGGGGTGTCTTGCCCTTCTCTTGGAGAGGATGGTGGTCTCGTGGGCGTGGTTGCTCCAGTGGATGGTTAGCGACTGCCCTCCCATAAAGGGGTACCTTCCCGTTCTTGCATTCTTCACTTTCCTCTCCCAACACCCTCGTCCTTTGTCTTGCGCTAACATCCTACAACTATACTTTTTGTTCAACGGCATATTACACGGCAAGAACGGCCCCTAGAAACGCATTTTCTCGTATAGTTCAATTTCGTCATCCTGCACTGCATCAAGACTTGTAGAGAAAGGCATTCTCGCGAACGGAGGTATGGCCCATCCTCTCCACCCCGGCGGAAACGCTTCCTTTCCCCTTTCCTCCCTTTATTCTTTTATTTTCATCTCCATTTCCAGCACCAGGCCTGCAGATATCGTCTGCATATCATCTTGCCATCTTCATGTTCATGACCCTACCAACATGTATCTCTTTCTAGTTGTGCAAGTCGACTTGGACGTCTACGGTCATGTCTTGAGTTGCTGACTCTAGGATTCCAGCATCAACAACAAGCCGCATAACCATCACTTTCATCACCCACCCGTCTCCCAATCCATCCCCCAAAAATAACCATCATGCCTATCCGCATCCCCGCCGCTACTAAGACGGAAGTTTTCTGTTTCGGCGCAGCAGGCGTCAGCGCTTTTGCCCCGTTCTACATGATGGCCCCTGGCGCTGAGGAGCGTATCGCACGCCAGACTGTCAAGTGGGCTCCTCGATGGGAACGCAACATCACATTCTTCAAGTCGCCAGTCGAGCGAAGCATCCAGAAAGTCACGCCGCCCGTGGCCAGAACTGTGCAGAGGGTTGACCGAAAGCTACCCCTTGAGAACGTCGCCAAGAGAGCCGACAGCCGGATCAAGAAGAACTTCGACATCTTGGGAATCAAGCGTACCTAAGTGAACAAACACGAATAATGGCGTTATGGTTGAACAAAAACAGATGACACGCGATGCGCTGGACTATGAGTCATACGTGGAGGGAGCACTCTTTCAAGTCTGCCAGAGTTTCTTATCCCATTGTACATATCAATAGGGATGTTTGGACTGTCAACAAGTAAGGGCGAAGGCATGCTAGGCCCAACATTCCTTCGTACAGACTTTGAGGAGTAACCCCATCTGGTCTTGCTTCATGAGCATCACCTTAGGAATTTGAGCTCAAATATCGCACTACCTCGAGAAAATAAACGAGGCGTCGTTGATGAATACCTTTGCCCATCATTTTGTGACGGGGTAGCTATGCTTCTTGCCGTTCCAAGACCTTTGGGCTGTGCACGTTCTGTCATTCAGATAACCATACCGGCTCGGTGTTGACGTGAACATGACCATAAGCCGTGTCAGCTACGCCACCCGTGTTTGATGTGGGAATATCACGGAAGCTGTCGGCCGTGGAGAATGGCCAACTGCTGGCCACCCCACCTTCTAGACCTTGGCCCTATTGAAACCCAGCAACCTGTCTGGCCATGTACCTAGTCACGATCTCATCATTGCTAATTTCTTTTCAATTTCTCAAAAAGAAAAAAAAACATAGGAATCGGTCATGGAATTCTTCGACGTATGTATGGCCAGTGATACACGGCCAAGGGTTCTCCATGAGCAGGATTACAGTTAGCAGGAATCTGGATATTAAAAACGGCCACGGCTGTGCTTTACACCTGTTACATACAGGTCTATGCCTTTGAGTCAGTAAGTGGCCCGAAGCCATGAATATGGGCTGGAATATTTCAGGAACAGGGCTGTGGAAGATATCTAAAGTTTACTATCTATTACTGCCTGTTTTGTTGTGTCCAAATCTGTTGCCGTGGGGTTACTGCCCCTAAACTTCCCTTTGCATCATGGCTATCGGCATATTTTCCGATGGCTTGGCTATTCACCTCGCGTGCCCATTATTAAGGCGGATCTCCAGCCTTCGGTGGATTAGTTATATCTTACGAACCCCGTTTCAGCAAATGATACAAGTATAGAAAGTTGCCGCATCGGGCGAGAATGATTGTCGTAGCATATTTCGCTGCTTTTTGGGTTGTTGATGCTCGGGGATTCGTATGCAGCAATACGGAAAGTCGGCGTATTAGTCGAGGGCGAGAGTGACCCCGAAATATGTTAAAAAATGCCCAGCTTCTCAGCACAGTGCTAGTACCTACCGTAGGTTTTGGGAATTGCTAGCAATGTCCCAAGATGCCCACTACTTTGTATTCATAATCTTCAGCCCCTTTCAGTGTTTCGAAACATGCTGTGGAAAAAAAAAAGCAGAGCCCAGTTGTGTTTCGACATGTTGGTTGTCTGACACGGTCACTTACTCACGCTAGGCCGCACCACACAGCTGTCCTCTGGCGTGTTAGTGATCGTCGGCCAATCGGCACGGCGGATTTATCGGAGGCGGCGGGGTTGGTGCAAAAGGAAAGGAAATTACGTTCATTGGCGCAATTGTCTCGATCGAACAACGCGCAGCGCTCAAACTCGGTGTGACACAGCCATGGAAAGCATCCCCAGCATACTCTTGCTCAACAATTATACCACACCGCCGATAGGCTTTATATGATTATCCGTCGGCCATTGTGAGCCTCATATTACAACACACCCAAGACGTTTCGGCCGTGAACAGGCCCAGGCAAATAAGGTGCTTATGTGGCGCTGCGGGGTGAAAATGCGGCGGCCAAAAGGCGAGGTAGGCGAAACTAACGTAATCCGGATGTTTCAATTACATGCTTTTTGGAAGACGCCGCAGCACTTTTGTAGAGACGGCCTAGTAAACATGACTATCAAACGCGACTTGTTGGTCGTCAGACGGTATCTCGGAAGAGGAGAAAGGAAAGGGGTTCTAAATCCGAGGAAGAAAATTCCACATTCATGCCCCCGCGCACAGCCGCCACATGCCTGCTTTGGCTGTTGACGTACGCGGTCTATGGATGCCGACTCATCCGGTCTTTACCAGGGAATGCCTAGACGGCTGGTGTCGCACCTGGCCTTGTGCTCCACATCCTGGCGGGAAAATGCGAGCCCTTGGCGGTTTTGCTCAAGTCTGGCAAGCAATTCCAAACTTGGTCTTGAAAATCACTGTCTGGCCGAACCTGGAGCATGATAAGGTGACAGGAAGCCCTCAAACTGTTCAAAATGTGGTCGTCGTCCCGGGGGTGTCGGCTACGGCTGCCTCGTCCGAAGGTTGGTCCAATCCCTACTCCGTACACACACTACAGGGGGTTCGCAGCCCCGCGCTGGCTCTCAACCGCCTCCCGCGCAGCCCCAGGCCCTGCATCGTCGCTGCTAGTCATCATCGATCCGCTGCTGACTGCCGTGCGCCTGTCTAGACGTTTCTCGGCCTCTTCTCCGTACAGACCGGTAGCGAACTGATATCGCTAGCGCTGCTCTTCAACCGGGCGACTGGCATCTACGGGATACTCACCCTCTTCACTGGATACTCGGTCTCGGCCCTGCAGGTGTCGCTCTACGTGCTATCGTTGCTCGTCGTTGTTGCGCTCGGGTACCTCATCCCACACATCCGCAAGCAGAGCCCGCTGCAAAACCTTGTACTCGCATGGCTCTATGTCATTGACACGACTGCGAATGTCGCCTTCACGGCCGCCTTTGCGACAAGGTGGTACAACGCCGCACTCCACGATCCGAAAGGACCAGCCGGCGCCGGAGACACGGATGCCAAGGCATCGCCAAGCAATGGGGAAGTGCAGCATGACGACGGCCATGCCGCACAGGCCAATGCGGATGTGGGTGTGCAGGAGACGGTCGTCAGCATGTCGCTCGCTGTGGCGTTTGTGCTGGTCAGGGTCTACTTTGCGCTGGTGATCATGACCTTTGCGCGCATGGTCCTCCGCCGCTTCGCCGACGAGAACGCGAGCCAGACAGAGGAGGGTGTGGTTAAGGGGACACCGCCCGATATATTTGCCGTTGGCTCTGCTCTCGGCGACGGGTGGAAGGCCAGGCTGGGGAGAGTGCTGGTTTCAATAGGGAGAGGGTATTGGTTGGGCAGGCCAAAAGAGGATGAAGAATGGGCGCAACAAGTCAGCACCAGATTCAGGGTTTAATAATCACCGACCTCGCAAAACCCCAATGGAGCGGTGACCGCAACCACATTCAACGGCATTTGCACGAGAAAACGAACATCTCCACGGGACTTGCGGCTGTACTGTATAGCGCAGCTCAGCGCACATCGTCGCAGAAGGCGGCACTCGGCGGCACTCGGGATTTTCAACGGTTAGCACTGCAGGCGGGACACTAGGTGAATGGGCTCATCATTAACGGCGCTTCTGCTTCTTTCTTGCGAACTTGCGCGGTTTAGACGGATGTATGTACTTGGCATTTGTATTATGTACAAAAGACGCTGGATAAAGCATTACACGTTGTCTGTTTGCGCAGAGCACCTGATCACAGGGCTTGAACTGGCGTGGGGTAATAAGTTGAAGAAATATTCGTTCCCTGGTATTGGGTCGCTGTTCGGAATAGATTCGGAATTTCTATACTGGCTCTCCATTTATGATTACCTTGCCTACCAAGATTACATATTCGCCTAGGGACACGGGGAACTTCGTGGAGGTCTCTGTCTCTAGGTAAGGTATCCGTAGTCTAGAGAATCCCGACAACTAAAATCACATCCTATATATACGAAGTAGACTTCAATTCATGGAAGAACTGCCATGCCAAGAGCCCAGGTTGCCGGTTCTCCAATTACCGGGAAAAGGGATGGATGACATAACGGTATTAAAAATCCCACACCCGCAATTCGCCGTGGGTTGCTGGGGCGGGGCATAAGGTCGATCACGCAATCGGTCCAAGTCCTCAGACCAAGAGAAAATTGATGGCTCTGCGGGGCCCGCGATGAGGGTACTCGGGTACCTAAAGTCTAGTTCGACACTATCGCCTCCGTGGCCGGGCCGTTCGATGCATCCCTTAGTGTATTTAGCTCTCGAGACGTGGATAATTTTTCCTTTGAGGTGTCGCTTTTCCCTTGACATTCCAATTCTTCTCCTACAAGCTCAGCAATGGCAGGAGAATCGAGTGTCGCGGTCCGCACGCCTGAAGAGGCCGGTGAGTGACTTCCATTCCCACCTCTACCCTCCCCCGCAGGCACAGTCACACCCCAGGCGAATCCATGTTTGGCTGGTGTCACACCCATTGCCATTTCCCTCCAATGGCAAGCTTCGCCCGTTTGCCGTTTGCGAATTCGCGAATTGAGTCCCTTCTCTGCTTTTCGGGCGTCACCAGAGCCGCCCGCCTTAGCCTCTCAATTGGCCCGTCTAGGTAACTGACATTCAATTGGCATAATTATAGTCGCGAGAATCGCATACCTCTCCAGCGACGTGATCGTGTCGGTGCAGCCGTCGTTGGCTTCCGATTCCGGCTTTTCGACTACGCTGAAGAATTTGGCCGCCCAGAAGGTCGAGAGCTTGGTGGCCAAGAGCAGCGATGCCGCTCCCGACATCCAATCCGTCAGATACAATGCCGACCCTCTACTTTCTGTGTTTGCCCCTATTCGCTCCGGCCGTTTCGTGTCAGTGACGACAACCTCGGCCGTATTGCTGCCCTCTATTGCGCATCTTTACAAGCTCGCCAGCTTGCCCGTAGTTCTCCATGTCGCGCTGGAGCCCAAGAGCTTCCCAGACTATTCAGCAATCACTTCAATACGGAATTCCGGATGGACCTTCCTGCAGTCGGGGTCTCTCCAGGAGGCCCAGGACATGGCTCTGACAGCCCATGCTCTGGCCATTCGCTCTGGCAAGGGAGTCATCCACTTCTTTGATCCGAACTCCAAGACGAAGGGGGAGTCAATTAGCCCTGAGGACACAGCGATTGTTCGTGACATCCTAAATCTGGACAACGTGCGCCGGTTCCAGTCCGCACCGATATCGGGTTCCGTCATTTATGCCGACGACGGGCGTGTCGCACTGGTTTCTGAGCAACCAGAGCCCCTGGCAGGCGGGGGCACGCAGGCCAAAGTTCAGCCCAGCGAGGGCGACGCCGAGACACCCACCGCGACATCCCATGCATCCTCCAAATCCAGCCAGCAGAGCGTCACAAGCTCGCCCCCTAGCGTTTCCACTGCCACTACCATTGAGGCAGCCGCGCCTGTCGTCACGTCTGAGGACATTTTCAACTACTTGACTTCGATATGGTCCCAGCTCAGCCAGAGCGTAGGCAGAAAGTACAGTGCTTTCGAATGGAATGGTCCAAGAAACGCCGAGAACTGCATCTTCATTTTCGGGTCTGACGCGGCCTTGTTCTCGCGGGCGATCGGCCAGGCCCAGGCCGATGACATTTTCGCAAATGCCGGCGTCATCACTGCCAGACTTTACCGTCCCTGGCTGGGGGCGAAAATCATCGGCGCAATCCCGAGATCAGTGAAGAAGATTGCAGTCCTCGAGCAGGTTTCTAGAAAGACAACAAAATGGGGCCCGCTGCTGTTGGACGTGTTGGCTTCGGTAAAGAACAGCGTGGGTGGTGTTGAGACAATTGTTGGACATCAGCTGGGTTACATCTCTAACGAGACCGTGAACCAGGCTCTGCGTGGCATCTTTCAGAACTTGACTTCGGAGAAGCCCATTCAGAACCTGGAGGTGGGAGAACGTGACCGTCCGCAGCCCATTTCCGAGTACAAGTTGGAAAAGCCGAAGCTCGAGACTGCATACACAAAGATCCTCGACCATCTATTTGGCGATCGGGCCTTTATCGCCAACTCTCTCGACTCGGATAACGCGGGCATCTCAAACACCATTTCTGCAAGCCCCGACTACGGTTTCGGCGCCCTCCTTGCAAAGAAAGAGCGCAAGCGGAAATTCGTTGCCGAGGTTAAGGAGGCGGCTGGGTCGGGTCGGTTCCTTACCGAAGTCCCAAAGCGATCGCTGGCCAATTGGGTGTCAGCCGCTGAGGACGTGAAGAAGGTTGAGGCTGCTGCCGAGGACGTCATTTCGAAGCTCACGATCGACAACTCAAGGCTGTCCAAGACCCTCCTGCAAAACAAGGCCTTCTTTCACAAGCAGTCTCTGTGGCTCGTCGGTTCTGACGCCTGGTCTTATGATCTCGGAAATTCGGGCGTCCACCACGTTCTCGCTTCAGGCGAAAACGTGAACGTGCTGATTATCGATTCAACCCCTTACTCTGAGCGGGCCGCGGCAGATGCGAATCGGAGAAAGAAGGACATTGGACTTTACGCCATGAACTTTGGAAACGCATATGTCGCCTCTACTGCTGTGTACAGCTCCTACACACAGGTTCTTCAGGCCATGGACGAGGCAGACAAGTTCAATGGCCCATCCATCGTCTTGGCTTACCTCCCGTACTTTGGGGAGCACGACTCGCCCTTGACCGTCCTCCAGGAGACCAAGAAGGCTGTCGATCTTGGGTACTGGCCACTGTACCGCTGGAACCCCGAGAACGAGAACAAGGGCGAGCCGAACTTCTCTCTCGACTCTGAGCGGATCAAGAAGGAGCTGAAGCAGTTCCTCGACAGAGATAACCAGCTTACGCAAATGATGCGGAAAGACCCGCTCTTTGGGGCTGCTCTGTCCCAAGATTTCGGATCCGAGATCCGAGCGCAGCAGAAGCGGAAGGCAAAAGATGCCTACAACCAGCTGCTGGAAGGCCTGTTTGGCGCCCCTCTGACTATCCTATTTGGGTCAGATAACGGAAACGCTCAGTCGCTAGCTAAGCGCCTGGGCACCAGGGGAAGAGCCCGAGGACTCAAGACAGCCGTCATGGCGATGGAGGATTACCCGGTGGAGGACCTCCCCACCGAAGAGAACATAGTCATCATCACATCTACTGCCGGACAAGGAGAGTTCCCCCAAAACGGCAAGCCATTTTGGGATGCTATCAAGGACAGCACGGAGCTCGACCTGGCTTCTGTCAAGTTTTCCGTCATGGCGCTGGGAGACAGCCATTACTGGCCCAGAAAAGAGGACAAGATTTACTACAACAAGCCTGGAAAGGACCTGGATAGAGTACTGGCCAACTTTGGCGCGAAGCGGCTGACAGACATCGGACTCGGTGATGATCAGGACCCTGATGGCTACCAGGCTGGCTATCAGGAATGGGAAGCTAAGCTCTGGGAGGCTCTTGGCGTTACTAACGTTGGAAGCGTTCCAGACGAACCCCCACCGATCACGAACGAAGACATCAAGATCGCATCAAATTACTTGCGCGGAACCATTGTCGAGGGGCTCAAGGACACGTCCACTGCCGCGATTTCTGCACCAGACCAGCAGCTTACCAAGTTCCACGGCACATACATGCAAGACGACCGGGATGTTAGAGACGAGCGGAAAGCGCAAGGCTTGGAGCCAGCTTACTCCTTCATGATCCGGTGCAGACTGCCGGGCGGTGTCTCGACGCCCAAGCAATGGATCCAGATGGACGACATTAGCACAACGCTCGGAAACGAAACTATGAAGCTGACTACGCGGCAAACGTTCCAGTTCCATGGCGTGGTCAAGGGCAAGCTGAAGCCCGCCATGCAAGCCATCAACCGGGCACTCATGACCACACTGGCTGCCTGCGGAGATGTGAACCGCAACGTCATGTGCAGCTCGCTGCCTTCGCAGTCCAGGTATCATCGCGAGGTTTTTGCGAGCTCCAAGAAGATCAGCGACCACTTGCTTCCGTCTACGTCTGCATACCACGAGATTTGGTTGACCGACGATGACGACAAGAAGACACAGGTTGCTGGCGAAGCAGTGCAGGACTTTGAGCCGCTGTACGGGCCCACCTATCTCCCCCGGAAGTTCAAGATCTCAATCGCCATCCCCCCCCACAACGACGTTGACGTGTACGCGCACGATGTTGGTCTCATTGCCGTCAAGGGCGAGGATGGACACCTGGTCGGGTTTAACTTGCTTGCTGGTGGAGGCATGGGTGCCACTCACAACAACAAGAAGACATACCCGCAGACAGGCCGGATGCTTGGGTTCGTCAAGACTGCCGACGTCCACATTGCCTGCGAGAAGGTGATGCTTGTGCAGCGAGATCACGGTGACCGCAAGAACCGGAAGCACGCGCGACTCAAGTACACGATTGATGACATGGGTGTCGACAGTTTCAGGTCACAGGTTGAGGAACTCTGGGGCAAGAAGTTCCAGCCGCCCAAGCCTTTCCACTTTGAGAGCAATATCGACACGCTGGGATGGACCAAGGACGAAACAGGCCTGAATCACTTCACATTCTTCATCGAGAATGGCCGTATCGAGGATACGGCCGACTTCCCGATGAAGACAGGCCTGCGCGAGATTGCAAAGGTGCACATGGGCGAATTCCGTCTGACAGGTAACCAGCACCTTATCCTCAGTAACGTCGCCGACGAGGATCTCCCGGCCATGAAGTCGCTCATGGCCAAGTACAAGCTGGACAATGTTCAGTTCTCGGGCCTGCGCCAGAGCTCGTCTGCCTGCGTGGCGTTCCCAACTTGCGGCCTGGCCATGGCTGAGAGCGAACGCTACCTACCTGTTCTCATCTCGAAGCTTGAGGCCTGTCTCGAGGAGAATGGGCTCCGGCAAGACAGCATTGTGATGCGGATGACGGGATGCCCCAATGGCTGCGCGAGGCCGTGGCTTGCAGAGGTTGCGTTCGTAGGCAAGGCGTACGGCGCCTACAACATGTATCTTGGCGGCGGCTACCACGGACAGAGACTGAACAAGCTCTACCGGTCGAGTATCAAGGAAGAAGAGATCCTTGACATCATGAAGTCGCTGCTCAAGAGATATGCCGCCGAGCGCGACGAGGGCGAACACTTTGGCGACTGGACGATCCGGGCCGGCGTGATTAAGGAGACGCGGGGCGGGCAGGACTTCCACGAAGGGGTGAGTGCATCTGCTACAACCCCCCGAGAGACGCTGCACTGTGCTGACACATTTCCATTTAGGTTGCCGAAGAAGAGTCGGACGAGGAGTGAGCAAGCATTGAGTGAGGGATCAGGCTGTGGCCCACCATGGCTCGCGGTCCGCATGGTGATGGCTCCGCTGCGTTGCATAGCGGCGTCAAAAAACGACTGGCTGCACGTTCGTAGTTCATTTCTTTTACATATTATACTCCTCAAGATTCTGTACATAACAATCTCTGTTCATGCCTCTGCATTGCCGTGCGCGTGCTTCGCAGTATGTATGCGCTGTTTTTGATGCCATCACAGCGTTGCTTCCATAAAAGTGGGCATTCCTCGGAAGAAACGGAATACGGACACATGTTGAACGGATACAGAGTTACGGGTACGGAGGAGTAACGGAAAAGAGATCCTGGATACGGAATATAAGCGCTCCACAAGGCAATGATTTGAAAGATGAAACGGGCCAACGGTGGTTGACGTGCGGGGCCCCGTCCGGCTCGCTGGTTGCCCCGACAACATGCAGGCTAAAAAATATTGATGGCGCATTGGGGAAGCTCCAGACCCCTCCCTGCCTCGAGAACCACCGCCGTCCCGACCTCTGCCCAATTGGCCCCGAAATCTCACCTAGACAAAAATCGAGGTTCGCCTTTCGGTTCTGTCCAACAGACGAGCAACAGGTATTGCGACTCGAGGTGAATATCTGGAATCGCAGCTCTCCAGCTAAATTACCCACGCCAACCTCTACTCTCCTCTTCATTTCAAAACATCTGCGTCCTCGGATTGCTTTTTCGCGGGAGATTGTCTCAGACGTGAGCATTCCATCTCGGCCTTGTCGCCACCAAAAAAGGCCCTCGACATGGCTGGCCAAAACCGCCCAGACACGCCTTCGCGGCCGCCAGACTACTCGCTCCCGTCGTATGACGAAGTGGAGGACACGACACCGACTGGCACGTCGGGCCACGGCGCAGCGGTTCGGTTGTTGACATCGATGGAGGAGCCTTTGGATGCTCGGCCGTATGTCATACCAGCGTGTTTCATTCCTCCCCCTCCAGTAATCAGGCAGTTGAAGACGCCGCCGGAGCTCGAGCTCGCAGGGCCAGAAGTTTTTGGCCCGTCAGAGCGGCAAGGAGCAGAGACAGACAAGGCTAGAGAGACGGCGACGAATGAGAAGACAACCATCGTCCCGAATACGCGGCGCAAGCCAGTCCCGGGCCACAGCGCAATGGAGACAGCGGATCATGGGCTAGTCAAGCGCAGGCCGACGGTCAAGATGCAGAGAAAAAAGACCAATGCTGGTCAAGCTCAAGCCGTGCCGCCTGTCGTTGCGCATAACCTGCCAGTGATCCCAGAGGGCCCGTCGCAGAGACGGGAGTCTCTGAGGAGGCAGAGGAGCGACGCTGCTACTGCGGCGGCAGGAGTAGCAGATGCAGTGCGCATTCCGCCCTCGGTTGCCATGAGCTCACAGAACAACGTGCACAGGAGCCGACTACGACGGCACTATGAACCCTCGATAGACTCGCGCCACTCGTCCATCCTCGATCCGCCTCACATGCCCCCTCCCGAACCATCCTACACCAACTACAGCCCGTCGATGGACGGCTCATCATCGCCGACGCGGTCGTGGTCGCCATCGCACATGTCATCCGCGTCCGAGTTTGGGCGCCCGCCGCCCGCCAGCACGCGGTACGAGCCCGCAGACCTCAACGGCAGCCCGCGGCCAGGCACGCCATCGTCGACGTACAGCAGGAGTCCGAGGCGGCCGCTGCCACCAGCACCGCTGTTCTCGGGCTCGGCGCGCAACTCTACCCACTCGTTTGCCGACGACGTGACAGTGAGCATCCCGCTTGCCGACGGTGACGAGGATGACGACGACGACGACGACGACGGCGGCGGCGGCGGCGGCGGGCGCATTGGCCACCACCACGGCCACCAGAGCAGCCACAGCGGCCATGGCGACGACGTGTTTGGGCCGGAAACGGATGTCGGCGACTTCGCCAGGCACTCGTACGGGATGCAGTCGCAGGTCACCCTGAGTGAGGATGCGACCTTCGACGCGGCGGCAGCGGCGCACGACAAGTTCGAGCACTACGGGCCGGCGCCTGAGGGCCAGCAGAAGCGGCGCGGAGTGCGGGAGCCGCAGATGAGCAAGAAGGAGGTGCAGCTGATCAACGGCGAGCTGGTGCTCGAGTGCAAGATCCCGACGATCCTGTACAGCTTCCTGCCGCGGCGCGACGAGGCCGAGTTCACGCACATGCGGTACACGGCGGTGACGTGCGACCCCGACGACTTTGTCGAGCGCGGGTACAAGCTGCGGCAGAACATTGGGCGCACGGCGCGCGAGACGGAGCTGTTCATCTGCATCACCATGTACAACGAGGACGAGTACGGCTTCACGCGCACCATGCACGCCGTCATGAAGAACATCAGCCACTTCTGCAGCCGCAACAAGAGCCGCACGTGGGGCGAGCTGGGCTGGCAGAAGATCGTCGTGTGCGTCGTGTCGGACGGGCGGCAGAACATCCACCCGCGCACGCTCGACGCGCTGGCGGCCATGGGCGTGTACCAGCACGGCATCGCCAAGAACTACGTCAACCAGCGCGCCGTCCAGGCCCACGTCTACGAGTACACCACCCAGGTCTCGCTCGACTCGGACCTCAAGTTCAAGGGCGCCGAGAAGGGCATCGTGCCGTGCCAGATGATCTTCTGCCTCAAGGAAAAGAACGCCAAGAAGCTCAACTCGCACCGCTGGTTCTTCAACGCCTTCGGCAAGGCCCTCAACCCCAACGTGTGCATCCTGCTCGATGTCGGCACCCGCCCCGGCGGCAACTCGCTCTACTACCTGTGGAAGGCCTTCGACCTCGACTCCAACGTCGCCGGCGCCTGCGGCGAGATTAAGGCTATGAAAGGAAAATGGGGCGTCAACCTGCTCAACCCCCTCGTCGCCTCCCAGAACTTTGAGTACAAGCTGTCCAACATCCTCGACAAGCCGCTCGAGAGCGTCTTCGGCTACATCACGGTCCTGCCGGGAGCCCTCAGCGCCTACCGCTACCACGCCCTGCAGAACGACGAGACGGGCCACGGGCCCCTGAGCCAGTACTTCAAGGGCGAGACCTTGCACGGCCAGCACGCCGACGTCTTCACTGCCAACATGTACCTGGCCGAGGACCGCATCCTGTGCTGGGAGCTGGTGGCCAAGCGCGGCGAGCGGTGGGTCTTGAAATACGTCAAGGGCTGCACGGGCGAGACGGATGTGCCTGGTGAGTTTTTTTTCTCTTTTTTTTTTTTTTTTTTTTTCCTTTCTTGTTTTCTCCTTTTCTTTTTTTCTCCCCTGTTTTCATTTCTGTTCCCGTCTTGTATCTGTTTCCTGACATCACCCCACCCCACAACAGACACGGTCCCCGAGTTCATCTCGCAACGCCGCCGCTGGCTCAACGGCGCCTTCTTCGCCGCCGTCTACTCGCTGGTGCACTTTCGCCAGGTCTGGAAGACGGACCACACGCTGGTGCGCAAGGTCCTGCTGCACGTCGAGTTCCTGTACCAGTTCCTGCAGCTGCTCTTCACCTACTTCTCGCTGGCCAACTTCTACCTGACCTTTTACTTCATCGCCGGCGGCCTCGCCGATCCCCTGAACGACCCCTTCCACGGTGGCGGCAAGTACATCTTCACGCTGCTGCGCTACATCTGCGTGCTCCTCATCGCCACCCAGTTTATCCTGTCGCTCGGCAACCGGCCCCAGGGCGCCAAGAAGATGTACCTCGTTTCCATGATCCTCTACGGCATCATCATGGCCTACACCATCTTCGCCTCGCTGTACATCACCGTCAAGCAGTTGACACCCAAGGACACCACCGACCACGACGACCTCAAGAAGGGGCTGGCTCTCGTCGGCCGCGCCGACCCTAGCGCTGCTGGGGCGGGCGGCGCCGCCACGACGACGTCGACCACGGCGACGGCCGTCGCCGGCACCACGGGAACCGACACGTCGAACCAGCTCACGCTGGGCAACAACGTCTTCACCAACATCGTCGTGTCGCTGGCGTCGACGGTGGGGCTGTACTTCCTCATGTCGTTCCTGTACCTGGAGCCGTGGCACATGTTCACGTCGTCGCTGCAGTACTTCATCCTGCTGCCGTCGTACATCTGCACGCTGCAAGTGTACGCCTTCTGCAACACGCACGACGTGACGTGGGGCACCAAGGGGGACAACGTCATGAAGACGGACCTGGGCGGCGCCGTCGGGAAAGGCGGCACCGGCTCCACCGTCGAGCTCGAGATGCCGTCGGAGCAGCTCGATATCGACTCGGGCTACGACGAGGCGCTGCGCAACCTGCGCGACCGCATCGAAGTGCCCGCGCCCGCCGTGTCCGACGAGCAGCTGCAGCAGGACTACTACAAGAGCGTGCGCACCTACATGGTAGTGTCGTGGATGATCGCCAACGCCACGCTTGCCATGGCCGTTAGCGAGGCCTACGGCAACAGCTCCATTGGCGACAACTTCTACCTGCGCTTCATCCTGTGGGCCGTCGCCAGCCTTGCGCTGTTCCGCGCCATCGGGAGCACCACGTTTGGTGTCATCAATGTCGTCAACATGGCCGTCGAGGGCCGCATGAAGATGAGCATCAAGGTGCCACAGTGGCTCGGCGGCTGGGGCAGCAAGATCAGCGACAAGGTGAGCAGCATTGGGAGCAGCGTGCGCAGCTAGTAGCCCGCCACGCCCTTCGCTAGGTTGTTCAGTGTAGCCGGGTCGTGATGATTCTACATGCTTGTGGGGGTATTTTGGGGGGACAGCGGACATTATAATGGCTGACGTCTGGGATTGGTGGATTGATTGATTGGGCTCGGTGTTTGTTTCGGGCGGGCTGGCATATTGGGTGGGGGGGCGGTTTTGTTTGCTGTATTTGGAGGCGCAAAAGTCTTTCTGGGAGGATACCTAATGAGGGAGGACGTGTGTCTTTTACGGAAGCAGCTCACGGTTTTGTTTGCGTGTGTAATCTAGAATCCGGAATCCGGAATCTGGAATCTGGAATCCGGAATCTCGAATTTATAAACATGTATCCGTACACCAAAAAGACCCGGTTGTGTTATCGTCCATGCACTGATGCCGGCCTGTGGTGTGCGTGCCCCAGGATTCGCTGCGTCAGTTCGCCGATCAAGACCACCAAAACAACAGACTCCCAAACAGACAAAGGATCCACTCGTCCATGCGGAAACAAGGTTGGGCGCGCCCTGTAGGGCTGATCCGATCTCATCACCGACACCAACCGCACTTCCGGCTAGCCAGGCAGGCAGGCACTGTATACATGACGAGACTTTGTCATTGCCGACCTCTAACAAGTTGACAGCTCGACAATGGAAAGCGCCAAGAGCTGTGTTGATTGCTTACTGCTCATTATTGCTGCGGGCTGAAATTGATACCTCTATCTAACTTACCTGGTTTGCTTTCAGGCAATTATATGCCAGTCCCCCGAATGTCTTTTAAATGGCAACAAAGACGAGCAAGGCTGGGCGGCGTGCTCGTTCATCTGCTTGTACGACCTCATCTCCAATCTGCCGGCCGGCTGAGTGTGTGAACGGTGAGGCAGACTGCAAAAGGACATGGGGCAGACTGGTTAAATGGCCACTGCTATCTTCCAGTCTTCTCATTTCGTCGGCATTGGTGAATGCGCTGCTGTAGGTTATGTTCGAGCCAAGTTGACTGACAGACATGGCGACTTCACCAGCAACAATACGAGGGACTGCAAGCTAGGGGTATCTTCTCATAAAAAAACCATTGAAAATGCTTCGCTTGCTGTCGTGGCTGCCCTCCGCCATTAATGGGTATTTAGCACCCTCCCTCCTCCCCTTTCCTCTCCCAGCCACGTCCATTCGCATCACTGCATGCTTTCTATCGAAGCAGCAGGCGTGTGCTGCGGTGGCTGGTGACCGCCCCCTTTCCAAAACCGCAAACCGTATAACTCGGGCACGAAGGAGGGTTCATGGTTTCGGTAGCGGGCGTGCCACGCCGTAACTCTTCCGCGGTGCTGCTCATATCTAAGAAAGATACACATGGCATAATCGTTGATGGCCGGGACTGTGCGAAAGCCGACTGTCGCACGTCTCTTAGACAACGTAGCTGCTGCCCGAGCCCCCTTTCCTCATGCGCAAATAGCCCAGGCCGAGCAGGGCGATGGCGATGGCGAACGAGATGAACTGGATAATCTCATCCGAAAAGCCCTTCTGGCAGCTCGACTGCAGCTTGCTCCACGCACCGTCCCTGGTGTCGGTGCTGTCGATGATGCCGTACTCTATGGCGCCGTTGGGATACGTAAACGTGCCCTGGTTGATGAGGGGGTTCAGGAGCATGTTGGCTGCGTTCAAGTCGTCGTTGTTGGTGCACTGGATGCCCTTGAGACCGACAGCCCACGCCTGGCAGGACAGTTAGTGGCCGCGAGCATGCCCATAGGTAGTGGTGGCGGTGCTGTCTACTTACGATGCCGCCGCCGAGGTAGAGCACGCCCAGTATGCCATCAAGCGCGAGCGTGACAATGTCGGGCACGGAGTCGATGAACAGCCTGGCCACACCCACGGCGCAGACGATAATGCCAAAGGCGCCGGTGAAACTGCTGTACTTTGTCGTCGTCGGAGCATCGCCGTACTTCTGCGCCTTGATGAGGGCGACAGACAGGCCGAGGATCGTAACGGCGAAGACGAACTGAAGGCCGCGAACGCCAAAAGACACGGCGGAGATCATCTTGACCGGTCTACTAGGTGGTCACCGTTTGCTTTGAAGTCGCGTCTCGTGTAGGATCTAGTGTATGAGTGGCGGCGCAAATTTCAACTTTCAACTCACTCTTGGTACGAAGGGGGGGAGGGGGGCCTCGGTTCTATTAGAGGCGGCCCTTGGGTGGGAAGCGGCGGGCATATATATGTGCAATCTACGGAACTAGGGGGAGGGGGGCCAGAATCCATGGGGCACGAAATTGAAAACATTGGAGTGAAAATCCTATAGCGTGCCCATCTTTAACCCCTGCTGCTGCTGCCACGGCTGCCTATTCTGGGAGTCACCCTATTATCACCGTGGTGGTGCTATATGTCTTGGAGGCCAAATACCAACGGGGACACTGTGAAGGAACCAGACGCGCTTAAGCCCTTAGTCTCGCTCAGCCAATTCAATTGGCCAAGGACGGCCGGCCGGTTGTCACCAAGAGGTCTGGGCGACAGGCACCCTATCCCCGTTCTGCGACGTTACCTAGCTACACTACCTCATCTCCCAGAGTCCCAGCAGTCAGTCGGGCCGCCGGCCGTGCAGCGGGAGGTTGGGTCTGCAGTTTGCAGTCTGCAGTCTGCAGTCTGCCGGCCTGGCAAGAAAAGACCGCTCGGCAGTGCAGACCACGAAGGATGCGCTTTTGAGGTGGCGGAGGACCGAGGAAGAGCGACAAGAGGTATCCGTAGAAGCGGGGAGACGGATCCTTTGCTTCAGATAGACGAAGGGGAGTATTTCGGGGCTGCTGCGACACTCTGCTCTTTGGTGTGTTGTTGTGTGTGTTGAAGAAAACCTGTTTTCCCGCCTCGATTCTTTTACCCTTTCCACTCGAGTTTGGGGATGTGACACGCTGGACAGGATAACAAGTGAACATCCAAATAGTGGCTCAAAATGGCGTCGTTTGGTCATAGTTTTAGCCCCCAGGCTGCAAGGGCCCTTCCCCCCTCCTCTCCCGGACATGGCGCCAGCCCCAGCCCTTTACTGTTAACAGCGCTGCCTTCTGAATCGGCGTGGCTTGACGGCATCCCGGCACGACCTTGGCGCCAAGCAGGGGCAAAAGTGGATGCCGAAGAGGTCTTCCTTGCCACGGCACGGGCATCTTGCTTGTCATCGGGCATCGCATTGATGGTCGCGCAGCCCCAAAATCCTGCCCTTCAGCTATCATCAATCGGGAACCAGGCCCGAGCCTCAACCCAGCCACCTAGGTATCCGCCTGTGCAAACGCCCTGTCAAGATTGGACCCCGTGCGCGGGTACTGAGACAATCTCCGTTGTCCATAGGAAAGAAGCAGATGCATTATTACTCCATACTTCGTAAAGGGGTCGTTATTTCTCATTGCCGCCAGACCCAAGTCTCTGTTTGAGGAGAGACAGAATCCATCGGCTATGGGCGGCCGACTCTGTCCCTTGGTGCCGCAGCAAACCGAGATCGAAGTCCGAGTTGGTTTCGAGAATATAATAATAGCCTCTCCATAGCCACAGAATCGTCCTTGTCAGACTTGACCCCGGATCTAGCTGTTTCAGATCCACCCTGCGTCCACCGCTGGGATATTGCGCCTCGGCCAGTGAATGGGTACGCGATCAATACGCATGAGCATAGCAAAACCGCAGCAGGAACACGCTAGCCTGCGGAAAGTTGGAAACAGGGTCAAAAATTTCAGCGCCTCAGGATGCGCTGGAGACAGAGAAATCGCTTTCCCAATCAAGAACAGACGAACGGGCAAGACAGGCGTGAATAAAAGCTAGCATTTTGACAGTGTCTCATTCATGTTCGAAAAGTCTATAACGCAAACGCGCTATGTTCTAGCGACTCGCGCTGTGCTTCCCATGCCAGCCAGTCCGATCTCGTCGTCCTGTACAAGTCGGTGGTGGTTAGTCGATTGAGCCAAACACGGCGCTGCGATGGCTTCTTGGTCTGCACTCACGGTAATAGCCCCATCGAGTTCACCTTCCATATCCCCATGGCCAACGCCACTAGCTGCATGGCGATGTAGGCCAGCTTGACCTGGAGGATTTTTGCGCGGTTGCTGTCCGTCTCGAACCGCTCAAAGGCCTGGTTGGTGCCCAGGATACCCATGATGGGGTTCTTGAAGGCCATAAAGACCATCATAATGCTGAAGATCTGTAGCGAGTTGCCCGACATGTACATCATGATGGCCGTCATGGGCAAGCCCTTGATAGGTCCGAGGGCCACCTCCCACGCCTTCTTGAGCTTCAGCGTGTCCATCTCGTCGCCCGTCGGGGCTTTGCGCTGCGCGGTCGCCGCCTTTGCGTCCTTTCCACCGTCCTTCTTCTGCGGGCGACAGTGTTAGCCATGCGCTCAAATACCATGCCTCGCCTTCCTGTCGTCGGGGAATAATCCAAGGCACGCACCTTGGAGCTCGGTTGCGACTGCGACTGCGACGAGGGGAAGCCGGGAGGATCGATAATGCCAGCGCTTTTAGATCGGTACGCTGGGGGGTTCCTGAGCTCGGCCACCCATCTGGGCGATTCTCTGGATGTTATCGCGAGTTCAGACATGATGGAGCGTGGCCGTCGGGTTTGGTGAACAGATCGTAGATGGTTTCGTCGTGATGCGCGGGAGCGAACGGGAGATGACAAAAACAAGGCTGAGGTCGAGATAGGCTGCCCGCAGCGGTGTCTGTGCTTCCTTCAGCAGCGGACAGCCCAGCAAAGCCGCCCTGGAAGTCGGCCAATGTCACTGGCTGCTGCTCCCGTTTTATAGTGGGCCGTGCGTTTGCTTAGGGCATCGCCAGCGGGTTTCTCCACCAAATATAGTGGGCTTTTCAGGGGCTGACAGATCGCGGGCAGGGGACCTGGACCCCGAGGCCTGGTCTTCCTTAGCTTGCCTGCATTTTGGATACCGTCGGGTATGCTGCTGCGAAACCCCGGCCTTGCCGATCAAAACTGCTCTGGGCGCTCGACGGGCATATCGATTAGGTAGATTGGAACGAAGGTCTCCTTCAGCTCGACGACTCTCGGTCTCGCAATCAACAGTTGTTCAATACCCGACTACACTACCCGCGACTGACCCACGAACACTTCTGCTCCGTCCCGCCGACCGAGTCCTGTCCTTCCACCGCCGATCCCCTTCACCCCACAAGGGTCGACGACGACGACGGCGGCGACGACGACGACGACGACAGTACAACGAACACGACGTCCCCACCAACAGCATCAGCCCATCAATTCGACGAGCGCAAACCCCCCGCCGACTCGGAAGCTCACAGCAGCTCGCGACGGCGTCCTTGGCCTAAATATCCATCAACATACGCGGAGGAATTGGCTGCATGCCACTATCCTGTCGAACTGTTATCGACGCCAACCAGTTGTCTACCCTGAGAAAGTCCCCCCCCCCAAGACGAAGCCGCAACCGCTTCGACGCAACGGCGCGAGAGGCGAGCCAGGCACCTCGTCCCACGCGGCATTGTATCTATCGCCCAGTCGAGCTCTTCCCAGCTCTGGCTAGTCGCGTGTCTTATCGCATGCTAGCACTAGCATTCCCGACGTCCTATTTGCCAGCAACCTGCGATTCAACGTCGATTAGTTGAGCATCGGTCAGCCGACCTTTCGGCCCGGAAGAAGAAGACAAAGAGGGAAGAGGCGCTCGGTGCGCGCGAAAACCTGCTGTTAGGTAGCAAGATATATACATATATACCTACACAGCCGACGCCATGGCGAGTTCGCAGGGAGGAGGGGACTCCAAGTTGTTTGCCCGCGTAAGCTCTTTGTCCTTTCGTATTCCCGTCTCCCTTCCTTACTTACGGCTTGGCTTGTTTTTCCGGCATCTTGCTTCTCTAAGAAGGGTCCGCAACACGTCCATTCCAGCACTCGAGACTATTCATGTCACCCTATCCCTCTGCCCATCCTCGTCTGCCACCACAGCTTCCCCTCACCTCGCGCCTCCTACCTCCCTTGCTCTACCGCCCCTGTCTCGTTCTGTGCCAGCGGTCCTAAGCGATCTCGTTGCACCGCATCACCCCTCTTCAGCCCGCCGTCGTGTCTTGATCGCAACGGCCGACTTCCTCTCGCCTCCTCGTCCCCCTCGTCCCCGCCGACACCATGACACGCGCCTTTCGTCTAACCCACAACCGCCGTCATGTTTATGGCATATCTTCCCCCGCCGGCGTATAGCTCACATCTTCGTGGACCACAGGGCAAAGTGGCCGAGCTGCGGCTCGAGCTCAACAGCGGCGGCAGGAAGGACAAGAACTTCACTACCAAGAAGATCGCCCTCAAGAAGATCGTTGCCAACATGACCATGAGCAACAATGACATGGTTGCCTTGTTCCCCGACATTATTGGGTGCATGGGCATTCCAAGCCTCGAAATCAAGAAGATGTGAGTCTTTCATGCACAGAGAAAGCCCCTTCCTTGTCCATGCAGGACATGTTTGCTGACAGCTTTCTCCTCCAGGTGCTTCCTGTTCCTGGTCAACTATGCTAGGATGCGGTCCGAAATCGCAGTAAAAGCGATTCCGGTTCTAGAGCAGGTCAGTTCTAAGTCCTTGGCCCCTGATGGCAGGAAACTCCATGCTCACATGTCTATCGTCCTTAGGATATGGAAGACCCGAATCCTCTAGTTCGAGCGCTTGCACTACGAACTATGTCTTACATCCACGTGCGCGAGTTCGTCGAAGCCACGGTCCCAATAGTGAAGCACCTCCTCCGCGATTCAGATCCCTACGTGCGCAAGACGGCAGCCTTCTGCGTGGCCAAGCTCTACGACCACGACAAGCACATGGTAGAGGCCTCTGATCTTATCGCGCGGCTGAACAGCCTGCTCAAGGACGACAACCCTACCGTCGTGGCGAGTGCGCTGGCGAGCTTGATGGACATATGGGAGCGCAGCGATGCCATCAAGCTCACCATAGACTACGATAATGCGTCCAAGATGGTGGCCATCCTGCCCGACTGCTCCGAGTAAGCCCCCCAAGCCCCCTCTGCTTCGCGAACCCAGACTGTTGCTAACATTACACCCAAGATGGGGCCAGACGTATATACTGGAGGCGCTCATGTCCTACGTGCCACAAGATTCGGGTGAGGCGCTGCTGCTGGCCGAGCGCATCGCCCCACGGCTGTCACACTCCAACTCGGCAGTTGTTCTTACCTGCATACGCGTGATACTATACCTGATGAACTACATCGCCGATCAGAAGCAGATATCCGCTCTCTGCCGAAAGCTCTCCCCCCCACTTGTCACCCTGCTCGCCAAGGGCCCAGAAGTGCAGTATCTCGCGCTTCGAAACGCGCTGCTCATCCTGCAGCGGCGACCCGAGGTTCTCCGCAACGACATTCGAGTATTCTTTTGCAAATACAATGATCCCATTTACGTCAAGGTCACAAAGCTCGAACTGATCTTCATGCTCGCAACCGAGAAGAATATTGACGAAGTCCTCACAGAGCTTCGCGAGTATGCCACCGAGATTGACGTGCACTTTGTTCGGAAAGCGGTTCGCGCCATAGGCAAGCTAGCCATTAAGATTGAGCCGGCGGCGAGGCGGTGCATCAACCTCTTGCTGGAGCTGGTCGCGACAAAGATTACATATATCGTCCAGGAGGCTACCGTGGTTATTCGGAACATCTTCCGCAAATATCCGAACCAGTACGAGAGCATCATTGGCACTCTCTGCGAGAATCTAGACTCGCTCGACGAGCCCGAGGCCAAGGCGGCCATGGTGTGGGTAATCGGCCAGTATGCTAGCCGCATCGAGAACTCGGACGCTCTGCTCGAGGATTTCTTGTACTCGTTTGCCGAAGAGCCCGTCGAGGTGCAGCTTGCGCTCCTGACGGCAACAGTGAAGCTGTTCATCCAGCGCCCGACCAAGGGGCAGGAGCTGGTGCCGAAAGTGCTCAAGTGGGCCACCGAAGAGACGGACAATCCGGATCTACGAGACCGCGCTTACATGTACTGGCGCTTACTCTCTACCGACATGGAGGCTGCTAAGCGCATCGTCATGGGCGAGAAGCCAGCCATCACGGCCGAGTCGGAGCGCCTCGATCCTACCACGCTCGAGGAGATGTGCCTCAATGTCGGCACCCTGGCCACTGTCTACCTCAAGCCGGTGCAAACCGTGTTCCGCAATGCCCGGCCGCGCCGCCTCCACGAATCGCCCGCTCTCCAGCGCCAAGAGGTGCCCAACCCCAGCGGGGTTCTCTCAGACGCCAATAAGTCTCTCAGCCAATTTGGCATGGGAGGGCAGCCCGCCGACTTCGATCCCCGCACGGGCCGACCGTGGGGTCAAAACGGCGAAGGCAACCTGGCACAGGCGGTGCACGAGGCCGATGCATATTTCACGTCCCAAGTGCGCGGCATGCACGTCCAAGAGCAAGGGGACAGCTTCGGCGGCAACGGCAACGAGGGCTCGGGCTACGTCGTCAACCAGTATGCCCCGCAAACCGTGTACCAACCTGCCCAAGGCGTAGGTAATAACGGGGACCTACTGTTGTAGTCGAGGCTGTGCCCGTACGCATCTACTCGGGTGTTATTTCTTGTAGGCTTTTGTGAAGCACATTGGTGGCGAATAGTAATGTGCAGCAGGAAACACAAACGAGCGAGCGGGCCGCGGCATGTCTCCCAAAAACAGCAGTTAAAGGCTAGTAATTAAAACTTGGGAGTACGGATATATTGTTTGGTGGTAACGACGATCATGCCCGCCGCCAGTGGAGTTGTCTGGTTACAAATAGGCAGTCTTAAGACCACCAGCAGGACATTATTTGTAGATAGAGACAGCAACGTGGAACTTGGCAGAGTAATTAATGAACAAATCAAGCCTAGCTGGCGTTGAAGGACAATACGCAGTTTATCTCTCAGGCAGACAAAAACTAATTACGCATTACTTCAAGTACCATGTATCCCAACCTGGATAGTAAGTAGGTAGGTAGCCGGGATGTGATGTAGTGTTTTCCAGTCCTTTAGAGAGGGATGCGAAGAGACTTGATTTCGTTTAGCGCGAGCGGGAAGGTATATGGAACAGCACCGACTTAATTAGGTTGGATGATCGGTCTGAGTTGGTGTGGAAAAAATGAAGGTGTCTGCCCGTCCCGCCAGTTTGAAGAAAACAAGGGACGAAACCCCGATGACAATAGTTTGTAGAGGCAGATGCGTTCTCTCCAACCCGGACCCACCATGTTAAATACGTATTTGTCCAGACGTTCCAGAGCACAATGTAGTTCTAGCTAACTAACGTAGGTTGGTAGGTAATTATGGGCTTGCGGTGTCTGGTTCTCCTTCAACTACCTTGCTGACATCGTGGTGACATGAAATGAATCCATCGAGAAAAACGATAGGGAGCTAATTAGAGATGCCATGGTGTGTATTGTGACAGGCAACAATAAGCAACAAAAATCAGGGGGGGGGGGGGGGGGGGAGGAGAGATGATAGGGGGCATCGATAACAACAGGGGGTCGGGCCGGGACGGATAGTCGTTTCGGGATGTCTCGACGGGTTGCTCAACCCACGACAGCGCATACCAGCGCGACGATGGGACCGATCAAGGCGCAGCTCAGAATCGACAGCTTGCTGCCCGCGACTGCCTCAGCGCCCGCGGCTACAGTGCTGCTCGACGGTGTGGCCGTGGCGCTACTGGCTGCCGTGTCGGTCGTGCCGGTTGATGTTGTGGGCGGCCCAGACGACGCTGGCGGTGTGGATATCGTGGCCCCAGACACAGTAGTGGTGGGTGATGAGCCTGGCTCAGATGGAGTAACCACGATGACGCCGCCAACGCTGCTGCTGCTGCTGCTGCTGCTGCTGCTGCTGCTGCTGCTGGTCAAATGGCTAATGACTGGGGGACCGCCGGCTGGCCGAGAACTAGCGCCAACGGAGAGCACCACTGTGGTTGTCTTGAAGTCTGTCTCGCTTGCTGTGGTTGTTGTGGTGACTGTGATTAAGCTGACTGCGGAGCTGACGGCAGTCACGGGGGTGCATGTCGCCAGGATAGACGTGACCGAAGCAGACGGGGTGACGATTTTGCTTGTGGATAGGGTTGTTGGAGATTCATCACAAGTGTGGCTGGGAGTAGGTCTCGATACGCTGGGATTGTATGTGACGAGGACTACGTTGGTGGAGGTGAGGGTGGTCGTTGTCGTTGACGTCGTAACGTCTTTTTGGTTAAAGGAGACAACTTGGAGGGCCTCGATATTTCGGACTAACACGCCAGCACCTCCGCAAAATCCTTCATCCTTGTCTGCGGCAGCGATGCCAAAGCAGACGGCAGCGACGGTAGCCGCGACGATTTGCTTAAATGACATGTTGGTGGGTCTAGCGCTAAGTTGAGAACTCGGCGCTCCAAAGGTTGATGCTAGATCATCTATAACCAAGTTTCAGAATGGGTTTTATTCATCCATCTGGCATCCAAGACAGGGAAAGTGGGCCGTAAATGAGGAGGGATGGCGAGAAGGTGTAAGGAAGAAACCAGTGGCACTGGCACCGTGAAAGGAAACAATCGGGTGAGTCGATGTGCTACCACAATCGGCACCATCGACGGCCATCGGGGGAGGACATGTACTTGGTTCTCTTGCCGAGGTCTGTTGCGGCTATCTGGTGCTGACGTGGCCAAACGTTTATTTGGTCTAGTGATAAAGCAGAGGTCTCGTTGTTAGCCAAGGCGTAGACGCAAAGGAGCGCTGAAACAATTGACCAAAGAACATATCAAATGTCAAATGAAAAGACTTAGCTGCTCGACTCACTAGGATGGTCGGACAACCTGTAAAGTGGGTAGCTATGTTAAACGTTGAACATAATGCGCAGGTTGTCAAAGAATACGGGCCACGGCAAGAGGCTTCTCTGATCAGTTAAAGGAGCTCGATGTTGCTAGAAGGAAAGGAAGAGTGGCGCGTCTTTCGAGCGGGGAGTAATTAGGATAGGGGTTTTGTTCTGAGACTCTCGACTGCAACATTCACCATGGTTCACCTTTGACATGGAAATTGAGTGCGACAGTGATAACATTTTCTCGGCCTGGCAGCTGATGAATATCAAGATCCGATTCAATGGGGCCACAGAAATGCTAATTTCCCCGTGAAACTCTTCTTTTTACAGAAAGCCCATCTCCCGGAGGCACCGTACCTCCCTCTTCTCAGCCCAGAGGGCCAACCCGAGCCATACCATACGTGCCCTACCAATGAATAGTATTAATTGCCCCGTTGTTTGTCTGCCTTAGCCAACTGAGGATCCAGAAGATAGTTGGCAAACATCAGCTACCAAAGCTGCGAGCCGATGTTTTGATAGACCGAACACGCGAGGCCGTGTAGGTAGAAGATATTCCCATTCACAAATCTAATTAGATTATTTAAACAAACAGCAATCGGGAATTCGGCCATCCCGGAAACACTATCCCTTCTAGATGTGCCTACCAAACATGATACCCTTGTGTCAGTGTTACCAGGTGCCGCGTCGGCAAGATCGTGTGCAGTTATGAGTGGCCCGCCGTAGCTACTTTTTGCTCCCGTCGTCATTTGACACTTCCAGGTTGTGATCTGTCCCACGTCACTACGTGAAGCATCCGGCCCACCCGAACTCGTGACGGTGGGTTGACCGTGAAACCCTACTGGGGGGGGGGGGCAGGTTCTCTCCAGATTCCGATCATGCTTTAGTCATGTTTTACGGCAAATGATTATGGCACGACACTGCTGCTCTGAGCCACAAAGAACTACCAGTGGTGGTCCCTTTGGGACACCCATACCGTTTCGCTCTTTCAAAGACATTTCACATTTCATATCATTTCTCCCAAGTGGTACAACACAGACCTACACAACCACAGCTTTCTGAGCGGCGAACGAGGCCTATCTCAGGCAAGTAACCAGGATAGTATTATATGTGTTTCTCAGTTACCCTCGGGTAAAAAACACACCGGAGCAATGATGCTAGAGTAAATATAATCTTATAATTACGTCTTGGACCCAATCAAGAACATAATCGGCTGCCGAGCTGAAGTGTTTACTATCCTGTGATTTCGAGTGGTAATTATGGAGAGCTATTTACCCTATGGTTAGATCCACAGAGTTCAAAAGGGGCGAGCAAATGAGCCACTGGCGGGAGTATCCACGGGCGGACCAACCGCTTGTTTTGTATACCTACGGTACCTAATTATGGGGAACTCAAAGCCACCTGGCGCCAAGGTAACTCACCTTACCTCGGGCACTGATGAAATGATTGTTGGCCCGGTCAACGACTGCCTGCCTCGGACCCAAGGTTCCGGGGCTCTATGAATTTATTTTTATACATACAAACTCGAACTCACGAATGGAAGTGAGATGATGGACGGCATGCCTCTGAAATGTTGCGAGGCATGACTATAACAACTCTACGTGCCACGGCAGCTCTCTATTTGCCTAGCAGTCCATGGTAATCACACAAAAGCGCACCCGCCGCCTTGACTGACAGTTCCTGTTTCTGGGGCGGCGTGTGAGCTGAATAGACAGACGGCTGTCATTGCCATCGCGAGAAACGGTAGAACTACCTTCGTTCAAGACTTTGGCACCGTCTCAATCGGTATTGATATCAGTATCTTCCATCTGCATATCGTGCAGAACTGGAATGTGGTGGCAGCACGCAGAGTAGGTAGCCGGTGAGAAGAGATAATATGACCTAGGTAGGTACCTTGTGTTGTTTCACAGACATTCACCTGAAGCAAGAGGGAAAACCCGACTCGCCATGGACCTGGTCTAGAACTCGCATGCATGCCTACCGCTCTTTACAGTTGACATGAATACTTCAGGTATTCGAGACAAAGTTTCAGAAGATGTGACCCGGGTTTCATTTCTTTGGGTGTGAATGGACCATGGGTTGGTTTATGTGCCCCCGAACTTGGGTGAGGGTAATGGCTGACTTTCAGTGGTGGATGCACCTGTGCCTCTCAACAAGCGCCGTTTAGTCATGGATGGTGGTGTCTGCGTATTTGGTCGTGCAGGAATGCCGACCAACGGCGAGGACATGCACCCTACATTTTATACTTGGGGTTAGACATGTCTTCTCTGTATGTAATAATGCCGCCCCAAGTTTCGTCGGAGAAGATGCGATGCAACAAACTCAGCTAAATTCCAATCAACGTATGTATGTCCACGTACTGCACAGTACGCCGTATTTGCGGGCAATTGAGTTGAGCTGGGTGTTTGGCAGGGTCTTGGTGAGACCCGACCGATGATGGGCTGACATTCCTTCAGTAATACACCCTCCCCCCCGGACAAAGACATCCAAAGGGGAAAAGATGGCGAGGGGTGTCTCGGGATTTCATCGAGAAAAAAGCTCCGGAAATATCGAATTTGGGGAAACCGGCGCCCCGGATGTTCGCACATGCTTGTTGACTAAGGACCGAGTAAGCTGGGTGGCGAGGCTGTGTAGGGTGTAGGCACGGAGTACTTCGGCTGGACTGGGCGAATCGTTTCCGTCACGATTCCGGTTCTAGTGTTCCAGGTTCTCTGACAACATGGATTCCTCCAGGATGGAAGCTTCCTACAATGGCTCGAGTCGCTCCGGTTACTTTTGGGATCTAGGCACCAAACAGACTGTCTCTTCTCCCAGCGCAGCGCGAGCCAGGAACCTGAAACAGGACCGCGTGCTGTGCAACGGGGCTTAATTTAATTTAGGTTCTAGGTCGACATACAAGCCCGAAACAAGGCAGAGAGAGAGCAGCCCGCCAATCTTGAACTTCTCGTCTTGAGCCGAGCCTTCGACATGCCTTCGACATGCCAAAAACCCTCCATCCCTCTCATCCATGGTCGGATCAGCTGGACTTTTTCTTAGCGGCTGCAAGCTCAGACTCGAGAAGCAGAAGCAGAAGCAGAAGCAGAAGCAGAAGCAGAAGCAGAAGCAGAAGCAGAAGCAGAAGCAGAAGCAGAAGCAGAAGCAGAAGCAGAAGCAGAAGCAGAAGCAGAAGCAGAAGCAGAAGCAGGAGCAGGAGCAGGAGAGCAGGATTAATGGTGATTGCACAGGTGATGGCGTGCATGCTTCCCTGAAAGTTCCAGACTTCTTGGAACTTCACACCCACTTCTAGCTTCGCCGTGACTACTGTACCTAGAACTAGACTAGTGGATGGATAGAGGGCTGGCCGCCAAAGCATGGACTCTTTTTTTTCGCTTGAGCCCGTCGTAAACAAACAGATACGTACTGCTGCGGCTTCCTCGGGAGAAGGAACCACCTCAGTGGGAAGGACTCATGGCACTCTGAGTAAGCGTGTACCACAACAACCAAAGCGTGCAGGAAATTCGCTCAAGGGAACTTCCATTATCGGAAGGTTTGCATCATCAATCGGGCTTTCGACTCTGCCAGGTCGCGGGGCGTGTTTGGACGGCAATCACTAAAGTTGTGCCTGGCTGGTCCGTGCTAGGGCAGGGCAGGGCGGCCAGCTAGCTGCGCTCAATGGCGCCTTCCTGGCACAGCACCAAGCAAACCAAGCACTGCAGCTACAGAGCTCCCGCCGCCCTAACTGGCGGCGGGTTTGGAAACTAGGGGCTGCCGGGGGGGCTGTTTTTGACATTTCCTCAGGTTTCTCTCTGATCTGAACATCGAATGTTTTCCGGGGGCTCCCAATAGGTTTTTGGTTACGCCAGTCGGATTTTGTGTGATATCGCGTCCGTCTGGTGATTTGTTTGTTTTTTCTTAGAAAGGCCAATTCGCCATCTCCCACGCTCCTTTGTCACTTTCGACGGCCATCCGCAGACGCCTGCCTACCCGCCTCCAGGTTCCCTCTGGGCTGTCCAGTTGCTGAGTGGGAGGAGGCGAGACTGGGGCCAGCACAGTGGGCCATTACGGGATACGGAATACGCCCTCGTCTTATCCGCCCCTCGTCGTGCCATCAATCTGTCTCCCCTCCACCTGTGCAAAATCGCCAGCATTCCTGGTCACCATATTACATGAACTTCTCTTGACAGGGCACTTCAGGTCGATAGCCACACCCGCGCCCGCGCCCGCGCTCGCACTCGTCCGCCACCCGTGCGTCCGCATTCGACGGCGCTTTCTTGGGTCTGGGCTCTGGAGGAGGCGACATCGCCAAGCCAGCGCATCTGGCCGACCGGCTTTCCCTTGTACTGACTCCCAGTGACGGCCAGCTGAGAGTCGAAGCCGTTCTGGACCGGGGCCCGACGACAAGGACGCAAAGCACGTGTCCCGATACCAGCGCAGCAGTGACCTCAGTGCCAGGCGCCGTTTCCGGACAGCAACCGCGAAGCTCCACCCGTTGAAAGCGAAACGGCACCCTCTCGATCCGCCGCGATAGAGTGCGCCTGCAGCCTGATTGTTCTGCAGCGCGTTCCCAGTTGATCACATCTTCGGCGAGCTTATTTCTTTCCGGAGGGATCTATTTGGTCTCTTGATCGCCGCCATAGTTCTCCTGCCTCGTGGCTTCGAAGCTCCCGAGACACGCTCCATTCCTCACATCATTGGGATCCGCTATGGCTGAGGACGGCCTTAAGATGACCGGAGGTCCGACTCCGACGGAGGATGTACAACAGAAACCTAAAGACGCTGCGTTGGCGGGAAAGCTGGATACGATGGAGGCGTCGCAATCTCACATAGAGGGCGAGTTTTCTCTTCCCGTACCAGCCAAAGAAGACGTGCCTTCCGCAGACCTCAGCCCGGCGCCAACTGCTGCAGAATCCGCATCCAAAGGAAAGGATAAAGATGACGCACCGGCCCATATTGAAAAGCAAAGCGAAGATGACTCTCTATCAATAGAGCCTTCGGACCCGCCGGTTTCCAGTAGCGGAGCGAACGCGGAAACGCCCGTCTGCACCATAACGCTCCTACTTCCGACCGGTGCTAGACATCCTTACAAAATCGATGAGAAGTATCTGGCCAAGCGTAACGTGGAAATACCTGATGTGACAGAATCCGGGAGGAAGGACCCCTTCAGCATCTCGGTCTACAAGCTGAAGGAGCTGATATTACGAGAATGGCGAGAGGAATGGGATGGCAAGCCCGCCAGCCCGACCAGCATACGACTAATCCACTTCGGAAAGTTGCTGGATGATAAGGAGCAGTTGAAGAGTGAGACTCGGCTTTTGCGCTTCCTTTGGTATGCATGAACTAACTGGTTTGACCGCAGAATACCAGTTTACAATCGACAGTCCAAACGTAGTCCACATGTCGGTTCGCCCACCCGAAATGATGGAAGAGGACGAAGCTGGTAAGGGGAAGAGCACTAGCCGGGATGGGAGAAGTCGCGAAGGCAGCGGCGGCTGCTGCGTGATCTTATAGGAGAGGCCAGATACGCACTCTGCCTTTTCCAAGGACATGGTGTCTTGTCCCATGCCCACTGGGATATTGAGAACCCATTGGCTTTCCGAAGCGTACAAATTGACGACAACCACATAATGGACCGATTCAAGGTTCTCGGCGTATTTAACGGGGAATTTTGTCCCTTCAAACGAACATTATCTTGCATGGTGGAAAGGAACTTGGCTGGTGGTTTTGAAACGAGATACTTTCACTTTTGCTCTGCTTACCTTACTCAAAGGTGCAGAGGACCGGGGGGGCAGGCGTATCATATCAGTGTAACGTTTTGTTGTTGTTGGGTTGGAACATGAATGACGAGCAGGTAGAGGAAGAATTTCATTTACATTCATGTGTTGGTGGCTGTGGCTGCGCGCGTACTGCATGCATATCCGCATGTTAAATGGGGCATAGGGTCTGCCCAGAGTGCGTTAGGTTGTGTATTGCGGATCTAAGCTTCCATCTCGACGACGACAACGCGAGAATTATCGTACATGGCCTTCTACCTACTTGCTAGGCATCGACGCCGTGCTAGCCCATAGAGCGAGCATACGAAGTAATTTCTGCCCCGTAATCTCTAAAGCCCTTGTCCCCCCTCGTGAAATTCCACCTAGATGTTTAGCTTGCGCTCCATCTCGTCTTGCATGCCGACGACAGCGCGTGTGTCTTCGCCGCTGTAGACGTCCTCCCAGGTGATGGTGGTGTCGCGGCCCGACAGGATCTCTTCGTGGACGCTCGCCTGGCCGCCGGTGCCGCTCCCGCCGAGCGCCATGGGCCGCCACTCGCCGTCGCGAGTAATCTTGAGCTCCATGCCACGGCGGATGGGCTCCGCCATGCCGTATGTCCGCCGCAGCGTCTCCATGCGCAGCGCGTGCCTCGTCGCCTCCCAAGCCTTCAGCCGCGCCTCTAGCGGGTGGCCTGATGCTGGCTGTCCCTCGGCGCTCGCGTGCGCTGACGGCCCGACGCCCGCGCGCAGAGTGTCGTGCAGGCCCGGCGCTGATGGCGCGGCCGCGGTCCGCTCGCTGATGTGGCTGAAGGAGGACGAGTGGTCGTCGGCGGGCACGATGCGGAGAGACTGGATTCGGGGAGGGGGCACGATTAGTTATCTTGGGTAGAGAATGGGGCGAGAAGCCAGAGGTGGTATGCTGCGGAAAGAGTGAACGCAAAGGGGGATGCGATTGCGTACCATCTTGACGGCGACGTGTGCCGAGTATGTGCTTATTAGCGGCTGGTTTGCTGTCAGGGCGGGCCCTGGGCTTTGCTCGTCGTCCTGATTCTGAAATGTAAAGCTCGATTCACTGTTGAGATGTCGCTTTTAAGTTTGCAGAAGCGGTTGGGCAGTGCGTGGTTGGAGTTGTTTGCTGGTGGTGACGATTGATTCCGGTGAAGCTCTTCCAAGGGCTAAGGCTGCCGCAGCTTCGCGTTCAACCAACCCCAGTGGCGGGGCCAGTGCGGCACTGTGGAGTGTGGACTGGCCACTCAGGTGCTGATGGCAGATGGAAGCCTGATTGCCTGAGCCTCTGGGGGCCATCGGCTAATTGAGAGCGCTTGCCGCTTGCCGCGGTCAATCCGCATTCCTCCGCGTAATTGGTCAAGCTAGCCGCTGATTTTACCTCCGGGATATTCCCCTAGTCCCCACCCAGACAAGCTGCGAGTACGGAATACGGCATAACTCTTGAAGCTGAAGGTGCCTCCATCTTATCCAATTTGGGTAGGTACCTAGGTCCTTAGGAGTTGACTCACTGTACGATGGCCAACTTTGCTCCTGCACAATGATCCTTTATGTGACCTGACCCGACTGTTGGGGATCAATTGACAAGATGCGTTCTTTCTCTGCACGTCCGCCCATAATACGCATCGCCAATGGCACTTTCTATCGCCATCACCCCAATAATGCAGTGTCCCACGGCCACCCAAACCCGCCCTTCTTCTCTAAGCTGAACTTCGAGCTCCCGTCGCAGAGCACTCCAACTAGTCCACTGCGCAACTGGTGCATCGTTGGCCCGTCGCTCTCTGGCAAGACCACCTTTCTCCAGATCCTCGCCGGCCAGCACTTGTGTTTCCCGCCGACCGCCCGCTCCTTTCCATATCTCGCGACTGATGACGTGCCACACCACCTGAGAGTGCCCAGCCGCGCCATCCAGTATGTCGGCTTCGACGCTACCGGTGCCAACGGCGGCGGTCTTGGTCCAGCTGCGTCCGCTTACCTGGCCGCACGCTACGAGTCGCGGCGCGAGAAGACAGACTTCTCGCTTCGCGACTTTCTCCTGGGAAACATGCAGCTGAACCCCTCGAGCGTCCCGGGAGAAGATGGCGTCGATGCGAAGGTTCTCGAGCGCGTTGTCGTAGACCTGCGTCTCGAGAGCTTGCTGGACCTGCCAGTGGCGTTTCTGTCGAATGGCCAGGGGAGGAGGGCGCGCATTGCACGCGCTTTGCTTACGAGGCCCGAGGTCCTGCTGCTGGACGAGCCATTTATGGGGCTGGACCCTCCGACCGTGGCCGGCCTGAGCCCGCTGCTTCATTCACTGGCGGAGAAGGCAAGCCCGCGGCTCGTGCTGAGTGCAAGGCCGCAGGACCCACTGCCCGACTGGATCACGCATCTCATTTATCTGCGGACGGACTGCCAGGTTGGCGCGATGGGCGACAAGGAGACTGTCCTGGACGGTCTTAGGAAATATGTCCGTGGCGTCTGGAACGGCCGTCTATCTGAAGACGAGACGCTACCTGTGCACGCTCTCGGTGAAATGGGCAGACAGTTAACGAAAGACGGTATTGAAGGCGAAGGGCTGGGCGAAGAGCTCCTGGGAGAATCCAATGACAATGCTCAAGTGGACGAAGTCTCCGATGTCCGGCCCGAGGCTCTGGGGGAGCCCCTGATCGAGATGAATGGCTGCAGAGTCAGATACGGCGACAAAATTGCCTTGGGGAACTGGACTGAAGAGCGAGACGGCAAACTCGCCGGCGGACTCTACTGGACTGTCCGAAGAGGCGAGAGATGGGGCGTATTTGGTCCGAATGGGTCGGGCAAAACCACCATCGTCTCCCTCCTTTCTTCTGATCATCCCCAGACGTACTCGCTTCCCATCAAGCTATTCGGTCGCAGCCGGCTGCCCGAGCCGGGATCCGGACAGCTGCCTCTCACATTCTGGGACATCCAGTCCTGCGTAGGACACTCAAGTCCTGAGGTCCACCAGCATATGCCTCGTAGTTTGACGGTGCGCCAGGTCCTTGCGAGTGCGTGGGCCGATACATTCCGGAGCAAGCCAGCGCTCGACGATAACGCGGTTGACAAGATTGAAGCTACACTGAAGTGGTTCTCGCACGAGCTCAACCCAGCAGCTGGTAGCAGCCTTAAACCGCAACCAACTTCACTCGATGGACTGGCGCATAATTCTCTTTCATGGGCAGATAACTACATGTTTGGTGAGCTGTCGTTCAGCGCCCAGCGCATCCTACTCTTCCTCCGCGCAATCATTAAACAGCAGGATATCGTCGTGTTGGATGAGGCTTTTAGCGGTATGGACGATGCCGTAAGAGACAAGTGCATGCTCTTCCTCGTGTGCGGGGAGGAGAAGATGTATGCGACCGGGCTCTCGAAGTCTGGCACCAAGAGTCACTTACCTACCGAAGCACCCGTTGTTCCAAGCCATGTAGCCAACTCAGGGGCGGTGATGGTGAAAGGTCTCTCGGACCAACAGGCGCTGATATGCATCAGCCATGTCAAGGAGGAGGTTCCGGATTGTGTGAGGGAATGGATCTGCCTCCCTGAGGCTAGCACTAGTCTGCCCGCGAGGCTGGGCCGGCTTGACGGTCCTCTGAGGACCGACTCGAAGCGGTGGAGGGAGATATGGGAAGCCAGCAAGAGCAGTTGAGCGTCAATATCCGAGGCTCTGGGCCATCATTCTGAGAAGTAAATACGAGGGAGGGCGGATATGGCATTGGCTGTACGTCTACAACAAAAGCCGAAGTACTTCATGCCGCTACAACCCAATTTTCGGACGACCGTCTCAGCTCTTTGTGGAGATGCGATACTAAGAACACCTTGAAGACCACCAATATTGAATGAGTGACGATTGGTTCCCGTCCCCCGCAACTGACCACTGCCATTCACCTGATTGGATCTGTTGATGCACCCACCCTTGGAGGAGCTGAATGTCTCGATTTGGTGCGTACGGAAACCACACCAATTGTAATTTACCAAATAGTACTGACGTTTGCCGATGTTCTCCACCAGCATTGGAGAAAACCTCCCGTAATCTTGGTATTATTACGGTCAATAGTCTGTGTTGGATGTCGAAATTCATGAGGCTGGCAGCAAGTGGCCACCTCGCCCGCCTAGCTTGGAACACTAGACCTAGCTACCCACCTCTCAACCCAGCCCGACGGAGCTCGAAACGTGGAAGTTTGAAGGCATGGATCCTGCATCAATTGTCGGTCTTGTACTGTCGCTCTCGGGCTTTTGTGCCAAGGCAGTTTCAGGCATCAACTCCCTCAAGGACAAGTGGGTGGGATCGAACTTAAGCCTTGCCTCACTGGCCACAGAATGTGCCACACTCGGAGCTACGCTCAGTGTCCTTCTCAACATGCTACAAACCAGTCTGCAGAGGTTCGTCATTTTCTCACAATTACGTCTGTCCGCCTTTCGCCCAGGTGCTGAAACGTATTTCGCAGAAAGACTCTTGTCGAGATGGAGAAGATGATGAGAAAGCACCAGCGCCAGGCTCGGCTAGTCTACGCGGCATCCAAGAAATCCTAGAGCAAGCGCAATAATGGCGCCCGAGTGCCTAGGACCTTACGGGAAGCCGAGCCCGTTCTAAACGCCGACTATCTGTAGCGTCCCGTTTGCCTTCGACAACGTGGCGGTAAATTCTGCTGCATATCGAAACGCCATGGATAGGGCCCTCCGATATCGCAAACAAGACACCATGTCAGATCTCTTTGCTGCAGTGCAGAACGTGGACTTGGAGGCGGCGTCACTTCTGCTCCGGCAGGAAGAAAATGCAAATCAGACTTACGGCACCGGCATGACGCTACTACAGCGGTGCGTCTCGATACCCGGACACGACTCGGCCCGTCTTGTCTTGATGCTCGTTCTACATGGGGCAGATGTTAGTGTACATCACCCATAAGAAGACAGGCACCATAGAACGTCTAGTTTAACATGGGGTTGACTTGGTCGCTGAGCTGCTGCACTCGGCCGAGGCTGATGAGACGGGCGACGAACTTGGGCAACTCGCCGAAACTATTCCACCCGACACGCAATTCCCAAGGGCTTACAGCGGCGTTAACGGCTGTGGAGAAGACCATGCACAAAGCCCTGCGAGTTCTACTTGGTAAAGGGGCTTCTTCCATTCTCAAAGACAGCAGCGGGAGGTCGCCACTCATGTGGACTGCTCATCTAGCCAGTGGCGAGGCGGTAAGACCTGCATATCCTCCTGGCCGGCAGTTTCACCAAGCGAAGTTCTTAAGCTAGTCAACATATTCATAATATCGGATATTCTGTCGGCCTTCCAGGGGTAGTTCCTGTCGATGATTGGAAGTGCCTTGACTAAGGATTCCGTCGACCATGATTCCGACATGCTGTTGAAAGAGCTGACTATAATTACAAGAGGATTCATCAGGTATTATGGCACCGTTACTACGTTATGGCGATGCTGGGCCTGGTGACTGTCAGCTCTTTTTCGCACAGATCGCAGCTGAAGGGCGCCGTAACCATGTTCTGGACTTCCTGCTCGACAACACGTCTCGTGGAATAGACGATGCCGAGGAGAGGCTAAGCACTCAACTGATGTGGGCAGCCTCTGTCGGTATACTTGAAGTCGTGGAATACCTACTGGAAAAGGGGGCCAATCCGTTTGACTGTACATGGCTACATGCCATCAAGACCGTTCACCACTTTGGGCCATCGTCTCCTCCGGCCGCGAGGACGTAACCAAGATGTTACTAGCCTGGTCGGACGTCCTCACCGATCCTCAGGGCAACGATATAATTCACCATATGATGGAGCACCAAATTCCATAGGATTAGTAAGCTGCAGACACGAACACTTGATCAAGTTATTTCTATGAGACCGCATAGCTCGTGCCAAATACACTGAGAATGGCTTGCTTTCCCTTTTCACCGTGGCTGCGACAACCAGCGGGCCGGCCATGGTGAAAGAGATGCTCGACACAGGCTTTGTTTACCCCATGTAAAGACTCGACTGGCACACGCCCATAGGCCTGGAGGCGGTGGCCTGTTGGATGCGGGACGACACAGCGCTTTTCTTGAGCAGGACCCTCAGGGAGAGCTATCGCCATTCAGCTTTTTTGGACCGCGGCATTTGGCAGTGATGGCAAATAACCTCCCACTAATTGGCCCTCTCCTCTGCGATGGCCGGTTTGATGTCAACAACGGCGCAGAGATCGACCCATTATCTATTCGTAAGCACCCGATTGGGCCCTTGCTCAGCACCTCGAAACTCCCACCTGCCTGGCCGCTCTCGGCGGCTTCCTGCCCATTGTTGGGTACCTGATTGGCCTGAAGGGGGCCGTCCTGAACCTGAACCTCGGCGCTGAGAATACTACCTATATTCCATTATCTCTTGCCGCCCTCCGCAGTCATTTCAGCGTCGTCGAGTACTTGTTGGTTTGCGGAGCAATTATTTCTTATGAACTCACTATTAATGAGTCATTCATCGGAAAGGACACGATGTCCCTACTGAAAGAGGAGGGCGAAAATTGGGGGCGAGAACATCCCCCGTGGTCGCTGTCGCCGCCCACGCCGCCCAAGAAAAAATATACCAGCCAGAAGATCAGCAACTTCTTTCGTCGATGAACGGCGCATCCATTGAGACTGCTTACTTTCTTGCGCCTTTTACGTTCAAGACACGTTATGCTAATTGGCTTTGTCGCCTCGAGGTCTGTTGTCCGGGAAGCCCAACAACCATGATAAACTTGAAGGCATCATCACTAACTAACCTCCCATGTAGGACCCGTCATATGTCATGTACGCCCTCTAGGCCCTCGAAATTCAAACAATGAAGTAAATCTGGCTTTGCTCAAGCACGGCAGACCTTTTGATCGCCTTGTTTGTTGCACGCACACGGCTACATTTTCAGACCGTCCCAGCACCGGCATGCGAGTCAAAGATACCTAGGCAGCAATGGCCTATATCACCGCTTTTGAGAAGTGCAATACTACCGCCTATGTACTGCGATCCACATATGTCATGATTGCCATTTTGTGGGGTGAGCCCAGGCGGCGAGATTAGCCGCGACGGAAAATGAGCCGAGTGACAGGTCGGGGAAGAGGTAGCACTACATCTTCCATTGTGGTAATTACATTAATGCTCCGCGTTTGACCATAGGCCGTTCGACCCCACCTGCGGAATCTGTAATACCGCTCCCGCAGCACGGCTCAGCGTGCAGCTGAAGACGTGATGCTCTCCAAAAACGACAGAGAGACCCATGGACGGTCGAGATTGCGATTTTGGGGTCACGGCGCCCACTTCCCGTGCCGGTGCGGAGTGGGAGTATATTTCCTTGGCTAATGGATGGAAGCTTCTTTGCAACGTGTGATCTAAATGAATATCCAGTCAAAGCTTTCCCGCCAAGAAACTCAGCCGGAGCTCAGCAGAATAGCCAAGACGAGGCGAGCAGGGCCAAGGCAAGGCGGGCTGGGTACTCACTTGGGGGGACGAAGAACCGGCTTTCCTAAAGCTAACATGCACGTTTCCCACCAGGAGACAAAACAGACAGGACTCAATGAATCTAGAAGTGGAAAGGTTCACATAGATCACGGGCATATCGAAGCTAATATATTAGACGACGAACACCACGGAGGCGGGATTGGGACTTCCGCTTAGATGAAGTGTTCCCATCCCCGTCATCCATTCTTCTTCTGCCTCGGAAAGGTGATCCGAGCCAAATACCCAACTGTCGGGTAGGTGGGTGTGTAGACCATCAACTTTCAATAACCGCTCCACGTTCACCTTTACAGCACGGTATCCTCTCAATCAAATATAGCGCAGCATGTATAAAGCCGAAGAGACATTCCCCAAGCTTGCCATTGTCCTTCAAGTCTGCCGGCAGCCCATCCTCTAGTTCACGCAAGTTCCGCTTTGGCGGCCTTGGATAATTCTCTTGACCAGCCTGAGAGATCAGACGACTAGTCGTATAACAGACCATGGTTTGGTCCTCGGTACTTATTCTTTATGCCTCGGCGGCTGCCGGGGCACTCGCGGCTCCCTTCATCGGGCCCGCAGCGCCGCTGCCACAGCTAGGAAATATTCTAGCCACGCCCGCCTCTTCGGCCGAGCAGTCGACGCCGACTGGTACGGGCACCGACAATGGCTTCTTCTACTCCTTCTGGAGTGATGGCGGCGGCCAGGTGACGTACAACAACAAGCCAGGTGGCGAGTACAGCGTTTCGTGGAGCGGCGGCAACGGCAACTTTGTCGCCGGCAAGGGCTGGAACCCAGGGGGTGCCAAGTAAGATAACCAGCCCACGCTAACCCCCAACCTGGCGGTCTGGTTGAGTGAGCTACCTAGACTGACGCATGCTCAGGACCGTCGTCTACAACGGCACATGGTCGACGCCGGGTAACGCGTACCTCTCGCTCTACGGCTGGACTACGGACCCGCTAGTCGAGTACTATATCACGGAGAACTACGGCAACTACAACCCCAGCTCGGGCTTGGCCAAGAAAGGCACCGTGACCAGCGACGGCGGTACGTACGACATTTACCAAACCAAGCGCGTGAACCAGCCTTCAATCCAGGGGACGGCCACATTCGACCAGTTTTGGTCCGTCCGCCAAAGTAAGCATACCGGAGGCACCGTAACCACGGGCAACCACTTTGCCGCTTGGCAGAAGGTCAACATGAAGATGGGCACCCCAGATTACATGATTTTGGCAACCGAGGGTTACCACAGCAGCGGCTCTGCAGACATCATCGTCGGGGAGAAGTAGGGTTGACCACGGCGACTGCCCGCTGCATATCTTCTCCTCCAACCTCCCCACCACGCGGTTATGAACCTGTTTGCACCCTTAACCTTCCACATACGACCATAGGCACTGGAAAACTCGGGATCCCGTCCGCTCTCCCCTAGATAACCCAGCGACCGCCAGACTAGTAGTTGGGTCGGTGACGACCAGCGAATCCTTGGTGTTGTATGTTTCTTTTTTTATTTTTTATTAAAAATTTTTTAAATTTCTTTTTGCCGTTCACAAGTTGCTATATTGATTGCGTTTTGACACCGAGACTATTTTCAACGCCCCATTGAGAGAGGACTTCATCTGTTCGCATCCAACTACTCGATCTTCAAAATCGCATTGCTTTTGTTCACTTTACAGCATGACTTCATGTGATTACTCTGCAGCCCGCACCTTGAGCATGATATATTAATATAAGCATTATCTCGTTATCTCGAGATAAGAAGGCCTCGGGTAGGCGACACGGGATTCGCCGGACGAAGAGGGTGGGACAGTTTCTCACTGCTCCAAGTAAATAAAAATAACCTGATGCGGTCTAAAGGCTGCTTAACAGACGGGCTATGGGCAACCTCGGGAGCGTTCTAGGCCGTAACGGGAGAATCTTCCTTGGAATGAATGGGCCAGTCAGGGGAAGCGCCGGATTTTATCGGTTCCAGGCTCATTGCACCCAGTCGAGAAGCTTCTGAGGGATTAGTGGAGGCAGCTAGGTAGTATGGCTGCTACCCTAGGCTGACGTTTTTAGCCGGAGGGTGCCGACTGCAAGCACGATACGCCCTGCCAAGTTGCCAAGTGTGGTCACGGTGGCCACCATCTTTCTGGCGGTCGGCGGCCTTTTCTTCTCTGTCTTTGTTCGGCAGCCTTTTGCCGTCTCTCGACATGGCGTGCTGTGCGTGAGGGACAGCCCAGGGCATGAATCGGCGATCGCGGAGGCGGCAGTGTTAGACATTACGACCACCTCGACCACCTGTCCGGGACTCTCAACGTTTTTGACCCCCGCACAGTGCTTACCGGACTGAGAAAGAATTGCAACAAAAATGACAGCGGCATAATAATCAGTGCAGAGTGTCGGGCGAGACGCCAAAGAAGAAAAGAAATGAGCGGGGACATTGCAGAAATGTGGCAGCGCCACCTCGTCGCGGCCGGAGATGACGCGTCGGCGACTAGCGTGCGCGTGATGCCTTCGGTAAACTACAGCTTGGACGCCGATGAGACAGGCGCGAGCATCAGACGGACTACACTGGATGGGACTCAGTGGGACGAGAAGATGAATTCCGTCGTCGATGCCCTACAAGACATGATAGCGTCAGTCCACAGCGGCCCGAGACGGAGGATTCGGATCCTGAGGGAGGGAAATGATATCTCGAGCTGACTAGACAGACACAGACAAAGCCCCAACACGCCAGACACACACAGCCCGGAGGCGCCGTGGTTTACTGACAGAGAGGGGTACACGGAGACGGCGCTGTCGTCTCCGCAGAACTCGAGCTGGTCGAGGACAATTGCGCCGCCAAAGAAGCAGAGACCAGCATCGTTATCGTTTCGCGGGGTCGATGACGGACCAACTCATAGCACCAAGGCCGATTTCAACAGTGGGAGCGCCCGTGACTGTCGCATTGAAAAGGGGAAGGGAAAGGGAAAGGGGCGAGGGGTAGGCCTCTCGGACGACACCAAATCCAATAACAATTACACACTCGACCCGGAACCGTTTAGCGACTGGTACCGAGACCACGCCATGTCGATGTCTCGGACGACGCAGCAGAAGCTGATACTGACAAGCCAAGACAAGGGATACTACACGATGCCGGCAGCGCCCGAGACGGCAACGGCCATCTACAGCGACCGGCGGCGCGGCGGCGCGGAACAGAAGGCGACGCCTCCACCAGACGAGGTGCACGTACTGGTGCTGACGTGGGCCAAGCACGACCGACGCGGCGACGACGGGCAGCTGCTCTCACCGGGGCTCGACACGGACACGGACACGGTGCGGGCGTGCTTCAAGCACCGCGGGTACCGCGTACAGTGCCGCCTCATCCCCGACGACTACCCCACGGCCGCCGTTGAAACCATGCTCGACCGCTTTCTGAGCAGCTCGTCGCCTTCAACCCTGCTCGTCATCTACTACCACGGCTTTGGTAGCATGGAGAGAGACCGCATGGTGTTTTCGAGGTGAGCTGCCGAGCCTGGGGGTTCGGATTTAATTACACACCCCTAGAAAAGAAAAACAGAATAATTGCTGATTTCTTTTTTTTGTCTTGCTCTTTCGTGCAAAAGCCGTCCCGGAGGCAGCTTCTTCTACTGGGACGATGTGCGCGACCCCATCATGCAGGCGCCGGGCGACGTGCTGCTCGTGCTCGACTGCTCGGCGGTGGCGGTGACGGTGGTGGGCTCCGGGCAGCAGCAGCAGCAGCAGCCCGAGGTGCGCGTGGAGACGGGATTGGCATGGTCGCCGTCGACCAAGCAGGTGCTCGGGGTGTGCGCCCTGGTGGACGACGGCAAGGGTACTAGTACCGGTAGTAGTAGTGTGGCGGCCAAGGACTTTATGACGCAGGCGCTCTGCCGCACGCTGGACAGGTTCCAAGATGGCGGCGCCCAGACGCTGTCGGTGCAGAACCTGTGCTCGTACATGCGCGAGGACCTGCGACAGACGGAGACAGAGACGGAGACAGGCACGGACACGGAGACGGAGACGGACACGGTCGCGGACACGGATCTGGCCACGAGGGTCTTCGTCACGCAACTCGGCGGCGGCCAGCTGCTGGACATTTATCTACCACGGTTGTAGGAGTACCCGTAATAGTAGTCTCGTCCTTTTTAAGAGATGTCTAATTAACTCTAATTAGTGCCTAGTTCTAGGTAATTATAAAAGAGAAAATAATTCAAAATGCAATAATAAGTGCGAACAACAAATTACGAATACTTTACACGGATGTATGTATTGTATGTGCATAAATTTCCGGGTTAGGGTCGCGGGCAGCGGGACGGCGGCGCGTACGTATCTCCACATTCTAATTTTAAAGCAGTCACCTGCTGCGTCCTTCGAACCTCAGCTTCGCACAATCGAACCGAATCGCATTGGAGCTCTCTCACCCCGTGGCACCACCACCACCACGACAACTACATCGGTCATGAACGCAGCAGTTCGTGCAAAACGGGGCTCTCCGGTATTAGGGAATTCCGCAACATTAAACGGGGCCATCTACATTCTGGGCGTCGGCAACTTGGGCAAGCTGGTGGCGCATTCTCTGGCCAGACGCGAGGCGGCCGCGCCCGTGACGCTGCTCTTTCACCGACCCGGCCTGCTCGCCGACTGGGAAGCCAGTGGCCGCGCTATTAAGTGCACCACAGACGGAGTCGTCGACACCAGGCGCAATTTTTCTGTCGAGCTGCTCCCTAACGGCTACGGCACTCGGACTGGGCGCGAGAGCGGGAGCGGGAGCGGGAGCGGGAGCGACAGCGAGACACAACACCGCCCGCCGCCAATCCACTACCTCGTCGTCACCACCAAGGCATACTCGACCCTCGCCGCCCTCGAACTCGTCAAGGACCGCATCGACCGCAACTCCACCATTCTATTCCTCCAAAATGGAATCGGTGAGCTGCCAATCACCCCCATCCCATCAGTCCATTATTAATTCAATCAAATATCAATTATCCCGCCCACCACAATGCTGACCCATCCCAACAGGAACAACCAAGGAAGTTTCAGACAATCTTTTCGTCGTACCTAACACCCGCCCAACCTACTTGGCCGGTATTTGCAGCGCCGGCGTCTATAGCAGCGGTCCATTTAGCATTGTCCATGCCGGCCGGGGGCCGCTGGCTGTAGGCCTCCACCCGAAGCCAGTAAACCCCCGGAAACAGGTCCACCCTGAGAGTCTCAGTCGCGCCTCCTATATGTCCCACAACCACCTCGTGCAACAGCTCGTGTATGCTGACGCCCTCGACGCCGCCATCCTATCGCCCGCCTCGCTTCGAGAAGCACAGTTGCGAAAGCTTGTTGTCAATTCCATAATCAACCCGTTGACCGCCATCTTCAACTGCAAGAATGGTGAGCTGTTTGCCGACCCGAAAAACGTGGCCCTCATGTCGATACTCGTCCGCGAGACCTCAGCAATCGTGCGTGCCCTGCTTCCTCAGAAGTCCCATCCAGCCATCATGGACACTTTCACAAACAAGTACCTTGAAGAACTTGTCCTCTCCGTGGCAGAAAAGACGGGCGGAAATACCAGCTCAATGCTGCAAGACGTGCGAGCCGGCAGAAGGACCGAGATCGACTACATGAACGGTTACCTGGTTGAGAGTGCAGGGAGACTGAATCTGCCATGCGAACACAACGCCGCCATTGTCAGGCAAGTCAGGCAACTCGCGACCGTTTGATGCCACAATTTCTCAGCACTGTAGTGGCCATCGTAGCACCCTCCTGTAGCTCATCGCCAACTGTTATGGCAGACGCCGCTTTTTGTATGGTAAAACCCCCAGATTTCAATTCATCCACCCAACACCGGCCGCGCACAAGGAAGCCGCGCAAAGTCGAAATGTCACTATTCATACCTCGACATAATATCGACAATCTCAATGCAGCAGAGATAAATCACTATATTTATAAATCAACGGGCTACATAACTCACCGGGTCGCTGGATTGTATTCAATATGAAGTCAAGCTCCAAGCAATTATTGTACCTGATTATCGGCGGCTGCCCAGTCCCCACTTGAGGGTGTCATGACAATTACTCAGGAGGCGCCGATAAAAGCTTGGAGGATGTCAGGTATATAACTAGGTCTTGAGTGCGCCCACAGTTACTCTGATGATTATTCCCTCCGCATCCAACTCCACATACGACACGGCCTCAAACAAGACACCATTGCCCAGCCATTCGAATACAACGTTTCTTGTAGAATGGTCCCAAGTCTACCAACATCAAAGAAGCCATGGCCGGAACCAGCGGGTTGTTAGGAATAGTCAACTTGACGTTAGATATGGCGAAAATGAAGTTGAAAGAAGCAGATGCAAAGATCGCCGTGCAAAACCTCTACGATATCGCAAGAAGCATTTCCGGATTGCCCGCAGACGCTACTATGGTACAGATGGCCAACCAATGCTCTGGGCTGTATGGAGATAAGAATCCATATTTTGCACGCCAGATGGATGTTCAATCATTATTCCTTGCCAATGGGATGACTTATGAGAACAAGGAAAAGGCGAGAAAATATCTCAGGGAGCCTTACCCAGGGAGCGTTAGTAGAGAGACCTCAGAGCCAGGAAAAATGGAAACCGCGCTTTCTTTGGTCTGCAGTCTTGTGCGCTGCGTTGCAGCGAAGCGCCTCAACCCTCCAAAGCCCACATGTAAGGAAAGAGCCCCCAACCCACACACACGGCCAACTCACACGCGTACCGCGTACCGAGCGGGCCAAGACCTCACTCCTTTGTCAATGGCCCGCCCTGCACTCTGTCATGTATATAAGCAGCGGCCCTCGCCCCTTCCTTTGCGAGGGCCAGGTTGAAGTCTCTTACCAATATCAGTCATTGCTCACTCTCTTCGGTACCTTCATTGTGACCACCTTGATCAGGCGTACCTGCCCTCACTTACATCACACTAGAAGGAATTGCCCTCACATCTAAAGTTTTCCTTGACAAGGTTACGAAAGCTATTAGCACTACGAAGAAGACGCAAGAAGATGAGGCTTTCAAGGGTTTCGCAAGGGCCTTAAATAAGGCGGCTCAACTCCTCACAATGGGCGATTAAGATCAGCAGGTCTACAAGAGCAAGTTCGCGAGGGGTGGGACAAACATGTGGAACATAAGGGCAATGTGGCTACTAATACAATGCGTCTCGAGGCGGAAGCGGCTTCTAGCTAGTCCTAGGGAAAAAAACCGAAGCAAGGTGCGGTGCAGCTTGGGGGCGGTAACTGAGTTTAAATTACTTATATTCTGGTTCCAGGGAATTGGAACCAAACTACAATCTAGCTTATGGAAAATAGAGACAAATCGCGAGTCGGTTAAAGTGATAGATACCTAGGTAGAAATGGAGTTTAGCATAGATTATAGATTTAATGTCTTCAAGCTACTAGATTTCGGACTAGTTTAAGTCTTTATATACCTCATTGGGTTTTAAAATCCATTATATTGGGTGTCTAAGGAAAGCCCTAGAAGCATGTGCAAACTTTAACCATAGTTCTATTTGCGTTACCGCATCCCACTAATGACAAGTAGGCCTGCTGGCTCAATGGTAGAGCGTCTGACTACGAATCAGGAGGTTCCAGGTTCGAGACCTGGGTGGGTCGAGTTATTTTTTTGCCTTCATTTCTTTGTCCATTACGGCCGCGGCAACAGGGATCTGGGCAATTTGTTTGGGATTTTTTCCCCCCCCAACCCTCCACTTTTACTGCGCCTCACCACTGGTTGAAATTTGCCCCACCGCATGCATCTTCATAGCGCACTATCCATCAACTGACACCCTATCTAGGTAGTTTGATAATCACAATCACGTGCGACAACGGCTTCTTGGCTAAAGAGGGCGGACTATGGTGGCGAAGGGGTTCTCTAGCGCACTTGAAAGGCCGCAAAGAATGTGTCACAAGGTAGATAAAATGTGGTACAATCAATTTGATCGCGAGGAAGGCCGACATAACTAGCAATCAAGACAAGACCGTGGAGGAGATGATATCTAACTAGGTACAAAAGGTCAATTTATTTTCTTATTAAGTGAAGTGGGCTGCTAAACAGGGAGCTACAATAGCTTGTCAACAATCTTTTATTATTTTCTTCTGAGTTGCATTCTTTACCTGCCAAGTAATAGGTAGTCCAATATCATTCTTATACATTTTAGAAGGCTGAGATTAACGAGACACGGTTGTAATATGATGTCAAACAGCCCGAAACGTCGTCGTACGAGGGGGTGACGCTTGTTTTGAAACAGCAATTTCATCTTTGGTAGATGATAGCGGAAAATGACTCCTCGGTACCCCATGCAGGTAGTGTTACAGCGCCGAGCAGATAGGGACGCGACGTCGGCCGTCGACCGCTGAGTATCACTACCTCGAACGGGCATGCAACGGCCTGCCACTTCCTTACAGGTAGGTACTCGGGACGATTCAGAAGTCGCATAACAACACTGCTCGTCTCGTTTGCCCACGCTAACTAAGCTCTAAAAGGAACTGTCGCACAAAAGACTCGGGTCTCGGGGTGGAATCGCCGCTCGTGATGTGGACGTCTGGTGTTCAGAAAGTGTTTTGGTATCTATCAATATCAATCGTGACAAAGTTTGTTACCTCGATGATGCTCGGCTCCGCGGTTTGAACGAGGACTCAGACAGCCGACACGACGCCCGTCATCTTTCATCTGGACACAAGAAACATGTGAAACCTAGGAGGCCACTGTGCACTTGTGCCGACGGCCGTATGTCGTGCCGTCGTACCAACCGCATTCTACTTAACATATACTTGGCAGTGAGCAGCCGTGTCTTGACGAGCATTCTCGCGTCGACAACAGGAAGAGAGAGTCGGCCGTGCAGATCTGAACCACCCGCGTTTTGGCCAACCAACCAACCAACCAACCAACCTTTACTTTCGGAAGAGGAAACCAAATAAATTTCGATTACCTTAGTCGCCATGGCTTCTATTGGCAGCCGCATTATTCTTCTTTTTCTGGCCTGCTGCCACCTTGCGAGCGCGAAGACGATCCCGATCAAAGCTGTCGGCCTGAAATTCGACCCCGAGCTCGTCAGCGCCGCCGTCGGCGATATCCTCGAGTTCCACTTCTTCCCGATCAACCACAGCGTGGTGATGGGTGACTTCAATAGCCCGTGCGTGCCGGTCAAGACCGGCGGCTTCTTCTCGGGGTTCCTGTATGTGGCATCTGGGGAGAGCGTAAGTCACTGGCCGCACGTCTGACACGAGTCGATACCCGAGTACCAAATTTGCTAACCATTAAGGAAACTAATCCCCCACGGTAGCCAGACATATTTCGCGTCACGGTCAACAACACCGATCCCATGGTCTACTACTGCTCGCAAAACCTGCACCAGCACTGCACCAACGGCATGGTGGGCGTCGTCAACACGAACAACGCGACTCTGCAGATGTACAAGGCGGGTGCGCGCGGGATCGAGACAGCCGTGTCGCCGGCCCAAGTCTTTGGCGGCGACCTGATTGCGAGTGGGCAAGCGGAAACGTTGTCGACAACGGCGACCATGACGGGAACGTTGATTTCAACGGCGACGGGGATGTTAATTTCAACGGCGACGGCGACCACAACGATTGCCACTGGGTCTGAGATGACGACGGCCGACTGCACATCAATGTCCCATACCCCCCATACCCCCCATACCCCCCAGGCGTCACAGGTGCCCCAGGTGCCTCAGGGGGGCAGCAACGTCACGACGGTGCCAACCTCTGACGCATCCATCGACGCCATGGGGATCAGTGCTGCCGTCGCTGGCGTGCTTGCTCTGGGATTGGCGTGGCTGATGGCTTGAGGTTCTGCAATAGTTGCCAAACCCAAGCTAAAACGGGCATATTAATTAATGGTCGGAGGGATTTATCACGTCTAGAATAGGTGCAATACGGATACTCAAGGTCGGATCTGACAACCCTCTTGATCTTTTAATTAAAGCCAATTAATCGATTGTTTGGAACAAATGATCAGGGCCAAGCCTTTCTGCACATGCTCTAGTTTGGTGCTAACAATGCTGCAGCCTAAGCAACTTACTTTTCTTACTGTATCCTTATTAAATATCGAGATGCGTCGGAATGGCCAAGAATGCTGAGCCGGCGAGGTAGGATCCTCGGAACTGGGGCTGTGCTTACGGGTCCATAACTCTGTAGTTAGTTCTGGAAGGCCAGCGCGGCGACGCACGCTACGCCTCCAATTCCCCGCTTCCCGTATTTCTCATCAAAGCCTGCCTCCTCAGCAAAGCCCACTCGGTCTCAAAGGTGGTCGATTGATCACCATGGCGCTCGATCTGGGGACTATACTCACCGCCATCGAGGTGGTGCAGCGAGCGATTGCCATCTACCACCGCGTCGATGAACTGCCGAGCCAAATGAAACATCTCGGCCAGCGCATGGAGAGGATGAATCTGTTCCTGGTCCGCTTCGAGGCTTTTGTCACGAACAAGCCCGACACGGCCTACGCAGCCCTCTTTTCAGGCCAGAAAGACGAGCTCGCCGGAGTGCTCGAGAGCATCAACGGCCACGCGGCCACGGCGCACGACCTGTTTGACCGCTACGAGAAGGGCATCCTGTCCCGCACCCACGACCTGCAGTTCCGCATCAAGTGGGCCACGCAGCTCTGGTTCGCCCTCGTCGACAGCACCCCGGAAAAGATCCAGGCTGTCATGGACGATATTGAATTCGACAGGGTCCTGCTCAGCGACTACCTGAGCCTCATGAACGCCCAGGGCGTGGAAATTCTCGTCAACAACGCCAAGCCGCAGCCCCAAACCGGTGACGATGCGGGCGCCGACAAGGATAAGACTAAAAACAACAAGGAGAAAAAACACGACAGCAAAAAGGGCAAGAAGGGCGCCAATGCAAGCAAGGACAATGAAAAACAGCCGACAAGCCCCCTGGCAGTGGCGTCCAAACGGCCGCCGCCGTCACCGTCACCATCGCCGTCGCCCATGCCGCCGCGTAGAGACTACAAGATTCTCTTTGTAGACCCGTACAACTTGGGCCGCAGTGTCGTCGCCGAAGCCCTGATGAAGCTCCTCGGGCAGCTGACGCTCAGAGCCAACGGCAGCTGGCGCATCTCGGAGATCCACTCGGCCGGCTTCTTCACCAAGAACCAGAGCAACTGCGTCGACGTCATCGAGGGTCTCGACTACAGCTACGAGTCGTTCAACCTCGGGGTGCGCGAGAGGAACGAGGCGCCCGAGGCGGCAGCGCTGGCGGCTGTGTTCGACAACAACATGTACGAGTATCCGTTCAAGAAGACGATCCGCGACGCGCTGGCCGGCCGGTCGGCGCACGGCCTGCGGCAGGACATGTTCAGGCACTACGACTTCATCATCGTCTTCACCAGCCGCGAGCACGACAACGTCATCAAGCTCAAGGAGGCTCTGCACCGGAGCGGCGGCGCGAACCTCGGCCAGCTCCCGCGCGGCAAGGGGCGCGTGCTGCACCTAGGTGCTTTTGTAGCCCGCGACGGTGGCCGCCCCCGCGAGATTACGACGCCGCCAAAGAATCCCGACAGCGCTGCGTTCCGGCACGACTGGAATGTCAAAGTGGCCCAGATCAAGACGGCCATCAAGAGATTTCTGAAGCAAGAGATGGCATGGCAGCGGCCCGAGAAGAAGGCACTGTAACTGGCGGCAGGCCCGGTGAACACGGCCCCGGGTGTTGGGTAGTTGGGGGGGCAGGCGAATCCATCGATCTAGTCACATTGTCTTGGAGAGTTGTGTCAAGACTGGCGAAGACGGGGTTGAAATAAATATAAAAAGAAATAAAACACAAAGATACGTACGGAACTTGAAGAACTCAAGGTTGGAGGGTTAGGGTTAGGCGACTTGGTTGCAACTCAACCTTGGCAAAGGGAAGGGCAGCGAAACGGGGCGGATCCGGATCCCGATTCAGGACCAGATCCGCAAGCTGACGTTGTGTATTACATCATAGGCGTGTGGAATAGCTCCGGCGCAAAATCTAGAAATGAGAGCACACAACAGATGCAAAACACCAAAAGCACATGGGACACGATACAGACGAGATCCTATCCTCTTTTTTTTTTTCCTTTTCCTTTTTTTTTTCCTTTTCCTTTTTTTTTTTCCCCCTCCCTAATAGCCTTTACGAAATGAAGCCGTTTTCCGAAACTAGCACGGCGCACACGCGCTCTGCCTCTCCAGCAGGAGCTCCGAGCCTGCCGTTTACGCTGAAATGGCGATATCTCATCTTCCTGGCGGCCGCAGTCTACATCGGATACTACTTCCTCTTTTCAAAGCCCATCTTCGCGCACCCCCTGCCCAAGCACACAGGGCTGTATGCCGTGGGCGCCGTCGACATCGAAGCGCCCGTCGAGCTAGCGCGCACCATTGACCCGGCGCGGTTCAAGGGATGCCGCAACAAGGCATTTGAGCTGCAGACGGTCCTGTTCACCCTGTACTACCCATCCGCCCACGGCACCGGCACCGGCACCGGCTCCAGCTCCGCAAAGCGACACCCGTGGATCCCCAAGCCCCTTCGCCTCCGGGCCAAGGGCTACGCCAAGGCCGCCCACATCAGCAACTGGCTCACCGATGCCGTCTTCGCCGGTGCCATTCGCGCTCTGGTCGGCAGCATCACCATCCCAGCAGCTGTCGACGCTCCCTTGAGCGACCGCGCGTCGCGAGACGAGAAGTTCGCCACGTCCTGGGACAAGGACGAGACCCACCAGCAGGTCCTGGAGAGCGACGCCAGCGGCCACCCCGTCATCATCTTCTCGCACGGTACCGTGTCGAGCCGGACCGACTACTCGCACTACGCTGGCGAGCTTGCCGCCAGGGGCTACGTCGTCGTCATGCTCGAGCACCGCGACGGCTCCGGCCCCGGCTCGCTCGTCATGAGCAAGGGCCGGCCCAGCCAGACCCGCCTCATCTTTGACCAGTCCGAGGTCGAGACGGTCGGCGGCAGCGACGTGACCGCCGACGACTTCCACAAGGCCCAGCTCGCCTTCCGCGAGGCCGAGATCGAAGAGGCCGTGCGCGTCGTGACCATGATCAATTCCGGACACGGCGCCGCCGTCTTCAGCCAGAACCCCCGCGGCGAGGGCTCTGGGCTGGCCGACTGGGCCGGCCGCCTCAACACCGACGAGATGGTCATGGTCGGCCACAGCTACGGCGCCACCGGGGCTCTGCAGGCGCTGCGCGGCGGGCGCCACAACAAGAAGCGGCCGTTCAAGGGCGCCATCATCCTCGACCCGGGCAAGCAGAGCGGCCCGCTGAACCGGGACATTGACGTGCCCGTGCTGGTCGTGCACAGCAACTCGTGGAGCAGCCACAGCAGCCTGTTCTACGGCGGGCGCGCCCACTTCGACACGGTCAAGGACATAGTCGAGGCCAACAACGCGCGCGGCAACCCGTCGTGGTTCATGACGTCGCTCGGCACCTCGCACCCCTCGGTCACCGACGCGCCCCTGCTCGAGCCCTTCCTGCTGAGCTTCACCACGGGCGCCACCATCGACGTCTACCAGGGACTGCGCCAGTACGTGCACGTCGCCGAGGACTTCCTGGCCTTCCTGGGTGACGGCAAGCCCCGCGGCTTGCTCGCCGAAAAGGCCGAATTCCCCCAGTACGATCCCGGCACCGGCCTGGGCCTGTGGAAGCCGGGACAGGGCGACGACCAGAAGGCGTGGGAGGAGAAGGGCGAGTGGTGGGATTGGCGGAGTTACTGGCAGCTACACGTCTCCCCTGTCGGTTCGGACTGAGCAACGAGCATTGATTAGGCGGTTGCATGTATAGGTAGTAGGGAATACCAAGCAAAACTTTGATATTCGCCGTAGCTGGTACTTTATATAAAAATTCAACAAAGGACAAGGAAAAGAAATAATGCCCAAACCTTTTATCAACCACTCTTTTCTTTGCCCTTGCCCGTGCCCTTGCCCGTGCCCTTGCCCGTGCCCTTGCCCTTGCCCTTGCCAGCCTTGTCCTTGTTCTTGCCCTTGCCATCACCGCCAGCGCCTGGCTTGCGCGTGGCAAACAGGTACATGGGCGTGAAGATGTCGAGCTGGCCGCCCATGGCCACGGACCGGCAGCAGTACCACATGGTGTCTATAAGCGCCAGCACCTCCCGCGGCAAGATCCCCACGAGCACCAGCAGCCGGTACACGCCGTTGACCACAAACAGAAACGCTGGCGACATGGTGAACACCTTCCAGAAGTCGCCCCATGTCGTCGCCCACCGCACGTCGCCGGCCGGCCCAAAGTACCACGGCCCCGGGTGGCTGCGGTACGCCATGTTTTCTTCGTGGAGCACCTCGAAGCCTGCGGCAGTTTGTTAATTAGGTAATTATCTACCCGTGGCAGGTAGTCCAGCAGAGTGGGAGGGGTGGGTGGCTGGGTGGGCATGTTTTGGGAACGCACCCGTCTCGGCCAGCGCGGCACGCATCTCGGCGACCCGCGGCATGCGCGTGATGCCGTTGCCGAACTCGATCCAGTTGCGCACGCCGCGGTGGTGCAGGTTGCCCTCGACAAACCTGTCCGTCATGGCCCAGTCGGTCAGCGCGAACAGCCCGCCCGGCTTGAGCACCCGCCACACCTCGCTGTAGGCCGCCGCCGGGTCCGGCGCATAGCACAGCGCCTCGAAGACGTAGACGGCGTCGAACGTGGCGTCGTCAAAGGGCAGTTTCTGGGGTTTTGGTTAACGACTCAACTAGACCCGAGTCGGACAGGGAGGGAAACAGGCTGCCAAAAACAAACCATCAGATCGCCCTGCACAAAGCTGACCAGCTCCTCGAACCCGGACTCCTTGGTCAGGGCCGTGCCGCGCTCAATGTGCCAGGCGTTGTTGCTGAGGCCGACGATATGGCAGCCCACGCGGCGGGCGAGGGTGCGCGCGGGCCCGCCAATGCCGCAGCCGATGTCGAGCACGCGCATGCCGGCGCGAAGGCCCGCTAGCCGCGCAAATTCGTGCTCGTACTCGGTCATGCTGGCGTCGATGGACAGGCCCGGCGCCATGGGCGTGTAGTGGAACCGCTGGCCCCAGCCCTGCTCGTACAGCGGGCTGACCAGGTCGTAGTAGTCCTTGGCAACTGCCGTGTACTCGCGCTGCCGCGCCTGCCGCTCCTCGTCTGTCGTGCTGCCTAGCTTGCCCCCGTCTAGATGTGCCTCGCTTGTGAAGTGCGCCATGTACCTCCTCATCCTGTCGGGCGCGTAGCCCTCTGGCACGTGGCTTGCCATTGTTTCGCTTTTCTCCAAGTAAGAAGAAGAGAAAGAGGGAGAGAGAGAGAGAGAGAGAAAGAGGGGGAGAGAGAGAGAAAGAGGGAGAGAGAGGGGGAGAGAGAGAGAAAGAGGGAGAGAGAAAGAGGAAGCGAGAGAGAGAAAGAGAGAGAGAGAGAAAGAGGGTTGGGAGTGAAACCTGAAGGACGCGAAACGGCTGAGAGCTCCAGAAGAAGGGGAGAAGGGTTGGGAAATTGTTTGCAAGATCAAGGTGTGATATTATAGTCACTAGAGAGTTAGTTGACCACGTCGCGGGCCACGAATAAAGGAAAAAGTTCCAAAAGAGTGGCAGACCCCGGACTGTATTTGTGGTTGGCTGCCGAAAAATGGCCTCATATTGTTCCCCTCGCCTTTTCTTGTCCTTCCTTAGTATTGTTCTCCTGGGCACAATTTTGCCGCCAATTCGCCTGCCCATCATCAAAGGACGCCTTTACGGCTCCTAGTGTTCTGATTGCGCACAAAAGCACCGGAACCGTCCTGCCCTTTGGAGCAAGGAGTGTCCCCGGGTCACTTTAGATACTCGGACAAAGACTTGTCAGCCGGCCCCGGTTCCCGACCAACACCAGTCCACAGTCAAAATGATCAGCAACTCTCACCCGCTGACGAATGAGCCGACCTTTCCAGTCATGATTAGAAGTAGATCCCCTTTAAGCTATTAAGCGATTCATAATCTACCCACGTATTTCCTCAGACCCGAGTTCAATTATCTGGCCTTGTATTCTCACCCGTGTAAGTCGTCGAGTCCCAATCGCCCGCTCCACCTATTCCAAGTTAAGACCTTTTCTTTGGCTGTCTATATCACATCTAAGAAACTATTTTCACCATCATTGATGGCATTTATTAATTCCATCAGGTCTTGCTCGCCCCGACTATCTCAGCATGCCGAGAAGCAACAGAAACACCATGGAATTTGGGAATATATTGATGGTGCTTCGCTAGTTGAGTCGAGGGGCACAAACCCAGGTGCTCTCATCTGGGCTTCCATTCACGGGGATTTTTGAGAGATGAGATAAAGAGGGATTAAATCACCATATCCTCAACAATCGGTGCCAAGGTGAGCGCCTATGATGGAAACTATCATTCATTATTGCCCATGGACATGGAGTAGAGACTCCCACTGTACTAGTAGGACAAAAAGGCATCATCCCCATGTCATCTAATTACACCTAAAATCACCCCAGCGCTGCCGTCGTCTGTCTAAACGGCGAGATGCAACAGATCCCAAAAAGATGAGGAGACGGGGCAAGGTGAGAAGAGGAGATGGTCATAGATTCTTTTAAACGCGAACACACCGATGTACTGGAACCCGGAACTTTTCGAACCCGACTCAATTCGTCATTGAAACGAGAAGAACAAGAACCTGACGACAAGAAAAACCTTCCAACACATGAACAATAGCAATATGAACGGCTAGGTAAGAATAAGAAAAAAAAGGTGTTTACTAGTCGCTGCGAGCTAGTCACTATGAGTCAGTCGCTGTGATGCGAATCTTCTGTTGCTGCGAGGCCAGGGATAACCCGCGTGTCCAGTCAGCCAAGACCAAGGAACCAGCGCCGGGCCATGCCGTCCATCGACGTAATTGCCCCAAGCTCTATGGCTTCACACTGTCAGATACGCATGACGCCTAGCTCGGAGATGCTCCGCTGTCGCTTGTGCATGGCGTCGGCGAAGCTCTGCGAAGCCTTTCTCTTCTGTGACAGGATGCTAGGCGAACTTCCCGGGCTGTTTCCGCCAGCAGTGCTGTCCTTTCTCTTCTGTCGACGTGCCGGTGTGATTGGTGTTGTGACCGTCTCCATGCTGCCTGTCTTGATGCCCCTGAGAGTACCGTGGTAGTACGGACCCGAGAAAGCGAGCGAGTCCTGGCTCGCCTTGTCGCTGAAGATGAGCTGTTGGTTAATCTGGTTTCGGCGGAAAGCACCGACAGCTTCAGAGTTATTACCAAAATGACTCAGCAGAGGATGGGCGTCAGCCGCCGACGTATCCGTAGCTACGCTCGTGCCGCTGGCAGCCGTCTTGGGCCGTGAAGGGCTCGAAGCTCCGTCTCCGGTCCAGTCAGGGCCCCCCCCATCTTCTTCTTCGTCAGAAGAGTCGTGGTGGAAGGTGATGAAGTCCTCAATCTTGAGCATGCTCTCTTCTTCGTCCTCCTGCGGAGCGCCAGACTCAGAAGCGTCACTATCGTCCCCCGTGATTGCGTCCGAGGTGAGAGGGAAGAAGGCCTCGGCAGGCCCAAATGGCTGCGTGTTCATAAAGTCGCCGAAAGTGTTTGACGAGAGCATTGCACCCATCATGACGTAGCCAGGATTGCTGAGAATGGGAGAGCAGGCCGACAGGTCCTGCGTGGAAAAGTCGATATTGAACGACTCGGGTGACAGGTCCAGCCGGCTCATCCTCTGCGGAGTGAAAATCATCATCTTGCGCGAGACGGGATTGAGGACAGCAATGGGCTTCTTGCCCGCCCTGTCCAAATTGAACTGGCCAACACGAGGCTTGCCGTGCCGGAAGCGTATAGGTCTCTCCGTGTCCGAGTCAGACGACACCTCGAACGTGCAGGGGCGTTTTGTCTTCTTACGGACGACGGGTTCTGGAGTGTCTTCTTCGGTTGTATCACCATCGGCTGGCAGGAGGGCATTAGCAGTGCACGCACCCATGCACGATGCAGTAAGCAAGCACACTCACTTTCATAGCCATCAAGCTCCTGTACTTCGCCAGAAGCGACAGGGGTTGACGCTTCCGTTAGAGCCTGGCTTGCCATTGGCGTCGCGATGGGAGTAGCATCGTCATATTCGTCCACTTGGGCGACATCCGAATTAGGCACATGAAGGTCTTGGGAGCTGCTGTTGAAGTCCCAGAACGACCCAGAGTTGGACGAATCGTCATCGTTCTCGATCTCGCGGCGGAAAGCAGGGTCGAGAGAGCTCTGCTCCACAAATATATCTGGGAAGAAGTCTTGAGCCTCGCCTGACGCATCGCTCGTCGTCGAGTCGCTGTCGCTATCAGGCACGCCGGTGAAACGTACGTGGCGTTCCACATTGGCGACGTCATGATCAAACATGTAGGAAGCTGGATCCGTTGACAATTCTTCGTGCTCTGACATGATGCCTTCCCAGCTCAACGACTCCAAGGTGGCGCCCTCATGCTCGTCCAGCTCGTCCTCGTCCTCTTCCTCGTCCTCGTCGTCATCGTCCTCGTCGTCCTCGTCGTCATCGTCATCGTCCTCGCCGTCATCCTCTTCCTCTTCGTCAGCATCCAGGTTTTCATCATCAAGCGACCGAGGCGGCACCGATGAGCGCTTATGCGCTTCATTGGATATTATGTGTTCCTCCTCGGCCGCAAATACATGCTCCTCATCCTCTTCGTCCGAGTCACTGACGTCCTCGAGGCCGGAATAGCCATCGTCGTCGGAAAGGTCGAGGGAGGAGGAAGAGACGGAGCCCCTTCGCTTGGTGGCCGCCTTGGCTGGCGGGGGTCGGTATTTTCGCTGAATGTTTCGGGACATAATGTGGGATATGCAGGGGTAAACTTGGAGTGTTGTAATCGGGCGGCGCTCAGGCGAAGCCACAAACGGCGGTGAACCCGAGGCCAGAAAACAGCGGCAGCTGCGTTTAGAGACTGCTTCCAATCGTATCCAAGTGGTCAGGCTCGTCTATAGAGAGACCAAACAAGACCCAATGCTGAAGCCGAGGGTCTTTTCGAGAGAGACTAGAAGCCTGGGGTGGGGGGGCGGGGAAGGGGGGGAAAGCCGGACGCGGAAAGGTGTTTGGAATCGCTTTGGGGCCTGCGGACATGGGCCAAGAGTAGAACCTGTTAATTTCAGAGGCAGACTCTCGTTCTCAGAGAATGAAGCCTCTAGACCCGCCGGGGCGCAGAGACTTGCGAGGGTGAAAGCCTGGAAAACTTCGTCGAGGGAATTGGCAGGGTTGACTATGTCGTTGAGGCTGCTGGACTACGGGCGCGCCAGGGGGAACCAGGCACGCCCGCAGTGGGCGCTTAGAGCTCAACGGTGGCCGACGGCATCTTGGGAATTCTCGACGAAGTTTGTCAATGTGATGTAAATCTCTGAATGGATAGTGCGACTTCGTTGTCTGGCGGGTTGGTTGGTTGGGTTTGGAGGGGGAAAGGAGAAGACGCCAGGCCGCCTGTGAGATCTTACGGCTTTTGCCAAACTTTTTTCTAGCGGGTGGGGGTCGGCTCCGCTACCCTCGCTTGCCTGCAATTGGAGCCGCCATTGTGGGGCGGGAGCTTCAATTGCTGGGTCTGGCAGCTGGCAGGGATTGCCGATCGCGTGCCAACCCCACACGGGCCACTTGGTTCCTTGCCTTCGTTCACTGCCCTCGGTGCCAACCAACACCTTAGTGGGTGAGGAGAAGACGGAGGACGGAGGGCTCAGGGCAGAGGCAGCGCGGAGTTGTGAGACGCCACCTTTCCTAACACGGGTTTGCTTGGGCCTGTCACCGCTCTTTTGCGACAGGAAACACACCATCGGCCATCCATTCTCTGCCGCGTCTCTCAGCGGACCGCACGGGAGCTTGGATAGCGCTTACATGATGGAAGGTTTGGATCTGGAATCTGGAGCGACGCTCCTGCTTCATCTTGCCGCCCTCGAGTTCTACCCGACCCGACTGCTGAGCTAACCGCAGGTAACACCACGTCCACTAAGTTAACTTACAGGAACCTTGCGCGTCTTCCAGAGAGGTCCCGTTATTATCGTTAGCAACCTGCCAGCTATTATTAACCTTTACGTTCCTTCCATCACCTGCCTTGGTAGGTAAGAGCACAGCTCGGTGCTTCAACCGGGCTGGCGCTTCACCTTATTATTGCGGCGTCCAAGCTGGGCGCGTACTGGTAGGCCCTGTGCTGCTCGCTTCTGTTCTCGGGTGAGGAATTTGAGGCTCCGCAAGGCCACCAACGCCCTGTCCCCGCATTTCCCCTGGATTAACCATTGCATCACCGACAGGTTAATTCCTTGTCTTCCATAAATTAGCGTACCTCCCAAAACTTGTGCCCGAGGCAAGCGCTGACTGCCAGCTGGCTTGACAGGACGGACTGTTTCTGCAGGGCCTTGATGCAGTTTTACGTGTTGATCCTGACTGGCGCCTATGTGCTTCTCCATCAGAGACCCACTAACCCGGCGTATTCACCGCCATAATGTCGTCGTGCGCATGTTTTCGCAGAGTTTTGTTTTCCCTCTTCCATCTTGCCTGGACATCTTCTCTCTCCATACAGATACCCAGCAGCAAAGCCTCGAGTCCTGGCTTAATGACTCCACGAGCAGAGCATGCAATTACAGATAAATCGGTAACTATGTACGTACCCCGTAGGCACCCACGTATCCGCCAGGAAGCACTCAAGGTTGCCGGGTAGATTTTCTAGGCCCACGGCTTTAGAGGACACCTAAATTGCCCCTGAACACTAATATGCAACCGAACCCTCCTGCCCATTTCCTCTTCACCTTTGTTGCTCCTGCCATGCTGTGACAGTGCGTCCAGGCCCTAAGGCCGTCCAACTAACTGCATTACATACAGCACTCATTCACCCAGAAAGAAAAAAAAGAGGAGTCATACGGAGACGACAGAAATAACTACCTAACTGCATGCGCCATGCGAGCCGAGACCGACAGGAGATGGAGTCTCATGACTCAATTTGCACGCAGGCAGCAAAGTGCTCCAATTGGCTGCTATCGGGTTGCTCCGTTCGAGGACCTAGGTTCTGATGCTGAACCCAGCTGCCGTCATCCTTCTGCTGCGGTCCAGCCAAGTATACCTCACGTCGACGTCCCAGACCGAGAGCCATGTTTACCCAGCTCGCTACTGTATTTGAGCGATCCATCCATGCTTTGGCTAACAGGGAAGCGATGGGCGTCAGATGCAAGGTGAGAACCCGTTCCCCACCATGGCGCCTCCTTCCGGTAGGTAACGCTGAGGAGTCCGCACTTGAGGCCTGCCGCTGCGCCGTTTGACTAATTTGCAAGTTGGAACTTCCCCCTTTCAAAGAAAAATCGGCCAACCTACCTTAGGTGCCTACCTGTAGCTAGCTCCAAGCCTCCAACAGAATGCCTCATGACTATTAGGTTTCGATAGTGCCGAGGCCGTGCTAAACCAGCTCAGCCAACTTGCGTCGAAAAAGTAACTTCCTCACCATTGACAACGGAAGGCCGTGCGAGCGAGGGGTCGGAAAGCTGGAAGTGACAAACGAGTAAATTTCCAGTGTGGGGTCGTCCGTCTCATATCGATGTCGGCCGATAAACGATAAACTGTGTGGTCCGTGCTTTGAGCATCCCAACCGTTGACCTTATCTTATCGGCACCGGCTGCTGACTCCCCGCATGCGCTTGATTCGCCGCCCGTTGCCAGGGGAACTTGGTTGGATGCTTGCTCGCACCGTAAACAAAAATTTGGGCTCCGGCTTTCAGCTAATCACACACGCTAGACTGCTAGCTGCTTGCACCGCAGCGACTTTACTGCGTACATGCGGATGCCGTGCACCCATCTAGACTACACGACAGTAACACGCAACCACCTTACCTACTAGCTGTGCGCATTGTCCTGCTGCCTGTTTAGCAGGGCCGACGGGCTCATTCGATCGTCAGTCAGTAAATATTTGGCGCGCCCGCAATGGAGCGCGAGTCCAGCATGTCGGCGTCGCAAAAACACCACAACCTGTTCCAGGTCTATCTTCGACTCCGCCCAGCACAAGGCGGGCCTGCAACGCCGGGAGAGCGCTTCTTGGAGGTTGAGGATGCAGAGCCGCACCACGCCGCGCCCAAACACATCACCCTGAACCCGCCAAACGATCGCCGCCGCGCAATCGAGAAGTTCGCCTTTACCCAGGTCTTCGAAGAGGATGCGACGCAGCTCGATGTCTTCCATTGCACAGGCGTCGTCAAGCTTGTCGAGGGCGTGCTCGCCCCCCACGGCGGAGAGGGTACAGATGCCCTGTTGGCCACGTTGGGCGTCACCGGGTCGGGCAAGGTTTGTGGACTTGGACGGGGACAGCAGGCGGCCCGATAGGCCTGGGATTGGGAGGCAACCGCTGACATTCTGGAAACTCGACAGACACACACGATCCTCGGCTCGCGATCTCAGCGCGGATTGACCCAGCTCGCCCTCGACGTCATCTTCAGGTCCCTGGGCCACAATATCCTCGACTACAGCTCCCACCCGTCTCTCGAGCAATCCATCACTGCCTCTGATCCGTCCGAGGCCACCATATTCCCGGCTGCGACGTTCCTCGACACCGTCTTTGCCGACTCGGCGCCGCCCTTGCGCGCCAGCTCGAGGGCTCCCACGCCCATGATTGTACGACCTTCTCACATCTACTCCCAGTTTCATGTTTGTAGCGATGATGAACATGGCTACCCCCCTGAGCCGGATTCTTCTCCATCGTATTTCTCTGCGCTCGAAGAGATGCCGCCTGTCCAGACAGGTAGCCCGAAGAGTGTTCGGGTCGTTCGTCGCGAGGATTCCGCGATGCCCCCTTCTCCCTCAGCCTCTCGAGTTAATGGCGGGTGGCAGTGTCACTGGGACCGAGACGACGGTGCACCCAAGGGTTATGGTGCTGCTTTAGTCGGCGGCTACCCGGAAGCGCAAAAGCTCAGAGGCGCGATGGCCAAGGGCCAAAAGTCGCAGGCGAAGCACTTCATGTCTGCTACTACTTCTGCACGTCAGAAGGCAATCACTAAAACATCTTCTCACCTGCAGGGCGAATCCTTCGGTCCCACCCAGACGCCATCCCGCCGCCTACATCGGCCGTCGGCATTCCCACAGCAGCCCGACGTCAGCGCGCTCTCGGTATCTTGCGATCCTTCGGCCGAGTATGCCGTCGTCATCTCCATGTACGAGGTGTACAACGACCGCATCTTCGATCTCCTCACGCCCCCCATCAAGTCGGCGGCGACAAAAGAGTACCGTCGACGGCCTCTCCTTTTCAAGTCAACAGAGACATCGTCGGACCGCAAGGTGGTGGCTGGGCTGAGGAAGGTGGTGTGCGGCAGCCTGCACCAGGCCTTGATGGTGCTGGAGGCGGGGCTGCATGAGCGCCGGGTTGCCGGCACGGGCAGCAACAGCGTGAGCTCGCGGAGCCACGGCTTCTTTAGCGTCGAGGTCAAGAAGCGCGCCAGGGGGAATCCAAAACACAGTTTCGAGGCGGCATGGGGTGGGAGCACGCTAACTGTGGTGGATCTCGCTGGGAGCGAGCGCGCGAGGGATGCGAAGACGGCCGGAGCGACGCTTGCAGAGGCTGGCAAGATCAACGAAAGCCTCATGTATCTCGGACAGTGCCTGCAGATGCAAAGCGACGCGGCGAGCAAGGACAAGGTGAGTTTGCACGTGCACCTCCCCCCCCCCTGTTGCGTCCTACGAGTCATGTTACTGACATGGACCCTGAAAACAGCCAAATTTGGTTCCTTTCCGTCAATGCAAGCTGACCGAGCTGCTCTTCTCCAACTGCTTCCCGTCGATGTCGTCGTACTCGTCGGCGAGACATCGGAATCCGCAAAAGGCCGTCATGATCGTGACGGCAGATCCCAACGGCGACTTCAACGCGACGTCTCAGATCCTGCGATACAGCGCTCTCGCGCGAGAGGTGACGGTACCGCGCATCCCCAGCATCACCCAGACGATCCTCACTACTGCGGTCCCGACCTCGACTTCGGCCCTGGCACAACAGCAGTGCTCGAGCCCGGTGGGGTCCCCGACTCTCCACCACCGCCCGTTCTTCCCGCCGGGGTCAACGGCAGGACCCTATGGGCAGCCCCTGTCATCGCCAAACATTGACCGGACCTTCTCGCCCCTGAGCAATGCCGGCAGCGACGTCCACCGCGCCACCATGGAGGTTGCCGCCCTGGAGATTGCCCGCCTCTCGGAAGAGCTCGACTACATGCGCCAAGCGCTCGAGACGGAGCGGTCAGGGCGGGAGGAGGCTGAGTCGCATCTGCTCTCGATGGAGGACCGGATGGTGGAGCTGGAGCAGGCGATCCGCGAAGACTGCACGGCAGAGTTTGAGCGGCGGTTCGACATTGAGATGGCGCGCTGGCGCGCCAACATGCAGGTGGAGATGGAGCGCGGCGAAGAGCACTGGGGCCGCAAGATCGAGGTGTTTGAGCGGAGCATGGCCGTCACCGTCAGGGCGTCGACGGGTGACGAGAACATGCTTGACGGGGAAGAGGGCGAGGACGACGCGGGCGGCGAGGACAAAGAAAATGTGCTCATGGAGGACGTCAACCAGGAGAACGACAGGCTGCGCCGCGACAACGAGATCCTCAGGCGCGAGCTGGCCGCCATGAGCCCGACCAAGCGGCTCCCGCTTCAGGAGCGCAGCAGCGACGGCGTCCGAGGCTCTCTGGCGAGCGTCAGGGACCGGGGAAAGGTCGGTGTCGACACGGGCAGCCCGCGCCCGACCCGTGCCAACAACAATGTGAAGGATGACGGGAGCCTGCGGCAGAGGCTGGAAAATCTGCGGGTCGGCGGCGACGACCAAGGCCCGCCCCGCAACTCCAGCGGTAGCACGAGCCCGAAGAAGGCTGCGCGCAAGCTTGCAGGGAAGCGGTGGGACGGCACCTTGGATGACGATCTGTTTTGAGGAGTGCACAGTGCTTCTGTGTGTGGCGACGGAGGCAGCGGCTGGGGTCGGCATATTTTGTCCATTTCTGTGTGATGATTTCTTGTGTCTGCCAAATTTTCTGAGATACCACGTTCACGGCACTGAGGCCTGACGGTTGGCTTGTTGTTATTGGTTCTTGTTTGCGTCTTTGATAGGTTTTGTTGTGGAGGGCCCGAATACTACTTTCGATTTTCCGCCGTCGGCAAGATCGTAGACGGACCACTGCATAGGTAATTTACAACAGGACGAATGCTTCTGATTTTAAATTTACATACAGGCCTATAATGTCGACATGATTTAAAACCACTTACCTTCATCGGGTGCCTACTCCACACCCGTCACATTCGAATGGAGGATGGGCCATTTGCCTGCATTATCTCCGCCAATGCGGCAAAGTATTGCAAACTCCCAACACCAACAAAAGAAATTTGCATCTTCCACAGCAGGCATCGCCAATGGAACCCATCCTGCTGGAATCGAGAATAACAGAGTCACGTTAACAGCGGGGGAATGGAACAAAGTAAGAGATGGCTTGGAAATAGCAGTAGAGGGCCGCATTAACTAAATGTGAGATTAATCTGAGGTTGTCGATAGGCGAGGCAGTCGGTGGGCCAGGTATAGTCGTGATTTGAGCTCCACACTCACTCTGAAGTCATTGAAATCACTGCGAAGACTGAGATGACTAGACTTAATACCGAGACGCTTTATTTTCGGCGACCAGTACTGAATACGTATATAGTAGGTTCCTACCCCTGTAGAGTAGCCAGTGCTAGTCCATCAGGGCAGCCAGTGCTAGTCCATCAGGGCAGCCAGTGCTAGTCCATCAGGGCAGCCAGTGCTAGTCCATCAGAGCAGCCAGTGCTCGACCATCAGATTAGCTAGTGCTCTTCTTGTTTTCGAATGTGTGGGGACTGGGTCCTGCTCTATCCCCACATCCGTCGCCTCAACCCCCTAAATCTGAAAAAGAAACCTAGCTAGCTCGCCATATAGTCGGTTATCTATACTATTAAACAGCACCGAGAAAAAGTCTATTATAACCCGTATTGTTTCCTTCGATCTGCTGAAATTCCCTGGGAGGAACCACCCCTCCCTGGGCTTGATGGGAGGGTGTCTAGCTTCCCAATCTCCAAGACTGACTGGGCCTGGGCACCCAATTGCGTGAATGTGTCCTTCAAGTTTGTGTTTGCTTGAGCCCAGGCTTGTTTAATTCGTTAGCATGGTCGTTGTAGTTAATAAATATATCCTTCACCACGGCCGACTGCACCGTTTTGTCCGAGTTGCCCGTTCCACCGCTGCCCTCTGTTCCACCGCTGCCCTCTGTTCCACCGCTGCCACCACTCTTCACGCTAGGCACGGGAGAAGCGTCAGAATTTTTGAGCAAAAGTGGAGCTCCCTCTAATGCGTTTGACCCGTGTCATCGCTGAGGTTCTGAGGAGTACTTCGGCTTGGCATCAATTTGGCTGTCTGTCGCTCCTTGAGGAAGTAGTTCCGTAGCGCCCTTGCGAACCCGATCGACATGGCTTTTCAGTATGGATCTTTCCTTCTCGCTCGGTGTGGGCGATGCGGGTCTCTGAGTTGCCATAGTTAATCAAGCGAATAGAGGCGCGCAAATGTGCGCACTATTTTTAATAAAGCTTAAAGACTGTGCCATGTCATCCAAAACAACTTGCGCCCTCTGTTCGGCACGGCAGTAACTTTCTCATTAGTGAGAGAGGCGGGGCGATTACGCGATTAGGCATTTAATCAGTTTTAGTTTGGCTAGAAGGCCCCAACCCAACAAGGAATTCGGCCCACAGCTTGCCAATAACGACGGGCGCACATCATCCCTTTGAGGAGCCCCATTTTGTCTGTGAAACCTAAATAGAAATGGTACGCGACTTGATAAAAGTCCGTAGTGTGGCTGCGACGACACCTTGGCCACTTGGCTTTCTTCCACGGCGCTCAAATGGGGGCAGGCTTTCTCGGTCCCAGCTCTCTGCGATGACAGGAGTGATTTCGTGTCACGCGTCGGCTTCAATTGTCAGCCAACGTGCAGGCGGCATACGGGCAGCGAGTAGAGGTTGCTTTCAAACTTCAAACAATAGACGGCCCCGGTGTGCCATGTCAGGCCCGTCGGCGACACTAACATGTTGCTCCAGACTCGGTTCACTGATCAATTCCTACAGGCTTGCAATAAATTTCAGACCACTAGCCACGTTGTCAAATCCTACCATGATTCCATTCCATTCGTCCAAGTTAATACGTATTAATTACAGATGCATGTGCTACCCTAATTGCCCCTAGGGTTCGACACGCAAGACTCGGCAATTCTAACCCTTCTCAAGCCTCCCTGTCCCAACCCGTGCTTACTTCGCATCCCAAATAGGGGGGCCCGGGATAGGATACGTGGTGAAGGGAATATGAATGTTGAAGTCGAAACCGGGGTCGGTGAACTTGTAGCCCTTGTTGAAGTCGAAGTTCTGGTTCGGAACTGCGGTGCCAGAGCCGCCGGCAACGTCGAACTGAACGCAGCTGGGGTAGAACTCGGGGCCGCGTGTTTTTTCTATGTCGCCACGTCTATCGGCAAGGTGCAGCGGGATCAGCTCCTGGCGCACCATGTACTTGCCCGGGGCCAGCGTCTTGGGCAGGTTGAAGTCGACCATGCCGCCGGTAAAGTTCCGCATCCTCTCGGTCGCCCACGCGGGGCTCACGAAGCCCTCCTCGGCAATCTTGGACCAGATGGGCCCGTCGCCAAAGCCGGTGGCGAAGAAGGGCGCAATGTAGGTGAGGATGGGCCCCTTGTGCGATGGGTCGATTACTGGCTCCTTTGGGTCCTCGCGGAACCACTGGAAGGTCAGCTTGTCGCCCGGCGACGCCTTGACAAACTGGGGCACGGCGATATCGCCCTTGCTGTTGCAGGCTATGAAGGGCGCGGTGTTGTTCTTCTTGTCCAGCTGCAGCTGGACCTGCCCATCATTAACTGGGGATCGGATGTACTTGTTCTTGCCCTCTCCTTGGTCTACGCCGTTGACAAAAACGCGGCTCATGGTGGTATGGGCCGAGGCTGTCGTGGCAAGAGCCAGCAGAGCCAGGAGTGCGCCGTTTAGCAACATGTGTGCACCTAAGGCAGGTAGTTCTGGACTTGGTAGATATTACGTGGAATCGTGCAATTACGTGGAATCGTGCAATTACGTGGAATCGTGCAATTAAGTGGAATTGTGCAATTAAGTGAATTGAGTCGTCCTCGAAATTGGGATGGAGCAAACATGGATTGCGCGAAGCGAAATGGCTTCTTCTTTATACAAGTTAGGTTTGCTGGGTTTGCGGACCGACAAGCAGCCCAGGGGAGGTCAGGCACCCGAGTTTGTGTTCCCCAAAAGACCTTTAAATGGCGTCCAAGACCGGGACCGGGACCGGGACCGGGATCGGGACCCCGACCTGGGCCGGCCCACGGCGGTGGGTGATGGGCCGACGCTGGGTAGCCCGACTGCTGCCTTCGTCTCAAGTATCTCACGATCCGGCCTTGTGATTGGTGGCTTGGTAGGCCCGCATCACCGGGGCCCGGCGTGTGGCCGGCGTGTGGCCGGCATGTAGCCAGCTACTTTGGCGTTTCAGAGTCGGACCCAACTTTTGAGGGATAAGCAGGCGCCCCAATTGCCGGGCCGGGGTGGCTGCCAATACGGCCGTGCAAGTAATCGGCGTGTCGGACCAAAACAAGACTGACACTGCCAAGTTGGCCAAATTTGGATCACGTCCATGGCCACATGTAGGTAATTACCGTCCAAAGTTCAACTTGGCATTGGATTGAATCTCTCTCTGTTCCGCATTAACTAGACCTGGTTGTTTGCTTTTCATCCCACCCCGTCCGCGACCCACTGCGCTGCAGTGCAGCCGCGTGATCAAATGGATTACTAGGTATAGCCAGGGCAGGCCGGCTTGGGTATGATGGACTATGGAGCACTTGAACACGGGTTAATTACACAGTCAGTCCAAAGTGCACTGCAGACCCGGGCGGGCGCCGTGCTCGGGAATGCGCTCCAAATTAGGGACCGCCAAGGCGCCTAGTCCACATGTCCGCCATGGAACCCACGCTTCTAGACGTGCACTAGCGCCGTCGGGATATTACTGGACTGAGCTGCCGGGGACTTGGTTGCAGCAATTGCTTGTATGCCAGCTCGGCTGTAGAGATTGGACCCAGCCCGGGTGGAACAACGCAAGCAGCTACAGCTATTAGCCTCTGGGACGGACCCTGAATGGAACATTCGAAATCCAGCAGCGGAGCTCCCACGCGGGAATACTGGGATGGATCTTGAGGTATCTGGGATATTTATACGGTGGATGCCTGCCCTCTTGCTGCTAGAGCGGCTCGCTTCCCTTATTCCCCCGTCCGGTCTCAGCTGCTTGTCATCTGGTGCCCGTGGCTTGTTTTGTTGATCTCGGGGTTTGGATCTGCAGAAATGGTGAACATGAACATGCTCGCCTCGCTCTTGAGGGCGGCGGCCGTTGCCGCTCTCGTCGAGACTGCGGTTGGCGGCATTGTGCCCCGCAACACGACCGACAGCTTGTTACTCAACACGACGACCGACAGCTTATTAGCCAGCGGAGCCGCAAGCCGGGGAAAGAGTGTTTTGGACTGGTCTGACGCCGCCAAACTCCAGCCAGCCACATACCAGGGCGCGAGCTACGGCTGCAAGTGCTACGTTGGCCAGAGCTGCTGGCCGTCGTCGAGCAAGTGGAGGCAGCTCAACCAGACGGTTGACGGTGCGCTGCAGGTGCACACGCCTCCTGGTGCCGTATGCCACAATACCTTTGCCGGGCCCCTGGGCACCGTCAACACATACGACGCGGCTGCTTGCGCTGACGCCCAGGCCAACTTTGCCAGCGAGGCATGGACGTAGGTTGAGCGACACTGTCTTGTGTGCATCCGAGTCTAGGTACCTACCTAGTACCTAGGCAGGGTAGTCGGAATGGCGGCTAATCCACTCCCCACCTCCCTTGCAGCGTCGAGAAGCCAGGTGCCGCTATCTGGACCTACTTCACCAACGAGACGTGCCGGCCCACGGCCAACCCGGCCGATGCTTGCACGCTGGGCTACTACGGCATCTACGTCATCATGGCAACCAGCCAGGAGCACATCAAGGCCGGCATCGACTTTGCGCGCCGCAACAACATCAGACTGATCGTGCGCAACACGGGCCACGACTTCATTGGCCGCAGCACCGGCTACGGATCCCTCATCATTAACACGCACAGCTTCAAGTCGGTCAAGTGGCTTGACAGCTACACCGGCCCCGGCTCGTACCGCGGCACCGCCGTCACCATTGGCGCCGGCGTCCAGGGCGGCGAGATCCTCGCCCAGGGCCATGCTCTCTACCCGCCTCTGGCTGTTGTCACGGGCGAGTGCGCCACGGTTGGCATCGCCGGCGGCTTTATCCAGGGCGGTGGCCACGGACCGTGGACTACCCTCAAGGGCATGTGTATGTTTTCCCCTTTTTCTTTTCTCAGTCTTTTTCTTTTTCTCTTGTCTTTTTATTTTTCTGTCTTTTTATTTTTCTCCGTCTCTTTGTTTTTCTGTCTTTTTCTTTTTCTCTGACTTTTTCGTTTTCTGTCTTTTACTTTTTCGCTGTCTTTCTCTTTTTCTGTCTTTCTCTTTTTCTCTGTCTTTCTCTTTTTCTCTGTCTTTCTCTTTTTCTCTTTATCTTCTCTTCTCTCTTCCTGGTCTGTTCCTGGTTCAGAACCGAGCAACTAGATAGGGCCAAAACGACAACCAAGACCACGTGGCAGCTGATCAAGTGCTGTAATGAATTAATAGCCGTCGACAATGTCCTCGCTTTCGACGTCATCACGGCTGCAGGCGACTACCTCACGGTCAATGCCCAACAGAACGCCGACCTGTTCTGGGCGCTCAAGGGCGGCGGCCCCGCGTCGTTTGCCGTGATCCTGTCCGTGACCATGAAGACGTTCCCCGACTTGGCCTCGTCGGGTGCCACGCTGTACGTCAACGGCACGGCGCTGTGGGTCGACAGCCTCGACGTGTTCCACAAGTGGTCCAACCACTTTGTCGACAATGGACTGTACGTGTACTATGAGATGATGCCCTTCACGCTGCGCGCGCGCCCGTTTGTCGGTATTGGCAAGACCATGGCAGAGCTGCAGACGGTGCTGCAGCCCTTCCTCGACGAGCTCACGGCTAGGGGCGTGCCGTTCGAGTTCGCCATCAAGTCGTACCCGACCTTCTTCGACCTGTACCACGACCTCTTCGAGGCTGAGAAGGCAGCCGACACGGCGCTGACGGGCGGCTGGCTGTTCAACCACGACGACATGGCCAGCCGCCGCTCCGAAATTGTCGCCGCCTTCCAGACCGTCATCTTCCCGCGCCAGGACCTCGTCGGCATCATGATTGGCCACTTGTTCAACCCGGGCTACAGCGTCCCTGTGGCCGACGCGGCCACCCACCCGGCCTGGCGCAACGCCACCGACTTTGTCATCGCAGTTCTACCCGTGCCCGCGACAGCGTCGCTCGCCGTCAAGGCCGATCTTCAGAACGTCCTGACCAACACCATCGATGCGGCGCTGCGGGGCGCGAGCAGGAGCGGTGCCACCTATGTGAACGAGGTAAGGACCTTACCCACCTGATTGGTCACGTTTGAAATAGACCATGGTGTGGTTTTTGTTGCTGACGCCCGAAATGTAGGCCAACCCGTACCAGGCCGACTGGCAGAGCCACTTCTGGGGCACCTCGTATCCCCGGCTCAAGGAACTCCGCGGCAAGTGGGACCCCCTGGGCATCTTCTATGCTGTGGCAACGCCGGGCACCGAGGCCTGGGAGGTTATTGAGGACGGCACTCGGCTGTGCAAGAAGCTCTGAGTGCACATGATCTGAGGACGGGGTTAACTATCCTGTGCCGGGTGGCGCGGCCGACGAGTCTTTTGGAGTATGATTTGTCGAGGTCCGCTCCGCACATGATTAGCCGACGATGGATTCGTGGCCAACCCCTGAGCATACTTGAGGTAGTTTGTTCGAAAGAGCTCCATGGCATTTCCGGTGCCAAGCTAATCAGTCGCGACAGGCAGGGGAAATTCTCAACCTGTTTCCGGGCGACCCGGCAACTGGTTCGCATCGCATCATTTTTAACGGCAGGTATTGAAGCCGTTAATCTGGAGGCATATGTGCGGTCATGCTTTCTGAGTCCTGGAAAAGGTTCCATGGAGCCCCTCGAGGGGTGCTGGGACTATACTATAAAAATACCGACGTTTCCGCCCTCAACCGTCACTAGTTCTCCACTCGATTAATAGTCTCAAAGGTCACGATCACCACCAGATGGATCACCACCAGATGGAAAGTTGATTGCTCCCGCTCAACGTCCCAGGTTAGTAGCGCTAATACCGAGATATTATGAAACCCTTAACTACTTATATAGCATATTCTAGAAATCCATGTTATATTTCGTCTGCTTTGATAAGACTCGCCTTAAGGAGGGACTTCCATAGTTGGATTTATTATAAAAGTGAAATGGCTCATACCCATCACGTACAAATTAGAGGTTGAAACACGACCCACCGATATAAATAACCCTATTGCTTTATCATAGCCACTGTCAAACTTGATGCTTCGTCCGTCACATCCTCTCGCCTCTGATATCTAATCTACTCTCACACTTCAGCTGCCTAGACTCTGGTGCCCGCTTCTCCTTCAAAAATAAAGTCCTTGGAGAGGGTTTCTAGGCGCCTCCGGATATCTTTGCGTTCCAGGGCTTTGCCGGAAAAGTCGCGGAAAAGTTGATTGGCGCCGAAGCGAATGAGCTTAGAATTCCCAGATCTGCTAATCTCACATTTCCTGTCCGGACACCATAGAATCCCCCTTGTTTCGGCGTCTTCTTCCATACCTCATGATTTCGAATCCACTTGGCGGAGCCGTAGATGACCCAGAGGGTATTGATGTTGAATCTTGGATGTTTCATGGCTAACTTCGAGGAAGACGCGATTCCCCTCTCTACTCCAGAGGTATGCTGTCGAACAAGACGAGCAGGTTGTGCTATGCGTTACCCCCTGCGTCAGAAACCTCCCTATAAGCGAATCATTCCAGCAAGATTGTTCGTCGCACTCCGCTCTGCGTATCCCGTTCGTCGGGTTGATGGACTCCATATCAACTATTGCCCCGTCATGTCCTAGCCACGGGTGTACAATATTGCCAAAGCAACGACATACGTGAGACAAGAATGCGTGGAGTAGCTTGCCATCGCCCCACGAGAAGTGCGGACAAAGTGCAAAGCCGCCTTCGTTGGGATGCGCCTGACGTAACTCGAGATGTCGCCGAAGATCTTGCATTGTTACGGGCCGGGAAGGGTCCAGATCGAACAGGTGCATCTTGCACCTTCTCACTGTGTGAATAACAATAGTCCCCTGTACCTCGTCGAACTCCTTGAAGATAGCCAACGAGGGATGGGATGAAATGGTACTACTTGGCGCAATTCTCCCCGGATAGCTTGCGAATAGCTGGTCGCGGCTATCATGTGACGGATGTAGGCAGCGAATCACAGATTCCGATGGCTTACAGTCTTTGCCATGGCCCCAGGGCTGCAAACCGAGCTCCGCCCAGTTCACCGATAGGCGGGAGCAGAGCTGCACGCTACCTTCGCGCCCAATACATATACGTGTGTCGTCGTGGACAGAGAGGTCCTTTTGTCTCGCCGAAAAGTAGATGGCACAATGCCTGATATTGCATCCAGAGCAGTAGAGAGCCCTTGACAGAGCCCATAGTCCTTTCAGGACGCCTCCTACTAGCTGGAAATTGACACACCATTCACAACACCATGATTTTTGTATTCGGCACCACGATTTATAGGTACGTCGGATGTTGTAGTTCCAGATATCGTCGATTCCCCACCACGGAAACTTGGCTGCGGTGTGATAAGCCGCAAACAGCGGGTCGCTAAGAAGCTCCATGAAGCGTCTCGATGTTGTGTGCAAGATATAAAGATCGTCTAACTCAAGTCTGCCCATAATGGCCACCATAAGCTCGTTAGGAAGGCGGTAGAGCGGGCATTGGGAAGTGTTTTGTCGATTTGCGTCCTCCCATTGTGGATATCCATCCTCGGTGCTGGTCAAGATCGTTATAGGCAATGTTGTTGAAGTCATCCATGGCCGGCTGATGCGCGATACCTCCGGTGTCTCGTGTTTCTTGTTGGTGCGTTGGACTAGGTGTTTGGCCTTGGCTTTGATCCTGGACAGGCTCAATCGGGATCTTGTCTTGGGCAGGTGTCCAGTCTCGGGTAAACCCCGCTGGTTGCGGCGGCTAGTCAGCGCCGAAATTGTTGCCATTTTTATCGCTATCGCCAAGTTGGCCATAGTTGCTCTCCGTGGCGGGTTGGCTGGTGACCGCCTTATATAGGTGGGAAAGTGTTCGGTACTCTGCACTCGTGTTGCCGAAACCTTGACACTCTGCCCTCTCCACATCATCACCACGGGGGTTCCAAAACCGGTAAACCGTATTCCGCAGAGAAAACTTTGATCATGCGCCAGACGGTCGAGTTTGCAAGCATGCAATGGTTGCAAGTCCGGTAACTTTCCAGCGACCAAAGGATGTCATGACATGCGGCCTGTAACGTTGGCGGGGCCGTCGATGGCTGCTCTATTGTGATTACTCCCGCCTAAACCGAATAAGCTAGCTAACAATAGGCGTACGCAATGGTATCGCTGGCAAACCACGAAGGCCATTTGGTCGGTACGTGCTGCTCTTCGCCGATTCCTGTGTTGCGAATCTAACCCCTATTTGCGCCTCTACCTGGCTTCATCTCGAATGTACTGATAAACCCAGACATGGTAAAGTACGACTTTGCTGTCTACCCCTTAACCCACCTTCCTCCTCGTTGGCAGAGCTCCGTTAGAGATGCCGCAGATGTCAGAAAGAACAGGATTTTCGGAACGGAGGCCCCCCAGCGCTGAGACTGGATCATTCCCCACTAACCAGCAGCACAACAGCCGTACTACGCCCGGGAGTGAGAGGACACAACCGGGTAAGCTTAGACCGTATGACATTGGCGACCATCCAGCCCGCCTGTTAACAGGCCCTCTGAGCCATCAGGTCCAAGGGGGTTTGTATGCGGAATGGAGGAGGGGAGGCTGGGAACACGGCGGGATGGCAGGCAGGGCAGGGCAGGCAGGGCAGGCAGGGCAGGCAGGGCAGGCTGGCAGGGCAGGCCGGAAAGTTGTAGAACGGATGGATGTCTCGATCATTTTAAAAGAGTCAGTCGGCAAAGGGGGCAAATCGGACAAGAAAATCAGAAAAATTCATCGACAACGAAACGAGATGGAAAACATAGCAAAGGGATCGAAAATCTCTGCTCGGAGTGGTCCCAATCTCGAAACTCGCGCCTTCTTTCCCATCACTCCTGCCGTGGACGAAGGTGCTTCCCGCCTTTTGCAATGTAGTTATCGATATGACGTGAACGTTCTCGCCCTCCCCATCGGACCTTCCCTGTTACTTATACGATTTATGTCACGGTATCTTTGGCCAAGGGGGTCTGGTTTGAACATGTGCTCCCAGGAATAAAGGCAGTATCAACAGATGCCCTGCAGTAGAGTCCAACTGACCCAGAACTAGACGAGGCAACATCTACGGTAGACAATTAATTAGAACGGCGGCCGAGATATCAACCGAAGTTTGAGCAGCTGTCTAATTCTTCAACCCAGAGAACAGCACGCACTGCACTGTTCGTGGCATTCTTGCAGCTGCAGGGAACACGTCCGGTTATCGTGACGGTTGTCAAGATTTCCGATGATTTCTGGCTTCGCTACCCGGAATTGCAGGTCCAAGACTAAACTACACGGTGGAGATTAGAAAGAGCGAAACCTAGGCCTGGGGGTGTGGACTTACAACTTAATAGGTGTTGGAATTACTAGGTACCGGTACTGGAAGCAACAGGGCGTAACACGCCGAAGTCTGGTGATTCAAGTGTTGATTGTTGATGTCTGTGTATCTAGAAGAAGGGGTGGCCTACGGCCACTTTTGTGGAAATCCGGGGGCCCTACGCCTCCACCGCCACCTGTGTGGCTAGTGTATGCGCCACCACCGCCACCTCTGTGGCTGACTGGCGCGTTGTTGGAATGAACAGAAGAAGGTGGGGCCACAGTTTCGCAACTGCCATGATCTTGAGAGAGCTTTCCATTGCGAACCTGCCTGCCTGCCTGCCTGCCTGCCTGCGCAAGAACTTAACGACTTAAACCGGGATATCGCGCCGTGCGCCAAACTGGCGAAATCTGGAGATTGGCGGGCGCAAAATGTTTTTGCCTCGTGATTACCTGACACATTTTGCTCCTAAACAATCGAGTGATCGCCATCGTCAACGTTCAACCCCACAATATCAAAGCCACAAATACCAAGCCCGGCTCAGTACATGCCGCTACACAGCTTTTACAAGCCCAGCCAAATTAAAAAATGGGATCAAAACGCAAAAGACGAGCAAGTTATAGTTAGGGTCCTCTTCCCGGAAAAAACAGTTCTTCATACACCGGATTGGAAGGCGTATCTGTGCTTTGAAGGTTGGCTAAGCAAGCAGCTTGGAGAAAAGATTTTAGGCATTATAGAGGCAGGCACGAGGGACAAATCGCTCAAGTCGCTCGAGGAGGAGCCAATGCGGCTTCATTCATTCGGGGAAATGGAGCAAGGGCAATCGAGAAGGATGGATCCAATGTTGCCCGTGAATGCACCGCGACCCCGGCCGCGTATTGCCACCATAGGTAGCAATGGAAACGGTAAGTAGCGGCGAGCTAGGCAGCAGGCTCTAGCACTCGCCTAGTACTCCATACATGGATTTATGGTTGGGTTCATTTCGCCGTATTCCGTCTCTCCCCCCACCTCCCGTCATTTCCCACTGACGGTGACACTTTTGACCAGAGAGCAGTGGCCAGTTCTGGCCGTGTCAAGTATTGCCACCTCGGTACCTCCCAGCTACAAGTGTATCCCGCAGAGCTTTCCGGAAAGCAACACAGAAACTCAAGACTCGCATTTGGTTGAAGACAGCACCAAAAGGACAAAAGCAACACCATTCAATTGTTCTCAACTAGCTCTCAACGCCTCGGTAAATGGCTACACTGGAACATGGGGAAACTGATCGTCTCTGGGAAGACGCGTGCATCGCTCGCTCTAGTAATCCAGCACCCTACACTCGGCTGCATGGTCCACCTCACACGAGACATCGCGGCACACGTCGGGCCACGCATCCAAGTTCACCTCGAGGCTCGTCACGACATGGTCCCCGGTTAGCCGATCCGGGACACTTCTCACATATCGCCCGACCAGTTTCCGCCGTTCCATATCCCAGACACCATCCACCCACGTCCACCTATTCTCAGCCCAGACGACACCATCATCCGCGTTTCTCCCCCTCTCCTCCAGCAGCACCGCTCCTAGCTTGCCAAACAACTCAGCCTCGGCGTCCCACGCGCCTTCGCGCCACGGCATTCTACGCGCCATCTCGAGCGCCCGCATGCGGATGTCATGGTTACGACATTTGGCGATGACCGGACCGAGCGTAGATAGAACGCCCATGCTAAAGGTGAAGCGCGCATGGTAGTAGTAGCGGTAGTGTCTGCCAGCAGCAGTGGTTTTGGTGGCGGCGGCTTCGACGGCAAACGCCAGACAGCTTCCCACCAGCGCGAGGAACTCGTCGTCGTACGCGTCCCAGAGCATGTCGGTGGGGTCGAGGCAGCACTGCATGCCGATGGAAAGCACGAGGCGGTGCAGCTGCATGAGCCGGATGGCGCGATTATTAGCCTGGCTGTCGTGGGATGTCGCGGCACGAGCGAGGGCTGCGTCGAGGACGTCTCGCCATCGGTCCAGGTGTGACAGGTACTTCTGTTGTTCGTGCAGCAGTGCTGGATCGAGGTCAACGGCGGCAACGACGGCGACGGGGCGTTGCTGTGTCACTGCTGTGAACGCCTGTCCGGTGAAGGCGGAGGCGCGGGCGAAGAATCGGCACCAATCTGCCTGGAGTTGCTTGGTGCTCTGGTATTCAGCGAGATTTGCTACTGCGTCGTCGCCTCTGGCCGATGTATCCCAAAGGGCAAGATTTATCCTTTGCGTCTTCAAAAAGGGGGTCCACCCGCCCATGATGGAGAGGAAGGGAAGCATGTGTTCAATATCGTTGAGATCGTCTTCTTTCCCCATCCAGCCTCGCGCTTGTGAGTTGAGCTGTATTGGGGAGGTGTCCCGGCGATATTGCGAGAGAGAGCCTTTCAAGAGGTGTATTGAGCTCGTTAGTAGGGCGTCTACCGTCTCCATGTTTCCCTGCAGCAACTCAAAGGTAATGAGAAGGATGGTCATGATCAAGACGGCGCGAGGAGACTGGACCTCGGTGTTCACGTTGGTGTCTACTTGTTTTCGAAACATGGACAGCGCTTCAACATAATGGCGTAGCCCGGTGCGGTGATTGCTGTTGACAATGGATTTCGCAGTCCATGGAAACAATGCAGACGGCTTGTTGTTGTTGTTGTTCGTTGAAGGGCTGGGTGATGATGATGCCACCACCAGCGAATCCGAAATGCCTTGCGAGAGAGCGGCAATGGCCAACACGGCATGGCGGACGCAGTTGCTGGTCATAGTCTCGCAAAGGACCACCCGGGTCCAGAAATCAGTGCAGCTGTAGCCCGAAAGGTCGTCCGTAAGTCTGTGGCGGAAGAGATCAAAGTACGGAACTTCTTGTGCGCTGAATACTCTCGACGACGGGCCAGAACGGGGACGGGGACAGGAACTAGGACGAGGGAGGAGGAATCGGCGCGTGGTTCGGCTCGGGTTTAACAATATATTTGCATTCGTTGGCTTTGCTCTGGGTTTAAAGCTGTTGGACTCGATAGTGGTAAGCTGAGGGGTGGATGGGCCGACGTCGTGATATCCATCGCAAACAACACGCGCCCTTTGACATTGCTGACACATTGGCTTGGCTTCATCACACTTGACTCGCCGAATCTTGCAGGTTCTGCAGCCGGTTCGCACCTTGGGCTTGCTTGCACGGTTCCTCTTCTTGGGTGCCGCCGGGGGTGCTGCTGCGTCGGGATTTTCCGGGGGTTTGGGTGCTATAGCCTGCGGTACTTTTGGAGGAGAGTGTCGGGCACCCATGGCTCATGTGGGGATTGCACCAGCTGACTGGCTGTGAGTTCATGAAAGGTCGTGTAGCGAGCATTGCTGTTGGCGTCTTTTTTGCTCCGCCGCTGATCGACGGTCTTTAACGAGAGGACTAGTTTTAAGGAATTTCCTTCGCAGCTGGTCCGCGGTCGTTTCAGGGGCCCAAATTCTCGTCAGCCAAGGACGGCGGTAAATTAGGAACCCTGATTGGCTGCATCGTAACAGGAAGCTTGCACTCTGATTGGTGATGAGTGCTAGCCCCCAACACTGATGCTCTAGGCATACCGTTCAATATCCGCCTCGGCGTAAATCATTATGAGACAGCACGGTATTTAATGGATCAACCTCCCCAACAAATTTTGCTTCTTGTCAGATACTGTTCTACTTGGATACTGTTCTACTTGGTTCAATTTTTTTTTAATTTTTTTTTTTAAAAACATTTCAAGATTTATTTCCCCCTCCACAGCAATCCCCTCCCGACTTGCCTGCCAAGGTAACATGCCGCTTCCAAATGACTTCGTTCTCATCCATCTGCTTCCCCTTGGAGCTGGTGCCCTGGCTCTTTACTACGTTGCCTCTTCCTTCGCAACCTGGTTCCGTCTGCGCCATGTCCCCGGCCCGTTCCTGGCGTCCTTCTCATATTCATGGTTGATGAGGAACAACTTCCTCGGCATATCAAGCACTCAGCTACTGAGCCTAAAAAAGTACGGGTCTGTTGTGCGTGTTGGGCCAAATTACGTCCTCACCGACGACCCGGCTGCTCTGCGGCGCATCTCGGGCGCCCGGAGCACATATGGCCGAGACGCCTCTTGGTGGGCAGGACTGCGAATCGATCCTCGACAGGACAACATGCTCACCACGGTCGACACAGCCGCGCATGACCGGCTCAAGGCGCAGACGGCAAACGGGTACAACGGCCGTGACAAGGTCGATATCGAAGGCGGCACTGACGCGCAGATCGCGAAGCTCAAGGCCCTGATCCGCCGCCACTATCTCTCCACGCCCGCCGAGCTGCGCAGCGTAGACTTGGTCTGGATCATTCGCTTCTTCACCCTGGACGCCGTCACCTCTCTTGCCTACGGCGAGCCGTTTGGATACCTGGAAGCAAACCAGGATCTCTTTGGTTTCAACAAGCAGGTCGACGAGCTTAGCAAGCCGATGAGCGTCATGATCGACACGCCCGTTCTGCGCGCCTTGGGCAATTCTCCGCTGGCGCCCCACATCATGCCTAAGGTCACGGATAAAAAGGGGATGGGCAGGTTGATTGCGTAAGCCATGGTGTTCAGCCATTCTCCGCTTACCTTGGATTTTAATGTTGACAGCTTTTCGGATGGGATTTGAAGTCTAGGACAGGAATTTGTCGCGAGGCATTTTTCGTCTGGTGCTGCTGACTCGAAGGATATGGTTGTATGTCGTTATCGACATCCAAAGCGCCCTCGATCCTCGACATTACGTCAGATTTGCTAACCTAACATACTCAGGGATCATTCATTCGCCATGGGCTTTCGCGAGAGCAATGCGAGGCCGAGTGTGTCGTGCAAATCATTGCAGGGTCTGACACGACGGGCACGACAATACGCACCGCACTCTTGTTCGTCCTCGCGACGCCGCGGATCTATATTCGTTTCATGGAAGAAGCCAGGTCGGCCATCAAAACGGGGCATGTGTCATCATCTAGGCCCATTACTCACAACCAGGGCATGAAACTGCCATATTTACAGGTGATGCAATAAACAACCCGCGAGAAACTCCTAAATTGCTGATTCTTTCCCGGCAGGCCATCATCTACGAGGCCATTCGGGTCCGGCCCCCCGCGCTGTATGGACATTTCAAGAGCGTCCCAAAAGGAGGCGACACGGTGAACGGCGTGTTCCTGCCCGCTGGGACCGCGATCGGACATAACCTGTTCGGCTTGATGATGTCCGAGGACATATTTGGATCGGACGCCGAGATCTACCGCCCGGAGCGGTTCCTTGAGTGCGATGCCGCCAAGAGGACTGAGATGGAACGGGTGGTGGAACTTGCGTTCGGCACGGGACGATGGATGTGTGCAGGAAAGCTTGTCGCTTTCACCCAGCTGTACAAGGTCGTCTTTGAGCTGCTGAGAACCTTTGAGATTCAACTCATGCATCCTGGGAGACCCTGGGAGGAAAGTTCGGCGATATTCTGGCACCAATCCAATATGGTGGTGAGGATTACGGAGCCTGTGAGCTTATGAGAGCGGGCGTCGATGATGTCAGTTACTGACAGTGTGTCGTATCTGCCTTTAGTTCAAGAAGTGTAATATCAAGCCTCAACTCATGAATCGGAACTCTGATAACCGAGCCAAGGAAAATAAAAATTTCTGGTGACCAAATTCAGAGATGAGGAGCCATTTGCAGTAAAGCCTGAATCCAAAATATCCTAATGGCCATTCTCCGGAGACTCAAGAATGCTTCGATAACAATAAACATCAAACTGGGAGACATGGGATAGAGAATAAATAGCGAGGAAAATGGAAGAATGCGTACAGTGCAGGATCTGTCGCATTGTACCGAGTCATGAAGTAACCCAGTAGTCCGATGAAAAGTGGAAGAAATATAGAGAGACTGGCCACAAGACAGGAAACTTTCCAAATAATATGTCCTAGTCCTGTCGGGAAGTCAAAAATCCAGGCTGTGGGGCGAATGCCGCCATACGCGACCGTGAGTAGACAGCCGGCAATAACTCTCAGTGGGTGCCTTTTTGGTCCATGACAAAAACCATAGCTGGTACTATCCCAAATTCAATCACTTTCCATACCCAGGTATCGGTGGCATCATGGTTGTATATGTGCGTGCTGTTCTCTCAGGTCTCGAAGCACTGCCCATGTAGTGTGATGAAGACACTGAAGAACACTCTGAACGAAACCAATCTACTTGATTCTGACATCAACAACACCGTCGTCGATGAGATTCCTTACCACCTGATAAAAACGGCGGAAGATGTCGTGAGAGACTATCTCATTGAGGTCGCAATCTGCGCGCGCCAAGATATTGAGAACAGCAGAGGCCCAAACTCCCTCAAGCTCTTTCCCATTGACTTGATCATGACTCATCCCGCGGTATGCTGAGGTTCAGTTCACCTGGCCATTTCATTACCCCCTGATTGCAAAATTGTTGCTGATTCATCTCTAGGAATGACATCCAAGGGTAAAGAATCTGACATTCCGAGCAGTGAGCGAAGCCTTTAGGCACGTCTTTCCTGAAATGGATCAAAAGCCTGGCATTATCAGGCTTGCTACGGAACCCGAAGCCTGCGCGCACTACACGATGCGAGCGGAAGGAATGGCTGGCCTGACACAGGTATGCTCAAGGCGATAGCCGTTTACCACTTCATACAACAGACTGATTTGTTTCGCCAGGGGCCAATGCTTTATTGTGGTAGATGCCGGTGGCGGCATCATTTTAAGTCTTCACCACCCCAATACTTCCGTTAATCACGTCAAGGCCTGCAAAGCAAGGGCAGCTAAAAGAAAATGATGTAGGACTTGGTATCGTATCGGATTGATCGGCTTGAGCCCTATTTCACCGTCAGTAAAGTGACTGATGTTCCCGGTAGGCGTTCGCTTTTGCAGACCAATGGCAAGCTTGTATAAGAGATAATGGTGGCAAAAGGTGGCCCATCTGGGCCGACGCTGGTCGGCCAATACTTCATCAAGCGATTCCCGCAGAAACGTCTTCCGCCTACTCCCTATCACGAATTGATGAACATGGGTTGCCAAGCAGATAAGCGCCATGGAGGACCTCACGTTGTGTACACTTCGGGCGAGCGGGAGTATGCTGGAAAGCTTCCAGATTATCAAGCATTTGTTCGCCGGCCAATCAAAACCCGGCGAACAGGCCCCCGACACCTACATTGACCTTCCCGAGCTCCCGAACGGGGTCCAGTGGCCGGATGACGAGAATTGCGACATATTTCAAGGCCAATTCCGGATCGCTGCGTATGTCGGCATAAGTCCCCGTCAACTTCGCTGTGAATCGATAATACAATGTACAGAAAAGACCTGGAGGGATGACGGCGCTAGTGCAGAGGATGTTCCACACCAACATGGAGCTAGTCAGCGAGCAGAGCGCCTACAACGTGACGAGAGAGGCCAGAGAGCAGCTAGAGCGGAAGAGCGACGCGATCCTGGCCAAGATCAAAAGCACCATCTACAGCTAGAGCGACCTGAAGATTGCGGGCTACTGGAACAACGGGGAGAGGCAGCAGCTGAACGAGTTGGTTCTCATGTGAGAGATAACATAGCTAATGGAAGACATGGTAGAATACCACGGTAGTTATAGTAGCGAAATATTAGCGAATAGTCACGATCAAGGTGTTAGTTAACGACATGTTAGACCACTATTCTACTTGGAATTCCTTATGAGTTTCCATCAGGGGGTTTCGGCTTTTCCTTGGTCGCTAGTTCATCCTTAAGTTATCCTCGACCCGCTTATGCGGAAAAGAGAAATACGAAAGAAATCCCAGGTGCTCTAGCCATATTTGCTGACAAGGCCCTTGTAGCTGAGTATTGTGTCGGCCATGCAGTACTTCGAAAACTGCCACACACTCGACACTACACTCACCATATCCTCTAGTTTGGGTAGTGTGGGAAGAGAACGGATAATTACCTCTTGAAGCGGCTGTTAATTCTTTTAACGATCAGCTCTCAGCAGAAGGAATTATGAATTTGGAGCGATGTAATCAACTCTCTTACAACCTTGTAGAGATCAAGTCGCCCTTTATAATCATCCTGGGGAGGGGAAATGGTACGCTTTAATTACCAAACCCTGCAAGGGATATGCGAGTAACTGCTGTTGCAGCCGAACTCTTTGCGGGGTAATGCTCCGTAAGGGTTGTGGTGTGCCAATGTGCTGCACCACTCCAAGCCAATTTATCCATAATAAACAACCATATATCCTTAATTCCCGGTAGTGCTGGATGGTGCGTACCTCTTCTCCTCAAATATGGATTGCTCCTACAAATTGATAGCTCCATATTCTGCCCCCAGGCTCACAGCTGCAAGCTCTCGTGAAACTTAGTACGTTACGGACAACGAAAGACGAAACACTAGGGACAATCATGCGAGTACCTGGAGTACCCTTTGCTCTTGCTGTAGCACAGACAGCATATTGCCAAGATATTCCGAAGCCTGCGGCTGATGGAAGATACACCATTTCCGCCCAAGGCATCAGAGCACAGGTATGTAATTGCGTCGCAAGGAAAGGCCCAGCATGATAACAGAAAAGCTAGTTCATCCCCTACGGCGCCACACTGACCAATCTCTTTGTCAATGACAAAAGCGGCGTAGAGACCGACGTCGTTCTGGGTTATGACGATGCCGCATACTACGGTAATCTACACGCAAACCCCCTAGCATCCTCATGTGTTGGCTAATTTGTAATTATGAGAGAAAACAGCCAAGGACACAAGCCATCCCACGTACAACTCGATTCCGGGGCGCTACGTCAACAGAATTGGCAAGGCACAGTTTACAATCGATGGCAAATCATATAAAACGCAGCGGAACGATGGCCAAAACACACTTCATAGCGGCACGAATAACTGGTCATACCGTGTGTGGAACGTCACCGCCGCTGCTAGCGACTCTATAACTTTTTCGATCACGGATGCAGAGGGGGAGTCGACGGGGATGCCTGGCCGGGTGAATGCAAACGTCACCTATAGCGTCGCTAACGGGACTTGGAACATCAAGATGATGGCAGATTCTCCGGAAGCCAAGACACGTAAGCTTGCATCCGAAACCTGAGCTGGTTGTTCAATTAGGTCTGACAGAGTTGGCCTCCAAGCCCTCATGCTGACTCACCACACCTACTTTAATCTCGACGCATACAAGAACCCGGCCACAGCATTGATCTGGGACCACACGCTATCAATGCCGTACGCCAAACGATACCTCGCCATTGATAGCAACGCCCTCCCAACAGGCCAGATCCTCACCGCCGCAGCAGGAAGCATCAATGACTTTGCGAGCAAGCCTAACATTACACTCGGCCACGCCAGAAGCAGCACGCAGTTCCGCGGCAACTGTGGCGGTAGTTGCGAGGGGTACAACGGGTATTGGATCTTCGATGACGTGCCTGGGAAGGACACACCAGCGCTGGCCCTCGCGAGTCTCTGGTCCGGGATCAAGGCTGAGCTACGCACAAATCAACCTGGTGTGGTGCTGTACAGCTGTGCTTGGTCGGATGGGTCGGCGAACCTCAAGCGCACGCAAGGAACTGGGTCGAGGAAGAAGGTGGAGAAGAGTTCTTGTGTGGCTATCGAGGCGCAGGATTACGTGGATGGGATTAACCAGTGAGTTATCACGATCGTATTTTCGCGTTATATTATACTGGCATTGTGAGTACATGCTAATGATGTCTGATGGAGTCGTGAATGGGGCCGCGTTGATGCTCAGATTACAGGTCCGGGAGGAACGTACCTCTGGGAAAGTTCGTGGAGATTTGGCTTGATAAGTCCTTGAGATATGGGCGATCAAAGTGTTTAACACGATAATGGCAAGCAGGTTGAGTGGGCTGAATGAATGAATGAATGAATGAATGAATGAATGAATGATGGCGGAAGAAATAACCTCACCTAACTACCCGGTTTGACAAAGAATCTAAGTCGGGCGTTCGTTTCTTCTATGGATAACAGTCATCGGCGGGCATCAACCAGTGTCATGGCTCACCAACCAGTGTTATGGCTCACCAACCAAGCTCGTCCATCCAAAACACACTCTCGATCAATCACTCGTTCAAAAAGTCATGCCAACCCTTGCTTGAGTGGCCTTGTCTACAGATTGCTCGTCCGGTTGTGGAACGGACAATTCCCGGTAGGTAGATAGGTGGCCCACCAGATTTCAGAGACGGCAGAAAAGAAACAGCAGTAGTCCTTGAATCCCCCAGTCTCGAACACGTGCGTAATGCCCGCTTAAACCCACACCGTAGGCTCATTTTTTGTTGCGGGCGTGTTAAGTCGCGTTTGATTGATGGCGGGGTGGACCCAGACTTTCGACCCCTGACTGCTCCTATGCCCGAGTCTGTGCCGTTTCCTATGGGTTAGGCTAGGCCACATTTGACTGGCGTGTTTACAGACGTTTGATCTACACCTACAACGGCCTAGGGCTTGCATAGCAGGGCTTTCCTTCAATACGGAGCCTGGGGCACAGTCCCTTGCACCTCTGTATTCTAGCAAACAGCTAATACGGTAAGGATAGAGACCTCACTTCTAGACAATGGGTCCTTACGTAAGGTAGGTACAAGCAGATATGTAAACTCTTTTAGCCCTAGGCTCCGCAATCAAGCACCTTTTTATGACTGCGTTGTGCGTAACAGTTCCCTGTGCTGTCAGCGACCCTGGTGTTAGATCCCTGGCCGCGCCCCTGGCCGCGCCGCTTGCCGCGCCGCTTGCCGGCCAAACATTCAGGCCGACCCCGGCATTTGATCAATCCGTCACCGTCTTCAATCGGTCCGATCCACGCCGTGCAGGATCAAAGCAACCAGTACTGCATGGGTATAAAAGATGCAGCCCCTTCTACCGCCGTCTTCAGTCAGTCGAGGTCCATCATTTCCAAATCGACAAGTCCCAGCAATACAACAAATACAAGCGGTTGCGTTACCCCCCTCAACACCCTGTCTGCTAGCTCCTGTTCCCAGAGCGATAATGTCTCTCCAGCGCAAGACCATCCTAGTTATGGGTGCCACCGGCAAGCAGGGCGGTGCTCTCATCCAGCACCTTCTCGCCGCCCACGACACCCCCGCTTTCGACATCATTGCCGTGACACGCGACATCCGCAGCCCCCGTGCTCTGAAACTCGGCGCGCACTTCAACATCTCGGTCGTGAGCGGCGATATGGACGAACCCGAGACTATTTTCCAAAAGATCGGGCAGGTGTGGGGTGTCTACAGCGTACAGGTGAACTCGGACAACGAAGAGGCGCAAGGTACGGCACTGGTCGACGCGGCCGTGGCCCACGGCGTGCGCCACTTTGTCTACTCGTCGGGCGACCGGGGTGGCCCCGAGAAGTCGCCCACCACCCCTACCACCGTCAAGAACTTCGCTGCCAAGTATCGCATCGAAAAGCACCTGGAGGACAAGGCTGCGGCCAGCGTCCAGAATATGACATACACCATCCTGCGGCCAGTGACCTTCTTCGAGAATCTTACGGCCGACATACACGGCAAGGGCTTCGCGCGCATGTGGGAGCAGATGGGAGACAAGAAGCTGCAGTTCATATCGACCCGGGACATCGGCTGGTTTGCGGCCAATAGCTTTATGCGTTCCGACGAGTATCGCAACGTCGCTATAACGTTGGCAGGCGATGAGCTGACCCAGCCGGAGGCCGATGTCTTGTTTAGAGCGGCTGTGGGGTCTGCCATGCCCTTGGCCCCCTGCCCCGTCGCTTCTGCAGTTAAGTTTTTTTTGAAGGGTACTGTGGGCGACATGTTTCGCTGGTTCGAGAAGGAAGGCTACGGGGGTGATGTGGCCTCGTGCCGCCAGTTATACCCCGAGCTGAAGGATTTCAAGGACTGGATCGAGGAGAATAAAGGGCAGTGGGACTAGCTAGTTGCGCCGCCTTCTAGAGCTGAGACTTCAAAGGAAAAATTAGGAAAGCAGAGAGGCCGTGATCGGCAAGTGAGGACGGACAACCCAGGTGAGGATGCCTTGCTGTTAATTATACGTGGGGCTTCCAGCAACACTTGAGCTTTGAGCTGGCGAAGTTTGGCATGGCATTAGAATACGCGTGAAAGGTGCGAGTCAAGCACAAATCAAGGACTGCCTAAAGCCCTGGCCCGCGTCGAGTCCATGGCAATGACTCCACAAAGTAATCTCGCTACCGGGCATCTACGCTCTTTTGCCCAGCTGTGATTTTGCCGAGATTAGCATCTGAGACAAAAAACATAGGATCACAAGGGAATGAGAGCTGACAACAGCTTGGCTCTAAAATGAATTGGTCTAAGTAAATAGTTTTGTGAGATGTTTGGGAAAATATCTTGAGTAAAGCAGTGCTAACGTGATTGGAATAGGTCATTATGACTTGTTCGTAACGTCCGTCCGTGCAGCCAGACATTTGGTGCGATGTGCCCTGGCCGAAAACTTTGATCTTGCATGGCGGTGGTAAGGTTCGTGAGCCGGCCGGTATAGTACAAACACTACATGGCCCAAGTACTTGACAAGGCTACAATCCAATCCATGAATGTTCGTTAGCGTGGTACGGATACCTAGATACTTGGAAATAATAAAGACCACGTTAAATACACCGGCCAGTAAAAGCGTATTTCTACACGTGTACGAGCCCGCACACCTAATTAGAACTAATCAGACCGTCTTTTTACAGAGTCAACACTGGTCCCCGGACCTGTAGGCGCAGGCCTTTTTCTTCCTTCAACATAACACAATACACGCGCTTGGAATAACTTCATTTTTGACTGCTTTTGCATGCTTTGGCTTCTGAGATCCTGCGGCTTGACCTATTTCTATTGTCCCTCCGAACGAGCCCTCCTTCCTTTGCGAGGGCCAGGTTGAAGTCTTTTACCAATACCAGCCATTGCTCGTCTTCTTCATTACCTTTATTGCGACCACCTTGATCAAGCCTATCTGCCTTCTCTTACAATTCTTCAACCTCCATACCGCACGGTAACGATCGAGCCGGGTTCACTATGGTAGGAAATAACCGTGGAAGAGGAAGAGCCACTCCCCAAGCTGGCCCGTTACGGAGAACCGCACTCGAGGATTTCGAGGACCTCGATAGCCAGACTCTAGACTACCAGAGAGAGGAGTCGTCCCCAACCATGAGAGACCGACCAGTACTGGAACCTCCGGCAGCCTTTTCCGGTATAGACCCCCAGTAGTTCCAGGCCTTAATAATGCAGGCTATGGTCAAATTTTCCACTGGCCTCTGCAACCTAGCGCCACCTTAGCTAATTTCGGAAATTAGGGAGCGCCGTCTCGGCCGAAAGACGACCGCCCCCTGCTTACGCGGTTAGCAAACTGAAGATTGACGCCTCCGAGGATATGGAAGACTGGCTCTAAGCCGTGGAATAAGGAAATTCCACACGCTAAGATCAACCTTAGTGGCTCCAGGTCCAATGGGCCAGCACCTAGATAGAACCGGGAACGCAGTAATAATGGCGAGCCTACCAGAAGCAGCTCTACGACGGAGATTTCGAGCAAGTTATGTAGTAGGGGTTCAAGGACTATATTAGTTCGGATCACCTCGGTAGTAGATTCGGCGAGGTCTAGACCTATAAAGACTAGCTAGTATGTAATTAATATAGTAGATCCCCCTAGGAATTCTGTCACGCGCATTCACAGGGCAACGGAAATGAAGCATTTGATGCAGGGAGGTAAGGCTTGAATTGTCTGAAAAGGTCTAATCTCTTGTTTCCTTTGGCAGGGCCAAAAGTCTCTTTTTTATAGTTATGAATAGTGGCAAAAGCTGGTGGTGAAGAATCACATAGCAGCTTCTAGATCTTTCTTGCTCACTAATCCCAATATTGTGACAAATTCTACTGGGAACAGGCCGCCCTAGTTAGGTGCCTCCCTAGTATGGAGATATATGGTACTTTTATGGCCTGGGACTATTGGATCAAACTCGACCGCTTATACCATAACCGGTACGCCGAAGTCGTGCCTGACGTATTAAAATCGGAAGAAAACGGCACCACCTAATCTTGCTAACCCTACTGAGAAGGGACCCAATGAGGTATGAGAGATTAATCAATTACGATGGAAATGGGAAACACCTAATTAATTGTCAGTGGAAAATGACGGGAGGTTACGGGAGAGACGGAATACGGCGAAATAGATCTAACCATGAATCCATACATGGAGTACTTGGCAAGTGCTAGAGCCTGCTGCCTAGCTCGCCGCTACTTACCGTTTCCATTGCTACCTGTCACGAAGGAGAGGATTCGACTGGCATAACACGCAGTATAACCGTAACCTGTATTGTGGAATCTAAAGCTAAGAAAGGAAAAGGAAGGTGTTGCGGGGAGCGGGTAAGGCGCGGGGTTCTAGGTATGGTGCGGACTACGTGATAGGTACGCATAGACCACACTCCAGCACTACGTCATTGACACCACCACGGCACCCGCCGTGACACTACCTATGGTGGCAATAAGCGGACAGGGTCGCGGTGTATTTACGGGTAGCATTGGATCTATCCTTCGCACCTTGCGGAAACGACTTAAGTTAGAAGGGATGCCGTACGGCGTGTACGTGATAATGAATCAGGTGGCAATATCCACTCACTGTAATTAATTATGGATACCTAAGTAGGTAGGTAGGTATCTAACATGCCATTCCTGACCAGGGCACTGTACGGGTAACTATCTTAGTTAGGTATGAGCCTATGGATGTAATAAGCCTGAGTCAAAGAGCCGAAGGAAGGAGAAAAATGAATGAATAACAAGACAAACAAAACAAAACCACCAGCCAAGCCCGCCACCCCAACCAAAAAAACCAGAAACCAAAGAAACCACTGGCAGACGACATCGCTGCTGCTCCAAAGTCAACGAACCACCCTGTCGACCCATCTCATCCACTCGCCGTCCTCCAGCAGTATCTCGACCGCCCTGGCCGGCAGGATAAGCAACAGTTCCCAGCGGTTCAGCTCGGGGCGCGTGGGCTGGATGAGGCCGCCCGAAGCTCTATAGAATGCCTGGACGCGCCGGACGGCGTCGGGCTTGTACCCGGGCTCGGGCAGGCCGGGTATGTCCCATTCCGTGTTGATGCCGCCCGTGTGGACCCACGAGTTGAAGCCGAGGCTCTGGGGCACGCGCGGGTCGAAGACGAGCCCGACGCGCCGGATGTCGGGCGCCGCTCCAAACATGGCTGTTCGCCGCCCGACGTGCGCCATGTCGACGGCCCAGTTGGCCGCGCTGATGCCGCGCACGACGGCCCTGAGCTCGTCCGCGTTGCCGCAGGCCGAGATCAGCTGGCCGGTCGACTCCGCCGTGTGCGACGCCCAGGTGATCTTGTTGCCGAAATAACTGGCGCCCACGGCTGCCGCTTCTTCCTTGTTGGCGGCCACCCAATTGACAGGGTTGCTGAACCGCGGGCGCTCGCTCTCGAAGCACTTGGCCAGCTCCCCATCGGCCGCTAGGCGTGCCCGAGCGACGTGGGCCCACGCCAGCCCGGCAAGTGCTGCGTACTTGGAGGGTTTCCAGTCTAGCTTGTCTAGGGACGCCCAGCGGAGAGTATAGCACAAGGCCTCGAGCTTCTCGGTCGAGAAGACAAAGATGGTGCCCGTGTTGTCGCTCATGATGTTGGTAGTGTTGCTGAAGCCGGGAGGCATGGGTGGGATCCATGGCTGCGTTGGTCCTGTCGGCTCGGGCAGCAGCATGTACTCGCGGCATCCAGCCAGCAACTCGTCGAACGGCTTGTTGGCGTCGTCTTTATTAGCAGCCAAGCTCATCATGTCTAGCTGGTAGTTAGATGGGCCATCGAGCGGGGTGCCTGTCGTCTGCGCCGCAACGCACTCGATAAACTGGTTAAATGCGCCACCGTCGACGTAGGCGTGATGCATCGACATGAGCAGCAAGAGGCCACCTTGGACGAAGAGAGCGCGCACTTGCGACGCGGGAACGGGATCGCCGCCCTTTTCTAGCACGCCACCTGCCAGCACGAGTCGGGGGTCGACAAAGACGCCGGCGGGAAACCCGTCAGCCGCCAACTGCGCATAGCTCGTCTTGAAAGGCACTCTCATGACGGTAAATGGGATGGAGAAGTCGGGCGACTCGCGCAGCACGACATGCACGCCGTCGCTGTCAAGCTCAAGCCGGCCGGCTAAGTCGGGCCGCTGCTTAGCCAGTTGTGACAGCGACGCCCAGACATGCGTCGCGGCTTCCTCGGCCTTCTCCGAGTCGGGACCGTCCCCGTCGAACGGAAAGCACAGGGCCTTGGTGCTGTAGTTGCGCGGAGCCACTTGATCCCATAACGACAGTCGCTTGACCGTCGAATTCAACGGTGCACTCATCTCGGTCAGATCGCAAGACACACCAGCTAGATGCAGTCGGCAAGAAGTAACTACGACGATCTGAGAATACGAGAGGTAAAGGTAGAGGTAGAGGTCGAGGTTGAGTGATCGCGATGGATATTCTTGTTGACAAGTTTGCAAGTAGTTTGTTTGCGTTATTTGTTTTCCGCTCGGGACACTCAATGCGTGTATGGTCAACTGAATCGTGTATCTGGAATCGTGTATCTGGGTTGTAGGTAATTTGACACTTGTGTGCCGAGACAGGGAGAATAAGAATATTTATACCCTTAGACATGGTTGGAAATAGGGCCGCTGGTCGCAAACAAGGTGTCGGCCCTCGGATGCCTCCTTGCGCAATTGCACTGCCACGGGGCTTCCTTCTCGATTTCTTGAGACGCCTTGTGTTGAGGACAGGCAAACGAGGTAGTCATCATCTGAGCCTGCGGCCACATGATCATGATGTTAAAATATGGCCCCACTTTGGCCCCTAATTTCAAAATGAAGGTCGATGACGCAGCACGAGATTACTAATTTCAGGAGCAACTCGGCCATTTCCAGGGGAGCGAACAAAACGGCCCCGTCCATCAATTTCATCTATTATACAGATAGTCTATGGGTATATAATTGAATACTGACAATAACCTAACCTAGGTAATGTAGTTAGTTAAACCGTTAGTCATTAATTAGGTCAGGTCATTCCAACCCTACGATGGGCCGCCTGCTTAGGGGGTTTTCCATGTCTAGACCCAGTTTGTCGTGTCCAAACGGGCAGAGGAAACAAGCCGTCATTGGCAACGGAACAAAGTCCCTCCGGATAACGAAGTTTCCTACTGCCCAGGCGGACAAAATATGTCTAGTAGTATCAATGAGTTGAAGCATGGCAACCCTGCAGCCCTGCGAACGGGACGACGGGATTCAACCGTCGGCCGAATTCCGGAGCCTTTGGATACCGCATTTACGGAACCCGCGGCTTTGTCGGGCACTCGAGAGCGCTTTCATGTGCGGAATCGCCAGCTAGTGCGAGCTTCCGGTCGCACTTAGGACGTCAACAAACGATGGTCCGAAATACGTGTCTTAAGTATTGGAATATTGGAGGCCCAGTTCCGACGCAACCAATCAAGCACCAGGCTCAAGGCTAGAAATCCACAACGGCGTTCAAAGTCGCACAGGATCGGAACGTTGGGCCCCGCGGGTTCGGATTGTGGACAGTTAGATCCCCGGCCCTGTACGAGTATAAGTCGTCCATCCCAAGGACACAGCTGCCCGCCCTAGTGTCTAAGGTAAGGTAGTTAGTTCACGGCTTAGTTCTGGACTTGATTTGATTCAGGAATTTAGTTACTTACAGTTCAGTTTAGATCACGTCTAGGTACATGTACATCGACAAGCCAAACCTAGCCATGGCAGAGGGAAAAAGGCTGGCACCAATCCCAGGTCCTCGGGGCCTGCCGCTTCTTGGCAACCTCTTCGACGTTAATTCCGAATTGCCCATTAGCTCACAGTTGCAGTTTGCCGACACGTATGGTAATTAAGTTCCTCGGTTTGCTTGTCTTCCACTGTTTGCCCGTCTCAGCCCCCCTTCCCCCCTCCTTTCCCCTCCCCTTCCCCCCCCTCCTCCATTACTTGGGGTGCAAAGCTCAAGCGCAGGACTGACTCGGTTCCAACTTCCAGGCGAGATCTTCCAACTGAACTTTCCCACCATCAACATCGTGTTTGCTGTATGTCCAAGCCAATTCTCTTGAACGAATGATTATCGGGTACGGGAGGGTTGCGTGCGTAACCGAGGTATCTTGATCTAACCGCTAGGATGGGATCCCACGCCCACCGAGTTTGTGCACCCGAGCACTAGTCCACGAGCTCTGCGACGAGTCGAGGTTCGAAAAGAGCGTCGGAGGTCCTGTGGAAGAAGTCCGCCACGCGGTGCACGATGGGCTCTTCACGGCCCGGTCTCTCGGGTCGGGAGAGATGGAGCCCAACTGGGGCGTTGCACACAGGATTCTCATGCCTGACTTTGGGCCCCTGTTGATCCAGGGAATGTTCGCCGAGATGCACGAGGTGGCGAGCCAGCTGACCTTGAAATAGGCTCGCCATGGTCCCGCCGAGGCCATCATGGTCAGCGAGGATTTTACCCGCCTGACGCTCGACACGCTGGCCCTGTGCTCGATGAACTTCCGCTTCAACTCGTACTACCACGGCAACCTCCACCCCTTCATCAATGCCATGAACGAATTTCTCGTCGAGAGCGGCAACCGCTTCCCGAGGCCGGCCGTCGCCAACAATGTCATCTTCCGCCAGGCAACCAACAAGTTCTGGAGCGACATCCAGACGATGCGCGAGACGGTCCAAGCAGTCGTCCGGTCGCGAAAGGAGGACGCTGGAAGCGCCCGCAGGGACCTCTTGTCGGCCATGCTGGACGGCGTGGACCCCAAGACGGGGGGCAAGCTGAGCGACGACAGCATCATCGACAACCTCATCACCTTTCTCATCGCCGGCCACGAGACCACGTCGGGCATGCTGAGCTTTGCCTTCTACCAGCTGATCAAGCACCGCGAGGCCTACCGCAGGGCCCAGGAGGAAGTCGACGACCTTCTTAGCACGGGGCCCATCAGGGCCGAGCACATGAACAAGCTGCCGTATTTGTCGGCCGTCCTGCGCGAGACACTCCGCCTCAATCCCACCATCCCCATCATTTCCCTGCGTGCAAGGAAGGATGACGTGATTGGCGGCAAGTACGCCATATCCAAAGACCAGATTGTCCTGGCATTCCTGGCCAAGACCCACTTGGACCCTCGCGTCTTTGGAGAGACGGCCTCCGAGTTCGACCCGGAGCGGATGCTGGATGCCAGCTTTGAGCGCCGGAACAAGGAGTTCCCCGACAACTGGAAGCCATTCGGCAACGGCATGCGCGCCTGCATCGGCCGGGCCTTTGCCTGGCAGGAACCGCTTCTGGTCATGGCCATGCTGCTGCAAAGCTTCAACTTTGTGCTCCACGACCCCGACTACGTGCTCCAGATCAAGCAGACACTGACCATCAAGCCCAAGGGCTTCCACATGCGCGCCGTGATCCGGAACGGCCTGACGCCCACCGAGCTGGAGCACCGCCTGTCGGGCCAGGCTGCCACGATAGATTCAGAATCGGCGGCATCTCGGGCCGAGGCCAATAACGGGGACCGGGGAGGGGCGAGGCAAGAAGCGTTGAAGCCACTGAGCATCTACTACGGTTCCAACTCGGGGACTTGCGAGAGTCTAGCCCAGCGCCTAGCCGCAGATGCCCCGTCGCACGGTTTCGCAGTGACAGGGGTCGACGCCCTGGACGCGGCCAACCAGAACCTGGCCAAGGACCAACCCGTTGTCATCATTACGGCCTCGTATGAAGGGCTGCCGCCCAGCAATGCGGCACTGTTCTGCGGCTGGCTCGCCAGCCTCGAGGGCTCCGAGCTTGACGGCCTGTCGTACGCCGTCTACGGCTGCGGCCACCACGATCGGACGCAGACCTTCCACCGCGTCCCAAAGCTGGTCGATACCACAATCCGAGCCCGCGGCGGCTCGCGCATCTGTGACTTGGGGCTGAGTGACACGGCCCAGGGCGAGATGTTCGCCGACTTTGAGCAGTGGGAGTAGACGTTTTCTGGCCGGCCATGAGGGTCAAGTACGGCGCAGCAGAGACCGCCCATGGCGAGGCCACCCATGGCGAGGCTACCTATGGCGAGGCCACCCATGGCGAAGGCCAGCTTGCGTCAGCGCTCCCGGTGCATTTCTCAGCCCCGCGGTCGTCGACTCTCCGCCAGGATGTGAGAGAGGCCGCCGTCGTGTCTACCAAGACGCTGACCGGCCCCGGAGGCGCTCCAAAGAGATACCTTGAGATACAGATGCCCGACGGCATGGCGTACCGAGCGGGCGACTACCTCGCTGTGCTGCCTGTGAATCTAAAGGAAAGTATTGACCGAGCTCTGCAGCAGTTCCAGCTGGCCCGCGACGCCTACATCACCATTGAAGCCGACAGACAGACTACGGTGCCCACCAACTCGTCGGTGCCAGTCTACGACTTGCGCGGGTACTATGTCGAGCTGGCGCAGCCCGCCACGAAGAGGGTCAGTACTGGCTCTGTACTGGCTGCAGAGCCCAGAACCAATCAGCTGGCACCTTGGACATGTTGCGATGCTATGCTAATGCCTGTTCCCATCGAATAGGGCATCCCCGCCCTCCACGAGGCCGCCCTCCACGAGGCCGCCAAGCAGCAGCTGCAAGCCCTGGCCGGACCTCTGTACACGTCCGAGACAGCAGCCAAGCGCGTTTCCATCCTCGATCTGCTGCACTGGTTCCCGTCGGTTGACCTGTCGTTTTCGTCGGTCCTGGCACTGCTGCTGCCGATGCGCGTGAGGCAGTACTCCATCTCGTCGTCGCCACTATGGGATGCGCAGCGCACGACGCTGACGTACTCGGTGCTCGAGGAGCCGGCTCTGGCCGATCCTCAGAACCGGCAGCACGTCGGCGTCGCGTCGTCGTACCTGGCCTCGCTGGCGCCGGGCGACAAGATGCGTGTATCGGTGCGCCTCTCGCACACCGCCTTCCACCTGCCGTCTGACGTCGACAAGACGCCCACCGTGTGCATCTGCGCCGGCGCCGGCATTGCCCCCTTCCGCGGCTTTATGCAGGAGCGTGCCGTTCAGGTGGCTGCCGGCCGCAATCTGGCTCCGGCTCTGCTGTTCTTCGGCTGCCGCGGCCCCAGCTCCGACGATCTCTACCGAGACGAGCTCGACAAGTGGCAGGCCATGGGTGCCGTCGACGTGCGCCGGGCCTACAGCCGCGTCAATCTTGGCGACGGCAGCGGCAGCGCTGTCGGCGAGGCGTGTCGGTGTAGGTACGTCGACGATAGGCTGTGGCATGACCGCGTCGATCTGATGGAGCTGTGGGACCGCGGTGCCAAGGTCTTTGTCTGTGGCTCGCGGGGCATGGGCGAGCGCGTCAAGAAGGTATTCGTCAAGATGCTGTCGCTTGAGCGCCAGGATCAAATTCCGGGCGATGCCGGGTCCGGGCCCGGCTCTAGCCAGGAGCAACGCGCCCTCAAGTGGTTCGAAAGCATTCGGAACGAGCGGTATGCTACCGAGGTCTTTGACTAGCTCAACTTTCGTGTCCAATTTCGTGTCCAATTTCGTGTCCAATTTTGTGTCCAATTTTGTGTCCAATTTTGTGTAGCAAAAGGACATCCCAAGTCCGGATTCATACAGTGTACCTTTGTTGCAGCCGTAATTAGCTCTCTCCCAATATGTACACCGTCGACCTGTTCTCAACTTCGAGTTAGAAACAACAAAGACCTTGAGGAGACAAACGTTGAAGACAAGGACGGAATGGCTTTGAGATTGCCCGCGCTGGGTTCTTTATTGCTTCACCTTTTCTTGTTCCAAATATGGCCCGGCAAAGTGGCATCCCGTTGTCTGTCGATAAAAATATAAGAAAGAATAGCATTGTATATATCTTTAAGGAGCCGACTCGAGTATTTAGCTTACCCGTCTCGCCTCACTCTTGGTTGTGTTAACCAACTTACATATCCTAGTCTCCACCTCGGTTCTTAATTTTAATTGACACTGAAACCTTGAGAGGAGAAAAAGAAAGATAATAATTACACCACCACTCGGACCCGCCAGTCTCGCCATAGGTAAGGTCAGACACTTAATAATTAACAGAAGATGGCAGAGCCCTACACACCCCCGAAGCCCAAAAAGACGCTCAAACGCAAGCGGAGCCAGCCTGAACGAGATGGCATCGACATGGACGAGCCGTTTCCACCCCCGGCAGCCCTCAGGCGAAAAATACCCAATTTTCAGGGACACGGCCCCCAGAACTGCGGCGACCACCATCACCGCATAATGTCGTCCATCGCCGAAACCAGTTCCAAACTTTCCAGCAGGGATGGTGGCCGCATCAACACAAGCGACCACGACCCCTTGGATACGTACAGCAAGCCACAGCTAGTTCCCGAAGGGTACAAGGCACACTTCCCCTTTTCGAGCATGACATGGACATGTGTTGGCTGCCTTGGCGACTACTGTCCCATCAACCTGCACGACCTGCCTTGCGGCCACTTTTTCTGCCTCAACTGCCTCAATCACCGCATTAAGGTGCTCCCGTCGCGACTAGGAATATATACCAAGCAGCTCAATGACACGATGGCGGAGATGGTCGCGCTCGAGGACCAGCCCCGGCGCAAGCGCATGCCCGCGACACAACGGCGCGAGGTGGAGCAGACGTACAGCCGGCTCAAATTCAAGCTGCTGCACTACGCCGGCCTCGAGTGCTGCGGTATGGACACGAAGCTGAACCGCTTCGTCGGGTGTCTGAGCCCGGGTGCCTCGCGTACGTACTGGCTGTGCTCGCACTGGCTATTCGACAGACCCCACGAGCGGAGGTCATGTGCCTGGCCCGATTGCGAGCAATACATTCCGGTGCTATGCCGCTGGGAGCTGCGTCCAAGCCTCGGCGGCGGCGACGGCCAACGGTACTACTGTGTGCAGTGCCGAGCCAACTCTCGCGATTCGAGCCAGAGAGTCCTTGTCAGCCCACAGACCAAATTCCCGTGGCTACCAGAGGGGCAGGACCTATTGCTGCCATCAAGGTAAGTCGACGATTGCCATTGCAACTCCATTGCCATTGTAGTTGAATGGTTCTCGAGAGCCGAGAAAGTCAAGGTAAAATGTAAGGTGCCCAGGTTACAAGGACATGGTACGAAATATAGCAGCCACCTCGATAATTAAGGGGTTGTCACTCGAATACTATTTTGAATCGCGCAATACAACAAATCTTCCATGAACTTCCATGAACGTCCATGAATTTCCATAACTAACGCCCAATGCCGTGGGCCCTCTTGGCTTCGGGCAAGCAATAAAAAGACTTTTCAGTAAAATTCCAAAACTCCACTGCCTCCCCTGTGATTGCTATTTTTGTGTTTTGCCACCCCCGGCTGCTTGGCAATGTCACTTTCCCCCTAGTGTGATGACCATTGTGCGCTCACAAGCCACAGAAACCGTTTTTGCAGATTATCAAGCTGAAGCCACAGTCGGTATCGGCATTGCAAGGAAACCCTGCCCGAAGTGACGTAGAAAGTCTAGGTTAGCATCGTAAACCGTAATGGTCCCCGTTTCCAAGGACAGTCCAGTTGTAGACAGTCCAGTTGTAAACAGCAGCTTCATACCGATACAGTCCAGAGGGGTGTTGCCACAGGCAGATCCAGCTCCCGCCGGCAAGGTCGGCGAAGGTGGGATGGATACCGGGGCGGTCGGGGCGGCGGTCGCGGTGGCACTCCGTGTTGGGGTCGGGGCCGGAGCCGGGGCGCTCGAGAGCACGTTTGCGCATTGCCCGTTGACGCAGCCGAGCCAGCCATCGCAGTCCGTCTCGACGTTGCAGGCATCACCTAGCAGGCAGTATGTCAGTCCGCTGTGCCGACTCGAAGGTGTGGTTCTGACTTCTGAAGAGGTTCGGGTTCTTACCCAGACAATGATCTGGCCAGGTGCACTGATCAGCGTCTCCGCTGCTGCCACTACTGCTACCACCTCCGCTGCTTCCACCTCCGCTGCTTCCGCCTCCACTTCCGTACCCGCCTCCACCTCCGTACCCGCCTCCACCTCCCCAGCCGCCCCCGTATCCTCCACCTCCCCAGCCGCCTCCGCCGCCGCCTCGGCCGCCCCCGCCTCCACCCCTTCCGCCACCACCGCCGCCGCGCTGCCGAGCCGCAAGACCAGCCACTGGAATATCCCTGGCGTCGACCAAGAGGCCGTATGCCAGGCCCGCAATAATATAGACAGGCTTCATATTAGATCGTGCACTGAAATAATACAGGCGAGCCCGGTAATCGAGAATTCTAGAAATTTGGAATCTGGGGGCGGGAGGGCAGCTGAACTCGCAACTGCGTCTTGCCGCGGGCTCACAACGTCTTTATAGTTTGACGCGGCCATATATGGGGCCGGAGGCACCTATCTTTAGTAATTAATATATCGGTTCTGGATTTGCCACCAGTCGGGCCGCTGTAGTTAAGCCCTTCAATGCCGAGACTTGGGGAAACAATAAGGTGCCGTGCAGCCCATACAGCCCAATTTGCGGGCTTGAATAGCGTCGCCTGGTTTCCGGGCCAAGCAGGCTAGATCATGTGCCACTTGGTCCACCAAAGGAGAAAGCGCCGCACTTGAGCTAGCCCCGGCTGCCAGAGAGAGAAGTAATTAGAAGGAGGGTGACGAATCGATAATCTGGGCTATCACCCGGTTGGCACAGCCAAGCCCGCAGCAATTGGTCCGGCTGTGTTTAGCCAGCGGGCACCGCCACTTGGCCAGGGGAAAATTACATGCCGAGGCCAATCGCATGCCCACCATCTGAACCCGCCGTGCAATTTGCCGGAGAGAGGCTTTTGTACGACGGCGCGGCGCAGGACGCTGCTACCAGACTCGAAGGAAAGCCGGGACACAATAGGAGTATTCGTGCAGTTCTTGGGGAGAGAAAGGCGGGGAAAGCAAGCGGGGATGGAGGGCGAGAAACAAGATCAGGAAATAGAGCGGTCGTGTCCAGGCATCCCGGTTGCTCGCTAAGGAGACCGTTTTCGCTGTCGCCGTCTCCCGAGTCAGCCCAACGGACCGACGCGCACATGCAGGGAACCACCGGCACCGGAGGCTGGCAGTGATGAAAAGGGAGCATGTTGAGCAGTTTTATTCTCCGAGTGCGACCCTGCGGCAGGAAGCAGGTGCCGACAATGACCCATGATCTACGGAACATAAGGTGCCGAAATCCGGGCGACGTGTGGCACCTGCATTACGTACCTCACCTCCCAAAAGTACTAGGTACATGTCTTGCCCGGTAAGGCGGAGCTGTTGGAGCTAGAGGAAGTATGACGGAAATACCCGCTGTCACAGAATGGGCCTGCCGCTTCCATCATTGGGCATCAAACGACGAAGGCGGTATGATGTATCGTTACATGTTCTGCGGGTGGGTGAGATGGGTGAGCGTGAAGATGAAACGTACCCGCCCAGCAGATTGCGAGCACGGAAGAAAAGAAAAAAAGAAGAGAAGGAGAAAGATAAAATACATGAGAGAAAATATGACGGCAAAGATGAATCGAAAGCGCAACGTCAAAAAATCAAGGCCGGCAACTCGTGCTCCCCACACTTGTTAGGAGGCCCGTTGATCACTTAATCCAGACTGCGGTTAACCATCCACCACTTCCACCACCCAACACTTCCACTATCCACCATCCACCACCCACCACTTCCACTATCCACCATCCACCACCCACCACTGCCTTGTGTTGTCGGTTACTGGGCTCTGGGATATGCTTTATCAAACCCCTGGCAACTCGTTGAGTTAGGGCGAGGTGAAGAGGCGGTTCAGTCTTTAGATGCTGTTCAGAACCACGTCAGTCCACCTCAGCTTCAGAACTTCCGGACCGTAACGAAACAAGATGAGTATCGGCGTAGGTTATTGTCACCACATGAAAGTGTTACAACTCGACTAGGACATCTAGAGTTTGGAGGCAGCCATAGACTCGTTGCTTGGTCGCCAATGAACTACCTACCTAATCAACTTCGGGCTAGCCTCAGAACTGCAATTGCGTCAAAGACGGATAGCGCATACATTACGTTGTGCCATCAGCGCCCCAGGATGCTACCCGTCAAACATAACAGCCCGATGGCCGGCATTATTTACCTAGGTACCTAGGTAGATATGCAGACGCAGAGCCCCAATTATGCAGGGGCCCTATCGCCGGGTTATGACGTGGCCAGCCTTGCCAAACCACCAAGGGGAACGGAATGTGTGATTAATGTGGCAGTCATCGTTAGAACTAGTCAAGTAACGGCGGCTCCCTGGCTTGGTGCTCGACCAAGGCTTGGCGCTCGACCAAGGCTACGGGCACGGAGATTACATATATATGGACATGAACACGCTCATGCGACGTGCCACAAGAGTGCCATACATTCAGGTTCCGGTGAAGAAGCGATGGGTATTAAGCTACATTATAATTGTATTTAGCAGTCTCCATGTGCCTAGCCGGGGCAGTCCAGATAATGGTTAGATTATAAAGAACATGATCTCAACTCTCCGCCTTGGCTGCGGCACAGATGCCGTGCCAATCCGAGGCCTAATTAGCGAGTGACTAGCTGGGTGTCAGGTGCCTGGACGACTATCTAGGTAGGCTCCCTCAGGTTAGGCCTAGGCAAAGTGGGGGGCGTTCAGGAAAAGACCCATGAGAACACCGGCGAGGGTTCCTGCGATGGGGATGGTAAGAATCCACGAGAGGGCGAGCAGGCCCACCCGTTGGAAGTTGACAGCCTTGAGAGTGCCGTTGCAAAGGCCGACTCCGACAGTGGCGCCCGTGATGCACATGGACGTCGACACGGGGAGAGAGTACTGGGAGAAGACGAGGACGGTGATGGCAGCGCCCATCTCCATGGAGCTGCCACGACTGGGCGAGTGATAGGTGATCTTGTTGCCCATGACTGTTTCAAGACTGTGTTAGCGAGGCGCGAAAAGGGAAGGGGTCAATGTCCGAGATGCCACGCTTAATTACCTTTCATGATGTTGTAACCGTAGGTCAGCAGGCCAAACGAGATGGTGAGGGCGAGGACGGCAAGCTGCCACACGGGAACCGAAGCCGAGGCAGTCGTGGCCTTGCCGGTGGACCAGGCCGAGTAGATGACGGCCCACGGGCCAACCGAGTTTCCAATGTCGTTGGCGCCATGTGCAAACGAGGCAGTGCAGGCCGTGAGAACCTGGACGAACGAGTACGTGTGTTCGACCTCGTTGGGGTATTTCTCGGCGTGCGCATAGACGCGCGCCATGCGGGCGCCCTCGGGGGTGCCCGAGATGCCGGTCTGGGCGGCGTGGATGTCGTAGTGGGCGCCGTAGAGGAGGGCGACAGTGACCTGGGCGGGGAAGCGCTTGAAGAGCATCTTGAGGTTCTGGAGCTCGTATATCTGGCCAGGGCCCATGGGGTTGTCGCGCAGCCACCGCATGGCCCAGCCGATGGGGCCGCGATTCTTGAGCAGCTTCTCGTGCAGCCGCCTGTCGCTCAGCGCGTTGAGCTCCTTGTACGTGAGAGGGGGGGCCACCTCGGCGGCGGCAAGGCTCTTCTCGTGGCTTGCCGGCAGTGCGTGCGGTGCGTTGGGGGCATCTCCGATCTCGGCGCCCTTGAGGTTCTCGTCGTCGCCTACCGACTCGGCGGGCGAGCGCGTTGCCGTGGTCGGCAGCTGCTCGGGCTCGTCTTCCTGGACGACGGCATAGTTGGGCACGTTGGCGCGGTCGGCAACGGCCACCACGGGGCGCTTGAACAAGAGGGGCCCGTAGACAAACATCCACCACTTGACGCCAACGTCCTTCTTGATGGTCTTGGCGTGCACAAAGGGGACGAAGAAGATGGCCGACAGCAGACACACGCCGGCGCCGGTGCCCAGGGTGACGGCAACCACGTACTCTGGCGACTTCTTGTTGAGGCCGAGATTGGGCGAGCCCTTGTAGACGATGGACAGGGTGCAGATGGTGCCGGCGATGAGAAAGAAGAAGGGCGACGTCCACACGGCCCACGGCACCGGGTTCTTGCGCATGTGCACCGTGAGCTTGATGAGCATGAAGATGGTGGCGCCAAAGCCGCCGGCGATGGCGGGGGCCATGAACAGCCCGGCGAAGATAGCCCCGAGGCCCTTGCCGCCGTTCCACCCCCACTGCACGTTGGCCGCACCGACCGTGGCCACGCCGACACCGGCCACGGCCGACACCAGCGAGTAGGTCGACGAGACGTGGGCCGAGTGCCGAGTGCACCACATGACCCAAGACGAGGCAGCAGCGAGAGCGCAAGTGAACGCCAGCATTTGCACGCCAGCGTTGTCGTGGAAGGCCGTCAACGGGATGATGCCGTTCTCTGCAGGGCAACTGTCAGTTCTCCGACGTCTCTGTCTCCACTACCTGTCTAACTCCTCTAATGAGACCTGGCCCCTTCCAAGCCACGAGGCCCCTACGAGGTTTGAATGCAAGGACATACTGATGGTCTCAGCGGTACGGGCACCGACGGTGATGGCACCAAGGGTTTCGAAGATGGTGCCGAGAATCATGGCCTGGCGGTACGAGATGGACCGTGAAGAGACACTAGTCGCCCACGAGTTTGCCACATCATCTATGAGACGCCAAGAGGCACCCAGTCAGTAAGGGAACCCAACATTGAAGCTAGCCAGCGGGTGAGCCCGGGCAGGCAGGCAGGGCAGGCAGGCAGGGCAGGAAGCTCAGTCCAAGCCACACTCACTTGCGCCATTGTTGTAGGCATCGAGGAGGGCGAAGAAGGTGCCAATGGCAAAGATGTAGGAGTAGTCGTGCGGCGTCATGTCCGAGGTTCAGGTCGCGGAACAGGCGCGAGACCGTACTATCGGTGGGTGTTGATGAGGATGGTCGTGTCAAGGGGTCGAGACTCACCAAAGAGTGCGGCGCGCGCAGCTTTTATATATGCTGCAGTCTGGCCTAGGGCGTGCAGTCTAGGGCAGCATTGCATACGGAAGGGAACGTGATGGCAAGCAACCGATGGCGCTGGCTGGCAGGCGGCGAGGCACCTGCCCTGCTTGGTGCTAGACCTAGCTTGAGCTACCTAAGGTATGTACATACCTAGTCCTAGGCAGGTTATCCTCTCTCTCATGATGCTGCTGCTGTAGCGCCGCTGCTGCAATGCCAGAACGAACTAGCTGTGGAACTAGTAGCTTCAAGCCTGCAGCTCCTGGGCAGAGAGCATAACATGTCCGTACCGTGGGCCATCATTGTCACCGTCGGCAACGAACCGCTCTCCGCTATCATCTCCGTTCGCCTGACCTGCCTTGCCAATGGCTTGCGCGCCCACCCACCAACCCCCATGCCAATCATCAGCCAACAAGCAGCCAACCACGGGCCAGGGAGCCGCCGCTCTGGCCCGTCTTCTTGCTCCCCCCTCTGGGTCACCGAGGCTGGGCCTGGCTGCCCTTCCTGGAGCCAGAACAGCCAGGGCCGAAAGCCAGTGTGGCAAGAGCGGGCGCCGCGAATTATTGGTTCGTTCCTCCCACGTTGCGAAGCGATAGATTGTGCTGCCGCAGAGCGAAGCAGCTGGCCCTCTACCTATCGACGTCCCTCAAGCCGCCTCGTGGGCACTAGACGCCTCCTAAGTGGTCAATCTCGCCGATGCCAAGATCTCGGGACCAACCCCTGTCGGCAACCCCTGTCCATGTCCCAAACCACCAACCCACCAAAACATGCCCAAACAGGAAGCGCAGGGGTTCCGGTTTGGACCGACCCAGCTGCACGGTCGACCCCGAATCCGCGACACACGAGCAAAAAAAAAATGATTTTCTCTCGGCGTGGGATGGCAAACTGCAGCAACTCTCGTAGCTTGTAGCAAATCGAATCGCGCCGCCAAGGCCTGCGTATCGAGATCCTGGCAACTCTCCGTAATAATTAATAATGATAATAATAATCAAAGACCGAAAAAACTTTGTCCGAGCTGAAATCCAGAACACCTAGTCGAGCACATACTGTAAGACGGTAGGTCGGCATGGGGAACACGTGAAGACGTGCCAATCACGTTCGCTGCCCCGAATTTGTTTTAGTGTATACTATGTAGGATGCCGACTGCTGCTAGGTAGGTAGGTAGGTACGGAGACTGCCAGGGACATTACCTAGCCAGCCAACTTAACTCGGCATCTCAGGTTCATGTTCCGGGCTCTCCTATGCTATTCGTATTACTTCACACATGCCTGCCTAGGTAATGCATTGACACCATCGAATACGGAATCCGAGGTCATCATAGAGCACACGGTCCCTGTGTATCTCACCCGCCTCAAGTACCGGGTAAGGTAAGTACCTTCCATTGCTGATTACTAGGTAGTGCCGACCTCGAGCTCAGCACAACCACGGGGCAAGGGTAGACATGCTGTCAACCACGCAAACTATAACTGAACGATGGGCCACACCTATGCCTTTCATGCTGCCATCGCAGACTCACTCAGTCATGGAATGGTATCCGCGGATATCCTACACGTACATGTACATACGGTGGAGGTGTGCATGTTGATCCTCGACCTTGAAGGTAACTTCCTGACCAAAGGCCCTTCAAACCGTGACCCTGCCATCCCCGCCAACTCCCCCCCCCGCACCTGGGGCCAAGACCTTCGCGCCGGGGGAGCCTAACCTGATCAGGGACCGACGTTGGGTTACACCCTCATGCGGTGGCGGGAGCTAAAAGTTCTCGAAAAAATTCCCAGGCAGCCAGTCAGAGGCAAGTTATCCAGCCCGTGCTACGATCAGCTCACACTGACCAATACACTACAACCAGCAATTGCTCATCCCACACCTCACCTCACGGGTTACGTAAGGCTAGACTCGCTCTCGACCAGGCCCTGTCAACACTTGATAGTTGACAGTTCGCCCTCCAATACGCATCTACTACCTCACCATCTCGGCATGGCCGTCTAGGGCGATCCTTCGGCTTACAAGAGATTCGCATTCCCAAACCACGAACAGTCGGGACGCGTCGAGCACACGCTCACGGGGGGACCTTTTAGTGTCTTGATTTATCATAGGTAGTCGCCCGAGAGAACTCGGAACTATTGGCAAATGTTCTCATTAATTTGCGTCCGGCTCTGACCAATCCCTTACCTGAACTCCGTTTATTAGCCATAGATAGGTAATAATTGCAATTACACGGAACGACAATGGGGCAAAGCCACGACAACCTGCTCGGATGGCAAGAACCTGTCTATTCCCAAACTTTGCGGGAGGACTTGGACCTTGTGTGCCCAGCATGAAGAGAGTCTCGGTCATGAACCGAGATCTGAAGTCCTGCCAACGTCTTAATAGCCATGTCCCAGACAGCGCTGCTCTCTTACCTGTAACTATGGAAAGTGATTACCTCACATACCAGGGACGAAGCGTCAAGACATGCCGTATTTCTGCGTGTCTTCTCCTTTTGCGCGTTGTGCCCCCTCCATGGATTCTTCATTTCCGCGTTGACGGGAAATGGTGCTGTGGATAAGGTGGTTACCAGATTTCCATCAAAACTCTTCCCACGTCGGCCATTTCCACGTCGGCCATTCCTTCGTCGGCCATTCCTTCGTCGGCCATTGCCACGTTTTCTGCTGGGTGAGTATCGATCTTCATCATCATCGGGACGGGCCTGCAAGGCAAAGGGCCAGACCCTGTCACCTGGCATTCTTATGCTTGACTGTGCATCTGTGGCCCGCATTTGACGCTCTGCAGTGATGGGAACTCATCTTGCCACCCGCACCTCGTTGCATGCTGTATGTCTAAACCGGCCCCCTTAGGCACATAAATACCTGGGCTAGGAGGTACCGAGATTCAACGTCGTATTGGTAAAGGAGCTGCGTAGAAGCCCATATTTACCTGTCCAGATCAGTAGACTCGCCATATTTACATGTCCAGATCAGTAGACTCGCCACCATGATCAACGCAGTCATGCATGGCTCGTGGTCCGAACTGGTTCGTGGCGTATTTAGGTCTTTGACGTGAGCTGATTACCCCTAGGTAGGTAGGTTCTACCTTACCCTTTACTCTTCCATCCAAAGGGGGCTCAATCGCCACAACAATGCTAATTACTTTATATCTTGCACTCGAACTCGGCTGGACTAAGAAAGCCGGGGCCCGGAATGACTGGGTAGCAGCACGACAGCGGAGGCGGAACGGCTAGTTTCCGACTATCATGGAACTGTCCTAATAATGATACCGAACAAGAGCAAGGCACGCCAAATCGGTCACTCGTCGTCCCGATACATGCGCCCTAGCTCGGTTAGCTTCCCGTCAGCGCCCAGCATAGCCGCCCAGGTGCCCACGGTACCCGTGTCGCGCATTGCTCCAAACCACGCGTAGCGCTCAACCCAGTCCAGCGAGTCGAGGTAGCGACAGCTCTCGCGGCAAAAGTGTTCAACGTGCGACCTCGGCAGCGGGTCCTCGGTGCTCCAATTAGTCGGGGCAAACTCAGTCACCCAAACCGGTCGGTCCGGACCCAGCTGGTGATAGGTTGACCACAGGTAGTCGTAGAATTGGCCCAGAGTCTCGCCATACCAGTGCAGGGCATAGAAATCCACGTCGCCGCCCTGGGCGCGGATGGCAGCGAGAAAGTCGCGGAGCCAGGCCACGCCTTCGGGAGCGGACGAGATGCCTGGGCTGCCGCAGCAAATCCCGGCTCGTCTTAGAGGTTCGATGCAGCGCAGCCACTCACGGGCAGCCAAGTCAACAGCCATGTTGGCCTGATCCGGCCGCTCCGGCTCGTTGAATCCCAGAACGGCGCCGGACCCGGCAATCTTTGCGCAATCGGCAAGCCCGTCGATATTGACGTGATTCCACTGCATGGGCACAAACTGCAACGAGCATGATGGCGTGGGGTTGGGCGACCAGTTGTACAACCACGACACACGCGACCCTGGCTTGGTGAAGATGAAGGCCGCATCAGTGTTGGTGGTGGGCCAGCAGAGGCCGCGCTTGCTTGGCGCCATTGCACTGGCGTCCACTGGCGTCCACTGGCGTCCACTGGCGTCCACTGGCGTGCACCCGAGTTATAGATACAGGACAATAAACAGGGGGTTAGGGTCCGGTTGGGGTGTCTGTTTCTGCCACTGTCGCTGATGACGACGACGACGACGACGATGATGGTTATGTTGCTGCTGGTTGTGGGTCGAGTTTCGGCTTCTGTGCGTTTGTGTCCGGGCCGGTTTCCATGGGAAGCGAGAATTCCACCTCGCGTCTTGGCGGTGACGTCGCTCGAAATTGTTCAACCCTAACCCTTTCCCGCGAAGTACAGGAGCTGGTGTCAGGGGCGTGGCCGTCATCCGGGCCCCGCTTTTCCGTCAACCAGACCCGCCATTGTCAACCGATTACGCCCGCCCGCGCAGGGGGGTAGTGCATACCAAGCCCCCCGGTACTAGGGCCCCTTTTGCCTAGATTACGCGTCAGATGACTGCGCTAGCCCTGATGTCAAGAGGTCTGTTTTGGCCCGCACGCGCCGAATGTGCCCTCTTCCTACAACCACAACGCGCATACAACCAACACCGCTCTCAACAACGCCACTACGCCCTAAGCCGTAGCCCCCTATGGCTTCCCAGCTTGCCAACGCCTTCCTGCAGGCCGCGCAGGGCTTCCTCGCGGCGCCTGCCCCGGCCCTGGCCCCGCCTACTGTTCCCGAGACGGGCGCCCTGAGCCAGGAGCTCCAGAGGCGCATCGAGGCCGCGCGCGATGAGACCCTCGAATACCACCGCACACATCGGCCGCCCAACACGGTACGGAATTATGGCCCGAAGCAAAAGGAGTGGAAGGCCTGGTGTGTTACACAGGGCTTTCCCCCTGGGGGCCAGTACCTTCCTGGCGACTGGGTCGATGAAGGTAAACTCTTGCTCTTCATCAAGGAGGAGGTGGTATCGCGCCCCCCGCGTAAAGGCATGAGGCTCGCCGAAGAGAAGAAGCGTAAGGCTGCAAGCCAGGCCCAGGGCCAGCCGCCCTCTAAGAAAGGCCCTGGCTCTGGCCCTCGCTCCTCTAATCACCTAGTTATTGAGGGCGAGGACGACGAAGAGCAGTCAGACCTTGTACTCATGTATAACACTGTTCGGGGCTACGTTTCTGCGGTCAAGGAGCTTTGGTCTCTACAAACCTCGCAAGGACTTCACAATGCACCGCAGCCGAGCCGCGTTGCTTTGAAGGCTTTGGAGATGTCGATCATTCGAGGCGAGCATACTCGCCGGAGGGAGGAATTCACAGACCGGGGGATCTCCACGTTCCGTGATGGCTATGTTGCCTCGCAGATTCCCGACCTCCACCACCAAGTCTGGAGCGAAGGCTTAGGCCGGGGCACAGTTGAACAGGCGTTACGGACCCAGGTCGACTTTTTACTGGGGAATTCGATGCTTTTACGCTCGAGTAACCGTTTGCCGCTCGAGCTTGCAGACCTTTTCTTCATGCCATTACCTAAAGAGGGCACTAATGGCGATGGCTGGTGCTTAGTAGCAGTTATGGACCAAGGCAAAACAAACCAGCACGGGTGGCTTGAGTACGGCGCTGTTCTCCGCCACCGGAACTACCAATCGTGCCTTATAGGCGCTCTTGCGGCATACTTCTTCTGGCGTTGGCACATGTCAGGCGAGTCTTTTCCCTGCTTTCACAAAAGCCAAGACTGGTATAATATCAAGCTCCTCAAGCGTGACAACGCCAACCTCGATAAGAAGCTCTCGGACTCAACGGCGAATTCGTGGACAAGGAGGCTATATACTCTCAGCGGTATCCAGGGCTCTAAAGTCTCGCATATGCCACGGTCGTCAGGGGCACGGATTGCTGAGGCGAATAACGTACCTGAGGCGCAGATTCGCCGTCGAGGACGTTGGAATAGCGATCAGATGACTGGCTGTTACCTGACCGAGTTGCCGCGCCAGTTTATGCGAGGTGTAGCGGACTTTGAGCCAGATTACGCCTCCAGCTACTTTGTTCCACGCGAAACGATCAAGCCGCCGCCTTCTCTACGCCGGCAGGTCTGGCCACAGCTCGACCGCTGGCGCCAAGCACATCTTGACCTCCCTGGTGCTAGCGAAGTGGTTGAGCCAAACCTAGCCGCAGGCGGATTCCTTGAGCTTCTTGATAGGCTCCGCGATATTTTCCTCCAAGATTCGGTATTTATCCGGCAAAGCCATCCAAGCCATCCCATCTTTCGTGATAGCCTCTTTGCCACGGCCGAATATGCCACCTTCGCCACCGCAGTTATAGCAGCAACCGATACGCTCTATCACGAAGATCCACACCTAGTTGCTATCCAAAAAGCAATCCCTTCGGTTAACGAGCGTTTACGGGTAATATCGAGCATTATCCAGACCGGGCAGGCCGCCCAAGCAACCTCCTTGGCTCAAGTAACGAGCTCGCTTGACCAGCTTGCCGCCAAACTCGACGACTTTCTTACAGGGTCCTTTAGTCTTCACTTTACACCGGGGAGGAGCCGGATGTTACCCCAAGGCCACGATCCTACAAGCCAATACCGCCATCAACATACACCACCGTCTCCGCTCAACCTAGATATAAGCCAGCCGCAAGCTACCACCCTCGGTAACCTAATAGAACAAGCACCAATGCCAATACCGTCATATAAACTCTCACGCGAAATAGCCACAGTCCCTGATCTGTGGAGGGAGTGGACAGTAGGGCTGGCGGGCCTTCCAGCAGTTGCAGCGCTGGATGCAGCACACGGGAGCCGTTGGCGGTCTCCATCAGAGCGGCAGTACTACTCGATGCGTAAGGTCATCATTGACGAGATCATAGCCATGGCAGGGAGCCCAAATAATACAGATGGAATAGCGGTTGCAATAGAGACCCTAGAGCGGCGGCGAGCCCAGGGCAAGGCATCGTTGGATAAGCTCATCAAGCAAATAAAAGGGGGCCGGAAAGGCCAGAGTAAATAGATTGAGGGTTAGGGTTTTGAGGGCTTTGAGGGTTAGGGTTTTTGGTTAGTTCATGGCAAAATGACTGCATTCGCTCAATTATGGCCCGTTTGACCTCAAAAAAATCGGCATCTAGTACTCTTATAACTAATTCTTCATATGCCCCGATTTTAAAGCCATCACAGGCTCTATTGCGTACGTAGTCGCTGTGTAAAGTCGGTGAAGGCCAGTTTTGGTGATGTCACGGGCCGATTACGGATTTGGCGGGGTCAGCGGCGGATCCGCCACCCAAACCCCCCTCTGACATCCCCCTGCTGTCTGGGCTATGGAAGGTGCCCATTATTTTCGCTTCACGAGTAGGAAAGGAACTCAAATATCCGTCTGCCCGGCTTATTTACCGTAATACGGTTCCAGTACCTTGGCCAAGTTCAGAAAACTGATCATAATTCCAAAGGACAGGAGCAAAGTTGCTCTTGAATGTTGGCTCGTCTCCTGCGTCTTCTCGTCTCCTGCGTCTCGCAATTGCCCACTTCAGGAAACACTTATTTTCAAGAAACACTTATTTCAGGTACCTGTAGAGAAACTGTTGGAATAGCGATACTGGTGACCGCACACTAGCAGGGAGGAAGCAGAGATCGCGCGAGTACGCACGTGCAAGTAGGCACGTGCGGCGCGCGGACCTCTCACACACACACAAAAACCCCGGTCGCAAGCAGAACCTACCTTAGTTCCAGAGAGAGAGAGAAGATGAATAAGAACAACTTTACACCCCCCCCCCCCGGTAGTACTACCACTTTTTGACCCGTTGGAACACCTACGTGGTTGGAATATCACGAACAGAAACAACACTCAGTGTCTCTACTGCCATCTTGCCAATCTGCTACAATAGTCGACCTATTCCAATATTGAATGCACCAAGCATAAGGTACAAATACCTTACCTAGGTGGTGTTTCTGCTCACTCTTCTTAAAACGCAGGCCGAAAACCTTTCGAACCAACCTTGCCTCCTGCCAAGGTGATCAATTTGGGGGTCTCTGATGACTCAGCATTTTTTTTTCGCAGCTCTGGAGCAGGGGCGGTGGCATACCACGTTGAGGCTCTGTGCAGCAATGTAAAAGCTCCCAAATTCCGAGCCCCGTCCCGACACCTTGATTCGCGCCAACATCGCCTTGTCGCCCAACACGTACGAGTCGCTGCCCCGCGCTCAAAATGCCCAGACCAAGACCCTAGCAGTGCAGAAGAACCGAATTGGTCTCAGTCTCCATCAGTGCCGACCATGTTTCTCGTGCAAGCGCAAAGGCGGCGGCAGCAATGGCTGCTTCTGCCGCTGTTGGTGGCCACAGCTTTGCTCGCCGGGCGTGTGCTGGCCAACGAGAACACGCTCCCTTCTTATTATTATGCCTCCCCTATCCGCGTCGAGTGCATGAACCGAAGCTCGTGAGTCAGTCCCAAACCGCCGCCGAGATAATTGCAGGACTGCCTGCCACACTGCGGGATAGGTACAGGTACAGGCGAGCAGCGCTGACCGGCCGTAGCGAGACGGGCGAGCATATCGAGAACGCGGCGCACGAAATACAATGGATCCCGTTCCCCGTGTGCAACGAAACCGGCCAGCCCCTCGAGTTCCAATACGGCGTCGAAGGCGAGAAGAATTGCACCATCGACATGGTCAGCGACCCCTTCTTCCACCTCCTAGAGTTCTACATCCACAGCGACGCCCCGCTCGCGTGCCGACTACCATCGCGACCTCCCCCGCATATCCACGTCGTCGGCGACAAGGTCCCCGAGCCCGAATACGTCCCGCTCGTCTTTGCCCTCGCTGGCACGCTGCAGCTGAGCCACATGCACATCAGCACCCACCTGAACGTGCTGCTGCACAGCACCCCCAAGCACCACATCCACCCTCACGACAGCGGCGTGCTAGACAGCGGTACTGCCTACAGCACGAGCCCATTGACACACATGGAAGGCAGCGCCACGCGCCGCCTCGTCATTGGGGACCCGCTGCCATTGAGCTTCAGCGTCCGCTGGTTTCCGACGCCGGCTCTGCCCAAGACCGAGGGTAAGGTCGAGTGGGCCGGCATGGGAGGACACATCTACGCCAGCACTGTCTTCTACAGCCTCGTTTCGTTCTTGACTGGCACCGTCGTGTCTGCCGTATACTTTTTCGGCTCGGTGCTGCCGCGTCGCTTGCGAGGTCGGGGCATGGGTGGCGCGACACCCCTTGGCTTTGGGCTCAACGGGGTAGGTAACGGTTGGGGATACCAGAAGCGGGCCATCGACTAAGAGCGCACGTGTCGCGTTACAGATCGGAGGGCCATACAAGACAGCGATATGGGAATATGTCACGGATATTTTTGCTGCACCTTGTTTTTTTTTGTTTTTATTCTGCGCACAGGCCCCTGGCCTCACATGGATACAGAACCGTGGTCGGCTTGGAGTTTGGTCGGTGGTATCCAGCGTTGCATGTCTTGTCATACCCCTAGTCATATTGGCGCCATCTATCTACTTTACACTTTCGAAGCTGCCATTTACGCCCAGTACATGCCATGCCACATGCCACATGCCCTGGTTTGGTGTTCCGATTCTTGAGCCCGGGAATGGCAAGGGTGACATTGGGGCTCACTGGCCTTTCTTGCTCGCGAGGGCAGCATCGGCAGCCTTGAAGCGGGCGAGAATTCTGCACGCCATGTCGATGGACATGAGAAATGCTGTGTAGAGGTTAGACCACCCGCAACTACAACAAGGCAAGCTGGACAAGGGAACCTACGAATGGCAAACCACGGCCCAAATAACTGGAAGGTCAAGGTCCGCTTCACCTCGGGCGAGTACGCGGCAGGGTCCCAGTACGCGACGTCGTGGATGCACACGAGCGTCGTCAGGGCCGTCTCAAAGCCGTACAGGAGGAGCAACAACTCGGTAGCGCCCGACGTGCCGCGGCGCATCACGCCCAGTTGGAAGACGGCGTACAGGACGGCAGGCAGAATGAATGCAAACTCGAGATACAGGAACAGACCCATCCAGCTGTCGTGGCCAGATGCAGTCTCGGGCGACCACTGCCCAATCGGGTCGTTGTATGTCGCGACGTAGTCTTGCTTGATGTTGTAGGCAAAGTGCAGCGGCGCACCGGCAGGCTCATACATGGAAGAAGGGAAGAAGTAGTCTAGCCCATCGATAACTTGCAGTTCACCTCTATCAGCACCATACACCATGCCGGCACGTAGTCACGGGCGCACGGGGAGAATGGAGCGGCTTCTTACGGACGATGATGGGGACCTGCAGCACAAACCACGCCAGCCACACGTGGTTCCTTGCCGACGTGTTATAGACCGCCATTCTGAGCGAGGGGGAGAGCAGGTCGCTGCGAAGCGCGGAATAATAATGGTTATGATGGCGAATGAGGTGGAGATCTCGTGCCGGTATTGTACTAGTAGATACAGAACAGTGCCTCTGGACAACCGAGCATTGACGGGACGTCGCGCTGGGTTCTCCTGTGTTTCAATGATTTTCGTTTGGACCCAACAGTGAGGCTAAGCCGCTAAGGATTTTCCGGGATCCCTGTACTTAGGTACATGTACCTAGCTTGGCCCGCTGCAACCACAGCGTCCTCCAGGCCCCCGCAGGCTCCTTCAACCTAGGTGGTTCTCCGCGTATTTCAGGGACAAACGGCTGAGCTCGAGCCCCAAGCGTCGTTGCATCCCAACGCCCAGGGCAAACTATAATTAGTGCGGCACATTGAAAACAAGAGATGGTGGTTTCCTAGCTAGTTATCTTGGGTATGAGTATCAATTGACTCATCACTGCCACTCAATTGTCCACTTCGTTGCCCGAGCCCGGAGAATTGGGAGGAACGCCATACTACCTGCAATCCGGCGGAAGAGACGATGACAACAACCAAAGGATCCCGGGAGAAATCACGCCAAAAACTCATTTGGAGGCTTTTTGTAGGTACTGGCATAACCCTAACCCCCCATTGAAGACCAGTCGTAATTAAGTGGATTATCCCGCATACCCTTCAGCATGTTGATGTTTTTGGTACTCTCCTCCTGACTCATCTTGACCCCTTGATTCTACGCTGGCCGCGCTTTGTTCTTATTCAGCTCCGGCTCTCGCACCGACGCCGAGTCTGACGCCTTTCTGGCTGCATCTGCGAGGTTCCTCGGGCTTTCTTTCAGTTTCTCAGGGACCCTGATCTGTAGATGTCTACAGCGTCAATAACCTCCCGGTCATGGGAATTTTCATCATGAAGCCTGGAGTTGGCTTTTTGACGGTTCAATTTGGTAAATACTGCGTTCAAGAAGTCCGTGTTATTGATAGACTCGCCCTGTCCATCTAGTATAATACGTCCCCTCAAAGTAACCCTTGCCCACTGTAGGTGAATAGTTCGAGGTAAAGCATTTCGATAAACTTGGCCTATTGTTGCGCCATATTCAGACGGAGCGACGCAGCGACAAGGATGCGGTCCGCTTTGTGACGCGTGTGTTCTGGAAATACCGGCCTCTCGGGTCTAATTAGGTCTTGCGGGATCCTGGCCAGGGCCTTCAACTGATTGCTAAGTTAGGTGGGGGGGTAAGCGAACACTACTGATTTAGAACATTCTGTATAAGCAGGAGTCCCAACTAACCCTCCAACAAAAGAAAGGGTGATCTTTTTATTTACAAAACTTCAATACAATCTTTGATATCCTCTGAATCATCCGCTTCTTCCGCATCTTCTAAAACCTCTGCTGCACGCCCTACAGCTCTCTGGGCCTCACGAATAGTCTGAATATTCGCAAAGGTGGTATTTGGATCTTCTTCAACCTTCTTCTTCTTTCTGGCTCTTATTGATTCGAGAGTGTGTTCTAGACCTTCAATCTTTCGCTTCCTAATAGCCAGTTCAAAGGCCTGTTCATCCAAAGCCTTACCAATCTTTCTGAGGAAGAGCTTATCCGCTGGCATTGCTTTGATGATGCGTGCGAACTTCTTTGCCTGCTCAACGTAATCACGTGCCTTTCTAGGAGTCCTCCACTGCACCCCATCGTCTCCATAATCCTCCAGGATTGGCATACGGAGTGTGCGAACCTCTGGGGTAACTATAGTAGTTCTTAAGGGGCGTGAAGTATTAGAATTCTTGAGGAGGAGTGGGCTTCTTAGCGGTTTGTTGACATTCAAGGGCCAAAGGCCTGATGCCTTCCATCCTGACTTAGCATTACTCTTAGTAATTGCCTCTGTGCGTGAAATCTGGTAGCATTCCAGAAAGGCACGTTTTCCGGCTACAGAAGAGTCGTCAAAGGCGTTAGCAAGAAGGTCCTCAAGCCGTCTGCGATAAAGTCGTTTTAGGGGGCCAAATATGGCCAAATCTAGGGGTTGGAGGACATGGGAAGTATGGGGAGGCAGATAAGTAATGTGAATATTGTTTGTGAATGCCTCCCACATATAATCGGCAGTTGTGTGGCTGCCATGGCCATCAATAATAAGGAGTCGTTTCTCAGAGGAGTTTGCTGGCTTGGTGAGAGGAATGAACACATTTTTTAACCATTTGAGGCTTGTCTCATCGGTAGTCCATCCTTTCTCAGTTGCTGTAAAGAACAAATCCTGAAATGGCTTCATATCCAAAGGAAACCATTGTTGTTGAACGCTTTTCCCCTTAAAAATGACCAAAGGAGGAAGGCAACGGCCAGCTGCTGAGATGCATTCGACAAAAGTGGTCCAAGTGCGGGTTCCAGGCTGTTTTTTTTGAAGCGCCTTAAAGGCACGGCTTCCAATGACAAGGCCGTTGGTTCCTCTGCCTTCCATAATACCAGATTCGTCCTTGTTCCAGCGATTCTCTGGCTTAATCGCCTTGATAGCTGGTGTTTGGAAATGGTTGAACCAAGGTCGAATTGTTGACTCTGTAGCGCAGTTGACGCGGACCGAATCGACTCTCTTGGCCCTCTGAGTCTTCAAAATTCGATTGCGGTTAAGAAAGGCACGGCACCACCCCTTTCCAAGTGGTAAGGAGTCCCCCCTTTCAGCTAGAATACGGCGTGCAAGCTCCCTGATCTGTGCATGTGTAGGGGGCAATCCTAAATCTTGTTGAAGAAGAATCCATTCGACTAAACGATCCTCTTGGGTCTGTGTAAGCCTTTGCTCATCTTGATGAGCAACATTTCGAGGTAGGGAGCCATGTAGACGGCCATAAAGGGTAGAGGGTGGAACGTTCCATTTTCGCGCGACTTTGCGTAATCGATGTGTTCTGACGGCTTCCTCGCAAGCCTTGCGGAGGTCTTCTTCTGTATATGAAACCATTGTCAAGAGAAGAATAAAACGAATTGAAGATGAAGAGAATTGGAAAAGAATTGGTTGAGTTATGGGCTTTTTATATAAGAGGGTTGGTTGTGTTCCTCGCTTATCTAGAATGTTCTGGATCAGTGGCGTTCGCTTACTCCCCCACCTAACTTAGTGCCTAACAGGATTGATGCTTGGCCGCCAAGGTGTCTTTGTCTCCGCGACAATCAAGGCAAGGGCTTGCACGAGGAACGGTGAGACGGCAGCCGTGTTTGTTTGATTTGGGGTTTGGTGTAGATAGGTTAGATCGCGTGAAATTTTGTATTGACTACCTATTGAGTTCCCAAGGTAGTGTTGTCCGTGATCGGGGGTGATTGTTGTGTGTGCTGTATTGCTCAGTTTGCTTGGCCGTTAGCATAGGGGTCCTTATATACACAACGTCTAAAGGACTTGTCACGTCCCCCTCGCAGAATACAATTGGATCTTGTTTTTCTTACCCGCCTCCGGGGTTGCGTTGGCAGACGACCAACAACCGGGTTGTCAGACGACTCCACCATGTTTGGTGTTGGACGAAGAGACAAGGGTTAAAGTAGGTACTGTGAACACTTCTGCCGCGGGGGGTTTGGGGGTTTCTCCCCTTTTGTCAAACAACTCCACTTTGGCTGGCAGCACCCCGCCAAACAACTCCGCTTTGGCTGGCAGCACCCCGCCACTCTTGCTGGGATGAAAGAGCGTTTTCATGCTCTTTCACTGGAATCGATTGCCAAATCCGTGCCAGCAGGCTAATCCTTCCAACAAATCCCCTGCCAAGCCGCTACCATGCCCGAATTCTTCCAAACTTCAGCTTTCCATGTCCCCAACCAGCAGCGTGGAAAGCCGGGCCCGAATGAATGAGCATGCGGTCTCGTGAGTACTATCGGGAAGACGGTATTTTGCGCGTCCATTCTAACCTTGGAGTTCTTCTTTCTACTCGGGCCTTGAAACAGGTTGTCCCGCAGTGCCGCCTTGTCTCACGCCACCACTCCTCTCCTTCTTGATCCCCACCCTGAGAACCTCCATAAGGCTGAGATAGTCCTTCCGCTCGAGGGCGTCGACCCACTGCTCGACGCGTCGGAGGTAGAAGCCGGCGCCGCATCTTGAAACAGCACCCAGGAAATCAACCTTGAGGGCGCCATCGGCGATTTCCATGTCCCACTCGGGCAGGCGCTGGCGCATGTGGGCAGCATAGACCTTCCTCAGCTGGGTCTGCTCGTACTCCATCAGGTGGATCCAGAAGAGCTCAGTCTTGCCCTCGTTATCGAGGCCGTCGTCGAGCCCCGACCTGGCCGAGGTGTTGCTGCCGTGGTCACTGACATCGGTGTAACGGTCGCGGTCGGGCATGTCGTGGCGGGTGGCGCCGCGCAGAAAGTCGGGCACCTGCAGGGCTGTCCAGCGCGGCACCGTCGCCAAGCACTGCCAGTCAAGGACGGCCGTGATGCGACCAGCATCGTCGACCATGATGTTGTGGAGCGTGAAGTCGTTCCACAGCACCGTGCGCTCGGGCGGATGCACGACAGCAGGGAAGAGCCGGGGAAGCATGCGGAGCAGCTTGCGGGCAACACGCAGCACGCCCTCGGTATACTCGCGGTCGTCATGGTGCTGCGTATCGGCCAGGGCGTTGGTGTGTTCCTTTGTGATGATACTGAGGTGAGCACGAAGCCAGTCGTAGCTCGACGGAAACGGGCCGCGCGGGACCGTGTAGTGGAAGTGCGGGCCCGAGAAGAAGGCGCTCGAGACGATGGGCCCCGGGCTGGGCGTGTTGGGGACGCTGGGGACATGGCTGCCGGCCTGGTCGCCGCCGGCCTGGTTGTCGCCGGCCTGGTCGGGCCCGGTGCCCAGAGTACCGATGCCGCGGAAGCCGACCCCCAAGCTGCTGCAGCGAAAGAGCTGGGCCTGGAAGTCTGCAACACGAGCGGCCAGGGCCTCCTTCTGGGCCATGGTCATGCCACGCCACCGGTAGTAGGCAGGCTTGCCGGGAACAAAGTCCATGAGAATCCACTCGAAGCCAATCTCGTTTGTGGAGGTGTCGTCAAAGGCGACGACGAGGGGCACCGGAATGTCTGTGTTGCGGCGCACCAGGGCCAGCGTAGCCATCTCGCCCCGTGTCTTGTTGCGTGGGTCGACGGGCAGAGACACGCGCATCATGAAGCGGCCGCGACGCGTGTCGACCAGATAGAGTTTGTTGAGGGCGCCAGCGGCATGGAAGTGGACAGCACAGTCGCCCTCGGCGCCTTCGCCCTTGCCCTCCTCGCCCTCTTGCGAGTGGGGAGTGGGAATGCCCAAGTGACGGCGGCAGACGCGCTGGATGGCGTCAAGGCTGGGCTCTCGCGTCCAGCACGGCTCCAGATCGATGCCGCCGTTGTCCCAAGCGAGCCCGTCTCTGGTTGCGTCCCTGGTCATTGTCGGTGACGGGACTGGCCTCTGTCGACTTTACTTTGATGATAATTATGGTCAGTCGAGTGAGAGTCCAACCCTAACTCGAGGGCGAGCTCCGACCGGGCGCCCAAGCACCGACACCGACACCGACACCGACACCAACACTAACACAGACACTGACACTGACGCTGGCCCTGAAAGTGAAACTAGCACCGACACTGGCACCGGCACCCTGCATGCTCTGTGTTGCGCCCGGCACGATGGGGAGCCACAGAGACGCTCACCGTTTGCTCTGCTGGGTATACCTATGACGTGGTTTGTACGTAGCAGGCGGCCACGGACCGACCAGAGGGTTCGGGTGCCAACTGCGAGAAAAATGTTTGGTTGGATTGGGCTGAGAAAATCAAGAACCCAAGTGGGACTCTCACTCGTGCATTCCCGAGCTCCCATTGGCCAGCCCAAGCCCCTGAGCTTGGCTTGAGAGAAGCAACCACTGGGCACGACTACTATACAGCCTTTTACATACCTACTTACCTTGCCTAGGTAGAGATTACTGTAGGCTCCGAGAGAGTGAGAGTTTCAAGATGGAGAGACTCAAGGATCCGAATCTAGGCGTGGCTTTACTTATTTACTAGGTACGTAATTAATTACTTCCATGCATGACATTGTAGCCACCTCAACAGCTCCCAACCATGATGATTCCAGTTGGGCGTATAATTACCGTATGTGCTCCATAAGGGACCCAGATATCGTTGAGGCGTGCAAGTCTCGACAGCGACATGCTGCACCTGTCAAACTCTCGAATAATAAGGAGTTGAGAGATGTCCAGCGTTACTTCCCCCGCAGCCAAAATCCTCTGATTCTATTGGCCCTCCGAATAATGGGGGCGGCGCAGCATACCATCGGACCAACCTGGTTGAAACGCGTCAGCTGCGTGGTGCCCTCCAATTACAGCTGGCAGACGGATACGGAGTACTTACTGCCCCCTCTCTCACCTCCAGCTTTGTCCCATGCCCGGATTGAAGACTTCCATTGATGATCGACGCCTCAATTCACCGGGACCTCACTCACCGGAACCTCACTCACCGGAACCTCACTCACCGGGACCTTACTCACCGGGACCTCACTCACCGGACCTCACTCACCGGACCTCACTCACCGGACCTCACTCACCGTGACCTCACGACCTCGCCTCAAACACAGCTCCGCTATGGACTTCCCGTCGCGATCCACCCAGGGTCTCGGCCTCAGACAGTCATCCGCCGCCGCTGACGAGACCACTAAGCAGTTTTTCCACCATTCCTCGGCCAAACGCGTCAGCACGGATGCCGTCATCACCAAGGCGCTCAAGGAACAGTATCCCAACCTCGAACTGGTCGTCGCCCCCGACTACGGCGTCGATCTCATTGGCTTCGCGTCTTCGGGCCATGCCAGCTTTACCTTGGTCGACGACGCCGGCGACGGGCTCCCTTCGTCCGTCATCTGGAAGGGCTACGCGCCCCCGGCCCGCCGTATCGACGGCAGCCCCGGCGCTCTGGTCCAAAACCTGTCATTCGCAAAGTTCTTTTACACGTGGAAGGGCCACGAGTTTGTCGTCTACGTGGTCAATGGCCGCGACGGCACTGGTGCGTGGCCCGAGGTCCGCAACAACTACATCCTGACCGCCGACACCCTCAAGGCCGACGCCCTCATCGTCGCCGCTGGCCAGTGGGCCAACGCTCTGCACGACGAGATCTGGGTCTTTGACCGCGGCATGTGGCAGAAGAACGCCGAGCTGTTCCAGAGCATCCAAAAGGCCTCGTGGGACGCCGTCATCCTCGATTCCGACATGAAACAGGCCCTCATCGACGACCACGAGTCCTTCTTCGACTCGCGCGCCACCTACGGCCAGCTGCAGGTCCCCTGGAAGCGCGGCATCATCTACTATGGCCCTCCCGGCAACGGGAAGACCATCTCCATCAAGGCCATGATGCACACGCTGTATGATAGGAAGGAACCCGTGCCTGCCCTCTACGTTCGCAGCTTCGCTTCCGTAGGCGCCCCTCCCCCCACTAACCAGTTCTGGCAGTAACTCCAGCTTCCCCTTTGGCTATTGGGTACCTACCTACTTTGCACCAATTTGATAACTGCTAATCACCCAATTGCCTACCTCTCGCCGTCACACAGTGGGGCGGCCCAGAACAAGCCATCATGGAGATATTTCTCAAGGCCAGGCAGCTGGCGCCGTGTTACTTGATTTTCGAAGACCTTGATTCCCTAGTGTCGGATTCGGTGAGGAGCTACTTTTTGAACGAGGTCGATGGCCTGAAAAGCAACGACGGCATCTTCATGATCGGCAGCACCAACCACCTCGACCGCTTAGACCCGGGAATTTCGGTACGTACCTACTAATTGTACCGCCATTTTGCATGATTCAGATTGTCTGGCAGGTGCCGGCCTCGGAGTGATCAAGTGGTCTGTGACTAACTCACTTTGCAGAAACGCCCGTCCAGATTTGATAGAAAGTACTACTTTTCAAACCCGAGCCTCGAGCAACGGGTTGCGTATTGCAAGTTCTGGCAGAAGAAGCTAGCCCACAACAAGGCCATTGACTTTCCAGACAAGCTGTGCGGCGCCGTCGCCGAAATCACTCACGACTTCAGCTTCGCGTACATTCAAGAGGCCTTTGTTGCTTCCCTGCTCTCTATTGCTCGAGACAGTACCCGAACTGCCGTGGGCGGTGCAACTGCCAACGAACTCGAAGATGGTTGGGTTGGAGTCTCGAGGGGCGACGATGGCGAGGACCTGGATGATCTTATCCTCTGGGTCGAGCTCAAGAAGCAGGTGGCCATCCTGCGTGAGGGGATGGAGGGAAAGCGGCAATCCGATATCCCGGAACGTGAGCCATTGAATTAACTGCCTGACGCGTGATTGGAAGCACGACCATATGGCGATTCCGTGAATCCCGAGTCGGAAGTTGGAGCGAACGATGCCGTCACAAATACAGGCACTATTGCTGCACTTGCATGTGGTCTCGGGAACCGGCAGAACGTGATGGCCGAGTTGAGTCGGCTTATGCTAAGATTCTGATTGTGTATTATTTGTGATGTGACCAAACGAGTGCGGCGGGAGCCTTCCCCTGGATTGCACAGCCAACATGCTGGGTGTTCGTCTCGAACGGGAATGAACGAAGGGCAGTCAGTGAGCTGCTTTAGCTCCGTGCTCCGTGCTCCGTGCCCCGCAAATCTCTCGGCGCCCAGAGCGTCTGCGCCTCTGTGGCGGCCAACCTAGTCACATTTTCATCCTGGACGGTACCTACAGCACTGTGCCCGACGAATGTTGGGTAATTAGCACAAATCGAACCCTTGGTGAGCATCGGCGCAACCATGTGCCGAAGCTTATGGCAGTTAGGTAGCACACCAGGCTAGCTTTCAGGCACGAATGCATGCAGTGGTGCTGCGCAAGGCCATCCAGGTTCCAATTCGGGAAGCTATTGGATAATTAGGCAGGTAAGGGACATGATCCAGGAGTCAGGTGAACCGTACGGCATTCTCAGATGTTTACCTAATAATTGCAATAATCACAGGGTTTGTACTGCCATGAAGACCATACTTCATTCTTCCAACCACCACACTTGGAACAAAAGGCGAGTGACGATTCTCGCCAGCGTCTCCAGGTAGTCACCCTAGTCTAGCATGTTGGTGGCCTGACGCGCCATGGGTTGCAAACCCCCATGTCACATTTCATCGTCTTATTCGTCCAACTTGACTGTTGTGGTGGCTTGCGCTATTATTTAGCGCCAGCTGCAAGCCTCGCAACGAATACGAGAATACAGGACGAATTATTTTCTTGGCATCACCCGTCCCACCCATGTCCACACTTCGCGATTTGGATTATAAGACCACCTATGGTCCTCCCAAAACAAAACAACCAGATTTCCGGCGCCAGTCTCACTTCCATCTCCTAGCTCTTCCAACAAACACACTATCAGCCAGCCACTCTTCAATATGAAACTCGGTTCCGCACTCGTAGCCTTGTCGACGCTCACCGCTGGCGTTACCTATGCCGCTGTCGTCGACCGCATCCTCTTGATGGGCGTATTTCGAGTCTCAACCACGGTCGGGTGCCCCTTAGGACCCTCAGATCTCAACCAAATTGGCCTCGGCGCGGATAGCCCCGACTGCCGCAACTTCTATGCCAACACCACGTACGGATCCATCGACGTCCTAAGCTGGTCTCAGTACTGCCAGCTCACCCTCTTCAACACGTTGGACTGCTCTGAAGGGGGCATTGTCTCCGGGCTGGGATGCTGGTCTCCGCCCGGCGGCATCAAGGCTTACAAGGCGACTTGCCCCTGGAAGGTATGGTGAATGGGGATGGGGGAGGCTCGGAGGCAAGGCCAGAATTGATTGTGATTTGGTCTTTTGGTATTGATGGCCCGGAGGCTACCTCAGCACGAATCGATCGAGCCTCTAATAAGGTCTCACGCGTTGTGAACTTTTTTTGGATACTTTGCTGGCCACCTAGTTTCTCATTTACAGAAAATCTACGTTCCCAATCCGCGGATATGATGCCACAAGTGGACTTAATGGGAGCGCAACAAAGTTATCTAGGTATGGATACCTAATTAATTACGTCTATATATCGGAACATGTCACGACAATAGGGATTAGTGAGCAAAAGAAGGACCTAGACGCTGCCACTTGATTCTTCGCCACCAGATTTTGCCACTATTCATAGCTAACTATAAAAGAGAGACTTTTGGCTCTCCCAAAGGAAACAAAAAGTCAGACCTTTTCAGACAATTCAAGCCTTACCTCCCTGCATCAAATGCTTCATTTCCGTTGCCCCGTGAATGCGCGTGACAGAACGCTTATCTCTCGCCCACAACTACCCCACAACATTTTAATTATTCGAGTAAGTAATGCCACACTATTGGCTGGTAACTTGTGGATCTGTGTGTAAGTGCAGTGCATAATCTACCGCGTGTGGACAGTGAGGAGAGAGGAAGAAAAATCAGGGGGTTCTGAAAGAGAGTGTTGACTGTAACTGTTGAGGCCGAGGCCCGAGCGGGGTGCTTGATTGTGCGTGATGCAAGCGCTCGACTAACCTTGCCAGCCCAAACATCAATTCATGTGCCGAGTAAGGCGCTCGCCTAGGGGACCCGACATTTTCTTGCCCGCTTCAGGTGGGTGACCTCGACCAGAGTTCGATGATTCCTCATCGCTTGCTCTGTCAGCCGGTCCCAGCCGGTCCCAGCTGACCGCTAGAAGCGTGGACCCGCTTTCCGTTCCGAGGAACCTTGGTGGGGTTTTTTGTTTACTGATCAGGTCGTTTGGGTTTTTGTTGAGCCGGATTTTTCTACCGAGTTCATTCACATATCCAGCTTGTGATTAGTGATCGGGCTCATAATGGTGCAATACAACAGCCCCGGTCCAACTGGGAGGCGTGTTGTTTATATGGGGAGCACTGTCAGTCATTCTGCCAGACAATTTCACTTTGTCCGAGACTCCAAGTTCTGTCCATGTTTGCAAGCCAAAATCCACACGCCTGCCATATCCACTTGCCTTTTGCAGCGGTTCTTGCTACGGTCTTGTTAACTTGAATTGGCCCGCGCAGGTCTGCTTCAACCTCTCATGGGCCTTGGACGATTTTCACTCACCAAACACATTACCAGCTCGCTAGTCGCTGCCTCTCAACCGACGACTTGCACAAAGGCTACCAAAATGACGACCGGGGAAGGCGTCGCCATTGCGCCCTTTGCTCTTGCAGAGAACAGCGATGAGACGACAGCCGAGGACAGCGAGAAGGCAGAGGCCGGGAACAGCGCGCCGGTATCGACCTCATGGGACACGGATATCAAAAACCCGTACAACTGGCCAGCAGGGAAAAAGGCATGGCAGGTCGGCATGGCGGCGTCGGCGGCCTTTCTTGCGTGAGTCACGACGCGAGTACTTGCACCATTGACCATTGACCATTGACCCGAGGCTCGGAAGACTCGGCATGGTGATGGTAGTGATGCATCAGTGAATGCTGACGACCGACGCGTTGCTCGAGAGCAGATCCATGGGAACCTCCATCATGACGTCTTCGCACAGTCAGCTGATGCAAGAATTTGGCGTCACGAGCACGGCAGCCATTGTGCCCTTGTCGATATACGTGTTTGCGCTTGCCCTTGGCCCCGTGGTTGGGGGTCCTCTGTCCGAAACCATTGGCAGATATCTCGTCTTCCTGTTTTGCGTGCCCATTGGCGCCCTTTTCGTCGTTGGAGCGGCCGTGACGCATTCCTTTGCTGCCCTCTGCATCTTGCGCTTCCTCGCCGGATTCTGCTTCGCCCCCTGTCTTGCCATTTCAGCTGGCGTGCTCAACGAGACATACAAACCCGAGAAGCGAGGACTGCCATCTACCCTCTTTATTCTCACCCCCTTTCTCGGCCCCGGCCTGGCCCCGGCTATCGGATCCTTTGTCACCAACAGGAAGGGCTGGCGATGGACCCAGTATACGATGCTCTTTTTTGTCGCGTTCACGATGCTAATCACGATTGCATTCGGGCGCGAGACATACCACCCCGTCCTCAAACGCCGCCTGGCTAAGAAGCTGGGCCAGCCCGTCGAGCCGTCGCCGCCTCTGGCCAAGAGGGCCCGTCAGTTTCTGACCACCGCCCTCATCCGCCCCATTCACATGCTCTTCACAGAGCCCATCGTCGGTCTTGTTTGCCTGTACGCGTCGTGCGAGTTTGCGACCCTCTTTACCTTCTTTGCCGCCGTCCCGTATGTCTTCCAAGGCGTCTACAACTTCTCCATTGAAGACACGGGACTGGTGTTTCTGTAAGTTGTTTCATCGTTTGTGTCTTCGTAAAGGGGCAAACACCAACTAACGTGTGTCTCCGACCACACAGATCCATCGTGACAGGCTGTCTTCTCGGCACACTTACCATCATCATCTGCGACATCTTGCTGTATCGACCACAAGTGCCCCTGCACCCGGCTCATATGGTCCCTCCGGAATACCGCCTCTATCCCGCCATGATCGGAAGCTTGGGGCCGCCGATTGGATTGTTTTGGTTTGGGTGGACTGCGAGGCCCGAAATATCTTGGGCAAGCCCCGTCGTGGCCATGGTGCCGTTGTGAGTTCTTACCCCCCCCCCCCGAGATATTTAGCTTCCCAACACCTACCTTGATTATAATGCCGATGCTGATTTTCACCGTTTAGCGCCTGGGGAAACCTGTGCATTTTCATCAGCACAATGCAGTACATATCAGACACGTATCACGGCACCACGGTGGCGAGCGCGGCCAGCGCCAATAGCTTCGCCAGATACGGACTTGCCGGTGCATTTCCGCTCTTCACAATCCAGAGTGAGTCTCACCCACACCCAGGCACCTTTTGAGATATATCCCATTGTCCCATTGCTCATCCTGACTGCAATTTTGCCAGTGTACTCCACGCTCGGTATCGGCTGGGCAAGTAGTCTCCTTGGTTTCATTGCTCTAGTCCTAATGCCGGTGCCGTGGGTCTTTTTCAAATTTGGAAAAGGAATTCGAGCAAGGAGCAAGTACGAGACGGCGTCTTATTGAATTTGGCCTGGAAGAATTGTTTTACTGTCATACGCAAGCATATTCGGCAGATTGCCGATGTTAATTCTGTACTAGCTGCAGTGCCATTTAACTCTGTCACGGGAGAGGGAGTCGTACTGGTTACTGTAACTGTTAACATAGATTATAATTAAGCATCTACGTCTCCAAAATTTGTGCTGAATTGGGCCACGAAACCTGAGGGACGGTCCTCTATATGAAATAACGAGTCCTTTGATGTATATTTTCGCCATGTAGAAGGAATAACGGAGTTAATTGCATCGGGTGCGGGGGAGCAAGGAACAAAGCCTATCAAAGCTCCACCCCAGCAGCCATAGCGTGCAGCATGCCATGCACGCTTGGACGCGCTATCTGAGGCACGCAATGAAGAAACGTCTCGGCACACATGTCCACTACGACGCTGGGATGCAGCGATTCATGCCGTGTGTAGCATCCAACCAAGTCATGACACGCTCTCTGTTGAAAACCGGCTCGCTAGGTAATGTACCTAGCGTGCAGTTCAAAGGTTAAGGACCCGTCTCGAGCGGCAGCTCGAGAGAAGCCCCAACTAATGCCGCGACTAGCGCACAGAATCCAACATTTCACTGCAAGCCAAGGACACTGGACACGAGTCAAGAATCAGGCCACGGCGGTACGCTCAATACCTACAGCAGGTTTAATATCGACCCCTCTCCCTTCTTTCCATCTCTGCTCGCCCGGCACATTGGGTACCTATCTATTAGATCCGTGTCTTGCGATCGAACAACTTACAAGCAGCTCGAATATATGGGCGTCTATTGCATTACCGGCACAAATCGTGGCCTCGGCCTCGAGTTTGTTCGCCAGCTGGCACAATCAGGCGGCCACACAATTCTCGCTGCGGTGCGCTCTCTCTCATCCGATCTCGGCGATTTGAACCAGGTTGCTTCTCCTACGACACATGTTCTGGAATGCGACACTGGAAGCATCAAGTCAATCCGGGCATTCGCAACCCAAGCTGCTCAAGTTCTGGGGCCCGACAAACCAATTGACTTCTTGATCAACAACGCAGGCATCAACCTGGGATCATCGCAAAACTCGTTGGATCTTGATCCCGACCATCTAACTGCCATGGTTAACGTCAATGTTGTCGGCCCGGCCAAGATGGTCGAGTTCCTGCTCGGGATAGGGTTACTGTCGAGCCGTGTCCGTGTCTTGAACATGACATCGGGTTTGGGCAGCATGCAGTGCAGCTCCGAGACGAATCCAAAGTGTGCCGGCTACAGTATTTCGAAGGCGTCCCTCAACATGCTTACTATTCATCAAAGTAAAGACCTGAGAGAGAAGCTATTGGGAGCAGTGGTGATTGCGATGGATCCCGGCTGGGTCAAGACGAGGCTGGGTGGCAGGGGCGCTATACTAGAGACGCACGAGAGCATCAGCAACATGTTGGATGTCTTGGACGGATTGGGGGATCAAGATAATGGCAAGTTCTACCAACGCCTGGGTCAACAAGTCCCTTGGTAGGCACAGGGTTTGATAAAGGCAGCCATGGGGCCTGAGAAGGTAAACGAGTCTACAAGTCATTAAAGCAAATATTATGCTCTTCGTTACTTCATTTCCACTTCGTCCAGCGGCTATCGCACGAAAGAAACTTCAGTCCAATCTAGTCATAGGGCCAACATTCCCAAGGTCCTGGTACCAAGATAAGGCAGAACAGAGATGGTAAAAGCTAAAGTTAGGATAGCAGTCAAGATAGACACCATGGCCAGGTGGCGGAGTCGGAACCGTCGGTCATTGCGATAGTGATGCGGAGCCAAGGGACCAACCATCTTTGCGACTGGGGCGACGTGCTGTTTCTTGGCCGTCTCGAGAGCCATGCTGAACCCGGGCAGCCCATCCACGCTCCACGCGTTCTTGGAAGCCCAGTATCTAATAAGAGCGCCAGGGTTAGCAGAGCCCTTGGCCGAGAAGAGGATATAGGGGTGTCGCACTTTTCCACGCTCTCTTTGGATCTCCCTTCATCGAACCGCCTGAGCATGTTGGACCAGTAATCGTTGAGAGTGGTGCGGAAGTCGCGAAAGTCGTAAAAGGGAACCGAGAAGCCGCAGGAGCTGCCGACTTGATGCACATCGACGACAACGATGGAGCGCGTGCCTGCCAGAAGTTGGATGTCGTGTTTCTTGACAAAGTCGGCGAAGGCGGTAGTTGCGCTCTCGAGGACGCGGCCGTGACCAAAGAGGCGCACGATGCGGGGTGGGCCGTCAAAGGCGTTGAACATGACAGTGATGCGGCCGTTGGCGGGCTCGTAGAGGTGCGCAACTGTCTCGCTGCCGCTGCCCGTCAGGTCCAGGTACCAGAAGGTCTTGTCGTCGAGCAGCCCGAAGTAGGGCCCGCCCTTTGGTGACACATTGACATGGCCTGATCCAGCGAGAGGCGCTGTGGCGACACAAAACATCTTCTGCTCGAGAACCCACTTCATGAGCGACTCCGGAATTGTCTCGTAAAACTGGCCCATTGCTGCTGCCGTGGCTTATTTTCTGCCGCAATCTCGCCCAAAAGGAGTCGCTGTTTGTCGCTGTAAAACTTAACACTAGACCGATAAGAACTAAAATGACGGGAGGTTGGATGAAGAGGTGACGAGAGTGCCAAAGCCAGGCATGGAAGGTGTCTTGTAGAAGACTAAATAGCTTGGGGAACCCGTCCGAAAGGCGTATTGATATGCAACAGTGCCTTAGCTCTCCTAATACGGGTCCGTTGGAGATAAGGTCGGGCGGGGGATGTTAGGGCAGTACTGTACTGGACATACAGTATTTGTATACATACACACCGCAGAGTATATGTACAGCGTAGTAGGTTACGGAGTAGGGTAGGTACTGAATGAGCTAACGAGCCGAGTCACACTGGTGGGGATGTATTTTTTAACCCTAACCCAAGATCACGTGGCGGTTGCAACTCACTCTGGCTAGCTTGGGCTCGGTCTTTTGCCCATTTGTGCAAAACACCAACCTTGCAGCGCTCTCCCCTGGCGCCAACAAAATGTTCAGATAAAAGTCGGCTGTGAACATAGGATCAAACTGGCAACCTACGGCGGCAGCTGTGACGAATACGGGCCAGAATTTGGAGTAATTTCTAAATTAAAACGACATCAGCGTGTTAGCTCAGCATTCATTCCGCCATTCTGAATCTTACAATTCCCTTTTGATCCTGAAGCCCAACCCTCAACTCTCAATCTACCCTTTCGCCTGTACTCGATTGAAACCTGAAGCTGCACAGTTGCCATGGCACCCCGCGACAACCGCGATGAACCGAGCTCGTCATCAGAGCGCGAGGACAATGCCGGCGCTCCATTTCCCGGCAAGCGGCGCGGGCGACGCCACAGGCCACCGTCCAACAATCCTCAAGAGGACATACTCCCCGCTGCACCCTCTGCCATGCAGTCGGAGGGAAATCATACGGCAAAAGAGGCCGCATTTACCACAAGCGAGACCCAGTCTCGCTTGAACCCGCCTGCCAGTACGCCTCTTAGACCTCCAAGGGCCAAGACGACAAGCTGGACTTCGCCCCCTCTCCTGCCTTTTGTCTCAAACCTCGGACGGGAACGAAAAACGCAACCTGAAAGCCGACATATACCCACTGGTATTTCTTCGAGTCCTAGGCTGAGGCCCGCCGGCAGCGGTTCATTGCTAGGCCCACAGGGAAGATTCGCGCTCTCGCCTCCAGACGCCGAGGACCTGGCCGACCTCATTCGCGCTCTTCCCGGCTTCAGTCCCAACAAGCCCGCACTGGGTGCCAAGGGAAAGGCAACTGCAGCAAGTACCCTCGTTGGTGGAGACCCCGCCGCTGAGATTGGCTCCTCGCCCTCTCATACAGACCCGAGTCCGTCTAGAAGCTATGTCCTCCAAGATGAGGCAGATACAGAGACCCTCACCGACGACCAACGCGGTGCAGGGTCGGATGAGAACGGTGCCGAGGCTGACTCAGTGGACCACCGGCGCCAGGAAACCATCAATGCCATCATGCGGAGATTTTGCACGAGGCTTGACTCCAAGATTATCGCCATGAGAAATGGCCCGCCGTCGAGATCCACCCATTCGCCACCTAGATTAGTGAAGGAGGAAGGAGAGGAAAGTTTTTGGCAACACGAAGCGACACCTGATCTGTTGGCCACAAGGGGTCAACCTCTTGGCCAACCTGCTGGCCGTGTGAGCCATAGTCCCGTCTTCATCCGTGGACAGATGGCCCTGTCGGCGTCTCAGGCCGCCGAACCCATACCTGTGTTGCTCCATGCCGCTTTTCAAAACTTACCTCCGCCGCCACCCGCCAGCGTACCCATGGAGGCCTCCTCACAACCGCCGACGCCTAGTTACACGCCTCCGTCTGGCCAGGGCTCTGGAGTGGTTGGCATGTCCCATCGAAAGGGATTGCCGCAGCCTCCCCTCCCAGCAACTCAAGCGATGCCGACAGCTCCTTTAGCTCCACCCCAACAAACGATCCCAAGATCTTCCACATTGAAATCTACGCCCATGACATATATGCCGTCAATTGTCTTAAAGAGCCAGGCAGAAGAGACACCTAGATCAAGGGGGGCATCTCGCGGAAGCCCCCCCTCTTCCCTAACACCGAAGCCTTTGGTAAAGCCAAGGGCCTTGAGAAAAAGATCCGCCAAATCAGATGCTGCCTACGAAAGCTTTGTGCCCCAGCAACCGTATGGTCAACCAAGTTCATCCAACCTTGGGGTTGGAGCTCCATCCAATGAGGGCGGTCTAGGCGGGTTCAATACGTTCGCTATAACCTCTAGAACAGGTACCAGTCTCCCATCAGGCCAGGTGCTGAACCTGTATCAAAGCCAGCCTGCCACTCCCACCCCGCATGCTCCTGCCGTTGGCTTTGGTTTAAGCGGTAGCCAGTACCCTGCTTCGGGTCCAAGCATCACACAGTACGGTGGTGTTTCTCCAAGCACACGATATGTCGGCTCAGCGGAGTCTACACAGGTACCCCGAGGTGGTATGCAGAACCAGCTGGCGTCTCCGAGAAACCAGGGTCCTCTCGAGCAGCGCAATGCCGGGAGAGGTCAACCCCGGGACGACGAAGACGATAGCGATCACGATGGTAGGCGGAAAAGGTCCAAGCATCCTGCTTCTGCTAAGGCAACTGCCAATAACGCAGAAGTGGGCAAAAAGTTCGCTTGTCCGTACTTCAAGCGCAATCGCAGGAAATACCACAAGTGGACTTCATGTCCTGGGCCAGGGTGGGACGAAGTGCATCGTGTCAAGTATGTTGCGTTCTTTCCTTGCATACTGGGGTTTCATTATGATTTATCGCCCTTGGATTCATGAACCACGGCTTATCTTCCGCAGGACCCATCTTTACAGGAGGCATGCGCTCCCCATTCAGTGTCCTCGTTGCTGGGAGGTCTTCAAGAGCGACAACCAGCTTCGTTCCCATCTCCAGCAAGATCCACCATGCGATATTCGCGAAAGCACACCCGTAGAGGGTTTTAGCAAGGACCAGGAAAAGAGGCTTCGGAGTCGCAAAAAAGTGCAAAACGATATGACAGACGACGATAAATGGCGCGAGATCTACATGATTTTATTTCCGGATGACGATAGAGAGACGATTCCGTCGCCATGTGGGTCCTGACTCCTGGTTCGAGGCGTGTGGGCGATTTTCGGCATCAGGCCATCGCATGCTAACCAGACCCGCGGTAGACTACGATGAATTGGACGAAGAGGCCAACGAGAGCAGTGTCGGCGGCAGCGAACTAGAAGAGTATGCAACCTTTATTCGGAGGGAGATGCCAACTCTGGTGAGACGCGAGCTTGAAATGCTCTTTCAAGACCAGTTTCAGGATGTCGACGAGCGAGTGCGACCAAGAGTTGCAGACATCGTGCTCAACCTCCAGCCGAGGTTGCTTAGACTTTTCAAGCAGTCTCAGTCGCCGCTGAGCGGGTACGGACCCCAGCATGAAGTGGCTGGGAGTGGTAGTGGCAGCGATCCGAGTCTGACCCCCTCGCTTTCTCAAGGTACAGGAACAGGAACAGACTGGGCGTCGGCGGAGGGCACTGATCATGAAGGCGCTCTCCCGCTTGGTGCAGAGAATTTCGTCTTCGATGTTCATGACCTCTTTGACTTCGATGAAGGCGCAATAGCCACAAACCTCAACTGGCACGCACCTGGGCAAGCCACCCATGGCGGGCTACAACCACAACCCGCGACACGAGACACCAACGTCAATGCTTGGGACTACGAGTTTGACAAGCTAATGAATCCATCACTGTATCCCACATATGGTGGTGATTTGTCGGGTAGTTATTCCCATCCCGAGGCGAGCAACCAGGACCCAGCGCTGGCCCCATTAACAGGACGGGGCGACTTATGATATCGGCTGAAGTTATCTTGGAGATTTGTCACGAAGTTGCTTCTCTATTTTATGTTACCTTGCGAGACGATTATACATATACAAAGTCCTAGAATTGTATAACCCAACTCAGAGACGTTCCATCCCGTAGAGCCAAAGCATACCTGTCTAATACCAACCAATAGCAACCAAAACTCCCTGCCTTTTAACGTCCGTATCCCATGCTGCGAAGACTCTGTGCTAGGCTCTAGCACCCACCGCTAAACTTACAAATAGTACAAATGACTTATGAGGGGGCAGAATCTAAAAAAAAATATCGCCCCGCCATCTTGGAAGCAAGGCACAATGCGCGTTCATGCCATCGAACTCAACCTACCGTTGTTGAACGTTGATTTTGTGTGCAGGATCCTTTTCAGCCCCCACTTCCGGTACCAGATCATGGCTGCGACGGCAACCGCGCCGAGGATGATGAAGATGAAGTTGGCCACGACCCAGGGCACGAAACGGTTCCCTATGAAGCTGAACAAGTGATTGTCCCAGTTGTCCCACGAACCCCCGCGGCCTTCTGTGAAAAACACCCAGCGGGCGCCGCCGACGCGGTTGTCCATCATGATACGGCACAGCCTGTCTTCTTGATTAGGCCTTGCAGGTAGTTGTTCGTGGTATATTTCCCATATGGCTGTCTCGAACCACTGGCCGCTGGAGTAGTGAACCGTGAAGTACGGGAAAGGGTATTTGTAGCCCCATGGAATGAGAGAGTTGGTCATCATGGCCCAGTACGGGTGGTGTGGTCGCGCGCCGAGGATATTGTTGCTGAGAGTGCCTTGTCCGCCATCGGCGACCCAGGTTGGGTAGTAGAGGAGGGGTTCAAGGTCGCGGGAGCAGCCCTGCGGTTATGATGGAAATTAGCGGGCGATTTCGCTGAGGGGCAGCCACACTATTGGATGAGTGGGCGTCTCGTTTAAAGACATGCCCGTAGAGACCAACTCACATTGTCCAGGTCGATGTAGATTCCGCCAAAATGGAGGAGGAGAAAGTACTTGAGAGCGTCGACTCGCTGCACAGGGTAACTGTAACCCTTGTAGGTGGGCAAAAACCACTCGTAGTTCGTGGCAATGAACTCGAGCGACAAAGGCTCGGTCCATAGCTAGCAGCCGGTCAGCATTACGGGGTACCCAAACACACCAGAGCTGGAGGGCCGGGCAAGGAATGGCAGAGGGAGGGAGGCATACGTGGTACTCAAAATTGGGGTTCTTGTCCGAGCATGTCCGCCTCGAGGCTTCCCAGTCGGCAGGCAGCGTCTCGTTTTTGGGGTCTTTCCAGTTGTGAAATATCTGGTGGATGATCTTGGGGACGTATTGCTGCCTCTCGATGTTTCCTGGGGCGGGGGCATTGAAGGCGGCCTCGACTTCCTCCTGCGTCAGGGCCGGGCCAGCGTGGACGCCAAAGATGTGAACAAAGCGGACGGCGCGAGCTGCGATATCGAAGAGCACCCAGATGGTCAGGGCGAGGAGAAGCGCCGCCACAAGAGGGCGGAACCGCATCGTCGCGGCAAGTCGTGGCAACAACTACTGGGGGAGGTAGGAAGGGTCGAGATATCGAATGGAACCGCGGGTGGGGAATTTTCGGGTGTGCGCGACGACGACAACGACGACGACGACGACGGCGGGCAGGCCGCGAAGCAGGGCGAGGTCGGGCGGATAGAGGGATGGGGGCGAAGCCGGTCGCAGGACGAAGGAGACAGCCGAATATGCCGTCCAACGAGGAGGAAGGAGTAAGTTGCGGTTTCGCAAGGTCCCGAAACGCGCGATGGTGGGAAAGCCGACGAGCTTTCGCTAGCACCGAGAATTTGTCGATGAGCGCATTTCGAGGACGAGTCCGCAGCAGAGGTTGCCCCCTGTGCACTGGAGTCTGATTGACCAGGAGGAGCCACCTGGGGCCTTGGCAGCGGACAACCCGCGGTTACGGATGGCTTGGCCTTTTTAATCGTTAGCGCAAGACTGGCGCTGGGCATGAACCCCCATAGCGGAAACTCTGACCGCCGACTTCCGGCATGACTAATGTGGCTCGGCGATGTAGAAGGAAGACGCAAGTCACGTGGACGTCAATCAACGCGTACTCGAGACACGGCAGTTCACAGACAGGCCCCGAGAGTAACAGTCTTTTATACCTCCCTCAAGATGCACTTTGCAGGCTGACTTGTCGTCAGACGCTTGGGTTTCTCATCCACCCAGAGGGTTTTCTCATCCACCCAGAGGAAGTGTTGTTTACGATGAGACAATGACCGCTAACGAAATTACAGAAATACCCAGCGGATTACCTAAGATTTACGACGAACATTGAACACAACCAAAGTTGGACCGGGTAAAAGAGAAGAGATCTGTGAAACTCTTCTGGAAGAGGCAGACCAGGCTGTTTTTATCCGGCGGCTATACTGAACATAAACACTTCGAGTCTCATACCCTTCAAAGTCTGCCGGACCCGTTCTGGTAAGAAAATGGCTTTGGACACATTGTTATTTCCTTCAGGCCACTATTACCATATCGGCCCAGACTTTGAACTTCTCACCATCAACATTAATCAGCTCTTTATTAGTCAAAGGAAAGCAGCCGACATGATGCATCGCATCTTACTCCTGGCAGTCTCATTGCTCTTTTGCTTATCCTTTGCATTAAAAGATGCTGCTGCAAGATCTCATGCACAACAACAAAAGTCCTGGCAATGCCCAAGGAGATCCGGAACGCGGATCGACGAATCTAGCATTCGAACCTGCCCTTTACCTGGACAACTGGGCATTGTGGATGAAGAGGGATATTCGGATGCAGTATCCTGGTCGTTTTCGCCCCGATGCATTGGCGACAGGGTGAAAAACGAGAGCGGTGTGCCTTGGATCGAGTGTTTGTTCAGCGACTCTAATTTCCGAAACGGGCACGGGATCAGTCTAGTCACTTCGCCAACCATCACATCCCACTTGTTGGGCTTGGGTGCATTGGAGGATCGCCCCCATTCAGCTGTCGCCCAGGAAGCCGCAAAAGGGATCCTATCATACGAAATAGTCAATGTAAAGGGGAAGGGGAAAGGTGTCGTGGCGAAACGTCTAATCCGCCGTGGCGAGATAGTCATGATCGATATTCCAGCGATTTTGGTCGGAACAGGATTTCTGGGTCAGGTCCGGCCACACCATCGTCGGCGCATGGTTAAGCAAGCAATCAACCAATTGCCGGAACGAACGCGAAACAAAATATACAAGTTATCGAGTGCGACCGGAGAGTACCTCATTGACGGAATCTTTGGTCAGAATTCGAACAGCGTTCTCCTGGGCGACGGACAAATACACATCGGGATGTTCACCGAGGCTGCGGTAGGTTGACGTGGAACCAAACGATTTAACACGAACCATGCTAACCTGGTTTGCTCGGCAAGAGGATCAACCACTCCTGCAGGCCAAAGTAAGCTTACACTTCGAGCCCTGGGCCGTTGCGTAAGAGCGGTTGCTAATCTTAGCTAGCGCATACTTTCGATTCTCTGAGCGAATGTTGGCCATGGAGGTGGTTGCATACCACAATATTGAGGCGGGCGAAGAGATAGAAATGAGCTGCAAGCATATTAGGCACTTTCTTTATTGTCTTGATCATTATAGCTAACATATAGATCAGACGTACCCATCACCGAGACGCGAGAGGATCGACGTAAGTACCTAAAGGAGAATTGGGGGTTTGACTGCACTTGCGAATTGTGTCGCGCCACGGATCTCGAGATCGGCGACTCGGAGAGTAGACGACGCCGAATGAAGGAGCTCAAGGAATCTGTCTTGTACGCTAGAAAGGAGGGCTTTTTCCAAGACGCCGTAAATATGGCTGAGGAATGGTTGATGTTTTCCGAGTGGGAGAGATTACCGCCGTTGATGCCCGAGTACTACGACACCCTGACAGAGCTCTACCTACTCAATGGCGACATTTTCAATGCCACGAGATATGGTCGGATGGCTTTGGATGGGTGGGCCAAGTTTGGCAGCGTGGATGATGAATTTCTGGAGCGATCAAGGATTGGCCTCCTAAATTTGAGTGAGAGATCCAAAACCCGTAGGCTGTACTCGTCAGGCGGAGGACCTCGAGAGAAGTTCTAGGAGCAACCACTTCGCACGTATCGCCTCTCGATATGCGAAAACAAAGATTGAATATACGTGTATTCTAACCTTTGAACGATGACCTCTGTTCCCAACATGCAGTGAAAGGAGCAACGCGAAGGCCATGGTTTAGGCGAGAAGGCGCGATAATTAAGTTGCCCCGGAAACACAGCAGCTAAGGTAAGTATCTCCCCTCTTGCAGAGTGTCCATACGGACAACCATTGTACGACAGCAACGAATAATGACATGCTCTCTAAATCCGACTCTATTTATAGGTACTTCCGAGAGCGGAGTGTATGACGAAGAAAAGTCATCAGCCCGAGCCATCATGAAAGCTACCGTGACATCGCATATAAAAAGGTCGGGTGGGTTGGGCTTTGGTTTTGCTGGCTTGGCTAACAAGCGACTCCAACCACGGTACAAACACGGCTCCGTCGGCTCTTGGCGCCTACTTCGTGGTGTGGACGGGATGCTCGTGTCACATCATCGCGGGCCAAAACAGGATTATCGGCCTGCAGAGGACATATGCTCGGACTCCGAATTATTGCTCAGCGATCTGCATTACCGCTGTTACACTGAGCACTGCTTATAGCACTTAGTGAGATAAGAGAGTAATAGTATAATAGCAGCCCACGTCTAAGACATCATTTCACTTTTTGCGAAACTCGTATGAGTTTGCCCCTTCAACGAATTCCATGATTCTGCACCCCCATCAAGGCTCATAACAAGACTTCAATATTGCGAACATAATGGTCCTCACGTTTTTGACAGTTGTGGCAGTCATCGCTTCCATTGCAGAGGGCCTCGGCTTTGACTTCTTTGACGCGGACCTGCAGCTCACGGAGCAGGATATCCACAACTTCAAAGCGATCGAGTTTGCCAGCGCGCCAGCGAGTGAAATAGAAAAGACAAATCCGCGGTGCAAGAACTTCCCAGGCGATGGAGCCTGGCCCACGGAAACAGAATGGTCCCAGCTTAATTCCTCTGTCGGGGGCGCCCTTCTCAAGCCTGTCCCGCCAGCATCCGTCTGCTACCACAGCTCGCCAGCCTTCAACGAAGCAGCCTGCAACTTTCTCCTAAACAACGCGAGCCGCACATCATTCTATTTTGATGATCCAGTCACCATCTTCAACTACTGGGCCCAGGGAAATACGTGCCTGCCAGCTGAGAACCCAACCGGCAACTGTACACAGGGTGGCTATCCCGTCTATGTGGTCAACGCCACGTCGGTGAAGCAGGTTCAAGCTGCGGTCAACTTTGCGAGGAACAGAAACATTAGGCTGGTGATCAAGTGAGTAGATGGTCCCGACATCAAGTAGAGGGGCTTCGGAATTATTAACAGATGACGCGTAGGAACACTGGCCACGAATCCGTCGGGAGGAACGCCGGGGCAGGCTCTCTCAGCATTTGGACACATCATCTTAAGACATTTAAGTTTCTGCCCGACTACAAGCAACCGGAGGGGAACTACCACGGACCAGCCGCCCGAGTTGGCGCTGGCCTTCAGGCATGGGAGGCGTTTCGCCAAGCACTTAAACTTAACATTACGCTCACAGCAGCGTCATGCGTCACCGTTGGCTCTTATGGCGGCTGGATAAGTGGCGGAGGACACTCTCCATTGAGTTCCAAGTTTGGGCTTGGAGCTGACCAGGTTCTTTCCATTCAGGCCGTAACAGCCGATGGTCGCTACATAACCGCAGACCCGCAAACAAACCAAGATATGTTTTTCGCTTTGCGCGGAGGCGGCGGTAGTAAGCGACAGTGCACTTTCCCATCTAGAACTCTCAATCCCAATGGCTGACCTTGAGATAGGCACTTTTGGTGTGATTACTTCTGTCATCGTGAAGGCCCATCCGCCAATCAATCTAACGATTGCGAGCTTCACCTTTACTCTGGGCAGCAGCTTGTCCACGGAACCGGGGCCAAGCGTCACAATTACCGACAAAGACACATTTTGGAAGGGGTTTAATACTGTCTTCCAATTCGGCATCACCACAGTAGACGCTGGCGGATACTTATGGACATTTGGAATCCCAATAACTGACGTCAGCATCCAAATGGTAGGTCCGGGGCCGCCTCACTTATGTAGCCACAGTGGGTCAACGAGCAACAGAGACTAACAGAGCCGTTACAGCAAGTGCAAGTCCAGATGCCAGGTCAGACGCCAACCGAGACGGCTGCCTTTGTGAAGCCGTTACTCACGTCCCTCAACACGATTGGAATTCCAGTTGCAATCACCAATCCAACAACGATCGTGTACAGCAACCAGACCGGGCCCATAAGCGGCGGTCCCGGCAATGGGCGTTTTGCCTCAAGGCTATTTCCTCGCAGGGCGTACCAGTCGCCGACTCTATTCAACGCCGCCATGGCCGCTGCTCGAGCTGCTATTGAGGGTGGGTATTTGTTCCACGGGCTCAATATGGCGCCGACGCTGAGAGCGGCCGGATTTCCAGCGTCTGCAGGTGTCAATCCAGTGTGGCGAGAGGCGGTGATGCACGCAGACATGTTTGATCCCACAAGCCTATCCTCTGCCACACCTGCCGAGGCTGAGGCAGCACACACGAGACTCAATGCATTCATGGCACCGCTCCGTGCAGCGACACCGGGCGGAGGCGCTTACCTGAACGAAGCAGATCTCGAAGAGCCAAATTGGCAACAGAGCTTCTTTGGTACAAACTACGAGAGATTGCTACAAATCAAGCGATTGCGAGACCCGTGGCAAGTATTTTGGGCGCCAGCAACGGTTGGCAGTGAAGACTGGATCGTGACAACGCCAAACCAAGTCCCATCACAGAACGGACGTCTTTGTCGAGTGTCCGGAGAATCGTAGTCCCAGGTCTTAGACGAGGGCTAGCGCTTTTGTCACAATATTGAGATTAGTGAGCAAGAAAGATCTAGAAGCTGCTATGTGATTCTTCGCCACCAGCTTTTGCCACTATTAATAACTATAAAAAAGAGACTTTTGGCCCTGCCAAAGGAAACAAGAGATTAGACCTTTTCAGACAATTCAAGCCTTACCTCTCTGCATCAAATGCTTCATTTCCGTTGCCCTGTGAATGCGCATGACAGCTTTATAATCTCGGATCTTAAACTAGGGCTAGCCATTTATACCTTCCTATGACTTAATTAAATGACGACATCTTAGGAAACTTAGGACTGAAACGCCCTAACCGTCTTATTATGTTTTAATCCGGTATATCCCTTATAGAATCTCGGTATATATATATATTCCGTATCCCCGTAGTATTATAAAGTCTCAACCAGGCCAAGATAATTACCTCCATCCCTCCTCAAAGCTATTTCTGTTTCGTACAAAACCCCTCCACTTCCCCATATGTTTCAGGAGAGACCCGTCTCTTCAATTCAGCTTTATCCCACCACACATAACAACCGAAACATTATCACCTATCGTCCCATGCTCTCCAGATCGATGCTGGGCGGGGCCGCCCTCTTGAGTGCCGTCGCCGTGGCCTACCCACAAAACACAAAACACATTCATCTCCATGCCGGCATCTTCCACCGCTGCCGCCGTCACATCCACAAGGCCTCCGCCTAGCGGCATCTCAACCGCGCTAGGGCTAACTTGCACGGGGCGTTACTAGGGCACTTGTACTCGGCACAAATATAGAGGATAGTGGCAACGAGTCAAAGGCAAGCCCGGCCGTGACGCGAAAGTAACTGAGAGTCGTGGACCACATGAACCTCCGGGGGAGCTTGATATCTCTTGGCCCCCCGGCTGCCGTCTTGGGACTCGGGTTGGCCATATTGGTATTGGCTGATCCGTTAAATATAAAAAAGGGGAAGACAAAACTGAAAGCTCCTCCTTCAATCGAGCATATTTTTCTCCGAAGGCTCGCTTAATTAACGGACTGGTAGGGCGCCCTGACCTATCTCTACTACTCGAAGGCGGTCCAGGTCACAGCTCCGGGACAACAGACCGATCAAGAGCCACCAGACCTCTTTTTATGCCCGCATTCCCATCTTACCATACTCCGGGAGGTTGAGGTGCACCGCCGAGCAGGAGTGCCATAGTAATGAGGGACGACGAAGGACGTTAGTGCGGCGTCGTGTGGGCTCCGGATGCCCTGTGGCTTCCTCACTTGCCTAGCTAAAGTCAGTTTCTAAGCTACGAGAAGGGAATGTCGCAAATCTTCGGTACTGAGTCCGGTTAGCTCCTAGCCCCTCAAAGGGAACGGAAACAGCGGCCCACAAAGCGTTCATGATCACTACCGAGTTACCTACCACCATAGTCTACAATCAGCTGGCCATGAACAAACAATAGTCCGACTTCTATCACCTTATACCGAAGTGAAAAGGGATTTACCTTCGATAGACGGCCATCAGAGGTATTGTACGTTACCGCGCATAATTCCTCTGCGACGGAATTGCCTTTAGATGTGCGTTTACTTGACCTTAGCAATGGACTGTTTATTATGCGGTGTGGTAACTCTCTGCAGCGTCTTCCTTTGGAGATTATTCTATCACCGTTCCTTCAACTCAGAGCGACATATGTCAATGGATGAGCCGCTAGCCTAGCTCCTAATCAAACTATGCAGAACTCGGTCTCCTTGTCCACGTCTGTCTCGTTCATACCTTCACCTTCCATCAGGCCTTGCACAAAGCAATCCCCTAAGATACGGTATCTCTTCCCCTCGCCCTCTGTCCCGTCCACTTCCCGCAAGACAAAGGGAAATTGCGCCCCGTAAAACACAGCAACTACATCCCCCGCCCTCACCCCGTCCACCGCCCAGCCGTACCTCCCGGCATTCGACCTAAAGAACCGGCGGTTGTGGCACCACTTGGACGTCGCACCCGACACCATCTCGTACGCTTCCGTCGCACCCCGCAGCCACGCCTCGGCTTCTTCGTTAACTAGGTGCCCGTGCCGCAGCATGCACGCCTTCTTCTCCGCCAGCACGGCTCTAGGGCCGCCCTTGCCGAGCACTACGTCCATGTGTATCTCGAAGCCCATGGCGCCGGCGCCTGCCTCGGGCACCTCGCCCTCGCGCGTTCGGTTGCACATGAAGGTACGCCAGAGCGCCTCGTATGTCTCGGCGGTGTAAACCTTGTCTGGGAAAGCGATGCCGACAATTTCTTTCTGCTGATCGCGCAAGTTGGCGAGGAAGCGCTGGGTGTGCTTGCGGCTGCGGTACGCGGGGTCGATGTTTTTCATGGCAGGGTCGGCCTGTGTACCTTGCTCGTTGTCTTTGTCCGAGCCGAAGTTGTCATCCTCGGTGGTAGTTCGGATGTGGTAGTCGACGCGGGGCGGGGGGATCCACTTCTTAGTCTCGACGGCGGCGAGACTGTCGAGGAGGCGGCCTTTTATATACAGGGCGGGAAACGAGATTCTCAGGGAGGGGTTAGAGAGGGCGCCGCAGGCGTTGGCGTTGAGGCCGCGGATGTAGTGGGGTTCAACGTAGCCCGAGATTGACCAGTCTGGGACCCACGAGGGGAGAGTCAGAGTGGACTGTTTTGTGGGGGCCGAGACGCAGTGTGAGAGGATCTTGAGGGAATTCGAGTTGTAATAGTCGGTGGCGAGGTCGGTAAAGATTTGTTCTGGGGTCTTGGTGTAGTTGACCGAGAGTCGTTGGGCTATGGGGTCGCTGGTCAGGCCAATGATACCGTAGAGCTTGTCACTGGCCATGGTGCTCTTGAAATCGCGGAGCTCTTCAAGGAGGGTGAGCAAGGGGGTCTCGGAGCATCCCTGGTCTTTCGTGGCGATCTCTTGACGAAGTGATTCCATCATGCATATTGCCTTGATGCCTTTGTAGTCGGCGATTGGGGCGTCAAGGCGGTAGCGCTTCAGAGCCATGAAACAACCCGCGAGGTAGGACCAGTTGAGTTCGAGCGACCCAATGTGGAGCAGGGCCTCCTTCGCCTTGGCAATCTCTTGTATCACCCACGTACGGTGGAACTGCAACATGATCAGTTACATGCACTCAGCACCAGACGCGCAGACTCACCCAAGCCCTGTCCACCAACTCTGCCAGCTTCTCCCACTCTAGATTCGCCGTCCTCTCGTCGTTCATGAAACTCCATTGTATCTGGCCCAGAGAAGCATCTTGTTCTAGCATGCCCTGGGTGACGAGCAGGTCAGTCATGATTTCGTATACCGCATTGATGGTGTTCATCATCTCCATCTCGATTCCGATTTCCTCGCCGAGCCAAATCCGGACCCGGGTGGCGTTGGCGTATATCTGTCCCATCATTCGCACGTGTTGATTCCGCTCCGCGATGTCGCCCTGGTTGATGCACAGGGCGTCCACCCAGAGGCGCAGGGGCTCCTCCTCGCTCCTCAACCGCTGCAGGGCCCTTCGCAACTCCCCACTGATCACCACTTCGACGCCGTCAATAAAGATGGGACCGTCCGGGAGCTTGAATCCTAGGCGGATATAAGAGCTGGCGTAATGGCGGTGGTCTAGCATGTCCTTGCACGCGAGCTCGTAGCTCTCGTTGACAAGGTTGCCATCTTCGTCTCTTCCGTATACCGCGCACAAGAGCACCTGCTCTGGGTCGGGCTGCTTATCAACAACGACGCTGCCACTCCAGCAGTAGCTCAGCGCGTCGTAGGGCTCACCCGGCGATGCGATATGAATGTGCGTCAAGCTACAGACGAGGGCATCATTGAATTTGCCAGGGGCGATAGTTAAGATTCTCGTCTCTGCTGGCAGCGACAGCACCTGATAACGGTAGCGCGATGCATCCATTGGTACTGATTCGGAGGTCGCGGGAATGTGCGGTTGAACAGAAGATGATGGCGCAAACAGAAAAGAGAGTGTCAGTTCTTCGATTCGAAAATCGTCTTGACAAGTCCTACTTGGAGCCTACCATTGGGGCTTTGCTTTGTTGCCTGGCGTTAGGCTCACAGTTGGGCGGAGGGCGCAGCGCAACGCCACGCCTGTTAGGCTGCACTGCCGCTGCGCAGCTGGCAGGTCTTGCCAAGTTCCAACCCTTGCCCAGCCCGAAGGATCAGCGCCGTTTGTGGGGCGTACTCGTACTGGGACATGGATTGCAGAAACTGCCAGCCGCTGCGTGCTGAAAGCTCTTCACAAAGCTAAATTGTGGGCGTTTTTGCACTCCAAGCGTTGCCCAAAACGGAGGACGCAACAGCGCCAATCCACCGCACCAGCAACCAAAATCTCTGCGAGTAGCGATCTGTAGCAGTTCGGCACAAGTTACAGGACTAACTTTAGATTGGCGAGCCTTTTTTTTTTCTTCATTACAAGCATGCAGCCTCTAGAGCTATGGCGTGGCCAGTCAAAGACTGGCGGTCTATCTACCTAGTATACTAGTAGGAAATAGAGAAAGCAAGAGCTAAGTACATCGTTAGGCGCGTGGCCTTATTAACGTAATAGTTTCATAGTAATGGGGTTCCTTTGGCCATATTAGGGTAGAAATGCACCGTCTGATCAGGTCGTTTCTACGGCTTGGAGTGCGGCGAAACCTGCCTCTTCTGGCACAGGCCCCTAGAGCGACCACGAATATTTTCGTAGCCCGACTTCACCGCAGTTCCTTCCTGGTCGAGAAGTCGGATGCAAACAATCCAGCGCATCGGCGTCAGTATTGAAGACCTAAACCGGGCGCGACGGCGTGGTGCGGTGCATCGAAGCTCCTGCGCTCGCCTTCCAGAGCCACGCCTTCTCCGGGATGCACCTAGAACTAATCCAAGTTGGTCAAGTGCACCCCGACGGAATAGTACCACTTCCACATAGACTAGTTAACCACGACGAGCTGTAGGACAGCGGACATGGAGTGTCTCAGACCGTCGCCGGTCTGGATCGCCCACAAGGTTAAATAAGACGTCGCGTTGGCGCTGCAGCTTTCGTATCACCCAGTCGCTTCATTGTGCGCTGCTAAGCCGGGGAAGGGGAGAACTGCGGATGGTGGCGGCAGCTAGCATGGAGACGAACAGCGATGGCCTGATCTTTCGCCAGTCAGTCCGAGTATGTCCCGCTCAACGACAGCATTCGGCCTCTTCATTGTTGTAGCCAAATGTCTAGGTGCGCCGCGTGCGTCGCTAGCGCACCGCCTGGGGGTGTACTTGCCGCGCTGTGCCGCGCACAGGACCGTCTACGCCCTGGGCGGCGACGAATTCGAGGAACCCGTGCCATGAGGCCGTGCCTAGCATCAAGTGTGCGCATGAGGTGCATCAGGGTCGAGGTCTGTTGGCGCAGGAGGCCGGGAAGAACGGAGGAAGACGACGTGGAGAAGGAGGCCGACGAGATGATGGATTTGAGCGAGGTGATGTGGGAGACGAGTACGCGGCGTGCGTGGGATCGAGCGGCCGCACAAAGGACGGGTTAGTGGTTAAGTGGGCGATGCGGGCGAGTTGGACGGCGGAGGTGCACGTTGTTGGGCCAGGGCTGGTGATGCGAGCTATGGCGGTACGAAACTAGGCGCGAAGGGCGAAATTGGTCTCTAATGAAAGCTAGGGAAAAATCTATTCTGCGCAGAGTGGAAGTGGGGTTACAGGCAGCGCGGGGTAATTTAACGATTTTGCGAGAGAACTGGAGTCTGCCGTAGAGAAGGCTTCAAGGTGTATCACTAAGCCTACCCGTCGCGGTCGCTAATGTTGTGGAGGACTCGATCCAACGCTCGTGCTATATAAAGGCATAAGCGCTTGGGGGTGACTGTATGTTCGTCCTCGTCCTGCTCTTCTTTATGAACTCGAAGGCTAGTCTGCTGAGTTGGAATCCATCGAATCTTTGTCGAGATTAGTCGATTTGCTTGCTGAGTTTGGTGATTTGTATGTTGGTCCCCGTGGTGGCGCTCTAGTCTGCTGCAAGCTGCTGGGCCTTGCCCGGTTCCTGGATCAAGGAGGTGTGTTGGTCTGCTAACTTGTCGTAGGTTTCCTTGGTTTGTTGTAGGGTAACTGCGTGGCCCGAGTCGTTTGTTGCGATGTAGTGGGATGGAGTGGTCTCGGCAGTTGTAGAAGCCATTGTATCCTGGGCGCCGAGGGGGCGCTATCGATTACGGCTTAAATCTCGGCGGGGAGGAAGGGCTAGTGGTTTAGGTAGGAGAGTTGTCGCTAAGTTGGCTTCAGATGTCTCCCCTCACTCTTGCATATTCCAGCCGGTTAATCGTCATTGCCACTGACCTGAGTCTTTCAGCCAAGCGGCAAATACTGCCTTCTCAACGAGCATGGTCACCGTCACGGTGCCGCTGCACGGCGGCACGATTACACTCAAAGAGAGGCGGCAGGGCGCGACGGATGCGTAGCTGAACGCGGCGAAAGCTGGGCAAGGTAATCAAGGGGTTGCTCAGCGTCCCATTCGATCTGATGTGACTTCGTCTAGAACCCGTGTTCTGGACGGCCGGCGGGGGCTTGCTTGGGTAGGCCTGTAGCCGCGGTGAGGTCGGTGGACAGATCACCACAATGAGTCTAGCTTCTCAACCGCTACGCTAGGCGCCCAATTCCCCCCTACCTCGGAGCTCGACGTTATGCGGGCAGCCAACCCAATCCTGAAGTTCTTGCAAGCACACACCCTTACGATCCAGGCCAGACCATCGCCCTCAGAAGTGCCTGTCTCTGACGGCACTTGAAGGGTCAGAGCTGCGATGCATACCTCGAAGGAAGAGTATGAACATACTGAAAGGTAAGCGGATTTGAGCCAATGCCAAAATTTTTAATCCCGGCCATCTAGCCGTCCCCGCTCGCCTGTGAAGTCGATCTCAAGGTTGAGAATCTCGGGCTAGTCGTTACATAATTATCTGAACGTGGTCTTGGCAAAGTCGAGGGCTTGCGACATTGTTAGGCGCAAAGATGCTGAGCTCTAGAGACTCGGTCTGCCAGGGAAAATGTCACTCCGTTGCCGAGCAGTGTGATCCGTCGATACGGCGAGAATAAGAAATGCGACCCAAGTTGTTCGTGGGTTCTGAGTCAGTGGTTTGTTGTTTGCGAGAAGTTAGTTTGGTAGGGAGAGAGAGGCTCAGAGGTTCTCCCATTGAGTGAATGTGGGGCCTGTAGTGTGGGGTGCGCAGCTTGAAAAGGCTCGGGCCGCTGGGCATGCGAACCGGGCCGTTCTTGGGTGTCGGTTCCAAGCATTTGGGGTGTGAGGTCACACTTCGGATAGCGAGACGTCTGCCTTGGCAGCGTGAGGCCGGGGAAGGATCGAGTACAACAGTGAACAGCAGCAGCCACTCAATGCCAACGTTCAACTCTACACATAACTTTCCGGATCGCAATTGCAGTGCCCGCAGCGCCTGCAATTGCTGAGTCTGCGCCGTTTACGGCGTCCTCGTTATTTTGTTGAATTGAACGTGTCGCCTGCGCTGGATACTGTTGGTCGCGATGGTGGTTGGGAATTATTTGCTAAAGGCCTGTTGGAGGCGCGACTGGCGTGCTGTGGATTGTTAAGCGTCCGACTCCTCGGCCAGGGACTGCGGTGAAGTCGAGCCACGGAAATATTCGAGGTCATTCTAGGATTCATGCCAGAAGAGCCAGGCTTGCCTGAGAACCCCGGTCCCGACATTCTGGAGACGAGATGAAGCGCAAGAGGATGATTAGAAGGTCGAATTGCCGCCCTTGTAACCAACAGCACTCCAATGTTCTCTTGAGAGCTAGATAAAAACTTGAGGCAGCCAAATAATGATATCCTTTGGTCTTCCCAAGTTCAACTATCTGCTTTTGCGCCGAATTTAGGTACTTTCTGTGCTCGATCCGAATGTGTTTCGGGTCGGGAGGCATTGACACCATCCACGACGACCCAGAGCAAAATAGACTCAGCGTGCACGAGCTCGAAGACTTGGTTCAGCCCTCGAGCGAGCCGACATGCCCTGGCCAACCCACAACTTTCACCTCAACAATCATCCTCCTACGACCATGTAACCAGCAGAAATTCGAGATTGGTTAGCTAAAGGTGCGGAGCCGCTCGATCCTGGCCATGCGACGCGCGGTTCGGGACGACGGAATTCCCTGCGGAGGCTTGCTTCCGGGCAGGATCGAATACTGGAATGGAGCCAAAGCTACGGCAGAAATGGGCGGTGACAGATAACCCAGCTGCAATCGCGCACATGAGACCGCAAGGTTATCTGCTACAGATCGCTACTCGTAGAGATTTTGATCGCTGGTGTGATGGATTGGCGCTGCTGCGTCTTCCGTTTTGGGCAATGCTTGCAGTGCAAAAACCTACAATTCAGCTTTGTGAAGAGCTTTCAGCCCGGCCACCAAAACTGAGCAACGCACGCAGCGGCTGGCAGTTTCTGCAATCTAGGTCTCAGTACGCTCCACAAACGACTACCCTACTACGCAGGTTTGGCTTTGGAAGGCAGCTTCTGCACCCCACCGTCGCCCCCAGATTTTTCACACCGATTGCACCTTCCCAGACAGCTATCCCCCGCTTTCACTCTGGAATTCTCTTCTGTCTACCCTATACTACTAAGACCCCGCTTTGCGAAACATCAGTGGAGACTTGATCGACCAAACCGCACCAAGTTGCCTTTGCAAGAAGGCATGCCTGGTCTGGGGCGCGCCGCACCACGTTGGGGCAGATTCAGGATCGCGCCCTGCTGGGTCTTGATGGCGTGGTGCGGGGTTCGCCCCTGCATTTCTGTACTTCAAGGAGTCGCGACAAGATGCGGCGCCTGCCTCGCAGCTCTTCGGGACCAAAACTTGGCGCAAAGGACGAGAACCGGATCTCGTCTCGATGGGGCTGTGAATAAGCGTAGTCGTAATCTAGGGCAGCGCGCTTGTGTAAAGCAGTGCGCTTTCAGCGCACAGCAGCGGCTACTCAAATGCTAACGGTCAACTCCACACGAGCGGGTCAAGGCTCCTCTGCCTTTATAATGTTGACTACACATCTTACCCGGTGCCTTCGAAGCTGTGAGCCTGGCCGGCCACGCTGCCACCAGCTTGATGGCTGATCTTGGCATGGCGCAGTTATCCGCCGACAGGCGGTCGCCCCCTTCTTCGCATTTTTTGCGGAAACAAGTGCCTTTAGCACTCCCCCTCGCGCACCTGTCTTTATCCCTAGAGCGACCCAATCAGTGCAGAAGCTATAGCGAACCAACCAACGAGCTTTGTTGCACCGCACCACGCCTTTACGCCCAGTTTTAGTCTTCAACACTGACGCCGATACGCTCGAAGCGCACCCACGCAAGCTAATCGCCGACCAATATTAGCTTATCGATTATGCTCCAGCGCTTCCCCCGCCGTTCGCCCCCCTCCATGCCCTCGGGCTACGCGATGGCAGCCATCGCTGATCCGGGCAGGATTTAGCAAGTGACTACAACTGCGGAACCACGTTACGCAGCCCGTAGCCGTTGAGGATCGACACTTGCCACAGGGACGAGAACCAGGAAAGGGGCCACCAGTTCCCCAGCATCTAAGTCCTCGTAACCGGCTTCTCGGAGAGTAGTGTTGGAGATGGACCTCCCGAGTATGTTCCTATAACAAATAGATTGTCTGCACTCGACTTCTCGACTAGGGACCCACAACCTTCCGGCCCAAGAGCTCGAAACCCTCCTTCGCCTGAATATATCTACCACCTGTACCTCGACGCCAAACTCTTACTCTCCCGGCGCCCTCATCCGCCACAAGCGGCCGAATCAAAGCTCGTAGCCCCGTGAGAGCCCTTACGTCCGTTATAGCCTGGCGAGATGATGATAGTTAGAGTACAACCCGTCTTCCTCACCCTCCTCTCTTTACTTGACTGATTGCGCGACCGTCTCGCCTTATTACGCCGAGATGATAGGATCCCGCTCTAAAATGCGGAATGCTAGAGCTGGAGCGGGGTTGTGGTAATCGAGAGAATGGCTACTATGTTGCTAGTATTGTTGGCTAGACCTTGACTAGGCGAGTCTCAGCGTGACAGCCGCCCGGCAAGCCTTGGCGACAACGACCTTTTAGCGACTTAAATTTACATGATCTGGAGCTGCTAGTCGGCGGGAAAGGATCCGGGGGCAGTGAGCCGCGAGGCAGCGGGTGGGACTGTTACACAGATAAGCCCAACTCGATAAGGAAGAGTGAGTCCTCTCCTATTGAGGATTCCAACCTGGCTAAGTGGCCTTAGGCTGGAGCAAACACAGAGAAGCGGCGACGAGCTTGGCGGCCTTCAAAATTGGTGGGGTCGATGACATATTTGCAGGACTAGTGCGATGGACGAGAACCAGGCCTATATAGGCAGATCGCCTACAAGGCTAAAGAAGATGTCGCGTTGGCGCTGCAGCTTTCGTATCACCTGGTTGCTTATTGTGCGCTGCTGAGCCGGGGAAGGGGAGAACCGCGGATGGTGGCGGCAGCTAGTAAGGAGACGAACTAAGAAAATGTAGCCGCTGCCGCCGCGGAGCGAGGATGATTAAGCCCGCTGGCCGCTGCTTAACTTATCTTATATCGTCGTATACGACCCTTAGATTCGTTAAGGCCTGAAGTGACTCTAGCAGTATGCGCTTAATATGTTCCCTTTCTAACCTACTAGTAGTATATTCCTATGTATTTAGCGGTAGAAGGACCGGCATGCCCAAGGGCATAACGGTGTAAGAATAATAATAACAATAATACTAGTAGTATACTCATATAGACCAATTCCTGGCGCGTTCCTGTTGACTCAGTAGCGGGGCAATCCGCTTCGCCGTAGTTGATGAGGATGACTGTTCCCTGTAGCGGGCCGAGCCGTCGATAAATGGCTCTTTCGTTGTCGAACTCCCCGTCCCAGCCTTTCTTCTGCCTCTTGAGCACAATCTTGGGAGGCATGAACCATTCGGGCCACCAAGACTAGAGCATGTTACGCAGCAGCGCGAGCAGAAGACGTAATGACCAGACAAGACGATCGGAGGGCACTCTATAGTCACCCCCGATAACATTTTTTAGCCAATTCCGATTTAGGCTTGGGATCAAAGCATGAGCTGTGGCGTACCAAGCATCACCCTGAGCCGAGCCGAATCCTAGGGATGTCCCGGCTATAGTTGCCGTATCCAAAACTAATCTCAGTTAAGGCACAGGGTTGTACGTAGGCTCGGGAGGCCTAGGTCATAATGAAAAAGAGTGAATTCCTTCCAAAAAGCTAGGAAAGAGAGAAAAGGGCATCTCCTTCCTTAGATCTGAGGGGGCAGGCCGGCCACCTCATATAAGGAGGTTGGTAAAGAAAGAAAAAGAACACTAGATTACAACAGGGCAAATCTCTTTTTAGTTGTATATAAACAACCCCCTTTCTTCCTGGGCCACTTATCCCCGCGTCAATCTTCGCAGCTACGATTATTTGGGGACGAGGCCAGGTTGTCCAGCCGAGGTCTGGAAGATGTCCTCCCTGCTGCACTTCTTGTGAAGCAACAGCCGATCTTTCAACATTCTGGGACTGATTCTCCACTCCAAGTACGCCTGCCTCTTGAAGATGTCCGTGTTGGTGTTTACGTGGGCATGGAAATGCGTATTCCGATCTTTCTCGGTGGCGAGCCCTACATGGCGGCTGTCAGCTATGCTCGGAGTGATATGGATCACGCAAAAGGAACGGCCCGGGGGGGGGAAGGAGTAGACGGGATACGTACATAGTTCACATGTTCGACAGTACATGGCTTCTTTCCTCGTATCGGGCTCATTGGAAGCGTCCACGATTAGAACTTTGACGAAATCATGCTTATGCTTCTCTTTAGGGGCTTCCTGTTGGTTTTCGGGTGTCAGGCCCGGCTGCTGCTCAAGCTTCTGCTGTTGGCCTCGGTGTAGTTCCTCTTCGAAGCACGTTCCGCAAAGCCACTGATTGATACCCCAGTCGGAGAAGCAGCCGCGACACCATTGCACGTGCTGTCCTATCTCAATGCTTAGACACACAGCGGTAGTTAGCAGACTAGATCAATTACGGTAAGATTTGCATGCATCAAGAGAACAGCGCAAACAAAGAATTGAACGAACGTACAGAAGATGGCACCTATAGCAATGCATAATGGCCGTCGGGCGTTCCTGGCAGTGATATGCCTGGGACCTACGCTTCTCCGTCACAAACCAGCTCTCCGGATACACAACGAGCAGTTCGATGTCCACAGCCTTCTTCCCCAGGGACATGTGCCGCAAGCTGTGAGCGGGGCCGAGGAACATGGTGAGGGCGACAGAGTTGCTGCAACACGACAGGCACAAGGCGTAAGAGCAGTATTTGCATTGCATCCGGGCCCGCACCTCCTTGGATCCGGGGCAGACAACGCAAATGGCCTCGGCATTGGAAAAGGACGGCGGCGGCGCGGCCCCCCATTGCCGCAGCTCAGCGCGCACATACTCTTTGTTGTGTGTCCGTCGATGCACCTCGCTGCAGCCTGGGCAGAGCCAGGCCCGGCACGTCGTGCAGATGAAGCTAAGAGTGCAATATGCCAGCCCTGTCGAGTATTTAGCGAGGTCAGCTCACTCTTCTGACATTGTTGACTCACGCCAGGCAGGATAGATAGGTACCTCGTTTGCATTTCTGGCACCAGCGACAGTGAAGCTGGCCTGGTGTCTCCGGAGCGGCGGGTCGAACTGGCAGCGTGAGAACGGAGGAATGTGCTCCCTGACTGCTGGAAGTATTGCCCGTGCCTGCAGTGGGAATATTGGGCAATGGTCCCCGCGTCATGGTTTGTTGTGGCGCTACACTCGACTGAGGCAACACGGCTGGAGGAGAGATCATGGCTGGCTGCTGTCCCCGCGGAGGCATGGCCACCTGCGAATACCAATACTCCATGCCGGCGGGGGCCGGTATGCCGGCCATTTGGCCATGGTGATGGTGCTGGGGGTTGGCGAATCCAGCCAGACTCGGGCGAGGCTGATATGGAACAGTGAGGGGTTGCGGAACGCCGATTCCGTGCGCTGGCGGCGGTGATCCGTATACGGACGTCCCGGAAGGCGGAAGATGATGGCTCGTTGCGGTCCCAAGGGCTGGAGGCGGACACATTCCGGGGGGCGGCGGCCACATTCCCTGGCCCTGCGAGCCCTGAGGAGGAGGGATAGGGCCTCCGTGAAAAGGACCAGCTTGACTGGCCTGCGCCGGGGCTCGGCGATTGTTGTCATCCTCAGTCAAGCCTCGAAAGGCGTCTCTTAGCAGTCTCCTCATGGTGTCCAAGTCTTGACACTACCGCTCTCTCGAAAAGAAGAAAGGTTAGGATCTGTGCCAAGATGACCAAAATAAATCCATCTCTCATGGACAGAGAGGGGACAAGACGCGGAGCTTCTTTTTTCAGAGCCTCGTGCGGCTGAAGGAGCATGGGCCGCTCTGATGCGTCGAGAGTGCATCACACTATTAAAATCTTGACCCAATCAAGCTCTGAACAGCCCATTTTCGGAAATTTCTACGTGTGCCTTGGGTCAGCAGGTCGAATCGAATGGAACGTGGAGGCAGATTACGGGCAGATTACTCATCTCCAGACATGAGGCACCCACGACCTCCTGGACGCTCTCAACACACCATCTTTCGCTGATAACCGACTTTACTGCGTCTACAACATTCGAAGTGCATCCAAGAAAAAGACTTTTTACGTCTCTTTTCCGTATCCCAAGGACGAAAATGCCAGAAGAGGTCGCAGCTATGGAAACGGCTACAGGAGGAGGGCCCATGCCTAACGAGCCTAAGAAGCCATGCTCCATGTCGGTTACAGTGTCTGGCGAGTTTCGTCTACTAAGAGTGCGGCTGCTCGGCGAGGGGCGGCTGGTGGCTTCTCTCAAGACGCACAGCTTGTCGAAGGATACACCGGAGTACGAGGCACTATCCTACGTTTGGGGCGACGAGGGGAAGGTGTTCAAGCTTCAAGTAGACTGCGAAGGGCACAGCCACGACTTCGATCTGTGGCCCAATCTTCACGCGGCTCTGTTGCGCATCATGTCGCATGCCCCCCCCGGCCAGGAGCGGATTCTGTGGACGGACCGCATCTGCATCCGCCAGATTGATAAGAACGAAGAGAACCCACAGGTGGCCCAAGATAACAAGGCCGACAACGGCGTACAGGTGGCCCAGATGGCAGACATTTACAAAAAGGCCCAGCGCGTCTTGGTGTGGCTGGGCGAACCGGCGCACCATCTCGGCGAGACGGACGTCGCACGCAACTTGGGCACGAGCCGCCGCCTGCTTGACGTTGCGGACACCGTGTCGGGTCTTGCTAAAAACGCCGGCCCGAGATTCGATCCGCGCGGGACGGAAGGTCTCCCTCCGGCCAGCGACACTATCTGGACCGTCTTCTCCGACATTGTGCGCAAGGACTGGTACAAGCGAATCTGGACGCTGCAGGAGGCGGTCCTCGCTCGGGAGCTGACGGTCCACTACGGCGCCCACGTGCTCGCCTGGGACGACGTCGAGCGGCTGGTGACAGTCTACGGCCAAACGCCCGTGCTCCGCGACCAGGACGACCGCCGCGACCGGGACGACCTCCCTGCCGACCGCCGGGACGACCTCCAGCAACGGTGGCGCTGGCGCTTCCATCACGTCAGTTGGATCCGCGAGTACCAGCACTACCTGCGGCAGACGCCCCCCAAGACGATCGCCCTGGCCTACCTGCTGAACACCAGCATGTACAAGGCGAGCACCCGCGCCCACGACCGCGTGTACGGCGTTCTCGGCCTGGCCCACCAGTCCGTCTGCGACGGCATCGTGATCGACTACGACAGACCGCTGCGTGACGTCTACATCGACGCCTGCCGCCAGATCCTGCAAAGAGACACAAAACTGCAGCTACTCAGCCTCCCGTTCGAGCGCGACGGCCGCGGCGGCCTGCCCTCGTGGTGCCCCGACCTCGCGCGCTGGAACGGCTGCGAGGCCCAGCGGCAGCTGCCCGTGCTGCGCGAACGGCGCAAACCCTCCACCTGCCCCGACTCAGTCCGCATCTCGGACGACGACGACCGCCTTTTGCACGTCCGGGGATTCGTGGCCGATACCATAACCGCCGTCTCCCACGCGGCGTTTCCCGGGTTCGCGATCCGCGAGCCGGACCGGCGGTGGCTCCACATTGCCAAGTACTACCGCGAGTCCCTAGCGGTAGCGAAGGGGGAAGAAGCAGGCGGAACGGACACGGACACAGCCGAATCGGTGCACTGGCGGACGCTGATCGCCGACCGGCACGGCTTCGAGGGCGCGGCCCTGACGACTGCCGAGGCCGAGCGCGGGTACCGGAGCTACTTTGCGCGGGGCGCGGCGGCCAATGCGCAGCGGTCGGCCGAGGAGACCAGGCTGGCCGATACTTACTCTGCGTACGTGCTCGAGGCGTGCAACCGGCGCAAGTTCGTCCGGACCCTGGGGGGCCGGGTGGGGCTCGTGCCCGAGACGTGCCAGGTCGGCGACGTCGTGTGCGTGTTCCAAGGCGCCGTGGTGCCGCATGTGCTGCGGCGTAATCTTGACGACGATGGAGGCGCTTCGAGGACTTTTACGATTCTTGGGGACTGCTATGTTCATGGCTTGATGTGGTCGGCTGTTGTCGACGCATTTGACGAAGGGGTAGAGCAGGGACGCGAGTTTGTTCTGACTTGACGGTGCAAGTTGTGAACAAGGCAAGAAACCTAGACTAAGTCCAGAACAGTTTACCTAGCGGGCTTGTACATACGATTAGCTCTTGCCTCGGGCTCCTGCTTTCCGTCGCCATCGCCAAGGCCCCAGCAGCAGCAAGGCCCGTAGAAAGAACCCAATCAATTCGAGTAGTGGTTCAAGAGCCGGAAGCCCCGACCGCAAGGCCTGGATGACGAGGAAAGCGAGCTTCAACGGTATTACAGGCTCCGCATCGAGCAGGTCGATGATCCCGTGAAGTGGTGGGTAGACCGGAGGGCTGAATTCCCTCGTCTGAGCCGCCTATAGCCCTGGATATCCTGGCCATCCCGGCCATGTCGGCTGACTGCGAGAGGGTCTTTAGCGTCGCGAAGCTAACGATTACGAGTCAACGGCATCACCTCTAGGACCTGAAGATCGAGATGCTGCAGCTGCTGAAGTATTGGATCGGCGAGGGGGCATACAGGATCGGGAATATCGAGGCCTCGTGAGGGTCAGGTCGTCGAGGGTTTAGGAATAGCTTCATCGGGGTCCGGTTGGGCCTGGGCTGGGCAGATATCTGCAGATATATCAGTTAATCAGTAGATCGGCTCTAAATCTAGCATTCAAATCAGCTTTGGGGTCCGGCCTGATCTGACTGAACTGGTTACATCGCTGGGACAGTCCTTGTCCCTGTCCATATTGACGGTGGCCAAGGGGGAGCTGTTGTGTATGCTGGATTGCGAGGGGGCCGTTGTGTGTCTGAACAGCGAGGGGGTCGTTGTGTGTCTGGATAGCGAGGGGCCTGTTGTGTATGCTAGACTGCGAGGGGGCTGTTGTGTATCTAGATAGCGATGGTAGTCTCCTCTGTTCCCAAAAAGGCTGCATCCTTGCTCTCTATATACAAGAGCTCGGGGATAAAGCGGCGTGTCGCCGGGCTCGGTCTGTCGGGTAGGTAGTCTATTAAGCGGAGAAACCATGGTGGCTGGCGGTCGCAAGACGCAAACATTCTCATGCTTTGCGACGATGGCCTGTGTCTGCTTGATATGTGCGTGGCCCTGAAAAAGTTTTTTGAGGGCCAAAATGCCTTCATGCTTTCGATAAACTGGCAAAAACATGCTCAGGGAACCTTTGTGGCTTGACTGTCAAAGACGTAAGTGGCCTGTGTCTGCCTGACTGGCATGTGCGTGGCATACATTTATCACATCCCATTCCAGACCGCAATTAGAGTAGAAAAGTTAATGATATTACTCCAATGGCATGCTTGGAAACCTTTGTGGCTAGCTGTCAAGACGCAAACCGCCCTGGCCTCGCTTTAATTACCTCCCCAGGGTTAAGTATATTGTCGGGTCACTCACAACAGACTGTTTCGTGTGCCAGCAACTCCTACATTTACAGACCCAAGTGTGGTGGTAATTAAACGGGCATGGCATAACATCCCTACTGTTTGGTCGCCTCTGTTAGAACTATACTAGAGATAAGCGAGGCTAACATGGTCTAGGATTTATTTCACTGTATTTCATTTGCGTGTTGTCGACAAGTTGCTGATTGAGGAAAATGCAGGCGTGGGTGGCCTATGTCGGAATTTAAAGACGAGCTTCCGCCCAGAACAAGCATCACAAGTAGAAAGAGTGGTCCAACATCATTGTGCTATCTCCTAGACGGTGCCTGGGGCCATTCAAATGATCCGTGAGCGACACACCCCATCCTCTTTCACAATGTCAAGTCGAATCGCCAGGGGTTGAGGTTCATCTGGTCACTAACGGGCATGTGTCGGTCGGATCTGCGCGTCAGTCGGGGAGCGGACCGGTCGGTCGAATATCTTTAAAAGGTCTTGCCACTTCGCCTCACATTGCGGTTTATGTTTTGCCGCAATATAACTCAGTCTTTATGGTATGATTAGACATCGCTTGGGAATTTGTCAAGTACTTCAAAACATAACTTTTTAGCGGCTTGCAGCAACTTATTAGGGAAAGCCTAACTCACAGAAACCACCCTTTCCGCCACTCCTTCATTAATAAGTCGTCAACTCGGGACTCTCCTGGCTCTCGGGAACGAGAACTTGATCTGAACAAAGACCTTCTGCATGGAATTGTCCTTGGTGTCAAATTTGTAGTACACCTTATCCAAATATTCAATATGCACGCGGTGCGACACCATCTGCATCGGATTGAGCTCGCCCGTCCTGATCATCTGTAGTAGCTCCTTCTAGTATTTGTGCACGGGGGCTTGGCCGTTTCTAATAAGCCTGATACCGCGCTGCATCAGACTGCTGACGTTAAAGTAATTTGTCTGTTCCTGTCAGTTTCACGCACACACCTCACTGTCGTATCAAGGGAGCTCACATAGCCGACATAAACCCCCGTAATGCCACACCTTCTATAGTTCCTCACGTCCTCAACCATCTCATTCAGAATCTCACTCGTGTCCGTCTCGGCACCGAGCGACATCTCCAACCAGTGCATCCAGCCCTTGGCATACTCGCCTGCTGCACACTCGATAGCGACGTCGGGTCCGCGTGCACCCGTCAGCTCCTTGAGCTTGCTCACGACAGTCTCCTTGCTGGTGGCGTCGAAGCTGAGCTACTTGAAATCGACTAGGTGAAGCTTGCCCCTCTGGCCGGTGGGAAGCAAGACGAGACGAAGGACAGGCGGGGCTCGGTGTCGACGAAAATGATTTTGGAGGCGCCTTCGTTGAGGGCGTAGGACCCTGCCATCTGACCGATGGGGCCAGCGCCGAAGATAGCGACGGTATCGCCAGGGTAGACGGCCGCGTCTTTAACGGCGTTGTAGGTAGTCGGAAGGACGTCGGAGAGGTAGAGGGCTGAGAAGCAGGTTAGCAAGACGTTGGAAGAGTGGAAAGAGGGGAGCGGGGTACTGTACCCTTCTCGTCCGGGACGTCGTCGGGGATCTCAAGCAGGTTGGCATCGCCGAGGGGCACGCGCACATACTCAGCCTGGCCACCGGCAAATCCGCCTGAGATGCGAGTACCCGAAAATACCAGCGGTGCGGCCACCGTACATGGCCTTCATTGTGGTATTCTAGTTAGTCATCTTCTGCTTGCAGTAGAAGCACTTTCCCCGCTATCAGCTACTTTTTACGCTACCCTCCTTATAGGCTCTGTCACGGCACGGCGGTAGGCGCTGAGGCCCTACGGGTGCGTGACCATACTATAACCCACTATAGAATTGCAGCCTGACGGCTTGTAATTCTGGCATCCTTTTGGAAGGTGTGGTGCTAAACGCCGTCACATTAGCCTGCTAGCTACTGCGCCACTTGCTGAGGCTCGGCCCTACAAATGCGCTGAACGCTGCCCGCCTAACATCCCTGTCGCGCAATCCCGCAGCCTTGTTTTGGACTACTCCCTAGTGTCGTATTCCACTGCCTTTGGGCCTTGTTCCGGGTCCTCCTCTTATTCAGAATCTGTGGGAGGCCTCGGCAGAATCGAAGCGTCGAATCTAGGATACCTTGTCTTTCTTTGGGGTAATTCGAGCACCAGAACGCGCAGAATCCAGAGCATAGGACGTGGAATCACCGATGTACCCATCGACATGGGACCTCGAAATTGACTGCGGTCCGGGACGAATACTATACCATCTAGTACTAAGTATCTAGGTGCCAACAGGCATGTGTGTGGGGTCTCTTGGCGACAGGCATCATCAGTTGGGACGAGCTATGATCGGAAATACCACACAAATTCTACAGGCAATGCCCTCGCCGTCAGCTTTGGTAATAAAAACATTTGATTCCATGAGTAGGCACTAACGTGTGTGATAAGCGAGATGAACAGACAAGCGAGTTGAACAATTTCCACAACCTCACCACAACTACCCTCAATTACACAACCACAACACTAGGAAATAACAATAACTGAATCGGAAACAGATGAATCAGACGATTCTGCAGCCTCCTTGCACGTACGTGCATTATGGCAGGCTTGCCGCATACGCCACAGCATCGAATCTTCGTACGAGACCCCCCTGCACCACCACCATTTTGTCGTGTTTCCTGGACCAACTGCCCACCCACAGCCTTCTGATCCAGTAGATCCTGTGCCTCTTGTACAGTAAGTGATCCTCCAAGCCGAACACGTGTTTTCTTGGCTCTCCGTCGCTTACTAAGCCCCTCATTGGCCTTCCGAAGTGCTGAGACCTCTGTACGCAAAAGAGCCACCTCGTGCATCATAGCCATCGTACCTTTAGCTAATCGATCCACAGCAGTCAGCATTGGTGTTGGAGAGCTGCCCTGATGGTTGGAAATTCGAGTTTTGATGAACGCTGACTGTGAGGCAGCCTCTCTCGGGTTTTGTGGCGTTTGGGAGACCCAAGGTAGCGATGTAGTTGGGCTTGTAGCTGGGGGTGTTGGAGTCCGAATACGCACATCCAGCTTGGATATCACCCTCTCTGGATCGTACGGCACAAGGCCGGCTCCAGCAAACCCCCCCTGGATATTCCTTTCCGTAACCGAAGCAAAAAACGCCTCTCTAAACCCACAAAGAAACTCCAGCTTGCTAATATGTGTGATGTTCATCCGCATCAGCTGCTCAATCTGACAGCCGTACGCCTTCTTCAACGGCCCAAAGCAACCAACATCCAATGGCTGAAGTAGGTGTGAAGAGTGCGGAGGCATACAGAGTGTGATGATGTTGTGCTCCCGGCAGTAAGTCTCGAATTCTTCGGAGTGGTGGCTATCGTGGCCGTCGAGAATTAACAGTCGGTATATTCCCTTCGTACGAGATGCTGTGTGGAAATCGAAGTGCCGAATCCAATCCATGCCTTTCTCATTAGTAGTCTAGCCATTGTCGGTTGTTGCGATACGCCAGGTACCCGGAAGGTTGCACTCTTGATACCAGTTAGCAAGGTGATATTGCCCAGCTAAGATAATGAATGGTGGGATAGTCCAGCCTAGAGCATTCACTCCTTGGATGACTGTAGCCCACTCTCGATTACCAGGCTGGGCTTGCTTAGCCCTGCCACGGCCATCAGAGGTAGTAACTACCATAGCGGGGATGATAATGCCCATCATAAAGCCGGTCTCGTCGAAATTGTACAAATCTTCGTCAAGGATACCGTACTTGGCCTTCGTGTTGTGCACAAGCGCAAACCACTCGCGAATAACTTTTGGATCTTCGCATTTGGCCCTCTGGTAGTCGTATTTACGCGTAAAACGCGTCCGAAGTTCTGGCTGGCGCTTGACGAAGTTGTGAGCCCAGCGTGTACCGACAGAGGGCGCGTCGCGTTCGCGTAGCAATCGATTGGCCATATCTTCTACGTACGAAAGCCGGGGATGAAATGCGCGCGCACATAGCTCAATGATGTACTGAACAATCGTTTTCTCTTCCAAATCCGTAAGCTTACGCGAATTGGCTGGAGTATCACGTCGTGCAGGTTTGCCGTCGCGTCGGTTGCGTATAGTATTTACCGTGACTTGATATGTTGTTGCTGCAGCTCGAATACTGAGTTTTGGGTCGTTTTGAATAGCCCTGAGGGCCAAATTCACCCTAGCTTCGTATGAAGGAAGAGACATTTGAGTTTGTTGAGGAATTTGGTGTTTTGTAGAGAGGAGGCGCGTCGCGTCAAAAGTGTTCAACTCGCTTGTCTGTTCATCTCGCTTATCACACACGTTAACGTTTCGATGAAGGCAATACCAGGAGCATGGGCTCTGACATCCTGCGGTGGAGCCGCAGTGGCTCGGACCGACCACCAGTCCCCGAAACCTGGTCCTTTGGCGACTGCGGCCGCCGTGGACAGCATCTCTCGCGAAGGACGCGATTGTGCTCCAGGATTCAGCTGTCTGTGGGTGGTCATAAATCTTCGTTAGAGTGCCGTTCCGTCCATTCAGTTGCGTACCCTGGATATACCAGCCGCCACCCGTACATACAAATCTACCATGGTCTTACCGATACTCTTGTGCGCCCGCAGTGCGGCTATAGGGCCCTTAATTAGTGGAGTAACGTCTTAGATGTGCCGCTCACCTACAACGTCACCGGTATTCCCTCGACCCAGTACACGCAGATGATTAATGGCGACGGCACTAAGCTATAGGGTTTCTTTAACCAGGGTGTTAGGCATATAGCACCCGTTAACGAGCAGCTGATGCTCAAGTTCTTTAGCATCTTCGCGTAAAGGGTTGATACAAACGTTGTCCCGCACATAGATAGGATGGCGCCCTTTTTCTCTCAGAACTGAGATATTTCGATATACCATGCCCCACCACCCTTTCGGACACCCCACCCTTTCGGACAGCAAAACTGCCCGCGCCCCATACAAAATCACCCCTCTTCAATTCAATGGCATTCAACCAATTTTGAATCTATGACATAAAAAAAACATCATTCTGTAGAGAATTGACCTATATATTAGTACCGACGTTTTCTTACCATCCGACCCGACCTGGTAGTAAGCTGAGGGGATTCAGGTGATACTCCAACCTCAATAACTGAAGCGATTTCTCCATCCGAAGCAACCTCCTCCTCTGGATCAGAATCCACCACAACAACCTTCCTTTTGTTTCCAACTTCTGAAATCGGTCCACCAGATGCTAATGCTTCACCCAAACTCATAAACCGCCTGTTTGGATTAGGGATAGCTCTTCTTTTATTCCCTCGGTGACGTCATTTGCCAGGACACATTCCAGCATGTTGTCCCAGTCCTGGAACCAGCTCTCATGTCTGTGATCACGTATAAAGCGCTCTCTCGTCTCCTGCCCTAGCATCTCCAGCTTGAGGACCCCATCCCTCATGTCTTTGTCCAGCACATTTCTCGGCTCGATAAAGTCGCCCCGCGCTGGTTCCCGGAAGAGGTATAGCCCCTCCCACCTCTCCGCCCTCGTCAGCTGTACGTATAGGCTCATAAAGCTCGGCCTTGTCGCCGCGCTGCTGCCGTGGACGCCCTTGAGGTTGAGGAGGATTTCAGAGAACTGCTTTCCCTGGCTCTTCTGATCCGTCATGACAAAGGCTGGTGTGCAGAGAGGGCCTGTTCTGTGCGTGACCCACCGGAATCCTGGCTTGCCTCTCGACCCGGGACCCTTGCCTCGCATGGCGTCGGGAATTACAACCGTCTTGCTTTTGATCAGGATCGTGCCTTTGGGGAGCCCAGGTATTTCGAGGTCGGCGATATCGTCTGACTGGAGGAGAACGGCTGACGGCGGCCCAAGGTCAGGAGACTTTGCAAAGGGGGTAAAGTTTTCGCATTACGAGGATTGCAAATCTTCATCACGTAAACTGAATTTAAAATAAAAGGAGGATGCAGATCCCATACGAGTTCAGACTGGCCATCCTCCTCGATATCTGACAAGTATACGTAGCGTCGAGTCGCTAGAGGCCTCTACACAGGGGCCAGCCTCTACGGAGGGACCAATCTCTACATGGGGCCGGACTCCATGGAGGGGCCAACCTCTATAGGGGGCCAACCTCCACACAGTGGCCAGCCTCTACAAAGGGGCCAGCCTCTACGGAGGGCCAACCTACGGAGGGGCCAGCCTCTACATGGGCCCAGCCTCTACAGAGGGCCAACCTACGGAGGGGCCAACCCTACATGGGGCCAGCCTCCACGGAGGGGCCAACCTCTATAGGGGGCCAGCCTCCACACAGGGGCCAGCCTCTACAAAGGGGCTAGCCTCTATGGAGGGGCCAACCCAATAGGGGCCTGCCTCCACGGAGCGGCCAGCCTCTTGAAGTGGGCGACCTTCACACGGATGCACTGTAGCGTTCCTCGGCCGGCGTATCGTTGACTAGATACAACGCGAACTTCCACTACAAAATCCAACTCTAGGTCTGCTGCTTTTGGGGCAACCTTCACCTTACTTATCGATCAGCCACAGAATCGATCAGCCACAGAATCTATCAGCCACAGTTGAACCAAGATGATTCCTAAAAGGCCCGGTTTTGGGCTCAGTCCTCTAGGCCATGTTCTAGGACCGCAATTTCATGGGAGGCCTCAACAGAGTGGTCTGGTACTGTAAGGCTACAGACCCGAAACAAGGCCCAAAGAACTGAGCCCGGAATCGGGGCGGAAGACTACAACTCAAAACAGGGACCAAATTACTTGGGCTTTGCTTCTACAAGCGTGGGAGGCTTCAACATCGCCCACCCGATCGCCTCCCCCAAGCCATTTTCACACAGATGTCCCCTTTCGCACCCAATTGGCTACCTATCAGGGCATGTGTCCATTCAGAGGTCGATGGAACTTGCTGGACGAGCCAGGTTGGTACGCCAGTGATGTTTATTAATGGGGTCTTTCTGGTATATATTGACCTCGAAGAACTTGTTGTGCTCGTCACACTTGAAGTTCTTGTACCTGTTGCATTGAAATCAGAAGTAGGCAGACACAAGGGGGTGGTACAGGCTTACGAGTTTAGTTTCTGAAAGTTTGCCTCGATCAAGTCGCTCTCAGCGATCTCGATGAACTCATCATCCCGTTCATTCACGGGAACAAAGTATCGCTTGCTCTCCAGGGCGCCGTAGTTGACTTGGCGGACGAGTTGGACTGCGAACGGCGGTTTGAGATCCAGAAGATCAAATTTGCTGTCCCCCAGAGTGACATCAGCTGCAAGAGTTGCCCATGCCATAAAACTCTTAAATTTCGTTTCATGGAGGAGATGGCTCGGGCGGTAAGGCTGAATGTCCAAGCAGCAGAAGATTGGGGCCATTTGAACTCAGGTATAAAGTGGGGATCGTTAACAGTAGAGATGGGTAGAACTGATCACAGTAGAGATGGGTAGAACTGATCAAAGTCCTGGGCTTGTGGATCTTAGAGAAATCTGAAAGGCAATTTCTTGAAACCGTTCACCATCAATTTATGTGCCCTTTTCTCCAGTATCCACCGTTCCAGGCCCCGTCATTCCCCTTCTACCGTCGCTGGTCCTGAGCTGGTCTGATTGGCTGTTATTTTGTGGCATAACACCGACACCATCACAGCCAATCTCGTGCTGTGACCGAATGGTGCATTAGCACTCGCAGATTTTGTGGCATAACACGGCCAAAGGAAGCCAATGGATTCAGCCATGACAACACTACCATCAAAGGAGGGCTTATCTAAACGACCCCCCTTCAAGTCGAACAAAGTGTATAAGAAGAAAGGATTCCTCTTCTGTCCTACTCTCGTCTTCTCTTCCCTTTTCTTCTTCACGGTCGGCTCTGGTAGCTGCAAACCGGCGCTCATTTGCACCATCCAACCGTTTCTCCTTTTCGTGTTTGTTCTGTTCGTGGGTCGTTGATCTTCCACGCTGCACTTTGTCACAGTTCCCAGCCTTGAGCCAAGAAACCTATTCCTCCGATAAGAGCCTTTCATTACTAGCCCGACCCATCAGGACTCATCCGGACTAGAGGAGCACTCTTATTCTAACACTAAAACGTCCGCGCCTTATCAGTCCGTTGACCCCTCTTGGGTCACGTCCGGAAATGATGGTCCTCTGCAGGAGTTCGATTGGGGGCCCCTTTCAGGGGCAGTTGAACCTGCTGGGCAGGGTGGCGAAGTGTATGGCCAAGCTTCAATCACATCCACACATAGCAATTCCGTTTACAGTCCGTCTCTACTACCAAATCAACAAAACCATTTCGGCGCCGATGATTTGAACACCGCTCCCTTTGTTCAGGCATCATCTTCAAGACCTACTCCCATCGCGGGTGTCTTGCAATGCCAATACTGTCCCGAGACATTCGAAGGGACGCGAGCGAGGCGTAACCTGAAGTATGTGCTTCCCGTCCATCTGGCCATAGCCTTTTAAATTACGTTAATTGTCCCTTCAGCGTGCACGTAAAGAAGCATACGCTGCCATACGCTGCCATACGATTGCACTGTTCCTGACTGCAACATGGCATTCCAATTCAAACTCGACTGTGATAACCATGTCAAGGCAAAACACCCTGAGACGTTATCCAGTATTAAAGTTGTGTTCTGCCCGCATCATGGATGCAAACATTCGGCTGAACGTGGCAAAGGAATGATCAGGGGGGATGCCATGAACAAGCACATCCGAAGTCAGCATGGCGGCGATGGGCAGCCGCTATGGGGCCTCCGACAGTCAAGTGGATAGCCGCGACAAAGTTACAATAACAGGCAGCCTCATTTCCGCCGTTTTCATTTCCCGTGTGCCCTGCAAAGACATGCCACTTGCCTCGGTGTAAAGGAAGTTGCCGTTTCCAACCACTGCTAGGGCTTCGCACAGTGTGTGGTATCCACGACGTTGTGGCGTAGTGTAGCAGAGGAAATGTGGATGTCAAGGCATCTTTGCTGCTGATTGTCGATCGACCGATCTCGTCCATGGCCAAATAACGTATACAGGTTCTAGACAGTCGATAATGCGCCATGCCCACGGCATCGACCTTGGAGGCCGTGGTCTGGGCAGATGTTGGACAGCTAGCTAGATTGCTAAACCTCTGTCGACGAAGAAACCTATGACGGACTGGTGAATGAGCTGGACGATATTGGACCCCGGTACGGTCTCTGCGAGGCCGCAACTGAGGCTTTTGATTCTTTTCTGCAACGTAGCTGCATCCCTTATGTAATTCGCGCCTTTTCACACTGATGCAACGACTTGTATTGAGCATCAACATCAGAGACCATAGCCCATCGCAGCTCTTCCATAGACAACATGACTGTTCACTTCGGGAGGAGGCGGAGGAGGAGGCGGACGAGGCGGACGAGGCGGAGGAGGAGGGGGAGGAAGAAAGGGAGGAGGGAGGAGGGGGAGGAAGAAAGGGAGGAGGGAGGAGGGGGAAGGTGGGGCGACTGTGAAGCTGACTAATCGTGGCACAGTCTGGCGGTGTTGACAGGAGACGCAAAACCGCAAGCGGTTTGCCCAAGAGACCCTTGAGGAACGAAGCTGGATGATTTGCTGTTCGTGGATTGCAGGACAGTTAGGCATGTCCTTCAGAGTTTGAAGTCACATGGCGGGGTACAGCGCGAGTGGAAAGGATTTACAAATGTTCCGGCGGGGCTTCAACAACGTCATCGGGAGTTGGAACACAGAGTTTGACCACAACATCCAAACTGCTACCGCAAAATCATAGGGCAATGCCAACCACCACCCAATGGCAGATGAAGAGATCACTTGCTGTGTCTTTGTCAACAGAGCTCTCGCCCGTGATGATGTTTCGACTAAAGTCTGTATAGGGTTATGTCCTAACACGACGATGGAGACACGGCTAATGTGGGCCCGGGAAATTGCAAGAGAATTTCTGTCTTGGTCGAACGGTGACAGTATCCGGCCTTGGATGTTCATTTGCAGTTTCGACGGAACGGTGGAGCGTCTCGCTATGCAACCACCTAAAGGTGACTACGACAAGGTATACCCGGTTCGCTGCCGCATTCCGCCCGGTACTATTCTTCGACTTGGGAAGGAAGAGCGAAATAAGCGATCAGAGATGTTTGCGCTGGGCAGTTTGCTATACGAGGTCAATTCTGGCAACAAGCCATTCAAGGAGCTGAACGACGACGAAGTCCAGCTCCGGTTCAGCAAGGGGAAATTTCCTGATGATGTCGAAAGTTTACAGCTTTGTCCAGCTATATTGTTTTGTTGGAATTTGGGAGTTTTGGAGGAAACGGAGGCGGAATCGATATACAACAGGATTGTTGGTGGCGCCGGCAGCTACATCAGGGCGCATCCAGTGTCCTTCACGATCCAGGCAGTTGGCGTATGTGCTCTGACGGCTTCCGTTGTCACCGTGCCTGTCCTCGGCCTTGTTGGATTCTCGGCAACGGGCTCTTTGGCTGGTTCTATGGCCGCTGCTTGGCAATCTTCAGTCGGATCGGTTGCGGCTGGTAGTGCATTTGCTTGGTGTCAGAGTGCCGCAATGGGCGGCGCGGCTTTGAACGGGGTATTTGGTCTCGGAGCGACTGGCGCGGGAGTTGTAGGAGCTGGCACATTGCCAATATTGGCTGAAAAGGTCCAGAGTGTCTTTCGGCGAAGATAGACCTAGCTTGGCAATTGGTGCTAGTAAGAGTTGAAGCGGAGAATGGTATGAGAAGACTGGATTTAGGAACGAGGAAAGGCAACCAAGGCGAAAGTGTGGCGCCCAGAAAGGCGAGGCTACGAGGCGTAGCGCACAGAGCTCGCTGTTCGACCAGCAGTCTTCCTCTGACTAAAGCCACCCGGAAACAAAGATGAACGGATGGTCCCCGGGTACTTTTGGCGACAAGAACGTGCGGGACTGTGGTGCTGCAGCCTCCGTGGCCCGCGCGTCGTCTTCGTGCCTGTGCACCGCCTCTGCAGTGTCACGCGTCAGGACCCGTGTTCGCGTTGCGCCGCGCGGTCCCGCACCTGTGGATCGCCACAACACAAGCATCCACTGCGTGGCCTCGAGACAGGCACAGCGATACCTCCGTTGAGAAAGACGGATGTCACAAGCGGGATGTCGTAAGAGCTGGCCGTCGAACGAAGGTTCCAGTGTTCTGAGGCGTCGCACATGCCGCATATCGGCTAATCAAACGTATCCATTGCGCCGGGGGCCATATGCTGCATGCGCCCTCAGCGCTGACAATGAAGCTTATTTTGACGCCTTGATTCATCAGTCTCGCCTCAGTCCACAGGGGAACCATAAACGGGAAGATCTAGAAGATGATGAAGTACATGGCGTGGTAAACAACAGACATCAGCGCCTAGGCCGCGTGCCTCCGCCCTCATCGGGATATTATCTCGATGTAGCCCACCTGAGACCTGGGGCAATTCTCGTAGCGAGGCAACGTGTTACGGTATCGCACTTGACAGCGGCTAAACCCCTAGTCCTCTGAATCTCCGAACGGTGCCGTTAGGATTTCCACGGTCCTTATCCAGCGATCAGGATCGAAAATCATCGGATCATGTTCCCTGCTGCTCATCTCAGTCGCGTAATCCAAGGCTCTCATTCCCGCAGCGTCAATATCGTTCGGTGACAATCCAACAATATTCAGATACTCCAGCGCCGGTTGAGTCAGCGAGCCAGCCTGTGCGCTGTGGTGGAGAACTGTCTTCCCTTCAGCGTCTGTGTCACGGAGATTAAGACCGGCGCCGGCGAGTAGTTTAAGGACGTCTACGTCTAGCTTAACGGAACTAGCGTAGGTGTGTCCCAATCCTAGGCGGCCGCCGGGTGTCCTATGGGAAATATCCGCCTGCCAATGGAGGAGGTTTTCAATAACGTCTTTCGGATGGAGGAGGAACCACTGGCTGATGTAAAGAACCAGTGGAGTCATGCCGTGCTTGTCTACTCCGTTCACCTCGGCCCCTTGTTCCAACAGCGGTTGTAAGACTTTACAATCCCAGAACAGTGGCTTTCCAAGTAAATGGTGCAAGGCGTTTCGACCATCCCTGTCTCGGGACAGGACAAGGTTAAGCCCAAGTTTATTAGCCGCGTCGAGGATCAACAACACGGTTTCTTTTTTTCCGCCCATTGCCGCATAGTGCAGCGCGTTGCGACCCTCGTCGTCCGATTCCGTAACAAGCGCTCCATTGTTCAGTAATAGCCGCACCACCTCCACATCTCCTTCCGCACAGGCAAGAAGCAGCGGCGTTTGTTGTTTAGAGTTCCGCCCCGACACGCCGGCACCGTGCTTCACTAGTACGTTGACTAGTGTCGCCGAACTCCAGTGGCCATAACGGACGAGGTGTAGTGCCTGCGACCCATCCGAAGTCCGGGCGTTAATGGCGCTTGCTGGGTGACGTAGTAGATCTATGATAAGACCGGACAACTCTCTGAGAATGTATTCGATATGGTCAACATATTCCTCTTCGTCTGAGATATCGATGAAATCAAGCACGGTTTCGATCCTAGATTCCGCGGCGTCCCAAACGTCGCAGGCGGCGTCCCAAACCTCGCAGCAACTGCAACTCAGTCCCCGACGAACCGCAAGGTGTAGCGGAGTCTCGTCGTATTCAGACATCGCGGTTGGATCGGCTCCGCGGTCAAGAAGGAAACGGACCGGTTTCTGTAATCCACTAAGAGCCGCGAGGTGTAGAGGAGTAAGTCCCTGATTGAGGCTGGCGTTTCTCTGCGGTTCGTGTTGGCTACTGCCTTGCTCATAGACCTGACGCCCATCTCGGAGAGCCTCGTGGTACCGCAGTCTGTGGACAAAGGTATTGATTGACACTCCGGCATTGATAAAAATACCAATCCCTTCCTCCCACCATGAATAAATGGCGTAATGTACCGGGGTCATGTTCTTGATGTCAGCCGTGATTTTTGCATTCTTTTCGAGAAGGAACAACAGCGGCCTCTCCCATCTGCGAAGAACTACATGGTGCAACACAGACTTTAGCTCGAAGTCTCTGACTTCAAGATCGACGCCATGCTGGAGCAGCCACATGGCCGTGTCTTCCTGGTCGTTGCGGGCTGCCCATAACAACGGCGTCTCACCGTTTTCATCCTTGCTATCAAGGTCCCACCCCTCGGCCGCGAGATCGGCCAGGCATTGTAGCAGCCCAAAGTGTGCTGCGAGATGTGCTCCTGAGATATCGTCGGGTGGCCTTCCCCTGGAATATTGGCGGAGGAGTATCTCGTAGCTCTTGGATGGCTTCCGTTTCTTCCGCAGGAACTCCATGGTAGATGCGAAACTTGGCGCAGATCTGCCTGCCTGGCGAGCATGGAATCCCAAGTACGTTGCAGCATATTCGATCATGCCGCCATATGTCTTATCCGCCTCGCTAAGAATCAGAAGGCAAACTTTGGTAGCATGGCAATGCGCCTGCTCAAGACTCCAATGATTTCGTTCAAAGTACTCGGTGACCGACAGATGTGAGAATCTCCAGACCTTGCACTGGGAGTCGAGGACAAGCAGGTTATTGCAAATATCCAAGAGTACATCTTCGTCGATTTCCTCGGATACATCGCCGCCTGGGTCCAGACGTACCGCAGATAAAAGGGCAGCACTGTCGAGAGGGTGGCAGGCACACATCACCCATGTGAAGGCACGGTCTGCAAGAATTCTCTCATGCTGGTTTCGGGCCGCGATTTTGGCGTATATCTCGTCGTATGCTGCCTCGAGACCGATTGGGAGTCTTCCAAGACGATCTCGTACAGCTGCTTCGGTCCGGAGTTCCAGCAGCTGCTTGACTTGTAGGTATGCCCACTGAAACCTATCCACAATGAGCGGGCTGACAGCACCTCTTATCAGGGACCTTACATTCCGTCACTCCGGTTAAGGAGGGTCTTGACGATCTCTCCTCGCAGAGACGCAGAAAACCTATTCCAGCGTCGGTGCTTGACGATCTCTCTGTTGACAAATTTCTCGATGTCGTTCTGGTTGTCAGTAGCTTGGATTTCAATGTGCGGCCGGGCGAGAAACTGGTCCCTAATATCAGCGTTAGGCCGACTCGCAATGAAGATCTTAATAGGCCGTTCTGCTTCTGATAGCAGAAAGTCTACCATCTCAAGTAGCTGACAACGAGAGTCGCCTTCGCACTCGTCCAAGGCGTCAAGCACCAGGGTGGTTTTAGAGTATAAGTTGACTGACTCCAGCAGCTGCTCCCTACAGGTATTGAAGCTGAGATCTGATCCCTTTAGTCTCATCTCCTTGTAGAGGGTCCGCAATTTCCTGCGCATATGTTCAGTGTTGTCGGCTGCGGCTGACAGTTGGCGAACATAGCTGCGAAGGACAGAGAGTGGTTGGCGGCGCTCGTCTTCGTTCCGGCTACAGTAGAAGAACGCAAAGCCCTCGGAGTCTAATTTGTCGTCGATACTGTCGATGACCTTTGACGTAAGGAACGTCTTACCAGCGCCAGCTGGGGAGGTAAGCCTCAGGGTCTAGACTCGGAGACACCGGAATACTAACGAGAACCCTGAAGCCACAGGATAACTGACGAGCTGCTGTTCTTCCATTCATTGAACTTGTCTCGATGCAGCAACCATTCACATGTATCCAAAGTACGAGCCTCTCTGACAGTGTTGTGGTGTTTCCGGTGTTGGATGGGTGAGATCCATTCGAGAACCTTGAGCCGCTCTTCATCGTCGATCCGTTCGAAGTGATCCAGGTGGAGTGCCCTAGATTGTCAGCATTTACGCACCCTGGCAGCGTTACAACATACATCTGATCGATGTTGAGACCTGCGGAGAGCATGTCTCGGTAATGTCTGAGGGTCTGCAGGATGGCGTCGACACATTTTCTCTCGAATGGCCACCTCAGAGAGGCGAGGCCAAGCTTGACCTTCAGTTTCCCCGGATCGCCGGCACCCGGCCCTTCCTCCAGCTTCGTCTTCAGTTCTGTGAGCTGCGAACGGCACCCTTCGAGTCCATCGCGGAGATCGCGCGCGGTCTGGAGCTTTGCGCCATGTTCTTCAAGGAGTTGGCAAGCCCTCTCGATGAGTGGCTTCAGGTTGCGGAGCTCGCGTTGCAAACGCTCGATGTCGGGCTTTGCAGTCCTGACAGCATCGAAATATCGAACAAGTGACACGACGGCGTTTAGTATCGCAAGAACGCTGGCAGCCGCATCCATTGCTAGTCGAAGACGGTGAAACGCGAGAGAAGAGTGTACGCGCTTTCCAGCAGGTCAGCAAAGGATTGCTTTGTCAAGAAATAAGTTGATGGCGACGTCGAGGCGTCTCGCAAGGTTGAAGGCGGGGCAGACTCGCAGCTGAGCGCTTGCCGGGCGGCCAATCAAACCCATCGCCAGTAACAACGCCTGGACCGATGAATCGACCCGAATCCTCGGTCGCCAAGACGGATACCGCACCATCGTCCACGGCCCTGTCCCTATTCAGCGTCTCTTCGGACCGGATACGGTATTCAGTGTGTGGCTGGAACGCGCCAGAAAGGCAGCTACGAGGCGTCCGAATTGCCAAATAATGTGTGCAGCCGTGCGGTCGTCCCGTTGGCAGCGTGGACCGGGCCAGCCTGTGGGAATTTGGGCCGTTACAGCGGGCTCCAGAGCCGAGCAGCAGCCGAGCAGGGCAGCCGGACAGTCGCGAAACCGTGGCGGGGCTCTCGGAGCGGCACATCTAGGGTACAATGTAGCTCGGGAATCGTGAAATGAACGCGATCAAGGTTGGTGCTTGTTTGTAAGTCTGGCGGTAGTAGCGAGTTGGTCCTTGCGTGTCGCGCCGTCAGTGCCTGTGCTGCGGACTGTAGCTTGCTTTCTAGCGCGCTTCGGCCTCCAAGGGATGGCAAGCCGCGTCCCCTCGCCCCGCCCTGAGCGTACCGCGGTACGTCAGCCTGATGGAACCCGGCATTGTCCGGATCGCCGCGCTGGCGTCGCTCTACACCAGCCTCGAACGGCCTTTGGGCGCTAACACTGTGGACATGGTATTCTGCAAGGAAGCGCCCACAAGATGCGGTCATTCTCCGGTGCAGCGCTGTATTGTGAGCGGTTGTCCATGCTGCGCGCTGAATTTGTCTCGAGGCGGGGACAGTATCGCAGTCTTAACGTTAGATGGACTGCAGCTCGATTACTGGCAAGGCCAGGGCGAGTGAGCTCCGCACCTCCATATGCGCCTGCAGCGACTAATGCACGGCCCAGGCGGGAAGTGTCCTAATTGTGTCCTGGCGCAGGCCGACGGTGCCGACAAACCAAACGTAGCACGGGAAAGCATGAACAAATGGCAAGAAAGAGAATTGCCGACAGGGCGACGTCAGCCACACGAAATAATGTCCAAAAGGGTTGGCGAGAGTTACGCGGGCGCTGAAAAGTGAGGCGAGCCCACGGACGGCAAAGGAGCAGGCGACGGCGACGCAGAGCCAATCTGCGCACAGCACCGTAGCCCTCGCCGAACAGCCGGCCCACGTTCGCGGCGGACAATCAAATCCGAGTGGTGATGCGAGCATCCGAAGATACATACAAGTACTTCAGTGCGCCCGGACGGCCGCGGCGCGTCGGGAGCCGTCCGCTACGTCTCGAAGCACGCGTTGAAGGAAGACGCGTCATGATGCGGAACGGCGGTGGCAGTCGCGGTAGGTCCTGGTACGGCACGGACCGCGCCGCACTTCTATAGCCGAATTGTCTACCCGCTTCACTAGAGTACCACCGCCCTCTGTGTTTCGTGTGTGGATCATGTGGAATTCGGAAAAGCTGCTATGGCTTCCGTCCGAGTACCGGCCTGTGCAGTCAACCGTCGCGGGATCGGCCGTCGCGCTTGGCCACGCTGCAGAACTCCCAGAAGGAGCTTGAACGCATGATGTATGGAACTCTGCATCCGAAATCGCCCTCTTTGTAATTTCAATCTCGTTCTTTCTCCTCTTCATTACCCAGCAATACACAAGTCTCTTCGACCCCTAGGACCCGTATAAGGGCAAAAATAATAGAAAAAAAAATATTATGATCGTGTATATGCCACCCCGATCGTCACCCCTAGTGTTCCTAGTTCTCGGCTACTACCTCGCTTGGCCATCTGTCCCGGTGTCCTGTCCCCCTCCATCTGTGTGGTGGCTTTTTCAATGGAGATGGGATAATCATCAGTAAACTAACGCCCCTGTGGCTTGTCAGAAGTCCAAGAAACCCCAGCTCTCTCTCCTAGGAGAATCATCAGTCACTCCCAGCTCTCCCAAGGCCATCCGTCTCCTGGGAGAAGTCAGCCACAGCCACCCAGCTCTCCCAGGGCCGTCCGTCTCCTGGGAGAACCATCAGCCACCCACAGCTCTCAAGGCCGTCTCCCAGAACCTAACTCTCCCAAGGCCTTAGCTGCAGCATAGATGGCGACGCTGCCCTGCCACTCGGAAGATGCCCATCATCAGCTTTCCCGATTTTGGGACGTGTCCACTGTGGCAGAAGACTTGAGAGCTTCGACATTGGGCATGTCTCGCCAAATGTTCTGTCCGAATGGCCACAGCTAGGTCATGCGGCAAGACACCCCTTCAGCAGGTCAGGAGTTGGAACTTTCTCGAAGTCCGGCTCACATGTGAACCAAGCCCAGGAGAGCCTGGAGTACCGGAGGACGCCGCCAGCTAGTAGCTATAGTCGAATGCTGTCGCCGAACGTGGCTGACCAAATGCTCAAAGCTCCCGAGAATCCCCTGACAAGTCTGGTACCCGTATGGACATCGTATCGGCAGGTCGTCGAGACTTTCGTCATACTTGTGGTTGTCGGGTTGTCGGCGTCGGCGTCACGGTGGCAGAACGGACAGATCAGCAATGTGCCTGTCAGAGCGGCGGTTTCCTTAGGAACTGGCGGTGGTGTAGAAACCTCAGAGCGGTTGAGGATTGTCGGTACTGGTGCCGGAGCAGGGGCGTGGGAGCTCGGGGGAGTCGACAAGGACGTGCTCTCGGACTTGCTAGGAACTATTGGCGCCAGTGCGGTGGCAACCTTAGACTTGGGACATGTGGTGGTGCGGGAGTGGCGGCCCACCTTGGCGGCCTTGGGATCGGTGAGCGTCTTGCTGGACGTTGTTGTGTGGGCTCCCTTTGGTTTTTGACGGCGGGAGGGTTCTCGCTGTTGGTATGAAGTCGTAGGTAGACGTAAGCGGTGCCGGTGCCTCGCGTGGTCTGCAAAATGGCCTGCGTCTGCAAGAATTGCGGTACAACCATTGTATGGGCACCTAAATGGCGTCCGTCTTCTGAAATGCTGTGTGCGAAGATGCCTTGCTAGGCTGTCGATACGCCATAGCTTTTCCCGTTCGCTGTCCCCTATCCCATCATCTGCCCACCTACAGAACGGGCAGAATGGCAACACATTCTTCTCCGCTTCCAGCACCACTTGAGTAGCCGGCTGCGTAGGGATATTATCCCTCAAGTCCGGCCTCCTGAGACTTGGCGAACCGCACCGGAAACGAACCGCACGTGTCTTGAGACCGACTGTCTTGCGGCCGCGCTTCGCTTGACGACGGCATGGGCTCTCTCTCCGCTTGCAGAGCCGAGCAATCGTCCGCACGAGGTCCAATCGTAGTGGGTGGAGCTCATCCCTGTTTCTCACCTCAGCGGCTTGAGAGAATAGACGTGCCACCCGCGCTCTCTCGGGCACGTCATATTGGATGGTCGGCGGCGCGATCACATCGGACGGCTTGATGCCGTTGAGCTGCCTGTTAATCTCTTCCACGTGTACCGAATCATGGAAATCCTTGATGGCACGCCGGAGCCGTTCGGTTTTTAGCTTCTTGCTCAGCCGGTCAGCCTTCTGCTTGTACTGGTCGTATCGATCTGCCAACTCCGTTCCTTCAGCATCTGCCCGGCTACGGTAGCCTTGCAATTTCATTTGTTGTGATGCTTGGGTCCTCTTTCAACGGTATTTAACTAGATCCGGGTCTTGATTGACTTCAAACTTCTGCTGGTCCGTGAGAGCTGTTGGGGCGTCGCCGTGCCGGACTAGCCGCCCGGCGAGGTGGATTAGGTCGTGCTGCGGAGCACTGCCGAAGCAGATTTTCTGGCAATCCACGTCATTAAAAGTCGACATGTAGTACTGCACGTATACCCTCGAATCTCCCTGCCGATGGCCCATGATCTTATTCCTTTCCTCGGGAGTGAGGGCTTCTGCATGGGTACTGGTTAGAAGCGATTCCGTAGTATTATTCTAAGATAACTTACCGTTCAGCTTCTTGCCTGAACCGCGTCGAAGGTCGTACCACTCAAGGACTTTTTCCAGCCCAATAGCTCGACCAAGGCGTACTAAGTGGCCGCGTTCCTTTTGATACTTGAGCGCCTTGTTGACAGCTATTCGTATGCCCTCTTCCGAATCCTCAACGTCGCGGAAGACAGGTCGTCTTCGCCACTCCTCCTTCCAGCGTAATCGAAGACGGTCAGAGTTCGGTGGAACTACCAGTTCGTAGATTTCTTCAGGGTCTTTGAACTCGTTGACGAATGCCCCGTCGGCAAATGCCAGTCCCATAATAGGGATAAGCGGGTCGTATATCAACATGTCGTCTTCGCGGAAGGCGAATTCCTTTGGCTCCGATTCGCCGCCTGACCGTTTAATGTTCTCCAGGTTGACCTTCAGCACGACACGTGGCCGCTGATCTCCCGGCAGCGGCGGAAACAACTGAAATTCGAGATGTTCGTAGAGGAGTTGGCCGATGAGGGCGCCTAGCCGTGTGGCGGTAGCGCCCGCAAAAATGAGATTGGCCGCTAACTGCACGCGCAAGCGTTCATGGGCGAACACCTCTTCATCACGTATCCAGTGATGGTTCAGAAGCACGGCCAAGTCCTCGACAAAGAGACCAACCTTCTCCTTCTTCGACGTATCCAGGCCGTAGGTTGGAGTGAGCCAAGTATGGATCCACTACCCGACATTAGCATGAGAGTTGACCGGAACAAAACAGGCAACTCACATTGCGGATGTCGTACAGCACATCCTCCTTCATCCAACTTGCTGTTTTCTGCGAATAGACCATACTGAGAATTTTCCAGTACGTCATTATCGACGATTCCTTCTTGATCCTTGAGTTCTCTACTCTCCATACTAAATAGGCCTTGAAGAGAGGGGCGTCACATTGGCCGAGTGCTTCAACGGGGTCGAGTTTCCGCCGTTTGCAAAACCTATTATGTCAAACATATTAGTTCAACTCCTCATCTCTAATGCACATGTCAAACAAGCTTACTTGTTCCATATTTTCTCTTGCTCCTCTTCCATAGTCTGCGTGTTTTCTCCATGATTGGCAAGGGTAGGGCCATCTGCTCGGAACCTTTCCAACAAGTCGTCGTAATACTGAGCCTTGTCGTCTGCATCTTCGTTAAGAGAACAATAACCGGAATCATTGTTGGAGTCTGAATGCGAATGCTGGCGAGATCGCACCGTCTGTGTCATCCGTGGGGCTGCAGGACGGGGGGGGTTTTGCCCATATTCTTCCTCAGACTCCGAGTCGGACGTGGAGCCGGCGCTAGAGTCTGTTTCGTAACCGCTCTCCTGACCAGACCTTAGCTGCCTGTTCCGTGTTGGCGCCATCCCAGCAAGTTGGGTGGATTGATCTGCGGAAGAGTTGCTGTCCGCAGCTCTATTGCGCCGGAGGTTACATCGCTGCCATGCCCGCCGAGGCATGTTCGAAGGTCGGTCCATGCTCTCACCCTCGGAAAGCGTGTGAGCTCACGGAATGAAAAGGAAACTAAGAGACAGACGAAGATAGCTGCTTGCAGGGGGTGGGGAGAGCTGCCGAGGCTTTGTGGGTGGGCAAGGCGCGGCTTGCGAATGTAGAAGAGAAGTGCCGGCGGCCAAGAGCTCGGGGGCGCGAAAAGGCGTGGGATGGAGGGCAAAGGAGCGGAGAGCCACAGCGAGGTGGGAGGCAGGGAGGGGATGGCGGGCATGGCGGGTTCAAGACCGCGCCGGGACGCGAGACTTAAATACATCAAGGGCCACATCCCAGACCAGCGAGTGCGGCGGTCGTAGCCACCTGCCTATACGTCGGCGAGCCAGATGCCAGCATGCCGCCTGATCCAGGATACGGACCGTAGCTGGCGTGTGCTACCTGTCTCCCTGCGTACCGCGGCAGCCAGGGGCGCGTCTGGGCCGGGGGCTTCTTGGTAGCGTCAGCATCCTCGCTGTTCTCGTCGGGCATCTCGAGCTCGTTCCGCGATGCCGATGGGAACGTGACAGGCTCCTCGAAAACAGACTGCAAGTAGCTGTTGTAGTAGACGGAGCGGCAAATTAGGTCCTATGAAGGGGGCAGGCGGACGAGGCGGCTGGGTGCGATGTGCTCCGTGGAATTAGAGATGATGGGAGTGGGAGCTTGGGAGCTGCAAGGGACTGCCAGACGAAATGGGTAGGCGGTGAGTGAGTGAGCTGTCCATTTTAGGAAGGCGGTGACGGCGATTGTAGATGCTGCCTGAGGCGTCAATTTTTGCGGCCTATGCAGACCCCGCCAAATTCGGCGATGCCTGACTGCCAAATGCGGCAGTCACCCTAAGCAGTGGACGGGTTTCCGCCGTAATCCCAAAAATGGGGCCTCGCCATTGGCTGGAGTGTCGCCAAGCATTACGGAAATTTGGGATTACGGCGCAAAACCAAAATCCGCCCAGGGACCGGGGTGTCCACAGAGCTAGGCCCCGCTTAGGATCTTGGCTCCTACCCGTATTCTTGGGTGGCCCTTCGCCGTTATCTTGGCGGTTTTCTCCTCGAGTTCGGCGTCCCGAGCCTCGGCTGTGCTCTTGGCGGCTGGCGAGGACCTTCTCGCCCTTCTTCCACCAAATATCGGGGTTATATTCTTCTATCCAAGGGTCCCCTAGCAGTATATCGACCTGCTTACTCAAGGGTAGGATGCCGAAAACGACGTTGAGAGATTGTCCATCGACCGTGATCAAGAGTTCCTGGGTTTCTCTCGTACAACGCCCCCCGTTGTGCTTCATAAGCTCTCCCTCGAAGGTCCGTAGTCGTAACGGTACTGCCTTCGTTCTCCATGGGATTCTGAGCCTCGCAGCAAGATCTTCCGAGATGACGTTCCTGTCACTCCCGCCATCGATCTTAGCTAGGAGTATGACTGGCTCCTGAGGGTTCTTCGTCCTCCATTCGCACTGGGCCTGAACGTGTAGCCCACGTGGGAATCGTGCATCTGCCTCTACCCTGCCGATGATCTGCTCATCCGGGTAAGGCCGTTGTTGAGGACTTTCTGGGGACCCGACCGCAAGATGCCTCCAATCTTCGGTATCGGTCCGTTGAAGCGTGGGTTTTACTCGCTTCCTTCGGGCCTGCTGGAGGCCCGCGAGTCGTTTCCCAAACGCTTCTCGTACTGGCGATGAAGGAACCTAACGAGCCGTTCGTCGCGGCTCCGATAGGCGGATTCTTCTGGCTCGATCCTCCTCATCGTCTCTGCCTCTAGACGGTACTCAACCGAAGGCCACGAACGGTGCGCCCTGTTGAGCCTCCTGTTTCTGGAGTGGGTGAGGTGCTGGGTCTTCTTTCTGTGCCAGTCCTCAAGCTTCTGCCTCTGGTGAATTTGGCAGCCTGCCTGTTGACAAGTCCTCCAGTTGGTTTTGCCTTCTCGGCAAGGTTTAGGCGAGAGGGGTTCGATCACGATTTCCGCCTTCCTCTGATGGTCTTTCGTAGCCGTGCCGACCCGTGTATGCCAGGTAGGTATATGTCGGTATACCCTGGGAATCGCCTGTCCCGACCTCCTGGCTGGGAAGTGGTTG